TTTTCCGCGCCGGCTCCCGTCGGATCCAGTCCGTGGACAACCTAGAGAAGCTCTATTAATCACACTCGAGATGCTTCGTAACCGAGCGTGAACGGGCAAGCCTCGACGTTGAGATGGTCCATGGATTGGATCCGATGGGTCGTGGTATTTCATCGGATCCAGTCTGTGGACCATCTAGAGAAGCTCTATTAATCACACACGAGATGCTTCGTAACTGAGCCTGAACGGTCAAGCCTCGACGTTGAGATGGTCCATGGATTGGATCCAATGAAATCCCCCGTCGCCCACCGGATCCAGTCTACGGACCCTGACAAGCTCGATTGGTCACCCTCTATCCCCTGCACGGTCGATACCTCGTGCTGACTAAGATAACAAACCAGCGCCCATAGGCTTGGTATCAAGGAATGCCAAGGAACGGAAGGGCAAGCGTGATTCAAATGGGAATTGATGGAATTGACAGTCCTATATGATATCGACTCGATCGCTTGAGGAGTCAAGCGATGATGGGGTGAGACGAGGAGGTTATAAGCCTGCGTCTCGCCCGGTATCTAGTGTCTTGGCAGGGGCCGCCCTGACACTTGGGGGGGACCGCCCATAAGCCGGGGGAAAACCGCCCATAAGTCGGGGGGAAACCGCCCATAAAACCCGAGGGGAACCGCCCGTAAGCTGGGGGGGTAACTGCCCCGCTTATGGGCGGTATCGACCGTGTAGGGGATACAAATTTTACTAGAGGAAAAGGAAGGAAGTGCTTCTCTACCCTCTACCCGAAGATCACTTCTACGCGCTAGCGTTCTACAAACACGCCACTTACCGCGGAGATTCGAACGTCGCTAGGTTAACGAGAACCAGGGCGAATAGAGAGGTGTATAGAACAATGCGCAAAGTGTGTTGAGTAAGTCGTGGAAGGAAGGTTGGTGTACAGAATAGGCGCTGCCCTACGCATCTCATTGAGCGTCTTCATTCTCACGTGAGCACTTGGCTGGCGCGCCAAGTCTTGCAGCCTCGAGAGTGACACTTACAGTAAGTCAGTGTGGGTAGTAACGGCCACCCCCCGGTCTGGCCACCCCACCATAGACGCGTCAAAACTCCACACGCGTCTGGCACGTTACTCCCTTCAATCTATCACGAAACATCACATTCTTGTTCAATTGAGCTGGGATCTTTTCTGTCATGCTCTTCTACGGCTATTATGGCTAGCTATACTGAAGAAGACATAGAAAACGCACTAGAAGATGTCTTAAATGGCCAGTCTTTCAAGGCCGCGTCTCGAATCCATGGCCCACCACGCACTACTCTTCGACGACGGTCTCTTGGAGCACAGCCCGCTAATGCAGCTCACGAAAATCAACAGAGGCTCTCGGCAGTACAAGAAGAAGCTCTTATGACATGGATTCTGCGACAAGATGGCCTTGGATATGCTCCAACACACGCTCAAATCCGTTCCATCACGTCGAAGATCCTTAGATCGCAGAACGACCACCGTCCACTTGGAAAGAGGTGGTCTACTGCCTTCGTAAAACGCCACCCATCGATCAAAACCAAGCTTGGCCGTCGCACTGACTGGCAGCGAGTCAATGCAACGAGCCCAGCGAATATTAACAAGCTTTTCGACCTCTACGAGACAATGAGCTGGATCCCCCCCAGCCGACGATATAATGCCGATGAGGGGGGAATTATGGAGGGCCAGGGCGTCAACGGCTTGGTTGTCGGTAGTTCGCAGATGTCGCCAGACCAGGCGCCTGTTAAAACGAATCTTTCACGATCATGGACCTCTATAATCGAGTGTGTCTCGGCCACTGGGGTCGCCCTCAGCCCGCTCGTTATCTTCAAGGCGAAAAGTATTCAAGATCAGTGGTTCAAAGACCAATTTCTCGAAAAGCACCCTACTTGGCAAGTATCCTTTTCAGAGAATGGCTGGACAAGTAACGACATGGCTCTTGAGTGGCTGGAAAAGATCTTCTTGCTCGAGACAGAACCTCAAGATTTATCCCAGGCACGGTTGTTAATTGTCGACGGGCACGGTTCTCATACTACCGACAAATTTATGACAGAATGCTTTCTCAACAATATCTATTTTACTCTTCTTACCAGCGCATACTTCCCATGTTACACAGCCTTTGGATTTGGGTTGCTTTTCGAGCTTAAAAGCAACATATCGACGTTTGGTGGGCGACTTTGTGGCTCTGACCGATGAAACTAAGCTTGACAAAGCAAGATTTCTCGAATTTTATGCAGAAGCTCATGAAGTTGCTTTTCGCAAGTCGAATATTCAGTCTGGATGGAAAGCAACTGGTCTCTATCCAAAGAACCGACTAAAAGCGCTATCAAATCGCTGGGTAGTGACCCAGCGCACGTCAACCCCTCCTCCTCAAAACCCCAACGAAGAGCCAGGACGTTATAAAAATACTCAGAAGCGAGACAAGAAGCCCACATACACGACGAGTATTTCGAAAGGTTAGTATAGCACTAGACAAACGCAATATTGAGTTGGCTTTGAAGGACCGGGAAATTGCCAGCTTGCGCGCTCGAGTAGAACAGCTTCAGCCACCAAAACGCCGCAAAATACGCCAAGATCCGAACGAAAGACTCGTGAGCCTTGCAGAAGTGGCTCGACAACGTAACCAAATGCCGAGACAGCGTACAGCTCGAGAGGGCAGTTGTATAGGAGTAGCAGAAGAAGAGGAGGGAGAGAGTGAGGAAGAACCTCTACGACGTCGGATGGGCCTCCCACGAGAGTGCTTATATCCTGTTGGCGGGACAACGTACAAACTCCCTAATTCCTCTAAAGAGGGTGATACGGGATTCTGCCCCTTCCCGACCCGAAAAGAGAAATCTGACTGGCCAACAATTGTTTTTGAGTCTGGACTCTCTGAAACACTTACTCGTTTGAGACATGACGCAACATGGTGGATTGTCAACTCTGGAGGAGATGTCAAGATTGTCATCATTATCTCAATAAAGCTAACACAGAAGACGCTAACGGTCGAGAAGTGGTGCTTTTCTCCGCCTCCTGCATATAGACCAGCTACCAGAGGCCACCCAAATCCCAACGCTCCAATTCCGATAAAAGTCCAAGCGCTTACAATCACCCAAAATCCCACCCCACAACTAGGTCCTACTGCTCAGTCGATTACCATCGGTCAGCAAATTGTCACCGTTCAGCCAGGCACTGTCTCAGCCTACGACGTTGCTAGGGCGCCTCCGATTCTCGAATTTGACAAAATCTTCCTCCGAGCCGCTCTACCGCCAGAAGGGCGAGTCGTCTTTAATGTTGCGGATCTTGCGGCCTGGGCGGATTTCTTCTGGGAGGGCGTTGAGTAGGGATCGCAAGGCTTATGACAGGATCGGGGGAACACATTGTGGGACTGGCAATGGCTAATGGTGGGTCGGCCTATGTGCTGCGCTGTTGTACAGCATACAGGACAACGGAAATGTCATCACTTTCCCAGGGTTTTCTAAGGGGCTGTTCGGGGCAACGGAAGTACCATCCTTGCCGAGGGTTCGCCTAAGAGTTTATTCAGGGCAACAGAATCGCCATAGATTTCTGTCAAACAATGAATGTCAAGAGAATATGAATTGAAATGCTCTGCTCTTTAGCAACTGGTCCTGCCAGGTTGCTGATATTTATGTTGACTCCTTTTCTTCTCCTATTTCTACCCCCTGTATCCTATATAGGAGTGATAACCCCTATTCCCGGTAAAGGGGCTCTTGCTCCTGTCCAACCGTTCAACAATTTCCTAAGGGTCTAAAGGGCCGCGGAAGGGTGGACTGGAAGGAGGCCTGAGAATGTAGGGCGCCGGCTGATCATGTGAGGCAGGGCAGAAATGCCAGGGGCCCCAGGATGAAGGGAGATGAGGATGATGGAGAGGTTGACGTCGAGGAGGATAGGAGAGCAGTTCTTATAGTGACGTCAAAAGCGGCGGGCGGTCAAGAACGGGCAGGCCGCCTAAGCCAGAGGCAGATTTTGTCAAACTGGGTGCAACTCGAGATGTCTTGAATGCTCTGTTCTCTATCTATATATCGAGGTATTGAGGCTTCTTTTATAGACGTGCGAATACTACGTCGTTACTCAGAGCAACCATCAGTAACGTCGTCGTCTATGGAAACCTCTCACCAGTGTTTCAGCTGTGGAGCCTGTACACAATAGCCCTTTTGTTCAACAGACTTTCTCGGCAACGACATTATCAATCAAAATTTCACATCAAGTAGCAAAAGCGTTGCCCAAAACAATTTACGCCAATAAACAAACATTGACCTTCGTCTGATCAGATTAAAATTTATCATACGAATCTCTTCCCATCCGCAACAATGAAGAACCGTTCACGCTGGCTGAAGCATCCAATCGACTCTACCATCTCCTCACTTGCCAAAGTCGGTGGTAAGCGCAAATCCGTGACCATGGACAGAGACTCTCCCTTCAACCACGTCCTCAAAGTGTACCAGGAGACACGCCGTCCACGCGGATCCTATCTTAGCACGGAGTATCTCGACACTCTTAATATCCGAGTGTTTGAAATGGATCTCGAAACTGGGAAGCCAGAAGACCCTGGACTGCAGTTTGGCACACCGTATCCAAGCCAAGAAGTCGACAAGCTCTTTGCGAAAGTATCGGACGATTTTGGGGGATTAGATCAGGGGAACTTGTTCTGCACAGGGTGTGGAATTGCAACTACCATTAAGAACAGTTTCGATGAGATGGGGCTATTTGGTTTCGGGGATGAGCCAAAGGCCATAGGTGCATACTACGCTCGAGAGTGAGTGTAGTAGTGTTTTCCAAGTCTGACCAAATTATCCATACTTACACACTTGGCTTCAAATAGGAAGGATAGCTATTCGACAGTTGAGGATCGACTCGGCTTCACTAGCTGTTCGCGCGATAATGAACCTCACTTTCATACCAGCTTGATTTTCGAAGCAAATGACAAGTGCATTCCACATCGAGGATGTATTCTGCTTGACGGAGCCGTTTCGGACGAGCGGTTTTTGCGACGGAGTGAAGTGTACTGTGCTGCTCTTTTGATCGGTGATAAGCTACGCTGGGCCAAAAAGCCTCATGAACGCCATTTCCCTGTAGGTATCTATTTTGATGACCGAATTGATGCTAATTAGTGCTCGACAGGTCTTCATTTACTCCGTCTCTGGATCCCAAGGTCGTATAATCCAAGCACATTACGAGCATCCACATTTTATTGTCCGGAAAACGAAACACTTTCTGTTCGAGGAAGGGTCGGCTAATGGCTACAAAATGATGGTGCGATGGATGTTGAACAATCCAATGGGCGATATCGAGACACCTCGCAAATCGACCTCAAGTAACCTACGACAATTCCTCAATCCTTTGAAGACGTGATTTTCTATAACACCCAAATATCACGCAACGAATTCCCAGCCATCGCAGAAGTGGCACGAAGGGGGCTGGACGCCGAAAATAGGCAAAGAGGCGAAAGGTATAAGAAGAGCTTTCGAACCCTTAGACAGGTTTCAGTATATTACGATTCCACACTCTACCTTGTGCGCTCGCAGCGATTTATGACCCCCCTCCCCCCAAACACCCCTCGTTACAGATCCTTACCCTTCGTTGGTATCGTTACATTATCTAGAAAATCAACAACAATAGGAGATGAATCTAATGCAGTTTTTAGAGATTTGTTCCGGAATACCACTACGCCAAATGACACTTGTTTGTCCAGGGCGACAGTGGCACGCACAACCTTAGTGTAGGGTGCGTTTTACGGTATGAAATTACCAGCGCTGAGCTGACTCGCATCGTTTAGATGCATTCGATTGAGCACATATTGATCTGGACTCTCCATAGTCAAAACAGACCTTGGTATACAAGGCGATGCACCCGAACCTTTCCTCCGAAAGCTGCAACGGTTGGTATGGATAATCGATCACGAACCTGAGACGGAGGAAGATCAAAGAATCTGGATTCAAAGAGGTAGATTATTTCGATAACGGGTCGTTCAACGGCAGAAAGAGTGTTTGAGCAAACTTGAGGCTGCGCAATGAGAACCATCTGCCTTGAAAGACGAGGAAGTGGAAGGTCTCTGTCTCGAGAGTCAAGCGCTTCTGAGGGCAGTTTGTGCTTCCCACGCAAGAACTCCAGCTGGCAGCCTTGCAAATCCTCTCACCGGCCATATGGATTGTCAATTCCGCTATAAGGGAGGAGCTCGTTCATTCAACTTCTCTCGCCTCGGCCTAAAAATCTGACAGGAGGAATCGATGAGACCACATTCACATGGGGGGATTCATTTTCACCCGCACTCAATTGCAAAATTCGTCAAAGCCAGTACCGACCAGCGTACTAGCCATCGGCTTGGTCCAGACCAATGATGCAGCAGCAAATTGTTTCCGTCTTGTTCGCGCCTTTCAATTCCTCTCATTGTTTTTCTGGAGCGAAGATTCAGGGAGAAATTCACTGCTCCAAGACCAAGCTATCAGCGGCGCAAAATACCATGATCCTACTCTTACATACACTTATGTTAAACTTGTGGTACAATTTGAGTTGAAGGAGTGCTCTGTTTTCTATCAAATTGAGGTCCTGCCTCGCATGTTTATATAGACAAAGGTTGTCGCCATCTTTCGGTGTCTCCGTGTTCAGATCATAGACGAAATCCTTGTCTAGCTGAACATCTATTGCTACGCTGAAGTCGTTGCCACGTATTGTCTCACAGTTTAACAACTTATTGTCAAAACTTCTTGTGCAACTTGAATTGAAGGAGTGATCTATTCTCTATCTACTTGTCGAGCTGCTGAAGGTTTCTTTATAGACATGCGAATACCTCGTCGTCGCGCAGAGCAGCCGCCAGTAACGTCGTCGACTATGGAAACCTCCCACCGGTGTTTCAATGGTGGAGCCTATACATTATAGCCCCTTGTTCAACATCACCTAACGTCACAAGACCGGGACTTAGATTAGATATGAAGAACGAATCAGTTGTTATAATGGACAGTGCTCCGGACTAGCAGATACCGATCTCATCGCCGATATCTAAGCTTCATGTATCGGTATTTGCTAGATATATCACCGATACCATTGTCGGCTTTCCTAATTGGTTATACCGTCGTCTACCTCATGGGCCATGGACTGGATCCGACGGGGATATCGTACGGGCACAGGGCACCGTGATCAACATCGTCTACATATGGTCCATGGACTGGATCCGATGGAGGATATCGTACGGCACAGGGCACCGTGATCAATGATCCGTGGACTGGATCCGATCGGGGGGAGGTCTAGCAAACAAAGGCAGCATTCTACCCATTCCTGGGGGGCCATGGATTGGATCCGATGGGTCAGCCAATCAGAGCAAAGTATTAGGTAATTGTCGGATTATAGATTCTCCGGACTATGGCAGCATTCTACCAATTCCTGGGGGATTGGGGGCTAGCCATCCGTGAATATCCTGTCCGCGGCCCCTAGTTTTCATCTTGAGCACGTGACAGCCAGGGAGCCGTTATCAGCTTCCCAATTCGACATGGTGTGATATTCATATCAACATCCTAGAAATGACTGGTGCGTGGGTATGATAGTATGAATTTTAACGACAGCCTCGCAGATCACCGCGGACACGTTTCACATCCTTCTCCACCAGGAAGAACTAACCTTGAGGATTTTCAACGCCAGTATGCATGTCGCCATCGGACTTCCACGACAACAAAGGCATCCGTCAAATGATATTGTCCTGTTTCCGATTGACGATCTCTGTGTCCCTGGAAGTCCTGACATTGGGGGACAAGATAAGATCACTTATCATGCATCACAACAGGGATCCTGTTCATGACCACCGAATATCAAACGGTTGACTAGGACTAAATGTAGGCGATTGCCCGGTACACTTTCTCACCTTCCTTTCGCACGTTATCGTAAAGTTCTTGTGCATGCCTATCAGGCTTGTGGTCGATGCCATCGATCGACTATATATGAAAGACCATGACTTCTGGTCAGATACCCCCTTTCCCTCCCTTCCCTGACCCATAGAATTTCTCTCGTTTCATTCAGTGCTTTTTCTGAACCATGTCTGACTCCGTGTCGACCGTTTTGCCCGAGGGGGTTGGATATGGTGTCGTCGTTGGTATCGGCTTTTTCTTCACAGCGGTCATGATTGGAATATCCATGCTCCAGGTGTGTGGGTGGCTTCCTCAATAGGATCCCGATGACATCACTCATTCCCACCAGAACAAATACACCAACTACTCTACAAAGACAAGCGAGGAATTCAACACCGCCAGTCGGAGCGTTAAACCCGGTCTGATCGCAGCCGGTATCGTATCAGCTTGGACCTGGGCTGCGACCCTTCTCCAGAGCAGCACGGTCGCCTACACATATGGCGTGGCGGGACCATTTTGGGTGAGACTCCTCCCTGCTCCGATCCGGTATGCGATGGCTTATGTAATACGTCCCAGTATGCCGCCGGTGCTACTGTGCAGATCTTGATGTTCTCCATCCTTGCGTGCAAGACCAAAATGAATGCTCCTCGCTGCCACACTTTTCTCGAGATCATCCAAGTTCGCTACGGGAATTTTGCTCACTGTGTCTTCATCTTCTTTGCCCTTGTTACCAACATTTTGGTCGGCTCTCAACTCCTCCTCGGAGGCTCCGCCGTGGTGACTAGTCTGACGGGCATGAATGTATATGCGGCCATCTTTTTGATCCCTCTCGGTGTGGTGGCGTATGTCCTCATGGGCGGCCTTCGAGCTACCTTTCTATGTGAGTACGTTCCTTCGGCTGAAAGTCGAGTGGTCGTTGCTGACGATTTGCAGGCGACTACTCTCATACCTTGATTCTCATGGTCATCATTCTCTACTTTATGTTCCAAGTCTATGCTGAGGACGATCTAATCGGTTCTCCATCTCAAATGTTCCAATTGCTGAAGAAAGCCGCCAACCTCCGGCCCGTGGACGGCAACCAGGAGGGGTCATATTTGACGCTGAAATCAAACAATGCGCTGATCTTTGGCGTCATCCAACTGTGCTCGGGCTCCGGAACCGTGTTCTTGGACCAAGCATATTGGCAGCGGGCCATTGCCTCTCGGCCTACCACGGCTGTCCGTGCCTACATCCTCGGTGGCATGGCGTGGTTTGCCATTCCATTCGGTTTCGCGACCACTCTGGGACTCGCCGCTGTGGCCCTCACAGACAACCCTGCATTCCCAACATACCCTGATCCGCCAACTCCCGGCCAGATCTCTTCTGGCCTTGCCGCTGCCTTTGCAGCGAGCACCTTGCTCGGTAAATCAGGCGCTGTGGCTCTGTTGATCACCCTATTCATGGCCGTTACGTCTTGCGCCTCTGCGGAGCTCATCGCCGTGTCGTCCATCCTGACTTTCGACATCTACAAGGCCTACATCAAACCAAATGCAACACCGGAGAACCTGATATTCATGGCTCACGTCAACGTCGCTGTGTTTGGATTGACCATGGCAATCTTCGCCATCATCTGGAACGTTATTGGTATCGACCTCGGCTGGTTGTTCTTGGTGATGGGTCTCCTGATTGGTGGTGCTGTATTCCCAACTGCCTTCGCCATCACTTGGAAGAAGCAGAGTCGAGCGGGGGCAATTGTGGGTTCACTGTCTGGCCTTGCAGCAGGCCTCACAGCATGGTTGGTAGAAGCACAAGTCTACTACGGCGAGATCACGCTTGCATCAACGGGTTCCAATTACGCCACTCTCGCCGGCAATCTTGCCGCCATCATGACCGGTCTCATCGTCACGGTTGTCGTCTCCCTCCTCAAACCAGACCACTATGACTGGAACACCACGCGAGCCATCAACATTGAGCACGCCCTCGAGGGGGTCGCGGCACCCGATTCAACCCCACCTAGCACGGTGGAAGCCGCCGAGGGAGAAAAGGCCATCAAGGCCGCCGGCGAGACCCCATCGCCCGCGTCCCCGGTCCTTGCAGCGACACCTCAAGAAGACGAAAAACACGTCCCGATCCACAACCGACGAGACTCAATCCGCGCCGATGAAGAACGCCAAATGTCCCTTGATGCCATCATGGAAGAGAACCCTCAACGTCTCCGCTCAGCTTTCAAACTCGCCTGCATTGCATCCTTCGTATTGCCCTTCATCATGGACTTCTTGATTCCCATTCCCATGTTTCTCTCCCACTATATCTTCTCGAAGGACTTCTTCACGGCATGGGTCGTCATCAGTTTTATTTGGGTATTCAGCTCGACATTTATTTCTGTGGTACTGCCGATTTGGGAGACGAGGGTGTTTTTCAAGCAGCTTTTCTACGAGGTTATGAGAGATATTAGAGAAGGAAGACAAGCGGTGTAAAAAAAAAAAAAAAAAAAAAAAAAAATTATGCGCTGGAGGTCCGATGATCTGTGGCCACAAACTCTATAGTGATGCTGACGGATACATAGATCTGAAATGATCTACTTTGAGAAAGGTTTGTCGATGATATATATTAGATAGAAAAATAGATGCCTCTGTTGAGACTTGATAGAACTAGATGAAGAATCAACCGAGATTCATCCCTTCGGCCGGGGAATTTTTGAACAATCAATCGCAATACCTCAAACTCCTCCTTAATCCTCCTCTTAAGGATTACTCACTCCAGCATGTTTCCCATTCCTCGTAACTATCTCCTGTCTAATGCCCGACTTCGTCCCCCATCCTCACGCCTCTCCACCTCCGTCCGACACGGCCCCAAATGCATAACCTCATGCTCCGGCACCACCCCATCCTTGAACGGTATCTGCAACGCCACCGATTCAACATCAGAAGGGTAAAACGTCAAATGCCCTGGAGCACGCAGATCCGTGTCAACGGCGACAATTAGCGGATTTAGCCCAGAGACAATGTAAAGCGAGTCAAAATCCTGGTTCTGCTCCTCGTCTAATAGGCTCCGAAATTCGACTTCTGCAGTCGAAGAAGAGACAGAGTGAGAGTGTGAGTGTTCCGATTTAGGCGTATCCACGCGCGCCAGGCCCGAAAGGAGTGCAAAAAACATGGGATGGGGAGGCCTATGCCATCCCTCTGCGCTCCGGGGCGGAAGAACCACGTACGTCGTGTTCGAGGTGTCGCCTAGGCCTACCGCGCGGCCGACGGTGGGATACCGAGTGAATGGGGTTTTAAGGACCCAGCATTCAACTTGTGCTTGATAAGGGGGCGAGGCGTTGTTGACGACCGCGGAGAGGTGCAGTGTCGAGGAGTGTGAAGGGTTGGGAATGCCGAAGAGGATTGGGATATCGGGGCTCCCGAAAGAAAAGGAGGGAAGAAGGAAAATGAGCAAGAAGAATAGATCGAGCAGGTTCATTGTGAACGGGTTTCACGTGAGCAATGGGCAATGAGACGAGAATGCTGCAGTCGTCGGTACGTGTGTTATAGAATTGTACAATGTTTCTGAGTTTTTGAACAACCCAAGCTTCCGAGGTCGGGGGAAACGAGGATATCGTCGGAACGGAATATTAACTCACTGAACACGACGGCGCGGATCATCTCCTGTACCTGAAAATGGACAAACAAGGCCAGCAGATCTAGGGAGTCTAGAGAAGCATGTGATGAAAGTAAACAAGGTACAGTGCAGAATTGAGACCAAACGGTCGTGGTCGATCTTGGACCAATACCGAAAAAGGAGGAGACGAGCTTTCCAGCCTTACGCTAAACGCCAGAATGGGAGTCAAAGATCTGAACGTTTCCTTCATTGTATATAATCCCTCACCTCCGCTTCTCTGGACTTGAAAAGTCATACCGACTGCGCTATATACATCGATTATCCCTGACGAGGTCGAGATATCGATGCATCAAGCCGCCACGTATTGCAATTGTATACAAATTCAGATTCTGCCACCACAAGGTCCAAGAAACCCAGGATTCCTTACTCAGATACAAAAGGAGTGAACGCACGTCGCGGTGCTGAAGGCTGCAAGTCGTGACAATCTGGTATCAAAATCGCTCTCACTATATCATCAAAGGAGTGTCGTCGTCATCGTCAAATACAAACAGGCCATAGTTGCTGAATTACCGAAACACATATTAGATGTTATGACAGGGATGGCCCCCGCTTTGACAGTCTTTTTTCAGTCCTCCGGGTGTCCTAATGGTTCTTCTTTTTCCTTTTTCTTTTCATTTTTCCCCTCGATAACGCCAGGAATAGATAGAATCACCTTCGATTTGGTGGTGCCGTAAACCCGAAAGAAGTTTGTACAATCAAGGAAAAACGGTGTACAAGGCGGATGTGGAAATAATATGGTTCAGCTGCGGAAAATGCCGGACAGAAACTTGAGAAGGTTGCGCTTGCGTGGTGAAAGTGGTAGATTTCGCGGTTCCATGCCTTTGTTGGGATTCGTCAAAGTCCGAGGTCTGGCAACTGCCATCGGTCCGACAATCTCTCCATCCCCAAGTTCGGGGAATTTGCCGCTCTTGTCGTCAATGATGGGAAGAACAACCTTGGTCAATGGCTTTTCGAGAACCGTACTTGATGTGGCGGATTCGTGCATCTCTGAATCCCCATCACTCAGACGGACCAGTACCGGGGCCAGTGCAGTCCTCATGCGAGTGTGTTGTTTCTTCCACACATGGTCGACAGAAGCCCATTTCTCCTCAGTCAATTTGTAGACTTTGGAGGTCAAACCGTAGTGCTCGGCAGTCCTGGTGATATGTTTGGCATAATTGGTGCGAGCCTGGTCCCAGTTGTTCCGGAATTCAGTATAGGAGTCGAGGTCAACGGTCTCGGGTGTGTATGGCTTAGGGTGGATGGTGAAATTCGCATGACCTAATCGAACTGCCCAAGGGTCAGAAGAGTCATCCAGGAGCTGCATAGGCGGGATGTCCGCGAAAGGAGAATTCGTCATTGTGTTCGTTCGAGACCGGGTGTGCATTGAAACCATTGACGGTCTGGCGGAGAGTGGTGGCGAGGGGAGGCATGATACCGGAGTGTCAGAGGACGTTCGCGAGCTCATCAACGCAGATGTGGGAGCAATTGACGGTGACTGAAGAGGAGACTGAACAGGCTCTTCCGCCTCACCGAGCTCCGAGAGCATTGGAGGTAATAGAGGAGTGGTCGCATGGACCATCTCTTCTTCCTCCGATGGCTTGGTCCTCATATCAATTGGTCTACTCTCGGTGTCGAAAGACACCTCGCTTGGAGTTGGGGCAACCGACGGTGCAAGCAGTAAACTCTCATATTTGGAGATGGCACTCAAAGCGGGACTAAGAATTTGAGATGAGCTCAGAGATCTAGTCCGAGAAGCAGGAGAATTGATATGAGTGATAATGGAGAGTTGTGGACCAGCGGCGGATCTATTCCTCCAACGTCGTGATATGGAACCAAATTTGCTGCTGAAGCAGCGATTATTAGTGGAAGAAGGTTGGTCCATTGACTTTCGCCGCGTAAAATAACGAGGCCCCGGAGACGTCAATGACCATTCATCGGTCTCTCCGAAACTCCATCCATGTTGTACAGGAGAGCTCAGAGGTGAAGTCTGGCCATGAGGGTGGGCAAAAGCCTTGTCATAGTCGTTAAAATCGTACGTCCTGTCATTGACTAAAGTGTAACCTTCGAATTCGTCTCTTTCTTGTGGGTCTTCCGTTACATTCTCCAATCGTTGAGCACCCCCGTACATATCGAAAGACTCTCGTGGTCCCGGAGATGATGCTATGGAGGAATTAGAGCCTCGTGATGAGGGACCCTTGGAAAACATAGGTGTAGTTGGTGAGGAGAGGTTGATGGAAGACGTCGAAGAGTGAGCGGCGTGGGCAGCGGTATCGGAAGGATATGGGTTTCTGTTGTCCATATTGAATTGTATTTGATGGTATGTATTATTTGAGATTTGAGCGAGTGTCTGGGAAGACCCATGGAGGAGCATGCAAAGAATCGTAGAGAAAGCAGGACCGGTCGAGATCACAGTCGAACAGCTGCGCGCATGATGGCGAGTGACAGTTGGTGAGGGAATTGAGGAGTCTCCTTTTTTTTTTTTTTTTTCGTCCCTGGGTCTTTTTCAAATATTCGAAGACGCGTACTTGGTGTTTCGTTTATAGGTCCAAGATGTGACAGCAAAGGAAAGGCAGGGCAAGACAAGACAACTGGTGGTCCGAGTTCGAGTTAGTCTACTGCTTCAGACCAGAGAGAACCAGGCAGATCGGCCTATGGTCGAGGTCGAATGTTGCGCCTGCTGGTAAGTATGCCTCAGTCAAATGCCATGTGTACGAGTAGAAAGGAAGCGTGGACGCGGATTAGAGGAGTTGTTGACGACGTCTGAGGCCAACAGTCAGGCACAAAAACAATGCAAATAACGAGTAGCAAGAGAGCGCGGTGTAGTGTGTTCTTTTTTGACCGGGGAGCAGCGAGTCTGGGCGGGTGATGGTGGTGCTGGATAGAAGTTGAATGGCCAGTCAAACAAAACTTGTGCGCCATGGAGCAGGACAGTGCAAATTTGAGACCGGGGGACTCGCGAGCAATGCTGCGGAAAACAGTAAAAGTTCCAGGGTTCGGAGCATTAAGCGCAGGCTGATCCACCATCCAACACTCTCCCCTTGGTCCCTCTCGCATCCACTTCTTCTCCGTCCACCAATCCCTCCTCTCGTCGGCACCTCTTGTCGGTCTCCAATGCCATGGGTGTAACCCTGTTTGCTTTTGGCTTTTCACAAACCCATCCAACAACATCGCATGGCGCCCCCGCGAACCAACGGCCCAAGAGTCAAAACTCGACCCTCGCTCGATCACTTCGTTCCTTCAAAGCGCCACCAACGACAGAGCTTGTGGCCGACTTTCGGATCAGCCTGAGTCAGTGTCTGTGTGGTACCTTGGCGGATTCTTTGCGTGGCGCGGTTCCACCGACAAGAGGTACGGTAGACACATTTTTTCGGTCTGGAGCCGCTGTTGTGGCATGACACTTGTGGCAGTCATCCGTGCCGCTTTTCATGCTTCCGGCTTGTTCATCAAGGCTAGTCGATATGCAAGGAACTCCAGGAAAAATGCAACAAGTGCGTCAAGCAACCTGCAAGGAACGGTATCAGATATACCCAGGAATTCAATTAGCCTACCCTCCTTCTTTGCACGGAACTGCTCCAAGCGCACTGCTTTCCAACATCCCCCCCGGGCCATCCCAAACTCGCAAAAGTTAGAAAGCAATTCGACTGTCATTGCATGCTAATCCGGCACGCGACAGACCCATTCTCAACGTGCTTTGACCAGCATTCGCAACAAGGATGATCCGAAGAGTATTTCGGAATGGCAACTATTGCGATCGACAGATTACACCAAGAAGATGCAGATTCTTTTTGCGACTTAGTCCCTTGTCATCCCTTCTGTCAATGCAAGGACTTCCGAACGTTTTGCATGAAGAAATGTAGGGGCTGGCTCTTGCTTCTTGGACAGGGTCCCCGATTGGTGATGGAGCCACTGTGCGAGGGCTATTCCTGCTTGCAAGAATTCAGAAAGCACAAGGAATCCATTCCCCCCAATCATTCAATTCCCCCCGGACAAAATTTCCCGAGACATTTCGAAGCATTTCGAAGCTGTGCCCTGCGCATTTTCAATCCCCAACAACAGCACCAAACTTCTCCGACTGTCAGTAAATGTCCCGTTGAAACTCTAAGCTTCCGAAAGAACTGGAATAACCTCAGAGACTTTCAGTCAATGGCATTGCCTGGGGACTGGCAGCTTGCGATTCGGATCTTTTTTCCTACCCGCTTTTAGGCAACGATCTCATCAGGATGCTGCTATGATAGAGCGTTCTAGGAGTGGCGAAAGGTTGGGGACGCCACAGTCGATAGTTCTGCAAGGTAAGTCTAAACTCACCACAATGTCTCTTGATAGGATGACGATTCGACCGGGCTATGGTGGACAGAGTATCCGCTCTTTTTCGAGTTGTTGAAACTTCCTCCGAGTGGGTATGTGTCATGTGTTGAAGATGAGAAGCATCCCCTGGGCGAAGGCAGGGGTCGAGAAAATGAACGGGCTCCTCTTGCCATCGAGCTCGCCTGGAACAGGATGAGCTTTTCCATACAAAGACTCGACGACCGGGAATCGACCCTCACCTTCATTGGCTCACTGGCTTCCGACATCTAATGTTCGACCTGGTGAAGCCTTTTTCAAAAGAAACTCCTCGATCTGAAGGGTTGTTTGGCGAGGAAACCCTTTTGCTGTCCCCCTATTGCCATCGATTCTTTTTCAAATGTTAGTCAGCATGCTCTAAGGACGCAGTTAAGCCTTCAACGTACCGCACAGACAGATGTATACACCGTGCAACATCGTGTTTCTCATGGAGCAGAGAAGGGACGAGGAAGTCAAGAGACCCTGATATCCATGGACTTGAGTTGACTGGTCACCTCGGCTCGCCGCAAAGTTTGAAAGCTTTTCAGTCCCTGCAGAGGCTCATCCTCACGCGACAGCCGGTGCATAGACGACAGGACCATCAAGACTTTTCTCCTGTGCGCTTTCCGCCTTGACGTAGCTTTGTTAGCAGGGTCGGTAATTCTCCTGCTCCTGTATTGAGGAGCCGTTTGCTCGGGTATCGATAGATATCTTCAACATGACCAAAATACTGAAAACTACCATAAGAGTCTGAAATGATCTGCTTCAATTTTCTTCCATGCTTTGTAGCATGGGCTTTTTGCCAGGGGGGGCTTCTTTTTTTCCCCCTCGAGAATCAAACTAAGGAGGAAAAGGTACAAAAGAGGCATCTGTCAAACATTCATTCTTTGTGGATTCATGCCGATGATTCATATTCGTAACCCTATCTTTGAATCCTGATCAGGTTCCTGGGCGATTGCTTTATGATGCCGTCGGGTCATCTCGCTTCTGCGGTGACAGTGAGAAAGATAAATATATCACCTTGTGATCCCATTTATCAGGGATGATCCGTATATTCCAACTTGGAGTGATAGGGAGTTTACCAATTGCAACGGAATAGTCCAGGACTATCTTCGTGGTTGATGCGTTGCCAATAGTCCTGCCGCCTTGCTGTTCGGTCGGCCAGGAGGACAACCAGACCGAAGATGAAATATTGGCTGTACATTTGGTCAAGTTGAGAACTTCGGCACCCAATACCTTGACCAGAGTTTCTTCTGCTCTTCGGTACCTTTGAACTGTGTTGTGCAAGATGGTTTGTCAGCTTTGTGCCAGGACCTAGATCTGTCGACCTCGCAGCGCAACCATATTGAGGGAACAATGTTGGAGCCTCCCAGAGTCCGAAGACAAAGAAATATCTGGCGTGCCACGTTTCGCGACAAGACCGCAGTATAGTGCACATGGACGGGACGCGACATACCTCGAAATCGACCTTGTAGATATCCTCGAAACCCTCTGCCAACGTAGGTTCCTGAAGTCTCTGGAGGAAAGACCGGAATGCGATGCCGGGGAGAAGAGTTCGTTTCTCAGGGTTCATCTGCGAGTGGAGTGTGAGCTCTGGTTGTATGACCTGTACAGTATTTCAGAGGACGATGTGATGAGGGACCCCTGAGAGGATGGACAGATCTGGTAGTCCGAGGCGTGGAGTGCTGATGTCGTGGCTCGTGGTGTCTATTCAGTACACAGGTCGAGAAAGTACATACCGTATGTGGATTCATGGCCCTCACGGCGTCATTATGCTCCGCAAGCCGGGAAGAGGCTGTAAACCGCACACATCGGATAGGGACATTGAATTCGCGAGCAAGTTTGACCCAATACGACCGTGTTTCGATGTCCGCGTTGGTGTTATCTGTCATGCATTCAGTGGTCGGTTAGAGAGTTTAGACACGTCGAATGGAAGGAGGGAAGAACGGCCCAAATGAGGATAGCCAGTGGCGACTGGAATTTGCATCTTATCCTATGTGCAATTGTGCGTTGTGACAGGTCATGATGAGGGGGAAATGGTGACGACAGTGTGTTGAATAACGTGGTACAGCATATGACACATTGCTGGAGAAATGGATGAAGAGAGACAGGGACAGGGAGTGACAGCATGACATGATATACATACCTACAGCCACAGAGAACCCTGCGGCCAATAGCTCTTTTGCTTTCTTGATGCATTTATCACGCTGGTTAGGAGATGCATGTCTTAGTTCGAAACCATTCTTCTTCTACCGTCATATGTGGGTGGCGGAGTCAAGGACGACTGAAAAGCTGGGGTAAGGCGGTATAACAATGATTCAAAACGGCGCAGGAGACAGGATAGAATCTGGAGGGGATGTACGCACCGTCTTGAGTATGTCCTGATTGACTCTCTCATATCCCAATGGTTGTAGGACATCCCAGTAAAAAGTACTCTTGCCTGCACCTGGAGAACCACAAAAAAGGACCAATTCTTGGGGATGGTTTTTGGTAAATGGCGAGGAGACTGTGGTGATTTCTGTAGTACCGTTGGCGGCTTCGGATGGTTGCCGGGTTTGAAGATATCTTGTAGGTTCGAAGACATGTTCGTAGGGCTCCGGCGATGCATTGAGAAAAAATTCTTCAGGTGTTTGGAATTTGATCCCAATGTTGGCGGCCAAATCCCTAGATTTCGACACCATCAGACTGTTGAGGCCGCACCAAATGGGGCTCCATAAAGCAGGCGCGGTATACCTGTCAGTAGTCGCATGGTCTTTACGCCTTTTGTCTGTTTTCTCTCTTCCCGCTGCATCACCGACGTAGAACGAATTGGCCATGTCCACAGCATCCTGGGCTTGTAGATCATAATCCCCTAGCATCTCCTCCCACATCCCTATTCGAGGCTTGCGATATCGATCTTGGCCAGTCGCCGCATAGATGCTGATGGGAAAATCAAGTTGTCTGAAAATCGAAGTAATCTGATTCTTCAAGTTCGCCACGCCAGGATTATCCTTGCGAAGGGATTTCGGATTATCTTTTAGACTGATATTTCCTTGATTGCTCAGAATGACAACAAGGTAACCTTCATTATGAAGTGATTTCAGCCGTCCCGGAATTGACTGATCCCACCATTTCCAACTGGTTTCTGATCGAGCCCATTTGCTTCCAGCGTTGGGGACGACAATGGTGTCGTCCAGATCAAAGGCAGCAATCTTGACGGGTAATGAGCGCGATGGAGCTGGTCTGCTTGACGCATCATATCGACCGACAATGAGACTGTTTTCAACGGTGCGCCAAATCAGCTTATCCGGTTCTTTTTGCGATGCTGGTTTGAAGAAGCTCGCCACGGCCTTATCTGGGTCTGGTTAGCTTCTGCAATCGAAGTCTGTGCTACATCATACTCGTTGTAGTCGATTCAATTTTGCGTTTGACTACTGGTGGGGATATAGAGCCTGCCGGTGGAGGGGCTGATCGCTTCATTTTGTAGACGTCAAGAATGGTGGCAGAAATAGAACGAGGCTTCAGGCCCGATGATGTCATCCATAAGCGGAAAGCCAGCTTCGGTCAACAGCAACGAAATAATTTGAGAGGCTCCGGGGTAAAGTCGAGATCGTCAATGTTCTTGGAATTAAAAATCCTTTTGTGGTGAATACGCGCGACAGGCGCGTTGAAGAAAATTCGCGGTCACGTGAATATAATGAGTCAGCAACGGGCATTAGGCTGATAGGCCTTTTGTAATAGTTGTTCAATTTCTACGAGAAACAACAGGTAGTCGTGTGTCCAAGGCCAATCGATCTCCCGGTGTCAAATCAACTGCCTGCCTCAAGGCTTCTTTCAGTGCCAACAACTGTCTAGTTGCTCTGTCCTTAAGCTCAGCATTGTTCCCGTCTACCACATCAATCGATGCCTGGATCAAATATCCACCGGAACCATCCAGTTCCTGTAGGCCTGGGATATCGGAGAGAAACGATTTTTCGTTGATCAAATCTGATGCTGCAACTTGAGGAAGGCGGAAGACTTTGTGGACAAATATGGTGGTGTCCTGGTCGTAGAATTTAGAGCCCGCAATCACGTAGCGAGAAACATACCTAAAGCAACCGATTAGATTTCATTCTCGGGCGGAGATGGCCTTAAATACGTACTCGTAACCAAAAAGGTCCATGAACCGGACTAAATCACCCTCATCCACTGGGGTCCGGGAGATTAGCCTTGTGCTGACGGATTGTTTGCCAGGATCTGGAGTGTCTTTGAAATCCAGTGTCCATCTCACGGGTGACGTTTCTGGCGCTGAGTCATTATTGCCATTTGCCATGGTCACATCTCCGTCTTCTGTCTTGGTAGGTTTCTTGGAGAGTACCTCACCGACCAGTTGAACATAGTAAAGGCCGCCACTGAGCATGGTTTTCAGTTTCTGAACATCCTGCTGCATTACACCCTGGGACCCGCCAGCAGAAGGAATGTTATCTAATCCGGAAGGAGGACGAGCCTTGAAAACAAGGTGTATCTCTATTGTCTGATGGGGCTGCATACGAGTGTAGCCAGCCAGTTGTTGGAGTATTCGATGGTGGTCATCTTTGGTGACCTGGCCATACAAGGCGAATTCGTGCATGTTGAACGAAAGAGGAAGTTGATTCCGGTGTATTTAAACGGTACTAGAGCGTGCCTGAAGGTTCGGAAGACGGAAATCGGCAAAGGACGTTAGGCATGAAGCATATCATTTGCGAGATGGGCCTCGGTCTATTGAATCAGCCCTTGATCGGGTCGCGAAGCGAGAGACGTGTATTGCGCCATTCAGTGCTGATTGGAAGGCGCCTGAAAGGGAAGCGATAGAGCCGTGTCATGCACAGCAATGAGTTTTCAGGTAGCTGATCGCCATGCAGCAAAAACAATCAGGCCACTCACTGTATGGGGGAGGGTGTACAGTGTTCGAGATTGTGTGGATGAAAGATTGAAAAATATGCAGCTTTCCTTTTCCCCCCACCCTTGTCCGCATCCCGGCTTGCGCCGAGTTCCCGAAACGCAGCAAAGCCCTTTGTACAGTAACCTGCGGCAGCCTTTCTCTCCGCTAAACATCCCACCTGCTCCGTTGTTTGCTTCTTTGGAGCTACTTTAGAATTTTGCGGTTTTCCAGGAATCAAAAACCATCCACATCTCTGCTATCTTCCCCAGATCTGATATCTCTCCCCTTGATCAAAAAAACACCCTCACCCTAAGCCAGCTTCTTGACAACTGGATCTTCAAGCTCCATCAGACTCACGACTCCCTCCCCGAGATATCTCGCTCCAGAGGGTCAAAGGGCACATGCAAGATAGACTGGTTCAGGCACTAGAAGGCAAAAGATAATCGCCCTTATCTAGCTCGCGACCTTCGAATTCTACATCTATACCCTCCTGTCATTCTCCTGTACCTCAACCTTACCAACCATCGACTTCGACCTCCCTCGACAATTTCACATCTCAATAACGTCATAATGCGGCCATCACTCGTCCTCCGGACGACTCAACATCGGACACCCATGATCAAATTCATTGGCAAACGAACGCCACCTAGTACACCCCTGACGACCCTCTATCCCCTATCAATGTCCTAATGTGACTGTAGAATCAATAGACCACACGCCACATGCCCATCCAGCATCTCCCACACCATCTCTGCCAGACAGTTTTGCAGCCTATCGATCCAAAGCCCAACAACATGGACCACTCAGCGGCCAACAAAGGAACAGCTTCTCTTCCTCCCCTTTCTCCGCACCCACATCGAGCCCCATGACCTACGGCGCCATCGGCGGCACACCAGGACGCTCTTTAGGCCCCATCCAGCCAAAGAAAGGCGAATATTTTGACCGAAGTGAGCTCCCCAAGAGATTCTGGCGAGCACAATGGACGGAGGAGGAGATCGAGGCCGTGAGCAGCGGTGGAGCGAGTATGTTTGCTTAAGTCACAAAAGCCGTGGGAACGGGTATAACATAGACCTTGGAAAATATGTTTTAGTGGCCTTTTCCGGCAGTTTGGAGTCTTCATGTCGAAGAAATGGGATGGAATACATCTTCTCCACACCTCAGACGTTTTTTCATTGGGCGAATGAGACGGTGAATGATACAGGAAAAAGAGGCTTCAGCTCACTTCACCGGATACGGTTCAGGCTGATTCCGGGGGGAATATGGGATGAACGAGATCATCCAACTCATCGAGCTCCAAGTCATCACATGTAGCCGGGACCAACAAGGCTGAAGCGAGCACTCTGACCTCATCATTCGATATTGTATACAATTCACAATGTTTCCAACGTACTTTGATTCAGATTGACATGACCCACACGAGTCCCAATTTTCTAGCATCCTTCCGTGCTCTCTTGAGATCGAAGAGCACTTCCGTTCAAGTAAGAAATTCGGGGTTCCAAAGCCCCTTCTCTGCGATGAGAATGTCGGACTCCCTTCACTCTTTCCTGGAAAGTAGATTCTTCTGGCCGAAGATTTTAAAAGCAAGCTAGAAGTCCGATTTTGCGAAGATACGTTTTATTTTCCCCATGTCTAATCTCTTACACTCCCGAGCCCTCCTTTGGGAACATACACCGAAGGGTGGCTCGCGTGGTCTCGTAACGAAACGTTATGATAAACGGGGTTGATCTGGGCTGGGGATGAAGCTGTCCCCTTCCTCACCCTGAACCTCTTCAGATCAGCCCCGTTTATCATGAGCCACCTTGCCCATGATGACGGATTCCCTGTCGTCATGAGCATTCCCTGGCTCCCAGGTACCAAGGCTGTCATCGCGAAACCATACCTTTCCCCCTGCTTATGAAGTAGCAGGTGATTTTGCTATACAGCCGAACTACATGCTTGGGAGCGCATGTCACGACCAATCGCGTTGTATCTGACACCATATGCGTACGCCAGGCAAAGGTGATTTCCGAATCTGACAAAAATGCCATCCATCCGCTCCCAGACATCACGACCGGCCCATTAACCTGTCCAGAACACCTTTGGCGCCGTCTTTCTTTTTCTTTGTCTTCTTTTCCTGTTCGCGGAGCATGGCTTCTAGCCGATCAATCCCACCGCCACTGGTCCTAGATTGGCCATGTTTCGAGATCTTAGCATCTGGACCGGCGTGAAGGACCTGGAAGATGGTCTGCATGCCATTGTCCGCGTCAGAGGAGGAGCCAGAAGCGCGATAGCGGGATATATCTGGGGGTGGGAGGGCTGCTTCTGCCTCTTCCCCCAAGTCGTCCTCATCGCCATCTTCATCGACATAGTCGTTGTGCATGTCTTCGTCTTTCTGAGAAGACGAGATGGAGCAGTTGTCAAGATCGGTTTCCATGGCGCGGTCCGCAGCCTCGACCTGCGTACGTGAAACTCGTTGCGATTGAGACTCGGTCTGATTTTCATTATGGATACCCAAACGGGCCCTCTGCGCATGGAGTCCGTTCTGCTCATTCGCAACCGATTCCAAACCCTCGGCGCCAAATTCGCTCTTCTTCGTCACCTGAACGTTCGGCAGCCACCAATTTTCCAATGTTGGCTCCGTCCCTAGTAATTCCGCCGCTTTGTCTGACTTTTGGGACCTTGGGCGACGGGGATCCCTTGTTGTGCAATCGATCAACGGTGACGGCTGCAACCTTTGTGGCCGCTTAGAAAGAAGCCTCTGCTGAGAGGATGGAAGGGTTTGATTTGCCCGTGTTGTGTTCTGAGGGTTAAAGATGGTGCTTTTCTCGGGACCCCGTATGATAGATGGCATGCCAAAATTGGGCATTGGGTTGACAGGTTTAACTCGATTCGGGCCCCGAGCTGGTTGAATTATCGGAGTATGCTTTCTGGGTTCCGGAGTTCTCGTTCCTGCCTGTCGTTGTGGCTCTTGCGAAGGAGGTTGAGAGAATATCTGGGCTGTCTTCTTTCCTTGGCAACTTGAACTTGACGAACTAGTGGAAATTCGAGGTCGTGGTTCGTTCCTTGGGATATCTTTGTCCACGGTTCGGTAGCATCGTCTGTGAACGTAAATATTTGTCATTGGACTGCTGAAGTCGTCTTCGTCTCGATCCGATACATTTGAAAAATCAGCATCCAGACTCGACGCACCGGTGCCTCGTGTCATGGATTCGGGTGATTGAAACTGAGGCAGAGGACTGAGCTGGTCGTCAGGAGTATTAAATAGAGATTTATGTGGTAAGAATGGTCGCTTTATGTCTCTGGATGGAGTTTTGTGGAGAGGGGATTGACTTTGAAGTGGGAGAGTCCCCATTCCATCAGTGCCATCACCCTCTGTAGACTTGTGTCTGGTGTTTGGGTGGTGGAAATTAATGTTGATTCGTCGTCGTCTTAGTGTGTCGTTCTGCACTTGCTGAATCGATTCATTGGGAAGGGATTTTGCCAAAGGATTTGCCTTCTGATCCAGGGCACCCTTATTGGATGTCATGGAAACAGGCGCGATAGTCTGCGCTGGTGTAAAGGAACTCTGATTAACAGCATCATCATCGTCATCAAAGGAATCGATGAAGCTAGGAGCCCCACGGCTAGCAGAGTGGTCAAGGCGGTTCTTCTGCACTGTCGTCTTTGGTGTCCCCGGCAACGAAGTCGGTGGTGCAGTCAATCGTCCATTTCCTGACGTGGACTGCCGGGCGAATGAGCGTCGACTATCTGCCGAATTCCAATTGTTGGCATGATGAGAAGAATCGAGGAATTGTTGAATGGAAAGAAGAGATTCGGCATGGCTTTTGGCTAAATTAGGGGGAAGGTTTTCCAGATGCCTTTGGTGATAAAGTTGTCTTGCAAAATGTTTGACATCATCGCGAGGTTCAATTTTCGGAGCTTTGGACTTGCGAGAGTTTTGAATTGGTTTTGAGATATTGGCATTGTCATGGAGTCCTGCTTCTCGGTCTGGTGAATCAGGTTGGGGGATTAGTTTGGGATTCCTAGCATAGGAATCAAAAGGCGACGAAAAAAGGAAATTAGAAGTTGGCTGACGCAGCGACGACTTCAGTAAACAAGGCTGAAAACCCTTGATGGAGGTACCACTATCAGGGGGTTCTTCATCGGAATCCACAATCACCTTTCTTCCATTGTGGTTCGATACACCATGAAGTGAGTAAGGGTAATCATATATTGATTGTGTTTCGGGTATTTGAGGATCAGTAACTCGTTGATTCACAAAAGGAGACTGTCGGCTTGATGCTTTGGTTGGGGTTGATTTCACTCTGGAATGGAATGGAGGAGCTGATGGTGGCCTGGAAATGTTCTCCTGCTTTGGAACAGGCGTTAAATCCCGGACAGGATCGAAGTAGTTCAACTCTGGATCAATTGGCGGACCGATGACGCCGTGACTGGAGTAATTTGCGAATACGACAGCGTGAGAATACTTGCCCGGCATTTGGATGTAGGATCATGGTACACGAACACAGCGAGAAGAATTCTGAAAATGTACAAAGAGTAGAGGGGGAAAAACAAGGTTCAAGAACTGGTATGGCTTTCAGCTGTGAAGCTGCGGCCGATGCCGAATTTAGGTTGAGTTTGGTAAAAGGCATTATGGGTTGTATTTTATGTCAAACTTTTCTGTGGAAAAGACTGTGAGTGGTAGGTAGAACAGCCACGACAGGGAAGGACGTTGTTCAAAGAGATTGCTCCGACATGAAGACTTTGTTTTGGTGAGAGCAGACAAATCGTGATATTTAACGAGAGGTTCCCAACGGATACTACACTGAGGAAAGGAAATCGAGGACATCAATAGTAGAGCCGGAAGAGGGGGTCCAAGATGAATGACGGACAGGAATATCTGATCCGTAGATCGATTGACTTTCCGGGTAGAACTGAAGAGTGATGGTTTGGATGTATTAAAACAGGGTCTCCGATGATGAAACCAGTCGACGGGATGGCACAGAATGGGTTAGGGAAGAGACGGAGGCTGAAGAATTGGCATGGGTGGTCCGAAACGGATTTGATTCGAGAAATGGTGGAAGGTTTGATAAAAGTTGCGTTCTGGGCTGGTGGATTCTAGACTTGAGATTCCACAGATTGGCGAACTTGATGGAGGGAATCTAATGCCGGGAGACGATGGTTGGACCGATGGCATAGATGGTGGGATGGTGGGGGTTCCAGAGAGTCTGTTAGTAGCTAGCGAGCCATATCATTGGTCATCGGGCAATCACCATTCTGTATGGAGCATGCGTCCATGAATCTAACAGGCGAGCCGGGAGAAGAGGTAAAGGTGGTTGATTTGATAGAAAAGGGGTTAGAGTGTAGGAGAAGAACAGAAGATGAGAAGTGCGGTCTCGGGGCAGCGGGCTGCTTGAGAGGCCCGGGAGGATAATTATGGATGCCTGAACTAAGCGAAGTGCCCCTAATCTTTCTTCGTATTTAGAATGATGCTCAATCGATGGAGCGATAATAACACTGGACCAGCGTACACGAATCCCAGTAGTCATTAACCATTTCCTAAAACATAGCGATCTGCACGTCCTCTATATTCTTACATGGATTCGTTTGCTGTATCCCACTATTGGTCTTGAAAGGACCTTTGACTACCGGCTGAGAGCGTCCACTAGTAAGCGTTTAGGTACCTTCGCAGATACTACACTGCAAATCCCGAACACGACCGAGCGCAACCTCGAGTCGAAGCGCAAGATGCTTTGGACATGACGTCTTGATCTATTCAACCGCTGTCTAGCATCCGTCCGTCGCCAGCACCATGTCGATCGACTTTCGCTGATTGACTGCTTATTGCTTGGACAAGCACCGACTAGGTACCGATATTACTCGAGAACGAAAAACCTAATTGCCATTTACGGTTTGATTCTAGAGGGTGAGCGAAGGCCACTTTAACCTGAGCTTTAACTGAGCCTTTAGCTGAACATCCCTGAGCGCTCCCTGAGCACTCCCTGAGCAACAGACTGAGGGCCAAATCAGGCCCCCTAGCAATCGGCTACGCCTGCCTCTTAGCATGCATCCGTCTCAGAGGGCGTTGAAGACATCGGGTGATTTAGACATACATGAGGATTTTGCGCTGGACGTATATTTGGTTCTGAGGACTACGATGTAGAGTATTCTGGGTAGATGACTTTCTTAATGCGCAAGGCGAAATGATCTCTTTGCCCCAGGGCGATGACCTGAAGATAAATCTGCCATCGGTATACTTGCCCACTTCCTAGTTGATTGAGCCCTTCCCCTGCTTTCAATTAGCTACCCTCTTCTCGAAATAGACCCACATAGACCTGTCTGACCAGGAGCTTGACTGTCGCAGGAATTTGCCCCACGGAGCATACGTATTAATGAATCAGTTTTGCTAAAAGTCATCTGGGTTAGGATGGATGTTTATATCCGTCCACCTCGTACAGCCCTTGTGAGAGGTATCACCGTTGTCTCGACTAGTGTTCTGCGAGCACGAACGTGGGTGTCGAAGGGAGAAAGGATCAAAGAAAGTTGTGAAGAGAAGACCTCGAGGAAGGAGACGAAGCGTTCCGAGTCCATCCAGTTAATACCACGGATACCGAATACGTCCTTCCTACTTACTAGAGAGCTCACTATTTGGACGTTTATCTATGAAACCCTCGTTCTCTTAAGGTTCCTTCGTCCATCCAAGGGTCCCCTCTAGGGTTCCTACTCCCTCTAGAATTTCCTCTCCCTCCAAGACTGGCTCCCACTCCGAGGTCCCCCTCAGGCAGCTCGAGGGACATTGGCAAGGGCTGTTCTTTAATCGGCCAGGACAACGAAGCTTGCTTTATAAAGCCAAACGACTCTGCGCAGATATCGGCACCAAAAGCTCGCAGTATTCGGCCTTGATTACCCTCCGGCCTGTTAGTACAGAACCAATAGTAGCCGAGAAGACAGGAGTCTTTCATTTTTCCATCAGGGTTCCAGGAAGCGAGTGTGCTACACTCTTCGGCGGTGAGCTCGATTTGCTTCTGTGTTCCGTCATTTGCGCTTTCTGCAAGAAATTCTTTCATATCCTTACGGTCGATATTCACACTTTTATCCGCACCTATCACATCGGGCTTCTTTACCACATCCATAAACCCCTTCGAGAGACTCTCCAAGTGTTTTATATACGTGGCCCAATGACCCTTACACGAGTCTTGCAGCCGTTTAATTTGCTCTTCCCAAAGCCTTGCATTTGAATTGAGGAGCCTCTTGTCATCGTATCGGTCCTTAGTCGCGGTGATTATGGTAGTGTCAAACTTGTGGTACAACTTGAGTTGAAGGAGTGCTCTGTTCTCTGTCAAGTTGAGGTCCTGCCTCGCATGTTTATATAGACAAAGATTGTTGCCACCGTTCGGCGTGTCCGTACTCAGCTCTCATAGATGAAATCATTGTCTAGCTGAATACTCATTGCCACGCTGAAAGTGTTGCCACATATTGCCTCACGGTTCAACAGGTAGTATGATCTGGGCGGTAGCGACCCAACACGCATTGTGGCATTCCAGGAGTATACTTTTCGTAGGCGGGCCCTCGCTGCCTGCGCTGAAGGTTTTGAAGCTCAGGCTCTGAAGGATGGTCTGAATGCCATCGAGATCCGCTTTGTACTTCCCCCTTTCTAGGCCAATCTTCAAGAAGAGGACGAGAGGGTTGGGAGAGCAGAAGCCGGTGTGATCGAATTTTTCACAGGTGCGCGCGAAGTCTTGAGAGAAGCTGTCGAACTGGGGAACAACTTGAGATGTCTTTAATGCTCTGTTTACCTCACAACCGGTCCTGCCAGGTTGCTGGTATATATACACGTTGGTTTAACCCGATAACCCCCTTTTCAACAAAAGGGGCACTTGCTACTATTCGGCCGTTCAATGAGACCTTGTTCGACAGAAGCCTCCCTGTTGCAATATCTCTTGCTGCAGCGTCTGCACATTTTGTAGCGCTTCAATCAACACACGCGGCGCGTCGTGGATCATGACGACTAGCATTCCCTTCAAGATTATCCGTGTGGTATAGAAGAGCATGCTAAACTGTAGATGACCCCTCCGTTGATAGACGAGGAGTTCGTCAACGCCCTTGAGCTCGTCCAATTCTTTTGTTTTTCAAAGAGTATGCGGAAGTTCTGTTCAACCATTCCCATCTCAGTTGCCCAATGTTGTGCAGGTTGGGCCACTGTCAAACTGGGTGCAACTCGAGATGTCTTGAATGCTCTGTTCTCTATCTACTTGTTGAGATATTGAGACTTCTTTTATAGACATGCGAATACTACGTCGTTACGCAGAGCAATCATCAGTAACGTCGTCGTCTATGGAAACCTCTCACCAGTGTTTCAGCTGTGGAGCCTATACTCAATAGCCCTTTGTTCAACATGATCCCCGGCTACTGTGTTTTCAGCCCCATCGAGTCCTCGGCCAGGTCATCAAGGGTGCTTTCCTGAGTGTTGCTGGTCCTTCAACAGCGCAGCAACTTCCTGGCATTGATTCTCCTTCTGAGTTCTAGGTACAAGACGTAGCACGAAGAGAGTCAAGATGGGATGCTACGCAGGAAGCGCTGAAGAACCCCTTATTACGTAATCCTTGGCATGTGGTCCCGTGACAATGTCAAGTATAATCAATCGAACTTGTCAGGTTGGTCCACAGACTGGATCCGATGGTCGAAGGGGTGATTTCATCGGATCCAATCATGGACCATATCGATATCGAATGGAAGGCCGCCGCCCCTTTCCGGGACCCGAGGGGAGCACATGGTTCCGGAAAATGGTTGATCCGTTGAGGGTTGGGCGGTCCATAGACTGGGCACCCCGGGGGCACGGATTGGGTCCAATGACGGCGATCCGGAAAATGGTTAATCCGTCGAGGGTTGGGTGGTCATAGACTACACCCTGTACGGGCTAAGCCCATAGGGGACTAGGCTACCGCTTGGAGTCTCTCTATTCGCCCAATGCCGCCGTATCCCGGAAAAACTATAATCCGACACTTAAGCACGTGCTCTAATTGGCTGACCCCATCGGATCCAATCCGTGGACCACTTCGAGCGGGGCGCTGAACACGTGATACTTGGCACTTGATCACGTGTGATTAACTAGATCTGTTTAACAACCCTCCATCGGATCCAGTCTGCGGACCCCCTCAGGGGGGGGTTTGGATTAACAAGATCCAGTCAACAACCCCCATCGGATCCGGTCTACGGACCACCTTCGGGGGTTGATTAACTAGCGCATTTAACTAGATCCGCTTAACAACCACCCCTATCGGATCCAGTCTACGGACCCCCCTCGGGAGGGTGATTAGCGAGAGCATTTAACTAAATCCGCTTAACAACCACCCCTATCGGATCCAGTCTATGGACCGCCTCAGGGGCCTTTGGCACTATTAAAGGCAATTGCCAATCGGGGTACGATGATTAGAAGAAATCGACGGGGAAAATCCATTAGTTCCATATAAGGGAGAAGAGTATTTACTATCGGAACACGAAGGCCATTTCTATTTCGGCTGGATACTGGTCGTGTGGGAGCAGGGTCAACCTCGTCGTTGCCGGACAATGATGGCTAGGATTGAGGCGGGCCCATTGGCGAGGACGGAATAGGCGGAGGACTGCTGCGGAGAGGAATATCACGCTCTTCCCGTGCAGTCCAGCCAACATGCTCGGGACGACGTCGTTCTCGATCGGCTAGGCGTGATTTGACCGTGTCAGATATTCTCACTCGAAAACACTCGAAATCAAAAGGCTCTTCGAATAGGATACCTCGGAGTGACTTGACGCGGGACACCGCGACGTAGCTGAGACCCGCCACAAAATCACGAGCCGTGAGGTTCAGGACGGCCTTTTTCACCGTCATTCCTTGCGCCTTATGGACCGTGATCGCAGCGGCATTGGTGATGGGGAACTGTATCCGAGAACAGCTGACGGCACCGTAGTAGAAATCTCGCCTCGAGCGAAAGATCGGCACCCAAGAATGGCCACCTTCGTCACCTCATGAGGAATTGGGCCGGATTATACCCGGCCCGAACTCGACTGTAATAACTGACGATATGGTTAAACAGCTGTCGCTGTTTCACCTCGAGTTCATCGGGATTAGCCGATGAGATGGCGGCCAAGTGAGCCGGAGATGTCACCTTCATTTGCTTCCAAAAGTCGTCAGAAAGGGTGGGATATCGACCCACGTGAGGGCTCCAATCATACGAGCGATCAAGGTCACGATCACCTAGCTTGTCTGGATCTTCCAACCGGACGGCGGCATCATGATCAGGAAGTTGCTGGGCAAGCAATTCCCATGAAGCTTGAGCGTCGGCGTCGTCATCGACGTGAAGATCCTCGAAATCATCTTCCTCGGGTTCGGGAGGTGGCTCCTCCATGTAGTCACTCTCCGCATTGTGCGAATGGGTCACTTGCCAGTAGCTCCATGCATCAGCAAAAGACGCAAAAGGGGGATCACAGTTATCAAGACGAAGCAAGTCATCCACGGCTCGAAAGGGAACATGGAGTGTTAGCTTTACACGGGCATATTCCTCCACGTCCACCGTCGGTCTGTAGTGAGGGAAGTAATTGAGGATACGGGGTAATACACGGGGACGAAGTGTCATCTTTTCCGGAGGACCACGAAAGTCATAGAGACGGAAAACCCTGAGGTAGGCTAAGTCTTTTGGCTCCTCGGGCCGGAGTTTGTACCTCTCCAGGGGAGATTGGCCTCGTTTGAGAGACTCACCGTCTTCCTCTAGGCAATAAGTCGTCGCTTGGTGTGATTCCGGATGACAGTCGACGAGCAGAACCACTCGACTGGCTATCTGCAGCGGAAGGTCAAGCAGCAGATGGCAGACTTCCTGTGCCGACCAATCTCGCTCGCCGATGAGTCGATTCATCGTCTTCGACACGAGCGACAGCAGAGGTTTCGTGACATTCAAATTCGGAAGAAGGTGCTGAATCACCTGCCGATAGTTCTCGGATTTCTGCTCAGCCTTGGTACAGTACTTACCAATGTAATTGAGGACCGCACGCGAACCAGTGCAAGGAGCGATATCGGTATTGGCAAGCCAGGCCAGACTCACGAGGCGGTTGTAGTTGTTGAGTCGGCCGTCGTTTCGCACCGGCTGAAAACGTAGATAACTACTACCCATGGCCTTCTCGACCGCCGGCTCTTGGCGAAGGGCGGCCGGATAGTTGAAACGGCACGTATTAGGACGGAGAGACGTCGATGTCCCGAGCGATGAACGCTGGCTGGAAGGTTCCCTGCCCTCTAGAGAAGACTGAGTTTGTGTAGTCCATAAGGGTTCCTCTAGATTGGGCGTGGGTGAAGGCTCGCCACCGCCGCGACGAATAGATCGATGTTCTCTGCTAATTGCGGCTTGTCGTCGACGTGCATCTCTTTCTGCGGGCGTGTCCTGACTGTTAAGATTTCGAGGGAGAACAGGTCGAGGGGTTCGGTCGCGAGCTCCAGAAGCCACCGTCGGTTGCACAAAGCTCGGTTTACGTTGTTCACGAGCGGGGCTCATTAAAGGTGCCGTACTCCGCTTCTTCGATGTAGATGCGCTCTCACGACATTCTATGCAGGTCGCTGTAAGCCTTGTACCTCGCCTAGGTCTAAAGTCATCAATTGACTTAACACGACCACAATGAGAACAGGTTTGGTTCTTCGATAAAACATTCGAATGATCAGGAGGGGGCAGTGAACGGTCCGAAGGCTTGGAAGGGTTCGGTGGTCCTCCAGCGGGAGGAATTAATGGGGCCATATTAGCGCTCGATGAAGTAGTATCTTTTGCCAGCAGACTGACCTTTAACACAGCCACCGTATTCCTGCCTTTTAAGATCGAGCGTCTGCGAGAGAGAGAGAGAGAGGAAGCCCGGCGCGATTCGAGAGGTTTGAAAGATTGAGAGGGTTGAGTGTTAAGAATAACGAGGAGAGAGATTTTTGACGGCAGTGGCAATCATCACGAGGCAGCGTGAACAACCTTGCCAAGTCCGATCACATAATGCTTCCATCGTATTTGACCAATGAAAGAGCCAAATTTTGGATTAGCCAATCAGTATCGCGGCTTTCGCAAGCGGTCATCACGTGGTGATTTACGTTATCAAGAATTAAGCTATTTGTGAAGTCACATGGTTACTACTGCGTTGGCCAGAGTTCTTGGCACAAATTCACAGCTCAAGTAGACATATATTCCCCCGCCGCCCACCTGAACCATGGTGAACCATTTTCGATGTCTATATTTTCTCAGGGTTGCTGCGCAACGAAGTAGCACACTAAATAAAACCCCACAAGACTGCTGCCTGGTTAAAAAATCTGCATCTCAAACATCACTCCTCTAACATCACCATTCCGACTCGCAGCGATGAGTTCACGAACGCTAACAAGCACAAACTCAATGAGCAGCACAGTTCTGCCGACCAGCGCCACTAAATTATCCTCAACTCCTCTTCCACGATCTCCTTTGACTCCCCCGCCTTCCGAGCAAGGTTTTAAGACGCAAGACTTGAAGACGCAGGACTCGAGCACGCGGAAATCGAGAATGCAGAAACAGGGGAAGTGGAAGGGGAAGCGTCAATCAAGGACTGGACTGAAAGCTATTATCAAACAAGTCGAGAAGCGCAAGATTGGCTGTGGATTCTTCGCTGTCCCGTGGCTGCGCTTCAAGCTGTCCCCAACCGAGTTCGAGCGCTTTGAACAACACTATCAAAAAGACGGATTCGTCCAGGACAAGCTTCGGTACCTCTTCGTGCTCCGGATGCCTAGTTCAGTACATGTAGTTCTAGCATCAATTGTCGTTGTAGAGATCTTACAACAATTGCGCGTGATTGCAAGTCGAGCAGATTCCACGGGCGAATTTGCTAAGAATATTAGAAATTTAGCCTCGACTACCATCTGTTTTGACGACCCCAGCCTGACCAAGCATTCTCCGGACGGGTTCATTTAGACATATCAAAGCAAAGTATCCGGGAGTGGTCATTGAGGTATCTCATCCACAGAAGAGGCGGGATTTGCCACGTCTTGCTGATGATTACATCCTCGGATCAGATGCCGAGATCCGCGTCGTTGTGGGGTTAGACCTCGACTATAGAGGCAAGATGGCTACTGTGTCCATATGGCGACCGCGAATTCAAGTCAATGCCGCTGGGGAGGAAGAATTGGTTGCGCACAAAAGTTTGCCAGATCAGATATTCCATGACCAACTAAATATGCTTCAGTACGTATTGACATCTCTCAGGAGTTTCGCAGCGAAGATGGTAACCAAATCGGCGACCCACAAGCTGGCCTGCGCCTCTGTCTTGAAGACTTTGCACCGAAGGCGTACGCCGACGGAAACGCATCCTTGGATGATGAGATATTCATCTCTGCACATGACCTCTTCACGTACCTCAAGGACGCAGAGGAGCTCGATCTGGTAGGCAGAGCAAGCTCAATGTACAAAGCTATCAACCCTAGGACTCGGAAGCGAGCTCGAGAAAGCACGCCTCCCGAGGAGCTGGTTCATGATGATGAGGAGCGGTTCACAGAGGAGGAGAAGAGAGTCGAGGAACAGGAGAGCCGCGGCGATTCGTCCTATCATGGCGACAGCAGACCCCAGCCACAACGCAAGCAGCCCAGAAGACGGAGCCGTCGATCCTAGGACTAAGGGGCGATGTCAAGAAAAGCGCGCACTGACGAGCAGCGATTCCAACGCCGAGCCTCACGACTCATAATCACGACAGCTCACGATTATTCACATTTTGGAGGGGTGATATGGGATCTGCCAAACCAGCATTTGTCTCGACTCGGACCAACAACCAAGACATCACACAACAGGTCGAGGTAGGAGTGTGTGCTTAAGGATTACTTCAAAGGTAGATAGCTAGACTCTTCCATACGAGGTAGGTAGGTAGGAACGTCGAGATACACAAAAGGTATGCCAACACCCATGCCCACTTGTCTATTGCTGTCGCTGCTGATGTCTCTTCTCTCTTATGTCTCTCCCCTTCCATCCTCAGGGAGGCAGCTTTTCTTTCATACTATTATCAAACCCCGCCAGCTTAGTCATATGATACTTGGGAGGTTCCCCAGCGGCGTCGGATGGTGGCTGTACCCCATGTCCCCAGGTCCTCAAAATTCCTCTCCCCAGTAGTGGACATTGGACTGACAATGCACTTCAACATGGGATCATCAAGATCATCATCCGCTACTGTTCCACTATTTGTGTCCTTCTGATCCAATCCTCCCAGGGTGTGCAAATCGACCACGCTTTCCTGCGCCCACCTGCTCACCACATCCTCCTGGTCCTAATACGGCGACTGACCCCGTCATCATTTATCAATTCAAGATCAAGAAACATCAGGGGATTCGAAGTCAAATATCTTCACTTTCTCCCAGCGGCTCTCTTCCCCTCCCTCCAACAAAAAGTATAAAAAAACACAAGTCAAGAGGCAAATACGCTCAGCCCGTGTACAAGCAAATAATCCCTCCAACGCCGGATGCCAGTTCGTATCTCATTGTCGCATTGTGAATCTCCCATCCCATTCCAACATCCATAGCTATAGTCATAGCCAAATCCATGTCCATGTGCATATCCATATCCATGATGCCGCCGATTTTGTTCCCATTTCAAGAACGCCGTGACCAAATACTGATCCCAAGACCAAATTGCCCCAACTTGACCGGCTGATGAACCGAATCTGAAAGAATTCCATGCTAGTTTCGCCAATTTAGCACGAAAGGTCGGGATGGAAACGACAAAGATGCCCTCCGGAGTGTCATTCATTACCAAAACTACCATTCTTCTTCTTCCCTCCAAGCAGTTTCATCGCTTTTTTCCATGTGGTACTTTCACTTCGTTGCGTTTTGGCTACGTGAATAGAGGCTGCTCCGCTCGTGTGACTAGCGCTGCCCATGCCCAGTTCGCTCGTCGGGGGAGTGGTGGGTGGTGTTATCGTAGGTTCTGGTTCGCCCGGGGGTGGGGTCTCCGGTCCTCCGCTACTGTCTGTCAAGGCACTTTCCGACACCGCAGACGAATGTGACACATGCGTGGATAACCGGGCCCCGCTGTTCCGACCCAATGCCGATGATAAGGATGATGATTGTGTTGGTCGATGTTGTTGTGGAGGCGAACGTGTTGCTTCAAATGAAGCTGCCGAGGTATTCGGAGGGGATCGGCGACGTCGTGAGGGCATCCGACGATGCATTGCTCGCTCGTCAAATGTCAATCGTGACGGTTCAAGGTTGGTGGGATCCATGAAATCCGACATGGCATTGTATGTTTGTGCGTAGGTCACTTGTTTGAGGCTGTTGCAGAAGGGAATGAAAATGGAATCCGACATCAGATCGTACATTCGTTTCACTGCCGCATCCAAGGATTCGGGCCGGGGAGGTCTTAGTTCATATGCTTGATCAATGAGCTCATCTCGTTCCTCCGCTGGCAGGTTAATCTCTCGAGGGGCGCCGGGTTTGACGTAGATATCAAGGATGCGTGTCCAATCTTGAATCAGCTCGAATCCCTCCTGAGTGTCCACGGTCAGAGGCATGCCTGCCAGACTAGCTGATGCTTCATCGTATTTATCCGCGTACTTTTTGGCTTCGGTAGTGAATTCCAGCGTTTCCAAGCAATGCTGTTGCGATAAAAAGGCGGTGTACGCGGCAAGGGTATATGGTGAGGGTGCTTTGTTGTTAAGTACATCCTCCAAGGTTGGTCTTCCAGGTGCCATGACCCCATCCTTGCGAGCCACCATACTGATGGGGCGCGCCCGCGGTATTTCATCCCCCGACATGTCCAAATCTTCTGGAACGTCTTCCGATGGATACACAGAAGGTTCAAGACGAGGTGAAGGTTCAGGTGTGTATGGCCAAACGATTGTCACTGATTTCTTTCTAATCATTGCGCTGAACTTCGACCTGGATTGGCCTCTGGGGTATGTGATGACGACGCGGAAGAGAGATAACAGGAAGAGGAGAGGATTTCAATCCAAGCCTGGCGGTCAAATCCTAACAGATTCTTTTGTCCGTGGGAGGTTTGCTAAAGACCTGGAGACAAAATGCAACAGATATGATGACCGAAGAGAATTTTTTTTTTTTTTTTTTTGGGGGGGGGGGCCGTTTCGCAGTTCTTTGTGTTTTGTGTTTTCTCCACCAATATAGGCCACTTGCCCGTGGCTTAGATAGTTGCAGGTACGCTGCAAGATCCCACGTATCCTTTTGCCCTGGCTACCCGAAACTCTTCCACTGAGCAAGCTTCTTCTCGTGTCACAGAGAGGCGCTGGACAACCAAAAATTCAGTCGGGAGGATGGGAGGGTGACAACCGTCAATTGGATATCGGAGGAAATGGTTTGACGCAAACCAGGGAGGAAAAGAAACAACAAAAACAAAAGCGAATTGCGTTTGTCAAAGGGGCTCCAGTCGGTGTAATTAAGGTGGAGGCGGTGCGTCGTGTGCCCTTTCGATTCTGGCTCTAGAAAGCCGGTCAAAAGCGTGATTGAAAGGAGGATTGAAGTGAGAACCGTCGAAATGCAAACGGGCAACCGGCAGAAGTTTGAAGGGGAAGAAAATGGCCAATTAATTACTCGTGCTGTCAGATGGTTGACAATCGAATGGTTCTTGAAGGAGCGACTAGGGAAAGATGAACAATGTAGCCGCAGTCAAAATTTCAGCGCAGACATCTAGCTCTTGTGGTGTGATATAGGGAGAAGAGGGAGACTTGGTACCTCTCCGATGAGATAGGACCCAAGCAACGTTGGGCTTAGTGAGATTCAAGGCCTAGGAAGCCATGGCGGTTGGATTGGGATTGTTGTAATGCGGTGGATGCTAGGTGACCAAAAGGAATCTGAGAAGTGGAGAGGGCAGAGTAATGGACGAGAAGGTTTAGGTAAGAGTCATGTTTTCCCGAAAGTTATTTTTTTTTTTTTTTTTTTTTCCCTTCGAGCGCAGGCGGAGGCGATGGCGATGGGTGGGGAGTAGAGTGGTGGTAATATGTCACTCAGAGTGTGTGTGTGGATGTGAGATGATGGTATGAGTCAATTTGGGTTCCCCGTTCGTCTCGTTGGTGGTGTCAACCAGTCGTTAACTTTGCTAGCGGTCTTTTGTTCTCGCCGGGGGGAAGAAGTTTACAGTCAGGCGGTGATTTGTGCTTGGACGGGGAGGGGGCCCGGAGAGAGACAGACTCAACAGGGATATCGAGACAAGAAGGTCAAAGCAGAGCCCGGATATGTGTTTGTGCGAGTGAGGGAAAAGAGAAGGGAGTAAAGACGCAAAGACGTAGTCGTGCAGAGGCGGGCGCAGGAGACAGCAGTCAGGCTATAACAGGATTAACTAGAACGACCTGTAAGTGACAAGAGGAAGCAAGTTCAGAAACGAAGAGGACGCGAAAAATTGGTTGCAACGTTGGCCCAGGAGCCTTGCCTTAAGCAACACTAGTGAGTCGTAGGCACAGGGGCTAATGGCGGCGTTTGTGCTGAGGATTGGCTGCAGGGCTTAGCACAGGGCAATGTCTGGGATACTGAATCCGAGGATGATGTGAGGCCGGAGACAGGGGACCAGCAAGCCGGCAGGGCATCCACTGCGCCCAAAGGACATGGGCGATGCGACGAGATGCCGTAGGGCTGTCACTCCGTTGATAAAAACAGAGTGATTGTACATACGAATGAATAATTATTATGATAATGATCTCGTTGACCATGCCCGTCTGTTCAGCAGCTCGGCTCTTCCACGATGGTTGCCTTTGGCTTCCTCTAGGTGCTCCGCCAACGATCTCCGCTTGAATGTTTCCTCTAGCTTTCCTAGTTGGGCCCTCAGGGCTTCTAGCAACTTCGCGCCGCCTTCCAACTGGCCTTCCACCGCTTCGATGATTTCTGGGCTTCTCTCTTCTACGCGTCTTCCAGAAACTTCCGCCGCTGGCGTAGCCGGGCACTTTGGTCATTCTTAGCAATTTCAGCCACTTCCCGGCCTGGCTTGCATCATTGGGTACGCACTTGTTCACGTGTTTGATCACGCACTTCCAGCGGCATTCTTCACCAAACTCCAGAGCCTCAATGGCCGCGACTGCTTTTGGCACCCTCAACCCTGTCAAATTCATGGCATGCATTTCGCCCAGATCCTCGCTATGGCTGTCTACGTTCAGACTTTTTTCAGACACGCACTCCGCAACCCGGGATTCTCCAAACACGAAATTGCCCCCCAGGTCACGACTGGACGATGCGTCTTCCCTGCTCGATCTGCAGACTCTAGCACACATCCTGTGGCCCCGCCGCCAGCGTATTTCCGCCTGGCCTATGGCTCATCCACCTGCCGCCTCACCTTTCCTTCTGTCCGGGTCCCCCGAGGCCATGACCAGCGGTCCTCAAAAGAAGAAGGGTGCATACGGGAAAAAAAACATGGACACCGGATTTTTCTATTCGCCTTCGCCAGTCCATTTTCTAAAATTTTGTGATTCATAAATTATAAGGTGGGCGGTGGAGTTCGCATTGGTCAAGTGCAACGTGGTTCATTTTGGCAGGTGGCAACTGTTCTCAACGCTGCCCGACAATCGCTCACCGATGCCTTCTGACGACACGTCGCCATTCTGACCAAGCATCAGAAAAGCCTTTGTTGATATTGACAAAGGAGTCACTAATTGAGTTTTATTTAGGTCCCTTCGATCTACTTTTCATTGATCGTACTCGTCACACACCGCACAACTATCTGATGTCCTTCCCCCCCCACCCAACCATTATCTGGACTGCGAACAAGGCAACAAGATTGCCCGATGAAAACTCCCAACAATTGGTCATGACGCTTGGCTCCACTGGTGGGATGCCCCGTTGAGTAAATTGAGAATAGTCTATCGTTGGTGTGGTCTGATTCCTTGTCACTGAAGCGTCCCTCCCCGTCGATACAGATTCAAGTCTCTATTGATCTCCTTTCTCCTAGCCAGCATTCTTTCCGAAATTGGAGCTGTGACAAGAGGCAAAAGCATTGACCAAGTTACCTTCAGATTCCTTTACACACTCTCAATCCTTCTGGAAAGTTTCCCAGATTGGCAATCTATCCTTTTGCCTAATCTTCCCTATTCGGAGTGTTCTCCGGCTAAATAGTGTCCCACGTGGGCTCCAAGCGCTGCCTCTAGAGGCTCGGTTTCGAAAAAAAGGGGGGAGGGAGGGAGAAAAATTCTTTTTCGTCACATCTAACATAATCAAATGCCGAGATAGCTGGGCTTGACGTCTACAATACATCGCTCTTGGGGTGTCCTCCACTTTTGCGACACTTCAGTATACCAGGATGAGAATAAGACGGCTTCTACAACCAGGTCATCGCTTTCTCAGTATCTTATGGGATCCGTCATTTGTCTTTCTTCTCCTCGAGTGGACTACCTACTCGGATTCGACGGCCATGTCCTTTTACCAAATTAGTGAGACTTAGATCCCAACCCGCTTGCTCGGCCTGATCCCGTATTTTCAGCCATTGTTTATTATTCTGTTCAAGAGTATTGATGAGAAGCTGGAAAGTGCAGTCCCGCTCCTCATTTGAGGAAGAAGACGGGGTTGTCCGGTCGAATTTCCCCGAAGAGGACCTCCTTTTCACCCCTGATTCAGTAGATTGCTTGCTCCCGAGGACTTCTTGTTCTTTGGGTTTCCGTTGAGTCGTGTGCTCCGTCGACATTGTGAGCGTGCTCAAGCATCGGGCCATATGGCAGAAACACTTGGCTTGAGTTTCACCTGATGCCAATTCTTTCAACCACACCACTCCTTCCCCTGTTCTAACATCAAACCAGAGCAAATATTCTTCCTCTTGAAACAATTTCACCAATTGAAACAGGTCGGCGTGCCTTTGCACCGTGTCGCTGACATTTGCATTCATGCAGAGCAGCAACTCGTCCACACCACTGCCAATCCGGAAACGACCCAAGTGGTGTCGACTTCCCCGACCCAGAATCGCCTCTTCGTTCCCAACTTCGTTCAAGCTTTTGGTCTGGCCTGCAAGGATTCCGCGGAATAAAATGTTGGCTCGATCCATGTTGAGAGAGTTCAACCGGACACTCCTGACGGCTTTCCAGTTTGCCCACAGATGAAAGGTGAGTAATGGAATTAAGCATATCCAAGTTTCCACCGTGCCCTGTACGTTGCTGACTAGCAACCCTCCCACCCACATCCCCATTAAGCTGACCACGGTCTCTTGACTGCCATCTTTGGCATTAAGTTCTCCTATATTACCCACCTTAGCGAAGTGGGAACTTAGAATGGCCTTGCTGCTTCCCCCTGCAACCCCACATATGGCTCGACATGCATTGCTGATACATAGCGTCAAGACTCGACCTAGTAAGGGCAGACCAGGACTCATGCAATCGAGAATGAAGGCAACATCGTTGACGATGTCTGCCAAAAATCGATAGAACTTGACTTCAGCCTCAATGCTCTGAGAAAATCGATGAGCAAACAGTATTGTCGCCACTCTTCCGATGGTTTCTTGTGCAATATATAACAGCATGGTGGTGACGAGGGAAGCATCTTCGGATCCAACACCCATGCCAACGAAGACAGCTCTGGAAGCTAGTAGACCGGCAATGGTGGAAGCGAATGCCTGCAGCGAATCGTAAATCTGATATGGAGTGTAATCTGGAGTGACGGTGGAAGGATAACCGGCTGGTAGAAAGGGGCTCAGGCACCGGACCAGGAGGGTTGCTCCGCTTGATGCCGAAGATTGTGGAGAGACTCTACGCAGTTGACGAGAGGTCGACTCGAATTTGAATGAAGTTATAGGGTGACCGTCGGAGTCCAATTCTTCGATCTCAAGATCCGAGGCGGATGGATGGGCCATTGGTTGAAACGACGATTGTACGTGAGCTTGATTGAGAATTGGCGAGGAATGCCCTCACCTGACTCCTGGAGTAAGCAATTGGTATTTGTCGATGGTCTTCTTATCTCTGAAGAGCCAATGCTGAATTCCAAGTTCAAGCTTTTCTCTGAATCGGGGTTTTGAATCGTGACCAACAAGCCAGATTAGGACATGTGCTGGTCGGTAAAATAGACCGCCTAAATTCTAGGTGCTAAGGCTTTATGCTCCGCTATAGACATGGCCACTGCGGAGGATTAATGCTACTGGCGCACATTGCCCGACACCGCTACCTCAAAGACGGAATTATTCATAAATTTGATGCTATATACGGGGGTTCTAGGCTCAAAATGGAATCTCTAAGTTTCAGCTTCTGAAGTCTTCAAAGGGCTAAGGAATCCGAAGAAAACGTATTGAAGAATTGCGATCTGGAGAGTAATAGTCGAAGGTTTTTCGTCGTCTCACTTTTCTTGCTCGAAAGAGCTTCGATCCTCGAGAATTTTGGAATTACATAGTCTTCCGAAGTAGCACTGCTCCAATGTCAATTTCATAATTCTATGGATGCTCCGTGTTGAGAAACCTGAGGGGAGAAAGTAACCGGTGGAGTGATGAAAACCTCGCCCCCTAGTGCCTAGTGCGTTCCCACGTATCAGGGACTCTCACGTGACATCTTGATGTTGACACGTAACAATATGACACAGAATTGCGCGACAAAGAGTGTCGACGATATTGTAGGTCAGAAGGCGATCATGAACCCGGAGTCCGGAATGTGATGACAACTTGGAAAGGAGCACGAGGACTGTCAGGGAGGGGCCTGATCAAATAAATTGAGAATCCTGTGCCCGAAAATCCCTTGAATAGCGCAGAAGAAAAGGTTGCGGAAGGAGACTGAGTCAAGCGAAATAGGTCAATTCTGCATCAGGGGAATAGCTGCATAAGCTAGTGCCGCGTCTCAAGGTGCACGTTATTGGGTTACAAACATTGGAAGGCAGAAGAATAGGAATAGGATCACAGAACAGAATGAACAGATTGAATTCTTGTTCTCTCTCTCTCTACTTTTGCGCCGAATAGCTCAACTCATGCTTCCTAAGTAACGTGGAACGGTCACTTTTCTGAATTCATTCATCGACGTGCGGATCGTGGGCGGGAATATTAGCTCCACACGAAAGAGGGATAACGCCGCGATGAAAACATTGATGGGCGTCATAGGACGACCCATACCCCAGCGCCTAGTAACAATATGCAAACGACGGTCGACACTGTCAGACGATTTGCATATGCCAACGGAGTTGCTGCTGGCGTTATGAAGGATGTCCAGGCAAGATAGGTTGAGACCGACGTTGAGTGCTTGGGAACCGTCACAGTCATGACCGAGTTCGTGTGCGTTATGGTAGTGTTGATCGCCACAGGCCACGTGGTGTGTGAGGTGAGTGGCTCAGTCACAGTTGTGGTAAAACTCATCGTAGTGGTCATCGAAACGATAGTGTTTGCTGTAGAGCGAGTGGATGCAGTAGAATTCGCGGTCGCAGTCTCGTAGATTGTAGTTGCGTGACCTTTAAGATCCATACCACGAAAGAAGACCAGAAGTCGAGTCATGAGGCTGAAAACGCTTGGAACACGGAGAGAGGAAGCGGCAGCGGTTACAATTGACAGCGGAGGTGAATTGTGGGAGGCTGTCGTAGCTATGGTCGCGGACAGGTCGACTGTAGTTTCGTGGATGCGTGTGAGAGCTGAAGTGTTGGATTGTACCGAGATAGATACCACACTGCTGGAAGTATTCAAAACAACAGGTGCAGATGGTGATGCGGTAGCAGTTGAAGTCATATTGGGCGGTGAAAATGTAGAGTTGGCCACTATGGAGGGCAAAATAGTTGAGAAGATTTCATTTGAGAGGACTGAATAAGGCCATGTGGTCGATATAGACGCGTTTGATAATTCGGAGGCCTTCACAGTCCGGATTACCGGGATGATGGTTGTGAATCTCGCCGTGGTCGTAAAGTTGAACAGTGCTGGGACATTCCGTGTGCTGTTGGCCAGTTGCAAGGCGATACCTCCATGGCAGATTTGGCATGGAACATGACACGCGTACTGACTGGTGAATATGGTGGGAGAGAACGTCATTGTGATAGTCGATGGGACCGGGACTCAAATGCGGTCAGTACGTGTCGAACGGCATATCGCAGGCCTAAAACTTTACCAATGGTGTTGACAGAGCTTGATTCACCTGCGCCGGAGACATCAACAGCTGACGAGATGCCACCCATGACTGCCAAGAGTGTCAGCCCTTCTCTTTGTCCTGTACAGTGTTTATTTGGTACCAATGGTAGTCGTTGTGGTTTTGGTGCTCGTCAGAGTGGTGGTAGAGTCAGGAGAAGTGCCAGCTGCGGTCGCGTTAACTTGGAAGCTCTTAAGGTTCGAGTATCTTTCACAGACCCGATGGAGCCTGTGCTGTCCCATTTCCAACGGTAAGCATACGAATACTTGTGAGGCTATTGGGGAACGTCGAACTGCTAATCATGGTCTGAGATGAGGAAATGAGAGATCGGTCAATACCGGGGGAGAGGTGCAGGGTAACCGTGGACGTGGGAGAAATAATGGTGCCAAATGGACTGAATGTAGTAAAGACTGAGGGGTTCGTCGCATTCGTTTCATTGCACACACACCAGCCGGGGTCAAGAAAGGTGAGAAGGATGTAGATGAGGTAGATAATGTAATCCATGATAAGTTGAGGGTGAATCTCTTGACGAAGCGTTCTTGAATGCGTGATCTTGCTCGTAGAACGGGTGCGGAGGGTTGAGTGAGCGAAAGGTTGATATTTGGAAGAGCTGATGGGCGAAATGCAAAATAAAGCGACCGAAATGGAAGATGCTTATGGGCGCTGCGAACCGGATCAACTTTCAGCATGTGAAAGAGCAGAGGGGTGCGATATTCGCTTACACAGGCTTTCCCGGTGAATCGCAGACAATTACTTCTTCCAAAAGCATTTCCCCTCTGGGCGTCTTGGTGTTCTGCGGAAAGATAGGATCCGTCATCTTTCATGCGGCTTGGTTCTCGTAATGTAGGTGAGCTCCGAACGGCGTAAGGCTGACCCATCAGGAGGTTCAAAGCCTTATCGATGTCGGCCACATTCTTAGTCGGATGTAAGCTGAGCTTGTTGCAGGTAAGAAAGGTCGCCCATAACGCGATCTACGAACAGAATATCCCGTCCTTCAGGCCACAAAACCCGTGCCCGTCTGCCGAGTTTGTCCACATCAGAACGGGCCGCCAGAGGCTGATGAGCGCAACAAGGTATAGTCATGCCGGCGAAGGACGAGGGCTAGGAACGTTCGCTGCAGGCTGACACATTGAAGGCATCTGTATTTTTCTTCCACGTGTGGTTTCTTTCATGGGGGTTTTCAGGTCGAATCATGGAAAATACATGAAAGATCATACCAAGATTCAAAGAGGCGTGGTGCCGTTTGCGTCTGGGAAATGCCGCGCTCTCGCTTTTTTTCTGCCCCATGCCCGATTGAGATATCCTATTTCTACGAAAGGTATTAGTTAACAAAAGTGTGGACCGAAATGTTCTGAGGGCGTTGACGAGGTCAGAAGACTCGAATATTCTCTGGCTAGCTTGCTGGAAGTCGTCGCCAACGGTTTACTGGCTGGGACAAGACAATGTTGAGGTTGAGATGTCGTAGATGTCGTTGACGTTCGCTGTCAAAGAAATTAGTACACCCATGAGGAGGGCCTCCTTCAGCTGAGATGGAGGGCAAGCAGAGTCAATGAGCAATACAATATGATGTCAACAAGCACATGGCTACTCTGTATAGAGGTGAGCTTGGTTGCGAACTGCTGAGATGAGATGGAAAAAGAAGAAGGGAGACAATGGTGCGGATTGTGAGCCATCCGTAGCGCCAAGGGCCCGCCACTTTCCCCCGAAGAGGGTCGTGCTCGGTCCCTTCCTTCGCTGCGATATTCACGGTCACGTTCAGAAACAACCTGCGACTTTGAAAAATGCCTCAGAAGGGTTGACATCGAGCTACCGCATTGCCATCCTCGTCAAATGCGAAAATATGAGCTGATCAGCTGAGATAGTGCCTGGCATCAACATCCAGTACGAAATACTTCACCGGCAGCACAAACACCAGCACACAGTCAACGCACAGAATGTCATCACATCGTCGCGGTCATGGCCATAGCCATGGTCACGATCACGGACATAGCCATGGAGACGGACACGATCATTCCCATGACCTAGAGCCGGCCCTCCACTCGAACCTCTACAGGCAGATCAACTTCGAAGGTATTATCACACTCAACGAGGCTGAACCCCGATCAGGCGCAGCAATTGTACAGAAGACATGGGATGAGCGTCTCAACGACCGACCGATCCTTGAAAGTGATGCAGATGAACAGCTATTGATGCATGTCCCCTTCGCAGGGTCCTGCAAACTCTACTCCATCCTAATTCGAACATCCGATTCCGATTCGGCCCCTTCGACTCTCAAACTCTTCCGCAACAGAGACGACATGGACTTCGGTTTGGCTACCGATTTGCCGCCGACTCAGACGGTGAACCTCCCCAAGAGCAACGAAGTGGCAGAAATTCACCTCCATCGGGCGCTCTGGAACGGGACCACGTCCATCAATCTGTTCTTTGAAGACAACCATTCAGGCGGAGATGAAGATGTCACTCAGATCAGTTACTTGGGATTCAAGGGAGACTTCATGTCACTCAACCGTGAGCCGGTGCAGGTGTTGTATGAGGCTGCAGCGAATCCTCAAGATCATCAGATAATCCAAGGCTTGACCAACCTCAATCAGTCAATGCCGGGACAGTAAATGTCGAGAAACAGGATATGCATCTCTACACAGCAAGACCCCAAAAGCATCAGACCAGCGCGCTAAAAATGCGTCAGATGTATCACCCCAGCCCAACAAATGTATGTATAGAATCAAGCAGCTTCTAACGCCACTCTTCTCTGTCTCGCCCTTTCTTTCCGTTTCTGCATCCTCTGTTGATCTAATTCAAGTTCCGTTTTGGGCGCCTCAGGCAGGGTGCTCTCGCCGACAACCGTCCTATTTGGCGCGTCGGGGAGGGCACTAACCCCAGAGACCTCTCTCTCCATGGCCTCCAACTCATCCTCAACTTCATCCTCGTCTTCATTCGACATCTGACCGGTCAACGCCTCGCTGATTTCCTGTTGATAGCGCCTTGCTTCTTCTGTCTCACCCATCATCTTTTCCACACCCTCCAGCCCGCCCATCTCTTTGTGTATCACTTTCAACACCTGCGTCCCCTGCTGCAGACCAAAGACCACATCCTTCTGCACCAGAGCGAACTCCACGCTACTCGTCAATTTCTCCAGTTGTTCCAGCTGCGCGTCCGTCTTCGAGAGGAGCGATTCTTGGTACTTCTTCCGTCGTAGCGCGAGTAGGGCTTTCGATTTGTCGCCATTAGCAAGGCATTCGCGAGCGATTTCGGTCTCCCGCGTCGTTATCACCGTGATGCGTTTTTGGTATTGCCGGAGCTTGTCGCGCTGGTTTTTCATGTCCAGAATCGCCCTACTTGTCAATTAGAGTCCAGAGTGGTTGAGGAGACCCAGACGTGATTTTGTCTTACCTATCCTGCGCTGAGATCTTGTGCGCGCTCTGAGAGTTTCCCATCTTTGCTGCATGGTTGCCCCTTCGAGAAATCAAAGGAGGCAGATTTTCCGAGCTCAAGCCCAGATAAGCTGAGAAGTGCTTTTCTGGAATATCGAATCTTGTGAGTCGTTGATGTCGATTTGTACGTTAGCGGCCAACTACGTAATTTCTCCGACGGCTGCCTGTCTTGGTTTAGCCGGTTCTCCCATTCATCCTTGACAGTCAGTAGACATCCTCAAGCTGACATTTCATCAGCTACGTCCCAGTGGTGGAGGCGTATAACTGGGTTAGCTGAAACCTCCAGCACTAAAGTCTCCAGCACTGGCGTATCGCTCAGAACGAAAAAAACGTTGGCCAGCTTTGCCCGAATTTCATGAAGTCATATTTCTTGCCTCGTCTCTACGAGCCAGGAACGAAGTGGGGTATTAGGCTAGCATTGAATGAGCTGGAGTGTTTCAGACCAAATGGACGCACTTCTTGTCCCGAGAAATTAATAGCATATTCGGTATGAACATTGAATCTACTTGTAAGCCCATGGACGTGCCCAGTGGAGATAGGGCTGGATTGAGTCCCCAGTTACTTTGGGCAATGACTTGATTTCATCTCAAATTGCTCGAAGGGTTCGGATAGCGTTGGGAAATCATCGCTTCGTCTCCTGGAAGTCCGACCGTTTGCCAATGAATACAGAGCCGCCCATGGCTGTGGCAGAGAATGAACACCGTGGATGGAATTTCATTTCGTAAACTCTAAAAATTTGGTCCTCATTGGTCAAACGCAGAGCCGGCTACTTGAAATTTATTCTGACGAATCTGTCGCTGATGTCATTCGTGAGGTGAGGGATAATTTTCGAAAGAAAAGTACGGACTCTTTTGAATCCCCTTGTGTTAGGGAAGCAAGACGGTATGTGGAGAGGAGAATTATGAGTAAGTGTCGTGTATTTGGGCAGCTACGGACGGAACGGACCTGACGTCGACCTCAGCAAGTCGCCGTCCGTGTAAGGTGTATGGTCTTGCCACGGAGTCAATGTGGTAGTTCTATTTCAGAACCGGGACCTCTACGGAGGCGGAAGGGAGTTCAAGGCTGAGTTAGTGATATCTTGAGTTATTTGGCGATCAGCATTGACTCCATGTAGTGTGGAAGGAGATGAAGACTTCTTTCAGATCAGCCAGAAGAGTATCCGATATATTATGTATACTTACGAAGTTCTCGCAAGAGAGGTACATATACAGAGTCTGGAAGAAGCAAATAGAATTGTTGTTGCCGCGAGCAATGCGAACAGCGCCAAACAGGATGACTGTGTCTGTTATGGTAAAACTGATGACTGGCAGCCTTGATCACGATGGAACCTCCACCCTGCATCGGACAGGTCCAACTCCGATTCTCCGACATGCGGCTGCCCCTCTTACTCTGTATACAACCACTAGAGTGCAGAATGCAACAGTTCTATCCTCAATCCACCAGCACACCATCCTCCGTCTTCCGTCCAATCCATCCCCTTCTCCTCATCCTCAGCTTCTTTACACACGCTCAAACCACCAAGCGCCCATCTCCTGGACCACGCGTTCGTTCTCATGGAAGACTCCCACCGATCGCCATCCAACCACGCGTCTCCAAGCGTCTTCATTCCGCTCTCGGTAGCTGACACACGCAAGTCATCGGCCTTGTATCTACCCTGATGAAACTGTTTCTCCTTCATTAGACTCATTCTCCTTCGGCCCTATCTCACACCGTGGACATGCCATTGGAACAACGTTCCGTCATCCAACGGCCACGTTGAAAGACTCACTCCGTGATGCTCAACTGCTAGAAAGGAATCTTGTCGGCGTTTAAATGCTGTAGAACGCCGACAGCAAAGATATGTATATCTAGTTTGTCACACGTCCCGGTCCTCTGAAGAAGAGAACTGTACTCATCTGTGAACCCAGTGCGTTCGGGTCGAGTCTCTCTTAAGATAGCCAGATCGTCCACCGCAATCACATATCCGACATGGCTATCGCTATGACTCCGGTATTGGAGCCCACCCTCTTCTACGCTGTCACTTCTATACTCGTTGGTTCTACTTTCATTACCTATCTCCTCAAGTTCATCAAGATTGACCTTACACCTTTCCTGTCTACCAAACAAGGCAAAGTTGCTCACAAGATCTCTAACCGCATATACGATCGCTTCCTCAATACACTGTCCATCTCCACACCCCTGTCTCCTCCTCCTATCTCCTCGAGCCTCCCGTCACGAGGCTACCTGGAAGGTCTTCCACCACGAAGTGGCTCTCGTCCCGCCATTTCTGGCATTGGCGAACCCCGTCAGACAACACAACTTTCCTCATGCGAAAAGGGTCTTCCTAAACGACTACGAGATCTCATCACCACCGTCTCTGCACAGTACCCTCGGGCAACGTATCTTGGTCGCTCCACCTTCGAGCCATGCGGCCGGGTCGCCCTCTTTGCCTGTCATCGCGCCTTCAACGCGACCAAATACTACGGCGAGATTGTCAGTGCGAACAGTGCCGATGCCTCCATCCGCGCCACCCTGCATCCTGCCGACATCAAGACCGTGATCGAGAAGGGCTGGGGCCAACGTCATCCCCTCTCAAGCCGTCTCGGGTCATGTTTCGTCCGGCTTCAAAGCGGCAACCAACCCGGTCCGGTACCGGGATCACAGGTCCTCATATACGCCCCGAGAGACCAAGCTGAGCTGGAGGCCGTGGGACAAATCGTGAACGCGGCTGTGTGGTGGGCGGGAGGTGTCGATAACAGAGTTGATGGCGAAAGTTTCTAAACCTTCACACGTCAACGAGTCTTCTAGCATGAAGATAATTTCCGCGTGGTGTGGCTTTTGGCGGTTAGCTTGACATTGGTTATTACGAGGGGGAAACCATGATGGCAAAGGGTAGCCCAACGAGGCTTAACCAGGATACGAAAGGACTTGGAGGAATATATATTATGAATTCCGTCTGATCGGATTCGGACCGGCTCCCCCGGGTAGATAGTCCTCTTTACTTCAAGTGATGTATTATGCCTTATAGGTACTTGTCCAAGGTGCATCTTTCCGACATAGAAGAAATCTCGAGTCATCATCGTGAGATCATAAGGTCTGAATTCTTCCCCCTTTGCCTTCTTTGGGTGTGGGGTTGACGGGGGCAGCCCAGCACAACTTCAACTTCGAATCGCCCGAGACGATCGATTCAATAATACGAAGCATACTTGGACGTGCCGTTCAAGACCTCCACGAAATTCCTTGCGATGAGTCGATCGGTTTGTTCACTAAAGACAATAGTTCCGTTCATTAGTATGTGTGCATAGTCCATCATTTGGGGACTTCAAGAAATGATTCTTCCATGTGTCAAAGACGTGGGCATACCTAGGATGCAACTCATCAAACCACAAAAACCCATCTGGATTCGTCCCATTTTCCCGCTTCACACATGACGTTTGGTTAACGTTGCAATGATTCTCATAGCCCCAAACGCTCTCGCCGTCTTTCTTCACGCCGGTGCCGTTCAGATATTTTCCCGGAGAATTGTAAATGTCAGAAATGAGCGAGAACGTATCGAATATCGCAAAATGCGCACCGGGATAGCGCTTCGCCACAAGCACCTCGAATGGCGTCTGGTACTTGAACACATCGTTGACGGCCGCTGTGAATTCGTGCATCGTCTCTGCGATCCGTGTGTGGTTGGTCGGTTTGTGTGGCCAGTACTGATTGGCGCCGACGCCGTGGAGGGTGTCGTTTGCATAGAGCGGCGCCAGGTGCAGTGGAACAGTGTTCATGAGCACAAACCTGCGCCCGCCGCCGGCGTAGAGCTTGTCAAAGACCTCGTACACGCACGATGTGTAGTCGGTCAAGACTTTGCCGCGGATTTGGGAGTCGGTCAGGAACGCCCAGACCCCCAGATCGTTGGTGCCAATCCACAACGCGTACACGGCAGACTGGGCTGTCAGGGCGGGTGTGAAGAGTGGTTCGACCGGTGTGGCGTTGACGCGTTGGGCGGGCACGTCGGCGAGGAAAGCTGGGATTTCGTACTCCAGAACGGCAGGGAAAGGTGCGTCGATGGCGGAGAGCCATCTTTATGATCAAAAATCATTAGACGGTGGATTTTGGGACAAGGATGGGAAGGAAAGAGCTGCGAGTCGTGACGACTAAGTTAGGAAGACCAACCTGGGAGAAACCTTGTTCGAACAGACAGCTCCCGAAACTGCGTAATTGTACAAAGTCATCTGTGGCGACCAGGTTCCTTCCTTCGTTGTCCCGGTATATTGGACCACATATCGAGGCCAAGTACGGCCTCCGCCCGCGGTGGTGAAACTTTCAGGCAGAAAAGCTCCCGGCGGCGGAGCCGAGCCATTGTGGTTGATGAACCAACCCAGGCGCGACTCATCCGTGTAACTGTCACCGAAGGTTATGAGCGAGTGGAATTTCGAGGCTGACCATGGATTGTCTTGTGTTTGACGAGGGAGCAAAGAACTGCTACTAGAGGTGAGAAGCGAGAGAACGATAAGGAGGACAGCCGTCGGTCCAACGGGGGGCTTCATGATGTAGGAAAACGGAAGAGCGTCGCCGATGAAATAGTAACAACATAGAAGAAGAGACGATGGAACAGCCTTAGAGTCAGAGTGAAAGAACTTCTCGAACCAGACCATGCCACTTAACTATCGATAGCAGCTCTCTGTCTTACCTGGTTACATGCTCCAGCTTCTGGTCAACAGACGAAAGCGCTCCATTACTTTGTCCGAACCAAATGCGGAGAATGATTGCTTTGAGACTTGGCCCGAAGCCAATATTAGAAGACAGCCGAATGAGAATTGAAGAGGAGAAAGAAGAGCGGTATGCAGTATGGCGGCAGATGATCGCAAGCAGGAGAGCAAAGACAAAGCTTGATTGAATATGGCGTCATGGATGTGGAAGCCCGAGACCAAGAAGAGGCTTGAAACTTAGCTTAAGTGGTGGATGGCCGGTACTTCCCCGCTTCGGCATGACCGTTTCAGTCCATCACCGAATCCTAGTCGGAATGGTGCAGTTTCTGCGCCCGCTGTTAGCTCACTGAATCCGCCGCTTTTCTGGACTGCTCTTGTCAATGCGAGCGAATGAACGTCCCTTCGACCATTTTCCGCGCTTGGACGGGGGTAATTCGCTGTCCTGTCTTGTCATAGTGCTTTGAAGCCACGATGTGCCATTTCTTCTTGTCGTAGCCTTCAGCCCAGGACTTCAAGTCGTTCTGTTCAGCAGTGAAGGTCGATGCTTTGCCGTCGGACTTCTTGTCTTTGCTCTTTTCGTCCTGAAAACAAGTTAGTTGACGGGATCTGCCATATCGGCAAGGTTGCTGTATACCTCATTGTCAGGCTTCGCATCTTCTTTCTTCTCATTGGCTTTGCCATCGTCTTCGGTCTTAGCATTTTCCTCTTCCTTCTTCTCTCGGGCTTCGGGCTGCTTCAATTCTTTCTCGTGTTTCTTCCGAGCTTTGGCCTCTTTGTCTGTGTCATTTTCTTTCTTTTTACCCTCGTTGTTGCTCTTGTTCTTCTTGTCGTCGTTGGTGCCGGTCTTGTAGGTCTCTTTCTTGAAATCATCCAACCTATGCTTGATCTGGCCCCATCGTGCTCTGAGTTCTCCTCCGGATTTGTAGCTGGTTTCACCCAGAATATCTTGCCATTGTGCACTCCCATTCTCGGCTTTCATTCGCAGCATGGTGAGATCATCCTCATCGAGGTCACCATCGCCATCCTTCTTGTCCTTGAAATGAGCCTTGATATTTCTGTTGTCAGTCTTCGAGTTATCTTCGTTCTTGGCATTAGCTTGGGGGCCATGAACTTTTCCGCAGCAAGAGCACTGTCGTGGTCAGCCTGACTTCTGCTGTCGGTGATCCATCTGATCGCACAGCGTCCAGATTCGCACCAAGATCACTTACCGGCTTCGGCTTTCTTGGTTTTGGATCAGGAGCTCCCCGAAAAGCGTCGAAGATGGACATCTTGATGGGCACAACTGTACCCCTTCGTCGGTGCATTACGGTGATGGACATTTTGGCGAAGCAGGCGAATTATGACAAGGGATGTTCAAGGTAGAGAGGGAATACAGTAGATCAGAGGCGATGTCAAGGAACAAGAGCACAGCAAAGGAGAGGTAGACCTAGCAGAGAAATATCGACCACATGCCGATGGTGAAGACGGCTTGGCGTTCCCAGGGTGGTGTGGTCATGCCAGAAGATATGGAACACTAGCAAGCGCATTGTCATTGACGCCATAAGAATGAAATGCTTGCACAAAATCATTATTGAAGAAGGACGGTATCTCCCTATTAATGATGAAAAGAAGACATAAGGGACAAATCCGCCAAGCTCGCCTCCAATTGGTCAGAGGACAACTTATTTTTTGGGTCGTGTGAATCGAATTGGAGGAATCAATTGTGTCGAATACAATACCAAAATCGACCCTTCCTTCTCGCCTCCGTATCCTCTCCTTCGTCCTGCCCGGTCGCCGGACTCTCATCCCCGACTGAAATCAAATCATGCACATCGGACCAGCTGCGGCTTATGCCGCTTTCGCAGGATGGATAGGGGTTGGCCTGGCACACAACATTCAACTGAAAGCGCACACCAGAGAATGCTTCCATGAGGAACTACACAAGGACGATAAAATGACCGTGACATTCCAAGTGGGCGACCGGGAATGGGGAGGATCCGGGAACTTGGACATTGATTTCTACGTGCGTCTTCATTCAATCTCTTGAACACTGCGGATGACAGCTACCGTTGGGGAAGACCATTCACTGACATAGCTTGATTTTTCAGATTATTGACCCTTCCGGCTCCTATGAAACGCAACTCCACACTGTATCCTCCGGCGACTACTCCTTCGAAGCCCGTATGGATGGAAAGTACACGTACTGTTTCAGCAATGAAGTCTGGTCTGCCAACAGCAAGGAAGTGTCGTTCAATGTCCACGGCATTGTCTATGTGCCTGAGTCGGAGGCACCACAAGATCCCCTCGAGGCTGAAGGTACGCATCAAAACCGCTCTTTCGATCAAACGCAGGTGGGAATGGATGCTAACGAGACGCATGCATGACAGTCCGCCAACTCTCCGACCTCCTTGCCCAAGTGAAAGACGAACAAGCGTACATCGTTGTCCGCGAACGAACGCACCGAAACACGGCAGAAAGTACCAACTCACGCGTCAAATGGTGGTCGATATTCCAACTTGGCGTCTTGATAGGAGAAGGCATATTTCAAGTCTGGTGGCTCAAGCGTTTCTTCGAGGTGAATAGTCGCCCTCTTCCATAATTTTTCAGTCTCTGTATCTCGTCTCCCTCTTTCCCCCCCCCTTCTCTCATGGGCTAGTTCTGGCTTTTATTGTGTTGTCTGGGAAGTTTGGTACATCATATTGAAGAGGATGGGCATCTTTGGCTAACCCGCTTTGTCTGCGTACAGGTCAAGCGCGTTGTATGATAGAAGACGAATCCCATGACGAAGCCATATGAGAGATTAAAAGGGAAATAAAAGTTGTTGTAAACTAGTGTTTAGCTCAATCACTTCCAATCCCCTAGGCCCATGACCGGCGACGTATAGACGGTGGACAAAAGACCTCCGGCCCACAGGCAGGGTACATTCAAGTATCCGGCGCAAAGAAACCAGTTCTGCATGGTCTCGCTTGACGCCATTTCCAGAGGAAGAAAGATGCATACCAACGATAACCTGTGATCTGTTTGTCCACTATTTGTGAATATCCACCTTCAACAGGAAGAATCGAGAAACCGAGGGATGGTGGCCTGATTGTTCCTCCATTGGGTGATAACTCGTAACCGAGCTGACTCGCTTCGGGTCATGCAGATTTTCCATGTATTTGTCGTCGACAAACACCGACGGATATGTATATCCCTTTGCCGGTTGTCATAAAGTTGGACATCTGCATGTCTCCCAGAATTCTAGAAGAAACGCCGTCATGCCATAAGCATACATGTTGACTATGGCGCCATCAAGATCGGCTACATGCATGGACACTGGAAAAAAGGCTCCCCTGCTTTCTACTCAAATCCCTGGCTTCGCTTCGCGACACCAAGCCAAAGACTAACTAGCCTACCGGTCCGGTTAAACCGAGTAAGGAATAGGATACGAAGGCTCGGACTGCTTTCTATGTTACGCTGTACGACTCTCGGAAGCGAGATCAGCTTTTGTGGTTGGCTGGACTCTCGTCGGTCATTTCCTTGTCTACAGGGAATTGCTCCGGTTTTCTTATACCCATGTATCCATCTGTTCCATTGGTAAATGCGATGCGTCGCTCCATCGGAATGACCATCTTTACTCCGCTGTTCGTTCTCATTGCCGAAGTGTGGCTGACATTTTTTAAATCGGATGGCCAACAATCCGAAAAATGTAAATGTCACGGTATCCTGCCTTCTCATGGGTTTTTTCGGTCTTCAAGAAGATCTTTCATTATTCGCTATCTTGTTTTTCTTCCTTCTATTGTCCTGTTGTAGCATCTAAAGGTCATGGTATCGGGCTGATTTGCCACATCACTGATCCCAAATTACTAGAGTTACATGGAAGGCATCACCTCATGATGAAGTTCCCGTGGTCCAAGCCGGCGCAGCCGCAGAAATCGGTTTCTTCATCTGAATTTGGTGTTCGAGAAGAAAATGCTGCAGCTCCGTCAGACAATAGAGCGTCTGCGGATATCGTGAATCCCGAGAAGATGCCAGTTCAGACAGATTCAACGGTCCACTCGAAAGGGGATCAATCGGGCGAATTTCCTTCACACCCAACTGTCGCCCCTTTAGGAAAGAAGTCTGCGGCTGATGACGAGACAGAGAAGAGCGAAGAATTGACCCGCACGGTGTCGTCAGCGGATCCTGGCCAATCCGACGAAGCTGAGTATGCCAAAGGCCTCCCTCTCCACCTGTTGACGTTTGGCCTCACTCTTTCCACCTTCGTCATTGCCTTGGACAACACGATCATTGCCACCGCTATCCCCCGGATAACCACCGTGTTCAACTCCCTGGACGATGTTGGGTGGTATGGCTCGTCGTACCTGCTGACGACCACATCTCTTCAACCGTCGTTTGGCAAAGTCTACACCTATTTCAACGTCAAGTGGACGTATATGTCGGCATTGCTCATATTTGAACTCGGTTCCGTTCTATGTGGTGCGGCAGTCAATTCGACCATGCTGATCATTGGTCGAGCCGTGGCCGGAGCGGGAGCGGCGGCTTTGTTCTCTGGTGGAATGACTATCATCGCATACTCTGTGCCCTTGCGGAGAAGACCAATATATATAGGGCTCTTGAGCTCCATGTTTGGCATTGCTTCCGTCGTCGGACCCATTCTAGGAGGCGCATTCACTGACCGTAAGTAGTTGACTGGCTCGAGTCTGGAGATCCGGTCTGCTCATCTCAATGTCAGGTGTATCATGGCGCTGGTGCTTCTATATCAATCTCCCCATCGGCGCCATTGCCATCACGGCCGTCTTCTTCTTCTTCAAGAATCCTGATCGTAGACACAGCAATTTGACCTTCAAACAGAAACTCGGCCAGATCGATCTTCTCGGCTCTTTCTTCCTCATCTGCGCCATCGTCTGTCTTCTCCTCGCTCTTCAATGGGGAGGTACCACCTACGCGTGGTCCAATTCCCGCGTTTGGGGCTGTCTTCTGGGATTTGGCCTCCTCATCATTGTTTTCACCGGAATACAACTCTGGAAGGGTGATCTCGCGACTCTGCCGCCGCGAATCATGCTCAGACAACGGACCGTATTCGTCTGTGCATTCTTCTCCGCATTCCTCGCCATGGGCCTGTACACTCACGTCTATTACTTGCCCTTCTATTTCCAAGCAGTCAAAGGCACAACGGCCGAAGAATCTGGTATTCGTACCATACCCTATCTGGTCAGCATCACTCTTTCATCAATCGTGGTGGGCGGAAGTGTTACCGCTCTCGGCCCGTACGTCCCATTCACGTGGGTTGGCTCTGCTATTTTTGCCGTCGGATCGGGTCTCTTGTACACCCTCGAAGTCCACTCTTCCTCTGGAACCTGGATCGGATATCAGATTCTTGCTGGAGTCGGAGCAGGCGCATGCGTTCAGATTCCCTTCATCGCCGTCCAGGTGGTATTGGACAAGAAAGACATGCCCGTAGGGAATGCCGTGGCCATTTTCTTCAATTCTCTAGGGGGTGCTATTTCAATCTCCATTGCACAAAATATTTTTTCCAACAGCTTGGTCCAGCAGATCCCCAAGTACACCACCGGGGTCAATCCCGCCGTCATCATTTTGGCCGGTGCCACACATATTCGCGAAGTCACTCCACCTTCGCAACTGGCGGGAGTGTTGTATGCGTACAATATTGCTGTGACAAATTCTTATATTTTGGCGATAGCATGTGCGAGTATTGCGTTTCTGTTGTCTTTGGGATTCGAATGGAAGAGTGTGAAAGGAAAGAAGATTGAAATGGGGGGAGCCGCATAGAGTGGAACCCGTCTCTAGATGATCATAGACGCAGAACTTCCATTTCCCACCAAAGAGATTTTCCACCTGAATGTCATGAGGGGCTTCACCAAAGATGAATCATAGTTTGAAGTATCGAGGTAAAGAAAATGCAGGGTTTTCGAGATTCCAAAACATCATGAAGTCGAATTTGAGAACAGCAATGAGAAGTTGGGACTACCAACAATCATCAGCTCGATTACGGTCAATGGGTCCGTCAAGGAGAACCGCAACTCACCGCATGGTTCGAAAGCGGGAGCGGGGATGCCGATGCAAAAGCCTGAGTCGGCACCGAGAAACGTTCCAAAGGCGTCTGGTCGGTGTAGGGGAAATGTCGGTAGTGCACATGATAAAATCCGCCGTCGGGAGTAATATCGAGATGGCTCAATCTGATGCGATTTGATTCCGGGATATCACTGCAAACGATGGGATCATGAATATTCCGCTCCTCAATTCGGACCACTCTGAGAGCAATCTTCGCGAGGATTTGACCGTCGACGCCGCTTTGACGAAGCATCTCGATCGCGCGCCTCCGGAAGCTCGCACTTCGATACCGCGTCGCAACGAAGAATACCATCGGAAGTAATCGCAGTGGCGCCGATGGTAGTAGAAGGCCGGCACTGACGACAACATATTCCAGACTCCCTACGTAGAGATCAAACGCGGCTTCCTCTCCAAATGGTGCACAGCGAGATACCGCGTGAAGACATAAATGATACCCTCGGAGTAGATGGAGTTCGGTCAGACTTTGGGACGCTGTCTTCGAATGCATATTTGCCTCGAAGACGCTGAGGCTGTCGAGCCAGTCGTTGAGCTTGGTGGTGAGAGGCGGGACTGTATGGAACCTGGTTGGAGGAGGTCGTCCGCCCAGTTGAAGAGATACGCACTCAAGTGCGATAGCTTGCAGAGAATCTGCCGCTTCCTGGATGCTCGTCATTCTTGTATGTGGGGGAGTGGCGAAAAACTGGATATTGGATTGTTTTGTATTGGTCGGCAGTGGCCACCAGGTGTGTTTGGGTACGGTTTGCTGATTGAATTCTGTTGTGTATAACTCCAACTTGGAAAATAAGAGGCCAATTTCTTCGACTGTTGCATTTCGTGGGATAGACCGGTCTGCACCATATGCGGCTAAAATTTTCCTCCCCGCTATAATATGCTGAAGTGCCGCGAAAGAGTTCTGTTGAAATTCATCGCAGAGAATGAGGAGGAGGCATGCCATGAGAACCAGACCGGGATCAGGACTTCTAGCCTGACTTAACATTTTTAATGCCTTTCCATAATGCGACAGAAAGACGGGGTCTTCCGTGGCTGACACAGAGTCCATCATTTGGCCATTGTGGGATCCCAATCTCGACGCCGCAATTATGAGATGTTGAATACTCAAATGGACATGACAGGCTTGTAGCACGAGCCTGTTCCAGAAGGATTGACCTCCATAATTGAGCAGAGTCGGAGCACAAACTTCGTAGAAGAATTGAAAGGCTGTTCGTGCCCGACGGTCACATTCGAAGGACGAGTACGTCTCCGTCGTTACCACGAGTAGAGCGGCGACAGGTTCTTGTCTGGGTGCAGCGTATCCATCACATTTGCGACCAGTACTAGAACATCGCTTGCATGATGGGCGGACTTCGTCGCATTTGACTCGTCGGATTCTGCAGAATAGGCTGTCAATCGGCCCGATAACGAGAGAAATTGAACGGAAATTCATACTTGCAGGTAATGCAGCCTGTTCCAACTCGTCGACCACGTTGATTCTTCCCTCTCTCCTGGGCGGAGTCTGGGGTTGGGATCATTCTTGGACCTGGATCATTTGTCGACGGATGGTGCTACAGTAATAATCGCCGACGATGATTCAAAGAGTCTTACTCATGACGTAGATCGAGTCCAGTTCCGTTGAGATAAAGGGGGACCAGCAGATCAAACCGAAGGCTAGTCAGATAATTAAGTTTCTTTACTCCGGCTGGCTTGCTGGAGGCTCCACTCTTATCCCCGTGAGCGGTGATTGGTCTGTTCGCGCACTACGCACTAGTCGCATCATTGTGGGGACGTTTCAACATCGGGCCCCCGGAGTTGCTGTGGAATAAACCCAAATCTCCTTCTCCTTTATTCACGACAACTTGATAAGTCCCTCAAAGGGACATTATGGAATCCGATGCAATACGGCGTCAAGCTCCAGTCCGCGGTAAGTCCGAACGATCCCCTCTGTTGCTTCAGAGATATAAAGCATAGCTATCACGGACGACATTTTCACCACTCTTCATCTAGCGACAATATATCTTTTACATAACTCGCAAGACTCCCAACGGTCAAGATTCCGTTCTGACCCCACTATATCACTCGACATCTCTCTCTATCTTCTGAGATGTCGTCTATCACCCCTGCCCATACTGTCGTGCTTATAACTGGTGCCAATCAAGGACTGGGTTTTGAATGCGTCAAAAAATTGGCCGCCGAGCAACCCAAATACCATATCCTTTTGTGCTCCAGAAATCTAGAGAGTGGAAAGGAGGCTGCGAGCAAAATCACCCACTTCGCCGAGAATACAACCGTTGAGCCATTGGAATTGGATGTCAATAGCGATGACTCAATCGCGAAAGCCGCCAAATACGTGGAAGCAAAATACGGTCGTGTCGACGTCCTTTTCAACAATGCTGGGATCGGCTCAACCCCTGGGGCAACCACTTTCCGTGAGAATATGAAAGGAGTGATCGAAACAAATGCCATCGGTGCTGCGTGTGTTACAGAAGTTTTCCTTTCCTTGTTGAAGAAGGCAGCATTTCCTCGACTTCTTTTCATGTCATCCGGTTTAGGGTCTATTACTTTTACTTTGGATCCTTCTTTTCAATTCTATGGCATTTCGAACAAGCCATACCTGACTTCTAAGGCGGCAATGAACATGATTGGCGCACAATACGCAGTTCAACTCGGAAAAGAAGGGGTCAAGGTCAACGTGGTCTGTCCAGGCTGGAGAGCCACCAACTTGAATGGCTTCAATAAGAACGCTGGTAAGGCTGTTGACGGTGCTACCGAAGCTTGCAGATTGATCATCGACACGGAGAAGAATGGTCAGCACGGCACTTTCACATCGACAGAAGGACAGTATCCATGGTAATCGCCAGGCGGTATATAGATGAATACATAACCTTCGAGGGCCTCCTTTCAGTCCATTCAGATCTATCAGTTCAGTCCAATCTTCAGTTCAACAAGCCCGGATCAGTCATTCCAGTTCAGTTCATCCAAAGACAGCCCCTGCGAGTCCCTCTGCGCTGTCCCAAAGAGGAAAAAGCCGCATCAGTTGGGGGGTGCCACGTGGCCACTCAAAATACACCTCCCTCTTTCTCCCTCCCTCGCACTTCTCAGGCCTTGAGACTCTTCTTCGCATCTGCTATCTTCCTCCATTTCTTTCACGTATAGGGCGCCTCCACACGGGTCGTTACGCGTCGATCAAAGATTGGTGTGAAAGCATCGGGACAAAGTCTCGGAAAGATGTGAGCCGGCCCGGGAAAGCCATTCTAGCCTACTGCCGATTACATCCCCCCGTTGACGGTACCAGCAATTCTATCCGTCCAATTGCGCAAGCCTTCATCGACGAGAATAGTGAAGCGTATTTCCCAACCAGCAACGGCACCGGTCGAGAGATATTAGAAGCCGTCGTTGGGATCATGAAAGTGCAACGTCGTTGCCAAATTGACAATCAGCCCCGCCTAGATCGGAGGCGACTTGTAAGGGATCGCACGTCGGACGATAGGGGAGGGTCAAAAGAAGATGGGTCATTTAATGGTGGTACGACGTCAAGATGATTACTGTACCTTAACGTTGACTTGAGACTTACTGCTAGATGCGATTGAAGATTATAAAGAGTCCTCTGACCCCACGAGACATACAATCCGAAGCCTCGATACAGGATCCCACCTGGCTACCGAGCGACCGTTCCCACCCCAAAGACAAGAGAAAGAGAAACACCACGTTAACCGAGTCGGTATTGGGGGCCCAGCTCACAAAGCGAATCAGACGTCCAAATCTACCTGCACAGAAAGTCGCGAGGAAAGGGTTCGAAATCGGTACCTCTGACTATGAGCAATTGCAAGGCTTGTACCACAATATGATGCAGTGGTCGACTGTGTCTGAGACTGTGGCATTTTCTCAGTCTGCCCAAGAGCAAGCCCCGGCGCCGGTCGTTGTGGAAAATCCTACTCTGCTGTATCGAGAGGAGTCATTACAATTTGTGTCTTTCGATCAAAAAGCACGAGCCCTGGAGGTCGTCATACGCGAGATAGAGGGCGGTTATCGAAAACGCCTGGAATCCCTCCGAAAAGACGACCTTAAGTACTTTGTCTATTCGGATACCTGCGAGGATACTATTTTCTCTCATATCTTCGACAAACTGGAGGAGACTTGCACCCGGCAATCTTCCATTTCGCGAAAGAATGGACACTCCTCCGAAACAGCAAACTTGAACACAACCGTGGATTACGATGGTAAGAGATGGGAATTCAAATCTGTACAGAAGAAGGCCGAGACGTTAGGAACTGCCCTTGGCGAAGTGGTGGAAGCGATTGTCAAGTGGATAGACTTGATCAAGCAGGTCGACGTTGGGCAGCGTACCGATCGGGTCAAAAGATCGGAAGAAAGGAAACTCCCGAGGTACTTCGCGGGTGACTTCCTTCCTCGTATTAGGCTCTCCCTCCAGGAAAATGGTGCTAGGGCTCTCCGGTAGACAATCATCACTGTCTTCTAGTTTCAGTTGAGTCAAGTTTCGGTTGGAACGGTGCTTGTGCTGAGCTTTTCGTCCACTTTGTGTCATTACTTTAGAGAGTTCGTCACGGTGTCGACCCTGTTTGTGATTTTGATAACCTCTGGAATTACAAAGACGTAGCACGAGATGTAAGTGAGAGATCGCGGATTACCTAAGCCGATCCCTTGATGGGTGTGTGTATATCATTTACCCCGACTCTTCCCGACTTGGGATATGCAGGCCACCACTACTACGGGCTATCCTTGGATCTCTCATTGTACAGTGAGCCATTTCATGCACGAAGTTTGTGCCTAGCTGGGGTCTGTGATATGCTCCTTGTTTTTAGGCGACCGAGCCCTTTCGTCTGTCTCACTTAGGATATTCCCTTCTCTTTAACTCACTCAAGTGCAATTGGAATGGAAATACTATGTAAAGGAAATCTGGATGATGGTTTGTGTGTCGCTAGCGGTAGGTAGTGATCGTGTCTAAGCACGTTGCTTGAGGCAAAGGATCCTGGTTCTGCCACAGCATGTAGATGTTTTGTAAGAGCATTGTTGGTGGGTTTGTTTGAGTCGTGGTGATGGTGACGGCTGTATATGGGACTATATTTGCTTTGGAGCCAGCGTTCGAGGTCGTGTATGGAGAGAATGGGTGATGGTGAGGGTGGTGAACGGTGTCTCGTTAGCATGATTGTTGGAGCAATCGGATCAGCTCAGGTATGGAAGGCTGTGCGTACATGTGTACGTCGGAAAGCGGATGCTGTCGTGGGCAGCAACAGCCACCGGGCTTCAGAAGGTGGAACCCTAGTTGTCGGCATTGATGGTGTCGCGGTAGGAGACCGACGAGGATTGGATGGTGAAGATGATATCGGGTAATGACTCGATACAACAATGGCTGCGTATGAGGGGCGGTTAGGAGAAAGGGAGCGAGACAGGATGGTCGATGTTGGGACGGGTCTTTTGGTGGAGATCGGAGTGACAACAGCGGGTTCTGAGATGGTAGTTATTTGGGCGGGCTCGTAGATGGTGATGTTGGCGATGTTGGTGATAGGGCCTCTGCGGTTGGAGGGTGGGAGAGACTGGTTACGGTGTAAATGTGACTGGCGTTGGCGACCATGTCGTATATTGTATCTGCGAGGATGCAGTTTCTTGCATGGCCGGAAAGAAGCTCATCATTGGTAAATTCTTCGAGTGCCGCCAAACTTTTGGACTGTTATTACGTGACCACAAACGTGACAGACGCAGATGCTGCCGCCATCTTCTCTCTCAGAATACAGTGATACAGTGCCTCCCCGCCGTAACAAAGGTAATACCCAAAATGGCTGCTAACTTACTCCGAGCGGGAGGTCGGCTTGGCAGGCCGAGTTTAGTGTTTCCCTTCGTTTTCGCCAAGAATCGCACAAAAGCTCAGCTTCATCATTTTGAAGAGCAGGAGCCAAAACCAGAAGGAAAAAAAGGAAAGACGAAATACCGACACCAACAGGACTTGAACCTGTGCGGGCGAACCTGAGAGGATATTAGTACTGTGTGAACAATTCGAAACAATTAATAAGTACCCATGTGATAGCAGAGAAGGTGAGCCACTTCTACGCGGCCAGCGTTCTAGTCACACGCCTTAACCACTCGGCCATAGCTAGAAACATTGTCAGCCCAGAACTGTAGTATCCCATGTGGGCAACTCACTGTCGAAGCTAATTTGTGGGTTCATTTGGAGAACATTAAATATATACTACCAAATCCGGAAGGGGAAAGATTGGGGCAGCAGGACCGAATTGCGTGGCCAACAAGAACTAGATCAATCGGCTTGAGGCTGGACTGCACTCTCACAATATCTTCCTCCGTTATTACTATTGGCATTCCCCCCCGGTGTGGTAGCCAAGGCTCAAGGGTATATTATCATACCATCCCGGCATTCAAAGCCTGGCCGCTTTTCCACAATAAATAAATACAGCTAAAATTGCTAATCCACCAAGCCAAACTTCGGATATATGAAAACCTGACATTCTCCACGGACAAATACGCCATAGCATACACCACTCTGGCAGCCGAGTAGATCGTACAGACCCGATTGATGGTCACATTGGGCACTTGGCTGACGATCGCGAAGAGTGTGCTTCCAATGAACACGGGAAAGTGCTCCATGGCATTCGCGTGGGCGGCCTCGTTGCGTTTCAACATATTGAGCTGTTGGCGGGTGATTTTTCCATCGTGGACGGCTTTTTCGCCAAAGCGTGTGATGTCTTCACGCGGGTTGACGTTGTGATCGATGCCGTATGAATTCTTGAGAAGGCGTGATGAGAGGAAGACGTACGCGAACATGAAGTTGAATATCGCGTGGTACGGTGCCTGACAGGGGACAGGAGTGAGGCCGTTGGCATGCAGGCCGAGAGTGGTTGCGATGGACGACATGTTGGTTCTCTTTTCTAGTTATGCTAATTCAACGTTGATATGGATCAAAATTTAAGTCTCTCCACACGAAAGAAAGCAACGTGTTGTTGCAGAGGTGGCTGAGCTCAGACCGCGGTTGTCCCACGTCCATGGCGATTGGGCGCTACCCGCTGCCGACCCATATCTCAACCCGGTCCAGGAGACCTATAAGCAGAATTGCAAGGAGACTTCGGTCAGACTCAAAGCATTGGAAGCTGATATCTGAGAAACCGGTCCACATAATCGTAGAGCCCTTGTACAATATTACTGGCAAGCCCGCCGAAATGGAACAGACCACCGTTTTCCCACGGAGGAATGAGCCTGATATTTCGGCTGAAAGTGATACTTGGACTTCTAAAATTTCACTATGTAGGAAGAAGAATTAGAGAAACCAATTCGGAGACACTATTATTAATGCAGTGACAATCTGATCGCGTCGACCATGGGGAACCAGCTCCATTTGAGACCAGAGCATCACTCTTCTCATCAAGCGCTTTCTGTCCATAAACATAGAACTCCCAGGCTGAATGCCTCATTATGGCCCGTAAAATAGCGTTGGTTATAGGCGCTAATGACTTTATCGGATACGTATTATGCAGAGCTTTCACGCAGGCAGGATAGGCTACGTATGGTCTATTCGGAAGTGAAAAGATCATTGCGGACCTTCCATCCTTCATCTCGACTCTGTCCACCATTGACGTGATCGTCTCCTGCTCCGAAGACATCTCCAGCTACGAGCCGCATTTCAACGATGTCCTCACTTTGATCAAGCAAATCAGCAAGACCTCGCAGGCTCACGTTGGCAAAGGAATCATTCGTCATCTAGCTGCAAAGACTACGGAACTGCGAAACAACTCTTGGCTGTTGGGGTAGTTACTACTCATTCATCTCCCTCCTGGCCGAACAAGTAAAACTCAATCCGAGGGTGTGTAAACGATTACTTCCACAACTGACCTTCATTTTGCAAGGGATATACGTCGATGACGTCGCCAACGCGTACCCGGTCATTATGGAAGCACCACGCGAAGTCGTGACCGATCAGATGCACAACATATCCAGCCACTGTTATGAGACGCTGAGGGAAATTGCCGCCGTCATCGAAAAAGCCACGGCGTCAAAGTCACATTGGCAGCTCCGCTGCCTGGATACAAGGAAGAATACAGATTGAATGTTCTTCTTCATCTTCCGTCGTAGGTTATTTCAGAGAAGTTGCAAAAAAACATGGGCTGGATAGATACAAAGCTTTTTATTCCATGAAGGATATGAGCTGTATAGAAAGACGTTCGAGGCGGCGGTAGCAGAGAAAACGGAGCAGGTCCAGAGAGTTGTGGGGAGCGCGCAAGCAACGTTGAACAAAGCAGAATAGGAGCAGGAAAAGTAAATGGAAACACTTCTCGTATTCACCAATAACGCATTTTTGGAAAGCTTGCCTGGCTCTTCAGGTGAATTGAAATGAGTCATCCCATATCCAACCCTGGCTCGTATCTTCGAGGCTTCCGAAAATATTGCAGCCCGCGGGTATGTCAGTTGTCGGCGAATAAAACATGGGCGCCGACCCAGTGCTATTCTGGCTCTGGAGATTAGGTGGATTATTCGATTTATGTTGTGCTGCAAGAGTCCGTGGCCGGTCGTTGCCGATTCTATTGTCGCTGAAGGCTGTTATTGGTGAGAAGGGAACGGACAATATGTTAGCCAGATATATGAAATATGTTTTTCGAAGACTGTGGGAATAAAGGAGATGCATACCTTGTTGCAAAGATTGCAGAGCTTCATTGAAGTTGCCCTCAATAAGTGGCTGCACATCCAGTATATGACGGTTGTCTAGGGCCAGACCATCGTCATTGCCGTAGGTCCCATGTTGTGTTACCTCGGGATTTCCTGCATTGGTAATGCCGGTAGTATTTTGCTCGTCCACTTGTCGACTCGGTCTTGAAGTACTTTGACGGCAGACCGACAGAGATGAGGCAGGGCGAGTTTCATCTAATCTCCGAGGCTGATGCTCAGGCTCGTCGTCAGCCGTAAGCATCTTCATTTCCTGTGCGAAAATCAATCGCAGCAACTTCTCCAAAATGTGGCCAGTCTGATCGGATATCGCCGTGCGGTAGCCAAGGTGCTTAGGCACTCTGATCAATCTGCCAATACCACGCTTCGCTTCTTGTGCGCGAGCAGAGAAAGGCTGGGAGAGTGAGAAGATGACAAGCATCACCCCGGCGGTCAATGCTTGAATCCCAATGTAGCCAGCCGTATGGGTGTTCCGCATTTGTGTGAGTATTTCGGGGTATTCATCAATTCGAGATGTTCTGGTGGCCGATTTCCAGCATTGAGTTTTACTGTCTTCTAAAATGGCCGTTTCCTGATCGAAAAGGTGTGAGTCTTCCGTTTCCTGGTGTCTTGGACGCAATTCTGGTGATGTTTGCTTTGGAAAATGAGGAGAATGTATCATTCCCTTATAGACAAGGAGTGGCCGATGCAAGATAAGTTGAATGTTGTCATACGACAACTGTAATGAGAGCGCTTGTAGACGGAATATCTTAGTGATGGGGTCCACAAGCTCATTGCGCCGATCCGCAAATGAGCTCGGTCTTAACTCAGGGGGAATCATCTGTTCCCAACCCAGCAAAGATGAATGGATCTCTTGAACCCTCTTGACAATCCCGGGTGTCGATCGTCCTCCGTGGAAATAGATATCGCGAGTGATGTGGGATGTAATGCGGTAGAGCTTGAACTTCAGACGCTGATATGTGAGCGTGGTGACCCGCTCGTAACTTCCATCCTCAAGAAGTTCGACCGAGTTGAATCCAGGGCATGTATCGGATGTGTCGTCTATATTCTGCGGCATCTTGACCTGGAAGTCCCCGTCTTGGATAGTACACGGAGTTCCAAAGTTGATCGCTCCAAACCTGGAAGAAATAAGCAAATCCAATCAACATGGATCAGCCATACATCTGGGAGTTACGGACCCGTCGCACACATATAACGCCCACCAAACGCGTCTTCGCACTTCCCTTTCCACGATACTCATTGCAGGCCAGGCAGATTCTTTATGGAGACTCAATGCTTGAGCGCCTCTCATGACAGCCCCATTGATGATGAAACATCGCTTCGGCCGACGGTGATAGATGTAGAGCGAGCCCAACAAGACGCAAGTCTGCACCGATTCGAGGTCATTTTGATCGATCAACTCCAGGATATTCTCTTCAATCCTTTTCAAGAGATAGGTTTCTAGTTTTGATAACTCGATCTCTGGAGAATGACTCGGAGCATCATCATTGATGGCATATCTTGCGCCAATGACAAGTGTTACCAAGACCAGGTATATTTGAGATTTTTGACGATGATGAGCACGACCCGTTCTCAACATCTCTCCCAAGTCGGCTCTTAATGATGGCTCATGGAAGAGCATCATGAACCAATGGACCGAATTGACGAAAACATCGAATAGCATCCAAGTGACTTTCGGTGATGGCAAGTCGAAGCCGATCAATTCGGAAACCGGTACGAGTCTGTCGTCTCTGAGCAGAGATGAATGTTGTTCGAGACTGCCATCGGGAATGGCGTCGGCTTCGCTGAGCGCCCCGGAGGCTGAATCGTAGGCTTGGAAAAGCTTTTGATCGCAATGAGCATGTAAAGTGCTGAGACATGGTGACAAGTAAGAAACGAAGCGGCAACGTACTTGATCAGCTAGACCATAGGTGGAAGATCTTTCACAATTGAGATTCGGTGTTCGACTGTGCTGGCATGTTTCCACTTGCAACCTGCTTGGTGGGAAATCTGCATCGGAAGGGGAAATGTTACTGGTTGTTGACGGGGTATCATCTATCCGTTTTGACTGAGTGTGCTCGGCCTGGCTAGTCCTGGTCGATGTCTTTGACGACTGTAGGCTCGGAATGGCCGCTCGCTTCCTAAGTTCGTGTCAATTCGTCGCTCTCATTTCGTGAAATAAATACTTTATTATTTCACATATTCGGCGTCTCTACCTCTTAGGGTGAACGACGTCCTGGCATGTTACAGATGAACGGACGCACAGAGTGCATGGTCGTACGTTATCACACTATCAAAGATCTCAATTAAGAGCTTCGGTCGGGGATTGGAATGGGGTATTCCGAGGTCATAGCGCTCCAGGCCACCAATAACATACCCTCAATTTCTGTCGTCGGCATCTCATACAAGCCTGGCGTGCTCGTGAGCGTGGCATCCCTTTCTTGTAGGCGTTGTCGGTCACTGGTGCTGCCATGAAGGCATCAAATCAGAAAACTTTTCAGCAAGAGAACGAGAGCGACGAGATTGAAAAAAGAACGGGATGCCTCATATAGCTGCGCTTAAGCTGTATTAATTAAACCTTTTCATTAAGAATCCAGTTGGGTAACGAATGGTGGGGACACGTAGAACGATTGACACAATTCTTGCGGGGGAGATGTTCAGGTGGAACCACTGGCAATTATGACTCTACAGTGTTGGCACACTCCTTAACTACGCCCATCCGGTTAATCGCATGGCTGGTAGCAAACACAGGCAACGCATCAGGATCGAGACTCGCTATGAAGGAGTCGGGGGAAAGAGGTCAAATCGCTTTCGCGTGTTTATCTAGAAGAAGTCTTCCCATTAGCATGTCGAAGGCACTTTGTTCACACATGCACTGTTCGGAAAGCAAGAATGTACTGTAGTTGCCATCCTGTGCCGAGGCTGAATGCCCAGGCTGCCAATAGTGGGTTGTACCATCTCACATCCTACCATACTCTGCCTGTAGGAGTTGACGGTCATCGTATCGGGGGTTCACACCGTAATAATCATTGGCTATTCCCCGAATGTAAGTCGAGGGTCCTTCTGGTGTAAGTTCGCAGCGAAGGCGGCGGGTTGAAGGGCCTCGAGCATAAGTCAAGTTATGGGCATTATTAGTTACAATATGGGACCCTGAACACTGCTCGCACATTACTTAAATGGTAATGGCACGCTTCGAGAAAGTCTTTAGTCAGCTATTGCCTTCGATACATGAACCCAATGAGGCATATCACAAGTTCAGGCCCTGTTCTCTTCGTTTAATAGCGCTGAGAAGCTTTTCAACACAGGCATAATGGCGTGTGCCAATAATGATGACGGAATACACACAAACCTTCAACCCGTTCCCCTAGTTGCAAGCTTATACAGGGTAGCCCTCACAATGCACATCAAGAGAATAACCTCTTAAGTATTGATGAGAGAAGAGATTTCCCGTTCGTCAGTTATCTCTTATATTTCTATCCACCTGGCCATCCATTTCTCCACGGCAACCTTGGCTTCGTCCACCAATCCAAGTTGAAGCAGCAATTGCACAGCAGCCCTAATCCCGCTCTCCAATGCGCTCGCGATCCAAGAGCTGGTAAAGCTTGTGGCCTCACCGCTGAGAATGCAGCCTTGTTCTGTTCGGAAGAAGTCCGGGAGAAATGCTTGACGCATTCCGACGCTCGCTTGTGCCCAACCGGCATACTCATAAGGGTCGAGAAGCCAGCAGTACCTCGTGCCGTTGCCGGTATATTGCTCGTAGACGATGGGTCCATGGATCTCAGCCAGCGCGTTGAGCGCATAGGTAATATATTCGTCCTCAGACGCGCTAAGCCAGCGCACGGCATCGGTGCTGGTGATGTAACTCGCGAGGACGACGCCGGGGCCTGTGCTATTCACATCGTAGCTTGGGTAGCAGATCTGGCCTATTCCAGGAGTGTCTGTACTCGTGGAACAGGAACCGTAAATGGGGCGGTCGAGGTGTTCCCAGAACCGCGTGCGGAACTGCAATGCGGCTTTGCAGCCATGATCGTACGGCCAGGTATGGATGGCGGTAGAGAGCGCGGACGAGAATGCGGGAAGTCGCCAAGATCGGACCACGGGCAAAGGAGGCGTAAGAACTGCGTAGTCGAACGTCGCGCTCCGGGGGGGTCTCGTGGAGTTCAGGCCGTTATGAAATGTAATGTTGACACGGCGGGTTCCGTTGTTGTATGAAATCTGCTGGACTTTGGCGTTCATCATCACAGCGTCGTCGACAAGGGGATGAAATGCCGCCGGTAGTCGGTTCAAGCCTCCGTCGATGGTCGCCCACTCGGTTGCGCCGAAATAGAACGACTCATAAATCGCATCCCAGAACGTGAATTGTCCGAATGGTCCAGATAAAGCGATGAGGGTGTCATTGATTGCATACTTGAGGTAATTGTGGAGGTATGCGAATTCGGACCAGGAGTCCCCTCCGAGCCCGTCTAGGCCTGCTGTCAGCCATTGCTTGTGCGCCGCGAAGATATTGCGGGCGAGGCTGTTCATGAACGTCTGGTTGGCCGTAATACCACCAAGGACCTGATTGATCTCCGCGACCTGTCCGGGGGATGTCGGAATCTCCTCTAGAGAAGGATCTTCTGCCACGTCCGAGACGGTAGGAAGTTCGCCGTTGGGCTTTCGCCGTCCGCTTCGATAGACGATCCCGTTGGGGCTAGAATTGATGAATGGAATCATAGATACGGTGAAGTTGCGATTGCCGGCATTCCGACGATTTAATTCTTCCACAAGGTCCGAGACGATCTGATGGTCTTTGATTCGGATAGTCTCGTTGGTGTCCGCATAGGTAATTGCTTGGGGAAATCGCATAGGTCCCATCTGTAGTTCCCGGTCAGTGGAGTGACCAACGTCTGAATCAAGGCCGCTTATCTTGATACTGTCGGGCAGAAGGGGGTCCGAAATATGCGGTATGAACCCTCCCACCAAGCCTTTGGGATGCTTCTAGAATTGTGATATTCGCCATGCCTGCTTCGTTCAAAACTAGCCAGGTCATCAGCCCGGCCATTCCTGCTCCCACAATACCAATCTGTTTAGACTTGGCGGATTCCGAAGCAACAGCAGTAAGGTGTGTACCCTCTAAGGCGGCAACACCATCGAACCAAGGACCACGGCTATCGATACCGTTGGCACTATCCATCACGACGGTTGCGCTGCTTGATTGCCTCTTTTGCTTTCTCCGTCCATGTTGAAGAGAGAAATCTATTGCAATGGGCTGACTTCTTCCCACAAGGACATCTTTCGCCCATGCCGACAAGCAGCCTGTCGACGGCACCGACTCTGGGATTCGCCAGATCAAACGATCAGACTCGTCATCGTCATACCTGTGGATTTCGTGATGTGCGCTTTGCGCCGATGGTGCATCACATTGACCATATGTAATTAAGATCCCTTTGAGTGAGTCGGTCCCATGGATGGTTATATGGATGTTGGCGACTTGTGAGTCGACACGATGCCTCACCTCAAGACGAATTGGGTCGTTCAGAGCAAACACGAGAGGTAGTAATGCGACACTCAGAGCCCAGAAGGACATTATGCTAGTTGTAGATGGAATCTGACCTACCTCAAAGTCACTTGCTAGGAATGGGCCTATTTTATAGTGCCGAGCCTTAAGGATGGACTGCATACCTTTGGTTCAACCGCGACGTATTCGTATGGGTTTGATAGTGAACCGCGCCGGTTGCATTGATCGACACCGTCAAAGTTTGGATCCGATCTTTCATCTTGATCTCTTGGTATCTCGGCGATAAGGGGGTTTGTCCTCTCGGTGAATAGGCCCGCAATTGGCCATGGCAAAGCCGTAGATCCATGTGGAACGTCTGCCGCCGATATTTCAACGACAGCGACGTTAAGTCGGGCGAGTCTCGCTTACACCCAGAAGTTCTTTGACCTCAGTATTGTGATTCCTCGGGTATGATGTTCATGATGTGAGGATTCTTCAAGATGCCTGGTTGCATGCAAGAATGGGAGGCATGCGGGGAAAGTTTCGAGATGCAGGTTGACTTTTTTAACTTCGGCCTCAACCATCAGCAACCTCAGTCACATCCGTACCTCATATCCTTCTCCTCTAGCTCGTTGTTGCATTTCTAGACTTTTCCTAATGTCTTGAGGCCTGTTCCTTTCCCTTTTCACCTTCGTCATGGCGAGGTTATCAAATCCTTTCGCCTTCACTCGCTGGCCTGTCACCATCATTACCACCATTGTCTACCTGGCTGTTATTGTCACCCTCATCGTCGTCCACACCGGTGTCCCTTCTCTTCCAACCTCGCCCACTCCAATCCACGGCATCAATCTGACAGAGGCGTGGCTGGACCTACAGCTGCTCACCTCCTCCTACCATCCTTACAATAGCCATCACAATGATGAGGTCCATGATTGGCTCCTCCAGCGAATCGATTCGATTGTCAAAGAGAATGGTGCATCTTCATACCTCGCAGAAGACCCTTCTCCTGCATATGTGTTCGAGGACAATACTGCCAATTTGACGTTCTCCTCGGGTGGGATCCCGCCTGCTCCCGGGGTGAGTGTTTACTTCGAAGGCACCAACGTGGTCGTTTACGTCCCTGGCACGGAAGATGATAAAACCAAATGGTGGTTGGAGCCCAGTGGCAAGCCGTCGGCGCGGAACGCAGTCCTGGTCAATGCCCATTATGACAGCGTGTCGACCGGCTTCGGCTCAACGGACGACGGGGTCGGTGTCATCTGTATTTTGCAATTGGTGAGGTATTACACGACACCAGGAAACCAGCCCAAGAATGGCGTGGTTCTGCTGTGGAACAATGGTGAAGAGGATTTTTTGAATGGAGCTAGCGTATTTAGCCAGCATCCCATGTCCCAGATCGTCAGCACATTTCTCAATCTCGAAGGTGCTGGGGCAGGTGGAAGAGCCGCCCTCTTTCGAAGCACGGATGGCGCTGTGACCCAGGCCTATTCTCACTCCCAGTATCCCTTTGGTTCTTCGACCTCTGCCGACGGCTTCAACCGCGGCCTGATTCGAAGTCAGACAGATTATGTGGTGTTCAACGGCAAGCTGGGTTATCGTGGACTGGACGTGGCCTTCATCGGACCCCGGGCACGATACCATACGGACCAGGATGACTCGCGACATACTGGCCAAAATTCCCTCTGGCACATGCTCTCGGCGGCCGTGGCCACGACACAAGCTCTCACATCTGCTTCCTTGACGACAAATCTGGATCCTGAGCATACACCAGGGAGCCCCGCGCTGTGGTTTGATATCTTTGGTCGGATCGTGGTCATTTTCAAAGCACATACGTTCTTCGCTCTTTCCGTCACCCTGCTGGTTGCTGGTCCCATCCTCCTCCTTCTGACACTGGCACTGCTCTACCGTGCGGACAAATTTTATCTTTTCTCGGGGTCCAGGCCGTATCATATGCCGAATGGAGATGATGAGATCCTCTTGTACGGCTGGCGTGGTTTCTTCCGATTCCCGTTGATCCTGCTCGTTGCTTCGGCGGCTCCAGTGGCCTTGGCCTACCTCCAATTCAAAGAAAATCCATTCATTGCCCACAGTAGTGAGTGGGCCGTCTGGAGCATGATGATTTCCTCTTTCGTCTTCGTGGCGTGGTTCTTATGCCGCGCAGCGGACTTCGGACGGCCGTCATCACTCACCCGTGCGTATGGGTTTTCCTGGATGTGGGTCGGATGGTGGACACTCTTGGTTGTGGCCACGGTATTGGAAGAGAATCTCCATTTGGTGGGCACCTATTTCGTCCTCATTTATGCCATGACGGTGCTCTTGGCTACCTGGCTATCGTACCTCGAGCTCTTCTCTCTACCGAAAAAGTCTACTTATTGCCGCAGCAAGGTTGGCGAGGAGTATGCATCGTCTCGTTCCCGGAGTACGTCAGGAGTACGCCATAATACGTCTGTCTCTGGACCGGAAGAAGGTGGCTACACCGTCGAACCAGAGGAGGACGAAGAGCCCACCGAAAGGTCCAGCTTGTTGAGAAGTCGAGGTCGATCCACTTTTAAGGGATACCACGCAGAATCGGATGAACCAAGCGAAGCGCCTAAGCCCCAGGATGAAACGGACGACGGGTGTGAGGAACAAGAATGGAGTAAACCCCAATGGAGTTCTTTGTGGATCGTGCAGATGCTGGCGGTCGTCCCGATCAACCTCATCGTCATTGGGCAAATTGGACTCTTGACGACTGAAGGTCTTCATCAAACGGGTCAGGATGGCAGTTCGATGTTCCTGGTCTATATCATGATTGCCGTGTGCGCAATCTTGCTCTTCTCCTTGCTCGTTCCCATTTTACACCGCTTTACATGGCATATACCCATGTTTCTCTTCTTCGTCCTCATTGGCACAATGATCTACAATCTGACTGCATTCCCTTTCTCGGCGGACAACCGATTAAAACTCTTCTTCCAGCAACAGGTGGACCTCGACAAAAGTAACAATACTGTCTTCTTGGCGGGTGTACCCCCGTACGTTCGATATGCCATTTCCGATTTACCCAGCGCCGCCGGACAAGAACTCGATTGCGTCGCTACTGGACCATCAAACAACCTTGAAAAATGCTCGTGGACAGGAATTCCTCCCAACGTGGCCAACCCGACGTCTACCACTACTCCTCCGGAGAGACAATACCGGAATTGGCTCAATTTCAACGTCACCAGAGTCAATGCGAGTGACAGTGACAACAAAGCCCGCTTCGTCATCTATGGTAAGAACACGCGAGCCTGCAAAATCACCTTCGACTCGCCCATCGCGGCGTTCCAAGTTGAAGGCCAGGCGCCACGCGACCAGCGGTTCCCTCCAGTTCCCGAAGGGGGGAGCAACGAAATACGTCTCTGGTCGAGAACTTGGGGTCGGGCATGGACGGTCGACGTCTCCTGGGATAACCCCAGCATGGACGAGGATGAGAGTAATAAGCCGAAGAACCCAAACACCACCATGAAGGGCAAGGTTGTGTGTCTTTGGAGCGACGCGAATCAAAATGGCGTAATCCCCGCATTTGACGAGGCTATGCATTATGTTCCTGATTGGGTGGCCATTACCAAGGCAGCAGACGGCTTGGTCGAAGGATATAAACGGTTTAAGATCTGACTTGGGCCACGTCCTGATGCTTTTCTTGGTCGTTCTTTTTGGCGTAGCTTTCGGGACCGGTTGGCACTTGACGTTGGGGTCTACTTTGGGTCTATTCTAGGGTCCTTGGCTCAAGTTGAAGAGCGTGTATTTGTATGTCACTTTTTGGACGTTTGGCCCTACCCACATATACCAGGCAGGTAGGTCTGAGAATAATGTCGCGTAGTACAGATGTTATGATTGATGTGGGGTATACCCCGTTTGCGGTCTCTTGAAATCTGGCAGATCTTATCCTCAGCATCAGACTTCAATGAATCATATCCCGCCCCATCCCCTCCAGACCGGAACCCTCTAAACCCAGCGTCCTGTGCCGCACTGACCTGTGTTTCCCCACCTCCAAAAAAGAAAAAAACTCCCAAGTTCTCTACCTTCTACTCTCATTCCTCCAAACCCCGACGCCGTTTCCGTTGCGATACCTTTCCAAATTCGCGCCGCGTAGTATACAGTCCTCTGCCAGCTCCTCGGTGCCAATGAACATGCCTGATTCGTCTTTGGCATTGTGGGCAAGATCCTTACGTCGTGAGACCTAGCGGATGGTAGGGGCTTGCATGCGACTATCTCTCCTGATGATGATTTACGGCGGAAGAGAGAGTTTTTTTCCTTTTTCCTTCTCAGCTGACTGCGTGTCTTGGTCGTGCGAACCTGGTGTATTTTACTGGAAGTGTGTTGGCGGACGCGGCGCCCAAGGAGCCATCCACTAATTGAGGAAGACGATGGTCCTACGGCTGTGAAAGATTACACTCCTATTCTGTCGTGTCGCTTCGTATTTTCGAAATTGGCACTGATTCGTTGTATAAACCCTTCCATTCACCCGATCGTTAAGAATAGCACCGCATGGCCAATTGCTATTCCTTCAACCATTTTGGCGTAGTTTAGCTAGTGCAGTTGCAACACCTTCGCTGAGTTCCGGTTCCTTCTGGGTCGGTGGTCGGGTGGTTTTTGACTTCTCTGCACCAGTCACTCTTGATTCTTCCTCAGCCAGTGCCGCCAAAGCAGCTTCGTCGTCATCGTCGAAGGATACCTCCTCCAATCGAGGCCTTTTCTGACTGGGGCCCGCCTCGGGATCTTTTGCCGTCATTCCGCCATTTGAGTTTTGCTTGCTCAAACTAGGGACACTGCCGATCGGGATAGCGGCATGAACACTCCCCGTTCTCGAGGTTGGTGTGCTCTCACCATCAGAAGACATGACGGAGGCATCTTGCTTCAACAGCGCTGCATTGGACTTGGCTGCCCTTTTCACCCGAAAAGGTTCACGGACTGTTGTTGACCAAGCCTTGACTTTCTTTTCACCCCATCCTGGGACCAAAGCCAATTCCTCTGGTTCTGCGTTGACGGCTGCACGAAGAGACCCAAAATTGGAGATAAGGCTTGCAGCATCTGTCTTGTTAATGTTTCGGGGAGTCGTGACGAATTCCGTAAGGCTTTCTTGGTATGTTTCAGCCCGGTGGGCGCGAATTGATGCAGAGGAGGCGTGCTCATAGGACTTGAACAGTTCCAAATAATGGCCAGCCTCTTGGGACGACCAGGACAGAATCAGGGTGAGGTTATTAATCATGGACGTTTTGGACAATTCTTTCAACGCTTCTTCATGATTGGTGATGTCCACCATGACGAGCAGGATCCGAAGGTTGTAAAGCTTGCCCAGCTGTCGAAGACGGCTATAGATGTACTCGGGGTGAAGTCGATGGTATTTCAATGATAAGAATAGGGCGCACGTGGTGGCGCCGAGGACGTAGTCGCAGGGAATATCGGAGTACTCCCAAGGAAGAGATTTGACATGATTCAGGATGGGATTCCCCTTCTGTCGCGTCGACACCAGAATAGCAGATGGGCCTTGTCGTCCAGGTAGCGCCTGTGGCTTTGGCTGGACAACGGCCGGTGCATTGCTATCGTGCGTGCGGGTGGTGCTTGTGGTTCGTTGTGGCGCTGTCGACCCCTGGACGGCTGCTTCTGCCTCTAAAAATTCTCCATCATCGAACTCCTCGGCCATAGTCAGATCGAAATTGTGGAACAGGCCAAGCACGCATTTGCTACTAGCGTGAGTTCGAAGATGTCGCGTGCTGATGAGAGAAGAGTCAAAGATGGAAAATGCTGAGACACGGCATACCTGCCCAATATTTGTTTAAAGCGGCGGCGCAGCCCTTTTAGGACGAGATGATGCCGCCCTATGCTTCCGACTCGGGTGAGCGTCACCACTGGTTCTATGGGCAAGTTCACTCCTTTCCACTTCTAACCTGGCGGTGCCAGGCACGTCTTGCCTAGGCGGGTAGGAGAGTAGCTTTCCCCAACCTAACCGCCTCCTCCTTAGGGGAGAAATACCTTCTCGACGCTTTCAGCAGCCTTTTGGAGTCGTCCCTTAGGATTCCCTAATGCCATCGGCTATTCAACAGAGCTGTCACTCGCATCATTACCTACGCGGTGGAGAAAACTGTCCAAACTGGTCTAATTCTGACCGATCTGCCCTCCGTCATACCCTTGCAGCCATTAGGGTGTCCTTTTCGTAGGATATTCTCTGCCTAATTTCATCGAATTCGATTTTCTTGCCTGTGATGAGACTTTTCTGAAGAGCGCAGCCAATCCTCACAGCATTCACCGCGCCTTCCAGCCTGAAGGGTGGCTCCAGATTGTCCAAACAACACGATGTGTATTCATTGGCCTCTGTAATGAAGGCTTCTCGAAAACGTCCATAGTAGTGTGGTGGGATCTCCCGTCGAATGCCAGAAGACTCATGCGGACCAGGTTTGCGGTTGGTCGAGTATTGATTACTAGTATTCCTTCCGTGCCAATAATCTCGATACCTGGATGGTATTCGCGGCCGTTTTCCCGTTTCCGAGCATCTGAAGCATTCGGGGATAGAACAAGAAATAGGTATTATGGACTGTCTAGTTAGCCAGCAACCATCATTCTGCTACATTACAGCTGAGCAATCTTGCCACCATGAAACTCGACTATGCCTAGGGCATTGTCGTGGTCGTTGTATTTTCTTAATTCTGGTGATACGCCAGTGATTCCAACAGTCGTGACTGATTTGACAATGGAATCCTTTCCCCATAAAACCATAAGGCCAAGCTAATGTCACGAATAGAGCAGTCGACAAATATACCGCCTGAGAATTGAGCGTATTCAATAAGGAAACTAGAGAGGTCAAGCTGGTCGCACGTCCGCGCACAGAAAACGCTGGGGCGGCCGATCATGCCTGATTTTATCTTCATATACGCGCCTTGGTATGATGCATCAAACCGTCGAGAAAATCCACACACTACCCTCCGATTTGGAAAGTTTCTGAGAGAAGCACGATATGCTGTTACCACAGATTGCGACTGATGAAACGACAGAGGGTCAGCACTCTGTTGAACAGGAGCTAGTGCCCGTTATTGGAAAACGAGCTGTCATTATTCAGGATAGAGTGGTAGGAATGGAGGTAGGAATAGTGTAGTATATGACTTGGCAATCTGATAGGAGCAGTGACAAAACAGACAGAGCGTACTCATCCAATTCAAATTGTACAAATTTGATGCGCTCATTCGGGAGGCTTTTTGCCTCGACGGAACACGTACCACTTCGACACTGACGCTGAGAGGCTTCTCGCAAAAGCACATCAAGGTCAAGCTGAATGGCCTTGATGGCTTGCTCGGCATGAATAATTGTCGCAGACGCAATAACCACCGCTTGCGAGTCATTTTCGTCTTTAAGCATCTGAATCGTAGTCAAGATACCTTTAACGCCCTCCCAATTCTGGGACGCCCGGACCAATTCTGTCGGACCGGGTGAGGAAACGGCAATCAGCTCCGTTCGGGGTCACGGTGTGGAAATGGAGTGCATGGCGTGCTGCAATTGCGAGCTTGAGTTTTGCTGGAGCCATGGTGATGGAACCCAGTCCTACGAATGATGGGAAATGAATGAACATTCTCCAGGAACAGTCGAAATACATCAGTACCAAGGCTCGCGCACGTGAGGACGATGTTATCCAGGTGTATCTAGCGTGCCTACGAAGCTGTGAAAGCTGTGAGCAGACGAGAAAGTTTCCATTCATCAGCTGCTCGGAAACTCTTGCCTAAATGATGGCGTGTGGAAAGAAAAGCGCTCGCCATGGCATTGGGTTGTGCCCAAAGTGTGGAGCAAAGGTAAATCCTCCTACCTCGGAAATGGCTAGAATGGTTAGTGTATTTAACATGTCGTTGGATCAAAAGACTTCTTGAAATTCAGTGAACAAGACATCAAAGACATGACAACATGAATTACGTCTGACAATATAAACGCCGACTATTACAGAGCCCGAAAATCATACACTTATCCCCACTACTGACATTCCCCACCTTGGAGCCCCGGGGAGCCCGTGCCTCCGGCAAGGAGGGGGAGCTTGGAGAAAGCAAGCCGGGGCAGTAGAAAAGAGGGAAATTTTCCTCCGAGAAAATTCCAAACTCCTTCCATTATCTTTCTGGCTGGCTCCATCGGTAGAGGCGACATGCTCCGCGCCTCCAATGTCGCCCGGGATCGGAACCCGAAATATGAATGCCTCGCCCAGGGAAGTGAGCAGTCCAGCGGTGGATGCTGACGGTGTAAGCAACCAAACCTCCAAAGACGAGAATAGCACCGACGGTCGTCTCCAGCGAGAGGAGCGTGAGGGCGAACGCAAGCACAAACTCGCACCATGTGATAATTGCAGATAAGTCCTGGAGAGACCTTTGCAAGGGGACAAAGACCCAAACTCATCCTCTTTCACAGAAAAACACCTTAAATGTCAGTTAAGAGACCCCAAAGCTGGGTCTCTCCGAGGTCAACGTTCTTCAGATGACCACCCCTCGCTAGACTGCACGCGATGCCACAAGGATGGCGTGAGATGTACTCGCAGCGCTGGGCGCATCAGATTTCGTCATGGCTCGCGTGCAAAATACGATAGAGGGTTTTCAAGATCCCAAACCTGGGTGACACCGTCCAAGGCACCTGGTGAGGATGCCCGAGCCCACTGTCGGATCAAATGATTCGAATATCTAACTGATCGCCAGAGGCACTCGTCTACATCGACGAGACTGCAGAATTGGACGCTTTTTATCGCCACCATGACGGCCCCGTCGACGACGACGAGATCTTCCATGATGAACTGTCCGCAGTCGAGGATGGCCAGGAGGAAGAAGAGGAACAGCCCGAAGATCAAGCGCCTTCGATAACATCGGCGGCCCATGTCAGTGCCACTGTTGAAGATGATACGAGCTTACGCGCGGAGGATGAATCATGGCCCTTGAAGCCGCCGACTGATCTACCAGAAACACACCCAAACCAGCCCGTAGCCGGGTTTGAGGCCCACGTGCATCAAAGTGCCTCGTGGAAAGACCACGGCTCGATGATATTTCACTCGACCCCTCCTCAGACTACCCCGACGATCCTCTCTGGCATCTGTGAGTCGCCTGTAACAGGGGGTCTAGTAAAACTCCCGACGGCGAGACCGACATCGCTCCATCATGGGGCGCTCGAAGTCACGCTCCTTCGTTATTTTATTGATGACCTGGCGCGGTGGTTTGACCTTTGCGACCCTGAAAAGCATTTTGAGCTGGTGGTTCCTCAGCGAGCCAGATGGTGTCCGCCCCTGATGAATGCCATCCTTGCCGCGTCGGCGCGGCACCTGAACCGTGTTCAAAAATATAGGATGCCATCAGGCATTGTGCATTATGATGGGAGACCTCTGCCGGAATTGACCAAGGAGACCGCAGTACATTACCACAATGAGTGTATCAGAGACATGTTGAAACTCAGTCTGGATCCCGAACAGACCCGGAACGAAAACCTCCTCGCAGCAGCGATCATCCTCCGCTTTTATGAAGAAATCGATTCTCCGCTGCGAGACGAGGCAAATGATACTGAGCTCTTTTTACGAGCGATCAACATCTTTATCGACGCTCAAATCCCGACCGTGCCACTCATTCCTCACAGCTCGCCCATGATTATTAGCCCTGGTCCTTCAACAGCAGATCTGGTTATGAATCACGCCACAACGCCTCCTGGCATGATCCAGTCCTCATCCCCATCCGATATCACCCCAACATCGGGGACGCTTCTCGGGTCCTCCAAACGGGGGCGTGCGGAAGGTCTCTGCCAGGCGGGGTTCTGGGTGGCATTTAGGCAAGAAATTTACTCGGCTTTTCTCAAGCAGCGTCCATTTAACATGTCCTTATCCCGATGTGAGATCTTCCGCTCGTTCTCTCCAGCAGAAGATGCCGTCTGGGCAGACCGACTGATTATTTTCTGTGCTGACGTGCTGGACTTCTGTTATGGGAATAACGCGGACAACAAGGCCGGCACCGGTATCCATGCTGGACCCACGGCCAAAGAGAATTGGCTGAAACTCAAAGAACTCGAAAGGACTTGGTCCGAGATCTTGCCTGCCAGCTTCGAGCCAATATACTTTCGCGAGCCGAATCGAGACCGTGGAGAAGTGTTCCCGGAGATATGTTATCTCGCCGACTGCCACGTCGCCGGTGTGCAACACGTCGAGCTCGCTCGGATCCTGCTTGCCGTCTACGATCCCACACGACCCAAACTGGGACCGGGTCATGTAGCAAGCATGCGATCCCTGAGTCAGGAATTGAAAACCATTGTCCTCAGATTGTGCGGAATCGCCGTCAGCAACAGGAAATCTCCTCCCAGTATGGTCACGGCCTTGCTTGCGATCGTCGTGTGTGGCGACCACTTTGACGATCGGATGGAGCAGCAAGCACTTTTGGACGTCCTCGATGAAGTGGAAAACGAACAGGCTTGGCCGGCCGGTAACTCCAGAGAGATTTTGAAACAGTGCTGGGGCTGGTCCTAAGGTTGATTGGCTGATAATTGATGCTATGTTCAAAACAAAGCTTCGATTAATCTTCCACAGAAGTGTCCACTGTCACTGGGAGTCTCGGTATTATGGGAGTTCTCTCAGTCGGGAAAGGAAATGTCAATATGCTTATATATCGAGGGAAACGGCACCTGTACAATTCATCTACCAACTCACTTCCAAACAAAGCTACCCGGATGTAAAGCGCTTTGCTGCCGGATAAAACCGTAGCAGAGCATATTGAAATCAGTATTTTCCAACAGTCAAAATGGAAACGTTTCTAAATTCATAGATTGACCGCCAAACGCAGGGAGAACACATTTCTGCTTCCAGGGGGGAAAGAAACGGAATTGCCTCGACCCAATTTTCAGTTGAAGACGGACTCGACGATTTTATCCCCATACATCCTCTTGCCATTTCTTCGCTCTCTTTCTCTCCTCCCTCCATTTCTTCACTTCGTCTTCGCCCTCAAATCCTTTGCGTAACTTGACGCCTTGGCAGATGGTACTGCTCACATCTCTTGCCATCGCCGCAGACCCACATACGTACAAGCTGGCATCCTCCTCGAGTAGCAGTCTCGAGACTTCTTCCATTTTCTCCTCCACGCGATCTTGGACGTACATCTTTTTCTGCCCCTCTAGCCTGGAGAATGCGTGAATAATTGTAAGCTTGCCTTTGAGAACATCATTCTCCAAGTCGAAGAATTCGTCTTGGTACAACAAGTTTCTCTCGGGGTGACGGCAGCCGAAGAAGAGAAGAATGGGCCCAGCACTACTATTACGTTTCTCTGCCGGTGAATGGCTACTGCTTCTCGTCGCCGCCGCGAGGCGGGCCCGTTCCTGTACAAATGCACGGAATGGTGCGATTCCTGTCCCAGCGGCGATAAGTATGAGCGGCGTCCTCTGTGAAGCTGGCAATTTGAAGGCCGAGCGGCGGATGAAAGCATAGATGCTTGGGGACGGGGATGATTTCGGGATCCCAAGGGCTGGCTGCGGGGAAAAAGTCAGGAAAGAGGACAGGTAGCTCCTCGCCAGTCCGGGAATCGTGGTTTGGGTGTCCAGCGGTAACGGCGAGGACTCTACCGCAACAGTGACACTGACACGCCGAGGTGACGTGACCGAAGAGCTGGAGATAGAATAGTAGCGAGGCGTCATTGGCCGCAGATTGTCGACAATGAACGACAATGGCAATCCAGACCAGTCAGCGTTGCAATCCACGGATAAAGTGTGCTGTAGAAGACGGCCGAGTGTAAGGTGATGCCGCGCCACAAAATCCGCATATGTTGCTTTGTCCGCCACTATACCGAGAAGAAATGATCGAGCGCGTTCAGTTGATGCCCATTGAGCCAGATCCCGGACGACCTCTCTAGACACAGGGCCACACACCTCAAGATAGTGTTGGAAAAGAGCACGAGGGGTAGTCGGGGATGGGATCCTCAGTGAGCTATCGTCGGGGTCGATAGGAGTGATCATGATAGGGACATTTTCTCTGGCCTCGAGCTTGAGGAGCCGGAGTAACATTGAGACTTCGGCATCAGGATTGACCGGAAAAATGGCCATGTGATCACCAGTCTTGTACTTGATCATCGGTTGCCGAGAAAGGTCGAACTCCATATGCAGGCAGGACGGAGCATTCGTGGGAATCTTGACAAGGTCCCTTACACCAGTGATTGGCAACTGGACAATTGACGAAATTGGACCTGATGATGTGTTGATTTTACCCATCGAACTTAAACTTGGCTCTCCGAGATGGATCCCCGAAACGTCAGTGGAGTCATCCTCAACAACACGAACCGAAGGGATGTACTCTAACTGTGGCTCTGAAGAGAACCCTAGCTGGGAGGAGAAGGCTGTAACCAGAGTGTCTTTCCAATCCACGAAATCTTCCTCAGTCGTCCCTTTGGCATCATCTGCTTTTCCCGTCTCTAGCAACTTGTTCGCTCCCATGCTTTCGAGAGAGTGAGTGACTTGATCTATGACTGCGTTATAATATTTATAGTTGCTGTTTCCACATCCAAAGGCTGCAAATCTCAGATTATGAAGAGTCACCTCAGGGTTCGACCGGAGCCAGTTGACGAAGGCAGTGGCGTTGTCACTCGGATCGCCCTCCCCATAGGTCGAAAGCAGAAATATTGCAATCTGGGACTGCTGGATGTTTGCCACGGTATGGGGATCGAAGTCGGACAAGTCTGCTGCCAGAGTTTCCAGTCGAAGTCGATGCATCAGGTCTCGGGCTAGGCGATGTGCGAACCCCTCGGCAGTGCCCGACTGAGAGCCCCAAAACACCACGACATCCTTGTTCGATTCCTTGAGCTTTTCGGCAATGTTACGAGTATTCGCACTGGTGTTGATCAAGCCGAGATCCGACGATTGTGGTCTTTCAAACCATTTGTAATAGTAAGGATCCGGCTTATCCCACAACCGACCATGGCTGATATAAAAGAGCCCGCCGAGAAGCAGCAAGACGACAACAATCACATCGTCATATGTTGGTTGCTTGACGAATTGATTCAGCAGAATAGGGGCACGCGCACTCAGGCCTAAGCTGAAGGTGGAAGTAGCCATGCGTGTCCTGGGACTTCGAGACAATAGGGAAATGTAGATGGACCAGAAACTTGGATGAAGCCACCGTTCAGTCATATATCTTCGAAACAGCCATGAAGCCCGATATGAATATAAAATTTTTCAGGCTAGTTTTCAAGGAGAAACTAACCAGACTCTGGTCAAATGCTGACATAACCAATAGGTGTGCGCCAGGGCTGTCAATAGCCGCTATAGGGTTCGATGGATAGGGTTCGATGGACACCGTTCGCGCGTCTCGCAAGAATTAATCCAGATTTGGGGTGAAGCGGAAGGGTGGATACTTGGGCATACAGAACTAGAAGGCCGGCGGCGAAAAGGAGCTGTTAATTATGACGTATTTCTAAAAAGTTCGCCAAAGAAAATCTGGGGTGCGGGCCTTTGGAGTTTCATATTCTCAATCAGGAAGAACTCCGCCGATATATTGCGTTTTCCTGCCAATTGATAGTTTGCTAGGCCAAAAACAGTTCAAGACCGTTCCGGCTTTTCATTCCTCACGCAATCTATCCTGCACATGCCTTCATCGAAACGATTCCGAACCAACATTCGCCAGTTTATGAAAGATTTTGTAAGTGACCCCATCTCCAGGAACACATGTTCATATTTGAAGAACCCCATGGGGCCTGATTGAATTCAGGTGGCTCACTTCTGCCAAAACCTCTTTGAAGAAAATTCATTCTCTCTCCAGTCAATATGCTTGGATTTGCGGTCCTCGCCGTATCTTCTGTCTTTTTTCCCTTCTACTTTGTTCTTGTCCCCATTTTGGAATACTTCCGGGATCCAAAAAGGCTCCGGAAGTATCCCAAACTATCTTTCTGGTCTGGAATATCAGATCTCCCCTTCATCTTCGAAGCACACAAGGGCTTTCGCTCCAACACACTTTTGCAAGCCCATAAAAGGACCCCCGTAGTCCGGATAGGGCCAAATTCGCTCTCTTTTAGCAGTCCGGCCGCCATCAAAGACATTTACGGCCACAATACCCCGTGCTCCAAAGATGTCTTTTACAGCGAGCTCGCGGGAACTCACTATCATCTGGCTGATGTGGTCGATAAAGCTGAACACGCACGCAAGAGAAAGATGCTCTCCAGTGCCTACGCAATCAAGAATCTAGAAGGGTGGGAGCACAAAGTAGCCGACATGACCAACAGACTGGTAAAAGCGTTCGACGCCCGATGTACTGGACCTCTGCCCCAAGGTGTCTGCCCACCCGAACAAGACCTGACCGTGGACTACCGCATGTGGACCAACTTGTTTACGGTGGCAGCAATCGCCAACATTGGTCTCAGCGAGGACCTTGGCTTCCTCGACCGGGGCGACGACCTGATTGCTTCCGAGGCTGCGGATGGCACCATTAAAGAGGTTCATTTCAGGGAATGCCTCCATGCCACCGCCTGGGCTCAATCAAATCTTGTCTGGTCGTACCCTTGGTACAAGACACTGGTCAAGATCAGCAAGTTTCTTTCTCCGACCTACCGGGAGAAGTGGCGACTTAATGTAGATTGGGACGGCATCGTCAGAAACCGGGCGACCAAGCGCCTCGCACGGTACCAGGGAGGCGAGAAGTTGGATGACTTCTTTACCGCTATTATGCAGGACAAGACTGGCATTCCGAACAATCTTGAATGGGGCGAGATCGTGGCCGAGGTCAGCATCATGATGAACGCGGGCTCCGACACCACTGCGATTGCCATGAACAACGCCCTCTTCCTCTTGCTGAAGAACCCTCCCTGCCTGGAAAAGCTACGAGAGGAATTGGACACGGTGTTGGACGAGGACGAAGTTGTGGCCCCCTACGACAAAGTCCGTCATCTGCCATACCTCCGGGCCTGTCTGGACGAAAGCATGCGTCTCCTCCCACCCACCACCTTTGGGCTCCCTCGTCGTACGCCGCCCGAAGGTGCTCCCATTGCCGGAGAATATGTCGCCGGCAACACCAGTGTTTCGATGTCGTCATATGTGGTCCATCGCGACGAAAGTATCTTCCCTGATGCTGGAACCTACAAACCTGAACGGTGGCTAGGCGATGCGGGAAAAGAGCTACAGCCATATTTCATCGCCTTCTCTGCAGGCGCGCGTGGCTGCATCGGTCGCAACATTAGTTACTTGGAGCAGACGGTGGTTCTGGCCACCTTGGTGCATCGGTTTGAGTTTGCCCTTCCGTCGCCCCAATGGGAACCGACAAGGAGGGAAAACTTTAATCTATCCCCCAGTCCCATGCCCTTGAAGGTTTGGAAAAGGAAGCAGAAGGAGATATGTTAGATTCGTTCGATCTCGCTGTGGGTTCGAAGGCTGGAATTGCCAGAAATCGTGGCTGGTTGGCACTAGTGATGACCTTTGACACTTGTTCTCTCTATCAAAATTCTCCCCACACCGTCGGTGTCTTCTGGGAAAGTCGACTGAGTCCCTGTGAGAACACTTCTTCTAGCCCTTTGCCTTTGATGTATCATCCCGTACTTTTTGAATGATTAAACAACGTTATGGCTTGAAATGATACGATTTTAACAAGGTATTGAACCTCATTTGGTGGTGAATGCAAGCGACATGAATGTGTCCAATACTCATGAATTCTAGCCAGAGATCTAGGGTTGTGAGCACCAACCTCAAGAGATTCCGGTCAATGCACAGATAGACATTTTTCGGTGAGCATGAAATCCAAATAAACACTTCGTAGTGTGCCCTAGAACCTAATTATTCTTTGAACTCCAACGTTTTACAAGAGGGCTGAGGTATACGTTAGTATCTCGCTCACACCAAATATTCTATATATGGAAAGAAAAGGGGAGGGTGTTAGGAGACGATCTTTCTTAACCCAATCAATCTCACCATCTCCAACCTCATTCCCATCCTTCATGAAGAGAAACTTCGAAAGTCTCTTGCTCTATACCAACTGCCGGCCTTGGCGATAGCGCTGTCTCACCTCCTCGTTGAGTTTTTGACTTATCTGCTTGACTTGATAAGAATTCGCCGAAAAACTACGCCACAAAATGTGTTGGTGCACGGAATTTCCCCCCACAGTGGGGATCAGCAGAATAGAACTTCTGACTCTGGAGGAAGTAATCGGCGAAACATGTTTGGCCAGACGGAATTTCGGCGCCCTGGGTGCTGGGGTAGAAGGGAATCTTCCCCAGACCCCCAGACAACTTGATCTGCTAATGAAACTCCATCCGGATTCCCTACTAGCTATCCCATTCCAAAAAGAGTTACAAGGCCGTCGCGGCAAGGAGTTTCGGCTGCAACATTCGCCGCCATTTTTCCTTCCACAAATCAAAGGCCGGTCATTATGATCAGGATCATGAGAAAAACCCAGTACATTGGATCGAATGTATAAAAAGGTCTCCTCTTTACCTCATAGAAGGGATTTTACTTTACATCTTTCATCACCAAAGCCGGTGACGACAATCCAAGTACACATTTCATCTGCCTTGTTGGAGATCCATCACATTCGTCCCATCGCGTTCGAATCTTCCACTGCTTCGACATCATGGCACAGACCGAGGACTCCCAACCCAATACTACCGACGAGAAGAGTCGATATGAACACCATGAAAACGACGATCAAGGCCACAGCAGCCGACGAGAATCTCTTAGAAAGAGCCTTGACAAATCTAATCTGGTCATGGGCCTCGACCTCGGCACCGAGATTCAGGTGTCGTACGAAGAAATGAATCACAATTCCATCGACGACATTGCCAGCAGTTGGTTTGTCTGGCTGGTGGCGGCGACGGCGTCCATTGCTGGGTCGCTCTTTGGTTATGACACGGGGATTATCTCGGCCGTGCTGGTCTATCTCCATGATGATCTGAATGGGAGACAGACTACTTCAAGTGAGAAAGAGCTGATCACTTCGCTGTGCTCCGGGGGTGCCTTTATTGGCGCCATCATCGCCGGCTTGACAGCCGATAAGGTGAGCTCCGGGTTATGGGCCAAATCAAAAGACCCATACACATTCCATGTCAACATTCAAGCTAACAGGGACATTCATTATCTCAAAGTACGGTCGCAAGGTTGCCATTTATGTCGGCTGTGTCCTATTCGTGATCGGTGCTGTTTTGCAAGCCGCTGCCTACACGATCGCTCAGATGTCCGTCGGGCGTCTGGTCGTGGGCCTTGGCGTGGGCTCTGCTGCGATGGTGGTCCCCATGTACGTCGCAGAAATCGCACCGACCAAAGTCCGTGGACGACTGATCGGCCTAAACAATATGTCCATTACCGGCGGACAAGTCATTTCTTATGGGATCGGTGCCGCCTTCGCTCATGTCCCTCATGGCTGGAGATACATGGTCGGTCTTGGTGGGCTTCCAGCGGTCATTCTAGCATGCCTGCTCCCCTTCTGCCCTGTAAGTGCCTTGGAGGAACTCCTTCTTTGAGCCGTGAACTTCGTACTGACCGGGCGATGTCACCACTGGGCAGGAATCGCCACGCCAATTGATCTACCATGGCAAACTCCAGGAGGCCGAGAAAGTCCTGACCAAAATCTATCAAGGCGCCACTGAAGAGCAAGTCCGAGCCAAATGCACATTGATCGTTGCTGCTTGCAACGAATCCAAGGAACTCCACGAGGATCGGTCGCGCTGGGCCAAGATCAAACAACTCCATACGAATCCGGCTTACTTCCGTGCGCTTGTCTGCGCCTGCGGACTGATGGTTATATCTCAGATGAGCGGCTTTAACACCCTCATGTACTATTCGGCCACTCTATTCGCGCTGGTGGGCTTCGATGATCCCGTGGCCGTCGGGCTCGTGGTCGCAGGCACCAACTTCGTCATGACGTGGGTGAACATGATGATTGTGGATCCTGTGGGCCGTCGCCGAGTCCTGATCTCGACAGTTTGGGGTATGTCGGCTGGTTTGATGGCGGTGGCGGTGGCCTTCAGCTTCATCCCAGTGGACCTTGACACTCTAGATCTGGAGACTAAACGGGTGACCACTCCAGCCATCGTGGTCCTTGTCTTCATCATTTGGTTTGTCTGCTTCTACGGGGTTTCGGTCGGTAACACCGCGTGGATGAGTACCGACTTCTTCCCCATGGAAGTTCGCGCCATGGGTACCATGTGGTTGACATGTTCATGTTGGGGCTCCAACATCATCGTGAGTTCTACATTTTTGTCCATGATGAAGGCCATGACACCCAGCGGCGCCTTCGGGTTTTATACCGCCATCTGCGGCATTGGTTGGGTTTTGATCATTTTCTTTTATCCCGAAGTTTCCGGACTGACGCTCGAGGAGATTGGAGAAGTCTTTAAGCACGGCTTCGGGGTGAAATATGCCCGACAACTGCGGAAAGACAAGAAGGAAGAAATCAAGGAGAGATTGAAGAATCAGGAACGACCCATCGCAGTTGGGCACTAAACTTAAGCTTCAAAGTGTATCTGGAGTTTGTACACAGATTGAAATATGGGATTAAACTTTGGTGATGAGGGGGAAATTGCGTTTCGGGCGCTAGAGGCTGCGACGTACCACTTTAAAGGGTGGATCACTACGTCAGAACAGCACTTCCTTCACCGTTCTGTCCGCGTATCGAAGCGATTTGAAGCTATTTACTAATTGAGTGAGCATCTACATAAATTTTGTGTCTTTTACGTGGTGATTGTGGCGTTCTGGGAGAGTTGTGGAGCCGGCGTACAGAATGACACAAGGATGGTATTACAGACTAACACCCGCAACCCCATGAATCTTTCAACTCCTGGAAAATCATGAGGGAAACAGATCACTCTCCGCCGGCGACTTCTATAGAAACAAACGGCAAGAAGAGAAAGTGCTCAAACGAACAGCCTACGCGTTCGCGGGCTCTGGCCGCCTGCGACGCCTGTCGAATCAGCAAGACCCGGTGTGATTCTGCTATCCCGACAAAGACCCTTTCTCGATGTGAGCGACAACCCAGCTTGCGCTGCTCGGGTGCCAGACAGATTGCTGATCATGTTCCTTCCAGATTCGAGCTCTGGGGCACGAAAGTCTTGACGGCCATTGAGAACCAGGGGCGCCTCCTGTCTGATCTGGCACAAACAAGCAAGGATGGCCTCTGGCAGCATCTCCCCAGCCGTTTCGTTTTTCGGGCATGGAAGACGATGGTCTGGAGACGATGTCGCGCAAGGATATCCCCTGGAACCCGATCACGGGCTCCGATATGATTCTCCGCTGGTCGGTGTTTCCACGTGAGAAGCCTGTCAGCACGTTTCCTGTGTCGGCGTACGCGGAAAAGCCTAATCCATTTGCCTTTGGTACGTGCAAGTGCTTCTACAAAGGTCCGAAAGAGTTGGGCGAAAAAGCAAAACCGCTGATGGAAAGCATGCAAAACAAAAAGAGACGTCACATCCGTCACCAGCACGCATGTTCGAATTGCGGGACATCTACATGTCTCAAATCTAGATTAAGAATCCGATCGTCGACATTGACCAGCTGAATGCACACATCGCGTGCGTTCTGGAACATGGCTTCGGCTGGTCCGCTTCATCATGCCTGGTGCTCCTGGTGTTTGCTCTGGCGGCCGTCTGGGGCCATTATCCTGACGATGAACGACGACCGGTGGCGTCCGTCGAGAGGAGAGATTCCTATCCCGGCCGATATGTCACGCTGGCCGTGCCTGAACATCGCATGGAAGAAGTCTCTTATCTACTTTGCGATGGCCCAGAAAAGGATGTCGGCGGCGTATTTGGACGGTTCATTGCTCGGCGTGGTGTGTTTTTGCCTATTTGGGTACGTATCATCAGAAAAGCCCCGATCGAGCCAAGGATCCTGGCTAAATGGGAGAACAAAAGCATGTGGCATCAGTACAATATTGAACCCATCCAGGGATGGAAGATGTTTCGGACGGCGTCCATGCTATGGGAAACGTATAATCCGAAGCATGCCCATGGGAAAGCGCCGAGGTCGAAGCAAGAAGAGAGTATATCCACCTTATTCTCACTGTTGGGGGACCTTGCTGATCGCGAGGAAATCTGTGTAGGCCTTGAACAGCGACTGTACTGGACGTGCCCGAAATCAGAATGGTATGATTCCCATCATGGCTCGACTGAGGTCGTTTCGATACTAACGTGATGGTCCCAGCGAGGTGCGCCACGAACTCACCGATCTCCCGTCCTGCACGTTACAAGAATCTTCATTCCCCTTCTCGCCCCCGACGTTCCCCACCGTTCAGAGCTTCGAACAAAGCACGGCGGACATCATCCGCCAAGAAGCCTCTAGCATCCCGTCCACCCCGTCCTCCTACTACTACTACCTGGCCGAGATCTCGCTGCGGCGCTTGCTCAACCGCACCCGCAACGCCGCTACCCTGCTGTCGCCGACCATTGACTCTTTCACCACCACTCGGCTCGACGACACCCTCCAGAAGTTTGAACACCAACTCCAGCAGTGACTGGACTGTCTGCCACCCGGTCTCCGATTCAATGTCCCCCCCCGACTCCTGGCCGCCACCAGACGAACCCGAACTCGTCAAACTCGTGCGCGAGCGGTACGTCGAGGTCCGCGAACTCCTCTGCCGAGCCTACTTGTACATGTGTCTTCACGGTGGCACGCGCCTGACACGATCCCAAGCCGAAGCATACGGCGCCCGCGCCTCTGCCGGCCTACGACTGAGTGTCTACCGGATTCAAACCGAGAATCCGTTCTTCCGTCACCCGGGTTCCTGGGGTGCATGCCGCGTGCGCTTCAATCAGGCGCTGTGCCTAATTGCGGCGGCCCGCGGAAAGGACCTTGGCGCGGAGTCGGCGGCGTACGTCGTGGTGCCGTCGACGTGGCGGGAGTGCGTGAGCATGGTTCAAGATCGGCTAGAGACGTGGAGTGACCAGGGCGGAGGCATTGCAGAGCTGGGTATGTTATTGGATTGGCTGGTGAAATAGTACATGGAAATAAATAATAGTATAACGTAGTAGATAAGCAAGCCGATCACTTGACAACACAACCAAAACAATCATATCTACTCGGAACTATATACGTTGGACATTTCTTCATCTTGCTATCAAAGGATCTAATTGAGTGCTCTGACTGGATCCGGTCATAGTGTAGGATGTAGCCATCTGAACAGTGCCCGTTAGCGTTGTCGTAGCCGGTTGGTGGCGCTGCAACCTAGCAGGCAGTCACCTCATGGAACTGACAAAAACAGATGCGTTACGCTCACGGAGTAGTTTGTTGGCCATATCTTCAATATCACACAACCTGGGAAAAACTGATCGTGAATCATGTGTCGGACCAGTGTCTTCTCTTCTAACTCTGTAAGATTTCGCGAATAGGGTAAGATATCCTCTCGTGCAGGTGTACCTTGGTACAAGACGAGGAACAATAGATACAGAGCGTGCAAAGAGTTTCTAAACCCTTCGTTCTAGACCCTCAAAGTGGGACGCATTTTGCGTCCGTCCCCGAGGTTGCGCAGTTTGAATACGAAGGTGCGACGCATGTCCCTGGCCATTTTGCACCTTGCGATAAGCATTCTATTATCTACCATGTCTACAGACCTAACCAGTATCGCGTTTGAGGGACGATCAGTTCTCCCTTGCCCAGGATCTCCTGACTTGATGTCCCTACCAAGACCTCATAAGGTCCCTCCTCACTCTTCCACATACTCTCAGCCTCGTCCCGGAAGCTGGTGGCATACCGGTCTACAGGGATGTGCACTTCCTTTTCTTCACCAGCTTGCAGAAAGACCTTTTCAAACCCATGCAACTCTTTCACAGGTCGAGGAGTCGAGGAAGCGGAAGCGGCAACGTACAATTGGAGGACCTGCGCACCAGCAACGCTCCCGGTATTTTTGACCTTGATCACCGCCACACTCGGATGGTTCGATGTGAACACCTTGGGCACCATTCTGACCTCCGGGTCCGAGAGCTCGAAAGTGGTATAGGAGAGTCCGTGTCTGCGAGAAATCAACCGAGGTGATTTAGTTGGGGGAATTCACAGCAGCAGCCCGAGGAGGAGTCCTTACCCGAATGGAAACAAGACCTCCCTTTCTGTCTTGTCATAGAACTTGTAGCCGACGTACACATCCTCCCCGTACAGAACACGGCCGCCAACACTGGTATCGTTGAGATAGGCGGGGTTGTGTTTGACATGGATCGGCCACGAGAGAGGGAGTTTGGCGCACGAGTTCACATGGCCGAAGAGCACGTCGGATATTCCATGACCGGTCTCATTCCCTCCATACCATGCTTGCACGATGCATTTTGCTTGGTCAGCCCATGGCATCGTGACCGGGGTCCCAGACTGATTGACGATCACCGCATTCGGCGCGACCGTGAGGACTTGAGTGATCATTTCGTCCACGCCCCGAGGAAGATCCATGTGAGGGCGATCAAATCCTTCCGATTCCCACTCGCCACCCAATCCCGTGTAGATGACGGTATGGTCAGCATTTCTAGCTGCTCGAACGGCACGCTCGATCATTTGCACGGGACTCATCCTCAGACAGGCGCCGAGGTGGGCGGCACCGCCGCCAAAATTCACCATTGCCAATGGTTTCCGTCGTCGCGGTGTTGGCCGACCCAAATTCTACTCGTATTTTGTAGGCATGGCCGCCCACCAGCTCCTTCGAGCCAAACTTCTCCACGGTTCCTTTACCAAAGAATGCCGTGCCCCGAGTCTGGTGTGTCGTGTTGTCGATGGTGAGTTCATCGTCGAAGTACAGATTTGCGGTGCCAAACACGGTGAGGCCAAAGTCCCACGTGCCTGTGGCGTCCGGTACAAAGTCTCCGACTAACGCGCCCCAGAACAATGCTTTGTTCAGCTCCGGAATACCATTGTAGTCCATGAGCTGGAATGAAGTCGACGAGACATTTTCTTGGCCAAGAAGCTTCCGATTGGGGCCCGTGGCGGGCTCATTGTAGAAGTTGATCACGGCGTTGTGCAACATTCCATCGATCACCGGGAGCATTTTGTGGGCGTACGCGCCCACTTCGTAGGTAATGGAAGCCTCGGGGATGGCTTCGGCGACAGCATCGTAGAGAGATACGGAATAATAAGGGAGAAGCGCGGCACTGCCTCCTCCAGAGATTGCGGGCGTTCGTACATGGGAACCAATGAGAGCGATCTTGGGCAAGATTTTGGGGAGAGGCAGAATGGAATTGTCATTCTTGAGGACGACAATACTGTGGGCGCAAGCCAACCGATTCAAGGCACGGTCCTCTGGAAAGTCGCGTCCTGTCTGCACTGTAGTCTATGAGTCGATTTGAGAAGGGAGGATGACACGAGAACCATGAAAGACGGCAAGAATTGTAAATGCAATAAACGCTTCCTTTTGGTAGTTAAATCGGCTCGAGCAATGTAGTTCGTACCGGTGGTTGTTTCTCGTTGGCGTCCTCTGCTGGAGAATGATAACGCTATGCGTGTCGCACGTGTCTGCGATTCGCGATGAAAGGACGGATGCAGGGAGTGTGCCGGTCGCATGGAGGTTTTGGGTTTAGTAGTTTTGGGGTAGTAGTGTTGGTGGAAGGAGGGGTGGAGAGGAGTGCGACTCGGGAGAGGGTCTGAGAGAGTGAGTGGGTGACTGTGCGAATCGAGGAAGATGAAGAGGGGAAGGACGAATGATGAATGGTTTGGATCTTCAAATCATTGTGTCTAGATGATAGCAAAGAATAGGAGAAAGTATTGAACGACATCAAGTGGGCAAGGAGTTTGTTGAAATGGAGTTTTAGAAGCACGAATCATACGTCGAAAAAGCGCAATGATCAGCAAGGCTGTCGCTATGTGACGAGGCTAAAGTTGAAATAGGCAGTCTCTATGATGCTCTCGTCTATTCATCATCTTGGGGATATTTTGTTCCTCCTTGTTTCTGATCTCATCCATAACCCCAACAGTTTCCTTCCACTGCATTATCGTGCTCTCTTTCCGCCCGGCGGCGATGTCAAGGGCAGTGTTGTCGGCCTCAACAATGAATCCTCGACCCTGGTGAGAGTAGTCGCACTTCCTATCTTTCGTTAAAGAATTCTTCGCATTTCTTGAATTGAAGGATGTGGTAGCGCGGCGCCTGTCACATTGATATACCCTTCCGTCCATTGAACCCGGCAAACAATGTCGGACAGTTCATTCGACATTATGGTAGAAGTTAGAATGTCCTGTCTTCCAGTAGATGGGTATTGTATCAGAATACTGGACGTCACCTCTACTTCATGGAGGCGGGTTTGGGTTGGCCAGAACATTGGGCCGCCCTGAGTTTCCCGGTGTATGTGGATCGAGAGTGAGGAACGCCCATTTTAATGGATATGCGCCTACATCCAGCAGTGTCCCAGCACCTAGCCTTGTATCTCGAGGTCGATGGTAGACTGGCCATGTCGAACAGAAGGTTATAATTGGAAGACATGCAGAAAGCATCCCCAATAACTTCCCCAATTCGGTAGCCATGGGCCGATGCCATAGCCACATGGGCCTCATGGACGTAAACGCCTTTATGCCTGGCCACTTCAAACACGTCCTTCGCTTTGTCGCGCGTCTATTGTGAAGGTCTTTCGCAAAGGACGTTCTTGCCGGCTGCGATAGCATCGAGACCTTTTTTCTTGTGAAAAGCGTGGGGAGTTCCGATGTAGACGCAGTCGACATTGTGGTCGCCATACGCCTCTTCGTAAGATGCATAGATGGCTGGGTTGGCTTTCAGGCAATGCTTGGAAGCAAATTCTTGACTCTTTTTCCAGGGATGAGGGGCCAATGCATTGGATTAGACGTTTTGCTTTTGCGTCAGGGCGGGCGAGGACCAAGTCTGCTACAAATCAAGATGATATAAGGCCGGTCGATAATATTCCCCACCTGTGCAAGTGGGAATAGTCGAAGACATGACGAAGATGATATTCGATCACGATTTCCTGGGCTAACCCCTCAGGATAAGGGAAAACACAACTATATTTATATGTGATCTTCGATGTTCAGCTTACTCGGTTAATGACCTCAACAGCATGAAGCTCCCTATGACGGGGGTGTCTTTGGTTCGTTCGTATCTGCTTGCATGGGAATAGTCAACCACAATGAATCCTTCCCTACCCACTCCCTTTGTAAGGGAATGAGGATGACGAGCCCCTAATTCCTACACAGTAGAGATGTACACCCGAGGACCCCCCCCCCCCCTTTTCTCAGACAATCACCTCTCACCACAACATATGTACGGCGGACTCTCCCCGTTAGGTCAATTCACGACAACCGAGGACCGAATGCCACTTGCCCATCTGATCCAATCAAGTTGCCGCGATTCTCCATCCCAGGGCCTTCAAGCTAACTGGAATGGATGTCTGAAATCTTGGCAACAGTTTTCAGTCAAATGGTTGCTAGGTTTTGGGAAAGCCCCTTTACCCCCCCGGCAGAAAATCTATATATTGTTGGGAGAGGTCCTCGCTTGGGATCGTGACTTGGGTTCTAGTAACAATCTGGCTCTCTTGTCGCGGGCGTCACTCCTGTGAACCCATTAACAAGCATCTGAATTGGCAGATTTTCACGGCCTGAGAGGCGTTCTTCGTCGTCTGACCACTGACACATCCCCCCTCAGCCAACATGGCCACTCCCACGATCGAAGAACTCCTCCAGCACCAGACTTTCAAAACACTCACCCCCAATCAAGTCTCCTCCTTTATGAAATATGGCTTCCTACGCCTTCCCGGAGCTATTCCCCTAGACAAATGCGAGTGGTGGGCCAAGGACGTCTGGCACCGCCTAGGAATGGACCCGAATGACAAGTCCACCTGGACGGCCGAGCGCTCACACATGTCCAAGCACCACGTTGTCCCTGCCAAAGAAATCGCTCCCGCGGCGTGGGAGGCTATCTGCGAATTATGCGGGGGCGAGGATCGAGTGGCCAAGGGGGGAGAGATGTGGACAGATGCCTTCATCGTGAACCTGGGGAGTGAGGAAACGGAAGGTAAGAAGGTACCGCCCAAGGAGTTGGATAATTGGCATGTCGATGGGGATTTCTTCGTCCATTTCCTCGATAGTCCTGAGCAGGCTTTGTTGGCGATACCCTGCTGGAGCGACGTCGAGGAGAATTCAGGAGCCACCTGGATTTGTGACCAAGGGCCGAAGAGAATTGGACAGGTGTTGGTAAGTTGCTTTTTTGCTTGTCTGCCCCATTTTGGTCCCTCGTTGAGGATGGACCAGACCGTGCAAAAGACTGACATGGTGTGTGTTAGTATGATCACCCGGAAGGACTTAATCCAATGATGAATCCCCGCGGAACAGGAATCAGGCCAGAGCGTGAGCATGCCTTCTTCGGTGAGATGGTGCAAGATGCACCCGACGAGAGCTTTCATGAGATGACAGGGAAAAAAGGAGATGTCATCCTGCTGCATCCGCTCACGCTGCACAGCGCTAGTAAGAACGGACGGAGATCAGCCAGTGTGTTTCGCCCCCGTCTTCATCTAGCTCTAAGCCAGAGAATGCATCAATTTTCTCGCCAGGATTGCTGACCACAGTGATCTGACCGCACAGGAATAATCACAAACCCACCCGTCTCGCTCTCTGCTCCATTTCAATTCAACCGCTCGAACCCTGCGGACTATAGCTTGATTGAGCTCAAAACGATGCAGGATCTTGGAGGGCCGGAGAAGTTCAAGGATTGGAAGATTACGAGGGAGAGGGAATTACTTGTTCCAGAGCGACTCCCTCGTCAGGAGAAGTTGCGGGAAATAGAGAATGAGAGGCTTCGGAAGCTGGGTCTGAAGACGGCAGATGAAACGATCAGCCAGCTGCCGCACCTAATGATTTCCAGGCAGCAGGCGGCGAAGGCGGGAGCATAATGGAAATGCGTGTGGCATAACTCATTGTGTCACGAGCACTCGAGGGCAGAAGCAACCAGTCCGTGGGAGAAATTAGGAGGAGTTGAAAGCTTCGGAAAGCGAATGTTAGTTACCTAAAGTCGTCATCTCAATCTATCTTCATGTTAGAGTGCTTCATAGTGGAATCGTAATAATATATAATGACGTAGGAGTTAGGCAACGATCTCAATGACAGCGAGACAGTCTATATAAGCGCTTTGAGGAGGCATGAAAGCAACATGCTGATTCAAAAGGGGTTGCCAGCCGGCTGGCTTGGCATGTTTGTCTTCGGGGCCCCTCGGATACGGCGGGATAATTTTTCTTTGTCATAGGGTGCCAAGATTTTCATTTGGAGAAACTTCCCAGTTCGTTGGAGAGATATTTTTGAGCTTCTAACTTTTTCTCATTGAATTAAAAAAAGCGACGCAGAAAATTTGGAGCACAAGTCAAAAATGGGAAACAAGAGGCGGAAGCTATCCTGTGGTAGCTATGAAGTCTTGTCTACACCTAGAGACAAACCCTCGGGAGAAGGAGAAAACGACACCAATTCAAAAGATCGAAGGCGCTCACTCTTCGTCCGCTCTCTACCTGCGTCGGTCACGAGCGAACGACTCACCGAACACTTTTCGCAATCATACCCCCTGAAACATGCTACGGTCATACTCGACCCCGAGACCAAAATCTCAAAAGGCTTCGGTTTTGTAACCTTTGCCGATGCCGAAGATGCACATGCCGCCGTTACGCAGTTCAACGACTCGGTCTTAGATGGGAGAAAAATAAAAGTTGAAATTGCGGAAGCGAGACACAGAGATACGGAAGATGGCGGTAAAAGCGGCCCAAACACAACAGCTATTCAGCTTCGAGCACAAAGAGAGAAAGAGAGAGCAGGCCCACAGCCTCCGAAGCTGATTGTGAGAAATCTACCGTGGAGCATCAAGACATCCGAAGATCTAGCAATGTTGTTTCGGAGTTACGGAAAGGTCAAACATGCCGTGGTGCCGAAGAAAGGGCCGAAAGTGCAATATGGGTTTGGCATCGTCGTGCTTCGCGGTCAAAAGAATGCGGAGAAGGCAATTGCTGGAGTCAACGGAAAAGAGGTTGATGGGCGCACGCTTGCTGTAGATTGGGCCGTGGACAAGAAAACCTGGGAAGAGCAGCAACATACGGTGTCAGAAGCAGGGCAATCCGCCGCCGAGGACGAGGAGGAACCCCATCCTCCACAAGGTCATCGAGAGGGCGAAGACTTGGGAGGAGACTCCGGGGCTAAGTTGCATGACACGGCGGTTGTTGACAGCGACAGCGACAGCGAATCCGACGAAGTCTCTGGTGAGGAAGAAATGGACAATTTCCACGAAGATAATGACCTCTCCGAACCAGAATCAGCTCAAACCGAATCCACACAGGGCCAAGAGCGACATGACAGAGGAAACGATACCACTATCTTCGTCCGGAACCTGCCTTTCACCACGGATGATGATACTTTGCGAGAACATTTCTCCGATTTTGGACCCGTTCGCTACGCACGAGTGGTTTATGATCAGGATACAGAACGCCCGAAGGGAACGGGTTTTGTCTGCTTCTTCAACGTCGAGGATGCCAAAGCATGTGTTCGGGATGCTCCGAAACATGAAGCTGCCGGCGAGAACTTGAAGAGGGACAGGAAAAGGAAAGGGGAAACGCTGAAACATTCCATGCTTGAAAATGAGGCAACCGATCCCTCCGGCCGATATACGCTCGAAGGCCGCGTTCTCCAAGTGTCGAGGGCGCTCAGCAGAGAAGACGCGGAACGAAGAGCCAATGAAGCAAGTGAGAAGCGAGACGCTCGAGATAGGGACAAGCGACGCCTGTATTTGCTTTCTGAAGGCTCAATTTCCAAGTCATCCAAATTGTACCATCAACTGGGCAAAGCGGAGATTGATATTCGAGAGAGCAGCCAGCGACAGCGACAGCGACTGATCAAGAGCAACCCCAACCTCGGTCTCAGTCTCACTCGACTTAGTGTCAGGAATATTCCTCGCAGTATTGACAGCAAAGAGCTGAAGGCTCTGGCTCGAGAGGCGGTGGTCGGGTTCGCCAAAGATGTCAAAGCTGGCCTTCGGGACCCTTTGAGCAAGGAGGAGCTAAAGCGAGGCGGGGATGAGATGCGTGAAGCTGAGCGGAGAAGAAAGCTCTCGGGGAAAGGTATTGTGAGACAAGCCAAGGTGGTGTTCGAAGATAAGGAGGGTAGCAAAGTCAAGGAAGGAGCAGGCAGGAGTCGCGGTTATGGATTCATCGAATATGTCAGTCATCGAAATGCGCTTGCCGGGCTGCGCTGGCTCAACGGACATTCGGTAAAATCCTCTTACGATGGTGGCGGTGAAAAGGGAAAGCGACTCATTGTCGAATTTGCTATTGAGAATGCCCAGGTCATACAGCGAAGGAACGAACGGGAAAGAAAAGCCAGAGCGGGTGGGAAGATGAAGAACCAGGATCAGGTCCAGAACAGAACTGAGAAGACGGCTCCGGCCGCAAAGCGAAAGCGCGGTGATAGAAACGAGAAGACCGCCTCGGAGGCATCCAAGAGCCTAGACCCTGATGAGAAAAACCGCCTTGCGAAACGGAATCGAATCGTTGCAAAGAAGCGTCAGGCGAGGAAAGCACGGAAGGGATGATCTCGGACGGCCATTTGTTGATGAATAATAGGATGTATCACTTCTGAGAATGAGAAGCAGCTTTTCCTCAGTACGACAAACTCCCCTTTTTCCCCCATTGTCCGAGGTATGGGCCGGATAGCATAATGCTTCATGCCGCAGTCATTCCTTTCCCGTGTTATGAGCACCGGCGACCTGTAGAGACGGTCAGCATCCATCTTGGGCTCGGAGTTTCGTGTTCAAATCCGCAACCAGTGTCACACCAGGCTTATCTTTCCTCCTTGTCCTTTCTCTTTCGACTATTCTAATGATCTTCGTTCTCGCCAACAAGCCTGGTCAAACACAGTCTCAGAGCTTCTGTACTGACCTTTCCCACAATGTTGTACCGCTTGCTGAAGAAGGCATACCACTCATCTAGCACTGTCTTGTACTTATCATCCAGGTCATCCCACTCGGGGACGCAATCTTCGGCTTTCAAGCTCGACAGGGCGAGTGCGCGAGACGGATCCTTTCCGGCAAAGACTATGGTAGGAAGTCACTATTAGCCCGAGTGCCCATCTATAGCGACCATAGCTAGAAGAGGGCATCCGCACCATGATATTGGCCTTTCTCAGCATAGGCAGCATTCTTGGAGACATCGAAGATGGTTCCCTTGATCGCAACCAATGTTGGCTTGTCCGGATGAGTTCCTGTCACGCAACCGCAGTCTCAGCCCAATGACTCCCTCAATGTGTGTGCTGCCCGTTCCATCCGCATACCATCACATTGACTCAACTCTTCCAGTGTGATCAAATCATTCTTGGGCGGATTGAGTTCCACCTTTTGCTTGGGCTCGAATCTCTTGTACTCTGAATAAGGGCTAGGTGAGGTTGGATCCGCCATGACTGCAATGTATCAACGAACCTCGGCTGGTATCGGTCACTACACAAATAGAGAGATAAGGAGAGCCAGGTCAGTCGGGTTGATTTTGAGAGCAGTGCTCGAAGCGGTGCTAGGACCAAGACGTGCACTGCCCCAGTGACCGTTGTATGCAAGGGTGATTACATACTCTTGAGTTTGTCTGAGGAGAAATAGCAACTACCCCCGGCTTTGGCCTGGGACGGGATCGCGGGGCAGTCGATGATACACTGACTTTGGAGGGACTCTCGCCCTAGTGTCGGGAGGGGCGGTGGTGGCACTGGTGGCAGGTGAACAGATACGAGGGGGGGGGGCGTCAAACTGAACCGACGGCCGTGCTTAATGATCCTTCCTCCAGTCAAAGTCTGTGATCTTTTTCCACGCCCAAAACAAAGAACCTTTGTTGCGATTGACGATGGCGAAGTGGTCAATGACCGACGCTCTGATGACACAGGCTTGCACCATCCACATCGAGAAATCCGAAGAGTCGATCCCAGAACTCACCGTCCGCCATTCGTTGCGCCTGGTGCCCGTCTGCCCCACCGACTTCGCACGCCACGCAATTGCGTTCCATGGCACCACCCAGCACGCGATTCTTTCCTCTTTTCGCCTGGCCCTTATCGGGAAAAATGAAAGAGGCGGAAAAAAGTGCTGTGACGCGTTTGCAGCGAAATTACCCATGTTAGGAACCAGGGGAGCCGAGGCTTACAATCTATTCGAACACCAAGCATCTCCCCCGTCTTATACCTGATCCTTCAAAGGTTTCACGGGAGTTTCCACCATAAGTCCCATGAGAGAATGGGCCACCTCGGCCGCAGCGAGGACCGTCGTCTCTCCAGGATTGTCATAAATAGGAGCGACCTCCACCACATCCGCTCCAATGACCTTGAGACCTTCAAGTCCGTCCAGAATACTCAGGAGTTCTCTGGTGGTCCACCCCCCCACTTCCGCTGTACCTGTTGCCGGAGCATAGGCAGGATCGAGGACGTCAATATCGACAGAAATATACACGTTGGTATCACCCACACGCGCTTTGAGCTTCTCAATGATACCGGCCACACCGATCTTGTCAATGTCTCTGGCGGTAATGATCTCAAAACCGCACCGTTTGTCGTTCTTCCAATCGTATTTCTTATTGGCAGCTGGTGCTCGAATGCCGGCGTGAGCTGACGAGTTCAGAATCAGACCTTCTTCGTGGGCAATGTGAAGAAAAGTGCCATGATTCACCCCGGCATAATGGGAAAATCCCCCTCCAAGGACCTTCGGATCTGTCCGAGACCAATTGTCAGCATGACGTTTTTCAATGTCCGGCGGATGACAAGGGCTGGACCCGGAGGCCGGAACGCCACACGTGACCCCGCCGAAAATGTTTCCAGAAGGGGATGAACTCAACCGTACCCCAAGTGTCGATATGACTGTCGAAATGGATCACACTGACAGGTCCCCAATGATCAATCGTCGAGCGTAATGCAGCCAAAGTAGTGGTGTGGTCGCCACCAAGGGTGATGATGCGAGGGACACTGGCTACCTCGCTGGTGTTTGCGGGCCGGCTCGAAACATCCTGGTGCGCCTTCCCGAGTTGCTGCAAGGCTACGGTATTGTCTAGAAAAGTCAGGGGTGCGTCGCCACAGTCGACTATTCGAGCCCAAGCAAGAAAGTAGTTATCATGAGTGTAAGGACTCCATGCAAAGGGAGCGGCAATTCGTCGAGAGCCCCTATCAGACCGGTCAGATCAGGAAATGGTTTTCGCGGATCTTTTCCTAGTCGACTTCTGAAGATTCCAAAAGAGGGGGGAAAAAAATAAAAGAACATGACCAAAACGAGACATATCGCCCTCGACTTACCATCGAATGCCCGCAGGGCCAAATCGGGCTCCAGGTCTTCCCGTGGTAGCGGTGTCGAAGGGAGCTCCTAAAAATGCGATATCATACTGATCCACCGAATCGTCTGATGATAAACAATGAACCCAAGGCAGATTTGAGAACGTAGTCAATCCCGAGTATTTCTCGAATTCTAAGAGGACGTCCACATCGCTGCTTATGGTAGATCGATATCGACCAGGGTCCAGGTCATGTCTGTAGCCATGGCCGTGGGAATTGGATTGCGATTGTAGTGGGTCAACCGGAGGAAAAATCACATCCCGAGCTTCTAGGGCGGCAGGCAAAAGGAACAGCATCGACGGGCCCAAAGAGGCGAACATGATGCCATTCAAGCCCGGGAATCGCGTATCTCATGCAGAGAGTAGGTAAGAAAGAAGACCACGCGTCGCGGGCCAGCCCCCCAGGCAACCTGAGTCTTGAAGAGGATTTTTTTACTTCAGACTTAACCAGTGTTCCCGTACCGTGCTCCAGGATCCACGAAGAAGGGGGCGAGAATGAGCGGCTGAGAGATACCGATATGCAGCGTAGCACGAGGGAAATTAGTTTGGGGAAGAGTGGGCGAGGTGGCGATGATAGACTGTTGCAGGATCGGGATATCGAATTCAAGGCAACAAATCCAGTCGAGCGGATTGGAGATTGGGAAGTGGGAGGTCAAGCAGTGCCGGTAAAGAGGCTTAGCGGCGGAGTTTGACATGGTGATCGAAGATGGAATGATAATGGGCAATTGCCAATTGAAACGATAGCAAGGTATGATTTTCCAGGAACTGACGAGCGGTGGCGTGAAACGTGTATTCTGGTAGGATGAACCAGGTATAAGCGGGCCGCTTACAGTAGAGGAGGATGCACGGTAGCCCAGTTGATCGTTGGTTTCTTCTCTTCCGCACCTTTAAAGGGCTTGGCAACATTCAGCCAAGCCCCTAAAGCGGACTAGCAGAAGTAGCCAATTCACTGCCTCCTTCTCGTCGCCTTCCGCCCGCCTATCCACCAAAAGTCCCGGCCACTCACCTCCTCCTTCTTTTGCTGGTTGCATCTTGCATCGACTCTGGTACTACCTTTGCCTCGTGCTGCCCATCGGCCTTGCGAGAACCGGGCTATCTAGCAAATGGTGTCATCTCTACGACAATCCTCCTCGAGATAAGCCCACGCCCAGACTATCCAAAGGGCTCATCATCTCAGGCGCTTGGACTTGCTCATCTCTTGTCCACGTTATACCCTGATCCAACGAAACCCAGGCCTTGCTTAATGGCGGGCCACCCAAAGTCTATCTATCTGCTGGGGAAACTCGCCATGCAGCCGATAATTGTGGGTGACATTATCATCATGATCAGCCCAGGCTCATCGGTCTACATATACCATGCGATTCCCACCGGGGTCTAAGACTCCCTGTCCTTTTGACTTGTTTTCCCAGTCTCTTTCTTGTCCCGTTTCTTTGACAGAGATCTTTCATCATGTCAAGCGCCGCCCATGACTTTGGTTCCGACGAGAAGGGGATCATTCCCCATGTCATGGATGAAACTCCCCTGGCTCGTGGCATTCGCACCCACTCTGACGACGATGAAGAAAATGTCCGACGAGGCTCCCACTCTTCTCGCAAATACTCGGTCGTCGCCTCTCTCAAGGCCAACTACGCTCTCGCTGAGACCCCAGGTTATGCTGACAGTATCAAAGTCACCTATGACAGCACCCACCGAAAGCTGAAACCCCGACACATTCAGCTCATCGGTATTGGTGGTACCATTGGAACAGCCTTGTACGTTCAAATTGGTCATGGCCTGCTCAATGGCGGCCCAGGAAGCTTGTTTCTTGCCTTCACGATCTGGTAAGCTAAAAGATTTTTTTTTTTTTTTTTTTCCTTTTCTCTTTTTTCGGAGGGCTTTACATCAAGGATCCGATCTGGTTAAGCAAGCGAAGATTTGGCCAAGAACGCCCCCCCTCTCTTCTTCGTACCGCCATAGTTCGAACCCTGGCGCCAGAGGCTACTCACAGTTCGACACGAACAAACCGAATTATCATAATGTCTTCGTACGATTTTGATTCAGTATCCAAGGCTAACACATACCTCCTTCCCACTCAGGTGTACATTCATTCTCTGCGTTACCAACTGCATGGCCGAGATGGTTACGTATCTGCCCATTTCGTCCCCTTTCATTCGATTTGCCGGCCGTTACGTCGATGAAGCCTTTGGTGTTGCCGCCGGCTACAACTTTTTCGTCTTCGAAGCCATGTTGGTTCCCTTTGAAATCGTTGCGTGTAACGTCATCATCCACTTTTGGAGCGACATCGTCCCCGCCGGTGGTATTATTGCCATTGTCATTGTCTGCTATGCCATGATCAACCTCTTCGCCGTTCAGTGGTACGGGGAGTCTGAATTCTGGCTTGCTTTGGGTAAAGTACTTCTGATCGTGGGCCTGATTATTTACACCTTCATCGTGATGCTTGGAGGGAACCCGTTGGGTGATCGTTTCGGATTCCGCTACTGGAACAACCCAGGATCTTTCACCGAGCTTTACTATGGAGGCTCCCTCGGTCGATTCCTGGGTTTCTTGCAATGCTTGATCCAAGCCTCCTTCACCATTGCAGGACCCGACTACGTTTCCATGGCCGCGGGTGAGGCCGAGAATCCCCGCAAAGTCCTCCCTAAGGCCTACAAAGCTGTCTTCTACCGTCTGACCTCCTTCTTTATGCTCGGCTCTCTCTGTGTCGGGATTTTGGTTCCGTACAACGACGCCGAGTTGACCGAGGCCTATTCGACCGGAGCACCCGGTGCTGCCGCCTCCCCATATGTTGTCTCGATGAATCGACTCCGAATTCAAGTACTTCCCCACATTGTCAACGCCATGGTGCTGGGTAGCGCGTTCTCGGCTGGAAACAGTTACGTCTACTGTGCGAGTCGTAGCTTGTTCGGTCTGGCTCTGGAAGGCAAAGCTCCTCGAATTTTCACCCGATGCACCAAGAATGGTGTGCCCATCTACTGTGTGGCCATCGTCCTGTTGATCAGCCTGTTGTCCTTTTTGCAAGTCAGCAATAATGCGTCGGTGGTGTTGAATTGGTTCGTCAACTTGGTGAGTTGGCTCTCGTGAGATTAAGTAAAAGAGTCCATTGCTTACTGCCCAAGGTCACCGCATCCCAATTGATTAATTTCTCGGTCATGTCGTACACGTTCATCAAATTCAAGAGAGCGCTCGAAGTCCAAGGTATCGATCGCAACACTCTGCCATATAAATCATGGTGGCAACCATTCTCGGCCTATTACGCTTTAATTGGCACCTTCATCATGACTTTTGTCGGTGGATATACCGTCTTCCTCCCTGGTTTCTGGGACGTTCCAACCTTCTTTTTCAGTTATACCATGATCGGGGTTTTCCCGACTCTCTTCTTTGGATGGAAGTTCTACAAGAAGACAAAGTGGTTGAAGCCTGAAGAAGTCGATCTCAGAAAGGATATGGATGAGATTGAAGAGTATGAGAGAGACTATGTTCCCAAACCACCAAGGTGAGTCGTGGTATATTGACCACACCTGTTCTGGACCCTTTTTCACCAAGCCGTATTCGTGACTGACTCGAACCCACAGGAACGTATTCATGAAATACTTTGACAAACTGTTCAGCTAAGAATACCTTCCGATCTCGATGGAATTTCTTCAACGTGTCGGTCCCTGTATGCCTGAATCCCCAAGGCTGAACGAACTCCGAAAAGGATCAAAAGAGAAATATTTAAAAATACGCGTGGATCCAGCCGAGTGGAAGCAGGAGTGTCTCTGTGCGTGTCCCATGCGTCTTTTGTGTCCTTATACCGGACCTGAGCGGATCCTTTATTCTGGGTTTACTTGTGCGTGGTTGTACACGGGGCGCTTCTACGAAAGACGAAGGGACGTCAGGTAGCGAGCTTTTCAAATCAAAAGCCGAACACGATAAACTCACGACGGACCTTTGAATTTGCAAATAAAAAAAAAACAGATCCGACCAAGATACCCTCTTTGGATATTCATTGTACATTCCCATTCCCTCCTCTTCCTGTTCCGCTGTTCTCATCAACACTCTTCATGTGTTGGTTGGGGGCGCGTTGTATGCTCTTCATTCCCTCTCCTTCTTTTGCCTTGAGCACTTGTCTCTTATTCTTCCATTGAATTTCTTTCTTTGGTTTTTCTCTGCTTTTGACCCAGTTTATCCTAGGTTAGGGTCATGCGGATGGATAAAGGGATGAAAGTTGCGGGTAAGTACTCATTCATCATTGTCAAATCCCCCAGTCAAACTCTTACGCGTTTCTCTCGCTCTTTTCAGAAAAGAAGAACCGATTTGATTCAGTAGTCATTATATTATCCATTTCATTATCGATTCCGCATCACGCACATGAGCGGACTTCTCTACTTTCTCTTCTTTACTTGCTTTATTCCAATCTATATGAAGATCCAGGACGCCGGTCATTAGTGATTCATTGACAAGGATACTTGTGAGAAATGGGGTTGGAAGGATTCACCGACGAAGTGAATGGAGCAGGTATGTGCCTTGGCCAGAACATCTTTCCAGTGGGCCCATCATGGGTAAGACATGGTATGATAGCTACAATCATAGGGATCTTGGTTCCGTCTTTGAACGGCTTTGAGTCCGGTATGAAAACAATGCTCAAGCCGGATTTGTGGACTCTTCATCAAAAACTTGAGCCGACATTCTTGTGAAAAAGGGGGAGGGGGAGAGAAAAGGGCAACGGACTGTCCATGCAGGATTCCTCTAGACCCCAGTGATGAAAGTCTGCTGAATAATCAGGGCGGTCGACGGATAGTTGAACCTTGGAGGTAGACCCCAGTGAATTCTTTCTTTGACGCTTGCAAGTCAAGACATCGGATCCGAAATTTTTGAGTCTCTCGTATCGCCTTCCACGAAAACAGAAATCGAGGAGGACATACATCTGAGGTCGACAAGTACGGCCACTGGTCAGCCTCGTATCGCATCTCCAGTCCGAGTCTGGGATCTTACTCAGGACCAGGCCCATGTGCCTAACCCTGGTGCAGGTGGAAGGTGAGTGAACCGCGATAAGTGAGTAATGCCCATTTGTGGAAATCAGGTCCCGTCCCCCCGTTCCCGGCCTCATCCCGCGGTATCTTTCGGACTTCTCGTTCCTTGATACCCACCCCCCATTGCCCAGAGTGGTGAATTCCTGTCGGCATCTGATAAGGATCTGACATTTAGGGTGCTGTTTTCTTTTTCCCGTTGTCGTGTAGAGTCGACGAGCGGCTCCAGACCTTCAAACGTGGTCAAACATCGATTCACTCTTTCTCCTTCCACTGCCCAGAAATGCTCCCGGTGGCGGTTGCAACAAACCGTCCACCTCTTCTATGATCTGCTCTCGTCTTTGTTCTGCAGCGATTCTTTCTTCTTCTTCCCTCTCCGTCTCTGTTCGTCCATTGGCCTCGGCGGCTGCAGCATAATTACCTGCACCACCTCTCCCTGGATGTTGAGAATGTGAGTTTGGTGGGCTGACGGTCTTGGGGCTAAAGCTCGCCGGTAAGCTCGGGCTTCGTTTCGCTGAAGTAATGGCATTGTTGGAAGCGAAATTCCCTACCCCGCCGCGACCGGTAGATAAGTATTGCGCTGAAATCTGCCGCATGCGCGCTGCCTCTTTGGTATCAATGAGTCCCAATTTTGCAGCGGCTTTGCGACGTTCACCTAGAGAACTCTGCGGTATAGGTTGGGCTTCGAGATCGATTGGAGAAGACGACCTTACGGGCTTAGGCTCTGTTTGCCAGGAAAAGTTCCCAGCTCCGCCTCGACCGGTGCGCACATAGGGACCGTAGGCGGAAGAGTTGGAAATTGTGGACATGGGGCTTTGCGTACTGGAGTGGTCTGTCGGGATGCTGTAGGAGTCGTCTGATATGGAAGGGGTGTCATCGTGATGACGAAAATGGGAATCGGTGGGCATTGGAGATACGGAAGAAGCATAGGAATCAAGGAGCCATGCGGCCCAGGATTGTGTCGGGGACATTGTTTGGGAATTAATGGATGTCTTTGGGGGAGTTTCAGCAGAACAGTGGGACTGTCACACCCGCAGTCTGCAGGGAATCGGCAGGCAGTCAAAATGCAAACGACCGAGGCACAGTTTCGCCTTGTTGATTTTATCACAATCGTAGTACTAGTATCTTGCAAATCAATGGAAAAATTTTACATGGAAAAGTCAAAGGCACGACCAAACCATCCCTTTTCTCGAAGGGGAAAATAGAAGAATAAGAAATAGAAACCAGGCAACAAATGGGTTCAAGTCCATAAACGGTCCGTGGCGCCGGGGGTGGGGGGTAAACATGGTCAGAGTCATTGGGCGTCTGATGGTGGTCTAAGCGAAATGCATTCGGCAGGTAGCATTTGCTTGTTGACAAATAAAGGGCTAGTTGTCGGACAGATCTTCCAATAGAGAAGGGGGGAATAAAGGTCAATCGGATATCACATCCCCTTCCACATGGCTTGAGCAAGCTGCACACATTGTGAGACAGAAGACAGGCTGCGGTCGAGGGAAGCGTGCCTGTTACTCCTTTGGCTTTGATTGCGCTTATTGCTGGCAGCTTCCGTGTTCTGTTAGGCGTGTTGAAGATTTGATTCTGTTGGCGAGACCGGCTAACCATGGCCCTTGTCGCCCAAAGCTCGGTCTAAGCCCTTGGATGTCGTTGCGTCTTGCCTCGTTGTCTGAACCCTTTTGCATCTGAAGAGTCTCAAGAATGTCGATTGCGGGTCCTACGTTGGGTTAAAAAGGGGGAATGTTTTCGACTTTCTCATGCCGGGCTCAAAAATAGGCGTGGCTTTCGATAATGTTATCTCTCGGTTGATAGCAGAGATACTGTACCTCAACTTGTTTAGAGCGCTTGGGTCTTGTCCCGCTAGGCTGTCCCAATTCGGACCATGAGCAGACAACCCTTCTGCTTGGAATTGTTGCCCCTGCATTTGTGGTAGAAACATAGTCCAGTCAACCTTCGCTTCTCTTTCTTGCGGTCTTCATTGATAGATGTCTAAGACGACGAGCACTGACCTTTGGGGCTGACATGCGAAGCTGGAGATGTCCAAGCCTCGCCATTGACCCCTGGGTAGGATAGCTTGAGTACTAGGCATACTAGGCCACCCAAGGTACGGAGCCCAGCTAGAATGGGAACGAGTTAGTACACTTCGGCTGCATTTGGTTGTTGTTTCGGCAGTTCTTTTGTGTGGGGGTAATTCCTAAATAAATCTGCTCTGGCGAGAGGTTCAAAAAGATGCTCAATGGAGGAAACACCAACTAAGGGTGAAGGGCCAGGACAAGGTGGATTACTGATAGACACTGTTCAAAATTTGGCCATGAAGTATGCTTCTCACAGAATATCAGGTATCTCGCTTCTGCGAACCTGGGACTGATCAACGCGGTAATGCCATACTTGTGAAGAAAACCCCCATTTTCATCCGCTATGATATGCTTCTTTCACCATTCAGTGGAGGACAGGAAACACTTTCTGAAAGCTCTCTCTTCTCTGCATATTTCTCCACCACTGCCTAACATTTGGTCCGATAGCAAATCCAGGATCGCTTTTTCTCACCCGTGCCTCCAACTTACCAAAGTCATTGAAGTCTTCGGCCCCAGCGAAACACAGGACGTGACTCAGCCAAGGTACAATATGCAAGTCCGCATAGGTCACCTTGCCTCCCGCAGCATAAGGTAGCACAAGCGTTGACTCCAGCTCCTTGAAGGCAGTGGCGAATTTCTGATATGCTTCGTGTGTTGACCTGAAAAACTGCTCATGCTCTGCACCGATCGGCGTCACGTAAAGGTGGTGGAGTTTTCCATTGTCTTCTGCTTTAGGACCATAAAAGGGGTGGTCCGGGTATCGAGCACGATTCTCTTCCAGGACGCGTTGACGTGTGGTGATGAAACCATGGAAATTACCCTTGACCTTTTCCATCTCATCTGGGTCTCGCGCCGCCAACAGAATCAGGTTGCTGTCAAGAACCATGGAATGAACAAGCTCAAGAAGCCTTTGAACGGTCTGCTTCGTTGTATCATCCTCGGGTGCAAGGCTGATGTCGCTTTCCGGATGAGCGCGGTCAAGGTATTCAAGAATGTCTGTGCTCTGCATCAGTGGCGTGTCGAGGACGGGAGCCGTGAGGGCTGGGATTGTGCCGTTGTTGTTGACTTTGAGGTAGTCGATGTCGAAGTTGCCGGCTTCGAGGAGATCAACCTCTTTGGCTTCAAATTCGTGAGGCAGGTAACCCTTTTCAACGAGACCGAGCTGGGGGACCATCGCCCATTGAGAAGCTTCTGACGTATAAAGCGTGAATTTGGGAGTCCCGGCTGCCATTTTGACTACAGACGTTTCACCGAGAACCTGTTGTGGTTTCCTGACGATTGAAGACATTTCAATGACAGTGCGAAGCGCACCCTTATATGTTGTTCAATCAACTTCCCAGTCAACAATCCAGATAAAATCTTTTCCCAATCTGACGAGCATTCTGTGCGTGTTTTTCACTCCATTGTCCGAAAATCTTGATCGATTACGGAATCACGGCTTGGTATTCTGCGCTTCTTGACAGCAACGTCAAATTCCATTTAAAGGTATGTATGACTTCCTATTTGGTGACAACAACACGCCTGGAGTCGATCTGAAGATTGATCATGGCCAGTGGACGAAACTCAACATGTATTCAGTTGGTTTTGCAGTTTGATATGAAGTAATTGATCAACCCGAAAAGGGTTGCTATACCTTTCATTAAGAACCCCGGAAGCTAAATCCGGGCCTAGGACCCTGGGGGCTAGATCCAGCAAATGCTGGGCTGGAAATGAGTTGATCAAGTGCAGGCATCTGCTCCCGTCATCTCGCATTAAAGATTTGGAGCACCGTGTCGTCGCAATGCGGTGGATAGATTAATAGGAAGAACAGATGAAGATGTCCAAATTCATCGCTGACTTGAAATCTGATTGCTTGGCGAATAACGACATCAATATGAAGTACTCTTCACTAATATGCACCATAGACTTACGACGTTCCCAGACCCGCAGGCACGACGATGGATTTCCCGGTCTCTGCTAAAAGGCCCACACGCTCGGCTGGCACGTTCTCCCAAGTTTGATCGTTCACCGATCGATGACAGGACCGGGCCGTCAGTAGGAGAATGTTCGACCGTTCAAGGAAATTATTTTGGCGGGATCGCTGACAAACATATTCGGCACCACGCGGAGAGGCGTGAGTACTGGGCCCAATTTTTTGGCTTCAAATATAAGTTTTTGCTCGTAACTATCTCCAGGAGATCCGGGCCCCGGATGCCCAGAGACATGCTTTTCTTCAATACCCATTCTATAGGTGGATCATCACTCCCGTGTTGCCGTTAGCCATGCTCATGCCCAAGCGTCCGTGCCGTCTCTAGATTCTCTTGACCGATGACGAAGCTGATGGGCCAGGGCTGACCAGTAGTGATGCCGACCTCGTGCACCAAAAGATTGCGTGGAGGTACATGTACTCGACAAACTTACCGGACTCCATAGAACAGCCCGCAGGACTGCGCCGTTATCTTGCGCAATTCGTCCGCCACCAAGCAAAGCCGATGACGACATGCTAGGCATGAAAAGGTGAAGGTGCGTGATTTTTTTGAGTCCATTGGTGCAATCAGGTGACCTCGCCAGCTGGCCTTAAATTATCACTGGCAGTGCCTATTTCGTGCTTAGTTCTGTACCTTGCTGCAACCTGTTCGCATACAGTTTGGCGGACTTCGGGCATGGCTGCGGCTGGCCTCTGTCCACTGATTTGTTCACTTGGTCTGCCACTACTGTACTCCACACGACCTCAAGGGGCTAGTAAAATGATACCAGCAGCCACGGGGTGCTACTTACTGTTGTTAAAACTGTCTCGATTATGGACCAGTTTCCCCCCTTCCTTAAAGGCCCAATGAGGTGCCTGTCGCCAATCAGGCGCCATTCTCTGTTTGCTGTTGACAATCAACGCCTCTTGTCTCGCCGGGGTATAGGCGTGTTGATTCGCGGAGTTAATTACAGCGCCGCCTTACTTGCGGGTTGCGCCCGTCATTACCGAGAGGGTCAGTACTATTTACCACCTAGTTTCCTCGCATGTCTCCCACCGACGTGGAGGAGAGGGCGATAACTTTGCCTGGGCGATTGCTCACCAATGATCAGATTCTAGGCATGCGTCTCAAGCTCACGCGCCCCCGTAGGAGGATCCTTAGGCCGTTCCCCTCTTTCCCCCCTCCTGGGTTGTGCGCATGGTTTTTGGCCTTCTTAAATCGGGAGTGGCTAAACATCCGACCTGTGGTTGTATGGTGGGCCGGTGACTACCACGCCGTGAGGACCCCGTGAGTGGGCAGTTCAAAGAGGGGGGAGCATTTTGTATGGTGCTTCAAGCCAGCCAGTTTTTAGTCAGGTACGGAGCCCAACTGTCTAATGGCTCTTCCCAGCCCTGGCCGACCCTGACCCATGACCTTGGCTTTTGGCGCTCGACCTGTATCGGCATGCCCATGTCCTGCCCCATGCCGTCCGTGATCCATCCATCAATCGAAACAGTCGCCATCGACAAGCTTGATCAAATCCCCAAAGATCGATGTTCCCGTCATCCTGCCATTAAAAAAATTTTTTTCTGTCCCATTCTCTTTCCTTCGCCCCATTGTCATTTGCTTCAACAGCGAGTTCGCGTGTGTGATTATGTCCTTTGTGAACAAAGGAACAATCTCTTCAGCCGCCCGTCCTACTGAAACACCTACCAGTGACTTGGTATTGAGAGTGTTTGGAGCAATTTCCTGTAGGCTATTTAGTCTTTTAGTACGCCGACCCCGCAACAGACAAAATAAGGAACCAGTCAGTCAATAGGCCAGAGAAGGCACTAAGGTAGGAAGGCACCGAAAGAATCGAGTTGGTGGCCCGTGTACGGAATAAGGGAATCGAGGCGCTGAAACCGGGGCGATCAGCAGGTCCATCCCAAGTTCATAACTCTGCAACCCAAAAGAAAAAAAAAAAAAAAAAAAGACCGGGCCCTGTCTTTCGTACCAAACTCAGCTTCGCCTTTCTGGCATCTCGCAACACCCCACGACAGCCGCAAACACCACCAGAAGTGTGGCCAAAACCAAAACCCAAAACCTGCGCTTCCCGAGGAGTGTAAAAATCCACAACCAAAGTCCACATTTCCGCCAATCCTCTCCCACCACCACTTACTACTTTCCGCTTCCACGGTTCACACACATTCCCGATCCCCGTCTTTCAATTGCATCCGTATCAACTCCAGCATCTTTTTGCATTGACAAGCGACTCGATCTCCTTTCACTCAAAGTTATAGTCACAGATCAATCGCTGCCGCTCCTTTCGTTCATCTACCGTCGACCGTGCAATCCCCCTTCGCGGGCTCGTTAATCTTGTCGGAATCCCCCCCACCACTGAACGTTCACCCACCCTGATTGCTACCATCTCCTGACGGCTCTCAAGTCTCAAGACTGTCATCAGTTTTGAACTCGAGAGTCGTCTGATCCGTTCACGAGTCTCAAAATCATGGCTTCCTCCAAGGTGGGTGTGGCTGATGGCCCGTTCTCGACTGGGAGCCCGTGCTAACCTTGGTTTCTAAACAAAGGAACCACCCAGTTCCCGTCCTGTCTCGGGCAGTTTTTCCAGGCACACTCCCACTGCTCGACAACATTCTCACTCGATTTCGCTTGCGGCTATCAATCCTTCCCATCGGGTCAATCGTCGGAAAAGTGTCAACGCGGCTGCGTCCTCGACTGCACAGGCTGCCATTGCGGCCGCATTGAGAGAACAAGGAGACGCGACTGCCATGCCTCTCCAAAGCCATAGAAGAAGTGTGGGCTCGAGAAAGACTACGGAATCACACTCGATGAGTTCCAGGCCCAGCATGCACTCCTACTTCAATGGTTCCTCTACGGCTTCCGGTCAGGACAACGACGCCGCCGTCGAAGACAATTCCCATGATGATGAATTACCACCTCCTTCCAAAAACTTGAGCACCAAGCACCGAAACAGGAGGGCGAGTGAGGGCTCATATCTCATCAAAGGGGACAATAAAAAAACCTCTTCGGATTTGCGGTGTGATACTTGCGGCAAGGGATATAAGCATAGCAGCTGTCTTACCAAGCATCTGTAAGAATCATGATAACCTCTCTGGCCCATACGTGTACTGATAATTCCAGGTGGGAGCATGATCCGGCATGGGCCATCACCTCCAAATTGCTCATCTCTAAACATCAACAAGTCCAGCTGTTGGAGGCTGCTTCGGTCTTATGTAACATGACTGCGGAGAATTTGCCGGCGGGCCAATCTGAACCCGAGACGTCTGTGATCGATCCCAGCGAAGGTTCATCTGGATCTCCAGGGTTCTCTTCATCTGAAATGCAAGACGAACTTAGTTCGGTCGAGACGACTCCTCCCGTGAGCGAAGCCGCATACCCGGTGCCGGATTCCAAACGATTCAGTGCCAGCAGCAATGGTTTTTCCCGTTCCTATCGATCCATTCCCTCTAGTTCGTACACTGAGAGCGTTCTCTCCCCTGGCCTACCACCTCATCGACTTTCCGGTGTGGACTTCCGACCAAGCACCTCCGGAACCGATGACGGTACCCTTGCCGCAGCCGCAGCTGGCCTCACGTTTAACAGCGGCACCCCTCGTACCAAACCCACCTACCTAGGCTCGGATGTGCCACCTGTACCACCATTGCCACAACAATACCAGTCCTATAATAGCAAATCGTCTGACAGTACATTGACGAATGTATATAACCCTTTGTTGCAGATGCATCCTCCTACTTTGACACAAAATATATCCGATGAGAGAAGCTACCGAGATAGCAACGATGACAAAGGCATCCATATGGATGACGAAGAAATGTTCAAGATGGAGGAATAGAGGAGTCCATCACTACAAGACATGATCAAATCGATCCCGTCCGTTTACCCGATCTCACGACCTTTGTTTTCCTACATTCGTTCAGCAAAGACTTGAGGCGCTATATTATTTATTGTGCGTATTTTTGGCTGCAACCAAAAACAAAAAAAAAAAGAGAGAGAACTTAAAAAAAAAAAAAAAAATTAACACCCTTCTAAAAATTCAGATCTATATTCCCTGGACAAATTTTTTCCGGCACCGATGAGTTGACGCATGAAGTGGACAAAGGTCGAAGCAAAAGATACAATCAAGAATTGAAGTTGGAGGAGGAAAGAGAAAAAATAAAAAAAACAAAAAAACAAAAACAGGAGGCAAAGAAGAAATTCTAGTCCATGCTCCGCGGACAGATCCTCAAAACACCGATGAGATGATTCGTACTCAGTATGAGATCAACGAGGTTAAAGTGAGTGGGACTGTTCAGGTCTTTGCGTTGAGCACGACCAATACGGCAATGATATGGAAATTTTGGTTTATGGAAGAAGCATGGCAAGCCCTCCGAATTTTGGGCAGTCTTTGGGGCGTGGAATTTGAATGAAAATGATACTGGAGCGTCATTTGATAACCATGTCTCAAGGTATCTTGATTCTTTGGACAACCTGAACGGCTCGAGCTTGCCAATCATGATCGTCAAATCCGGCTCGAACATCGGCTATTGACGATGCGAATGAACAGACATTCAATCAGCTTGAGAATTTTCTATTTTCTACCATGTTTTCTGTCCGAGTTTTTTTTGTTAATATCTTGGTGACCCCTCCATTTTGATCCACAGGGACTTGCGTTCATAGCGTGACGATTGACATTTTTCCTATTTTAGGACGACTCCGCCGTCTCCGACAGACTCCATTGCGCTGATCAGGGGAGCAGACCCCTGTGCTCGTCCAAGATGGAGGTCGATCAAGAACATGCCTTGCATGAAAACCCCACAATGATATTCTTTTGCCTTGCAAGGTTCTGAGATGATGATCTGTCTGCCACTGTTAAGATGCGGGAGGCAGTCCCGCGTGTAGACTTTGGATCTGAGACTCGAACGGCCGGTGCCGGAAAATCTAAACGCCCGACCCCTTCACGAGCCTGACCTCGATCCTCGTTACTATCAGCGACGATTACATTGGCGTATTACAACAACGATGAGAGTATCCGAACATACATGCTGACTTGGTCACCAAATGCACAAGTCACACATTTCAGTCCTCCCGGTAACATCAGTTGCCTTCATAATCTTGCCACAAGTCGTGGTTGAGGATGAAGAGTGGAACTTCGCTGGAGAAGAGCCTAATCAGGCATAGCGCTGATGCTGCTTACCTGGGTTCTCTAGCCTTGATAAACAATCTCGTTTCGACGTTCTTCCGCAGCCTCGTCGTATTCTGTTCCGTCCCACCAATCGATCTTCTGGCTGTTATAGAGTCAATTTAATTTGTTCTATCTAGAATCATTCGGTCACACTCTTTTCGGGTATTTTCCTTTGTCCTCGCATGTCTTGTTCGAAATGGGTCTGAAAGCCTCGGAAATCCTCGCTCATCCAGCATACAGCACGGTGGAATGGGATCTGCCTCCGACCAGGAAAGGATTCTGTGAAGTCGCCAAAGGAAGGCCCGGAGGTCCATTCAAGATCTATTGGGAAGCTCACGGCTCAGGAGATACCAAATTGGTGGTACGTCCAAGATATCCCGTACAATTTCTCGTGCAAATCTTCTCGTCGGTATGGCCATGTCGTGCCCTGGGACATATTCTGGCCGTTGGCCATAGAGTACCTTCGTGGCAAGCGACAGACTTGGCCCCTGGGATCCAAAGCCAAGTTTCTTAAATAGGGCATGCTTCATCGTGGATTTGTACCTTTCTTCTGGGACTACCGAGAAATTGCTTTGATTCACATTCTAACTACTCTTCCTGCTCTAGTGGCTGATGGGCCTCGGTGCATACCGAACAGCCTGGAAACGCCAAACCAAATACTTCGGCCACCAAAGATCACAACGCTACTCGTCATTCATCTTCGACAACCGTGGAATGGGTCTCAGTGACAAGCCCAGCTGCCGCTATTCGACGTCCGAAATGGCCAAAGATGCACTCGAACTCCTCGCCCACATCGGCTGGCTCCCTGCGATATCATCATCGTCTCACCACCTACCCATGCGGCATCTCCACGTCATTGGCGTCAGCATGGGCGGCATGATCGCACAGGAACTCGCCCTCATGATCCCACAACACATCGCTTCCTTGACCCTAGTATCAACCGCGCCCCGACTCGTGCGTACGGTCCCGTTCATCCAAAACCTGCGTCAGCGTATCAACATGTTCATCCCCCGCGATATTGACGTACAGCTCGACGATAACTCGCACCGGATGTTCAGCGACGAATTCCTCGCCCTGCCGGATACCGAGCAACCCGCGGACTCGGGGAAAAACTTTCCCACGAATCGTGATCGATATTGCGCCGGTGAACTGTCCAAGCGCTCCGACACCCAGGGTTTCACCAGAAAGGGATTCATGCTCCAGGCCATTGCGGCTGGATGGCATTACAAGAGCCCAAGGCAGATGGCGCAGATTGGCGACGAGGTAGGCAGAGAGAGGATCTCTGTTCTACACGGGACGGCGGATCGTATGGTGACGTTCCACCCGCACGCTGAGATGTTGAAAGAGCAGCTGGGAGAGGGCATTACGTACAAGGTCTGGGAGGGTAAAGGCCATGTTCTGGTCTGGGAGGCGGAGGAGGAATTTAATCAGTTTCTCGAGGATGTCTTTGAACGGTGGGCAAAGACTGAAGGGTAGCTGTGGACTGGGTGAGGTTATAGGTTGCACATGGAGTTCGAAGATGGTGTTGGGCATTGCATTTGCGAGCGTTGAGGAATCTTTCGTTTGTATGATATGCATCGGTGTTGGTGCTTTTCGGACCTTGTTGTCCAGTGAATGAAAGAAGGCGTCTAAAACCCCAGTCTTTCATACTCTATTCCTTCCCTCTCTTGTTGATTGTACATGTTGTCCACACATCGTCGAGTGGAGATATTTGTACAATAAGTGCGTCACACCCTGCGCAAACTATGCCGTCTTCCCAGACTTTATCTCACCCATGAACGCCTGCGCTATGCTGGAAAGATGTTTTTGAGGCCCGACCCCGAGAACAAAAATTGCTTCTCCATCACTTTCATGATCACCGCTCTCGATACTCCTTCCATTTTCAAAAGTGAAATATTCACATCTATCAGCCATTGCGCTCCAAAAATTCCTTCGCTTCATTAACTTTACTCGCAAGGTACGGACTGCCACCACGATCAGGATGATTCGATAGCATGAGCGCGCGATGATTTTTTCGAATTTTCTCCTTGGTGAGCGTCCGTTCATTGAGATCGAGGATCAACGAGGCTTCTCGGCGGTTCATCCTGGGTTCAAAGCCGCCCTTGTAGAATGGCCGGCCAAGGGCATTGAGACCATTAGGATTTCGCCATCGGCGGAAAGCAACCAGACCAGCGCGTCCCTACGAGCAAAGAGTCAGCTTGTGAACATTGAACCGGAAAGGAGGTAGAGAGAGAGAGAAAAGGACGGACGAAGAAAGCCGCGGCTGCGATGCCGACGCCAATAGCGACTGTTGATGCCATTCGAAAGAGATGACCCTAAAAAGTTCAGGTTGCAGAGGTGCCGAGGTAGAGCTGACGAACTTGAGGATTGCCTCTGGTAGCGAGGGAGGTAATGAAGGTGTAAGTTGTCAAAGTTGCGCAGAAAGTTTTGTATCTCCCAGGAACATATGACTCGGTCGGCTGGGTTACCACATTTGGCGGCTCCGAACAGGCGGAAAATCTTGGCATGGATTTTCAACTTTGGCCCCCCAACTATTTTCGAAAGTCCCAAAAGGGCTGGTCAAGTCCGGATTTTTACATGAAAAGAAGCCATTAAAATATCCGGGGAAATTATTTCGCTGAAGACAGCACTCCCCTCTTCGTAGAGGCCTTCTACGCTTCTACTTCGGCCACTCCCCTCAGCTGAAAACGGCAACCATGAGGTCTTCTCACCAAAGCCCGCCATTATGACAAGGATTGTCTTTCTAACATGGACTTCTAGAATTGAAACCTGCCACCTTTGTTCCCGTCCCGTGTACCCATCCAAGGGCATAACCTTTGTGCGCAACGACGCCAAAGTTTTCCGCTTCTGCCGCTCCAAATGCCACAAGAACTTCAAGATGAAGAGACAACCGCGCAAGTTGAAATGGACCAAGACCTCACGCGCCCTGCGCGGCAAAGAGATGATCGTCGATCAGAATTTGTTGCTGTCCCAATTCGCTAAACGACGGAACGTGCCTGTGAAATATGATCGCAACTTGATCGCCGCAACAATGCAGGCCATGGAGCGCATCGAAGAAATCCGAGCGAAGCGTGAGAGAGTCTATACAAGGCGGAGACTCAGTGGGAAGGCACAGCGCGATGCGAAGAGGAGGCAGGATCTCAAGGTTGTGGCAGAAGGCGAGCATCTCATTCGCAAGGAAATGGCAGATCTGGAAGCCGCGAGAGCAGAGATGGAGCCTATGGTCGAGCAGGTCAAGAGAGAGATGGAGACGTCGCGGGTCGTAGGTGAAGAGAGGCTCAGACAGAAGAAAAAGAGAAAGATGCTTGTCGGTGGCGGGACGGAAGAAGACATGGATTTGGATTGAGTTGTTTTGGGTTGGCCATTGCGATGCATCTCATGAATTGATTATGCGATGACGATACCCGGCGTCATGAATGGAGTCTAGGGCACTAAAACAGGGGGAGAATGAGACTATGGGTTCCTTTTTGTGTTTGACATTAGATTGGGAGGTTCCTCACGATCAGGGATAGCCCGCGAAGGCCGAGCACAGGCACGGCGATGAGAGCGAGATACCAAAATCATAAAGACAAATTCAAACTCCTTATTTCTGCTACCTGCATCGCTTTTCACCCATTTGTCTGAATAGCACTTGCCGTTGAACTGGAGGCTTACTTCCTATGGATACGCCTCGGTTCCTTCTTTGGATTCGAAACCATTTGTACACCATGGGATTTTATCAGTGGCATCCAACAGCTTCAACGCTTGTTTCCAATCCATCATTAACTGCTCTCAACAAGACGGCGCATACCATTTCTCGAAGCATATCAATAGAGATGGAAGTCTCCCAGGAGGCACAAGCTTGAAGGTGCAGAATCCACAGATGCCTATTTCCCTATTAATCCACCATTTGATATTGGGAAGTCGGCCCCAAGTTGAAGTGCCACGCGTTCTTACCATTGTCCTCCAGTCTCAAAGTCAATAAGAGGTGAACCTATGATCGGAGCAAGGCAGCAGGTTGTCAATCAGGCAACTCTCCCAGCTGAAGTGGCTTTGCCAACTGCACCGTGTGCGGAGCGGATCTCGTCTACTGTATACGGTATAGTGTTCCGGATCAGGCTGAAATTACGACTTCTGATTGGCTTCTCTGCAAGGCGCAGCTTTCCTAGCCCGGCCTGGGATACATAGTGAAACATGGATACTCATGAATCGCCAGCCTCGTGATGGGCGGGACCAGTTCAGCGTGGTGTGTACGAATTCATCTTAAGGCGACATTCAGGTATCATCACCGTGCGCTTGCCTTTAAAGCTATTTATTGGTGGCTTTTGTCCACTACATGACTGTTCTACAGCACGACATCCAAAGCCTTTTTGGAACTCCTTAGCAACAATCACACCAACAGAATATCGAGACTGAGAAAATCAAGAAATTTGATTATCACTTCTACTGAATTTCCTGTTTTATTTGAAGATTCCCAAGCCAAATAAAGCACCTCGGGTATTTCCCCAAGGATGTGCTTCTGCGGAGAGTCAGAAATCTCCCCACCCCCTCGGCCAATTGATCCCGCTCGACGACATGATCCAGCATATCTGCGAGCCTTGGAAGCATATGCTGATGAAACGGAACGGCGCAAGAGAAAGAAAAAGAAGAGAAAGCAGCGTTCGACTCTTACAGCAATCATCGGTGCGAATGCAAGCGCCGCGGCGAGTGGGGGCGGCGGTGCGGGAGGTTGCTAGGAATGAAACTCAAATTGATGTCAAGGGGGTCAAAATTTGGGGAAACATGAGCTTCTAGGACCCCTTTGCCACTTCTAAGGAAGGGGTGGTTATGATGATGATGATAGAACCCATCTCGAAGCAGACTCAATCTAGATATGCTGCGCGGGAGGCGAATGTGTTGTAGAGCCGCAGATCATCCTCCTCTTCTGGCTGGAGTTTTGAATGTTACAAATTCGAATGGCAATAATCAATACCACATTGTGCTTTACGGCACACTTCGGGCTTCTTGAAGAACGCTTTCCTCAAGGGTGGGAGCCAATAGTAATGGTGGGGCCATTCATCTCGACGCCCTGGAGTCCTCACCCGAGTTTGTCGACTGGGACGACAGATCAAGCGTGGACGCAAGCAATCGTCCTTGGGTCAAAATTGATTACTGAATGAATACTGGTACTCGCAGATCTCGTCAATCATCCCCGCAGGTTGGATTTGTTTTTGTAAGCGAGACCAAAGCCTTGTCCAACCCTTCATGACAGCCTGTTCGTCGAATGCGTTCGACGATGACTGCAATCCCAGGAACTTGGAAAGGAGGATATAGCAAATATTTAAATCTCTCGCGTCGAATTGTTTGATAGCGCTCATTAGGCGTGCCACAAACCATATCATTTCACAGAGGCCTTCTCGATTGCTGATGCGAAGGATGATGTGGAAAAGTTCCTCTGGAATCACGATGCAGTGATCTTCTCGCTGCAAGATCTCTGCCTCGATTATGCTCAAGATCTCAGTGCTCTTTGGATCTGATTCTTCGCGCTGAACCAATGCGGCAAGATAGATGAGACTTGCAAGTTTCGCTCGATACCATTTAGTATAGGCATATTTTCCTTCTGGCGAGCCTGGGCGCTGTAGTATTGCTGATATTGAATCGGGCAGAGGTTTTTGTTATCATGACATCGGTCATTGCCGACAAATAGGTGCTGATAGCATCGAGAAAAATGATGATCTCTTCAGTGATTGATCTAAGAACGTTGCTTTTCGACGAGCTTGGTGCGTGTGTCTGTCCAAGAGGGTTAGTTGGCGTGTTGCAGATCAAAACATCAAGCCACATCAGATATGCATGGAGGTCTTCGAAGTTGCGCAGCGCCTGAATTCCGCCATTAATTGCGATCATCTTTCTGAGTCCATTCCAATGCCATCCCGCCAGATCGCGATCCTCACGATATTCTTTGAGATTGGCCAGCAAGGCAACGGCGAGCATGGTGCCACGATGCGGCGAGGAAGGTGCAAGGGATATTTGGCTCGTGATCTCCTACAGTGTTTCAATTTCTAGTTTGTCGGTGTTCAGAGACGACGTTATTCCTCTGTCATGTCCAAAGACATGGGCGGAAATTGCCAGGAAGGCACGAAAGGAGATCGGGCTTCGTTGGATACAACCCAAGAACTCGGAAGGTACATGGGATCCTTTTCCTTGTATAAGATCTGAGAATTATTCAGCACAAGATCGGTCAATAATAGACATCAAGATCAACGTACAGATATTCACCAGAAAATCCACTGCGGCATTTTCCACTTCTCGAGACCTCGCTTCTGCACATAATTCCGGGTCAATGGACCAAGAGTTTTGCCCTCGCAATGGAAGGTCATTTTCATATTCCTGCGACGTCTCGGATTCGGGAGATTCTCGGTCACGGTAATCACTCGGTGGTATTGATGAAGGAAAACTCTCTTTCGCCAAAACCATGGCGCCGTCCCAGATATGAAATTCTCCGCCACTCACGCAGGCGGAATCGGGCGTTGGATCATCTTTTGTTTTTCGTCGCCTATGTCGTTGTCGTAGGACGTGTACTTTGATGGCCTCCTAAGCTGCATTGTGACGAGAGTCTGTCGTAATGAAGGTGAAATCCGTTACGCGAGATTCTCTTTTCGAAGTTGTCATCCTCCCTGTAGAATCCTCATGAACAAGGAAAGAGAGCACGAGACAAAGGAAAGATAAAAGTTTGCCGTCGACCGAACTCCACGGAATGCCTCTGGAAGAAACTCTACCAGTCAGAAACGGCACCCCGCAATGCAAGACTAGACCAAAATCTACTACTGAAAACCATTGGCGGTTTAGTTGAATCTAATCCCCACAAAGGTCTTGACTTTCCACCATCGTCATCTCAACCCTTTAGGACTAATTTCGTGGTAACAAAACCTGACAACTTAGCAACTATGACCGCCATGTGCCGCCGGTGGGATCGCATATTGGGCTTCATCAGGGACAGCAGGCTCTTTTCCGTGCCATCCAGACATTTAAAGGGGAAGTGCTAGGCCTTGAAGGAACATGTCGCTTCTAGCCCTCATTTTTCCGAAATTGTCAATCAATTGTCATGGTTCAACTAAACCCAGACCGGAACTTCCACTTTGAACTCCTTCGAGTCTTAGCCAGCGCCAGGGGCTCTGGGGCTGACATTGCCGAGATCCTGAACATTAGCGACCAGATTGAACCAGGCAACTTCGAAAGTTGGTATGAGAACTTCAACGACCTTGCGACCTGGATCCTGTCCACTCTGGATCCGAAGCATGACTACGACAAAGCCACTCTACGAGATGCATATCTCAGGGTGTCCAGGTACTTCTTCGCCGCGGGCTTTTTTCTCCTTGGAAACGAGGACGATCCCAGAATCACCACTGTGTGGGAGCAATGGACTCTCTATTTGATAAGGCGACAGCGATGATGGACCCGTCACCAGAACGACGGTCACTCAAAGCTGATGGTTTTGAAGTTCCCGTTATCTTCTTTCGAGCTTCTCCTACCAGTGAACCACGTCCAGTCCTCATCATTGGAAATGGCTTGGATGGATCCATGGAAGAAATGTTTCACTTTCACGGACTCCAAGCGCTGGAGATAGGCTATCATGTGGTACTGTACGAAGGACCCGGCCAATGTACCGTCCGACGTCAGCAAAACCTTGGTTTCATTCATGATTGGGAGAGAGTGGTAACTCCCGTGATTGACTACCTGTGTTCGCTGGCCATTGTGGATCAGAAACGAATCGGCCTACTGGGCAATTCTCTTGGAGGTTATCTTGCCGCACGAGCGGCTGCCTTCGAACGCCGCATTGCTGCGACGATCCTAATCGATGATCTGTTCGATGTTTACGCACAATTATCGGACTTGCTTCCCACTGAGGGCGGTGGAGCATGTGGAAGCCGGGAACGAGAAACTGTTCAACGAATCTCTGGCGAAGCCAATGAGCAAATCCACCAATATGAGATGGTTGATTGAACAGATTCGGTGGTCCTTTAATGCCAAAACTCCTTACCAAGCTATTCAGGGAATCAAACGAATGACTCTTGCAGGCGTGGTGGAGAAGATCGAATGTCCCGTTTTCGTTGGAGACCCAGAGCAAGATTTGTTTGGTGTTAAACAACCACGATTAGTCGCAGAAGCTCTTGGCTCAAAGGCTACACTGAGAAAATTTACAAAGAGGGAAGCTGCTGAGGCACATTGCCATGTTGGAGCGACAACTTTTTTGAACCAGATTATTTTGGAGTGGTTCAAAGAGAAAATTGCACGGGTATGAGCGTGAGCTTTGTGATTAGATACCAACCAATAGGACTTGGAAATTGAGTCATAATGCTTAGTGTTTCACTATTGTCATATTTTCCTGAAGAACCAATAAATCTTAAGGGGAGTTGAGGATGTGTGAAACACACCCGGAGCACCTTGATAGAGTCACGCTTTTCACAGACCTGAGACGATGTCTGCGGTCAAATCACTGAGCAAGAAAGCGGACATAAGGATCGTGGTTTGGCCACGGAAGTGTATCAACGAAAGGCCCATTCGCTCTCTTGAGATTCAGATTTGACGGTTTCTGCCCTCCGCTTAATCCAACTGTGGCATTGGCGTCGGCTCAACACCCCACCCGTTGCGGGAACCAAAACCTTCTCTGAAGGGATAAGCACAAACAACATCTTACAATACTCATTGCTCACATTCCTCCATGTCTGCTTATGGTCAGTTAATCTCCTTCCTCTCATGCGACGGTGGGTGCCTTACATGCATGGTCCCTCTCTGCACCACCACGTCACCCTTTTTCAAGGTAGTTTTCGTAGCATCATCCAACGTCAACTGCATCTCTCCGTCCACAACCGCCGCGAAGTCAACACTTTGAGTACGATGTGCAGTATTGATCTGGTCTTCTGCGTCTCCAATGGGTGGAAAGTCAATGACACGACATATCACACCGGCCTTGTCCACAAGACTAAGTTTTTTACCGTGGAAGTCAATAAAGGGTCCATTGACTTTGGCAGGGAATCCACTGGCCTTGCAGATTGTCGTGATGCCTGGGATTATGCCAGTTGCTGGTTGACCGTCTACCGGGTTGAGTGAAGTCAGGATCTCATCCGAGTCGAATATAGCTCTGCCAGAGGGACTGTGGCCTTGCAAGAGATGAGTGGAATATCTAGCTTGACGAACAAGAGCACTGACCCGTAACAATTCGGCGCGTCGTCGTTGTCGAACTCATTTTGTCTCTCCGAAAGGTAGAATCAAAGAGATAGATTGGCTTGAGAATGAGAAGATCTGGAAAAGGCTAGGCCTCGACTGCCGATGCTTTATGCCCGGCTCATACTTCGCCATGCCATACCATCAGAGCCATACATCTTTGAAGAAATAACGAATTTCGCTGCTTTATTCCGCTCTGATAGCACATCTCCATGGATCGCAGATATTTTTATGTCCGTCCCAATGTCATCCGCGATGCCTGGAGGCTGCCAAGCCAGGGGAGCGAGCCTTCTCAGCCAACGCTAATCCCTTTCTAGATATTCAAACCCCAGCATAGCCTAGTGCAAGACCGTCGCTCCACACCCTTCACACATACCCTACGGGTCTATGCTCTAATTGCACCCAATATCCGGCAGATAGGCGGGTGTGCCTCCTCTTGAAGAGACAGACATCGCTGTTCTATCAATCTAGGGGACTGTCAGTCTCTTAAGCGTTATCAACCCTGACACTTCGAGTTCGACCACTTATCAAAGGCGAAATTTCATGCTAACGATGGCTGGGTCCCTATCAAATGCGCTTGATGAGCATCATCGTGTGCACGGAGAGATCCAAACCCTGGATAGTATCAGAAAGCCATACCTGCCCCGCGTCTATAAAGAGCCTTAAGAACCTGCACTCTCGTTGGGAATACGCATTTCATTGAGTCAAGTTGACACTTTGAACTTTTGGCCAAGTGATGCGAGCCATCATGGCTATCAAGTCCATTGAGGTTGGGGTGGTCGACGGCTCAAGTGTGCAAAGGATGAGTGAAGGCGAGAAAGTGGAGGGCGGACCAAATCCCAAGGACGAAAGAAAACTTCTTTGGCGCATTGATTTGGGGTGAGTAGACTATACATTAAGCACAGTCAGCAGAGCTCTGGGGAAATGCTGATAATAAGGTATAGCCTTCTTCCGCTGATGGCAGGATCCATTCTGCTTCAGTATCTCGACAAGCAGACTTTGAACTCTGCTTCCATCATGGGTATCATCCAAGACTTGGTAGGTGTTCAGCGCTCTAGTACCACGACTTAAATCGATTTATACTGAATGCATGATTTCAGAATTTGGAAGGCCGCGAGTATTCGTGGACCAGCAGCATATTCTATTTCGGCTTCTTTGCTTTCACTTATGTGGCCTCATTCTTGATGGTGCGTCTGCCCATTGGGAGGTTTCTCGCCTCAACATTGTAAGCACGAATGGGACCCTTTTGCACATAGGTTATGTGATCACTGACAGTGTGATAGCCTTATATGGGCAGTCTGTGTAGGGCACCATGCGGCCACGACCAACTACGCAGGACTGATGGTCGTCCGATTCTTCCTGGGTGCTGCAGGAGCATCAATCACTCCAGGTTTCAGTCTGATTACCGGCATGTGGTACAGGAGACAAGAACAGCCTTTGAGACATGGAATATGGTTTGTCGGCACATCCGTCGGCATCATGTTTGGGGGACTCCTTGCTTATGCCATTGCCCATATTCAGGGTGGAATAGGGCCTTGGAAGGTAAATGAATCCGTCGCTACATCTGCGGGGAATGCTGATTCAAACAGTGGTCCTTCATCATATTCGCCCTGATTACCATAGCCTGGGCCATCATCCTTCTCTGGTTCCTGCTTGACACGCCAGGGAATGCTCGCTTTCTCTCCAAAGAGCTACGTGATATCGCCATCAGCAGAGTGCGAACAAATCAAACTGGTATCAAAAACAATGAGTTCAAATGGTATCAGGTTCGTGAGGCTCTCTTGGATATTAAAGATTGGCTGGTGGTTCTCTTTATCTGTTGCGTCAGTGTTTGTAATGGTGCACTTGGAACTGTGAGTTGTCTTCGTTCCCTTGGCTATCGTGAATGTCTGACTATTGGCACCAGTTCTCGAGCTTGGTCATTCAAGGTTTCGGATTTGACATCTTTGAGACCTGTCTGTTCAATTTGGCCATTGGTGCCGTTCACGCTGTGTTCGGCATTGTAGCAACATGGATCTGTGGCCAATACAAAGACGTCCGCTGCATGGTAGCTGCCACGTTGTGCACACTCAGTTAAGTGCCACAATCGTACTTCGAACTTCCCTCGACGGAAATTGACACTACGGCAGCCTTGTGGGAAGTATGTTGGTGAGGTTCGGACCTAATCAAGGGAGCAAAGTGTTCGGTTTCCTCATCTTTTTCGCCTACCCCACTACCATCGCGATTGGTCTATCAATGATTTCATCCAATGTGACCGAGTTCACGAATAAAAGTGTGGCTTCCTCTATGCTAACCGTCTTCTACTGCGTTGGAAACATCATCGGACCATTCCTATTCATTCCGGACGAAGCTCCCACATATCCGGTATGTTGTGACTTCTTTGGCCCTATTTCTCTCAGTCACCGGATCATCTAATTGATTAGAGTGGTTTCATTGGCACAACGACCTGCTTTGGTATAGCTTTGCTCCTCATAGCTGCCCTGCGTTTGACCCTCCAATTTGACAACAAGCGCCGAGACAGGTCGCAAGTAACTGACGGAAGTATTGCTGAGAATGGAGAATCTAACAGTGAATGGTCGCCACTCAACGACGATACGGACAAAGAGAACCTTCATTTCCGCTACGTCCTCTGAAAGCCTAGAAGCAATGGCCTGCCAAGAAGCAAAATGTGCATCCGTCCGTGGTCGGGATCGGAGGGAAGGCACCATAGCAGAAGTCCGCGATATGATTGTCGATTTTGCCGCAGCAGTGGTACAGTAAAGTATTTAGGTCGAGTCGTTCTTAACGATTTAACCAGGAAAAGAACGTACATCCTTGAGGACGAACAAGTTTATCAGCCAGCACTTGAAATGGAAATGTATGCCAATATTGACTCAGAGGGGGGTCTCACAGGGATAGTGGCGTACATCACATCTGAGATGAATATGGACCAGTGTACTTTTTCTCTCAATGCCCAAAACAAGACAAACATACGCTTTCTTAACAAGTTGTACATCTCATGCTTGCTTCCTTGTGGAACTGCGCCAGCAGATTAATCCGGGGGGGTGCCCTGCCCAGGACGAACTCGGAACTTTGAGGAGAAATTGAACTGCTTCACGGATGACAATCTCATCTGGAGGCAATGGTAGTTTCTCTCTCTGATATCTCCATTTCGGAGCCGAACGGGATTGATATAACCTGATGGATAGAGCACCCTGCCTTATCCGGATATTCAACACCATTTTCGGTCTAGATTCCGTCTCTATCAAGGGAGACCTAACTCAAGTCTAAATTTGAGCCATCTCTCGGCTCTACAATAACTACCGGTTCTTATGACATTGACAACGGATAGGAAATTCTTCGAACTTTATGATTCGCTTTCATACGGGGGCAGGGCCCCCCCGGGAGGCGAGAGCTCTCAAGGGCACGGTAATTGAAAAGCCCAAGTTACCTATCAACACAGCTAAGACCGCCATCTCTGTTTCTGCTGTTTCTCGCTCGAACGAACTGTGAAAGCAATCGTCCTATTCCCATTCTACAGGAAAGCTACTATGGAGGACGAAAAATATTGCATCGAGCCACAATGGCACTCCAAGCCACGTCCGATCCGAATCATTTGCATTGGAGCTGGTGCTGCGGGATTGCTTGTCGCCTATAAGACGAAGAAATTACTGAAAAACATTGAGTTGATCATATATGAGAAGTACATACTCCTTCCTTGTGTGCAAGAATAAGCCCTTCCTGACTGGGGCTAGGAGTCCGGACATTGGAGGAACATGGTAAACAGTCCAAGTCTCTCAGAATTCTCTCCTAACTTCGCTGAATTTAGGTATGAGAATCGGTATCCCGGTTGCGCATGTGACGTGTGAGTTCTCCTGCTTTCCATCTAGTTAGTGATTTGCGGAACTTATTCTTTTCCAGTCCAGCGCACGTTTACACGTATTCGTTCGAGCCCAACCCGTCTTGGTCAAGTTTCTACACCTCGGCGCCAGAGATCAAAAAGTACTTTGAGGACTTTGCAACCAAAGATTGGTGTCATGTTCTCATAAACGGAACAGGTACTCTGAATCAGTGGAAGTGGCCGGCTATTCCAGGGCTGCATGATTTTCGGGGAACTCTTCTACACAGTGCCCAATTGGGACAGTTCGGTTGACTGGGAGAGGAAGACAGTCGCCGTGATCGGTACGGGCTCCTCGGCTATACAAATTGTGCCGCAGATTCAACGAACGGCGACTAGGACCAGGACATGAAGAGCTGAAAAAGAGACTTATCCCTTTATGGCCTCCTGGATGTCGACGTATTACCCCAGGAGAAGGTTATCTCGAGGCCTTGATCCAGGACAACGTCACGACAATCCACGACGAGATTGTCAAGGTCGTATCTGAAGGCCTTATTGATGCAACCGGGAGATTGCATGAAGTCGACATGATCGTCTGCGTGACCGGATTTGATGTCTCCTTTAAACCGTCGTTCAAAGTCCTCGGCATCGATGGATATGCCGGAGGAATTCACACCTGAGCCACACGTATATTTAGGCATGACTGTGCCACGGTTTCCGAATTACTTCACCATTAACGGCGTCAGAGGAAGGTGGGCAACCGGGACTGCGCTGAATTCTCATGAAGGGTGCATCGAGTATATTTTGAAATTCATAAAAAGAATCCAGAGCGAGAATATTCGGGCGCTGGAGGTCAAAATGGAGCCGGTGAAGGATCTGTATGAGCATATTGACGAGTGGCAAAAAGGATCAGTCTGGAATGCAGATTGTAAGAGGTAAGCCAAAGGACAAGAACGACCCTGACTTCTTTCATGACCCTCTGAATATGTTTCTTGGTTAATGATCGAATCAGTTGGTACAAAAATAACATTCCAGAAGGCAAGCTTTGGATCTGGGGCGGATCGGTAAGCCAGTGACGCCGAATCATTTCGCTCAATGCCGGGGGGGGGGGGATGAGAGCTGACCATACCTCCCTGTTCCAGGCTCTTCATTACCTCAAGACGATCCAGGAAGTGAGATGGGAACATTACGAGTTTAGATATAATCGCAAAAATGTATGGGCGTTCCTAGGGAATGGTCGGGTGAAAGCCGAAATTGAGAATGATGTTTCGCGATTGACGCCGTATATCAGGAATTCTGATGATCTGTGGAACATAGAATAGAATAGCCGGAGAGAGATGGTATTTATTTGGAATATGTTTTGTAGATTCTCGGGCATGTATATGCATCCAGCACTGGTCACCTTCGGTGCCCGGCTAATCTCAAATAGCCGGAGTTCGATCGAATTATAGCCCCGTCGTCCTCGTTGTGAGGTGTCCCCAATTTCACCTCGTGATAACGTAATTCTTGAACTCCTTTGTCTTGAGATTCCGTTCGAACATGATGTCCACTTCTTGATAAGTCCTTCCTTTCCTGCATTGGAAGTCTAGGTCAGCACTGCTGTCAAACAATAGGAGGAGCAGATGGCAAGAATCTTACAACTCAGGAACCCTGAAATAAGCCCAAGAAAGGCACAGGGCCGCAAGGCCACCGAAGAAGAACCCAAGCTTTCCCCGCATGTTTGCTTGGTCGGCATTGATCATATATGGGATCGCCACTGTCATGACAATTCCAGCCATAGCTTGCACAGCGGTAGCTAGTGCGATTGTCTTGCCCCGGACTCTCGTCGCCGAGACTTCGCACAGAAGCACGAAGCACACGGGCCCGATGGACAGATCGTAAATAAAGTTCCAGATCAGCATCAGGACGCTCTGAGCCCAGGAGATCGAAGGTCGGTTATCGTAGTTGGGTGCACAGTCGAGGATTCCGATAATAAATTGGAGAACTGCTAGTAGTGCGAGTCCGACGTTGTAGATTCTGCGCCGACCGAAATAGATGAGCAGGATCCATGAAAGGCAAGTCCCGACGAAACCAATGGCAAGGAATCCAACACCCATGTTGAATGCTTGATCAGTTGGCAGTCCGGCCACTGTAATGTGTCAGCAAAGAGGCGGTAGGCAAAAGAAAAGGGTGTTTGGGAGGGGTTTTTCAGTCATACGTGTAAAAAAGTAAGTGGCGTATCCGACAAGATAAATCCCAGAGAGGACCTGGATAGTATAGACGCCCACGGCGATTTCAGTGCGGCGACGATTGATCTTTTTGAAACAATCCCAATATGTCGAACCAGACTCCATTTCTCTCTCCAGTCGATCCGTCTCAATGATCATGGCCAAGGTGGGTCTCACATCAACCTTGGAGGAAGCTAGACGTTTAAGAGACTTTTCGGCATCCTCAAATCTACCCTGTCTTTGCAGCCACCACGGGCTATAGTATCATGTCAGCATTTGCGGCCCCGTGGTCATCGAGAGGACAGTTTCACCTTTCTGGCGCAAACGGCAAGCCGACCAAGATGATGGCTGGCCACACCCATTGAATCGCGAACGCGAGGCTATAAGCCCAGTGATTGTCGAACTTATGAGTTCCGGCGATCACTCCATTGGCAATCAACTGGCCCGTGACAAAGCAGATGTTCGTGCAAGACGTCAGGACACCTCTGAGAGCCAAAGGGCAGACCTCGGAGGCGTAAGCCGGGGCGATGACGGCGTAGGTTCCTAAGACTAAACCTCCGAGCAGCTCGCCGGCAAGAAGAACGGAAAGCGACCGGGCAAAGAATTGAATAAATACACAGCCGGTCGTGAGGATGACACAAGCTCCGAACGTTTTCTTCCGTCCGAACCATTCCATTGGATAGGCAGCGAAGAATGCGCCCACGACTTGGCCAATTGGTGAACCCATGCTCAATCCAGTCTGCCACGGAGCAGAGATGATGTAGCTCCCATCATACAGATAGCCGAAGTCGCGCTGGAAAGCTGGGGTAGCGTACAATTGACCGAGAAGTTGAGGGTCAAACGCACACCTAGAATGGAACAGCTTGTTAGATGCAGACCTTTTCCAAATGTTTTATCGAGAATAGTCCTCACATGACCACACCCAGTGAGAAAAAAAGAGACCAGCCGACGGCTGAAGGATAGAGCTTCACGGCTTCCCAGAAAGAATGGCCATGCTCCTCGTCTGCGGCAACACGTGCTTCAGCGTTGATGTCGTCGATAGAGGCGGTAGCGATCATGGCCGCCGGATCCTTGCTGGTCTCGATATCTTTGTCCATGTTTGGATTCCCCATTGCGAGCGATGGCGTACAAGAAAGTGGAAGATGGAACAGGGAAGAATAGTGCACAAAACCGTTGCAGGATTTAAAAAAAAGGGCAATTGATATACAGATACGGCAATTCTGTGTTATCATAAAACGATAAGAGCCGAGGATTTACCTCTATCAGCTCATTTCACAACCTTGAACTCCTCTCGGCCTAGACCATTATACTCTTTGGAATAGGGTCAAAGGTGACAGGAAACCCTGGTCACCGAGCAAGGATTGTTGGAAGCGAGCTCGCCACTACCACCATAGTCGAACGGTCGCGCCTCATTCGACCGAGTCTCTCTGGCAGGAGAAGTTGATCTTCTGAGAGCTCTGAGGAATCCATGACTGAGGATGGGTTTCCCCTCTGGATTGACCAGTAGCGATGAAGGCCAATCACTCCGCTTGCAGCGCCACACGATTTTAAGTTTGTCTCTTAAACAAAACGATCATCATCTGAGCCCAACAGAAACGGTGAAGCTTATCCTGAAAGCGGGGATCTGCGAAGACCTTGAGATATCAGCGGGGAGAGTTACATCAGAAAGTTGGAGATAAAGTGCGCAAGAAGAGGTCTATTTCGCCGGATACGTAGTACAGTAGAATGTAGAGCATGATGCGCAATTATGCTGACGTAAACTTTACGGTGAAGCAAAATACAAGCTCTGCAACCTCATCGCACCCACCCTCTTGGCACTTCTCACCATAATTGGGGGCCTGAAAGGAGCTTAAACGTAACACGTCCATCCGCATAGAAGTGAATCGTGTTTCTCATCCAGCGCTGATAGAGACGATTTCAGGAGCACAAATGCCGACTGTTGGATCTCCCTCTGACTGATATACTCACTGATAGTTGGCAAAACTGCCTCGAGTTGTGCTGCCTACCATTGAAACCGGGAGATGACAGAACCGCCCCGAAAGAGAATTCGACGGATTGTGAATAGCTGCGTAGAATGTCAGTTCGCGCAGACCTTATCAAGTCTCCTTGCAATCCCTCCTTCTGACCATCAATAGGTCGACGACGGAAAATCCGCTGCGATTTGAGTTCTAACGACTCTAAGCAATGCTCCGCATGTGCTAGTCGCAATATCAACTGCGAAAAATTGGACTCTTTAGATGACAAACCAATGACCTCAAGTGACAGTGGTCTCCGCGCAAGGCTGCAGCGTGTGGAGCGCCTCTTGGATAGATTGATAGAAGTGGATGACACCAATGAATCCGAAAGCCTGCCGAACCTGGGGTCTGGGGATGGCTCAGTCACCGCACCAATCGAAGGAGATCATCAACCTCCACTAATCTCCCTATTCGATAATGCCGTCGTAAGTCAGAACCGTCAAAGGGGTTGCGCATGGTGTAGTAAGAAATACTCACGTATACACAGTTTGGGCGTCAAGAGCAATCAACTCCCTCCGAGGACCCAAGTCCACAGCGGTCTACGCTTTCTGCAACAAATGCCAAAACAGAGAAACTTCGTCTTCCCCTGATTGCTCTGCTACCCAGTCAAGAGGATGCCGATTTGATCACTGCCTCTACCAATGGCTGGGGCCTTAGGCAAGTGGTCTACGCGGGAGATGATCCTGGGCATCCCATTGGCGACATCAGGCCTTTCTTTGACATCTTGTCATTGTCGAAGGCCTCAGCAGTCACCATTGCACGGTTTTTGTTGTATCTTGCCATTTGCATTCAGCAACTGCCACCAGAGTTTGACGCCGGGAAACTGCACTTCTCGTCTCCCATCGAGACCGTCTTACAGAAGTACCTCAACAGCGTGACAGATCTTGTGACATCGAAAGATGACTTGGTGTGCTCGATGGAAGGACTCGAAGTTTTGCTGCTTCAGTCATTATTCTATATCAATGACGGCAATCTTCGGCGGGCGTGGCTCTGTGGTCGTCGAACAATGAACATGGCTCAATTTATGGGACTGCAGAAGGCCTACCTTCGTTATATGCGTGAGCAGAAAGGCGATGAGGAGAAATTCAAGGCCACCATGTGGCTCAAAGTTGTTATAGTTGATCGGTATCTCGCAGTCCTGCTTGGGTTTCCCGTCGGGGTTGGAGACGATTGTTTTGGTGATGAAAGTTATCTTCGGATTCCCATTTCCGGTTTGATTGATCTTGTCGTACGAAGGCTTAGCATCATCGCGGGCCTCATTGCGACGCGAAACCAGCGCGAGCTGCTCACCACGTATACGCACACACTGGAAATCGATGAAAAGCTCGACCAACTGGCGAGAGAGTTGCCCAAGTCTTGGTGTGAGATCCCGGTCCTGTGTCCTGGAGAACGGACGTTGGAAGAAGCTAACAAATACGACCTGATCACCCATCAAATGTGGTACTTCCAGCTCACGCAATTGTTACACTTACCTTGGATGCTCCGAGCATTCACCGATTCCAGGTATGAGTACAGCAAACTAAGCTGCTTGAATGCGTCACGGGAGATGATTATTCGATATCTCGCCCTTCGGAGTATGAACAATACTCAAATGCATGCCCGTGTCGTCGACTTCGCCACCATCATTGCTTCAGTCACGATCATCCTCATTCACGTGGGCTCTGGCTCGAATATCGAGAATCAACGTGATGTCGGGCATCGCAAACACAGCGACATGGAGTTGGTGAATAAGGTCGTCGAGTCTATGCGGGTCGTTGCTCAAGGTTCACGAGAATTCATGGCCCGACAGGGTGTTGAAGTCGTAGAAGCTCTTCTGTCTGTGGGTGAGACCGGCAAGGACAATGGTGCCAGGGGGAAATTACAGCTCACCATTCCTTTCTACGGCACCATCCATATCACCAGAAATATGATCCCGGTCAATGCCACTCGTGATCAACAAAAGGCTGACGATCCAATCGATGAGTTGCTTCAATCGCAATACGCCGATGCAGCTGCTTATGACCAGATATCAGGTGTTCTTGGTCCTGGATTTGGCCATCACCTGTCCTTCGATCAAGCGAACATATCTGACCCAAGCTGGTTTCCGCCCCTGGAAGCGTGGGATCTTGACAATATGGCGGCGTCAACGATCGGTGACTCTTACAGTTTGTGGGATATCAATTCTTGAAATCATGTCCAATGCTTTTTGGAGCGTGATTTCGGCCGATGAAGATTCTTGGGAAATTGCAGGGATTCTGCCTCGGCCGAGAGCTCCGAATGTCGAGGGTTGTAAGGCGGGCAGTAAGGCGGGCTGTAAGGCGGTCGATTCGGCATTGCAATTTCTATCATCGGATCGCAACTGGACACTTGAGCGCGCATCTTTTCTTGTCGTTTCTAGGTATTTTGAAGGCTTAATATCAGATTTCAACCATCGACGGCATTTCTACTTGTCAAAGTAGATTGATGTCTGATGATACCAGTGCCAAACTTTCGAATATTGCCGGCAGATTATCTTGAGCCTTGATGGTTAATATCCCGAATTAAACCAAATCTTCAAAATCTTCCAAATGAATAATTGGTGGGATTTCATCAAGCAAACCTGGCCTCCGCGGCCCAAGTTCACAGAGAAGGAACTGAGCGACCAGGCTGGCAAGGTAAGGTTGACTTGATAAACAACACGTCTCATCCGCTCCACACAACATTGACTGTCCTCTTTTCTCCATCAGGTTTTCATCGTCACCGGTTCCACATCAGGAGTGGGTAGAGAGCTCGCGAGAATCCTGTACTCGAAAAACGCCAAAGTCTATGTCGCTGCCAGATCGCCAGAGAAAGCCACCAAGACGATCGACGACATCAAGACTCGCCATCCATCTTCAACGGGCGCTGTGGCATTCCTCCGATTCGACTTCGAGGATCTAACCACTATCCGAGGTGCCGCGACGGAGTTTCTATCTCGAGAGACCCGCTTGGATGTCCTCTGGAATAATGCGGCCGTGTTGATTCCGCCGAAAGGCTCGAAGACGAAGCAGGGCTTTGAATTGCAACTTGGCGTGAATACACTGGCGCCGTTTCTGTTCACGAAGTTCTTGACGCCGATATTGGTGCAGACTGCAAAGATCTCTCCGCCTGGCTCGGTGCGAGTGATGTGGGTTTCATCGTCTGCTGCGTATTTATTTGCTCCGACTGGAGGGGTGGAGATTCAGCAGCTCGAGGATACCAGCGACAGGTCCCCTGTGTATATGTACGGGGTGAGCAAGGCGGGGAATGCGTTCCATTGTCTTCATTTTGCGAAGTTGCATGGGAAAGATGGGATTATTAGCACGGTATGCCTGCGGCCTCGAACCTGGTCTTTCCTCTCTATTCCCGTCACAAATGATATCTAGAAGCTGACAACATCTTCCCATTTTTTCCCCTCCTGCAAACAGAGCGGAAATCCAGGAAATCTGAGATCTGGTCTCCAGGTGCATATCCCATGGTGGGGACGGATTCTGACGAATTCAATCTCCTACGATCCTATCTATGGCGCCTACACCGAGCTTTTTGGCGGTCTGTCTCCAGATATCGATATGCAGAATAATGGAGCTTGGATCATCCCATGGGGTCGGATCGGCAAATTGCGACAAGATCTAGCTGAGGCCGGGAAGAGCAAGGACGAAGGTGGAAGTGGGTTGGCAGAGGAGTTTTGGAAGTGGTGTGAGGAGCAGGTCAAAGAGTATTTGTAGAATCAATACACATCCTATCTAGAATGTCAACCCGGTCAGCTCAACAAAACCCTTCGAACCAGATCCTTTCTAAAGAAAGTCGCTGTCCTGTTTGTTTGATCACGCATTTTTCCACGAATACACGATGGAACCCTATCTATAGAAAGGGACGTTTAAGCAAGGCGAGGCAATATACAATCGCGATACTAGATTACAGAGATATCTAGGCTCGCGGGGCGGGACTGGAAAAGCATTATGGATCTGGGAAATTCGCAGGGCTCATCGCAATATCAATTCCCGTCTTGCATGAACAAAACGACTTCTACACTCGCCTCAAAATACGTGTCGCATGTTCACAAAAGAACCGTAGTTAGTTCTGCATATGACATGAAGCATATCACCACACTCAAATTCTCGATGCCTGGATGACCTAGTCTGACCTCGCGCGGGTAGGTCAAGGGCGTGATGCCTTTCTGTTAGGACCGCCTGTATCGTGGTTTCATAAAATTGCGATGATATTCTGCCACTACTTGAATGAGTAGCCTCTCTCCGATCATGCCGAACTATACCTGTATCCTTTTTAACGCTTCCTTACCCTCTTTAACGAGAGTTGGATGGAACAGCCTTCTTTCCGGGTGCCCATTCAGAGCCACCTCGATCATTGCTGCTGCTAGTTCGTCCACACGTAACATCGACGCATTGCCGAATATAGCGGTGATCATTCCTCCTCGCTCTTTGGAAAGCACATAGCCGGGTCTAACGACGTACGTCTCCCATGAACGTTTGGTTCCGCCCCGTTCTTCCGGCCTGGCGAGGATCTTGGTCTCAGCCATACCCTTGTGGTTCCCATTGTTAGACACACATGACACCAAGATATTGAGACTTAAAGGAGAGAGATTCACCTTTGCTTTTCGAGGAGATGACAGAAAATGCACTGATTCATCTTGATTTGTTATCGCTAGCATCCCGCTGAGATAGACGAACCGAAATGGCGTGTCCGAAGCCTCATTCTGAACTCGGGATATGGCATTGCAGAACGCGATAGGATATCCAACTTCAACGTCCTGCTTGCCCCGATATGTACCCAACGACCTTAACGGGAAACTCTCAGCAAAAATATGTTGACCGCTTGGGAATGATCTGAGGCTTTACTCACCATATGCAAATATCTGCGTCTTGGAGCTCGGAGAGAACCTCTTCTGGGTAGTTCAGAAAGTCTTTGAGGATAACGATTTTCGTTTTCGTACTGGCTGCCGCTGGACCACTCAATTCGCGTCGGGAAAGCACAACAATGGATGCGATTCTGGGATGTGCAATGCACTGGTTCAAGACCTCTCCGCCAATAAACCCCGTACTTCCAGTAAGGACAACTTTCATTGCGAATGTTTCTGTGCTTGAGAGATTATCAAACTGGCCAAGTCGGGGGACAGGCAAGCGTGATACTGGGGCGTCTATTAATATCGCTTGAGGGCGGTCAAAAGGTTAGGGTGCGAGTAGCAAGATAACAGCCTGCTCTACTAGCAGCTTGGCAGCTATGATAGAGATGTGCATCACGAAAATTCAACTTGCTAGCTGTTCCATCCGCTGGGACACATATTGGTGGGTCCTCGGCCGAGGGGTCCGACTGACACTGACGGGAAGACAAGTCCCCCGACTGGCTCATTTAATCTGGTGGACGAATGTACGCGCGTCAAGCTTCAACGACAATGGTGGAATGACCAGCCATTCGAAACAGACATGAGCGAGATTCTTTAAGCTAATAAGTGGGGCCCAAGAAGAAGGCTGAGATGATGAGTTTGAAGGGAAGGAAATGGGATCTCGGGATTTTCATTATTCCGATCAGCCTCGGCGTCTGTTGGCATTGGCGACGTTGGATTTTGTCATCTTTGCCTCTTCCAACTGACAATTCGCATGGTGATATTTCTTTCTTGTTTTCTGATCTTCCAGAACTTTCTTAGAGGCAGTCTCCCCTGAGATCAATCGTGAGCAATAATAGTGTCCATATCGGCGGCCACATCGACCGTTCGCCGGTAAGAAGCAATCCTGGCTTCCCCCCAGGAGGCATTCTCTGGACGTAACTCGTATTCATGACAGATCATGGCCGAGGAAGCAGTTATTTTCCCGTCAGAACCTCTCTTTATGATTGATCGAGGATGGGAGCGGCGCAAAAAGACGACACGAAGGAATTCTCCTTCCCGAGGAATCAGAACCCAACTCGCGCGGGTTCCCGAAGTTACTATCACTGTTGCGAAAGGGTCATCCGCTGCGAAGTCTACCTCGACAAGGCGCACGCGCAATTCCAAGACGGCGAAGAGCAGCGCCGAGGAATCCACCAAACTACAGTTTTTGAACTACGAACCTTCCAAGGAGGAGAAAAAACAGTTGTCACAGCAAAAGAAGCCCAGGAGGCTAAGTGACAAGAAGATCTCTAAGCTACAGGGACCGCGATCGAGTCCTCCTGTGGACGCTGGTACCGAACCACAGGAGAATCGGAATCTCTCGCCCACACTGTTGAAGACGATGCCGGGAGCCACGGCTCCGCTTTACAATGTGATCGATCCTGAAACGAAAGCCTTCCAAAGCCTGCTGAGTTACTGTAAGTGACTGCCTGGAACCGGCTTCATCTTTGGCGCTAACCACACCGCACATAGATCCCACCCGTATTGGTGCTGCAATGTTCCCAATCGGCAAGTACGTGCCTTTTGAATTCAATCCAATTAAGAAAACCTGATTCTCAGCAGCCATTCGCAGACGAGGTTCTTCTTCACACAATTCTGTTCTCCTCTGCCCTCCACCGTGTATCCACCTGTCACGTCTACAATTTAAAGATTCTGACCTTCTTATGAAGATCATCCTCGACAGACTTAATCCTAGACTGAATGATGGGAAACCTTCAGACGCGACGATTGGGGCCGTCTCATGTCTTGCCCTATGTGAGAATCAACGGGGGAACCATAGCAAATGGGCAATGCATGCCGCCGGAATGTCCCAAATGATTCGTGTTCGAGGAGGGGTATCATCGATTCCAGAGGCCATGCGCATGAAAATTTATCGAGCGGATATTATCAGCGCCGTCGACACGCTGTCAACACCTCATCTGCCTCGCCCAGCCTGGACATCCACATCCCTCTACCAAGGAGTGAGTCTCAATGCGTCTCCAAACCAATCTCTTATTCTGATGCTCGTCCACGTCGAATTGGCGCCCACACTTTTCGATGTCTTCCTCGACCCGTCCTACCTTTGTCAAGCCTTGGAACATGCAGCCTCAACCATGTCACAATCGACCCTATTGCATATGACGAAGACACTATTTGTATTCAACACGACTTGCTGATGTCCAATGACTTGAACGAACCAAACATCGAAAAGGCCTGCAGACTTGCGGCTTTGATATTCGTCCAGACTCTCACCCGAGAACGGCCCTTCTCGAGGACTTCCTCAACCTTTCTCTCGCAAGAGTTGAAGAACTCACTTGGTGACATTGATGCGGAGCAGGCAGCTCCTCGACTCATATTCTGGATTCTTTTCATGGGCGGATTGGTGTCATTTAATACAGACGACAAGAATTGGTTCCGGACAAAAACATGGAAATGCAAGAATAATCATGTGACTCAATCACCTGGCAGGATGTGAGACGCCAGCTCAAAGATACGATGTGGATCGAAAGCATGCAGGAAGAATATGGAGTGAAATTGTGGCATGATGTTAATGCACCCATCTACCTATTGCACGACCGACTCACAGTTTAGACAGCAAATTGTCAAATTCTGTCCCGTCCAGGAATATATTGACGTGTGTGGCATATGGCTGTGGATACTGCCACAAGAAGCCGTGGCCAACCCGAAGATAGATGATTAATTGAGCATTTGCAATCTGTGTTGTCAACTCCCAGCTGCGGCTGGAAGGGATCAAAGTGTCATTGTCACCGTTTGCCACAAGGACTGGCATCTTGAGCTTGCCTAGTCGATCGAACGAAGCACGAGGATTTCGCCTGAACGAATCAGTGGCTGCGTTGAACTGTCGCCGAACACCACATTCTCGATCTAGGAGATCCAAAATAAGCGACTCGGCTGTCCTCCAGTACTTCTCGAAGGCGGCGCGGCCAAGGTCGTCGTCGTAAAAGAAAGAGAATGCCAAGGCTTTTTCTCGTGGCCACACCACCCCAGCAATATGATCGGCCGATGGGGTTGAAGCACTAAGGATCAACTTGCGGACGAGATGCGGTGCCGTAAGTGCCACCATCTGAACCGTATATCCGCCCATGGAGAAACCGAGCAGGTCGATATGTTTGAGTCCAAGCGTTTCGACGAAGGCGATGAGGTCGTCAGCCCACTCTCGGAAAGTTTCTGGAACCTCGCCAGAGCTTCGGCCGACTCCGGCGTCGTCAAAAATGATCACTGTTCGAGCCCTAGCCAGACTGTTGACAAAGAGAGGATCCCGGAGATCCATGTTTGCACGGTAATGAATGTGCATGACCAGTGGTACACCCGGGTGTGTTCCAATGCGACGATATGCGAAGCGGACGCCACTTTTGGCCGTGATGTATTGGGTGATGGCTGTTTGAGCAGACATTGTGCTCAAGGTTTGGTATCTAGAGGCTGAAATGCAAGGAATATATGGGAGCTTGAATGCAGAGAAGATTAGAAGACGGACAACGAGGCATCAAATATCGGTGGAAAGAGGCTATTTTTATACTATTTCGCCATGACGTCTGTGCTAGGAAGCCGATTTTCGAATTTGCATAGCGTACCAACGTGGACTGAGGGTGTATCAAGAACGACCTTGAGACGGGCGTTTGTTTGATAGACCAAAAAGGAAATCTTGTGACTGAAGTGGGAAACTTAGATTTTGCTTTTGCATCTGAAAGAGGAAATATTCTCTCTTTTGGGAAGAGCACTAGTTTAGTAATAGTCCGCCGTATCAAAATGCACTTACCATTCAATGCTCCGTCAGAGAATATAATGTTTCGCCGTAGCGCTCATTTCCGCATCCTTTTTTCTCCCACCATTTCATGTTTCCCTCCTGGGAAGACCTGTATGTATCCCATCCACAATGCAGCGTTGGCAACCTGCACGATAAGAAGCCAGTGAAGCTCCTGACCTAGTCCGTAGCGTGGGATCATAGAGCCACGAGCCTCGGCTAGGCAATAGGTGCTCTAGTTCCAAGGGACCGAAGACAGGCCCCTTGCCGAACCTTGGAGATCGGAACATATCACTCCCTCATCAACCAAAGAAGACAGGGTCAACTGCTATAACAGGAGCATCTACAGGTGAGCACTGACTAGATAGCCATCATGGGTTCATATAGTCCCGTCCACGATCAAGAAATCCATACCATCTACATCCCAGAAGATATACGCAAATCTAGCAAACCCTCCCTCGAACTCATCGCAGAAGCGGCTGCCTTCCTCCACAAAGATGGCATTATTATCATCGACAACGCAATCGATACCGCTCACATCGATGCCCTCAATGCCAAACTCTCGCCCGAAGCTCTGGAAATCGCCAACAACCCCGGCCATCACTTCAACTTCGGCAAACACACTCGCAACATGGACCAGGCCCCTCCACCCAACAAGTCCCTGATGTTCAAGGACGTCTGGTGCAACCCATTCGCAGCAGCCATTCTCGCCGCCGTTCTCGGTCCTCGACCCGTTATCCACTACGCCAACGGAAATACTGCGCTCAAGGCTCCTCCCCACGGCCGCCAACCAGTGCATTCAGACTGCGAATTCGCACACCCAGCCTTCTTTCCCTTCGCCTACGTTATCAACATCAATCTCGTTGACGTTACGCCGCAGAACGGCGGCACCGAGATCTGGGTTGGCTCGCACCACGTAAGCGTGCAAGAAGCACACAATCCCGCCCATGAGTGTGAGGAGCTGCTCACAATCAAGCCCGAACTACTGGAGCAGAGGCGCAAGCACTCGCCGCCCATCCGAGCGAGCACGAAGCGCGGCAGTATAATAATCCGTGACCTGCGACTCTGGCATGCGGGCATGCCGAATTTAACAGATGAACCGCGCGTGATGCTGGCCTTTGTGGCTTCACCGGCGTGGTGGCAGGGCAGAAGCAAGATTCTTCTCCCTCAAGATGTCAGGGAGATGGTGGAGAGCTGGTCAGACGAAATGCAGTTTGCGGCTGAGTACGTTGAAGGAGAGGTTGATCATAAGACTCTCTCGAGTTCAGGGGTGGATTTCGACTCGAGTAGCCAGGTCCTGGAGCGGTTTAGGGAGGATTTGAGTCGTTGGCCTGAGTACACGCCTAGATGGTATTAAGTATTGAGGCTTCTGTATGTCGTTGGGTCATGAGAGGTTTCCGTTTTCAAAGCCCCTGTCTGATGGGGATTATTTATTGGGGGGTGCCTTGAGAATCGAACTGTTGTTGCAGTACAAGTCTTCCAATTGTCTAAGTAAAGAATATTCAATGTGAACAACCCACGCCTCAAATGTATACCGTTCCCTAACATGCCGAGGTGGGAAGGAACTCTTACTGGTAACAAATCCAGACTCGTTACATGTTCTACGGGAGGAAAACTTGCCCTCTCTTTCATCACATGACATTTTTTTGGTCGTTCTCCATCTGCCATTCTATCTCTGTCTCTGTTTCTGCTTCTGTTTTTTGACTAGACCTGTTTTACGCCATGGATTTTTCCACCCAGTTCGAGCCGTTGATTCCTTTCACACCTAATCTAATTATCTTATTTCTTGCCCTCCTTGTCGCTTCGCTAGGAAATGCCTGTTCCTTTAGAGTAAGTGACAATCCCCCTTGCCTCTTTAGTAACAATCAAATCCGCACGTCAACTTTTCGTGGTGCTCTATCCTACTATTCAGGCTGTCGACCTAGAACTTCCTCGCGAACTCACACACACACACACACACGCATGGAGTAACGTGCGGTATCCATGGAAGAACATCACGCTGCCATGACTCAAATGGACGCACGCTCAGTTGCTCTGGCTGATGGCCTCCTAACTGACGAGGCTGTCCCAGTAGAAATCGGTCTTGCTGTGGGCGGTTCAGGGAGGAGAGCGAGTCACGACATGCTCTTGTATCAGCTAGGCACTGCGACTTTCCTCTTCTTTTCTGTTGTCTGGGGGTGTGGGCCACAAGTACGGCGTCGAGAATGCGACCCAGTCCTCTTCGTTCACTGTCAATACCCAGATCACCAAGCTTAGGATCCGCTCGAAGACATAGTTCGAGATTGTGACTGTGTGGGCCGGATAGCGTTGGAAACTGGGATTGACAGTAAGGCGCGAGCAAGTCGATCATTTGGTCTATTATTAGTTGCATACACGGGTTGTGCAAAATCATCCAATGTATATGCGCGTAGATGCAGTGCTTGATGCGGTTGGTGAACACCTGTCTCTGCTGTTCATGTCGTGGAGATAGACACGGTGGCATTGAGAGAGCAATGGGGACTGGTAGCTCTAGTAGAATGCGCACCTAGTACATTGGACGGCGTGGATTGTCATCACCATGTTTTTGAAGTCCTCGTCGTGGAGGTGGGCCAATTTACGTCTCTTGCCCAGAACGTGGATGGCACGGGGGTGCTGTACATGCTGTGTCTCAGGGGGAATTTATCTCGTAGTCGGGAGGCGAAGAAGGACATTACTACGTCGTTCCTGGATGGTGGTCTTGGGTCGGGGCTGGACACTGCGGAATTCCTTTTTCGAGAATCATCAAGGCGCGAGTTACCGGGAAATTACGTGGAAAGACTCCGTTTGCTGTGAAGTTGTCTTGGCCTGTCGCGTTCCCTTGTTGATGGAGCCGGAGCTCTCTTCCCGCTTGTGTACAAGTGCCAAGGCGAGTTGATAAGTCGATGGCGGTGTCTCTTATGGATGAAAGCTCCCAGAAATTACTTCTGAGGAATGGTGTTGAGCTAACGGATCTTTGGCAAGTCGCGGTAGGGGATCTTCATAACTGCTTCTGCATATTCCAAAGTGACGGCCAGGAGTTCGCTTTTATGAGAGAGGCACCAAAGCAATAGCACTTGAGCTGAAGAAGTTGAAGGAGGAAAGGAGATGGAAAATCTAGTCGTATACTCACGTGATCTCGGGAATGCTGTCACGTGCAACCACCAAGGTTGCGCTGTTGGTATGACGTTGGCTGCAACTAACATTTCTCTCCGTTTCTCTCAATCGACTGTCCGGGTTTCTGTTGTTCACTTTTTTTCTGCACGCTCTCCCTTATTTTACGCTCGTTTCAGCGACTCCCGCGTTTCGTTCTCTCAGCTTGGATTCTTACTGCGTTTTCCTCCTATCTAGACTTTCAGAATGGTCTACATCCGGCAGCGGAACCTCCAGAAACTGCACGAATACAAATACGCAGGTGTGGATATGTCCTTAGTGTCAAGGTATATCCTCAAACCATTCTACACCAATGTCGTCATCAAGTTCTTCCCAACGTCCATGGCGTAAGTGTGTCCGCATCAGACTGGTCGTCGTGGTACTAATCTGCTTAGGCCAAATCTTGTACGTGGCACCTTCACCCATCCAGACCGTGGCATGCTAATGTTCCCGATAGATTACCCTGACCGGCTTTGGCTTCGTGGTTGTCAATTTTCTTACGATGCTGTGGTACAATCCAACTCTCGATACTGATTGTCCTCCATGGGTGTACTTGAGCTGGGCCATTGGCCTGTTCCTCTACCAGACCTTCGACGCCGTAGACGGAACACAGGCGCGTCGGACACACCAGAGTGGTCCCCTGGGTGAACTATTTGACCACGGTCAGTTTGGGCTTTGCGATGCTTTGTGCCATGCTAACAGTTGATCAGGTGTGGACGCATGCAACACCGGTCTCGAAGTTCTCATTTTCGCTGCCGCAATGAACCTCGGTCAATCCTGGAACACTGTCCTCACTCTCTTTGGTACCATTTTGACCTTCTACATCCAGACCTGGGATGAATATCACACTCACACATTGACCCTGGGTATCGTTTCTGGCCCGGTGGAAGGGGTCCTCACCTTGGTTGTGGTTTACTTTATCACTTTTCTCAAAGGGGGCGGCAGTTACTGGCAGCAGCCCATGCTTCCCAGCCTGGGACTCCCCAAAAGTGAATGGATGGCCAACTCTCTTTATCAAATGGCTTGGAATGAGTGGTACATGGTCTATGGCGGGCTGGTCTTGGTTTTCAACACCGTCACCAGCACCCTGAATGTTATGAATGCTCGAAAAAAGAGGGGGGAGGACCCCTTCAAATCTCTCCTTGGATTACTTCCTGTCCTCATTACCTGGATCCTGATACCCGCCTACCTTTGGTTGAACCCGGTTATCCTGCACCATCATCTTGTTCCATTCATTCTGTTTGCTAGCATTGTCAACGCTTACTCCGTGGGTCAGATGATTGTAGCACACCTTGTCAAAGCCAGATTCCCTTATCAGAACGTCCTGATTGTTCCATTAGCCTGGGCTGTAGGCGACAGTCTAGGTCCAAAACTGGGACTTTGGCCAAGTGCACTAGGTGACGATATCTACCAAGTGGCATTCATCTTCCTTTCCCTAGGTTTAGCTGTGGGTGTGTACGGAAGTTTCGTCCACGATGTCATCACAACAATCTGCGACTACTTGGATATCTGGTGCTTAACTATCAAGCATCCTTACGTTGAAGGCAAACAGGACGGAGAGACTAAGAAGTCAAAATGACTCTCTTCTGTCAAGTGGTGAATCCCTTCAAATTCGACTTATTGGTGCTGCTCGAAACAATTCTTGTTCGGTCTTCACTTCTTACTGAATACCCTGTTTAATGTCCAGAAATCTTTAACACATTGATTCTGACCGTGTTACACGGAAGAAATGTTCTAATCATTTCGAATATTCGAAGATATCTACTCCGGATCATATTCAAATTTTTCCCACACGGCGTGATCAGTTTGGAACAACAATTTTACCCAGCATGTATTCGGAGAAGCAGCGGCCTGAAGCAAAGGCTACGAAGACTAACGACACCGCAAACAGTGGGAATGTCGGTACGTTCCTACGTCGACTCTACCCATGGAAAACCCCTTGTGCAATGATATACCTTCGATCAAAGCCACTGACTGGGGAACCATCACCAGACTCAGCAGCTACCCCTCTGGACGCTCAAGGCTCGAAGGGTAACCCATCGTCAAGAGCACAAGCTCGGCTTCCCAGTGGTCTTCAGTTTGGTAATCCTCAGCAGTGTGGCCACTTTCCCCATCTGGGTCAGCAACCACCTTATTATGCTTCAGCATCATTTTTTTCTTCACAGTCGATCAATCCATGGGCTCCTCAAACAAACATTGTCCAAAGTCAATGGTTTCAAACATTTCCTCCATCATGTCAGATCAACGGTTTTTCTGTCAAGTTCTTGACGGCGAATATATCCACACAAGCCCGCGCTGTGGAAACAACCATGAGACTCGAGGACGATCTGCGTCTTCCTGGGGATCATCGCAAAACTGTTGCATCCGCTGGCTGGCCTCCTAAATACTCGAGTAATACTCCTGGTCTTCCGCTACTGCCTCCCACGAAAAATGTATCACCACCACCTCCTCGACCTCTTCTACTGCAAAGACCGAAGTTTCTACGCCAAGAGATACTCCAGCCGCTTCGGAATCTAATCCTCCTACAAACATAGCAGCTACATCAGCGCCAGGACAAGAAAGTCTGCCCGAACCTGGAAGCCTGCGAACTTGGTCTAGGTGGAGGGTCTCACAATTCTGCCAACAGCTTTCTTGGGGCGAGATATGCGGCTAAGGATGCTCCTGCGAGGTGATAGGATAATGGGGGAGTGGGTTGAATCAGCTAAGAATGGGCGATGGCTCTGCCGAGGGGAGTAAGTGCTCAGGGACGGAGGAGCAGATAGCATCATCCTAAACGACCAGGATTTTGGAGTGTAGCTCCTGCAAGCTTCACAGGGTACTCGTACGTCCAAGTTCTTATGTCTGTTCTCATCACCGGACACGAGTCACTTCACCAAATTCAAGACGAGATAGGTTCTTTTTTGAGCAGATTTCATCATTTATCTCTTTTTTCCATGCTCATGATTCCGATTCCGGTTCCGTGGCTGAAGCACTTTCAAAAGTCATGTAAAGCACTCTAAAGCAGAAAAGGTTCAGATACCCGTTGCAGGTATGATTTTCGAGTGTTTCTCTCCCATCACCCGCGCCCGGCATGGTGACATTAATCCCATAACTATCACTGCCCGCAACATATCAGCATCCGAAGTGGTTCGTCATGTCTGGTTGTTTCCTCTCCCGGCATGGAATTTTCATTTACAATTGTCGATTCATGGAAACTCCCAACCATGTCACTAAGCTTCTCCCCACCGCTCCCATTGTTTTTCTCATTTTCAGGTTTTTCAAAACTTTCCCATCAGCGGATCGTTCCTCCTCCACATGGCGCACAAAGATGACTGGAGCGGCTGGTGATGTTTGACGATCCACAAAAGTTGAAATAGGTGGGTTGGTGAGTTCAGTAGCCGAGCGCGGCCAACTTCTCCTTCGCCTTGGAATCGGTGGTCCTCTGCGCCTGGGCAAGTTGTCTTCTGGCAGCCTTCTTTCTCTCGTAGTATGCTGCGCTCTTGACCTTTCTTCTCTCCTCGAGTCTAGTTCACGTGTCAGTCAATCCCACTAGATTAACATCTCCAGTTGTCATGTAAAAATCATACCTTGCAACTACATCCTGGTATTTCCAGCCCACCTCGTGAGCCAATCGGCCAACTGTGCAGTACTTTCGACCAGGCTTTAATCTGAGAACTCTCAGGGCCTGAGGTACGACCATGCGAGTCTTCTTGTCGTATGGTGGTGGGACTCCCTCGAAAACCTTCAGTCTCTCCATGGCGGCGGCACCTCGAGCGGTCTTGTGTGGGATCATGCCACGAACAGTCTTGTAGAAGATACGTGCTGGGGCTCGGAAGTGGAAGGGCCCACCTCGCGTAGGGTTGTATCGAGTGATCTTTCGGAGGTAGGCATGGTACTTGACTATAGATGTGATCAATAGTGTTAGCTGGCGAAAATTGATTTGCGGTAGGCGGTGCTGGATTGCGAGGACAACATACGCTTAGCACGGAAGAATTCACCAGAGATATTGAGGGCTTCGCATCGGACGACGACGATTTTCTGGCCATTCAAGAGCTGCTTTGCGACTGTGCTGGCAAGACGACCGAGCAAGTGTCCCTTGCCGTCAATGACAATCTAGGAAATAGAAAAGAGTATGTCAGCCTGATCACATTCTGAATTTGAATGTGCACTCGCGCGTTTGGAGGACTTACGACAGGCTCGAAGGTCGACATCTTGCTCCCAAATCACCAGCGAATAGTCGATATGCGAAAGAAGATCGCGAATTGGGCGAAATGGTGGAAGTTGACTTATCCGTGGGCTGTCGAAAATTGGGACTGGCATTCGTTGAGGGCAACTTGGGGCTTCGGCTTTGTGCGCCAAGACACAATTCTTGGCAGATACGGTCACGTGCACGTCGCCCAGAAAAGTTTCTTCCGCTCCCGCTTTCGAAGCACCGGTATTGGGCCTTGATGATTGTCGAGGCCAGATTGCACGGTCAAAATGAGTCCGACAACCTTCCATCCTTGAGGATGCTTACGGAGAGCTTCATTGCAGCGACATTCACTGCAAATAAAGCTGTCGCTCATGCCAGCGCCACTCTCAAAGATGTCGGGATTTTCCTCCACGAGTTTCAACCGCAGAGTGCCTTCCGTCATGGCTACAAGAAAAGTTCCAGTCAGCGTGGTTGCGTTGCCATCAGCGACTCGCACATCTTTGCGGCGCAAGCGGATAAAGCAGTGATCAATGTCTATAGCAGGGAGCGTGGAAATCAAGAAGCCACTGTGCCATTTCCTGAACGACTTCACAGTCTTGCTTTTGCCCAGGGAGCCGCTATCCTCGCCGTGGGAACTGAAGGAGGAAAGCTGATCCTCTGGGAGGTCGCCACTGGCAGGGTGACCAACTCTGCCGCTTCCCATCTGCAAGCAGTCTCATGTCTCTGCCTCCCTCCCAACAACGAATATATCATTTCGGGTTCCGCTGACTCAAGTATTCATGTCTGGTCTTTGTCAAAGCTTGTGTCCTTCCCGCAACTGACAGACAACTATGGAAGCGAAGAGCCGCCCAATACGCCCATCCGGACCTTTTCCGGGCACAGAGCGCCAATCACTGCGATCACCTGCGGCCATTCGAACATCAACACAAATTTCGCCATATCAGCATCGACTGACGGCACCTGCTACGTCTGGCACATTGAAAATTGCCAACCCCTTCGAACCCTATTGCTCCCATCTATGGCCGTGTCCATTACCATTGATCCGGCAGATCGAGTCATTTATTTTGGATGTGATAACGGTCGAATTCAATCCTGGGACATTTTCGGCCGCTCGAAGGGGAGCCGAACTTCGCTATCCACCTCTTCAGCCGTGACACCCATTCAGCTTCCAGCTCAAGACAGCTGGATTGGCCCCGCTGCAGAAACTGGCGCAGCAACCTGTTTAACATTGTCTCACGACGGAACTTCTCTCCTTTCCGGACACAGCAATGGAGCTATCATCCGCTGGGACGTTGCCAAACACCGGATTCTAAATGAAATCACAAATCTCGGCCAACCTGTCACCAACATCGAGATGCTTAGACCCAAGGGTCTCCCGGATCGCAAGAATTACACCTACACCATCACGAATATCGTCAAACCAGATCTTGAGTTCGCTTCATTGACAGACAACGGTGCTTGCGGTGTTCCCGCAAAATATAGTCTCCGCGCAATGATCACCGTGCCGTGGGCTCCATCGAATAGGGATGAATTCGGTCAGGCTCTCGCTGGGCCCGGGTTTCCGCAAAGTATGCTAGACGGCGCTGTACGTGCCCTTACATTGGGGAATGGCGTGAGCGGACCCTCTTCTGCGGATGACACTGAAAAATGGAACAATGAAAAACTAGTGGATGAAATCTCCAAGTTAAAACGGCAGATTGCAGTATTGCATAGAGTCGAGGAGAAGCGAATGAATAGAAAGCTGGCAAGAATGAAAAAGAGAGAAGAAATAGGCCTGAAGAAAAGAGAAGCGTATTTCGAGGCGAAAAAGAAGGGTAAAGATGGTGATACAGCCATGAAGAAATGGGAAGAGCAAGAGGCCATGCTCGACGTGGAAAGTGACGATGAAAATCCTGATGGAATGGAGACCGGCTGAAATCACGCATTACGAAATGTCGAGTTGATGTACAATTTTCAAAATTCGCATGATCCAGCTGTGAAGCCCCCAACATCCCTACAACACCCCAGCAAGCACACCATCAGGTTGCGCCAAATCTCCAGGAGCCACAATGCAGCCCTTCAGGTCCATGACAAATCAGCCCGAACAAGAATAACGAAAGTACGAATATAAGAACTAAAGGACGACACCAAAACCTGTCCATAATACATTCCATCCAAGATGAACCAGAGTTGTTGTGGTCGCTTTATGTCTTCCGCCCCAAGCGTCTTCCCAAGTTTCAATATCGGGAAGCTTACTGTGATCCAAATTTAAAGCATCTTCTCGTGAACTGGACTTCCATATCTCATTCTGGTTCCAACTACGCATAGATCCGCGCCCGTCTTCGGAGGACCAAGTGGATGGAGTGTCCTTGGGTGATCCTTCCCCAGGTTGTTGTCGTATTATCTATGGTGGTTGGCCTTTATGCAACCTAATTTCCTCGATAGCAGCCAAATATTCGACAAAGTTCTGACTCGCATTACGCCCCATTCAAGAGAGGAAGCAAAGCCCTCTTGGTGCATCTGATCGAACCTGTTGCGGGCTCCGAGAACGAACGAGCAGGTTGCAAGCAATCGAGTCAACATAGTGCAGGCGAGGAATCTGGAGAAAGCATCAAATTCCTTGATACCAAATCTGGCAGGCATCGCATACTTCTTTGCAAGTCGATAGAGCGCTGAGATCTAGATAGGATTCCGGAATGCGCGGTAAAACATCGCATTGTTCGCAGAGCACTGTGCATTTCTTGGAATACAAAGAGGCATTCTCGTTGAAGGGAAGCTCTTGAAGTTCAATTTTGTGGACGGTGGATGTATCTGTCCAACGTCACCAGGTCAGTTGAGATTTCTTCAATCTCGTCCATCAACGTCTGTTGGGACACTGGGCCAATCTCTGAGTGGTAGAGAATTTGTGTGTTGGTCTTGGTCCTTCTGGGAAGAGAAAAGGTACATCATCTTTCCGTTCGGCATGTCGCTTCTGAACCCGTGAGGTAAAAATCAGGATTTCTTTGACGTGATTAAGAGGAATCCTGAAGGCAGAATAGCCATCTTCAGTGTGGAAATAGTAAAGAAATGAGGTACGGCCATTATCGTGTTTCTGGTTATAGGATGATAAAAACTGACCCGGGGAGCATTCTAGGTAATTGGCAATGGCGAGTTGCTTGGTCCCAGACCGGACGAGAGATCCCATCTCGTATAGATGGATCCCGTTGAAGATTTGGGTTTTCTTTGGGATGAGTGTACACGGCTTCGTTATACTCCTCGACCATCCTGATGAATGCATTACGTTGTTCAGGTCTAGCTTTAGAAGCAAGCTTTGTCGCTAGCTCCGTTATCGAATGTGCTATAGTTCGCCGGAATCTCTCCAGGTGGTATCCTTTTATACGCAACCACGGAATTGTCTGTGAATCCCGGATTTGGATAGCGGTTTGGTGTAGTAGCTCCAGGAATGGCCCTTCCGAATTTAGCTATATGTCATATTTTCGTAAGCGCCCGAACTGATTGATTATATGCCCACTGTGATGCTTTTGATATTAACATAGTCCTCGACACCAAACCTAGATCCTTCACGACCAATTCCACTTTCCTTGATGCCTCCAAAAGGCTGCTCGCAAGCACTAACAAGGCCGACTTGTACTCCTACCATGCCGGTCTCCAAGGCCTCCGAAACGCGCCATAGCCTCGATATATTTTCTGTATAGAAGTAAGAGGCTAGACCGCTCTCTTCCGTGTTGGCTAGCTGAATGACTTCCTCCTCCGAATTAAAAGGTGTCAATGGTGCGACTGGTCCGAATGTCTCCTCCGCACCGAAAGTCATCGTGTGCGGTGAGGCATTGACGAGAATGGTTGGTACATAGAAGTTGGGCCCAAGACTGTCTTTGATATAACCCCCTTCGACAACTTTTGCGCCTTTGGAAACTGCATCTTCTACATGTCGCTTTACTTTCTCAACGCCCTTGGAAGAGTAGAGAGGCCCGAAATTCACCTTTGGATCCCACACAGACCCATATGTGAATACTTGAGCCAGGGTTGTCTGTAAGACCCGAGCAAACTCTTCGACGATAGAGCGATGTACAAAGATGCGGTTTGCACACACACAGGTTTGGCCGGATGATCGAAATTTGGAGCTGATGAGTCCTGTTAAGGAGGTCAGCTTCAACGAGAGACTGCTGTCATCACCTTACTGTCTTACCATTCACGGCTTTTTGAATGTTGGCGTCTTCAAAGACAATAAAGGGGGCATTGCCGCCCAGCTCCATACTTGTCTTCTTCATCGTCCTGGCACATTCAGTGTTGAGATGTTTGCCCACTGCTGTAGAGCCTGTGAAGCTCAGATGGCGGACCAGCTTGTTACTGCACATCTCCGCCCCAATCCGTGCAGAAGCTGCTGCGTCTCCGAGCACAATGTTCAGGGTGCCCTCCGGATATCCAACACGTTCAAACAACTTGGCAATGGCAATGGCACACATTGGGGTTTCCGGAGCAGGCTTGAGGACAACCGTGTTACCTCCTGCAATCGCTGCTCCAACTTTGCGCAAGATCATCGCAACCGGCGAATTCCAGGGGGTTATGGCCGCAACAACCCCTTGTGGTTCCCGGATTGTGATGATGCGGTTATTAGCTCTGGCAGCAGGGATAGTCTCACCATAGAGCCGTTCGATCTCTCCTTCAAACCACTCCAGGAAACTGATCCCATAGTCCACTGTGACGTAAGATTCTGTAATGGGTTTTCCCAGTTCCAGAGTACATATAGCCGAAAGGTCATCCCTGTTGGCTTTCACCAGGTCGGTCCACTTGCGCAGAAGTTCTCGGCGTTTCCGATGAGTGATTTGCTTGTATATTTTGAAAGCGTCTTGTGCCGTATCTATGGCTCTGCGAACTTCATCAACGGAAAGGTTGGCGACGTGAAATGCAACCGAGTCATCTTCAGGATCTGTTCACGTCTAGATCAATACCTAGATTAACCTTGGCAAACAAGGCTTACGTACCGTAGACCGGGAATGTCGCCCCTGAAGAAGCCGGAACCCATTTTCCACCGATATATGCTCTAGTGTCAAGAAGCGACTCGTCCTTGAACTGAATGATGTTAGCGACGGAACCATATGCCAACCATTTTGACCTCCAGACCTTATAGGGGATCTTTTTCAACAAAATCGCTGCGCCCGACACAGCCATGCTGACTTATGTTCGACAGAGCCGAGCAATTGCTTGCTACATTTCCACTCTCCAACTTATATGCCGATGTACACATCATACCCTCGGTTCATTCCATGCTCTTGATGTGACGTGGAGTTGGGCGGCGTACCCCGCTTCATGGAAAATGAGTCTCCATTAGGGAGATCTCCAAACCTTCCACAGGCACATGAACTGGTACCGACCTGGTAACAAGAACATCAAAGGGGATAAAGAAGAAATGGCATTTTCGTGAAAAGAAGCGAGGAACCCAAAGAATCCTTAGGTGAAGCCAGCAGGAGTAATGGCATCTCCGCTTCCAAAGGCATTTGATGGATAGGTTACCCCTACCCCTCCCTTAAGGCTACGGTCCTAATAAATCGGTCAGCATTATTGGTCACAATAGACTCAGCTATTTCAGTGTGCTCTTCGCAAAGGGTCTTGGAGCGGACAAAGTTATTTCCATCTCACGAATGTCCAACAAGGCTACGGATGCTCTGAAGTTGGGGGCTGACACGTATATCGCTGCCGATGTAACTCGTGGCTGAGCGAAAGCCAGTGCACATATTTTGTGCCTCGTCATCTGCACCGTTTCTTCTCCAAAGTCAAGCATTCTTTTTTCCCGAAACACAAATAAGCTTCTTTGCCGATGACATGCAAAATTCCCATGGGGGATTAGCTATCCTTGCTCATACCAAGGGCCTGTTGGATCCAGGTGGGAATTCCTGACGGCAACCACCTACCTGTGCCAGCCCACAAGCTGTTGATCGGAACAAAGCCTAGCGGTTCTCACATCGGCAGTCCTAGTGAGATGAGGAAAGGCTTGGAGTTGCTGCTGAGAAAGGTATTCATCCCTTGGCTCAAGAGAGGCCTATGAGCGAGGCTAACCAGGCCATTTTGCAACTTAGAGGATGGTCTTCCACCGTACCGTTCTGTTCGACTTAATGGCGGAAATCTTTATACCCTATCACATATCTGTGCAAAGATTTTGTCCTTTTGCTCAGAGCCCACGTCTCTCTGGGACAGGGTTACTCGGACTAAACACAGTTGCGGAGCATTACACACGGAGTTAATGATATGCTTCGTCATTAATGGATTGGCTTTACTGACCCATCTTTGCTGTTTGTGGTAAATCGCCACATAGGTTTTGTTCTTTTGGCTATTGATATGGCAGATCAGGCCCCCCGCAATGTCTACCGTTACACCCGAGATTTGTTCACGTTTAGCCAATCCTTCGGCATCGGAGAAATGAACATCGTCTGAGGGGCAAGCTGAAGCGGCGTGTGAGCGCTCTCGGCCTTGTACCCGGCATTAACCATTTGAATAGTCAATGAGAACCCAACCGCTCTCAACTCCGATCAAAGTTATGAAGATAAAATTGGCATCGTTTACTTTCAGATTGGCTTTTCACGACTTACTCATACTACTTGCGAGATGGTGGCAGATGAGATTCTGAAGGACGCCAGCCTGCAGCAGAACAATAGCAGAGGCCATCACGACGATTACGAACAAAATGCCGTTTCGGATTATAAAGGACCTCTGAAACGGAGTCCTTTTCGCGCGTTAGTCCAAGATTTTAGCCCAATATGGTACGCAATGTTTCCGTCAATTACAAGTTCTTGGATTGAAGGTAAAATTTTTCTCCTTTTCACGACTCCCTAACCGGACATAATAGGTTCACATGGTGCATGAACGCTGGGATCATTGGAACATTACTCCGTCGGTTGCCATATCAATTTCCGGGACTTCAAACAATCTCAACTATCGCATTCATACTTGACCTTGCCCTGTACATTGTCTTCTCCGCCATTTACATTCTACATTTCGTCATCTTTAGGCAACAAGCGTACGACGAACTAGTCGGCAGCGTGGCGGACTTGTGCCTGTTCCCATGCTGGTCGATTGCCTGGATGACGCTAGTGTCATTCGTCAGTCTCACAGCGAGCAATGCATCTTGGGGCGGCCATCCATTCACCATTGTTGCATGCGTTATGTGGTGGATGGCCGCGGCTTGGATCTTTGGCATGCTATTCTATGTCTTCGTCATCCTGATCCGGCGGCATACTATCCTCGACCGTCAGCTGCCGACCCTAATCATCATCCCGGCTGTCGGAGTGTCAACATTAGCGGCAGTTGGCGGCCTTGTCACCTGCTTTTCTCACGAGATATCTGCGAGGCTGGCGGTCCCTATCATCATTATGTCATTCTGTGCAGTCGGGGTAGGTATCTTACTTGGTCTGATACTGTACACGTACCTTTTTCATCAGCTCCTCGCGAAAGGCTGGCCACTGCCACCTCAGACAGCCACCCTGTTTATTCTTGTGGGACCCATGGGACAGTCAGCAGCTGCGCTTCAATTGCTTGGGTCAGCGGCCAACACTCATGGCCATTTCTCAGCGTACAATAAAGGGTTTTTCTTGACGGGAACAGCGGCCATCTCACTCGAAGTTGCCTGCTCTTTGCTGGCGCTCTTGATGACTGGCCTTGGTGCAGTCTGGTTGGGTCTTGCGTTCTGTGCGATGATCGATCGAGCTTATCGTCAAAAGTTGATCTGGGCACCGACGTGGAATGCTATCATATTCCCCACTGCTACATTGGCGACGTCGACACTACTTTTTGGCACAGAGATGGATTCTCCATTCTTCAGAGTCGTGACAGTCATTCTGGTTATTTTTCTGATACTCGTGTTTTTTGTCAATACCGCTTTTACTCTCCGGAAGATCTTCAAAGGAGAACTCCTCATTGTCAGAGAGGATCCGCGACTCAAAGAACAACAAGACGAAAGGCGCAAAGCAAGGTAGGACATTCTGATATGCAATAAATACGAATAACGTAAATCATCACACGATAACCGCCTACACTTGATGACCACCTTTTCCAACTCCGACCACGCCACAATGCTCGGATTCAAGATGCGACTTCTTAGCAGCTTACAGATACTCTAGAGGAGATTCTCATTGAATATGTGAACAAGCTAAACGATCGAGGTTTCCCTCCCACTCCTCAGATTCTGAAAAATATTGCTTAATATATTGCACATACGAGCCTTGGTCCAAGCTGGCGCACACGGTTCCGGAAGCGATATCGCACGCGACTCACAAGCGTCTACGCACGTACGACAGGTCACAAGCGTAAGCTGGCAGATAACTCTCAACATTTTCAACATTTCTTCGACCTGGTATGTATACTGCTCGAATGCGTTTCACACGCTGATTCGCTGATTCTATTCTGAGTCAGCTTCATGAAAAGCTTGAGATGTCAAACAATCGGTGGGTGGTACATTTATTGTTGTTGAGTGTTCTGTCTGTTTAGCAACTAGTCCTGCCAGATTGCCAGTATATATACACATTCCGTTGACCCCTTCCTACTCCTTGTTCCTAACCTATATCCAGAACAGGAATGATAACCCCTTTTCCAATAAACAGGGCACTGGTTACTGTTCAACGCCGAGAGATGGCGCCCTTGGGTCTCTGCCAAGGATGTCTAGTTGCCACCACCAAATATGCAGCGACTTCCGCAGTTAGAATGTGCGGCTATGCGGCGATCGAAGAATGGCCAAAAAGCCGGTCAATTAAAAACATCCCTGGCACCGTGTTCACCATGAGAAGCGCAGCTGATATTGTTAGTATATACGCCACCTAATTATTCGACACGGGCCAAGAGCAGAACTCAAACCGTGGCTGGAAATGGTTCTTGGGAAGCTTTTAGGAGCATGCTGCAAGATTTGGGCGTCCTCTGTTGTTGGAAAGAAGCACGATGCGATTGGGAAGGCTGGTGTTAAGCAGAGGGATTGTCTCTTCTCCGTATGAACACGTCAGTGAGATGTTTTCCGGTCAAACACTTGATATGTCAAATAATCGGACATGAATTATCTCTTCATGAATGACGGAGGCGCATCCTTTTGAGGCATTTGTGTCCGGTACTTTTTTTTTCCACACATGCAACGGTAAGCTTCGTAAGTGATGTAAGAATTTGGCTTTCAGAGAATCTTGTCTCGTATTCAATTTTGTCATCACACCCCGTTCGGTGCTAAGCATGAGAGCAACATCTCCCTTGTTAGCCGACCATGCACCCCCGCAATAGTATCTAACAACAAAGAGAAATGCCCGGGCTCAGCCCCGGCCCAGTTAGAAACGACTTTCCCTCCATCAGATACTGGAATGTATCGAGCTTAATTCGGATGAAGGTCACAAGAAGCACGCTCATACCGGGCCCAAAGATTCTTCCTCATCATATCCTCTCAAAACAAAACCAAAGGAGCCAAGAAAAGTTTCTGATGTCTAATTCTTGAGGCCTCCCAAAATCTGAGAGCTAACACAAATCATGGGTCGTCTCCAAGGCAATGTAGCCCTCATTACCGGTGCTGGCTCTGGATTCGGCGAATGCATGGCGAAGTTTTTCTCGAAAGAAGGCGCCCATATCATCGTCGCCGACATTGCGACAGACAATGGTATGCGTGTGGCTAAAGAAATCATGGCTACCAAGTCGGAAGGCTATGGACATGCATTATTTCTACAGTTCGATTGCACCAAACGCCAGGCATGGGAAGAAGGCTTAAAGCTGGCCCGAGAAAAATTCGGCAAACTCGACATCGTGGTAAATAACGCTGGGACCACGTATACGAAGAAGCCCAGCGTTGAAGTTACTGAGGATGAATTTGACAAGATCATCGCTGTCAATACGAAGAGCATCTATCACTCGGTGGTAGTGGTGATGCCGTACTTTGCGAAGCGCAAATCCGGGGTTATGATCAACACGTCGTCGGTGGCCGGGTATAAAGTTCGCCCGGGCCAGGTCTTCTACGGAGGCACCAAAGGGTTTGTGAATACGGTATGTCAGAGTTTATCCAATGATCAAAAAGTTCCACAAAATTGAAATATGTTCGTAGGTTACACAAGGCCTCGCAGCAGAATGGGGCCAATACAATATACGAGTGAACTCGATTTGTCCATTACGAAGCCCGACGGGCCTGGTGGAGAAATTCTCGGGTGTTCCAGATACTCCAGAGGAGCGGGCTCGTTTTGCACAGACAGTTCCATTGCGGCGGATGGGAGACGTCGAAAGTGTTGCACATGCTGCGGTCTACCTGGCCAGCGACGAATCAAGTTTTGTGACAGGCGTCAATTTCCCGGTGGATGGTGGAAGATTGGCCGTATAAACTCAGCAATATTTGATAGCAAGGAATCAAGAAGGGTTATTGAAGACGACAGTCTCTCAGACAAGTAGGCTTTGACACAGGGCGAAGGACTTTGTTCTTAACCGAGGGGGAATTACCCCATACTTAGCTTGATGCACCGGTTGGAGCTCTGGAATTGTACCCCATCGGACGACTTTTGATAAGAAAAATTTTCGGGGTAAGAGGGGAGCATGTATCTCACGAGCCGGGGGTGATGATATCTGAAATTGAAAGTTATACTGCACTGTAGTTTCCAGCATAGCCTTTATCCTTCTGAAATAGATTGACAATACGTCTCGCCCGGTTCTTTGGATATCTCCCCCCCTAAAACTACTCCGTATACCATGATGTCTCAATCCGACAAAATCGAAAGTATTCCCGCTCCCGCATTAAACGCGCCAGCTTCGTCGAATACCTGCGAGCTATGGGCGGTGGATTCAACTTGTGACATATATTGCACATCGAATCTACTTCTAGAACCGGTAGCCAAAGGGCATGAACAGTTAAATCTACCCACATTCGCCTTCTACATCCACAACACGCGACTGAACAAGCGCGTTCTCTTCGACAATGGCGCACGGAAAGATTGGTGGAACACCCCGCCAGCCACTTGTCAAGGGATTGCGGGTAAAGGTGCGGTTGGTCTGAATGTAAAGCATGATATTCACGACATCCTTGTTGCGGGAGGTGTTGATCCCAACTTGGTCAACGCCGTGGTCTGGAGCCACTACCATTGGGATCACGTCGGCAATATCCAGTTATTTCCCAAATCGACTGATCTGATCGCCGGGCCCGGGTTTCGCGAGACGTTTCTGCCAGGTTATCCAACAAACAAGGACGCATTCTTTTACGAGGCTGATTTTGAAGGTCGGAACGTGCAAGAACTGAGATTTGACGCCAACTCCCCACGAATCGGTCGGTTCCAGACCTTTGACTACTTTGGAGATGGAAGCTTTTATCTATTATACACACCCGGGCATACAGCTGGACATCTCTCCGGTCTAGTGCGAACCACACCAGATACCTTCGTTTTCTTGGGCGGCGACATCTCTCATTTTCCCGGCATGTTTCGGCCGACGCCCTTCGTACCCATGCCGGAAAATATCCCAGCAGAGACCAATCTCGACTCCAGATTCAGTCATCCATGCCCATGTTCAATTTTCACTGCTTGCCACAGGAATGAAAGTCAAGGGAATGCGCGAACTTCGACATTCTACCACGTATCTCAAAGTCCGACATCGTGGTACGAGGACTTCAACCAAGCACAGAACTCGGTGGATGGATTGACAGAATTTGATGCATCGGAGAATGTTTTTGTGGCCATTGCGCATGATCCAGCTCTGAGAGAAGTGATTGAGACCTTTCCCAAATCCAACATGAATGATTGGAAGGCGAAGGGTTGGGGAAAGCAGTCGCATTGGCATTTCGTCAATGAGTTGCCGATCGATGGGAATCCGGGACGACCGCCGATTGTAGATGGAATATGGAAACATGGGAACCATGTTGAGATTTAAAACTAGGTCTTTAGCGATAAAATCAACTCCTCAATCAGAGGGTCTTGCGCATAGAAGCTTAGATCCCCTTTCACCAAATGTCAAATCAATTCTACATATCTAATCAGGTGGCTATTACGATGCTATTGCGAAAGTGGATGGAGTCTGAACCTACCAATATCTCTTCTCCACATCGTGAATACCCACTTCGGCTGTGGACCCAGCTGCAAGAAGTGCAGAGGTTACAAGACCAAAGATCAAAGCCTGGGTGATGGAAAGTGGATGTATCTTTGTTCTGGGATGTCTTTCGAAATAGGCTGGCCCAACAAACAATGACAACTCTTGGGTCTGGATCTCTCTCGTTTGGATAGCATCGAGATGTTAACCCCCCTTGGGGTGACCATCACTAAGCAACTTCAATTGGAAGTGCTGCTCGTCTTTTACGAATGGACGCAATACTTTCAACGTCCTACTTGAGCCGACCTGGCGAGTGTATTTTCCATGAGGCGGACATCATTCAATGTTATGGAAACGTCTTGACCTGAAGTGGAACATGCCCTTGTCATCTCCACTCTCTCTGGTTTGCAAATTCCCCAATGGCACAGTCAGTTGCCAATGGTGAGGATGTAGTATCACCTAGACCTTGCACCGATGGTCGTTCTTCTTTTTGGTATACGGGTGAATGCCAATGCATGGCCGGAAGCTTGAATCGTTATTTCACGAGTTTGGCCGCTGGGAATTTCCCCTTAGAGTTATAGGGTTACGAATCTCCACATGAGGCCTCACAGCAGTGTTATGGCTAACGGGTTTCTGAACGTCCCACCGATGCAGTGCTATTCATCACACAGCGATTTCATGTTTTCTGTCGAACAGCTGGTGCCCAGTGTGCCAAGCACCTCTGGACTGTCTATATAGGGGCTTTCCATAGCTACAGTACAATCTGTACACGAGTTTTCCACTTTTTGTCCACACTGCTCTTTGTTTAACATTTCCGAGTTTCGAGGCCGTCTATAGCGGATACTTTTAACGCCTCACTGGCTAGGAAGCCCCCCCGGTTATTGTGGGGGTCGCCCAGATTGACACTCCACTTGTAGTATGAAGGGTATTTTTTTACTCAGTCACTAAATAGACCGAGCGGCTACTTCTTTCTCTCCATAATAAGCTCGAGCCGATATTATTTCTCTTTGTCGTCAATTCTTTCTCTCCGATGTTGACGCCTCGGCTACAGAGTGGACGGATTTCACATAGACCACACAAGCAATATGGGCGAAGCAACGGTGTGCATGACGGGACCTGGCGGCATTCAACGCGCAACACGGCCTGCAACTAATGCGGCCTCCTGAGTACTATCTACATAAGGCTTTCAGTCTGAGTGGAAGAGAGTTCTATCCTCATTGTTCATGATCCATTCCGTCGAAGACCGTTGATTGTTTCAGTGTTATCCTCTCTGCTCTTTGCTAAACAGGGTCACCCATATGTGCATTTTGGATCAAAGATATCTTTGTGGCGGCGGGAATTTTTACTCGTATATGCCCTCGACCGTGCCGCTTTAAACAAACTGATCATGACTTGCGGATTATTCCCAACTTTCGCCAAAGCTATTCCTGTAGTGACTATGCGCGCGCTCCCTCTCTTCATTCTGACGGACCATGATAATCCGACTCAACTAATCCTTCGTAGCCTTGTCGCTGTCCATCAGAACAATGCTGACCACTTCTTCATTCAATCCTGGCCACTTCTTCTTTCCCCAAGCAAACCAAGAAATCAACGCAAATAAAACCGTAAACGCCCAAATCGGGAGCGCATAATTCATGTTCTGGGCCGTGACCGGCAGATAATTGGGGAACGGCAGGAAGACGAAGATGTAGGCCGAGTAAATGATTGCAAAAATGTTGACAGGGACACCCCAGCGACCAAGGTTCCATCCTCCCATTGCCACTGTGCCCTTGAGTCGAGCATAAAGGAGACATGATATCGCAATGATGTAGGATGTGAACAGAGCCATAGAGCTGAGAGCAATGAAAGCACCGAATGCGGCGGTACTGACGATATTGAGCAGAGCTAGAAGCATGGTCATGAATGTAGGCAGCCATAGAGCTCGCAACGGGACTCGGTATTTGGGGTTGATCTGTGAGGCAAATTAGATATCGCGCAGGATCGGGTACTTGAAAATGATGAATGCATTTACTTACATAGGAGAAATATGATGGCAGAGCACCATCACGAGACCAGGCCCATGTTAGTCGAGAGACCGATGCAATACTGGCCAGGTTGACAGATAGCGAAATGATCAGCAAGCCACAGCACATAGCGGTGGCGGCGCTTAGGGATCCGGTGGCATTGATCAAGATCGTCATGATAGGGTAGGAGGCGCTCAGCAAGTCATCCAAGTCGCCCATGGTAAAGAGAATGATGATGCACATGGCATATGCGAGTACCGCGTTAATGGCAATAGTCCAGAACATTGCTCTTGGGACGGCATGTCGTGCCTTTCTAACTTCTTCACTCATATGGACTGCACCGTCGAAGCCTGCAGAAATGTCAGCCATAATATATATATTGCATATTCTACATCAGGGAGACCCACCGACGAAACCCCATGTAGGTGTGAGGAGACCAAGATTCCATGCGACATAGCTATTTGACCAGCCCGAGGCGGTTCCGCTCTCGAGGAAGACGAAATGCGCATTGTGTCTCGGTGCCATCGTGACGAGAACCACCGTAAATATAATGAACAGGATAATGTGTAATATACCGGCCACCAGTTCAATCCACGGAATCAACCAAAAGGTGTACATATTCATCAGACCCTCAATGATCAACATAGCGAAGATATACAGGGTTAAATGCCAGCGCTCGGGAGTGTAGGTAGGATAGTTGTTAACCACAATTCCCTGGAGGATATATGCCGTGACGTTGGCAACACCACAAAGAAGAGAAATCCAAGAAAACCAAGTCGTCCAGCCTTGTAACCAAGTGATGAAGCGTCTCTGCTTTTGGGGCGCGAGGAAGGCAGTCCAATGGTATTGTGCACCGGCGATGGGTTGAATCGAGGCCATTTCGGCGAGAGAAGCAGATTGCGCAAGTGCGCCGGCAGCAATGATGATGATACCCCATGCCAGAGTCTGGGGTCCGCCGTTGTAGAGCACGTAAACAACATTACTATCAAATTGTTTGATGTTAACGGTTGCGCTTTTGGCGAAGGAGCTCTTTCGGTTCGACGTACGAGCACATAACTTCCCAGCTAGACATATAAGTCAGCGCAAAAAAGAAGATTTGTGCAAAGCTGAAAATTCTCTGCGAATAATTTAGGTATTTTCAACATCGGGGGGAGGGAACCGTTTTTTCGTACCCTGACTCTCGTCTGTTCGGATAGCTGAGGACCTCGCCGCGTGCTATAGTACGCTTGTGCTGCATTTGCATGGCCTCTGTGATACTTATCCTCCGCTATCGCGGTCTGAACTGAAGCATCATTCAACTTGGAGTCATCCATGCTGGAGATTTAGAGATCGATTCAATCACTCAAAAGATTTTCGGTAAAGTCGACTGACGCGAGAAAGAGGACATGGAGAATATCATCAGCAGGCCAGGTCTTAAGTGAGAGCACAACCTCTCAAGGGCCCCTGCTAGAGACCAAATTCAAAATGGTAGAAGGGGTAGAAAGAGTAGAAGATGTTCGCAGGCCGGCAGAGGCGCCGACTTACGGCGGGGAACTCTGTGTTGGTGGGCAGTCACCTCGATTGGAAAGCAGCTATCAATCCAGATCAAATGATGATGGATGGAGACAAGACGAGGTTCGTCTGCAGGGAAGGCTTTGGAGTAATGGCAATAGGTGATTGCATGGATCATGGTGCATCAGAGCGCACCTTGGAAGATAATGGAGGACGACAAACTGCGCATTAAACTTTCGGTGGGTCGAATTTGGGGCATCCACTAGTCTGGGGTCCATAGGGAGGCACCCAATGGAACAGCCCCAGGCGCCGATCCTCCCAGGAAAGAGGAAGATAATGAGGGGATTGTCGCGGGAAGGCTTTTGATCCCGTCCGTGCCGGCGGGGGCTCCTCTCGACTCCCATTGACAAATCATCCCGCCTCTCTGTAGCATAATACACTCTCCACCGAAAATGGATACGATTATGTCATTCAGTATGGAGTAGGTAGTAAGTCCATTTGTTATTGCAGGAAACCATTCTTGAAGTACAGGAGCAACGCAGAGAGGCAAAGCTATCATATATCCGCTCTACACACACTCTCGTATTATCCCTGTCCGGACAGACCCACCAATCCTCCACCTCCTGCACCGCATGACCACGTCATATTCTCTTTGCTTCGTGAACAATAGGAACAAGAGCTTGACAGTCCATGGCCGACCCTGCTCCGATCCTCTGGAGTTTGAGACTCGACAAGGCACATCCTGTTGACAACACAAACCTCCTGCGGCCAGACTGACAACAGAACAATGGGGAGCGAAACGAGGCCCACTCTCAGCCGCGCCCTCTCGATGCCACCCTTGCACACACTCAATCCTGCTCTTTGGCGTCTAGGCTTTGCATGGGTTATGAGCTTGGAGCTGACCTGGGAGGTCCCCGGGCTTGCGCATCCTACTTCAGCTTTTTGTGACATTTTGCCTATCTCGCATACCCTGCAGCAGTCACTATCTGGGTGGTGGGAGATTATTTCAGCTGGATAAAAAGGTCGACAAGGCGAATTTTGGCAGAAGAAAGAGAAGAAAGGAGCTCTCGCCGACTTCATAGCTTCCTTTTTCACCTTGGTGCCAACCCCCCACCCCCCGCCGTATCCCCAGATTTGATGACTTTCGCTCCAACATATCATGTCGGATTTGGATCACTTGTCTGCTCCATTCTCCCAGGTATCCTCGGACAACCATGCTGCCTGGCTGCTTGCTACGAGTTACATTATGATCCTAGTCTCCTTATTGGTGACGGGCGTGCGCCTGATTTGGAGATACAGGATCACTGGGAAGGTGTCCGTGGACGACTGGCTGATAACCGCTTCCACGGTTCGTTCTTCCACCGACGCTCTTTGCGATTCGACCTTGGCTAACAACAAATTAGATATTAGCAGTCGCCCAAACAATATCCCTCACCGTGGCCTGCAATCGCGGTTTAGGCAAGCATGCCAAAGATGTCTCGATTGACTCGTATGTGGAATATAGCAAGGTACTTTGTGTGGAGCCGTCAAGATCCCTAGACCAGGACTTACTGGAAGCAGAGTTTCTATGCATCCCAACTTGGACTCATGGCAGCCACTGGCCTCGCCAAAGCTTCTGCAATCCAAACCGTTGCGGCGCTGAGACCCCATGTGAGCGTCCTCCGCGCATGCCACGGTTTGCAGATTCTTAATGCTTTGTGGATCGTCGCCGGAATCGTCGCCCTAGCCTTTCAGTGTTCTTTGCCCGCTCCCTGGGACTTCGGCCCCGAAAGATGTATCAATCAATACGCGTTGGTTCTCGGATTGGGAGTCATCAACATCTTGACCGATCTTGTCATCATCGCTTTGCCAGCAATCTTGATGTCCAAGGTGCAAATTACAAACAAACAGCGATGGACCGTCTCCGCACTCTTTGCTTGTAGAGTCATGTAAGTGTTTAATTCAGAAGCAGTCATAGCTTGGTCTTCTATCTCGACTAACTGTCATAGCGTACCCGTCATGACCATTCTTGGGATGGTTGCGATGTACGATTTCTTTCACTCCTCGCCCCCCGACCAGACTTGGCTGGGTGTCGTCCCCTCAATCTACTTCCAGCTGATGGTCAACTTCTCCATCATCTCAGCATCGATTCCGAGCATCAAACGATTCCTCGACCAATTTCGATCTGGCGCATTTGCCGCTGAAGTGACGGTTGCCTTTGAAGAGAGTAGGGCCAAAGGATATTCCGGATCCGGATCGGGTTACACAAGTGGGAAGCAAGGGTCAGAGAACCCGGCCCAGGGCAATGTATCAGCGAGGTCGGCAAGAGGCTTTCCGGCCAGTGAGCCAGCCAAGGTTAAGGTCGAGCGCAGTGAAAGTGTTCGAGGACTCACCGACGATATCATTATGCACACAATCGATTTCAAGGTTGAAGTTGAAGATGAGCATGAAACAAAGGCGAGATCCGAGGAAAGTGCGGCCCACTATAGTAATCTGAGAGGAAAAGATGGCCCGGAGACTTCTTGGTATGGAACAGCTCATTGAAAACAACATCAAACCGAAGCCTTAAAGAAAGATCAATGGTCGTGAGAAATAAGATGGCAGCAACGACAAGAACTCACCCCACGTCCGTGTCTTCTCTATCTCCTTGGCGGCTTCTTTGTGTTTCCGCAATCGGACTTGCGACTCGCGGATTAACTTCATCATTGCATCCTGCATCTTTGGAGGGAACCGGTCTGCTTCCACTTACGCTGTGGTCTTCCGAATCATGCCCTCCTCGGCTTTCACACACTTCTGTCGATTATCCAAGACACGCTGTGCGGACTCTGTCCGGGAGAGGGGCTGATGTTCAAACTCGGTTGCCATTTGCCTCCATAGCTTCATGAAATCCGGTTGCGCAGCGAAGTCTTCTACAGCCATTTTGTGCGCGAGGTGGAGTCATTTGAGGAGACAGGAGACGCATGCCCTCGGCCGCACGCATCAAGTTCCACGGATTCCCCATAAGTTGGCCTTCCCTGTCCTCGGCGGTTTCCCTTGAAGGTGTTCGGCCCTGAACAGTACATTTTCTCCATGGCCATCAAGTGGAAATATAATGCTCCAGAGCTATCTTCTTTTCGCACAGGTTGTCTCTAATGTCGGCCAAGACTTTACCGTCTGATTTTTTCCAGGATCTTCAAACACCGGTATATCAACGAAGGATGCCTCGACACAGTGGAATAGGGAGACGAGGTGGTGCAAGCCCTCGTATCGCTTCTAATGGCAAAGTTAATGACAAAGCTAGATCTTGTGATATGATTGACGAATGTCGTCTTTCCAGCGCCAATTACCAGGAAAACAGCTCCAAGCAGCTCTTGCTCTTGAGCAATTGATGCAATATCTGGAGCTGGCCGAGATTTCTCTCCCGGTGAGGGAATGATGAAGCCACGTTTTACCTATCTAGGCTCGAAATCAATACGAAGGTTGTGACGGTTGGTAAAGAACCTTAACATTTTCTCCTCTCTTCAAGCACGAGGCTCTTCCAGCAAGACCGGGAACTGCTTTACCTAAAGGGGATGGGACAAGGTCGTGAAGCCGAACAGCCTACGCCCCTCACCAGGCCGTCGTAAAACCAGCCAGGACGGCCCTGGGCCAAACGCCACCCCCTAGCCAGACGAACCGACTGACCCCCCCTCCGCACCCGAACAAGGCTCTAACCATAGAACACGACGAATATTTAGTTCATCGAACTTTGAAAAGTCTCAACCAAGGCCTTCTTCATCTATACTTCGGAGGGCTTTCTCAACCGACGCATACATATGTGTTAGCATAATTGCAATCGCCAATCACCAAAACATGACTCATGAACTTGCTCTAAGAGGCTCGGATGAGGTGCAAATGGAAAAATAGGCCATATTAGCAGAGCTGGTCGAATCAATCTTGGCGGGGGACGGGGAAATCAAACTTAATGAGAAGTACCACACTTTCTGCGAGACCGCAGTGGCAATCTCACTGAAAGTATGCGAGCGCCTCCGTCTCGCCGTTGAGAAGCTCAAATCTGGACAAAATCTGCCTTGTCCAAACGTATCGAGGCATATCACCGTTAATACACCATCGCCGTCGTCACATGTTGTGGTAGCAGCGGAAAGAGAATGTACGAGCTAACTAGAACTATTCGCTGGGGGTGGCCGCTTTACTTATATATGCTCTGTAAACGAATACAGTCTAGCATAAGCTAAGAATCCTTGGCAGAAATCCACACACAGGGCTTGCCCTCTTGTTAGGTAGAATTCATCTCTTCTCTAGGCTTACTCGTCAACATTGTGTTAACGGCCGAGAGACTGCAGCTGTAGCGAAATAAAAGCATAGGTCTGTTAGCGGTGGGCCCGGCCCCATTTGGTCCGGTGCCAGCAGCCCAATAACTTGAAGCTCGCAGACGTCACCTCGAAGTCATAACGGGGAAATAATGATAATTGCGGCTAGGCAGCAACTTCGGAAGGGTACCGGGCTAGGAATCTAGATGGAAAGGCTCAATGAAGTAGTTCCCGTGACTGGCTTTGAGGGATATTAATCGTTGCAACATGGTTATAAATGTTAGTTCAGATGATCGGTGCTAGTTATCGTATTGTAACCTCCGAAATCCGAAGCCCAAAATCTCGGCCCCTTCCATCGTAATTACGCTGCAGCACGGTTCCGAAGGCGGGACTCGTTTACATACATACGGACCAATCCAAAGGTTTACAATGTATGCCCTCGATGTGCGTCGGATCCACATTCCATTTGCAATTTTGCAACTACAACTCGTTCTAATGCAAACATCATATAAGCACCGTCAGCTTCTCATCCCGTCTTTACTTCCTTCCAGAGCTAAAACGGATTCTTGTGAATATATTCTGTACGATTAATACAACAAAGTGCACAACCCTTAAACCAATTTTCTCTACTTGGCGACATGCTTACCGTGCACCATTTGCAGCGCAGCCAAAGTGAGCGCATCGTTTGGCTGTGCGAGGAACTTGGAATTCCCTACGAGCTTAAACTCTACCAACGCAACCCCCTCTTCTCTCCACCGGAGCTCGTGGCGCTGACACCGCTGGGTGCGGCTCCGGTCATCACGGACGTCACGTTCGGCGCATCCAAGCCACTGACGCTGGCAGAGAGTGGCGCAATTGTGGAATACATCATTCACAAACATGGTGGTGGACGACTGGCCCTGCCTCCGTCTCATAAAGACTACGCCGACTACCTGTACTGGTTCCATCTGTCCAACGGAAATCTGCAGCCGTGCATGCTCAGAAGCACCAACTTTCGCGCATTGAAGTTGGGTCCTGACAACGCCGCGCAGAAGAACGTTGACGCACGTCTGAAGTTGATTTTGGACATGGTCAACGATCGGCTGACCCAGGTACCCTGGTTGGCGGGCGAGGAGTTTACAGCGGCCGATATCATGAGCGTATTTTCATTGAGCACGATGAGATTGTTCTACCCGATGGACTTGACTGGATATGATGGGATTCTAGCATGGCTACAGCGAGTAGGACAACGACCGGCATATCGGGCGGCAATGGAGAAAGGAGATCCTGGAATGACCCCCTGTCTAGGAGCTGAAGCGCCAGCGCCATTTCTTGGGCTCTGATTCATACTTTGTCAGTGGCCTGAGATACTGCCGACATGCCGACGAGTCTTTTATTATGCACGATGAGCCTTGTCAAAGCCATGATACTCCCTTACGAAACCGTAAGAGTCGTTCGATCATGGTCATCATTGGGCCTAGTTTTATTCGCTTCCACGATCTCAATTTGAGCTTTCAGTCCCCATGGAACGTCCATCCTCTCCACCAAAACTTCCAACACCTTAGACAATACTTAGTGAATACGTGGGCAAGCAGGGCATAAATAACATACCTGAATTGAAGTTGGATTCAAGTAGTCCACTGAAGTATACACTTGTCTAAATTCGGCCTTGGATCTGACTTGCTTGCTCTGAACTTGACCATTTTCTGACCCAAAGTCAAGCATGTATTGTGGTACCATACCGCAATATCGTTGTAAGCTGCAGATCTGGATTAGCACTGTTCTCACCGTGTTGTGGGCACCCAACGGAGTCTTACTTTGCTCCGCTCCATGAATTGCACGTTCAATCGTATAGCCACCGTTGTTGATTATCATTCTGCGTATGTCTGAGCAAGGGCACTTCTCAACAAGACGCTCTGGCACTCACATGATTATGTTTCTTATCCCACATTTTATCATCGTGCCGACCTCTTGCGCAGTCAGTTGCAGGCTGCCGTCGCCCACAACGAGTATGATTCGACCGCCAGTTCCTTGCTCATTTTGGCTATAGCAGCTCCAAGACACGCAGGAACACTATAGCCAATACTTCCGTAGTAAACTTGTGTTATGCACGAAGTGCCTCTCGGAAGGCTCACATCTGGAAGGCTAAATTGCGCTGTGCCGGATTCAGCAATGAGAATATCGCTTGGCCTTAAAAATCGTTCCCCTATCTCTTTCCAGAACCAAGCCTGAGATATATGTTCTGAGTCCGAGATCGATGGGAGAAACGGGTCGGGGATTTTCCGTTATAACCAGTCCAAAAACTTGGTGCCGTTCGTTGCTGCGACCGGCGTTGAGAGGACTATGTTCATCGGGATCTGTTGAATAAAGGGCTATTGTGCATAGGTCCCACCGCTGAAACACTAGTGAAAGGTTTCCATAGACGACGACGTTGCTGATGGTTGCTCTACGTAACGATGTAGTATTCGCATATCTATAAAAGAAGCCTCAGTACCTCGACAAGTAGATAGAGAACAGAGCATTCAATACATCTCGAGTTGCACCCAGTTTGACAGATGTCGATTAGGTACATTGATGAATACAAGGCATAAAAGACACGCTAAACTTCGATGACCAAGAAGGTACGTTGTGCGACCGCAACCCGCTCTTAAGTAAAACCTACAAAGAGGAGAACGGCAAGCACATTGGCCGTAGGTTAGGCTAGGATAGATGTCTCTCCAACTAACCATTGTGATCCTGGCCTTTGAAGCCGATAAAACCGGGCGTAGTGGGAAGCAAGCATACGCGGAAATGTCCTGGAGAACGAGACGACCCAGTATTGCCGCAGATGCGGTTCGCGGGTGTGCTATTACGGCTCGGAAAGGCTGCTCAGCGGCTTATCGGAAAACGATCCATTTGGAGTCATACACTACCAGAGCAATAATCGGATGATAGAGCAAAGAAAAAGCCGATCCGGTACCGCAAGGAACGGCTCATTATCGCGGGCGATTTACTGAAGGACCTCCGCGAGAAGATGGTAAATACGAGGTACTCTGGCGCTGTAACATCTGAATCCAGGCTGATTCAGAACTGTTAAACCCTGATCTTCGCCTGAAGAGAGAGACGCAAAAGGATAATATGAAGGGCACCAAAGATCGTCTCGCCAACGGCAGCGCTGACATAAACAGTCCTCCTAATGGTTTCTATCATCGAGAACAGACTCCGTTACACACCATCATAGTTGGGGCTGGGTTTGCTGGCATCTCATTGGCATATGTTTTGGGCAGACCTGGACATGCAGTGGAAGTCCTTGAAGCTGCGACAGTCATCAAAGAGGTTTGACGGCCGATGCAGCCATTGATTTCTTCTCTCTTGCTGACTGTTTCTACTCAGCAGGGATAAATGCGACACCGAATCTGACCAGATTATTCGCGCGCTGGGAGCTGGAACCGTATGTGAGAAAGGACTCTCTGCCTCTCGATCGGCTTGAGCTCCGGCGATGGGAAAACGGAGAATTTCTGGACATGACAGCTTGGATGCCAGAGGTCGAAAGGCGGCATGGCGCACCTCAGTACGCTGCACACCGCGCCGATATTTTGAATGGTATCGCTGAGGGCATACGCACTACCAAATGTTACTCTGAAAGTCAATAGCAAAGTGGTGGATGTTGATATGGATACACCATCGGTGACCTTGAGCGACGGATCGACTCTTGTGTCTGACCTGATCGTCGGAGCAGATGGTATGCACCCTTTTTGCTCGCGGCTGTTAACTGACTGAGATATTGCGCAGGTGTGAAATCGACATGTAGAAGGCTGCTTTATCAGAGACTTGGCCTCTCGGACAAGGCCAGACCCACTGGAGACGCTGCGTTCCGAGTAATGATACCTCTCGAATTTGTCAAGACCCCGGTTGCGACACGATGGTTGGGTCCGAGTCGTCATGTCCAAGGATTCCCTATACGCGATCATGACTTATAAAACATGGTATGTTTTCGTTTTTTTTTTTTTTTCCCCATCTGCGCCCTTGCTCGTATTCGTCTCACCCTACTCTGTCTCCATGATTTGCTGACCCTTTGGGCAGGCTCTCTGCCATCCTGATACCGTCGGCTCCGTGGAATCGTGGGGCGACGTGTATCATCCAATGCATGTCTTCAAGACCACCCCACTTACCCGCATTTACTGATTTCAGAACACAGGCTACCATACGTTGCGCAGGGTCCGCACAAGCAGTGGAAGATGCAGCTGTCCTGAATCTTGCCTTGAACAACGTCTCTGCTACTCGAAGCATATCAACAATGCTCAAAGCATATAAACTCTCCCGAAAGAAACGTGCGGAATCGACCTCGAATAATGCTTCTACTACTCGACTTGTCCTTCATTATCCAGATGGTCCAGAGCAAAGGAATCGGGACGAGAAGTTTCGGGCAGTAGCTCGAGGTGGTGAAAATCCAGATGTTCTGTAAGACACGAAATCCCATGACATTCTATGGTGTCACGATGCGGAAAAACATTGATTACGATTGTATAGATTGCTAATTCAGCCTCAGACCTAGTCCGAACGGCGCAGCAATTAGCAAAAGAAGGTTCCATAGTTGTATGAGGCCACATTTAGACGTCTATGCCGTCTCGAGTAAAGGCTTTCAAGTCATGCAAAAATGTTATCAATACACGATACACAGATATAGTATCTAGGCATATTGTGACAGCCACACTTTTGCTAGGTACGCACTACTTCAACAATAGTACGCTCTGGCTTTTCGTGGGATTAGCATTCGATCCATGGTCGGTGGATGTCCTTTGCCGTCCTAGCGGATCGCTTCGTTTACTCCATAGATCCTTCATTTGCAAGAACCGTGCTATTGCGGGATGGTCCTGTTTATAAAAAGTCAGTTTCCAACATTGCACCACGTCCTTTAATCCACTCATAGAAGTGGAAATTGAGACTAGGATCTCCAGGCCACAACTAAGTAACATCATCGCATACGCTTCTACAGCGATTGCTACAGGCTACAAGAATCCAAGATTGGTTTCATCTGCAGCTAAACCCATCAGTCCTACGTTTCTTTCCCGTGGGGCTATATGCATGATAGACCTTGAATGTGCCAGAATCACGCTAGGTTTTCTACTGCGCTTATGTATGTTTGGAAAGGTGTTCTGAAGTTTATGGGAGACGGTTGGCTGTGAAGAATAGGAAATCATAATTTCTATGGCAGCATTTGTGTCAAGCAATGTTTGCCCTTGTAAATGGTCTGAAAAGTGAACAGCAAGTAGTACGAACGAACCTATCTATTGTTTTTGTGCTAGGAGTACTGTGACAGTTTGTGGAAAAGGGGGTGGCTAGGTCGACGCGTTGACAAGTATATACGGACTCTCGCTGTCCATTCGGTTGAGAAAAGATAGAGCATTCAATAGATCTCAAGTTGCACCCATCTGACAATTTGGTTTCTTTGCTTTTGCATAGTAAGGAAAAGAGCCAAAAAAAATGAATATAATCTCCTTTTCCACAGCCTTCGTCTCTAGGGCCCGGCTGAAGACCACGGAAGGATCTATCGTAGTAGCCAAAATTTGCTTTGTGCCGGCGGGAATCCTATGGTTTCGGGGCTGGCAGTTGTCTGATACCTATACCAGAGCTCTCGTTTGTTCCCATGGCTGGACCGGATAGCAGAAGCCGTGAGCATGTAAATTTTAGCCTCCAGCGGTTGTAGCTTTCAGGAACTACCTCCACAGCGTCCATAATTTGGAGCCCGAAGTTCAGGCTATACCGCGTTGGACCTAAGCAAGGCGATGCGGACGTGGCCAAATTTCGCGATTGCAGCCTATAAACCCCCCCGGGGCTCCCCTAAACCCCGCAATCGATCCAACTGCACTCTTTCTCCGCCTTCTTATAAGAGGCGCGACACCCTGACCTAGTGCGGGCTGGGACTTTCATCGCACAATGTCTGAACAAGTTCCAAAACGTCGGCTGGCAGCAGGATCTGCTTGTACCGCTTGTAAACGTCGAAAAATTCGCTGTGATGGCCATCACCCGACTTGTGGCTGCTGCTGTCAAACTGGGTGCAACTCGAGATGTATTGAACGCTCTGGGCTCTTCAAATGAGTGTGGGATAGAGCCCATCTACGAGGTGTATGCTGGCGCTGTTACCTGTCAATGGCGTTGCACGCCAGGGGGTGAATGTTACAAAACGAGTAGGGTTGCCATGAACGATAGGTTATCGTTTGTTCAACAGCTGCAAAACTCGGGGGTCATCTGCCAATATTTGCCATCGGTATCAGGAACCGATGCTGTTCTCAAAGAGCCCGAACTCCCCACACGGTACCAGAAAGCTTGATTGCTAATGTGTGGCCGAGATTAGATTACGAAGGTACTTGGGTGCACGGCTGGAGGCAATCCAACCCTCAGCTTGTGATTCTCTGGGTCAATAGCGAAACGAATTGCAACGCTCAACAGCAGGGCCGACGTCTCAGGCTGTGGACAACTATCTCCTGAGATCAAACTCACCAACGGCTGGCCAGCCCAACGAATCCCGGAATGATACGCGGATGCCAGCGCGCAAATTGGACCTGATGCCACGTACACTCTTCAGGATGGAGGGACCGGCGTGACTTTGGATGGCCGGCCTCAGTGGTCGGCAGGAGAATTGACACCTGAATCACTGACACAAAACGACAATGAAGGCTACTTTGGCGATCGTCGACTTTCACGTTCATGTCGAAAGTAACAAATGGCAGGAGTACTGCCGATAACGAGGAAAATCACAATGCCAGCCCACCGGGAGATCGCCCATCTGGAAGGTCTGCTTGACCGTCATGGTGACGAAAGCCTGCACTCGTCGCGGGACGTGGAAGAGTTGTTCCTTTTGCCACCGCGGTCGACAGCAAATAAGCTTATGCATGCTTACTTCAAATATGTGCACCCGCTCTACCCTTTCACACATGAACCATCTCTGGAATGAGAACAGTTCCGGTTGCGAGCGGCCGATTTGGTTTGCGCTCCTCAACCTCGTCTTCGCTTTCGGTCGTGAATTTGCTGATATCGCAAGCGTTGAGAAAAGCCACAATTGGGCCACAGGGTTCGTATCCCGCGCGAAAGCCATCGTCTATTCCGAACGGGCAACCTGGAGATGGTACAAGCCCTCCTTCTGATGTGTTACTATCTTCAAGGCGCTTCAGAGATGAACAAGTGCTGCAACCTCGTTGGTTTGATGATTCGGATTGCCTATGGAATCGGGCTTCATCTGGATCCAGCGCGATTCAACGTAGGGAATATAGAGAAATAGATGAGGAAACGGATTTGGTGGGGTTGCTTCGCCCTTGATCGAACTCTCAGCTTCAAATTTGGTCGGCCACCTGCGATCCGTAGAGATGACGGGATGGAAGTGACATTTCCCCTGGCAGTTGATGACTTATATTTCGTCGACCAAGACAAGGCACCAATTCAGCCACCTGGCCCACCTTCGTTCATCGAATTTTTCGTTCAATCCATTAAATTGACGATGATTGTAACAACGATATCAACGAAGGGTATCGATCTGTTACGAGGGGTGTGGTGAGAGGGATCACAAGTGCACAAGGTAGGGTATGGAATAGTAATGTACTGAAACCTGTCTGTCTATCTAAGGGTTCGAAGGCTCTTCTTATACCTTCGATCCGTTCATCTTCCTGCCTCCTTTCTAACGCCCAGCCCCCTTCCTGCCACCTTTGCAGTGGCTGGGAATTCGTGGCGTGATGGGTGTTACAATGATAATGGAAAGCACTCTGCAAAATCTTCATCTCAGGCCCACCACAATGAACCGCCAATGCTCAGATGATCTAATTGCTGAAGACATATCTTTCATACTGACACATACAATGAGACTTGACGGTGATCTGACCGCCTGGAATCGAAACCACCCTCCACACCTCGCTCACAGCCAAGCACCTTCTGAAGATATCCGCCTTCAGCGGTCACGAAATACTCTCCGAATACGGTATAATGAGACTCATCTCCGAGCTGAGCGGATGCTGACCATCATAATAGAGGCCTAAATCTTCGAATGATGCTCCATCGACAAGCATTCCTGCTCTTTAGTCGTGATGAACCAATGGAAGACTTTTGGCGCGCTATTGCAGTTATCTGTTCCCGTGAGTGCGTTGCTGCTGCCTGAGAGACCATATACCTGGTCCATACGCTACACCATCGTCGACTGATCAATTCTCTACTGTACAATTTGCACTGTGAGTGCATTCCCCAGAATTGTGGCTGAAGCTGATAGCGTAAAGATGTATTTTCGTCCATGGGCGTTCTACGGTGCCTGCAGACACTTGAAAAGTCAAAACTTGATATACTCGGTGAATCCGGGACGACAAGATGCTCGAGTGGGGAATGAAATTTTTTACGGGATGGCTGCCTACAAAGCTCTCTCGCATGTAGATATCTGACGGCATTACGTCGGCTACCTGCTGGTGGCAAAACGCGGACCTACGGAGAAGAAAGCAACGAAACTTTCATAGCACTTTATCGGACGCAGAAAAATAGGCCGAACAAGAACCTGACGGGCATGCGAATGCCTCAGCTTGTGTGTTTGCTCCTACCACACCAGCGCTTGAGCTAGGTGGGTCGGCAGCAAATCCATCAACAGAACACCTTTACTCGGCCTCTGAACAACCAGACTGGGGGACCTTTCTCCTTGGAACCGGATTTCCGGTAGACTTCTTGTCAGATAAGAAATTTAACTACGAGCAATTTCTGGTTGATGGTTAAAATAGTGCGTATGTTTACGTTTGTATCTGGGAGTACTTCCACAATTAACATCACCATTCGAAATCAGTGACACATGCTCCAGGCTACGGTTGTTTAACAGCAAAAGCTCTAGAAGCATTATCCAGGAGATACTCCCACCCTGGGGAGATCAACCCTCAACCCAGAATGGCGGCATATCAAATATTTGCTCGTTGATCAAACCAGTTTGTAGTGAATGCAGCCTCTGCCTTATCCGAGGTGAAATGTATTTCCATCCCATTTTGATGGTTGCTCTGGGTCAGCAAGGAGCCGGGCAAGAAGGCCACCATAGTCACGAGGCCTGTGCAACCATCTAGCTCCAGCGCCTCCAAACTCGTACTCCAGAGCAATCGGGCATCCCCGTGCTTCACCTTTCAAAATATGTTATGTGTCAAACAGGACCTGTCAAACTAGGGGTGCAAATTGAGATGTATTGAATGCTCTCTCTCTTGGGCAATTGGTTCTGCCAGATTACCAGTATAAATACATGCTTGGTTGACCCCTTTTCTACTCCTATTCTTCCCCTATATCCGGCATAGGGTGATAACCCTTTCTCAGTAAGGAGCACTGCTCATTGTTCGACAGCATCTATGCTCGGAAAAGATCCATAACATGGAACAGGATGACTCTAGCTCGTGGAGTTTGCCCAGCTGCAAGCACAGAGTTGCTCATTCCCATTCAGGAGTTCATTCGAGAGTTGGCAGGCAAGCATACATCGACAGACGAACCATTATTGAGCCCCTTCCGAGGAATTGGTAATGACAGGTGGAGAGTGGCAATGCAGCAATCCTCCTCACTGCCTTTGTAACAGGCCCTCTTTACGGAGCACAGAGCGCCACTCTTTGTTGGACTATGAAATCACGTGCCGGCCGTCATGAGTCCCTCTTTTTAGCATATGTCGAACTTGTGGTACAACTTGAGTTGAAGGAGTGCTCTGTTCTCTATCAAGTTGAGGTCCTGCCTCACATGTTTATATAGACAAAGATTGTCGCCATCTTTCGGCGTCTCCGTGTTCAGCTCGTAGACGAAACCCTTGTCCAGCTGAACATCCATTGCCACGCTGAAATCGTTGCCCCATATTGTCTCACAGTTCAACAGGACTTCTCAGTCAGGCAGGCAAACAAGCCGTCGACTCAAACAGTCAGGCTGAAGGCCTTTCTTTGCCTGAGGCCGGACGTCAGCCAAGAGGTAGATATGCTTAGTAAGTGAGAGTAGCCAATCAGATATCTAGCAACGCAATTCCCTAGACTATAATGCTACAGCTAATCAGCGCCCCCCGCTCCACCTTTAACGCGAAGCACTTGGCTACATCAATCTAAAATTCAAAAATTCTCTTGTCACCTCTCTCACTATAGCTAATCGCTATCGTAGTAAGATTAAGCAAGTCTTCTGTAAGGCAGGCGGTTTATATATACGCAACAAAAAAATGTTAAGAAAATAAAAGCCCCCCCTCCTATAGTCCATCTCTAACGAACTTATAGATGGGGCGCCGCAGCCAGTGAAAGCCTCAGCCAGACAAGTTCAACTGAAGAAGAGTTTGAATCAGCGAGAATCAGTAACCTCCCAACGGTATGAACAAGACGACATCATCAACAATCACTGGCTGGAGCATTACGTTACCCATCTAGGGCACCTAGAAACTCAATGGAGCTAGGCCGGACAACCCTCTTACCTTACCTATGATCGAACACTAGTAAGGCCCCTCAATTCTATCGGTTCGACTGCAAGCCGAGTGTTTTACCACTCGGTTACGTCCTTGATAGGTCAACCACGATTTGGTGTCAATTTTGAAGCAATTTTTGGCATTATAAAATATATAGACTTTTTTTTTTTATTTTGGAATCATCTAGTTGGGGCTTGGCGTTGTGTGGCGACGCCAAGAGCGACGTGCTGGCCAATCATGTAAGCCTGTATCTTGGCGTTGTCACGTGGGCACGTAGCCACTCATCCAATCCGTGGAGCATGTGGCCGGGGGGCACCCTACTCGATAGATGTCCACTGATTGGATCCGATGAAATCCCGTGGGCAAACCTATCCTCAACGGATTAAACATTTTCCGGGCCGCAACCCGTCGGATTAAATATTTTCCGGACTTACCCCCATCGGATCCAGTCTGTGGACCAAGTGGCCGGGGGGTGGGCACCCTATTCGATATCGACATGGTCCACGGATTGGATCCGACGAGTCGTGGTATTTCATCGGATCCAATCTGTGGACCACCTAGACGAGCTCTGACTGATCGCGCTCGAGATGGTTCGTAACCGAGCGTTAACGAACGAGCCTCGATGTCGATATGGCCCATGGATTTGATCCGATGGGTCGTGGTATTTCATCGGATCCAGTCTGCAAACTACCTAGAAAAGCTCTACTACTCGGGATGGTTCGTAACCGAGCGTGAACGGAGGAGCCTTTGACGTCGAGATAACTCGTGTGGAATGTTAATGGATAGTAATTGGTCATTTCACTTAATTACCGAAATTTTATATAGGTCATTTGATTAATTGTATTACGGTAGTGTTGACCACATATAAATCGGTTCTGATTTTGACCTAGACCCTTTCTGCGAAGGTCGCTCTGTGGGGGCGATTAGTGTCTTGGCATACTAAGCAGAGGGTCGTGAGTGCTGAGATAAAAGGGGGTGTACAGAATAGTCGCTGCCGGCAGCTATGGACGCCTGATAAGGTCACGTGGTTCACGTGGTTCACGTGGTCTGTCATGTGTGCCAAGAGCTACTGCAGAAGGGTCTGGCCCAGGGGAAACATTATTAGCGAGCCTTGACATATGGCGTATTTGTCCCCTCGAATGTGATTGCTAGGTCAAGTCGATCTACCAAAATAGCCCTACTGCTGGGTAAATCCCCAAAAGCTTTTTATACCAACACGTCTAGTGTGGCCTCACTTGATGGGACAGTAGAAAGTGGAATTTCTGAACCGCTCCGCCAAACCGATTCGTTATGGTAATGCGAACACCTTCCGGAAAGCTCGGTCACACCAAGTCACGAAAGGGTTGTCTCCGATGCAAGGCACGTCATGTCAAGGTAGGTGGATGTTGTGGACAAGCTCCAAGCATCGCTTCCGAAATACCCAAATAATGCTGACACAAAGGTAGTGCGATGAGCGGCGCCCTTGTGGCAACTGCGTTCGCGATGATGCAGTTTGCAGCTTGACCCAAAATTTCAAGCAGCCACCTCCGGTCTCAAGCAGCTCCGGTGATCAGGATCGGAGAAACATACGGGAGCCTACCTCGCTTACCGAGTCGGCAACTGCTGACTTGGACGTGTCGACTAAGCAGGACTTGTCGACATCAGCTGGGCCCGATGTCATCGACGGTGGACCTACTGCTGCCTTCGGGACTTGGATGCAAAGCATGCGCTTACTCCATCATTACCATACTGTCTATGCCCCATCCTTGAAGATGAGCCATGTACGGTTACAGTATGGAGGAAGGTTGTACCAGAGCTAGCCTTCTCTCACGTATGGCTTCTTCTACTACCAGCATGCTACTGACAATAACTTATGCATTATAGGACTTCTTACTGCATGGGCTGCTTGCGTTGTCTGCTCTTCACTATGCACAAAATCAGCCGGGCCTGTATAAGGAGTACATCCTTATATCGTCGCAATATCAGGGCCTCGCTCTGCGGCCATTTGCCACAAAGCTGCAAGGCATCAACGAGGGCAACTGTGAGCCATATTTGTTTCTCGCCACGTTTGTCTTCATTATTAGTATGTGCTCGATCACTGGCCAGCAGGCACCGGGAATGCCTGTCGTTCCTAAAGATATAGCGCAATCCTTTATGCTCCTTCAGGGTATCAAGAGCATCTGCATACTCAAGCCAATGGAGACATGGAGCTAAGCCGGACCATTGGCACCGCTCTTCGACCATGAAGTTCCCGTGCCGGTGACATGCACGGGTGCTTTTCAAAGCCGCATAGAGCAACTACACAGCCTCGCGAGAGAGTTGAGTCCGTCGTTTGACTCAATCAATGTCCAGTTGTCTTGCCTTCTGGCTATCGAGTCACTTAGGACTACTCATGCTGCGTGCATGGCCGATGCGTCATTCGTCCGTGCGCGTCGCATATGGCTCTGGCCGGTTTCTTTGATGCCGCTCTTTATCGACCTGATTGGCAATGACCATCATATTGCTCAATCATCCTGGCACATTACGCCGCATTCACCAGACCATTTGAGCATCCACACTGGATGAATAAAGGATGGAGCTCTACCATGATGACCGCGGTTGAGAACGCCTTAGAGAAGCGGTGGCATGAATGGATTGCCTGGCCCAAAAAGTCCTTGGAGGAGGAAATTGATGTGGACGAAATGAGTTTGTGAATTACTATGGTCAAACGAAGTGCAATCTATCTAGGCTTGTTCCCTCCGAAATCAATCCCGAACAACAATCTATTTTTCAGAACCTGTAACAGCAGCCAATTTTGAAGGAGTCAAGCGGCTGCATGTTGGGGTAAGATGAACTGACGCCTTAAGCAATGTATCGAATGTACTATCCTATAGCTTGCCAATCTCGAATTTCTTCCTCAGTATCTCTCCGTATCGAAGGAGGAGGAATGGGATGGGAATGAGCGCCACCGCAATGAAACCAAGCAGGGTATTTCCCCATCCCAAGCCCATGGCATTGTACATTTTCCTTCCACAAAGAGAGAGAAAAGCACCTGCGATCGACCTGAGAATAATATTCGCCGCGAGTGCTGAGGCAGCGTATAGCTCGTATGCGTCTACGAGGTATGTGCAAATAGCCATGAAACTGATAAGGTTACATAGGGAGTTTTCTGCTTTAGTAAGGGAGCACCACATGAAGGTCAAGGTACACATACCAACGCCAATAAAACCCAAGCCGATGATAGCAACCATGTAATGGACTTTATGATCTGTAGTCCATCCATAAATGAAAAATCCGGCCGGAAAAATGATCGCGCCAATCGGTATTAATTTCAATCGAAGTTCCGGATTGAGTTCTGACTGCCTTTTGACCTCACGAGAGCTATCTACAGCAAACCAGGTCATTCCAACGAAAGCTCCGACGCCGAGGCCGAGATAAACCAGGCCGACCGTTTTTCAGAGAATCCGTATGAGTCCTGGAACACGAATGGCACAGAAGTGAAAAGGATACAGATATAGCCGTATACCAGAGCCAGGTAAAAGGCGAAAATCGTGCAAATCGGTGAAAAGACCAGCAGATTGATTGGCCTCACAATGCTCTTCTTGAAGAGTTCCTTAAGTGACAGTCCCGTGTCCGTTTTGGAATACCAGCGGTCGTCTCCAGTCTCCTTTCGAATCCTTTTTACTTTTCGTTCAAGGATCACTGGAGAATAGCTCTCCTTCAGTGTGAGAAGCATGGTGAGAGAAATAGCGCCAGCCACAATGACAATGAGCCAAAAGTCCCAGCGCCAACCCTCGGCATCTGCCAGAAAACCCCCGATGACGGGATCAATAATGGGCCCTATTAGAGGTCCCACCGTGAAGATCGCCATAATTCCTGCCCGCTCTTCAGCAGGGAACATGTCTGCAATGCTGCCACCTCCGTTGGTCATGGGGGCCGCGCCGAAGGTCCCGGCGAAGAAGCGGAAAACAATGAGACTGTCGAGAGAGGGTGCCTTGGCACATGCCACGGTGAACGTCAGGAATATAAAGTTAGTGGTGTGATAGACTGGTACGCGTCCCCACATCTCGGACATGGGAGCCAGCGCCATCGGTCCAAAAGCAAATCCCAGGACATAGACTGACACGACAAAGGCAGACAGTTCTGTGTTTGTGCTGTCGAAATTTTGCATCAACTCGGGAACCCCAGGCGCGAAGACTGACGACGCCAAAGGCTCAATCAGGGTGAGCATGCTGATCAGTCCGCAATTAACAAGCTTCCTCCATTTTGGCCAGTTGTATGGATTTTCGGGGTCCGCGTTTCTGTCCCACCAGACCACATGGCTATCCTTGCCACTGCTTGTGTCGCTTTCGACCGTTTTGGCTCTCCTGAAATCGTCCCCCTCGCAATCGGCTGGTGGTTTCTTCCGACTTCTAAATCTTGATTTCCGTGCGCATGTTGCTCCTCTGAGGTGTGCAAAACCTCGTGAACGCTATCTGGGGCTGCATTATCTGTACCAAGCCCAGGGACAGACAGTGAAGTTAAGGTGAATTTCCAAAGTCCAATCTATTCGGCCATTAGCACAAAAGTCCAGTGTCCAATAGGCAGACTATCTTAACTCGGTATGACACCCCGTATTCGTACTTCGGATTCGCTCGTCGGATTCGTGTACTAGATACTAGCTATTATCTGAACGGCTAGCCACCCGAGCTGAATTTATACTAGCAGCTAAGGATCTACCTGCTTCATCTTTCTCCTTTTCAATTAAATTCTCTCCATTCATTGCTCTGTCTCCGGTAGCAACCTGTCTCTCACGAGGACGGGCAATGTCACAGGATCTTGACAGCGTCAGTACGACTGTCTTGGTCTTGTGTCTTCTTGAGGGCAATAATCCTGACTTACTAATGATGGCGGGAACAATGTCCCCATATATTTATTGTTTTGTTTGTTTGATTCATATGATGTCCCAGCCTCCTAGTGAAGCTATGCAGGAGTTCTACATAAGGGCCTTCTCCCCCCTATTCTTTCCTGCCCTCTCAGAGCTGGCGCTCTCAGATTTCTGGTTTCGGTGGGGAGAGGTCTGTTCCATCTGTGGGTACTTGACAGAAACCCACATCTGTCTGGTCTACTGTGATCTACTCTACTCAGCGCGGTGCTGTGGTGTGGTGGAAATCCGTATGTGTTCTTAGAGCTGGTGTTGAGGACTGTTTCCGAGTTAACTTGGTTGAATTGCCCAAGGAAGTCCCCGGCTTATTTGATCGACAGGATAATCCTCCTAAGCTTCAAATTGCGTATCTCGTGATGAAGATGACACTCATCAAGCGCCTGAGGCCTGGCTCCGACACAGATGATGTAGAGACTACCTTCTCAATCCATAGACGGTTAGGCTCTCTAAGGAGGTCTTAAAATCTACAGGACTCGGGGCAGCGGCGTACTACAGAGTCTATGGAGGTTTCTTCAAAGCGCATGCGCTATAATGGCGAGCTGGGATAGCGTATACGCCACAAGGGCTAATCAATGTTTGTGGCGGATTCTCAACGAACAGCTTATAAGAGAAATCGGAAGGAGGCTCTTTATTGTGCCTCGCTTAATATATTCACCTATTTGCCTACGTGTAGAGACCGCTATTGAGCGTGATAGATTGTGCAAAGATTTTGACGTCGTCGGTTAACGATTCAGCTACGGAACGGATCGGGTTCGGCGTGTTGTGCTCTTCAAGGGAGGACAATTCTTTATACCCGCAATTCGACGTCGTTCAAGTGCCACCGCGGATGAATAACAAGAGGAGGTTTCCAACCATACAAAATACCTACAATATCTAGCTCATCACCGTGACTGGGCGGTGTGCAAACGGTAGATCAAACATCTGTGGCGCAACTCACGGGCCCACGGGCGGCAATTGCCGCTCGGTATGGTGCGGAAGGCCTTCCGCCCAAAGTGTGCTCCATGAACTGAACCAATTCAACAGTATCGGACCGGCCGGAATGAACCTGCGACTCAGTTAGGGTTATTTAGTTGAGGGGTTTGTGTTGTGCTGTCTCAAGAAAGAACAAAACGAACTTTGGACCATCCATTTATCGAGCGAAGAACATTGTCAAGATGGTGATCAAATTGACTTTTGCCTGCTCGGATTATGACCGCATGAAGGCGATAGAAGACGGGCGAGTACGACCAGAAGGAATCGACCTCACTTTTCTTAATTACAGGGTGGAAGAAACGTAAGCATACTTGGAGAGTCTAAAGTTCAGCCAGAAGTATGATCGCCGAATGTCCTAACAAAGAAACACAGTTTCTTCCGCCAATTGCGATTCAAAGAATTTGATGTCTCAGAGCTTTCCTTGTCTTCCTATGTTTTGACTCTGAATCATGAGAATCCACCATTCATCGCCATACCTGTATTCCCAAGCCGTTTCTTCCGACATCAATCAATTTATATCAACACCAGATCAGGCATCAAGAAAGCTGAGGATCTTAGAGGGAAGAAAATTGGAATACCAGAATACCAAAGTACGTGCGACCCTTGACTAATCAACTTGAATAAAGGGGGCTTCGATAAGAGACTGACAGGACTTCAGTGACTGCTTCGGTCTGGCAGCGTGGTCTGATGGAGGAAGAGTTTGGCGTTCCAATCAGCACTGTCCATTTTTACGTCGGTAATATTGAACCGTCACAGGAGCAGCGAAAGAGTAAGGTTGCCCACTCAGTACCGGCCAATACTTCGATAACGGCCATCAAACCTGGCCAGAACCTATCGCAGATGTTAGAGGACGGTGAACTCGACGCCCTCTTCGCAGCGACAAAGCCATCGTCATTTAATAGGTGCGAACATGTTACCTATCTATTTCAAGATTTCGAACAAGTCGAAGCGGGGTATTTTCAGCGGACGAACATTTTCCCGATTATGCACGTAGTGGCGTTGAAACGAGAGGTTTACGAGACGAATCCTTGGGTCGCGAAAACCTTGCAGAAAGCCTTTGCCACGTCGTTAGATATTGCATACGAGGCCATACTTGAGCGTGGCGCATTGCGCTATATTCTCCCCTGGCTAGAACACCATGTTGAAAAAACAAAGACGCTTATGGGTCAGGAGAGATGGTGGCAAGACGGATTCGTGGAGAACAGGCACGTTTTGGACAAGTTCTTGGAATATTCTTTCAACCAAGGGCTTGCAAAGCGACGTTTCACCCCTGAAGAGCTATTTGCCCCAAATACATTGGAATCGTTTGTTGTCTAGGCTGGATTCTGGATATGCATCCCAGTCAAGACCGGCGGAGCGTGCAGGATATAATCGCAGGTCAGCGACAGAATAAATACATTTCGACTGTGTCAAACGTGTTCGCAAGATCATTGGTGACCGAAGGCCTTTTCCTACTACAGAACATTGATGGTACCAAAGAGTGCTCATACCCACGACGATTGCAAATAATAGCGTTCGTACAGACTCAAGCGATATATATCATGATATTGTAATGCTGTAAATCAGTCCGATCGCCGTTGAGAGGCCGACGAAAGATTGTAACCGGACCAAGATTTTCGTTTATATCAAAGGTTTACTTCTTCCGCCGGCGTATCTTCCTGATGTCTCCAGTCTGCAGTTTTGAACTCTTCCACGGCGCTGACTCTTTTGACCGTTGGTCACATCTTCAGATCCGTTGCATTGATTGTTACAATAAAGAAGTAAACTTGTAAAAATACCTGTATCAGGCTTTAAATTACCGTACAATATTGTTAACAATGGGCGGTACCCTTTACTTGGAAAAAGGCTATCACCTCTACGTAGGATATTAGGGAGAAAACGTGTTGGGGGTGCTACGTGCATAGATTACGTAAGGGCAAAATAGACATGGGTGGGCAGAAAACTGGGGGTGGTATCGAGTCTCTGTTAGTTGGTTTTACACATACACGAGAGAGGGAGAGAGCGGATAGAGAAATCAAGCAATGAGAGCTTCGTGTGTGGTTGCTCAATGATCCTGACGCCGACATCCTCCCTGCATGACATGCGCTCAAGTGCTAAACCGTTCATCACCTTTACAATACGACTGTTGGTCGAACTTCCAGCCTCGCTTTCTATGGTACGACAATAATTTATCAGGAGTCAGCGAATGGAAGCATAATTTCTTTTGATACAGGATTCAGGAGAAGAGAAAAGATGGTGGGACAAGGCAGAATCGAGTGGACTCCGCCTAGCCGCTAGAAACTGGGAGAAAATCAGCTCCTGTGAACGTCTTATTTTCAGCATACTATGAGGGAGCACCACCATGGGAAATTGAAAGTAAAGAATCACAACTTTGTAAGGCGATCATTTATTGGAGTCTGGTTGGTCCACCGGGCACCCAGGGCCGTATGCTTGGGAAACTGGGAGAAATTCAGCTCCTGGGAGCGGCGAGAAAAGAGCCTGGCATCCATGGATGTCATAACCCCTTCTTTTCAAAGATCTCCTAGCTCCCAGGAGCAAGGTTTGACCATGGTTGCAGAAGACAGAGGGAGAAGATCTCGCAGCTCTTCGTACTCCTGTTGTACGGCATCAGAAGTTATGTTGTCTTACGGCTGCCCTAGACCGGTGACAGTCAAGTCGGTCTACGGATAACTGTGATAGGTGGATGATTTTTAAGACTCGGTTATGGCCTAGGAATAAATCCCGTTGCCATGTCCATCTTGACCCGGTGCATTCACTTCAAGATCTTCTTAGCATCCTCCAGACTAGCAATCTCTCTTTTAAGATGTAATCGCGTCCTTCGAGATCCATAATCTTCACCTGCAATAGCCTCTAGTTGCTCCGCATTGAGACTGCTCACAAACATCGGGGAAAACAGAGCCAAGGGTGTCTGAGGCCCGTTGATGAGGAAATGGTCGGCGGCCTGCATGCAGACGCTGTCCACAAACCGCTTCCGTGCCACCTTGTAGTAAGAAAAGAGGATATCATGGAGGTCCTGAACGACGTGTTCAGTGTTGCTCATTGGATGGCTTTGGGCCACATCTTGAAGTGGGACTACCTGCCCGTGTGTACAATCGTTGATGGACATCCTAGACATCAGTGTCTTCATTCGTTTTTGGCGACTAGAGAAAAAGGGTCAGCGAAGCTCGACCGACGATCATAGCGAATTACCATTTTTCAAGGTTGTCCGTAAAGTAGTGATTCAACGTCATCGGGGTTCCGACACGCTCAACGTCGAGCAGAAAGCGCACATGGTCAATGGCCTTAGAGTAACGCTCGAGCAGACCATCCATCAAAACCGAGAGCAATTCGGATTTAACCAATCGCTCGTGACAGATCGAGTCTAGAACCCGATCGATGAAACGGTGAACAATCGCTACAACATCACTGATGTACCCGAGCGCGATGCCAGTCCACTTCGTTGATTGCACCTTCATGGTCGTCGCCAAAATCGAAGAGTCAAAGGTCCCCAATTCGAAGCCTCGCGAGCTCGTGTACACCTCGCGGAGCCAGCGAGCAATGGACTTCCCATTCATAGTGGAGAAACTTTCCTGCGCCTGCAGGATTTCTTCGACATCCACAGAGTCGGTCAATTTGCGAGTTTCGAATGTCTCCTCGCGTTCGGATGAGTCACTGTCGACGGACTCCCACGATAAGGGGGGTGGCGAATCCCCATCGGTGTCTCTCAAGTTCTCCGAAGTGGTGAAGCAATACTCTTGACCATGTCGACTAAGATCATCGGAGAACGTCACGTTGCGCGTACTGATGAGAGTGGCCAACCTCAGCTGCATGTCGTCAAAGATGGCGTCGCTCCCATACTTGGCATCGACGGAGAAGGACACCACACGTTGGAATTTTGTCGCCAAATCCGTGAGATACAACAATTGTTTTTCAGGAGTCTCTCGTTCCATGCCCAGTTGGCTCAGTTTTCCTCGGGCAAGAGTCAGTTTTCGCGCCGTTTCTTGTTTCACCTACGGATCTGTTATCACTTGTCGCCCACGTACTTCGAGCCTCCAACATACCTTGGGAAATTCTTGTCGCACAAGGTCGGAGAGAACGTATTGGATGCGGAGTCGTAAGGACTCGATCCCCACCTTATACGTCTCTAGCTTGTTCCATGGAACCCTGGTATTGAAGAAATCCTGCTCGAGTCTGCCCCGATCGAGGGACATATCGGACAAGTGTTGTTGGCCGGGATTCCGCACGACATGCCAGCCAAGCCTCAAGGGGTGAGCTTGACCTTGCAGTAAGTCGACCACGCGGGATTCAGCACCCTGGTCGACCAAGTCTGGTTTAGTAAGGACACCTAGCGTTCGTTTCCCGTCTGGATCGACATCGGCTGCTAGTTGGAGGATCTCCTGAGTCGCGACGTCCACGTTCGCAGGAATGACCGCCAGCATAACGGATCGAGGATTTTCCATGTAACCCAGGACCATACTACGTACGAGCGATATGTCTTCTTTGGTGGTAATTCCTGGAGTGGTGTTTTTGAAAATACCCGGGACGTCAATGACGCTCAGGTGCTCTTGAGTGGGCCCACAGATCTCCAAACGCAAGACATCACGAGAGAACGTGGGCCCTTTGCGGGCTGATCCCTCTTGATGCCGCGAGAGACCCATCGTATGGTGAACCTAACTACCCATAAGATTCCTTTCGGTCAAATTGACAGCGACGTACCTCCTCCATGATGGAGGCGAATGTAGCACAGTCGAGCGTTTGTAGCTCTCGTTTGGACCACGCATGGAGGCCCGCTTTGTGCTCGTCGGTGGCGTCTGTGCCAGGTATGATTGACACCGAGATGGTTTCGCAAGACGACCGCTTGAAAATAATTTGCGTCGTGAACCGCGTACATAGACCACTGTCTCGAGGCAATGGTTTCCGGATAAGACCTTCAAGGACACTACTCTTGCCCGAAGACTGGTCCCCTACCACCACGATCTGAGGCAAGTTGATGTAATCGCCTACACCGCAGGCAAAGAGTCGGTCAATTTTGTCCAGAATCGCTGGGTCTCCCAGGCCATAGTGGTGATCCTCCTGAGTCGCCATGTGGATAGCCGACGCGAGTACGATGGACTCAACGATGAGCCTTCTCAGGCAGGTAAGGCTACCTCCACACTGGACAGGACCAGAAGCTTTATATGTTGTTATCGCTGAAGGGTAACGTCTCCTCGCCAAATTTTCCCTCGCCGAGGAGTTGCGGTGAACAGTCTTGACAAGCCCAGACATCTGTCACTTTACAATATACTCTGGCATCTTCACCATTCTTCCCTCTCAGGAGACCATTTGACCATATCGACTCTTCGGACAGGGCCGCTAAAGTTCTCCGATTGTGTCCCATTTGACATCGAGAGCACACGAAGAACTACTCTTCATCGATTCTGGACTGTACTGAAAGCTTGTTGCTGTCTCCTTGACCCATGTCGCCAGAATTTGGAATGAGGCTGCGGCAGACCAATCAAGGTAATGCGCTCTCTCACTCCTTTTGCCTGACGGTACGTCAAACGTTGATTCGTAGTGCTTAGTTGAAGTCAAAAAATCCTTTGCAGACCAGAGCCGCCGAGCAAAAGTTCTCCGACGCTGCCACTGATCGCAATCCCCTGTCAACTTGCTTGACTCGCACACCGCTGGTTACAAATGGTGAAAGCCGCTTCAACGATTTTCCTGTCTTGGGTTAATTCTTAGGGGCTCTTTCCAGGGCCAACAGGGTTGAAAATAGGAACAGCATCCTGCCGGTGGATTTGCCACGTGAATGGAAACACTCGAATGTTGTGATGAGAGACAATGATCTGAAACAGTAGCAGCAATTGGTCATGCGTCCAGACTCGTGACATTTTATATGCTAAGGGTACCGAGGCACATTGACAAAGCCAGGGATACTCAAGATTGGACATTGTCACACTCCTCCCTCGGCTTTCTGCGCTTATCAGGTGTGAATAGTCGACATGGTCGCACGCTCGGATTTCAGTCAAGTCCTCTTTGTGGCCACATCTAGCCAGCTATTGGCAGCCTCCATTATCGCCGACATGGTTACTTTGGGAAGTGTGTTACACAGTCTATTATCCCTGGAGAAGGTACAGGTTGATTGTGTCTGCCGCGATGCGTGCTGCATCAGTTCTTCACCGGTCAGCTGGTGCCAAGGCTAATCCTATTGGCTATTAGGCCCTCCCCGTTCAATAGGAGGCGCAGCTTTTCGGTGCAAAAGGCAGTAAGCCGATCGAAGTGTAGGTCACTTTGTCAAATAAATTCTCCCCATTCCCGCTCAGAGTCGCCAAGCAACAGAATTAATTCCACTCAACCGGCCATACAGATGATTGAGTTGAAGGACTTGGTAACTAGTAGAGAGCTAGTTGATTGACTTCCCAACCTGGCTGGCAGAATGGGAAGCGAAAAGTGGATTTATCGGCAGGTCGAGAGGTTGCGATCACGATTGCCTCCGCACCTCTACGGCCTCTGCCTGAAAGAGACCGAGATGGCTGGGAACAGCAGACATTGAAAAATTGCAATGTCCCGTAGCTATGTTTCCCAGTTAACGTCGTTCTCAGTACCGACGTATTAGCTCGTTCTGTGCTCTGTGTTAGCGTGTTCCCTTTGATACTATTCCCGCTTGACCAACTCAGTAATAATATCATTGGTTTACTCTATTACAAACTATTCTATAAATATGAAAAGCAAAGTCGAAACAATTTTCTTCAACTTGAATAAAGTGTTGTTCGATATCCACGATCTCTGTGAATCTTGCTATTAGAAGGCGACAATGGGCTGGCAATCTGGCAAAGGCTTAAAGCTTCAATGAAGGCGAGCAGTCGTGGGAGGGCGGACATGTGCCAGCGAAAACGAAAAGATCTACGCTTCTGCAGCATCGGATATTCCAGTAGTCTTCTCGTTCGAAGAGCTCATACAGGTGTTGGCAGAGTCTTGCCCCATCTTATCGATCCTTTCGGAGGTTTCGAGGTTACGAGCCGCGGCATCCTCAAATGTGAGGCTGACGGGGTCATTGAACTTTTGACCAATCTCCTCCAAAGTAAGGCCCTTGGTCTGTTCCACTTCATGTCAGCGGCAGAAGTTCGATTCATGTGGATATCTATACATACTTCAGGGAACAGCTTCCAAATGGCAATAACTGCAGGTACAGTTACAGCGACGAAGACCATGTAGTATTTCCACCCGATTGCTGAGAACGCAGAGCTTGCAGGAGTAGAATATGCCAGAGCGGTGGCAAAACTAGAGGTTGATTGTAGTCAGTATTGATTCTCTGGAGAACGAGACGACTTACAATGCGGTGTAGGTGATGGTGGCTCCGTAGCTGCGTAGATGTGTGGGCCAGATCTCAGATGCGTACACATAACCCGTACATTCGATTGTCGAGGTGAACCAGGTGGCGAAGATAAAGTAAATTGCGACACAGGCTTTGATACCAGCCGCGTTCGTGGAGTTCAGGTAATATTTCTCCAGCGCTGCTTCAATGGACAGGAGAACGGCGCTACCAAGACCACCAATCACCGTACAAATGTTAGCGAGGCCACGAAGAAGCCTATGAGCGCAACGTGCCGAGCAGGTTTTTGCGGCCAATCCTATCCACGATGAGCACGTTAACGATGCAGCCGATCTGCAGGCAAACCGTCCAGACAACTGTAAGGCCTAATTGGAGCGTTGTGCCATACCCGAGTTTGCTAAAGAGAACTGGTGTCAGGGTGGCGATGACATTAATGCCTCGAATACGGTGTCAGACGACATTTTCAGAAGGCGTAAGGAAGGGTTTACCTGTGGACTGTCCCATTCCCCACACAAGAGCGGTGCAGAAGAAGCGCCATCGAAGAGATGGCGTCTTCAAAATATAGAGGTACCCTCGTGGCATACTCTTCTCTACTTCGACCTGCGCCTGGATTTGAGTCATTTCAGCATGGGCTACGGTGCCTTTGGGATCTAATTTGCTCCGGTGCAAACGCTCCAAAATAGCTGCAGCCTCTTCATACCTTCCCTGCTCCACAAGCCATCGAGGCGATTCTGGGAGGAAGAACAGAGATATGGCGAATACGATGCCGAAGAAGACAGAGACGACGTAGTTGAGGCGCCACTGATAACTATCAGTGACGAAGCTGAAGCCCAGAGCAAGACATGAGCCAATAATGTACGCTCAAACAATACAGACCCCCTGCAGACCAACCAGAAACCCTCGTGTGATTGGAGGAGAGATCTCACTCATGTACACAGGAGTGTTGCTAATAGTCATGCCTCCGGAGATGCCACAAATGTCTCGGGGCCAGGCGATGATCAACTCAACTGAAGCTAAACATACTGAGAATGCGCAACATCCACCACGTTCTGGTAACGGGTATGATACCCTTAGCGAAAGCTAGTTCGCTAGCCCGAGCAATCAAGGACCTTCCATCCCAAATAGCTCCGGGGCAGGATCAAAGAGTGCATGTGCTATCAGCTTGACCAAATCAGTGCCCACTAGCCTCCCCCACATTGACAGAAAAAGTTCAATCCCAGACTTATGAGGACGGAACCACAAAGACGAACAGCGACTTCTATCGGCCCGGAGAGCCACGTGCTAAGCTGATCAAATGCACCGAGTGAGCTCTTGGATGAGCAATTCCAGCGCTACAGGCAGCCTGATTACTTGTGTAGAAAGATGCGCGGCACCTGAGCAAGGTAACAAAGACGAATACATTAGGTCGTGTTAGGCATGGGTCTGCAGGGATGGTTCGACTGGCGTCAAGCGCCTAGAGAGTGTATCTTATAGTCTGGTTTACATCAAAATGTCGTGATATATCGGCATCACCATCGGGAGTCGCGACGGGGCAAGAATATCTCGACCGTTTGTGGCCAGTCATCGTCCCAGAAAAAGCCGATGTAGCACAGGAAGGACTCAAAGTGGTTAAGGTACGAGCCCGCGTTCTCCAAATCAAGGAGGCCAAGTTAAAGTCCTATTGTTGAATGATTGAATGTAGCAAGTGCCCCTTTACCGGAAATAGGGGATCTCTCGTATGTACGATATAGGGGTAGGAATAGGAGAAGAAAAGGGGTCAATCAAACGTGTATGAATGCATGCTTTGTTGACCCTTTTTCTACTCCTTTTTTTCCCCTATACCCTGCATAGGGGTGATAACCCTTTTTCTAGTAAAGGAATACTGCTCATGGTTCGACAGCATTCATATCATATTTTCCGGGCATATCCAGTTTGACGGTAATTTTGCAACACTCGCCTCTAGGTTGTATTACTACTAACAGGAAACAGCATTTGACGTACACTCCTTGGATATATAGAAGGGCTTTGCGCCACCCTCTAATCGAATCCAGCCAGAGCGCTCTTTCAATTTAAGTTGCACAAAGTGGGAATTACGTGGGAGTGGGAATCAGGTGGGAACCAGGTAAATACGTGATAATCTCAAAATTACTCTTACTCAAACTCGTGTATAGGTTCGTAATCCTTCTATTTAGCCCCCGTTCACAGATCTAGTATCTTCTAGATCTGTGGGATGGGTCATGGCTCGTGCAATTCTCCCTCTTATCGCTATACTGGCGATAGAGGACTTGAGGCGAAAATACCCAAAAAAGGCCCCCTCCTATAGTCCATCTCTGACGAACTCATAGATGGGGCGCCACAGCCAGCGAAAGTTTCAATCAGACGAGTTCAATTGAAGGAGAGTTTAAATCAGTGAAAACCCTCCTACAGATTACCCACTATGACATATCAACAATCACTGGCTGGAGCATTACGTTTACCCATCTAGGGCACCTATACTCAATGGAGCTAGGCCGGACAACCCTCTTACCTACACCTATGATCAAACACTAGTGAAGGCCCCTCGATTCTATCGGTTCGACTGCAAGCCGAGTGTTTACCACTCGGTTAACGTCCTTGATAGGTCAACCACGGTTTGGTGTCATTTTGGAGGTAAATTTGGCGGAATAAATGAAAACCTTTAATTTTTTTTTAATTTGGGATCGACATGATTGTGACTCGGCGTTGTGGGACACGTGATTACGCCAAGACCGTCGCGTCGACTAATCACGTGTGCATGTGGCTTGGCACTGCCACGTGATGACGAAGGCTACCCTATGAATACCCGCCGTCGGATCCAATCCGTGGACCACAAGGCCCTTCTAGGTGTGTGAAGGTTTAGGGTCGAGGATTGAATCAATGTATTGCAGCTAGCATCGAGATCTGGGTACAAGACGTAGCACGAAGAGAGACAGGATGCTACCAGGAAGTACCGAAGAACCCTTGAACACGTGATCCTTGGCACGTTGTCCCGTCACAATCGAACTCGGGCTGATGGTCCTTGGATCGGATCCCATGATATACCACCGCCATCGGATCCAATCCGTGGACCATGTGGCCGGGTGGGACCGGGGGCCTTGGGCTCAAGATATACTTTTCTTCTTCCAGCACACGTAAATTCCGATCGAAGTTTCGGAGTGGGAACTAGTCCGCAGCTGCGACCATCGACGCAGTTGATTGCGTTCGCGGACACTCTTGTCGAGAACTTCTTTCTACTTCGTAGGGCATTTTTGACACTCTTGACGGTTGAAATTTGCCTGATATTGAACCGTTCAGTGAAAGCTTCGACGAGGAAGACTCCTCAACCTTCGCCTGCGACCCTCTCCGATCTCCAAAGCGCACAATCGCTTGCGGGAACGACCCAACGGCTGACCACCCTGAGAAGGGATTGTCTTATACGCAATCGTCACTGCTGCGTGTTATCACGTACATTTGATGATGGCGAGGCAATGAGGCGCGTCGGCCGTGATGGTGAAGAGAAGGCACAAGACGATGATGAGAATTTATTGAAAGACGAAGGTGGAACATTTGCACGACTGGAGGTGGCACATATCATCCCTCATTCGTTGATGACAATTCGGAGTGGGGTTGGTATGTTGATGACCTCCTTATCGCCGGCTGCCCTCAGAACCCTTCGTCTGAACCAACTTTTTAGGACGAATCAAAGAAAACCACCCTGGCGATTCCGAATATGTACGACGACGGCGTGGTATATCTAATTGAAGGTACTGATATCGATTGTCCACGCAATCCATCACCCTGACTCATGATTTCCATCAATTCTTTGGCAATTGAAGTCTACTTTGAGCCCCAGAGCCATCGGTCGTATACATGCCGGATTGATTCAACACGCTCCAGTACTTTACGCCATCGGATCTTTCCTGTCGATCGCGCCCTTTTTCTGACTGACACAAGGACAATTGATCCTCCTTCTCCGCGACTACTTTCCGTTCACTGTGCCATTGCGCATATACTTCATTTAAGTGCCGCTGGGCGTCTCATTGACAGGGTCCTCGAAGACCTTGACCATGGGAACATAATGGCGGATGGATCTACACAGTTGGGATACCTCGCTACACTGAGGGTTCAAGGTTGGTGGGATGGGCAGATTCGTGCATATTGACTCTCAAACATTACTCAGTGACGTTGTAGACGGCCCATATATTCCTTAGAAGAGAATGGAAAGATGACAATGAATAAGTGACCTTGGTGGCGCTTTAGCCATGATTTCTAAATCTTGTGTGCTGCTGTCTGTTTCGTTTGGCTGTCTTCGACTTTCTCGGTACTGAATCCGGACTTTGGTAGTCCGAAAATAAAGCCATGTCAGGACTCGCTCGACTGTCCGGGAACTTGTGTGCGACCAATCCAATCAATGCATCCTTCCGATGACTCTCTTCAGCCTGGCTGAACAAGTCTCTGAAGCGATGGCGAACCAGATTTCGACAAAATCATGAATGGCAAGTGTTTGACCGCCTCTCCCGTGCGTATTGTGGCGCATCTAAGCGGCGTCAAGTGTGGCCGGAAAGTGGAATATTCGAATACCTTAGGGTCCTCTGACGGCTTGGCTTTTTGATAATCCGCGCGTTGCGCGACCCATGTGTATATACGGACAGTTATGGCAGCTATCCAAGTGACGCCGAATCTCACAGCTTCACAACATGCACAGATCCGGCATATGATTGAAGATGGAAGTTTCACATATTGATAAATTGGGGAGGTTAGTATTTGCAGCTTTGAGGGCGTTCCCCCGTGATGCGCGACGCCTTATTGGAACATCTCCTCCGAAAGCCCGATCTATACCTTGAAGAGATGGTGGTATATCTATGGGACGAGTTCAGGGTTCGCGTCACTAAGTTGAGTGTCAGCAGGACGTTGCGTTCTGCGAAGCGGTCGAAGAAATAGACTCGTGGAATAGCGAAAGGACAAAGTGCGGATCTACGCGATTTTTATCTACATAGTATTTCCCTTCTTCGCTCCTATCAACTCGTATATGTGGACGAATCTGGCTGCGACAAACGAATTGGATTCAGACGGACTGGATGGTCTTCCCTATGCGTGACACCCATGTAGATTACCCGGTTCCACCGTGGCCAGTGTTATCAGATGTCCAGAACCCAATTCAGTGCTTATCATCGAAGGGCATCTACCCTACGGTAAAGCTGCCGGATTTGTCGTCTTCTCTTTCAATTTTACCCCTCGGAATATATGGCTGGTCAGTGCGATCTAACTCCAGTGCTAGGCGCCCACGTGAGCCAGGACCGTGCCGTCGTGACATCTGATTGGTCTACAGGTGTCCCTGAGCTAGACTAAAGATGGTTAGGCGAAGTTCTCTTTTACTCGTGAGTGCCGTACTAGTCGTAGGGCTCTCTGACACGACGATGCTGCCACGGCGCTAATTTCAACCAATCAAACGTGCCTGATAGAGATTGAGGTTGGTATTTGAACTCGTAGCTAGCCGCCTGAGCCCAGACGCAGTTACATTTGCATTTACTTCCTGGTAGTGATCTCGCAGCGAACGTTAAAAATGCCGGACCCTTTGAGCATTACTGCCTCGTTGCTGGCTATTACCACCGCCGCTGTGCAGTCGACGAAGTCGCTCTACGAAACCGTCAAACGCTTCAAAGACCGCGACAAAACTTTACGCAGACTTCAAGATGAGCTTAAGGATCTCATCAATATTTTGGACTCATTGTCACAAGTGACCAATGCTGAGCAGCCAATGCTCACACTTCTTCAAGGTCCTATTGAACGATGCAGCCAAGTATGCCGCGAGTTCGAGCAGTCAATGGAAGTTTTCGGAAAATCAAAGACGGGCTTTCGAGATTGGACAAAGATGGAATTTATGAGAGGGGACATAAATGAATTTATAGACACGATCGCAGGGTACAAGTCAACGATCTCGGTCGGTATAGGCACTATCACTCTGTTAGTCGCAATTCCTTGTCTCCCTCGGGCTCTACTGATTCATTTCAGAATGCATACCTCCAAGATCTCCCGCCAGGTTCTCCAAGAGTACAATGAGATGATACAGGACACAGCATATAATCTTGAGCTCCGTCTATGGCGAATCGATGAGAAGATGACGCGATTAAATATCGGGAACACTAATACTTCAGGCGTAAGCATAGACCTGGAAGACGAAAGAGAAGTGACCAAACAATGCCTTCGTATTTGTGAAGACGCGAGGTCTTATATTGAATCCTTGTCGGACCGAGAATCGTCTCTACTTCCAGAGACGCCCCAACACGCTGTTGAAGAAAATTCCTTCGAAGCGCCGTCGCGAACACGTCAAGTTCTGGACGAAAGTCGAGATAGCTTCGCAGAGACCATCGGCTACCTTCAGAAACGCCTAGATCTCCTAGTCCGGGATGACGACCCTGAAAAGGACAATGAAAGATCGCGATTACTGGCAGATATCAATGTTTCAAAGCAGTGCCTAGACGTGTGCAAGGTGGCTAGCGAAGTTTCACGTCAGAAGGTGTACAGAATTGGGGAGGTGATTGCCGAAGGTGACAGCGATCAAGTAGTGGTGACTACTTTAGCGGATCTATTCGATATCAGGAAAGCGCTGTCTAAGGACAGATCAGCGCAGTTGGTTGGTTCGATGACGGCGGAGAATCTTCAGCATCTCACCGAGAAGCGGTATAGCAGTCGTTTTGGAACTTCAGCCGGTCACTCCGACCCTGCTGAAGCTGGCACCACCAGCTCGTCTGCAGTCTTCGGGGTTCAGAAGAGTAAACATGCATTTGCGCCTCAAAGTGGGAATCATGAGCAGTCCCCTGGACCGAGAACAAGACAAAATAGGCCGTCCCCCAACGAGATGAGAAAACGGCCCATGGATAGTGCTATAGACCAAGAGAAAGGTTAGGTGACAGAGGTGATGAAAGAGCAGGTTCATGTATGGAGTCGGGGAAAAGTTTCGCTGGGGATTGTGGGGGATTTGCGAAGGCCTCTTGCTAGGCGTACCTCAAATATTTATTGGACAACATGTTTGACAAGATAAAGGTCTGGCAACAATGTGAGCCACATTGGCCAGGACGCAACATACATGACCACTGCTTTTGAGGGTAGCCATCCGATAGTCCACAGTTCGAGGGAGATTGGGTAAATTGAGGTCAGCCTAGAAAGTTTGTGGTTACTGATGAAGTTTCCACAGAATACTGGGGCAACTGCCGCTTTTAGGTTTCGCCCATACATACATGCTGGAATAATCTGCTGATTTATTACCGGAGTTCTTTTCCAAGACCCGTGCGGTATCAGGAATACCATGACAAAATCCGCTCGTCGATGATTTTGTCGGGAGACGCCTCCGCCTCTTTTATTGCCTCCTTTAATCTCGCTTATGGTCTTGGCTGTGATGCAGGGGCCTGTAGACCTGCGATTCGCTGTCAGAGATGTTTCTTTCTCCTAATCCACTCCTATTTTATCGACGTCCTCAACATCCACCCTGTCCTTTCTATCCCAGCAATGTTGGCGGAAACGGAGCGAATCTTTTCACAGGCAAAAAGGCCCCTTACAGACGACAGAGATCGTTTTTCCGGACGACTCTGTGGAGGCGGCATTGTGTATGAAATATTGAATGGATCATGCATTAGTATCGGTATCCCGGATTGCCTAATCTGGAATACCCGGGAGGCGCTAAGGGAGGCGACAGAGGAGGCGAGAGACGCCTCGGGGAGAAGGGGGTGGGAGGCGTCTCTCGACATCGCTGGATGAGGGAATGCGTTGTTGTTCTATCTGACAAGAGAGCAAGACTGAATAAGTGGGAAGGGTGCAGGTTGCCTCGTACACGCTTCGAAACTATATAGTCTGACGGTCCCCTTCGAAATAGGACAAGTCCTCCGTAAATCACAGCACTGTTACAACTTGCACCTTTCAGTCTTGCTCTCTGTCAGATACAGTATTGATCAATGCATGACCTTTCCACCGCGACTGTTATCGGCTTACTAATACTAAAGGCTCCATTCCTCAGTCTGAGTACATTAAACCCAGCGGAAGGCTTCGTCCTATCACAGCTGTCCTAGCGGCTATAGTCTCGTAGTTTGAGCATAGTCTAGTGCCTCCGATCGCCGCGCCGGGATTGTGCAGAGAGCAAAGTTAGCTGATCTACCTGCATGTACCGATCAGTTGCGGTTCCCGAGCAGACAAGGTACGAGATTCGACGGAGCCCCACTGCCCGGTACGATGGTAAATCGCCAGACCTAAATCGGGTATGTAGACAACATTTGCCGTACGTGCCCTTCCCAAGAAAATCCTCCGAATTGACGTCCCCGTGAAGGCAGTCGTGGGAATGAAGGACTTTAAAGCGACAGATCGATTGGTTAGCTAGCATCCAGGCCGTCTTAAGGGGAGCCCAACTACCTTACCTATGCAAAGGTGAGCTAGTACGAGGGCCTTTCTGACTAGGGTTCAGGTACATGCGGCGCATCGACCCAGCTGGCTCTTCAAAAACACGATCGCGGCCAGCTGGCTCTTCACTCACGATCACGACCAGTACCGATGAGCCTGCCAACCGCAAAAAGTGGTGACATTGTACCCCCGAGAATGGCCTTTCTAAAAGTCCTTATTTGCGGCAGCGGATGTGCTGGACCGGCCTTAGCCTTCTGGCTAGCTCGCGCCGGTCACCGAGTCGTTATCATCGAACGATTCCCGGCTCTCAGGGCCTCAGGTGCGCAAATTGACCTTCGCGCTCAAGGTATTGAGGTCGTCAAGCGTATGGGGCTCCTCGACACCATCCGCGGCAAGCTTGTCGATGAAGAAGGCGTGTCCTTTGTGGATACTCGAGGCAATGTGCTAGGGACTGTTATGGCTAACAAGTCTGGCAAGGGGGGGCAATCTCTCACGTCCGAATACGAAATTATGCGCGGAGATCTTGTGCGTATACTCTACGAAGCAACAATGAACAATGTGAAGTATATCTTTGACAAAACTGTCGAGCGCTTCGAGCAAGATGAAAACCAGGTAGTTGCTTACTTCTCTGACGACTCATCTGACACATTTGACCTCCTGGTTGGAGCGGACGGCCAGGGGTCGCGTATTCGGAAAGCCATTCTACCACCTACTTTATGCTCCGAGACGATTCCAGAGACTTGTCGAGCATCCCCAGAGCCCCGGTTGAGCAGCAAAAGGAGTTTTGGGCCCAAAGATTCCTTGGCGCAGGATGGGAGACAGACCGGTTCCTCGAAGGCCTAAAGACAACGGGAAACTTTTATTGCCAGGAGATCGTTCAGGTTCTCATAGACAAATGGTATAAGGGCCGCGTGGTTCTCTTGGGCGATGCCGCATACTGCCCATCTCCATTCAGCGGTATGGGGACAACCGGCAGTTTTGTCGGTGCCTATGTTTTAGCCGCCGAGATCAACCGAAATCCTGAAAATCTAGCTCAGGCATTCGCAAACTATGAGAAGACACTACGGCCGTTCGTCAACGAGATTCAAAAGGTGAACACGTCCTTTTTACGGTTTACCATGCCCGACACCAAGTGGGGAATTGCTATTCTCCATTTCATTACGCGGTTGGTCTGCTTCCTTCGTATTCCCGAGATCATCGCAAAGCTTTCAAAAGAGGAAAAGGGTGGCTGGAAATTACCAGATTATCCAGAGCTCAAGCTAGGATCCTGAACATGTGTATGAGTTGGAGTGCTTCAGGTGGAATATGAAGCCGTAGTAGTCGGACAATGATTTAAATGATAGCGAGGCAGTCAATATAACATCGACTAATCGCGCTTTGAGGAAGCATGAGAGCAACTTGCTCCTCGACAAGCCAGCTGTGATGCTGGCCAAGACGCCAAGAGTGTGGCTAAACCTTTTCACACACCACACAATAATCGATCTCCTTGCCTTCTTCGATCAATTCTAATTATCTCGAATCTACACTCATCATGAGGCAGACATACAATTATTCAGCATCCGAATATGTACGCGATGGTGGTTTCCCTTTGACCTGGATGTGCCGCTGCTATTGTACGAGTCACGCAATATCAGACATGCAAGAAGAAGCTGAGGAGAATTATGAACGCAACAAAAGTCAACCAGGGACAATTATTGGTCGCCCTGCCGGTCTTGAAGCATACCATGGACGGTCAGCCATGCAATATCAACAACAATCCCGTGACAGGACGGCGCAGAATACGCAGAGAGACGATAAGTTGCGAGTCGACGCTACATCCCAAACATAAAAGTCACACTTCGTCCACAGTCTACAAGTGCATCGCTAGAGCAATAGTCACCATTCTGACCATGTCTAACAGTGGTCACGAGAAGGATCGGAAGGTTGTCCTTGTGCCTAGCCAGGCTATCCTGGTGCTCCACAATTGTAGTGTACGTTGTGTGGTGAGGGCGACGGTGCGAGAGAGAGGGACTTAGGGGAGTGGTGGTAAAAGCGGCCACTACCCGGATGAACTGCGCGTGAGCTAGGGGCAGGGTTTACTGTATGTGATGTTATGGAGGACTTGTCCTATTTCGAAGGGGTCCAAGGGATCGTTAGACTATATAGTATCGAAGCGTGTAGGAAGCGTACAACGCCTCTGAAGGTCTTTGCAAGCCTTGGCGTCGCCACTTATCATAGAGGATGTGATTATCCGGAAGGCTTGTCCTCTTCGAAAGGATCAAGGGGACCGTCAGACTATATAGTTATCGAAGGATGTACGCATCGTACATCCTTTTTAAGGGCCCCCGGCGCCGATGAATATCACAGATTACTGAGCCATTTGGAGGTGTCAAACTTGGGGGTGCAAATGAGATGTATTGAGTGCTCTGCCTCTTTGGCAACTGGTCCTGCCAGGTTACCAGTATAAATACGTGCTTGGTTGACCCTTTTCTACTCCTATTCTTCCCCTATATCCTGCATAAGGGTGATAAACCTTTCCAATAAGGATTGTTCGACAGGCGACATAGGAGTGTCTGCATGGAAGCCCGGTGTCTACACAAAAATTTGTCAACCCCGTGAAGGCCAACATCTGAAGGATGGCAATTCGATTGTCATTATACCATCAAAGCCTGACGGACACTCCACAATTGACAGAAGATACAGTGGAGGTTTCCATAGGCGACGGCAACACTGACGGTTGCTCTGCGCAACGACGGGGCATTCGTACATCTATTAAGGGACCCTCAGTAGTGCAACAAGTAGATACACTCCTTCAACCCAAGTTGCACAAGAGATGTCGAACTCAGACTCAAAATGTCATGTTAATTTCATTGATGTGCGAAGGGCAAGTCAAATAGTGGTGCACATCATAACTTGCGTGGCTTAATACATATGGAGCTAATGAAGAAGAACTCCTCGGGCCATGTGTAAGACTCCTCGGGATTTCACCATGGGGAAACGTGGGGGAGGTGGGAAGCCGGGGCCCCCGCACCTTTGCCTTCGATCGTCTATGCATCTCCAATTGCTTCTGCAGATGCTCTCCATCACTTTCTTCGATCATACGCAAGTAGAGGAACAAGGGATTCTGGACCGGCGGTTTGATATATCTGCAAAGTCCAATGGCACGTTCACGCAGATAGCTGGAATCCTTCAGTCGTTCGTCATAATGAAAATCGGTCGGAGAGCACCGAGGTCGCGAGGTGGCTGTAGGAGATGCAAGGAAAAGCGGTTTAAATGCGACGAGAAGAAGCCTAAATGTGGTCGTTGTCAGTCAGCCGGGGTCAACTGTCCCGGATACAATCAATCTCTGAAGTGGTCGACCAAGCATGAGACGTTTCGGTCGAAGGTGAAATCTGTTCCCAGGTCTCCTCGGCCTCCACCGGTTGCTTCGGTCGCTCCCGTCGAAGATGACTTTTTGGTGGGATGCGATGTGCCCGAGTATAGTGAAGGCCTTTGAAGTTTTGGAAAACCCTTCAGTACCCCCATCTACCGTCGAATTGCAGAACGTACCCATAAAGACCATGGATGTTAGCCCTTGGGATACGGGTTTTGATACCACCGTACCTCTACCGGGTATTTCAACTGTGACACCAAGGTACAACCAGCAAGAAACACTCAGCGAATACTCCAGCGCTCAAGAATTTAAGTCTCCGTCCACGTTCTCTATCGGTCCAGCAGCTGAAATCTACTTCAGCCCTGGTTGTGAGGTTGCCAGCCTTCATTTCCCTGTGGCACCTTCGCAGGGACTTATGAACTTCTCATCTTCTTTGGTCGAGTACTATTTCAAAGTCACGGCAGGACTCTTTTCCTGTTATGACAGCAGTATGAACCCATTCCACACCACTGTCGGCCACCTCTGGACGCTGTCTCCTGCCTTGCACCGCACTTTGCAAAGCATGGCTTCTGCATGCCTCGTCGATGAGCACCCTTTTTTCAGAAAACTCTCCAACCGGCTTCGGCGAGAAGCAATCTCGATGATCTGCAGGGCTCCAGCACAGGATGAGAAGTCACCCCTAGCACTTCTCATGATTGGACAGAGCTCCAGTTGGTTGCCTAGTCCGCCGGGAACGATTACGAGCACGTTCAACATCCCTTCCCCTGGAGTACTCCATCAATCAATCCCTGTCATCATTCCAGCTCGCACAGCATCTCGAATCGCGATTGGAAAGCCTAGCCGGCATTTCCGAATCTGAGATCATCAGCCCAGGCGACATGGAGACACCGGTTTGGCATCTTCAGAATATCGCAGAGGTGTACCGACGCACGGGTCTTATTAATTTATACCGAGTGTTTCCAGACTTGCTGATGAGCCGGATGGGTCAACAAGTGTCCCTGGATGCCCTCGGTTCAGTTGTTGGGATGGACACTCCTGACGAAGACAACTGGCTTGGCTTAGTTGAAGACGGGCAGCCTGTGGGCAACCTGATGGCCAAGGCACGTAAGTGGATCACCGACTTCGCCATCGATACTCTACAACTTTTGGAATCTATCCCGGCCAGCTCGAGGACGAGATGTCTGCAACCTTTCATGCTAGTTATCTGCGCAAGCGAGCTCCGTGCTCCCGCCATGCGTGATATTCCTACTGGAGGTCTTTCTAGATCAAGAATAGGTGACTTTAACCAATTCTCTGATCCAGCTTCCGATTTTACTCAAATGGGCACCACAACTAATGGTCCTTCGGAAAACGAGGATGGCATGTCATCGTTATCCTTTGCTTTCAAGGTTTTCCAAGCCCGGAAGTTTGTCCGAGGCCGACTCAACCTATTTGTAAATGTCCTTCCTCCACTTCCAATACGAACCTGCCTCGATCTAGTCGAAGCAGTGTGGGACAGGCTCGATAAGGGAGATGACAACCCTTACTGGATCGATGTCATGATTGATCGCGGGTTACATACGACTATGGGCTGAATGAAGCATGTTGATGTTAGCCTGTTTACTCGTCTTCGTACTCGACATGTCATGAGTCTTGGCTCTTTTGGCACAGATCCCTATACTAAGTTTCATCGTTTACTGTTTAGCGCATCCTCATGGAGCCGTCTTGAGCAATTCGGTATGACTAAGATTCTAAACAGAGATCTCGACCGACGAAATCATGCATAATATTTTGAGGGCTAGATATCCACCAGTCTCAAAATGCGACAATGACATCTGCGGAACGATTTATACCTGCTCTCGATGTTCCATCCCCCCTTTGGCCGCTTCGATCGCAGGAGTTGCAGCCAGCACGTCTTCTCCCAGGATGATCTCAAATTGCTATTAACGCAGGAAAAGTCAGCTAACTGCCGATGCAGACCAAGCTGTTTGGATGGCCCGCATAAGGCAGGCCAGAACAAATGGTGTAAAGACCACAATACTTACCGGTCCATTGTATTGGCCGCGCTTTGCCAGCCAAAGTCCAGTGGCAAAAATGAGGAAAATACCGACGACAGCGGCTACATAGTCTACAGACAATTAAATCGGTATCATATTCGAGTAGAGGAAAGCGATTGTGCAGCGAACAGAGACTCACTCATTGTGGACGCATCAACCGGAAGGAATCGTGGGAAACAGAAGAACTGGAACACACCGAGTTGCGGTCAGCTAAATGCATTCGAGTCCAAGATATCAAAGTCTTTAGGGGATTTCTGAAGGTCACATGCAATTGATGTTATACACACGAAGAGCACCGATGTCCAATTCACCACATAGCCGACAATGTGACCCAGGAAGAAAACAGGTCGGTTTTTGTTGACGAGCTTCCGTCCACACAGAAGTAGGATCGTCACAGGAATGGCATAACTCATGTTCAGAAATATTGTACAGCTAGCGCAGTAGGCGTTAAAGGCAACAGTGGGACCTGTGGGACCGCATCAGTTGCCCTGATCTGGTAGAGGATTAATGACCGAGGGGCTACCGAGATATAACAGTCCGAAGAGCATGTTGAAGACTGCCGCCGCCAGAATGGCGCGCATTGGGACATTCAAGCCAGGTGTAATGTGGGAGAGGCTAAAACGTTCAGTCAGATCATCGAAAAGAAAAAAAACCCTACAATTTTGAAAACGGCGATCCATTATCTCTTGCCATTGCCCACAGCAATCGGCTTCCGGAGGTGACGCATCCATTCGTCCCATTAACAAAGCAAATAGCCAGAGCACAGCTGAGCACCACTGCAGCCGCTCGACTTCTCGTCGCCTGATATATCATCTCTGTGACAGACACATTTGTGTTGGTGGAGAGGATGGCGTCAACGTCAACAAGGCTGAATAGCATCACTAAGATGAAGAGATTGCCCGTTGTTCCACCAATGCCAACTGCGGCCACCATGGCTTGCGGAGCGTCGCGTTGTGGCTTTTCATTTCTTCCGTCAGATGGGCAACCTGTGATGCATTATTCCGTGAGTGAATTCCACGGCTGGACTTCGACTACAGCAAAAGATAGGGTGAGCTTTGTTACCTACCGCATCGAAACCAATCAATGAAAGAGCAGACTGCAAGAGCCCCAGGATCCATGCCATGCCGTCGCTCCAGCCCGTAGAATTGGTGAAGTTTGTGAAGACATGTTTGGCAGATGTCTTCTTCCCTGTAGCCAGTATCGTAATGCTTACCACAATACATCCCAAGACGGACCAAAACACTGTGAGAAGACATCAGTTAGGGCTTCGCGAAGAAAAGTGTAAATCAAGGCTCTACACACAGGCGAATTCATTCCACCGGTTCAGAATGCGGTAGCCAAAAATGTTGAGCAGGACTGTGAATGTTGATACGCCCAAGAAGATGAGGTACGTCTTCCATGGAGTGATCTCATATGCGCCGTCCGATCCGACAACTGCCGCCGCCGATATGAATTGAGCTGGAATGTGGTTCAGAGGGACAAATTTCCGAGTAACTTGGGCTTACTGGCTTACCAGCAAAGAATGCCCTGGAGCCTGTCCCGCACGAATGAGAATGAATCTCGCCCACGTACCATCGACTTCTTTCAGTAATCGGTCGCTAAGGCGTACGCATAATGGTATTGCCCTCCCGCTGTAGGCCGGATCGAGCTCAGCTCTCCCACACTAGCTGACAGGCAAAGATTGCAGATGACACAGAAGACGAAGCCGTAGAGGAAAGAAACAGAACTGCCGGATGGCATGACGATGCCGAGTGAGCCGGCGAGACAGATCCAGGTGCTGGAAGGGTTTGTTAGCAAGCATGGTCGTTTCCTGGCGAAAACGAGCTGGGATACTTGAGAATGCCAAAGGTCAGGCCTATCATGGTAAGCCGCGAGAATCGATGCTCAAGATGGCCTTCTCCTTCCTGGGAGACTGGTGCAGTTGATGTGTCCATTTCGGAGCACGGCTGCTATGAGACGTGGTTTTCGTGAAGAGAGTCCGTTTGAGGACGTAGAACGTAAAGAAAACCAAGAGAAGAAAAGTGCTCTACAGGTAAAAGATCACAGGATTGAGAACGCGGGTTTCAAGAATCCAAGAAGGGTCCAGACCATCTAAAATGGACTCTTTGGGATAGAAAGGATATTGAAGGTGTGGAGGTAAATTCATTGAGATGCGGTTTAAAGGTCAAGTATGCAAGGCCTCTCAGGCGCTAAACTGATTGACAATTTCGTCGGAGTTTGGGGCCTCCATCCGCCATTGTTGCTATTGTTGTTGTTGGACTTGTACCCTAGAAGGACAATTTTAGGCAGAGTGGATCAACTTACGCAGGCAGTATGGAATCACATGGCGGGTCAATGGTGCCAGTAGTCCGCGTAGTGGCCAGAAACCCAACCCCTTGTGGAGTTGGAAAGGCGTCGACGCCATCCCGCTCCACAAATTACTCCAGCTCCCTCCACAAAATATACAAGAGGTAGCGAAACCGAGGGATGGGAACATGGACCATGGGTCAGCAGTCGCTGATGAGGAGGAAGATACAGTATCTAGCGAAGAGAGTTCCTTTATGACGTTGGACCAATCACTCTATGGATTTTATTACTTGATGGGGCTTAGTTCTCGGGAGATCAGGATCCCCACCTTTTTCGGAGGTCAATACCCCTTGATTTCCCCTAGCCTCATGTTACATTTTGCACGAGGTTGTCAATTGGAAAGAGAGCATGTGGAGAAAATGAAACTTTCCCAAGACTCCTTTAAGTGTCGGTTCTAACTCTTTGCTAAGCCCTCATGAAATTCCAAATCAGGTCAACATGGCTCCGACCTTCAAGAGGAAGATGGGAAAAAGTGTGCGTACCAGCAAGTGGCAGGAGCATATGATTCTCACTTACGTTCGCTTGGCTCAGCATATATTGAGAGCTATTGGGGGGGGGGAGCATAGCTCTAACCCTTCATTGAATTGATCAAGCCGTCGCGAGTTTTCAGCTGAGAAGGCACAAGTGCATTCTCGGACAGGGAAATTGTATTTTGGGCGCTATGTTTGTCGACAAGAATTCCCTTGAGAGTTAGGATCCGCCATACTCATTGAAGGGGTCTTAGTTCTCATACTAATATAGGGCTAAAAGAATAAAAGAATTCAATCTAAATCTATACACTTCGTTCCTTTCGATGTCAGTCCGTGTGACGTAAGTGAAGCATGCTATAACGATGTAGAAGCGTAGAGAATCTTTGACTGTGGCCAGATTGGGACCAGCGGCTCCCGTCTGCAGATGCTTGCGGGCGTGCCGTCTCTTCATTGCGAGGAAACATACCTTTTCGGGCGGATTTTTTCTCTCATCGCTTCAAGATGCCGTCTATAATACATCGTCAAAATATCTCACAGAGGGCTGCAACGGGTAGCGTGATGTGAAGCTCCCTTGTGTGCATCAGTATGATTGTGTTGAGAATTTTTCGGGTACAAATATCGCCATTCGTTGTGGTACCTCCCATTAGGCTGTTTGATCCAGTTTCAGTGTTGTGGGACAACTGCCAAAGTTAATCAGATGGCTGCCAGCTCTCGTGTACAGATTGCAGGATACTTCGTGGAGTATTGTCACTGGAAATGTGGCCAGGCCATTAATCTGGGTGCATGCAAACGGACCCCACAACACGTCTACCAGCTTTGTGGCAATATACCGGGGAAGATCTGACCGTCAGGCTGGAAACTCTGAACTATTGTTGCCCAGTTTGGCCACTCATCGATGGCGACATCGAAATCAAGCTCCCCACAGCCCATATCTCCGAGCAGAGATGCCCAATGCACTTCATCCTCAGATGCGCCTTGTCCTGCTTCTCCCGATACTAAGGCCGAATGACTCTCACTATTTCTAGTGTTCCCTTCTGGGTTCAAGGTTTCAATCTTTTTTCTCACGAACACGGCTTTGGTTTCAAGGGCCGCCAACACTGCCGACTTGGATCCAAACCCTTGGGTGGACTCATCCCAAAGCTCGCGAAAGGATAGGGTTTCGACCGCTTCCCATGCCCTCTCAATATTGGGGCCCTCGGGTTTAATACACAGATGCCACAGAATATACATCATAACATGATATTGTGGATAGGCCTTCCTTGCCCACGCGAATTGCTTCAACAGGTCTTCTTCGTTGAAGAGTCTCGGCCCTAGGATCTCGAGTGCCTCAGCGAGGTTCTCCTCCGTCGCAAAGTCTTCGCGTGGTCCTGGGCGCTGAAACAAAAACCACTGTAGCCGGGTGACAAAGTCAAGCTTTCGAAGTATAAAGCGGGAGCAGAGGATCGTCTGACGATGTTGAGGTATCACTGGATTATAGTGTTTCAACCGCTCCTCCACTCGCGCTTTAGTCTCGGTGATAATTTGTAATCTGACCATTTCGCCCGGAAGGCGCGAAGGTGGGGAAGGCGTGGCGATGGCTGCTAACTTCTGCATTGATTTAGCAAAGTCGATGTTGATCAGGAGAACATCATGGCTGTCCAGCCTTTTTTCTCCGTGGGAAGCTCATCCATGTCCGGATAAAGGTCTGCGTCGTCGACATTGAGAGGCAGGCTAACATTGGACATCAGTAACAGGTCACTGGTGTTTTCCAGACCGTAATCCTCGCCCGCACGACCGTCGCGGCTCAGGAAGTGCCACCAAAGGCGATGACGCATCTCAGATTGAAAGGGAGAGAGCCCAAGTCGCTCTCCATCGCGATGGAGGCCCAATGACTGAGCAATTCGGATTGCAAGGCCATTTAGAATCCAGATCCCTTTTCCGCGGTTGTGGACACGAAGCGCGGACTGATGACCACTTAGCTTCATTCTAGAATTTAAGCAAGAAAGAAAAGTGGAACATACTAGATATATCGCCAAAGAGCGAAGCCCAGTCAGTGTTGGACGGTCCAAAAAGTCTCCCTGAGCGAAAGCTTGTTCTAGACCGACCTTGAGTCTAAGTAGATGTGTGCGTTTATCTTGTCCCAAAGCTGCCTCAGCTTCTAGATCGTCAAGAGAGACTGTTGCCGCAAAATATATAGCAAAACATAAAGCAAGGTCCTCAAGAGATCCCGTCTGTGGCTCGATAATGGTTGAATAAACCTTAAACTCATCCGTGGGGAGATGCAGCATTTTTGTACCTGTACAACTCTCCACGTTGTTAGTGTAGATATTCCATAGTTTCACGGCCACCGGTGTGAGCGGATGAAAGCTGAAGGGTGCTTGTGAGAGGAAAGGAGAGGAGAGGATTCCTAAGGCATTGAATGGGGATGCTGGCGGATACGGAGGCTCTGTCGGTGGACTTGTCAAGACGGACTCGATGTTTCGCTCCTGTGCTAACGGTCAGAATCATAGATCACTATTAATTTCCTGTCTATATCAGTATAGCTTACTTCTCCTATAATCCTAGACAAAAGGATTTCGTTGAAATAGTGGCTTGATGACCCCTTCTGGACAAGAATGTCCTCGTTGGATCTCTCGTTCAATTTGCCGGAGTGCGTTCCTGCCACTGACGACGGTGAGGTCGTGGTATTCGAGGCATCAGAAAAGGGAATCCTTGGAGCGGACCGGCCTCGTCCTTCTTCCTCTGTGGCTTTGGCAAGGGATTTCTCCAGACTGGAGATACGGGAGGTCATATTCTCCATGATGGTCTTCTTCGTCCGCCGTGTCCGGGGACCCAACGGCGGGTAGACGCAAGGCTTACCAGATCGCGTGCATAAGGAACATGGCTTTTTTTTTGTCGCATCGGACCTTCCTGCTGTTACGAGTGTGACAAGAACGAGGAATTAATCTGCTGGTTTGGGAGCAGGCAGTTGCCGAAACGGTTTGCCTGCTCAAATTCGGGCTCGGAGTGCCGAGCAAGACAAGGCTGGTCGGCTGATGATTCGGAATCCATATTCAATATACTTGGATCGTAGAGAACAGGCTCAAGTGGTATTTCTCGGTCTAATGAAAGATCGTATAGATGCTTTGAGATGTTTTCGTAACTAGTAGATGATGGTTCGGGCGTAATTGTGTGGCTCCGAGCAAAACTTAGCTGAACCTTATCGGCCTCCTGGATCGGGCACGTTTTGTTAGCATTTACGACCGAGCCCGAAGTACGGTGTATCATAACCCAACCGCCTTCTACCTCGGTCCGACCAGGTAAATATGTTGTATTATTTGAGGTCAACTCACCAACCCTTCTTTAGCCAATAGAGAGAATCCATTTGATTTCCTATTTCGCGCGCCCGTTACAGATACATGGCCTGCCTGACTTCCCACTTTTTCGGCCTTGGGTAGCACCGTCTACCGAGATATTCGCTTGACGCGAGAGTGGCCAGTGTCTTTCCAGGCTATAAGTATTTCCCTAGAGGGCAATGCGAAATGGCTCAAGATCCTCTCCAAGGCACTTATTTCTCTCGTCATATCAGACACAGCTTATCCCCTTCATATCATTGCATAGGTTTACATTTCGGAGATAATCATGTCGAATCTGGAACAGTCCCCTGCACAAGCCAGAAACTTGTCGGTCGAAAAAAAGACTGAGAATGCTGAATATCAAAGCGACCATTCGGACGGCCATGAGGCTGAAAAAGCTATGCAGCCAATATCTTCAGGCAACGATACCCCGGACGGCGGTCTCGTCGCTTGGCTTGTTGTTCTTGGTGCTTGGTGTACCTCATTTTGCAGTTTTGGCTGGCTAAATAGTGCGACTAGTCTCCGCCGTGTACGAGCCCAGAGGCTTTCGCTGACAAACAGATAGGCGTCGGAGTCTACCAGGAATACTACCAAAATGAGTTACTCAGTGGCTACTCACCAAGCACCATCTCATGGATTCCATCGTTGCAAAACTTTTTCATGATGGGCCTTCACGCTCTTCAGTTACTCGGAAACCGTCTTGCTGACTTCTCTCTAGGGACCCGTCGTCGGCACCCTGTACGATCACTTTGGGCCGCGGTGGCTAATCTTAATCGGCAGCATCCTGCATGTCTTTGGCATCATGATGACCAGCCTTGGCACCGAATACTATCAGATCCTTCTTGCGCAGGGGTTGTGCTCTGCTATTGGTGTATCGGCGATCTTTCAACCCGGTATGTATGCCTGTATCTTTCTGCATGTGCAAATTTAAATGCCAACGGACTATCCATCATAGCCATCGGCTGTATTCATGGCTGGTTCAGTCGCAGGCGCGGCGCGGCTTTTGGAATCCTGTTTACCGGATCCAGTTTGGGTGGTGTCATATTCCCTATAATAGTGTCACATCTAATCCGCGAGGTTGGCTTCGGCTGGGTGATGCGCATTTCCGCATTTCTCATACTCGTCCTTCTAATCATCGCCAATATGACCGTCCGTGTCAACCATCCGCCAGTCCCGCACAAAGTCACCAGGGCGCGGCTCCTGAAACCTCTCACCGAGACAGACTTTCTCCTCCTCACTGCCGGCTTCTTCTGCTTTAGCTACGGCTTTTTCGCTCCTGTCTACTATCTTCCGCTTCAGGCCCTCGATGCGGGCATGGATCCTAACCTAGGACAGTACGTCCTGCCTATATTGAACGCCGGATCGCTATTTGGACGTCTCTTCTCAGGCTTCTTGGGCGACAAACTTGGCCGATACAACATTTTCATCGTTGTCTGCTACTTGTCTGGCGGCTTCTGGATCCTGGCGCTTTGGCTCCCCGACACAAACGATCCAGCGCTCATCGCGTTCGCCGCGCTCTTTGGATTCTTCTCCGGTGCTTACGTCTCACTCATTGCCCCTCTGGTCATGCAGATTTCACCGATGGCAGAGATTGGATTCCGCACAGGTATTGTCCTCTTTGTCACCCCAATTGGCGGTTTGACGACTAATCCCATTAACGGTGCCATACTGGATAATGCTGGTGGCTGGGTTGGTCTTAAGGTGTTTTCCGGAGTACTATGTATAGCTGGCACTACCTTCGTGCTTGTGGCGAGAATCAGATTGACTGGCTGGAAACTTTTTGTTCCTTTCTAGGAGGGGATATCACTCCCAGTTCGGGAATTGCAAAAGCTACTTGTGTCTTTTGGAATCGTTTTTCTTCTTTAAGTAATCATCAAAGATGGTTTTGTGATGGACGCTAGGAATAGATTGAACAAATAGTTAGAACCACCACAGGACAATTCGAAAATTGGCTCTTCCCTTTGCGAAAGACAGAACAAGAGTCGACAGCTGATCCACCCACGATGGGCCAGTTGTGGTCCAATCCCGTGTCTTCGTCACAAGATCCTCCCCCGTTAATAGGTGAAACCTGTTGTCGTTGTGGTAGGTATGAGAGACGTCGTTTCGCCGACGTCATTCTCCCTACGTGAGTGGTTGGAATGAAGGTAAACAAGATGTAAAGTGAAAGGGCATTTCCGCAGTCACTGTATGCTGCGAATCTGCAAGATTGGGCGCCATAGCAGCACACTTGACAGATACTGTAAAGCAAGCGCCTCGACGTCGGGTCAGGGGTTAAGAAGAGGCTAGCCCCACAGCCGGCCAACTACTCCACACGTGGCTAATAACGCCACTTATGTTCAGGGACCGAACTTCTTGGCCTGATAACCAGTTGCAGTAACTCGCAAAATCCGGGAGGCCCACGGAAGCAGCGCCTTTAATTACCTAAAAGAATCGCATTGCTTGAGGTCGGTGTCTGGGCTTCCAAGGTCCAATCTCGGGTTTGTCCACGTTTTTTTTGAGCAGTCTCAACCTCAGGCTTCGTCCATCCACCTCTTCAGCCCATATTTGATGAAAAATGTCCTTCGAATTCATCAATAACGATTGCATTGATCGAAAAGCCAGAAAACTGATACGCAGCCACGTGGCTAAAGGAAAAAATCTTGGCAAAACGCTGCCGAAACGACAAAAGTTAGTTCAGAGCACGATACCTGTCCAAAAATCCAGAGTCGTGGAAGTAGATTCGGCCAGTCACGAAGCAATTTCTACGATTGAACGACCGATTGGTGATAGACTATCGGTTTTATCCTTGCCAGCTGAGTTAACTTCTAGGTCCCGAGGTCCTTTCAACAAATGTATAGCTATCCCCGCTCATTGCTATTCCATACCACACGTTCATTGACATATATGCAGTCTTTTCATCTATTTGTGCGCCTTTTTATGCACCTCCGTTGCATAATTCAATTGCCTTTGATGGACGCCGCTCCATTTGGGTGCAGTACCTCTTCCAAGATGAAGCCTGTCGTTCTCCCTTCCCGTTCGTGTCTTTCTTTGCTGACGAATCGAAAAAGATTTTCATTGCAACGTTGCTATTTCCCTCGTGGTGGAGAATTCCATACATGTAAAGCGAGACATTACCGCCGAAGCATTGCATCGTATCTCAAATACGTATCATATGGTCACCGAGAAACTATCCAGTCATGAAGCACTCTCAGACCCAACCCTAGCTGTGGTAGTGGCTTTGATTCACTATGATCGTCTTCAAGGCCAATTTCATCAAGGCATGGTTCATTTCAAAGGACTTCAACAGCTGGTCCAGTTACGAGGCGGAATCACCCAACTGCGGAGGAAACCTGCCATAGCTCAAAAAATTTTTAGGTCCGAGAACCCCATTGCAGCTCCATCTCTAATGATGTGCTCATCTTAACATTTCTCCAAAGGGCCGATCTCGAGTTTGCTCTTCAATTAGGCTCCAGAACATGGTACAATGTCGAGGATGTTCCCGGCCATGAGATAATTTCCAGCCTTCGCGAAGAGTCCCTGCGGGAATATCCAGTTCGAGATTCCCGAATTTTCAGACGATTGAATGTTGACTTTCAAGACGTTCTGTTCGATGTTCTAAGCCTTGCCTGGCTGCTCAATGCCACCAGCAAACACGCAAACAGACTAGACGGATTCTTGCTCCACGAAACTATTACACTACTTGGATATCGTATCATCCATTTGAGTCCTCTAGGAGGCTCCAGACCTGTCGAGCGTCTTGAAAATAAGTTGCATCTCGGTCTGATCACATTTGTGGCAACATTTTTACTCAGTATCACACGCAAACTTCCAGAATTCTGCCTACTTTCCCGACTCCTTCGCTCGGCTGCCCAAGAGGACCTTGAGGAAGATGAGGAGAACCAAGAAGTGCTACTTTGGACCTTATTTCTTGGAAGGGCCTCGATATTCAAAAAATCAGACGATTCCTGGTTAATTCCGAGGATGACGGAGATAACTTCAGCTCTAGGGTATTCAAATTGGAAAGATATCAGTCGAACTCTTCGCAAATTTCCCTGGGTCAATGCTCTTCATGACAGGCCAGGCCAAGCACTCTGGCAAAAAACAGTGGCACACTTATGTTTTCCGACAGGATTTCCCGGCAACCAGTCGTTAATTTGGAAAAGCACTCATTTTGCTCCATCAGCCGGAGTAAACGGATTCAAGGTTCTGTGAAGTCAAGTGTGGTAGGAAGAGGACACACGCTATTCCGTATTAGGACAACACTCTCTTATTGGTCAGTTTATAGGCTCAATCCAATACTCAGGGGCTTGGGCTAGCAACGCCAATATCAGCTTAGCAACCATTAAACTCCCACGCTCGTCCTGATATGAAAGTGGAGGCATTCGGGTAGTGTACCTGATTGGGAAACCACTCTACCATTGGATAGAGCATACCGCCGACACGATAGTAGATCCTCAAGCCAATATTCGATTTCAAAGTCGACCAGGTTTTGTCTTCTCCCTCGGATTTTACCTAAACCCGCTTGGTGAACCCAGGAATCGGTAGGTGTCGTGCTAGTTCCAAGAGCATAAAGCAATGCGATGGTTCCCTCAATCGAAGAAAGAAAGATATCACAACTTGACTGCTTTGTGTTCGGCTTCTCCATATTTTTCATTTGCATACAATCATGACCTCTGCACAATCAACTTCGTCAATCTTCTCGGAGGAATACATTGCTGAGCAACGAAAGGTGCTCCCTGTCTTAGCTACGACCGAGACCTGCTCAGGGGCCACATATATTGTGACAGGAGCCAATGTCGGTCTCGGATTCGAGGCAGCCAAACACCTAGTCAAGCTGGGAGCCGCAAAAGTCATCATTGCTGTCCGTAACGTTCAGGCTGGAGAGGCAGCCAAAGCCGAAATCGAGGCAGAGGCTGAGGCAGTTGGCGTCTTAGAAGTCTGGCCACTCGACCTGGCTAGTTTTGACTCGGTCAAAGTATTTGCGAAGAGAGCCAATGATGAACTAAATCGGATCGACGCCCTAATTGAAAATGCTGGCGTGTCCCTCGACAAATGGAAGATGGCCGAAGGGCATGAGTCGTCTATCACAATTAATGTCCTTGGGACGTTTCTTCTGGGAATTCTACTTTTCCCGAAGATGATGGAGAGTGCACGGCGTTTCAACATCCTTCCTCATCTCGTCATTGTCACGAGTGAAGTTAGTTTCACAGCGAAAGAGCCATTTGACAAGATTAAGGACGATCCTTTAGTGAAGCTGGATAATGAGGAAATTCAGGGAATGGTGGGGAGGTATGATAGATGCCTGGTTCATGAACCATACTCTCTGATAAGTGGATATCCAGCTGATGCTGTCTTTCGGGCAGATACCCACTTTCCAAGCTCATCCAAGTCCTCGCAGTCCGTTATTTGGCAACCTTGCTCCCGGTATCTAGAACGGGAGTAGTCGTGAATCTTGTCAACTCAGGTCTTTGCAAGACCAATCTCATTCGCAAATTGGAGATGGCTATACGTACGCCAATCGAGAAGGCCCAAGAGCAATTTGGAAGAACTGCAGAGATGGGCAGTCGGACACTCTTGCACGCAGCGGTTGCAGAAAAAGAGAGTCACGGATGCTATCTTTCAGCGTGCGAGATCAAAGAGTAAGCAATTTCCTCACCCTTTCTCGATGATGGTATTAACCCATGATTCTAGAAATCAAGTTCCTGAATGGGTCACCAACGAAGAAGGCAAACAAGCGCAAAAGAGGGTTTGGGACGATATCGCCAAAGAGCTAGATTCTCTCATGCCAGGCTGCGTGAAGATCCTACTATAATCTCAGATAACTTCAGGGAGCAGGGAATAGATTTAAGAAGATCTGCAATCTTCTTTCAAGATTTTAAATAGAGGTCATTCTAAGAAAGGATATCAAGATACTCTCAGGTATTCGGGGATATTTGGTTTCTTGGGTTCCTTCGCCGGCCTCTAATTTACAAAGATCGAACTCAGGCGTTGACTCCAACGATCCCTCTCGTCCGGCACTGGAATGTACACATATGTCTACTGTTCCCCAAGAAACATGCGCAGCATATCTCCAAGCGATGGCCGAAGATTGCTGGTGTGTGTTTGACCTTCTGATGATGACCAATTCTGCAAATCGTAGGGAGGCTACACCCTTTCGTCATTATGATACTTGACCGGTCCGGCATCGCAAATGCCGCAAAGCTATTTACGTGACTACACTGTCTATGAAGGTATAACTAGCTACTCTAAACTACCCCCTTAGTCTTCCTTCGCCGAAAGACATATCAACAAAGTGCCAGACTGCTCACACTTGCAAACATGCACATACCTGGCATCATCGATCTCGGCGAACTGACCTCATTCTTCGTCCGGCGAGATGTATACTTGAAATTCGAGCATAAGATGTGGCATCATTTATGATGTGCATGATAGGTCGTACCAAACAGCCTGAACAATTATTGTTGCGGATGGCAGTACAGCCTCGAACGGCCCCTTGCATAATGATTTACCCCGACATCTACCGGATTCAATACCATATACAGACTACAATCTGCCAGATCGCCTCGGCCATGGAAAGTGGCCACGAACCAGACATGAGATTGCATGACCCATCTTCAAGAAGAGACAGCTGCTTTTCAATTTCAGTTCAGCAGGCATCAGTAATTCTGATTCTGCTCACAATACCTGATTCGAGAGTTCTCCTATGCTAGAAAATGTGATCTACCTACTTGAGCAATTTTTTCCTTGGGGGGAATTGAGCAGTTAGATCAGTCCGCCTGCCCTCCGATGACAACCCTGCCGATATCTGAGAAACAGCATCTTGAAACTCCACAGAGGTCTATATAGACAAAGATAGATATATTCCCCTCTTCCTAGCTTTAATTTCAACAAGCGCAGGTGCCAGACTGCTCGTAGATGGCCTAAGGCTCATCATTGTGACGATAGCTACGGTGACGATAGCTACGAACCTAAGCCGTATTACATGGGACTATACAAGAAGACACTAAGGAAGTGCATGGAAGAAACGGAGAACCAGTCTTGTTCCCCTTCTGCGTCGCCACTGGTGAACATGGGGTAAGGGGACAAATGCTCTCAAGAGCCGTACGTCTGCTAACCCTTGTCGTTGCTGTTTTTCCATGGATCTTCCGGATCCTTTCCATTTGCCTTTCCCGTGCCCGTAAGAGAAGGTGGCAGTAAGATGCACGAAGATTTGAGATTGCCATGCCTCTGGTGGAATCTTTGCCCATGTTGAGTTATGGGAGACCCCATAATTAACATGGACCATCGCGTAGGAAAGTTTCGAGTGCCTCATCATTTCCTAGCAACCTTCTCCCCTCACCGGGATGGAGATGATATGAACGCAAACTCAGTTCCTTTAGGCATGTCGAGGTACTCTTCCCTGACTACTGTACCTTGAAAATGCAATCGGACATTACTTACACGAACTTGAATGAGAGTGTTTGGCGGCCAAACTCTCGGCGACTCAACTATCCCTCTGACTTAGAGTGAGCAAGAATCGTATCGTGGTAATTGACGTCTGTTCAAGCTGCAAGGATGGGTCTATCTACGGGTAAGATCTCACTTCTGATCCGGGCACGCAAGGACTTTTCAATGGGATTACCCTTTGATTTCTCGAATCCTTCCAGAATAGGGGAGGGAAGCTGTAAGGCTAAGCAAGATCACTTTACCGACGCAAGGCTGAGACTCGCAAATAATATTGAATAAAGTAGTAGCCCGTCACCACGTTCCCTTTCATAAGGGAAATATGAATCTCAGACACAATTCTACCCGTTTGGTCCTAAGGACACAAACAGAATGAATGTCTTCGCTGAGCCTCGTCGCATTGTTGCTCGCCCCCCAACCAAAGTCACGTGCACTCGAATCGCTCGGGGCCTCGGAAGTTGCGGAGAAAATCAAACTTTGACCGAAACCTCATGAATGTTGATCGACATCCCGGATGCAAACTATCGACCGCTTCAATCTCATTCTTTGCGCAAGCTCCAACACTCATCCTACCAACGGCGCATTATTTCGCGATTTCACTTTCCGTCTTGCGGCCTCAATCCATTCCCCAGCTTCTGCGACGTGGTCCGGACCTCTTTATCGATTATCCTGTCATTTTGTCCAGTGACCGTCGCAAATTCTGAATAATGCCTACATTGAGGCATGAATCCTAGCTCTGCGGTTGACCAAGATGTCGCTCCCACTTCTGCTCCCCCAAAGCAGGCCGCATGCCTCGAATGCCGTCGGAGCAAGGTGAAATGTACCCGAGATCTCAACGTGGCCATATGTCGGAAATGCCAACAAGCTGGCTTACAATGCGTCACTCCCGAATACCACGTCGGAAGATATAAAGGCGTCAAGAAGTGAGATTGTCCGTCCCCTGCCCGTCGCATTCTAGTATTAACAAGCTTTCAGTAAGCGGACTGGCCTGGAAAAGGCAATCTATCAAGTCGAGCAAGCGTTGAAGCGCTCCAAGGACGGATCGACAGGCTTAGGGCTAGAAGTTGAAGCGGATCTACGACAATTGGTCTCTGTCCCTCAAGTGGATTCTCCTCTTCGGCAAGAGTCCAGGAGAACCGCCAGCAATGCCGGCAATCCTCAAACTTTTTCTCAGCTTCGTCCCAACCGCAGAGCTAGCGAGAACAATGACATCTCGGAAGATAGCCACGAGGTATTCCCTGCCGAAGTTGGTGAGAAGCCTGATGAACTAGCTCTTAACAATGCCGATAATCCTCTTCAGCTACTTGCAATGGCGTCCGTCCTACCAGACCAATCTCCCTCGACAAATATGTCCATCTCTCCCGCGGGGGCCACGTCGCAACCAGGTACAAACGATGCCAATGTGGCCGATGCCGAGTTACAACAGTTTTTCGGCTCCCTCATGCCAAATCTGGATAATGAGCCAGATCTCGATCCCATTGACCTGGGATTGGTGACGTTGGAAGAGGCACAATCACTATTTGCGTTCTTCTATGAACGACTCTCTCATACACGGTGGGGGTTGGATCCAGTTCTTCACACTGCTGCCTTTGTGCGCTCCAGGTCCGCGTTTCTATTCACATCCATTCTCGCGGCGTCTGCTTCGTTCCTACCAAAAGCCGAGGCATTGTCGAGACGACTGGCAAACCATCGGAATCATCTCGCTCAGAGGGTCATCTCCAACAGAAATCGATCGGTCGAAATTGTATTGGCTTTCATGGTCAATATTCCGTGGATGACGCCCGCGAAGCATTGGGCGGACGACGAGACATGCGCGTACTTGTCTATGGCGCTCACTCTGGCACTGGATCTTTCATTGAACAAGATCGTGGTGCCGTCCTCGACGATTCGCCCCGCGGGCTTTCTTGATCGAGTTGCGAAAGCTGAATGCATTGACACTGCGAAGGCTCTACAGCTGGATGGATTCCCACAGGTTGATCCGACCTCAACTTGGGGACGGCGTCTACTAAGGACTCGGGAAAGAGTGTGGTTGGCTTTGTTTGTCCTGGACCGAGGGTATGTCTACAAGACTATCTTTCCTACACAAGTTTGTTTTTCCTTAACATCTGTTCTCAGGATCTGTCTTGCAAGAGGACGGCCATATGCGGTTCCGATTGGCCCCTTGGTGGAAAGTTGTGACACATGGCACATATCGGATATTGCAGATCGATGGGATGGCAGTATCATTTCGGCTGCAGTTTTGAGGCGTGATATGGTATTACCTCTCTTCACGCATCGATATCACAAAGTTACTGACTCACGCGAGGTCGGCCTCATCACGAGCGTCCGCGAATTTTGTGACGGGAGCCAAGGGGTTAACGGGGGTTCACCCGCGGTCAAATTGTATGTCGACCCCCATTCCTGTTCAATCAATGGAACGTACCTCTGAATGGTTGAGATTGACATCGTGTCTCTCCGACGCCGTTGGAGCCGTCCACCTCAACCGGGGCGCGACTCTTGCTGGCTGTTGTCCCCTACGTCGATTTTACATCCTTTAACCGTTCGATCTGTTTCAGATGTCTTATTCTTGCGAGCCTTATTGACGTGCGGATAGCCTCAAAGACAAAATCGATCGATTTTTCGAACAATGGTATGCTGTCTGGTCTCTGCAGATCACTCAAGGAGATGGTAAGCACAGAAATGACGGTGCTAGAAAATATACGACCGGATGTGGCTAATATCCACAACCAGGTCAGCTACCCCCCTACGTGGAGATTCTGGTATCTCACACTAAACTGTCCACCTACTGTAACGTCGTCAACCACCCTACTGCGTCAAACGATGTTAAACAATTTTTTCGTGCGGCCGGACTGGCGTCCGCGATCAATGTCATGCGGGCAGCAGTTCAAGGCGAGAATCGTCTGAAATCAATGCCGAACAACACCGTTATCATGGTATCATTTGCGGCATGCTTTGCTCTGGCCCTCGGAACAACGACTTTTGGCAGCCGAGCCATTCTGGCTCCAAGCGCCCGTTCCCTGATCGAAGAGACTACACAAGTGCTGGAGAGGATCGGAAGCTCCCCCAGACAACGAAACGGATTGTCCGTCTTGTTCGCCAGACACATTCGTCGCATCATGCAAAGCTCACTCCTGAATCCGCCTGAAGACAATGCGAGCCAATTACCCGGAGTTCATGAACCGTTGCAACGTCCAGACCAAAATGCAGAGTACAGTTCCTCCCGTCCTGCGTCAATGCCCGGCCCGAATGTTCCTACTGAGCCATATGTCTTTGATATGACCGACGATCAAATCCTGGAAGCCATCAACAACGCCAGTACCTCACAAGACTTGTTTCAACTTGATGAGACAATGTTCATGGACTGGCTGGATTGGCCAAACGTTACCTGAGCCGTCTCAAGTTGATAAGTCCGCTTTCACGTGGAGAACTCTTCTCCGTGTCGAGGTCGAGATTAAATTTTCTGAGCTGGCACGGCCGCCGGTGCGGGCTCTCCCGACCTCACGTTTCTCGACAAATTCACTAATTTCTGCAGTTGCTCCATAAAGATGAATGTGAGGACGGTGTTTGGTCTGCAGTCAGTGAGCAGTTGCTCAATATTCGAAGTCTGTGCATAGACTTACGCCAGCCTCAGCCAAGCCGGTGTCCATCCCTTCATGAGGAATTGTGGGCCTTCATTTCGCAGGGACTCTATGACAATCTTGCTCACACTCTGCGCTCGGTGTCAGTCCGCGATGTCAGTGTGGACAGCAAATGCCTCTTACCGGTTTGACTCCATCCACTGCCACAGCATTTTGTACCCTGCTCTTCAAAACATCGGCAGGAGCACAAGCCGTAGTCGCCACTGTGCCTGCCAACAGTGAGGCAAGGAAATGTGCAGGCATCCCATCTTTGAGACTGAGGAAAGGATTTGCTAATAGCTGGTGTTTGGCCGCAGAGTATCTTGGGGAAGGATGAGTATACGGGGACGAAAGGAGAATATTGGGAGCATACGTTGCTATCTGAGAGACATCTTCGCATCGTCAGCAGTGACTCGGAAGCAGACACTTCGGACTCACTCATTATAACACTACGCACCACATTGGGGCCGAGACCTCGAGTGAAAGTACGCAGACCTTCTTCTCGACCGATTCTTACCAGAGCGTCAAAGGCATGCTTATATCCGAATCGCTGCGCTGGCGGTTTAGCACCATCTGCGCACATTCTCACGAGAGCGACCTAAACGAAGATCAGACAGCCGCAATGAATTGCCACCGACCTTGGACACGAACCTCTGTGGGATTGCCGACAAGGCCAGCAAACCCCCCGGCAAACCCAGCACAAGCTATCTCTAATGAACTAGAGAGCCGTTGTTGTCCAGTCCGTTGCCGAGCCTCGTGTGCAAAATAGTTATAAAGACCGAATCTTGTAGTTGAATATGTTGATTGTCGCAACATCGATGCCGAGATTCCCCACCATAATGATGGAATTCCTGTTCCGGTCAGCAGCCTGGTCCTGATGAGGAAACAACCGGACAATCCCCACCGTCGCGGCCTGCGAATTGAATCAAGGTTCGCAGCATATTTTGCCTTGTGGCCATGACCTGCATCCGACTCACATGGCTGTTAGTATGAGGGACGAGGAAGGGAGGAACGCGACCTTACTATTTTGTTTGATCTAAAGGATGTGCTGAAATGGTATGTCAGCCTTAAAAACGTTCCGGGAGAAAAAGGAGGCTCCCATACTGAAACAAGCAGCCATTGATGCAGCAGCACCGCTATGGAACATCAGAAGTGGCTCATGGAAGAAGGGGGGGATATTGAGCGCTCACCCAAGCCAAAAGGGCTGGCCTTGCTTCTTGAGTTTGGTCATTGGGAGGAGTTCTTGTTTGAGATTTCAAATGGGTTCAAACACGACGATATGTCATCAAATACAACTGCACTTTACAATGTCGAAGCCAGTTCAAATTCGACGGAAAAGATTCTGTCCAAACGAGACAGAATTATCCGGCCTGCAACACAACATACATACGACATATCAAATCAATGTCAATTGGCAGCAGCAGTGTAAATAACGCTGATCTCATCCGCAGGCCCCACAATTGCAATGCTTGAGAAGAATCTCTTACAGTTCAGCGATATCGCTTGGACATGGACCCACCATCGTCCACTGCACATTGCCCACCACCCACCATAAGGCGACCATTGGCGGGTGTATCCGGCATTCGCCCCTGGCTGAAATCTCGCAGGAGCCGGAAAAGGAGAATCGGCATCAAAAATATTCCCGAAACTGTGGTCCCATGTGCTAGTGCTACCGCCACCGGCAGATCACGTGGGAGTCGGGAAAGGGGCACGATCGGACTGAACCCGTCAATCTTCCAAATTATTCTCGATGTTTCTTCCGTTACCGGTGGAGTCTCATAGATCATCAGCCTCATTGATGTTATTTATTGCCACGATAGAAGTCAGAGCATACAGCAAAGTGAGAGTGACTAAGAGAGAACATGGCGATAGCAACGAGACGAACCCTGTTGCTATACGTCAACCACATCAGAGTCAGCTCCAACGCCCATACTTTTCTACCCCACACACCTACCATCCGCCAATCAGAATCAATAGCCAGACCTTGGATTGCTCGACAACGGGACATTCGATATTTTACAACTTCATCCTCGAAATGGCGGGAAGTACTTTCGCAACAAGAGATCGGAAACTCACAGCAGCCCGTAATCGATCGAACGAGATCCAAATTGTTCAAAGACGCAGATGAAGCCGTTGCAGATTTAAAGTCTGGCTCCACAATTCTCAGTGCCGGCTTTGGACTCTGCGGTACCGCTGGTATGTATCTCCAACCTGCCTTCTCTTCATTTTCTCCATACACCCAATATATATATATCCAATGCTAATGCCTGAAATTCAATGGCGGCATGAATGAAACCTACTGCCTTTTTCTCCCCCCCAAAAAAAACCCTCATACTAATAGGAGATATGATGTGCAGAAACAATCATCCACGCAATCTATAAGCGAGGCATTGACTCTATAAACAATCTTACAGCTATATCCAATAACGCTGGTGCATCAGGTGACGGTGGCCTGTCCCCTTTGACGCGCTCAGGCCAAATAACAAGATGCATCCTGTCTTACTTGGGTAATAACAAGCCTTTGGAGCAGAAATACTTGTCTGGCAATATTGCAATTGAACTATGTCCGCAGGGGACGTTGGCTGAGCGCCTTCGTGCAGGTGGGTCAGGTATTCCTGCGTTTTATACGCCGACTGGAGTTCGTAAGTGCATATGAAACACCGGCCTTCCTTCCTTTTTTTTCTATCTCTCCTTTTGGAGTCAATCCAATGCGTTGTGTGAAGGATTGACGCTGATTGTTAAAGATACATACATCCAAACTGGCGAGATACCCACGCGATTAGGACCTGTAGATCCAGAGACCAAAAAATCCAATGTATTAGAACCAGGCCGGCCGCGGGAGACGAGGATTTTCAATGGGAGGACTTATGTGATGGAAACCGCGTTGACAGGGGACGTGGCGATTCTGAGAGCGTGGAAGGTCGATGGAGCTGGGAATTGTCAGTTCAGGTGAGTGATCATGAGCATGCACATCCCTATTTTTGTTCCATCTCCATCTCAGTCAAGTGACTCAGCAACTTATTGTGACCTACCTTTTTCACTTTCATTACATTTGAGCACTCTATAGGTATCGGAAAGAAAATCCAATGCTGATTCCTCTATTCTGAGCAGATACACAACCAAAGCCTTCGGACCCGTCATGGCCAAAGCAGCACGCCTCACCATTGTGGAAGCCGAGAATATCGTGCCAACCGGCTCCATGGATCCCAATGACATCCATTTACCAGGAATCTTTGTCGACCGCATCGTTCCTGCCACGGTCGACAAGAAACTTGAAATCAAGAAAACACGACCCGCAAATAGCGAATTCGACACCGGCAACACACCGAATTCGGCCTCGACGAAATCTGATGCCCTCATCCGCCGCGACCGCATCGCCCGCCGCGCCGCCAAAGAACTCCAGCACGGCATGTACGTGAACTTGGGAGTCGGAATGCCCACACTCGCACCCTCCTTTTTACCAGAAGATGTCAAGGTCTGGATCCAATCCGAAAACGGTATCCTCGGCATGGGTCCCTACCCTCTCGAATCCGAAGTGGACCCGGATATTGTCAACGCCGGCAAAGAAACAGTCACGCTCGTTCCTGGCGCAAGCACATTCGATTCCTCCGAGTCCTTCGGCATGATTCGCGGCGGACACGTCGATGTGTCGATTTTGGGAGCACTGCAGGTGAGTGCTGCGGGTGATCTGGCCAATTATATGATCCCCGGCAAAGTGTTTAAGGGGATGGGCGGGGCGATGGATTTGGTGTCAAATCCGGGAAAGACCAAGATTGTCGTCACAACGGATCATGTGGATAAGTTTGGGAAACCGAAGATTGTAGAGAAGTGTGAGTTGCCGGTGACCGGAGCGAGGGTCGTCAGTACGATTATTACGGATTTGTGTGTGTTTCAGGTCGACAGGCAGAAAGGGGTACTGACGTTGACCGAGGTGGCGCCAGGGGTGACGGTGGATGAGGTCAAGGCGAAGACCGGGGCGAAGTTTGCGATTGCTGAGGATGTGAGGGTCATGGATTAATTGAAACAGATATATCCTTTCCCTCTTCTCGGGACGTCGTTTTCCTGGGACTGAATGTAAGTAGAGAATGAGGGGTCATATACTAGAGGTTAAGCAGACTCCGGCCGACGGATAGCTAGGTTTAGATTCGAGTCGAAGAAGAAGCTTGGTTTTTTGGGTTGGTGTTGCTGCTAGCAAGCACTTGGATGGAAATTTCGGACCTAGAAAGGTATAAGACGGCCTGTGGTTGTACTCGTATAGCAGATGTTTCCATAATTTTCCAGTGATGCCGCCTGCTTACATGCAGCGCACGATGCACGACACATTCCTTTGTTGCAGCAGATTACACAGAGAATCTCATTCGTACTAATAGTCATCTCCTCCGATTTTCCGAAGTCTCGAGAGCTCTTTGGTCTGGTGAACACGTGTAGTCCCCACGCTGATACATGGAGTCACTCAGGTTTGTCCTTTTGTGGGGAACCTGGAGGTAGTAGTGGTTGAAGGCAATATAACCATTTCTTATTTATCGGCGCATGCATGTGGCAAAGCCGGCTAATCCATTTTCCACACCAATATATCCTCAATCTCAACAAAACCGTAAATGGTCGCTCTTCTCTCCCCGTCACAAACCAAATGGATAAGTTTCCGCCTCAGTCAAGGGCGTCCGTGGTTGCGTCTGCTCCAGTGCACCTACAGCATGGGTGGTATCAAAGAACAGATATGCATCAAACTGTTTCGAAAGTTTCGCACGGCTGTAATGACTCCAGAGCTCGGTCTGAGGTCGGTATATGACACCAATGAAACGCTCAAGCCTGTTCGCGGCGAGCCCGCGTCGGGTCTGTTCATCGCAATGCCCATCTCGCATGTCGATTAGAAACCGTGGGGCGCCGATGCTGTGGGCAACTCTCTCCCAACTGTCCTCACGAGAGGGATTGACTTTCATGACTTCCATGTCGCCATCCCACTCATGCGCGGCTGCCACTGTGCCGTCGTGTGTACCGCAGCCCAAGATGGCCACGTTTGTCAAGTGCTCTCTGCAGAGCTGGCCGAGGTTGATTTCCTCTCGATCCATGCCCATCCCGGTGTGTCGTGCGTCTCCAAGATGACTATTGTGTGCCCAGACCACTGCCTTGGATTGTCTAAAATCAAGCAGTCGCTTCAGCGTCCCGAACATGTGCAAATCTCTCAAGTTCCAGGCGCTTTCGTCGCTGTAATACATCTTTCGATAATATTCTTCCGCATCCACCACCACGATTGCATTCTGTTCGGCGCTGTGGAAGCGTTCGCCGTCATGGATCTTGGCCGAGTACTCCAGCCTCTTTTGTAGAAGCTCGACCAGCATCTTGATGACGTCCTCCTCGCAAGATTCGAGAGCAGATCTGCTCATCTTTAGTCCATACTGGTGTTCCTTGTCAACCCAGCGTTGTAGTCTGCCGTATCTTGCTTTGGCCTCTTCAGCCATCGCCGGATCGATGTTCTGCAGATACTGAATCACCGCGTTCATCGACGATCCCATAGAATACAGGTCGAGGCCATATACCCCAGCCTTCTCGGCAGCCGGCAGGCCCTCGTTGTAGTCACGCAGCCAATGAATCAAGTCCTGCATTTCGCTATTTCGCCACATCCATGTCGGGAAGCGTTTGAATGGGGTCTCCCTGGGTTCGGATCTGCCCGGATGTTGTGGCCAGCGACGAACATAATGATCAATCGCCTCAACGTCAGGCCAATCTGCTTCCAGGGCCACCAGCTTGAATCCATGGTCTTTGACGAGACGTTTGGTAATTTCGGCACGAGCTGCGTAGAACTCGGATGTACCGTGACTTGCATCACCCAATAAGACAACGTTGTATTCGCCCAGCCAGTCAAAGTACTCGGCAAAGCCACTGCTGTTGATTGGTGGTAGGGCTTTCGCTACCTTCCGCAGGCGCTGGGTCAGTGTGGACATAGTAACAGGCAAAGAGTCAAGCCGCAACCAAGTCAGACTCTCAAATATGAGTTTCGAACCGTGTTCGCAATGTATCTATGTGCGGACCGGCGAAATGGAAGAATTTCAGAGATTTCGAGTTACCAAATACCGGCTGGTCTCGGAAGTTCTGAAGAGATATTACATAGTATATTCCATCCGGAACGTACAGCCGGCCTTGACGTCTTGGCACGTTAGCTTGGGGTATAAAGCGGCCTCGTAATCCTCTATTGGTAGTTAGATTCATGGAACAACTTTTACGTAATTCGCATTATGAATCATGAATGATGAGACTCCGTTTGAGTTATTGCGGGCATGGCTAACGGATGGGCAGATACACAATGAAATACCGTGACCGTGTATGGTGGCGAGGCTGGCTCACTACAAATAGGCTATAGAGATCATGGCGTGCCTTTGGCAAACGCAAGGACAAATGGCTTGCCCCGATTGGTTGGAAATTTATCCAATTCCTGATGCGGTTACAATAGCAACGCCATAGTTACCCACCTCGATAACACCACCACGACGAGGTGTCTAGCATCTGCAAGGGTCTCTATAGAATGGTCCAGGCTAGGATTCTATGTGTTCAAGGTAAGACCATATCTCAGCCTCTGAAAGCCTAGGAAACTAGTGGCGAAGCAAGAGAGAGCCATGGATACTCTATATAAACGCGCACAACGAGATGCTAGTCACAGATGCCCTCAGAGCACTCAATTGAGTATGCTTCCACTAGGATTGCCCTGAGTTCCTGGTTGGAATCTGGGGGGGAGATCAGCAAACGTCGCCCTCGAGTCCGTGGAAAGATGCCCGTATCTGCGAGATATAGGTCTCTATTCACGAAGCGTCTGCTGGATGTAGCGACCGGGGGAAAATCTCAGCTCAGAAAGTCCGTTGTGATTACTTAGTAACTTTCTGCGGAGACCTCGGAAGCTTGGATGGCGGCGTCAAGATCACCCTGATTACAGCGAGAACATGATTCTGGGCTCCAGTCGGAAAGTGTCCACGTTGAAGATACTGAATCGACTTGACGACTAGGAGGACGTGAGGATATTGATCCATGATCTGATTGATCAAGAAATCATTGCCACTTTGCACAATGTACTGGACGACAGTCAGATCGATCGATTCAAGAATGACTTGAAGGGCATATTGCCGAGACACAGTCAAATTGGGTTAGACCGCGATCAGCCCCTGGTGTGTCCTGATAAGACTGCATCAGTGAGTGACCAAGATAACTGGAAAGAATATTCGAATGAGGGCACGAAATAAGTGATACAATCAACCAGTCTACGATGATTGTAACTGCCTGATACACCATTAAGACAAAACTTGGCACTTTTGCTTTCTATCGGGTCTTGTTCCAAAGCTAGTTTGTGTGTGTTTTTTGGGGGATTCGGGTCAGTAGGCCAGTAAGTCTTTCACCTGCCTAACGTGGATGAGCTTGAATAGGTTTCATTCAGCCTCCATCTTTCCTTCGCTGGTTATCAAGCTCTAGTTTGGAGACCCTTTCTTCATGCTACTTCTTTGTGGCTATGTTGAACATCCTTTATTTCTTTTCCTTGGAGAGGGACATCAGACGACCATACTCTCATATTTCCATGCTGGTGGAGAGCCTTCTTCATTTCTTGAGCCACAGTTTCGCCATCAGTTAAATCGGAGTGGAGTAATCTTCCCTTTCTAACGGCCTCCTTGTCCAGAAAAACAAAGACTGTGCGATCTGACGTGAAAAGCAAATCAATCTCCTCGCTGAGAAAGTAAATTACTCGTTAGCAGAACCATATTCCCAATTCTCGGGCGAAAATACTTACAGCGTCCGGCGAGCTGTCTCGGGGAAAAACAGGTAGCAAAGAATGGTGTTCATGCAATTAAACCCGGCAAATACCAAGTACATTTTCCATGAGGCTTTGTTTAATGCATAGGGGATATACAGACCAAGCCAGAAATTGACAAGCCAATTCATAGATGCCCCGAGAGCGGCGCCTCTGCTTCGAGCTCGAAGAGAAAACACCTCATTCGGATATGTTTGACCGACAGCGCAGTATATTGCTCCGAAGGCGGCCATGTATAAGTACATGAATGCAATAGCAGCCTTCGAGGCGACTTGATTGTGGAAGGAGAATTGAACGCTTTGGGTGGTAGAATCCCAATGAGGAGACCCGTAGCCTCGCATGAGTCCCCCGACGACCAGAAAGCATGTGCCCATGCATAATGGGCCAATGGTCTATCGAGAACGTTAGATCGACAAAGCCTGGAAAACTCCGGCATCAAAAAAGGGAAGGCGGGAACTTTGATTCTCACCATTTGATTCCGTCGACCATACTTATCTGCCATCCACATCAGGCTCAAAGACGTCACGACCAGGAGTGCACCGTTGATGCCGTTGGCCAAGAGTGAAGCTTGAGTCCCACTGACGCCTACTTGGGTGAAGACTTTGGGGGCATAATACAAACAGATATTGGGCCCGCTGATCTCGTGTAAGAATTGAATACCAGCTCCAAGAACGGTCCGGCGTCGGTATTCCTTCCTGAAGAACAAAGCATATAAAGACGGCGCGGGCATCGATTTCTCGTACTCGTTGATGATTCGAATCTCCTGGTATTCAGATTTGACCGTCTCATCATTCGGATTTCCTTCACCATGGAGTTTGGCCAGCACCTGTAATGCTTCCTCCAACCTGTCCTGCATGAAGAGCCATCGTGGAGACTCTGGTCGCCAGAAGATGAGTGAGGCAAGGACCATGACCGGGATGAACTGGAGGGACAATGGCATTCTCCATGCGCCGTTATTGCCTATGTTTTGGCTTCCATATTGAACCCAGTAGGTGGCGAACAAGCCCATTGCGGTGCCAGCATTCAAATTGTAACCAAGTCGTCCGCGGATCCAGACTGGTGCAACTTCGGCCGTGTAAAGGGGGACGGTTTGAATCAAACCTCCCGCTCCGAAGCCATTAAGGACACGTCCAACCTGAAAATGTTAGTCAGTCTGGAGGCGATCACAGGCAGGAATCAAACTTGCAATAAACATGGCTTGATTGACAGATGCCACTACGATGATCTGTCCGATCAGGTATAGCATCACCGCTACATAAATGGTCCGTTTTCTTCCAAGCCGATCTGCGAGGAAAAATCCCATAAAAAGCGAGCCACCGAACTCGCCTGCAAGAAGACAAGCTGTCATGGATCCTTGGCGAAAATCGCTCGGATAGTTGAAGTAGTTGAGGAATTGCGGCATGGCCAAAATACCTCCAATTGAACCAGTCTCCCACCCGGCGGTAAAGCCTTCAAGGAAGATGGGCGCGGCATAGTAAAGGTATTCCCAGAAGGTAAAGCTCTTCTTCATCTTGACGAACAGGCTCTGGACTGAGAGGCTTGTGGTTTAGAAAGAGAGAGTTGGATCAGAATCCAACGAACTCATATGCTTAAAAGGCATGTGAAAGGAGAGCTCGAGATATTTAATCAAAGAATGCGCCGATTAGGAGTTCTGTGGAAGGCTCCGAGAATCAATATCTGGGGCTGCACAATGTAAGATCCGTCCTGGGGAGTTGTAAGAATTAGTCCGTGTTTCCGTTTTATTATTGTGATTAGTGAGTCACGGACATAAAGCCATAGTTGCCTCCTAGATGCCATGTTTGTTTGGGGGAGGGGGCTTGGACGCGCGGATGAGAGTTTTTCCTTGATTCTTCCGGAGATAGTATTGAGCGCATCTACTCCTATTCGCTTGGCAAAACTCCTATCGATAGACCAACAATATCGGTCCTAGACAAGGCTGTCAGCTATTTGTCAATCACTGGTCGCAAAAATATTGATATTCTCCCACAGAGTCTTTTCGCTTTTGGAAGCCTTTTTGGTATTGTCCATTCAGATGGGAAGCTTTGCGGAGCCTTCTTCTTTCGTGTATCTTTTGGGGACTGGACTCGGTCACTCTCTTGCACCTCCTGTCCATAATTACATTGCGACCACCTTAGGCTGTCAATGGAGGTTTGAAGCTCATGAATGTCCTTCCATCAGGGAGGCTCTCGCTCTGATCCGAAACCCGACTTTTGCGGGAGCCATCGTGACCATGCCTTACAAGAAAGCGATAATGAGTCATCTTGATGGCCTAGACGAACTGGCTATCAAAATGGGCGCCTGCAACAATATCTATATTGCTCAAGACGGGACTTTACGAGGAACCAACACAGACTGGCTTGGAGTCAGTGGATGTCTCTTAGATGGAATAACGCCAAAGAAAAATCGACCAGCATTGGTGATCGGTGCCGGAGGAGCATCCAAAGCAGCGATCCACGCCCTGGCCACTATTCTGGAATGCAAGGAAGTCTACATAGTCAACCGAGACGACCGAGAAGTCTTGGAACTGGCCAGAGAGGTGAAGGCAAAGTATGCCGATTTGGAAATTCTGCATGTTGAGTCCCCGGAGCAAGCAAAAAGCCTTCCATCGCCGTACTACATTATTGGGACCATTCCAGATATTGAACCTATATCCACAAAGGAAATCATCGTCCATCAATCTCTGGAGGCCTTTCTGACGCAAGCGGCATCTAAGGGTGTCTTGTTAGATATGTGCTACAAGCCTCGTCGGACGAGAATGTTGAAGCTCGCAGAACGTTTTGGCTGGAGGACGATAGAGGGAATATCAATCATCGGTCACCAACTCGAGGAGCAATATCGACTGTGGTGTGGGGAGGACGCAGTTAGGCGTCTGCCGATAGCCGAAGCATGGAGGGTGTTGTATCAAGCTGCTGAGGGGAGCCGTGAAATTAATTTCTGAAGCTCTTTTGCATCGGTTGTGCGAGATGTTCTCGTTGAAACACCATGAACTCGAACTATCACGTTGAATAGAATAAATTAGATATGATGTAAGAAGAGGGGAGGGAGATATCCTCCCGATCCCAAGATGTCAAACGAATCTTAGCCCCCAAGGCTGGCCTTATGAGGATAGAAGAGAAAGTTTGAATTAAGTTGCATCGCGGATAGAGCGGATCTTTTCTTATCCGTCCGAGGAATCCCTTTCGCCATGAAGCCTTCCGGACCACCACAACTGAGTGATGTTGTTGAATGGCCGCCACCAGGCGACAATGAACAAAACGAAATATATGTAAACTCGATAGATTTGAGACCCCACAAAGATTGTGCTTGGTGTCGTCATGAGTGCCGAGAACATGAAGATAACAGTTTTCCAAGGGATCAAGGTTGCCTACGACAGTTTCGGTGTGGGATCGGAGGCCTTGGTTTTTATTCATGGTTGGACGTGCAGCAGTTCCCTTTGGTATCAACAAGAGAAGCTGTTGTTACATCAGCACCGGTCACTGCTGATAGATTTGCCTGGCCATGGGAGAAGCGATGCCCCAGAGCAGGAATACAGCCAGGAATTCTTTGCGCGATCGGTCAAGGCGGTCCTCGACGACACGGCCATCACCAAGGCCGTGTTGATAGGACATAGCATGGGTGGCCCTGTCTCCACGATGGTTCTTCGACTATTTCCTCCACTTATCGCCGGAATTGTCTACGTGGATTCTTTCTTCCACAGCCCAGAGAGCTATTTGTCTGGGATTGAGCGGAGGCAGCTAGGGGAGAAACTACAGCATGACGAAAACTTTGCAGCCTTGATCAATTGCTTCTGGACTGCACGAACGACGCCTGATGCTCGGACGAAGGTGCTACGGACAATGATGGGAACGGCAAGGCATGTCAGGGTCAATGCTGTCACCTCAGACTCCTTGCCACATGCATATCGGTGGGACGAAGTTTTCGAGATTCCAGCTCTCATGATTGCGACACCAGCAAGAGCGCGTATCGACTTACATTGGTTGCTTCACGTGCCCAAGTTGAAAATTACGACTTGGGCAGACCACGGCCATTTCTTGTTCATGGAAGATCCGGAACGATTCAATACTGAGATAGAAGAGTTTCTGACCGTGCATCAGCCACTCAAAGGTTCCAGATAGATCCCAAGGCTCTTTCCGAGCTCAAATCAGAGCTCAACAGTGCAAGTTACTGTAGCTTCTCTCAATGGCGTCCCAATTGAGGATTTGTGCATCGTCCAGCCACCAATTTGCCTACCAGGACAAAGGTATATTGATATCGTCTGAGTTAGGGCCAGCTCCAAAACTAGTAAGCCTGCTAGCGGTAGGAACAGATCCCATCTCCATTCTCGTTAGATCTGGTGGGCACACAGTAATCTGACCCGGATTTCTTCATTTTTCCCCAGCCCATGACCTCTACTACGCGATTCCATGATTTCCATGCACGCTGTGCGTGTTGAATGGGGATATCATCTCCGCTTTCGGCCATGGTGCGAGAGAACAATTCTAGGCTTATCCAACCTGTATAGCCCAAGCCATGAGGAGGAGGGTCAACAAACGCCTTCAGAACCTTCATCACGGGCATATAGCCTCGTTCTTCAAACGCAAACACTCTGGCATTTCTCGACCAGCTCATTCTGGCCGGTTGTCCGTCTACCCAAAAAGGATGTCCTGGTTTGAGAGGCGAATCTAATCGCTCACCATCGACTAATTGAACATAGAACACCCTCTGGGGATCGATGGTGGTCACCATTTTTGCGAGACTCGTCTCTAAGACCGCATCTGAATCCTTTATTCTGCCGTCTTCTGAGCTTGGGTCCGCCCATTCCCCGCCAGCGACATGGAAAGTATCTAGACAAATTCCGAAGTTGGGCCTATTCACGACGGCGACAATCTCCCACAATTGGTGCCACTTGTTTATAAACGTGCCCCAGCACAGGTTCTCGTAGGCAAAACGTATCGGTGGCGTCTCTTTCAGACCGAGATCTGCAATTTCTTGAAAGTCGGAAATAATGGTCTCCCTATCGCCTGTGACGCCTTCCCGCAAGAAGTTTGACGGGACCTGGATCGTGTCTGTCCGGAGAATTTGCGCGATCCGAAACCATAATTGTAACCTTTCAATACGCCGTTGGTGCTCATCACGGTCCAATAGCCCTTCATAATGCATGAAAGGCTGGAGTGCGATGATCTCGAGATCCTGTGCATCGCAGAGTCTTCGGAATTCTTGTGCAGCTTCTAAAATGGCCTTATCGGACAGACCGTCGTGAAGTGATCTGGCGAGGTATTCAAGATCTTCATAAAACACCTCGATTCCTGCGAAGTCTCTGGCTGCAGCGATCTTGGGGGGAAGCTCATGAAGCCATGCACGGCCGAGAGACATTGAAGTGATGGCCGGCTTGTACGACATATTGGGTCCTAAATGACAAGTTGCCAAGTATAATCGATGGGTCCCCTTCGGCAGATATTTGCAATGAGGTTTTCCAGGGGAGTGAGGGGTAGAGGAGAGGGGGTTTGTCGTGATTGCTGGCTTTGCGTTGACGGAATAAGTCATATCCGCGACCTTTGCAAGGCGCATCCACACTCAAGTCCGTAAGGCTAATTCGATTTTCTATTTCCTTTCTTGGGCCGAGGGCCGTACGAGGAACAGACTGTCGCCAAATCAAAGCTGACAAATGAGGCTTCCAGGCAACTGAACGTGGGGAGTCCATAGCTTTGGGAGATTGTTTTGTATCTCCGATCCTCCACGTCTGTCGCTATCAGCTGAATAACCAGGTACCAATATCCCGGCTACTTGACTATCTTAAGGTCATGGCGATGACACTCACTGCGAACCTTTTGGAAGAGTCTCGCCACTATGGCGATTCGCTATTCAGAGCGTTGTCAGAGAAAGAATCCCTCAAAACATTCCTCTTTGGATATCCCATATCTCATTCCTTGGCTCCAATACTACACTCCACAATCTGGGACAGATTGAATATGACATGGACATATTCATTTGTGGAATCTTTGGATAAGAAAGATTTCCTCCCATCATTGGGATCTCCGGAATTTGTCGGGGCTGCAGTGACAATGCCGCACAAGATATCCATGATGGAAAATGTCGATGATTTGACGGAAAGCGCACAGATGATTGGAGCCATTAATACAATATTTGTCCGGTGTGACAAGCGGGGCAATCGACAAAATATTGGGGCCAATACCGATACAATCGGTATCTATGAAGCATTTGAGAGAAATTTTCCCGGGTCTTCAAAAGAGATAGGGACTCACAGTGGTCTCATCGTTGGAAGTGGCGGGGCGTGTAGGAGTGCAATCTATGCTTTGTGGAAACACTTTCATGTCCAGGAGATATATCTTGTGAACAGAGCGACGGAAGAGGTTGAGAATGTTATTTCATGGATGCTTGATGCAGGCATGACACCGATGATAACCCACATTCAGACAGTGGAAGAGGCCAAGGCCTGTTCGGGAGTCTCATCCATAATTGGGACAATTCCCGATATTCCGCCAAAGACGGCCGCTGAAATCGTGGTACAGCAGATTGTGACGGAGTTTCTCCACAAGGAAAAGAAAGGATACCTGATGGACATGTGTTACTTTCCTCATCCACTAACTAGGTTGATTCGATCCGGCCTTGAGAGCGGGTGGACTGTGATTCCTGGAATCGAGCCATTGATATACCAGGGCATTGCTCAGCAGGCTCTGTGGCTCGAAAGGGAGGTCGATGACTCGGTTGCAGTAGATGCCGCGCAGAGAGTCAGGCATAGATGTGGCATCCAGAGTTCAGATCTCTTGAATGCCAATGGCGTGGCCAGAGGCCCAAAATTCTAATCCTCTTTCCCATTTTGTATCCATGTTATGTGGTCCTCAGAATCCCCTTCCTTTTTGGGGGGGGTTGTTGGCGGCAGCGAGGTGCCGTTAATAGACATGCAGCTCTGCTGCCGTATTGAATGGTCCCCACTGAGCCAGCAATGGTGTCTATTTACCTCTAATGTCATATCCAGATAGCTAAGCTCTATGACCTTCGGCTTCTGGAGACAAATGAGTTCCAAATCGACGCCGCACGCCATATGCCAAATTCACTGACCCTTGCTGTACAACTGTTCAAAAGCATTGTTGTCAAATCCTAGTTCTCGTAACCCATCTTGCTGCCAATTGCCTGACCACTCCATGATGTCAGCTTCAGCAAGTTGAATGTACATATCATCTACACCATCAACGAGGACGCCCGAGTCTTGTGCCAAGTGTGAGTCCCCTAAAATATTGGGATCGATCGATTTGGGACCAGGGACGTCCAAATCGAAATTCTGGAAACCGGATCCGGAAGATCTGTCGAGCATTGTGCTCGCGGAAGTGTGACAAATTGATTCGGACCCTGCAAATGGCGGCAGACAGCTCCAACTTAAGGATCGTGTGTAGTTTAGAGTATTGGCCAGGTCAGAGCATGTATTAGAGCTGAGATTTGCATCTCCTCGGAGAGGTCGCTCAGGCTGAGAACGGAGATAAACTGCAGAGAGCAAGATTTCATGCAGGGAATTAAACGCTGGCCAGTGTATTCCAAATTGCTGAAGCAACTGATCAAGCGGCTGTAATGTAGATGCTGCGGCTGCCTTGTCCCAAAACTGTGGAATTTTGACAAGACAAATTATATCCTCGATGATCCGGTGCAAGGCTGCGACCAAAATAACTGGAATCCGGCTGGCCCCATGTATTCGTGTAAATTGCCAGAGGGATGAAGAGAGAGTGGTGATGAGATCCAGGGTAAGAATATCGTGTTCTAAAGCATTCTCCCAGTGAGTTTGCATTGCCTTTCGCCGTCGGCCACCCAGGACCAAAAGAGTACATAGGTCGGTCAAATATCGCACAAGAGATTGAGGATAGTAAGAACGGATGTAATTTTGGTATGACTCGGCTGTCACTGTTTGCGTGATCTTCAACAACTCTCCATGTTCTGGACTGTAAACATCCGAATCGATTTCACGATCAAGGTTTGAGAGCAGATCACCGAGACGGTCAATTTTCAACACTAGAACATTAAAGGTGCTCAGAATCTTTGCTGGAATATCAATATCTGGTTTATATTGCGAATTTGGTGGTAGGTTTGGGAATCGGGGAGTCTCCCACTCTTCCAACCCATCCTCAGGCAAGGGAGGGGGCCGAAATGGAGACAAAGTCGGCAGGATTTGCCCGAATCTCATCGCAAGCAACCTCTCAAGAACAAAGCATCCCAAGAGGATGTGAGGTTTCCTAGTATGGTGGCCTTTGGAAGATTCAAATGTATTTGGACTTTTCAGATTTTGACCAATGTGATAATACTGCAGCAAACGTAGAGCATGTCCAGCTAGAAGCCATGAGGCCTTCCAATGACCGAAACCGAGATTTATCATCGCCATGATGAGAAGTGCTTGTACATGGCCAAGGTCATGTTCATGGTCTTCTTCCGGGATTAAACCTCGTGCAGTGTTATACACCGGATGTTGATGCAGGGCGCCAGTTTCAGGCAGTCCAGACCTCCTGCCGCCCTTGCACGACTCAAAGGCAAAAACAGCCCAGAGGGCAGCTAATTGGCCTCGTGGGCTTTTTCGGCCGCGACGATCGAAGTCACCGGAGACTCGGGATTGATGGAAAGTTCGGAGCAGCTCGTGAGGCTCCAAGACTGGAAACCAGCAGTTTGTATACGCCAGGAATTCGTCGATCATGTGTTTGGCGTTTCCAGGAAGAAGTCTCGGGAATGGTGTCCGATTCCGAGTGGATGGTGTACTTTCGAGCTCTTCTGTCCAGTGACTGGATTCTGTGGCATCTTTGTTTGATTCGGTGTCACGCAGGGTGGCGTGGGGATCAGTGGACGAAGAATGAAGGAAGTCCAATTCCTGAACATCCAACGCCAGGGGAGTATCTAGTTGATTGCTTTGCACCGGATTCAATTTGGAACCCCTGGCTGAAAGCGGCTCGTGGGAAGGGACCTCTGGGTCAGTACCAGCCGCAAATAACGATTGCCAATGCCTTGCTTCTCCTTTCTCCAGAGCTGGCAGAAGAACGTCAACTTCCTTTGCGATAGTGCTCTTCTTCCAAGATTCGAGCATAGTCTCCTGGCTGAGGGACGTTTCTTCACCCGGATCGGGCTCTTGCAAAGAGAGAAGCTTTCTCATGTCGCTGGTCAAGCTGGAATCACGTCGGATTGCAAATCCCAAGAGTCGTTCAAGGCCGCGCACGTAACCTTCTACCAGTCCTCTCTTTCGGTTCGCACTCCCGTATATACATGTTTGACTTGCGGTTAAACAGGAAGAACATTGGGGTTCGCCGTTGCACTTGAGCTTTCTTCGCTGGCAACGCTGACACGCCTGGAATACTCTGGTGGTCATTTTGCAACATGTCTGTCGTCATCTTTATCAGTCTGTGGGAGCTGTAGTCCTGGTGCGTATATGGATACGCCTCTGTCCAGAACTCCACTTGGATTAGGATAGTACGATACGATCAACCTCAGTTTGTAGCATGCAATTAAAAAAGGGCGAATCCCGCGGGACCGGTTTGCGGGGAGAATTGCCCAGGAAAACCCCGGCTATTGTGTTCCACTGTGTTCCGACCTGAGGGCGCCAGAGGAGACTCTTCTCTGGCTGCCCAGTACGTAATCCTACTGTAACAACTGACAAGGCCACGTCACACGTGCGGTGACGCCCCCCATGGCGACTCAACTCAACGCTCGACTCACCTTCGGGCACGCCCTCTGCCACCCATCCATTGAACAACTGGAACATTGCGCGAGAACAGGTCTCCTTGCAGCATGTTCTTATCCCACTCGGTGGCCCTCTCATCACCACTACTAGATGGATCCAGATGCATCCATTATCCTGGTGGGAGTCCGCGGTGCTGGAAAACGCACGTTGGGTTTGATTGCTGCTACCGCTCTCAACTGGAGGTATATTACGGAGGACCTCTACTTTGAGAAGACGACCGGGAAGACCAGGGCAGCCTACATCGAGACGTATGGGAGCCCATCTTTCTACAAGAAAAATGTCGAGGTCATTCGCAGCATGCTCTTAACGCACCGTGATAGATGTGTAATCGAATGCGGCTGGGGCAGCTTATCTTCGGAAATCCACGAACTCCTTCAGAACCTCTGCGCAACCCATCCGGTCATCCACATCACTCGCTCGTTGAAGCAGATCCAAAGTCTTTTACAGCTAGACAAGTTCCAAACTTCTCTCTTTCGACGTGCGGATGAATACCACCGGGAGTGTTCGATCTACGAATTCTACAATATCCACGACTGGACTGACCAAGACACCTCGGGGGAGGTCCGACAGTCAACTCTGTTTTCGGCATTTAGGCTTAAGGATGCGAAAGCTCAGTTTTGTTCGTTTCTCGATCGGGTTCGCAAAGATGGCTCAACGGCTTTAAGTTCCCAAATAAACCGCCCGCTCTCAGCTATCCCACTGGTCGAGAGAAGGTTTACGCACATGGTGCCCATTCTTCTCTCGGATCTGGTGACACGAAGCCCGCCGTTGGGTGAAATGGAATTCATTGAAGATGCTGTGGAACTGAAGATTGATGCATTCTCGCGTCATGCCGGACAACGTGTCAGTGAGAAAGTGGCAGCGCTTCGAAGACATTTTGGCGTTCCCATCATGTATGGCGTGGCAGTCCCTAAAGAAAAAGGCACCTCCACGACGGGAGAGTGTTATACTGACGCCCAAGTTCTCAGCCATGGCCTTCGCCTGGCAGTGGATTTCCTCGTGGTCGACATATCATGCCTGACAGCAGACATTCAAAACGTTCTGTCGAAGAGGCGCTCTACACGGGTCATGGGTCACTGTGAAATTCCCTGGGATGACTACAGTCCCGTTCAGAAGGGTATCAATATGTACAGAAAGGCCGCCGCGCTGGGATGTGACATCGCCCGGATTGTCTATGTGAATGGTACCGAGCCCACCGGTAGAGAGATGCTGGACCAGTGTCTGACAGCATTAAGAGACTCGGTCTCTTCATTTGCGAGTCATCGTCCCGCTTTGATCACCTATGGCGCTGGTTTCTCTGGCTGTGAAGCAGGACAGATTTCGAACGAAATATTGACGCCGGTCTACCATCCAGAACTTAGTGACCGGGAATCCGGGCCACACCGTCATCTGACCACCAAAGAGGCAATGAAGATTCGTTTTCAGCAACGGCAGCTTGACCCTCTTCGGATTTATCTCATAGGAAATGTGTCTCTGAGAGTGGCACCAGCCATGTTCAAGGCCGCTCTCGACGCGGCTGGACTCGCATTCGAATATGTTGCCCAAGATACGATTGATGGGGACGGACTTAAGGAGCTGGCCAAAGACGACCGCTTTGGTGGAGCCAGTATCACCTACGGATTCAAAACGATCGTTTCACCATATGTGGACTTGAGGAGTGAACATGCGATGGCGATTGGCGCCGTCAATACCCTGTTGCCCTTGAGGACAAGTGCTAACGTTGACGCGCCGTCTGGACAGGGGCTGCTAGTCGATCGCGGTCGGGCTGGTCCAATTCACGGTTGGTATGGTGACAATACAGACTGGATTGGGATGACGGTTTGCATACAACGCAACCTGTCTCCAAGGAATGCGATCCAACCCGCCAAGACAGCTGGACTAGTTCTTGGTGGTGGTGGGATGGCTCGCGCTGCTATTTACACCATGCTGCGACTGGGAGTGAAGAACGTCCTTGTCTTCAACCCGACAGCAGAAGACCCCAACCTCCTTCCCCAGCATTTCAATGCGTGGCTGCAATCTCATGGGCGAGACAACCAGATGGTGTCAGCCCTTCTTGACACCCAAGAACCATGGCCATCCAACACGGAGCAACCTATCGTCATCATCTCTTGCCCTGCAGTGATCACCGCAAATGCCGCAATTGCCCCAAACGCGGAGGTGCCTTTGCAGTGGTTACAGAGTAAAACAGGCGGAGTGGTGTTGGAAATGGCATATAAACCTCTAATAACACCACTACTCCAACAGGTTCAAGACCTCCGCACCCGGTCAGGACGGCCTTGGGTCACGGTGAATGGGCTGGAAATGCTGACCGAGCAAGGAAGTGTACAATTTGAACTTCTCACCGGTCGGAGGGCTCCACGGCAGACCATGCGTATGGAGGCGCGTAAGGCCTATGGCGAGGAAGAGCTCGACAAGAACATCTGACGAGAGTTCCGCAGGACAATCTGAAGACTCGGTAAAAATTTCCCACGGAGAAGATCTACTCCGGTCTTCCGGGACTTTCCTTGGTGACTAGGACCAAATATTTCCTAATACATAATTGGAGAAATGATCCTTAGAGCCTGCACGGAAAAGGTCTCCTCCACCAACACACACTCAGGCAGATATCGCCCGCAACTTCCTGTCAAACTTTGTATGCCAAGAGAATATGAATTGAATGCTCTGTCTGTGCAACAACTGGTCCTGCCAGTTTGCTGGTATTTATACACGTTTGTTGACCCCTTTTCTTCTCCTATTCCTACCCCTATATCCTACACATGATTGATCCCCTATTCCCGGTAGAGGGGCACATGCTCCTATTCAACCGTTCAACACTTCCCATATGCGAAGGGGCATTGGTGAAGCAGACTGTGTTCCTTGCACCGAAAATGCTACCAGCAACAACAAATAAGGCTTCTTGGACCCTAAGAGATTTTTTTGTAATACGTCGTCTAAGACAAGGACCTGACTTGCTCCGGAAAATATGAGATCCATTTTGTTGTTGACCCAGTAGATCATTCACGTGCTCTAGCGGGCATCGGAGGAGAGTGTTTCCCAGCTGGCGGTCTGACCAGATGTGCCAGACAACGGTCTAATCTCGAGGAGAGCTGCATTGGACAATATCAAGCTTCGTGAGACCTCGTCCGTCCCAATAGGTTTGAAGGAGTGGAACCCCTTCATTTGAGATGATCTTCATAACCTCAGCTATCGAGGCGCCGACATTGACACAAGTGCACCCCTCGGTACGGTGATATGGGACAAGTAACTTCCGATTATCTACTCTGACAGGGTAATTTTCTTCCAAGTATTCGGAGTGGTAGATACATGACGGTACACATCGGCGAAGAGAGGGAAGGTGCCAGAGTATAGGGAAGCTGAACACCTTTTGGGGACATGTCTAATCCTCTGTGGATGTCACCCATTTTGACGCATTGTGGAAAAAAGTATCTGAAAGGAGTGTGCGCCATTGTCTGCGTGATCCTGGCTTGGTAGCTTTTGGTTTCTCAGCAGGTATTACTGGAGCATTCTGATTGATGAAACCACAAGTGTCACTCCGGTGTCTTTCAGGCGGGGGCTTCGAGGGCTTCTGGAACCCGCATCGATGAGGGAAGCCAGCACGCTTATTGGGCAGGCGAAATGTCGTATTGGTATTTCTCAAAGAACAGCACCTCAAGGGGAGGCACACTGTTCTAGCATTCCGATTATAGAAAGATGTACATCTTGACCAGAGACACAAGAACATCAACGAGAAAGGAAGCCATGATTGTATAGACTCAGTATTGCATCTTCCATTAGGCAGCAGAATATTTATCTCGAGTAGGTGTTTTTTCTTGAATAATCCATCAATGCACTCAAGTCGGAACTTTGGCAAGGCAGAAAGGCGTCTTGCCGGACAAGTCCTGATCAGTCATTTTCCTCCTGAAACGTTAAATGGAGCGAAGAGTGTATGCTAGAAAGTATTGTTTGATGGTACATGTTTTTTTTGTCGAGCAGTGTTCAATTAAAGAATCCACGCTGCCCACGATGGCATTCGATAACATTCGATCGAGAGCATTCTAACAACATCAGTCTATCTTGAGAAGCGCGGGTCTAGGGCCCCTCAAGCATACGAGAGTCTGAAACTGCGACCCATTACCATGGAATGAGGACAGTTGTTGACGGCTATCTAGACAACTTCAAGCCGGCCCAAGGTGAAACAGCCGACATTTAGGTCTCAAAACGGACATGGAGATTGGTGGTATTTGTTGGAAGGCAAATCCAAAATCATATTGTCCAGTACATTGTCTTTATGTTTTTATTGCTCCCAAAAATCTCACAACTTCGCCTTAGAGGCCGTGCCCATGCCCGGTGCAAACGTCGTTCCTCGCCCTCCACTGAGCGTTTGGACGATTTCATCCACAGCGTTCAAGATCCATTGGCTTCCTTCGTCGCTGGCAAGCCATTCGCCACCTTCAACGTCCTTCTCTGCCGTGCCATCCTCGTACGCCTTACGTAGCCCGAACACGTGGCTTGTGACTTGGGGTCCCACGCCCGTCTGGGCGCGCAGACATGCAATGGCCACGATTGAGGTAAGCACCCTACCTACTTTAACGGGGGATGTCGTGAACGGGTCCGAGAGCAGCATGCCATAATCAGCGGCGAGAATGTGCACGGGGAGATTAGGGTGAGACGCCGCGAGCTTCTCATACAGCTTGTCCTCGAACGGGTAGTAGACGGAGTTCCATAGACGGCGGCCCCGGGCCATGACCTCGTCCACGTTGCTGGAGTCAAGTTTCCGCGACGCCGGAGGCGGGATCTGGTCAAACACATCCTTAGGTAAGCCTTCGCGGAAGGCGCCCAGGCAGTTGATTGTACGGGGAATGCCGTTGAAGGAGATGCATTTCAGGCCGACTTCGCGCATCAGTTCGGCGGCCTGTGTTGCCGATAGTGGTGAAGGGAGTGTTTGAGTGAGCTGGTACAATTCGAGCAGTGAAGCGGGCGAGTTCATGGTCATCGTCGCCGCTGTCGACATGGTCAACCACGCGGGGACACCGACGCCCTTTTCCCTGGCATTGGAGGCTAATCGCGAATACGTCGAACGGATAGATGGTGGTGCTTTCAATGTGCCGGGAAGAGCGTGGGCGGCATTGATGAGTTGTTTTAACGGTTCAGAGAGCTTCGACATTGAGGGGATTGTTTCTTGGTACGATGGGTTGCTGGAGAAGCATAAGTGTCAGCATCGACAATAGAGGTAAGTCCATGGTATTTTTAGCGTCAGAAGTCGGAGTAGGCGTACATGCTTGATTTCGTCGCCCTCGTTGTCGCCCCTGGCCTTCGTCGACCTCGCCAGCAGTTTTATCACACATGCACACCAGACCCTCTCCGCGGATGATTGGCGGATCCCTTGGGCAGTGCGAGGTGTAGTTGTCAGATAGACGGCGATATCTATATGTCCAAGGCTATGCAACGGGAGAAAAACAAACCCAGGTCACGGAGAGAAAGGCACAACTACGGAGTGAGAGGGAGAGAGGAGTGATATTGAAAGGACGTCGGCAAAAAGAAAATCCGGCGGACGGGAGGCAACCTCGGCACCAAACGAAACCCACTAGAATTGATACAGATTAGTGCCTTGGCATCTGAAAGCACCGGAAGAATTCCCAGAGGAACTCGGCGATTCTTCTACGTCCGCCCAATTACCATACTTTCCTCAACTCTCCTGCGTCCTTTGCGTGGCCCGCACCAGATATCGGCGTTTGGTCCTACTCCATACGGCAAAATGCCATCCACGATGATTGGGCTTTCAACGCTTCTCTGATGTAACACCGCCTCAACGATCTGCACTCACCTCCAAGTCCGTGCGACCAACCGGACTTATGATTATTAGACGAGGTGTGATTTTGATGGCCAGGAGAAAGAGTGAATACCCACGGGGTACAAACCATGCACAGAGGGGGGCCCGACATCCAGGGTGTCCATATCTTACCCCAGATTTCCCAGACTTTTCATCTTTTATACTCTCGAGTACTTTCTGCTTCAAAGACTTCGGAAGTAGGCTGAGAGTTTGTCTTGGAATCTCGATTTGTCTTGTCCAATCCTGATACTTGTTGCTTGCCCAGTGTCTGCCGCGCCCCGCTAAAATGGCTGCAAAAGACCAAGAAAAGGTTGATATGCCGCCAGCCACCGAGAAGCCAGAAGAAACGCAGAATGAATTCGAGACGTCTGGCCAAGTCCTTCCTGGTGACAAGGATGTGTCGGTGTCGGTATTGCTTCATGATGCCAATACCAAGGCCCTCACACGAAAGCTCCTTTTCAAGCTGGACACAAGGTATGGAATTATTGGAATCATTGTGGACTCTCTCACTCCCTCATGCACGACTGACTCCTCTCTCTAGAATCCTACCTGTTCTCGCCGTTCTTTTCCTTTGCTCATTTCTCGATCGGACTAATGTTGGAAATGCCAAAATTCTCGGCTTGGAAGAAGACATTGGTATCGATAGTGACCAATACGCCAATGGTCTGGCCATTTTCTTTGCCTTTTATATTGCCGCTGAAGTCCCCAGCAATCTGGTGCTCAAGAAAGCAAGTCCTAGGATCTGGCTGGCCTTCTTAACTGCTGTTTGGGGCATCATTGGCATGTGCTTGGGATTCATTCAGAATTATGCTGGATTTCTCACTGTTCGAGCCTTTCTCGGTCTTGCAGAGGGCGGTCTCCTCCCTGGCATGGTTCTCTACCTCTCTGGAATGTACACCAGAGGCGAGATGGCCCTCCGCATTGGTCTCTTTTACACTTCAGCCTCTCTAGCCGGTGCTTTTGGTGGGCTCCTCGCCCGAGGTCTATCATCTATTGGCCCCCATGGAGGTCTCGATGCAGGCTGGCGATGGATCATGGTGATTGAAGGTCTCTTAACTTTTGTCGCCGGCGTTGCGGCTTATTTCCTGCTTCCAAACAGCGTGACCACCGCCTGGTTCTTGAAGCCGGAAGAAAGGCAACTTGCCCAGAGACGACTTCGAAATGACACTTCTACGCACTTGCCCGACGGTCATCACACCGAAGGAACTGAGAAGTTCCGATGGTCAGAAGTACGCCGGGGAGTGTTCAATGTTCAACTCTGGCTCTCCGCAACGGCATACTTTTCCATTCTGTCTGGACTGTACTCCTTTGGACTATTTGTACCGACGATCATCAAAGGATTGGGCTACACGGCCAACGAAGCCCAACTATGGTCCGTTATCCCTTATGCGGTTGCGGCTGTCATCACCGTCGTGGTGGCGATCGCTTCCGACCGTCTGAAGCTGAGAGGGGTGGTCATGCTGTGCACATTGCCTCTGGCTATCATCGGCTACGCTGCAATTGCCAATATTGACAAACACGACAACAATACCAAATATGGCATGACATTCCTGATGGCCACGGGCTTATATGCCAGTGTCCCACCGGTCCTGGTATGGAACTCGAACAATTCGGCTGGACATTACAAACGAGCCACCACCTCGGGACTTCAACTTGCTATAGCCAATTGTGGAGGATTTGTCAGTTCATTCATTTACCCATCATCTGAGGCACCGCAGTACCACAAATCCCACACCATTATCTTGGGCCTGTTGGTCTATGCTTGGTTCGCGTGAGTCCTCACACCAATTTCGCCGGCGTGCTGCATTGCATCTCAACTGACTCTGGCAGGATTTTGTGCAACGTTCTCTACTGCGCCAAGATCAATCGTGATAAGGCCAGTGGAAAATATGACAAGTACATCGGATATGGAGATGATCGAGATCCTGAGTTTAAGATGGTCCTGTAAATGAAGAGGATGTTCCGAACCAATGATATCCTGGCAAATAAGTGCATGAAGTCTTAGCTTAGACATGCGCTTCCGGTATGAAGGAAATGGTGAATGAATATGGGTTTGACGATGCAAGAGAAACATGCAGAAGGTCGTTCTCCGTCTCTGTGGAAAGAGAGAGGGAGACGCAAACAAACACAGCCCGATCAATGTCTAATCCTCGAAGTAAACTCGGGATAATTCCAGTCCATCTTGACGATTGGTCGATCGTAAATGCAACCCAAGTACCGCAGATTAAGGGGGGCGCTCGGAGAGAGAGAGAGAGGGAGAAGCGGGGTACTTGTTCAACAATATCCCAATTCCAACCGTTAATCATCTCGACACAGCCGAGGACACAATATATGAATTTGCAAACCCTTCTGACTCTGAAACTGCCACCAAAAGGAAACGTCATCTTCCCAGATAACCAATTAGTGAAAATGTCTTCATCCCGTCCTCCAAATCCCAACCAGCTAGCCCCATCTCTCCCTGGCTTGACCACCCACATCACCGGCCACAACAGTACTGGGAAAGCCATCGTGCAAGAATCCCGACCTGGAAACTGGACGATATACGATGAGAAACTCATGGCCTTCAATGTCGTCTACACAACATCCCAATTCCCTGCCAATCTCAACGGTGATAGCGACCTTAAAGCCCACGATCAAGTCATGTCAGGGGGGAAACTAGGTCTGGTCAATCCCCATGGCACTGTCTGCCGAGTTGTCGACTTCGCCCCGGGGTTTGAGAGCATAATGCACCGCACACAAAGTCTGGACTATGGCATTGTCTTGGAAGGGAGCGTGGAGTTGATATTGGACAGCGGAGAGCGGAAACTGATGCAGAGAGGAGATGTCGCGGTACAGAGGGCCACAATGCATGCATGGAAGAATCCTAGTGACACGGACTGGGCCAGGATGATATTCGTCCTGCAGGATTGTGAGAAGTTGGAAGTTGGAGGCACCGTTTTGAAGGAAGACTTGGGCAGAGGACTGGAAGGATTACCGCCGAGTGGGAATGATGCTTAAGGCAAATGAGAGTGTTGATGAGAGGGTTCAGCCTACAGTTTCTTCTAGCTAGGACCTAATCTATTGGTGTCTATGAACGGGGCGACCTCTGAAAGCATGTTCTTCCTTTTTCTTTTTTCCCCCCGACGAGGCTCTGCGTTAAGTGGTGATTGGGCCGGGGAAGCCCCGTCCTGTAAACTTGGACTCAAATCCTTGGCCGACGAGCCCTTATCCCTGTTCAGTGGTTACTGGGCCCACGAGTTGGCGAGAAACTGCTTTGTACTTGTCAACAACCCACATCTTGGGTATTACTTTTGTATCGACGTGACAGACACGCTCAACCTCTTTATACTTCATCTGGACATATATTTTTTTCCTACAACCTGTATCTATCTTCACCCGTTCATCGCCTAGCACAAGTCGCAACCGTACCTGGGCTCTGTGCCGCGTCTCCCAAACTTGGCAACCACTTGTCCAACACCTCAAAGGAACCGTGCTTATCTTCTCATAGCTGCCCAGACTTCTGTCAGTTCCTGTCAAGATCCTGTCAGATCCTGTCTCGTGCGATTTCCGCATGAGCGCAGACACACCTGCCAACCTGGCCAAGTGAATACAGCAATGTGCCGAGGCTGCGGCCACCCGAATCGTGAAAATGGGATGGCAACGGAGTTCGTCTTTGGGACTAGAGAATTCCACGTCTATGAGTCGAATACGGAGTCGAGGTGAGTCCGATGTGGAGAAAGAGCCATTATCTCGACTACGACACGGTCACGAGTCCGACAACGACGAACTCTTTGACGACGATGATCCCTCTGCTGCTTCCTCACGATCGACATCCTCCTCCTACAAGCCTACGCCGGTGAAGAAAGCCTACAATCCCACGAGATCATCCTCCCCATCATTTCTCGGAAGAATGCCTCGATCCATCATGAGATATCTCTGCTTGGGCGTCGCTGCCTCGTTGCTCATCTTCATCTTCTCTCTCGTTCGATTGAGCTATAACTCGGACAAAGAGATTCAAATGGCCCTGAAGGAGGAGGTTATTAAACCAAAACCGCCGCCATGGGAGAGTTTTCCATTCCTAGAAAGATACTATGGTGGAATACGATCATTGGTCCCAGCCAAGTCAAACGTTCCCGAATATCCCCGGACCGATGACGAGGCGCCTCCCGAAGACTTGGATGTCGCCAGAGAGGTCGAAGAAGACGAAAAATCAAAAGAGAATGAAACTCACCAGCGCCGGAAACGAACAATCCGAGCCAGCAAAAGATTCGATCCATACCCGAATTACACCTCTCCAGAGTATGTGGCCGAGTACGGTGAAAAGGTGGACTGCTTTTTGGATGCTCAAAACACTATTTCCATTCCGCCGGTACGGATTTACGAAGGAATTCCAAAGGGATTTCCGGACATGGTCATGGGCTCTGCGCAACTGCTCGGTCTCCGAGACGACATTTGCTATGATCGATTTGGTCGACTTGGTCCATATGGCCTCGGTTACAGCATTAATCGAGGTGGAAGTGGCGCCCAACAAGAGGGCGAGAGAGAAGGAGCCGATTTAGTCTGGGAACAAACCCCGGAAGTCGATTGGAGGAATGTTCACTGGGCCGATGCTCAGCAAAGATGCGTCCGGGCGAATCAACATCGTTTCAAGGAACTACCGAGACCACGACTCGATACCTTCCGAGCAATGCCAGTGGGGAGCGAATACAAGAGAGATGAGCCATTCAACTTTTCGTCAATGCCGACGAAAGCACCCTCCAATCCTCGAATCGGTGCGGAAAAACTTCCTCGCACCGCCGTGGTGATTCGAACCTGGTGGGATTACCCCTACACCCCTGAAGATAAGATCTATCTGCGATCACTGATCTCCGAGTTGACCATGTTGAGCGGAGGAGAATACGTCGTTCATTTCCTTATTCAGGTCAAAAGCGATGATGTTCCCATCTTTTCGGATGATGAAACATACGCACGTGTCCTTCGTGACTCCTTACCGGAAGAATTCCGTGGTATGGGCACTCTGTGGACCGAACGACAAATGCTTCTGATGTACGGCGGACTAGAAGAGACATGGATGCGAGACCTGCCTGTCCATGGCGTCTATCGGAGCACATTCATGCCAATGCAGTATTTCGCCTATCAACATCCCGAATACGACTTTTTCTGGAATTGGGAGATGGACGTTCGCACCACCCACCATTGGTACCATCTCTTCGACAAGGTGAGCCAATGGGCCAAAGCTCAACCACGAAAACTTCTCTGGGAACGCGACAGCAGGTTCTACGTCCCATCAGAGCATGGTTCATGGGAAGACTTCAGTCAAATGGTTCGCATCCAAACCGAGCAAGGAACCAACAGCGCCAACAATCTCTGGAGCAGCCTAAACCGTGCCAAAGATCCCGACGTCCCCGACGGGATGAGGCAACAAGGCGACAAACCTATCTGGGGACCGGAACGTCCACTCGACGACGATGTAGCCTTCGAAGGCGATCCTACTCCGCCCACTTCTTTTGGCCAAGACAAATACACCTGGGGTGTCGGCGAAGACGCCGATCTCATCACTTTCAACCCCCTCTTCGACCCGGACGGAACAACCTGGCTCCTTACAGACGACACGACCGGCTACAACATCACCCGCGGCCGTCCTCCACGACGCACGGCAATCATAACCGCCAGCCGACTCAGTCGCAGACTCCTCGTCACCATGCATCGGGAGACCGCCGTCAAGAAACACACCATGTTCAGCGAAATGTGGCCCGCCAGCTGTGCATTGCATCATGGTCTCAAAGCCGTCTACGTTCCCCACCCGGAGTACGTCGACCGCAAATGGCCGACGAATTATCTCCAGGCCGTTTTCAACGGCGGTCGCAACGGTGCTACCGGCGGCTCTCGCACCAGCGTCTTCGGTGATCGCGAACATAATTTCCGTGGCACCACGTGGTATTATAATGCCGGGTTTCCTGAGGTTCTTTGGCATCGATGGTTGGGCATGCGCTTTAACAGTGCCGGTGGTGAGCAGGAGGAGGTCGCTGGTGAGGGACGCATGTGTTTGCCGGGCATGCTTTTGCATCCGATCAAGAGGGTTGATTTAGTTCAGGAGGGGAGGAGGGCCGATCAGTGAAAAATGAAAATGCCCCTCGTCATTTTGTGCTCGTGGATACGGGAAAGAAGCCATATTTGAAAGGGGCTCAGGAGTTGGTGGCGTCGGGGCTAGGTTGGAAATGAGATGAGTGAGGGACCAAAGTACATATCTTTGAATTCAGACAAGAAGAAATGCAAATACAGATGCCGCTTGAAATCGGACACAATGACGATTCTGGACGCCGTAGTCTACGATCACGACCAAATGCCTTGTGAGCGTCTGGTAGATGATTTTCAAGATTTTGTATTCCCAGTTCTCATTCCCAGTCCAATCCACGACACACTGTCCTGCTCAGCAGGGACGTGTGACAGATATGTGGAGGGGGAGTCCTGAACTCACGCTAAATTCGATAATCGAACGAGGGAAAGTGATCGCTTCGGTTCGAGGTTTGTTCGCAAAGGAGATCAGATCATCAATCGAAGACCTCGCCCTAAAGTTAAGTTATATGCAGCCCCGCTCCGGAAGCAGTGTTTGATTCCCCAGATAACAACCAACAAAGACTTTCTTCAATCCCAACCTTTGTTCGGAGCGCCCATGGCCGGTCAAAGAGTGGGTTTCATTGGGGAAGAAATTATGTGCACATCCCCTCACGTCCTCCCAAGTCTGTCCACTCAGCATCGGGCTCCAACTAAAGGCGGCTGATTATCCGAATTCCACATATGTGCACAGAGAATGAAAAGTGATGATGACGGAATCTAGCACCGCATATTGAACTTGGGATTCCGATCTGACGTGAACGAACCCCAGTATTTCTCACTGGCAGACTGGCCATTGTCGCCGATGGCGTCGGCCTTGTTCGGCTCATCGAACGCTTCGAACCAGAAGAGATCGACGCCCCAGTCGAGGAGCCCGCAGACAGCCGAGTCCCAGTAGGTCTTCATGTTGTCATCGCCGGCTTTGGCGGCACCGGCGTCAGTCCCACCGGTTCCAGGCCACCCGGTCTCTGATGCATCCAAAAATCAGTATGATTTTATTCTGACTACGGTGTCGCAAAAGGGGAAAAGGGGAAAGGAGAAGAGGAAGGAACTCTTGGGGAGGGTGGTGATCTTACCGCCGTTCATAAAGTGGATCTTGTCCAGACTCCCCGTGACTTCCTGGACGTGACCTAGCGCCTGAGCCATATCGTCGAAATAAGTCTTGGTCGCGTTGGAAATGTCTTGGTATTGCCAGTATGAGAAACCGTTGGCGAGGCTATAACCGCATCAGTTTCCTTCCTTTTTCCTGGGCGAAAGATGAATTGTTCCGGGAAAGGGAATTCATACATCAAGTCAAGCCCACTGGTGATAATGGAATCCATGGTTCCATTGGCCCAGCAATTCCAGCTATCGGCAGTTCCAATCTTGGTGTCGGGATAACTTTGTTTCATGTCTCCAATCCAGCCAACGAGTTCTTCGGCAGTGTAGGTACCTCGATACATGCCCTCGGATCCGACGGTGATGCCATAGAGGGTGTCCCCGTAGGAAGTCGGGTCGGCGTCGTCCACGGCGGCTTTCTCTTTTTCATAGGCGCCACCATCTGGCCTGAGCACCGTATATGTCAGTTTCCTTCTGCGAAAAACCTGCCATTCCGAACTTTACTCACCAGAGGCCGAGTAGGACCTTGATCCCAGCGGACTGGGCAGCTGGGAGAATTTCTGAAGGAGTATCGCATGAGTTTCCGTATTGGTCGGTGGAAGAATAGGTTCGAACGATCTGAGCGTCGGTGTTTCCTTGAATCGCTTCAAAATCCTTCTCGAAGTCGCTTTGAGTCTTGCAGCTTCCGTCAGTATTGGTGTTTCCAACTGCAAAACCCAGAGTGCCAGCCGCGGACACTGCCAGCGGTGCCGCGAGAAAAGCAGTGGAAAGAGCGGTGCGGTATTGCATGATCGAATTGAGGAGCACGGAGGTAGGTAAAGGGGGTCGGAGCTGTTTGCCAGTCGTAATATACGCGAAAAGAAGGGCCGTCACAAAGGTAAAGGTGACTGAAGAGAATGACTGGAAGGAACTGTGTTTGTAAATAAAGTGAGAACAAAGATTAAAGGCTGAATGACATGGAGAGAACGAAGCTGGCAAACACACGTTTGGGGACTCGCATCCCTCTGAATTGACCCGCCAAGAGCACGTAAAATTAGCGGCGAGTTCATCCTCCTTTGGGACGAGGGTGACGCCGCCCTGTGATGACCCCGGCTCGCACACGGCCCCCATGAACTCACCCGTCATAGGGGCCAAAATTATTGGCGCCCTTTGGTGCAGATGGTGCGAACCTTGATACCAGCCACGCTGGCGGTTGATAGCTATGATTGGCTTTTGGCTTCAACGCTCTATTTTCCGGGTATCACGATGGTCAGTGTCAAGTTAGTGGACAGGCAAGAGTGATACGGAGGCATTGGCGAGAGAATTAACTGAATTGACTAGTCGACTTGATCACTCTCAGAGTAGCAAGATAATAGCTTGCTCTCTGTACCACTAGCCAGTGCTCATTATGGGAAAAGGGGATATCGTTCCTATTTAGGATATAGAGGGTCCAGCAGGCAAATCTACTCCATGGATCCCCCCTACTTCATAATCTCTGTTCTTGTCAGTTGCATGAGGCGGCTGCATACTAGGCTACAACACAGACAACAGCATAGGCAGCAATGCTGACAGGACACTGTTCAGATAGCTATATAGATAGGCTCTATTCTCCGATCGGATCCGGTCAGAGAACCTTTCAATTCCCGAGCACTCAACAACAACGTACACCTACTGATTGTTTGACATCAGTTCTGCCTTGGTCATTAGCACGAGCAATAATTATCGGCGACACTTGTTAAAAAGGACCCTCAAAGTGCTATGCCGCCTGGGCATCCCTTTGGTCGGGCTGGTTCAGGAACCTGAGGAGTCGGAATAAACCTCTGTCAAACTTCGTGGATTGAAAGATGTGCTCTGGCTCTCCTCATGAGTGCAGGATAGAGCCCATCTATATATCTATCTAACCAGTGTACGTCACCATTGCTGCCTGTTAATGGTGATACCACCTATTGAACGAGCGTTGCAAAATATCCTAGTTTGTCATAAATGATTGGCTCGCATTTGTTCAATGCTATTGTCCAACAACCTCCCTTATTGCAGCGGGGTGCTATGAACACGGATTATGTAAGGAAGAACGCCATACCACACGGTCCGAAACAAGCATAAGAGAGTGCATGGGCAGGCAAAAATGTGAGGAGAACAGCAGGCAACAAGAGATATGGTTGAACAGAGTGACTGGGAGTTCGTTGAATTCTTTCTACTCGTTTCATCTTCCCTTAGGAAGTTCATACTGTCTATACCAAAGGAATCCGTTGAGTTGACTTTCATGTGTGGTTGCTCCACGATCCGGAGCCGACATGCGAAACCATTCATGACCTTGACTTTAGGTCTGAATCCTATGATGCTGCCTTCTTGGTTTAAATTTCTGGATTTCCGAAGGTTCATGAGCAAGCTTGCAACAACTCAACTCTTCATGAAAATAAATACATGGGTTCGGAATTATGAAGTTGCACAGAGATCAGTGACAGAAGAAGGCAGAGTCCATGATGTCATAATGTCGTTTCTGGTTTGAAACTGCATCAGCAAGCCGGCCTCCATATGCCAACTAATGTGGCAATGAAAAGCCCACAATCCGGGATTATCAGCGACAAATCGAATGAGAGCCCAGCCGAATGCATCGATCATGAGAGTGTCGCGACGCATAGGATTTGCCAGGGTGGTATTCAACTCTCCATACCTTTTCCAGTCAAAGTATTGGTCTGGCGAGGAGGCAAGGACCCAAAAGGCGTGTCCATGTAGATGGAATGGATGACTCCCATCGTCGAAATTAGTAACCAAAAGGTCAACGACTGCATCGTCCGGGACGTTGATTACGTATTGGTTGGCACTGAAGCCTGAACTCACGCCCGACGTCGAGACGGAATTGTTCCCCGCTCGGAGACTTGCAACTGCTTGGTTCAAGGTCGGGACATCTGCCATGACCCATGAAGTTCCGTTGATATACGCCAGATCCACAGCATAAGCTCCAATTTGGAAACTGGACGTAACGGCATACAGTGTCGTCGCGGGTGGGGCAGGAGATGTGAAGGTGGGAGTCAGTAGCGATGCGTTGAGGCCAACACACTGAGTATCAAGAGCGTCTTGCCAGTCTGTGGAGTTAGTCGGGTCATCTGTGCTATTCGTGTAAGTCACGAGTGCCTTCACATCCGGATCGAGGACTGGATTGTCATCCCCGAAGCAAAATTCGTTCATTTGAGCTCGCATCCAATAATTGGTGGCGCTGGATTGGTTGGCGTTGATCACCACGGAGTAACGCTGTGCCACTCCAATCTCCAAGCGATGGACCAAAAGAGGTTCGATGGCCGTTCCATCAGCTTCAATTATTGACAAAGGATGATTGTCGATCGAAAATTCAAACGTTGCGAATGCACCAGTATTGATGAGTCGATAACGATACCGCTTGCCATGTTCCACGGCGAACACGGCCCGTGAGGAATTTTGCCGACAAGGATATCCACTTTCAGAACCAAGAGAAGAGCAATTGAAATAATTGGTTCCCTGGATTAATCCATTATCTGGGACAGGTTCGGTATTTTCATTGCCACTTGCCAGGTAGCCCGGCAAAAGCGCTTCGCTATAAGCATGATACCAATCCTGTAGAAGAATAATTTGGTCAACCTCGTAAAGTTTTTGTAACTCCCCTTCCTCTGGAGCATGGACAATCAGGGGTCCAACAGGTCCGTCGCCATTGGCCGTGGAGTAATGAGTATGATACCAATAAGTACCAAACTGATTTTCCACCGTGAAATTGTACAGAAAACCTGCTCCGGAAGGAATCGGACACTGTGTAATCCCGGCAGTTCCATCCATCCAATTCGTTCCGTTTTGGAAAAGTCCATGCCAATGAACACTCGTGACATTGGTCATGTTGTTCTGAACGTAAATCAGCAGCCGATCCCCTCGATTAGCACGGATGACGGGTCCAGGGAAACGGCCGTTGATGGCCAGGACTGTACGAGGAACGCCATCTGGAGCAATCTCCACCTCACTGAGAATGAGATGGTAGGACCGAGTCGTCGGTGATGCATTGAAATCCCAATCGGCGAGGCTGAGAGTATAATCTTTCACATTTGATCTCCACGGAGGTATATCCAATGAAGCTTGAGAACCCGGACTAGCGCTCGAGGTTAAGTTGGAAGGGGAGTTGTTGGAAGAAGGAGGAGAGGAGGTAGGAGTCGACTGCCTGGGCCCGCCATTCAATCCGAGACCAAGACCCAATCCCAGCGCCAAAGCCAGGACGACGATGATCAAGATGGCGAAGATATACCTTCTCCAGCGCCTTTCTGGGCGGGTGCCATCATTTAGAATCGCATCCTTTTTATCCCTTCTCCGTGGAGAGCCTGATGACGCTGGCGCCGCATTGGCCTTGTCCTCCGCTAAGGGGTTGGACTGCATTTTCCCGGTGCGGTGTTGAAGATTTCCACTATTGAAATTGGATCAGTGATGATGGCATGATGGTATAATGGTCGACGGATCTTGATGACCAGTCTGAGACAAACTGTCACTCCGTAAAAAAGGCAAAGAAACCCCAAATCCAACTTGGCCTGGTCCACCATACTCGCCAGTGCCTACTGGATTCCGCCTGGCGTGGGGCCATACGAGCAACCAAGCAGTTCACCTTCCCTTGGATCGTGACCGAGGCATGCCGTTCTACCCGGTCGATAATGGGTTGCCGATGCAGGAGTGGAGAGAACAGCGTTACAACTCATGACCCCCAGACTGGATAGCAAGGCTATTCTCGGTTATCATCACCCATGTCATCAGCAACATGTGGAGCTCACGATCCGGGTAGAATCCGGCAGGGCAGACGAGCGATGCCTGACCTATCACGAAGGCATGTCTTCTACGCGGGCATGCCATGCGAATGGCACTTGAGGAATCGAGCGCCGGAAGAGAGAGCGGGAGAAAGAGAGACACGTGCCTTGATATTAGACTTGAATGGCTGATGCTTGGCAGGCCGAGCCGCTAGGGGAAATAGCCTCGCAGCGAGGGTTCCAGCAAGCGTCTGTAAGCTTCTGCAAGCTTCATCCACATCACACTTCCTTTTTACTAGGGTGGCCGGCACTAAAGATTAGCTTGCAGCCCTTGATGCGGCCTTCGATTGCTTCTTTGGGGAAGCTAGAATACTTCACCTCGAGCGTGCAGCTGATCGAGAACTCCGTGTCGCAACAATGGTTGTGTCCTCGCGCTACCTGTCAGAGAGAACAAGAAAGAGCTCCAAAGATCCCGGCGTGTAGCTGATATTTTTTTTCCCCTTCCCTTCTCTGGCTGTCCACCCAGCATAAAAAGCTCACTTCCCCGTCTCTGCATGTTGAACCTATCGACTGAAGTCCGCCAGCATCATTATCTCCCTCCTCACGTTGAGAAGACAGTAGATACCTAGGTACTCTACATTTCTTCCGCCATGTCGACCATCACTGTCCTGCTCCTCGCTGCCAGCCAACTGGTGACAGCGGTTCCACAATCATATGCTTCACCCCCACCGATCTCAACCATTGAGCCTTCCCTCACTCAGATCGAAGAGACAGCTGCGACTGCCACCCCCATTTCTCCAGTCAGCCATGTCAAGGGTTTGGCTTTCAACCGATTCTACCAGATCTGGTTGGAGAACATCGACTATTCCTCTGCCGCGGGAGATGCCAACCAAGAGGCGCTCGCTCAGATGGGCATTACCTTGACCAACTATTACGCAGTCACTCACCCTTCTGAGCCCAACTACTGCGCCGCAGCGGGTGGGGACCACTTTGGCATGGACAACGATGACTTCCACGCCATCCCTGCCAACGTCTCTACGGTTGTCGATCTTCTCGACACCAAGGGTATTTCCTGGGCGGAGTACCAAGAAGATATCCCATACCCTGGATTCCAGGGCTTCAACTACTCCAACCAGGAGACCTACGCCAATGACTACGTTCGCAAACACAATCCCCTGATTCTATTCAAGTCCATTACCAACAACGCCACTCGTCTCAAGATGATCAAAGGATTCAATGCATTCGAGGATGATCTCAAGAACAAGCGTCTGCCTCAATGGGCCTTTATTACTCCCAACATGACCAACGATGCTCACGACACCAACATCACCTTCGGAGCGCAATGGGAGTGGGATTGGCTCCAGCCACTCTTGAAAAATGAATATTTCATGAACGACACTTTGGTCCTGTTGAGCTTCGACGAGAACGAGAACTATCCGGTTCCAAACAAGATCTTCTCCATCCTAATCGGTGGCGCCGTTCCTCAGCACTTGCGAGGATCCACCGACGAAACCTTTTACAACCACTACTCGACCATTGCCTCCGTCTCGCAGAACTGGGGTCTCCCATCCCTCGGACGTTGGGACTGTCACGCCAATGTCTTCGAGTTGGTCGCCAACAAGACCGGCTACAAGAACCAGAAGATTCAAACCGCCGGCATGTACTTTAACGAATCGTACCCTGGCCCCCTGTCAGATGACGCCTATGTCCCTGACTGGCCAATCCCAACGAACGCTTCCACTTGCGCTCATGGCAAGGGCGTCTTGAAACATGTCGTGAACACATACAAGGGCATGGCTGCGACACTGAACTATACTGCTCCCTATCCCTATGACGCCTTGACCGGCAATAACGTGCCTGCCAACAGTTGAGAGTGTGCGGGATGGACGTAAGCTAGCAACTACCACTTTCCATAATAATGCATGATTCTAGTCATAAATTTCCAGCTTCATTCTCAAGACTGATGATCTTTGAATTGGTTTTGCAGTTGATAATGATCATTTTCCTTGCCGAAATAGTCACGAAATCAACATAACATTTTCAGATGCATCGATAACGTTAACGTACGTTGAACAATCTTTCGTTCCTGAACACATCTGAATCAAGGTATTTACGACAACGCTGGTACACGTGATATTACAAGTGAGAAACTTTCCCATTTGCTCTTGGCCCCTTTTTATTGTTGGTTGGGGGGTTTGTGTTTGGGTATAAAGTGTTCGAAGCGTCTGTGCTCTAAGCGGGTGGCAGATATTGACGACGACCTCGACATAGTTTTAGTTGCATAAGCAGGCTGTTTCCCATTGACCTGTGCGTAAGCTAATTGTCCCACCCGTTCCGTTCCACCGCTCAACTCCATTTGGACATATATACATGCTATATCTACTCATATTCAAGTTTCCGGCGAGTTGAATAATCTCACCACACCCATGGCACAACCGGCTGCGGCCCCTCCTACAAGGACCATCTGGCCGCCTCCTCCAAGGCTGCTTCGGACACATCTCCAGCCTCTCCAACCCTCTGTCAACCCAGTCTTGACATACCCAAAGATGAAGAGCGCCACAATCATGACGCTGATACTCCAAATCAGACCCTCTGTGACGGTCGCGGCGAAGAAGTATGGGACCAACGGCACGAAGCCGCCGATAAAATAGCCGAGTGCGATGGTAATGGCACAGATAAATGCTCGACTGGCAGCGGGCTCGGGAGTACTATGTTGGAAGCGCATGAGGAAATCAATTACTCTTTCTGGCGTGTTGGACGTGATGAGTTGCTGGGCGAAGTCGTTCAGGGTGGACGGTGGGAGGTGGTAGGGGCCGAAGATGGATGAGATCTCAGACGTCAAGTCGCTGCCGCGGTCGAGGACGTTGGCCCGTGTGGAGCGGTACGTTGCTTTGTAGGCGGCTTCTTCGCTCTTTGCTCCGAGGTATCCTCCCAGGCCCATGGAAATGGCACCCGCAATGAGCTCTGCTAAACCACCGAATACCACCACCTTGGTGTTCCCCAGAGCTGAAAGTCCCGCTGTCAGTGCGAAGGGCACTGTGAGGCCGTCAGAGAGGCCGATAATGGCGTCTGAGACGATGCGTGCATTGAAGGGCTTGTGTTCAGCCTCTGACGACAAAAAGTCGCCGAATCCAAGCACTTTCTCCGTGGAAGTCTGGCTGCTTGTTTCGGAGACGGTTTCTTTTGAAATGGAGGAGAGAGCCCTGAATTGACCACGTCCGGCCAACATGGCGTCCTTCTCGACCTCAATGGGCAGTGGGGAGTATGTCTTGCTGGTAAGGAGTGTGAGCATAGACGCCATGGCGTTGGTATCTTCAAAGCTGTCGCTCAACATTTTAAAACAAATCTCTCAGCTGTGTGAGCGATGTTACTATGTATGAGGATTGGCAGCAAACCGAGGGCTCAAGAGGCAGAAAAGTCACAGAGTGAGGGGCAAGGACGGGTTGCTCAAAGCTATAGCATGAACCTCGGGAAACATGTTCAGCCGGGCATTCCTTTGGTGGGCTAGTCTGTCCTAGCATCCCATACACAAGGTAGCATAAACTTCGCAAAGATCATTGATGTAGCAACCTTCATTCTCAGCTAGATGATTTAGGGCCGGGTCAATGCCGTAGAGCCTGTAAAAGAACGGTAGCAATCCAGCCCTCGCATTTCTTCAACCTGTCGGTCAGCAACGTGCACGGGAGAACAGAAGAAAACAAGAAGAAAATGCGCCTGATCATCTAGCGCGGCGGAGAGCAGTGAAAGGAACGGAGCTTAAGAAGCTCCTTTCGCATGCATGATGACGATCCAAGGTGTGTCAGTCTCCGCCACAATCCCAGGTGGCAAACAACAACGCTAACGCGCGACCTGCAGACGAGGTGGTATGTAGGTGAGATAATGGTGGTAATCCGAATGTCCGGAAAGATGATTGGACCGCGAGCAGATCGTGCGGGGTCTAGACAAGCGTGCTAAGCATCATACCAAGCTTTAGTACCTTGCCCGCGAGAGCTTATTCCAGCTAAGCTTGAAGAGGGAAGGGCCCTGTCCATCGTTTTTAGGGGTATCCACATGAGCTTTCGAAAATTCCCTGAACCGGCACGAAGGACGATGACGACGCTCTCCTTCTCAAATCGTCAATGCACAACGGGTCTGCGTTTATTGGGCTCCGACTGCAGAGTTTTGACATACCGAACTGCTCGGTTCTAGCACGTCTATACCCCTCGTAGAAGGTCGGTTTCATGTTTTGACCGGGAGCCTCGTGGGGAAATAAGGGCAACGTGACAAGATCTCGACGAAAGATTGGCTCGCAGTGCCCGTACTGTGAATAAATGAGCCGGTGCAGAGTTACAAGATGCCAGGCCGTCACCGGATAGGGGGCCGTGGTACGGAATCAAGCTGGGAAAGGAGCGCGAGTGAAGAGGGCACAAAGAACAGTTCCTCGCCCTCGACCAGCTCTCAAACCAGGACACCAGTTCCATAGGATCCAGTGAAATCAAAAATGGCAACCATTACTTCCCTCACCGTTGCCTTGGGGCTCCTCTCACCTGCTGTCGCTCGTCCTATTGTTCCTCGTGCTTCCACATGGGCCGACTTGAGCTCTAAGATCACTCATGTGGTGTACCTGATGATGGAGAACCACTCCTTCGACAATATTGCAGGTTACTGGGACTTCAACCCCGACATTGACGGATTGCGACACATCGAGTACTGCAACGAGTTCACCAACCCCAACTGGACTGTGTATGGCGAGCCGTTGATGATCTGTGCCGGTCCTTATGAGGCTGAAGTCCCTCTCACGGATCCTGATCACAACTTTGCGGGCACAAGTTACGAGATCTATCGAAAGTGGGAACCCGCAGCCGACGACGTGCCAGACATGTCAGGATTCATCGAAAGACAGTCGGACAAATACAACGCCACACCTGGCGAAAGCTCCTTCGTGATCAAGGCTTATGACACGGCCAAAACCACTGTCCTGAGCACTTTGGCCCAGAACTATGCTTTCTGGGACAGTTACTACGCCGAACACCCCGGACCAACCAACCCGAACCGACAATTTGCAACCTCAGGCTCGACCTGTGGCATGGTGGACAACGGCGATCAAGCCTCCGGCTGGTTCGCCAATGTCACGGGCACCACCTGCGCAACCTCCATCTTCGAAGCACTCAGCCAAAAGGGCATCACCTGGAGGAACTACTACGAGACCGACATCATTGATTCTTTCATGTACAAATGGGTCCAAGATAATGCTATGGACCGGATCGTCCACGCCGACCAGTTCTACGAGGACTTGAAGAACAACCAACTGCCACAATTCTCCTACATCAACCCCGAATGCTGTACGGTTGACTCCATGCATCCGACCAGCAACATGGCCGCCGGAGAACTGATGATCAAGCATTTATACGACGCCCTGCGAAACTCTACTTATTGGGATCATGTGTAAGTTTCTCCTTTCTCCTTCTAGAACGCGGCTGCTTTGAAGATATAATATACATACTGACAACTCCTTTTTCCTTTTGGAGGCTGTTGATTATCAACTTCGACGAACACGGCGGCTTTGCCGACCACGTTCCACCTCCTATTAACATCCCGGCGCCCGAAGATGGCATCACTTTCTCCGGCGAATCTGACGGGCACAACGTCACCTATGACTTCACGCGATTGGGCGTGCGTGTTCCTGCCTTCGCCATTTCGCCCTGGATCCAACCCAATACTCTCATCAAAGGCCAAGGGACCATGTACGCGCCCAACTCGGCATACACGCACACTTCGTTTCTGCACTTCTTACAGGAACTCTGGTGTCTCGAGGGCTTGAATAATCGTGTTCAATGGGCAAAGACGTTTGAGTATATTTTCTCAGACGCGCCGCAGGAAGGGGGTGGCCTGGAGAGTCTGCCCAGTCCCGAGTGGCATAGTGGCCCTGGACAACCGGAGCCAGATGCGTTCCCACTCTTGAACCAGGATTATAGTTACTATGAGAGTTTGGATGATTAGGGCAGAAAATAGATCTGCATCACCACATCGCATGCACGAAGGCGGTAAATGAATGGTCCTATTTTCCTCGAATGAGAGACAAGCTCGCTATAATTGGCGCCAGCAACACAAAGAAGAGAAGTTTGGCGAATCAGGTAGAGGCGGACAAATGCTTCTTTCTGCATCGACTTGCTTTTAAGTTCGCATCAGACATCGCTTCGCAGGGGCTTCAGTCCATAAAATACACTTAGACGAGTGACGAACAAAGAAGCATACTCGTAACCCTGATCCCCAACCGTGTATTCTACGCGCGGGGATTTTTCGCTTGCAAGACGGCTGAGGCTGGCATGTAACTGATCGGATTCCTGCGTATAATTCTCAAGGAATATATATCCCCAAACGGGATAGTTCGCTGCGTGATAAGAGACAAATGTACCCAACGATCTTCGAGATATCCGATCTAATGGTATTGAAAAGCTCCCAGTGATATTTTCGCTTCTCTGCAATTCAGTCCACCGGGTCTCTGCTCTGGTCTTTCCGGATTCCCTCGAAAACAAACAGATCCCAAGGGTGACTTTTCCGCAAGTATGCTGAGCATCTCTACGCATCAATGCAGACACTTGTCTAGATCCAAGTTTATGGAAGCCAGGCCCCTTGTTGTTCGTAGTTCAGGACTGCTCACCGATCAACTCGTGCCCAGACATTCGAAGCTCCAAGAACAGCACTGATCGAACCTGCAATGCCAACCACGACGGGATCAAGTGGTGTCCAGCCCAGTATTGAGCCGGGGATCACCAGGTCGCAACTATCAATCGCGAGCTGCTTGTAAAGAGCGTAACGTTCCGCAGCCTGGACATCAAGCGACGAAGTGTGGGCGTGGGAGTGAGAGGAGGGTTCTTGTTGCTTCTCTCGAGTCGTCTTCTGTGACTTTTTCTGCCGTCTTGTCTTTGGGGGCGTCTCATTCGCATTCTGAATAACAGCAGCATCAGAAAAAGACGAAGTCGGTGACGGGCTCGAACCAAGTAAGTATATCTTGTAGAGACTCAACAAAATTGAGACTGCAATCGAGTAAAACCAGAATTTCAAGGATTCGAGCTGCAAAGTTGGACCCCACCAGTAGGACGTGATAAACATCGCATTGGTCTAGATACATTTAACAGACGTTGGATTAGTTCAGTATCCTTTTCACTTCCATTGAAAATCTGCTTGGGGGAAGGAAAGGAAGAAAGGATGGGAGTCCATACAATCGTGAACATCTCCATGAACAGGTATATGCCGAGCAGGGACCACTTGGTAACGGTGAGGGCTGCTCTTATGTTGTCTCCGGCTGCCTTTGGCGGTGAAGTTATCTCTTTCTTCTCATTCAGACTTGGCTGGACGCCTAAATGGGTGCTGTACTGGTTGTGGGCTAACGTCCAACAATCGATCCATTTGAAGAGGCGGAAATACCGACGCGCTGATCGAATCGGGAGTATCAGTAATGAATTCCAGAAATAATGAATTTAAATGCTCCATGCTGCCGCACTCGCAGAAGTTTGCCGTCAAGAGAGACCTAGGAACTCCCACCAGTTCTGTAGAGTGGGAGGTGAGAATATGAGAGGAGACACGCATTGGCCGCGTTAAATGACCTTTATCGATCCCGCAATGAAACCGTATAATTGAGACTCACCTAATGCAGATTGATTTTTAGCAGTCGTCCATTGGACGGCCTTTGGCGACGGGAAGGCAACCGCCTCGCCAATCTGAGAGAGCGATTGCAGAAGCTTGAGGGTTTTCTCGATCCCAACTTCCATTTTCAAAGCATCACCATGTCAGTCTCGTCTTAGAATAGCGATAGGATACCGTCGCATCTGCCGTGTAATGACTGCATTCGGGGTGCGTCGAGAGACGATGCCGGAGATTGGAGAATATGGACGACTTACCGGCATCGTTGGTGAATTTTGCAACCGATTGAAGCATTTTGAACGCGCAGTGTTGGCTGCGGGGATGGAATGAGGGAAAGAAGGGAAGCCGCAAATAAGGAAATAAGTCTTGTGCCCGTTACTATGTGCAGCCGTTCAAGAATAGGTAATCAGGGAAAGCCGGTGAAGTGGAAGAATTTGTTCTCGGAAAAGTCCGTGAGCGAGTAAGAAGGGGACTACGCGTAGTCAATCACGCCATAGAATTCTTACCTTTCCTAGCGTGAAGTAGTCATATGTCGTACACCTAACTGGGCAAAGGGAGGAATTTGGCCATGTCTCCGTATACCAAAAGCAGTATAAGCGAGGCCAGTTTGATTCATGGTTGAGCAATTTATGCAGTGATGGTCAAAGGCGGTAGCGGTCCTTGGCCGGAAGAGATGCAGTCAAGCGTGCCTCGTTTCTCTGCTTCATCCTTTAGAGGACCGACATGGAGGTTTCTCATGTGAATGAAGGACTCGTCAGCCAGTATAGACAAAGACTAAGTAGTGGAAGTCGTTAGGCAAGGGAAGATACAACCACTTTCAACCCGGTTTATAAAAGCAGCGATGAATAGCGCCACGCTAACCCGAAATTGCCTTTGGGCTCTTTCATTTGGCGATGACACTCAAACTTCGCAGCACCGATCAACTTCGCAGCAATCACTCAACAGTGCCGTCATGTCAGTCCTCTCACGCCTTTTGGTCCTTGTCGGGCTGCTGTCGCTATTCCATGCGTATGTATCAACCGAAAGTCGACGAAAAATGAGCTTTATTGACTGGAGCCTAGGGCATACTCGGCTCATGAGTTCTCGACATTGTCCACCAAGCTTCACAAAAATGCCACCCTGCCACTCGACATCAAACTGGAGACCCTCATCTCTGTATTTCTTGCCTGTTTCGGTCTTGTCCTCGGATCGGAACCGTTGAAGCCGGTGAGCTGGAGCGCTTGGGCCGGGAAGATCGAGAAAGAAGGTGGACCTAATCCATTCCGAGGCTTTGAAGAACGAGTGGGATTCATGAACATCAGGGCCCAACGGAAGGAATTTGCCAACTGGGCTCGTCATGAAGGACAAGCTCCGAAGAGATAGAAATATGCATATGTCGACGGAGAAATACAATCTTGGTTAGTGTCGAAGCCTGCGTTGAGAGCAGGTTGGTGTGGGAAGAGATATTCTGCCAGCACACAATCACAATGCCATGCCACTCAGTGGGCTCCGGGGGGCACTGTCGATGAGCTCAAATTCCACAATAACATCGTTCAAATCTCAATGTGCGCAAAAACAACAACAGAACAGAAAAACTTGTTCTTCCAAGGTATCCACAGCTTTGGGCGGTGTGTTGGCGGGAAGGGATATCTCTCATGATTTTTGAGTGGTGTTTTTGCGAAGGCGCCCATTAACTGTGAAATCAAATGGTTGTGAGTTGTACCAAGAAGCAGATGGCCTCGCAAAATGTGGGCAGTGCGTCGAGGGATGTGGGGTGCGCAGTAGAAAGGCTGGCTCTGCGCGACATTTGCCGCCACTTGCTGTGAGTTCTTTGGATTCGACTGCACGCGCATCTCCTCGTTCATCGGCGCTTTATTGTCGCTTTGACGCCCCCGGTATCTATCCACAGCCTCTCCGCGAACCTACTGCTTGTTGTCAGCGTACTTGGCCGACAGATCAACCATGGGATTGATGATAGATCATTACGGCTAGCGAGAAATGCCAAATGTTGAAAAGAAGGATGGTAAGAAATTCACGTCAAAAGAAGCCGACACATTTGCGTTTGATTTTTCATTTCATTCTACACCTCGGGCGGTCGGTTTCTGGCTATTTTAAGAAAATTCAGGTTTTTGCCTAGTTATATCAGCCGGAGCACTTCTGTGCGTGATATCCAAATTCTCCTCGCGCTCCCCGAAGGCCCCCCCCTCCTTTCCGCCCCTCCTTTACGTCCCGGTTTCCAGTTTCAGATTCGATATCCTTTCCCGATCCCATCATGAACTCCATGCTCATATATGCTCACATGCCACAGATCGTAAATAAAATCAATTGGCCCAAAGAAAAGAGAAAGGCAAGAAAGATAAATTTGGCCAGGATGGGTCAAAGTTTGTCAAATGTCATGGATTCCTCACAGCATGGAAAATCCGAGACCGAGCACAACCAAGCCGATTCCGGCGCCGGCCACTCTATTCACCACAGCGCCGCCGGTGGATTGGGCGAATGTGGCACTAGCGGTAGCCGTCTCGGATTCAATGGGACTGGCGCTCCCGCTCACGACGACGGTGCTCGTTGCCAGAGTGGTGGGTGACGAGGTTGTGGATATGCTCGAGCTTGTTGCGATGCTGGAGCTGTTGCCGTACGCGTATCCAGAGTAAGTTGGCAAGGTGGGCGAAGCGGGTTGACTGGTGACGGCTTCCGGCTGGCTGGTGACGACCGATGGCATTCCCGTGATGACGCCGAGCGAGTTTGTCATGCTCGTGTAGATGGTGAAGGGGTTCTCGTAGGCTGACGTTGGTGAGGAGATGGCTGTCATGGTTGACATGTCGGCTTGGATGATGGTGGATTGGAGAAGGAGGAGGATAGTGAGAGAGAGGGAGAGAGAAGAGACGGACTTGGGTGATGTTTGCATTGTGGATTATTGATGAGGCTGTGGCCGATTCGAACCGACTTGTTTCGACGAGTCTAGATCCTTCCCGCCTTGATGAGAAACCCTCGATTACGTTGATTCCGTGTTTGAAAGGGTGATGATGTATGATGTGACGCTGGTAGAGAGATACTTTGCGAAGGTCGAACGTTGGTCTTGGTGAACGGAGTAGAGAGAAGAGGTTAACGTCCCTATATACCCCCCTTTTCACCGCAACCAGCACAAAGACCAAAGACTTACCATCGGTTGGCACTCTTTCGATAGTATAAAAAATTATGTTGGCGCGGCGGCTGGGATTTTCCTTTCCCAGCCAGCAACGGTGACGTGCAGGAAAACAGGGGGCTGGGCTAGCGATAAGCGGTTAGGCTGTGGCTGGTTGAGGTTTAGCGGCAGGATTGGAGGAGGCTAGACGAGGCTGGCCGGGTGATGGCTGGTCAGCGCAGACAAGACCCCTGGTTTCAGATCACTCCCCCTTGCATACAGGCGAGGAATAAGAATATCATTACAGTATGGTCACATCGATGTATATGCCTACGTGGACTTCTGCTGGCCACCTCCAAAATGCACGTTTATGCGGGGGACCTGTTACTAGGGGTTACGTAAAGTGGGTGGCAATGGACTGTCGTACCAATGCAATAATAATCATCCAGGATTTTCCTCCAGATGTCAGTCCCTCCAGATCATCCACGGTTATAGTCTCCGAATTCCCACACGTGGTGGCTGTCCTTTCTTCCCTGCCACGAGATTCGAAACTTTTCGCAGAGCCGTCGGTCTCGACATCGTCCCTGCTGGGGCCATTGACCGCTTTCCTGGCATGCTCGTCGAGGTCATGTTTTCCTTTTCTTCTTCATGATCATATGCACTGTCTGGTATCTGTGCCCCTCCGTCATTGTTCAGTGGACCAGGACGGACGAGTTTAGGAGACTTTCTTGTGGGTTCTCTGGGGTCACCCACGGGCTGACCAAGTGGCTGTCCACCATTTGACTCATTGTGTTGGTCTGATTCCCCTGGAGATGGCAACTCTGACAGAGGTCGCTTTCCTCTTGCATTTGTCCGCATACCGACTGGAGTGTGTACCGCCGATGACGACAATCCAGTGGTTTCATTCTCTTTTGTGTTGTCCTCTTCGACTTCTTCTTGAGGATTCTGAGCCTCGGGCTTGGTACCACTTTCTAATGTCTCTGCTCCATCGTCCTCCCCTCGTCGCTTTGCATCTTGAACGGCCTTGATCAAATGCCTTGGAATGGGGGCATGAATGCTTGTCATCAGCTTCGCCTGCGTCGAGAATGCCTCATAGTCTTCTTGTACGAGGGCCCCGGCCGCGGCGTTCAATGCTGAGTCAGGATTTGGCTGTATCAGAAGACATGAAATGGTGACCAAGATATCTTTGAGGGTCAACTTCGGATCCCAATCCCTTTTCAAGGTCTCCAAGCACACTGCGCCAGTAGACTCCTCCACATTGGGATGATAGATCCGTGTTTTGAAGGTTGCTTTAGGAGGATTCTTGGGGTAGTCATTGGGCATTTTGAGATGCAAACGCCATAGTCCGTGTGCGTAGGGTGTTCCCTCGGCGCCAGTTATGAGTACCACCAGTTGGGTGAGATCTTCAGGAAGAGACGATGCACCGTCGGATTCAGGGAACAGGTAGTTTGGAGGTAGAGAATGTCGCAGTGCCGCATGGTCCTTTGCAAGGCGACGGAATGGGGTTGCCTGCTATTGTTAGCATCAACGGTTTGGCAAATGGTGGCGTTGAACTGTTGCAGGAACCACCCATAGAGCGTTGTCGAACAGGAAGATCGCGTCGAATTTGATTCAGGAGGTGAGCACGGTAGGAACGGACTCACCATATTTCAACGTATCTAATCGTGTACGATCATTAATACTCTGGACTCGTACTCTCTATCGCTGTTTACATTATTGGGCCCTAGCGTATGGCGGGACCGCGTTCGCAAAGAAGACATAGCGGAGCGGAACAATGATTCTCCGGAAATATTGTAGCCGTCGAATCACCTTTGCCGAGGCTTGCGTACAGCCTGATGTGCGCGAATAGGACAACATCTACGCAACGGAGAGCCTTTCGCGTTACGGAGGATCCATCGTCAGTAAAATGAGCAACACTCAGAGTCCTTCAAGGCTCGTACTCAGATTACCCTCCTCATCGGCCACACATTTCGGATGACCGTAACTGCAGGATATTGCCGAGCAAAATCATAGGCCCACCTACGAATTCAACAGGAGGAATAACAAAGGAATTATCAGATTGCTACAGATGCTTAATGACCGGAGAAATACTATTCCACCAATCTCCTAGCTCGCGTTCCTGGAGCCTCAGCCACTCTTGCGGTTTTATTGACGGAGGATTAAACGAGTGGTACATGGGGCTTATTTCGGTTCGCTGAATGAGCCACTGATGAATGCAGCACAACCATCGGGGGCTGTAGTACGAACAAGCCAATCAACACCCTGGCCTGTTCGCTGGCAATCGGCACCTCCGTCTGGTCAAACAGCCCAGACCTGCTTGGCAGCCTGCGGGACAACCAAGGAGCCAGTTTCAAAAGTTTTGCAGACCGCAGCTCACCGCAGTTCCACAACGACAAACGTTTTTTTGTCTTCTTTTTACTGAACCTACCTTCCCCGCTACCTTTATCAAACTGATCCTCGGTTCATACTGCAGCAGCTCTCGCCCTACGCCGGCTCCATAGCTCGAACCCCATTCTTCCTCGAAGCTCTGAGGCCCCAATATCCCCTGAAACACCGTCTACATCGTTCGGTGTTCGCGAATTCCAACGCCTAAACCGCCTGGTACCCCGGGCTGGGCGATGTTCATCGTGCTTGCCTATGCGACTACCCATTGAGCATCCTCTTGCTCTTATTGCACGGGCTCTTCTGTCCTCCGGAGGCTATTTCTTCAGCCCGGGCTTGCAGCTGAGTCTTGAAGACTTTTGAAGCAGCCTGGCAGGCGACTCTGTTCACAAAAGATCTTCAAAAGCTCGCCTATAACATCTACCGCATTTTTCAACCCCCCCCTTTCATTGGTATATACGTACAATAGTTTTCCCCGAGTTGCGTCTTCGTAACAGTTCCTGCTTCATCATCATTTCCTATCAGTCTTTGTTCCTGCATATCGCGCTCACTCAGACCGACTCCTGCCGCTGGCCACCAAACTCGGCCACCCGCTGATCTTTCTTTCGCGCTTGGATACTTCCGACGCCCGTACTTTTGCCTTGACATATTCTCGCGCGCCACATTTTGCCAGCCGGCCCGGAACCATGTGGCCGCAAGGTCGGCCTTATACTATTCCTATCCCCTCACGGCCTGTTGGCCCACCTCATGTACCAATACCAGCGTCCCCGAATGGGCCTGATGCCAGATTAGCCATCACTCGGACTGGCTCGACTCCTGGCAGCGCTGGTCGGGTATTGGAGCGGTATGCATCGACCTCCTCCCCACATGTCTTGGCGCGTAGGAAGAGGGCTAGCAAACCAAAAGTACGAACGGGATGCAAAACGTGCAAGGTGAGTTTCCCCGAGGGCCCGTCTCCAGACCTACATCCGCATGGCTCGTACTCGTTTGGTGCCAGCCACTGTGCGACCCATACTACTCGTACCTGACAAACCTGTCGTCGACCCACCTTGTCTGACTAAAAATTGCCTCCTAGATACGGCGCATCAAATGCGATGAGACCAAACCCAGCTGTAAGTTTTACCCGTCGCGACGCTCCCCTCTCCGTACAATGCTCACGTGTGTCTGCCAGGTAAACGATGTACCTCCACTGGCCGCAAGTGTGACGGGTACGAGTTCCCCAAGGAGGGCTCCAGAAGTCCAGCAGCATCCTCTGCCCTGTCGCCACTCCAAGGTCGTGCCGTCCATCAATATTTATTTCAACCCAATTCTATCTCCAGACCTTTCCAAGGCAATACACAAGAACGACGTTCCTTCCACCGCTTCCAGCTTTGCACGGTGCCCGTTTTTGCCTGTGGTTCCGAATCCGGTTTCTGGACCAAAATACTCCTGCAAGTGGGTCACGACGAGCCAGTGGTCCGGAACGCCATCATCGCATTGGGAACCTTACATGAAGATTACCAGGACCGGCGTGGCAAATACAGCCCCCAATTGATCGAAGATCAGAGCTATCGACACGCCTTGAAGCTCTATGGGGGGGCCCTGCGCGGATTGAATCAGAGACTAAACGAACCTTCCCGGAACAACGCCAAGCTCGCCATTATTGCAAGTATATTATTTGCCTGCTTCGAAGTCCTCCGTCGCAATAACATGGCCGCTGTTATTCACTATCAGCAAGGCATGAGAGAATTAATGCGCCAGATGAATCTCTCGGAGGGCGACGAGACCTCCCTCACTCCATATTCACCAAACCAGCAATCGACCCCCCATGCGACATTCCGGGAGATCCCCCAGAATGAACTGGACGAGCTGTTGAGAGTCTTTGCCCGATATGACATTCAGGCGTGCACCTTTTCCAAGGAGCATGCGGAGCGTTTGGTGACACACATGGACCTACCCCGAATACGTCCCTCAACCCTGACCTTGCGTCAAGCCCGCAATCACCTCGACAATTTACTGGTCTCGGCCTACCAATTCGTCAAGTCGGACCTACGCATGTATCGATACTGGAAAATTGAGACGGTGCCAATCGAATGGATAAACCAACGAGCCGAGGCTATCGAAATCTTCGACGCCTGGATGGCGGCCCTGGAAAATTTCCTCAATTCCCAAGAACCTCGACTGACGTCTCCCGATATCAAATGCTTGTTAGGCCTGAGGCTACAGATTAGGACCGCGGTTATCATGCTCAAGATGTGCATCGATTGTGGGCCTGAGACCATTTTCGATAGCTTCCGGGATGAATTTGACGACATGGTAACCAAGGTGGAACACGTGACCACGGCACTTGGCATGCCTGAAGCCAGCCCATTGGAGGCGGAATTCACACCCTTCACCATGGAACTTGGCATCGTCCATCCCTTGTTCTTTGTTGCCTGTAAATGTCGAGACTGGCAAATCCGACGACGAGCGACAGCTCAGCTAAAGAAAGCCGGTAAAGAGGGCGTTTGGGAGGGTCCCATCATGGCCGTACTGGCGAAAAGAATCATAGCTCTCGAAGAGGAAGGTCTGTCACGAGGAGATGTGGTTCCAGAAGACAAGCGTTTTCACGAGATCAAGAAAAATGTGGATTACGACGGCCGCAAAATTTACTTCGAAGCCATGAGAGCTACGGATGATACGTGGAAGAACTATTCGGTTCACAGGGAGGCTGTCCCATTCTGAAAGCGATTTCGGTCACGCCCAGCAAGGGGTTTTGATGATTATATTTTGGCTACATGTGCATAATCCGGAGTCAACTTCATGAACGGTCTTTATCACGACGTGATGAACCATGACCCACGACTATCCTTCGGCAACGACTAATACATTTGACAACGGCCGGTCTGGCTACACAAAGAAAAAATGAAATAGAAACGGCGCTGGAGAAAACAGCGAGGGGAAAAAAAGAAAGCAAAAGTTTGATGGGGCATTCGATAGTCACGAAAGGATCGGGTTGTTCATATTTCGTTCACTCAGGAGGGCGGAGATCTGAGGTTATCCAGTAATAGTCCACATGCCTCTATAGTTTTGTTAGACAACACAGAAGGCCTTGTCGTCGACCTTGATTGCATATCCAGCGTCCGTATTCTGTCTCTGGACCGCGTTCGATCGGAGAATTTCGTCTGTGGGAGAGCCCCCCTGATCCCTGAATTTTCCAGTTTGTGCAGCGCACCGCTCCGAGGAGTTGGGCCAATCACGTAAAACCAGCACTGAGGGAGGTAGACGGCAATTCGTGATTTGGCCCTCGCCAGGCTCCAACGGTAGCAGCTTAGAAGGATTTCAATCCCGTTTACTGTCGTAGCATTAACCGCCTCGGTGTCTAGGGTCTAGTTAGTAGTGTTAGCATTGCACGGAGTCAGTAAAGTTGATCCCCTAGCGTGTTCGCGTCACCCGTCAAACTCGAACCCGGCTGATTTCCCAAGATTCGCAGTCTCCATCAAGTCAAAACCTGGCAATTCAAACACATCTTTTTGATTTTTTGTCCCTTCAACTCCACCACCTGTCCCCGGACAACTCACCCCCAACCCATCCCTCTCTTCCATGGCGGTGGTTCGAGCTCCTAGAACCTCGTCTGTCATTGTCGAATCGAAGGGCTGCGGGCGTTGATTCCATCCCTCCCGCTTCCATACGTCTCACTTCCCGCATCAAGCGGCTTTGCCGTTCATGAACCTCGAGGAGCTCACTTTTGAGATTCCTTCTACTGGCGTCCACCACCACGCCGCCAGATATCCCGCCTATTCTGATCACTCGCCGTCGCGCCCATTGAAAGCGCAGAGTCTTTCGTCCACTCCTTCAGAAAACGATTGGGTGTCGCCGTTCACCCTCCCTCCTTTACCGAGTCTACGACGTGACCGCCATCACTCCGAGAACCTCAAGTCTCCTGAATATCTTCGTCAGCGCGACGGAAGCGGTGCTTACTACGCCGCTGCTTGGGGCTCGCCCTACGCCACTCCGAGTCCTCGACGAACACCTGGCCCTGCCGGTTCCGTTGGGGAGCGGGTGGACAACCGTGCAACTCGCGCACAAAATCATCACATCTTGGGCAAGAAAGCGCGTGCGACGAAACCATTACGAAAACCTCGCTCGGAGCGAACCAATTGGCTAAGTGAATCAGAAGATAGCGAATTTGAGACAAGTGCTAAAGAGGAGGACAAAACGCCAACTCGGGTAGCAGCATATCTTGACAGTTGGGGGACGTCTCCCGTCAATTCACAGAATCGACCTCCACGGCATCATCGAGTCAGTGAAAGTCTCGCCACGATCACACCGGACACGTTCCATGATTCCGAACCCCGTTCAGTAGGGTCTGATCGCCGGCACCGATCGATCTCTCAGTCTGGAGGGGGCACCATGGCGGCTCAAGAACCCGAAAGTGTTGGGACAGCGGTCAAGCCTCTGTCAACCCTTCCTCGTCGAGGGTCTTTGGTTGAAGAGGAGGACAAGGTCCCTGACAGCCCAAGCTCAACAGTTCGACCGCGACCTACGTCCATGCAGTCATATCAGCGACCGAAAAAGAAAGTATTTTGGAAAGGCAAGGCGTGCATTATAGCACTACCGATGACTGACCGAGAGGCCGCTGGGTTGCCGCCGGTATTGACGGCCGAGCAGGTTAAAAGGCGGATTGACGGATTCATTGCGGATGGATACAATGTGGATGGGTTTGAGCTCAACGATGTTCCCACTGGCCCGCCTCGGGAGAGCAGTGGCCAGAGCCGACCTGTATATCCAGATCCAACGGAGATGCACAGCGAGCGCAAGTTGCGCCACTTCCAGGTCCATATACCCAACCAAGCGGAATGGGAGTCCTGGGTGAATTACCTCAAGGAAGAGAAACTTCGAGCATTAGGCGTCAGTCCAAGCAATTCGGAAGCTCCGCCATCAACTCGATCGCCTTTCTCGCCAACGTTGAGTCGCGTCTCGTCAAGCTATCCAGGACTTGCACCGTCGCCTCCTGTCGCGCCCTCGTCGTCGGCCAGCAATCCTCTCAGAGCAACTAGTAATCCTTTTTCTCCCTCTCTCGTGTCCTCGGCTGGTATTAGCCCTCAGCCTGGATCGGTGGCACCATCTCAGTTCAACGGTCTCCCCAAGTCACTACATGGTTATAAGCAGTCAATGGCACAGCCAAATGCCCATGGCAGGATGACCTCACCGTTTGAGCATTCGCTGTCACAGTCAAGCTCGTTCGGGCCGGGAGTGCGGCCGAACATCCAGCCTCTGTCTTCACGACAAAACAGCTTCTCGCCTAACCACCCCTTATATCTACCAAACCTGGGAGAAGTCTTGTCACCGGCGTCCCAACCGCGGGGGATTGATGTACGAGGCGGAAATATGAATTTTGCTCCTGAACAAGGTCGGCATAACCGTATGCAATCGCAAGACCATATACTTGTACCACAAAATCAGCCAACCCCTAACCCTGCATTGCCTCAACGCATTGACAATTTGGTGCGCACTCCAGACTACAATGGACCATCCAGACCTCCGATTGAAATTGCGCACCCTACTCCAAAGAGCCATCGCCATAATCTGAGTGTGGCTCTACAGAGAGAAATTGACGAAGCCGAGGCTGTATCGCGCGAGGAGCATGCAGATGTGAAGCATGAGGCACATGAGAATCTTGACATATCCTCGAGGAAAGATTCCACCTTGGACGAGTCCCTGAACGATGAGCCTCCTATTTTGAGACGACCAGAAACGATAACGGCGGCTGACGAGAGATCGGAGATTGAGACAAATCCAAGCATTGCCGCGACACCGATGCTGATGGAAGACAAGGATGTATCCCTAAATTGGCAGGCATTGAGCGATGCCGCCAAAGCAGAACCCAAATCTGTTCGCGAGCTCACTCAAGCAACGTCCAAACTCAATGTAGAAGCAAAGGAATTCGATCCTCGAGCCGGGTTCTCAAGTTCCAACCCCTCATTCGGAGGGGATAGCTTCGCACCCTTCGGGCTGCCCCCGGCGCCGACTACGTTAACGGCCCAGAAGCCTGCCTCGAAGACCAGGTTCTCTGTGTCTCACCTCAATGCCGACGCTCCAGCCTTTACTCCCTCCTTCATACTTCAGGAAGCACCCAAAGAATCAACACTCAAGCCTGCCGCCGCGACCTTTAATGTGGACGCACCGGTATTCAATCCTTCACTATCCCCGGCGACAAATTTCAACGAGAGTGCGGACTCGGTCAACAGTCCAAACAGCGTATTTGGCAATGCTAACGCTGACGCTAACCCGAAGGCTACAAAGGCCAGCAAAGCGGTCCCAATCATGCTTCCCAAGTCAAAAGATATTGAGGAAAAGAATATTGATTGGAAAGACGTCGATGGTCAGGCGATGACACCTGCAGATAGGCAGAAGCGCGAACGACAAGATGACAGCGATGGCGATCGAAGTCCTCATTTTGCCGATTCAGCACCATTCAATCATTCGAGAATTTTATCGGAGATTGTGGATAATGCTGATACTAAGGGACCAACTCCGGAAAGTCCTAAAAAGCCATTGGATGGATGGTCATATATTCCAGCGGAAGAAACTCAGCCAGAAGATGCCCCCGCGCCACCTGCAGCTCAGAAAGCCCCGGATGAAAGCCGTGAACATGGCTCTGATTTTACTTTTAAGAATCAACGTGATGCAGCCATGTTTAATGAGGCCATACCGCCTTTGGAGACTCCGGGGAAAGTGGAATTTGACAAGATTGATGAACCAGCGTCCTTGGATGAGGTGAAGCAGGAGGAAGAATCACCTGTGAAGACGACGACGCCTACGGGGGAACAAAATCGGAAACCAAAGTCATCACTCTCTGCGCTCGCCAAACCATTCGAATTTAAGCCTCACGTTTCAAGCCCATACGCGTCTTCATCAGTTACGACTCCTAAAATCCCTCAAGTATCGGCAGCTTCCCCATATGGGGCAACGCCAAGCCCGGAACAGCCGTCTGCTCTGCTCACAGCTAACCATCCCTCTCCTCCGCATGACCTGCATTCCTATAGGGAGAATGAGGGAAAACCGGTCCCTGAAAGCCCAGAGGCACGTGTCGAGGTTACTGAGGAGAATTCCGTTGACGATGAGGTAGAACCACAGCAAGGCAATAAGAGCCCAGAGGAGGAGATTACCCAAATTCTTGATAATTCACCTCACGGGCAGGAAGATGAGCCTGATGTTCAAAGCTATTCATTGCGCCATCAAGATGAGCCGGTACCATCTTTTGAAGAAATCGATGCTGTCATGAAGCATCTTGAAGTCCATCCAGAACTTGGCGTTGAACGAAACGACACACCCATACAATCTACACCACTGGTCGACATGCATCTAAGTGGCAACTTCCGCAGCGATGCTCCAAGTCCGAGCCCTCCTAGGACTCGAGACAACAAGCCATCACAAAGTGATGCCTGTTTTTCGCCATCATTTGGTCTCGGGATTGGAGTCCACAATCTCAATACAGGTACAGGCAGGGATGATGTGAGTGATTGGGGAGATGCGTTGCCCGCAGCGGAAGAGGCCAAACTACAACTTCGTTCTCAGTTCTTTGACGGTCATGTCAACGACTTGGTTGGTGGTATCCTTGAGAATCGCCTAGGTCCTCTCGAGCGTACTCTCCAGACCATCCAAGATTCTTTGGCTTTGATGACAACAGGTTCGAAGCCCAAGAGTGATCGACGGAGCATGTCGACTGATCCGAAAGATTCCGATGCCGATGATGAAGATGACTACGATGCTTACGAAGGCTTTGCTTCTTACAGAACGAAGTCACCTATGGCGAGAAGAGGGGAGCGGAAGCAAGACAAGATCCGCGCAGCAGTTACGGAGGCTCTGGCTGCGTATCAACCACCACCTCAGCCACAACCTGACCTGACAGAACTCAGTAGCGTTCTGCAAGAGATGAGACAATTGGCTCAGCAAGCAGGCTCTCAAAAAACTCAAAGCGAACTCAAGACTATTATGGAAGATGTCATCTCCCATCACCCTCATCTACGAGGTTCCGGGGTTCAGCAGGATCACGAAACTGCTGAAACGAAGGTCAGACCTCAGATCGACGGGCTTGAAAGCATGCTCAAAATTTCTAAAGAACATGCTACTGAAGAATCTAAACTCCGACGAGAAAGCGAAAAGAAAGTAATGGAACTCGAACTTCGCTTGAAAATTGCCGAGGAAGAAGCCGCCCAATACCGAGAAACCATGCGGGCGTTTGTTGAGGAGAAAGAATCATACAAAAACCTTGAGGATGATGTCGATGCCCTGACACTCAAGAACACCGCATTAGAGACTACACTTGAGGAGTATCGCGTTTCGAGTGATCAGTGGCGCTCTGATATTCGTTCCGAGCGTGAGAAGAATGTCCTACTCAAGAATACATTACGAGATCTCCATCAACAATTAGAAGATCAGTCACACTCTCGACAAGCTCTTCGGGCCAAGGTTGAACGTGTTCAGGCACAAATGACCCAAGTTGTCCAAGATTTGCATGCTGAACAAGGAGAGTGGCGCCAGAAAGAGCACAGTCTTCTGAGCAAGCTCGCCCTTACTCAGGGTGCCCTAGAACAAGAGAGGCGTCGTCGTGAGAAAGTCGAACTCGAACTGGATTCCTTGGAGAAAGAGCATAAAGCTAATCTCCATGCCAAGACTGCCCTGGAACAAGCTCGCCTGGATATTTCACGACTGAATGAGTTGGTAGTATCCCTACGAAAGGAGAATAGAGCACTTGACACGAAAGCTTTCAACTTAAACCGAGAATTAGCTCATACCCTGGGCAGCAAAGATGCAGAAATTGCAACCGCTACCGCCAAATTACAAGCCGAGCTGGATAGCGCCAAAACTCAGCTCCTTAGCATTCGGACGGATTCTGAGGCCCGAATTTCGAGGTTGCAGAGCCGACTCGATCATGCAGAGTTGGACATTGAAGACCAAAAGGCCAAACATGATGCCCTCTTGTCGGAAACGATCGAAGCGCACAAGGACGCACTTCGAGAAGCCGATGAGAAGCGAGAGAGTGCGCTGGAAGATCAACACCAAATGCATGAAAAGAAACTCAATGACCTTCGTGATCGCCACACACGAGAGCTGCATAACTCATTCGACAACCGGACCAGATTGGAGCATCAGCTCAACGAAAGATTAAGCTTGAGCGACGATAAAGTGAAGCACTTAGAAAGAAAAGTGGCCGATCTTGAGGAAAGATTGGAAATCACCAAATCAGCTGCCAGAGCCGCTGTGGAAGCCGCAACAGCCAAAGGTGTCAACTTACCCACTCCCGCTCCTTCAGTTGTGGCATCACCACCACAGCGTGCTGCAAGTGCTTCAATGTCGTTTGCGAAAGGCTCTGAGGTTCCAGAAAAAATCTCTCCTCAAGCTCTTCGTGAATCTATTATGGTCTTGCAAGATCAGTTGCAGAACCGTGAGCAGAAGATCGAACAATTAGAATCTCAACTCGCCGAAGTGGACCGAGAAGCTCCCAACAAGCTCAAGGAGCGTGATACGGAAATCGGCTGGCTTCGTGAGCTGCTCAGCGTCCGGATTGATGATCTCGAGGATATTATCAATACTGTATCACAGCCTGACTTTGACCGTATCACGGTCAAGGATGCTGCAATCAGACTGAAGGCAAATCTACAAATGGAGCAACAGCTCAAAGAACGTGCTGCTTCAGGACTGACCAGCTCCTTCCCATCAATATCAGCACTACAAAGTTATGCCCAATCTCCCCGTGCTCTCCCTATGGCGGCTGCTGCAGCCTGGGGCAATTGGCGACGAGCTAGAGACTCCTCGATTGGTGCAATATCTGACTTGGCCACTAATACTGGGAATCAGACCCCTTCAAGATCTACAATTGGAAGCCCAGCAAGTTTCCTCTCGGGAATCATAACTCCACCAAGTACGAGTCAAAAGCAATCTGCATCGAATGAGGTACCTATTCTACCGCCGACTATGAAGCCACTCGCAGCCCACGTTCAAGCCCGAAAAGCTGGATCCGAAGCCAGACCACTGAGATCGTATAGTTCGCAGCCAAGGGCATTGTCCAGCAGGCAACTAGAAAATCGCCCCGAAAGCTCGGAGTCACAGTCTCATCCTCAACCTAGGTCTCAGTCGCCACACACCCCGATCCAATTTAGTCGGCCGAGCCTTGATTTGGCTGAAGACGTCGATGAAGATGCTTCACCCCTTGAAAGGAAGGATACACGACATCTCGAGGAGGCCGAGCCACTCGCTGAATGATCTCATCCATTCCCATGAATTTTCACGTTTTTCATTGACCGTTTTACCATCGTTGAAGTTTAATGGGCAGAGAGACAAAAGTCACAGGATGAACCTGCAGGAGGAAGAAGCTGGAGAGGAGGTGCATACGCATGTTCCATAATACCCCTTGTCGATCATTTGATTTCTATTTTCGAATATTTTATTTTTCCTTTGTCTTGATTATAGATGGGGATCGGATTCTCATTTTGTCTTGTCCACTCGCAGAGTCCGAGTCAAAGGGGGACTCATATGGAAACTTTCTCCTTCTGGCTTGCACATATATTGCTATTATTGTCGACCCTACCTGCCTGAGGCGAGAATGAACTGTGAAAACTGTGAAAGAAGAAACCCAGAATGAGTGTGTGTCCGTGTACTTGTGGAAGAATCAGATTGTCAGATAACGTTGGACGGGCAGAAGCAGAAGCAAAAAGAGAGCCACACAACATCAAATACTCTCCCCCCTCCTGCCTATCTATATATCCCTGCCTTTGTTTGATGAATACCTAATGCCCCTCTCTGCTTTTGACGCTTTCGTTTTTATCAATTTGTATCTGCTTTTTGGATTTGGATTTGGCGACTGGATCGGTCTGGACGGATGATTAGTTTATTCCATATACCCCCCCAATTGCGTTTGCTTCCTCTTGTCTATGTGCTAGCGGTCGAGACTGTTGTCTTGAGACTTTTCGATATATAGATTATATAGCGTTGGCGCGCTGAGACGCTTGCTCACTTACTCGGCCGCTTGCTGCGCGGTGGCCAGAATGCAACCGTTGATCTAAATTCAATATGACCAAATCAATATCTTTTCTAAGTGCCATTCCAGGAAAGAGAGCCAAGGGAGGACAAAGATCAAAATACAATAAACCTGATGACAGGTACGTTCTTCGCAGATAAATATCTGGCTGAGGCGTGGCACATATACTAACGTAACTCGGCTCTTTGCTGTTGTCTACACATGCAATGGCTTCTCCATAAACTTGTTTCAAGTTTGACTTCTAGAGGCTTTACTTTTCCAGTCCATCTATTTACCTATGCATAGGAGTCGGGAGCAGTTGTGAGATAGATGTTCCGAAATGGTAAGTACAATGCAAGGAGTAGGGAGAGAGTGAATCAGACTCGAGGCCCCTCAACAATACAAATCAGAATCACAAGCCTGACCTCCCGCGTGCTCGTCTTCTTCCGACCCGAGGAACCTTACCGACCTTTTTCATTCTACCCAATCGGTCACGAGCGCCAAACTTTGAATACTCTCTTATCGTCCGTCCCCCTTTGGTCTTGATTTTCGTCTCCGGATCGGTGAGTACATCTTCCCAGTCCCTCAATGTGTCTGATTCCTCATCCGTCAGGCCTTCGTACCCAGAAGCTTCCGCCTCAAAGGCTGAGTGGGAGCGCGTGTTTGCTTTCTTAGACGGTTGTGCTGATTGTCGGGCTTCCATTCGAGCTTGTGCTTTCGCTTTCGAAGGCGGCATGGGATTGAGTTTGCTCTCGTCAAAGTCGCTGAATGTGAAGGATTGGATTCCCGCCCCGCCTCCACTGGATGCTGCTGAATTTTCATTGGTCCTCGGCTTCACCTTTGTGGGCGGCTTGTATTTGGATTTTGAGACCTCTTGGGCCTTCTTGCCTAACGCCTCAAGCTCATCGGCAAAGTTATGGTCATCCATACCGAATGCTCTCTCAAGTTCCCGTTCTTCTTCAAGTTCTTCGAGCTTCTCCATTTCCATTTGCTCCGCCATTTCCGCCGCTTGATTCTTCAGTCTTTCCTCACGGCTTCTGGCGTGCCTTGCCTCCTTCGTATTGGGTCCACCAAGCCGCAAGCTCCGAGGGATACGGGTTTTGGCTCCTAGTGCCCATAAATCACCCCATTGCGATTTGCGCGCGTCCCGGTAAGCCTGCTTGCCAAACGATTTGGGAACGGTCCATCGCTCAATTTGGCCTGCGGGCGTACAGACATCGAGAATGACGTGGCCGCGACGTTTTATGGGAGTAAAGACGAGGCGAGGAAGATTCCAAGGTGCAGGTAGAGTTGAACGAGGCATGTCATCAGACAGAGATTGACTGAGAGTGGTGTCAGGGTTGATGTCGTCGAATCCTGTTTGGCAAAGGCTCGCCCAGGCATCGTAGTCTTGGCCCAAAACTTGCAGATCGGGGTGGACAGGTGCAGAAAGCCCATCTTCGAGGCCTTGCCATGATTCAACTTGACGCTGACGAAGATCTTCTCCTCTCATGACCGAGATGTACGAGAAGTCCACGTCGTCGTGGTTACGATCTTTTGCACCAAGGACCCGCTGAAGATAGCCGGGACGGGTGTATCTTTGCTGAAAGCTGCAATAATCCTTGCGACCCACTGATAAACCAGGAACTTTGTACATTGGGCACTTTTCATGATTTGTGCAAGGGGCGACTATCATACCGGTCTCTCGGGTGTGAATGTCTTCATTTTCATGGGTGGTGCTATAGCCAGTTGTTCTTCCTTCTGGGATTGCAATGTATCTTTCCAGAATGAGTTCTCGGGCACCGGCAATTGCCTCAAATCCACGAGGAACGCCTTTCTCGATCAAGATCAATACTCCTCCCTGAGGACTGAGCATAGACCATAAATTTTGAACGTGCTGCTTCCTCATCCAGTCTTCATGTAGTCCGAAAAGAGAATGCGACGCAATGATCACATCGAATTGTTTCCGTGGTGGTGCTGGACGATCATCTTCTAAAGTGGGTGTATCGCGAGTGTGAACATAGTCGGGGAGTCGCGGGATGAATGTTGTGTTCTCTAAAAGTGCCGCTGCTCGACGTCTCAACGTATTTGAACCCGTCAGAACCACCGACTTGGACGTGGGAGGAGATGGAGGGTGGCGATCAGAAGAGTGCAGGGTATCCCAATGAGCCTTGACGATTTCACGCCAGGCAAGAATACCTGCTCCTCCTGCTCCAACATCCAGTATACGAGGACCGCCTTCCTCGGCAAATAGTTTATTCAGCCACGTTGTTCCCAATCGCTTGCGGGTTTCCACCAAGACCGACATGATGGCCGCGTAAGTAGGGGGCATGACGGTAGTAATAAAAGCATTCGCCTCCATTTCACCCATTATATGTTGAGAAGCATCAAGCGGGATAGGAATTTGCGGTCTTGCCCGCCCCGATCTGGGCGTCAATGGAGAATCAGGAAGTCCAGGTCCACCAAAGGTTTTCTCGCACACGTCCTTTAGATGTTTGTTGGAGAAATTGCTCATGATTTTTTGTACTGGACGCATATAGCCGTCTTGAGAGAGAAAAACAGTGCTGGGTTTGGTAGAGAATTTTCCAAGCGTGGTGAATGGGTGTCTCTTCATACTCGAATCTTCTTGATCGACATCTTCAACGACTTCACCGTCCACCGTTCGAGCGACCTCTATCGCTCTGTCCACAGGAGAAGACAGGAGGGCCGAGATTGAATCACGGGGTCCAAAGTCGATGCCGATGTCGCCGTGTGCAGGTGTCGGTCGTTGCATATTAGACCTTGTGTCTCCCAAAACATCCTCGTTCTCTGCGACAGCTTCTGATACCTCCTCGAGGTCAACAGGCTCTCCTTCTTGGGTCAAAAGTTGGTTGGGTACCTCTTCGTCCACATCGGTAGCCTCCTCTTCATCAAGGAATTCTTCGTACGCCGTGGAGATAGGGTCTCCGTACAGTCGCCTGTAGATCTTGAATTCATCTTCATTGAGCACACCAGCAGGCAGCCGGTCACCGTACAGTTTTCTGGCCTTTCTGACGAGCTCTTCTTCAGACACCCCAAGTGCTCGTAAGTCTGCCAACACATTTTTCGTCCCCCGAACAATGTTTTCATAATTGTTTTCAAGGCTTAGTTCTTCATCTGGGTCGAAATCATTCGATTCTTTGCCCAATACTTGATCCTGTTCGATTGCTTCCTCGATAGATCGACCCAAGGCTTTCTCCAACTCTTGCAGTGCTTCCAACTGGTCTTGGATCGTGTCAGCCTCAGAAACCGGTTCAATTTCATACGGCGTATCTCGTCCTTGGTACTCTGGAGGGGGTGGCCGTTCGAAGGCAATGGAGCTCCTTGTGTAGGATCTGAATTGTTGTCGGGATTTGACAGTTCTGCGCCATTGACAGGGCGCAGTTCGAGTCTTCAAATTGACAACGGGTCCGCAAAATCCTCTTTCAAAGATGTTTTGAAGGTCCTGCCGACATCCATGGCATAGGCCTGATGCCCTTGCCCAAGATAACATTCTTCTCAGTTTGCTGACCTTGTTGCGGGTGTTGCAAACCTTTGGACCAATCCTATTCAAATTATTAAAAAAAATTTATCAACGGCCCCCTGGCTTGAACTGTGGCGAATCAAAATCTTTGGAAAATTCGAAATGTCAGACATCTCATTTCACATCAAACAAACAAAGCATTGACAGTCAGACACTTCATCCTTTTCGCCCCATGGCCGATGTGCTTGCTTCTTCGGCCATTTTACTACTGCCGCGACGGAGGAGTTGTCTATTTCTGATCGTCACAGCATAGCAGTCATCCATGGCTGCCACTCCCGGTGCGGAGAAACTTGCTGGATAATATCTGAAAAATTGGTTCTCGAGCAGAGAGAACCGCCAGCCCATCAACCTGCCCCATGAATTTGATCATATTGTCTATTTACCAAGATCTGAGATCGATCATTCTGCAACCCGATTATAGCTTTTGCTTGAACGGGAAGGGGAATATGCTGTTTCCGACATACCGCTGGAAATACCGACCTCGGTGCCGAAGCAGAAAGACAAGCGGACAAAATCAGCTGACGACCTGTTTAGCCAACTGGACTCCACGGCATAGGGATGAGGATCTTGCTCTTCATCGTCTGAATGAGTGGCACCGTTTTGTGAACAGTATCACCCCAACCCTCAACCCCCCAAGATTGTTCCCGTCTCAACTTTCGTTCCTCCAAATCGGCAAATTGCCACAGATGATGCACGGTATTGAGATCTCCGATTTGTACAAACCAAGCTCCAACACCTTCCATTACTTCTCGTCGTATTTTGAGTCCTTTTCTCCAATGAGTCTCCCATTCCAATAAGTTTCCAGGATGAAGGGTGTATGATCGTAGCTCGAAGAGTCCGCCGAGTTTTCGCGGTGGAGTGGTTGGCCAAAATGAAAATTCTTGCATAAGCGATACCTTTTTAGAGTTGATGAGCGTCTTTAGTTTCCGGTCAAATTCCGGAAATCCAGGATGGTGCGAGATGCTATGCAAAGAGGCGTGGTAGCCAGTGTATCGTTGGTATTCCCAGATGTGTACTGTAGACACTCAGTTAATTTGAAGACTCAAATGAGGGAAAGGTGCATACCAAAAGTGTCACAATCTCCAACTTCCGTTCTCCAGCTACCGACCAGATGGACTTTGTTTTCCGGAATGTTGGCCATCTTGGGATACCAATTGCCAACAAGCTGGACATACTCATCTACCTTATCGGGTTTGACATCATGGAAAACGATCGAATGCACATATTTGCCTCTAGCTAATACCTGCGAAAACGACCTTTCCATCTCTTTGTCAAGCTGTTGACCTTCGGGTGTCCCATAAATGAAGCTAGAGAGTTTGCCCGATCGCCTCGCAGAGGTGTCTGTTTCGGCTTGTCTTGCTTCTTCTGTAATGGGAGCAGTAGAAAGTGAGCCCAAGCCCAGAGATCGAAACACACCAGAAGCACTGGGGGATGAAGAAGACGCAGAGGCAGCAAGTAACTGACTATCAGCTTGTTCCTTTCTCTTCTTAGCCGCTTCAAGTCCATCTCGAAATTCCTTCTGCTTAGTATTGAACGCATCAGCTCCATCAGGAGTGATGTCGCCCAATCCAGGGGATCGAGGAGGCTCCCTGCATAGTGCAGAGCTGGTGAAGGCACGAAGGAGAAAGGTGGCTTGAGGAGAGGAGAGGGGCAATCGGCGAGGAAGCATGCCTGCAGTATTCGGGAGAGATGTGCTCCAAAGACAAATGAGAAAGGTCGCTCGAGAGGTAGATATATGGTAAAACCTGTTTGTAGATTATCCTCTCAGTGTTGTTTAGCTTGTTGTTTTGTCTGCGAGGGTCGCACGAATAGAGGGATTCGAGGTACCACGCGAGCAGAGGGGGTATTATACCGGGGAAAGCCCCAATGGTTCGAAATCTGCGGAATGTTTTAGGGCGTTGGACAAGGGCAGGTTCGGTGGTGATGACTAGTTGGGGGTTGTATTCATTGTGATTGGAAGCGTTGGTGCAGGTGCAAGGTAAAAGAAGGAGAGGGGAGCGTGGCATCGACGTCAGAAAGCGGAGGCTGGCGCAGCTGTGAGGACAGTCTACTTTGCGGGGCAAATGCACACCACTGGGCAACCCCTTCCCGATAGCACATGTGACGAAACGTACCGTATTCTTGGTCTTCATCTCAGAGAATTTGTTTGAATGGTTCCCACACTTGTCTGGGTGTTTTTGGGCAACCATGGCAGAAGGTCATCATCCTCCTCTCAATTACGAAGCATCCGCTACCACCACGCATCCTTTGGTATCATCCTCCCTCCCGCCAGAAGTCTCCCAATGCCTCAAGAATTCTCGCTTCCTCCACCTGGCAACGATATCTGCCACCCAGACCTCGCCGCCAACACCGCATGTTTCGTTGATGAACTATACATTCCTCCCCTCTTATAATGAACACGGACCGGTTATCATTATGACCACCAATGCTCAATCCATGAAAACACAAAACCTGATGCATAATCCAAAGGTTTCACTCTTGGTGCATGACTGGGTTTCACATCGACCACCAACGGCATCTTCGGTAATGGGTGCACGATCCGGAAGTCCACCCGCGGCTGCTACCAGGTCAAGTTTGGCCAGTCTCCTTTTGAACCTGAACACATCTGCCCTGAGTTCGATATCTACTACCATCGCCGGTGAAGCCAGGTTCCTGGAACAAGGTAGTGAGGAGGAGAAATGGTGTAAAGAGGCCCATTTGGCCAACAACACGTTCGGGGACCAGGCGAGAGAAGAAGCAGGGCTGTTTGGAGAGCAACCGCTAAATCCTGAGGGAAACAGCAGTTGTTACATTGAAGGTGATGATGTGAGAGTTGTCCTTGTGCCTGTGCGAGAAGGAAGGATAGCGGATTGGAAGGGAGGGGTTAAAGACTGGGTCGTGGTCAATGACCCTTCAGCAGCCAGCACGGGAGATGCCGCCACAAATGAGAGAGGTCGAAGTAATGGTCAACCCCTCGTTAATGGGATTATTGATTGAGCATCCAATTTTTCTTTTTTGGGCCATTGCCCAAGTGAATCAAAGAAAATATGGCGGAGGTATGACATCTCAATCGGGGCGTCGCGTACTGGAGCACATGGCACAGGGGCCTCACCTCGGACCACAGTGCGGCGTATCAACAAAATAAATCCCGCTATGATCTCTTCCAACTTCCCTGTCTAAATCTTGTCCCAGAGAACGCCGATTCATAATGCCTCCACCTTTCCCAATAAGAGGCCGCAACAAAAACTGTATTGCTAGATCCAAGGAAATTGCTTCACCCCCAAAAAACACGACAACTGGAACGAGGCGGAGCGAGGGTATTTACATGAGAAGGTTCGGCGGGTTTGAAGAGACGTGGTTGCGGCCTCGGACCATTCCTAGAGATGGAATCGCGAGAGAAGGTGCAGTCGAGGAAAGTTGACTGTTGTATTTCCTTCACATGACTGTACATTTGGAGTCTTCTTTTGATCTAGTGGGTTTGACCTGAAGCGCGACTCTAGCGGCCTCTGTAAAAGCTTCATTGACTCCACGATTTCGCATGGCAGAGCATTCTGTCACCGAGTTAGAGCTTTGGTTCTTTTTGTATGCTTCAGTCGAGGGCGTACCAAGATACCGTAATGCGCCAATGCGCCTCGCAACCTCTAGACCCTCATTATATTGAATCATAGGTCTTGAGGGGGTACCAGTTTCGTCGTCGTCATCTTTCTCGTGCTCTTCACGCAAGTCGCACTTCAATGCGCAAAGCACAATCTTGACGCCAGGGCAGTGTTCATTGATCTCGGCAATCCATTTCGTGCTCACGTTCTCTAATGATCCTCGATTATCGACCTTGCAAAGCATCTCGTAAGCTTCACTATCTTGTTGAACTGCGAAAGGACGGCTGGAAGGTTGAGGGCCATACACTAAAGCACAGCATTATCGCCTGGGTATCGTCATAAGACAGCGACCGCAGTCGATCGAATTCCTCTTGCCCCGCAGTGTCCCACAATGACAGTTCCATATGTATGTTGTCGACGAAGATATCATGGACATAGTTCTCGAATACGGTGGGCTCGTAGACCGTCTGCAAGTTCAAGGTTTAGCACGTGCAAAAATTGGGTGAGAGTGATTTCTCGGAAGCCAAAGGAAAATCCAACCGCGAAGAAAAACGAACCGGAAAGAATCCGCGCGTGAAGACATTAAGCAGACTTGTTTTCCCACAAGCACCGTCTCCGAGGAGAACGAGCTTACGTTGGACGACTTTGCTACCACCGCAGAGACGCATGAGTGTGTGTTTTCTCGGACGTGGATGGTTTTGTTTATGGCGATGCGAGGACTGGAGATATGCCGCAGGCTAGCCGGCCGAGGAGGGTCCCAGATAAGACCAAAACGAACGTCGCCGGAGGGCTTTTAGTAGATGGGAACAAGTATAGGAAGAAGAGGTTTGGTAAGGCTAGGGGGGAGGCAGAAGCGAAAGAACTGAGGTATGAGTTCGTGGAGAATAGATCGGTGAAGACGATCGAGATAGTCGAACGTAGATCCAAGAGAAAGATGAAATCAGAGAGGGTCGCAGTTGTCGTCGTTGGACGTTGAAGTTGAATGGCCAGGTAGTGGCGCTGGCACTGGGCACTGGCGTGCAGCTTGGTAGAAACCGGACACGTTTACAAGGCCTCCAGTGGAGTTGGCGGGTGGGTTTGGAGAGTGAGCGGGGCTGCTCATAAAAGGCCCGTGGCGATGCATTCGAGCGGAGACATGCCTGTCAATCTGTACAAGTCGAATGACCTGGGTCGCCACCCATCAGCTCACGAGCCGGGCCAACGCCTGCACTGTGCCCCTGCGAATGCACACCCGGCCGCGCCTCTCCCCCTCCCCAGCTAGCACTTGCGAAGCGAGCCTGGGATGCACATACTCACAGCAGACGACCCTTCACCAATGAGACCAGAACGAGAGCGATGATCTTTGTGTCCATTTTTATTCGCCTACCTCCATTTCTGCAGTCGACTTTAGGCGAGAGTAAGAGTTCTCGACAAGTACCATCAGTGCATATTGGGGATTCTCCTCTTTCGTTAAATCGAACCGACTAACCGTTCAATGAATGCTTCAATATTAGCCCCGAGCTTTCATCATGGAGGCCTCCGGAGACGGCTGCTGGCACACAAAAAGACCCGCCCCACCATCAAGCCATCATAAGAGTACGAAACTCCTTCACTCAGCCTTTGCTTCACAGCCACGATTCCTTCGAAATCTGCTCGCCACCACGAAGGTGAGATAGTAACAGCATGTGGAGATTCTGTCAGCGAGACACAATGCATACGTAAAGAAAAAGCTTGTCACAGGGCTTTTTGTCTCGCTTGACCTTTGCCACTCTTGAGCTATCAGATTCTCCGGCTATAGGCAGCGCGATATATGGAGGAAAACAGAAAGGGTGGTATGGATACTTCAAATGTGGCACTTGAAGTTTGGCCGTACATTCCCATTTCACGGCATCGGTTCCGGGTCGGGAAGCGAACTATCACTGGTTGCACCAGCCAATCCATCATACCAGAACGAAAATCGGATAATAAAAGGCCAATTCAAACAAACGAAATGAAACAGCACCAGGAATGTTTTTCTTGACCGCTCAATCGATGAACTTGGAAAATCGGGGGTTTCCCTTTTTTTTTAATCTTCTGTTCATCTAGCCCTTCTGCTGGGTCTCGGTCTCTTTCAACAAGTCCAGCATTCATGCTCGAAATCCCCTCGATTTGTGTTGGCAAATATCTCGATTGACGACGCCTCAATCCATGCAATCGTAACTTCTCCACAACCGAGACGTGTCCGCATCTAGTCTTCAATAATGTTACCCCTCTCGCTCACGTACAGACCATCCAAGAATTTTCGGATATCTTTGTTTCGTACTCTGCAGATTTGTTGCACGTCGGCAGCTGATTGCGAGACGTTTTCGAGGCTGTTGCCTGTGAGTTCGATTTGGTCCTTGACACCTTTGGATGCCTCCACAGTGACGCCTTCGAGCATTGTGACGTGACGAACGATCTTCTCGCCCAAGAAATTTCTGTTGTAAGAAAAGCTAAATTAGTATCTTGCTTGACTCCGTCTTGGTTTTCTTCCCTCGTCCTCAAAATAATGTGTGGGCATTGCTCAATGCATACCTGATCTCAAGATGGTACAGTCCCTCAGGATTCTTCTCAATGTTGACGTTGATGGGAAAGTGAGCGTAGACATATCGCATCTTGTACTTGTAGCCCTTGGTGACACCGGTGATCAAGTTCTCGATGATTGATTTCACGGTTCGGAGGGCTGCGACGTTCTTTCGTGAGCCATGGTGGATTTCGATTTGCACGAGCTGTTGACCTTTCTTGCTCTTAGGGAGGGAAAAGGTGACAGCGATGTGTGATAGATCTTTAGTGAGTTTGCCTGCAAGAATCGCAATCAGTTAAAGTCCCTTCCATCTTCTCTGTGTTCCTGCGCTTGCGAACTGAGGGATGGCTGCTCCGTCCGTACCTCGTGGGCCCTCGACGGTGACGATTCGAGAGCGGATGTGGATTTTGACTCCCTCTGGGATGACCAGCTGCTCCTGCGAAAAGATGTACTTCATCTTGAACAGTGGTGCCAGGTGATTGTGTTGAGTCTGCTCAAACTATCCGGCTTTTGTGGGATCGCAATGGTAAATTGAAGCCAAAAAAGTGAGGCCGCCAAGCCTCAGGATTTGTGCGAGTTCTTGGCAGAAGTTTCACCGATTGGGGCCTTGCGGAGAAAGTTCTCCCTCTCTACCAAGTATTGTGGAAGCTAGACAGGTTGAAATTTCGATTCCTAACTCCGACACTGGGGTATCTCGTGCTAATGCGAAACCTTTCATCAATTTGCCTGGCCATTTATCATCCCGATCGTCGAGTTTGCGCCAGCAATTGGGCAATGGTGGGATCATCATCGTCGACTTGGATTCCTTGCTCACGCAATGCGTTCCTATACCTCCGCTTCAAGCCTTCCTCGTCTTCCTCGTCCTTCTCAGCGTCAGGATAATCATCCGGGTCATTATCATCTTCCTCCTCCTCGTCCGATTCATCCGTCTCGGTAGGCTTCCTTGATGTCGTTGGTCTTTCGTTCACGTTCATATCCCTCATCACTTTCGTTAGATCTTGTTCTCGTGTGCTGGCGCCTTCCTTTTCTCGCTCTTTTCGTCTCTTTTCTAACTCTGGTCTGTAATCTCTTTCGAACTCCTTCCTCTTTTCCTCGACAGCATCAAAGAAATCGTCAATGCCGTCCCCAGTCATACTCGACACTGCCACCATATTCAGATGAGAATAGAACTCTTCCAGCATCAAGCTCATGCTGTCGAGGAAACTGCCCATGTAGCCACTCCCGCCGAAACCTTCACCTCCAAAGACACCTTTGTTCTGCTCTTCGCGAAGCGCTTCTTGAAATTTCTCGAAATCAGTCATCCACTCTCTTGCAAACTCCGCGTCCTGAACATCTGTCTTGTTGAAAACAAGAATCATCGGCAATTTCGTCTTGTACAGTATTGAGCATGCGTAGAGCATGTTGGACATGAAGGTTGAGGTCGAAGAGGTACGTGGGGTATCGATAATATACGCGATTACGGTAGGGAAGGAGGATGCAAGTGATTCTAAGAGGATGCTGCCAGAAGCTGACCAAACAAAGACCTCGATCTGACCGGGTGTATCAATCAAGAAGTGTTTGGGCGGTATGATCGAGCTTTCTGGTCCAGGCTGTGCCCGTTTCTCTAGTAGAGCAATGATTTGATCGATCTTTGTTGCAAACAAGTTCAGAGATGTGAGGATGCCACCATTTGGACCAAGATTGTATTGTTTCATGACCTCCTTGTAGTTGACGCTGTCACGAATGTCAATATTAGGCTGAAAGGGAACATTCAGGACAGCTGGATCAAGGTTGAGCACGTATGGTTTCTTCTTATTCACATGCAGGTAATTATTTATTCTCTGCATGAATGTCGTCTTGCCCGAACCTGTCTATCGTCAGTCCCTGCTTCTGAAGTCGTGAGAACAGTTACGTACCCGCCATGCCAATACAGACAACGGCCACCGGAGAAGTCGCCATATTGCCTGGAAAACCTGCGCGTTCCTAGATTGATTGGAAATTGTGAGATATTGGGAACGGCGGAGGAGGGGAAGTGATGCAGAGCCTTTTTGTTGGAGAAATTTTGGAGCCGCAATCGAACCACGCAGCCTGCCGTTGAGAGCTTCGTTTTTCACTGCCACCCAAAACAAGCAAATCCGAGAACCCAGCGAGTCCCTCAAAATGACATTGGAGGATTTTGAAAAAGAGTTGGCAGAGCAGAAAGAGTCGGAGAGACGTAGAAAGGTGCGCAGAGAGCATGAAAAATCAGAACATCGACATCACAGACACCATCACCACCATCGAGGTTCCAGACACCATGATTCCCACTATGATGAAGACGGTCACCGGTCAAAGAGATCAAGACATTCGAAAGATGAAGATACATCAGAAAGCAGACATCGGCACAGACATCACCGGAGGAGCAGGGTAGAGGAGGACCACGATGGCGAAGAAAAGCATGCTTCGTCAAGGCCTGACCTGGGTGAATTGAAGCGCGATTCTTGGATGGAAGCGCCTTCAGCATTGGATATCGACTATGTGCAGAGGAAAATACCTGAGCCGTCGCCTCCAAAGACCACTTCGCTAGAAGCCGACTTTGAGTTGAAATTGCATGAAAAAGAGCTCAATTACCATCTACGGGATTTACGCAATGGAAGAGCGGTTGATAATCTGGAATATGAGCTGCCGGCTACGCACGAGGTTGACTACGTATTCGGTGATGCCGGTTCACAATGGCGGATGACCAGACTCAAAGCTGTATACCGACAAGCGCAAGAGTCTGGCCGTAAAGTCGAAGATGTTGCCCTGGAGCGCTACAATAACCTCCGCGAGTTTGACGATGCCCGAGAGGAGGAAATTGAGCTTGATCGACGGAAGACATATGGGAATGACTACGTGGGCAAGGACAAGCCGAGCGGTGAACTTTTCCAGGAACGCAAAATGGACGCTGGACACAGACGACCTCATCCACAGGACGCAGAGACGAGTCATGACACAGTGTCGGAGCTAATTCCCGTTCCGTCCTCCAACAACAGTCTTCCCTCGCAGAAAATCGATCAGACAACCCTCAATAAGCTGAAGGCGCAACTCATGAAGGCACAGCTCCGGAAAGATCCTAAGGCTGCGGATCTTGAAAAAGAATACAACGAGGCTTTGACGGCGATGTCCCAACAACATCCCACCGTCATCACGCTCTCCGCGATGGACAACCGCATGCTCTCTTCCGCGCCCAGAAATGAAGTTAGAGCGGTTCAAAATCGTCGTGGTGCGGAACGCGGCCAAGTCGAAGAGAATGAAGATATGAGCATCGAGGACATGATTCGTGAAGAACGTCGTACACGAGGCCAAACAGGAGGCGAAGGTCAACGTCTAGCAGAACGGATTGCCAAGGATGGCAAATTCGACAATGACCTCGAATACCTCGATGAGAACGCCGCGAAGCTGGCGAAGCGTGTCCACAAATCTGACACAAACCTCCGCAACATCGCCATCAACGAGTATCAAAAACTCAACAAAATCCTCGACAACTGCCCACTTTGCCATCACGAAGACACCGACACTCCTCCCATTGCGCCCGTCATCTCCCTCGCGACAAGAACTTATCTGACGCTACCTCCTGAACCCGAACTCTCGCCTCAGGGCTCTATGATTGTCCCAATACAACACCGGACCAATCTCCTCGAATGCGATGACGACGAGTGGGAAGAGATCCGCAACTTCATGAAATCCCTGACGCGACTGTACCACGATCAAGGGCGCGACGTGATCTTCTACGAGAACGCGGCGTTTCCACACCGAAAGCCGCACGCCGCACTAACCGTAGTCCCGCTACCGTATAACCTGGGGGAAACGGCGCCGGCGTTCTTCAAAGAAGCCTTCCTCACTACAGAGGAGGAGTGGAGCCAGCATAAGAAGATCATCGACACGTTGGCGAAGGCCCGGCAGGGAGGGTTAGGCAAGCTTGCGTTTCGCCGCAGCTTGGTCAAGGAGATGCCATACTTCCACGTCTGGTTTGAACTAGATGGCGGGATCGGGCATGTCGTGGAAGACGCGGAGCGATGGCCTCGTGGAGATTTATTTGCAAGAGAAATCATTGGGGGCATGTTGGGGTTGGAGCCCGATGTCATCAAGCGACAGGGTCGGTGGCATCGAGGAACGGACAAAAGGGTCGAGGGATTCAAGAAGGTCTGGAGGAAGTTTGACTGGACTAGGATTCTTACGCAGGGGAATGCATAGAAGTGGTTCTAGTGCTAGTACTGTGATATTGAAACGAAGACCTTTTCTTGCGAGTCTCGATGTTCTTTATTGTTACTATTTTTCTGTCCCTGTTCACACCTTGCCTTTCTACGCCATGGTGAAAAGCCCTCAAAGTACTCCCATTTTAGAGGTTCTGGAAGATAACACCTAGTTTTCCCGTGATATTAAAGTGCTTTCGACTCAGTCTGCATGATTAGCAATGGCCAGGTACTCAAACCCCACTCCTGATACCGTGGAGCTTTTCTGCTTCAAGCATAGCGGGACCATGCAGAGCACGCTGAACATCTGGCCGAGTCTTTCTATGGCTATATTTCCTTGTCTCTTTGATTCAACCTGAGGACGGCCTTTCTGAAACCCCAGTTCTAGCATATCGAAATGGGCGACTTGCTTGACAAGCGGTGGCCCCTGTGTTCGTGGCCCTTGCCATTATGTCCCAACCACTGCAGCCATAAACTTGGCAGACATGGAAGCAACTATGGCGATTGTCCCGGTTGTTGACCTTCAATGGCGCAAAGTCAGAAATTTTGGGTAGACAGGATTTGTCTCTCCTTCAGCTCATGTCAATAATCATTGTCCCTGGTTCTTCAAGGTACTTCTGTACAGCACTGGCCATTCTCGCCATAGCCGCTCCATCGACGACTCGATGATCGGCACTCCAGCTCAGGTTGACCATCTGAGCAGGCTTCACAGTCACACCGTCTTCAGCGTAGATCGGGACAGTCTTGACTTTACCTACGCCCAGGATGGCCAGCTGCCCTTCCACAATGACAGGTGCCACAACCTCGCCTCCGATGTTGCCAATGTTGCTGACTGTGATAGTGCCCCCGGTGAGGTCGTTATTGGAAAGCTTGCCAGCTTGGCCGAGTTGTGAGAGGCGTTGAATCTCCTGTGCAATAGAAGTAATTGATCTGGCATTGACGGCTTTGATGACTGGCACGATGAGACCATTGGGGGTGTCCATTGCTATGCCGATGTTATGGATGGACCGCATCATCAGTTGCGGTTTCTTCGGATCTATGCTAAGATCTAATCGTGCATTGAGAAGCGGATATTGATTCATGGCCAGAGAAACGGCTTTGATGATGAAAGGGAGGTACGAAAACCTAGGAGTCGTTTCGGAGTTTCGGACGGCATTCAGCCTCGCTCGCATCGAGGCGAGGTTGGTGATGTTGGCTGTGTCGGAATAGAGGAAGTGTGGGATATTTAGAGATGCGGTCATGCTCTTGAACATGGCTGATTGGATCGGGGTTAGCTTCTGTGCCGTCTCTGTCTGTTTTGCATCGAGTTCTGGTCTGAACGGTGCTGACAGTGGAGGAGTGACTTGAGCAGAGCTTTGGTCGAGATATCTGTATACGTCTTCTTTTAGAACGCGTCCGTCCTTGCCAGTCCCGTTGATGTCTTCGATCGCAAGACCATGTTCCTTGAGCAACCCCCTGACCGCAGGCGTAGCAAGAGAAGTATGCTTGCCTGGTGATTTGGTCTCCGAAGGTGCTTGCATGTCCGTAACCTCCTCTTGAGCAATGGCTCTGCCACCCTCTGCTGCCTGTTCGACACTAGCAACTTCAGTGGAGCCTCTCGTCTCCTGCTCCGTAAGTTCTTCCAATTCTGCATCTCCTTCCACTTCAATGTCAACCATGGCGTCTCCCACTTGTGCCACGGCATCTTGTGCAAAATAGATTTTCTTGATCACTCCACTAAACTTGGAGGTAATCTCGACGGAAGCTTTATCGCTCTGGACTTCGCAGAGAGGACTCCATTCTTCGATTGGGGCTCCCTCCTCGACGAACCACTGGATGATCTGAACTTCCTTTACGCCCTCCCCGATATCTGACAATTTATGAGTTTCTGTCCTATCCATTCGTACAGAGGCATGGAATAGCCTGTTTGTGGGAAAGAAGGGAGAGTTTCGAAGTCCCATCCCGGGGTTCTTGCGTTGAACAGAGCCTTGGAGAAGCCGCGAGGCTTGCGGTAAAGGTAGAAATTTCATGATGGGTTGTTGCCTTTGCTATTAGGCAGCAGTACGGGAGGAAGAGTGTCAGGGACTCATACTGTGACCAAGTATTTGTGTGGAGGAGACTTGACTTCGAGACGATTGAGACATCTGGAGACCCGTTACAACCGAGGATAACCGCGCTGCCAGAACCGGATCCCCGACTTCGCTTCCTCCAACGCCCGGGGTAGGGTTTTCCGATGTACCCGTTCTGACTAAGCGAGTCGTCTTATAGCAACCACCAAAGCTCCTTTTGATGACCATTGCGTGCAATAAACCACAAGAATTCGACGAACAGCGGGATTGATTCGTAAATAGCTCCTACTCTGAGCAGCTGCATATCCTGAAAAGGATCTGTGCTGACATCCCTTCTACCCTCGTGGCTTCTCAAAAGACAATGGGAGTAGCTAATGACGGGAAGATCTGAGTCAAAATAAACCAATGATCCGAAATCTGTCTCTTGAGACCTTCCTGTTTTGACGGAAATAGAAAATTGCTTAAGATTGTTGCAAGATTGCAACGGATACAAGGCTGGCAATCTCTCAACAGGAGCGAAGTCTTGCCAAATGGGAACTATTTATCTACAAAGCCCTTCCAATTCGGCCCGCAGCACATTGAAATCTTCTTCACTCAATTCTCCTAGCAGCTGATTGGACTATCTGTACTTGACTCCTTTGAGTCCGAGACCTGCTTTTGGCGGTTTGCCTGCTAATGGAGGATGCGGCATTTGGAGCAGAATGCATATCAAGCGCTTGCTGGAGGATGATTCCTTAAAAAAAAAAAAAGGACCCAAGCAGCGTAGAACAATGTTGGAACAGTTGTGTCCACCTTTTCCAAAGAAGAGGGAGCCGAAATAACTAAGTCACGAGAAAACCTGGGGACGCTTCCCAAGATTTTTCATGACTGGAAATTTCGGCTTCGTGAACTGCCGGGATCGGATACGCTGGTCGTATATTTCAAGTTACTCTGTTATATTTCTTGATGACTGGAGTAGAAATAATGCCACAAGAAGAGCGCCAACCGTCAATTTCAGGTTGCCCAAAGTGCTTGAATGGGCCCCCAGCGGAAGGAACTTCCATGGTAAGGCAGGATTTTGGGGGTGCCTCGAATAACCTTTCATAGTTAGAATAGGCTTGGCGCACTAACTTACCGAAAAAGTTGATGATATATATTTTCATCGCCGAATTTATGAATAAAATTGCCATTCGAGTTCCTGATCCTCAACCAGCAACGTGGCGCAGCGGAAGCGTAAGTGCTGTACACGCCTCCCCGAGGTGATATGGAAACTAATTCAACTTGCAGGCGCCGGGCTCATATACACCACGTTACTAGTCATGTGGTTCTAGGTACCCGGAGGACCTTGGATCGAAAGTTTGTGTGAAGTCTGACTGGTCCATGTGCATCAGCTAACGAATGATAGCCAAGCGTTGCTAGAAATTATCTTTTTTGCTCGTTGGGAACTGAGAAAAAGGATCTGACATTTTTTGGAAGTTGAAAAGGGAGTCTGTGCTAAGGACTTGGCGGCCTCTATAGTGCGATCAGTACTACAGCGCACGGCTTGGCATCAGCGGCCGTTGGCTGATGCGATAACCAGGGCACGTGACTGCAAACCCTGCGGATAGATATGCCAAGGCGCTAGTAACTGGGGATAAAAGCGGCCTTCGACACGCCCTCAGTTAGCTACCAATACAATTCCACTCGGTATTTTACATGGGCAACCCCTGGCACCTACAACGGCCACCAAAGCTCAAGCACTCTGTATCCTCTTTCAACGACAAGCGAAGCCTCGTGGTATGTTGAAAGGATCTGAACTGGCATTTAAAGCCACGATGAGACAGCACGGATAGTTATTGGCTGTAGCCCTTCCAGGAATGGCAATATTTACCAAGACAGCCTATTGAGGAAGAATCTCTTCCCCAATCAGCATTATACGACAGGCTATGAATTAACAACACCACTTATGAAGGGGGTGCAAGTGCCTCAACCATGGAAAACAATGGGAAATTTTCGCACTCTGGTATGCGATCCATGCTGCTTACTTCCTTGGCTCACAGAGAGAATCACTAGCGGTGAGTATCAACCGGGTCAACGTTTGCGGCCGTCGTGTTTGATTCGCAGTCGGTGCGAGACAGACCCCTTGAGAGCATTCAATGGCTTTAGTCTCTGCTCTGGCTTTCGAGATGGATAAGCATAGAGTTGGACGGAAAGAGTCACCGATGTGAGATGCGCGAGAAGTTTCGGCTGGGATTGTTCGACCAGACCTTCTTGGACGTCGAGGCTGCAGTAGCAATTGCCGGAAATCCAACGTTCCCAGCGGAGGCGGACGCCGTCTAGCGCAGAGTATACGTTTTGCTAGCTAACAAAGATCACGTCCGGCCGCTGAATGCGACGTCCGTGAGAAGGGTTTATGTGAAAAGATTTCGAGACGAGTGGATCCTGCAGAACTTCGCCCTGGAAAGGTGGCTTCTCCGACCGATGCAGATATGGGCGTTTCCTACGATTGAAGTCGCCTTCCGATGCTCGCCCGAGCGGCTTGGAGGCTCACTTTCATGCCGGGTCGCTCGAATTCAGAGCAGATGAGGACAAGGCAGCTTGCAGCATGGCTGCGGAGCGAGATGCTAGAGAAGATGTGGCTTTTGATACGAAAGACCCGCTGTTTGCGTTTCGGTCATGGCCTCGTGTACGCTCGATGAATGATTTTGAGCACAGAAAACCAATGGGGTTACACATGTCTCAGATTCTCTACTAGCGAAGGCTTTCGCCGGCGACCAGGAAGCTAGGCCGGTGGTTACACGGACGAACTGTGAAGGTGCTATTTTGAAGTAAGTTGATGTTTCCGCCACCAAATTGAATTGGATCATTCTGACGGCTAGAAACCATTCTCACCAGATCTTGTTCTACAAGATTCTTCAGGAGTTTGCTAAAAAGGGTTTTACAAGGCTTTCTCGCTCGCTACCAAAACCTCCGCCACGTTTGGAGGTGGCATTCTCATGGGCAATCTTATTGAGACTTTGAGCAAGGATGATCTCGCCACAAGTTGCGGCATGGTCAGTTTCGTTGGCTACACTGGATGGTCAACCTATGGAGGGTATGGACCGCTGGCAGGAATGTTTGGACTTGGCTTCGAACAGATACTCGCTGCGAAGATCGTTGACTGGAGAGGTGAGACCGTGGAGGTAGGAGAAGATTTGATGAGAGGCATTCGAGGGGCTGGCGGAACATACGGCGTGATTGTCGAGATGACGATTAAGGTCTACCCCCTCAAACATGTCTGTCCTTCATCGACTTTCTCTCTCGCGAGGTTCTGACCAAGTAATAGATCCTCACGGGAATTCTGCGTCACGACACCAGCGACGTTCAATCGACCGTAAAGTCTTACTGCTCCAGACTCCAGAAAATGCGCGCTGAAGGATTTCCACCGCAACTATGCGTGGCGCCACTTTTCTTCCACTTGCCTGACGGACTCGTGCTGGCTTCCCATTTCATGTGGGCCGATAAGGACGAGGAGACCGGTCACAGATGGCTTGATAAAGTCTCCAAACTTGGCAAGACCATCGGCAGCGGGGTGAGAAAGACAACACTTCTCGAAGGAATGAAGGATTTTGACTTTGTTAGTGGTCAGGGTTCGGTTGACACCATCAGTCTTCGCAAGCTCAGTGATGAAGTGACGGATGTCATTGCAAAGCACATTCAGAAGATGCCCCGGCAACCCGGAAACGGCTTTGCGATCCACGTGGCTCCTCGGCCAACTACATCCAGCCTCGAAAAATCTGTCTTCGCCACTTCTGAAGCCCACCTTATGTTGGGGTTTCTTTACGGAGGGGAGACAAGCGACGGACTAGAAGAGTCGCGACAGTGGGCGAACAACTTTTTGCATGATATGAAACAGACCGACCAGGACAACATTCTTCAATCCACGTACATCTCACTTACGCCTGCAGGCCGTAACACACTCAAGCGGATCTATGGAGCGAACTATCCTTCTGTGGTGTCACTCAAGGACAAATACGACCCACACAACGTTTTCAAGCTCGCTGTGCCGTTTTGCTACCTTGAATAGAGTGCCGACTCAGAAATAGCTTGAAATGGATGTTGAGGATCAGTCAAGACGGTAACAGCCTGTAAGGACAAATGTAAGATCGGTAGATCCGGAAGAGAAGTTTTCATCGGCATGTGGAACTCATTCATATAAAGTCAAAGTTTTGGTCGAGAACGAAGACAAGCATCACGACGTCATCTGAACCCATGGCTGTGGCTGGAATAATCCTTGTACTAACTGAGACATTTTCCAGCTCAAACCAGCAGAATTGTCTGCTAAGCCCACAAGAGATACCGTGCAGGAGTTCCAGCGTACCAGTTGCGAGCAAGCTCTAAGTCTCTATCGACGACATAAAGGGGGATGGAACTTTTCACAATCAATCGCCCAATGGTTCGGCAGTTTCTATCGGATCGACCTCCAGCAAGTGCGGAGGCCCAAAACGAAGAGCTTGATGCTTTTCCTTTTTAACATCTCTCGAAGCTGTTATACATCGGACCCTGCACCTCGTCGGAGTCCGAGGGGCAAATGGGCACGAAGTTCGCACCACGTCTAGTTCCGTGGAAGCGGAAGTATTGAGTTGTGTGAGGATCACGACCCGCCTAGTTCCAAGAACTTCTTCAGCTGCGAAACGCGGGAGATGGCAATAAGTCAAAACGCATGTCCAGAAACAAATCCTACTCGTCAGTCTGTATAAGCTCTAAGGCTCTCGCACCTGGGACCATTTCGCTCCTCTCTTCGATTTAGCTTTCCTGTCTTGCAACAACTGCAACATGGGTGACTTACAGTCGGCTCGGGCCGCTCACGTCGAAGCCGTGGTGGACGCGGCCGGAGTGAACATTGAGCACGAGCTCCATATTCATGTGAAAACTTGGATAGCCCTGGCTGAACGCTTCTTCTGTCTTCTGTCCCACTTATCCTCGCCAGCCGCTCACGGTATCTAGGCTATCAACTTGGTCGTCTTCTCTCAGATCATGTCCTTAATTGGCGCAGGTTTCCTGGCTCAGTCGATGACGTTACTGCTTGGTGATGAGACAAAGGCAGTTTGGTGTAGCACGATTCTTGCTATCTATACCCTCGCTCTTAATCCACCACTCAGCCTAGCCGCCGACTACTGGGGCCGCAAGTACATTATGATCGTCAACACCTTCTTGGGTTTCATCGGCCAAGTTATGATATCCCGGGCCTTGAATATGGGAACCTTGCTCACAGGGTTTTGCTTCCTGGGATTTGCGTTTGGGCCAGGATTTGCCTTCTACGCGGTGGTCTCCGAGATTGTTCCCCGGAAACACAGGGCGTGGAGTCAAGCAAGCGTCAACGCATCCACAGGCGCCGGCGCTATTGTCAGCGTCTTGATGGCTGGCGCACTCATCCGACACGGCAACCTCGAGAACTACCGAATTTATTGGTATGTCGCCGCAGGCATATCCTTTGCCGGTACCTTGGGTCTCCTGGTTGGATACCACCCGCCGCCGCGCGACCTCGAGGACGTTTTAACTACTTGGCAAAAGCTCGTCTCTCTCGATTGGATCGGTATCATCCTAATCAGTACGGGCTCGGTTCTGTTCGCACTGGGCTTGTCGTGGGCTAATAACCCCTACGGCTGGGGCAGTGCTCCGGTCCTGGTACCTCTGACTACAGGCTTGGCTATGATGCTGGCATTCGTCCTCTACGAGTGGCTGGCAAGGAAGGATGGTCTCGCCCACCATGACTTGTTCCGTGACAGAAACTTCATTATCTCGATCATCGTCATCTTCGCGGAAGGTGTGGCATTCTTTACCCTGAACAACTACTTTATCTTCGAGCACATTGCCGTGTTTGGGATCGATTCGTGGGATGCTTCGCTTCGGTTCATCGTCTTTTTGGGAGGCAGCATTGTCTTCTCAATTGCCGCTGGGGCATACACCACCTTCACCAAGAGCTTAAGGGGGCCACTGGTTCTAGGCCTCGCCGCGTACGTGGTCTTCGCCGCTCTGATGACGACTTTGACGCCGGGATCCAATAAGAAAGCCAGCTGGGGCTACGCCACACTCGGGGCCTTTCGAACGGTTTCATTCTTCTTAACGTCTTTCTTGCTGCTCAGATGGCTACGCCCAGGGATATGATATCTGTCACAACCGGCCTTCTAACCGCGGCGAGGGGCCTGGGAGGCTCTGTTGGTACCGCCATCAACGGCGCCATTCTCAACAATACTTTGAAAAAGAATCTAGCAACCAATATTACCCAGGCCGTTCTCCCACTTGGTTTCCCTGCCCAGGAGTTGGGCACCTTCATTGCCGATTTGACGTCTGGAAATATTGTTGATCTTCAGAGCATCCCAGGAATTACCCCCGAGATCATTGCTGCAGGGAGCCACGCTTTTTCCGAGGCATATGCTCTCGCTTTCAAAAACACATGGATCTGCGCAGCCTGTTTTTGCGCCTTGGCTTTGATAGGTGAGTCAGCACATCGAGAACCTCCTTGACGCTTCTGTGCCCGCAAATAAGCTGACGGTTTTTCAAACAGCTTCGTGCTTTGTTCGAAACGCCAGGAGCGAGTTCAACGCTCACATCGATGCACCAGCAGAGGCTGAATTAGCCAGGCAGCAGAAGGAAATTGACGCAGCAAAGGTGGCGACGAAGGCTCAACACTTGGAACAAGCATCAATATGGCAGTACGAAATCGCGCGCATATCAATGGTAAGAGCACCGGAAGCGTGGCATTTGCAAAACAGATTGTTTCCACCTGAGCGCACGGTGAATGGCACTCCGCGAGAAGCGCAATAAGATACCATGAGGGAGACGTCCTGATCATTTTGGGGGCATGCAATCGCAATCGGTGTGGCCGGATTCTCAACAAGCAACGGGGCCCGAGTTGCAGCGTATGCATCTGTGCCCGGCAGAATAAGAGGAATTTCCGGATGCTGCTGGAAGAACGCTTCAATGGTGCTTCGCGTCGATTGCGCTTTTGTGGTCATGGTTATTCATTCAGAAGTACTCGAGAAATACCGCACTAGATTCGAAAGAGGGCATCAACAACGGGTCAAACATTGCCAAATGCTTTGAACACCGGTGTTTACTACACGCCTTCTGGAGATGGGCCGCATCGCAAGTCGCGAAGTTAGTGGCGTGAGCATAGTCTTGCCGATGCAGTTGACCGAACTTTACTCAAGGAGCTTTTAAGCCCGCATTGCTGCCGTCAACCTGCAGGACAACCCGTCGACTTCACTGAGGCGTTCGAACAATAACCAAGGTCCTTCACACAAGTGCTGAATCGTCCGTGGGAGCATACAAGGAAATATGCCCAACTCTCCATTGATCCGGGGAAGACCGTGCTGAGATAAATGACCATTTCCGGTGGGGGAAGCCAAATCTTGTAGTAGTAAGCTTGCTTCAAAAGCTCTTGGGGGAGACCACTATGTTCGCTAACACCGTGTGAGTAAGAATTATGGACGGAGAACTAACAATGCTAAAAACCATCATTGGGGGCGCTGGCCTGGGAGGGTTAGCTTGTGCTGTTGCATGTCGGAAGAATGGGCTGCAGGTAGTTGTCTTGGAGCGAGCCGGTGAGATATCATCAGTATGTGTCCATGTGTACTTGAGAAGTGACTGCTCAGATCTTCAGCGGCACAATATTATGTGTAATGACTCACGGTATGCTTAGGTTGGCGCAGGGATTCAAGTACCCCCCAATGCCGGACGAGTGATGAAGCATCTCGGCCTGTTGGATGGGTTGATGAAGCAGGCTGTTGAAATTGAATACCTGGACCTTCTCCGTTACGAAGACGGTTCGAGGCTTTTGCGCCGCGATTGCAGCAAGTCATTAGAACAATACGGAGCACCTTGGCTGTAAGCGAATTCCCTCATACCCAGCATGAGAAAGGCATCCGCAGCTCTGAAGTTTTGGCTACGTCTGAGCCAGGCAGATATTGACTATTTGGACAGTGTCTCACACCGCGAGGACTATCATATGATTTTGCTTGATGCTGCAAGATCATCCGGCGTGGAAATTAGACTCGGGTCGATGGTGAAAGCGATCAAGTTTGAGACTACTGAAGTGGTTTTGGAAGATGACAGTGTATTAAAGGCAGATGTCATCGTTGGCGCTGATGGTTAGTCTGGCTTGCAGCTATTCTCTCACTAATTTCTTACCAACGAGACAAAGGATTATGGTCGAGTACGCGAGATCAAATCCTCGGACACCCATCACCACCAACAGAGACTGGTGACCTTGCATATCGAGCAACATTTACAACTGCGCAACTCCGCTCGTTGAACAACCCGCGAATCAACAAGTTAGTCGAGGAAAGGGCCGCCACGTTGTGGATGGGTCCTGAAAAACACACAGTGCTGTACCCTGTCCGCGGAGGTCAAGAGTTCAATCTGGTTTTGTTACGGCCGGATAATCTTCCAACGGGCGTCAACAAGGCAGCTGGCGACCTTGCTGAGATGGGGGCGACGTTCGCGGGCTGGGACCCAATGTATGCCGTTTAGTGACGTCGGATCATGGTCGAATGCTAACATGTCGGTATTAGCTTGACAAAGATCATCTCCTGTATTCCTACAGTTCTGAAGTGGAAACTTTGCTCCCACGAAGAGCTTCCAAAATGGTGCAAAGTAGGTTTCTCTCGCGCATAAGCTCTTGACGTAGTCACCAACACAGACGCAGGAAAATGTGGCCATCCTTGGGGACGCATGCCACCCGACCTTGCCCTATCAAGCGCAAGGGGCTGCAATGGCGGTGGAAGACGGTATCGTGCTGGGGTTGTTGCTCGGAAACTTATCGCACGATTATTCACCTGGGGTCGCACGGGAAAATATCCCTTCGATACTTCAGTTGTATGAGTCGCTTCGGAAGAAAAGAACCAGTCTGAACGTCAAAGGTGCAATTGCCAATAGGGTCATGTATCACATACCGGATGGCCCGAAGCAGCGGCAGCGGAATAATGATCTCAAAGCGGTGGATTGGACCCAGCCTTGCAGGTGGCAGTGGGCAGATTCGACGTATCAATCACAGCTGCTAGGTTCCGACGTCGTAACAGACAGTCAAAGAGGCTATGAGCAATGGAGAAAGAGGGAGAATGATGTCTAGAACCGGCAGGAGGCTGTCTTTGGAAAAGTCGGCTGCCTGAAGCAGCTTAATCAGCAGTCTTTCGGGCCTATTTGTTGCTGTTTTAATCGTGCTCATATTCATCCGGGCAGAAGATTTTGGCCGGAAAATATAGCCTTGATTGGATAAAGCTTCGCCAGCAACTTCAACGGTATTGGCAGAATGTTGAGTCAGAAAATTGAAAATACAAATTTTGCGGTACTCAAGGTATTCAGAATTAAGGGAGCACTCAAGGAAATGTTTGATTATGCACAGATACAACTAAATGAGACATTCCTGTTTTTTTCGTTCGTGTTCAATAATGCTAGATTCCAAATTCCATACCAATATCACGGGCCGCTTCAGCCGCTAAATCGTCCTTGACCTCTTCCGGCCTATCTGGAACTGAAAATCCCTCAAACTCGCGACCGGCTTGACTGACCAGAGTTTCCAGACCGTTCCCGCTGGCAAATGACCAAAATCGAACATAGACGTCCTTGAATTCAATAGCCATAGTTATCCCGGCCGGAAGAAAGACCGTCTCTCCCGCGTGAACCAGGTTTGACTTCCCACCGAGGTGAATGGACAGTGGGCCATCAAGAACGTGGGACACCTGGTGGACTTTGGAGAAGCGAAAGGGTCGTTGCAGCAATGAGGCCGGGAATTTGCTACTGGATTCGATGCTCGAAACCGCAAACAAGCCACCTGATTATGTGGTTGTGATAAAAGGTCTAGACAAAACTCCTCCAAGTAAGAATCTGGGACCTGTATTTGTCCTCAAAAAGTATGTTTCGACGCCAGATGGAAGTTTCGAGTCGTCTGAGGTCCACTCTCCCACTGCTGCAGGGACATGGTTTGGTGTAAAGACCACATTATTTTTCTCTTTGACTTCTTGGAGCTTTGGGAAGAGAGTAGCCATCGGATTTCGATGGTCAAATTCATCGTTGAAAACCCCATTATAGTCCTCGCTGATGAATCGAAAAAAATCGACCCATTGCCCTGGAGTGACAAGTCCTACTGTTTCATTGATAGGACCTATCAGTTGAGGACAATGAACGACTTTCTGTGAAGCTGTCAGCGCCACCAGAGCAACACAGCATAAGGAAAGGATGGAACCTTACGGGAGGTACCGATGCAAAATCTCCTGCACTCAGGATCCGGCACTTGTCTTCTACCCACAACTTCATCTGGCCTTTAGTGCACATGAATATGTCGTGCGCTTCGTTGTGGTAATGAAACCCAGCTGGATCTCCAGTAGTACCATCCATATGGAAAACTGACATCAGCTGGTCGGTCTCCTTTGCAGATGCAAGAATGCGAATGACACTTTTGGATCCGGGAATAACCATTTTCTCCCCTTCATGCTGCCGAACAATGTAAGGGGCTGGCCTGCCCAACGGCTCTTGCACGAGCGGAATAGACATGATGGAATATTTCGGATTGATGAAAACCAGTCAAAACTAAAATGGAGAATAGAGAGCACATCAATTTAACATCACACGGGGAATCGGAACTGGCACCTCCCACTACCGATGGGATACCAGGGGTTTCTAATCCGTGGAACCACGACGACCAAAGCCTGTACGTCGGAGTCAGCGGGGCACAGCGATTTTCGACCACGGGAAATTCTTGTCTGTGATCAATTACCACCCACAACCTTTGCATAAGAACATTAACTACACAATCAATTCAACCCAATATCTTGCGTTGGGACAAGTTTAGAGAGGAGAGAATGGCGCAGATTCGGGCCCCTTACAGAACCATAAATGGGATTGAGATTCCAACGGACATCCATGTACCTGCCGAGACTCGACGTCCTCTTGCCCCTGCACTCATCATGATTCATGGGGGAGGTTTTGTGCTTGGTTTTCCACAAATGAATAATCGGGACCAAATCGCACACTGTTTGCAAAGAGGCGGGATTGTCTTTTCAATCGAACATCGTCTGTGTCCCGGTGTAAATGTCCTCGAAGGGCCTATGAATGATGTGCGAGAGGTGTTGAAGTGGACACAAAATGGAGGGCTAGCACGCACTCTTTTAGAGGCATCAATTGACGTTAGGCCTGATCCAGATCGAGTCATGGCGATGGGAACGTCTGCAGGGGGTCATCTAGCATTGAGTCTGGTAAGTGATTTTCTGTTCGATTCCAATTAGCCAGAATTGGAAGCTTGGCGGTTTGTTGAGTCTCTACATATTATCTGCTAGCCATACTTGACAGTGGCACGACGGGGACTTCGATACTCCGCCAATGATCACGCTTTTTTTCGAACTCGGCATCTGATGCGATGGCCTTCATCTCTACCCGGCCGTTATTGATCAGATCATCTAAGTGACGATACTTGCCCGCCAGAGTAATGCTGCATATCTGAGAATCTGTCTCCCAGACTGGCATGACCCCTCCATTTTTGTCAACCTCCAGCTTCCCTAATGCTCCGCAAGTGACACAGCCGATCTTGTTATCCTTAGACAGTAGCTCGAACTTGGCGAGATGGCAGTACGGACAAGCTCCAAAAGGTTCAGGTCCGAGATACTGTGCTTCGTCAAACGGCTTTCCTATCTGAGAAGCGACATTTCTCCCAATCTGTTGAGCTCTTGCAATGGCAGCACCGTTGTCCTTTGCAACGACGATTCCGGGATAGCCGTAGCCCATCAAGTCCTCCTGATCTACTACTTTTGCATGCAGGCAATACACCAGGAGATGAAGAACAGGCAAAGCAAGGGAGACCCGGTCCGGCGTTGTGGAGCCAGCGACCGCGATAAATCCGACAACTCTCGGTTTTAATAGGCGTGCGTCGATCTTGTGAGCTGCGAACATGGGATCTCCAGCCTGCTGCCTTTCGAGTGTCCGTCTCGCGAATGATGCATCCGTGAAAGACCCAAGAATCTTGTCGAGAAACCCTTTCAGCGCTCCTGCCGGCGAGTGACTGTAAACGGGGGTGGCGAAAATAAGAGCATCGGCGTCGAGCACGGCATTCAGCACACCCCTTCGGTCGTCGTTTATCTCGTCTGAGTCTGCTTCTGCTGCTTGCATGTTAAGATTGCTACCCAGAATGAAAACTTGGGCGCCTTTCAACGGCCTGGGATTCGGAGGGCAAGTAGAAGACGGGATGTGAATCCAAGACACGGTTAGGTCATTTCTGTTGCTTTTGGCCGCCATCAAGGCTGCTTTCAACAGGATTTCGCAGTTACCATCAGCGCTACCGTTCCCAAAGCCGAGATAGTCACGATGGACAAGTCTGCGGATACTTCACACGTCGAGGTGAAGGAGTCTCAAGAGGACACCAAGCGCCAGTGCGATGAGATCATCGCTAGCTTTTCCTTGGAGGAAAAGAAGCACATTACTCGCCGTATCGACTATCGCTTGGTGATCCCAACTGGTTTTCTGTTTATGATCAGCCCGATGGACAGGACCAACATCAGTGAGTTTAGTGCTCCTGGCGGAGAATCAACTAAACAGCTTCAGGTGTTACGTACGTCTCTGGAATGGCAGTTTATCTGAAACTGGTGGGAAACAATCATTACTCCATTATCGTCCTCCTTTTCTTCGCGATATACGTGCCATTCTAGCCGGTTGCAACGGTTATTCTCAGAAAAATCGGCCCACGGTGGTACTTGTCCGTCTCCACGATGATCTTTGGGGGCTTGACCATTTCAGCAGGCTTTGTTAGGCAGTGGGGACAGATGGCTGCCATCCGACTGATACTCGGCATAGCCGAGTCGAGAACATTACCGGGTATAGCCTACCTCGTCAGGTGAGTTCGCATCCATTGGCGGATGGACACGGTGCTCACAAGTATCGCAGCTGCTGGTATACTCGGTACGAGGTTGCCAAAAGGACCGCCGGTTTCTATATCATTGGAATGTTGTCTAGCGCCTTTTCCGGTCTCCTAGGATATGGATTTTCTCACATGAACGGCCTTGGTTCCGGTCATGGCCTGGGTCAGCATATCGAACCGACCAAGGATCATCCCAATATCAAGCCACATCAAATGAGCGGCATTGCCGGCGGGAGGTGGGTATTGTGAGTGGGTGCTCCCTATTACCTGCAGCTTTCTGCTGACGAATACAATTAGCATAATGCAGGGAATACTCACTGCAGTTGTCGCCTTCATGGCAGCGACATGCGTCGTTGACTTCCCGTAAGCGTCGTCTCAGAGGCAGTTCGATCTACATCAAGTACTGATTTCTGAAAAGCGAAAAAGCTGCCACAACGAGATTGACCCCCAAATTCCTAAACAAGAGGGAGACTAGCCTAGTGGTTGCCCAGATCAACCGAGACAGGTTAGATGCTGTCCCGGAGAAGTAAGTCGCATTGAACAGGTCGAACGGAGTCTGGACTGACATGGACAGGTTCAATCTGGTGAACTACCTAGCTGGTGCGGCGGATCTTCAAGTTTGGCTGTTTGCCCTGTCCCACGGCTGCACCGCCATCAACACGTTCGGTATCGCTTACTATCTTCCCATCATCCTGAATGTAGGGATGGGGTTCTCGGCGGGTGTCAGTCAATGTCTCGTCGCGCCCCCGGTTGTATTTGCTGCCATCTGTGTAGCGGCCTGTTCATGGGCCGCGGATAAATACCACTCTAAAGGGCTGATCATCATAGGGGCGTGCATTGTCAGCGTCATCGGTAATCCGCTATCCTACCTCTGGGAATGTACAGAATACACTGACGAACGTTAGGCTTACCGCTCACTGGTCTTGCTAAATCGGTGGCCACCAGGTATTTCGGTACATTCCTGGCGACCGCGGGAGTGAACGTGGCTACTCCACTACTCATTGCCTGGCAGGCAAACAACATCCGTGGTCAGTGGAAGCGGGCTCTATGCTCTGCGACTTTAATTATGGCTGGCGGCATCAGAGCCATCATCGCCCCACTCGTGTTTTGCGCGCAAGATGCCCCGAGGTATCTTCCTGGCTTTTATACCCTGATAGCCGGGGTCATAGTCGGGTTTTGTTCCACCTTGGCGCTGATGATTAAATTCTGGAAGGCCAATCGGCGGGCCGATGCCGGTGGCAAACCGATTCACGGCTTGGAAGGTTTTCGCTATACCATATAGAGGCCGACAAAAAGAGAACCAGTCTGGGAAACCATCGAGAGACTTCTGTCAAACAAGGGTGCAACTTGAGGTGGTATTGAATGCTCTGTCTATCGAAACTGGTCCTGCCAGGTTGTTGGTATATATACACGTTAGGTTGACCCCCTTTTTCCTCTTCTATTCCTACCCCTATATCCTGCATAGGAGTGTTAACCCCTTTTCCCAATAAAGGGGCACTCGCTACTATTCAACTGTTCAGCGAAACCTTGTTCGACAACTTCTATTTTCTAGTCCCGATCGCTTTTTCGGGCTGGACGACAAACGCATCAGCCTCATCCCATTTACTTGCGCAGAGACCCGAATTGAAATTGATCGCAGTTAATTGAGCCAGAGTGACAATTTGTCAGACTTCTTGCATCGAAAAGGTGTTCTGTGTCTAAGGAGTGTGCGTCATCGTTGTTGCCTGTCAATGGTGATACAGCCTAGTGGGCGAGTGTTGCAAAATAACCCAGTCTGTCCCGAACGACAGGTCACCACCGGTTCAACACTACTATTCAACCGTTCAACGCAATTTATTGGAGCAAAATCTTTAGGTCGCCATCTGTCAAAGCCCAAGGTTTCTCTGCGCTTTTCTGATGATCGAGGGAATTCCCAGCGTAGCGTTTTTGAAACATTGCAGAATAATGAATTGATCCCGTAGAGCTGTTCAAGAGGTTGAGCTCCTCTCCTATTACAAGCTCATAGGCGACAACGAACAACTCAGAACAAGCGCTGAAATGGCGAGAGGCGCTTAAGCCATGGCAGCCCTGACAAATTCAGGAGGCGTTGGCAATTAAGCTTTGATTCCGATAAAGTCGGAGGAGCTCCCTCCCGTAGTCATTTCCGTTGGGTGTCCTACAAAGAGTGTGAATGTGATACTTCATCGGTTCCTCGTTTAAGAGAAAAACACCAGAATGATGATCAAACTCCACGAGAATCACGGGGCTTTGAATTCGATAGTAAAAACTATCGTCGTCGCCGTATCCGCCGATCTAGCAGAAGTAAGTCTCATGAAGATGCTCTCTCACGTGCCGAAGGCGGGCATTCAAGGGGCCTACCTTGTGCCTATTTTTTGAGTAGTCTCACGAACCTCACACGCATACTCCATAGACTATTTATGGCTCCTGACTCCGTCGCGCCTTGAATGGTAGCGATGATGATGAGCAGGCAGACTGCGACGTCTGGCACATTCAATATACTGGACTTAATGAAACTCGACGTAACGCCGCACTGATTTTTGTTTGTGCACGTCAAGTATCAGCCGGAACAGCGAAGCCCATATGAGTCGAGATGGCGAGACAAGTCATGCCTTAATTTCATTCCGCCGAATCTCTACCAACGCGTCATCAAATGCCTTCATGATTAGATCGTATAAGACTTCCGAATCCTATGGAGTGCGAGAGCTCTTTGTTCGTCGTTGACTCTGGGGTCTTAATTAATGCCCAATGGCGACGGGCGCCTCCATTATGACACAATCTCAGGTGAGGGGATCGGCCGCGGAGGAGACGCTCGGAGCTGGCCCCACACATCGTGTACGATAATGTACACTTCTACACGTCTCTTTTTTCTTATATTCCCACTCTCGAGAGTCACGTACAATGGCGACAACAACAACTACAACCACGACGGAGAACCTTTCTCTCGAGCACGAAGCGTCCACCGTCTTGCCTAATCTGCAGCAATAGCAACAGCAACAGCAAAATCAAAATCAACCACTATCTACGGCAGTCTCGACAGCCTCGGCACGAACAATTGAGCCTCTCAACATCGAAGCCAGTTTAGACACAGAGCCCGACTACCAAACAGGCACCGAATTTTGGTTCACCATCATCGCACTGTGCGTGATCCTTATCCTCGGAGGGCTGGACGCCAACATCGTCGCTACAGCCGTACCGAGCATCACTAGCCACTTCCAAACTGTCGCCGACGTAGGATGGTACTCGTCTGCATTTCGACTTTGCACTTGCGCGTTCCAATTCGGGTTCGCGAAGTTGTATAAGCTCTTCTCAATCAAGGCCATCTTTATGCTGAGCAATGTTATATTCCTCATCGGCTCTTTACTCTGTGCCACGGCTACTTCGTCGACTATGTTCATTGGAGGGAGAGCATTAGCGGGTCTGGGCTTTTCGGGTGAAATGGCTGGGTGTTTTGCGGTCACGGTGCAGATTCTGCCGCTCAACAAGCGGCCAGTGTTTGCGGGTTTGATGGCGGGTGTGGAATCGCTTGCGATTATTGCGGCGCCTATAGTAGGTGGTGCATTGATGCAGTCTTTGGGGTGGAGATGGTGTTTCTGGTATACTCTTCTCGTCACGGGCATGATCAAGGTAGCTTGACACTAACTTCTTCGTAGGATTAACTTTCCTATTGGCGTTGTATCGCTGGTGACCATTGTATTCCTCTTCTCAAACCCAAGAACTCGCCTAGAGGACGACCTTACACTGACTCAGAAGATTAGAGAGCTCGACCTCGTCAGTAACTGCTTGTTCATCCCATCCCTACCAGCGCTCTTCGTTGTATTTGCTGTGCTACTCGCCGCCTTCGTCTTTAATCGATATCGACGCGGAGACTCAGCAGCACTCCCTTTCCGCATCATCAAAAGCCGAAGTGTCATCGCGGGCTTCATCTTCACGACATGCACTAATTCGATGACGAACGTCCTGGAGTGGTACTTACCAATATACTACCAAGTCGTTCGTTCCAAGGTGAGACTTCGTGGCCAGTTTCGCGACTATAAGAAAATGTACTGACAATGCTATATCCCGTCAGACCCCAGGCGAGAGCGGCTACCTGATGATCCCCATCCTCGTTGGAATGATGCTCGGGCTCTTTCTTCAGGGTATCGGCACCACTATGTTCGGCTACTACCCCCCCTTTATGATCTTCGCCTCCATATGCATGCCAATTGCCGCAGGCTTAATGACAACATACGATCTCCACACATCCCTAGTCCAGATCATCCTCTATTCCGGATTCGCAGGCTTCAGTGGAGGCATCGGCTTCCAAAGCCCCAAAGCGTCTATTCAGACAACGTTGAGTGCCGGAGATGTCAATCTTGGGATCGGGGTCATCTTGTTTGGGCAGAGTATGGGTCCGGCGGTATTTATCGCCATTGCGCAGGTTATATTCATGAATCAGTTGTCGTCAAATTTGGAAGATGTTGTACCAGGGTTGACACCTGCGTATATTGATGAGCACGGACTTGGCGATATTAAGAATGGGATTCCCATGCAGCGGTGGGATGAGGCCTTGGGTGGTATCGATCGGAGCTTAACTTATACTTGGTACCTTACTGTCGCGTTGGCTTGCACGACGATGGTAGGAAGTCTCTTGGTCGAATGGCGCTCGGTCAAGGAGAAGCAGTCGTGAAGTATAGGCTAGCGGCACGAAAGGAGCGTTCAGATAGTAAACGTTGTGGATGACCTTGCCTTGGAATTGAAAGCATCACATTCGTCCGCACATATACGCGTTACATCTTGAACTGTTGATGTGTGCCGAGGTCCTAAATGTCTTGGCATACAGTGCTTTTCAAAAATCCATGACAAATTATACGAGTCATCTCGACGTCAAGGCTCGTCGTCCGTTCACGCTCAGTTACGAACCATCTCGAGCGCGGTCAGTAAGATCCGATGAAATACCACGACTCATCGGATCCAATCCGTGAACCATATCGATATCGAGTAGGGTGCCCACCCCCCGGCCACTTGGTCCATAGACTGGATCCGATGGGTTGTGGCCCGGATAATGTTTAATCCGTTAAGGGTAGGTTGCCCACGTGACACTGCCAAGCCATATGCTTACGTGATCGGCCGGCACGTCGCTCTTGGCGTCGCCACACAACGCCAAGCCCCAACTAGATGATTCCAAAATAAAAAAAGTCTTTATATTTTATAATGCCAAAAATTGCTTCAAAATTGACACCAATTCGTGGTTGACCTATCAAGGACGTAACCGAGTGGTAAAACACTCGGCTTGCAGTCGAACCGATAGAATTGAGGGACCTTACTAGTGTTCGATCATAGGTAAGGTAAGAGGGTTGTCCGGCCTAGCTCCTAGGTGCCCTAGATGGGTAAACGTAATGCTCCAGCCAGTGATTGTTGATGATGTCGTCTTGTTCATACCGTTGAGGTCAAATTCTCCTTCGGTTGAACTCGTGTGGCTGAAGCTTTCACAGGCTGCGGCGCCCCATCTATGAGTTCGTCAGAGATGGACTATGGGAGGGGCCCCTTCTTCTTTTTTAAAAAAAAAAATTTTTTGGGTGGGGGGGGGGGGGTTGGGGTTCGTGTGTTGTGTGCCTTGGAAGTCACGTGATTATTCTGGCTTGGCATGGTGGCAACTTGTGCGGGAATAGGGGTTCTTGGCACTAGGCACTAGGCGTCTGACACTTCGCTCCTCTACCATCGAGGTCGAAAAACCAAGCTGGGGAGGAAATGCGTTTAACCCTGAACTTCACAATGGCTCTAAGGACTTGTTTTTGGACCCCAGTGGCCACAGAAAGTGACTACTCGCTGGGTGCTATTTTTGGGGACCTCTCTCGAGGCCACTATGCTTAGTATTTCGTCATGGGGTCACGAGCCAATTATAATCTTAGGTCGCCTGTTCACCAGTCAGTGTCGTTGTAGCGGCGTGAAGGCCGTGGAAAGTGAATACGAAAAGTCATTAAGATTGCAATTGACTTCACGAAGGCAACCGGCCGGCTGCGAGTGAACTTAGGGGAAGAATAATTGGCCCGAAGCAAGACTCAGAGCTAGGAAGTCGCCGCGCTGTTAAAAAGCCGGGCGTGGGATGAACCGATAGACATCGGTTAAATATAGTGGCAAGGTAGCTAGTCCCCTGTGGGCTTAGCCCCGACTTAGATGTATGAGTACACTTGATTGGATCACCTGCCCTCACAGATATCAATATTGACCACTCATCTAAAGCAGATAGTTGTCAACCTAGTAAATGGGGCCACTGGGAGTTTTACATTGCGTTAGGACTGGAACAGGAACACTGTGTTGGAGAGGATTAGCATGGATCTGTGACTGATTCTCTGAAGGAATAGACTAACTTCATTACTCAACACGTCTCCAGAGTCGAACATTAGAACGGTCGAATTTGTGCGAATCATCGATCTGCACATACGCCAGATTCAGATCATAAACCTGCGTACTGGGAATAACATTTTTCCGTACATACTGAGGAAAATGTAATTCCCGGTACGGAGGGCGCTTGTCACTTGAGGTGACGTGCCGTCATGTGGGTCCCAGAACGGGTTCCTAACTTTTTATGGAAACCTCGTATGCCCGGCTCTGGTGCCCTCCCAACTCGATATGATCTATGGATTGAAATCCCCCTCTCGTCGCCCATCGGATCCAGTCTATGGACTACTCGACCTTCAACGGATTCACCATTTTCCGGGATCACATGCTCCCCGGGGCCCATGTGGCGGAGGAGCACCCTACTCGATAGATATCGATATCCTCGATATCGAGATGATCCACGCATCGGATCCAGTCTGTGGATCACCTAGAGAAGCTCTACTAGTCACATTCGAGATGGTTCGTAACCGAGCGTGAACGGACAAGCCTTGACGTCGAGATAATCCACTGATTAGATCCGATGGGCCGTGGTATTTCATCGGATCCAGTGGATGGCTGGAAATCTTGTCTCCTATGATTTTATGTCAGTTAACTGACTGAACTTTCAATCAGGCCGCGAATTTCATCAGTCCAGTCAATCTGGCTGGCTGGCGATTATGTCAGTTAATTGACTGTTGGCCACGCAGGAAAGAATCAACTTAAGAGTTAGGCTTGATGAGGAGGTAGATGTCTAGACTTCTCAGAAGAGATATGGTCATGATGAGACAGATTCGTCTTTATATATCTGAGCATTGTTGAGATAGAAGCGGTACTATAATTCTCCTCGCATCGAATCAAAACGGCTCACGCGGCCACCAATTGTGAAAGGTCCCATAGAGCTAATTATTCAACGTGTAGTATATCGATGTGCTGGCTGACCACGAGGTAGGCTGGTTTAGTTTCATTTACCGCTGTTAAAAGTGGAGAGATATTTGAAGTCTTTAGCCAAGATTATATTCCTGGCGCTGAAAATATTAGGATAGTCATTTTAAGAATGGCCTCCTTCGGCTTCTAGGGTTTTCGATCGAGACGGCGCGTCGTCAAACGGTGATAGCCGCTCAGATAATTAAGCTGCAGGTTCTAGGTGCATCACATCGAATCATTTTTCGTACTCAGTGTTAGAATAGAATGGTGGCCTTTATTACCTCGCAAAAGTATATGATGGTCGACTTATCAACTTGGCCAAGTTAATACGAAAGGGATGGCTGAGAAAGGTTCTTTCTTGGCCCATCATCATAGAAGATTCTGGAGGATTACTCCGTAGAAAGACAAATTTGAAACTCGCGGGGAAAAACTGTGGCTGCGGTTGTGGCGTAGTAACCAGTCGAACGCGAAAGCCTTTCTGTGAATTTATCTCTGCCCATTATGGCCTAGCCTTTCTGATTGAAAAACTTCACGAAGCTTCGCTCATGGACTACTCTTGCTGCTCAACATTTTCCAGGTCCTCAATACACTCAGCAAACCACCCATCAATGCGCTCTGTAACCTTGGTAACTGCCTGCTTAAGCCTCTCGATGGCTAGGTCTTTCTCCGACATCTCGACACCTCCTTTGTCAGCAGAATCATTGCTTTTGCCTTGATTAGTCTTGTCGGCCTTTTCCTCCAAACTAAGCCCTTCGATGCCTCTTTCTACTTCTTCAACCTCCTTCTCAGCTTTCTCCCAAATTTTCTCGTTAGGGACCGCAAATCTGGGCGCGTCGTATTCTGTAGAGGTGATTATGCGTTTACTCGCCACGGCAGCGACGTCTTCTGAGGTTGCTAAACGATCTGGCTCCTTTTGTTCGTCGAATCCAAACAGTTCGACCCTTAGTCGATGCATGAGCCGAATAACTGGGAATGATGTCTTTTCGAAGAGACGTAATCGTTCATCGCTCATCCATGTATTCCAGGTAACACTCACGATAAGGTTTTTTCTGGACGCTAATCCTACACCTTTTTTAGCCTCTGTGGGCCGGGATGCCCCAGCAGAAGCAATGTCCTCTAGTTCCTCCGCACCTTCAGGAGTCCGATTCAGCTCTCCAAAGAGCAGAACCCAGAAGACACTCTCGATGTCATGCCATGGGTTGTGCCTAGGGTGTTTCGCCATCAAAATGTTGATTGCCATGTAGAGGTAAGTGCCGGTGCGCCAGGGAGCTCCGGAATAGGGGTCTCCATATATGCAAGCCATGTCGAGGTCAATCAGCCTTCCGGGTGGGGGGGCTCTCTCCTCGTTTAGTATATCTGGCGACGTCACCATAATATTCGCTGGGGAAATATCTCGATGGATAATAGGCCGATCTCTGCAAAACATTTTCCGAATGGCACGTACAGCAGAACGTAGAGCCTTCATGCGCTCAAGCTCAGTGACATCTCGAGGATTGGGGTATTGATGTTGTGAAAGTCCATATGGTGTGGTATCCACAGAAACGCCACAGTACTCTTCCAGGTACCATCGCTGCCTTCTCGTGTACGAAGGCTCATCGACTGGTTCGATAGCGGTCTCGTTCACTTCCGGTACAAGCAAGCCCTTCTCAGCCTCTTTCTTCTGGGTTTGGTTTGCCGTGGCGGAGGATTTAGTGTGTGTCACCTTCATATACCGATATTTCGGTCCTATTTTGAGATATTGTCTTGAATGTTTTGCCTCCGGTAGAACGTCAAACTCGGTTGTTAAAGGTCCGTCTTTCCACTCAAAAAGCTTTGGTAGTTCCTCGATATCGCTAAGTTCACTAAGGATATCAGCTTCACCCGTACGCGCCTCGTGGATCCAGGCCATTTTTAACGCTGCAAGACCACCACCTTCTGGGTTCTCTGTATCCTTTTTGGCCTGTGACTTTCTTGATTTTTTCTTTTTTGGCTTCGGTTTTTGCATTTTAACAGGCCATACCGTAGTGCCGCGTGTCGTGACCATGTCGACACCCACACGCACAAGTGGCGATGGTATCTTACATTCGGCAAGAGTGAAGCTGATGGCTCTTCTACCGATTACAGAGGGTTCCTCCGCTAAGCCCTGGGCGTCGTCACTGGCCAGCATAAGCCAGTTGACGAAGCGCAGAAAACTTAATGTATTCTGCTCGATATTAAGCCCACTTTCGTAACACAGCACCTGCCCTCTGTTCAGTTGATAGAGACGCAATGTCGTGCCGGCGACATAGATGGAGTATATGAAGTGACGAAATGGGTCGTCTCGGAACACTTGGTTGCATCCCAAGAGAGAGAGTTGTATTTCGGATTGTGCAAATGTCTGATCGGCCGATTTCTTGAGTTCCCAGGTTGTCTTCATGTCGCAAAACCTCACATTTTCCTTGTCAACATTAGTCGCAATACTAGCTAGGTCGGGTCTGAAAAGCTTTAAGCCTTCTGCGTAGTCCTGATTGCTAATTCCGGACCCGGGTACCTTTGTTCCGATATTAATGAAGACGTTGTGAGCCTGTCGTGTCTTTGCCGTGGATTGTGCTTGAAGGACCTCTTGAGCTTTCTGAAGCATGCGGAAAAATATATTCTGAGAAGTTATTCCCGAGCTCGTCGAGATCATATCCGACCGCCATTTCTTCCATTCGTTGGATGTCTTGAGTGCCTCTTCTGCCCTCTTAATTTGGGTTTCGGTGAACTTTGCGTTCTTGGACATCTTATTATGAAGCTTCTCGAAAATGGAGACCTTTGTGTCCTCTACGTGTATCATGGAGCTAAGGTTAGAGATGAAAACGAGTAAGCGATGAGTTTGAGTATCGTCGTGGGGGACAGAATTGACTGCCTTCTGGGGGCGTCTCATTGGGAACACTGCTTTTGGTTGTTGTCTTCTTAGGCGTCTGGGAGATAGGTACGACGCGTGATTCCTTCTCTGGCGAGGCCATATTCCCGTCGGGTGGTAACCCTCCTCTTCGATGGAGGCTCTCTGGAGAGGCTTCAAAGGAAGGTATTGCACGCGTTCGGTGGCGTTTGGAATGAGGTATCGAGATCTCGATGCGAAGTTGGTCGGAGTTCTGTCTGGATGCCATATTTAGCATTTAACTTTTGCAATTCAAAGGTTCGAGCCCTACCTATGGCCGCAGTTGGGGGGCGTGGTGTCATTTATGTGGTGCCAAACTAGTGAGACATGTTATCGGCAGTGGCGCGTTTGATTGATGTCCAAGATTACCGTTGCCTAGGCAACAAAAATACCGAAAAATGGATCTTTGTCACGGGACATCATGCCAAGGATCACGTGCTAAGAGACTCCCGGGGAAATAGCCGAAATCTTAACAAGTGCTCTGGAAATGCTGTGACTCTTACTGTGTAGCCTTTAATATTGGATCGACCAAAAAACTTTAAGTTTTTCTACGTCGTTGTAAGGTAAAATATAAACTTGATTTTTTTTTATTTTTTAATTTTGGAATCGCCTGGTTAGGGCTTGGCGTTGTGCGGCGACGCCAAGAGCGACGAGGCGGCCAATCACGTAAGTGTATGGCTTGGCGTTATCACGTAACTATTTTCCGGGATCACGTGCTAACCCCTCCGGGGGGCCGCCCTCCCAACTCGACATGATCCACGGATTGGATCCGATGAAATTCCTCGTCGCCCATTGGATCTAGTCTATGGACCACTCAACCCCTAACGGATTAACTATTTTCCGGGATCACGTGCCCCTCGGGGGGCACCCTCTCGATATGATCCATGGATTGGATCCGATGGGTCGTGGTATTTCATCGGATCCAATCCATGGACCACCTAAGACGAGCTCTTACTAATCACACTTGAAATGGCTCGTAACGAGGCGTTAACGGACGAGCCTCGATATCGAGATGATTCATGGATTGGATCCGATGAAAGACCACCGTCATCGGATCCAGTCTGTGAACCATGTGGCTAGGGGGCGTCCTACTCGATAGAGGTCGACGTCCTGTCAAACTGGGGAACAACTTGAGATGTATTGAATGCTCTGTCCACCACCCAACCGGTCCTGCCAGGTTACTGGTATATATACACGTTGAGTCGACCCCTTTTCTTCTCCTATTTCTACCCCTAAAACCTGCATAGGGGTGATAACCTCCTTTTCAACAAAAGGGGCACTTGCTACCATTCGGCCGTTCAATGAGACCTTGTTCGATAGCTGCTCTTTCTTTTGCTCAGCCGCGCCAGAAAAGAACTGCACCTTTTTGCAGTGCATTCAGCCTGATCGCGCAGTCTCTAAATGCATTATCCACATTCTTCTGTACGGTATTTGTTATGGCTTGGACAATAGAGCCTGCAAAAGCCTTCAACCAGCTATTTTAGATGCGGATTCACCAAAACGTCTTTTCACTCACAGTTGTGCCTGAACTTCGATCCCGCAGCCATCCTACTTACGATTGCGATTTAAACCCTTCTCCACCAGCTTTTATTTCAGAACCTTACTAAATGCCCCTGTCATGGCCGCAGCACGAGCTTCAGCCGCTGAATCTCAAGCGTTTCAGATAAATACAGACCAGTGGCCAGAATATGATGGCTATACACAACTCGGAGAGGAAGAGATTCGAGTCATTGATATCGAAGCTGGAAATCCACCCGTTTGCAGGATGCGACATGTCAGCTTAGAGGAAAAGCCGCATTATCAGGGACTATCATACTACTGGGGCGCCCCAGTAGAGCCTGAAATCTCAAAGCAGTTGAACTTAATGGATCGCGTGTATTCATACGGCCCAACATATATTCATTTATCTGGCACCTAACTACGCGTTATCAGGAAGCTACGGTATGGCTTGATGTTCTCTGCATCAATCAAAGAGATCCAGAAGAGCGAAGTCGACAAGTCTCATTGATGGGAAATATCTTCACCTTTGCAGCTCGTGTTTATGTGTGGCTTGGTGAAGGTGATGCCGACAGTGACTACGCATTTGATTATATCGATAACAATGCGAGGACCTATAATCATCAAATACTGTCGCTCTGTTTCGAGCAGCTCACATTACGTCCCTATTGGACGAGATTATGGGTAATTCAAGAAATTGCACTCGCAAGAAGCGTTCTAATCTTGTGCGGCACTAAGTTGAGCTCCTGGGATGATTTCAGCCATTCTATTGAGAGGACCATCGCCGAAAGAGCGCCTCACTTTCGGCAAGTCATGAATGTACGAAACCACGGATATCGGGCTCGACAACTATTTCAACTCATGGAAAACTTCAAAGACGCTGTTATTCGTCGGTTTCCAGCACCCGGATGTAGATTTCATCCACAAACAAGACTGGCTAGATGCAAGACACGCTCTGGACGAAGACACCATTAAAATTTGGACGGCATTCAATCGTGAGAACGAGGCAAAGAAGGTGTATGTCCAGGACCGTTTGGCCGAGAACGCCAGAGAAGTTATGGATCTAACTGGAGAATCATGCCGGTTGTCGATTTTGCTTCTGCGGGTCTGCTGCCATGGCCCGGGATCTTGTGGCAGTTTCGACGAAGGATGAGAATGGCCCATTCCGGCGAGAGCGAACAGCAAGCAATGATCTGGGTGAGGCAGCTGCTCCAATCTAAGCAATTACTGGAAGATGTTTGGAATTGGGTATCGCGTGAGTGATGGATTGAATGATTTTGGGCCTATTGGGTTCTCAATGCTTGTTGGGTCTCACCGGTTGGCCAAGCGTCTTCTCGATCTATCAATCGCAGCAGATCCAGCATTGTAGTCTGCTCCATGAGATCTGTGACCCAGACGCCACCTTTTTACATTGTCAGCATCGTGAACAATGTCAAGAACTTCAGGAGTAAACGCATACATTGTGATAGTGCTAAGCAGATGATGACTCGAGCGGGAGGTACCGGATTTGATGCTGCGAGGCCGCACAGAAGTTGCAAATAATGTCCAACTCTGTCGTAGACGATTAATTAGAATCGAACCACCGATATGTGGAGCTGCTCTCACTTTAATTCTTTTCTGGACTTCAAGCAAAGTTGGTCCGATCTTGGGGATGGTGGGGTCATATATCGTCGCGAGCAGCATGGAGAAATAGTGGTACGAAAGTGCAAAGGCTGTTTGATTTTAGATGTTAGAAGTAGTTTCCCAACTCCGGCGTCTCTGGTTAGCATGGTTACCACAATAGTCCCCATAGCAAGTAGGCATCTAGGAACAAAAGACCTCGCAAGGGATCACCTTCCCTATAGAATACTAGGGTAAAGATTTATGGTTTGTAAAGATCCCACTCTTCCAGTTGGTGTACGACATGGCGATACTTTGAACTGATGAACCGTCAGCTCCAAAGCAGTAGCCGACGACCTCGGTCTGGAGGCAAGTAGTCCGCTTCGCCTACGTATATGCATCTGCAATGGAGACCGAGCGATCAAGGTCGGAACGATCAAGATCAATCCTCGGAGGCCATTGATTGATGACAGCATTGAACACATCCTGACGCTGGTGAATCCGGAAAGCCGCAATGCTGAAGGGGTTAGCCTCTTGTTGCGCATGCCGTTGGGACTCTATGACCGAAGGGTAGCTGCTCGACAGATGCCGAATGTCGTCCTTTCCGTAAACAGGAGCTGACGAGAGAAAAGCGGTTAGTTGTCTTGAAATGGTTCAAAGAAGGGATATTTTCTGCACCACTAATCTCCTCGTAGAAGCGGAGAATTGTTGAGCAAGCAAGGAATGCCCCATCTATGATTGCAAAAGGAGGATCACGCACAGCAACATCATCAGTTGCGAAGCGACTCTGGTGTATGCTAGAGGTTAGCCAGCATGGAATACAGCAATAGTGGACAGATAGGAGCCAGACAGAGCGTCCGTGACGTCGAACTGGATAAATTAGTGACTAACTTCACGGCGACCATCGAATTTGACCGGCCTATACTAGGCCTATTGCAGTCTAGAAATAGTGAAGTAGCTCTGCGATGTCAGTCAATCAAACTGCTTTCGACGAAGAGTGAGCTAGGACGGCGTGTGCTGTTGCCGTTGAGTAAGCTGCCGTGCAGCGAGACCGCAGAAGCCTCTTGTCCTGTAGGGCTATGCGGGAGATGATACAATCCAACAGCATCGGTCATTGCTCTTGGCGGATATTGATGCATATGCTGAAAATCTGACCCGAGTCTTGGTTGTTTAGACGCACTGGTCTCGGCTGTCGTTCATGTAAATGCCCAAACGCTAGGGATGGGCTCTGTCCGACTTCTAGGGTGATCCAACGTTGGCGGGTCACCACGTGAGGGATCGTCTTCGATGATGCTCGAAACATGAGACGTCTCAACGCTGGTACCTGAACACTGGATCGTGGGTTGGCAGGGAATTCTAGTCCCCATCGCCATCGTTATGCGTTGCATTGACAAAGTTGACTGCTAGAGGTTCAATGTCTGATCTACAGGGTGGAGCACACCTAGTGGACAAACAAGCCTTCGGTATTTCAACCAACTCTTGCTGACGATCAAAAGTGAGTTTGCATTTCTTTGTGAAGCCCTGCATCGGTGGCCGAAGAATTCCTGCGCCGTCGAAAGCGGACGTTGAAAGTAGGTACGCAGATGCGGTCGTTGTCAATACAGTTCCGACACACTGGCTCTGTTCCGTCACCTATCGCGTGCATTAGTTAGCCGCAGTGGTTTTCAACCGGTGAGACCATTAGCGTACGACATTCCTTTCTGCCGAACGACCGCCCTCCCGAACAGTCTAACTCACCCTCTCAAACCATTTCTATTGTCGGCACGACTTGGCTTTTGTCTGCGGTTCACCGGAGTCATCCCAAGCAGTGAGCCTTGCGACGTCAATGGCCTGATAGGGCTGTCCAGCATTCATATCATTGCCATCAGCTTCATAGACATGTCGACCAAGCCTCATGCCCTCGTCTTCGGCGCTTCTGGCATATCAGGTTGGGCATTGCTGAAAGAAGCCCTCGGCTGTCCTGCGCCAACCACCTTTGAATATGTCACCGCCGTGACAAATCGACCACTGATTACCTCGAATACTCAATGGTCAAATGACCCATGACTTCAACTAGCCAGCGTCGTGGGCCTGACTGGATCTGTGGACAGCATTGTCAGTGCATTGAACACCATTGAGACAGTATCCCCCGTTTTCCTGTTTGTCTACCTTGATCCAGGCAAAGACAACAAGGATCTGAAGAAGGCCAACACTGGCCCGATCAGGACAGCTGTTGAGGCAACTCAGAATGCGGCTTCCAACGTCAAAAGCTCCATTCTACAGCTTGGTGGAAAGGCTTACGGATTGGGTAAGCGTTTTTCAGTCCATAACTTCGACAAGCCGTAATATCACGCTGACAATATTCCGCAGAATGTCCAAATGCTGTGGAGGTCATTCCACCGCCCAATGAATCTTACCCTCGAGTTTCAAACCCAATCGCAGACGATATCTTTTATTACTCTCAGTATGACGTTCTTGAGACCTTATCAAAAGGATCTTCTTGGACGTTTACTGGGATTCGTTCGGGGAACGAATGTCACCAAGCTTGTATCGTGAAGTCCATAGCAATGGAGCAGGGGTTCCTTATCCCGGTGCTGAGCACGGGCATCGCCATGAGCACATCGACATATTCCAAGATACTGCGGCTATGATGGAGATCCATGCTGCCTTGAATCCCGACAATACGGTTCGGGGAAAGCATTCAATATTGCCAATGGCGACGTTGTGACTTGGCCGGATAAATAGCCTACCATTTGCGCCTACTTTGGACTCGAAGAACCTAATCCGCAAGGTGCTTTTGAGCCCCCAATAGAGTTCGTCCAGAAACACATCGAGACTTGGAATAGACTCGTCGAGAGAGAAGGGTTAAGAGGCTGCCGCATCGAGAAGTTCTTCTGGCCTTTTCTGGGCTTCATGATGGACAAGGTTTTTTTTTTTTTTTCTGGCCAGTTCGTACGATCTGAGTGCTGCACGTTCCGTGGGATTTGAGGAACCATGGATACTATCAGGTCGTACACCATTGACTTTAACAGGATGCGAGTAGCGAAGGTTATTTCGTCGACAGATCATTATATCCCTTGGGATTCGAAGACACTCATTTGTTATGTAGGGCTTTTTGGGGCCACGTCAGCACTTTAGCTTGCTCAACAGAAAAAGCTGGAGGCAGCCTTACCGACTTCGCTTTAAGCTGAGCCCTAGCTTGGTTCAAAACCGCACGTCGCTCATCTGAGAGGTTCGGAAAGTTGTGAAAACTTGGCCCAATTGGCCCTGCAGCCGGTGATCACCGAGCCCTCTCGGGGCCTCGAAACTCTACCCGGGGCAACATGGACAAGCGGCCTGATGCGATTGGCAACAACGAACTCCATCGACAAACCAACCCCACGGTCACTCCTGAAACTCGTCCTGCTCAAGGGCCCCTTCGAAGCTGAGTTCGGCTGACTTCAAGAGTGCTCTACCATGCAGCTCTAGCTTCCCCATTGGAGCCCATTTATTGCAGCCCAACCGTCCAGCTTGCTCGTGAATTTCTTCGCAGTTCTTTCCAAAACCTCGCCCGCTCAAAATGGCACCCCCTGTCACCCTTCGAAATGTCAGCAACACCCCTTTGACCCTGGTCTTGATCGAGCACTTCGATCCCCCCAAGAATGATAGTTTTCAGATGTCAAATGTGACCACATCGCTCGCTACTGTGACCAACAGCATCGGCCTGACCAATACCACCACCCGGAGAGCTGTGCCACAGATCGACGCCGATGCCAGGCCCTTCGCGACTCGAGATGTTTCGATCAAGTTGCCACCATTCACCGTTGTGCCGACGGATATCAAGGCTGTCATTAACAAGCCTGATGAACGTCTTCGCTTAACCTTTCAGACGGAGATGGGAGGCAAGCATCAGATGTACTGCCCAGTCCCAACGGAAGAGACCGCATCGTTGGTTGCTTTGTCACCCAATCCGAAAGTGCGCTTCACCGGCATATATCTACCAGACACTTCCTTCGTCGCGCTCTACAATACTTCTCACCTCGATTCGTGGATGAAAGACATTCCAGACAAGACTCCTCTCGGTGTCCTATCAATTCCAGGGACTCACAATTCGCCTACGTGTCACAACGCCCCCCCTTCAGTGAGGTGCCAAGCGGTATCCCCAACAGAGCAGCTGAAGAATGGCGTGCGCTTTTTCGATATCCGCGTCCAAGTTCCGGAGCCTTATGACCCTAACTCCGACAAGCTCAATCTCGTGCATGCTGCTTTCCCTATTGCTCTATCGGGAGCTAAGCACTTCCGTGGACTCTACAACGACATCCTCAAATTTCTCAAGGACCATCCCAGCGAAACACTCATTCTCTCCCTCAAACGAGAGGGCACTGGTAAGGGCACAGACGAACAATTGTCTCGGATCCTGAAGAATCACTATACCAATCCACGCGAGTGGTACACTGAACCTCGTGTGCCAAAACTGGGCGAGGTTCGCGGTCGAATCGTCCTGCTCAGACGCTTCGTGCTGGAGGAACCTCTCCGACGCGAGTGGAATGGCCGTGGCTGGGGCATTGATGCACACATTTGGGCCGACAACACTCCCAACGCCCTGTGTCCATCGGGCGACGTCTGCGTGCAAGATTTCTACGAAGTGCTCGAGAGACCTTCAATAGAGAAGAAAATTAGCTACGCACGCGACCACCTAGAACGTAGTGGCTGTTGCATTTTCGAAGGCGACAATGTCGGTGACCAGAAATATCCGCTCTACGTCAATTTCCTGAGCGCGAGCAATTTCTGGAACGTCGGCACTTGGCCGGAGAAAATTGCGGCGGAGGTCAATCCGGCGATTACGGCCCATTTGTGTCAGAAGCATATGCTCGGAGATCAAGGCAGAGTGAAAGATGGGGACTGGAGTACCGGTGTCGTCGTCACGGATTGGGTTGGTTTAGGAGGGGATTGGGATATTGTCCGATGCATTGTGGGGATGAATGCGAAGTTGATCAGGTAGGGCGATCAACGCAGAGCATCTCCAAGCATTTTGGGCCTGCAGACAATGAATCGAAGGTCTATGGTTATGGGCAGTATCACCTCCCAACCCCCCTCTGAACGACGATATGTGGGAATTTTCGGGTCCATGATTTGGTCGGGATAGAAGGCGACAGCTGGACCCCTTGAAAGAGAGCACATATACGGAAATCGAAAGGACAGGACATGCTTTGGTGTCTGTGAGTACCAACACTTCAAAGTGCCTGCAAACTTAGTGTTCTATGATTCGCCGTGTTGCTTTGCTTGTACGGCGACGCATGTGTCCCAGGGTTGATTTTATGGCTCGGCATGTTTCTCTCTTTTCACGTCTACCTCATTTCTTCTTCCTCTATGGTTTACTCAGGTGTAAATAGGTTAGCCCAAATTGAAACGACTTTCGCCCCGCTTTAGTCCTTATGCGACGGTTGAAAATGTTGCTCGCTGCACTACAACGCCGACCACAAAACTGCGTTAGAATCTGCTCGAATGGCTGACAGCAAGCTAGCGAGGCGGATAAAGCACACGCACGAAACCAATGCCCTCAATTATGGCCATTTTGGTACCGCGATATACGATGACATACATCACAGATGGACGTTTCTACGTCAACACCAAGCTCGAGCACCATATGATTCCGATGAGGAAGATCACGCCACTCGAGACAGTTTACCTGCTTTCGAGCTCGTTCATGAACAAGAATGGGGTTCTGGAGAAGATTCGCTGAATGCCAACTTTACCGCAGAGGCTACTACGGCAGGCCAAGGACTGAAGAACAGATTACTCAAGCAAATACCTGACGCCGTGACTGCGGCTGTCGAATTGCCCGCTTTCACATATGCGTCGACTGCACAAGACGTCGATGAGAGCCGAAGACGATCCACCGGAAATGTCCTGGCTTTCGGCAATTCTAGCCGTCCATTTGAAACAGGATCTCACGGCGATGTACCTGCCACTCCCATTGTCGCCTTTCCAACCGGCCTTGGAGGGGAGCAAGTTCAGTTTGCCGCTGTAGATGTATGTGGTATCTCCCTTGCCGATGATTCTGGCCTGGGGAGATCCTGTAGGGTTCCTTGCGTTGGAAACCAAGCCCTGGCATACTGGAACGATTCGGCCGAGCCAATCCGTCAATTATCGTGCTCAAGGCACCGAAACCGCACGCAATTTCTTGTGGTCAAATCAAGTGGGACGACTCTACTACGTCCCTCCACAGGACACAATCGTTCAGAAGTGTTCCTAACCTCAAGAGGGTTGGGCCAGGGTTTGAACAGATCAGGGTCACTTCTAGACCCGTGTCCTATCCTGACCATACCTTCTTCCCGGACAGGAGGGCACCCTCACGCCCACTCTGATTTCCATCCACACGAGAAGAATTCAATTGCCATCGTGGATACGAGTGGTAATTGGAGCATCTGGAAGACCAAGGGTAGGAGAGCCACGTCGACTCATGTTCTCTATCAGATACATCTGCAGAGCTCCGGTGGATTGAGCATTGTTGAACATCAGCCTCTGTCCATCGGGACTCAGCAATGTTTCGACGATTGGCACATGATTTGCTGGTTGACGAACGTAGAAGGCGTCGTGGAGCGGATATTAGTGTGCAATCGACGCTTGGCCGGAGTTTTTAAGTTAAATGGCGAATTTGTGGGACACGCCGATATGCGTTTGGGACTACAATCGAAACGACACCAGATTTTGGATGTTAAGAACAGCACCCGACGGCAGGACCACGTTTTTGTCTTGACCACATCGCGCTTGATGATCTTCAGGTCGTCGGAGGTCAGCTGGAAAGAAAAGTCAGGTGCTGAGCCATTGGCTTTGGTATGTTCGTGGAATCATTTTCGTGACGGTAGTGATACGGGCCTCCGCATGGCTCTTTTTGAGTCTGTCCAAAGTATGTGTATTATTTCCCGCCGCATTGTGCAGCTCACCAATATGTGTAGCTACTTGGGTGTTGCTTTTCTCGAGAACAACTCATGTTGCCACTGTCTACACTTTCGGGGAAGGGCCATTCGACCCAAATACTGTTTCGCTTCGAGATCCTTCCAGCTTTCAACTACCACCACAACTGAAGGGACGAATGAGTACTATCAGCGACCTTGTTCTCTGTCCTATCGGCTTTGTCCTTGAGAACATCGCTTCTGATGAGTTGGACTATGGTCTATTCAAATTGATCGCGTGCACCAACGACGGAAAAATAATTGAAGCGGTCTACAAGCATCGTCAAGGACAATTGTCCGCCGCCCAAAATGGTGGGGATCAATTCATACATTGGTCCCTGCCCAAGACAACTGGTATCCAGATTCAGAGTACTAGACGTGTCAGTGATGACGATTGGGATGATTTTGTTGTGGACGATAATGCTAGTGAGTCCAGGTCCACAGCCGAACGTGTTCCAGACCCGCAGGAGCGTCAGGCTCTGGCCCGTGCGATGTCGCATTTTCGGAATTGGGAGCGGCTTCTAGATTATGACCCCGTTCGACCGAGTGAGAACGGATCTTCTTCCTTTGAAGCGGCCCTCCAGGAGGCGATCAAACGATGGGAAACATTACGTTTGGAGAATGAAACCGGCTGTCTTTATTTGATGTCCGATTTTCTCGAAGGACATCAGATCATGGACATAGAACAAGCCTCGGAAATCGCTAACGCGTGGCTCGACAACTTGAAGTCGCAGGATGAGTATTCTGTTGAATCGGCTGGCCTTAGCCTCTTGGACTTGAATGGCCCATCAGAGTATGAGTTATTGCACGCCTACAACCACCTCACCACCTCTTATGTCGAGTCACTTTCATGCGAAGTGACGGACCGCAACAGGGTCAATCGTGAAAGAACCGTCCGTCAGATTGCAGGGGTTATATTCTTGGGAAACCTGACCTTGAGAGTAAGCAAAGCTGCTCAAAATGCCGGCGTGTCAAACCCACAACCAGGGTTTATGCCAGGCCGGACGGTATCATTACCTCTCCCAGAAGCAGAGTCAGATGGCCTAGGTGCTCAATCGTCCCAGCCATCTACCTCTCAGAGTCCAATGTCCGAAGAGGAGCTGGCAGTTACTCGTCTGCGTCAGTATGCAACGTTTTCACCAGAGGGACCTCCCTTGCAGCTTTCTCATCACAAGAACATTTCAAACATATTGTTCCATGCACCAAACTCGATTGAGGATGATCCTGCCCACTACTCGTACCGAAACACCAATCAAAGACTCAAACTGGTGCAGGAAGAGATGGCAACACAATCGTTGGACCCGCGTGAAAGACGAAAAGCGTTGAGGCAGGCAGCTCGCTTGCAGAAGAAGCTAGAAAAGACAGCACAAATCAGTCAAGAGGTCATGTTGCAACGGGTTTTGCTGCCTAACATCGTCGAAGGAAATGGAGGAGCAGACCTGCCCGGAAGGGAGGTGCAGAGCAGTCAACTCGCAGCACCCCACCCGAGTCAGGGTCATGATGGCGTCCCAGGTCTGAGTATGACGCAGCCAGAGAGAGGCGCTTTTGGAACGAGGCTCCCGAAGACAAAGGGAAAGGAGAAGGCGAGCCGGAGGAAGGCTGGATTTTGAACCGGTAGAAAATTCAACGGGATGCCAAGGCTTCCCCGGATTTTGGATTCTCCATCTTCCGAATTGGAGGTGTAGCGCCAGTGGAGCCCGCTAGCGCCTTTAGTGGGTGGTTAATACTTGTTGCGGCCGCGCTACGACGGTAGTGCGGAGAAAGCACAGAAACACTGGAGAGTGTGGCTGCTTTGTCGCGTGAGTGCGTGATTAACAGCGCCCTCAGGTGTCGCTGTTGGTCAGTTGACCAGGTTGCCTCGTACCTGGGGGTCCTGAGCTCTGACCTATGACCTGACGCACTGGCCACTGGCATTACCCCTCAATTGCTTCTACCTGCTCACGGGCAACTCATCTCTCCTCTTCTCTCCCTTACCCTTTCCCCTTCATCTCACCAGCTACTCACTACTCGTACTATCTATCGAGCTGTACCCAACGCTTTCCTCCTGCTACCATCCATCACACATCTAAGCCGCTTCCGTCGCCAATCAATCCCCGTTTGGCCCAGCTATTGGTTCCGGTACGTCTGACTTCAATCCCCCCCTGGAACCATACTTTTGCCTATCCCATATTCTGACCACTGCAGCTATTCACTCCCACCCGATTACACTCCTACAGTCTACTCCTTCCTTCCCACAACAGTCGACATGTCCGCGGATACATCAGATCTCGCAAAGGTCGACTCCGCTATTGGGGGAATGGCCGGCTCACCAACCAAAGATGCCAAAGAGACCAAGCGGCGAACCACGTCCAGTGCTCCCGGTGTTATGAACATCAACGATCTCGGTGTGCATGTTCCATCCGAATCCCCGGTTGATACTAAATGATCAATCAGAGAAGGAAGGTGTGAATATTTGTGTCGCCCCTGAGACGCAGAAGACTGGATGGTAAGTGCCCATCAGTTTCTTCAATCCTATCAGCACTGACACAATGCAGGAAACTCAACACCTCCCCCAGTACTGTCGAAGACGCGTCCATCCTGAAGAAGATGCTCACGGAACCTCCTGTCAAGAAGATCGACTTGCATTTCCCCTTAGGTCTTGAGGTCACGGCGAGAAACCTGAAGGGAGTCACAATCAAAGATGCGTTAGATGCCATCCACAAACAATTCAAGAAGAAGGTACGCGTTCCCACGTAAAAGCCTTGGTGTGATGTTTCGGGGACACACTGACCCTATCACATTAGGCCGACGACGAGATGGAAGAGCCATACCTGAAAGGCTTCGAATGGGATCCTGAGGAATCATGGACACGATTGAAGGTTCACACTCAGCGAGAAGGCGCCCCTCAGAGCAAGAAATCCAAGAAGAAGAGTGGTGACGAATAAGCAATCCATCCATCAATGTACACACACAGGCACATCTGCTCCTGGCTGAGCGAGAGACCAACTCAATCCTTATCATCAATCAAATCGTATCAGATCCGATATGCTATCAAAATTCAGCTTGGTATGCATGACATGGTATGGTGCTTGGCGGGCTTCCTTTCTCATTCTGGCGACCTTTGCTTAAGATTGCGGCGGATATCCAGATGGCTTTGGACTTGCTAGCTTAGACCGGCAATGACATAACCTCGACCTGACTTTGCATTGACTTTCTGGACCATTTGAAGGAATACAACCCCCAATATTCGTCCAATGCGTTTGATTTCACCCCATCAGCCTCGATGTGGAAGGCATCACGTGACGACCCTTAATGTTTCCGTCATTTTCCAGCAGCTTATCCGCCTCAGTTCTCTCTTGGTGTTGTCCAGCACTGGCGCAACTTGGATGCGACTGAGCTCACGCAAGGGGCGATCGACTTCATATCCCTGATATGTGAAGCACCAAGCGATGCTTTTGATAAACTCACCCTCAGTATGATGAAACCGGCAATGCAGATGCAGAAAGAAGACGGTGCCTTCTCTGCTTTCGATGTCCAGCACTCTCCCAGACTCTTCCATAATCTGTTTTCTCTCCATGGACCGGGTCTGGCGGATGATGTTCAGATATTCGGACTCCACTGGTCCCACATTGCCTAGGTACGCCACGCTTCTCGAATCCACCTCGATAGACGTCTTGCTGGAGCTTCCTTCAACTGGCAGGTTTCTCATCATCACATAACATAGCCAAAGGGGCGATATCATCCGTCATGTCTACATCCACCAAGCTTCTAGCATTCCTCCCATCCCGAAACACGAATTCCCGCCCACCAAATGGCTCGCCGTCTGCAGAAATGTCCGTGGAGCATAGTGGAGCCCCTTGATAGCTAGCCGAGAGCCAGTACCGAAGATCATGCAGGCCGGACCATATAATTCCCAAAGCCGTTTCACCCTTGAGGCAGCATCAACTTTGGGAATGCTCAGAATGGTTTGTATAGTGGTTTCACTAAATCCAAGTAATGTGGCCAGGCTCAATGCTTCATCGCTGACAATGCTTGTGGAGCAACAATTGAGTGTTTTCGACCCAAACCCAGATTGTCCTCCTCGGCTGTTTCGAGGGAGACCCTATCGCCTCGCAGCCCTTTGATCCTTGCTCTAGCATCCTAGAGAGCTGATATGCGCTACCCCACTTCCATGTCGAATAAGCGCACTGCGACGTCAGTGATATCATAGACACCTTCTTGGACTGAAATACAATTTTTGAAGAAGGTAGTTTTCTTGGAGCGCCCATTGTCGGTACCGCCAGGGCGATGCGCATGATCGTCACGACCGTGGATGTCAACAGCATTGCAGAGAAGAAATCTAGTACAAATCCAGCACTCCCATTTTGGTATGTCCGTTGCATAAAGGAGATGATAAGATCATGAACTTGTCAGAGTGATATGTGGCAGCAAAGTGTATCGATCCAAAACTTCGACGGCGTGTTGTGAGCGGCACGGAGATCAAGTAATAGTTCAGACGGTTGAGGGATCTGACATTCCGGCAGTGAGTTCGCCATCTCATTACCCAACCCATCAGGACGAATGTGTGAGATGGCGACATAGCCAACCACTTCCGAATACTCGTCGACTTTTAATTCGAAAGCACCCTCAGAATTCTGGGACAGGTGATGCCCGGAACGTCGCCTCTCTGCAGAATGCTACCCATTCCAGCTCAATTGACAGAGATACACATACAGTCTCTGTCATAGTGATTCTTACACGATCCTTTTACTAATTTCTTCCTTTGTACCGTTTTCAACCAATATCCTCTTTTCCGTGGACCCAAGTTCTAAGAGCATTTTCAACAGAAAAGAGTTCATCCGGCACTGGATTCTACCACGACTTTCTCTCTTTCTTTCATAAAGCGAAGATCAAACCTCTCCCATCCTCAGTCATAGGCGAAACGTCTCCATCCCCGAATCCTCTTGCCGTACCGAAATAATATCAGGGGGAAAGGTATCAAGGCAAGACAAACAAATCCCAACACGCTGGTTGCCCAGTCGACACCGAGGTTCTCGTACATGTATGTCGAGAACAGTGGGAAACCCGCCGCAAACAGAGCCCGAGTGAAGGCGCAGCCAAAAACCTGCGTATGAAAATCGTCTGCAAGTTCTGCGCCACGACCACAGGAACCTGGAAGATGGTAGAAATCACCATGCCCGTCATAAGTGGCCGCATGCGTCCGTATACTTCAGACAATGGGCCGAAGATGAGCGGCCCGAATGCGAAGCCGAGTACAAACAAGGAGACGCCAAGAAGCATGACTTCGGAGGAGACGTGGTATTCTTCGGCAGCGACGAAGACGGTCGTTGAGAATACCGAGGAAGCAAATGAGACGCTGAATGTTGCGCCGCCTGTCGTGAGGGCGATAAGCCATTTCCGCGGTTGAGACATGTTCATGGGTCGAGATGGGTCGTTGGGTCCGTCCCAAGTGACGATTTTGGAGCCCTGGTGGTGGTAATGGGTATGATGATTGGCCTCCTGATCCCGAACTCGATCATGATCCATGATATGGCGCTGACATTTCTCGCAGACGATGTGTTGCTCGTTCCCCTCGTGTGTTTGTTGTCTTTCTTTGATATCTTCAAATACGTTGGACTCCTCATATACTGGATTATTACCCTTTGGGGATTCCAGATTGTTCTCCCTTCTTAGCTGCCCTCCCTGTCCGTCAAAGGAGATTGTGGGATTTGTTGTCGACAAGGAGAACGCCGCATTCGCCATCTGATCGATGATCGAGTTATCGGTTCTGGGAGGAATTCACTGGCAATTGTAGTAGCGGAAGGGGGTAGGAAACATTGACATTAGTGGAAATAAAAATCAGGTCGGATCAGAGAATGGGAGCACGGTGTTACAACAATCAGCAACCTGGACTCTCCTCTCCACGGACCTGGTCATCCACAACAGGGTAGTGTTCCGAGTTGTCGAGTCACGAGCCGATGGCGCCGGATATCATATCGGGGGGGTGTATGCGGGCACCAACCTCGGCTCAATCTTGCCACCCGCTAATTTATCCTGGCCTCACCATCTCTCATTTTATATAAGAATCCTTGGTGTTGATAAATTCTGCCTCACGTGACTAATAAATTCCCCACGTAGCACGCGTAATCTCTCTAGCGTCGATGTCGACTCACGAGCCTTACGAGTCGGAACACTGCGACAGGGCATTGGTATTGGCCCCAGGTAGGGAAACACAAAAGAACATGAACCCTTGAGGTATGAAGTCATCGACAGGAAATTCCCTGCTAGTGGGTATGCTATCTACGGCAGTAAATGTGTTTTTCTGTGATAACATGAACCCTCGGTTTCCAAGGATCAAGCATACAAGGATTCAGTGCATTCATTAGGTTAAGATGTTATATGTCAGCCATGTAGATCATCAGGACTTATGGCTGCAAAGGTTTAGGGTACCGATACACATGAGTCTGCAGTGACAAAACAATACGCTACACTGCACAAGAAATTGATAGCTAGACAGATAACTAGTCGGACGCCTCAAACTTTCCCACCTTAGTCTCCTCCGAACTACCATTTAGGTCCTACGGCGCCAAGCTGGCTTTTCGGCCAAGGCAAAGAAAAGGTGCGCCTTATTGCAGATCCCACGACATAAATTTTGGTCCGTGAACAACAGGATCCAGTTGTTCATGTCATGTGTGCCGTTCTGGGCACATAAGCACCCATTACCAACTCTTCTACTTAGGCTAATACGTATGTGTGAGTCCTTGGTCAGCGCCGGTCCCTGCCGCTGCAGGCTCTTATCCTTACCCGTAGCAAATAATGGCTCGGTGGCCATTAAGCGAGAAAACTTTAATTGGACATACAGCCGGATTGAGTTTACGGCTTAGGGGGGCCTTAGCCTCGGCCTTGTTCCACCTGGGTATGAAGAGCAAGGCTGAAATCGAGTCTGGCGCGCAACCAAGTGCCCGCTAGAGTTTGGCCGTGTTTCTCTTCGCTTCAATTGTTATAAATCGCACAAACCACTAACCTAAGTGATACTCACATAGCAACAGATCTACCTGGTTGATAGTCACGGTCAGCCCCCTAGATTCGCTAAATACTTTAAAGCTTACACAACTAGGTAGTAAAGTAACGCACAGTGGGTTGTGGAGTGATACGGCACGGTGAGGACAGTTGGGGCCTGAGATGGTCCACGTATGGTGTATGATATGGTAATTTCCATGGTAGAATGTTGTAGTGCCGGCCACGCGCCTGTCTAAACATCTGAACATGTGCACACGTGAACCCGATGAAAAGAAAACGAAGTCCTATGTGCTGTTCCTAGTACCCACTAGGCGCATGCGATTGGACGTCGTCATGTCGAAACCAACCGTGGTAGCAGAATGCTACAGCCGATTCTTACTTTGTCCTTTGCTGGTGCTCTTCATCCCCTTCAGTTTATCGACCTTGGTGGCCACACATCCGAATCTTGCCACGCAGACGGTCCGGCCCGATTCCTCTCGCAGGGTGATTTCGAGCATAAACCTTCCGTCGCCATCACATTCTCTGAGTTCAGAGACCGCGTGCAGCCATTCCCATCCCTCCTCCTCGCCTTCGCCTTCTTTTGCACCCGTCTCTGAGTGAGCAGGACGAGGAGGGTTACATCTTGTTTCCCAACTTATCTCCCTTGTCGTCGGCCAATACTGGAGTCCTTCCGGATAACTCATCACCGGCACAGGTAACAAATCAATCAGCAGCGGCAGACTGCGCGGCGACCACTTGTGTTCGCCGGCCTTAACCCATATCTCTCGCACACTCGCGCCATGCACGGGGTGTGTGGTGAATGGAGCGGAGAGATTTGTACCCGGCGGAACGAGACAGCTGTGCGATTTGTGTTTGTAGAATGATGTCCCCCCGAGAATTGCGGCGAAGGATACTGGGATCCAGTTCTCGCGTGTTAACGGGAATCTGGGCGGTGGCGATGAAGATGAGAACCGAGTTGCCGGGGGCAGGATGAGTCCGAGTCCGCCGGAAGGGTTAGACAGAAGCTGGCCTTGTATGGCGTGGGCTTCAATGCGCTGCTCCTCAGCAACCTCATGTTGCCGGTCAGGATTTGAATCAGGATTTTTGTTGAGTTGGACTTTTTGATATAATGAGGCTCGAAATGTCCCCGTCCTTCCCTGCTTGCTGATTTTGAGTGGAGTGATCCTGACATATGCATCTCCCAAAGTCGCATGTGAGAGGAAACTCACGTGGCAAGACAACGTATCTGGAAGGCAGAGGTCTGGGTAATGCCGTTTGCAATGCATTCCGAGGGCTCGGACGATGATGGATGTCATATAGCCGCCATGGGGGATGAGGGCAAAACACCAATCTGGATATAGCGTTGCGGCATAGGTGAATAGGTCGTCAGAGATCGGCTGTATACTGGTTGCCTCGGCGAAGGACTTGGGGGACTTGACGGGGAAGTTTGGGAGGGAATTCATCATGTCCAAATCCAGAGGCATGGTGTTGAGTGGAATGAGAAGAAGCAATTGTGTCTTCTATAAGGAGGTGTGGGATATGCTTCTTTGTCCAAGAGTGTGACCTTTTGAGGCTTTCTGTTTGATTGATATTGAGACCAATTAATAGATTGCAGGTATCGACGCTTTCTAACTTACCATTGAAGAAGAGGATGGGATTGGCGACGATGGGTGTAACTAAATGCTCCGGCATCTCTATGTATACTATCTGATTTGCACTCGGGAGCCGGCAGTTGGACTCTTCTTGCATTTTGTGGCCCAACGCAAGGATCACAGTTAGAATGTTCAGCCAGGCTTAAGGTACTGTGCAGATCAGTGCCACACGATCCGGGCCCGCTGAACCCAGTCGGCCTTGAAACGTGGCTGGGTCCATTCTATTTCAGTAATATACATGGTAAAGGTGATGAACGGTTTGGCGCTTGAGTGTCTGTCACACAGGAGGATGTCGGCGTCAGGATCATTGAGCAACCACGTACGAAGCTCTCGTTGTTTGATTCCTATCTCTTCTCATGTCTCCTGCATGTATCCTGAAACCAACTAAGAAAGGCTCGATGCGGCCCCCGACTTTCTGACAACCCATGTCTGTTTCTCCTTACATCATCTATGCACGTAGCACCCCGCTACAACACAGCATTTCAGGCGTCCTACAGATGATTACACACCCTTTGGTACGATCAATCGGTATTGATATGATATGACCAAGATATGGAGGGATGCTGGCGAAGAGGGCCTGATGTTTATAGGTATTTTCAGGAACCAGTTGTATCGAATGACAGAGAACCGACCATGAAAACATACTGACTGCAAAAAAAACCCGAATCTGACCAAGGATCGTTTCAGGACTCATGTTCACCTTCTTCGATACTTCATATTCATAGACCGAGTGCAGACCCAAGTTCAACCTCGGTATGGCTCTCCTGTTCCCTATTCTTATCGCTATACTCGCCTCCCTGCTTCTGTATGGGCTGTTCATCGAGCCCCTTTCAGATCCGTTACGTCATCTCCCGTCTCCAGAACAACCACCCTTTTTCAAACGATTCCTTAGAGAACCAGATCTTCATAAGTTGGAACAACGAATGAGAGAAATCCCTGATGATGGTCTAATTCGATATTATGGATTCTGGGGGTTCACGAAGACTGTTCGTCACCAGCCCATAGGTTGTTAGGGATATCTTGAAGTTGCAGAGTTATAGCTTCAGAAAGACTCGAGCGGTTCGATCAATCCTTAGGGGACTGCTGAGTGATGGTTTGCTTGCGATCGAGGCCGAGGGCCATAAGTTATGTGTGACCATATCCACCAAAAAGACAACGTTGAACTGGCCGATGCTGATTCCCCGACAGCGTCAAAGAAAAGCACTTCGTCCGGCATTCAAGTTAGAACATATTCGTGGCTTGTATCCTCTTTTTTGGAGCAAGGCGGTGGTCTTTTTGGACAGCCTTAACAAGGAATTCACATCGGACGACACTACCGTCAACGTCAGTCCGCTTTTGGGTCGGCAAACCCTCGACATGATCGGAGCTGCAGCGTTTGGATTGGAGTTCCAAGCTGTTCGTCACCCGGAGAGGGATTTCACCGCCAACTATTTCAAAGGTTTCAGCACCTCAAGGTTATCCCAGTTGAATATCTTGTTGTCCTTAATACTGCCAAATTGGCTTCTCAACCTTATCCCACTGAAAAAGGTCTAGGAGGTTAACAACGCCATCAGGCCGGTGCGTCGTGAGATTGCAGAAGTGGCAAACGGCGGAAGCAGGAATACAAAGATCCCGAAAAGACTCTGCCGAAGAAAATTCCCATGGATATCATTGGTGTCACCCTGTCTTCTGGAGTGGTCGATTTAGATGCTCTGACAGATCAAGCAATGACTTTCCTCGGGCAGGACACGAAACCACGGTATCGGCCTTGAGTTGGGCACTATTCGAGTTGTCCAGACGGCCTGACATGCAAAACAGGCTCCGAGAGGATGTCCGAGCCAAGATCAATTCTCCCTCAGAGTCACAAGGAGCCATCTCACGATCGACGATCGACGATCTCCCTTATCTCAACGCGTTGTGCAACGAGCCACTGAGGCTTCATTCACCCGTGCTCAGTTTGCTGCGAGTGGCAGTCAAACCAGTCACCGTCTGCGGGATTGTTTGTCCCAAGGGGAGCACGTTCAAGTTTTCGCCTTGGAATTTTGGACATGCACCTCAATTATGGTCGTCGGCGATTTTGCTCACCTTCGATCCAGAACGGTGGTTGGTCGAATCGCGAGGGGGTGCCAATTACAACGACGTCACCTTCAGCGGAGGGGCCGAGAGAGTGTGTGGGGGAAGGCTTTGCCAGAGCGGGAATGGCGGTTGTCCTTGCGGCACTGGTGGGACGATACGAATTCGAGTTTGTCGGGACGGGAGAGGAGGTGAATTCGGATCCTGATGAAGTGAAAGTCGAGAAAGGTATCACGGCCAAAATAGAGGGAGGCCTTTATGTGAGAGCTCGACGGATTAATGGATGGTGAAGAATACCAACCACATTCGATAGACTAGTGGTCCATCTTTGAGGAATCAGGCTCGGTGGCCTTCGAGCCGCCTCATAGTACCATTTCTGGTGGCTTTCCAGAACGTCATGATCTGATTCATGAGGAGTTCTCGGCCACCTGGGTTCACGAGAGATACCCCCAAGCAAAAGAACGGCCAACAGTAATACTCTGCGAAGTAGTCCACAGATGGTTCGATACAACGGACAAGGAACATGGCCTTCGGAGACTAAGTTAGAAAGGCAAGAATCTCTTTTTTGGAATAATTGCGTCATCATATGCCTCAGGAGAATCCGAGCACCAAGGACGTAGAGCTTAGGTCCGAAGATGAGAAAACATTCGATATTTCTTTGCTGTACTAGGTAGTGGGGTATCTTTCCGCAGTCCAGGCTATTGGTTGTCGGTTTGTTTAGCACTCTCAGCTCATTTATTTTGATCCTGGGTGCAATAGGAGTATGGGCCACGATGGTCTAGGTCAAAGAATGGAGAGAAGTGTCGATGGGCGGAAATAACGGCGAAGAACCCCAGACCCAGGTTAGAAGTACCCGAAGTTTGAACCAATTGCCAGGCAGCAGACAGGGATAACACAGCAAGACTCACCAGGCTGGAAACGTGGTCTCGGTTATTTCAATAGCCTTTCACCAATCCCATGATACGAGCTTCTCCCCCTCTTCTCATATTCCTTCGGGCTCGTTCTGTCATTGATTCCAAACCAAAGATGCTGTCCAAGCGAATGCCGAAAATCGTTTGATGTAGCCCCGGATTTTTTTGGTCCCACGGTACCCGGTGCTTAATCTTAGACCCCCACCTTCACTGTCGGCTATGGTGCTAGTGAGTTTGCTGTCTACTTGCAGAAATACCCTGGCAAGGCTGACAACCACGATACGCTGAAAATACTTCCGGTGGAATCTTGGCGCCAAGGTCTGTGTCCGGTGGAGACTTGGCGAGCTTACCACTATTGACTAGGAAGAGCGTGAGATACCTCGGTAGATACTTTATAATTTTGTCAGATACTGCGTGGATAATGACGGTTACACTCGCATTCTGTTGTCTGACAACAGGTCGCTATAAGTACCTTACTATACCAAAAAGAGGACATATCGACCAGGTTCCCCCGTTCCCTGGTCCCCGGCGCCTCCGCAGTAAAATTGCTACCCCCTTCTGAACTTTTCTCTTCCATTTTACTAATAGTCTCTGCACCCCGCAATCATGTTCGGCACGTAGGAAATAATCGTTTGTGATGGCCATCATCTTCGCAGCTAAACAGATTTACTTTCAAGGACTAGTAATGACGCCAAATCTGCCTGGCGATCCAGCGGTCAGTGAAGAAGATGAGTACATATATAATGCGTTGCGGACGGCCGAGAGGCCTGATGGCTGACACATTCACTACTTTCCTACCAAGTTCGCCTACATTGCACCAATAATGGCTCGAATGGCTCCTCTTGCGGTCATCTTGCTCGCATTCGTTATATTCCCTTTCGCTGCCCTCTCGAATCCCGGAGGCTACTATGGCAACCGCCCCACTGCTCACATCGACTCTGGACTCGTCGTGGGTTTCACCCAAACCATACCAGGCTCTCGGATAAAGCTGAATACCTTCCTCGGCATCCCATTCGCCGCGAAACCAGTGCGCTGGGGTCCTCCTATACCGCCAGCTCCTTGGAAGACTCCCTTTGACGCTTCCAATTTCGGTCCAGCATGTGTCCAGCAATTCAACTACCCCGATCCCCGTCGCAGTTTGATTCTGAAGTGGTTCAACACCCCTCCGCCCCCTGCCGGTGAGAGCGAGGACTGTCTGAATCTAAACGTATACGCCCCCCCTCCCACAAAGAGAGGACAACCCAAAGCAGTCATGGTCTGGCTCTATGGTGGCGGCCTCCTCTATGGTTCTAATTCCGGCCGTCTCTACAATGCCTCTGGCTTAGCGGCTAACGAAGATGTCATCGTTGTCGTTCTAAATTACAGAACCAACGTGTTTGGCTTTCCTGGATCGCCTCAATTGCCGCCGACCGAAAGAAATCTAGGGTAATTCGCACCGCCCTTTCCCTTCCTATGTGCTGGAAAGATGTCCTCGCTCTGCTCAAGCCTCGCTAACCCCCCGCCGTATAGGTTTCTGGACCAGCGTCTCGCCCTTGACTGGGTACAGCGCAATATCGCCGCCTTTGGCGGAGACCCCGACAAAGTCACCATCTTTGGGGAAAGTGCCGGTGCTCTCAGGTATGTCACCGAAGCGCGATCGCCGTCTCACGCATACCAACATACCTTCTAACGCACGCCATCTTCTTCAATGACAGCGTCGATGCTCTCCTCACCCAACCCCCGGAACCAGTCCCATTCTACGCGGCCATCATGGAATCCGGCACCGCGACGTTCCGCGGCCGCCCCACGGACCCAGCAGCATCCTGGAACATCCTCGTCGCCGCCATGAACTGCACCGCATCCAACTCATCCTCGTACATTCTCTCATGCATGCGTGGCCTCCCCGCCACGACGATCAAAGACTACAACGAGCACAACCGCCTCTCCTGGTCGCCTGTCTTCGACAACGTCACTAGCGCCGACACCGCGCGCTCGAACCGCCTGACCTCCACGCCGTCGAACTCAAAAATCGCCCGCGTGCCTATCCTCGGCGGCTCCAACGCCGACGAAGGCCGCTTGTACTCCGTCAGCGCCAACGACTCGTCCAGTTTTATCCGCGGCCTCTTCCCCACCGCTACCGACGCAGACATTGCCAACCTCCTCGCTGCATACCCGATCGGCGTGCCTCCGCCCGTTGGCTTCCCCAATGAATTCGAACAGCTAGCGGCTATTTACACTGATTTTGTCTTCCAGTGTCCTGCGCGCCTGGTTGCCATTGAGACCGCTCAGGTCGGCATCCCCAGTTGGCGATACTACTACAACGCTTCTTTTCCGAACACGGACATATTCCCGGATTCTGGCGTGTACCATTCCTCAGAGATTGGGATTGTGCTTGACACGTACCCAGATGAAGGCGCCACGCCGTTCCAGGTCCATCTTAGTCACTATGTACAGAAAGTGTGGGCGGATTTTGCAAAGAATCCTTATGGCTGGGGTGTGCCGCCGTGGCCGCAGGTGTCCGAGGCCATGGGGATGCTTGGTGGTGGTGTGCGTGTAGAAGATGGGCCGGATGCGTTTGGCCCGTTGTTGACAGTGTTGGATCCGGCGGAGATGGATATGGTTGATCAGCGGTGTTGGATTTATCAGCCTATCTATGATTTCCTAGGTCATTGAGGCGATGTTCAACAAATGATAGATAGTGGATGCAAGAAAGGTGACCCGACGACAGACAGCAGGGAGTGTGGTTGGCGAACACCACGTGTAAATATTTTAATTCCAGTAATATATGCATATGTCATCACCGAGTATTTAATCACCATTGTATTCGCGAAGATCCTTAAAGAACCCGAGTCTGGCCTTGATCAATCGAAGGACCGAGTCCTGAAAATCTTGAACCCTGAATCCATTGAGCGCATAACCCACCGCGTCACACGGAGGGTAGAGATAGCCACTCTAACAGGAATAGTAGAAACAACACTCCTCTAGGATGTTTCCAGTTAACCCAAGCATACTGTAAATCTTACGATTCCATTACGAGGAGTGGCAAGCTCTTGTAATGATCACATTGGTCATTTCTTATCCCGTGCGAACCAGTCTTCGCAGTCATATGCAACCTGCAGCGCGGCTGTTTCTTGATACCAAGAATAAGCCGTTCATCGATGTGTGATATATTTTTCTTGTACTTTCACTTCAGGCATCAACTCTCCGGTCGATGGCTATCTGGGATGCCGAAGACCGAAAACGTTTCCAAGCTATTCTCGGCACTTGGTACCTGTATTATAGTCTCCTTAGTTACCCGTTGGCCCTGTACCTTGTACGGAGGGCAATTATTCATTATCCTCAGCTTTCGGTTAACGTTCCAGTGTGCCACGCCTTGGAACTTTCTTTAAGCGTTGAGGTACAAAATGTATATCGAAACACATATACCGTAGTAAACTAGAAACAATACTAACATTCGACTTCAGAGATCTGAGCTCTTCAGTCTTGTTTCCCCACTCAGTCCGCCTCCTCAGATTCAAGACAATGCAGCTCTTCAATGCAAGATCCTGTTCCATAGGCTCGCAGATATCGTTACACCGCGGATGGCCAGAGCTTCCCAGAGACGACACCCATCTTCCTTGCTGGTCTTGTAGCCTCGCATTACGGGCTCCTCAGGACCAGTTGGTTGCGGCGGGCACCCGCACATCCCAATCTCAGCCTCGCATTTCTGATGCTTGAGGCTCCACCCAATCCACTTACTAGAAAATTCCTCGTACACTTCGTCATACTGCTCCTTGGTCTCAATGTATGCGGCGATCTTCTCCGGGTTGATGCGTCCCTTGTTCTCGAACCATCGGTGTACCATGAAGGCCCAGTTCCACGGTCCCCCGCCCATGACGAGCTTAAAGGGAAAGAAATTCTCCAATGCGATTATCCGCTTGAAGCATGTTGTGTGATAATAGTATTTCCCGTCATATGGGCGACCCTTGTCGACGCAGACGCGGAATTCGTCCGCAATGTATCGGCCATTGACGCCCTCCATCTCGACACGTATACATTCTCCGGTCCGATATTGCGACGACGCTCCTGCTCCGCGGCCAACGCTTCATCAATTGCCTTCTCCTTGTCCAGCATTTCTTGGAGGAGACGCTTTCTTGTCGCCAGCTCTTCTTCATCGGCCGACGATTCGGCCGGTTCATGGTTGGGATAGCGGGGATGACTGCCTCAGCGATTATGGAAGATCCAAGTTTCGTAGCGCTCATCCTTTGCCCGGTAGCGGAGAAGAGTGTGCGGGCGGGATCGCCGGCGTCCTACCTGCGACTGGTCTGAGCTGCGTTCGGGAGACCTTGTCCCCGTAGAATGCACCACATCTAGGTCTTCTGCACTGTCCTCTCTAGAGGGACACGGTGAGGCTGGCTACCATAGGAAGTACAACGAATTTGAAATATTTGCGAAAGAAAGCTCATAGAAATATAGGATTCAGCACAACTTTCACTTCAAGAGATATCTATAAGCCTATCAGTCAAATCCGGCATTGGATTACGTGGATGACTTCGGCCGCGGCTTCGGCTCTGCCAGCGGCCTCTCATCCGGTCTTTTGGCGATAATATACTGCTGCTCCTCCGGGACACATTTCTCATTGTTTGGCTGGAACGTATCAATCGTCTCGCTCACAATCTCGAGGCCCATACTTGTCAAAAAACCCTTCTGCCCCTCCGCACTCAACATGAGCGTTGGCAGCATTTCGCCCATGAACGGAGCATCGTAGTCCTCGACATACGTGCCTGTCTCATCCCAGTCTGCTGGGTCCTGGACGTACTTGTCGCCTGGCATTTGACCTAACACTAGAATCCCGCCGGGTTCCAGCGTCCGCGCAAACTTGCATATGGTGGAATGTAAATCAGCGTACGATAGCTGGAGTTGGCTGAAGATGATAAATACACCAGCGAAAACACCCTCGGGTTTGTAGGTGAGCATATCGGATACGGTGAAAGTACCAGAGACCCGGGTGCGTGCGTACTCGACCATTTTGGGAGAGATGTCGAAACCAAGGACCCGAAGGCCGGCTTTGGAGAGCATTTCGGAGACTGGCATACCGGTGCCGCAGCCTACGTCGAGGACGCGCGAGTTTGGGGAAAGCATGGCGATAGCGTTCTTGACGCAGGACACCTTGAATGGGTTGTCATGATAAGCATTTTCGTAGTCGATGTTGAGGCCTTCGAAGGTCTCGAAGCCTGCGCGGGCGCCTGGTGTCGACATTGCTTTCAAACAGATGGTGGTACCTGGATCACGACCCTTGCAAAGGCGATGAGGGTACGATCTTGGTGGTCTAGACACAAGAGTTGGATAACCACCAGGGTGGAGATGTTGGGGTTGTTGCTTGTCTTTGAATATATCGTAGTTGTCCTGATGTTCAACAGTAGCTAGTGCCCCGCTATTGGAAAAGGAATTACCATTCCTATTCAGGATATAGGGGTAGGAATACGAGTAGAAAAGGGGTAACCAAACGTGTATATATGCTATCGATCTGGCAGGACCAGTTACCAGAGCATTCGACAATAATCAATGTACACCCACTGAGTTTTTAAAACACCTGGTCCCCTCTGGGAAAGTCTAAGTAAATAGAAGAATTGAGCGGTTAACGTGCATGATCTTGGCGTGCATGTATGAGGCGGTAAGTCTTCCGTCTCATAGACCACGGACATGGTTGGCTTTCAGCTTCACCCATTTTATGGGAAAACGTAGCTTCGAGAAGCGATGGGAGGATGTTCAGTAAACGAGGTAAATTTCATCAAACTGGAAATAGATAGGGGGACGAAATTCATCAGGGAGCCGGTATCCGATCGGTCATGAAACGAAATCAACCCGGACACGCAAGGTGACACCTGGATCGGGCATGGCCAAATGGCGTGAGGACATGGCTCTGGCCTGGTTTACATGATATGCCGACTTGCATAGGGTAGAACTGCTGAAGACCGTTGTCCAGATGAACAGGTGCATGGACTGAGTCTGGGACGCGCCGCCGCAACTTTGCGTCCTGTAGAACCGGGGACCGGGCAACTTTTTACGTGAACAGAGGGTTTCCCTTGGTCAAGTTCGAGGATCCCTAGCGGAACATCATGTAGTCCTCCCTTGCTTCAATCTCGTGAAGCCGACCTGAGGAGTTTCATTACGCTGATGAGGCCGTGCTGAATCTATCAAAAGGAGTGCATGGTGCAAGAAGCCAGCGAAGGATCAGAATCGCATTGCTTCGTAGAGATATTTACAACGATTGTGGATATCGTACCGGAGACAATCAGTAGAGCACGGAGAGTTTTATCGATGCGAAATGTCATGCAGTAAACTTCCCCAGGGCCATTACGATGCCCTTCACCCGTCTCGCTTCATGAGCATGACGGGACCACTGTATACATGCCTTGCCCCGAAGATATAGTAAAGAACGGCAATGATGATGGTGCCTCCGAACATTGTTGAAGACCAGTTCATCGATTCGGCCGTTACCGGTGTAGCCAATGGCCAAAAAGCAAAAAACCAGACGGGTGTGAGGAATATGAGGGCGGCAATGTTAATGTACAGGCCATATTTTCCTAATGACCATCGATGTGGTGGTAATGGTGGTCCTCTGAGTCGCCTCCAGACCAGACAGCTGATGGTGATGAAATACGATGTGAGGATGGAGACGCCACCGAGGGAATTGATCGCGTTCAGAGCAACCGAAGATCCAAGGTTGATGAGAGAAAGCAAAGAGCTCACGGCGAGTGAAACACCAACAGCGCGAAGAGGGATGTTCCAGCCGGGAGACACCTACCCCCAGTCAGTCAATCGTCTTCATGTTGATAAGACGTACAGGCCCCACCTTAGACAACCAAGACGAACTAGGCAAACCTCGGTCTCGAGAAAATGACCAAATTTGTCTTGATGCGGTGGCTACTTCACTGACACAGCAGGAAGTGAGCAGAATGATTACCACGGCTGTCATGGCGTTGACTGCGCCGTAACTACGGGTGCCGTTGTAGAAAAGTTGAATGAAAGGCTGTCTGGTAACGGAGGCAGAGAGGGAATCGACGTCGCCCAGAGTGAAGATCAAGGTGACTGCCATAATAAATCCAAGGGTTGCGTTGACACCCACCGACCACATGATAGCATTAGGGAGTGTAATTGACGCATCTCGAATTTCTTCAGCTGTCATCCAAAACAAGTGTCAGCATCATATGCGTAAAGTGAAATATTCGGTGCGACGGTGAATACTGACACATGTGGACTGAGCAATCGTACCCGATAAGCACGCTCAAAGGTGTCGTCAAGCCAATCATGGCCGAAAGTCCTGTGCTAGGCCAACCGCCAAGGTTGGTAAACTCCAGCAAAGCATCGTGAGCATTGGCACGGGGAGCCATGACCCAGAGAGGGATGGTAATGGCGAAGAAACCAGCGAAATGAAGGATCAACACCATGCCCTCGATAAGAGGTAGTTGCACAGCCAACACGGTGTTGAAAGCGATCGAGAATGCTATGGTGGCAATGGTGAGAAGAGTGCCATGCCAGGCGTGCCACACATAGTCCGTTACATTCAGAGCAATCAAGCCTTGAATGATAGTGCCGACCATGAAGCAAACGCCAGCAAGGTAAACTTGCCACCCGATGGCTGAGAGCCAGCCTAGAAATTGGTCAGCGAATAGTCCCAGGGGATTCAGAGAGAGACGCACCAACGATGTAACTTAGAGGTTTCTGAATGCTGGGAGGAGCAAATTCCGAGACCCAATGATACTGTCCACCAGCCGTTGGAGACCTAGGATGCATATGAGCCGAAGCTCAACGGCGATGGAGGACATGGTGCTTCTCACATTGATGCCAATTCCGCGATACTTGCATAAACCAACAGCATTCCAAGCCCAACCGCGATAAATCCCCAGAAAAGAAGAGCAGTACCTCCATCCGTCAGGACAAACGTGAAAAGCCTTTGATCCATGGTCAGTTACGCTGCTACCATATACAAAGCAACTTGATTGGCTGACTTACGGGAGAAGAATTTCCCAACTGGCCATCACGGTACTTGCAAATCCCAGCATTGTGAGGAACTTGAAGTTACGCTGGCAAAGTCAGTCCAGATTCAAAGTTCTCAGGATGGGAACGCATAACTCGAAGGACCTGCTTCTTGCCCAGGAAGCTCATTTCCTTTTTGTCGTGAGCCGTTCCTTTATACTTCATTGGAACCGAACCAGGCTCATCGTCGATATCCTTTTCTCCATTTTGAGAAGAAGACTCTGCCTTCGGCTGCTCTGATAGAGAGATGACTGTCAGATCTTCCTTCGCAACTCTCATGTTAGCGACCGGTTCCTCGTCAAGGTTGTGCAGATCAAGTGTAAGCCTAAAGAACAAGGAGGATGGAAAGGGAACTTGCCAGCAACCAACCACAAGGATGGGTAAGGCCTATTATGGGAGCCTGTACACGTGGAGCCGAACCGAACCGAGCACCAGGGGCCCTCGACATGAGATTGATAGCAAGGGTTATGAGGGGTGGCGTCTGGCAAAGTCCGCCACCCACTCAAGAACCGCGAAGTTCGAGGCCCCAAAACCAAGCTTAGCGGCTTAATCAGTTGTTCCAAGACGACTGAATCCCGGGAGAGGCCCGAGGAGTCTTTTGTCAGAGTCAGTGCGTCGATGAAATGAAGGGGCCAATGAGGCTGACGGATGGGGCCTTCCGACCTGCCAAAATGCAGAAAAACCCGTGGCTGGACAAACCAGAAGGCCCCCCCCCCCTTTTGGTGCTCGTAAGTATCCATAGCTGGCCAAGATCCACCGTCGCTTTGGTTGATTTACACAAGTCCAAGATTTCTGTGCTGCTCGTTGACTCGTTTGATTACTGGCGACTAGATATTGCCGACAAGGTGGATGGATGGACGAGGCTGTATTGTGATCATCTCGTTTAATCATAAAGAGCGGCAATAGTATCAGACTCCTGTGACCACGACTGTGAGTGAGAAAAGGTTTTGACATACGGGGGCCCATCCTCTAAGTAAGTGGCACACTCTGACTTGGGTGGTCGATGCTCGGTGACAGTTTGTGACAACGCTTCGGTTATGTCAAAACGCAGGTATCGTGTGACCGGGTTTGTAAATGCATGAATACGGAGTTCCTATACTTCTTGATAGACAGCACACCCCCTATATTTGAACCCACTTGAAATTTTGCCAGACACCCATTCGCGATTTCCTTTTTTTCTGGGTGATTCATTTCCAGCTTTGTGATGTCCTCCCAAGTCCATAGACATGAATTCAGCCACGTCGAGTATGAGTTCCGGCGTCCCAATACCCTCGGGATATTCTCTTCCCTTTGCTGTAGTGACTGACAACGACCATACTGCATGGATCATTATTGCTGCTGCAATCGGTCTGTCCTGGATTTTGCTCTTCGCCGGTATCAGAATATTCATTCGGCGTACGATTAGCCCTGGTTTTGGCTTCGATGATGGATTTATCGCTGCTGCAACGGTCAGTCTTACCAATTTGCTGAATTCGACTAGCTTTCTTGATGCAATTGACTCATGGACCGTAGACGGTGGGTATCATTGAGTTATCGATCATCCTGGCTGCGTGTTCTAAGGGACTGGGAAAATCGATAGACATCGTGCCGTTGGAAAACCGACCGACTGTGCAAGAGGTACGACATCCTTGCCAGACTCCTTATTCGCTTCTGTTGACCCTATATAAATAGATGTACTACACTAGCAATCTGCTCTTCATCATAAGTCTCGGCTTGTCGAAGCTGTCAGTCGTCTTCTTTTTACTGCGATTAACCCACGTCAAATGGCACAGGATAGTCTTCATCTCTGCTACGGGACTCCTTACTGCGTGGACTATTGGGTCTCTTTTCGCCATTGCGTTACAGTGCAATCTGACGAAACCATGGATCATGGCTGGTGAACGGTGCACCGGAGCGGTAGGCCTCCACCATCGGCCGAAATCAAGTCCATAACAACGGCTGACTGGTCTGATCTCTGGAACAGTACTTACGATGGCAAATAATATGCGCTCTCGACATCATCTCTGAGGTCGGCCTGGTAGCGATGTCTATATGCCTTGTGTGGGACCTGTATACTTCCGTGACGAATAAGATTGTTGTGGTAGGGGCATTTGTGTTCCGACTTGGGTGGGCCTTCCCTCGTCATACTGACACACTCCGTGCTGATATACTGACTCTCTACCATAGAATGATCGTCGCAGTTGTCTTCCGCCTCGCTAACTTTGACAAACCCGGACGAATCACAGACCCTACCCTCGCCGAAGACTTATTCATCGTATGGACGCAAACCGAGCTGATTTACTCCCTTGTTTCTGCCACGATACCCACCCTCCGTCCCTTCATGAACAATCTGAACACTCGCTTTGGTGGCCTGGACCAGGAAGGAAGGGGGAACGGCTATGACTATGAAAACGCTTCCGACAGCTATCAAATGTCGAATTTGAAGCCAATGAACAGAAGCCAAGACAGGGAAGAATACATTGCAACCAACTCGGCACGAAATTTGTCTGAACAATCTAGCGCAGACAGTTATGGTGTGGTATGCGGGTGCCCAATCCAGGTGCAGACGTAAGTCCTGGCCGAATTGGAGGAAAAAGAGGCACTACAAGCGCTAGGAGAACAAGAGAAGAAACCGGCAATGGTGATGCAACCAGTGCCGATAGCAACGACAATGGACGGATGATTATCCAGAAGGACATGACATTCCAGGTGGAACATTACGACAACTGCTGAATGACTGAGGCCCTTATTCCAATCGAGGCTGGCAAAGAGAAGGTATATGCATGTCATCACCGTCCTTGCAACTCTAATGCGTCGGCATAGAGCAAGTTCATCGCTGTTTTCTCTGAGATTGCAGGGATTGTCTATTCACCCAAGAGTTCAAATCAGGGTCTTTAGTGATCCCCAACAGAGTATCTCAAAAGTGAGTGACATGAAATGCGATCTTTGTACCCAAGAGCAGTCAATGGCTTGGACGTATATACAAGCATTCGACATGACATATTTGGGGTTCACGATAAGGAGCTCTGTTAGCATATCAGCGAGGTTGGCCGAAGGCCTGAAGTGAACTTAGGCATAAAGTTAACTTACGGGTGGCCCCAAGAGCTACCTAACTTAGGTTGCTTGGCTGTGCCTCTAAGCTGATGGGCCATCGGGGAATGAGCCCGCTAGGGCATCACATGTCTCACGTGACACATGACCTGATTACATAATACAAGCCCTCTGCTCGATGCATCTTCCCTTTCACGTAAACGCCGCTCCACGATGCCAAACTCGAAGTCTTGAGGGATACTCTAGCTAGGGTCTGGTGCCGGTTCTCTTGCCAGAGCAAGTGTTTGAATCAAAGTCCACTTTCAGACAAAGACCAGACACGAGACTTCCAAGCCAGAGGGAGCGTCGAAGTACCATGATATGACGTCAAAAGATAGCTTCGTATCCGCCAGCACTGTCCCATAATCTTACGCCTATCATATCTGGATAACTCAAGCTGTTGAGCAAGATCTTATTATCAATCCCTTTCTGTATCAAGAGGATACCAAAATATACTTGACGGTCTTTCGGCTTGTAAATCCTACCTCTTCAGCCACTTCGGTTTCTTCAATCATCATTTCCTACCATGTGCTCAATCCCAGACGTCAATGCCGATAAGGTATCCTTAATCAACATCCCCATCGTGGACCTTCAACCATTCACTTCCGACGAGAGTACACTCGAAGACCGCCGCAAGGCTGCTCAAACCCTAGTCACTGCCTGCCGCGAGGTTGGCTTCGTGTACATCAAGAACCACGGTGTCCCTCCGGATGAATTGGAAAAAGCATTTGCAATATCCAAGAAATTCTACGACCTGCCTACCGAGCAGAAGATGAAAGCGCCCCATCCGCCTGGCTGGGCGGTACATAGAGGCTACTCATGGCCCGGACTGGAGAAGGTGTCGAGCGCAATCAGCGACAAGGACGACGAGGAATTCGTCAAGGAATTGCGTGAAGTACAGGATTACAAGGTACGTGGCATTATGCTGAACCTTTGTCCTTCTCCCTCATCAACGAGGCATCTGGCACTCCCAGTCCGTTCTCTTTACTCAGCTTGTATTGAACTATTCACGTATAGGAAAGCTATGAAGTGGGTTCGGAGAACAACCCGGACCAACCCAACATCTGGCCCCCGCCAGACGTATTACCAGAATGGCGCCCCTTCATGACAATGTTTTACTGGACATGTTTCGAGGCGGGCAAGAAGCTCCTCCGTGCTCTTGCGCTAGGTATTGGTCTAGAGGAAAACCATCTCCTACAGTACCATAGCGGCGACTACAATCAATTGCGACTCCTCCATTATCCGCCCATACCGGCCCGGGCGATTGAAGGAGGGAAATCCGCCAGAATGCCCGCGCACACCGACTGGAGTACGATAACGATGCTGTTCCAAGACGACTGTGGCGGTTTACAGGTCGAGGATCCGAGGAAGGCCGGTGAATTCATGGACGTCGCACCCATACCAGGGACTTTAGTGATGAATGTGGGTGATCTGCTAATGAGATGGAGCAATGGTAAGTCCAGCTAACCCTCACGCACGTCCCCATATTGGACCCACGCCGTTACTCACTGGCGGTGCGATCAAGACTATCTCAAATCAACCTCTCACCGCGTCCAACTCCCGCCGAAACAAGACCGGTTTACCGGCGATGAACGCCTGACGCGAGCACGCTACTCCATCCCCTACTTCATCACGACCGACCCAGACAGATTGATCGAGTGTCTGCGCTTTGACGATGAGCACCCACCGAAATACGAACCCATCACGCAGCGGGACTATGCCGCGATGCGGGCGAGGATGCAGTACTGAGTGGATTGCCTCATCCCGTCGCTCGTCAACGAGGATGGAGACGTCGACTTCGGAGGTGTGATGCCGGACACGTCTGCTTCAAGTGGTAGTTGAGCGCCTCGAACAAGGCATATAGTTCACGCAATGGACGACCTGCTCTTTTGGGGAAATTGTGAAATTCGCTTCCCATTTGTCACATTCCCATATCCCAATCCACATCCAGCTTGTCCTTTTGGTTTTCCTCGTTCTGCCTTTTGCGAACCCCATCAACATCGAGGAGGTATTTCACACAGAGAAATGTGATTCACGAGCGGTATGGAATTTCCAATGCGGGATTGCTACACATGTGTATCACCTTGTGCTAGGGCAGGGAAGGCGGAATCTTGGAGCCCGAGATCCGGACATCGAACCCTGTGAACCGGAGAGACAAGAGGAACAGTTCAATAAGTGATACGACACCGTTTTACTCAAAGAATGATCTCGTGTTTTTCCCCACTTCCTTTTTTCGGCTTTGTCCCGTGGCCCCCAGACCTTTTCGTCACCAAATACACTACTAACCCCATCCATCGGTCTTCATGGCCGGTCGGTTCGTTCATCTCATATCTAAGAGTGCCCCACAATCGCCTTCGGCTTATACGGCTCTTCCAGATACTTCATCTCCTCCTCCGTCAGCTTTTTCCCTCGAACCTCACACGCCTCATCTAACCTACTCAAGTTACTGAAGCCGACAATCGGGATGGTTCCTTTCTGAATAATCCAGGCGAGCGCGACCTGGCTCATCTTCCAGCCCTTTTCGTCCGCGAGTTTCATGACGCGCTTGATGATTTCCGCATCCGCGGCGTCGACCCCAGTAAACAACGAGCTCCCCTTCAAGCTTTCTTCGCGGGTTGTAGTGTCTGATCCTAATGGGCGCGCAAGCAGACCACGGTATAACGGAGCCCAAGGGATGAGGCCAACGCCGGTCTCGTGGCAGTAGGGGTTCATCTCGCGCTCTTCTTCGCGGTAGCAGAGCGAATAGTGGTTCTGCATGGAGACGAATTTGGTCCAACCCTGGGATTCGGCGCAGGATTGCATCTTGGCGAATTGATATGTCCACATGGATGATGCGCCTGGAATGGAGTTTGCCGTGTTATCAACAAGTTTGGGGAGAAGGCATACGACGGCAAGAAGGGAGAAAACAGGATCGGAGAGACCAAGACCGGAAGGGAATTGGAATAGATGGGGAAAGACAGGGGAGGGAAACGTACCAATATACCTGACCTTTCCCCGTTCGACAAGATCATGCAGAGCCTTCATCGTCTCCTCGACTGGAACCGTAGAGTCGAAGCGATGAATCTGTAGCAGATCCAAATAATCCGTGCCCAAGCGCTCGAGACTCTTTTCCACGGCATTGAAGATAGCTGCTCGGCTCAATCCACCTTGATTCACATAGTCTTTACTCTTCTTCATTTCTTGCAAGTACTTGATGTGCACGACATCGGGTTCCTCGCCCACAGGGCCGAAGCATTTGGACAGCAGGATGAGCTTGTGGCGGGGAATGTTGTGTTTCTTGATGGTCGCGCCGATGAGTTTCTCGGATACGCCGTTCGAGTACACGTTTGCGGTGTCCCAGGTGTTGAGGCCACGGTCGTAGGCGCCTTTGAGGAGTTGGTCCACTTCAGCAGGGTCGTCGACGACCCACTTTTGCCACGCTTTGTGTCCTGTGAGTGAGAAGGGGGAGTGTAAATATAAGTTCAAGTTGGCATTAGAGGCTCAAGGAAAAGAAAAGCTCCAGGGCGGTGTTTGGGATGATAGACGATGGCTTGATCGACCTCCATAATCTGATTCGCCATAGCCTGCCAATGGAAAGGTAATTAGAGATTCAACTCACCAAAGGACATAGCTCCTAGGATTGGAACCGACACGCGGAGTCCACATTTTCCCAGCTGGACATACGAGACCTTGGTGTTTTCCAAGCTCTCCTGTAGTGATCTTGGAAGACCAGCGTCGCCCATTTGGCTTGTGATGATGGTGGCTCCGACGCAGAGTTGAGAATGAGATGCTATCGAAATATGTCGTCAACGACTAGAATCACGATCTGTCTATCTTGGTAAAGAGCTGTGCCTCCACAGCTCGAGTGGTTGATGAAGGTTGAAGGGTTGTGAATCTTCATCCGTGGTCAATCCGTAGGCAAAATGTAGGGAGGGGATCGTTAGGATCGGTGGTCCTGATTCGGCCATAGCGGCGTTATGCTGTGTAAAATCCACCTCTCGCGATTTATGATGGCAAATAGCAGGCGTCAGTAGAGAATTACGACAGGCATGCTACAGGAACAGACATTTAGCGTGCACCTCATTCCTAGATCATATGGACTGCTATTGATACACGGGTTTTACTCGAATCCACACTGATATCCTATTTTCATTCCATCACGCTCCCAAATCATGTTGAGAAACGCGATTCCATGTCAATTCGTCATAGCTCATGTGGGTCTCATCTCGCTTCTTTTCTCCATCGTTATCAGTCGAATCCTGTTCTGGCCCTTGACCTAATATCCGTTCTGCAAAGCGTCGGCCTGGCCCCAACACCCCTCCGCTCATCTATGCCCAATCAAATCCATGGCATCTTCTTCGTCATCTCCATCCTCCTCCTCCTCCTCCATGACGTCGTTGTTGCTGCTTGCCGACTCGGACTCAGATTCAGCATCCACTCCACCATGTTGACTAGGGGAGTTTGGGCGACCCCAGAAATCCAAATCGTCGTCATCTTCGAGTGGAGTCGCTCCACGTCGGACAGTTTCAGTGCTCTCAGGCGGACGCTGACTGGTACCGAAATAACTGCCCACAACAGGCGAGAGAGACCTGGCCGATCGGGCTGTGGGCGAATGCGGCAGAAGCCACGGCGACTGACTTCTGGGAGTAGCCGGATCGGCTCCGGTATCAACGGGACGTGCAAGAGCTCCTGTAATATCCACCGGTTGTGGCCGCGGGCCAGCTGGGGTCTGACTCTGATTGGCGGTTATCGCTGCTTCACCAACTCCTGCCCGCTGAGCTCGTTCCTGTTGTTCTCGAAGTTGTAGTGTGTTTTCAGCCCCCAGCAGTTCCAACTGGGTTGTATTGTAAGATTCACAAATGGTACATTTCAATCCCAGCCAATGATATTTCGTCACACTCCGGCTATTGCAGTCATTGCAGAAGATGTATGCTCGATTGTCCCGATATTCCTCGGGCATCGGTTGTTCTTCAATGTGTCTGTCCAATCTCCGGAATTGAGTCTCCATATTCGCAATGCTCTTTGAACAAATAGGACACTTGTAGCTTGCACTGCACCATTCTGCGAAGCACGACTCGTGAATGCTATGTCCACAGCGCATAAACGCCACCGGCTTATTCGACGTGAACATGTATTCACCACAGATTGGACAGTCACATTTCGTACTCCTTTCAATACATTTGTGTGCACTTTCAGCTTGGATGGACATACATGCCGCGCATGTCTTGCAGTGAAAAAAGTCCTTGCCCAAACCCTCACCCAGTCGACAGATGCCACAATCATCACAATGATAAATCGACTTAGCGGGGTCGTTGTTCCATAATTTGCAAATAGGGCAGTAGTAGCAGGCTGCTTGAACATGACACATTTGGCAAAATTGACCCGCTGTTTGTGGAGTATTGCAAAGCATACACAGCATGTGTTTGGTTTCTCGACGAGGGAGAGTGTGATTTTCCGCCTCATCATGACACAGTCGACATGTGTACCACCTTTCACACGAACTGCATTGCATCTTGACATTCCGTTTGTAATGAATGCAGCCCAGCTCAGGTTTCGGGCTGTCGCCCGAATTATCGAGGTCGTCGTGCGGAGGATCGGCATCGACAGGGGCATATGTCGGCTGGAGATCTTCGGGAGATAAGTTGTACACGATCTCTTGGCTGGTTCCCGACATCATGGAATTTGGGGATCCCGGTCGTCGAGAAGGATCGTGCGATTTGTTCAGGGGGCTTTTCACAGAGCGACGAGACTGAATGGTTTGATATCTTTCCATCATCAACGCATGTACCAACCTAGATTTCTCCGCGGGTGTCCCGGGTCCTGACCACACAGCGCTGATACGTTGTCTGAGAGGCCCCATCCCATCGTCCTCGGGTAAAGTACCTGATCCATCTCTTCTGCGGTAACCATTGTCATCATGTTCGACTCGTCCCACTTCCAAGTCTGCTGGTCTGGAGGAGTCGGTGGGGACAGCTGCGAGTGGACCAGACACAGAGCGTGATCTGGTATTGCCTTCGTGGACTCTTGACTGGTATTGCAACTCTCGGGTAGGATTGAGGGAGGTTTCACTGCTAGTGCGATGGTCTTCAAGAGAGACAGGGCGGACAGCGCGTGATGCATCTGTATCGAGGGGAGGAAACTCTGACGTGGCTGGTTCTTCTTCATGTCCCAAGTCCTCCATGGGCTCCAGAGGAGAAGGGATCTGATCGACACCATTCAACTGGTTGGCCCATAATTGTATCGTCCTTGCAATAGACTGCACGGTAGTCTCCTTATTCTCTCCATCTGGCTCTTCCACGGAGGGCGGGGGTGATGTGTTCCACAGGTGGGAGGGATTCCAGCGTTGTAGATCGGGGACCGCAGGGAGGAGGCCCCGGGATTCTTCAGCACTGCTAAGGCGGGAAAATCGCCGTGCTTGGCGTAGGACGGGTTCGACGATGAAAGAAGGGAGATATTCACTCATTGAAGTCTTTGGAATCGAGGGAAATGCATGCTATGGGAGGAGATGGCCGTTGTCGAGCAGTGGGTTGTCGCGTGGGAAGGGGGGAGTGTCTCGTCAAGTTAAGAAAGAGAGCAGACGACTAAGCGCAACCAAGAGGGATTAGAGGAGCTAAGAATCTAGTATGAAGTACGGAGAATGGAGTATAGGGTGGAATATGGGGATAGGACACAATAGAACCAGTTGACGTCGTGGTTGATGGCTTTGTTGGTTGTGGTTTGTACCGTGGCCCAGAGCGACACAGTGACTGGTTGGATTACGGGTGGTCACTCGGAACATGTGAAATCAGCAGAGAGTAATGCACGTGATATGGGGATCGCTTGTCTTTGTCAGCAAGGCTGGCATCAGATCGAGAACATTAGGGATAGATAGAAGATACGGTAAGAAGAACTAATGATGGTACCGACGATACATTGGAGACATCTGTGACAGCAGCTGAGTACTCAGTTTCCACCGAGGCGACAAGGAGACGAGCCCTCCAGCAGTGTGGGCGGGCCACTTCTCAGCAACAGTACAACCAATTAAACCGTGCCACACGGACGGAATTGTATACGCCTGCGTGCACCCAACACATACACGTGTACATATCATTCCTTTCCGCTCAACCAAAAATAAAACAGGTTCAACCGTACATCAACGTGACAAACCCCTTTTTCCACAAGCCCCTTCGATATGGGGTTGTGGGAGGTGAACCCGAGTTCGCAAGGGGTTTCCCAGAGAGTTGCCATTAGCCCGGTTCGCTGGATTGGAGGTAATCCTGGTTGAAGGTGTCGAGGTCTTGATGCCTTCTAACCCGGTGTTGGCCCGACCAGACAAGACCCCGGGTTCGAAGTCGATCGTGTCGAAATTAATTCGGTCAGAGGGGGTTTCAAGCTCAGGACATTCGCCTAAGACGAGGCACGGCGGCGTGGGCGTGTCGCTTTCCCACGCAGGGACCTTTGCGTTATGGTCCAATATCTGTGGATCTAATTCATATCCTCTAAATTTTCCCGGGTTGTGGAAAATCATGTGACCATTGTATTTTCCGCACATGCTGCATCTATTCTTTCATGTCATGTCTTCTCAGTGATTGCATATGCATTTTCATCAGTCTGCTTCAGGCCGAGCGTCTTCTCCCTTCCATTCCACTGTCGACTTGGTTGCACTTGATTCTCGGCTCCCTGCGTTTCGAAAGACTTCGGTAAGGGTAGGATAGCATGTCTTCGCCCAAGCTACTTTTCTTTCAACGCAGAGAGTTGGTGATGTTGCTGCATGTGTCTGCTCTGTACAAAGCGGTTATAGCCCGCACGCGTCATCTCCAGCCTATCTGCATCTTCATTTGTCTTCTTCCTTTGCTGTTGCTTCCAATTCCCGCAAGGTATCCTCAATCTCATGTGGTTCAGTGATTGACCAGACACCTCCTCCCTTTGCAGATGATCGACCGACCTCCTTTGAGACAAGGTTCCGTCCAACCTTTCCTGGCCCTACCCCAAGGTATCGGCGGCATCCTGCTTGCCTGTCCAGATACTTGATCGAATCCCACCAGAGAATCGTGTCTACGGCTTGTCTGGCGAGGTTTTGGATGAGGTCTTCCTTCGAACTGAAGGGTCGTGCTGTGACATTGCTAATGCAGGGAACTCGTCCAGGAAACGTCACCATATCTGGAGTCAACGCCTTCTTCATGAACTCATATGCAGGCATCATGATTGGGCTGTGGAATGCGGATCGCGACTTCAGCTCAACAGCTCGAGGGTCATGTCCACCGAATTCTCGGATGTGCACCAACAGGTTCCGGATGCGTTGAAAGCTGCCGCTGAGAACGATTTGGTTTTTGGAGTTGGCATTGGCAATGGCCACCTGTTGAATGGCAGGAAGAGCGCTGGAATCGTCCTTGGCACCTTCGGCTCCATGGCTGAGGAATTCTTTGACGGCCGCAATCAATGAGTCCAATTGATCCGGTTCACAGACCAGAGCAATCATGCCAAAGTCTTCGCCCGACTCCTCCTTTGCTTTTCTCGTGCATTCTCCCATCACGTCGCCTCGTCGTCGGACCAAGTCGAGAGCAAAAGCATACTCCAGATTTCCAGCGGCAACCAGTGCCGCATATTCTCCTAAGCTGTGGCCCAATGTGACATCGATCACCTCATCTGTCTTGAAGCCAAACTCTTGCTCGAGAACTCTCAGGATCATGATGGATACAGCCATTATTGCCGGTTGTGCGTTTTCCGTTTTGTCCAATTGGAGGATGGGGCCTTCGTCAATGAGGGTGGATAGTTTGCATTGCACGATTTCATCCATCTCTTCTAAGAAGGGCTTGCAGGTTCGGGGGAATGCTTCTACCCAAGGTCTTGTCATCCCTTTCCTCTGAACGCCATGGCCGGGAAAGAAGAGAGCGGTTCGAAGTGTAGGTTCAGGAGTGGTGCCATAAGTTCTAGAGGGTCTGGGTAGGATTTGTTTAAGGCCTCGAAGGCCGGTATATGTAGGTCGATACATGGTAGAGGGTACCTAAGAGGCAAGAGAATTATCGGCGACGATGGTTGCCCTACAGCATCATGTTTAGGAAAGCATTACAGGAGGAGAAAGAATTGAGAAAGGATCATCAACGAGCGTTCCAAGAGATCAAAACGAAAAGAGGATGGAAAGATTGATGCAATTCCGTGAGTCCGGTTGTGAGGAGGAGCCGCTTTGGTGCTTGGCTGCATCGAGGCAGGCCGCCACCGTCTCCAAGTCTGTAATTCTTTATGATTGAACTCAACTTATCCGAGGACGTTACATTCCGTTCATCGCATCGAATGGATGACTATTATACAGTATACAGTGCTCTTCGGCTCAACCAGATAGCCGCATTCAACGATATCCTACCGTATCGTTCTAACATGGTCACATTGCTGACAATCCCTTTCATCATTGCATTCGTGATCTTTGGTCAACGGGTCCGGTTTGTACCTCAATTGTCGTCTTGGTGATGATGACTCCTTCTGCTTGACCGGCAAAGTAGTCTTCGTCTGAGTGTCTCTGGCGCAGAGAATGTGGTGTGGATCGACCAGGAAAATCACGCTTGTCGCGTCGAAGATTCAGAATCCATCACCAGAATGTTTCCAGCCAAAAGTGTTAAGGCCAACGTCGTCTGGCAAGGGAGGGCTGTTGCTAAATACCAGCACATGTCTGGTCACCGCATACAGAAGCACATCGAGCCAGCTACAGGAAGTAATAGCCGCACCAGCCAAGCAATACCACCAGTAAGGTAACAGCACACCTGTCATGGCAAGCCATACGACCACCGGCAAGTGGGAGTGTACACACCACACACACGACTGGATAGATGATCATGTATTTTACAGCACGCTTCAGAACGACCGGATCGGTCCCATCGCTAGGGCCGAGGTCGGTATGGGAGCGAAGTCGTGACTTTGCCTGGATGGAGAGGAAGATCAATACATATACGGCGATAGCACCAAACATGCAAACAAAGATCTAGAAATAATGTATCCATAGCCTCTCTTTCGCGTGTTTTCGGCTAATCCAGCACTGTCACCATGGTTAGCTTGATCGATATGTCGAGAGGAATGGCAATACCCATGCGCCTGCCCGGACATAGAGGTCCGGATCCAAACCGACTCCTATTATTGCCATAGTGTAGACAAAGATCCATAGGCATGCAATCCCCGTATAGAAGACTTTAGTCTCCACTCGTCGACCCTTGACCACGGCGAAGAAAGTATGGAGAGCAATAGCAAATATGAAGACGCCGGATGCCAGATCTCCGGTTGAGACAAACCAACCATTCGCCCAACACGTCGTTGTTCCGACCTCAATCTTGTTCGCCGCAAGATAAACGGAGGTCAAGGCAAAGGCCATAGCTTGTTGGATGTCGACCAAAACCAAGTTGTATATGAGGATGAGGAATTGATTGGCGCCATTTCTGAGGTGACCCCGGTAATACCAGACGCAAAGTCGATATGTCAAAAAGGTGAAGAGAGCAAGACTGGAAACAAGGGAGAGAATGCCGCAGAATGCCACTGCCACGAGGCCACGTCGCAGAACTGGGGGCAAAGGATCCAATGTGGCGGATAGCAAAACTGATGAATTTGTGGCTATGATCACCAAAAGGTTGACAGCGGGAATATCACATCCAGAACAAGAGGAGGAAGCCAAGTAATGTATACTCTTCAGACCTGCCACTCAACTTACCCTGAACCTTGGGGTCACGCCGGACCAGCCAGCCGGTGGCAGAGTACATAGACGAAATGCAGAGACTCCGGCATCGAATGGGAAGGCATCTTTACTATGTAAGCCGTTGCCGATATTGGCAATTGTCCCATGTCCTCTTAGTGCCAACGTCACAGTCCCTGTAAAAAGCATGGAAACTGGTCCCGTATTCAATAGTACGTTTCAAGTAGCGCATAGATAGGTAGATTGTGTAGTGTTGCTGTCGGAAGATTTGAAAGAATCTGCCCAGTAGCTGATCTGCTCCCGCTACCCCAGTTCTCACGTGGCTCCGGGGCTTGATACATTTTCGTCACTGGCCTGGAAATCCCTCGGGCTAGATACACAGTCTGCTGGGATGTTACCCCTGCATCGTGGTCGGAAAGACAGCCTGATCGCATAAAGCCATACAGACAAGGAAGTCAGAAAGAGTTCTTATGTCGAAAGCATGTCAAGCCTCCAATCAGATTAGGAAATATGACCCTGCAGGACAAGAGTGGACGTATGAGCCTCCTGGATGGCTCTCAATATGATTCTCATCGATAGTGCAGTGGATTTGAATCCATCTTCACGTGGAATCCCCTGAGCTGGAAAAGGGAAGCAAGGGAGCAGGGAGCAGGTTTGCGAAGCTCAATGCTCCCTGCGGAATTCGAGTCGTACCATGTGGCCAGCGTACGTAAATCCCTAGGCCACTTCCTGTTCCTGGACCTTCTTTTGGGTATGGGACAATACCCTAACATCGCATAAGTCTGAGTGTGGACCAGGGACCTGGGAGTAACAAGGCGTTCTAGCCTGGAAAGAAGAGAAGATACCCTTTTTGGCTTGAACAGGCGATAAAAGGAGAGGAGGTGAGGAACCTCGGCAGGCCACTCGTAACTGATAACTGAGTCTCAACCCACCAAAAATTGTGTCAGTGATACATGTAGGATTAACCATTTTTCTACATTGAAGCAAGTTCAGTCGTGATTGTACCGCATCTAAATGTCTCTACCTCGTAGTGAACATTTTACTGAAGGCAAGCGCAATACCGAATCTACTCACAGGAAATCTTTCGTGTAAAGCTAGCGAAGGATGTCACATATGATCAGCCCATCGGCTGCGCATCCACATCAATGCATATCATGTCAAGTGTAGAACGTGTCGAATTGTGTATCAACGCAAAAAGTGTCATACTGTGAACAAGTAGATACCTTGTTTTGCAGCGACGGGGAAGTCCTGTTGTACTTCCTCTTGTGCCAGACTTTCGAGATGAAAGTTTGTTCCGAATTGACAGCTGGCGCGGCCCTCTTGGAAGGCTCGTCGCGACTCACCCAAGCCCAAAGGATCAATGTGGAACCTATTGCGCCATGAGAGTTGTACTTGTCTAGATTCGGCCCTTTCGAATGTTCAAAATGTGGATGCGTGGTTGGAGAAGCGGCTGAGTGGATAGAGATACTGGTACAAGCTTCAGGAGCAAGGAGGACGTGCCAGGTTGAGAAATGAGCGATTTGGGATTCTAGATGAGCTGGTACATGGATGGCATAGCTCCAGGAGGCAGGAAGGCTGGTTTGCCCCGTTGGCCCGTCCAAGAACATTTCGAGGAAGGGTGATCAAAAGCAAGGAGAGAGAGTACGGAGTAGAATACCCACATCGAAGACCTACAATCATTGTCAGCGGATGATGTGCCATACGATGCATCCATTTGAAACCCAAATTTCGTGGCCCAAGGTATGATCAGATCAAGTGTAGAATTGAGCTCTGCATTAAGACTGATTGTGTCTTTCAGAATTGCAGAATTCACCATTTAGATCATCATCGAGGGAAAACAGCATGGCGAAGAGGTGTTCAGGCTTACCACTAATGGACCGAGATCTTCTCAAGGCCAGGACAGAATATTGCCGACCATCATCATCAGTAAATCAAACATCGCTTTCTCATATACAAAATGAGATGTGGAAATGATCAAAATGATGAATGGCAGAAGGGCAGTAGAGGATAGCAATTCGAGAGACTTACGTATTATTGGTGTGCTCTTTGGTTGCCGTGCCACCGAGCGAAAATCCCGCCCCGACCCAGCAAAATTCACACACGTTGCGCTGCGGTCAAAACCAGCATGCGACTTCGTCGTTCGCCCCATCCAGCACCGTGATCTTACCTTCTCCCGGTACAGTCAACGCCCAATGCATTTTCTCCGCTGATTCAAAGTTATTCATACTCATTTTCAACTGTACAAAACCTTCTACCCCCAATACATAGCTACATTCTCAACCGTGCGCTGCACATCACCAGATTTGCAAACCGTTCTCATGCCTCAGCGGTGAACAAACACCCTTCCGAACTGTCCCCAGTACAAAACCCTGCGATGAGCACTATCGCGCTTTTGCTGCTGGTCGCATTCCTTCACACGGCGCAAGCCGTTAATGACAACTATTCACCATACTCCGATCCTCTCTTCGGCCTATCGAACGATGCAATTCTTGTCAAGCGCCAAAATTGCGACTCGGGATACAACCCCTGCTCGAATGTAGGAGCAGACACTGTTTGCTGTCCCTCAGACACAAACTGTGCTTTGGATGAGGCCGGACATGTCGCTTGCTGTCCGTTCAATGCGGTGTGCACGGGAACAATAGACGGATCAATCACAGGAACGTCGAGTACGACTAGTTCCCAGGGACCTGTGTTGGGAGGAACCACAACGTCGAGTACCACAGCAACGAGTTTCCCTGGATTCACCTCCGAGACAACTGGAGTCGCTGGAGGTGGTTCCACCGTCCCCAACAACTTCTACCCTTTCATCTACATTCCCACGTCTTATGCCAATGCCGACCTATGCAGCACCGCATATTCGAGCTGTCAAACGGCCTCCACATCCTGCTTTGTGTCGCTTGCTGGCGCCAATGGAGTGACGGTTTCGGGTCTCGGAGGGGGCATAACGGTACAAGGAGCTTCGGGAACAATCATCAGCTCGGCAAGCAGCATCTGCAGCTCGTTGAGCGCTCAAGGCTGTTACAATCTGCAAGAAACTCAATGCAGCATATTCGGAAGTGGTTCCGGAGTCACCCCGACGACAACCACGGGGTTTGTACAGGTCGGAAACGGTCCTCGACAGACTGCTGGCCCCGGAATGCTTTATGCGGCGGGAGCTGGAGCTGTCGTTGGCGCTGCTGGTGTACTGTTATAATTATTCCGAGACTTGGAAAAGATATTTGCTGCAGCACAACCCCCCCCTTCGCAGGTTGATTTCCTAAGAGTAATGGACATATCACGACGATACGACTTTGTTCAATCGGAGAGTGGAGCATGTTTCGGCAATAGGATCCTTAATGGATTGCACAACGGCGCAGGCACAGCAGATCTGAAAAATACTTAGTCTTGTACAGAACCAAAAGCTACCTTAAATTCCAAGCTTGTCCACCAAAATCGTCCCTTAATGCTTCCCCTTACTAGCTGGGCACGAACTTTCTTTGTCGCCGGGCGTCAACAACAAGCCCGAAGTGTGTCGGCGGTAGCTTCTGCCTTGAGGAAAACGATATGAATGCGACCTTTCCCGAAAACCGGATGGCTTCACATCGCTGGATTCGTCTTTTCTATCATTTGGAAACGCCTTTTGGACTTTTTCTCTCTCAGCCTCAGTGACATCGTCCGGCACATGGTTGGCGGAACGATGAGAAGAATGGCTCCATTGACGGGTATACCTGGCCACTCGAGCCATGCTTCCCCTTTTCAAACCTTCGTTCTCTTCCATTTTCTTGTCCCCTTGATTCTTCTTGACACTGAATCCCGTACTTGAACATTCCAGTTTTAGTAGTCGACACTGATAGACCAGTATAAAAGGCATCATTATGGGAAGTGGACTTGTAGTTTGTGGCGATCTCATTTCAGCAAGGTATCCTTTTGCATCTGACAAACCACAGGGACTTGTCTCGGGCCTTGCTCTCAAACAACACAACTCCTGCAAGATTTTAGAGCTGCACGATCAAACTCCTTTCGGTGGCAGCTTGTCGCTTTCGCTCCAAATGCCGTCCGTGCCCTTGAACGAATTCGAGCCTACGACCGGATTGCAAAACAAGGCCGGAATCATGCGGAAATCCAGTGCTTGTCTTCTCTCGAAATTTGAGCCACTTTGCAACAGTCATCGACGGCAGCTGGCACAAGTATGGGCTCAAAGCTTCCGTGAATTTCCCAAGGTATCGTCAGGCAGACGTGTGTCCAAGTGCTTCGTGAGCAAGGAATGGAGCTGCAGTACGATTCCAAATGTGTCGGCATCCAAGAAATGGACCATTCCACAGTTATCACCGCGTTTGCCGATGACTATCCTGAAGAAGCTGATTTCTTGATCGGATATGACGGCAATCATTCTGGCACCCGCAGTCTCTGAGTTCAGTGGGCCAGATAGGTGTCGTAGGTTCTTTCCCAAAGCCCAAATTGCCACAGCCAGGCCGCGACACATACATGCCCGTGTTTGATTCTGGGTAGGTTGAACTCCTTCTTGTCCATGCCTTGCACCTACATGGCGATCATGACGGACTTTTCGCAACAATCGAGTGCGAGGACAGGTCTCGCAAGGAGTGGATTCGACTCCAAAATGATAAGTCAGTCCTACATAAGAAATTGCAATCTCGCCGTGAAGACGAGAGGTGGCCCGAAATCGCCCATGCGGCATCCAAAGATGTTGATCAGTCAACTCTGTCATTATGGCCGTCAGTCGAGGCCTGATTGTTTTATTCTAGCAACGCTGACGTTTGTGAAGGTATTCCGAAGTCTCCAAACTCGCCTCTTGGTCAAGCGGCTCTAGTCGGGTCATAGTCATTAGAGACGCTTCTTATGCAATGTCACCGACCGGTGGTCAAGGAGCCGCCATGGCTTTCGAAGGCGCCATTATTTTGTCCCACACACTCGCATTGCTCAACACCAAGAAGTCCAATTCCCAAGATCCTCTCAAGAAATGGCAGACAGCCCGACAGAAACGAGCCACGAACATCCTCCAAATCACCAAGGGAGGTGATATGAGAAATTGTTTGTTAGCACGTTCCAACCCATCTTCAAGGAGTGGGCGATGTGGGTGTATTTGTGTTTTCGAGTGCCACACATACCCGGTTTCGCAGTGTCAGTGTATTTACAGTCATATATAGTGCACGTCTGCAATCGTCAGCTTCTTTGATTGTCCATACGTACTCTATTTCAGACGGCGTTCCGTCCTGACCAATACTCTGACTCTTCTGAGTACATTGACTGTCCAGAAAGGATGCTTCCCCAATTCAATTCGAGCACTGCAAGGTACGTTTTAGATTTTGATGGCGGGGAAATTTTTCAAATTCTTCCAAGTACGAGTTCGGCTACAAGACCTCGGTTGCCCCACATTTGCTTCGCAGCCCACTTTCATGGCTCCGCAGTCAAGCTCGTTGTGCCCTACATCCAAGCTCCGGACCCCTGTCGATAACTTGTACTCAATGGTGCTGTCTACCCCTCTCAGTTGCGCCTAAGGGCAATCTCGATTTCAACTCCAGTCAGCGCTCGAAGCACATCTGGTCAATTGCTAATACAGTCGTCCTTGCACTGGGTCCGGAGGCTGTTTGTGCGCATAGTTCTATCCCAAGCCTAATTATTGTCTCTGGACCTTCAGAAAATTTGTACGAAGTCTGCTCGTAACCTTGAACTCAGGGCAAACATCGAGGAAGTCTCATGCAATCTACAATCCATCAGAGCACTCGTTACACTTCCAGGACAGTTCGGATCGCCACTCGAAGCTGTTATTGACTTCTAGTTTCTCGTTCTCGTCGGAGTCATTTCCTCCGCCAGACTTTCGTCTGAGAAGCCAGAATCAATCGTCGCTCTTCTTCCGTAGCAATCCATCTGCGTTATTCAACATGACGATCCCTTTCTCTCTTCGCGCCCGTGGCCCTCGTCGTCGGTGTCGAAGCTTCTGCAATTTCCGAGCGATGGGATTGTCTTTCGCAGCACCAGGTAGGGTCGGTTGTCAACCAGTTCATCTCCATTCTCTCCCACTCAGACGGTGTGGCGGCTGCCAATGTCACTGCTCAGGCGCTTCTCGACGACGATTATACTGAAGTCAGTGATTCAATCTTGTCGCTTGAAGGACAACCTGTAAGTTAGTGACATATTACGAGTTCCGGAATACACATTCGGACAATCATGTAGCTCGGGACTGACCTTCATCGGGAAACGATTGTTACATCAAGAGCGTCTTTAATGCTCCTCCAGTTCTGGAAATCACCACCTTGGAATCTCGGGCATTGGAAGTTCTGAGCACGCGGTCAATGACTTCGGACCAGACGAGTTTGGAGTTCAGTGGTATTGCATGGGGCCTTGACATAGGATATCAGGGTTATTCCGCCCTCTGGTAGTGGAGCGCCCGCGCGAAAGTGAAGAAACATGGTATAAAGAAGTGGGTTTTGTTACGGGACCTAACCAATGAACGTGGAAGGAGCCTGTCGATTTACTGGATGAATACCAGATATGTTGCCCTCTCTCAGGGAGCTTCAAGTCGCTCCACTAGACGCGCTTCCTTTCTGCTTCCGATCACAATTAAGTAAACACACTCACCGAGGGACTTCGTCACTCGAAGGGAATTAGAATTAGTGGACCCCCGATTGGCGAAAGAAAGGGGGAATCTGAAATCTGAATCTCGGAGGAATTTCACCGAGGAAAAAAGTGCCTCTGCAAATCATCGTCGACTCTGGATTCGATCACCTTTCCCTCCTTCGTTGCGTCCGTACAAACTACCCAGATACTTTCTATGAGCAGCTGTCATATTATGACCTGTCGCTTTGATCTTGCAGTCACTCTCCCCCCACGTGAACCTTGCCAGGGCCGCCGGGCTCTGCAGACAGCATGACAAAGAAGAAGCCCAAGACATCTGCACAGTCCACCGACAATACTCCAGACGCTCCAATTGTCGCCAGCCAACAAACTCCTCCTTCGACCACTACTACTGCACCGCCAGCGCAAGAGTCGGCTAGACCAGTACCTCCGCAGGAACTGAAACTGTCACCATCTCTAGTGATATCTCGCAATAAGTAATTGGCCCTGCCCTCCCACTCAAGACATGGAAGCGAGGCTGGCTTGCAAGCTAACCACCGTCGCAGGCATTGGCGACATATCTCCTCCTACCATGGACCATGGTTGAACTTCTCACCCGACCTTCTCGAGAACTTAGCCTGCAGCAACTTTTACTCTCCTCGTCCTAGACCCGTCGACCCAGCCGTCTTCTTCGACCTCGTCAAGATCAGAAGATTGATTGAAGATGCTACAAGCCTTGCAGTGAGGGCTGCCAATGGAACCACCTCGGCCTCCCTCCACACGTCTTTAAACGCGACCAATGGACTGTTCAGCGGTATAGACGCAGAGATTCTGGGCATAGGGTCGGCAAGAGGTGGAGGAAACGCAAAATTGAGTCGTGAACGAAAGTATCGAATGAGGGAGCATGCTACCCAAAAGTTGTCCCATGCATACCATCTCGATGAGATTGCTGCAAGTGTTGCCACCATGCAGTCCGCCTCCGCCCTAGAAGAGGTGGCAAATTACGTCTTGCAGCGAAACGATCAAGATCCAGATGCACAATACGTGCACTTTTTCCTCGAGAAGATTCCTTCGATGTCACTTGCTCAATGTACCAGCCTGGATGCTTTGACCCATGTCATTCGTTCAAAGCCCACTGAAGCTTCTCCATACAGAACAAGAGCCGTCACTCGTTGCTTCAAGGAAGATTGGGAAGGTGCAATACGAGATTGTACAGACGGGCTGACAGTGCTCCGATTATACCACTCACAGCGTCAGAACCAGCAGCGCGAGTTGGTAGGAAAGGACAGAGGTGGCCGAGAACATCGTGCTGACAACCGCGTGGACGAGAAAGATCAGCCCAGCAGCCTGGAACCACAATTACTCTTTCATCGTGCTACAGCATATCTGATGCTTGCTTGTGAGGCGATTGAACGAGCACTGGATGGTATGCCCCAAGGCAGTGCCAACCCCAAAGACGCCAACGGTCATGGCGAACCGGAGGAGGGTCTTCCAGTCGATACCGATCGAGGAGATGCCAAGTATCGTGCCGAGCAACGAAAACTGGTACGAACATATGCCAAACGAGCACTTCGCGATTATCTCTCGTTTCTGTCAAATTTGGACTACACTCCTGGTTTGCCGGCGGAGTATACGGATGTATACTTGGAAAGACTAAGCCAAAGTCCCTTTGGACGGTCTCGAGGCGATCAACTCCTCGCTCTAGATGCTCAAATGCGCACTGGACTTACAGAAGTACTGGCCAAATATGAACGTGAGAGGAATCAACAAAAGGGTCAGGATCATTCGTTACCTCAAATTCCGAATCCCGTGGTATATAGGATGAGCGACCTGTTTGCAGCCGCTCCTCCTGCTGATCTACCACCTTATCCTCCAGCTATCGGCGAAGACCGAGAAGGTCCCATTTTCTCACTGGCATCCATATCCGAAGCAGTCACTTACCATCCTCTTTTGACAGATACGCTTCATTCGCTGCTCATCTGTCACTGTCTTATACAAACATCGCCCAAGGAGCATCTACGGCATGCGTACATGGCCGCACGTATCAACCGTTTGTGTGACGGGTATCCCGTTTTCCTCGCAGCGAGATCTCCTGCACGCGCTGATTGGATTGAGATCACTCGACTGGCAAACAATTGGCTTGGATTGTCTTACACTTGGGAGAGCTTAGCTACTCCCGATCCTGTTCCATCGAACAGATCCAAGTCTGACCCTAGGCCACCTAAAGAATTTGCGATGAAAGAAGGGTTAGTCAGAGCAGCCATGATAACTGAACCATTGACATGCACAGATGAAGGAGCAGAAAAGATGCGCCATTCTAAATTGCCAGACAATAACACCATGGCACGAAATGGCAGTGATGGGAATACATCTGCACATTCAACCAAGCGATGGCAGTTGAATGATGGAAGAGAGTACCCCATTACAACGGAAAGAGCAGAGGCCATTGTCAGATGGATCCTGGAAGCCCCTCCGCCTAATGCGTCTGATGGGAGTGGCCGACCAAAGAAGAAATCCGGGACGAGAAAGACAGCCAACACCTCTTCGAGCTTGAGAGAGCCAGAGCTGGAGCAGAGCGTTGATAGTCTTGATCTTGTGGATTGAGACTGTCTGCGTCCTGAGAATGATGAACAGCAGTGATGGTCGGTGACGACGGGGCAGTATTGTGGGCCAGGATTCTTGTGATTTTCGGACCAATGCAGACGGTATTATCCTAGGATCTGGGAAATGAAGTGGCATTACAGGGCGTAGGCGGGAAAAAAGAAAATCCACGATTGACGGACCTGGCGGACTGTGTTTTCAATTTTACAGTTCAGTGTAGGTGGCAGGGAAATCTCCCGCCGAATTTAGCGGTCGTTGCCGCCGCTTTTGGAGGGTTTCTTCCCTCGCTGCCAAGGTCGCTCCCCTGGTCTCTTCCCACATCAGCTCCAGCACCACGTAACCTTGATCGGATCCAGTCCATGGATCATATGTAGATCACCATGTCCTATGTCGTACGATATCCCCCATCGGATCCAGTCCGTGGGCCAACCCCGGGCTTCTCGTATCACGTGATTAGCCAACCCTCCCCCTAATCCGAGTATTACGTAATAATGTGCTCTGATTGGCTGGCCCATCGGATCCAATCCACGGCCCATCCAGGAGTGGGCGGAATGCCGCCGTAGCCCGGAAAATCTATAATCCGACAATTACCTAATCCTGTGCTCTGATTGGCTGACCCATCGGATCCAATCCATGGCCCACCCAGGAATGGGTACCAGACCCCCTTGATCGGATCCAGTCCATGGATCATATATAGACGATGTTGATTACGGTGTCCTGTGCCGTACGATATCCTCCATCGGATCCAGTGCATAGACCATATGTAGACGATGTTGATCACTGTCTTTTATGGGAGCCAGCCCCCATACCTCCAGGCCTCACTGCGTTCGAAGGACATACCGTCGAGCCCAAGAAAGAGAGAGCGTTTCTGGAGACAAGCCGAGCAGTATTTGGCATCGACGTCAGACATGACAAAAGAGAAGGGGTGCCCTCGCGCGTCGAGGAGAGGAAAAGTCGAGGCACGGCACGCCGGCGAGCGCGCACTCTCTCTCGCATTGATCGCGCGATCAGGTGATTGAGAGATCATGTGATTTAGCATTTTTCTGACCAATCAGGGACGACTCAAGTCACGTGAACAAATTTGATCCCTAGGTCGCGGGCGGGGGGGTCGGATTCTAGAAAAAGCTTCGCTAACGCTACGCTTTCAATGTAGTATATATGGGCTTAGCCCGCACAGGGTGCATGAATATCGTATCGTATCGTATGGAAAGTAGGGTCAGATCACGTAATTCCGGTAACCTTCCTCCTTGGAAGTTTGGACCGCGCCTCCGCCTTGAGGGGGAAACAAACACTAGCAATACCTGTCAATTTACAGCTCATCATCCCCTTGATGCGTGTTTTCTAACCTTGTAACTGTAAGCCAAAACTCTTTGATCACCCTCTTAATAACAGCAACCGTTCTTTGACAACAATTCGACCTATAACCAAGTATTTCCCTCGTGCCCAGATACAAAGCCACTACCACAAAATCCGCTCTAGAACAGGCCGTTCTTTCGATAGATGACAAACCCAGGCAACTCCGGCCCCGAACGGCAAAAGGGAAAGTTATCGACGCGACCGACACCGACAGCGTCGTGGACTCGGGTACCAAATGGCGAAGAGCATCAGCTCACGAACCCTCCAGCACCGCGAAGAAAGCCCGCAAGAGGAGAACCTCACCACAGGATAAGGGTGCTGAAATGCTAGCCCATCATTCTACAGGACACCCAGCACTAAGTGTATGGCCTCTTATGCGAGCATGATAAACCAAGGGACCGTGGCATACGCTATGGACATGGAAGCACAGATTGCGGCTAAAGCTCGTGGAGTAACGAGGAAGAATATCCCGTGGGACACATTCCGTTCGATATATCTTTCTGATTTCGGTGCAAAACCTCAACAGGAGCTGGCTGTCAACTCTATGCGGAAGGTTGGCGAAGGTAATTGGGAAGAGCAACTATTCTAGGGTCGACTGCGCCAGTTGCTTTCCGACGAGGTTCGTTATTCCGGGTGCGCTTTCATACGTCTCTCAGTCCACTGCTGACTTAGTGACCAGGCTCTTGGCGACCTCAAGCTGTTTTATGGCGCTACTAAGACTCTACCTGATGCTAACAAGAGTAAGGAGGTGCCTTCTAAACCCGACTTCGTCCTCCACGTCGGTGAAGACTCTCCTACATGGGCGGATGTGGATCTTTTGTTTGAATATACGCGAAGCCAAGAAGCGGTCACCAAGAAATTCTCGCAGTGGCTGCGTGGTGCCTGGAGTGTTTTCCACCATCAACCTTTCCGCCGTCACCTCTATGGGATCATGTTTATAAAACCTCGTGCCTATGTCTGCTACGCTGATCACGGCTGCGCCGTGTACTCCGAACCTCTCTATTTCGCGACGAACATTCAGCACACTGAGTTTCTGGTGGACTTTCTTACATGGCTCATAGCAAATCCAGGGTACCGTGGAAGGGATCCGACAGTCAAAAAAGAAGACTGGCTTTATATTCGTCATGCAGGGACAACATGGGCTGAACTGCCTAAAGGTGCGTTATGTTACCGCACTTGCCTCGTCGGGTCAAGCCTCTGGAGAGTCTTGTGCAAGAGGAAAAGTGAGCTGATTATGGCGACTTGATACAACTTCGTATGCAAAGAAATTAGGTCTCAGAATCATGCTGCCACAGACTGGGCTGACCCTCTGTGGACGGGGACGCAACGACTTCAGCGTCAAGTTACCTCCAGTCGAAGTCCTCAGGCAGAAGCGGTGGCTTAGAAGGCCAAACTTTTCGACTCGAGGCTATGACAAAGGAATAGTCGGTGATCAGAGGTTGGTCAGACGGTGGAGGGCGGGAGAGCGGGTTGTTGGGAGGCCTGAAAGTGTAGGCTCCGGCTGCATCAGTATGAAGCAGGGATAGAGAGACGAACACCGGTCCATAGCGACGGCTCGGACTATTCCCGAACGGTCAGGCCGCTTAAACCGGAGGCCGACTTTTGACCCAACCCCCTTTTGACCCCGCCAATAACGCGTGCGCGCACTCAACCCTCTACAGCTCAACCAATTCACACTCTGTTGCTCTCCAATGGCGTCCAATAAGGAGATACGACTTCAGCAAGCTATCGATGCCGTACGAAATGATCGATACACTTCAGTCCGCGCAGCTGCGGTAGCATACGATGTCGACCGAAAGACCCTTGGTCGCCGATTGCAAGGTGGCCTTTCAGCCACTCTTGCTCAAGAACCACAACAGCTTTTGTCAAACGAACAGGAAAACTTACTAAAGAGATGGATACTGGACCTTGAGGCACAAGGGCATCCTCCCACCTTCTCTGGGGTACGAGCACTCGTTGCCGTTATGACAGATGCTCCAAATGGCCCAAAACGTGTTGGTAAAAATTGGGTCAACAGATTTCTTCAACGCCATCCTGAGATCCAATCGAAGGTAGGTAAGAAGATTGACGCACGACGCCTCAATGCTACTATTCCACAAGATATATCGACTTGGTTTGAGAGGCTGAAGTCGGTGCAAGAGCGATATCACATCACCCCTCAAAATACCTACAATATGGACGAGACTGGCATTGCTCTAGGGGCTTGTGATAATCAATTCGTACTTGGAACGACAGCCACTAAAGCATCATACCAGAAGAGCCCTCAAAATCGCGAATGGGTCTCCATTATCGAGACCATTTCAGCAACCGGCCGTCTTCAATGTCTCGTTATCTTCAAAGGTCAAAGTCTTCAAAACAAGCTGGTACACGGACAAGAGCACTCCAGACTTCTTCTATACAACTTCCGACAATGGCTGGACCTCAAACGACATCAGATTGGCCTGGCTAAAGCAGATCTTTCTTCCCCAGACCGCAACAAGCGATTATCGTCTTCTCTTAATCGATGGCCACAACAGTCACACGACGTACGAATTTATGTGGGAATGCTGGCAAAACAAAGTTGTTCCGTTCTATCTAATACCCCATTCCAGTCACGTTCTTCAGCCTTTTGATTTATCATGCTTTTCTCCCTTGAAAAATCGATATAGAGAACAGATTGCTAATCTAGCTAGATTCGACGACGCATCAAGCGTTAAGAAGTCTAGATTTCACTCGTACTACAAAAAGGCGAGAGACGAAGGTCTTACTTCGATCAACATCAAGGCTGGCTGGACCGCGGCCGGAATTCATCCATGGAACCCTCGAAAAGTCGTTCGATCTCGTCAAGTTTTACAGAACGTCCTTGACAGCCAAACTACTCCTCGTACGCCGTCAAGTCGAAAGCGTCGACTGTCCTTTAAGCAAGTCTTTCACACCTCTCAAAACCGGCGTCAATTAAACGAATCAATCACGACGATTTTGGGAATGTCTCGGGAGAGCGACAACCCACAGCGACTCGCGTACCACAGCGACATCACTAAACACCAATCGGGCCTAGTTGTGCGAGTGTTGTCCGCATGATGGAAAGGTACCTGAAACCCCCCATTTTCCCTGGGGATTTGAAGTATCTTTCCATCCACCTGGCCTCCCTCACATAGTTGGCGCTTTTTGATGTTCTTTCAACGACGTCGTTGACCACTTTTAACGGAGTCCTTTGCATTCGCCTTTCCACGCCTTTTTGCACTCGATTTTGGTGTTGTGGCGTGTCAGACCCTCTCTGCCACCCCTGTGGCCTGTCTGTCGCCTGTGTAGTCCTCCTGCCGCCTCGTGACCTCGCTGCCGACCCCTTCAGGGCCGTCCTGACGCCCTGCGAGCTTCCTGTGAGTCTTGAATGAATCCATGCTCTTTTGCCTCGTTGTATCTCGCAGTGTGAGTGTGCATTCTCTTGCCTCCACCTCCTGCCAGTGCAAGAGGTGCTGTAAACGCCGGAATTTCGATTGGCGAGCCCTCAGGAGAGGGCGATCGACGCGGTCGGGGTCTTTCAGGAGTGCGAATCGGTAGACGCCGTGAAAGAGGAGTAATCTGAGGCGAAGAAGGAGGAGTTTCAAGGACAGGAGGGGTCTCGGGGCGAGAAGGAGTACTTGGTCTTGCTGTCGGGGCATTTGAGGTTAGATCGATCCGAAAGGTGGACATCATTTTGGAGCGCACCTTGAGGGCGCTTGCCAGAGGTCGCCGACAAAGAAAGTGGCCATTGAAGCTGCAGCAACAAGAGGTCAAAAAGGGTCAAACAGGACTCTGCAACACCAGGAAGTCTATACAAGTCGCGAATCGAGCAACAATGAGGCGAAGAGCTCGCAAATACCAAAAGTATGTGAATGCCTCAATTTTGATGTTTTGGTACCTCGATTTGTGCGATTTTACTAGGGTTTGGGTGGGATTTCCAGGTACCTTTCCATCATGCGGACAACGCTCACACAAGCTAGGCCTGATTTGTGTTTAGCAATGTCGCTGTGGTACGCGAGTCGCCGTGGGTTGTCGCTCTCCCGAGACATTCCCACGATTTTCAGTTAAGAACCACTCCCTCGTTCCATACGAACACTCCTTTTCAAAACAGGCAAAGCATTTGATCGACTAGAGTGGCAGACAGCACAGGCCACCACCCAATTATCCACCCAAGCGATTTATATAGAGGAACTTGAGGCCCACAAGCAAAAAAAAAAAAATGGCGATTGACTGTAATGAGACCCTTGCCAACATTGAATTAATTACCCAGGCAAGAGAGGCCGTGACCAGTCTTGCCGTAGAGCTTACAACCAGTAGACCTCGTACGGCGCCTTCTACGACTAGAGAGAGAAGTTTGAATGAGCACATGGCACCCTTCATGCATCAATTCAACATCAACGACGTTGTGGAGTAGATAATCGAAGGCTCTGGTGGCTGAGAAGGTTCAGGATTGTGTGGGTCAAAGGGGGGTTGGATCAAAATTTCGAGTTTGTTTGGTCTGACGCCTTTTCAAGTGGCAGCCCACTCGTCAGACCAAGACGACTTATTTCGGGCTTGATATCAATCAAATAAAAACTTGCGCAATCATGATATTCCCTTCTTTTCGTCTCGTACATTTCTTCGTAGCTGGAGAGTCTGAGAATCAACCTCCTAATCATTTACCCAACTCTTACTTTTCACCCTGTCACCAAGGGCTTGCATCTTGCCCATGCCCTCGTCGTCTCAAAATCTAAGCCTAAGTATTACGAACCCACTGGTCCTGTATCGCGCCCTCGTCGCAACTAAGAAAATCAAACCTGACCCAGCACAACATCGTCTAGCATTGCATTTACAGAAACTCTATTTCCGGCTCAAGGACTACGCCCCAGAAGTCGAGTATCGGTATCGTCTTGAGAAGATCGGTCGGGGCGTTGGTATCTCCAGACATTCTAGCGCCAGACCCACAACACGCACACAAGATGGCGCCGTGCAGGGGAATTCCGCCCCCGAAGAAGGATCTACGGAGCCGCCGTCCAGAAGTCTCTTGTCACGTTTATCATTATTCAGATCCAGCCCAGCCGTGTCCTCCTTAGCATTAACGCGGACAACGCCCCTGCACGACTCAGCGCTCGCGATAAACTCTCCCCTCGGCATGCTCTTATACGGCGAAGTCGGCCGGGGAAAGTCCATGCTCCTGGACCTCCTATACAATTCGCTTCCGTCGAAGAAGAAGCGGCGCTGGCACTTCAACACGTTCATGCTGGATGTTTTCCGACGCATTGAACTCGCCAGGCTCGAGAGGTCGGAAGTAGCTCATCACTCCCAATTTGGATCCCGGTCGAGCATATTTGGTCTGTACGGTAGCTCGGGGATATCGGAACACGAACATGTTGTCCTGAGCCTAGCCAAGGATACCATTAGTGAAAGTCCAATTTTGTTTCTGGATGAATTTCAGATGCCGGACAGGACATCGTCCAAGCTGATCAACTCCTTTTTCACAGCTTTTTTCCATCTTGGTGGAGTACTTGTCGCAAGCTCGAATCGGATGCCAGAGGAGTTGAGCAAGGCTGCGGGAATTGAGTTTGGAAACCAAAGAGAGGGATCGGGTATTGGTGGTGGTCTGTTTGGTTTGGGATGGGGTCTGAGTCGGGAAAGTGAAGGCCAGAGAGCGGCGAAGACGGATTTTGGCCAGTTCCTTGAAGTGCTCCGGACAAGGTGTGAGGTCTGGGAGATGGAAGGGGAGAGGGATTGGAGGAGAGAGGAATATGATACCGAAGAATTGGATGCAAGTGGTGAATCGATAGAGACAAACACAGTGGACAGAACACCCATCTCTACTTTGTCCGCCGCCGTCGCAGAACGATCGACCTCAGCCTCGACTTCATCAGCTGATTCACCACCACACTACCACATCAGTCTGCCATCTTCCCACACCTCATCTCTCACAGATTCTTCTTTCGAAAATGACCGGCGCCTCCTCAACCCCTCCAACACCTGGAGACCAACAACCCTAACCATCTACGCACGCCAGCTCTACCTTCCCACCGTCTACAAGGGTATTCTGAAATCGACCTTCGCAGACCTCTGCACCACCTATCTCGGTCCCGCCGATTACGTATCTCTATGCTCGACATTTCACACGCTCATCCTCACAGACGTCCCTGTTCTTACCGCAGTCAAGAAAAACGAAGCACGCCGCTTCATCACGCTTCTTGACGCCCTGTACGAGGCCAAGTGCAGATTGCTGATTGAAGCCGAGGCCCCGCCCGACAGATTGTTCTTCCCAGAGGCAAAAGTCCGGACACGAATGAGGACAACTTCGACTGTGCCGGACGGAGGTGGTGGTGTGCTGCCATACACTGCAACGATAAGAGGAGGTGGACCGGAGGGTGCGAGTGATATCTTTGTCGATGACCATGATGAGGCAGATTCAATCATCTCCGAATCCTTCTCGGAAATCTACCAGGATTCCATGGCGCCGTTTCGACCAAACATATCATCTTATACTGACAACGACACCCGACACCTGATATCACTATCTCCATCGCTATCGGACGATCCAAGGACTAATACACTATCATCCTTCACGCCATCTCTTCAAAACCCAAGCCTTCGAACCGTTCTTGCCAATGAAGATGCAGACTTCGGCCCTACGTACGATAATGGGCGAGGACATGGGATCTCGAATTCGTCCACACCTGCTCATCCTCCCATGCCTTTCGCCACTGGCGCTGGGCCGGATTTCACATCCACGACCGCATTGACGGGTGAAGATGAGAAATTCGCATACAAGCGGGCGAGAAGTAGACTCTGGGAAATGTGTGGGAGGCGGTGGTGGGATGAGAGGTTACCATCGGCACTTCCATCTTCGTCCACATCGCCGTTCTCAACGTCGCGACGGGAGGAGGAGCTGCAGCAGCAGCAGGGTGATTCTACAACAAAGTCAAAGTCCATCTCCGCGACTACGAACGTCAATAGTAATGACAATGTTGATGTTGATGTGAAGCATGGCAATGGTACCGGAACCAATGCCGAATGGTTCGAGGGCGTTGATGGAGTGGAGCGGTGGTGGCGCCCCATCTCTCGCGACGGGCGGTTCTGGGAACGTTTCAACGATGACAAGAATCAGAAGCAGAATCAAAACCCGGTCTCGGACTCGGTTACCACCTCTACCTCTTCCTATCCCACTTCATCTTCCTCGTCGTCTTCTCCTTCGTCAAATACTCCAACCCCGAACACAAACCTCTTCCGCCATGATACCTTATCGTACCGTACTCATGAGCCTCCACCGCCAAAGTTCGCATGGTACCATGCATGGGGAATGATGGAGTGGGGAAAGAAAGCTGGGGAGTGGGGAAAGGGCGTTGATGGGGATCGAGTTCGGGCTCAGGCTCGAAAGAAGGACTCGGATTCGGATTCGATGGAGACAAACTCCAACACGAGGGATGAAGACGGTGATGCTAGAACTGGTGGCCATCATGGCGTTGGGGAGAAGAAATCATGAATAAGGAATAGGGAATAGGGACCGAGGGCGATTGCTCTTTTCCATCCGTCTGTTATGAGAAGGGAAAAGCAAAGATGGGTGGGTGGAGGCAGGGGAGACGGCCAAAAGTGAAGGATGATGGTTCTAGAGCCTGAACCTGAAGTTGCGAAGATCTGTGCATTCTCCTATGCACGAACATAACGATTGATGTTAGATATTGTATACGATGATTTCCATCTACGTATGTATATCTAACCTAAATTGCAGGACGTCTAGATAGAGTATCGGCCCGGCAGATCCGATCCTAAAATTTATTTATCTCTATCTCTTCGTGTGTTTATAGACCTGATCTCCCTTCCGTTCTCATCCCGGCCCGTTCTACTATATCATACCATACCGCTTCCAACCGATCCAGTCGCGGGGCTGGTTGACGCTGAAATTTCTCCAGCGTCCAGCGCTCGATTCACATCGATACGAACCAAGGGAATTTAGTCCTCATCAGCCGCAGCAGCTGGCTCGGCTAGATAACCCTTCTCCTCAAGATACTTGACGATGATCTTGACCGAGTCCTCCACGCTGGTCTTGTCGGAGTGGATATGCACTTCGGGCTTCAACGGTTCCTCATACGGAGCACTGATTCCGGTGAATTCAGGGATCTTGCCTTCGCGTGCCTTCTTGTACAACCCCTTCGGATCTCTCTGCTCGGCCACTTCGACTGGGACATCGATCCAGACCTCGACAAACGGAACGCCAGGTTCACCACCAGGCCGCTCAGCCTCGTGAAGTTGACGTGCCAAGTCACGATCCGCTCGGTAGGGGCTGATGAAACTGGTGATGGCGATGGTGCAAGAATCCGCAAACAACTTGGCGACTTCAGCGATGCGGCGAATATTTTCCTCGCGGTCCTTGGGGGAAAATCCAAGGTCCTTGTTCAAGCCGAAGCGAATGTTGTCGCCATCGAGCCGATAGGCACCTTTGCTGTAGGGTTTGCGGAGGAGTGCTTGTTCCAGGGCCACCGCAATTGTTGATTTTCCACTAGCGGACAAGCCAGTCAACCATATTGTCAAGCCCGTTTGCTTGCGGAGCCCCGCGCGAATGCTGGGAGTCAGGGGCGTGGGATGGTAATGAATGTTGCTATTTCAAAAGGTGTCGTTAGTAAATTGGAAACCTATTTTGCCACCAAGGGATGCCGAAGCAAGAGGCGCATCGGCAAACAATATTCAAAATCAAACACAGCACACAAGTGGTGGAGGGATCGGTCACAAAAAGGACGGGATACAGATCATTTTTCATGAGAATCATGGACAATTCGGGCAAGGCAATCCCAAGAAGCTCCAACACAAGAGAAGGGACATACGTTGCCATGGTTCGTGAGATGTTCCCGGTTGAGAAATAAAACCCACTTCCAGATCGGTGTACTTGGGTCTGACACTGGCCGATGTTGTACCTTGATGAACCTTTGAAGTTTGTGTTTGTTCTGTACAATCGATGCTCCTTCACCGCCATCAGCCTGCTTGACCTTATTCGATCTTCGTTTCTTGAGCGCCATGCCAAGCTCTTGGTCTGTGCATCATTTCCGTACGCTAAATAAAGGAGGTTGGAAGCCAGCCGAACGAAAACGGGGCCCGAAAAAAGGACTTTCCTTCGCAATCGCCTGCTCTTGGGCCAAGCCAGTCCTCCTTCTCAGACGTTGGATCAAGCATCAGAAAAATCGGTCAAGGCGTGGGTGTCGCTGGACCTTCTGTCGAGATGAACATGGGCGGCCGATGCACCGCAGTTGACTTGTGTTGTGTTCCACTTCTTTCCGGACCAACTAGAAGCCTCACGGTAGACACCCCGTCATACCTGTCACGGTGTCGTTCGCGATCCCGGTGATGTCAAACAACTACTAGCCAGCGCAAAGCGGAATAAGATGTGCCGGCGGATGTTTGCAGTTCTTCGAGCCTTGTCTGGCTGGATGGACCTGGGGTTGGGTTCGTGATCCCAAATCCAGCGCAGTTTGGCGAGAATATTTTGGATTGGACCCCCTTCTTGAGTGATGTATCATTCTTGTTTGCCAGTTCCCCCACGCAATTTACCAGACGGCTTCCGTCGACCCTATTTTCTCTTCCAGCCAACCTGGCCACCACCCAGGGAGGATTGGGATCTGAATAGAGTCTCTGTTGGCCAGACATCAGTCTAGATTTCGCCGATCTAACACCGAAGATTGTTTTCCTCCAATGCAAATCCTCTGAAATTTGAGACTGCGTTGACCATTGAAGTGATGATCGTCTGCTGAACAATATCCCAAGTGGTACAAACAGCCCCAAATGCTAAGCGAGGTCAGTCCGCCCGCTTCGGCTCGTCGACTTGTACTCCCGATTTCGGTAGAGGATGGGTAGAAGGCGTGTTGGATACGAAGCAAACTAGCAATTCTTCAACAGATGACGGTACGTGTTCCTTCGGAAGTCGGTGTGTTACCCGATGGGATTGGATTGACTGATGACAGCCCAGATTCCATTGTCACAGCTTGTGAGGAGCATACCATTAGCAACCGACCTGTGCAATTGTGGTTACGGTCTCCCACGCAGAAGAACATGCGCCTCACTCCGCCGGATGGAACTTGCGTGACATGTTCCACCATTCATGAAGGCCGGACTTGCATGCGTCATGGGTTGTGCAAACCAGTCCTCTCAGAATAAGTATCCTCTCTGATATCTCTTTGTCCTGGTGATATGCCTCTTGCTGTGCCCTACCGAAACATCAAACCGTCAGACCGGCGGTGTTGAAGCGTGTGCTGTTCGAGGACTGTGATAAATGTGTGAGGCCATTGACGTGTTGTTGGCAACCACTGAACATTGTAATGCTCTGCAACAGTGTAATGATGATGGTTGTGGGCCCTGGATAGGCGAAACTAGTCGTGGCTGTCGCAGTTTCAGGGCAGTGCAAGGCGGATTAGATCTTGTTCTCGACCTCCTGGTACTACTCTCGCCGCGACAGCGACATCGAGAGGCCAAATGAATCAGTGAAGAAGTGGAACGATCACGCGGAAAAGGAGAAGCAGGAACACCTCTGCTTCTCTCTCACTTCCTCTTTGACTTCAATCTTCACTTCCTCCTGCGATCACAATCAATGGGTGAGGGTGGGAATAGGCCTTGTCGTGTATTCCGCATCATCCTCCCTCTCACATTCGCATTCGTTGCATCACCGCCTCTTTGTAGGTCTGGCATGAATAGACGAGTCGCATTTTCTGTTTGCACCGCTCTGCATTTTCCTTACCGTGTAATGTCACTTCACTGGACTACCTCCACTGCGATTAAAGCAGTCGACGACAATCAAGTCACTGCCACAGGACGATCGTCACCTCTCTTGATTCCACCTTCGCCGTCTCGTTGGCAGTGATCGACGCCAGTGAACCGTCGACACTTTGGCGATTTCTCTCTCCTTCGACCAAAATCTCACTTCGTCCTTGTCCTCGTCCCCTTCGCCAATCCTCAACAATGGTACCCTGGGAGAAGATTACGAAATTGATCGGCGGCCGCGGTAAGAGGACACATTCAGCCCAAGTATCAGGAAGCACATGGGCTGACCTAAAATATCACCGCATAGGCGTGGCTGAGAAGAGCGAGCAGAAGAAGCTGGAAAAGCAATACGAAGATGCTCCAAAGGCGCTCAAGCAGCTAACAGAGGTTACCAAAGAACCACCCGCAGAATACCCCAGTCGTGAGCTCCTCTTGCCCTTGCCCAAAGCCGCATGACTGAATCTTGCTCTAGGGCCTCTCTCGATCTACAGTGCACCTCTCTCCGACCGTCACAACCCGCGTGAGAGGTCTCTTCTGTCTGCACAAAGACCGAACTACGAACGATCAGTCTCAAGTCCAGCAGCCCCTGCCATCCTAACACAAAGGACGCCTACGGGTCCTCCTGACATCACGGCTGGAGATCTGAGCACAGAGGAGTTGAAAAGAAATTACAGTTGTGACAGCATCTGGAATTTCAAAAGTCAGCCATTACCGCCGATGCCGCGAATGACTGGGTTTGGAAGATATCGAAGGGCGGCCAATGCATCAGCAGAATGGCAACTAGAACATGTTCACCGACATCTTCATGACGTGAGAGGAGTGATAGTCAACCATCTAGGCGATTGTCCACCTGCAGGCCTGGACCTCGAAACCTGGCGTGAGTACAGGGCTCAACACCCTCGAACGAGCAGTTTTGGAAGTTCTTACAGTTCTGATTCCGGACCTTTCCATACGGGAGCAACAGAATACATTGACCTGAATACTGGTACTCGGGTTAGTCGAGGATTCGGTGCCTCCGCTACGTCGAGCGTTACAAGTTCTTTCAATGACGGATCAGGCCATTACCGCCGCGATTCGACGTTGTCTAAGACGAGCATGGCCAGCCCCAGCAGTGAGGGGGATGCGAAGCTCAGTCGCAGATCAAGTCGAACATCACCACATCGTCATACAAGCTCAACATCTATAAGTCATCTGACTGCCATCAGGGAAATGCAGGAGACGCAGACGAATCCTCCACGTAAAGTGGCCCGGCCATGTGATTTCGATGAGAATAGAAACCACGAGAATGCGTTGGCTTCCGATGAAGATGACGAATTTGACTGGTCTGATATGCTTGAAGTGGGTGGAGGCAATGTTAGCAATCTCACCAAAGGACTTGAACGAAGGCCATCTTCCAAGGGTGTTCCGAATGCGAGACCTGCGCTGACTCGACTGCGCACAAACCCTCAAGAGAGACCAAAGTCACTATATGGAAAGAAGACGGTTTCGTGCCGGTCAAAACCTGTCAAAATGGCACCCCGAACTGACCGGCACCGTGTCCGATTACATAAGAGACCAACAGAGGGCACAAGAACCGCCTCTCAAGAATCAAAAAAGACACAAAAGGAGTCACACTCGCCAGTCGAGACTTGCCAGACTCAACCAAATACAATGCAAGAAGCTTGATTTGATGATGCCGAAGCCATTCTGGTCACCAAGCCAACTTCACCACTGTCCAATGAAGGTGCACAATGTATGGCAGAGCAGAAAATAGGGGGCCAACCCGAGAATAATGTGAGAACCCCTCCCCCATTCCTCCTTTTCTCTAGATCATCAAGTGGACGACTATGCAGCTTCGTTAAGGCCGGATATCTCCACTGAAACACTATTCGCTACAGACTGTAGCCTCCGACGGTGCAGAGAACGACCAAGGAATGACAAATCGAATACATCGCGACTTTCACGATGACACCATTAGTGACAAACCGCAGCCACCAATACCCTGCACAGCGTAGAGCTTAATACAACCGGCACTCGCTTTTCAGTGACTCTTTCGGCCAAAAAGCAATCGATTGTATGTGCTTGTGATTTGAAGTGCGACTTTTCTTTCGGCAAATATCTCAAAACCTTCAATGATGATGTGGGAGATAATGTCTGAGTGTGGCTGAAAGTAATGAATAAAGGAGACGGACATTCACAGCCTCGCAGGGCATTGCTTCCTGGATAGCTCAAGAACTTAGGAAGGTCATGCTCCATGACATTCAGGCTTCCCGAATTGACAGACACAACACCATGATGTGGCTTCGTCGGGAAGAATAAGGAAGTCGTCTCAAACTATTGACCGCGGGTTCAAGAGCAATCACGGATCAACGACAATAAGGATTTTCTTCGGGCATTACGACATCACCAACAACCCAGCCAACAGGATGCAAAACCGCATGTTCTCGAGCAAATCGTACAAAAATACGACAACAGTGAAACCTCTTTAGGGGGTGAATCCATGAGCTAGAGCAGGTAGCAGAATTAGCGTATTATCGTTCTGCCGTCTGAGCCTCCTCAGTGCATAATTACCATACTTTCGCCACCCAAGAATTTCCCCCAATTTGGAAATTTCTGCCTGCTACAAGGGAAGTTCGTAGCTTTTCTTCCTCAAGTTGACCTGCTTTCATCCATCATCTACTTATCCTCGACTCAGCCTCTGAAAAGCCTGGCCACTTGGGAGCAACTTCGCCGCCATGGCTACGAGACTACGCAAACTCGTCGCTTTCTGGCTTGGCCATTTATAAACTCGAGCGCATTTCATGATCGCTCGGCTATTTTGGCCTACGAATCTCCCAAGGGTTAATACGATGTCGACACACCTCAAACGCACCCTTCATGACAATGAGGCCGAAGCCCATGAGACCTTCACATCATCACCCATTACCGATCGCTCCTCGACTTTCATCGCTCACTTTCACCCCTACATCCCGGCCGGTGATCATGGGTTTTTGATACCCAAATCAACCTCTTTCACTTCAGATATTAAATCCTTCCAATCTCATCCAGCATTCTCATTTGCAGATCATCGCATGGTTGCATGGCGCCGGCCATCATCACAGCGGACGCTCGGGACTGGGGCCATCAATGCTCCAATAACGACAACCGGCAAGACCGTCAACACAACAGGTTCCGACGACGACGGCGAGAAACATGCCGGCAAACGTCTGGAACGGGTCCTATCAGATCTCGATGTCCACGGCGTAGTCGTCGTGGCGCGCTGGTATGGTGGGACCCTCCTTGGCCCTATACGCTTCACGCACATTGAGAACGTCGCCAAGGAGGCGATAACGAAATGGAAGTCAAGTCGGCCAAGTATCGGCGACGATGTGAAGCGGCGGAAAGTAGGTGTCCAAGACGACGTCATGGATATCAGCGCGCAGCAAGAGGACACCACCCAGCGCGCGAAATTAGCCAAGCAGCTTGCAGAGCGAGATAATAGCATCGCCGTGCTGAGAGGGTTACTCGCGGAGAAGACAGCAAATCTTAACTCCAAATCGAGTTCGAATTTCGTGGACCCACACAAATCGGAATCGTCGGAGACGGCTTCCATACCAACAAGCGGGAGCTCACCTCCGGCAGCAAGTGCAAGTCCGTCGGCGAAGAAGATCGAGTACAGCGAAATGCCGCTGCAGAGGCTTCGACAGCTCGAGAAAGCGCGGGATGCAACGATTTCGTTTATCCTCAAGCAGATTGACAAAGCGGAAGAAGAGGAGAGGAAGTGGAAGGCCTCGAATGAGGGCGAGGATGAGAGCGAGAGATAGTGAGATATGTGTGCCAGACTCGTCATACGGACTACGACAACGATATGATGGCGTTTCTAGCATGGAATACGACCTTAGAGCCAGAGACCATACCACTAGGGTCCCGGGAGGAATTAGGCTTCTGAAAGCAGAACCTGTTCAAGGATTCTCCAAGCTGGCTTCCTCGACATGACAATCACTCTACCTCTGAGCCAGAAAGACATCCATGGTCCGCAGCATCACTGAGAACATGTGGCCCACCACTCAAGCCGAGACCGAAACATCCTCCTGATATGAGGATCCAACCCCACTTGCCCTACTGCTCGCCGGCGTCAAGGCATTCTTCTCTGCTTCTTCCTCCTTGAACTTCTCAACGACCATCTTCCTCGTCAATTGCTGGTAGTCTACCATCGTCACGAAACGTCAGTTGACAACAGCGAAAGAAAGGAAAAGATGCATCAGAAAGAAAAGGAGAAGTGGTAAGGGAACGGGGAACTCACGCAAAACACCACTCTCCTTGACCAGATTTAATACACCCTGTGAATACACGCCCCGTTCCAAATTCTCTTGTGCAACCTCACACAGCTCAAAATCCTCCATCGCCACCTTCCTCACGAATCTAAAGTACTCTTCAAATTCCTCGGTCCCACCATGGCCGTCGTCAAAGTAGTAATCAAATTCCATGCGTGTCTCTCCAACTTTCTCCCCTGGGCACACTCGAAAACTACTCATGCCCCCACCATACAAGTTGAGCGTGCAGACCGGAAAGAAGTACAAAAAGAGGCCATCGTTCGGTTTCGCTGGGTCGGAGATATGCCGGCTGTATGTGTCGTGGTTATGCACTTCGTAAAAAGTCGGTGGGTATCTGACTGAGAAGCTGCGATGGGTGTACTGGCAGTGCAGACACTCCTGGTACCCGTCGACCATGGTTTTCCAGTTGAAGCGGCCTGGATATTTTATGGAGCGGCGGTGGGGGAGGCGGCGGAAGTTGTAGTGAGAAAGTAGTCGTACAAGGGAGGGAGGGAACCATTGTTCAAAGGGAGGAGCGGACGGGGAAATGGCGGAAAATAATAGGCCTGTTGGAGTCAGATGATAAGGGAGGAGGAGGCCCTAGAATGAGAAGAACAAAAGTGTCAATCCATCACATGAACAAATGTATGTCTCTAGGAGAAGGGTCGCTATGGGGTAGGGAGGAAGTTTGTAAGAATCAAGGCAGGAGAAACGGAAAGGGAGAGAGGACAGGGTATAGTATCGTATACATACATCAGATTTTCTGGTCACTTCAAAGTTCTCATTGCCATCATGCCTCACCACGACAGTGACACCGGCAAATTCATACTCGACTTCTCTGTCCACGGCGAATCTGGGGACTGCACCGACGAGGTACCATGCCTTGAAAAAGACTGCGCGTTGTTCGAGTTGATACAGGTTTTGAGAACAGTACCATGAGGCTGGAAGGGTTTTCGTTGCGTCCATGGCGGAGGATCGATACCCTTGGAGATGGACAGACGGACTCTTGCCTGTTGGTCCACGTCACACAGACCCTCTGAGCCACAAGGAATTGATATGTGGTGTCAGGTTGGTGGGGTTTATATCAGTGGTATATCATGCCATACCACAGATGTGGCTGTATAAGGATCGAGTATGTTGTTTGTGATAATCACCATCAATGAATGTTCCAAAGATCCCTTACTTCTTACCTCTTCCCGATTCAGGTCCTCTTGAGAAGTAAGTATTTACTACTTTGGTATTAAGCGAGGAGAAGGGGAAGTGAATGAGTAGCACCCAAGCATTCCGAAAGAGGCATCCAAATGCCGACGGAAATGGGACGAATTTCCATTCGCTCCGACAAAATATTGATGGGTGAAGAGTCCACTGGGAAGACGATCAATGATGACTTGATGATCCTCTGCCTCGAATTTCCATGTGATAATAGCACGCCATTTGACTGGATTTCTATCAAGGGTATATCCACATGTGTGCTCGAAAAGCATCATGACGGAAAAGAGGAGGGGTCGTTGGATTCCCGAGATGGGATGTCGCGGGATCGCATTTCCCGTTCGGGACATCGCGTATCTCCATTGGCTACAAGACCCGTGTCAGATTCTGGGCGGAAGGCTTCAAGTGGGCATCATAAAGTATCATTGTCGTCGGATCCGAAGTCGGTCCCATATAATCGACCGCATGTACAATTGCGAAAAGCTTTCAGAGCTGCTGTTCTCGGACCAAATATGGGACCCGGGAATTGTTAAGGCGTTTTGGGATCTCATGATATATGATGGGTAGATTCCGGTGACGTCCACTCGAACTGTAGAGCCATCGTTGTAGATCCCAAATTTAAAGGACAATGGCAATGATGATGAACCCTCTCCACGGGTGGCTGAGCACTCCCTTTCCCATATATGTTTTGGTATTTTCATGCTTGGCTTATCTCGTTGCACGGCCATTGTTGAACTTTATTCACGAATACTTTCCGGCTGATGCGGCACAAAAGATATCCCCTTCGGCCTCCGGTCTTGATGGAGCGGAGAAAGGAAATTTGAAAAGGGAGGGCATGACGGATGATGATGTCTTTCAACTGGAAAAGAGAGCATTTTTCAGCAAGGTCGGCCCATTCATCGGCACATTCCGGGTAGGTCGTGCTCGGACTGACTTGTGATCAGACATGGTTGTTCGTTTGCCATCGCAGCAGATTTAAGACACCGGGAGATTATCATGCCTTTGACGTTGCTGGAATTTCTTTCTTTGTTGTTCTCGGCAAGGACTCGGGACTTCGAGCATTTCACAACGTCTGTCGGCACCGGGCCTATACGGTGGTGCGGAAGCCGTGCGGGACTTCTACACGTTTCTCGTGCAAGTATCATGGATGGCAATATGATGACCGAGGTCGGTTGGTCAAGGCGCCCAAGTTCGACGAGTCTCCCGGATTTGTGCATGAAGAAAATGGTCTGTTCGAAGTAAAATCGATTGTGACGCGAGAGGGGCTGGTGTTTGTCAATTTTGACGCGAGTACCATGAACCTCCCTTTCAACAATGTGAAATCTCACGTTGATCTGGGGAGCTGTTCTTGGGTAGATGGAATGAATGTGACGTGTGCGACCAATTGGAAGGATATTGGTAAGTCAGCCCGAATTTTGACCCAGTGGTGTCACTCACAAGACCAGCAAATGAATTCTCCAGCCAGTCTCAATGGTCACAGAACCCTTTTGGTTGGTTCTCTCGGCTTCAACGGCCCACGATGGTCAGACTTCTGGGACCACTCAGCATCATAAAAGAGCTCCGTCCAGATCTCTGGTGCACCATGACACTATTGCCAAGGTCATGCTCGGAGGTCATGGTCCGATGTGACATTTATGCCAAAGAAGGATACACGGCTCCAGCAAACACGGTCGATAGATGGAAGTGGATGTTGGAGAAAGAGGTGATCAACCTGTCGAAACCAGTGGTCTCGAAGACTTCGACCAATTCGTACTTTGCATATCAATGTGGAGGTGGGTTATAAATCGACAGCTTCATGTTGCAGGAAAAGACTGATGGGACATCTTTAGGTCGATCGATTGATTTGTTTGCCATCCTGACTCAACACCAGCGGAATGAGAAGATGGCCAAGAGGAAACTGCAACCGGCAATCCGAGTAACCGGAACCGCCGACATTGACCAGGAGGCAGCAGCTTTGTGCGACGCAATCGACGGAACAGTGGACGGTCCCCAACTTGAGAAATGTTCAAGAACATCAAGCTTTCCCCAGACACTCGAATGGTAACCGGGGTGGACAAAAGCCATGGATTCTTGGAAAGATTGTCGTAATGACATTGCTTTTGTGGATATCCGAGAATCCGAGAACAGATCTCTAGAAATAGGACTCGGCGAGCATGGGACGTGCATCACTCTGACGAGGGAAAGTAGGTATGACACTCACGGTAATTTGGGACGAAGGCCAAGTATGACGAGCAACCTCGTGGCGATTTTAGTAAAGAGAGGGCGTCGGCTTCAAATGTATTCAGTCTTTTCCGACAGTGGTCGCTCACCAAATAATGGACACGCAAATCCGACTTGAACCCACTGCAGATTCATACCAAGGCCAGTTCATGCACTCGATCATCCTCGTAGTCTTTCATCGCCTACCCCCTCATAAAATCTCGAATCCGACATGGCCCAGCCACCTCACATTCAAGGCCGTCCTCCAAGTCAATTTCAACGGGGTCTTCGTCAGACGCGGGAGGATCAAATGGCTCCCGATTCAGACGTAAGAGGAATGGGGTTTTTGCACCGTGCGGGATAAACATCATATCCCCTGATGGAGCAGTTCTCGGTACGAGATCAAAATCCCGGCCGTGGTCATTCGAGCAAGGATGTGTAAGGCCGACTTGGGTTGAAATCTTGCATGAAAGCGCTTTCGTCGTCTGGCGAGTGAGGAGGACCTGCACATATCGGATGAAGCCGATTATTTGACCGACGACAGTCCCTGGATCTGTAGTAGACCAAGCGACTGCCAGGGCCGATTTGGTAATACCACTAGCAGCCTACTTGTAGTTGAAGTAATACCAATTTCTCTTTGAGTGGGGCTGTGTCAGAAACCCACGAAGGCAGAGTGCCGTCATTGTCTCCGAGGGACAGATGGCGGGATTGTTCGATGGGGATGTCGGAAAGTCCAAGGATCGACTAAATCTTATTACGCGGTCAGTCTGCCAGTCGCGAAAAGGTCCAAAATATCTCCCCCGTGATAGGACCAGATTCCCGGAATATCGCCGCTAGGATTGAGCGATGGCTGGCCTACCCTATGCCACCTGAATGCCTCATAGTTGGTGGACAACTAAGTCGGTAAAATTCTCCATGTTGAGCTTTTGATGCAGTCTCCAGATGTGATTTGCTGATTTTCTTTATGCAATTCCGTGAGGCTTCGCTTTCCCGCAAGGGATGACGACTCTCTGGGTCGTGTCAATCTCCTGGCGAACTTAACGGCGTCGAAACCAAGGTGGTGGAAAGAAATCTGACTGTGCTCGATCCAATTCATAAGCCGGCTGATAATCGACTCTCGACGTTTTCGGTAGATCATTCTCTCAATAACGAAATCGCTTTTGGCCATCGCTCTCCCCAGCCATACAAGGATCGATGCTGCTCCTCGGTAGATTGAAGTCACGAAATGAACTTGCTCGTTTAATTCGGTGATGTCACCTTGATGCATATTGTTGGCAGTCTACATTGGGACTAGCCTAGTCACGTGCACCGCAGCCTTCGTGGCTTGCGCCTCGCTCAGATGGATTCAATCAATCAATCCTCTCTCGGTCCTACACATATGGCATCTATCCAAAGGCACCGTGGATGTGAGAAGAGATTTCGGGCCACTGTTAGATTGTCGCCGTCGCCCTGGATGGTTACCGGTGGGTTCTGAATTTCTCCCAGCGTATGGGATAGTTTCATGCTCTGCAGAATTCTCACCGTTGGATTTTCGGTTTTTATTACATCTAGAAAGGTAGTGTCCAAGTAATAAGGTCATCGAAGTGTCTAGGATCAAGGTGGAGTGACCTGGTTTATCCCGTTGAAATTGACTGAATAGATGGTAGAATCGAATTGGAGAATTTTGCGTAAATCATTGGTCAAATCATGAGGCAGCAACTCCCCTTTGCGGTTGTCTGACATGACAACCCAGAGCCAACTTTGATTCATGGCTCTGGATGCTGCATAATAATGCAGTATACACCCAACCCTCCCTTCATACAGAATTTGACCTTGACTTCCCGCCACTCTTACTTCAGGCTTTCTCCTCACATGCAAACCCCTCGCCCTCTTGTCGCGGACCTCTCCGACTTAGCTCTCTTCATCATTTTGCCTGTGCAAGCCAACAGAATTCCACCTACTCCCAAACCCCCCAAGATCGTTCGTCATGTTCAAGAAGGAGTAAGTTGACACCACGTCGAGACGAATGCACAAGGCAAACAAACTAACGAAAGAGCCGAATAGCTTGTCAGCGGGCGCAAAATCCAAAGTCAAGTCCTCGGTGCAGAGGGGCATTAGGGCCAAAGTTCTCGAGACATACCCGAAACTTGAACCGCATATCGACGAGATCATGCCTAAGAAAAGTCAATTGGATCTGGTGAAGTTGTAGGTCGTACACACGCTCTCTACACGTACATCTTTGGATCACTGGGCCTGGGGCCGAGACCAGACACACTCTTCTTCCGGCAAGGCTGGAGCTGACTGACAACGTTTGGTTTCAAATCACTGACGGACTAGCCGAACAGACCGGACCGAGTCTCTCTATACGTCCTCGACACCTCGCCCCTCTTCTACCAACACATGGATGATCCCATCATTCCACATCTGAAAGTCGTGCACCAATACCCGCACGCGTTCCAAACAATACGCATTGACAGAGGGGCTATTCGCTTCGTCCTCTCCGGCGCGACGCTGATGGTTCCCGGCCTCACGTCCGCGGGGGGTTGGTTGCCGGAGAAAGAAAACGAGCTGAGAGCCGGCGACGTCGTGGCCGTGCAGGCTGAGGGAAAAGAGGAGATATGTTTGATAGGACAATTAGAAGTGGGCACGGAGGAGATGAAAGAGAAGAAAAAGGGCGTGGCGATGAGTGCGGGACATTATCTGGGTGATGGACTGTGGAAGATCGATTTGAGTTAAGCTAAATGAACAGAAGGGATGGGGTCTCAGACGGTGAAAGCACTCGAGGGACCGGAGGAGGTGGCAGAGGAAAGACAGACAAAGCTTGCTGCTTGACTGTTGACCAGGATGGCCATGTGCCCGCTCAGCAAAATCAGCGAAGACAGGTCGTGCAAGCGGAGCTGAGAATAGGAAAAGAGGAGAACGCATCATCTTGGATGTGCCGCACAAAACGTCTCGGACGGGAAGAACTTCAAACCAAGACCACCGAGGGAGCAAAGACACATTACGCCATGGCAAAAATCACTGCGGCGATTAATGCGTCTCTTTCACAGAAACATATTCAATGCCCGACTGGGGGCAAGTGGCATCAACCGCCACCGAATCCACGAATGTCGAGTGACAAAGGCCTACAAAAGCTCTCCATAATACGGAAATGGAAATATCAGGATTGTGATGCAATCATCGTTTTGTTCTTTCGTCTCATAGTACTGTGTACAAACTTTTGTCTTCCCTTGAATTTTTTTTCTTTTTTTCTGTTTTTTTCCTGGTTTTCTTATGCCTTGGACTTCGAAGGAGCTTCAAAAACGGAGCCGAGGAAGCTCTACACAAATCCCAAGCACTGATCTTGAGCGGTCAGTCAATGGCAAAGTGACTTTCACTCAATGACGACAAGCTCACGGCTCGCAATATCTTGATCAAAGTGCCTCTTGCATGCTGTGTCACCATTGCCTCGATCTCCATTTTCATTTCTCTGTGTCGGTGATCATTGAACTTGAATATTTGAACTTTCGAGTGTCAAGCTAGTGACAATAATGGTAGCGCACGGAAAGACATCTCCTGGCTCTCCTGGATTCGCTTTCCTCCATTTCCATTTTCCTTCAATCAATCAGTCAATCGATCAATTTGTGGATCCTGTCCTATTTGTCCCCATGCCTGACCACCATCCATCCATACCATTTCCATGACCACCGAAATGGTTATCTATGCAAGAACACAAGGAAAGCTAATAGAAAGGGGGAAAAAAGGACCAGCGAAGGATCGATCAATGATGAACTCGAAACAAAGCAAAGCAAAGCATTTGGGTATGGTGCCAGTGGTATCTCAATCATAATCGGTCGTGTGAGTTTCAAGCCAATGAGAGATTACGCCGATTTTGTGGTGCTTTGCAATAATATGGCCAAAGGTTAATGGCTTGGTCATTGAAATTGATTTGGGATTCGCATTTCATTTGATCAATCCCGACCGTGTTGTTAGAAAAAACACTGGGAATATAAATCTGATCGATAATGGACATGCTCTCTCCCCCTGCGATGTGAGATCCTCTCGTCAAAGCAAGAAATGTGATGTGATGACTGACGAACTTGGAAGTACAATCGAACTCGGATCGAAGTTGGAGCTAGAATGTCGTTATTCTGAGTGACATTGATGCGTCCTCTGGCGAAAAAAAAAAAAAAACAAAGATCATGGCAATTCGGTTTTCGGGATTTGGTTGAAATCTGCCAGAACGCCGATTCGATGCTGGGAAATTTCAACCTCTGACATAACTGGTGGAGTTGGTACATCCTCCAAATCAATGGAGATGAAAGGTGACCATGTTGCTGATTACAATGACATCTTCGACGGTATGATGGCGGAAAGGGTCATGAGCGGCTGTGTCCACCCTAGCCACTCTTATCAAATTCAGCTTTCTCCTCCGCTGTGAGGATATCGCTGAGCCGCTTCATGGTTTTCATGTTGGTGGCACCGTTTCGCCAAGCAGCTCGCAATGTGTGGAAGATGGGGCGATCATCCCTCTTTTCTTCGCGGGCCAGGGTCACCATGTCGGATGCCAGGCGTTCGCTGACAGGGACAGGGCCACTCAAGAGCTTCCCATAGTAGCGAACCAAATGAGTCATGCCACTGTCATTGCCCTCTTGCAAATCATTCACCGCAGAAGTTTTGAATTCCTGATACATGCCAAGATTGAATTTGTCGACCAAGAAATCACTCCAGAAAGAATACAGTGGTTCCAGAGCGCCTTCGACGCCATGTTGTCGTTGTTGGAATGCCACGTCATGGAGGGATTGATAAGTCTGATCATATTGTCCGAGCTGAGGAGGCGGCAGTTGAGTTTCTTGACCGTCCTTCGTGACGTAGATGACAGAACTCTCGTCCGCCATTGGAACGAAGCTGGAGAATCCAAATGAGAGGTGGCGCAATTGTTCCAGTCTAGAAGGGTTGGTCAGCGGCGAATATCGAACCAACTTTCCGAAATGACTCACTGCTGCGGGCTACTGGTTCCTCCTCGTAAGCTTGCGACGCGAGATGGCCCAACATTCATGGTAGCATTGTTGCCCTCGTTGGGTCCACCAGAAGATTCATGGGAAGTCATGAGCGCCATATCGGGAAGAGGAAATGGTTCACTTTGACCACCGAAGTGGCGTGGCTGCATGCGGATGTTGATATTCGGAATATTCTCGTCAGGGAACACGTTCTCCTCGATATCTGCACGAGAAACCTGACGACGATGACCATTGACAAGATCGGCCATTGGTCCAGAGCCATGGCTCGGAGATGATCGCACAGCGCCTGCGGCTGGAGCAAAAGACGCAATGGAGGTTCGACGTGCTGCATCGTCGGAATTGTCTTCCAAAGAAGGAACAAAAGGACCATTGGCCATCTGGCCATCGGCTTGTGCCCCCGGAAGATACGACATTGGCGAGTTCGCGTGAAAAGCGCCGTTGGTGGCAGCGACACTTAGAGACGGGCTGCGCAGTTGACCCAAGCCAAACGATGGATCAAATGTGGCTGACGATTCGGGTTGGGAGGGTCGGTTGTACTGATCTGGATTCGGGGCAGGACCATCGTTGCGAGCGGATTCCAATCTCTCCTCAATCGGAAGAACGAAATCTCTCCAATTCTCACGACGTCGAATCCGATCATCTCCATCGGTGCCGGGTAGGAATTCAACACTCTTTACCTGCTGGCAAACTTGACGGAGAGTATCCATAGTCATGTTGTCCTCCGTGAGCGCCTTGATCCGCTTAAAATTGGCAATCACACTTAATGGGACATAGCCTTGACCGTCCATATGCTTACGCAAGTACAAATCTTTGCAAAGATTGTCAATTGAAAAGTAATATTCGCTAGAACGCTTTTGTCAGGAAGTCGTCTCAAAGGGAGGCTGGGGGGAAATAAATCAAGTCAACTTACACCTGAGTCATCACCATTGATAGTAAGGCATATGAATTCAAAGGATCGTTGTATGGCATCGCGCTCATAATGCCCGGTTGCATGTGCATTTGCGGATATCCATACATCTGCATGTCGGTTTGCAATGGGGGCAGACCTCCAGGCATTGCTGGCACCCCATTGTAATAGCCAGGAAACATCATACTAACAGGGATGGATTGCGAACGTGGATTGTTGCGAGTCGTGCTAGCCGGCTGGTTTGGCTGGTACGGTTGCGAAGTCTGTCTTGAACGACTTTCGGAATGAGAATTGGACCTGGCAGGTTCAAATCCGTTTTGGGGCAAGGGAGACGTGTATGCATGAGCTGAGAAAGGTGGATTGTAAGTGTGGTTACCTCTACCCCGGTAGCCTCCACGTCCACGCTCTGGTCGATTTTCACGTCGACTGCTCTGATCGCCTGAAGGTTCACGATCACGCCAGGACTCGACCTTCTCGCGAGCCGAATCAGGTTTGTCTCTCGACCAGTCCCGATTTCGGCCAGCACCACGATCTCGTGCAAATTCTCCGTTTCCGCGAGTAGCACCAGTACCGGCACCTTTGAATCGATCAAAGGGATATGAATAACGATTGGATTGGTCGCCGGACGGAACCCAACCACCAGAAAATTGCTCCGTCGAGGTATTGTTTTCTCCATTGACCATACGGCCTGCAACACGTCCAGTATGTCTCGAAGACGATCTTGAACTCTGCCCGGTTCTTGGAGCTTGATCTTCACCAGGGGGAACAACGCCGACATGGTCGGTCCCCGCTTGCTCCTGGTTCAACGGGGCAGAAACTTTGCGGGAAGTCGATGATGCATCATCGCCACTAGCAGGGACCGTGCTGCCGGTGGGAACAGATGCACCACGGGCGCCACGGTAATCTTCCGATCTTCGGCCTCGATCTTGTTCACCAGATGGCTTTGGTAATGGAGGCGGGCCCATCGACGCGGTCGAATCATGCCTCTCAGCAGAATTGAGATGACTGCCCCGTCCATTAGAATCTCGGCCTCGGGCACCTCTCCCACCTCGTCGAGCGGAGGCAGGGAGCTGAGTCTCGAATTTGGCAGTCGGCACAAAAGGAAATGGCTTCCAATTGTTCCCGTATGATTTCTGGCCGTTGCCTTTGGCTTCGGCCTTATCAGCCTTTTCATACGTGGTCGATTTGCGTCGTTCATCGGTATTCGAGCTCTCAGGAGTGGGCCACAGCTGTGCATCACCGACGGGCGGCGGCACCTCCGAACCAGCCTTTTCTCCCTGCCGAGATACAGGTCGAGAAGGACGAGCCGAAGAAATGTCCTTTCGATGAGCATTAGATCGTGTGGCATCAGCATTCTTTCCTTCTCTCTCACTGCTGCCATCTTTATGGGCGACCCTCCGCTTTGAATCCTCATTCCCACTCTTCGGTTTGGGCACCGCGTTGGACGGATTCTGAATCGTGGCTCGCTGTTCTGCTCGTTCTTTCATCCTTGCTGCCTGAGCCTCTTTGCGCTGTTGCCAAACATTGACTGCCGGAATAGGAGCCGCTTTGAGTTCTTTCTCTACTGACACCTTCTCCCAGTCGTCCTCACCATCTTTGGACTTCTTTTCTGCAGCACCCTGAGAGCCCTTGTCCGGTGAAGATGAGTCCGGAGACGGCTCTGAAGGTGTCCGTCCATTTTGAAGCTGTGCACTAGGTGCATCTTTCTGCACGTCCTGTTTTGGCTCAATGCTGGGTGAGCTGCCTGGTCCACTTGATGACTTGTCATCTGGACTCGGAGGCTGACTCCGCGGTGCTGGCGGAGCATTCTCTGTCGCATCTTTGGTGGACGATTTGGTCGAGCTCGACTCCTTGCTTTGCTTCTCCTCAGACTCCGTCTTTGATCTGGGCGTTTTCCCGGCTGACGGATTGCTGGTCTGTTCGGTAGTCACCCGGTCTTTGGCACTTTTGTCAGATGCGGCCGGACTTTCATTGCGTGAGGTTGCCTGTGTCGAAGATGCGGGAGTCAATCCTTTCGCAGCCTGCGCGTAAGAAAACACCGGCGCCGAGCCTGTAGACGACGCCATCTTCTCGGAGAAAGTCAGGAAATTCCTCATCACCTTTTCCACTACCACAATTCAAAACCCCTCACCAGCAACAAGCTGGTCACCAGTAAGAGAGTCCAGTACAACGGTCAGGATTGTGTCACCAAAAAGAGATTTATGCCTCAATCGACCTCGTGGGTTTTCCCCCCACTGGTGATGTGTCGGTGCAATGAAGCCAGTGGGAGACAGGTGAAGACGGGGCAGACGTGCCGCGTAGCAGTTTTCTGAATCCAGTGAGACCCCTTCAATTTGGAAATACGTTCTCTCTTTGACCGTTCCTTGAGTTTGAAATCCCACAGCCTTGGCTAAAACCACCCCCACAACTATGGTTTCCGCACAGCGCAGGCAGGACTTCTGACGACCGATTCCAAACCAAGGCTCGGTGGGATTGCGGCTCGGCGATAATAAGAGACAAACAGCTCTTTTGGTCGGCCGTTGTTTGGAAGTGGTCGTCAATGGGAGGTTTGGTCTCGAGGTTGACGCTGGATTTAAGCGAGCCAACGCAGTCTCTGTTCAACGGAGGGCCGAGCCAGACAGACTCGTTATCAGCAATTCAACGGCCACGACTGGTAGTGCAGACAATGTTTGAGCCGATGTACAAGTGAGGTAGACGATTCACGGCCTGAAACGTATTGACCGCGGTCGGAGGGTGCGCAGGTTGGTAAGAGGTGGATGAGAGGTGACAGGTCGTCCAAAACTTTTGGAGTGGAAGTCCCAAAGCGCACAGACCTATACAGCGCGCAGATGCGCAGGGTCCAGTGAGAACGCTTCCACAGGAACCAGGACAAGGACGTTGAAGGAATGGAAAACAAAGGTTGATGGAGAGAGGAGTTGACGGATTGTGTGGGTAAAGAGGAAGTCCTTTTTTTTCGTGCAAAGCTACGAGTGATGAATGAATGAATTTCGACTGAAGTCTTTGCTAGCGCGGCATTTTGGGACTTCCGACCGAACAGCCTGAGCCCGAAGTTTGAGAGGAGAAGGGCTGCCGCCTTGTCATTACATTGTACGAGCCCCTCTTCCACTGCGACTTCACCCAGTTTCACCCAGTATTTTACCGCAGCCATCTGCCCCCCATACCCGCCTGCTGCCCCGAATTTATTGTTCACTGCCACCCACCTGCATCGCGCGGTGCTGCGCTGCCTATTCTTCCTTCTCCTCTTCCCATCCAACCAACATTCCCCTCGCATCCCCATCTCGATACGATTTGGCCCGATTCTCTCCATTGTCAGCAACACGACAACCCGAGACCCCCGGTTTGGCGGGCTTGCGATTGCTACCCATGGCATCCAACTTCTTGTGATGACTCCCCGCTCCATGCATCTGGAGCATGGCCCAAACCGATTCAACCTCCGAGGCTGAAGCTAGTCGATTAGTGACTTGCTCGACTCACGAGATCAATTGCTACGGCTCATATGAGTCCTCGTATGCAGGAGAAAACGGACCAACGGAATGCCATTGCAGGGGCTGGACGCGTCGGTAACTGTGGACATCCAACATTGAGCTCTTATGTCGACAGCTGCAACCTCTCCCAATCCCTCTCTTCTCGCCATCCTCCTCGTCGCTCAAGGTCGAACTGGTTCTGGTGCTCAAGTTGTATTTCACTATCCTCCCGACCCATTTTCCACTGATCATGCCGATGCGTTGGCGTCGACCGACGAAGAGGAAGGAGAGAGTTCCAGCAGTGATTCAGAAGAGTCCTCTTCCGAAGATGACTTTGAGTTGTTCGTGAAGCGAACCAGCGATGGAGTAGCGGCCAGCCCGGGCCATGACAATCGATCCCAACAGCCGGATGAAGACGATGGTCATTATCTAGCCAAGAGGGGGACACAAGACAATGAAGAATGGAAACCTGCTTGGGAGCCTCTCCTGGGTCTGGGAGAAGATGGGCTTGTGAGCTTGCTGGCCCCAGGTCGAGCCTGGCACAAACGGAGATTTGAACTTGGGATCAATGATCTGACCTTTCTGGGTCGACCCGTGTACGCCCGTGAGGATGGCTTCTGGCGAAAGCCCCGGTCCCCCAAACCGCAGCTGATTGACGACGAAAGCTCGCACCAATCTTCTGACGCGATTCTGAGTGAGAGTGGAAATGAAGATCATGTGAATGGCCACGGGGCTGCCGCCACCGAGCACGATTCCCAACAGAAGCGTCACACAAAGCAACCTGCCAAAAGCCAATTGACAATGTTCCATGTTGTATTTGTGATGGACCCTCCCAGTTTGGAACACACCCTCCGTGTGAAAGAGATGTACGATCACGTTGTCAAGAAATTTTCCAAGGTCTTGAAGTGGGAACAATCACATCACGATTATGTCTGGGAGCAATCGGAATTACTTCAATCGATCAAATCGACCCATCTACAACAACAGTCACCCACCAAAGCTCTGTATACGGAAATGCTCCGTCGATCTTCTTTGGCGGCCGCCATCGCCCGAGTGTTTGACAACATTTCGACTTCCAAGATAGCAGCAATCACACTGGGGTCCAAACTATCCGTATCTCTTCAAATTCCTCCTGTTACTTCGACATCTTACCTGCCCTCGTTGACCGAACCCCCTCTCGAACCGGGTCTATGGCTCACCACAGCTACCGATCCCGCCTCCACAGCGTCTGATCTCGATGCGGCATCGACCACCAGCCCCTTGCAATTATCCAAGAATTTCACTCTTCTACTCAAATCCAGTCCACATAAAATCCTCAAGGACATTCAAGCCGCAGGAGGTCCGCTAGCAATGCCGCTCGCCAATTTCATTGGAAAAGCAAATCCGACCAAGTCTTTCTACAAAATATCAGTGGCCTCGCAAATCGCCCTCGGCGATATCCAAAATCTCGCCCGGCATCTCGTCTACTGGCGCCGTGCCGTAGCAATTCCGCCACTCCATCAACGAGACACATACATCGTGTCACCCAATGCAAACATGAATAAGCTCGTCTCAGCTTGTAAAGCCTACGAAGCGACATTTCCCATGATGCCATCCCTGCCCAAGATGCTGAATTCTCTCAGCGGCACTCCCGTACCGTTCGGCACCCTGATCCCCACCAGCGATCACAAGGAAGAATACTACCGGGTTCTGGCATGGCTCATGCGCGATGGCTGGGTAACCCAACTGCGAACATTTGCCTTGGTCCGTGTCGACCCTGAAGTGAAGAAAGCCGTCCGTGAGAAGGAACGCGACGAGAAAGGACCCAAAACACCGATTACTGGTGCTATGGACGAGGAGTCTAAAGAGCAGGAGTCGACCCTATCGAGAAGTTTTGGAAGCGGCAACAGCACTACTCCAGCTACAGCAAACATAGTGGCCGCCTTCAAACAACGACCTGGTCTCATCAGCCGGCCCTCCAGTGACGGCCGCCAATCCATCTCAACCGACCGTACCAGCATCCGTGGAACGCAACAACCGAAACACAACCCCAAAGCCGCCAGCCTGATCTTGTCCCCTCAGCGCGCCTCCCCCGAAGAATCTCGATGGCTCGACTACGTCGCCTCGACACTGGTACCTTCACGGTCCCCGTCACGGACAGATCTGTCTACGTCTCCAACCAAGCAAAACCCTGCCTCCGATACTGAAACGAATGCGGACCCCAACACCGAAACGGCTGAATTACGTCGATACTGGCCAATCTTCGTGAAATACTTTAGCGGCACGGAAGCATTGGAGCGGATCCCCGTGCGTGAAGGGCTAAAGAGGAAATTTGTCTGGGATATGTTGACGAAAATGGGACTGTCGTTCCCTACTGATGGCAGTGGCGTTGAGGATGAGAAGGGTGAGAATAAGAGGCTCCTGGTCACTATCAGGCACTGGTAAATCACTGAAAAGAGCGCCTCTTGTCCGGCCTGCCGGCGCTTGGGATATGCTAGTACTGACCATACTCCTGTATGGATTTCCGATTCCGTGCATGCTTTTCGCTGATATGGAACAAATGACATCGTCCTTGTTCCAAAACTTCTTGGTTGACAACCGTAGGTAGATACCCAGGCGCCCGGGATAAGTATTCATTCACATTTGGAGATGACGACACCACCACTTTGCGCCGTTGCATCGGCTTTGGCCTTGATGTACTTTTACTCGTAGCCTCATCGCGTCTCCTATCCTGTTCCTTTGTCTATCCGTCTATTTCTCCCATGTCTGCCATCCCTCCCAATCTATCTCGATCGCCACCTCGAGATCCACCGTATACACTCTCTAGTCTAATCTATAATATGGGTATCTCGTCGACTCTAATCGAGTCTGGTCTGTCTCCTCGTCCGCCCTCCTATCCATACCATATATCTCTCCTCTCTTCATCTTCCCAACAATCCACTTTCTGTGACATGACTTGCCTGCATCCTCATAAGAAAAAAAAGTCCGCACCCACATACGCGCACGTTCATGTATTCAAATACACCGCTCTTTCCCAGAAGACCTCTGCTGATCTCACAACTTCGCCTTGACCTTGACCATCTCGTTCGTCTCCCTCAATCCCTTGGCCTCACGCCCAATCTGCGTCTCATTCTGATCTTTAAGGACCGTTACCGTATCACTCTTCTTCGGCGCACTCCTATACCCTGCCTTCGCATTCTCATCATTGAGGACCCTCCCCTTTTCATCCCTCTAGATCCCCAACTCCAACAATTTAGCAAACACCTTCGCAAAGTCGCGGAAAAACAGCTCTTTGTCCTCGGCGTACTTGTCAACCCAAGCCCGGAAGCTCGGATCATGCAACAGGGCCATATCCGTAGGCAACATCATGAGTTCTTCAGCTTCCCCGTCGGCCTCCCCACCCTCGAGATCTTCGTCCACATAGACGAATTGCTCCGGCCCGTTCGCCAACTTTGTCTTCTTCCAATCATGCATCTTTAGGAGTTTGAAGTACGTATTACTGAACCGTGTCGGATTATTGACCCATTTTCCTTCAAAGCCCGAGCGGTCACCATGGCAGGGGCCAAGATTATGCGCAGCGCTCAACGCGACGATTTCCTGATCGTTGAAGCCCATCCGATAAAAGATCCATCTGAGATGATCAGCACCCTTGGATCCATCAGGCAGACGTCCTCGAGGCGGGATTTTGCTGTCGTCCGTGAAATCAGTCCGCCCTCCTTGCCAGGGGATACGGGGGCCGCCGGAGGGGGAGGGAGGCCGGACGGAGAGGGAGAACGTTCTTGTGAGTGTGAAGGAGATGACATTTTGATGAAGATTGTAGACAGGATTGTCTTTTTTTTTTTTTTTTTGAGGTTTATTTGTTCTGAGCCTGGGTGTGGAACTCAGGAGGACGAAGAAGGGCAGAATGGTGGCAATCAAAGCAGAATATCGCCGTTCTCCGTAGGTTTGGAGGGGATTGACGCCGACGAGGAAGGAAATATGATTCAGAAAACAAAAGGCGGAATCCAAAGCTGAGCTGAGCGCGGTTTAGAAGATAAGACGCGGGGAACAGAAGAGCAAAGAACAGAGAACAAATCGCAGGCTTGTAAAGGAAATCAAGAGCAGGAAAGAAAGGAAAGACGGACGATAACGATGAGAAAAAACTGCCTCGGCAACTTATCGTCATAGAGCAATGCATCTGATAGAAAGATCATAGCATTGTAGTGCTATTATGACCAGTGGGTCAGTTGTGGTGCCACGGTAGACCTAAGACAAAGCGCATGGAAAAGAAAGGGAGTGGATGAGGTGGTGAGGTTGAGGTCTGAGATTGGCGCAAAAGGCTGAATGAGCGAGGCTGTGGACGCAGGTTTTGTCCGGTTAATGTCCGGCTTTCGGAGATGATGCCGGAAAATCTCGCAAGAAACCTGAACTAGACCTTTTCCAGTTTAGCTCATAATAAAAGTCTTGGTTGCCGAGGTTCATTGATAAGATCAAACATGCCACGTGACAGGACCGGAGTGACTTGGATTTATACAAGTCCATATGATATTCATCACAGTGAGAGTCGGTATATCATTTTCATGCCAATAATTCCATTCGTCGACACCGATTCTCCACGCTATGCCCATATCCGATTGCAGAAACCAAAACAATCAATACCCGGGAGCCAAATTGGCGACCTGGTCTTCAGGTATGTCCTCCCGATCTAAGATATCGGGATTTTTCTTAAACTCCTCACTGTCCAAGACTGGGATAATCTTCCTCACATCTCTCTCAATAACAGTGACGCCTTTCTTGAGTTTCTGCAGACTTGCAGGTTCCACAACCAGGCATCGAGCCAGATAGCGTAACATGGCGGCGATGGCATTGATCTTCTCCTCCTGAGAACCGCGAACGGTATTCCCAGTAGCCTTGGTGAGCATTGCTGGCGTATAGGTCGGTTGAACAGCAGGCTCGTGGATGCTCCCCTCGACATTGAGTCCGTAGATCAATTTATCCCGAATCTCCGTTGATATTCGTTCAGTGAAAGCGAAGAAGAAAATATCTGCATTCTGGGTATATGTCGTGTTGCCCAGGGAGAATAATCGCATTAAGGCTCGATCTGCTGGCTTGTTGATGTCAAATTCTCGCATGTATCCTGCATCGTGTAGCAATTTCAACTTCCGGACCAGAATGATATCGTAACCCTGCCTAAGGTTCATCCCTCCACTGATAATTGCGTGAGCGACATCGTACACATTGTTGTACGATTGAAAGATTGGCTCGATCATCTTCTTGGCACAGGTCCAGTCTTCATGTCCAGATGCTCCTGATAGGTCCAAGATCTGTTCCATGAATCGCATCTCAAATGCCCGATCGCGACCACGCATTTCCAGCAATCCTGCCAAGGATGCCGGCGCATTTTCAGCCTGTGCAAGTTGCCCGAAATTGAAACTGGACCCCAGTTTGATTCCCATCAGGAGATTGTCTCTGTTCTCTTGTGTCAGGCGTCTTAGAGCAGGAACCATTCCCGCCTCCACAGCATGGTAGAGAATCATGTCGTGATTGACACGGGAAATGTCTATTCCTTTCAACTTCGCATAGTCACTTGCAAGATGGGGGTCTTTACCCAGATCGTTGATGACCATGGATGTTATAAGAGTAAAGGTATCCTCAGTGCTTCGGAGCCCCCGTTCAAACAGCCTCCTCAGCCATTCAAAAGATTCCCGCTTTAGAACGATCGGTGCTGGGCCTTGAGTTCCAATAAATGTTTCATACTCATCATTGTGTAGCCAGCGAAGAGCCAGAACACCAACCAGAGTTCGATTGACCTCGGCATATTCTTGACCGTACAGTGATTCGGAGATGGAAGGTCCCTCTGGACGTGATGCATTTGGATTTCGGACGAAAGTTGCCCCTTTTAATCTTTCCAGTTCCTCGGGGTATTCTGCTTTGATCAAATGGAGAAGTTCCATTTCGTCCATTTCCCAAAATGTGTCATCGTCGATCACCTCTCGAAGGCCTCGCCGTTGCCGGTCATTCGGATTCAGCATTTTGACTTTGGGGATTGCTTTGGGTTGAGTTTCCGGCTGGTTTTGATTCAGAGGCGAACCTTTAGAAGAAGGATCTGCTTTTTGACGCGATTCTGGGGTTTTTCTAATGCTGAGGAAAGAGCCGCAGGCGGTGAGGATTCTGGTGAATAAGTTATGGGTGTGACTTCCCTCCATTTCTTCTTCAGTGTTGTCATCCATTGTCACAGTAAAGTTTTAAATGGCCGTTTGCAATCTCTCGTACCAAGGACCAGTATTTCATGACTATCACAGACCCTGGCTGATAATACCGGGTAGCTGGACCATGAGTCAAGAGACACAAAGAACAGGATGAGGCTGAAGTCGGAAGCACGAAGGTACCAATGTAATACAAAGACGCGCTAGCGCTGAGCAGAGCGATGAAATTCCCACTGGCTCGTTCCCGATAAGATCAAATATTCGACGAGCGCCCTACAGAGTGAGGAATTGGTTTGATTGTTTTCATCTGACGTCCGCAATCTTCGAAGGGCCTTTGCTGATTCGCCAAGATTGCGGCCCAGGCTTCAGTATGAGGTTTGTTGCTAAGCGATCCACTTGACAATGGCCTAGTGATGTTCGCAGGATCGATGCACAGGAACAATACTTGGGACGCTACGTAAGCGCCGTGTCAATTACAAGAACACAGTTAGAGAAACAAAGTTGGATGATGATATGGGCGAACAAGTTCAACTTGAATCGAGACAATGGCGGCCGAACGCTAAACCGAATGCGGCCAACCAGCAAGTTTCGCCTGGGGAAAGGCGGAATGACAAACATATGAACGGTCGATATGGTTGTCCGAGAAGGATCCAATTCCTCGATAGTGTGTACATTCGTCTATCCGTTCCATCTCCGTCCTGCTATGCTCAAATTGGACCGTCTAGATGCCGCGGAGATTAACGGTCTCTCATGCATCATCATTCCCCTGACGATTCCCTGACGAAAGCTTTGTTGCCTCCCGCATCAACTCCAACTTCTCGTCTGCCGTAAGATCACTCTTTGCTTTAGGCACCTTCCCCCAGATCAGTATTAAAACCAAACTTGCACCACCGGCGGCGACACCGAACCAGAACGTGTTCTTATAACTCTCCTTGAGTCCGACTTCTTCCACCGTATATGACTGGATAATATCGCTGAGACCGAGAAGCAAGGCCATGCCCAGTTGAAGGACCGAATTGATCAACCCTCCTGCCAAACCCTGTCGGGCTATGGGCAACTGTGTTGTGATGAACACGGCCATCAGGTTGTACGACAGATCGATACCAACGGTACCAAGAATGGCCGCGGGAAAGATCCATGCCCAGTAATTCCCACCTTCGGGTATCAGGGCCAGGAGAAGCTGTGCTCCGATTGCTCCAAGACCAGAGATGACCAAAAGCCAGCGTCCGGGCACTAAGTGAAGGATGAATCCTTCCAGGGTGCTGAGGATCAATCCGCCGACAACCATCGGGGTGAACCATGCAACGACCTGGAGTGGAGTGGCGCCCATGATATTTTGAAAATACTGGGTTCCGTAAAGAAGGAGTATGCCGACGTTCCCATAAAGCAGAAGCAATGCGATCACCAGTGGTGTCATGCACGGGACGGTGAAAATATCACCCGGCAATAACGGCGCCTTGGCCACCCAACCCTCTACGTAAATTGCGATCAGGAGCAATATGCACCCCACACAGAACAGTGCCGGAATGTAGGGTGTACGCCAACGTTGTTCGGCATGCGCCGATTCGGTAATGGCAAAGACGATCAGAACTAGCCCGGAGACAATAGTGCCAGCCCCAAGCCAGTCCATCGTGATGCCATTTCGAAGTCGCTCTTTTCGATCATTGGGGATAGAGAAGATCGATGTTATAATAGTGATGACGGTGAGAATGGCCCCGATCCAAAAGTACCATCCCCATGTGAGGAACTGGCCAACAATCCCGCCACAGAAGATGCCGATGAAGAATCCCACCACGGCAAAGGTGCCGTAGAGAGCGAACACGAGATTTTTGCGAGGTCCAGGTCGATAGACACTTCCCATCAGCATGACTCCGGTGGGCAAGAAAGCTGCCGCTCCAAGGCCTTGGAATGCTCGACACAGATCCATCATGAGAGGATTAATGCTGAATCCGCAGATGATACTCCAAGTTGTCAGCCACGACAATCCGAACACATAGACGGGATATCCACCCCACATGTCCCCAAGTCTCCCGAATACCAGAAGAGTACTTGCAATAACCAAGGAGAAGACGGTAGCAGGCCAGACGCTAGATGCTTGTGGTATGTTGAGGTCGTGGATGATTCTGGGAAGTATGACGTTGAATCCGGAGACAAAATATTCTGTCAAGATCTGGGACATGATGATGCTAAACACAAAGGCGACTTCGGCCCAGATTGATTTGAAGGTAGGTGGTCGTTCTCGTCCGAGCCGTTCGATTCGAGCGTCCATGGATTCCTCGACATCAGGCTGCGTGGGAGCCTTTTCGGCCAGGGGAAGGTTCGAAGCTCCAATCTCAGTCGAAGAAGTGTTTGGGGTCTGTATCCCGATCTCTTGAGAGGCAGTCGGGACCATCGCGGGACTGTCGGAGAAGCCATTGCTCAGAGGCATGAAGGGCACAAAAGGGTCGACTTAGGGAGAACGGAAACGGGAAATTCACCGTCTGGACATATTCTCATTGCGACATCATTTTCGAAACGAGGGCCAACCCTATATATTGGCAGCACAGAATGAAAAGACAGCGTACACTATGAGAGCAACGGAATTCCGAGTAGAGTGACGCCCGCACACGTGGGAACCTACTGGCGATAAAGGTTTCCATCGTTTCTGAAAAAGGCGGAGCAAGAAGACGACGGATCTGGAGCACCTAGATCCATCATCCAACAGGGTCATCGAATCACGATGAGAGTTAGGCGATTCGGAATGTCATCAAAGGTATGATCGCGATCAGAATCGAGGAGAGAGGAGGAAGCTTTCTTTTTTGGTTTGCTAATGGAATCGAGCCGCCATGACAGAAGCAGCCCGGCTTCTCCGTTGTTCTCCGCCAAATCCGACATCTCCATCTCCGTATCCAGGTCCGATCCGATTAGACAGAGGAAATCTTGATCGGAGACGAAAAAGATCAAAATCATTATGTCATTCATGTCTAGCTCCCTATCCATTCACATGCACATTGGTGTCCCACCAGTACCCGTCATTCCCCACTCCCATACAGAGCGCTCTCAAGCAGACCCCGAGACATATTGAGATTCTCATCCTCCACGATCAAACAGATATATGATTTGCTCCGCCCTGTTCTCTGTTGCCTCTTCCTCCGTTTCGACAGCTTCGGTTTCAGCTGCTGGGAGAGTATTTGGTGCCGCAGTAGTACTCCGCTTGGATGCCATCCGTTGCTTGAACAGAGACATTCCGAAGAAGACAAGGAGTCGGGTGAACAGCGCACTGCGATTGAGGTTAAAAGGCTGCATACATCAGAAACATAGAAAAGCTCTGCACTCACAATTCAGCAGCGCCTAGTCCAGCGACAGTTCCAGCTAACGCGACCCCAGTGTGATAGTTATTGGTTCCTCGCTTGACAATGAGATTCTTGCGCAGGTCAATGTCGGATGGACTCTACGGAGCATGCCAGAAGCCATTGTGCCACCGAGTGCAGTTGGCTAAAAATGCGAGACTCGTCAGCCGGAAGATCACTATGAAGATCTCGAGACCCAGGATAGCGCAGCGATTGTAGAGGTCAGACTTATCGTAATGGAATGACCTTCCCTCCAGACAACATACAAAGAATGTAGGGCCCCGGTACTCCCACAGAACAGCCTCGCCCAACCTGGCTCGCTTCCGAGGCTCTCGCATTGGTTCGATTGGGCAGGAATGAAGTTGAGGGATTCGCCTCTGACAAAGTCTTTGTGTAGCTTGCGTTCCAGGTCTGTCGTGGCAGCCAGTGGCAAGGAATTTCTTCAAGGCTTCTGTTTGCTCAAACACGAATCATTCACTCGACGACCGTACGGGCAGGTAATTGTACATGTGCAATTAGCGAAAATTTGGGGTGCTTTGAGACTTCGATTCTCTCATTACGGGCTGACATCGTCAAGCAGCGACCAAGGAAGGCGAGGAGACTAGAAAAAGGCAGGAAAATATGGTCTGATTTAAAGAATGACCTAGAGTCTCTGAATTATTCTGTGCAAAGCTCGAAATGTATTCCTTGATGCATTTGCAAGGACGAGGTCCAAGGTAAGATTGAGCTTAGATAGTGCCCCAACACGACTTGCACCTTACCTTTTGTTATGCAGTGAGGGTTCCCTTACAGCCCGTCTACAGGTCGAGCAGTCATTTGAGACAGATGGACGATATATCCAGTGTTTCCAGCCGTCATTGTAATGCGTTGTGAATGAGGACACGAGAAATGAAAATTCTTCAACTGACATCATGTCAACCAAGTTCAATAATTCCAACCGAGCCCCGAACCTATCATCGAGCGATGAGCCTCGGGCTATTTCCTCGTCGGCGACAGCCTTTCCAGACGGGCGTCATGCCATCATCGAAGCCTCTTTCACCGTATAAGAGAACACTTTGGAGCGCGCGGGGGAACGCGTGTGTTTTTCTCTCATAGATGCATCCCATCATGTTGACGAGGTACGGCATGCAGGCTTCGGCTAGGCTGTTACAGGTGGCGCGGCAGATTCCCAACCAGACAAGAACGATTGCTGGATATACTAAGACGCAATTCCCATTGAATACGGGCGCCGAGATTCCAGCAATTGGGTTCGGGACGTGGCAGGTAAGGAACAGATGATGATCACTTCGAGGAAGACGAGGTTTACTTACCTGAGAGGAGGGGAAAACAGGACAAAAACGCCCAAGAAGATGCCGTTTGCGAGGCTCTGAAGGTGGGATACCGACATATTGACACTGCGCGAATGTGATTGATGGCAATTGTCGGACTTCAAGTTACTCATTCTAATGCGGCGACAGATACGGTACAGAGCCCAGTGTCGCCAAAGGAATCAAGAGAAGCGGCGTGCCTCGAAGCGATATCTTCATCACAACCAAGCTGTGGAACAACTCACACCACCCAGACGACGTCGAAAAGGCCTGCGATGCATCCCTGAAGGACCTGGATACCGACTATATTGACTTATACCTGATGCACTGGCCTAGTCCTTTCGCCCGAGGCAACGAGCTTCGGCCCAAGAAAGACAACCAGATCCTGACCGGAGACACGGACTACGTCGACACGTACCAGGCAATGGAGAAACTCGTCGCCAACGGCAAATGTAAAGCCATTGGAGTCAGCAACTTCTCCCGAGCAGAGATGGACCGTCTTCTCAGGGAAAGCTCCATTATCCCCGCCGCTCACCAGCTCGAATGCCATCCTTACCTACAACAGCCCGAATTTGTATCATGGCACCACTCCCAAGGAATCCACGTCACACAGTACTCGCCCTTTGGCAATTCGAACGAAGTCTACGACCGGGGCAAGAACATGGGCAAGCTGATCGACGACCCGGTCCTCCAAGACATCGGACGAACATACGGCAAGAACGGTGCCCAGGTGGCTCTGGCGTGGGGTATCGCAAGAGGGAACAGTGTGATTCCCAAATCGAAAACCCCATCTCGCATCAAAGCCAATCTGGAAGGCGACTTTAAGCTGGGACCCGAAGATGTCAAGAAGATCGACGCGCTGGACAAGAAATTGCGATTCAATGATCCATCGAAATCATTTGGATGGGTGTTTTATGCCGATCTTGACGGGAAGAAAATGTGACGAGGCCCCCAGAATATGAAGTCAGCCGTGGCTAGATTTGCCACGGTGGAAAGTTATATTCTGTGGCGTAGGTCCTGTTTGCCCAAAGATAGACACATTGAGATCTTGATTTCCCTCACCCCGCTGAAGGAGCATCGCCCCTTTGGGGTTTAGCTGATCAGAGAATTCCATTCCTCCAACTTGGTACACATCAGAACGCTTAGGATCGGAGGGCCATGTAGCCAAGATTCCTCGTTTTAAGTTTCTCTGAAGTATCAGCCCGCTTTGACACATGACACATGGGCTCGATAAGTAATAATCAGCCCGCAACCCCTCCCCTCGAGAGCCGCAACGCTCGCTGCTCAACTGCTCGCGTGCTTACTTACCCATCATGGTCGATGCCGGCAAAACCCACACCAGCCTCGCTGCAGGTGCACAACATCTCTCCAAACGCCTCGTTGCATCTTATGTGATAGATTGGATTCTCATCTTGTCAGTGTTAACTCACAAATTCAAAGTGTTTCCTGCAAGATCCCTCATACAAGACAGATACTGACTTGAGGCAAAATCAGAGGCATTGCCGCCATTGGTATCGGCTTCAGCAACATCGACGGAAGCAGACGTAGGTTCAGTCTACAAGATCCCCACATCTCCTATGCCTACCATGACGATACCATCTCGAACGCCGTGCTGTTTGTCGTCTCCCTCATTGCGCCCGCGGTCATCACTGCAGTGCTCTGTCTGATCCTTGAGCCGGGACCGACCGTCGACCGCGCATCGACGCCTAGAGAACCGCTCTGGCGCCAAAAGATCTGGGAATGGAACACCGCCTGGATGGGCCTCGGTCTGACGCTGGCAAGCACATACGCAATCTCCGAGGGCCTAAAAGATTTGGCTGGAAAACCGCGTCCTTACCTGCTTGATGTGTGCGATCCCGACCTGAGTCCTGCATCGATCGTTAGACACCGTGTCGGTGGGCTAGGGACGTCTGTGGACTCGGCGGTGCCAATTGTCGTGGATTGGCATATCTGTCGAAGCACCGACGAGGATAAGCTGAGCAATGCCTTTGCCAGTTGGCCGTCGGGCCACTCGAGTTATAGCTGGGCGGGCATGCTGTATCTCACCCTGTTTGTCTGCGCCAAATTGGCTATCCATATCCCGTTCCTCCAGCCCACGTACCCAGATCGGGGACGCACTGGCACCTATCTCTTCGCGGACAAAGGGAAGGAGAAGTACCGACCACGGACCTCTTCTTCCCAGCGAAACGAAGCCGCAGCTCCCCCGATATATTTGCTGATTCTAGCATTTGTACCCATGGGCACGGCACTTTTCATCTCGGTCTCCCGCTATTTCGATTACCACCACGACGGCTTCGACATTATCTCAGGTGCTCTCATCGGGATATGCATGGCCTGGTTTGGTTTTCGATGGTATCATCTACCGATTCGAGGTAGTGCCGGATCAGCTTGGGGTGCGAGAAGTAGAAACCATGCCTTTTGGCCTGGGTGCGGCCGGATAAGTTACGTAGGAGACGAAGGGTGGGAAACCGAGAGGACAATCGTTCCTCGTGAAGATGATGACGTGGAAGCGGCTCGATACATCAATGAACAACCTAGCATGTCTGGCGCTCAGAGCGAAGAAACGATTGCAGACGCGATCGGAGCGCAGTCTGAGCGAGGAAGACCTGCGTACACCGCATGATTGAAGAACAGCAGGGTTGATTAATTTGAAGCACATTAGCGGCATTGGATTCATGGAAGAGTCATCCATCTCAACGATCAGCACGACGTTGGAGATCAAATGTGTACGACTAGCGGGTCAGCGTCTAAAAACAAAATGCAGAGGTAATTAATGTACTGTAAGGCCCCGGGAACCCCCCCCCCCGGTTAGGTGCCTGCGCCACCTGAAAATCCCCCCGAACTCAACGCAGATGTCATCCAATATCAATATCCTGAGATTTATCCCAGATTCAATCGCGAAACGGGCATTCCAGGTGCGAATTCACATTGTCCAGACCGGAAGTACCAAGCCCAATATTAGCCCATGTAATGTGAAACGGCATATCAGTCAGGGGATAAAGACCTGGACGACCTCTTCTCTTCCCCAGTTATGCATTCGTAAAGGCCCGATCATTGATAGCCATTGCCAGCGCAACATAATCTTTGATCTCCATGTAATCAATGTACACGATATTCGGGAACGCGGCTTGACTGACATGAGGCAGCAAATCGGTCAGCAGCGCCTTATTTGCCGAGTACGCCAGTATTCTTATTGTCTTATTGTCGATTTTCCACTGGGCAATCTTCCCCAATCCCACTAGAGTATTAGGGGGGAGGAAGTCTTCCGGCGTGACATCGGGCGGCTGCTGGGTCAGGGTCCACGAGATCAAAAACAGGCGCTTGTCGGAACTTTTCATGAAATTCTCCATCTTTTGGACCTGGTCTTGCACCATCTCCACACAATCGTTTGTGTTCGAGTACTCGTTGTACACATTGAGTTGGGAGGGCAGGTAGAATCCCTTGTCGCCGTAGGCGCTGAGGTTGATGTGGCTGGGTGCTTCGACGACAATCACCACGGCAGCATGACCGGAACCAATGAACCGCGAGAGAGGTAGCAGACTGAGATCTTTCGCCTCGGATCCAGTCAGGATGAATCGGTAGTTGAGGCGTATTAGTTCGGCGAAGAGAGCGTTCCATTCAGCCTGGTCGTATTCGCGCCAGCCTTGATCTGTCTGTAAGCTGTGAGAGAGGTTGAGGATAATGAGTTCCGCGCACTTTTGGGTGAAGGTATTGATGTCGTCGATGATCGAGGACATCTTCTGCCCGCGCGCTCCGAGTTTTCCGGTGTAGTGCCCGGTCCAATTCTCGCCGCCAGAGATTTCGGGCCGGATGTCGAAGTATCGCGAGCCCATTTCTAATTGTCCAATGATGGTCAGAGACTGGGTCTGTGCAAAGTCGGCCATGATGTCCGCGGGAATGACGTCCGTGTGAGTAATTTCTCCCATCCCGGCATCGTGAGTGCCAGGCATACAAATCTTATGGAGAGGTCTCGGCCCTAGAGTTCGCAGATTTTGCTGCATCCAGTCGTGTGGCGGGTTGCTCGATGAAAAGCTTCCCTCCTTGCCGGAGAGGATGAAGGAGACGACGCCATCATGCCGCCATCCAAGCTGAATCCAACTGCCTTTGGGATTGTTTGGAGTTTGGATATTCTGGAGCTGGACCTTGAGATTGGAAGGCGCATCCTTGACTTCGATGCGGAATGAGCGAGCTTGAGTGCCTTTCAGTGCGTAATTGCAGAAGCCACTGGTATCCGACCGGACGGTGCCGATGGTCTGCTTGAACTGTATATATACTGACGCGATGTCACCTTTTCCGGTGGTCAGTTACATCCCAAGACAGAGATGTCGATTTAGGTTATTTCGTACCAGGTTGGACCTCTTTAGGAAAACTCCATGTGGTCATCTGGTAGCTGTTGCTGTTTCCCTTCTTCCAGGTGTAGGCGGTCCCATTGATCAGGAGGAGCGTGCCGCCTTCTCCCGTGAGAGAGGACTTTTGCTGGCCTTTCAAAGACGACAGGAGGTTCATTTCAGGAGAAGTTTCAACTTATCAGACCAATAAATAATGTGCCACCAACAGGTCGGAATGAACTGGATTTTGGCAACTGCTGATCTCTTCGTCGAAAGAAATATCCAGTTGTAGCTTGCTGTCTCTCCGTCATTGTGGTTTGTAGGTCTTGCGGGGATTGTCCGGATTTTAAGCTGTGATGGAAGATGCGGCCGGTGCAGCAGCTGAAGGCCGAAAATGATCGATTTTACGAGAAACCCAAGTCAGAAGAAAATTCCCATTGGCCTCGATTTTTTTGGGTTGTCCGAAGTCACAAGGCTTAAGCGATTGGTCTAGGACTATTTGGGATCCGGTCACTTCACGTAGTTGTCAGCGACTCCGAATAGGCCCAAAGCTGACGGTCGGTTGTTGGTGGATGGTGAAATGCTCTTTGCGCTGACCATTTAGCATATTATTCGCGAAGCTAAGCGCTTCATTTATTGCCTGGGCCAACCAGATACACCCCATCAAGTTCATTCCTTGGGGGCGATCATGACTTTCCCAAACCTGATATCTGACGAGACATACGGTAGGATAGGCTTGAGGGCTTCGAGAGGACGTCCCTTTCGCTGAAACTTCGATTTCGTCCATTCAATTTTGACCGGCTGTGTAAATGTCTTTAAACCGGGTCGACGAGGGTCCCCTCTCAGGATTGAATGTGGATAGAGAAGGATCCCATTTGTCAGCGAGCATCATCTGATGACGATGAGCACGAAGCGATCCATCTATTGCCAATGGGCATATGGCTGTAAATGGTCGATTTGGTCACCGGAAACCGCCTCCCCAACCCCAGGGGGTGAAGGGATCATCGGGTACGAGGTTGAACATCACTATGAAAAGATCGGTCAGTCAATCGCGATCAAAGACGGTCCATTTCAAAGTCAAAAGAAGACGATTTCTCAATGTGCGTATGGAATGACACTTTGAAGCCCAGATTTGGGTACCGAACTGACATGCCAACTGGAGGAAGACCTACTCTGTCCAAAGCTGCCAAACGCTTCGTCTAACTGAGTATCAAATTCAATACCACCATTATCGTTGAATGATGTCAGGTCAAAGGGGAAATGAGGTTCAGATTGTCCGGGAAGCTGCGGGGACAGTGAAGTTGTGTTTGAAGGAATTTCTGACGGAGCGGCATGTAATTGATTGCGGGTAAGTGGTGCCCCTCGATCAACACTGGATGGCCTCGTGCTGTCCTGGTGTAATGATCCTGCTTCCTTTGCGAAACTAGCCGTTGATTGTGCGGCCACGCCAGAGATGGAACCTTGGTTGTGCAAAGCATTATCCATTTCTCGTAGAATGGTGATTCTCAACAAGGCGGTCAATAGTTGGTCAATATGCTGAGCTATCTGGCTACTGCTTCCTAGACTTCTGCTGGCCAGGATGATGCGCGAAATGCCAGCTTTAGCTTCTTGGGCGACCAGGCTGAAAGGCTGCTTAGCCGGTGGGATGCAAAGAATAACGCCAGCGGTAAAGAAATGCATAAAAGCAAAAGACAGACTTAACCGGTGGTTATATTGGGCCATAGGAAGGCGAGAAATCCTCAATGCCGCCTGGACAGCAGTTTCAAGCGATTGCGAAACACAGTATTGGCTTGGTGTGACCGTACCCCCTTGGTGGTAAGAGACCAACTTGTGTTCAAGCATAGGCCGGTGAATATAGATGAGAGTACTGTCATGCGTTAATTGAAGAATGGTCGCTTGTAGCCAGAACAGTCTCGCTAGATCTTCTTCCAGACCGGAGAGGCACCCGAGTTCAGGAGGAAACGGTCCAGAGGGCTCCACATTGTGCCAGCAATCGACTGAAAGAAAGGGCGGCACTTCTTTCCTCCATTCTGCCAGCAGAGATTCGATATGAGAGACGGCGCGAATTAGGGCATTCTGATCTTCTGGGGAGAGTGGATCCTTCAATCGCAGGAGACGAAAATTGGATAACGCCTGTTTTGTTATGGAGTAGAGTCTGTACTTCAACACGTGAAAGGTCAACTTTGAAGGCCTCGATGCCGGATGACCGCCGTCAGCGTGTCGACCCATGGAAACAGCGACAAAGGTATCATCCATCTCACAAAGCGGCTGCACATGAGAAAAGGCCGAGTCCAGACACGCAGGGCGTCCGTAGATCATGGCCGAGAATGTGTCCGCGACGGTCACATGATTCCAACAACGGTGTCGGACCTGGGTCTCGACTTTCTCTTCATCCTCTGGATCGTCACAGTGCAGGGCGAGGGCATAGGCCGTTCTTACGGCCATACCGAGAATGCTCCACGCAGAGCTCGGAGATCCGTGGTAGATGTAGTAGGTGCCAAGGAGGAGGCATACTTGAACCGTCTCGATTTGCGAATCATCCAGGAGATCAAGCAGGTGAACTCGGATCTCGGCGATCAAGTCGGACAACAGCGATTTCGCATTCATCGCATAGGAGGCCAGAATGGAATGGCCCGGCCAGGATGTGTCATTCAAGATACATTTCAGTGCTATAGCTGCTGTGGTTAAGATCGTCATGGCCACAGGTAAATCTTGCCTCGTCCACGAAGCGCTCGATAGCAAAGTCTCGGCGCGTGCCATGAACGTCGGTTCATGAAACACAAAAATGAACCAGTGAACGCGTTCGAAATAGGCCTTGACAAGGAGATGCATCACTGACCGGGGGGGCATCTGCATGCGTTGGAGACCCCATCTCGAACCAGGCTGTCGGAAGACACCTGCATCTCCGGGAATGGTAGAAGTGATACTCGGAGACGCCAAGTCATTGTGCCGGAAGACGTTGCGAGCAAAGTCGATCACCGAAGTGTTGGCACCAAACTGCTGGTTCTCGCTTGGGCTGTGTTCCGAGGCGTCTGGCCCGTCGGCGGCCTCCCTTCGTTTGTGCTGGGTTGAGTGCAGTTCATTGTGGTCCTGTGGGTTTCTCAAAGACTGAGTTTGCCAATCTGGAGTACTACCAGAGGGCTGGAGAGGTGGCAAGCTTGTCACTGTCGTCGGTGTTTCCGGCTGATACGGGGGAGGAGGAGGATGTTCGGCCGTTCGATCCCTACGTGACGAGGCCGGTCGATCAGTGGAACTCCTGGCCGGGGTCCGGCGAGGCTCGCATTCGACTCTGGCGCGCACACAGAGGGTGCAAGGCCGTAAGGTGTCACATTTCAGCTTCTGCCGACGGCACCTGACACATGCCTGTGCAACACGTCCGGTGGATGCCATGCAGATGGGTTGCCTGGTGGTGGGCGGTGGAGAACGTGGTCAGAGTCGGGCGAAAGGGGTACAGGAGCCATTAGTAAGGCAGTTGGTGAGTGAGTGACCGCTCCGTCTCAAACGATCAGAGAGTAAGAGAGCAACCTGCTGGCTGACATTGTTCTGTTAGTGGTGAGCAGATGAAGTAGGCAGTAGGTCTGAAGTGTCAGCCTGTGAGGAAGAAGTCTTGTGCGGGGCTTTAGGACGCATTCTTCGCACCGTTCAATCGGAGAGAATTGGAGGCCTGCAGATCTCGAATTTTCTGTCGAGACTCGATGGGCGTCCATTGGACAGAGCAAGGAAAGTTCGAAAGCTAGAAGCAGGAAATTTGCCCATGTTTTTTGCCATGTATTTGCCATGTTTTTGCCCTCCCCCGCTTCCAACGTGCCTGAGGGTTCCGGTGGAAACAGGGCCCGTGCCTCCTATTGGTGTTGGCGGTCCACTCCCAAGTCTTCAGCAAGCTCTCTCTTCTCCAACTAACCCCTGTTGCCGTCTTTCGGCAACACTACAGGATCTGGCACACTCCGACTCGAAATTTTATAGCTCCAAGACGACAAGCCCACCACAAATGTGACCGATTGTCAGGGTCTCTCGAGCAGGTTCTACCCCAATCAATCTCCACGACCATCCCCGGAATTTTTCTGCCACTTTGTCGAAATGGTTTTATAGGGCCAAGAAGTGGACCAAAATACCCAGTGAATCAGAAAAGCCATCAATCGTCAAAGACGATAGACACCTGCAATTCATCTTCGTTGTTCAAGGCAATCCGCAGATTCCGCGGATATTTTCGAAGAACTGACATCGAGAATCCTGTCATGTTGGCGCTGAACAATAAGCCATAATCCGATCTCTGGATCGCGAGATTCCAACATTGACCCTCAGCCACGGCATCAAGACAATGGATTCAAAATATCCCAAGACCTGCGGACAATTCCACACACATGGCAACTAGACCATGGTGAATCTTTTCGGAATATCTGACTGGCTCTTGCCCTGTGTGACAGGTACGGCGAGTCTCTCTGGGGCATTTGGATAGACTATGGAGTCTAGTGAAGGAATGCCTTATTGTTCTATCTAACAAGAGAGCAAAAGCCTGGAAGAGTGCAAGTTGCAATATTGCCAAGCCGACTGCTTCACGTGACATTGCCAAGCAAATTGTCACGTGATTAGACGACACTTTTCTCCCCGGGATTTCGAGATCCCTTCGTGTAGTCTTGCCGTCGCATAATACTGAGCAGTCCGTCTCAAGTCCTTTAGATCTCAAACCCTGGGATCCAGCCTCCGCCTGGTGAGACTCTTGCCCCAACAATGCGCGGGCAACTCCCAGGTATAGATCAATACATCGTTGACAGCTTGTTTTCAAGAGCTTTTCCTAACTTGTCACTAGTGACTCATCCGGGCACCTTGATCTCGACGCCAGAGCAAAGGATCCTCGATACTGTAAAGGTGCTAGCGCATCCGGTGGAAGTCGTTCCTCTCCTGCCAATCAAAGATACATCGGAAGCGCTAAAAACATGTCGAAATGCAAAAAAGTTTCCCGACTACATTCCACCCTCCCCAGTCTTCCGCCACACAACTCGGGGCCCCGCCAAAATGTCTTTACCAGGTTTTCTCACTTCTTCTACTGGACAGAGAGATGCCTTAGATCGGGATATCCCCACTTGTGCAATGACCGTGAATCCGTACGACCCCTTTGATTGGTTCGGTATCTGGCATATGCTTGTGCAGGGCATGCATCAGGCTACTGGAATTACAATAAAGCGGGGGGGGGGGGAGAGCCCATTGGGGATAAATGGATAAACATAGGAAGACCCGGGTCCTCAGCATGATATCTCTACCCCCATCGTTGATTGCGATCAGAACATTTGAGGTTCAATCCCAAAGCCGTTCCGGAAAGCAAGCATCGATACAATCCTCGAGCAGGTGATCTCACCGAAGATAGTGCGAAAGTAGCCGTTGAGCTTTGTTGGAGCGTTTACATACCCTTCATCGAACGCTCCGGGTTACCCGTATTTGACTTCTGGGTCGACCTCAGCCTATGCTCCTTGCTTCCCCGTCGCTCTCAACCAGTCCTCCCGGTTTAAGAGATGTCTGTCAGAAGTAGCGTTCTCCAGGAGCTTGACACCAAAAGCGCGTCCTATTCCCCAGATGCTTTTATTATACCTCTTGATATCGACCAAGATTTCGATGAATATTATGACTACGTCGACCAAAACAATTGGTCTATGAAATTTCAAAAAGCCGCTTCCCCTGACCGCATGACCGTTTCATCGAACGAAACATCGCCTTCTCAGGAATCAGAAAGGGATTTGAGCAGCTGCGCGACAACTCCGAGCTGGTCCAATATTCCGAGCCCACTTCAGTTCCAGTCGTGGCATTCTGCTGTGTTGTCCGCCCAAACACCGAATGAGGATCCTTATGGCAGGAAGAAAACTTATGACGATGACGAAAATTCAAGTTGTCGAAACGGAGACGCAGCCATCCGGTCGCGTACATCTAGGAGAGTTGAGAATAGTGCCGCTGCACCATTGAAGTTTGTATCTGTTACACCTCATAGTATTCTGTCTGGAGACATCCATCGAACTCAAGGGGAATGGAAGCGAGGGCGTCCCAGGCTCGCCAAGACGACTTCAAAGACGAAGAGATCTGCATTTCTCTCGAATCCGAGCATCGGCGCGATAGAAAGAACATTGTCTGATACCCCTGTTACTGTCAGACCGTCCTCTGACAATTCGACCCCAGCTTACAGCGACGGCCTTTTTGCGCCTGTTTTCGACCACCTCCGCGTGACCAGTGACGAAAGGGATTTCTTCGCGAGGTTGTTTGCGCCGGAACGTGGCCTGGTATAGCAGGGCAAGCCTGGATGCCTGGATGCCTCAGGAATTTGGAAAGCTCTTTCTAACACCTATTGAGCCGAATCGAATCGGCTTGCAAGGGATGGGAAGCCAAATGATGATTCAATAAGCTCATCTATTGGACATTCACACGCAAATTTTGGCCAGAATCTAGACACGGATCCTTATACCTGGCCGTCAGAGTATTCCATCCGAAGCGGACAAAACGTTGGCTAGATATCTTGGAGACGGTCTCGGATTTCCCAAACCTACCTGCCACCACGCTACCATTCCTTTTAATCTGGTGCGAAGGCTTACCCTTTCCAAAGATGGGTCATACCCTAAATGGAAATGAGACTGCGAGATGGTCGAAGAGCTGCCCGCGATTTTGCAACTCACATTAACGACAGTGGAGGATGGATTGGGTCAGAAGAGCAAGAAACGCGGGCTGGCGTCATCAACAGGGGATGAGTTCCATATCGACCGTGGAATAACCCCAAATATCCCATTTCGTACCGCATTATTGCGTCTATGCCTCGGATGCATTACAGCCGCGGAAGGACAGCGAGAAGAGTTGAGGACAGGATTCGGCTCAGGCTTAGGTTTGACTTTGATTGTCTAAATCAATGAAGATACTTCCTTGGATATCTGAACATGCACAATGTTGGTTGCCAGCATCTCTCGACGCGTAAATACCCTTCACGAAATGTGTCATTCCTGGCCTGCTCTTGATTGGGTTTCGGGCCTTGGCGTGTTTGCAAGTTTGTCGATTTTTCCTATTTTCTGCTGTTGGCCTTTGCACTCGAACATGCTTGCGGTCGCTTCCCTCGGTGTCATTCACTATGTATAACGATGGTAAGCTTGAGTCTCTCTCGCTGTTTATACCTCGTATGATGAGTATTTGCAATCCAACTCCAAGAACACCACAGTTCACTGAGGAACAACATTTATCTCTAGAATTACGCTGACTCTTTCACCTTCCCTCGATCGTTTCTGGTGTCTTCTTCCGCCGGAGAAGCTGACATGTGCAAAAGATCATATAGGTCCTTGTCTCATTGACCCTCTCGACTTGCACATACCGTTCAGTCAATTTGTAAAAGGTACGAACCAAAACTCAGTTCTCCCGACGCACTCTCTGTGATGACTCCATGACACGAAAGGCATTCCTCAAACTTAATACCCATGTCGAACCTGTCTATTATAAGTTTCAGCCTTGTCTGATTCGCACGCATATCCCTCTTCCTCGCTCAATTTGCTTCTCTGGCCTGATGCTGACCTAAACCTGGCACAGGTAACTCGGCCCCTCCTTTTTTGCCATGAATGCTTCTGTTCCTTCCATGACGAATACTTGAACGCACGGGCGGACAGACTGCGTGCACAGTTCCACGCATCTGTAAAAGCAAGACTGTACAAATCTTGTGGATGCGCTAGAGACTGGCACTTGTTGAGAACGCGTCAGCTGATGGATGATGCCAAAGAGAAGGCGATCATAGGGCAATGAAGCGAATGACTTGCTAACAGCCTCGCGCTGCAGGTACATATGCGATACTTTCCCTTTCCAATCCACATCCCAGCATCTGATGATGAACATTATTCACACTGTTGGAGCCGAGCAATTGCTTGGGCATGAACGTTACACTGAAAATTCTGATTTAATGAGGTGAGTGTCGTTCCCGGTTTCGAGACGACCTGCTGACGAACTTGCTAACAGCCTGAAATACATGCTCTCGCTCTGTCCATTTTGGGTCTCGACCAATATTTTTGTCTCCAAAGTTACTGACAATCTAATGGATAGATGCGTGCGTCCACGATGTAGATTCCGTAGTACAAAAGGCTGGTGAGAATCAACCCCATCTTTATTTCATGTTTCCCTGATGATCTCATGTATTCGCTGTGTTCTTACTGAATTCTCATGACGAACATACATCACCTTGGAGAACTGATATGAAATTTGTCCTTTCATCAAATTGGCTTTTTTTTCACCTACAGCACTTTGGCTCCCGATGCTGATTTGTTCTTTTAGTCTTCCATGCACTTCAACCACAGGTTTTCAGTACTGAAAAGGGCTTATCTGGGCAGGGAGTTCAAACAGAGATTGGTGTCGACAACTTCACACTTGGTCAGGAACAATGGGCTTGGAGGATTGGAAGATAAGTCACATGGACTCCAACCACATTGGTCCTTTTTGATAGCATGAATACCCAAAATATCTAGGACTATAGAATCTCCTCCGGATCAAATAGAATGCCAGGCTCGCCCAATATTGTTTGCCATCGGGCTGATCACGTGATCGCCCCGTTCGTGGCGAAGGTGGAACCACTGGCTTGAGCTCATGCTCAGGTTTCTTGTATCATGTCATGCAGTGAACCTCTCGTGGTCCTGATCCTCGAACCGTGCCGGCCCCCTACGTTTCTTCTCCTCTCGCCTTCTCGTCCGTCTTGTCCGTGTCGTTCTAATCGTCCTCGATGTCAGGCTTTGGCGCCCCCGGCGGTGGTGCCGCGAACTTCAAGCCCACCCCTCCAGAGCGTGGTTCTTTCCCACTTGATCACGATGCAGAATGCAAACACGTCATCTCCTCATACCTGCGATGCTTAAGAAGACAAAATCCTCCTGGGAAGAATAACGAAGAGTGCAGAATTTTGGCAAAAGAGTACTTGGACTGCCGTATGCAGAAGGGTCTCATGGCCAGAGACGAGTGGGCAAATTTGGGCCTGGACTTTGACAAAATAGCGAGGGACGGGGAAAAGGACGGCATGGCCGCACATACTGAGAAGGAAGGTTAAATGGTTACCATACGGATGCCAAAAAGCAAAGCACATTGCTGAACCTTTTGGCAATGCGGCGAAAGCACCATCAACCAGACTGAATGCAAAGACCAGGGTCCCCTCTCCGGAAATCAGGACGCTACCGGCCCACTGCGAGGGCTTTGGAAAGATATTGACAATACTGGAATATCCATGGGGTCCAGTTTCCACGTCACCTGTGAGCTACGATCTTCCCTCTTGATTCGCCAGGACAGGACGCCGGCCACCAGCCCAAGTATTCTCTAGAGCAAAACCATCTTTCACGCCGCTTGACCCAAGTTTCCTACCACATCGAGCTCCTCCAAGAGAGCTCTTCGGGACCCGGTCGCATTTTCATGAGATGCGACCGCATGGTTGTTCCTGAACACGAGAATATCAACCCGGAGACGACCAGAGGACAATCCTTTTCGAAGACGGCAGCATGGTCCAAGAACATCGAGCATCAATTATCGATCCGTCAATTATTCGAAGCACATCCTACGGGCGCTATGGGTGTGACCATAGGTGTGAAATGAAAGTAGTATCCGGTTTCGTTTCATGCCCGCCTTAGGAATGTTACCTGTATTGTATTGATTGGCATGACTTAGCACATCTCTACTATCTGATACCCTATCAGATACGCGGGCACCTTTTCATAATAATCCTGGAGCCTGCTTCGCTCTAGAATCTATTGACCAACGTCCTCCTGGGGTGTCTTTCGTGGCTGCTACTGATGGTGGCTCTCCTGACCAAGAAGGCGGAACGGGCCCTGCCGGGAGAGCTTATAGGGGGCCATCATCTGAAACAGCACGCAGCCATAACATAAGCCTGACTACCGCCTCGCTCCATATCACGTCAGACAATGCCGGCGTCTATCTCTTGCATTATCAACGACGCGTACCGTTTCACATCATACACTCTGGATCTCTGTGCTGCAGGTCCGGATATATGACTTCAGGTCGACAGCTACAAACGATAGACTTGCCACCGCTGGCCTGGCAACATCTCCAAGTTCCCCGTCACGAGTCACGACAACGCTTGTTCGAGATAATGACTTGCATGTGAGCGCGAGATGGCTACTGGCTCGACAGTGTGGTGGCAAGGGTTCTTTTCACAATACCCCGTCACAAGGGTGTTGACTAGACTAGATCAGGACCCCCTCCGGTCTCAAGGTTTGTTAGCATACATATCTGAAACCTATCTTTCCATTTCATAATCAACTACTGAACCTTAGGGCTCCTAGTCACCATGACGCTGGTTTCAATCAAAATCGCTACTCGGTGCGGCCGGCCAGACTCAAATACCCGGCTAGATTATTCAATCGCAAGGCAAATAGCCCCCAATTTCAATGAACCCACCCTGCGGGCTCGCTGTTCATATTTGGTTGTGCATATACCATCTACGAGGTAGGCCATTAGTCGCTGTGCGAAAAACGTTTGAAATGTTCCCCCTTGCAGCACCCTTCTTTGGTTAAATGCTCTTGAAGCGCCATCTGAGGCCCGTCCTTGAAGTGGTGAAGACTCAAGACTCTCTACTTGACTCCTGAGAGCATCAAACCATGGCTTCGGACGGATCTGTAAATTACTCGCCCCTCCTAACTCGAGAAGAGGACGATCATGACAACGCTCAAGATGAAGTGCAAAACCCTTTACCAACGGCAGAAACATCACATCCTCCTCCTACGATAGAAGTGTCTCTCCCTCCGGTCGAGACGGTTCAATCGCACGAGTCCGGTGGCGAGTCTGATGCCGAGTCCGTCCATCGGCCTCTTTCGTGTAAGCAAATGACCTCTTTTCAAATCAGCCTTCCTGACCATACCGAAGACACAGATACACCTCCTGCTGAGAAACTTCACGACAGCTGGAGACATTCCTCTCTCAGCACTTTCAAACAGCGCCTACAGGGGTCCGTGACGCCCTCTTTGCACGAACTGTTAGAAAAGGACACCTCAGGTCAAGGTACAACGAGACAGTACTGCTATAACAAACAGCGAAATCGTCTTTTGCGACTGACCATTGGCGAATGGATCAACACTCTTGTCCTATGCGTCATCTACTTCGGGATCCTTTACGCTTATTCGAAAAAGCTCACCATCAGCGTACCTCAGCGAAGGATCTTCAATGCCCTGACAACTGGCACTTCGCTCCTCCTCGGTGTGAACTTGGCGGCTTCGCTGAGAAGCTATGCGAAACTCCTGCGGTGGCGAATGTTAGCCGCATGTTACCGGCCCTTGGAAACCTTCGATCTGGTCATGGGTTGCGATAGTCTGATCAATGTGATCAAGCTTCTTTGGAAGGCTAGAAATGACCGATACAAGTTCTGGCCATCAAGAACACAAATCTGCTGCGTCGTATGGCTCTTTATACACCTGGCCATTACGATTCTTGTCGGCATTATTGGTCTCAACTACAATTTAGACATTTCGCCAGACCATGTTCTCACAAGAAATGGAAGTGTGAGCATCGTGGACCTCGAATCTTTATCCACCGGAAACTATCTTTCTGATCTGAGTGCGATTCAAAACTGGGGCATCAGAGGCACGGTAACGCAAGCACTGGATTGGGACGACCCTCTCGAATTTCTCGAGACCTACTACTCGACCTTTGACGGGCATACCTTTTACTATTTCCAGGATCAGAACGCTAATGACTCGTCACAATCGATTATCTCCTCTCGCCACATTCAATCATATGCATACTGCGACGGATATGAAGTGATCGACGGTGCATCTGGAAATTTGTCCTATATCGTCTATAATAACGGGGAACAGGATGTCAATCAATCACTGCCAGTGGCACCCGGGCCAGCAGGATTTACGGCAATCTCGGGGTTGAATTCTACCTGTGGCCCGCGCTGTGTGAACATTAATGCTTTCCAGGCCGCATCGTCCCCCGATGGCGATACCGATGAATACAATTACTATATAGATGAAGGACGATTTTACATTTGCAACAATACTGTCACGCAAGTGGAGGACAACACCATGGCGCTAACAGCAGACTACCTGGTCTCCGACTTGGTTGCGAGAATGCTCGCCGGGGCCATCGGATGGAGTGATAATCCTCCCATTGCCGATGGTAAAGAGGAATATGCCCTTTACACCAACTCATCTGAGATCGGCTTTATCAGGACACCAACCTCATCAGATGTGGCAAATATGATCTCATCATTTACGATGGGGGCCATCTCATTTATGGACGACTCATCCGGCATGTATAGGAGGATCGTCGCGCACGGTCAAATGCCCATCACTGCCCAAATTCTTCACGTTACATGGAAATATGCCGGGTCTATTCTCGCCGTTATTCCAGCCATTCACTTCTTGTCGCTCATGGCTGTCATTATTTGGGCTAACAAAGCAATCATTAAGGACGACAGCCATCTGGCGATTGCAAAAGTGTATCACACGTTTCTGGAGCAATTCGGTGATAGAGGGTGCTTGCTCCGCGGCGACGAAATCGTCAAGGTCCTGGGAAACCCATCGGTGGTGTACGGATGGAGGTCGAGCAACGAACACGACACATCTATGCACATAGACGTGTTCGAAAAGGGCCGAGGGATCCCAAGAGTGGAAAAGCCCTTTGTCGAAGGGTGGTATGATGGGAAGAGCCGGACACCCAGCACTGCGGAATTTGGAATTGAACTTGGACGGAGGAAACGATACCGCGACGTTGACGCAGCTGAATATTTCTAGCAATATCTCAAATCGAATACGAGCCAAATTTCTCAAACCTGTGATCCCGGCAGCAGGAGATGATTCAGCGGGGCGTCACCATGTTTCAAAGAGACCAATTCTGTCAGGTCCGCACAGAAGCCTTTGGCAACAGCAAACTCCGACAACCTTCGCTCCCCCTCCTGCAGTTGAACCTGTGGAGGACCTACTTGGATTTCCAGCGGCACCGTCATACCAACTCTCTATATTCGTAGGTCCAGATTCTCGTCCCCCGTTCACCACAAGCTGGTCGAGTATCCCAGACATTGGATCATTGCCTGTCCTATTCTGTCCCTTGCCCCAGCTTGAACAAGTAAATCACCATAGTGGCGAATGCTGTCATTGTCCCTCTTGCACATTACGCAACCATCATTTGGCAGGTCTATTTTTGCTCACCTAATTCGCCGGGAGATTTACTGTTAGCATCATCAAGGCACTGGCCAAGATAATGCCAATGCTAGATAGGACAGACGCAAGCCATTCCACTCCGTCAGCAAAGAGACGAATTTCCGGTAAGTAGGCATGGAATTCACCAAGCGACAACCCAAGAGACCATATGACCCTCCGAGGAGGAAAATAGATCACTCATCTCGGTAAAACCGTCCATGCAAATGGACTCAGGGTTCAGTGGCGGATGGGTTCGCGCCTGAACTAGGTGTCTGGCTTGTAAAACTTCCAGCACTGTCCATGATGCCGGCGAGCAGGTCAATGATAACGCGGGGTCCTTTTTTGATAAGTACACTTGAGGTCGATACCACGAGGCTCTTTATCGTAGACCGATTGGACCCGTTCGAAGTAAGGGGGGTCTTTACATGTGAGAGGTTTGTGGATAGAGCAGACAATCTCCGTTGTGAGAGACAGGACCATATTTATGAATTCTTGCCGGTTTCTTTCACTCATGAGCAAATCTGGTTATCAGATGAACCGACGAATAGATGGCCTGACATGGTGGGGTGCGACTCGACAGTGGTTCAAGACCAGAGGGAGAAAGACCGCACCAACCAAAATCCGACGGTTATGCTTCGAATTTCCTTGAGATTGATTTCATGGCCTGAGGTCAGATGGACCCTGCATGGCTAGAAAGAAGCAAGGGTTTTCGTGGGCCAGTTTGTCCCCTTCTTGTAGTTAGACAAGCCAACAAGGGAGCAACGGTTGATCGTTTGGCTCTAGAACTCTGATCAGGCAGATGCAATGACGCTGGATGCCCAATGGGCTACTTCCATGACGAGCATTTAAATATTGCCTTAGCCACCAACAAGCATGGAAAATATGCCAATGGTGGCAACTGGACAAGAAAAGAGGTGGACCCGAAAAATCCGGAGATCCGCTACTGTAGCAACAATTTAGCCTGGCTTCAAAGCATTCCTGCACAAAAGCGGGCTTGCCTCTGCGAAGTGTGCACCGCCCTGAGATTCGGATGTCCAGCCAGACAGGTGCATGCTCTTGAACACGCAACGGCAAATATCAGCAGCATGGCAGTGATATTTTTGACATGGCATGCATGAGACGAGGCAGATATGTCAAGTCCGTCTCGTCCTTGACTGACCGACCATCTACACCGACATATGGGGCATACCATCTACAGTACATGTACACGGCATTGGATCCACCGTTGAAATCGAATAGCATGTATTGTTTGGACCTATAACACCGGTATTCTCTACTCAGCACAACGACACTAACGGGGCAGAGCAACCGACAATGCAATGAGATTAGCTCACCTACACATACCTCACCGTATACCGTATTCACATTCGTTGAAATTGCAAACGGCACTTTTGGAAAGGCACTTCAGCTACAAGGACCAGCTCCACAGCGGCGAACAAGCGAGAAGAAAGAGAGGGAATGAGAATGCAAACTCGTATCTCGAGAACACCAGCAGCCAAAGAAGAATCGATAAGCATGGGTATAAAGATGATGCCGCCGGGTTGACCCTGAGCACACCAAGTCGAGTAACCGAGAGCTCAGATGCCCAAATCAAGACGCTCACGACCTCTACGTTCTCGTCCCTCTCCCTCTCACCGCCGGACCCAGTCGTGCTGACTTTCGCCACGCACCCAACCTACACAGTCGGCCGCCGCCATCTGCTCAGCAACCCAATTTCCGAGTCACAGCAGAACTTCCTGACCGCCAGTGGCCGCGCGACCTTCCACGCCTCCCCTCGCGGCGGCCTCCTCACGTACCACGGCCCAGGCCAGGTGACGGGCTACGTGATCGCAGATCTACGACGACACGGGATCACGGCGCGATGCTGGGTGAAAATGCTCGAGAAAAGCGTCATGCGGACCTGCGCACACTGGGGCGTGGGGACGATGAGGACACGTGACCCGGGCGTCTGGGTCAAGAACAACGATGCTCCGACCGAACAGAGAGAGGTAGACGACTCGGATGAAACATCATCGACCGACCGCAAAATCTGTGCTATCGGCGTCCAGGTATCTCGGGGCATCACGTCCCACGGTATCGGGCTCAATGTGTACGATGCACCTTTACCCTCTTCGGCCGCGGGCCCAGTATATGAGTTTACGGCCGCGCAGACGCGCTCGCCATCATACGACCCGCTGACGCGAGGCTATCTGTCTTGGGGATTCAGTCGAGTCGTTGCTTGCGGCTTGGAGGGGAAGAGCGTGACGTGGTTGATGCGCGAACGACGGCAAGGTCCAGAGCCAGGGGCAGAAGATCATTCCGTCATCTGTCTGGAATCTGTTGCGGACGTTTTCGCGCAGCAAGTTATGCATGGTCTGAATGCGATGAAGGCAAGTGGGAAGGAAAGTGTTCATGAAGTTTACCGGATCCATGAAAGCCAGTGTACTGGACCAGGAGGTGACGAAGGAAATTTGTCCGAGGCTGAGATTGGGTGACTGGCAAGTTTCCGGTGTCCGTGTTGACATGGAATGCTTCATGACAGGCAAGGATCCCAAGTCCTAGAAGGTCCAGTCCTGTCCGAGGAAGAACAGAAAGACCCGACGACCTGTTCTGGACTAAAACTTCGACGAGCCATCATGTTGGCAGACCAGTCAGAATAAAAAGGAGAAGAGAAGTTGACTCAAAGAACAATTGGATCAAATGCATCGTGGATTGGATGGAATTGATTTCAAATTCAGGTCTTGCATTCCAACTCTTCGGAGCACACCGGACACCTCGATTCAAAATCATCCAGCTCCGACGGCCTGCTGAGATATACTCCTAAATGGTGTTAACGAACGCATGCATCGTTTCGTTGTCTTTTGCGTGGTCTCTCTCAAGCCATGGCAAGTGCCCAACGTGAATCTGAATCATAAGTATTTCGTCACACCTTATCTTCGTCCAGCGGTAACGACCGACGGCTGCTTTTTTTCTTTTTCGTTTTTGTATTTTCCAGAAAAGGAAGTTCATCCAGGATTCGGTACAGTGGCGACCGTCGATCCCTCCACCCCATCAATGTCGGTTTTGTCATGATTGGGGGAGAAAGCGCTCCAATTCGCCGGAGAAATGCTCAATCAACAACAAAAGGACTCCCACCTCACGACACGCCAGTATCCGTGAAATGTTCTTCGCACGATCTGTATGTGCACGTAGCTGTAGTCGGTCCACTGGTCTTTCTATACTCCTTTGTTGCATATTAAGGATCAAATCGCAAACAAGCTCATCAAAGCTAGGGTTTCTCAGCAGCTGCGTCCGTCGCCATTAAGTTTTCCCATCGAGCCTGCTATTCAAAAGATCATCTAACGCCATACCAAGTATTTTGATATATACTTTGACTGCAATCATTCGCGCTTGCCATACTCCTCTTCCGCATTCCACATCTGAGGTTGAAAATCGGAATTCGCAAAATGCGCTTGGCTCAGAGCGGAACTGTTTTGAGTCCAAAAGGTTAGTGAATACGGGCAAAGTCTACTGATCAAGGAGGTTGAGGATAAGGTCGCAAACGATACCAACATTCTTCGGACTTGTACCACATACCTGCCAAACGATCCAGGATCCAAGGGGAGACTCTCGTGGCGGTGAATGTTGAAATTGAAGCAGTTTTCATTGTACCGGATCTTGGCCTCATTTGTCTTGTGATTCGGCAGGCCAGACTTTGTGGTAATGGGAGACGGCGAACTGGGAGACTGAGATGAAGGGGACATCTGTGGATGCGTTTGAATCATCGGAGATGAGTATGTCCGGTATGGGAGCGAATGTGATCTGACTCCTGCTGGTGGTGGTGGTGGTGGTGGTGGCGGCGGCGGCGCCTGCTGTTGCTGCTGCGGTAGCGTTGCTGTGTGAGATGACACCGGCGGAAAATAAGATTGCTCTGTGGCGTTTGTGTCGGTAAACGACATCGGAGGTGGACGTTGGAGGTGCGACTGGAATGTGTTACTCGATGATCCCAGCGATGGACCAACGAGAGAATGAGAAGACATTACATTAGCATTTGGGAACATATATGATTGTAGATTCAAAGCTTCCATGTCGCCTTTGAAAATCTCGTTCCCTAATGGCGCCACATATTGCGGAGCACTTGACTGGAAGAAAACCTGAATGGGCTTATCATCTTTATAGATGATATCGTAATGTCCCCTGTTACACAAGTCTCTCAGTTAGCGCCTAACTTCATCGTGTGAGAGATGGAGTACTCACGGTCGGTAGATCAGTCGAATGGTCGGCCACCCCTGAGAGTTCAGGACAAACTGATGCGGAGTAACTTCATCGCCGGTGCTTCTGTCCAAGTACGAGACCTCGAGGGCAATGTATGCTGGAGCAATGACGGCATCAGTCAACGCTTGTAAGCCAATGTGATCTATCTCTTGGTTCGCGGGATCGATTCTCGTGAGACAATACTGGGCGACTGGCATCTCCAGAAATGCCTCATACCGGTCCGACTGGAGTTGCATGAATGAGCTCGTCATCATCTGCTCAAACATTAGTACGGACGCACTCGAATCAGGCATGACAAACCTACTTTGAAATGATAGACAATCGAATTCGATTTGTTTTCATCATTCAACGCTTCCAATAAGACAGCCTCATTCTTGTCTCCGCGCTCTATGGCGGACTTGATGGCATCGAAAAGTTCCCATGTATAGTCGAACATGTCAATGATGATGTCGTAGTCTATGCCAACTGCTCGCATCGTTTGCTCGAAGCTCTGAAGGCGGACTAACTCTTGGGCAATCAACCCAAGATCTCCGGATTTCAGAAGGATCTCAAAATAGCCGAAGACGGCCCCTGTATGAATTCGTCATCAGGAAAAACGAGGTCGGTACTGGAAGAAAAGGGACTCGTACCACGCCATCCGCACTGTCCATCACCTTTGATCGGGCGATATGCGGTGTGAGTTACTGCAAGGGCCTAAAGCTGATCAGCGTGGATCAAATATTCGGTAGAGATAAATACAGTGGTTTTCACGACATAGGCCTGGTCGGCCTGGGCATATTCGGTGACAAGATCCGACAAGGGCTTCTTGTTTCCAATTAAAGGTCCCTATGAAGCTTTAGTCAGGCATTCGAGACCCTTTGTTGAGGGATTTACTGGAAGGTCCGCTTGGTACTGGTCGGATAGACGTTGGAATTGCTCCATTTCATCTGCATCTGGAGTGGCCATGGTGGAATTGGTGTGGTGAGAGGCGGGCGGGGTAAAATATCCGTAGTTATGAAAGTAGGGATCGATGGATTTGTTGCTGCTCAGATGGTCGTATGGAGGAGGATAATGCGAGTGTGATTGCAAATTCCAGTGCGACCGGAATTGCTGTGGCGGATAGGAACCGTAAGGACTGTGGTGAGGTGGTGAATATGGGCCAAGTGTCATCTCCTGAGGCTGGCTGGCTGGTTCTTGATATCGTCGAAGCCGGTCGAGATCTGGGAAACCTGGAAGGGTTAGTGAAGATTTATGAACCATGGCAGAGGCCATGCGGCAGGATCTGCGCTAGACTGAAAAGTGAGATGAGTTGATAATGGGAACACCAACAATGGCAGCCTCGATGCGATTAAATCATTGTCGAACTTTGGGTGTAGACGGTCCTCACGTCGGATGGAACTTGCAACCGACCAGGAAGTGAGGAGAAAGACCTATCACCCGCACCGAGGCAGCGGTTCAGCCGTGTTTGTCGGCCAGAGCAGGGAAGATCCGCAGCAATAGTTCGTCGGAAAGAAGATGGAGGTGAGTTGGTAAGAAAATAAGAGGTTAAGACGAGGGCTTTGTTAGACTTCAGCGCCAATGCAGGCGTCTTTTTAGCCCTGGCCTGCTGGCTTGGCGGGTTGGGGTGGCAGACGACGGAGGTGGGAGTAGGGTGGGGGGGGGGGAGAGAAAGGCCTTGACTCTGGCGACAGGTGATCGGGGATGGACAGGTTCATTCGGAACCAATCGGGAGACCCGTCAGTCAAAGGCTGGTAATCGCTGCGGACATGATTAGACGATACCGGGGGTGGAGGATGTTGGGCGTATGCAGAGAAAAGTGAGGTGGAAGGATTTCCAAACTGGCGGTGGGAGATGAAAGGATGAAGACGGCAAGCAGGAGACTTGAACACGGTGGTCACTCAGAGGCAAAACTGAGTGGATGAGGACACAACAAGTGTCAGGACAACGAGTAGACGAGCAAGAGATGAAGACCAGAATGGAGAGAAAAGGACTGAGGAGGTGGTGCAATCCGAAGAGATATAGAGCAGCCTTATGTGGGAAGGTTGTGAGTGGTGGAGCCCATGTGGTGATAAAGCCATGGCGTTGCCGCACCGCAACCTCTGGCTCTACGGCTTGCGCCTGGGTGGGAGCAATCCAGTTAGCGGTTAACCAGCAACCGATATTTGAAGGGCATCTTGCTCACAGTAACCAGCATGAGAACACATTCCCCAAACCATCCACATGGCGCCTCGCTTTGCACAGAATCCCTCGTACCAAGTTGAGACCAGAGCCCATGTCCAAGAAATCGAAAACCTCGTTAACTATTCTGTCCACAGTTGGCCCGCCTATCATCCGAGACAACTCGTGCCCTTTCCCCTAGCTGCTTCGATGCTGTTTGACCTTCGGGGAACAAGGAAGCTCGATCCTTCCATCCAATCACCATCCCCACAAGATGCAATCCGCACTCTTAACATCTCTCTATCCGACCGGCCCCTCCCTCATTGTTTCGTGCTACTCCCCAGTCTTGATATTGAACACCGCCAGAAAAAGCACTACACCCTAGCTCTTTTTCTGATGGACTCAAACTTCCGAGACTGCGGACAATAACGGCAACAAACCCCGGCAGCCCTCTTTCTCAATGATTGGCCTCACTATGAGAAAAATCAGGCTACAATCGCATAATTGGTGTTCGTGGAGGCTTTCCCATTCGAAGGACTTGGCTTCTTCGGTTGCTTGCCAGGGAGACCGATCAACAAGAAGTCTCCAACACGAAGCTCGTTCGGTTTTTAGACAAACTCCTGGTTAATTGAGAAGCAATCACGTACAACGGTCGACACGATCACCTGCCGAAACCCCCCTTCTTCCCCCGGGGGCTCGGACCTCGCACTGCTCCTGCTTTCAGTCAATGTGTAGCCTTTTGTGGCCTGTATGGATTCTGACCCACTCCTTCCCGCCGACCGAGCTTCCGATCGCAGGCAATCCTCAGATCGAAGCCCTGTTAAATCCCAAGTCCTTTTTGGCAAGGCCGAGATTTTCACAATTCCACTGCCTTCCCATCGAGTCGTTACCCTAGTAATTGGCAGACTTATTTGACCGACAATTGACTCGACTAAAAAAAAAAAAAAAAAACATATCCCATATCGACGTCCGCAGAGCATGTCGGTCGTGAGTTGGACTTCTCATCGGTGAACATCACATTCCTGTTCCCTCTACAAGCTTTAGCATACTACATTGACCCTGAAAGATACTCCTCACTAACCAAACGCTCTAGAACATGGCATTATGACTTTGAAGTGCTTTCTTTGCTGATGTTCATGGTAGCAAGGGAAAGCTCACTGAAGGGTCCTCCAATGAAACATTTTACTACCAGCTCAAACTGAACAGAACGAAGTGTCCAGCCGGCAGATCCCAGGGTGAGCGGCGCAGGATCAAAAAAAAGAAAACAACATTCTTGATTGTTCCTGTCGAATTCGAGCACAGAGAGAGCAGAGATCCTAAACGGACGTCGACGGCTGTTTCCAGAGCGCTCGTTGAGCAGACCAGGTGACTCTAGACCATGCGCCAAATCAGTGGCTTGCTGGGGTTGCTGAGCCTACCACAACAAATGTGCTGGGACAGCATGTGATATGATATTTCTGACAGATGAGAGATCGAAGATCTACCAATCAACTTACCCTCTTCGTTCTGAGGCGACCAGCTGGGCAAGGTTTGGGGCTTCTGAGAGCCTCAGCCCAGTGGACTTTCATGCAGGATTTGTGTTGCCAGGGTTCAACTTGGGTTTCATTTTGGCCTTTTGAAGCAGGTCAAATCAAAAGTATAATCAATAGCCAGGGTCCAGGTGGGGAAAATAGGTCAAGGGTGAAAACATTCACAGTTGAGGAAAGGACCTGTCTATCATAACGGCAAAGGCCGCGTTTCCCTACAACTCCCAACTTTCGCGAGGTATTCATTCATGGCAGTCCTGTTGTTCACATTCGCTGCGGCTTTTGCCGCTTAGTCCCCTGGCATCAAAAACCCAGTCGAAGTGCCTTTTCGTCGCCACCAGTGTGATATCCCCTTTCAGATGTCTTATCCTTAAAGCTGGGTCAGCTATCCTCGCTTGACCAGGCCCCAATGCCACCCATTTCTTGAGACCTGTCAGTGGTGACTGTTACGATTTGACGTAATAATGTAATCCTGTCGCTGAGTCTAGCTGAGTTTCATGGCCCCCCTATGGCCTAGCTTGCGTTACACAAGAGTCAGATGCAGCGCCATGACTTGACCTATGGCAAGCGATGCAGCAGTATCGAGGAGCGCCATCGCCAAGTCTTTCCATCCGCATTCGCACGGACCGAGCCACCTCCACATCCACTTATGGACGGCGTTCTCAAATCGGTGCAACTGTCTTGCCCCCGCCTCGACCGCCCCGTCCAGCAAGACGCCGTCCTGCTCCACGGCCGGGGATGGCATTGCCAGTGTCTAAACCCATGGGGAAGTTCACGATGCCTCCTCCATATCCACCATTTCCCTGTGTGTCTTCAAGCTTGAAGCCCTCACCGTCATGCAGCACCGTGGACCACAAGTTCTCGACCGCTGACGTCCATTCGCGCAGCTGGGTAAGACGTTCCGTATCACCAGCGCCTGTCTCTTCGACCAGAACCGTGCCATCGTCTTGATTGATCTTCGCGTGCAGCTTCTTGTCCACGATCAACATCCCCAATATGTCCTGGACCTCGCTAACAGGGATCTTGATGTGTTTGGATATGAACTGCAAAGTAAAGCGGGTGTATGGGGCGATCAGTTTCAGCACCGCCTTGGTGCGCATATTGCGGCTGACTTCGTCGATGTTCTCGGCAATAAATGGATCTGCAAGAAGGTCTTGGTTGTCTCTGAGGATTGATTCGTATCGATGAATGTCATCCTGTTGGTAAGCGTCGACCAAATCTGTCATCGCCGAAATTCGGGGGTCGTTCTTGTACGGCTTAGTCTCTTGTGAGTCAAATGGATTGATGGTTGACTTCATCAGCATTGTCGTCAGTACGAGATATTTCAACACTTGGATTCTCTGCATAGATCCTGCTTCATCGTAATTCTTGAACGATTCGAAGAAGTCACTCTGCGCTTCCTTCCAGTTCTCTTCGCTCATGTGCATCTTTCCTCCACACTCACGAATGATGCCTTGGACTTTTGGGTGGGGAACCGCAGAACGGACGGACAGGGCCTTCTGGTAGAGATTTTTGAGACGCTTGTTATTCTTCATTTCGGCATACATTTGAATTTCCAGGGCGTAGGCCTCTAGGGAATAGGTCCCCTTTCCCGGGTCATCCGTCCCGTCCTCTTTCTGGCATGCCTGGTGTATCTCTCGCACTTTGTTAGTGAGTTGATTGTAGTCTTTCTTATCCAGATAGAGCTTCGCCAACTTCAGATTTGTCTTCAAGGCTAATCTTTCGTTGTTGGTGCTTTGGAATGTCTCCAGAGTCAAGGAATAGAATTCTTCCATGCATCGGTAGGCCGTCTGTTCCGTTGCCACCTTCTCAATGTAATCCAGCATGTTGTTGATCGATTTTTCTGAGTAATTTCTCGTCACGGCAGACTTGACGTATGTGAGCAGTTCTTTGTAATGCTTCACGGCATCGTCGTAACGGCCCAGGGCGAACTCGAGCTTGACGGCTTGTTTGAGGCCTTTGAAACCCCAATCACCCTTCTCTTCCTCAAGACTGGGAACGCCGAGAAATTCGGCTACGGCATCTTCTGGACTGTCGGCTTTCAGTTGTTTGGCATTGTAATACTTATTCTCAATGTCCACGTCTCCGCCTTCGGCGTCGTCGTCATCTTCGTACTCAAAATCATATCTATTGACGTTTAGCGACACCATAGAGAGATAGCGCGCAGATATCCTACTGTTCTGGATCAGATTCTTGCATAAAATCATCGTCGTCTGACATTTCGAAAGCGACTGATGTCGCACTCGGAGTTGCAAATCGAAAGACAACTGATTGATTGGGCAGGTACCAAACACCGTTTCAGCAAAGTCTATTTGGGATATGATAGTTTGACCATCTAGAATGTTCCACTGAGCGACTGAGGAGAGAAGAGCTATATCCTTTCTCGCTGAATTCTTGAATACTGAAATGTTGTGAGGGTGAAGCTCGCGGAGGCGGATTCAGAGATGCGGAGAGCCGCAACATTAGCCTAGTTGGCCTGCGCCACCTGGACCTCTTCCACTGTCTTTGGCCTTGGAAAGTGAGTCTGCTCCTGCGCCACTACCTACCTGGGCATCATCGTTGCCCTCACGTTCCTGTCGTCCTCTCTCTGTCATTCAGGCCTCTATCATTAGCGCTAAGGTATTGAAACGTTCCCTCCGTCAACGCAACGAACCTTTCCCTTCTCCAGAGTCTAGGCGCCACACAAGATGGGGGGCGATCTCAATCTCAAAAAATCATGGCACCCAGTGCTCATGAGCAATCAAAAGAAAGTATGGGAGGAAGAAAGAAAAGCGCTAGAAGAACGCAAGAAAATCGACCAGATCATGAAGGAACGTGCGGAGGAGCGACAAATACAAGAACTTGAAGAGCTACAAGAAGCGGCCGGCGGGAAGAAGAGACAAGCTCGTGTCGACTGGATGTACTCTGGACCATCTAGCGGGCAGGCGGGTACTACAGAGGAGATGGAGGGATATTTGCTAGGAAAGAGACGCATTGACGGGCTCCTCAAAGGTAATGAGAATCAGAAATTGGAGAAATCTTCGAAGGAGGAATCATTCATGGCCGTGCAGAATGCGAACACGGCCAGGGACACGGCCGCTAAGATCCGGGAGGATCCCATGTTAGCCATCAAGAAACAGGAGCAGGCCGCATATGAGGCAATGATGAACGATCCTGTCAAACGAAGGCTCCTATTGAAAGCAGCAGGGAAGGAAGATCATGACACTGAGAGGGAACGCAAGCGGAGGAAACATCATCATCATCACCACCACCACCACCACCACCACCATCACCGACACCGTGACGACCGCGACAGGCGTGAAAGTTCTCGTTCCCATCGAGACCAAGATGACGATAGGAATGGTCGAAGTAGACATTCGCGAAGGAGGTCATACTCGCCATCAGAGTCCCGCTCCCGGTCCCCGTCACCTCCTCGAAGATCCGCGAGATCACGCTCTCCATATCGAAGAAGATGCTCAAACACACCCGAAGAGAGACGGAAACCGCGTTCACGATCAAGATCATACTCACCCCCTCAACCGAACGGACAAAGCAATGGAATTCGAAAAATGCCAAGTTGGCATTCCCCGAGGCCAGAAAGACCACGTTCTCGAAGTCCCCCTTGGGATTCAAAGTCTGCAAATGCAAAAAATGCAAATGCAGATGACAGGGCGGCAAGACTGGCGGCCATGCAACAGGATGCGTCAGATTTGGACCAACAACGGGAACGGAGGCTGGCCAATATTGCGGAGCGAGAGAGGACTGAACGGGAGCGAGATGAAGCCTCTCGATCGCGGAATGCCAAATATGGTGGGCGCGCAGACTTCATTGACCGCTTCCACAAGAAGGCTGGCGATATGAGCTTGGGGCAACGATTGGGACGGAATGGTGTACCGCAGAGGGATGATGACTAACGATAAACTCGGTGCTCGACGCCGCACAGGAATACCGGCAGCCATGTCATGAATGGATTTCACGCCCAGCCTTTGCCATGCATTGGATTTATTCGGAAATAGGACAAGTCGACGCTTCAACAACCTTTTCTAGATGTGCAGCACACAGATCCTTTCCCCTTGTTGAGAGAAATATCCCGCCTTCAATGAGCCACTCTTCATATTCTCCTGTCCTTGTTTGAGCAAAGAAGCTCTGTACTCTTCATCGTATTCTTTACCGTATTCCCTCGCGCCATCTAAGCTGTAGCATGCTGAAATGCCCGTCCTGGACAGTCCCTTGAGCGATTGATTGATGCATCTTAGCCTGATATTGACATATACTGCTGTCTGTTGCCCGAAGCGGGCTCGGAGTTACATCTCAAGCTTGAATTTGGGCTTTCGAGAGCAAATTTCGATCAGTCTTTGCAAAAAGAGACTCAATTGTCACCGTCTTCCCCGATGTTCAGAGCTGTCGGTAAATTGTGATATTCAATCCGAGTCTCGATTTCAAGTCTTTGGAGCCAGTCAGACAAAGCTGTCATCCCGCATTGGATCTGATATTTTATCTCAGCCCGACAATGGGAGCGAAAGCTGCCTCTTGATAGTAGTTGAAACCCATTCTTTTACTCATAGCACTGGGGCAGCCACAGAAATTATGCTGCCGTCTCTTGTCCAGTTGTTGTCACATTTTGTTCCTTGCCCCGCTTATATATGAAGACAAATATCCAGACTTTCATTCAACATCGTCAGCGTCGCGCGGTATTGGCCCCAAATATTCTTCCTCGTCTCAGCAGCATAGTCGTCATTCGAATTTCTCAACCTAAGATATCCCCCTTTGAATTAGCACTCTATCTTATAACACACATAACTGATTTTCTCGCGTTGGCGCTCTCGATTTAGGGTGATTGGTACATACATAGGCTTCGTCACCCCTCTTCTTCGCCAATACTGGAGATGCAGCAAGTTTTTCAAAATCTTGTGCTCGAAACCTCTATATGCACCAGCACATTCGAGGAATTTCAACGTGTTTTGGATGCGGCGCGCATTGAAGGCAGAGGGGGAATGTGTGCGGAAGGCTTCGCGGAGGATATCGCGGATCTCCCAGCGGGCAGGGCGTGAGTAGCAGACAGCTCTTAGGGCGGTGCGGTAGAGAGAACGATATGCGTGGAGGATGACGGTGGCTGGTACGCTGCTCATCTGGGAAATGTTATTGCGTTAGGGAAACAAGTTGACATTGACTGGCTCCCAACGAAGGAAGCAAAGGTCGCAGCGAATGGGAAATTCTACTCTTGATCCCCGATTTGCCCCCACCCCGGTGCAAGGCTGAACTCCAGAGTTCAGCGAACTGGCTTTAGAATATAATAAAGTTTCATAAGCGTAGACTGGAGTATTGTTCGCCGATCAAACATAGCTGAGATTACAATTCCAAGCGAGTTCATGAAGCCGTTTTAAAAAGCTAGTATTCGTGGGCTAGCATTCGTGGAAGACGTATCAATTGTGGGGGAGAGGTGGTGAAATGTACGCCATCTCTTCCAGGAGATCAGATGAGGCTCTCAAAGCCATTTGAAGGACTCTGTCCAAGTCCGCTGCATGGCTATTCCTCCAAGTAAATCATAACTGCTTCGCTCGCCGCCACTGGAACACGAATCGTTCTATTGGTAGCCAGGACGCTCCGCACACTCTCATGGTCGCTCATGACCTGTTTCCCGACCCCGTCATTTTCATCAGTGTTCCAACTCATGCCTCCCCAGGTGATACCTTCATTTGCATATGCATCTGCGCCGCATGGACTCGTGAGGGTTTTGAATTGCGCCGATTTCACGTTCGCTGGCACAGAAATCACGACATTCTGTACAGGCCGCGAGGACGATGATTGCGACGATGAACAATCAGATTTTCCACTCCAGAACTGCATATTCACAACGGCAACTTTGGCCAGCTTGCCACTTTCGTACGAGCCATACGCGGAGAGGACATCGGATTCGACACCCTTAAGTTCCAGCTCCTTCACCTGAACGGATCCACGCGAGCCAATGAATTCAGCGGCAAAGATCTGTCCGTAGAATGGCGCGAGGACTGAATCATTTCTAGGTTGCGATGGCGTTGAGAAATTAACACTCCACAACGAAAAGTCAAATACCACACCAGACTGGGAATTGATTTTGTTGACGCCAATGGACATTTGCTGCAGCATGAAATCGGCCTGCCACAGTGCCGAGCCCAATACCGCCTGGAGGTTTGCATTGCTGGAACCATTGCCGAGAGAGCTTCCAACCTCGGCGAGGGCGAGAGGAATACGGTCGTTGAGATTATTCAGGTAGCTTGCAGCCTCGCTGATTTTCTTCGAGCCTACCGTTATGGCGGTGTGGTTCATAATGTCCGATTGCAAGGTGGTATTTTCGTCAACTTTAGTTTGATAGTAATGGATAGAAGCTGACTTGATACGGGGAGCTTCCTTGACGAGTCCGGCTTGGTCGAAGATACTCGGAATCTCCCATGGGTTGTTTGGCTTGAAGTTTGGAAGAAGCGAGTTCGTAGTCATTGCAGAAATGGCGGCTGCTTGCCAGATTTTAGTCTTGTCGGTCATATTGAGGCTCTTGTCGATATCACTCGTCCACTTTGTCCACTGTGAGACATAGTCTGAAATGTTCCAGTCTCCTGGTCTGTTGCCCCCCGGGTACAGGTTGACTTCATTGCCCAGTTCAATTGCGAAGATCTTTTCTGACCCAATGATGCGAGAGGCCTCTTCGATAAAGAGTAACGAATTGCTATGATTCTCTTTGGCGAAAGGGACGTCAAGGATATATCTTGCTTCTGGGAAATTGGCGAAAGCACTCAAGTAAGATGGTCCGAAGGTCAGGTCCCTCGGAATTCCCGAAGTAGAATTGGGTGGGATGATTGGCTCCTCTTGATTTGGATCGTACCCGAATGAGTTATCTCTACAGCATTTGTTAGCAACTTTGCCCGAGCCCCTGAGAAGATCACTGACAATGAAGTTCCGCCAACCCGAATGATAGGAGTGGTCTTTGTCTTGTTCGTGATCGCCTGTACTAGGTTCTGAGAGAATTTGTTAGGTTTGCCATCCGGTCCTGTCTGCAGGTTAGTCTGCAGGTTGCTTCATGCTTTTTATTGTTGTTTTGGCCGTTGGAAGTCATACCGGCATAGTACCAGAACGATCTGGCCTCGAAAGCAAACCCTGCAAAAGCAGGATCAACAGTAGGGACAGTTCCAGTCGGTAAAGAGGGCGTCGGGGAAACAGTTATCGCACCGATGCTTGTAGTCACGGCACCTTGTTCTGCAGCCGCATATAGCGCACAGCTCAATATGACTACAGCAGCAGTTATGTACATGGCGAAGCCTTCAGGTCATAACTTGTAAAAATATGAATATCTCCATCATCATTCATCTTTTGCAAAAGAGCCGCACCAGTCGAAGTCATTTATTCAGATTCTCTAGTTGCATAGCCTTCTTTGATCTTCCTAATTTGCCTTGCCCGTAATCCGGATCTTGATGATTCTCCCGTTCTTGGTGGCCCTACTGAACGAGGGAATGGTTGTAGCGCAAGCCAATCATGGATATCCTGAGGAGGATTTGTCGATATTTCGAGCAATATTCAAAACAGTAGCTGAAATCTGGTGAATATTAAGGGGTAAGGCGTCCAGAGAAGGCTGTGGGTGATTGACGGAATTGCATAGCCAACATCGTGGTCCCTCCCCCAGGCTCATCTGCCGCAAAGCCGCAAAGCTGAATATTGCTAGCGAAGGTTACCCAGGGGGGCCTGACTGAGCAGTAGTAGGTCTGACGATAACAGCCTCGCTTATACTGCAGAAAACCTGACTGCTGCCTTTGCCATAAATTTCTGTCAGACCGAAAATTAACGACACAAAACTTCATGTTTGCTTCCTCACCTTTTGTCTGTTCGCTGTTTGTCATTCTACAAACTATGGACCAACCTAGTTTCCTAATTCCCCCACATAGCCTTGACGGGCGTCCATTGATGGGAGGCTGAGCTTGCCTAATGACGTTTGAATACCGCTCCCGATCACCAGATCGGTTGTCCTCATGTTTATTTGCTGCTCTTCTCAACCTAATCCCATGGCGGGTGAGCTTTGTGATATACTTCATATAGCTCCAGAGCCTTTTGCATTTAGCCGATGTTGCTGAATATACTTTTCCAATGATGGCCAGGAAACCAGAATTTTACTTCACCTCCCTCCTCTCAGCACTTGCCTGTATTGTCTTGTTGCTAAACAACGTCTTCTGCGTATTGGCAGACAATGGATCGAAGACGCCAAATGTTCTATTTATCATGTCTGATGACCAAGGTAGACACATCCTTGTCCAACAGAAACTGCCTCTCTAATCGGTGACTCAAGACTCACACATGAAGTCGATGGATTATATGCCACATGTCAAGAATCTCCTTGCAGCGAATGGAACGACTTTCCAGAAACATTATTGCACCACGGCGCTCTGCTGTCCTTCACGGATTAGCCTTTTTACCGGAAAATGTGTCCAGTGAGTGTGAAGATTTTAGGCAAGGGGACTAGCTAATACTCGAAGCAACACGAACGTTACCGACGTTCGGCTTCCATTCGGTAAGTTCAACATGTCGTGTGTATGCCCTTGGCAAAGGTCGCTCACCTCTCTCCTAGGGGCGTACCCAAAATTTGTCAGCGAAGGTCTGAATGATGACTATCTTCCATTATGGCTGCAGGACGGTGGAATCAACACCTACTATGTGGGGAAGTTTTCCAATGGCCATAGTATCCATAATTATAGGGATCCTGAAGTGAACGGTTGGACAGATAGCAAGTAAGGCATGTTCTCCATGGGGTATTTTAGATCATACTGACGCTGACTAGTTTCCTCTTGGAACCTGGGATGTATGACTACGAAAATACTACATGGGCACGAAAGGGACAACAATGGAAATCATTTCCTAACCAAAATGCCGTGACCATCACCGGGCAGTATGCTCTGGAAATGCTTAGCCAGGCAGCTAATTCTGGAAAGCCTTTCTTTCTCACGGTAGCCCCTACCGCGCCTCACGTGGGACTTAACGCGAGCGGGAAAGGATCATTCTTCCCCATTCCTCAGAAGAAGTGGGAGAATGCCTTTGGAGATGAGACCGTTCCTAGGGCTCCGAATTTCAACCCGCAGAAGCCCAGCGGCGTGTCATGGCTGCAGAACCTTCCCTATCAAAACGAGACGCTCATCGAACGGCTCGATCAGCTCTATCGTGCGCGATTGAGAGTTATCGCCGGCCTTGACGACATGGTGGCTGACCTTGTCTCGGCACTTGAGAAACATGGGATTCTGAACAACACACATATTATCTATACCACGGACAATGGTTATCATATTGGACAACATCGAATGGGCCCAGGAAAGAGAACTGGCTATGAAACCGACATCAATATTCCCATGGTCTGGAGAGGTCCTGGTGTACCAGTTAATAAAATCACAAATACCGTGTCGACTCACACAGATCTGGCACCTACCTTTCTTGACCTTTTCGGACTGCCTCGGAGGACCCAGCTGGATGGGTCTATCATGCCACTGACCGAGAGCGCGATGGATGCGAGTGTCGGGAGTCGTGTCGAGCACGTCAACGTTGAGCATTGGGGCGCTGCACACACATATGAAGTAGTAGCCCCTCACAAAAATTTCAATGTCGCTGGGGAACACAACAATACCTACAAGTCGGTACGGATCATGGGGGATGGTTACAACATCTACTATTCTGTTTGGTGTACCAACGAGCACGAGCTGTACGATATGACGACCGATGGATATCAAATGGACAACCTTCTCCCCAAAGTCAGAGACATCGCTCAGGTGCCGGATCGACAGCTACTCGGACGGCCACTTAGCAACGTTGTGGCGCGTCTGGACACTCTACTTCTGGTTCTCAAGTCCTGCCGTGGCAGCGAGTGTACTGATCCGTGGCGCCAGCTTCATCCTCAAGGAAATGTTGGCAGCCTCCGAGAGGCTCTCAACCAGCAATATGACGATTTTTATGCCTCTCAGCCAAAGGTCATGTTTTCTGCGTGTCAGGAAGGCTATTTGATCGAATTCGAAGGGCCGCAGACAGCCATGCAGTACAACGGTGGCGACTCCGGATTGACCCGCTAATGGGAAGATGGAGGTTGGTGCAACAAACGATCGGGAGTTTGGGGTTTTATCTGATTGTCGTGATTTCTTTCGTGACGTGGAAAAAAGAGTACACAATGGATACTCGTTGAAGTAAACACAGCATAGCATGTAGTTCTAATAATAGCGAATCCCCCAATAAAAGCGGCATGCCTTAAGCGCCGCCAAGCCTTTTGTTCCAGGCTGGCGACCTTGAATTCATCTTTTCCAGCGCAGGCGAACCTTTCTTTGTTTCCTTCTTTCTTCTCATCAACTCTGGACCCTTCTTCTGGCATCGCCGAGACTCACGCATTCTTCGTCTCTGGGAGCTAGAGTTCACCATCACCTGGATTCCCTTCTTTCTCAGGCAGGCTAGATCTCATCCCGAGATTTTACGTTGAAGGTCAACCACACTGGCTCTCCAGCTGCAGTTGATTTCATCCCGCAGCAATTGCTGCCACCAACGCCGGGAATACGACCTTTTCTGTTCGATTTTCTCTGTTCAACTAATATTCAGCCCCATTTAGAGTCCTTTGTTCGTTGATTTTCTCATGTTTTCGCCTTATGCCCTGGTTTTTACCATGTAGGTTGGATGCAGCCCGATCATGGCCAAAGTCAAACAGAAGGCGGCGAAGAAAGGCGCCGGAGGAGCCTTAACTCGAGGTCAGGCGGCGAAGCAAAGAAGAAAACATAAAGTGGTCTTGGAAGCGACGTCGAAAGAGAAGAACAAATTGAGGAGCGTGGTAAGGAAGAGACGCATTGCCCAAGGTGCTACTTACCTGGTTCGCCAGATCACATTCACTGCGGACCCTCCCCCGGGATACACGTTCATCCCGGCTGGTAATCCGGAACTTACGGCCGCGCTCAAGGAGTTTGCTCGCCGGGGGGACAACAAAATATTTGCCGTGACAGTAAGCCCTCACAATGATTCTCCCCCAAATGGCTACTGACAAAACCTAGACCACGCCACATGCTTCTCGCCATGAATTGTCCAGGGAAGTACATAGAATTGGATTTCATTTTCCTACCAGCGTTGTTGCCCAAGTATGTGCACACTATGGTATTCGTCTTACCAGTGGTGGGCAAGTCATCGACGAGTCAACGGACGACAAATTGTTCACGAAGGTCTATCAAAATGGCGAGCGCCCAGTCGAGGAAAAGGATCAAATCACGATCAACACCGAGGCCAAACAGACCATCAAAGATTTGTTTCCTAACATACCGGATAAGGACCTCTTTCAGATCATCAAGACAGCCTTTCAATTAGGCGACAATCGAGTGGGTACCGCCAACGAGATCCCTCTCGTTCGTAGGGCCCAGCTATCTGTTGTTGCCCACATTCGACATGTGTACACTCAATACGATCATCTTCTAAGAAAATTGGACTACAACGAGGCTCGACACATGGTGGAAAGGGACACGCTCACGAAGTTGATCGAATGGCGCGGAGACGATGACAGTGTGGATGAAACCACCCAACGTGCCGCTGACGATCTTCTCAGAGAGGTCATTGTCATCTCTGACGAGGAAGACAGCGACACAGACTCTGATGACGTTGAACAACTTGGTCAGGACCATGTCCAGGTTGAGGAGCTCCCTATCACTGCATATGGAAATGGTCCTGGCCGTCCAGCGCCTTCCATGCATGACTTCTATCGCGAAGAAGCAGCTCAGGGTTATCGCGTCCTGCCTCGCGTCGTGCGACGCTATAAGCCCACTGATGATGAGATTGCTCAGAGGGATCGCAGTAGGTACGCTGTTTGGGATCAGGCCAAACGAGATTATCGTTCTAGTGTCGCCCAAAAGCCACCTCGAGTTCTGGAACGGATATACGAACCGGAAGTTATTTCGGCATCTCGCATTCTCGTCCCTCTTGATCCGCCTGCATACCCCACCCGACAAGTCGTTCATGCTCCCGCTCCGTCATCCACAACGACAAAAATAGAATATGAGGTAAGCGCGGCTGTTCTCCGTGGCATTTGGGCCATTTTCGATGGAGAAAGGCGAATTTCCACACCAATTTTTTTTTTTTTTTTTTTTTTTCAGTCGCTGAACTTTCGCAGTCGCATCGTACCCGCCCACCGAGTCCGCGAACCTACATTAGAGATACAGATGGCACTCTGTACGAACGCATTATTGCTCGGCCGCGCGAAATCATCCCAGAATCAGCGCAACGACATTATGAACGTCCACCTCCAGCAATGTTACCTCCCGAAACACGGGTAAGAACTCGACCTCCCTCACCTCAACCCTTAACGTATCGAGAGAATCGTCACAGTGGAAATTTCGATGGAGACAGTACAGTTCTTCCATCTGTCGAAGGTCCCGATGGGGCGTATTTGTCTCCCAGATCCCATCGAAATCCTTCCGGCAGACATTCCGAACCTCGCGATATTAAACTTACTCGAGAAGAGATGGGAAGTCTGCGGGATCCCGTCTTCATTGACTCTGACAATCCTGAGCATTCCTTGAAGCGAAGACGAGTTGAAGAAGTACCACCACTGCCCGAATATCGCACTGTCAGAGAACCTCCTGTCAGGCACCGTGAGCGTTTCTTTTTGCCACACCCTCAATCAGCATCCACTCATGTTGAGACTCGCATTACTGATCATCAAGCACCACGCCAAAGTCCAAGACCGAGACCACCCGCCCCTGTCTTAGACACAAACAGATACGTTGAGCGTCAGCCCATCCGTGATACTCGTGATCTATCATACACTGATGCACCCATCCCAAAGTCCATGTCAGGGACAAATGGTTTTCGTGAGACCACGATCATGCAACCCCGCTACCCCTCCCGGGCGGGCATTGAACTTGAGACTAGCATACATAGGCAGGAGTTCGAAAACAGAGCCTCGGTTCCTGTTCGTCGTGTGTACGAACCTATTGATGAGCCTCGCGCCTACGATACTAGAACTGGGATGGCGCACAATATGGCCAGTGGTGAGCAGTTCGTGCAGTCTATTTCAAAAGAATCTCGCACACGATACACGTATCCAGCTGGAACCGTTGTTCGTGAACCCCTGGAGCCGATACCTCGTCAGCGTTTACTTGAGTATGGTTACCAATGAGAGAGGACGCCAAGTCTACCACAACATTTGAGATGAGATGGGATGAGATGATGCCATGCAGACGGTAAGAATTCAAAGCACATTTTCAAATCATAAATATGCCCCCTCCTGGTGTAGTGATGGACTGGCCATACTGACAAACGGTATAGGTGCTAGTGGGCTATAGAAAATGGCTCATGATCGCATTTAACGCCTCTCTTCATCCTCCGACGAATATCCTGTTGAATCTACTACTACCATAACCAGTCTTTTCAATATGCATTGCGGTGTGAAGGTTATTGTGCCATTTTGCATTTTTCAATTCACGCATTGTGAGGGAGTTAAACAACTATGGCACGGTCTTGATTCTCAGGCTAAGAGTGGGTCTTTGCCCAGCAGGTACGATTGATGACGGATACTCAAAAAGTATGAGTAGCTGGTGGCATAGTGCGAGTCTCATACTCGTATTTTGGAGTGATACCAATGGTCTTTGGTGTAAGGTCAATGATGGGTGGTGGTGTAAACCTTCAGCAAATCGAGAAAGGAACATTGATTTCAAGACAGAGAGAAATGTACAAAACCCTAGACAAGAAATCAATTGCTCTAATGATCAATATGCTGTTGTCTTGCCCGTCTGAGATGGGTATTGTATATAGAGCCCCAACGCCAGACTCAATCAGTGATGGTAGTAAATTCGTGGGTGGTGCGCTCCCCCGCCAGTTGTTGTCATTGTCTATGGAAGTTGTCTCTGATTTACACAGCCATAACGACACCGTCAGCCTCTCCTGAATTGACGGTCTTGCCCGTCTTCTTGATCTTTTCGAGCACTGTCTCGTACGAAACGGAGTCTTCAGTGGTGATGTCTGCGGTCTGCGTATCAAGGGAGACGGCGTATTCTTTGACTCCTGCTTGTTGTTTGCGGATTTGTCAGCTTGACTGGTTATTCCAAACAAACGATTGCGCGTGACTATATGCAATTGTAGACTGAGGAAGAGGGAAACGTACCGTCGAGTTTCTTGAGCACGCGCTCCACTGCGCCGGAGCAACCGTTGCAGGTCATGGTCACGTTGAATTTGTAATGGTGTTCGGCCATTGCGAGGATTTTGTGAGAAGGAAAGAAAAGGATTGATGTAGGTAGAGGAAGATATCTTCTTGTTCGAAGAGAGGAGAGAGGTGTCTTTGTATGGCAGTAGAGATCAATGCGCTGAGGTTCTTGTGCGTAATTCTGGCCTGGGTCTGATCTTATGTACTTTTGGGCCGAGTACGTGAAACCATTGCAAAAGGGGTGAGAGGAACCGGGCTTGACTAGTTAGATCCAGACCTAGGCCTAGGTTGCTGTGGGAAACTTGCTCACAAAAGGTAGTGCCTGGCAGTATTAGTATGGGGCCGTAGGCATGTCAATTGGTAAGTCGCACTATCCTGGTGAGAGCCTGCGGCAAGCAGTAGCAGGGCGTTTGATAATACAGACTCCAGTTTCTATGTTTGGTCTTCAGTTTCACCCAGACACTTTGTAGTGGGGATTGCGTGACGCGCCGAAAAGAAGAGGGGGAGCAGAAGACGAGGCAAACAGGGCAAACAGGGCAAACAGGGCAAAGCAAAATCGAGGCCTTTCCGCTGCCACCTCCTCCTTGCGATGTCTCCATTCGTTGAGGAAACACCATGCTATGCGACGACTGTCGAGAATTGATTCGGCAAGCTGATCGAGCTTTTACTTCTAGCGAGGACTCTTCTCATTCGGCGGTCAAGCGAGAAGTCACGACCACTGAATTCCAGACTGCTCTTCATGGTAAATGCTACCTTTGCACAAGGCTGCTGATCCAGCTGGGAGATGCCAAGTGGTGGCATATCCTGTCGGATTTGCCAGATAGAAATCTAGTTGCCTTCGACAAATCTGCGAGTTGCCATCCCCCTTCTCTGATCCTGGTAAGACTGGGATGTAAATTGACTCCCATCATTGGGCGAGATATGGGGGGGCAGCCTGTGCTGGGAAAGACTTACTCTTATGGATACTTGCAAGTGGCTGTTTTGCCTCGACTGGAGAGGTGGGCTATTATTTTCTTTTCTATTGTTCCTTCTCCTTCCTCTCATACTATGTAGTGCCAGTTGATATCTGATAGGGACCTTTATCAAGTCCAAAACCACCACCTCCAATCTTCGAAGAAGTCAAAAGTGCGACTACCACGTCGGACCCTCGAGTTCTTGATCTCATTGTCTATTGGCTTGAGAGCTGCACGTCACCGCTCGCGCATCCACTATGCAACCGGCAAATACAGCAGCCGTTGTCCTATCCTAGCCGTCTGATCGACGTGGCGCCAGAGAATACACCGGCGGGGTATTGGCGATTGGTGGAAGTGGCGATGGGACATATAACAGGTCCATACATGACTTTGAGTCATAGATGGGGCTCTGGAACCGTGAAATTGGAACACAGGACCCAAGCTGACATGCTTCGAGGCATGCCTCTGTCGGTTTTACCAGGGACGTATCAGGATGCCATTCGAGTGGCACGGCATTTGGCAGTCCGGTATCTGTGGATTGACTCTATGTGTAATCTTCTCCACGGCCGAAAAGGTTCGAGTCTGGAGGATCTAATTCTTTTTTCACAGGCATTTTCCAAGATGAGCGTCTCGATATCCAGAAAGAGGCATCTCGCATGGCAGAAGTCTTTGGGAATGCCTTGGGTAATATCTCAGCTCTGTCCGGGAAACATGACGGTCTTTTCTGCACTCGGTCCCCCGAATTGGTCAATAGTGACAGCGTTCTCTTGAACCAGGATGGCCTCCGCCTCAACCGATCCTACCTCATGAACGACCTGCAACTATGGCGGGGGGAGCTCCTTCACATGCCACTCACCACGCGCGGCTGGGTTCTGCAGGAGGAAGTCCTCGCCCCTCGTACAATCTATTTTGGCGCCCGTCAGGTTCTATGGGATTGCGCAGAGTTTCGCGCGTGCGAGACGTATCCTTTCCTGCAAAGAAAAATGCCTCTCCAACAACCGGCCCATTTCAACCAGAAGCACCAGTTTCTACACGATGAGGAGATTGCCCCCATCACGTCGGTGCTACAGGTCGCCCGAGCGTCTTTGCACGACCGTGACCATGACCATGCCTCCGAATTGTTCCTGCCTGGACAGCAGCAGATGTTGTTCGACGTGTGGACACGCTTTGTGGCGCATTATTCGCTGCGTGTCTTGACTTTCCCCGTCGATAAACTCCTCGCTATCGCAGGGGTCTCGAAGCTGTTTGGCATGGTCATGCGAGACCGGTCTGTTGCGGGTCTCTGGCGCCTGCATCTCATGGAAGGTCTCCTCTGGTACATCCGCATGAATACCAGCACCTCTCCCCCGGCCGCATATCGTGCTCCTTCGTGGTCATGGGCAGCGAGCGATGGCTACGTTATCCACGCCGAACCCTTCAACACCTCCTGGACAGTCGCGAGGGCCCTGAATATAGAATGCCAAACCGTTGGCGGAGACGAGTTTGGCATGGTTGCCTCAGCGAAACTCGAGATCCAGGCACCATGTCTGCATATGTCTGTCGACGAGCAAGGCGAATGGACCGCTTCCTACCTTAAATATAAAGTTCCCCGTCTCATTGTACGGCTTGATACGACAGAGGGTTTCAGCTCCACCGGAGAATTTCTCGGTGTCATCATCCGAACTACCGCATATAGGCTGACTGACAACCAAGCGGGCCCGGGAATGAGAATAAGGACGGCGGCGTCAACAAATAAGATCCTGCTCGCAGCGCAAGGGATAATTATTACGCCTGCAGGGCATCGCCAGCACCTTGGTATAGTAGGAGCTGAGTATAGACGGATCGGATACTTCGCGCTCGAGGACCGGAAAAGTGGCAGCCTCACGCCCAAGTGGGTGCCGGAAGACTGTAGGATCTTCCCCGAACCTCAACCCCAACCTTCTCGATCAGAAGACGGGCAAGGACAGGGGAACTTGAAGGAGTTTGAGTTTGATAAGCCATATGAGCATTTGAGGGTGTTGGAGATTATTTAACCGGAAGTCACCTTTCAAGCTACGTGGGTCAGAAAATGAGGGCATCCTTACTCCACATATATAACCTTGAGCTTGACAATTTTCTAATTCAGATATGTACTGTACTATACTCTGACTACCCCATCTTTTGTCCACTCGAGGTCACGCCCAGGAACCGACTCACGCGACCACCACGGTGTGGAAGGTATCGGTTCCGTCGCTCAGCGGTGATGTTCACATCATCTATCCACAATCTACAACCTACTCCCCAGCGAAGTATCCTTGACCACACTCCCCTTCTGCGCCTCCCACACGGCATTCCATATCTGCATGCCTCTCTCCCACAACGCGTCTTTCACATCGTCTCTCACAATGCCGTCCTGATCCAGCCAGCGCATTCGGCTCTCTTCGCTATTCGTCCATGCGGACTCACCGTGCAAATACCGTCCAAAAGGTTCAAGAAACTTCGTGGCCACCGCTTTATCGGTGTCCGTGTAGTCCATGCCCCAGCCTGTCGCCCACCAAATGGGTGTGTCGCCGCTATGACACACGCCGACTTCGGGCTTGTACCATTTATCCAAGGCCTTTGCACGCCACGAGATGCGGTAGCGATGCAGTCTGCTCGGCGGTAGCGACGTCACGCCCTTTTCGGCAGGCGGATTCAGCAGAATGTGTGCGAGTCCGCGTAACGAGGCGTGGACCTGGGCATCCGCGACGATCTGGCTGAAAACCTCGGCCCAGGCGGCGGCGTCGGTCGAGTTTGGCGCAGGGATTTTGTACAGAGGCAGGAGAGCATCGACGACGGGTTTGGGATAGTAGTTCACAAGCTGGGTAAGGAGGGCAGCGTGGTTTGAAGGCGGGTTGACGAGCTTGTACAGTTCCTTTTCGTCACTGACTTCGCCGAGGAGCACGGAGGTACCGTTTTGCGCCAGCCGCGTGGTGAAGGAGCCCGTGTGCAGGGATGAGAGAAATGTCGGGGGGATGAAGGCACTGTCTGTACTGGCGCGGAAAGTGTGCATTTTCATCTTCGATAGGGCTGAAATGAGGTCTTGGGCGGGCACGGCGCGGAGGGAGGCGAGCTTCCCCTTCGCCGTGGCGGAAGAGGGAATGTTCAGGATGGAGCAAAGTTCATTGAATTGTGAGGTCAGGACTGCCGAAGTCGTGACGTTGGGTTGGATGGCGACAGCATTGGACCAGAGATAAATTCGTCTGATGAGTCGTTTGCCAGGAGGTAAGAGGCTATCGTAGTAGAGTTGGAAGAAGGTCGAGTTTGCGCCGGCTGAGAGACCGCCGACGGTAATGTTCGATGCGTTGCCGCCAAAGAGGGAGATGTTTTTTGCCGTCCATTCGAGGGCGCAGCGCTGGTCCCAGAAACCATAGTTGGAAGGTGCTGGGTCTTCGCCGAGCGAGGCGAGGTCTTCACCTGCTAAGAACCCGAATAGATTCAGTCGATAGGTGGGGGAGACAATGATTCGCGGCGTCGTGTCGGCGAGGAGGTCGAATGGATTGTGATCGTTTTGCTGCATGGCATTCCCGATTTGAAGCCAACCTCCATGGATGTGGAATTGGACGGGCCAACCTCCTTGGGGAGCTAGGCCGGCGGGCACCCAGATATTCAAGTAGAGGCAGTCTTCGTTTTGAACGTTGTCGATGGACGGAGCGGCGTTGGGGTTCTTCACCATTGCTAGTCCATGCTCGTAGTGTGGTTGGGGACATATTGGGCCAAATTCTGTGTAGTCGCCTGGCTCACCGGTTAGAGTGTTGAAGCTGGAATCGGATGGCAGAGGCTGTGGACGACGCCATCGTCGCGACCCTACCGGAGGTAGAGCATAGGGGACTTTGGTGAAACGGTAAAGAACAAGTTTCCCAGAAGGGTCCCTCTGTTCGATGCCCCGGAGGCTGCCCCGGGAGGTGTGGAGGGTATATGGATGAGATGTCGACAATGATTGTCGCATGGTGGTGGTGTCGCAATCAATCCCTAATGTTAAAGGCCGCAGTTGACTGAGTCACCGTCTAAATAACCTGCGATATCACAGAGTAACTGGCAACAAAGATGGCGAGTTCAGCCTCTCAGCACTGCCAGATGTGCTCAATTAAAAACTCTTTTGATTCTACCGAGGAGATTGAAGCCGTTTTGTCGGCAGGAGATAACCGTCGTGGCTTGTCCATGTCACAGCAGGACGGGGGTTTATTTATCCCCGCTCGCGGGCATGTTTCCGCTGCAATTGTATATCCAATCCAGTTGCCAACCGAGGGCCTAGAGAGAAAGTTTGTTGCAATATGCGATGGCTCATGAGTCGCCGATTGTTCGTTATGTTTAACATTGTTTGGGAATTCACCGTCACATCTGGTCGTCTGAATCCTCATCGGCGACATTGATAGAGTTATTCTCCGTGGCCCTACCGTATAGCGTGTCTTCCTCTCTACCGAGAAGCGGCACAGTCTCTTTGGGATCTTCAAAATATGGCGCGTGATGCTCATGATCAGAGGTGAAAATCCATGTAGCATGATTGAACGAAGAATCACAAAACAGACCACTGGCCAGACAGTCTCCAGGGCCTCACGGTGGAATGAATTGTTTAGTTCGATCCGGAAGAGGCTCTGGGTGTTCCGTTCTCAAGAAAAGCCCTAGCCTCAATGGCAAAAAAGGGCCCCAACCCTCCATGTCTGAGGTGTCCGACAAATATGGCTTCCTGGTATTCTTGATATCCGGAATGAGCCTTTTCAGGACCATCAGCGCCGATAGTCTTCTCAACAAGAAAATGAGTGCCACATAAAGAATCATCTCTCCGGAAGCAAGCTTATCTTTGTACAGCCGTCACGGTATCATGGAACCAAAGTAGGCGAACATGGTTGAGTTGAGTAACGGATCGAGTATACTGGGCAATTCCATTCTCAACGTTCTTGACGAATACCAGCCACCCAACGGAATGTCCCCCCGCGCGGAAGCAAACGTGGAAGTCGTCTAGGCGCAGAGTACCTTCCTACACCAATGCAGAAAAGCACAAGAAGAAGGTAGAAAACAAATAATAGGGAGACACTGCCGGAGAAGCAGATCCGAGACCCATATCCCGATCCCGCTGTGCGGCGGAACCGGCCATGTGTTAGAGTGCCTCATGGTGGAATCATAATGATATGAAGGCGTGGGAGCTAGGCAATGATCTAAATGACAGTGAGGCAGTCAATACAACATCGACGAATCGCACTTTGAGGAGGCATGAAGGTAACATGCGATTCGAAGGGTGCCAGTTAGCTGGTTGGCATATTTGTCTTCATGATCGAGGGCCGCCCCATGATACTATGGCGGCACCGAAGACTGCATAGAGAAGTGGGAAAGATGTGCCATCATCGCATCCCGATTCAGCTGCCATTACGTGGCGGATTCGTTTTGGAACTCTTTGAGAAAATCTCGCTTCAGCAATCACACTGGCCGAAAGAACCGGATCTGTAGGAGTAAGACAAGCTGCCACAACGAAAAGCGGTGATCCCAGAAGTGCCGAGTCCAACGCTCACTGCAGTCGCTGTAATAATCCATCCAGCGATCATATTGGAACAGGAGCGCGACAATCATCCAGTGCCGTTTCATGAAGCCTGCTGGAAGATCAACGCCCACTGCGAAACACTCAGCTCTGGTGATGATCGTTGTAAGTTCTTGGATGATATTGTCTTCCCATTCAAATCTGTCAATCAGAACAAGTGCTGTGGCACCTCGAGGACCAAATATAATATCTGTGAGCGTTGCTAGACCCGGTCCGGAAACTTGGACTTGGTTTCGTATTCGCCTCAAGAACGATAGATGGAAGATTAAGAAAAATAGAAGGAGCAGATATAACAAGGTTCATCAGTTGGATGCGGACAATCATCTCCAGCTGTTGAACCCAGATAGACTTGCATCTCCCGATCCAGTCTATGATGATGCCTTGATACGTCAGTGGTGGCTTGAACAGACCTAAAGCAACTGTGGCAGCCAACGGGTGGAGCCCTGATGCTATCGCTTCGGGCGGCCATCTCTGGGGTTCTTCCGGCGAGGCAACAGGCTATTTTTAAGTGCCCTGCCCTTGCCGGTTTCCGTTATACGTTTGCACGATGCCCTTTTCCTCGGCTCGAGGCTTCTCCTTCATGTATCCATTCACGATTGGACCAGCGCTATGGAGAAAAAGCTCAAGAGAGACGGAGAAGATAGGATCTCATGTAAGCTGTCAATCAGTCTGTCTTCCGGATCAGCGGTGGCTCGAACTACATCGAAGAGTGGCAGAATGTGGACCACGACCCTGGCCTGATTATTTGTGATGGTCGAATGGGAGCGGCATTGAAAAAATCGGTCGATTATTGGGCCTGTTGGCATTTTCATTGGATGAAATATGGCGGAATAAAGGACCATTGTCATGGAACAGCAAGGTCCTTTTTGTCAAGCACAGTCTGCATCAGTTGTTTGACCAAGGAGCTTGATCAGCAACTCAACGGATCTCCTGACCGAGCATTTAATTTTAGTGGCGCAGGGTTTTGATTGTTGGGTCACGCTGATGATCAAACTGGTGACTTTCCGAGAGTTAGGCCGTGGGGTCGACTCGTTGGCAAAATGTCACGTTTGTGATCAAGGTATTTGCTTCCATGGTGCAGTAGAATGGCTCGGTTTGACCAATTGAGGGTGAGATGGCGGGAAATATGAGATAAAATGATGCCCAACGGATGAGGCAAACAGGTCGAGAGGACAATTGCTAATAGGAACGAGGTGGAGATGGAAATGAGCGTGGAGCTGAATCCTTCATGCTCTGTACCTTTGGGACTGGATGTTTGGGTGTATGAATTGGCGAATTCCGGGCGTGCCTGGTGGACTTCTACGGGGCCAAGATACCGAAACGGCATGCCCGGAGTCGACGGGGGGCCGCCTGGAGGCTGCCCCAGGGAAAACTGACCTGGGCGCTCTCCGGGTACTTACAGCAACAGTCGTAGGCGACCGTGCCGGTCTCGGAAGTCCCGCTGCTACAGTGATTTGCCGGTTCGCGTGGGCAGCAAAAAGGCAAACAACTAATTATACTCTGTAGTTAGAGCAAGCCAAGCAGACAGAACCCACCTTTACTACAAGGGCTGGGGATGCCACTTGGTGAGTGAAAAGGGTAACAGTGAAGTCTACTCATCGGTGAACAGTGTTCAGCAAATCAAAGGGCGCAAGCGAAAGTGGCACCGCCTCTTTTCACACTAGGAGTTCTGGCACTCCCACTCTGCAGAACCTCGCTCCTCCTTTTACGACAAGACTTACAACCACCACGTCTTCTCTTCATCCCTCATTCCCTCTCCCCTTCTGCAATTCATCCCTCTCGGTCTCATTTGGACCAGCTTGACGACTTGTGAGCACCGACTCACTTGTCATCGAGCTATTCAATTCACTTTTGGCCTTATCCAGCACTCGGTTAGTTAGTCATCTTTTCTTTCTTGCCGCACAGCCGCCGTCTCTCGCCTGCAACCCACCCTCAAATCTCAGACTTCCAATTGCACCTCAACTTCTTCTTTCCCTCTTCCCTCTTCTTCTCACCCCATTCTTACGCCTCAGAGCTCCGGCATGGTCACACCTACTTGAAGGGCCAGTCAGCAGCTTTGAAAACTTTGATGCACGTCCTCGTTGTCTGCTGTTCACAAGCCCCCTGCTAACGGACGTGAAAACAGGCTGAGATCGACATAATCTCGCGTTGCGTCCACAACCCTCCCGCAAACCACTCGAAATCCTCCAACGCCCTTATTTTCCCTCTAGAATCACCTCTTCCCTCGTCGATTTTATTGCAGCCTTCCTGCTGCTTGCCATACAGTCAAGATGACGACCATGGTATGTGATAGCCCTGCGATGTTTGGTTTCAGATCTGAGACTCGGCTGTCAAGAGTTGGAGCACAACATCACCCTTGAAATCATATCAGAAAATGTTCGTCTACTGATACCTTCTGTGCAGGATTTGCGTGTCGGTAACAAGTACCGTATTGGACGAAAGATTGGCAGCGGCAGTTTCGGCGATATCTACCTGGGCACCAACATCATCTCTGGTGAAGAGATTGCCATCAAGCTCGAATCCGTCAAGGCCAAACACCCCCAGTTGGAGTATGAAGCCCGTGTGTACAAGTCTCTCGCTGGCGGGGTGGGAATCCCCTTTGTCCGCTGGTTCGGCACTGAATGTGACTACAATGCCATGGTTCTCGACCTTCTCGGCCCTAGCTTGGAAGACTTGTTCAACTTCTGCAACCGCAAATTCTCCCTCAAGACTGTCCTCCTTCTGGCTGATCAACTCATTTCTCGAATCGAATACATTCACGCCAAGTCCTTTATCCATCGCGACATCAAGCCAGACAACTTCTTGATGGGCATTGGCAAGAGAGGCAACCAGGTTAATGTCATCGATTTCGGTTTGGCAAAGAAATACCGTGACCCCAAGACTCATTTCCATATTCCATACCGTGAGAACAAGAATCTGACTGGTACGGCGCGATATGCCTCGATCAACACTCACTTGGGCGTCGAGCAATCTCGTCGTGATGACATGGAATCTTTGGGCTATGTCATGCTCTACTTCTGCCGTGGTTCTCTTCCGTGGCAGGGCCTCAAGGCTGCGACCAAGAAACAGAAGTATGATCGTATCATGGAGAAGAAGATGACCACCCCCACCGAGGTTCTTTGCCGTGGATTCCCAAATGAGTTTGCCATCTACCTCAACTACACCCGTTCCCTCCGCTTCGATGACAAGCCGGACTACTCCTACCTGAGAAAGATCTTCCGGGACCTCTTTGTTCGAGAATCCTTCCAGTACGACTACGTGTTTGACTGGACTGTCTACAAATACCAGAAGAACGCTCAGGCCATTGCCCAGGCAGCCGGAAACCAACCCACCCAGGAGGAAGAGGAGAAGCCACGACGGGGCCACACGGGAACCCAGGCGGCGACGGGGGCTCCGACCCCTCATAATGCTTCCCAGGCCGGCAAACCAGCAGCCATATCCAGCTCCCGACGCAAGGTCATCGAACGCGGCACTAGCGGCAACGACCAGGGAGGAAGTGACAGGATGTGAGTACTGAAACCTTCGGTTCCGTGTAAGGGATCTCCTCTGCGTTCTGCTTCGGTTTGCGTAGAGGTTTACAATGGCATCTGACTAATCTCTAGTCTTCGACGTTAGGCTTCGTTCCGGAACAAGGATAACCACTGGCAACGGCGATTATCGTTGAATCGGAATGACGGCTTCGTGTGCTCGACACTGAACTCGTTTCTCCAACTCGGAAGACATTTATGTCAACACAATGGGTATGTCGGATCCGGCGCGGGGTTTGCTCTAGCACATGGCAAATCCGGAACGGAAATATGGGACAACGCAGACTTTTTATCTGAATGGCCACTCTGCTCAACTCCACATGCAATACGTTAACGACTACCAATGAGTTATGGGACTCGTCGACTCGTCATGAGCACGCTTGCATGTGACATCAGACATCAACGAAGTTTAGCGACATACGACAGTACATCAGCACCACTGCTGCCCATTCACGCAGGACTGATATGAGAGCTTTGATTCAACTATCGGCCTGCTCTACCACGACGGTCCAATATCGACCCTTTATCTATTTCGAAATCACCCACGACCAACTCTCCATACACCTCAGCAAGTTTTCCTTTTTGTTATTGGCTTCACGAATATGCACAAATAAAGAGTACTGTCTCATCGAATAAGATCATGGGAAGGAACGAAAATTAGCTCGAATTAGGCTTAAAAACGTCCCAGGCATGGAGATGCTCTGAATCCCTGTGGCGACTTCGAGTGAAATTTGAAGGAAACAGAAGCTGGCGATGGAATTGTTAGGGGCAGCTTCTGGGGAGGTTTATGGACAGTAACTCATTGCTTTCTGAGGAAATAACATAATTAGCGACGAGGCAAACAAGCCTCAGATCTGGCTAGCTAGTCCGAATCGTATTAATGTGCTAAAAAAAAAAAAAAAAAGCCTGCCTTTTCCCAACTGATTGGAGCAGTGATCAGCCACCACGGCGCCTTCTCATATGGCAGACTCTGATATTCGAGGCGCCAGTGGGCCTGTGACGATTGTAAGCAAGCTCTTTGGCCTTGGAGTTGAGGCTCTCGGTTGATCAATGTGCATCTGCGGGGGGACAGATGCATGGGCCACTCAAGCTGCTCTGACTTTTTTGGCTCAATCTGGTGCCACTTTGTCTTGCCAGCCACTCGAGTGACAGGCCATTTCGCTGGTTGAAGATTGAACTTCAAGGTTCTGAGACAAGTTAGAATGCATCTGTTTCAGGGGTAGCTCTTTTCGCTGACTACCACAGTGTCAAGTAAGGCGCACCTCTTTTTGCAGATCCAGATCCTGGATAGCGGCTAGGTCAGCAATTAAATGTAAACCTGCATTTCCCAGCCTGCGGTTTACCATCCACGGTCTTTGCCGACCTCCCTTTCCCTTTCGCTTACCAATTGACTGCTCATTGACATCCGACGAACCAGTATCCGAATCGAATGGACCTCGAAACGTGAGCTGCGGTTGACAAAGGGCCTTGGAAACTTCAGACCGACTTCCTCTGTCTCTCCCATACAAGCTGATCACCAGGTCGCCGGTTAGTTGTCGCCCTATCTCATCGGTTGTGTCGCTGCGCTTCCTTTATATTCCCCTTTTCTCATTGGACTCGAGAAAATGTGGCTAACCTCTGCACTCCAGCTGCCTTAGGATCGCAGAGATACGAACATCCTGTATGAGACTTGTTCAGTAATTAATATTCAAGACTCGGGTGTCGTTGGTGAGTCGGCGTTCATTTGTGCTCTGCTCGTGTCAAATTGCAGATTATTGGGTCTATGGGCCAAAGAGGAATCGTCTGCATTCCTGTGGGAGGTGTAAGAATATTTGCAGGCAGGCCCGGGATGACCATATAAATCGCGTGGAGTAGAGCGTGAGTCTTTACTTTCCCTAGTTCCTTCATCATTGAGGTTTCGTTCCATCGCAGGAATGATGACACTTGCAGAGCACATACAGCAGCTCGCTTCAGCCTTGTCATGATGTAGGAATTGCTGACATTGGAAAAACTAGGAATAGTTTGAAAGGATTCATGAATAGCATAGGAGACCAGCACGACTCACTATCTGACCAGATCCAGCTCCCACGTCTATTTCTTCGCGCCCCCCTCTGTGGTCGGAGTGCTGGCCTTGGACCCAGGGCTAACTTGGTTTTTAAAAAAAGAGAATAGATCACCTGTGACGGTCTCTGTGGACTTCACTGTAGCTCTGGTACATCTCTACGAACGCATATTCCGACTCCATTTAGCATACGTTGCTCAAACATTACAATGGTTGAGCTTCGCAAGCGTCCTCCTCCTAAGGAGACTGCCACGCCACCTCCAACAGCTAAACGTGGCAGCACCGCCAAAAAGCCAGCTGACAAGGCCAAAGAAACCATCACTTCAAAGGGTGGGAAGAAAAATGGCACTACTCCTGCTAAAGAACCGCTCACCAGCGTTGCTCCAATCCCCGACGTCGCTGTGAGAAGCGCCAATGGCAGAGTCAGTGGGAAAATTACAGTTGGCGAGACACTGGAGCTCGATGGGTTCGGCGGCACTGTCCAGACCAATGATGGGACCGATGTCACGCTGAAGGAGTTGTTGGAGAAGAGTCTTGCGGGTGTGGTCATTTTCACATATCCCAAGGCTAGTACACCTGGATGTAAGTGCTATCAAATGTCTGACACTCCTCATAAAAAAAAGGAAAGGAGGGGGGGTGGGTTTGATTAGAGTTAACACCTTCTTTGAATTGTGCTACGAGCAAGGACTAAGGGAACGGATTGATTATAGGCACAACTCAAGCATGTCTCTTCCGCGACAATTATGCCCCTATTACTGGAGCATCTCTCTCCGTCTATGGACTGAGCACCGATAGTCCCAAGGCAAATACGGCTTTCGTCACCAAGCAAAATCTACCTTATCCGCTTCTGGTATTATTCCTTCCCAACGTGCCTTGATCTAGGCGTTCAGGTGAAGCTGATACAGAGTTTTATAGTGTGACCCAAACGCCACGTTGACGTCTGCCATTGGCATGAAGAAGCCTGGCGCCGGCAAATCTACCACCAGAGGCGTTGTCATTATTGACAAACAGGGTGTCGTTCGTCTCTGGGATCAGGCAGGGCCAGCGAAGACTTTGGAGGCCGTGTTGGAATATATCAAGAATCAGGGAATGACTGAGACTGCCGCTCCAACGGCCGCCGCGGCTTCCCCGGCTGATAATCCCGTTGTTACCGAAGAGGCTGCGAAGCTGGCAGATCCAGATACTAAGATGAATGAGGTTCCTCTGGCGAAGACTCCATCGAAAGAAGAGCAGGAAGCTGCTGCGACTGCAGCAGAGGTGGGAGAGACTGCGGCCAAGATCGATGCCTCGGTCGATGAGCTCAAGCCATGATTCGTCCCTGTGAAGGCAGCATGAACACGTTCTGAGCCCATAGTGGATTTTTGTCCTGGTTGGCCGTTGATGGAGTGTTTTCATATGCTGGCGATTCCTGGTGTCCATGCTTTCCCTATTCTTTGCAGCTCATTAATGAATCTCTTGCTTGTGATCTCGGGGCTCTTGCCTCCGCAATTGGCGATTTGGAGAGGCGTTCGGTCGTCAGGTGCGTAGAACGGATTCAGCATGAGCTGGATATATGCCGTCTGAACGGCGCGGAAAGCCGGTTTCAAGTCAGCATCTCTCAATCCTACAACGGGCGGAAACCATTTCTTGTCTTCGTCCGGAGCTGGTGGGCGGCCCATCATATCTACTACAATAATAAATTTTATCCCCGTGTTCGTGAGCCAGCCATACGCAGCGAGTCGTTCGTCAATGGCTTGTAGAAGACCTAGGTCTTGGTCGACAGTTTTGGTCTGTGAGCGGATGTCGAATATGTCTAGGCAGGAGTTGAGGAGGAACGTCATATCCAGGTCTTCGTCTTCGTGCGGCGGGAAGAGAGAGATGTGTAGCGGGTTGTCCTGAGGAGAGTGTTAGTGTTTAGGTAGTAAGATTGTAGGCGGCAATGGGCTTGCATGTTTGCCGATGATGCCAATGCAAGCAATGGCTGGCGCCGAATTGAGAGCCATCAAGTAATAGAGGTCAAAGACTTGGTAGGAGTTGAAAGTATTGATAAAAGTTATCGCCGCTCGGAGGGCTGTGAACGAAGGAAAAACCAGCCAATGAACGAGCTTGGAATGTGATTTGCTCCGTGGAGCGAACCCCGAGCGAGGTATTATCAATTACAACTGTCCTTTCCTCTCCTCGACGCTCTCTTCGGTTCTTCTCAGCGTCCAAATCTCCCCTCTCTTTGACAGTAACGTCGCCTCTTCTAGCAAGATGATGTCTCTATCGAGGACAGTGGCTCCTCGAGCCCTCCGAGGTACGAACTTCAACGTCAAAAGCTCCTTGGCACGACCTTGGGAACGTCCTAATTGACAATTCCACAGCTTCCACCACGGCTCCCTTCTCATTAATTCGCGCAGTTCCCGCTGCCTCGATTTCCTCTTCGTCCTCGAAATCCGCAACTTCTGTTACACCGGCTCCAACCTCGGATGATACGTCGCGATTACCAGTAACGGGTGGCATTCGTCGCGAAGTGCCCCTTCCCTCTCAAGAGAAGAAACAAGGCGCCATGCAATATGCCCTCACTACACTGGACCAGATCGCCAATTGGGCACGACAAGGCTCATTGTGGCCTGTGACTTTCGGTCTTGCGTGCTGCGCCGTCGAAATGATGCACCTGTCTACACCCCGCTACGATCAAGATCGTCTTGGAATTATTTTTCGAGCTTCTCCCAGACAGAGTGATGTGATGATTGTGGCCGGTACTCTCACGAATAAGATGGCTCCCGCCTTGAGGCAGGTCTATGATCAGATGCCCGATCCCAGATGGGTTGTTAGTATGGGAAGTTGTGCGAACGGAGGTGGTTATTATCATTATAGTTACAGTGTCGTGAGGGGATGCGATCGGATTGTCCCGGTTGATATTTATGTTCCCGGGTGTCCGCCAACGAGCGAGGCCTTGATGTATGGCATTTTCCAGCTACAGAAGAAGAGTATGTTGTCTCTCTCCCCCCCTTGGTCTTCTCATGGCTAACCAGGATTTCAGTGAGACATACTCGGATCACGAGGCTTTGGTACAGACAGTAGCCCGAACGAACGGAAAATTCAAAAATGATATCCACACTTTCGTTTGGCGGGTACGGTGTTTTCGGGCAGGGTCGTCCGGCCTGTGTTTCCCACTCCGTGAAATATGTACAGAAGAATTTGGACTTTGGCCCCAGAGTCTTAATTTCCCAACTTTGCAAGAGATTTCGAACTTGTGGTTAGTTTTCGCCTCTTCCACCAATGTGATGATATCTTGGCCTGAATTCCCGGTCATATGAAATAGCCAACCCAGAGTAAGACGCTGTTATTGGCTGTTAATATATGCGTTGTTCAATATCCTCGTACCAGCCAGTGTTGTTCAAAAAAGAATTGTGCGTGTGTTGGAGGGGAAGGAAAGGTGGAAAAGGTAGTTACTCAAAATCAACTCAACGCTCGTCGGCAAATCGAAATATAAAATGAAAGAAAGGCCTCTTGTGCGGGAAAACGTAGATCCGCTTCGGCGCAAACCTTACCACTTGATTGGACAACCGGTCCTCACAAGAGATCGTCTCTTCGGCTGCCTTGTCCGCAACTATTCTCCCTCTCTCGCAACCGCATACTACCTATTCCTCCTTCGGGACGGCTGTGTCGTACCAGATACTATTATGGAGGTTTCGAAAGTAGCTGTGCGAAGTCTTCCTCGCCAGGGCTCCCTCCTACCCCCTACACGTCGATATAAAGATCTTCCATCTGCTATGCTAGCGTGCTCGCCTATGATAGTACGGAGCCGGAGACAGTTCACGACAAATTCGAATCTATCATATCCTGGTCCTCCGGGGATGAGCCTCGGAAGTTCTTCTGGTGGGCCGACCTACTTTCAGCGACAGTCCAGCCTTCCTGCAAATACCATCATTCGATTTGTCCCTCAACAAACTGCCTGGATTGTGGAGCGAATGGGGAGATTCAATCGGATACTGGAACCTGGGTTGGCCATTCTGATGCCAATCATTGACGTATGAATCACCTGCGATGAATTGGAAGAGCGAAGAACTAACGTCTGAGGAAGCGTATTGCATATGTCCAGTCCTTGAAAGAATCCGCGATCGAGATCCCGAGCCAGAGCGCCATTACTGCGGACAACGTCACATTAGAACTGGATGGTGTGCTATACACAAGGGTCTTCGATGCATACAAAGCGAGGTATATTGCCAGGGTCGTTTCGCGAGGGAGTGAGTGCTGGCTAAGATCATTCTAGCTACGGCGTCGAGGACGCTGAATACGCCATTTCACAACTTGCGCAGACCACGATGCGATCCGAAATAGGTCAGCTCACGTTAGATCATGTCCTCAAAGAACGAGCAAATCTGAATGCAAATATTACGCAAGCGATCAACGAAGCTGCACAAGAATGGGGTGTGGTGTGCCTGAGATACGAGATTCGAGATATCCATGCGCCGGACGGCGTCGTGGCTGCCATGCACAGACAAGTTACCGCCGAGCGATCAAAGAGAGCTGAAATTCTGGACTCAGAGGGTCAAAGGCAGAGTGCGATCAACATTGCTGAAGGTCGAAAGCAGTCGGTCATTCTGGCTTCCGAGGCTTTGAGGTCAGAACAAATAAATATGGCATCTGGTGAGGCGGAAGCTATCCTATTGAAGGCGCAGGCGACAGCTCAGGGGATTGATGCTGTCGCAAATGCGATCAGACGAGGCGAAGCGAGCGCTCAAGGTGCCGTTAGTCTGAGCGTCGCGGAGAAGTATGTGGAAGCGTTCAGTAACCTCGCTAAACAAGGTACGGCAGTCGTGGTTCCAGGCAATGTTGGCGATATTGGTGGTATGATTGCTAGTGCTATGGCTGTCTATAGCAAGGTGAATGAGGGGCAAAAGAAGAGCATGGAACCTATGGCCGTGGCGGCACCCACGAAAGATGTCGGTGAAGAGGTGATTGAAGCGGCCCAGAAAGGAGATGCGAAAGAGGTCGCTCATACTGTTCTTGAAGGATTCGAGAAGACGAGAGAGTCGAGAACTTGAGGCGGGAGGGACATCATTCATATTTGGAAAAGCGAGAATTCCTTCTGCTCCTTCAAAATTCAACGAGAGCGAGGGCGAGGGCGCGTCTGCGTGTATTATCAGAAACAGGTCTCTAAAAGTCCGTAGCGATGTATAAGATAACAAGCCAGTATTCTGAATAGTAAAACCTTTGAAAATGTCAGAGTCTCCCTCGAGGATCCTCAGCCTTATTGGTCAATGCTGGGCATGTCAAAACCCAAACTGCGAACCTGCAGCCGATATCCAGACAATAGACATGGACATCGCTCTTCGCTCCAACACGACAATCCTCGCTTTTCTCCTCCACACTAATACATTGTCCGACTTCCTCAATCTCATTGTCATTCGCGTTGTCCTATCCTCCACTGTGAACCTTCTTTTCCCCTTCGCAATGCTCCTCCGACGGCCGCAGGGATAGTTTCGCGATGCATATCATCAAGCCAATCTGGCTCACGCATGGAGGTACGACCTGCTCGTAGACAACGATCCTCCTGAACGCGTCACAAAGCGCGTCAATACAGTCGCATGATCCTCGCAGAATGTTGAAATGGCTAACCATGGACATCAATAGGCGAAAAGAAAGACTTCGAGGTCTATAGCTGCCACGTTTCCCCGGACGGCAAACGCCTGGTCACTGCAGCCGGTGGTATGTTTAATTTCGCCTTTTCACTATTGTCTCTACTGTGTCGGAATGAAACGGGCATACTGACTCTTTCAAGACGGCTATGTGCGAATATGGTCGACGGAAGCGATCTACAACGCCGCAAATGCGACATATGACAAGCCTAAGCAGTTGGCGTCGATGAGCTACCACTCCGGCACGATCCATACGGTTCGATTCTCACCTGGAGGGAAATTTCTGGCTTCCGGGGCCGATGACAAGATTGTTTGCATATACACACTTGACCCGAGTCCTCCGAGTCATGCTGCATTTGGTTCGTTGATCAGATGGCATTCTGGGAGAGAATATTTGCGCTGAGAGATCATCCAGGTTCGAACGAGGCACCTCCGGTCGAAAATTGGCGCATTTTCCGAAGACTGATTGGTCATGACAATGATGTTCAAGATCTGGGCTGGTCATACGATGGCACCATCCTGGTGTCGGTCGGCCTGGACTCGAAAGTCGTGGTATGGTCTGGCTTTACCTTTGAGAAGTTGAAGACGCTGCCAAATCACTCCAGTCATGTCAAGGGCATTACTTTCGATCCTGCCAATAAATATTTTGCTACAGCCAGTGATGACCGGTCCATTCGAATATTCAGATTTACCTCTCCGACGCAAAATTATACCACCCACGACGCGGTGAACAATTTTATTCTAGAGCAGACAATTGTTCAGCCTTTTGTCAACTCCCCCCTCACGACATATTTCCGAAGATGCTCATGGGCCCCAGACGGACAACATATTGCCGCTGCCAACGCTGTCAATGGGCCCGTTAGCGCCGTTGCTATCATCAATCGAGGTACATGGGACGGCGACACCACCTTGATCGGCCATGAAGGCCCGGTGGAAGTTTGTGCATTCTCCCCCAGACTCTATGGACAAGAGCCACCGAGTCGACCATTGTCTGAGGGTCATGTCGGTGCTCATACGACGGTAATCGCCTGTGGAGGAGCGGACAAGTGCTTGAGTATCTGGACGACGAATAATCCGCGACCCCTTGTCGTGCAACAAGATGTCGCCAACAAACCCATTTCTGACCTAGCGTGGAGTCCCGATGGCCAGACTGTTTTCGCTACGGCTTTGGATGGCACGATCTTAACCATCATGTTTGAGCCCGGCGAATTAGGCTATGCTCGTCCGATTGAAGAGAATGACCGGTCGCTTACTAAGTTTGGCACTTCGAGAAAGGGACTTGGCTTTCCGGAGACGACAGATGCCCTATTGCTTGAGGAGATGAGTAAAGCAGGCGAACTGAAGGGTGTGGAAGGGCGAATGGGGGCCTTGATGGGTGATCTCCATTCCTCTCAACCAGCTACGGCAAATGCCACTTCGACGACAAATGGTGCTACGACGACAGAAAACCTGGCAAATGGGACGGAAACAACCATAAATGGTCATGCAGCGGCGAAGGCACAAGACGATCAAACGCAGGCCAAACTCGATCGACTCAAGAACCGGGTCGAGATCACGAAGGATGGTAAAAAGAGGATACGGCCATTATTGGTGTCTGGAACTGGCGGAGCTGAGTCTTCTTTGCCCCAGACGAAACTTGTTAGTGCAAGTACGAATGTACAGACGCTTGATGCACCACAGTCGATTTTGGACCTGTCGAAGCCATTTGATGGTCTTCCCAAGGGAGGCTTAGCGGCTCTTCTACTCGGAAATAAGAGGAAATATGCGCACATAGAAGGCGAGGAAGAAGGCACCACCGAGAAACGAGTAGTGGCTGCGAGCCAAAAGGGAGCCACACCTATTGTTGTGAATGGCGCCGATGGATTACTCCCGGCTCAACCTCAGCCAACCCCGAGTGGGCAACAGGTCACTCCAGATTTCATTCGACCGGCCGTCGCCAACCAGGCCTTGAGTGTGAGTCAGCTTCGACTCGCGGTTCCCAAAGTTAGAGCACACATTGTGCAAGGTATCGATCCAGCAGGGAATCCAGGTGACGTTTCCAGTGACGCTGCGAGCAAATCGAGAGTCGAATTCGTCTTCGAGGCTCGAAATCCGGCGGGCGCTTCTCTAACTCAAAGACCACAAGATAGAGAGCCTTGTCGGATTACTCTTACCCGAAAAGACCAGCCGCTCTGGCAGGATTTCCTCCCGCGTGCGGTTCTCCTCGTCACTGGAAACCAAAACTTCTGGGCTGCCGCAGACGAGACTGGGTCGATATACCTCTGGACGCCTTACGGCCGACGGCTGAACAGTGCCCTGGTGATGGAAGCCCAGCCCGTTATTCTGGCGTCATATAATTCCTGGCTGCTGTGTATCACGGCCGTGGGTATGTGTTATGTCTGGAACGTCAAGACCCTGTCTTCACCTCACCCCCCCGTGTCACTTGCTCCGGTGCTTGACGCAGCAGTTCATTCTCTTACTGCTCATCCAACAGGGACCCCGGCTATCACCCAAGCTCGATTGAACTCTGAAGGGCGTATCATCATCAGCTTATCGAATGGTGATGGCTATGCGTACTCACCCCAGATGTACTGCTGGCAGCGTCTGTCCGAAGTTTGGTGGGCGGTCGGCAGTCAGTATTGGAATACGACTGATTCTTCAGTGGGCAATATTCAGTCTTCAAAAGCCAAAAGCAATTTTGACAAGACCGTAGAGGTTTCTTCTGGAATTATTCCTTGGCTTGAAAGAAACACGACGGCAGAAACACTTCTACGTGGTCGGGCGTACTTCTTGCAGAGAATCATCAAGGTTTTGTTGTCCCGAGAAGGCTTCGAGAGTTTTGAGTCTGGTGTTTCAATAGCTCATCTGGAAAACCGGATCGCTGCGGCACTTATGCTCGGTGCGAAGGACGAGTTTCGGATATACCTGCTCATGTATGCGAAACGCCTGGGAGCGGAAGGACTAAGATTAAAAGTCGAGGAGCTTCTTCGTACATTGATCGGGGGCATCGTCGAGCAATCAGATCAAGAAGGCGAAAGCACAGCGGCCACCATGAACGTCGTAGAGGGCCGCAATTGGCAAGAAGATTCCAAGACAATCTGCGGATGGTCTCGAGAAGAACTGCTCAAGGACGTTGTCTTGCTACTTGGTATGTTATCTCTCGACCCGCTATTATCGAGGTGCAATCGCTGACTTATCGCAGGAAAACATCGAGATCTTCAACGCGTCATTGTACCTTATGCAAGAATGCTCCATATTGTGGAGTCGATGGAGGATCAAGATCAGATGGCGTTGTAAAGGTCCTTGATATCTTCACGTCGGCGCAAGGGATTGTGAAAAACCTTTTTTGTGTTGGTGGGAGGGGACCCTCCAGTAAGCGATCAAGATATGTGGCATCCGGATGAGGTTGGGACATTGTAATCACCAGGGAGGTGAATGGTTTGGGAGCTCTCGCGGAATAAGTTTACTGGACATGAAAACTGAGGTGCACATTGCTAGCGGTTGAACTGAATGAGTTGACTGACCTTTCTACTCAAGTGCAGGATGAGAATGAATCGCTTCACCTCACTCATCTACCAGGCCCTTCCTCCAAACACAGTACTTTCCAGCTCTGTGGAGACCACTATATCCTGACCTGACTGATATCGATCATTTTCAGAATGGAAGCCAGCCAGATCCCGGATAACCTCACCTCGACTTGTCTATAGCAGAACCCGACACGTTAATCCCAGCACCTTGCGATGGATCCTCGTCATACCACCTCGCCAACTTGGATTGCACAGTCCTCTCTTACAACTACCCGCTAAAAGGCGAAAGGACAAAACGTTCTAGGATATCCTGCAACCCATAGACTCGGGCCCGGCAGAAGGAAGATATGTTCCTATGCAACGATGGCTGAAAGAGAACACAGAACACATCGGGAGGCGGACCGCCACCGAGGCTTTTCTCATCACGACCCCGAGCCGTACTGGTTAGTTTAGCATGCAATGAGGAGCCAAAAGACATTCTGAGTATGAGACAGTTGAAGTTCCATTGGAAAAGGAAGCACCGGTATCCCTGGATCTTTTTCAATGAAAAACCATTCAGCGATGAGTACAAGCTCCCAACATAGCCCATTTCACTTCTTTCGATCAAGAGGCACTCATATCTATCGTGCAGGCCAACTACCTCGAACATCACATCTTCAATACCATGATTCGCTCGACTATATGGGCACCAACCCCTCTCTTACCACAGCACGATCTTGACTCGACAGTGGCTTCTTCTACTGCCACCCTACTCTCTGACTACAACGCCCGCTCCTTCGCCTCTCGAACTTTGAGCTCGGGTTGCTCTGTTTCTTCCGCGATGGGCCTGATGCGTGCTTTGACTCTCGAGACGCCTCGGCCGGGTTTACTATGCACGCTTCGGTGATGCGCCTTGCCACACGCTTTCCGTAGCTATGTTCGTGCCGAAATTCGCCGTCTGGTTCTTCGGAGATATTGGCTCTCAGCATGACATTGCGAGACATCATCCGCCGCCTGTGCAACCAACAAGAATGGAGAGTCCGCAAGTCAGGCGGGTGGATACGAGTATAATATTGTGGTTGGGGGTAAGTGGTTAGAGAAGTACGAGGGGTGGAGCCAGGAGTGGGTATTTGCTTGATGGGACAATTTTACAGCTAAGATGGAAGGCCATGCTCCTTTACTCTTCCCGAGCTTTTTGCCCGAGTACTTGTGCACACGAACGGGGCCAGAAGTCGGACAGGAATTTCCTTTTCTAACAGGGAAATTCAATGAGAAGATTCGGGAATAAAACTCTTCGTTTTAGCTGCCTCTTTTGTTTGGCTGTGGATTGGACGACGATAATTTGTCCCTGACTGGGCGAATTTTATGGCATTATTAGCATTGCTCTGGTAATAGCAGGAAGGTCTCGCCGATTTTGAGTTGACTCAAATGGCCTTGCTCAGTTCAGGTACCTCTGGTTAAAAGTCCATTCCCATGTTGACCGGGCCGTGAAAGCATGAGCGTGCAAGAATGTTGCAGCGAACGAGCCTCGAGTGGGTCCGCTCAGTCGAGCTCCACCTTTAACTTGATTTCCGCGCCTCATAGACGAGAATAATCAACGGACCTCTAAGCCTTTGCAGCACCAGCTTTAATAAGGATAATATCACCGTCTTCTACGACTGTAACCCCACAAGGTTAGCATCGAAGGAAATGAAAGAGAGAGACAGAGATGAGCTTACCATAATCCTTACCCTTGGTCATGACCTTTCCAGCTGCCCTCACGGCATTTTCATCACCATACTCTTTCAATGTCTCGTAATTATACACGATACATTGAATGAAGGTCTTTTCAAAGTCCGTGTGGATTACTCCAGCGGCCTGTGGTGCTTTGGTACCTTTGCGTATCGTCCATTGCCGCACTTCGTCCGAACCTGTGGTGAAGAAGCTCGCTAGGTTCAGCGCTTGACGCATCGTGACAATGACTTTGGGCAGTGCAGACTTGGTGCCGAGGTTTTTGCATTCTTCGTTGGCTTCTTCTTCCGACATGGCGGCCAGACGTTCTTCGAATGAGACAGAGATGGGGATGACGGGGTCGCCTGCTGCGTTGGTCTTGATCCACTCCATGACCTTGGGCAGATGTTTGTTTTTCTGCCGCAGATAGTCCTTTTCCGACAAGTTGATGAGGTACACAACGGGCTTGGCTGTGAGGAGGAAGAGGGGGTTGATGACTTCGACCTTTTGGGGCCATGTCCGTCAGCCACGTTTTTGAATGGGAGGAAGATTAAAATTGGGGGACAGCGTGGCTTCAGGGTTGGACTTTCTCTCATAACAGTCTCAAACGTGAGATGTCAAACGAGTCTGCTGTCGAAGAGCTGGGATTATGTCGAGCTAATTGCTCTTGTTCATCATGATAACCGTGTCGACATGGGGTGTTCTTCAGACGACCAAAAAAATCAACTCACCTCTTTTGGACCCCAGTCACCTTTCCGTACATCCTTACCGTCTTTCAACCAAGCAAGGATCTTATCCACGGTGGCCTCATCTTCCCTTAGCTTCTTCATTTCCAAGCTCTGACCACCTCTTCTCGTCTGTTTCGACAAGTTTTCTTTGGCCTTCTCCACGAACTCAATGTCCTTTAATCGCAATTCTTCGGAGATGATGTCTAGATCTCGAGTTGGGTTGACGTCTCCTTCAACATGAATGATTTCAGCATCGTCGAAACATCGCACGACCTGAAAGATTGCGTCGACGGCTCTGATATGTGATAAGAAAGCATTTCCCAGGCCAGCGCCGGTCGAGGAGCCTCGAGTCAGACCGGCGATATCATAGACTGTCAGGTTCGCTGGAACTTGGGACTTGGGCTTGTAGTGTGCGCAGAGCCAATCATACCGGGCATCAGGGACGATGACTCGAGCCTCTTCAGGATCTATGGTCGCGTAAGGAAAGTTGGCAGGGTTGCCCAGGGAGCATTTGGTGATGGCTTGGAAGAGAGTAGATTTGCCGACATTAGCCAGTCCAACCTGCCGACATGATTGTCAGTCTTTTAACATCCTTTGCGGACAAATATCTTGCTGCCGGCTCTGCCTACATACGATACCGCTCTTCAAGTTATTGCCCGGCCTGCCTAACAGGATCTTTTCTTCCTTGATAGCTTTCTTGGGAGGCATCTTTTTCTTCGCGTAACTGCGTCTTTGGGAACTGACGTTGAGGAGAAGGGTGACAGTCGTCTTCCGAAGTGTTGACTTGGAGCAGTGATCAAGTGCAGATCCGGCTGCAAAAATTGAAATGCGGAGGGGAGAAGTGAAAAGGGTCCCAAGAGGGTTGAAGGGGAGCGTGGTGGTGAGGGTGTTTGCGGTCTCGAGGCAGAAAGCGCTCGAGATCTGTGCGACAATGGGAATGTCAAGGTCAAAGCAAGTCTTGTAGAGCGGCACTTTCAAGATGCGTGCCGTCTGACTTTTTGCCAGGCAGATTCAAATGCCAAAGAAGGTCAAAAATCTTGCCGCCCTGTGTTCACCACTCACCTCCAAAATTATACTTGGGGGACATTCCACCAGAGGGCAAGTACCTTGCAAGGACATTGATTCCATCGGTACTTCACACGTCTACCTAAGTCGGTGGTATACGAGAGGTCATCCTCGGGCTACTGAAGTTGAACCCATGGTGTCTAGGGACGAGAAAATCTTTGCATCCATTAAAGCCATCGGTCCAGCAATCTCACGATCTCAGCACGAAGGGATAGTCTCCACCATCCACAACACATATCAGACCGTCTTCGGGCACCTAGCCTGGTCGTCTTGTGCAAACTTGAATTGAAAGAGTGCGCTCTGGCTTTCCAAATGAATGCATGATAGAGCCCATCCATATACCTATCTAAACAATGTCCGTCAGCGCTGCTGCCTGTTGTAGCCTAGCATACAACCCACCCCCACAAGCATATGGCAGCGTGGCGCTGACAATGGGTCAACATCGTCCATCTCGAATTCTGCAGATCCATCTTTTAAACGCATGGGGAAATTTGTTCTGACTTTGGATTGGACATTGGGAGGCTTGATGGCTGATATCGCCAAGTGCAATACATTCCAGAATGCCATTTTTGTTTCTTCGAGCTCGAGCTCAGCCGACAGAAAGGGTCGTCATGAAGCTCACGCAGTCAATTTGATGGGTTTGTCGATATCTGCGATCGTTAGCTTGCGAATCGGAGTTCAGACCGTCAGATCTGCAGGCGTTTCTTGATGGATGACTCGGGCATTGTGCGCAGTTGGGAATGCGCATCGACTTTCTATCACAATAAAGTCCACTACTTTGCCCCATATATGGAGTCTTTCATCGATGGGCGGATTGAAGCTCAGCGACAAACATTACAGGCCGTCTCGCGGCCATTGTGGCTCGTTTGTATATTTTACGGTGGTCTGATTTGGAATCCGGGGGACGAAAGATTCGTCCGAGAAGAGAACTAGTCGCGGAAAGGCTCTGTCTCCTCAATCAGTGCAGTCGAACTGCCTCTCAGAGAGCAGCATATGTGAGTTGGGCGTTTGCGACTGCAGCAAGCTAGCCACATGCACCTGTGCTGCGACCAGCATTCAGGAGATGTTCTGTCTTCCACGAGCCGTAAAGCATTGCACACAATTGATGAGGCAAGCATGAAGAGACTTGATGTGGATTCAACATCTGTGTCCATTTCCTGAACCATAAATTGCACTAAATCATGCATGTTCACCTCCAGAGGAGGGTTGCAATGCAGATTCGTGATGAGTGAAAGGTTCAGCAGATGCTGTAACGCCTCCTGCAAATGGATTGGGGATAGAAAGAGTCGGGAGAGGGAATCTAGAATTGACGGATTGACCAAACCATCCATGGCGCTCTGTGTACCTTTCCGAGGGTCAATTCTGCAAGGTATGAGTGGGCCATTGATATGCTTGACGATCCTCTGTCCCAGACTCGTTTTCGGAGCATGTATAGAATGTGTCAGGACGTTATCCGAGGATTTCTTGGCCGAAGTCCACTCAATAAATCCTTTGAGGATGAGATCAATTTGGATCCTCTCTGCATCGAAAAAGGACAGTAACTTCAACAGGTTGTTGGCGTTGAATTGATGCTATCTACCTGCCCTGTGATCAATAAGTCACCTAAACAGAGGCTACAACGCCATGTGCACTTCCTGAGGTCAAAGAGATGGTATTCATGGGTGACGGTGAGCTCACTGCTTCGGATATCATATCTGTGACACCTGGTGTCAGTGTCATTAACGAAGTGTCAATGATTCCCGAACGCTGAAGAGACACCCTCTGCACATCCTGCCGCAGAATTGCATGAAGTGGTCGAGCGTCCATGGCGGTGTTCATTCAATCCTCTGGCTGAATCAGCGTCCTGAGCATCTGGCCATGAACATGTGCGGCGATTTTAGCCATAAACAAGGAGTATATCACCTAGCAAAGTGTTCTCGGTCATTTGAAATCCCTTTCTGGCTGCAACTCGCGCTCGCAATTTGGCCAAAGCCCGATTCCAGTACCTGATTGCCATCATACTCCTGGAAGACTGATGTGTGGTAGACGTCACGGTTGCTGCATACTGCCGGAGCACTTACTTTGCAACACGTGTGTGATTTCTTGCCAAAGCTAGCCGGCATACGACAAATGCCCGCGGCCAACCACTTTGCCATGCAGACACGGCAGCAGAAAAATCTTAACGAAATGTCAGGAGTTCATTGACCCCTGCATCAACTAGGATGGTTGCCGTAACGAAAGGAACGGAATTTTCCCATTGAACAACTCTCTCTGGGAAATAGGACCTTAGTGTGGGCCTACTGGCCTTGACCGGTACATCTGCACAAGCTTTGGGTCTACTACGATCTTCTCGGTGTGTTTCCTGATCTGGGGCTGGTAGACTAATTTCAGTTGTTTAGTCAAGGGTCCGATGATGCTAACCCTTGCAACACAATGATCAACTCCTCTTGAGCTTTTGTTTTGTCAAATCTTTGGGGGATCCGTACGCACTGCTTGCGAGAGAATTTAGGCTTCGAAAAAACCGGTGTTGTTACAAGACGTAATACTAGCCTATACCAGTTCAAATCCTTCCGCAACTTTGAATATTTACCGAGACCCCAGAACCGACCTATTTCGCGAGTTTGTCTGCGAATACAGGAAGCACACTTCCCTAATGTATGCGATTCCATTCGTAACCGAGAAATGGCCCGGCGGAAAACCCCTTTTCAGAAAAGGCCGAATCTCGAAATAGTTGGAAGGCGGCTAACATTCCCAAAATTCATCCAACCTGTGCTTAGTCAGGAATTATCCTTCGTCTCGTGCAGGAAGTCGAAATCATAACCCCGTTTACTCAACATGGAAATAGGTAGGGATCTGTACTCGCTGCTCCAGACACGAAGGAGCTCATGCTGACCTTATGGTTTAGTCAGAACTCTGCATAAGCGTATTCCCCGGGAATCAAACAACATGTCCACGCAAAGCTTTGATGCCCCTCCATCGCACCATATGAAACGGGATGAAGCGGGATTCACAAGTCACAACAAGGCCCCTGCCGTCCGTTGTCGTCATTTTCAATGCAACCATAACATCGTCTTGGTGGTAGCATTCGGAAGATATTCCTAGATTTCCGGCCTGCTCAGGAAGATGAGGGGCCTAATTTCTTTTCTATTCGAACCTCGTGAAATGCGGCTTGTCGAAAGCAGCTTCTACTATCCTTGGTAAGTTTGCAAGCGTTCAGATTCCTACTTTGTTTTGGAATTGCCTACCGTTGTCCAGGTGCTCTCGATTGGCCAGAATTTCATATCTCAACTTGTTCTTCTTCACTCTGCAAAACAGCGAGCCACCGGAGCAATGCCGAAAGCTGTGTGTAGCACGTAGGTCTTTTTCGATTTGTCCATCTTCAAGTTCGAATGAAATTGCGTCCATCCTCCAGATCGATGTGTCTGCCTTTAAGCGCGGAAACGCTCTCTTAAACTCGTTCACATTGTCGAACGGTCATCTCCTGTTTCCTTTTCTGGATCACCCTCTCCGTAGGAAACCCTTGGGAAGTGATGACGACGACGGCATTCAGCGGCCGGGGGCTCCGGAAACATGCCCCAAACACCTCTTCGCTTCACATCCATAGCAGAATGTCTCCAAAACCACTTGGACGGTGTAGCCGGATCCTGAAATTGAAGGATAGCACAGCATCGAAATTAAGAACTTTCTGATCACCGAGGTTCCATGCGCGAGTGTTTCCCTAGGTATCCACCTTTCCCAGGCCGAGACGATAGGCATTTTGACAATTACATGATCACAAAGCACACAAAACCAAGTCTTATACACATACTTCTTGGACAGGTGCGGATACCCTGACTTGGGATAGCAAGGAAACGGCTGGCTAGGCTACAGTGCAGGAATTTTTATTTTTTTAGCATAGGAATGAATATTGCAGCATTTTCGAGGCCGTCATGTCAGGATGATCATCTCCGTGCTTGTTCTTCCGCAGTTTCGACACCTACTCCGTCAGCTGCAGTGCATCTGGCCTCGCTCGGCCTCGCAGTCGTCTCCCGTCAGATTGTACATCGATGGTAACGTGTTAGGATGATCCTTCACTGAGTTCACTCTTGTGCAGTTTTACCACATCTTTCGTTGCTTGCAGAACACCCTTTGCTCATCCGTTCTCCTTGAGGATTCGAGCCAACATGGACCACTTCCGCATTTTTCTCTTCGTTGCCCAGGTCGTCTTGCTGGTCCCAGAGCCGAGGGAGCTCGTGGTCATGCGACACTGATGACCGGCAAAATGTGTAGTCCTCACCTTCAAACCTCCAGTTTGTAGAATTGACCAACAGTGATAGTACTCGTCGATAGCAGCCAGATCGGCGCTCGTTCTGGGACATTCGGTCCCGACAACAGGCAATCCGCATTCCTGGTAATCAACGAAAACGACGCAAATAAGGTAATTGACACTTGCACAGACCATTGAGAGTTAAGGAAGTCCACAACCGCTTCCAGCCACAGTAAATATTCGGGGAATCTCGCTCGCCTGTGACTTGTTACCTGGCATTGTAGAACATCTGAACCGGGACCTGATTGTGGTGGTAGAAACAAAGAAAGACTCAATAACTGGAGAGCATGATGGAACATGGTATCTCTTCTGGATTCAATCGCGTCTACTGACAACTTGCCAGGCTGTGTGGACAGAATACCGGCAGCTTGTACCAAGATGTGTTGGAGGGTGTGGTAACACGTTCCCTTCCCGTCTCTCATAGATTTTCAATTTCATTAAACTTAGGGTACCTAAATGTTAGGTCCTTGATGTAATTAAAGGGTTCTTGAGATCTCAAGTGTAGATGGTCTCCTGCTGGGCCATATGGGAGAATGTATTTTCCACGCTATGTACAGAGAATGTCGCAGTACCGCAAAAATTCAAGAAGATGTCCCAGTAGATTTGAATGTTTAGGTAACGGCGATGTTCGAGTCTTTGACAACCGTTCACAGCCGGATTGTTTGGCGACACTGGAACATAGCTCGCAGTCAAGGCTCCATCGGTGCCAAGAGATGAAAAATCCCTTTTGAGTAATTGCGCAAAGGAAAGAGTCAATAGGTCGGTGGAAGGGTCCGATCTGGTACATCTGACAAGGAGAGAAGGAGAGATTTGGGAAATAGCCACGCACAGCTGCCGATCTATTTCGAGGGCTACATGCCACAAGATTTCTTCTAGAGACCCTGAAAAGCTCTCCTATTCAGTATCCATAGTTACACTCTTAGGGTGAAAGGAAGACTCTTTGATCTCACAGAGGGAATGCGGAGCTTCGTTTCTCGTTTGAAACTTTGACATCTCTCCATATCACGGTGGAAATGACTCCGATGGAGATGATAGAAGTTCCTGTAATGAAAAGCTTTTGCATTGTCTCCGGATAACCCTGGGCGATGGCAATTCTCTCAGGGCTGCCTATCTCGTACGACAACTGCGTGGAGAGGTCGCTGTATATGGCCATTAGATTTGGTTGAGCGCTCGCCGGGAGGTATTTCGAGAGGTTCTCAGGAAACGCCCTCGTCCAGATTGCCACGGATATGGTTGCCCCGACGGCTTGGAAGGTCGTACCGATCATATTGTAGAGGGCCAGCACACTGGCCAAGTGCTCATGATGGACAGTTGCCATGACCGCGATCACCGAAGACATGTAGATTATACCATCACCTATCGCCAGGAATATCTGGACCGTGATGATCGCACTCGTCTTGGAGTCAATCTTGGACAAATGAATCATTAAGCCCGTGGCAAGGATCTGGAGCGGCAGGCCCAGGGCGAGAGCAAGCCATTTGTAACGACCAGTTGCCTTGACCAAGGCACCGGCCGCAATTCCGGCGACCACCCATCCAATATTGTGGATGTGGAAGACGTAACCGGCACGCGTAACCGATAAGCCTTGCACAACTTGCAAGGACGAAGAGAAATAGCTGGTCCAGCAATAATAGACCATATATGTTTCTGCATACGAGATGCTGGCCCCGATAACCGTTCGGCTCTGGAGTAGTGAGAAAGGGATGAAGGACTTGGTGGCCAGATACTTCTCCCAAAGTGCAAATAAGATAATAGAAACACCTCCAAACACCAACATGCAGATAATCATTGGTGATGCCCAGCCCTGACTCTGCCTCGTATAGAGGCTGAAGGGCAGGAGAAAGAGAGAAAAACCCGAGGTTAAAAGGAGAATGCCAATGCCTGTCCCGTGTATTAATGGCTATCTTCTTGTTTATGAGGGCGAACTCACAATCAAACTCGATCCAGTAGTGTTTCAATGATCCCCAGAGCGTACGTCTTCCTGACGGCCCTTTCGGCTTTGGGGCCTGGCGGCTATTCCAGAGGAGTAGGCCGAGTAGCGGCAGCCCCGATATCGGACACACGATTGAAAATGTCCCAAAGACCATCTCCAGCCTGCGCCCCGAAGAAAGGCAGTTGCAACTGGAGCGCCAATCCAAGTCGTAATGAGCCACGGTGAATTATACAGCCCAAACATGATGCCGCGGATCCTCAAGGGGAAGTGGTCGGCAATGAGTACGAACAAGGCATAAGACATGCCATCAAAGCCCGTCCAGAAAAACACCGACGCTACGCAGTAAGTCACAACATCTTCGCAAGCTGCCATCATCATGGTGCCGATGGTGAAGATAAGGAGTGTCAGAGCAAAGCCTATTGCTCGGCCCCAGACGTCCAATACTTTCGCCAGTGGCAGCCGAGAAACTGCGCCGACGACACTTGACACAATGCTGGCGGTCGGAATGAGGGAATGCGCGCGAAATTCACTATAGACATATGGCAGGAGCGGAGACATGATCTGCATTTGAAAACCGGTCGTAAATGTTATCAGCCGAATTCTGGGATCGATTAGCAATCTTCTAAATAGGATCGAGAGCCGGTGGGATTTTGTCGTACGCAGTAATCAGGGCAGTCAAATTCCTAGCTGACAGGACATATTCCATGGCTTCTGCGTTCTCTGATCGTGGCTGTGATTCGTTGCCATGCCTTTCCTCTAGCTCATGTTGCTCCTGTTTCAGTCCTTCGTTCTTCTCTACCGCCTTCGCCCCAGCGTGGTGAAAGTTCTCTGGTACAACAGCTGCAGCTGTGACGATCTGGGAGTGGGTGTCCATCTCTGCGCGCAAGAAAACTCGATCGGAAATACTCTTTGAAGAGAAGTTACTTCGTGCAACTTGATAGTTTTCAACAGTAAAGACGAGGAAGAATACGGTGCTCGACTGAGAAGGAGGGCCTTGCCTTCTAGAGTGTTTTCAGTGGACCTACCTGCATTAGCTGGGCTCATGGTTTGAGGACCGTTCATCGAGATGACCATATCATTGAAGTTCCTTTTTTTTTTTTTTTTTTTTTTTTGCGTAATGCGAAAAGAATCGATTGGAGATCTTCTTGAGACGGATTTCTCAAGAAGCGCTACACCGCAAAATGAGTCTGCTATTGTAGACACTTCCGCGTGGCGAGACATAAATGTGTATAGGGATTTTGTCGGATACCGGTCGCTAATTAGTCAATACTCGCCACAAAAAGCAAACGATGGACATCTGGAGTCCGAATACGGTACGTGGAACTAGCCTTTCCCGAAGCAGTGCCGTCCTTAAGGTCCTCTTTTTCTAGCAGTGAAAATGTTTTCGTGATCAATAACTCTTATCAGCGCTCTGCGCCACGTCCCAAGAAACGCTTCGATGCGTGACTGCCAATGAGCATTCCCGTTGGAATGATCCATGACCGAAGCACACGACGAGATCTTTCCGAGCATCCATTCTTCCGAGGCTAAATTGTGTTTCATGAATCCTTCTTGTACTATGGGAACATGTCTTGAGCACTGCGTGTGATTACCTCCCTTGGGAAAAGAAATACTTGCTCGCGCCACGAGTGGCCGAGCAGAGCAAAGAGACTGGCTCGATCACAGAATCTTTATGAATTTATCCAACCTTGGATCAACAGGTGAAAATATATTTTGATCACATTCTCAGCATGACAAAACCTCTAGCCCTCATCGCCGGAGCTGGAATCGCCGGTCTGTCAGCTGCTTGGTGGTTGGACAAAGCTGGCTGGCGCTCTATCGTTATTGAAAGAGCGCCCAGCATTCGTGTGGGCGGATATGTCATGACGATATCTGGCCTCGGTTACGAAACCCTTAAACGCATGAGCCTTCTCGACGGCCTTCGAGCCGCTTCCCAGAGCTTTGAACACAATGTGATCAGCGACAACTATGGAAAAGAGCTGTGCCGCATTCGGTACAGCGACGTCCATGGCGGGCTGGAATCACTCGCCGTTCGCCGCGACGACCTAGCCCGGTCGCTTGCGGATGCTCTACCGGACACCTGTTCGATTCGATTTGAGGAGACCATCAGCCATGCCACCGACGAGGGAGACAAGATTCGGGCTGTCCTTGGTGGTGGAGACGTCATTGAGGCGAACCTTTTGATCGGTGCGGACGGATTTCGCTCCAAAATACGGGAACAGTTTTGGAAGGATGGCGATTCCTTGGAGCCACTGGGGTACTATTATGCCGCATACAACTTCGGGGAAGAGGCTGAAACTCACAACGACTGTCACTCTTTCAACAGTCCAGGGCATCTTGACATGCTATTTGCTTTGCGAGACAAAGGGATGACGGGCATGCATATCTGGCGCGAAGAACGGAACTTGCTAGAAAACCGTCAGAACAAATTCGATATACTTCGTGAAATAACGACCGGCGGTGTCCCGCAAGTGTGCAACGCCATCGATCGCGCAGAAAAAGCCAACGTTTCGCCGGTTATGGACAGTCTGAATTTGGTTACCTTACCGCGGTGGTCTCAAGGGCGAGTTCTCCTTCTCGGTGATGCAGCACATTGTCTCACGCTTCTGTCAGGCCAAGGCGCTGGCATGGCCATCGTATCAGCTGAGATACTGGGTAGGGAGCTCATGAAAACGACGAACATCTCACAAGCACTTCTCAATCACGAGACCAAGCTCCGCCCAAGCATTGAGCGACTTCAAACGCGGACTCGGACTATGGCCGGGTTTTATATCCCGAAGACTGTATTTTCTTACCGTTTACGAAACCTTCTCCTGAAGTTGATGCCATATTCGTGGATAGTGTCCTACCATGTCAACACTCTCAAAGCAGAGATTGATTTGACCTGAGACCGCTTTAGAGCATCCAAGACTGCGTCAGGGACGGGCCGTCAATCTTTGTTAAACTTCTCTCATTGAAAGAATGCACTGATCGAATTCGGTCAAAGGGTGGCATTGAGCCTGTCTATATATCTGTCTAACGAGTGTACGTCATCATTGTTGCCTGTCGATGGTGATACAGTCTGGTGGGCGAATATTGCAAAAATAACCCCCGGTTAGTCGTGAACGATAAGCCACCAATTGTTCAACAACCTTCCAACGGAGTGGATCGAAAGGGAGTGTCACCAGAACTGGCAACTTACGTATAGCGGCTGAATCGGTCAACAAATCCTGTTGTCAAATGGATTACACTGAGTACTCTGGGGGGCCGCTGTAGCCAGCACCTCGTTGTTTTGTTTATATAGAGTTTCTACGCCATCCCCACCACCTTTCTAGGTTTTCAGGGCTGAAACATTGTCTTACCTTGAGCACATTGAGTTCCAGTCTGGACCAACCGATAGACACCGTTTCCAATGCTAGAGGGCTCGTTGTCATGGGGTTGTCGAAGTGGTAAGTACGGTGTTGCCGTCGTAAAAGAGGGAAGACGCATCGAGAATTGCAGAAACTTCCGAACCAATCAGAGCAAGCCACTTGCGAAGTCACGTGGTCCGTACGATAGCACCCAAAAATTGCGACGCTTTCTCTTCTCAGCCACCTCTACCAGGTGTAACTTTGGCATATTCATTTTGATCATGCTGTACTCGCTCACCGGCCCTAGTTGACTTTTTTAGGAGGTTCCAAGCTCGCCACCGAAACGACTCAACGTTAGCAATCATCTTGATCCCAACCCCCTTTGCCGAACTGGATCAGATGCTCATTGTCGGCCTCACATGCCGCCGCCAATGCACCGACAGTAAACCCTCCTCGGCGGAGGACGCCTTCATGATGCGTACACTTCTCTGGAAAAAAGCATCTTTGAGGGTGGCTTGCCCGGCCGGATTTCAACCTTGGTACCGCGGAGTGCGGTCCGAATCCCGAGTCCTGGAAGAACTGGAATCCAAAATTGTTGTCAGGAAAACGAGCCGAGATTCTTCACCGCCAGTTCCGCGGGCGATTAACGTTATCTCGCGCCGCGTTCCGCTATGCTTCGATTTTGCTTTTCGAGCAGACTGATCGTCGCCGATGCGGCGTCGACGGCGGTAATGTGGGGAATGTTTCCTCAGGTCCCGAATCCGCAGGGGTCAATCCAAGCCGCTCGTACGCCGCAGCTCCTCGATTGAAGTGTTCAGATGAGGTCTGAGTCCGGGACTGATTGTTCTCAGATGCCATTGGAATACTGGGGTTGTGGACGGCCAGCTCCCAAATCTTTCCTCTTCCTTGAAAATCAGTCACTCTTGGAACTGGTATACCCAAGTAAAACCGAGGAATACACTTGATACAGATTGATACGATACTCAACGTAGGGAAAAGGCCCCTGCTGTGGTTTTATGGGAATTGCAACCGGAAGCGTCCGTATCACGGTGTGGTCGTCGTATAGCACTTTGCACCGACAACCCGTTGGTATGCAGACTGGCCCATCACCATGCAACCAAGTTTGCCAGAGTTTGGATTTTGAATGCGATGGATATTGCTGTTCGCCCGCCATGGCATGAGCCGTTGGTTCGACATCCCCGGAGGACCGTGGATGACCTGATTTTCTATCCTTCTCTCCAGATTACACATTGACAGCCTTACTCCATAGGGAGACTTTTTGTTCGCCGCCTCCCCCGACTTTGACTTTTGCAATGTCACCGCTAGGATTTATACCCACATTGAGTTGCACTAGGCTCCTCGTTTCCGGCGATCTTCCCCTTTGGAGTAGTCAATACTGCACTCGTGATTGGCTCATTCAACACTGCAGTATTCTCCCTATTGGTTGAATTTATTGGGATTAATGGCGCTAGAAGTCTCAAGGAAGCTCTGACGAAAAGGATTGTCGGCCTCGACTCCGTAACATGAGATCGGAACCGCCACGACGCTAGGTCGTTCGGCAGTCCATAAAGAGAAAGCCAGAACTTAGAACGGGAGTGGTTATGGTGGTCTCCGATTCCCAGCATCCTTTCACCTCCCACACCTCCCACGTGGAAGCCCACAAAATTTGGAAGTTGCCAAGGATGTTCTGTCAATTTTAACTACTGGGTCACTAGTTCTTATGTAAGTCCCCTGGTTTCTGACTCAGAATCACCTGCTGAGCTCATTAATCCGGCTAGGATTCAGGGCAAATCAACATTTGGAATGGGGCTTCTTTCCTAAATGGGATTGGTCATTCAAAAGAGGCCGGGCACTGGAATATTGTCGACCTTCACAATAATGATAGCCGCCATCTTTAGCTTCAGTTGTGACATTTTGCAATCACAGCGCGACACGGAGTGAAAATGATCACGAAATCAGAAAATTGAGCAAAGAGAGCGTGAAGGATCCCAGGAAAGAATTCGTCTTGTGAGATCATTCATTCGGCGTGAGCTGTATCCAAGACAAAAAGTTTCTATCGAACTCATCAGAGAAGGGGCCGGACTCAAGGTCTTTTTTTTTTTTTTTTTGACTGTAAAGGTGCGTAGTCGCCCTGAATAACAGGATTTTGAATTTGGAAGTAAGTATTACACACGCATCCACACACACCCACCTGCAAAGATAGTCCAAAGATACACTATTCCCTACCTCATATTCAATGCACACACAATCTTTGCCGTAGAGTGAATGCTGGCTATCTTCGCCAATGCACCCCCAACGCCTCTGTCTCCCAGCCTTATGATATGCAGACCAATAGAGCCGCTCTCCCGTCATCCATCCCGAGTCATGTCTGTCCGCATGTGTTCAGGAGCCACGTCTGATTGGACAAGAAGGTGACAATCGGGGAGTGCTCTGAGGGCTCGGAGTATCGTGGTTGAAGAATGGTACCAAGTCGAACTCCTGGGGAGATTGGCAGAGTGAACCACAGAGAGTAGGTAAGCCAGATTGGAGCTGAGAAATTTCGCCATTGAGTTGCTCGATTTGCGCCTTGAGTCGGTTGATTTCTTCGGTCTGCTGCGAGTATGATCGCGACAGGAGCTGGTGTCTTTGTTGCCATTGAGCAATTTGCTCCTCGAGCTCCTTCTGATGGCGCTCTTTGCGCTCGCGATATGCACGCTGCGAAGAGCGGTTTTGTTCTCGTCGTCTCTATTGACGTTGTTAGTCGGATGGAAATGGTCGCAATCGATTCTGGAGGTGGTCTACCTCGATCTTGTCAGGAATAGAACTCTTCACCTGGGCCACCACGTTGGTGGTAGATGAAACTCGTCGCTCAGGTGTTGATCTATAGGAGCTATCTGAGCCTGATGAAGACATACTGTCAAATGAGTTGTCAAGGGTGGCGTAGAAATCAGCCGCTCGTTGGAGAAGCTACCATTTTCTATTAGCACCAAACCTCGCTATGGAAAGCGCCAGAAGCCCACTTACATCATTATAGTGCCTGACCATATTCTTTGGCGACTGGACGCCAGTGTAGCCCCATTGGAAAGAGGAGTCGATGGGTGAGAAGGTAGCTTGTTGCTGGGCCCAGCCGTTGGTGGTGTGATAGTCGGTCATGATGGTGTTGGCTTGCCGTTTGAGACTTGAAGTGTTTGTGAGCAATGTTCGTCTTTGTGATACGAATATTTGGTCTTCCAAACTTGAAGGAGGCGTTGTCAGGGCAAATGGTGGTAGGGGGGAAGGCAAGCGGCATATCTTATACAAGACCAGGCTGGCATGGCGGAGCAGGCAAAGTGGTCTGCTTCGTCTTTAGCTAACGGGGCTTTGACTGGACGCGAATGGTCTTCGATTCGAATTTCAAAAAGTTATCCTGTCGGTAGACAGGTGCTCTAGTGCCTTCAGGACAAATTCGAGGACCAATCCGGCTGGGGAGTGGAAGAGAGGAGATGAAGACGTTGGTGGAGTGTCGAAATCAAACTAAACCTCGAACAGCAGGCGCACTAAGAACGCTAGAGCCCTCCCCCTGTCAACACCCCCGTCAATCTTTTGTCGGCCCCTTCTCCTTGCTAGAGTTCGTTGCTCACTGTGCGTCTCAGTACCCGTGCATAGTCAGCCAGACCTTTATGCGCCCTTACTCACTCTCCACGACCATTCCTCAAGGGGCAGAATGTGGCTGAACCGTTGCTGCAACCCAAGTGGGCATGGAGGGGAAAACGCGTTGAACACTCCCTCGTCGACCCGTTCCTCGAGCAATGATCGGGGCGTCTAACCACCAGGAGACTGGCTATACGGATCATCACCACGGCGTAGCTTGCTGAGATACACAGAACTGAGATGGGATTTAGGCACTGAAGATTCTGGCACTTTCGGTCTTGATAACATAAGATACAGAGCTATGGCTTGCTAGCGGATCTGCGGTGTACATTGTCCACAACACATTCCAGCAGTGGCACCTTGGTCCATGAAATTATTTCCTTGATCAAACGGGGTAGACTACTTAACGAATGAGGTGCCTGTACATTGTCCATGCAGCGCTACATACCTCAGTTTTTCCGCGACAGGAGGGAGATCTCGCAATTGCTTCAATATATGCCATGTTCGTCATTGCGCTGGGTCCCGTGCACAGCATGTGGTGAGGTTGCCTTTGTTAAACATGGGGTACCCGAGTTCGGCAGCACTACCAGGTACAGTTAGAGCCGCTGCAAACTTCGCAACAGGAAAAAGTACCCTAGAAGCGCCCGGTAACCCCCATTTAGGATGTCCCACTAGCATTCCGTCTTCATAAGTGTAACATATATGACGTCTTTAAAGGAGGTCTGGGTAACACGAGGACGCCGGGTAATATTGGAAGCCGTATCTTTCTGTCTCGCAACTCGTGTCGCGCCATTTCTCGCCAACTTGCCATGTACGCTGCACACTGGCCAACTCATCCTTCGCCTTCTATCTGTGAAGTATCTGCGGACAAACCACTCGGAAAAAGTAGTGTGCATACGTCGAGTGGTGAGACTACTTGGACTCTTTGCCACCTCCACACGGTGTTTCATGTGCAAAATACGATAAAATGGGGGTATTATGAATCTTACTACGCATAGAGAATTAGCGCGGACAGACCTCATGCTCAACAATACAAACTTTCGTTCGAGCTGGCTCGGAGGCTTCGATTCCTGGATCCTCCGTATGGGTGTGTAATGATAAATCTGGAACAGGGTCCTATCACATGATTGCGCACATCCGTGTCTCATGGTCTTCTAAGAAACGCCCGCCTCTACCGAATTCGGGCGGAGGAAATAAGGGCTGTGGTTTCTCTAAGAGAGGAAAGCCCATGGGAGCAAAAGCATGCGTTCGCCCGCCTCCACCCCATACAGAAAGACCAGCAGTCCAGGCCCAATCAGGGGGAATGGGATATCCCCGGCGCCGCGGAGTCTGATCGGGTACTTATCACGAAAATTCTCGAAGACCAGACGTGTTCCGCATCTCACTGCCCTGATGCCCCATCGGACCGTCTCGGTCTAATAAGCTGCCTGGAGATGGGGGAGGCTCGTTTGGGGCAACGCTTCGAACATAATCTGTTTTCTACAAATGAGCTCCAACTCACCCAGCCTTGTGGCTCATCGATGATCCACCTACCCGAAGCTCTACCCCTTCTGAATATTCGGCAGCAGTCATGCGCGACTTCTCACGACAGCTCCTGATGTCCATGGTAGCATTCGGTTGCAGACCGTGTTGGAACTCTGAAGAATACTTGAGTGCTAGATTCGACCAAGTTATGTTGGGTGTGCGTCTCATAGATGGCACCTTTGAAAGGAGTGAAAATGCGTTGTCGTGAAGCTGAGCCTAACCAAGGTATCTAGACAACACAGTTGGACTCGAAGAATCACCACCGTTTCATAGAACGGCGATTCGTCGTCCTGGTCGAGACTGTGATGTGATGGGCAATTCTGTAATCTTGGTCGGCAAGCTTTGCGATCCAATCACTCTGAAAAGCCGAGTGGGCTTCTCACCAGATCTATGTGTATTTTACGCATGGATGGGGTGCGAATACGTGCTCGTTTCCCAAGGCATAGCGTCAATGGCAAAGTATCACGGCTCTGTGGTTCGATCCGGCTGTGCCAAACTCAGTCCGTTCTAGCTTTGACCCTTGACATTGTTGAAAGCGATTCGTCGATGACAGTGTATTCTCAGCATTATGTCTATCCCGGCAATTGTCCCATCAACGGGATCTCACACCAATAATTGAAAGCGACTGATCCGCGATTTTCGCTGTGCTTTCCAACCCCAAACTCGGAAAGCGAGCTGTAGAGGATTGCCGACGTCAGCAGCGCAAAACGAACAAATCACATGATCGTACACGACGAGGCACTCAGACTCAAAGAGAGGGCATTGGAGGACTGGAAAATATTCGATTGGTTAACGGGCTAATGGGATCATTTGAGCCACTAGAGGCGAGGAGGTAATAAAGATCCCGGATGATTTGTAGCTGACGTTATCAATATCTGCGCGAATCATGGTAAGCTTGTCATCTTGGCATTGCATAGTTAATACAAACGCAGATAAAGCAAGATGGGGCCTGGAGCGGTTTTCAGATGCAAATGCCAGAGATTGATTCAGCATTATACTCTCGTCCTCGGGTATATCGTGATTCACACGGGGCCTAGCATACTCCTGCGCAGGTCTGGAACATGGTTCACCCCTAGAGTCTGACCTGACCGTACAGACGAGGGATATGTGAGTTCGTTTTTGAGTATTTGTATTGGTCGAAGCATTGGTCAGGTCTCGGGGCTGTTACGCTATAGGAGTGCTTCCCTTCGACGATAAGGAACCGATGGTAAACCCTGATGTACCAAATCGAGATGAAGGGCCGCGTAGCTCGGACCTAGTGACGGGATGTTTTGGGACGGACCAGTCGCTATGGTCTGTCCCTCAAGCTTCCTTGGATAACAGGTGGTACCAAGAGGTCACACCGCGTCCCGGCTCCATGGGCATTGGAACATCGTGAGTGACTGCTGGTCGATGGTATACAGAGGATAGCGCTAGACACGGAGGTAACTCGTGAGCAAGGGGTAAGGCTTTGCCGGCAATGGGATATCCCATCGTCTGACGTCATTGCGCTTTCCAATTCGAAATGTTTTAACCACAATTAGCCAATATGCCGGTGAAGGTCTCGAGATAAATGCAGATGGATAGGAGAGCAGCCTCACCCTGGCCACGACCCGGGCGCGGGATGACTGATTTGCTGACAATTGGATAGATGGTCGGGCGTTGTCAGGAGCTCGTATCGTGCTTACTCATAGATAGCCCGAATAGAAAAGAGAGAAATTGATCGTGACGGAGGCTTTCCAGGTGGGCGTCGTTGATGGCATATTGATGCTTGGAGGAGGAGGATTGAACTGGAACGGAACCCCTATAGGGCGGAGAGCTAACGGAAGAATTAAGGAGACTTGGGCATACTGGAGTGACTGAAGATATGACCGAGAAGCTTTTGCGCTGTCTTGTTTCCTGAAAGCGTCTTCAAACTCCAAGGTAATTGGCACTAACAGCTAAGGCAGGTTTGCCGAGATCAGGTTCGGTGGTGGCTGGGATATGAGAAGGTCGCCACGCGATGATCAGGGCAACAATCTGGCCCCTGCACCAAACCAAAAATCTTGAAACCTCGATCCTGGGCCGAGGGATGGAATTTCATCAACGCCGCTCTGCAAACATCAACATGTTCATGATCGGTGAGATCCAGAGGCGATGGTGTGGTGAGGGTCATGAGGACAGCAGTTGCTTTATGCAGCAGCTCTGCTCGGAGAGGGTGTTCGCCTCCAGATCCCGAGCTCAGGGCCCGTCACACCCTCTCAATGTCCCGCACCTGCGGCCCAACCCAAACACCAACTCAACAACACTCCGATTATTGGGAGAGGTGCACTCAGTCACCGCTATTCCTCGTCAAGAGAAAACACTTGCTCCAACGATCATTACATGAACCAATTTCATCTATTGCTGACTCTCCGAATTAGATTAGCTCCTTTGCCGTTTCCCAGCCACCTTCCGATCAGAGGTATCCATCGCTGTGTTGGACAAATTCTGTGGCAGGCGAGAGGCTGGTACATTCTAGTCTGCCAACAGGGAAAAAAAAAACCTCACCTATCTGCCTGACGTTCAGGTTCATTTTTCATTTCCATTCTTTCGTGTCTCTTGTCAATCGTTAACCCCCCAAATATCTCAAGCTTTGAAATTTTTCGGTTGGTAGCGTGCGATCATTGGTACCAAAGCACATTCTCTATACTCGACCAAAAATCTCACCAAGTTTCCAATGCAAAGATAGCGCACAGATCCCGAGATTCGACCTCCCCCCGGCCTGTGCGGTCAACGACCATGCGGCTACATGAAATGCCTTCCTCTCACACTTCATTCCTCGCTGCCATCATCCTCACTCGGCCTATCACCGCAGCGCTCTTACCGGAACTCCTCCACAGCTTCGAAGACCTTCAAGATGTCCGAAAGAGATGTGATAATCCCTGTGGATATTATGGACAACTATGCTGTGAAGCAGACCAAGCTTGCTACACGGATTCCAACAACCAAGCCCAATGTGGCGTCGTCGCTACCACGGCCGTCGCATCCGGTCAGTGGGAGTATTACACGACCACTTATGTGCAAACAGATCTTAAGACGGTCACCGAGACATTCAGTTCATACGTTCCCGTCAGCACGCTCAGCTGTTCGTATTCCCTGGGCGAGACTCCGTGTGGGAATGTTTGCTGTTTGTCCGGCCAATATTGCCAGGCCTCGGGGATCTGTGTCGCCGTTGGAGGGGATAGTTCTGGACACTACAGCAGTCTCTACACCGTCACGACCGTCGTCACCAACACCGCCAGTGCGCCACTACGGCCTACCAGCAACACGCTCGTCACCGTCACCTCCATCGGTGGCGCCACCACCACCCAGCCCTTCGTGACACCCGTCGGCACCGATGGGAGTATCATCTACGGCACCACCTCGAGTTCCAGTGGCGGCTTGAGCGGAGGCGCAATTGCTGGCATTGTCATCGGCGTCATTGCCGGAGTAATTATCCTCCTCCTTATCTGCGCCTGCTGCTGCTTCAAGGGCTTGATTGATGGATTGCTGGCCATTTTCGGCCTAGGCCCCCGACGAAGAAGACGCACCGAGGAAGAAGTGTACGTGGAAAGACGCTCTCGTCGAAGTGGACGAGGAGGACGGACCTGGTTTGGCACAAGACCGTCGAGAACCTCGGTGGTGGAAGAAAAGAGGACCGGTGGGTGGGGTAGGGTGGGCTGGGTGGCTGCCAGTTTAGGTGCTCTAGCTATCTGGCTCGGATTGAAGAGAAGAAGTCGACGGGACGACAAGAGCAGCTCCGGCTATGGCAGTTCTTACTACTCAGATTATACAGTTTCCAGTGAGTATACGTCGATTCCCACCTTGATGCCATGTCCATGCTCACTTTTTGGTATCAGGTAGTGAAAGCTCCTCAGACCGACGGACGAGGCGGAGCAGCCGATCCCGATCCCGACCCCGACGATGATTGTGAATTACGATTGATGGATTTGAAGCGGGCCTTGGTGCACCATTGCATGAATATGGATCGGGATTATTGATGGGATGGATGGGACATATAGCGAAGTCGGAAACCATTTTCGGCAGACATGCATGCAGTTGAGGAATTTGGATGGACTCAGATTGTATATTTGGATGAGTCGAAAATGAGCAAATCATCACGGACATAGGAAATTGACAGCACAGGGGAATTAATGTATCGTCCACAAAGGTTGGTGAAAGTATCTGGTATTTTCGGTTGCAGCGTACATAGGTGTGTACTCGGTACCTCGGGCTACCACGGCGTCGGGGATTTCGACCACCCCTATCCCGGGTAACTTCTCGCCCGAGCCAGGGTTGAGCCACAGGGCGCGGCATCACCCGGTTCCCCTAAAACGGGGGTGGGCTGGAGCAGACCTTGGCAAAGGGTTTGCTGCATCCAAGCTGAGGATATCGATTGATTACCAACCTTCCTTTGATCGTCCATTCATGTTACCGAGTCGTCAGGATATGATCGTCTGAAACCCATCTTGTGAGTAGACATCCTTCACAACCTAGTCTTCCCAACATTTCCTCGCCAAAAATCACATGTGTGTGGCCCTGGTTGAAGCTCCATGCCAGACATCGCAACATTATGCCTTCAACTCAGGAATCAACTCCGGGGATCAAAATATTGATGCTCCATGGATATACACAGAATGGGCCTCTGTTTCACGCCAAAACACGAGCTATGGAAAAACACTTGCAGAAAGTCTTTCCTGGGGCTTCTCTGAGTTATCCTACAGGTCCTCTACATCTCAAGCCAAGTGATGTACCAGGTTGGGACACAAGGACAAGCGAAGATCCTGACAACACTGAGGCCTATGGTTGGTGGCGCCGTTCAGACATTTCCGATCCGCCCGAATATGTTGGATTGGAAAGGGGTTTGGAATCGGTAGCCCGAATTCTCGTGTCCGAAGGTCCCTTTGATGGAGTCATTGGGTTTTCTCAAGGCGCTGCGCTCGCCGCAATGCTGGCCTCATTACTTGAAGGAGAGTCCAGAAAGCAAGCATTCCAAAAAGCACAGTCATTATCACCGCTGGCGATCCCCTATCCTTCATCTTTCGAAGGATTGAATCATTCACCCCTCAAATTCTGTGCGGCATATTGTGGATTTCGGGCACCTGGGGAGAGGTATCGTGGATTTTACGAAGACCCGCCTATTCAGACGCCGGTGTGTCATTTTATTGGCAGTCTTGACACGGTGGTTGATGAGACCAGAACACAAGCACTAGTAGATGCTAGTGGTGGCGCAGAAATGACTCAAGTGGTGACGCATCCCGGGGGACATTTTGTTCCGAGTGGTAAACAATACCTTGACATTGTTGCGGCATTCATCAAACAGAAAATGGCGTCACAAGACGAGAAAAATGAGCCGGAAGAGCGGGTAGAGGATATGGATGTGCCGTTCTGAGGACATTTTGCTGGTTTTTCCCGATCTTCTGCGATAGATTTGATACCCAACAGACTGATAGAACGGCCCAGAGGAGTGGGATTGTATGTGCTTTCGATGGCCTCTGCTGTGAGATCCCTCCACAAAAAGTAGAAAGTGATTGGGCGGTTGAAGTAGAAGTGTGATCACGTGAGTTGACGTTGCTCGAGGCTAGCACCAATCCAACCTGCCAAGATGTGCGCCAAAGAGAGGGCTCGCACACTTCTCCAAGTCCCCATTTTCGACCGCATTTGACCAACATCTCAATCGAACACTCGCATCGTCGTCGACCAAGTCGATATCACAGAAGATCTCAATTCACGTCAAGCTTCTCAGATTGGTCCTAAAAATCAGTCAAAATGGTATGCAACCGTCCTGTCGAACACGGCACAAATCCATGAGCTTAAAATTTTCCCTTTGGCAACCGCACAGCACACGAGAACAGCGACAATCATCAACACCAATTCCCAAGCGCTTTCATATCAAGGATATAGCTAATATTTCTGATTCCAGGTCCTGGCCGTTGATCTCCTCAACCCTACCCCTCAGGCTGAGGCCCGCAAACACAAACTCAAGGTACGAAATCAATCCACCGGCCGGCCAAATATCCCACATCTAACATTTTCTTCAGACGCTCGTCCCGGCTCCTCGATCCTTCTTCATGGACGTCAAGTGTCCCGGCTGCTTCACAATCACCACTGTTTTCTCCCATGCTCAAACCGTCGTCATCTGCGCAGGCTGCTCAACTGTACTTTGCCAACCCACCGGTGGCAAGGCCAGACTCACAGAGGGCTGCTCTTTCCGAAGAAAATAAACGATCAAAAGAAAATTGGGCATGGTACTTTGATGGCATCATATTTTTTTTTTTTTTTGCTAGATAGAGGATGGATTCCCACACGAACAATCACCCCGACCCATGATGGATGGAGTTCCGGATATCTTGCAAAAAAAAAAAAAAAAAAAAAAAAGACGTTTTCCGAGAGCATAGGGGCCGAATTTCGTTTTGTTATGATAACGGCGTCAATCAATTCTTTTCAAGGGATGAGAACATTTACGTCCCTCTCCCCTAAAAATGTCTTTTCTGCACGGGATGACGAGGCGGAGGCAACGAGATTCTGCATGAACATATACACTGTGTTGTAATGTGAGGAGGGCAGGTTCTTGATGTTGAGGAGGCCTATGACCTTGCATTAGGCTAAATCGCGGTGGAACGGGATAGTCATGTACTCTTAGTACCACAAAGAGGCAAGCAATCAAAATCTTCGAAAAGCATATGAACTTCCTGTCCTTATCCTCCTAGTTGTCATGATACCTTGACCAATTCCAGATTTGTCTGCTGTAGCCAATGTGTCCTTCATTCTGCTTCGGTTCTGAAGGTACCGAATTCATTCATCGGGCTTCTATGAACATGGCCCGTTTGCTGATGTGTTTTGTATTTTCCACCCCTGCACATTCCAGCACACTTTTCATGCAGGGTCGAAGTCTGCGTTCATGTCTTGAGCGACCGAGGGTGATAGGAGATCTTGGCACAATCCATGGATGCACGTGACGGCCGAAACTGGAGAAGGACTGCCATCAACACCGTTCAAGGTCCACCATGATCTTGTTGACGAGCTTCTTTTGATCTTTTTCTCGTAGCTCCTTTTCGTCCATCTCTCTCAGACAGCGACCCACTGCACATATTCCCTTCACACCCGCTTCGGGGCAATCAACCCACACCCGGCCATTTCGGCCAACGGCTATTTCAAATCCACCGGGCAGCTTGGAGCCCAATTCGTCCAACGCCACCGCACTTTGCCTTCTGAGCAGCCTTTCCGCCAGCCCCGGACTGACGTCAAAGACCATACCTCCCGTCAGTGGTCCCAGTCCATCTGGTTCTGATTTTCCCGTAGAAGGATTCACACAGCTCAATTCGACCTCCATATTCTTCTGGGCAGACACCACTTTGGCATACACGAGATCATTCGATTTCAGCTGAGGTCTTGTCTTCTTAGTCGCTCCTTCAAAGGCGAGTTGGGGCAGAATCGCTTGTTGTGAGTGGGAGTTGATGAAGAGGTGGAAAAAGTCTGTCGAGGAGGTTCGTACTTGTGCAATAACTAGATCACCGGCCTTGGGGACATAACGAGCATCTGGTGTCGCGATTTGAGCAGTCTTTTTTCGATAATCGACTTCTAAAAGTCCTCCAATGGTGGATGTGAAGGTGTTGGAGATGGAGTCATATTGGAGTCCACGACCTATTTTGCTTTGTTGAGATACTGGTATTTGACTAGCTGGAACTTGATCTCCGGGCAATAGAACTTGAGTCGTAGCCATACAAGTAGTCAAGTGAGAGGATTTCAAGAGAAACGTAGTCAACAACTTATCCCACGCGAAAAGATGCTTCACCGAAAGGCTGAGTCAAACAAGCCAAGGGGTTTTGTGCGGGCCGTGTTACAAGGCTGACCTCGGCTGACCTTCCTCTGACTATGGGGCTTTTTCGCCCAAGGGTTCGAAAAAAAAGTTTCTCAAGGTACCAACAAGATTTCAAGGTGCGCCTCGTGGAAAGCTACCACGCAAGGACCGATTTCGGTTACCTGCATTCGTTCTTCCCCCAAAATTTTTTCAAAATACATCATTGGCCCTGTAGCCTCGGGCTGTTTACCACGACCATGAGTGACGAATCCAACGGGGTGCCGACCCAAGGGTTACCCGAACACTATGCCATTGGTATTTCGTTCGGAAATTCCTACAGTTCAATAGCACACATTTCAGGGGAAGGAAAAGTTGAGGTGATCGCCAACGAAGAAGGAGATCGACAAATTCCTACCATTCTATCATATATCGACGGAGAGGAATTCCACGGAACACAGGCAAAGGCGCAGTTAATTCGGAACAGCAAAAACACCGTTGCATATTTCAGAGACTATGTTGGAAAAGACTACAAATCGATAGATCCTACGCCCTGTCATGCCTCAGCCCATCCTATCGAACACGACGGTCAAATCTCCTTTTCCGTTCGAGATACAGAGAGGGAAATGGAAAACAAGGTGCCTGTCCTCGAAATCGCCACACGACATTTGCGACGGCTGAAGAATTCCGCCTCCGATTTTACTGGCAAGGCTGTGACTGCTGCGGTTGTTTCCGTGCCCACAGATACCACCGACGACCAAAAGGCGGCCCTGACCCAAGCTGCGGCCAACATCCAGGTGGAAATCCTCCAATTCATACCCGAACCCATTGCGGCTTTGCTAGCATATGATGCGCGATCGTCTGAACCTGCCACGGACAAAATCATTGTCGTCGCCGATTTTGGTGGAAATCGATCGGACGTCGCCGTGGTCGCATCAAGAGGGGGCATGTACAGCATTCTGGCTGCCGCTCACGATTACGAACTGGGTGGAGCGCAGTTAGATCAAGTCCTGATCGATCACTTTGCCAAAGATTTTGAAAAGAAGCATAAGATTGATCCACGCAAGAATGAGAGGAGCTTGGCAAAATTGAAACTCGAAGCCGAGGCTGTGAAGAAAGCACTCAGTCAGAGTAACAGCGCCACTTTCAGCGTCGAAAGTCTTGCAGACGGTATTGATTTCAGATCTACGGTCAACAGGACCAGATACGAAATCCTGGCCTTGAAACCTTTCACTCGATTTACAAGGCTTGTGGAGGAAGTCATCAGGAAAGCTGAACTTGATGTTCTCGATATTGATGAAGTTATCATGTCTGGAGGTACCTCCCATACGCCCAAGATTGCCAAGAATATCGAAGCCATCTTCCCCGAGTCGACGAAAGTTCTCGCCCCTGCTACCACACCGACGGCATTGAATCCCTCTGAATTATCGGCCAGAGGAGCTGCCCTTCAAGCTTCTTTAATCCAAGAATTTGAAAAGGAAGATATTGATCAATCCACGCATGAAATGGTCACCGTCACCCCGCACTTGACTGCTGCGGTTGGCTTTCAGGTAACTGGTCAACCTGCAGACTCATTGACAGTCATTGTTCCACCCAACACGGCCGTTCCCGCACGAAGAACGAAAGTTATTGATTCCCTCGAGGGCGACGTCTTGATTCGAATATGTGAGGGACAGCGTGAGATCAAAGTTTCCCAGGCCGAACCCAAACCGAAAGCTGAGACAAACGGTACTCCGGGTGATGATGAGGACGACGAAGCGGTCGAAGATGATGAAGATGATGAACCAGAAGAGATTCGTGAGAAGATCTGGAAACCAAAACAAACTCTTGCTGAATTCGCATTCAAGGGTCTCAAGAAGGGTTCCAAAGTAGAGATCATGGTCGACGTTGACGCCGAGCTTGCATTGTCTATCACGGCCCGGGAGATTGGTGGTAAAGGAGGTATCAGAGGTGAGATCAGGGCTTCGGAGTTGGTGCAGAATGGCAGTGCTTGATGGAATTCTTGTTGTTACTGGCATGGCGTGGCGCAGTGATGCTTTTAGAGAAAAAGAATATTGGATACTCAAGACGCACAGACAGATCGAGATGTATTTGGTTGATTTACGATACCCATGGGTAAGGAAAGGGCATGAGCCCTCAGCAATAGAATCCCTCATCCATGTGTTTAATGGATTCGGTTCTTGACCCTGTATTTTGGGTTGTTTCCATTGTTCCTCTCTGTGCCATATGCACCCTCATCTTGGCCCCTATCCACCTCAGCCTTGCACAGCCTTGCACACTTGTCTTATGAACGAGGTCGCCAACAACAACTGCCAATTCTGCGGCGATGCCCATACAGACACCTCCCCACTTAGCTCTTGTTACACTCGAGGACAAGTTGATAACATTGTCAACAGTGTTATGTTCATGTTGCCAGGTTAGTGGCTCTTCTTCTACGCCATCCTTCTCCCATTAAATGCCTTGGATATCCACCATACATCATTCCAGCATTTTACACACTTTCCTCGCGGCTTCTGCAATACTCTCTATATTCGATACGTCGGCTTTCTTCGAGCAAAATTCATCTCATATGGGAGCATGACCTCACGTGGGAGCACATGACAAGTGAATGCACTGTTGTTCTGGATCAATGCATTCCAACATTCATGCACTTGATATTTCTACGTTCGGAGACACCATCGAACTATATAGACATGTTCGTTACCATGCTGGGAACTAGGTAGCTAACCTCGTTCTCATTACAAGCCTACCAGCCAGTGTGAATGATTCATAACACCTACTTCCAGTACCCCTTGATGATGGACATTCTTCCACAATTTCAATCAACTCATTCCATCCTTCTCCGAACAGCCCAAAAAAGAGATTCAAAAGCTTACATGAAGGGGAAAAAAGGCTCACATCTGTGATACAACTGACTCCGGCTTCGGGAGTTCAAACAAGATTCTTGTTTCGAAATATCGGCAACAAGTTACTCTCCATCCATCCCTCAGAATTGACAAGTCCGATGTCAAGTCTCCAGTTCGATAGCTCACAGAACATTGAGGGCAAACTATATGATACTTGACGCACTCCGTATACCAGACTTGCTTGTCGGTTTTTCAATAAAATGCAAAGGCTACGGTGCTCGTGAAGGCCTCAGTATTAATAATATTACCGACTAGGTGCGGGTTGGTTCCCATTATTTAGTAACCATGATTACTTACATCCTGGCCAGCACACTGACATCAGAGTAGTCACGAACCTGAAAGGTTCTCAGCGATCACCGGGACGGCTGCAAGATGCGCTTGTCATATCGACTTCTGCGGCAAGTAAAAAAGCGAAATCCGACTAAATGGAGCTTCTACGTGTCTGCGTGGTCTGCTCAGAGGGCCGGAGCCGCTTATCCAATGAGTTCTCTTGGCAGAAGCGAAATCAACTATGTCCCAAGGTTATGGTGGTTTGCTTCTGCTCATTCAACAAGTATCCTGAACGGAGGAAGCTAGCGGAGTTCAAGGGTAGGCTGGAGGATGGTGAATCCGAGGTAAATTGGGGCGTCAAACAAGCCAATTGCTCAACGAATCCGTCGAAGAAGGACATGATCGCCGGATGTTGAGTGCTTACTTAAAGGATCGTAGCAGCATCTACTCAGAGATTGCTTGGCATGTCGAGGGACACGCCAGAAAATTGCTGTAGAACACAGGTACAAGTATTCATTTGGTACTAAGATGGGGCAGGACGAGTTTCAGTCACGTGATCACACAGGCCTAATTTTTCACACATATTTTAGAAACTAAAAATCCTGATCACAACCGTCTCCTCTATAGTGTAGTGGTTAACATAGTTGGTTTTCAATTTGGAAACTGATTTATTCTGGTTGAATACCCAACAGCCTCGGGTTCGATTCCCGATAGAGGAAATAGGGGAGCAAGGGTACTGTGTTTTTCTTTTTCTTTTTTTTTCTTACTATCCTTTTTTTTTTGTAATTTTTTCTGGATGTATTTTTGTGCTTTGTGATATTGGTGCCAAGGCGGCTGTCGGGGCTTGAAAATGTCTTGGCAAGCATTTCGTATTGCACTGTACTTACGTATTGCTTCTCGGATCTCTCCAGGGATGGAAAAGTCGGTGAAACAATTTGCCAAATGATGTTTTTACACCCAGTGTGTGCCTCCTTTTCTTGTCAGCCTTCACCGAGGAACCCATCAAATTTCATATCGTCAATGGACACCAGAGATTGGTAAATGCTGTCCATCATTCCCAGTGGATTGATCACGTATTTTGTATGGGCGAAGATGACTTTGGGACTTTGACGAACCACGTCAGATCACAGCAGCAAAGTATGTTGACGACATCCTGTGATTGGAAAAAGACAGTCATCTTATGTTTGGGCAATACGCGTTACGATTGCGAGCTGACTCCGATGTATTTCTAAACCCATAGCTAACTCCAGAGTCGGAATATACACACACACACTCACTCACTCACTCACACATACAATATCTCAATTGGAATATTTCGAATATTTTTGAAGGGTACCCCAAATGCACAACGCGTGTCGAGTATACAAAGACTTCAAAGGCATCCCTTTTTTTGTTGACGCAGAGGTGCTGAATTTTGCATATGTGCAGCGTATCAAACATCCACTCCTGGTGTCTTCACACTTCCTGGAATTGACATGTGCGGAGTCGCGGACAAATGAACCTTTGAGCATGAACTGTCGACAAAGCAGAATCGATCTGGAGCCCAGGGAATGATCAAGGTCCAACGAGTGCTCCAGATGCATCATTGGTGTCCTTGGGTCAAGTTTAATCCTTAGTGTTACGATCTGAGTCAGCCACCACAGCATCCACAACTTCCTTGTTGAGACCTCTCCAGTACCTCTGTCCCCAGACGAACCACCACACCAGAGAAATCAAGAGGACGAAGACATTGATGGGGAGAGCGTAGTTCATGGTGTTGGCGTCTACCGGGAGGAATGATGGGAAGACCAGGAAGACCATGACGTATGCCGAGTAGATGATGGCGAAAATGTTGATTGGAATTCCCCATCGGCCTAATGACCATTCACCATGTTCGATTCGTCCTTGGAATCGGGCATACAGCATGCAGGCGATGGCTAAGAGGTAGGATTGGTAGAGGCCAAAGGTGGACAGGGCGATAATGACGCTGAATGCCGTATAGTTGGCAATGTTGAGGAGGGACAACAACTTGACAATGAAGATTGGCAACCACACGGAACGGACAGGAACCCGGTGCCGGGGGTCGATGTAGGAGAAATAGGCCGGCAATGCACCATCACGAGACCAAGCCCACGTCAGTCGAGAAGCGGAGGCCACACTGCCCAACGCGCAAGCGATATTGACAATCAAGAGTCCTCCGACCATGGCCGAGCCTGCTCTTAAGGATCCCGTGGCCACTACGCAGATTGTGAGGAGAGGATACGAAGAATTAATGAGGTCGTCCACTTTCCCGGCGCAGAACAGGAAGACCAGAACCATTCCGTACGCCAGGGCACCGTTCATGACGATACTCCAGAACATGGCCCTCGGGACGGCATGGCGGGCTTTTCGGACTTCTTCGGACATGTGGACGGCGCCATCAAAGCCTGTGCATTTATGGATGAGCTTCTAACGTATCTCGAACCCTCCCGGGGCCACTTACCGACGAAGCCCCAAGTAATCGTCAGCATACCCAGATTAAACGAGACATATTCGTTGGTCCATCCCGACAGGGCTGACTTTTCCAAAAAGACGAAATCGGCCGTATGTCGAGGCGCAAGAGTCACCAAGACTGAAACAAAAACGATCCAGAGAATGATGTGCAGCAGACCTGCGACCAATTCCACCCAGGGGATGATCCAGAAGGCGTACATGTTGAGCAAGCCCATGACAATGAGCAACGCATACATGATCAGAACGACGTGCCAATTCTCTGGGACATAGCTGGGATAATTGGCGATGGCCAGGGTTTGAATCATGTTGGCGGCAATGTTCACAACACCAGCCAACAGAGATATCCAGGAGAACCAGGTGATCCAGCCTTGGATCCAAGTGATGAATCGTCTTTGGGAGGGAGGGGCCAGGTAATGAGTCCAATGATATTGCGCCCCAGCGATTGGCTGGACCGAGGACATTTCGGCCATGGATGCTACCTGGCATAACACTCCTGTTATGACAATGACATACCCCCATGCAGCGGATCGCGGGCCTCCATTCCAGAAGATGAAGGCAATATTTCTAAAAACGATTCCATTAGTACAGCGTGTGTGGAAACTTCAAAAAGGCGTGGTCGTACGATGCGATGGCCTCCCAAGACGACATATAACTGAGCGCGAAGAAAAAGATCTGGGCGAAGCTGAAGATTCTCTGTTCGGGATGTCAGTGTCTGCCGCCGTCCAAATTCGTCGCCAAAACACATACTCGAACCCTGGTTGCTGTATTCCTGGTGCCCTCCGTTCTTTGACCAGTGTAGGCCGTCGCACCATACGACCTCTTCTCCTCCTGCACATTCACTGCCGCCGTTTTGACGGGTAGCATTTCATGAGCTCCGTCCATCTTGGATACAGAAAGATCGAATTCAACCCGAGCCCTAGGAATAGAAGATCCAGGGGGGTTTGGAAGATGGAAATAAAAGGGAGGGAAAACGAAGGGAAGTAGAAAGCCGACTGGGCTATGCAGCCGAAGTCTCTCTTGAGGGGGGGGAAAACGTGGAAGGGAAACGTGGATGATGGATCGGAAATTGGCCCTAAACTGATGGAAGACAAAGTCCCTGACCGCAACATGCCCGAGAAACCACAATGACGATAAGGGAGCAGAAATGTCTCGAGAATGTCAAGGCCCCTGTTCCATCCCGCAGCGACGCTTGGTTTCGGCGGGAAATCTAGTCAAGAGATCTGGGGTGGGATCAACCAATCAAGGGAAGGTCCAGACACCTCTACGGAGGCCAATTGAATGGGGTATACGAAGGAACTGGCGGATCCTTTCCATACCGAGTATAGAGGCCAAAGCCCTGGGAGGGGATTTGATGTGTCGGTTGTCCTTGGGGGGAAATGGTTTGACCGGTTGACCTCCCCTCTGGTTCCGGACTCGGGCCCCAATAGATACAACGCGCTGGGACTAGTATGCCATCTCTTCAACAGGAAACTCGCGCGTGACGATAGGAGGACGGACAAGTTTTGTCCAGACTTGTTCTTGGGAAGTGGGTAGCATCGTCGCAGAGAAAAAGGGACTGGGAAGTTGTGAATTTCTCCACTGTAGCCGCGTGTCCAATGTGCGTGCTTCCCTAAAACTTTGTCGTTTGTCGAATGTTACAATGCATTCCAGTCAGACGGTCCTGGAACAAACTCCCAGGCGAAAGCCCAACAGACGAAAGGCCGGACAGGCATATTCCGGAGCTGCAAGCTATTGGGTAGGTGCAGAAAGATATTTCTGTTGTGAGGAATCGGTGTGTCTGGCTCTTATCTGTGGCATACTTAGCGCCTCTTTGGGCCATGTTCGCCGATGAGTTAACAGCAGAGCCGAATGGGCGCCGAATACTCCGGACTAGCGGCCCTGGGGACATTGGTATATTGCAGGCTTCGAGGACCAATCCGGATCCTTGCTGAGTTGTCTTCACACCAATGGCGCACCCAAGGTGCGGGCCGTGCATGTTGATGGATCGCTTTCCCTTGTTTTCCCCCGGCATTAGAGGGGGCAGATCCTGGCAGATCCCGGCTCTAGCAGCGTGTCATCTAATGCCGTTTCCGGATTAGTGCCCAGTGTCCTTGATCAAACCACAACTGGTCGGGCTGACATATCTCGTCGATTGGACAAAAGAACTCTCAGGATAAAGCAAAAGATATATGGAATGCAAAGAGAGAGGAGACAGATATGGCTGCCTGTGGCACATTTCACGGCGTTCCTCCTGATACAATGCAACGGCAAAAAAAATCAACGCACGGACACGCCTGCAGCCAAGGCTGAACCACCTGAGTCGTCGACGAACAGCAATCAAGCAGAGGCAAGCCGAATCCCTAGATCCTTCGGCAGTGGACTGAGATCTCGGCTTGCTGGTAACAAGGGTCTGGTTGTGTCCCTCTGTCATCCCCTGATTTGCGCAATCTCCCCTCTCAAGCGCCTCATACCACCAATCCCTGTCCCGCGGAGCCTGCTAGCCCGGAGTCCTAGAAGAAGAAAAGGAAAACTCAAAACTTACCAGCCGTGTGCTTTCTTTGTCTTGAATGTCCCCGATCGGCGGTGACCACCACAATGAGGACCATTCTGCAAGTGACCATCGCTTTCCCTAGCAGATGGCACTCATGATTTTTTCATTTTGGTCAAAACTCAGGGACCGAGACCCCGTCCCGCTTTTCACGTCCACCGTTCGAACAACCCATGGACTTCGGACTTGCGGAAAGGACATCTTGCGCATTCTTTCGATGAAAACCTTTGGGGCAAAGGCGCATTCTACTGCCCATCCGAAGCCTCGCAATCGTCAATGTCGAGAGCACTTGGATTGGCAGGGGGACTAGCGTTTTCCTTCGAATGGCCTCCGAAATTGTTCCTGCATTGAAGCCGGACCCTTTCACGTACAGTTACACAAGGTGTGACAGGGGGAGAGGATGATCTCGATAGCGACAGGAGAAAAACCATCACAGCGTCCTCACATCTCACCCACCACTTACCATCGATCAACCAACTTCCTCGAAACTGATGAAGGGCCTGCCTACGCAATCTGGGGGGACAAACTAGGGTGCGTTAAGCCAATGATTGAAACAAGTCTCGGTCTGAAATCCCTGTCGGTAAGTGTGTCGATGGCGTTTCGTTCTTCACACCCGACTGATTTGTGGCTGCATTCGGTTGCCGCGTACCTCGAACACCAACAGCCTACCAAGTTGCGTAGTCCGTATGTTAGGGAACCTTTTTTCATCGGACTACGGGAAAATACCCTATGCATATTCCATCTATGGGGGAGAGGGTCCAAATCCTTGCGAATAGACTCGTAGTACCCTGAGTCGGATTGTCGCAACTCTATTGATATTTCGTTTCTGAAAAACTCAGCCGGTCATCCCAATTTTTTCCTCCAGGGCCGTGCTAACCAAGGAGATATCTCTCCCAGACCGAAGTCCACCTCTCGCTTTATCACGAGTGGTTTCCCACCATATTGCTATCAATATGGCTGACAGCGATACAGGCATCAACGAGCCTTTACTTCCCCCATTTCAACAAATCACCTCCAACAATCGAGGGCCCATATCTTTGGCCACGGCCATTACGTTGGTCGTCATCACATCATTGACGGTCGCCGTCAAGTTATGGACGAGGCTCAGCACGACTCGAACACTTGGTCTCAATGATTTGGCGATCATATTTTCTCTTGTGTGTTATCCTCGACATGTTCTCAGGAATTCAACTGATGTCGTTTAGTCGTGTGCCCTCGGGCAGACAATTTCTCTGTGTCTAGCGGTCAATGATGGATTGGGTCAACACGTAACGGATATAGCTGCTTCTGAAATCTCTGATCTCAGCAAGGTGCGAAACCCTGGATATTCGATGCGAAGAGAAGAAAAAGAAAGGCTAATGAGGGGACCAGAAATTTTATGCTTCCAACATCCTCCTGGTCTTAGCACTGACAGGTGCCAAAGCATCCGTGACTCTGTTGATCATTGCCATCAAACCTTTGAAATCGGTCGTGATCGCCTGTTATGGAATGCTTGTATTCGTCGGTGTATGGGGGGTCGCCAGTGTATTCGTGTTGGCTTTTCAGTGTTTCCCCAATCGATGGGTACTTGGTCCAGACTCGGGTTTGGGAAACAACACTTGTATCGACCAGTATGCGATGCAAGTTGCGATCCGATCTTTGGATATTGCCAGTGATGTTGGAATCGTTTTATTGCCTATCCTCATGATGCAGAAAGTTCAGGTCGCGCCCAAGAAACGATTGGTGGTGATGGCTTTGTTTGGTCTGCGAATTGCGTGAGTATATATATCTAACGGGCAGTAACTATTTCTGCTCTCTCTCTCTCTCTCTCTCTCTCTCTCATATCTGACGTTTGATCTACTTTAGTACACCCATCCTAACTGCCATCACTATCCTCTCATTAGACGACTTCTATCATTCAACGCCTCAAGATCGTCCCTGGAACGCAATCACACCTGCCATATGGACATCCGTCGCTCTAAATGTCTCGATTGTTACAGCATGTATACCATCAATTAAACGTTTCCTCGCCGACTGGGCTGCTGGTCTGAGCGGTGTCGTCATATCTGAACCCTTCGAACTCGAACACTCGGCCGGCAAGACCAATCCTTCGGGCACCTATATCGGAGGAAGCGGAATGGGAAGTAAAATAGCCACCAAACTCGGACTGAGCTCTACCAGCAAGGCAGAAATAACTTCCACAAGAAGTTTAGGTGACATGGGCAATCAAGGAGCTATCAACCTGGAGACACGTCCGCGCAACGGCGGTCGGAAGGGCCAAGTTTCGCACGATACATCGGAGAGTGTTAAGGGCCTTACGGATGGTGTCATTATGCACTCGATCGACTATCGAGTCGAGTTCGAAGATCAGCATCCCGGAAATCGCAACGGCAGTTGCAGCTCCAGCGCTCGCGATAGATCGGATATAAGATAGAAAGACAGCAAGACATGAGTCAAGAAAATTGGGGGGTGGGGGCAACGGTGCTTGGGCTTGGGATGACTTCAGAACCCAAAGATATGTCAGTAATGTACAATGCACCAGTTTAGAAGGGGTTGCGTGGTCAATGCATGGAATTCCATGTCACTTTCTCATTTCTCGACTTCTCTTCTATCTCCTGTTCTCCACGATGCCCCAAGGGAACTATCATAAGATGCCCGATTTGATTAGAGACAGGTCCAGGCCGAGGCCGAGTCCGTAACTTACTCTTCCCAACCGATAGAAGGAAAACAATATACTCTTGAAGTGGAATGGACCGTTCTTGAACATGGGAGGCAAAATACTCGTGAGGATTATTGACCTCGATCATGATTGAAGACTTCCAGGCACGCAGGCGGTTGGTGTCGATATCCCTGACCGTTTGAGTTATAGAGCAATATTAAGCCTTATCCCTCATTTTCACCACATTGAGAGTTCTGGTCACAATCCGCAGTCAGCGTGGTGTAGAAGGGTGGTCTTCTGAGAGCTCATTTGACATGTTGTCTGACTGGCTGGCATCTCGCTGCTGGTGATACCGGGGAAAGAGGGCGGCGCTGCGTGCTGGGTGTTGGCAGTATTGAGCATCGCCCGGAGTAACGGTATCGATGGGAGTGACGAACACTTGAAACGCTCTCGAGACCTCATGAAGTACTGATGATTGGTGCTGGAGCAAGAGCTTAGGATATTCGAAAGGAGAGACACACATACTTACACCACCACGGCCCCCAATCACCCTTACGACCGCGGTCACAACCGCGAGGCCCACGACCTCTCGCAGAGGTGCTGTTCCATAGCCCTGTCGGTACATCAACCCCAAAGATACGATACTTACTGCCAGAACAGTGGACAGCTCGCTCAAGAGCAGCCTCCGCGGGTAGGTTGAGGAAACCTAGCCGGTGAACCGGCGATTCCCCGCATGTCAGTGTCACATTATTGTCGCTCGGCTCATAACGTTGTGGTGGTGGAAACACCGAAATCGGACGGCAGACGACAAAAAGGGTCCGACGGATCTAGAAAAGTGATCCCTCCGTGTATGTGAGAGAGAAAACGAGTATGAGACAGAAGGAAAAATGAGACGTAATTGCAAGTCAAGATATACGAGTCACCATACTCTCTCTTGCCGCTACAACAACACACGCGTAGTCACGTGTTAGCCATTCGATGGACGGAATGGTTAGTGTGTATATTTGGCATCTTTCGAACGCAATTATGAGTTGCCAAATCGGTGCGGACCTTTCACTCGGGAGTATCTACACCTCCACTGATCTGCTGAGACCCGCCTGGCGCAAAATATTGACATTTCCGAGACCCCGCTACAGGGAACCCCCTTCTTGCGAAAGTGCGTGTATTCTTCAGGAAACCCTGCCCCATGATGCAAAAACTCTAATTGACCATGCAAAACCCCAACCTACGCACGTGCGCCGGTAGTCACAGCAGCTTCTTGCTCTTCATCTACCCTCTCTGACATCCTCTCTCCCCGGCTCTTCCTCCCCGCAAACAGTGCAAGCAGCCCCAAATCATATGTAGCCTTGAGCGAGCCGGCGGCAATAAAAGCGACCCAGAAATGGTTATTCGTTCCTAGAACACCGGTGATGACAGGGCCTAAACTCTGGGCGCACGTTTTGACAACGTTGATCGTTCCCATGACAGCAGTTCGTTCGTGTGGAAGGACGATCGCTGCAAGAAATGCTGAGCGGGGCGCAACGTCCATAACTTGTGTACAAGCCCGACCAATCAGGAAGACCAGGGCTCCGGCTAAGGTCGCTGGGATGGGGATCAGAGCAAGACAGATTGCCGAAGGAAGGTGAGTGAAGACCATCGTCTTGACATTTCCCATCCTCTTGGAGATGGAGGACGCCACAAGCATAGAAAGCGCCGATATAATGCCAGTGATGGAAAAGATTGACCCAAGGTTGCGTTCTGGGAGATCGAATTTTCGCTTGAAAAAGTAGGTGACCCAAGATCTGGCGTTGTCAGTTTGTCTTCCGACATCATTGTCGAATCGGAAGGACTTACAAGGGAGCCAACCCGGATGCAAAATTATCCAAAGCGAATAAAACGCACAATTGGACCAAAACGATCCGACTTTCGTTGCTGATATGGGGGAGCAGCCTCCATCGTTTCTTCCTATCATCCTTAGTGGACCTATTCCCCAGTAGTGGCGCCGTTTCAGTCGCATTGGCCGACTTGGGCAGAGCGTCCACCTCGCACTCCCGGCTCAATATGAGAGCAAGGCATAACTTGATGATCCCGACGACTGCGTAGATGAAGAAAATGACGCGATAAGCTCTGATGGAGTCCAGCTGTTTCTCCTCTCTCAGAAAGGTAATAATCCCGCCGCAGCCGATAAATCCAAGGGCGGTTCCCGCAGTTCCAATCAAGGAATACCAGGCGTATATGTCGCTTCGGTCAGGACTCGCTGTCAAGTGTGCGATGGTCGACTCCTCAATCGCTCGAAAGGGTCCAATTTCATTGCCACTGCCAGAATCTGTCAGATTCAACGACAAGAGCCATTCAAATCCGGGGGGGAATACCTCGGACTAATGACGCCGATTATGGCGCCCGCAAGTAATACCCAGTAATGGCCGCTGAGCCCAAAAACGATACCACTGACACTCATCAACGCTGCACCGAGAACCAGAATCCACCGCCGACCCAGACTGTCGGCCATCAGAGTCAAGAGAAAACTGATGAACACGTCGCCAATCAGGGTCAAGGTCATGAAAAGGCCGATCCTCGCGTTCGAGATGCCCAAGTCCGAGAGGTAAGAAGCGAGGATCAATGTTGAGCCACCATACGCAAAGAGGCGAACAAAGCGCTGGAGGATGAGAATCTTGGTATCTGCTGGAGCATTGTAGAGAGTCACCAGGCCGACTTCCCGGAGGAATGCTTTGACGGGTCGAAGAACTTGGGAGGCTCCGTGGGTATGGGCAGTGGTTGAATCCTCTTGTCCATCCGCCATGGCGAGTGTCGATGAATTTGATAGTGTTGTTGTTTCTGACTTGAGTTCGAATGTCCAATGAGACCAGGGGACCTGGGACCTTTTCAGCTTTTCTTTCAGTGGCTTCAGTAAAATCCCCCAATACTGGCGATATGTTCCAGAGTGGGAACTTGTTGATGTGGGCCGAATACGGTTCCAATTGAGCGAGGTTCTAGGGCGTTTCGTGAATTGAAGATCTTAAAGACGCCGTGAGATGTCCTCGTAACACACGCCCTTTTTATGTAGGTAGTCCGTAGTAGGGCGCGGGCTTGGTCAAACGAGGTCTCGTTCCGCGAACCATCAGCGAACATAGCCTCCGGATACGTGCGGACGTGTGTGATTGGTTTCTGAAGTCATACCAATACGACAGCCGATACGAGGTCCAATTCGATCCAATGCGATCCGATTGGAGTCGATGATGACCCTCTACGGGTTGACTTGTGGCAGACAGTAAGTGGATGGGAGGCAATATCAAAATGCCCGGTCTGTCAAAAAAAAATCTCTTGCACCCTGAAGAAGTCCATTTTGTAATAGTCAGAGCACGTGATTCCATCACGTAATACCACGTGACAGCCAACTGTGCGGATAGATGGACAATCTCTACCGCTACGTAACGCCTAACCGGCACCCACAATTTCAGCCTCAAACGTAGTGAGCTCCTTCATGGTTCTCTTTGCTTTTGAATCCAAGCCCCCTCAAGCTTCTGATCTTGAAATTGAGAATCACAGTATGAACGACGACGTCATCAACATTCCGGCCTCCATCTCAGCGTACCTTGACAACATTAATCGCACCACCCCTCTCGGAGACGACCTGGACCTCTTCTTTCACTGCTGGATCCGCCCTCACTGCCCGGCATGTCTCTCCCCATCAAACCCGTACCCATGCTCATGGTGTGCAACCTCTCAAGTCTGCGTGCCCAACACCATCTACCCATATCCATTTGGGATCCTCTCGCCGATCAAATCGGAGGATATCTGCCCCCTCAGGTGGCGTGAGAGATGGGAAATGCGAGCCCGCCCATTCAGCTGCCGCTGGTCGAGCATGACATTCATCAGTGTCGTTGTGGCGGTGTCGGTCACGCTCATGGGGGGGTTGCTAATATACCTGGCCATCAGGATCGGGCGATGGATCGGGCGAAAGTGGAAAGCGCGCCAAGAGGGATGGTGGAGGATAAGGATGCGCCATTGGACGCTGAACTGGATGCAGAGAGCAAAGAGAGATGCATCTACCGAGACCGAGGCCGAGGCCGAGGCAGAGAGAAACGGTCGGACCGATGAAAGGACGCCATTGCTCGCCACTTAGCTCGCTTGCCGTCGTATACAATGAGCGCCTCAGCATATGGGAAAGCCAGGAACCCCTTTGTCTCCAAGCAATGCGATGAAATTTAGGTCAATGGGACCCCCGGGCATCCTTCCCGGGTATGGCGTTCAATTGGGATTCTGTTCTCCCCTTCCTCCATCAGGGGTTCCCAGCCCTTTACAAACTTTACTTATCCGATATTCCACGCTCAAGCTACTTTCTGAAATAATGAATCTCCCAGCGCCGACGAACAATGCCTGTTCTAGGGCTTTATATCGCATCGAACCGGTTTCGAATGTTACGTGAATGACTACCAAAGATTTCAGTCTTGGACCGATTTCCGTCAGGAAGAGAATCAACACCCGGGAGATCTGGAAAACGGTCCGACTGGGAGGATGGAGATGACATACAAGAATGACCAAAGTCAGTGGATCGAGCATTCACGCTGCGGCCAAGGATCCGCCTCATTTCATTCGTGATGTCCACGATTCCAGTGTAGTGGATATGGATCGTCTATGATGCACTGATGTTAACAATCTCCCTCAGATTGGGAACCGAATCGATAAAACACCCCATTGAAAGACAATACTGAGAATATCGAGGAGGACAAGACATACCTCTCCATCATGATCACTATGCTCAAAAGCTCAAAGATCAGCTTTGGCCATGATACCCAGGAAGGACAAGAAGAGCAATGGTACCTACCCAACGACGAGATCACTCCGCAACCTCATCCTCCCACCGTCCGGGTCATTATGGACGTAATCGATACCTTGGCCCCTTAGCCTTGCATCGACTCGAATTGGGAAGCCAGGCTCTGAGACCAAGGACCCTGAGGCCAGCGGGACGACAGTTAGAGGCGTTCCACGCGACAGGGAACCGACAGGCGTTGCGGGCCCGATGACGATTTGTAAATGCAAAGCTGGCTGGAGGGATGGGTGGTCGGCGATGGTTGAGGGATAGAATGTAGACTCGGTGGACGTAGACTCGGAAGCGAAAGACATGGTGATGGTGGATTAAGAGAACGGCAACGTGGGAGAGGAAGGAGGATTTGCTGGACCCCGCGTAATTGAAGTAGAATGGATATAATCATACCAAAGTTTGTTTCGGAGATGATTTTACGCCATAGAGATAGCAGTGCGACATTCGAGCATTCAAGATTGAAGTTCCAACGCGTTCCCGAGACAATTCTTTGACCTAGCCTAGCCTATTCTGGTGCTGCCACCATCGATGGAGGGTGTGAAATGAATACAAATTCCAACCCGTATAGGATGAGACAGACGTTCCCAAGTGGTATCGAAGGGGCGGGGCTCCTTGTGCGCAAGGCTGAGTGGGATGTCTACCCCGCACTTCCTTTTTCCCCACTTTTCCCCATTGTCAGGTTTCCGACTTGGGGCGCTAGGAAAATCAAATCGTGGTGAATACATATGAATTTTGTTCTATTCTGGCTTGTTCTGCCCTAAGTAGTCCGGGTGAAAGTTGGAAGATAAGAGGTATATTTCGCCAGCACGGGAGAGGGACCCATTGCAACGCCGGGCAATAATTTAACCTTCTCAGCAGCGGGCTGGTTTGACCATGCCGTGTCCATGGGGAAGAGAGGGAGGGAAAAAAAAAAAAAAAAAAAAAAGGAGGGGGGGGTTTGAACAATTTCAATTGTTATCTTGCCTGCCACTATGAAAGCATCCTGCCATTTGAACCGCGATAGGAGGGGGTTTTTGCGCAAGGATGATACAGTGATGTCCCTCAATCAATATCAAGAATGCGTGCATCGATGATAAGAGTATTTTTGTTTCCCATCCAAACAACAACGCTTGTCACCACTTGCCTACAATCTGGCAGCCAACTTCTCCGCCGTCTCACCGAGGGCATAATCGCATTTTCCAACGGTACTTCTCACCCTCTCAGCTTGTTCACGACTGACGATCCGTGCCTCGACGGCAGGATTATATCCCAGGCCGCTCTTCTTTGCGATCTCGGCTTTGCTAAGTGTACCGTCTGTGTTCTTTCTGCCATCAGCGCGCTTATAGACGGTGACGACGACGGCACCGCCCAAACCCAAATTATGCTGCAATGCGACATCGATATCCTTGACCAGACGGCCATTGTTGGCCCAACCGCGCAATTGCCACGTGAGTTCAGCGCACTGCGCCAGTCCCGTCGCGCCGAGCGGGTGGCCCTTTGAAATCAGGCCACCGGACGGGTTGACGACAGGACCCTTGCCGCCGTATGTGATGTCCCCGTTGCGCACCATGAGGTGGGCTTTGCCTGGGTCGCAGAAACCCAGACCCTCAAGCAAAATAAGTTCGTTGGCCGAGAAGCAGTCGTGGAGCTCACAGACTTTGATGTCGCGAGGGGAGACACCGGCCTCGGCGAGCGCGGCTTTGGCGGCGCGTTTCGTCATGTCAAAACCCACGAGGTCCATGGCGCTGCGGCTGTAGAGGGCGGGGGCGTCGGTCATCAGTGCTTGACCGGCCATGAGGATCGCGTGGGATTTGAGTTCAGGGCGTGAAGCGAGGAAGCGGTCGGACACGATGATGGCGGCGCCCGCGCCGTCGGATGTCGGACTGCATTGAAGTTTGGTCAGGGGAAAGTGGATCATGGGTGACGTCTCGATTTCCTCGAGGGAGTAAACTGTTTTGAATTGTGCGTAGGGGTTGCGGGAGGAATGTTCGTGCGAGATGCGTGCGATTTCCGCAAAGTCTCGTGCCTCGGCGCCGTATCTGGGGTGTGTGAGTTAAATAGTAGACCTCTTTTTGTGGAGGAGAGGGAAAAAGTTGGCGGGGAGGAGGGGGAAGGAGGGTTCAGCCTTGGCTGAAATGCCATAGAGGACCAGGGTTGACAACTGGCTCCATTCCCACCAAGGACGACCCTGCTCGTGTGATTGATTGTGACTCACTTCTCCATGTACTCCCTGCCGGCATTACCAAAGAATTGTGCGTTCCGGGGAGTGTCGAACTTGCCCCTCGTCTCCTCCATTAGCCTGGTGCTCAACCCCATGGGACTAGGTCGATCATGCCAGACGCTCTTGATGCTTCCGGGCTGCATAGTCTCAAAGCCAATGACCATGACAACATCAACGATGCCACCTCTGACCAGAGTCCGAGCAAGCTGCAGACCTGTACTGCCTGTGGCGCAGGCGTTGTTGGTGTTGTAGATGGGGATGTTGGTCATGCCGAATTGATAGAAGACGCGTTGGCCGGAGGTAGTGTCGCCATAGCAATAGCAGGCGACACCGGTCTGGACGTCATCGTAGGTGATATGGGCATCGAGGAGGGCTTTGCAACCTGCTTCAAAACCTAGTTCAGTGTAAGGGCGGAGACGACGCGGTTTGATAAACTCGGTCAGACCGACACCGAGAACATAAGCGTTGTTTGGAGATGAGGACATGGTGGAAAGATGAATCCTCTGATAGGGTGCTCAATGTTACCTTTTTTTCCCCGGGTACTGTGATATCTGGAAACGAAGGTGTGACTTGGGACGGAGATGGAATTGCATTAATATATCATCCCATCTCGAAAATCTGGATGATTACTGAAATCGAGCTGCCGTCGATGTTAATGGTGGACGGCCTGAGCGGGCTTGGGCGCTCCCCCCGCAGTTGAACCGGCGCCGACGAATAGACCAACCGAGGCTGTTTCGGTAAGACGTCGAGTCAAGCAAACTCGGCCGTCTTACTGGGAACGGCCAAAAACTTTTTCTTTTTCTATTCGTACATGGATATCTCAAAGGAAACTAACGGTACAGTCCATCCACCAGGCCTGCCACTACGCCATGAAAAGAGATTTGAATAAAGCCTTGAGGGAATGGTTGTTGGCCGTCGTGAAACAGCCATATGATGCTGGATCCTTCCTGGGGAAGATAGATCTCCCGGTCAGCTCACCAGTGGTATGTGATATGGCAGGGCGGCCACCTAGTATAATCATTCATAGACTCATCCCCAATACGCCCCATTAACACATTCGTCGTCCCTCGACGACGCTTATCGTGCACTCTTCTGAGGCGATCAAAAAGGTCCTGTGAACCAACGGCACATAAACAAAAGGACCAACCACCGTGCCGCCCAGAGAACGCCTTTTGTGTGAGCCGTGAATGTTCACGGTCAAAATGGTTATGATATGTTGGTCCAGCCAAACATAACATGGGGTATCTTTTCGAACAAATGTCAACGGCCGTGATATCGTGGAGTCGTATGTGAAAGTCTCCCATAATGTCTTTCCTGTCTGAACTCCCACAAGATTAGACTCATAGAACATTCAAGAAGAGTAGCATCATGACTAGAGAATGGCCCTAGCCCAAGGTGTGGTCACTCACGAAATGGTCTCAGTTTCCGTCCATGAAGGTATCATTATTGACGTCGGTTGTCGAGAGAAATTCTTGGTCGAAAAGGAAATTAACACCACCGCCGGAAATGTCAACGCCAGAATTGCTCCAATCATCGCTGGGCATGGTGTTTGTAATAAGAGGGGGATTGGATATTTGCTGTGGGGTTAGAGGCATTTGTGCTCCAATCGCTTGAAGATCACCGAGGACGCTGGTGTCTTGTGTGAGAAGATGTGATAACCCTGTCTGCGCCTGTGGATGAGAAGAGATAGGAGCTGTACAGGGCATGACAGGAGTCATCGGGCCAAAGGGGTTGGGTTGAGGAGTAAGCGGCGAGAGAGTGGCTGACGAGTTCCCGAGGGGCTGCTCCTCGACCACATCGGCACTCAATTGCCCGGTGTGAGAAATCTTGCGGAGATGATTTTGAGGATCATGAGGGGGCCACTCGTTGTGACTGGATTGCATATGGTTCTCATAGTCCCCTTGGCGCGAGTAATTCTTCTTGCAGTTCTTGGAAGGACAACAAAACCGATGGCCTTCAGGGGCAGTGCGGCCTCCATTGCCGTTATTGGTAGGAACAGCAGCAAAAAGGTCATTGGTCGAACTAGGACTTCCGTCATGACGGCCATGATCAGGTGGGCGAACCGAGAGGTTGGCTGGAGAAGGATCATATAGAGGAAATCGAGATTTACTTTCGTGGGAATTGGACCGGATGGAGGGAGCACTGCCCGGGGTGAGGTGTGTAACCGAGGCATGGGAAGGAGTCTGCGAGGTGTGAGGTGTTGGCCCTATAGTTTGGTCGATGAGATCGATGACTCCTCCTCGGTGTCTGGCCCAGCTCTTACATAGTCGAATCTGAACCAGGATCTCAAATATCCTGGGCGATGGACTATCATGAATGGATTGATGATGCTTTCGGAGGAAGGGATACAGCTCACAGTCGCCACGAAGATCGCAGAGTTTCTTCCAACATCGATCATCCATTTTGAGGCAGTCTCGAATCTTGTCATAGTAATGTCTGGAGTCTCTTTCCTGAAATAGTTTCACGAGGAAGCTTTGAATTTCTTGTTCCACCATTGTGGGGCCCGGTTCGGGAGTTGGTTGAGGAATGACCAGTTGAGGATTAGGTCTTTGGCTGGACAATGTTAGGATTCTGTGAGAAGATGTGGAGGCGACAGTAAATGTCGATCAGTAGGGCAATGGTCCACTGGGAATCTTGTAGGTAGCTTGGACTTCAAATCAGTTCGAGCCTGACCCTGGTTGTAAGGCTTCCTAGGTCTAGAGGGAAACAGAATGGTTTTGGGTCAAGAATAGAAAGATTTTCGTCGCAATCGTCGAGGCTGAATGTTAAAGAAAGGTAACGGATAGTGGCGACGACCCAGTGGGTAAGGCAGAGAGTGTGTGTGTGCGTGTGAGCTGGGCGTTGAGAGAGGAGGGGTTATTAATGTCGATGTTCCCGACCACGCGATGTGGTTGATCAACCGTAGTCGGAAGAGAACAGAACGTGAGGAGGGCGGTGCTGGAGGGTTGCCATGATGATCATATACCCTCCGTTTGAGGTAGACAATGTCATTAGGCTGGCGGTCTAGGTCGGTGATGTTGACCTCTGGCTTGCGCACTGCAGACAGAGGAGGGCGAGGCGTCCTAGAGAAGCCGCGCAGAACAGAGCTTATGGGACTAGCCGACTTGAAGGTCTTCAAGTTCGCACAGAAAGAGTACCCTAGTAAACACCTTCTATGCATTTGACCGGGGGCGCAGTTAAACTTTCTGTCTTCTGGTTTGCTGCTCTCTTCGCTCCCAAACATCCTGAATCCCTGCGGATGGAGCTTCTGCCTCTCGTCCGAACCTTTTTCCACCATCCACCTTCTCGCGGCCTACTGGCGTTGAATTCATTTCGCCGCCCACCCTCATTTTGCTCATAGCGGTCGCATCATAACGACTTTTGTTTATCTCTTGCGGACGGAAGCCCACCATGGCCTCGAGATGACGGATTCCGCGACCTGTGAACGACCAAGCTACTGTGCTGCAGATGGCGTTCAGTCGTCCGATACGAAGAAAGTCATTTTGACAGTTGTCCTTGTACTATGCCACGAGCGACAACACCCTCACACCCATCCGCGGTTTCCAAAAGCCTGTGACTTCCGCAGACCATCCATGACGTCTCCCACTCACCCCACGCTCGAATACGAGCCCAACAAGCCTCTAATGAAAATTCCTGTCGTACTCTTTTGTTGGCTGCGCAAGACCATCCCGGAGATATTCGGATCAGTTTATTGTCAATCCCACGTGGATCTTCCTGAGCTGGCTTGAAGGAGAGGCAGTTCTGAATATAATTTTGGGTGGATTGAAACACGATCAAGGACCGAGGTCGTAGGGATTTGACCGAAAAACATTTTAAGGCATGGGGGTAGTGGTTGCATGTATGGGTGCCTGTTCCTGATACTCCACCGGGTTTTTGCGGCCTCCCCTCGCGGCCGATGTCCATTGAAAGACGTCAATTACTTGCTGCTCAACAGTCATGGTTCGAAGCATACGGTCACAAGAAAATTGTCCCCAAGGTCATCATCGTCTGCGAGCACGTTACCGAGAGGAAATAATCTGAAACGCATCGGAAACTCCACATCATCACGAACAACCCCCACTTTCCCTCGCCTCTTCTCTCTCTTGATCGAGGTCTTGACGAAATTTGTCCCCTCTTTGCGCCCGACTTTCATTTATTAGGCACCCTCTACCACCATCGTCATCCTTCCACGCCAACTCTCCAGTATTCCCTCTGTTCGGACTCAGGTTGGATTATCTCGTAATCAGATGCAATAAACAAGATCAGTATACTGTAATTCTTCAACTCCAATTTGTCTCTCCATTGTCGCCTTGTCAGCATCATCCCACGATCCGGCCCCGGACCTGCATCAATGTCTCAGGCACCAACGAGTCATTCGGTAGATTGTTGGTGCCCACCTACCACATCAGCTGGGTGTCTATCTTCGGGCACGAGGAACCACCCACCTTCGTGGAGGAGTCAAGTAAACATCACTTGTCAGCGCGGCACCACCTTTGTTTAACGCTCTCCAGTTTTGGGCGCCGGTATTCTGCATTCCCATAATCTGGGCATCACCATCCCGGCTCACTTCCGGGTACCAATCGATAACTACCACGACCCATTTTTTGCGCAATCTTGCCGAAATCGGAGCCCACATTCGATTGGGAATTGGTTGGGGTTGGGGTGTCTTTGACGTTGCCTCATTCGACAACAGCAGCGATCCTACAATCGACCCTGGGGAGACTCCCCAAAGCCGGATTGCTAGTAACTGCTGCTAAAAGTTCGTCAACTCGTTTGGCATGCATATTTCGATCACAAGAACAAGCCTCTCTAGGATTAGCTTTAACAGGTGTGTTTCATATTTCTATCTACATATGATATCTACAAATAGCAGACATCGTGGAATAAAGAGGACGCTTCCCTTGTTGTCTGTTTCAGGGTTCAACCGGCCTCGCCACTCCCTCTGACCGCTACAACTCAATGCCTTATTGAACCCGACTTCGCAGAAGATTGCAATTGAGGCGGTGAGCAATACCGGCATCTGGACCAAAAACAATCGCTGCCCCCTATACGTCCAACCTTGACTACGATCTTCTGCGGCCCTTCAGTAACAGATGCCTTTTTGCTCTGGTTTCGCCGGGCTCAATCTGAGACCAAGCATGCTAACCCACGCCGGCCTTCGCAAAGCAAGGACTCTGTTCATTGTCAACCGGTGTTCTCTAATCGCTCGATGTTGACCCCTGCCGTGAAAATAGGAATCATCGTGGCCAAAAAGGCGAAAGGCCAGCTTTCCCAGTCCAAACCGCCGAGATGCAGGGTGGGATCGAATTTGAAACTGATGTGTACCTATTAGGTCCAAAATTCACAGATCCGAGGCCTGCTCAGACTCACCCCCGCTGCTCCACGATCCGAAATTTACGAAAGAAATGCCCATGTCCTCCCTTACGACATCCTCTTGTCTCCCCTGTCGTCCATATCATTGCCGCCTGTGATCTATTGCAGAGCCTAGGTCGAGTGGAGAGTGAACAAGTCCGACATGACACACGGAGGACTCCTTGCGGAAGGCCTGTCTATTTTCAGCGGGCATCCCCCTGCTCAGTCCATGTCATATTTTGAGTCCAATATGAGCCTTCCACATGCTTTACCACGACCGACGCCTGTATTATTGCCGCTTCCTTGGGGGGTCCTTACTCTCGCTTCCGAACCCATTCCTGCCTATCCCCCTCGCATTCGCTTCTCAATCATTACCGCTCTTTTCCCGGTTCATGACTTGCTTGGTTCTCACAGCAGGAACCTTCAAAGATGCTTGGAACATACCGAATGACATAGTCCCGTCAGAGGTCGACGAACATTCAAAGAGGCCTAGAGGACAGAGATCGTTCCGTTCGCCGACGCTGTCTGGATCTCGGTCCGTTGGATTGACTCTGGCCGGAAGAGGCTCGGCGCTCCGGTCACCGAGTGCGGACTCTAAAGGAGTGTCTCCATGTTCAAGACCTTCCCATCCTGTGTTTGTCCTGGCATGGCTGCCGTCCGCATCCAAGCCTTCCTGGCCAACACTGGACACAATATCGCCAATGGATCGGAATTCCTGGCCCGAGTTTCGATGGAACAGAGGTGAGTCGCTTGCATTCGTGGCAACAGAAGAGGTCCCTTCATCCCCGATATCTTGGTGGCGTGACGAAACCCGTCGCAACGAATCCGCTGGATTGTGCGGTGGATACAGGGCATGCATTCGATCCATGTGGTTTTTATAATTGCCTGCGTTTGAAAACGCGGGGTGTGTGCAACTTGCGTCCGGACAGAAGTACTTGTATCCTGCTGGCGCCCGACCCTTCACCGCGTGATAAGGGCTTCGTGGGTTCGTGCCACTTCGAAGGTAAACCGCCGACACCGGTGTGGTAGATCGCGTCTGCATGCCCTGGTCTGGCTGAGGACTTGCGAATCGACCTTCACCGCTCGGGCTCCTGGTAGGTGCGCAAGAGGGATGAAGTGCCGGCCTGCCGGCAGAGCCTCCCTGGGATTGTCGATCATGGCCGGGAGCACCAGATGCGGAGCGCGCACGATTTTGCGAAATTTGAACCGATGAAATTACCTTGACCAAGTAGTTCTGCAAATCCTCGAAATGAAATTCGTTTCTCAGCGTCACAACACGCTCCCACAGACCATCCGGGAGTAAGCCATAGAGCTGCGACAGGTATTGCCTCAATTGCTGCTGAACTGCCGACGAGAATCGAGGCGTATAGAGTGCTCTCCATAGGTCCGGTGGCACTTGAAGGTATTGACAAACGGCATCGCGATGTCGGGCAATTTCGGGATATTGGAGAATCGGTGAGATCAGAGAGAAAACCACGTTGGTTTGCGGATCCCGAGGTTCGGTTTGATGATGCGCTCCATGAATGAGGACACGTCCTGAGTGGTGTTGTGATCGTGACGGTAGGGACAAGGTTGGGGTCTGGTCGACCTGGATGACATATGAAACCGGGGCGTGATTATATAGAGGGGACATGTTGATCCCCTGAGGCTGAGGCGTGTGTGGATCATCAGCTGAATCCATGACCAGAGAAAATTCAGACCCGTCCGTGCTTGCCATTGGCGATGGGAGAGGATACATGGACTAGTCACAGACGCTGCCAAACGAGGTTCAGAACAGGGAGCAACAGAACCGACCGGCGGCGTGGCACAATTATCGAGTTCAAGAAAGAGAAAATTATGCTTGAAACGGTAGTGAACGAGTGACGGTGGAAAGGAATCGCAAGAAGCAGAAGCAAACGCAAAAAGTTGCTGCTCAGGGTTTACACCTGACCGGCAGACAAGAAACTGGACGAAGATTGTTTTTGATTGACGAGGAACATCTATATCAGAGAGAAACAGGCGGATGATATGGAAGTCCAGCCTGGGGTATGCAAGGCCCTATCTCTCACGTGTCTCACAACGCACACATCATCAATCAGAAGGACGTCAGAGTCGCAGCCAAAATGACTGGTTGGGCACACGAGTTATGCAGCTAACCAAAGCTGCCAAAACTTTAGCATTCGACGCAGAGCCTGCAATCTTTTCTTAACATCGCTCGATTCCAGGACCCCCCTTCGGGTTTGGTACGAAAGGCTCCCTTAACAGGCCATTGGTGCGAAAGGAGTGCACAGCCTCAAACCACGAAGGAAGGCGAACGAATCCTTGGGTTTCCATTGACTTAAATTCCTCTCGCCAAACTAGATAGCTCCGCAGCATAAGCGCCTGCCCAATCGGCGGATATTTATGCGCCACAGATGAAGAAGGCCTGGTGGTCCATTTGTGTTTGCGTGTTGACGTCACAACGTTGAGTTGGGTATATTGGAAGAAACCATTCCACAAACATGGACAGATACAACATCTGAAGAGCATGAGATGGTCCATACTCTCATTTTGATTTGTCCTCGACCGGCATCCCAGTGCCGCGGAACTCAAGTCTGCAAGGCGAACAGAAAACGACGTGGCTGAACCACAAAACCGGTGAACCAGACCATCCCATCAGTGGCTGTGCCAGCTGGATCCCACCACCAGCACAATCCTGGCGCAGCTCCCTCGCTCCTGTCTCTTATCCCACTCTTACGAATTGTGGATGACATAGCCTGTCGGTGGTCCTGTATGACGATATTCCCTGGCTTAGCTAGCAAATTCGGAATTGGTTCGCTCGCTGGAGAATAATCCAGAAAGGGAGATTGAGCCTCTCACTGGAAGAGTTGAAAGATCCCTGTGGCTCGGGCCTGCAGGAATTTTGTTTGACAAAAACCTAATCGCCAGCCTAGCTTTTTCCCTGTTGGCTTGGACCTTGCCATTAAACGGTATTATCGGGCGAGAAAATCGGCCTTGACTGGGGACACGGGGAGTTTTCCTTTCTTTTTTGGGTTTCTGAACCAATTATCTGGACTTTGGTGCCTGGATGCAGCAAAGAAAAATTTAGCCAGTGAAAATCTGTGGAATTTCTCGCAGCTGAGCCCCAAAAAGCGAGTGCAGGCTTGTCTTTGCCCATTTTAGTCATTCTCGCCCATAGACTGGCTTCAAGTTCTATACATACACGTCCGCCAAGAAGACTGTTCTATCCATGTGCGTTGAAATCTTGTTGGGGGGAAGACATTCAGGGGAGTTGAGCAGTGTAGAAAGTCGTAGCGTCACTGACTAGGTTTGACACGTCCGGTAATTGGCTTCGTTCCAGAGATGCCATGAGTTCCATCTGCTGCTGCTGGCTTAGTGACTGCATCTGGTACGTCGATGGATAGGAATGTTGCATGTAGCGCGAGTATTCTTGGCCGAATGAGGCTAAATAGGGGAGATCGTCGTAATTCATATTGGGAGATCCAGTTATGCCGGGGATGATACCTGGCATCATTGGCGCAGAGGTCCAGTTACTCGAGTCTTGTGACGTCGTGGGAATGTAACCAGTTGCATTGTGCGGGTCAAATCCCGGCAGGCTATAGTGCAGTGACTGGACATCTACCTGAGGCACGGAAGGGGCCAGGTACTGGTTATTAAGAGCCTGTGGTTGGGTAGTCGTTGGGACCATATCGGGCTGATACCCTTGTTGCTTTGTGTGATCGATGTAGCTAGTCGCGGCATTCTTGAAATTGTGATTGGCCGTGTGTACGCTGTGGATGGATTGTGGGGATTGCGGGCCGTGAATTGAGGTTCCAGCGGTGCTGGCGGGACTATTGGCGAATTGCGAGGCTGAAGAACTGATGTCTTGGGTCGTGGATGACACATAATCCGAGGCTGGTGATTCGGCCGCTTTATCTGCTTCGTATGCCTTCAAACAACCCAAAACGAGATTTTCGTATAGCTGGTATGCGGATCTGACTCCAGGCCAGCGATCTGCGCACAACTCTATCGCCCTCAGTGCGTCCTGGATGTGAACTTGAACCTCTTCCCGTGGGTGTTGCTGACGGATTGTAGGATATGACAGACACCATAGTACCGTGTTGAGAGCCATGAATATGGCTTGTGTGAAGATCCAGGTAATATCGATCAAGTGGGCTTCGACCTGCAATTTTTGCAGCTTGATATTGAAGACGGCTGCGTCGTAACATTGTTGAGCGGCATAGATTGACGGGTTAGGGATCTGAGGAGAGGGTCGATACATGAAGACTATCATGGTATTTTTGCGTCCAGTGAACCTAGAAACGAGAAAAGCATCTTAGCGCTTGTCGCCATCTTCTGGTTTGGTCTTTTTTTTGGTGGGGGGGGATCATATGGGACTGGGGGTAAATCATGCTTACCATTTCTCACTTAATCCAGATCCCTCATCATTCTTCGGACAGTCCCGGACCCAATCGTCAATCTTCTTTATCATGCTATGGAACCAAGGATCCTGATCATGGGTAGGAGCCTCACGCTTCCGGAGGTACAGCGTCCGTCTAATCTCTGCCTGGAGCAGTCTCATCTTGAAGAAATGGATCGAGATGCATTTCTTCATGACGGGGTGGTGTCCTGGAAGTAATCCATCGGCAGTGATGAATCGGTCATCACAAAGTTCGAAAAAATTGACGTTGATATTATCAACGGTCACACCGAATGCACTCGGTCTTCCAAGGCTGTGAGAAAGACCGTACTCCATTGATGTGATGATCCAGAATAGTCGCCGGCGCATATCCACTTCGAGGGCATTTGGACGCGCGCCGGAAGGCGGTCGGTGGATGGTTTCCTCTTCACACAGTCCTAACTCTTGACAGAGCTTTGCGGCGATCCCAACAACCCAGTATGCTGCTGTTCTGGTTGGAGTGAGCAGTGAATACTGAGCGACGAGGGCAAAACATTGGAGGGTAGACAAGTCCATCTTTTGCACAGCACCAGTCAGGAATGGCAAAGCAGCCAGATAATAACTGTCAGCAAGACCGGCATACTGTTTGTCCAGTTTTTGCATGCTAATGGCAACGACGAGGCGGACTTGGAAATTGAGAGTGGGGTCGGTGGCACCATCGTAGACAGCCTGGAGTTCCCGACGAAACGACGGCTCATGAAGAAGTGGTAGCATATACTGGGCCTTCACCATGTATATTTCTACCAGGCGATCCATCAAATCTCGATTGGGTAGATCGGGAGCCGCAACGGAACTGATCAGAGGATAGACCTTGGAGGTGGGCTTCCCCTCCTCGGCTTCAAATTTGTCTTTGATCTCTTGCGCAGCATGTTGCGGTACGACGTCTTTTATCGTCCTCCGAGGTGAATGTTGTTTTGCGAATTCCATGACGAAGCGAGTGATGGCAATGCCACTCGAGGGCCCCAGGAATCGACATTCATCTTTTTCGCTGAATCGGACAAGGCCGGCACCCCGCGCCATAGCCTCGTGGTCTGGCTCATATTCCTCCTCTCTCTCCAAAGCCTTCAGTTCTTCATTTAATTTGCGAACAGTTTCCTGGAGGGAGGTGATGTATGTTCTTGGAACAGTCCTGCTCTTGATGGAATCATAGTATTCGCAATGCGCATTGCTCCTCTCGCATGGTTCACACCGGGGTAAGGCTGGGTCGCATCGGGTTTTCCTCTGTTTCCGGTCAGCGTTGATAAATTTCGAAGACAGCAAAGGGAGAATTTCTCACCTGTCTGCAGCGAACACAGGCGGTCACCGTGTGGTGAACCTTGTCACGGGATCTTCCCGGCCCAGGCGAGTCTGCCATAGCAGCATTTTCACCGTCTGCCATCAAGGACGAAGGGAGGCGAATAAGGGGTTTTTAACGTGTCCAGCGTATGCAAAGAAGATCTAGTGTCATTTCTTCATTATTCGTCCCCACCGTAGTGAAGCCGAGGAAGGGAGATCATGATGGACGTGGTGCATTGGGCTGGCTGAAACACGTCTTCATTGGGTTGTGCGGCAGCTGGCCGCAATGGTCGACGGTTGGACAGAGACTTGCAGCCTCCTAAGGCGCCAGGATGCCTGGGTGGTCCTGTCAGATGTCAGTGGGACCAGTAGCCGGAAACGTCCGAGCACGGTGGAAGGCTGTGCTCCATTTCGTTGTACGTACAAAAGACAATCTTCAACGGGCGGCTAGCTCAACGTTGTGAGTTGTGTAGAGATGGGGCCATACGCTTTGAGACCTCAAATCCGGGAGAATATTGGTTCGAGGAGCTAATCGTACCACTTGGCAGTATTGGTGCTTGGCAGTCGAGTAGCTAAATCCCCTTGTGCAGCTCAAACCAACACTTTGAGGCTGAAGCTGAAATATTTTGGGTAGCAGAAGGTGCAAGACGGGGGTAGGCAGGGGTACTGGGCATTAGGTGCCATCATCTCTAACGTCCAGTTAAAAACAGAGCCTAGGGCAGTGCCTGGGTGGGAATAGGGTCTGCCTATGATTTAGGCCCCCCCAGGCTTCCTCATCCAGCAGATAGCATTGCTATTGGTGTAGACAGCGACCGAGACTTGGCTAACCAGCTTCAAGTTTTACCGGCTTCTCTGCCGCAGCCGTGAGCAAACCCTACTAGTCACCACTAAAGAAGTAAGTTGAGATAACGTCAAAAACCCCTCTTGGTCGTGATCCTCTTTGATGATTTGAACCAGGAAAACATCATCAACGACGTCCTCAAGTCAGCCCAGAAAATATCAGTCTCAGATCCCGATATCAGCACGAAAATAGATTCAACATCCTTGGTATATACCTCACTTTGGGAATGCATTGATCGTCACCCACGACGGTTCCAATTCCATTTTATTCAGTCATGGTCCAGGAATCCATCGAGGCCCTTTTGACACCTTCATTACGAGTGTCCAGACCTGTAGCCGCATGCGCAAGATGTCGTTCAGCAAAAATCAAATGTGATGGCAAATTGCCCACTTGTTCTGCTTGCGAACGGTCAGGAAAATCCAGCAGTTGCACTAGCGCCAACGATGAGTTCGCTCGAGGCAAAGAGAGGAGTTATGTTGCGGCCCTGGAGGCCGCTGCTCAGAGGCTGCAGAAGAAGATTGAAGATGCTCGAACCGAGGCCGCCGCTCACAGGGCTCTATCGGGTGGTCATCCGGCAAAACCGCCCCATCAGTCACGGAAAATCAGTCGTTCCCTTCGAAGAGAGGCCGTGGATGTGGACGAGTTGGTCAGCGACTTTGGGTTTTTGACGGTCAACGCCACTTCTCGCGATTTTCACGGTTTTACCGGAACAATGTCCTTTGCTAAATTGCTCCTTTCGGCGGCAGCCAGAGAAGAACTACCTCCTCTGGAATCTCGAGGACTTCCACCCCGTTACGCCATTACCCCTATGATCAACCACTACCTCGAGAACATTTTTGTGCTCTTGCCCTTCTTTTCCGAAACAGATCTGATGGCTAGCCTGGCTCGAATTTACAATGAGCCATCATCAATCTCATCGGCAGTCGCCCCATTGGATGTGTGGAATGTCCGCCTGACTCTGGCCATCGCTTATGCATCGAGCGCGCAACGGAAGGGAGACGAGAACGACAAGACGGCCCTTCAGCACATGGCAGCGGCTAGGGGACTGGCCGGATACGTGCTGCATCCAGGGTCGATCGCGGGATTGCAAGCTCTTCTCTTGCTGGTTCAATATGCGTTGGTAGATCCCGCTCATTACGACAGCTGGTATCTAGTTGGCATGGCTTCCAGGCTCATGGTCGACCTCGGACTTCACTGTGAGCCAGTACCGGAGGCCCAAATCAGCAAAAGTGAATTGGATTTGCGGCGACGAATATTTCACTGCACCTACGCCCTCGATCGTCTTGTTAGTATGTCTCTCGACCGAGCATTTTCGTTCACCGACGACTCCTCCTCCGAAGTGCCTTTACCAGATTCAGCCTCCGACACATCTATATCCCAAATATTCCAGCGCTCAGTCAGATCATCTCTTTACTTGTTCGATATCCGTCGTGTCCAGTCAGCATTCTATCAAACCACCCGGTGGTCATCCCGTTCTCAATGGCCTTTAGCAACGGCCGCCACCTATGCAAGCTCAGTGTCAAACGATATTCATGCCTGGTATTCTACCATTCCCTCCACACTCCCACAGCGACATCTGATGCTGTTCAATCTGGAAAGACTCTACTGTCAAATCCTCGTCGTGTCGCCGAACCAGAGGGTGCCTGCCAGCTGCATGACAGACCTCAACAAGGAGCTGGTTTTCGAATATTCAGCCCAATATGCCGATCTGTTGCAGCCCATTACCCAGGATGTCAGTTGGCATGCCTATCTGACCTATGCGGATATCTGTCGGGCCAAATACGTGGGTCAGAAATTTGTGGAGGTGATGTGGTCGGATTTCGACCGCCTCGTGAAAACGTCTCATGCCATTCGGGAAGGGTCACCACTTGCCAACAATGTACCCCTGGACAATGGGCAACGGGCTACCATCTGTGTGCGCAAGATCATTGAGATCCTGGACTTTGCTCGACATCGATGGTCCATGCCGGAAATGAGGGAGAAATTCGAGCAAGAGTCGGCTGTTCTCTTTTCGCGACTCAAAAGCAGACAGAGAGAGTTGAGTCCGGTACCGTACACAAGCACGGTCGCTCCCTCGTCCGGCAGCAACACGGGATATGTCAACACAGGCAATAGCATTTATACGAGTCCCGGCCAATACTCGTATGATGTCACAGCGTTGACCCAATTGCCTAGTCCTCCGCTCCATCAAGATCCCCACATCCAAACTGGGATGCAACCACAGCAGATGCTGACGCCTCCAGAAGAATATCGCATACCCGGGAACTACAATATGCCGCAAGGGTCTTTACCACGACGCAGTTACGAATTCTTCGGGGGGCGGAGTTGAGGATACTATTTGATTTGATTAGAAGAATTAAATGGAAATATCCTGCGTAAAACGGTTCCCACCAAGATGGAAGTAGTGTGGGATGGATTCTTGCCGTCTGTCGCGTGCCCGAAATCTACAGCAGGGCAAGCCATATGGTTGGTCCCCGAGATTGATCTGGTCGACATTGTCGCTGACTGTCCTTCTCGGGGCTGATTATGAAGCCTCATTAGCCCGGAAAGTCAATGTGGGTTACCCGTCATTCATGCCTCGACAGGAGGGTCGGCTGCGCGGTCATCTGAAGGCGCACGTGTCTGGCATAACCGAGCTTATTGGCCTTGTGACAGCGATGACCAAAATCAGCCTCCAACTTTAAAAGAGAACTCGTCGCTCTGGTGCTGAGGCCATTGGGGCAAATTCGACGTGCGGGAGTGGGATGGTGGTGCTGTCACACGAGTGCTCAGAAGTGAGCCGGATCGATCACTCATATATATCGGTGAAGTTTTCACATCCCGACCTTTTTAACTTCTGGCGCATCCCATCTCTTTTTGTCAGCCGCCACAGCCAAAACCAGGACCAGGGGCTCGGAATCGGGGGCTCTGATTCGAACGCAGGCCCTTCGGCTGTACCTGAAAATCGCGGAGGGGGTTGCGGCTGGAGCAGCCGATGCCGGCAGTGTGCAGAAGGGAAAAAAGAGGAACGGTGCCCGGGATTTGAATGGATGCGCGGGAAAAAAAGGGGGACATGACGTATTCCTTCTGACACCCTTTAGGCTCAGCGAACACCAAACAGCGCAAACCAGCACTTCATCCCATTTTTGGCCGGCTGCCTACACAAATACCCTCTGTCTGTTCACTTGGTTAATTTCTCCATCCCACCGAGCTCAAACCTTCTCTTGCATTTGTCCTGGCCGATGTCGACGTCTCTACCACATTTCCCCTAACCATGGTTCGCTTTACCGGCGGCCTGCTGCTGTTCGCGGCCTTTGCAGCAGCAGCACCTTCGGAACCCTATTCGAATGCTGGAGAACTCCAACAGGTCATCACAAAGCCGCCATCATCGTCCAAAACACAATCTGCTCCTAGAAAATTGCAGGGCAAGTTTCTGCACATCACAGGTAAACCGCAGTCTCGGTGAACACTTCTCAACTTCTACTGACCCCTTGTTTCTAGACATCCACCCCGATCCCTTCTACAAAGTCCATTCCGATCCCGACGAGTCGTGTCATGCGGGCAAGGGTCATGCTGGACATTATGGTGCGGAGGTCACGAGTTGCGATACACCCTTCTCCTTGGTGAACGCAACCTTCAAATGGATTGAGGAGCACCTGAAAGATGAGGTGGATTTCGTGGTATGGACGGGTGATTCTGCCCGACACGACAACGATGAACGATTTCCTCGAACCGACAAACAAGTGATTAAGCTGAACCGCTTCATGGTGGACAAATTTGTCGAAGTGTTCGGCAAGTCAGACAACATCGATGACCCTGACCCGACCAATGACTTCATCGTTCCAATTGTTCCCACCTTTGGAAACAACGATATCATCCCGCACAATATTTTCCAACCCGGCCCAAATAAGTGGACGAAAGCGTACAGTGACATCTGGGCCCAATTTGTTCCCCAAGCACAACGCCATTCTTTTGCAAGAGGGGGGTGGTTTTTCACAGAGGTGATACCAAACAAGCTGGCAGTCTTCAGCCTCAACACCTTATATTTCTTTGACTCCAACTCTGCTGTTGATGGCTGTGATCTCAAGTCTGAACCAGGTTATGAGCACATGGAATGGCTGCGAATTCAATTGCAGTTCCTGCGCGACCGAGGCATGAAAGCCATCATCATCGGCCACGTTCCGCCCGCCAGGACAGAAAGCAAACAGAGCTGGGACGAAAGTTGTTATCAAAAATACACCTTGTGGCTGCATCAATATCGAGATGTCATTGTAACATCGATTTATGGCCACATGAATTTGGACCACTTTATCTTCCAAGATATAAAGGAGTTGAAGGATAAATACAAGATCAAACGGGTTGATGACGATCATGCTCTATCAGATCAATTCAAACTCTTCTCACGTGACGAAATGCTCACAATTACCGCCAAGGCGAAATACCTAAACGAACTGAGAGAAGGATGGTCCGATCTACCCAAACCCCCATCAGGATACTCTTATTCGGTTACGGAACCAGAAGAACTCTTCGGGGAAGATATCAATATTCAGAAGAAGAAGAAGAAGAAGAAACAACCTGATGAGAGGGAGGAATTGGAAAAGTTTTTGGCCGCTATTGGTGGACCCTGGGGAGAAAGATTCAGTCTCAGCTTGGTGTCTCCCAGTGTTGTTCCAAACTTCTTTCCCACTCTGAGAGTTGTGCAGTATAACATTACCGGGATGGAGCTTGATCACCCAGCTACTGGAGCAATAGGGACCCCAGCGGAGGAAGACGCCTCCACCATCATCGACCATGATGATCTTGAGGACACCTCTATAGATGATTGTCTCAGTATTGATGAAGAAGAGTCAGAAGATGTCCACGATCTGAAAAAGAAAAAGAAACACAAGAAAAAGAAGAAGAAGGAGAAGGAGAATCCAAAGAAACCTACCTTTCCAGTGCCCAAGCCACCATCCAAAGCTTCACTACCTGGACCGGGATATTCACCCCAGCCACTGTCTCTTATTTCTTGGACGCAATACTACGCCAATTTGACCGAAATCCACGATGAAATTTATAAAGACAAGATCGCCAAGGACCCAGACAAATATTTCAAATATGATGTGGAGTATACTACCGACAACGACCAGAACTATCAAATGAGAGACTTGACGATGCGATCATGGCTGGACCTTGCCGAAAGGATAGGGAGGGATCAATTGTCCAGTATGGATGTTGGACGGGAGTTGGGAGACGAGTCAGATCCCGAACCCATGAAAAAAGGTGGAAAGAAGAAGACCAAGACGTCGAAGAACCACCTGTGGAAGGTATTTGTGAAGAGGGCATTTGTTAATACAAAGCTAGATGAAGAGATCGATCAAGATTTTGGATGATTTACTGTGGACGGAGTTAGTTTGACACAGAATTGGGCTACTTGGTTGGGATGAGACCACATGTGTGACGACGTCTACGACTTGATGGTAAGGAAACCTTTGTATCTGTAAGACACATCTTTTATGGGATCTGTTTAGAGCAGGGCTGGGCAAGCGGCTTGAGATTTGTAATGTGATGATCCTCTTCACGCTCTCTAACCACAATATTCTCAGTATAGAGTCACTGCTCTGTCGACCGCCCCTCGCAAATCAGGGGCTATCACGTTGAGTCACGTGGCGCAATTTCCCCCCCAAGTATGGCCTCTTTTATTCTCAGTCCGCCTCACCCTCACTCGACTTTTCTACCGAGGCTTACCAAAGCATGGGCAGCAACGGGGGATGCCCGATGCCGACGGACGTATCGATCGCCTCATTTCTTCGACTTGACCCTTCCTCTGTAGTAAAATATGTAAAGAACGAGCGAGGAGGATTGTCCAGGCCTCATCTTCTCCGCTCGAGCCCGCTCAAGAAGCCAACACACATTCAAACCCATTCCCTCAATGAGGGTATATGTCCTCGGATGTTTGAATCTATACACACGCAAAAAAAAAGTACTTTTAAAAAAACCCCCCTCCTACAATCCATCTCTTGAAAACTCGTAGATGAGGCGCCGCAGCCAGTGAAAGAAACCTAGTGTGCCCACTCGGTTCGTCCTTGATAGGTCAACCACGATTTGGCGTCAATTTTGGAGGGAAACTCTGTCAATTTTGGAATCACAGTTGTGACTTGGCGTTGTGTAGCGACGCCAAGACCGTCATGTTGGCCAATCACGTGGGAATGTGGCTTGGCACTGTCACGTGAGATGTCGGCACTCCTCGTCATCGGATCCAATCCGTGGACCATGTGGCCGGGGGACCCTGCTCGATATCGAGATGGTCCATGGATCGGATCCAGTCTGCGGACCACCCAGACGGGTCATCATATCGGATCTAGTCCGTGGACCACCTAGACCAGCCCTACTGATCGGACTCGAGATGGCTCGTATGGAGCGTTCACGGACGAGCTTCGATATCGACATAGTCCCTGGATCGGATCCCGTGATATACCACCGCCATCGTATCCAATCCGTGGACCATGTGGCCGAGCGTAGACGGGGGAAGTGATCTCGTTCCTTCGGCGGCATGTACAGCACAGCCTTCTTGGCCTGATCGGATCCAGTCCATGGGATTTTCTGAAAAGCACTGTATATAACGGCAAACCAACCGGCCATGGTGGTGGATTCCTCTGCAGGTAGCATCATAGTGCGACATCCAGCCACCGATAGGGTCCAGCCACTAACCCAACCACCGTACTTGAGGAATGTAGGAAAGCTGGGAAGACGAAGACAAGATACAAGAAGCGAATCTTCAGTACATAGCCATAACGGCTCAGAGAAGCCGACTTCGAGCGGGCATTGTCGACGTAGCGCAATGTATATCATCTTGGGAAAAAAGTGGGGCTTTCTGAATATCCAAGTAGATCCTTTTCGAATCCAAATCAAATCAAATTCGAGGCTCGATTTGATTTGATTTATTTGTTTGGAAGCCTAAATTGTTGACCACGAGACGGGGTTTACTTCGGGCTTGAGGCTGATTCAGGGCAGTTTTCATGATCAGAGAAAAGATCACTGACTTGTTATTCGCTGCTAGACTCGTTGTTCCGACATTGCAGTCTGTGCCGCGTGTGGTGGAGACACAATGGCGATCCACTTGCCATCTGGGAGTTGGGGCCGACCACTGGGGGTTTGCGATAGCCACCGCTCTCGTGCCACAGACGATCTAAAATTGCAATGTGTGCATCGGCAATCGTGATGAAGGTATCCAGCGATTGACAGCTTTGAAGTTTAGGCATGCAAGGTTAGGGGGATGTATTGTGTCGCTTGTTGACGGTGATCGAAAAACTGAGCCATGGTGAATGGAGTTAGGAGTGAAATGGCGCTAACGACGCTAAGGAAGGTTGCCCAAGCCTCCCTATCGGCCACCGCAGACGTGGGATGATTGTCGACTAGGTGTGAGTCTTGTGTGGCGCAGTGGCCATTCAAGTTGGAGGGTTTCAACGTTTCCCATTTCCCATTCATCCATTTTCAAATTTGCTGATTTGCGTGCGAGCCTCTTGACGCATTACCAAAGACAGTAGATGCAGAGCCAGAAGCAACGGGTGCATTGTTAGAGATAGTTGATGTATTATCATACGCATCCAAGGTCGTTGCTCGAGGCATGCAAGCTGTTATTTGGGCATGTAGTATTTGGCTCTATTATTTCTGGGCATGACATGTTGTGTCGAAAACTCCTCGCCTTCAGAAGCTAAACCTGACGACAAATCCAAAGAGTGTTCTGATCACCGGGGAAACCTTATCGGAGTCAGCGAATCCGACCTTTTCGACGATGCGATGGAAAGGCTTAAGAAAAATTTGCGGGATGATGAAGTCCGCCGAGGCCATGGCAAATAAATGGAAGACAATCTCTCACGGGAGATGTATCTCACCATTGTAAAGTCTTATACGTTGGGTGTGGATCGAGGACACTTCAACATGAGAGCTTTGGTTCTTCAAGAACGGCTCCTAGCCTCCAGAACCATTCACTTCACCAAAGACCACATCTTCTGCGAGGATCAGAATGATCTGCGCGGTGAAGATTGGGTGCGAAGATATTTCACATGGCTCAGTTGTATTCATGAGACTTCCCTGTTCACCCAATCGAACCGTTACCGGAGAGGAACTTTGGGTCCGTCAAATACAGCGAGAACAATGTCAGGACAAACAGCGTTTGATTCCAGGGAGGAACGTATCAGAGAGCCGAGAGTCAGTTCGTGTCCGCTCCATTGCTGAGAATTTCAGAAATCTTTAGTTGATACCAGCCGTCGTCCGACACCGATAGGCTCGCAGCAATGGCGGGATTGACCAAGAGGAAGCAATTCGGCGTTGAAAGTAAAATTAGCAAAGGGAAGGAATTCCTGGGTCCTTGGGAGCACACATTGAACTTACGTGGGCCGCCTTTGGAAAAGCAAGGCTCATATTCTTTGCACACGTTGAACTTACCTTCATGGGCCTGGATTGCGTACGAAGGAAGAATCTCATTTGTCAAGGACGACCGAAGACCACCTTCAACGGAATTCCAGCTGCTTGACGTCGACGTTCATGACATGACGGTACCATTACCCCCTGATGAAGCCCGCCCCCTTGGCCATCAATGTCACCACTCGCAAGATCCATGGCATTTAAAGAAATCCAACAAACTACGCGACCCCACCCGGAGCAATCAAGGGACGAATTGGTTGCATCATCTTCTTTCCACTTCGACCACCGGATGGGCACAATCCCAATCGCATTATCATCCAGGAGCGAGAGTCGCGAAATTTTCGACGAACACAGGAAGTGAATTGGATGATTCATGTCCTTGGACGGACACACTAATCGGAGGGGATCTTTTCTGCGCCCGTATGACGCCGCAGCGTATTTAGGCCTTTGCCAAGGAATCACGTGACTGAGGAAGCATGTGGTTGTAGCGGCGGGAAGAGAATGTATGAACTAACTAAAACTATCTGCTGGGGGTGGCTGCTTTACTTATATATATTCCGTAAACGAATGTAGCTTAGCGTGAGCCTGAATCCTTGGCAGAAATCCACAAGCAAACGTTGTAAACGTCGGGCATGTGGCTGTCTTCCGGAGGGAGACGCAGAAAAGGAGAGAGCAACATGTAAGACGGGGCAGCGACATCAACAGAGACAGCAATAGACAATTAGGCACCAGTGTTATCAGTCTACTTTCGCGTATCTAAAGAGTCGAGATAGATGCTAATTTAGCAGCCCCCATGTCACCCCTCCAGAATATACCCACATTGAAGGATGAGGCTTATTTCGAAGCAATACGCGAGTTTGACAAGCAGCCTGGAGCCAAGAGTGTCAAGTTAGCTGATTTTCAGGATCGTATCCTTGCATGTGCCTTCGTCTTGGATAGCAACAGCGATGACAATGATTTCAAAAGAGTTGGCCGTGCGGAGCCCAATGACGAGTAGATATCGTATGGGCATTTAAACTGAATACTTAATGACTAACGGTCAACGGTCCGGTTTGGACCTGCAATTCGACAGTTGATTCTTTTGCCCATAAGCCTCTTCGTGCAGACCTTGTATCATAGATAAGACTCATGAGAATAAAATGAAAAAGCTATTCTCAAGCTTGTTTCCTTTGAAGAAGGTCAAAGATGAGCTTCATTCGCAACCCCAATGCCAGACGTAGGTACAGGCGGAGGAACAGGAATCAGACCTAATAATTCCCCCTCCACTTCTCTCGCGACCAAAGTGGCCGATTCAATCGCGCCATCAATGAATCCTCGCCAACCATCAGCGATATCTCCGCTGGCAAATTTCAAATTCCCCACGCTCGATTGCAGTGCACCCAGATATTTCGTCATGTATCCCGGCTGGAAGACGCACCAGCTACCGCCGGCATAGGGGTCATCGTTGTAGTCGGTGAATATCTAAGAGTATGGTTAGTACGAGTTGCAAGGATTTAACGAAAAAAGGTTCATGTTTGGTTCACCCCGGCTGGGGTCTGCAACAGCAAGGGAAGACAAAGATATAAGGTATTTCAACTTACCAATCTTTTCACCTTCAAATGAGCATCTAGAGACTGAAGAGTCTCCAACTGTTCCCGTGGCGAGAAATGAGGTTTCAACGAATCTCCCGCAGAAAAGACGACGAGGTTGGTATCTTCGCCTGACGCAGACTGGGAATCGCCACTCGCCATAACTGCTTCTCCACCGTTATTGTTACTGCTGTTGTACCTAACACAGGACCATGAACGCCACTGCCTCCCTTCAGCTAGTGCATGGAACTTGCGTGTGAAATTCCCTCGGCCTTCCGCGATGGCTTCGGCTTTTAATGGCGGAAGGCTAGGTGTGAAGCGTATACTCTTCAGAACAGCCAATGGGATGGTGCAGATGGCTTTGCGAGCACGGAAGCATCGTCCGTCGACGGTCATGACAGATACCTTTTCGAGGCCAGAATGGTCGATTGCTTGAATCGGAGTGGAGAATGTGTATGAGCAATTCCCCGTGGCGAGAATGTCGTTGAAGATACGTCGGGTGAGTTCCGTCTGTCCGCCTTTCAGTTTGAACCGCGTCATGCGCTCGGCGTATTGGTCTGGTGTTGCGCCACCAAGGACCCAGCGTTGAAGGAGGTCGAAATAGCTGGCCGATTCGAGTGGTGGACCGCTCATGATCAGTGTGTAAGCTTTGTTGATGCCCAGTTCGTCTTCGTTCAGGATGCCTCTCAGCTGTTCGAAGCGGTCTCGGGCGGACATTCCATCGTGTTTTGCGGCGCAGGCTTGGTTGTATAGTGGGCTGTGTGGATATGGTACTGCATCTGTGGATCTGATGCCATCTGGGTTGTAAAACGTGGACATGGCCTTGCCTAACCACGCGTCCTGGAGGGATGTGTTTGTTAGAATTTGTCCCCCAAAGGGAGGCATCTCAATTTGCCGGAAAACGTGGTCAACATCAACGTACCAATTCAGCCGCGGGACGATTCTTTCCTTCGCCATTCAAGATCATCGAAGGAGGTACGGATCTCTCAAATGGTTCCACGCAATCTTTGATCGTCTCTTTCAATCCGTATCGCACGATCTCGGTCCAAACATGTGGTTGAGTCCAGTGGATATATGTGCCTCCCATATCGAATATATCGCCACTGCCAGCCCGACATGACCATGTCCGCCCACCGATGCGATCTCGCGCCTCGATGAGGAGAACCTTCCGTCCTACAATGTTCTTGTCGGTCATTCACTTTTGTCTTCCATGCTTCAGAATTCCTTCGCTGGGGATTTGGCAAACTCACCTCTCGCGGTCAGATCTCTTGCGGCAATAAGCCCAGCGTAGCCTGCTCCCACAATAATCACATCATATAATTCAGTTGGACTCGCACTCAATTGAGCGGGAGAAACGACTGCATCAGTCACCAACCTGGGCTTCAGTCCTCCCCTGGGAGTATATTCAAACCCTTCAGATGTCGACAGCATTGTTCCCTGATTCTTCCAAGTCGTGATATTCTCTACATCTGCTCGACTTGGATCTGACTCTGGGGCTTCTGCGAAATCAGAGAAGACTTCCAGAAAGAAGTGGTGTAAAGAGAGGTCCATGATGATCGGGGGACACCACTATCTCTTTATGTGAAACGAGATAATGATGCCCGGGGCTTGTCAAAAATTGTTTGAAGCAGCCTACAGGCGAGAGAGATGCCGTGCCATGCAATATCATGCCTATTTGGATCTTCAGTCCTGGGGTATATGAGGATCCCAGCCTCAGGGTTGGGCAGACTCCACTTCTCGCACTAAACTTGTTTCGCCGATTAGGACACTGATTACTCCGTACGGCCAAAATAGATGTACCGAGAACAAGCCATTCGGAACATCTCGGTCATCAAGACATTCCGGGAGTTGAAAGAAACTTTGAGGGAGTCGAGAAGCTTTCTCACTCTCCTTGTCTTCATCTGACCTTTGTCGATGATTAGGCTCGATGTAGATCACTATATGAGAAGGAGGGTATCATGATCCGGCACATTCACATGATTGCAATCGTGATCACCACTAGATCAGGTTTCGCGCTCGACTATTTGATTGGTGGCAATATTATTCCCTTTGGGAGGGGGGATTTTCACCACACAATGCTCTCAATAGCACAAACAGGGTCGAGAGACAGTCTTGGAGAGACAGTAGTCACCGTTACAATAACAGTTGCTCGCTATTGTCTCGAAACAACGGATATCATATCCGTTGGGGTAGAACGAACGTTTAGTTCAGCAAAGAGACTTGTCACATCAGATCGCGGGTCATTGAATGAGCAGACTATCGAGATGCGAGAGCTGTTAAAGAATTGGTGGAATAGTAGTACTGTGACACAGCGACGATAAGGGTGATTACCGGGGAGGAGGAGGGTTCAAGAGTGGACGACGCCGTCGTGGAAGGCAAGAAATGACGATAACAACAGGCGACGACGAGGTATACTCATAATAGGAACATGTCTCGATACAATTACTGTGTGTGCCATTGAGAGCATTGAATCTGACCTCCTTTCATCGCAAGCTCTCATCCCTCCTTACGGCCAAAAATGTTAAACTCCAAAGCTGCCGCACATTGCTCTCCGTGCCGGCACTCACACCAGGAGGAGGCGGTAACGCACCCAGCGGAGTCGTCACATACCGTCCCGTAGAGTTACTATACGTCCAGCTCCAGACTTCGGTCTGTAGCTGTGCGGCATTGGCTTCGATGCTGTTCCACAGCACGTTGTAGGCGCGACGCACATTGTTCTGCACCGAGGGCGTGCTGCACCATGCGGGCACTATACTGGCGTTGCAACGGGCGAGTTGGCGCTCGAGACCCTTGGCCATCATGGCCAGCTGGAATGACCATACCACCGTGCCGTGGTACGCCGAGTTGGTGAAGTTGGCAATCAGCACGTCGGAGCCTGATAGTGCTGGATTCGCGACTACCATGCTCTGCGGCGTCATGAGGCCTGCAGGGAATGGGCGAAGCAGACTATTTGCCGTCGCGTTGATGAAGCGTGTCTCCTGTGCAGCAGCCTCGGGCGTGGACGACGAGGCGTTCAAGAAGAAAAGGCGGAATCCTGTGTCGCTATGCAGGACATCTACGGAGGAGAGGTTGTTGTAACCTTGCAATGCGATTGAATAGGTTGTTACATTACCCGAGGCCGGCAAGGAGGAGGCGTTGGTTGGTCCATGGTAGAATGCTGCAGTATCGACGAAATCCTGGAGCCGGGATCGGGCGGTGGAGGCCGTGAGATTGGTCTCGAAAAACTGCAGCGTGTTGTCTTCCCAGATTTGTGCGCGAGATTCGGCCAGCGTATCCCAGGAGGCCGTATTGACGCCGGTATTGTTGGGAAAGACGCCCGGTGTGCGCGCCAATTGCGCAATCGCGCGGAGGGCGGCTGGTGCGAGAGCGGTATTGACGTCGAAGGGGATCCGACCTCCACCGAGCCCATAAGTCGAATCACGCCACTGACCGACAATTTCATCGGATTTGAGATGAATTAAATTCGCAGCTGTTTGATTTCGAGCAAATGCCGCCGTAATATTCATGATTTTCTCGGCATTAATGAGGGTCAAATTGGCGTATGTGAGGTTCCGGTTTGGGAGATCGAGAGATCCAGTTCTCCGGTTCAAGAGTGGCTGAACACGGGAGGGACTGCTGTTGAAGTACTGCGCCATTAAAACTGGTAGGTAAAAATCGGTGTCTATCATGGGATAGGTCAGACCAGGAGCAGTACTGGTGATGTTGTTCTCCAGATTCAAGTACGTGGCATAGTCGCCAATCGTCTCCTCATGGCACACCGAACCGTCGGTCCGGTTGATACGTTCGAGGACGGCGCCGATGACGGCTTCCGTCGCGGATCCGTTGCCTTGACTCAAAACTGGTTCAAGAAGGAGGGCACTGATCATACTGTCACGCCCGAAGTAGGTGAGAAATCTCCATGCTCCAGCAAGAAGCTTTTCCGTGTAGGATAGGAATGAGAGCGATGTCGTTTGATCGGGTTGTTGTGCAATTAAGTCCTGTGATGCGGCATTCAAGACTCGACGGGGGGAAAGCTGAGTCAGTTGTGGATAGTTGAAGCTGGCGGTGAAGGTGTAGAATCCTGCCCCGAAGCTGATAGTGTTATTCCGTTGGGTGATGGTGATATTGGTGTCCGAGTTCTGATACGGGACCATGGTAAAGGTTGTGGTGGTGACATTATCAAGCCAAAGTCGGGAAAACGTGGCCCCTGTCCCATTGGTCCTTCTGAGATGGATGGCATCCTGAATGACAGGTCGAAGAAGACTTGGTCCTTCGGTGAAATCACGGATGGTTCTGACGCTTCCTAAAATGGGGATGGTCAGTGTGGCCGAGCTGTTGAACGAGAGAACCCCTTGGACTCCCACGACAGGATTATCAGAGCTTTGTGTCGTTCTATAAACCGGCGCCAAAGGTGTTCCTATGGTAGAGTTGACCAATTCGATGGCGAGTGAGCCATTGGGACTACTTTGAGGCTGGAAAAATGTGCATATGCCACTATTACCAGCAGGCCAGGCAATGACCAATCGGGGACTAATGATGGATAGATTTGAATCGGGTAATGGACTGGTCACCACTGCTTGTGTGTCACCATTGCAATCGGAATAGAAGTAATTCTCATACGGAGGATCACTAAGATGCTGCGTTACAGCCTGGCATGGTGCCGAGTTTTGCGTGAAGCCAGCTCCAAGCCCAACTGCAAATAAAGCGATGATGAGGCTCAACATAACGAGAAGAGCCTGGTGATGAGTCGACCTTGTCGAGGCGAAGGAGACGGCACGCAATCAGGAAAAGAGGGACTACCTGCTGAGCTGCGGCGGATCGCGAATTTAAAGGCTGGCCACGGTCATCGCAAACTCCGGATGTTACAGCAGCAAGATTGACTCTAGTGTCCTGGAGATCCATCACGTTTAGCGATCAGCAATGACATCAATGCTGAGTTGTTCGGGGGTGAATGTGGAGGAGGGCGTTGACCTCACTACGAGAAAAGGATGAGCAGCCGAGAAATCTTGTTCAAGTCTGGTGATGCGGGGAGGACTGGACCGGGATATTCAAAGAGTAAAGTGGAGGTGAGTTTACAGCCAATGAGAGAGGAGTTGCCATTGATGACCTTCCAATGCACCGCAATTTTGTACGGTGGAACATTAGATTTCGTATGTCAATATCAATTTCAATTTGACCATCAATTTCACCATCACCTTCATATCACCACTGAGCAGCTCATTCGGTTTACAAGATGTATCTAAAGGAGATATGGAAATCCTGCATCTCCTCCAATGATTTTGGCGCGTGAGGATGGACCTCTCCTCGATCACGATAATCCTTCTCAATTGCATCCCTCCTTTTATTCTCGCGACTCATCCACCAGAGCAGTATTGTTGCATTCACAACGCCCAGCACAATGAACCCCAGCACAATGGCGTGTCCCTTAATGAATCGAGGGGGCCCATTATAGATATGCGTGCCCAAAATGGAGAAGCACTGTCCAAATACCTCGGCCAGAGCCCACGTGGTACCTCGTTTGGTAAACCCGCCCGTGTTGACTCCCAACCATGTCACTAGAAAGATCACGCTAGGGTAGAGTCCCGATGTGATCAAACATGCGGCGAAAATCTTGACTCCCGTCGATGAAACTGCCATCAGGAGAATGTATCCGACACTTACGACAGAGAGGCAACCCAGCAAGAAGAATCCTTTCCCGTTGACCCGATCGGATATCTTGGCGAGAATGGGCAAGACCACTGTGGCACACGCGTATGGAATAACGGAGAATAGGAGTGTCTTTTCTACGCCGGAGTTAGAGAGATCAGGGTTGTCTTGAACTGCTTTACTCACCTGTGTCAAAACCAAATTCCTTGACGAAAGTGGGCAAAAAGAGTCCGACCGATCCAATTCCAAGCGCGACACCTGCATTTATCAAGACGAAAAGCCAGCACTTTGGATCCTTCAAAACGCTCCAAATTTGTTTGAGATTGACTTTGGCACCGACGGTGTTGTAAGCTGCCGGATGACGACGTCAGATTCCGTCCCAGGAACAGGGACGACGGGACTATCACTTACACCGCATACGCTGGACGGCCAGCTCAATTTCTTCTGGCCGGAAAAGCCAATGCTTGTTTCCTCTGAACTGATCCGGAAAGCGGGGGAGGGAAACAACTACCAACAAGCCAACAAACAAGGCCATGCACCCTTCAATGATGAAAAGCCACCTCCACGGTTCGCGACCGGTGCGCTCCAACGTCAAACTTTTCTGGATTCCGTATGCAATCAAGCCGCTGAACGCGCCAGAAATTGTGGCGGCCGAATAGTATATTGCTATATCAAGCGGTGAATAATTAAACATGCCGGGAGAAGGACTCAAGAAAGAGAGATGATCATAGGAGTAAAACGTACCTGCTCTTGTCGCCACTTCGTCTCGCTTATACCACATGGTAACATACAAACCGAGGCCTTGGATAAAAGCTTGCACTGCACCAAGCAGCACTCGCATCGACAAGACTGTAGCATATCCATGCGCACACGAACTGGCTGTGAGAAATGTGCCGAAGAGCAAAGCTGAGCCACCCAGGATATAGTGCGGTGGAAGAACTCTCAAGCCAATATTCCCCGGGAGCATGAACAGGATGTATCCGACGTCTAACCTCCAATTAGCCTGTCACGCTAAGAGAGGAGCGAGGTGGAAGTGTAAGGCATACAAAACATCATCAAGCAATTATAATACTCGTTCCCCGTCAAGTGCAAGTCTTTCGACAAGCCCATCACATTCGCGAGACCAATACTATTTCGATCCTACAAGCGATGATTATCACAAGTTAGCGACCAAAAGCCGACGGCGTGACCACTTCAAAGAATGGGAGCTGCGTACCAGATAAGCCGTAAAATAAATCAACGCCGCCAACGGAACCACAACGAGATCCGTTTTTAACAACAATTTTCTCTCGGCCGCAGATTTCTTGAGCTTCTTCTCTTCCTTGTTGACGGTGTCGTCACCCGTGTATGCTGTGCCCTTTACCCCCTGCTTCTCGATGGCCACAGCCATGCTCTGTGCATCAGCAGAGACGTGATCCTCCACGTGTTGGAGAGTGATGGGTGCTTTTTCCATCCTTTCTGATCTCGAGATATCACGGATTGGAGTTGTTCTTTCTTTGAGATGGGCACCCCCTGGAGTTGATGGAGAATGAAAGATAGATAGGTTACGGTGATGCTGAATTTCGGCTTCAGTTGAATCCGTCTTGCCTCCGCCTCTTCGATCGCAGTGAACCTGCAACAAAAATTGAATATGAGTGATAGGAGAGCAACAACTTTCGCTCGATGCGATGACAGATCAGAGCATCCCAGCTCGACAGATGCAGACCGATTCTTATATACCCACAGCCCAAACCTACCATGTCGTGTCTTCCCCCATATCAGCCGCTCCGCTTGTTTGCCTCCTCGCCCTACCCCGTATCGTCTAGTGCTCAGGGTCGAACTCCGAACTCTCACACAAAACTCCGATCTGGGGTCTTCTCGCCCTTTCCTATTTACTGGCATCCTCTGCATTTCCAATAGTCTTCAGATCTTCCAGTATCGGGCCGTGGCCGGCTTGTTTGATGATTGGTCACATTTTTTCTCGGAGCGTAATACGCTCTTCCCAAAAAACTGGGCGAGGCCTGATAGTTTGAAATCGGACTTTGTCCCCGTATTCATCGGTTAGTAATTGAATTGAGAAGAATGGAATATTTGGATGTCATGTCTAAGCGCCATAGAGTACTGGAATTGCACATCCCTCGGTTCCTGGGATTCTTGGGAAACTTTTGCCTAGCACTATTGGACATCTCAGGATCTGACATCTTGCGGAGTGGCTGAATTGAATCACATAATGTCAAAGTAATATGGCTGATGACTATCTACTGGTCTTGACGTCTAGATACTGGATCTCCCTATGTGTATATTCCTCATCCACGGAAGAATTTCTGTTAACAAGAAACAAGTCGCCATCGAGCAACCAACCAGGATCTTATATCAATCAATAACCGAATGATTGTCAATCAAGTCAGCGGGTTCTTGGACGCTGGCGTCAACAGTTCGACCAAATCCAGAACATCCTCGCAGCACTCCAATTTCAACACTAACCTCTCGATCTTCTCTCTCCTCGCATCATCAATGACGGCTTGAGTAAGCATCCGCCATTTTTCCAATATGTCCTGATTCGAGAGTTCGGGACTTACACCTCGAGGACCATCCCGAACCGCGGCCAATTTGTTGCCATCGACAAATTCCACCGTGACGCGCTGGGCGAATCTCTGCTTAAACTCGTGACTGAGATGGCATGTCGTCTTGGATACGAGTTCCCAGATTTCGTCTCGGTCGAGCTTGTCATTTCGGAATTGAGTGGGCAAGACAGTCTTGTCAATGAGCTGAGTGGCACCGACGTATGCGTTGTTCATCTGAGCTCCTGTTACAGTTAGAGGTCGTGTAGCTTCCCATCCACCATGATGGAAAGACGCTTCACCCATTTCAATTTGGATGTGCTTGATGCGTTTGAAGTCGCTCATGTGAGATGGGTATTTCTCCTGCAAATCGCGCAGACAGTCCACTGTGCAATGCGTTCCGGCCATCGACGAGTACGCTTTTGCCCGAATGCCTTCTGTCTTCCAGGTCGTGCCGAGCTCTCTTGATACTTCATCAGGGATGCACTCCGGAACCATACCGTTGCCCCGGCTAAAGCATGTCAGGAAACCGCCATACTTTTGCTCATACACTCGTTTAATGCCGGTGTATCCGTTACGGGCTAGCAGAGTGCCTAATAAACCATTGCGGGTGGCGAAGCCGTGCTGCATCCGCTTGACTTCGCTTTCATACTGGGCCGACATGAGCCCACCAGCTTGGGTACACGCAATCCCTAAAGCGTCTTCGATCTGGTTCGGTGATAGGCCGAGAAGTTTGGAGCTTGCCGCAGCCGCGGCAGAGGGACCAAACACTGCTCCCGAGTGCCAGCCGACAGTGAGCACGTGGGCACCATGTAACCCGAGTCCAACACGCGGGCCAACCTCATAACCAACAATGGTGGCAAGAAGGAGCTCTAAGCCTGTCACAGCTTTGCGGCCGGACGAGAGCAGTCCAATTGACCGATCATGCTCCACTGCGGCTAGCATGGCAGGAAGAACCAGACTGTTGCTGTGCAAAGGCGCCTCCGAATGCCAATCATCCAACTCGAATCCTTGAATGAAAGTCGAATTCAGCAATGCCGCTTGCAACGGGCCGAGTTTTTGCCCACCCCATCCATACACGGTGCAGTTGCCCGGTGCCTCCATGTCGAATATGGCATGAGCAGCAACTTCAGAACCCGGGAGATGAGCGCCGACAAGTAGACAGGCGAGTCCATCAAGAAGCAAATACTTTGCACGCGTTTTGACATCGTGTGGGACCTCATCTAGAGTGACCTCGTGAATCCAGTTAGCTAGCTTGCCTGTTGGGCCCTTGGGGTCGGTTGGCTGCAGGGCTTTGTGAGAGTCTTTGGAACTGATAGATCCCATCGTATTGTCCTTGTTTTTGTCAGTGTTTTAGTGATCACAATCTGAGTAAGAGTTCCTTCAGAGAGTATTTTGTGGTTTTCTGTTCCTTTCGAATGAATTGGCAGGTGGTGCCGTGTCAGTTTTTGTACTCTGTCGACAGTCTTTCAAATGCAAATGACAAAGTCACTGTTGCCGTTCGTCGGAGCCGTGATCGAAGTGGTTTGTTCGTGGAAAGTTCTGCATCGACATCTTTCTCATAGGTTCTCGGTGATAAGAGCTTGGCGAGGACTGCGGAAGAGATCGAAAGTCTTGGGTTGTCAGTAGATGATCGTCTGACTAGGTCTATCCCCGGCCACAGTTCCGAGTCCTGCGTTGATATATCGTTGGTGACAACTGCGAGACATCCGAAGGCGGCCCGACCAAAGACGGGAAGATCATTGGCTCAAACAGAGAACCCAATTCGCGCTCCACAGTCCAGGCATATTGCATGGAGCAGGCGGGAATGGATATGCTGCGGGTTCAAGACGAAAAGAGACGGCCTTCTCAATTCAGCGGTCCAGAGTTTCCACAATGGACTGTCATTTGTTCCTTTCGAGCATGAGGTCTCCAATCTCCAAAAGGTTTCGTACTCGGTCTTCGTTCGGAATCTCCTAGGAACGTATGTTATTTGAACCACACTCGAGATACAAGACAGTCTGCGTCAAGACGACAAAGAAAACCCGGCATCCCACGTCCAATCCGGATAAAACATTCCGGTATCTTCCAGATCAGGAATCAAATATGCACTCATCGGATCGAATGGGTCTGGTAAGTTCATGGGATCTGTCGAAGTGGTGGGGTTAGTGGTGCTACGTAGTCCTTGTAAGTCGGAGAGCGCAATTCCTTTGCTAAGGTGCTGTGGGTCCGAGATATTGGCTACCTGCGCCCCTTCTTGAGAGCTCTCCGAGGCATCACCAATTTCAGCTCGTCCTCCTTCGCCACGCACGCTCGGCGTGTCCATCACGGTGACTGGTGAATGTTGAATAATGGACGGTAGAACTCGAGGTGGTCGACCAAGTTGTTCTGTATCTATCGCTCTCTCCGAGTAGAAATCGCGCCAGATCCACAACGAATCATGAAGAAGGCTTGCACTATGCCTTGTATTGAGTCTCAAAGTAGGTTCATCGTGTCTCAGACGACTGGAATTTTGATTAATGCCCCATAGATGAGCCAGGAATATGCTGCTACGGGCGTGAAAATCGTTGTTCTCGGCAGACATCAAACGATGGATTGAAAGGGCGGTGTCGAACGCATTCTTCCCTGTCTCAAAATCAAGAATTCGAGAATAGCTAGAGAACACGAGTTTCATCACCACGAGGGCCGCCAGCTTCAGCATTTGCCCAAAATATCGAGGGGCAGACTGGCCGAACCAATCGATTTTAATGGCCTCGTTGGTTTGTGTGATCAGCTTGACAGCTGTGTGGTACGCTCTCAGGAGGCCGGGTTTTCGAGAAGTCGAAAGGAGAGGCTCGAGGAAGTAATACGATTGAAGCTGAAGGGTTGCGCTCGAAATCCAGATAGCGTCTGTTTCTATGGATAATGAGATAAAATTGGAGAAACATCGACTAGGCACACACACACCTGTTATATTGCCTTGAAAGTCCCTCTCGAGCCTTTGCAGGTCGTCTTCAAAAGAAGCCAGAAGCGTTCCAGCCTCGTATACAGATGGCTGCCTGGGACACAACCTTGTGTCGGTCATCATGAAGCAATTGACCCGGTTTAGGAATTGTTGAATGATGAGAGTGATATGTAGACCCTGAGGAAGGCTATAAGTATTTTGCGGTTCGCAAGCCAAACTTACGGCAGGGTCAGCTGCCATAAAAAGAGGGGCCTGGCCTTCACTTGATGTTATACTGGAATCGAGATGAGATAAGCGCGTTGAAGAAATGGCGCATGAACATCCTACCTCTCGGCTACCACGAAACAACCGGCCCAGAGTTTGACTGCTTCTTCTACATGTTCGGGCTCCACGCGAAACTTGATTCGATTGAAATCTTGCAGAATTTCAGGTCGATGAAGTCCAATGTGCATGCAGGCGGTTCTAGCAATCGAAATGAGCGTAAAGCTAGGGTCGGTAATCATCGATGGAGTGGAAAATGGCCACATGCATAAGAGCACGATTGCCTGGATTGTCAAATGGGAGTGTGGGATACCTGAGACCTTGGTCCATAACAATTTCATAAGTGGAGGGTTGAGGTTCGTGTAAACGCCTACATCTTTTGGGTGACTTCTTGCCGCAATGGCAATAATCATCCAAAACAGCAGGGGCGATCGGGCATGATATTCGTCCGGAGACAAGTCCTGGCTTAGAATCGGCAAGAATGGATGGAATTTTTCAAAGAATCTGAGCGTGTTAGCGGAAATGGAGTGAGAAGCGGACACTCGTCCACGTACATCTGGAACAAATTCGAGACTTGTTTTCGGTCCAGATAGAAGTCTTCTAAAACTTGATTGTTTTCCGCTTGATATCTGTGAGAGATCTGACTGCTCTGGCCGGACATCGCTAAAGGTTGGCTGAAGTTCCTACCGGAGGAAGGCACCATCTCATCCTCACGGACGTTATGGGTGTTGAGACTTGGATGAGAAGACGTGGCTGGGTCCATGGTGGTCAACGGTGAGGTCGTGGTTCTTTCAGGTTCCTGTTCACTTGGCGAGCGAGCGATTAGAGACTGCAACTGCTTGACTTGCTCAGAGAGGTGCTCAAGTTTGCTGAACATAGATTGTTAGAGGGGGGACTGTGACAGCAAGATGAGATGTTGCCCTGATCGACTCACTCTCTTTTGTTGACTCGCTTGAACTGGGTGTCAAATTCGCAAGGTAACGAGTTTCGAATACAGCGTGTGCATTTTGGTCCTCGGTCAAGGCCTTCACATTTGAGCTGACCAAAGTCAGTCCGATATTGCGGTGAAGGAGGACGTTAATAGAATAGTACAGCTGTACCTTTGCTTGCCTGCAACTGACACAAGCTATTCTCTTGGTCTTTTTCCGATCTTCTCGATTGGTGTGTGAAGGCTGGGAAGATCCATCACTGATTGTTCGCGGTGCAGCGCTGAGCAGATGCCTGTATCGCGAACCGGACAGAGGCCGCGAGTTGTTGATGCCCGTCTGCCGACTTGGTCGATGCATTGACACAGCCTTCATTTGAAACCATCTGATCCTTTCTGGATATCACCGTCACCCATCCCACCATGTTAGTAATAAGGAGAAGCAAGTACAATTGTCCAAAAGTCGTTGTGTAAAGGTTGGAGACAGCATATTTCAATTAGATACTCCACAAAACTAGCCGAGAATCGGAAAACGGACAAAGTCCGAGGTCGGATATTCTCCTCCGGGACAGGGTCAAAGGCGTATGGTGCAATGCTTGGGTATTTGTGGGGGAAACTTTTCTTCGATTGCTTGTTTATAAGCCCACTCCTTTCTTGAAAAATTGCACAAACGCCCAAACATCCTGAAAATATTCTACGGCAGCACGGGCGCCACACGAATTGCATCGGGCTGCCGTTGGTCAATCACGATGCCTGGTCTGAGTAGTGAACTTAATTGAGCCCCACGTTTTGCCGGATCAAGGAGCGTTGGTGATGCGAAAAGGGCGGTTGGCATTCCTCAACCGGCGTATCCTTAAGGTGGAGGTCCGGGAGGTACGCTGTCAGCTTCAACGACATCTGACGAAGCTCTTCCATGTACATCCCATTAGAGATGGATGAAGACGCGCAGTGCGAGGTCAAATCTATAGCGGATGGATCGAAGACTTGAAAGCCCGCCGTCCCCTGGAATTGGTTTGAATTCTGCAATGCATATGATCAGCAATCGACCTGACCTAGTATTCTGACACGCGCTATTGTCCATTCGGAACCGTGATGCTTTGTCTCCACCATACCAACCGGCGAAGCGATGTTTATAGATCGGCTTTTCAGAAAGGCCCGGGTTCTCAATCGTTCCATGCTCTCCATAGAGGTGACGTTGTCGTCGTCAGGTTCGATGAGAATCATAGCTTCCTTCAGGTCGTACCCGCGCCAGAAGATCTGTGATTCTATGGCGTAATGATCACTTGGGAAGGCCTTCCCAACAAGACCTCATTCTTGTTTGGTGTTGGTTGGTAAAATGAGGCCATTAGCAGGTGCAAGTTCACAGTCAAAGTGTTCTCTATCGCAACCTCTCTTGGCAATGCGCCAACAGACGGCATGATTGCTCTACCGCCCATTCAGCCATTGACTAGCATGGTTTCAATGGCAAATCTTCAAGCGGACTAAAGTGTCCTGCAACCCCGATCGAGGCCCACGTGTCGAGATGCGTCTGAATATATGTCGACGAACGCTTTGATTGCAGTCCCAGCGAATGGCCGCAAAGGTAGACTCCATCGCTGTGAGGAAGGTCAATTATGTCCATCTCTGAAGAGATCTGTTAGTCATAAGGGAACCACCTATAACGAAAAGCAGAGTAAAACATCTTCGCACGTGCAGACGAGGCGGAGCAATGACTTACCAGGCTTTGATAGAGATTTGGTCTTCAATGTCCCTTGGGAGGAAATGATGGACTTTTCCCTAAATCCACGTAAAGGTTTCCTGAATCCAGTGGAGCCAGCATCTTCCAGACTGTCTCCATTGTCAGGGAAACTATTCTTGCTGATCGTGGATTTTTCAGAATCAGTTGTTGTAAATGTGCCGCTTTTTACGATTAAGAATGCCACTCCGAAGTATGCTGGGAATCAATTCAGCCTGTATTCGCAAACTGTCCCAATATTGCCGTTTGGTTGGGACAATATTTGGCCTCCCAAGATCACTGGGCCTGTCATATATTCCATGTTTTAGGGAAACAAGCATGCTGTATACAATGAATTCCAACGCAAATGAATTTTCACTTGGGAGATGCAACAGACTTTTATTTCGTCCACGTCGATCGGACAAGGACCAGCTTCTCAAGATGGTTTTCTCGAATTTTTCTGTATCTCTTCCGCATCCGCATCCGCCTCCGTGTCCGTGTTCGTATCGACGGGGCTCCTTATCTATGCATACTGACGTAATACTTGTCTGCTGACCTCGTCACGCATGTCTCTTTCAGATCAAAAGGTCGGCCAGGAGGTAGGAAATCTGGATGGAACACTATTTCACAATTTATTTATGCCCAGCTTCGTGCGCTCTGTTTCTCAGGACTACTGTTTGATGCCCCAATTTCGTTAGCTGGACGGAAGAAAGGGAGTGCATATCCGCAAGACGTGGACGGACTTTTCATATCTTGCAGTCTCGGGACCGATATATCTCGACCTTGTGCACAAACGGATCGCCTAGGCTATATGACAACCGCATCGCGCGTTTCGTCACGAGTCCTCTTCAAAAAGGGCATCAAATTCGTGCCTCCAGTTCCAGTCAAGTGTCGCTTCTCAACCTCCCAGGGTTTCGCCGGGGCAAGACTGGCAGAAGACGCTGTAGCCAGATTCATTCTGTTTCCCTGGGCGATGTAAGGAGCCGGTGGACCCCGAGAGGGCATGACGATATACCGTGCGACGATTTGAAGGTGGATGCTGCGGAAGTTTACCAAGGCAGCAACTGCGTTGTTATATGCTTGTCGTATTCCAGCTTCAACAGATGGCAGCGATATGTATTCTCGGACATTGCTCATTTGTGAGACATGTGCCAAAAATTCACGATGTGCTCGTGGCATATACTTTCTCATTTCCTAGCGAGGTTGAGCTGCATGAGCGGGAGAATAGGCTAAGGATTTTTGACTTACTAGGATGAATCCATTCGCTCTGGGGGTATTTTTCGACGCAATACCGGGCGAAGCTTCCGAACCTCCGGTCGCGTGGTGATCCACACCGAGGAAAATGTCCAAAACCTGGATTAAAGAGCTTTGAGCATTGCTTCCACCGCTATACTGTCGCCATTGGCCTTGTCCATTGCCTTCGTCGTAGAAGACACCTCGTGCCAAGCCGGCCGCAGCCATTCCTTTGCTTCCCGCAAGGAGAGGACGGACCTTGTGATAGAATATTTGAGGATCACAATGTTCATGCATCCTTCCTAGGATGATTCCAAGGTCATTGATTCCGGTAGTTGTTGCATCAAGGCAGGACAGGATGGTTCTACTATCATTTTCGACCACAGCTTGTATGCAGCGCAGCATTCCTAGAATGAGAGAGGAACCTTTCGCTTCAACTGCGGTTGAGATCAAGTAGAACCATTCCTCATCTTTTGTTCCGGTCAATGTATGTAATGAAGAAAGATTCTCAGGCTCGGCAAGGCCGCAGCTTGGTGTTTTGACATCGTAGTTCCAAAGGCTGAGAGTGGCATAAGTCGCCGTGGGTGGGAGTCCAACGTATTCTGAAACACTCAAGAAAGGGCAGGTGAGCTGGGGCGGAACGATCTAATCCCATGATCAACCTCGACCCGAAAAAGGAGGAATTTTCCATGCTAACCTCCGAGGGACAGTCGCCCTCCCAGATATAGGCATGAGTTAGGAACCCTAATATGACGTAGGCTCTTTGCCATTCTGCGTCAAGCTTCAAGTTTGTAGTTTCGAGAATGGGGAGGTCATCAATCTTAGATCTGGCCTGCTCGTTCGCGACTAACTCGGGAAGATGGCCGATTATTGCTTCCCATGGAGTATAGTATGGATCGTCTAGACGACGTAAAGGGGTGGTTTCGGGAAGGAATCCATTCTTTGATGAGATACCATACTCGCGGAGAAAATATTCCAACCTTTCCTTCATTTCGCAATTGGGTCCAGACGCACAGAGAAGTTTTGTGATACGGGCTCATCGAAGCAATATGTATATCCTTGATCAAAAGGTAGGACTCGTTTCCGCATTTCTTTAAGCAATGATGAGTCTCCTGTTCACGCAGCTCCCTTATCGAAGCATTAGAATTAGGATCAGTGATAAGGGTATCATGCCTGACGGGAGGGCCGGAATTGTCAGGGCCGACGGATGTGGGAGCGGATACGGAGGAGGGAAGCGAAGTTTGGTGGGGAAGGGGGGAAGTGGACTCCTCTTGTCCCAAAGCCAACGGGCTCTGGATCACTCTCAAACTCTCAGCCGGGTTGGCCGGAGAACCACCAGTCATCCATGCTTCCAACAAAATCTTGTCCTTGAGCAAAATAATTTTGGGCTAGAATCGCAACTTCGTCATCCGGCGGCGGTGCAAACTCCGTGGCTGATATGTCGGCCGAATTCTGCGCAGGATTAGGAACATGCGTTGAAGATACAGCCTCATGGTCTTCAAGCATCCGAGTAACGCCCTCATGGTTGAGGCGCGTCGGTTCAGGTAGGAGACGACTTCGAAGGACCTCTGCCGAATAAGAGGCTTGACGATGTAGAGTGAGAGAGGGGCCGAAATATGAGTCGGCGGCTTTGGGTAGTTCACTGACAAATGATGATTCTATAATGTCCCAAAACAGGGACAAATCAATGAAAACGTGAGAGTCCGGAGTATTCCGCGCTGCGGCATTATAGAAAGAAGTCGAAACCACGTTTTCGAAACTCTCGATTTTATCTGCCTGCAATTTATGTCAGTCTCGGTATGTTCGAAATGGAAAAAGTGTCATTTCCCTTACCAATTGGTGAATATAAGGCCAATATGAACCCATATCCCGAACGAAAGAGACACATGTACGAAAATGATCTTTCTTTGTGGCGCGCACCCCTGGGTCGTCAGAATAGCTTTGCTGCAAATAGATTGTGGCAGCAGCAGCGGCACAATGTGCCAGAAATGGGTCAGAAAGGGTGAATTCCTTTTGCTGGCACAGGTTGATCAAATGGGTGACCCATTCGGTATGTGTCGTGGTCAAATCTGCTGTATGTTGTAGGAAAACCTCGGGAACCATTGTCAACCTAAAGCTTCGGAGACGAAGAGACAACAAGAGAGGGTGGTTGAGCAGACAAAGGATAGTGTGATAAAGTATTTGAAGTTGAACCCAAGCTGCCCAGAAACTACGGTGCTTCTTCAGTTGATCGGAATCCTGATCCGCGAACTTTGCAGGCCGAAAGCGATATTTGTAAGGAAGACGTGTTTCGAGGTCCATTAGCTGAGCCATGATTTGGGAGTATTCGGACTGCGTGGACCACGCTGGAAGGTTGTCAGGTTTTCCTCGCCGGTGTGCATATCTGGCAGCTCTTTGCCAAACTTCACTAAGTTGGATGGCATATGCAACAATGCCGAGATCGCTGGGTTCACTGGCGTTGTTAGGTCCTTCTGGCTGCTCCAAAGCTGAATCAGTCATCTGGGAGCTGGTTCCTAGGGGTGGGTCTGGGCTTTGTGGAACTTTAGGAGTCCTCTCGTTCGACAAGAATGAGAAAGAGCCGCTTGGAAAACCATAGAGATTCTTAAGAAGCACCACACTCCAGTAGCATCGACGGCGTTCTTCGTAGATCTGGTCCGGGAGACTTCTGGGTTGCTCTGAAGACAAGCCAGCGGATAGAGAGAGGTCCATTGCCAAGGAGCTGTATGTGCTTGCTCGAGGGGTATTTCCATCTGAGTATGCGGGTGAGCTCTATCAATCACGGACTGCACGGAGAAGGACATACCATTGAATTCTACCAAGCTCAAGATGCACAGAGCCTGGATGGTGGAGAGCTGGACAGGTCCATGGGTGACTCGATGCATAACCAATTCTCTGGCGGAATTTGTATAGTCCACAACAAAACATGGTCTGTCCGCAATCTGCGAGGCCATATCACCGGATACAAATCGTGTTGACAAAGCAAGTATTGACATTAACAGCTCAAGATCGCGTGATGCCAACGTCGTCATTAAGTGCTCCGGTGAAAATAATGGCAGGGGTTGGTAATTACAGTAAGTAAGGAATAGTTGTGTGGTCGAGCGGACAGTTTCCCAAGATGGAAGTCTAGAATATGATATGGAGTCAGTCCGACGTTCTCCTCAAATGAAAGCTGGGGAGGCAGTAGCATACCTAGCCGGCGGAGGTGAATTTGTGCTTTGCTGGTCAATATTGGACATTGCCGCTCGAGGAGAAGGAAACGGGGCCCGCTGGCTGTCTGATCGATCTTGACAGCTTCGACACGATCAATATTTCATTCAGCCTCTATCTTCCCATCTCTCATACGTACTTCAAAAAGTTCTGCACAGAGATCATCTGGGCCTCGAGTGCGTGGAGTCTATCGGCCTTGTGGTTGAAAGTCAACAACGTCCTTTTCGGCAGTGCTTCCGCCCCAGTTTGGAGCCCGACATTCTCTCTTACCATTGTCTGATCGTTCAATCGTGTCGGTGGAGTACTAGGTCTACGTGATATCCGGTCAATCCGTCCCGAGCTGGTGGGAGTGAGGGTGTTTTGATCAGAGGCGGATGCGTAAGTGCAGCGCTGTCCCAGTCTAGCGCAATGGGAGCATACCGGTCTCTCGGCTGGACATCTCGATTTTTTCCGTCTGATCTACGGCATGAGCAAGGTTCGAATAGAGAAGGAAAATCAAATGGCCACCTACCGACAAGGCTCACAAGCCTGACGTGTCCGTTTGGGTGGTCGAGACGGCGTCGCCATGACGAAGAGAGATATCACGCGATGACGATATTCATGAAGCAGCTATTCAAGCTTGGAGCTCGCATCAGATTTGAGACAGCGCAAAAGGTCGAGACGCACTTAAAATTTCAATTGAATCCTTGGTCGAGGATTACAAAAGTCCAACGCGCACATCCGGTGGACCCTAAGCCCCGATAACTTACGCAGAGGAAACGCTACGGCAGAGTAAAAGACGCAATAGTAACAACTCTCGCTCTCGATTCTGGTCGGAAGTCCGTCTTTTTCATTTGAATTACTCTTTCCACTTTCCGTCTTTAACGGATCCTGCTGGAGGGTCATTCTCAGGATGCAGCATCTTTTGCACTAATCCTGTCGAATCCACTATGTACTCCAGGTGGCCGGGGCTGTGGAAGATATCTGTGTCCCCTGCATATGCCCTTCCCCACCCAGACAATACCAATGTTAAACGCGTACGGAATACAACGGCCGGCCGATGCTGGGTCGTCGACCCTGGTGGTGGTGATTTAGCCCTTGGATAAACGCTCTGCAGCTGTGTTCTTGAATGTTGAGCTGAGAGATCGCTGGTGAAGGCCTTATCGATCATTCATCTAGTACAGGGGCTGAGGCAGTATTTTCCGATATAGCATCTCCGTCTCGCCAATAGATGAGACACTTCCAGCCCGGAGCTGAAGGATCGGTTGCTCTCGAAGATGCCTCCCCTGCACGACCTCCTGCACTATGGAGTCACCGCTCCCTGGTACGAAGAAGAGATCATGCATCAAGATCTCTGAATAGCACTCCATGCACATCGGCCAATCCACTACGTAAAACGCCTTGAGAAAACCCACATGCTCCAGGCAGATGCACAGCCCCCATCAGTCATGGAACCCGCTATGAAATGACAGTGTACATGCCATTGGGACACCTGGCAACACCACCTGCACCATTTTTGCAGATGTTTGACGGTGTTGTGTGGCTACATCCACGATATGAGAAAGTCGTCATGGACCATGAGGAGGAACGGATCAAAAGAATCTCTGGATCGGATCTTCCACAGCCAAAGTTCCGCCCTTTCTTTTTTCTTTTTTCCTGATCATTGGGATTTCATCTGCAAAGACTTGATACAAATCGAAAGAAAGCCTTGGACCTATGTGAAGCCCAGTCTCTCAACAGCCCTGGCTTCGATATGTCGTACCAAGTGGAGGGACGGCGCGTTGAGCCATGTCGATCCATCGGGGCCTCTTGTGACCATGGAAGGGACTTTGAAAGCATACCCGTCACAATATTGAATGGTTCGGTATCACCGTCAGCAGGTTCAGATCCAGGATCCCATTTTAATTAAACACACCAAGATATTTTCGGGGAAAGGGACGAGGCTGAACGATGGCGTGGTGGCCTTCTAGTTGTGCCCAAACCCCTGAAATCCTGGTCAAGCTGAGCAGGGTATCAGAATACATTTGAGGCGGGTAGCAAAACAGCCATTTAAGTATTGACAAGGCCTCCGTCTCAAGAATGCGCCGAGACTGGACAATAGATTCGGGTTCGAGTATCACCAATATTGACGATGTAATATGTAAATTCGCTTGCGTGCTCTGCTATTTATAATGATCAGTCTCAACATCACAACTTCAAACCGCACCAGGAATTTTCTATCATCTCAGCCACTCCCATTTTCTCCGACAATTCACCGCTGCCACTACCGGTGTCTTCTTGTCCCTTCTCATCAAAGACCACAATTGGAATGAGAAGCGTGTGACAACTATATTCCCCGTACGTCTCAGTGATGAGTTTTTCCCAGTTGAAAAAAGATCCCAGTAAGTGAGGGTAGGCCACCAACCACATATGTGGTGGGGCCGCGCGGTAGCCGCCCGAATTCAAGAGACAGGGGACCTGAAGGAGAAGCTCCCCTGGTGGTGTGATTCTTCAATCCCAGCGATGTCTGATCATGCCTTGAAAGGCAAACCGAAACAATTTCACCAACAGATCCTTGGTTCTTAACACATAGCTCGAGGTCCTGATGTGGAAGCCGTGGATCACAAAGTCGAACGAGACACGATGGCCTTGGCTTCGGACCGGACGATCTCTGGAATTTCTTCCAGCAGGCTCACCCCCGAAGGTGACCAATGTAACTGTGCCTGAGCCCTTGAAGATGTCAAGATCGCGTTCGTTCCCCAAGTTGCAGCGGCGTGGGCACTCAACGAGTTCGCTTCTTCCGCGGTTATTTCTTCAATTTCCTCAGTCTCCAGCAGATTCTGCTTTCGAGCTTCTGGGACGATATTCTTCGAGAGATCTCCAAACGACTGTAATGGTCAGCCTTACCTTATATCATTGGACACGATGCGACTTACCAGTTTTCCATTCTCCGGGAAATAGACTCCGTTTTGGTTCCATACCGCAGAGCTTTCGGAAACGGCAGCCTCGAATAGAGCGAGTAATAGGTTTCCCAGATCATGAATGTGAACATTACTCCATATATTCAGTCCCCTTCCAATCCGGAGACCCTTCTTTCTCTGTAGTGTCAAGCGAGTGATTTCAGGGGCCTGAATACTCCTTTTGTTCACAGGTCCACTGCCCTCGCCGTAAATGAGCGGTCCCACCACCAACGCGGTCCGAACCGTGGTCGGCTCTTGTGATGCCAAATTATCGACCACTCGCGCAGGATTCGCAGAGATCAACGAACCCACTTCTTTTTCGTCGCGGAGATCATCATATGATTTGTCAGATGCTTCTCCGAAGCGACCGGCTTTGATCTCTGCCGCGGCAACCACAGTCGCCCCCGATATTTGAATCCAATAGCCCACGAAAAAGTCAGCTTTGGTGCATTGCTTCCGGAGCCGAACCTGCCTGGACGATCCCTGGATTTGTCACTCAGTCCTCTGACAATTGCTCGTGCGCTCGGAACATGATTGGTACTCGCGAGATCTGGAACCGTTAACAGCCATTTCGGCATGCCAAGAGCGAAATCATTACGAAAGACAACATCAGCATCTCGGGCCTCCTTTTGGATGATATCGGTACTGTCAAGATCTCCTTCGACAATCCGGACATCCGGATAAGCTTGCTATACAGTAGCCGCTTTTGCAGAATCGCGAACTAGACACGAGATTCGGTGATTCTGCCTCAGTCCATACATAGTTACGGGATGGCCGAACTAAAAAGGGGGCCCCTCTTCGCACGTGAAGGGAATTTCAGGAGGGCGACAGGGAGGAATTTCACACCAGACTGTTTGCCATTAGTTCCTTGGTTTTACAGATGACAGAAGGCAGAGATTCCAAGCGGCGGGAGATGGGAGAGAAAGAAGACAAAGACTTTTCCGTCCGGATAACGGAGAACCTCTGGACAGCTCAGAAAGACGCGAAGGTACTGAGAGAATGACGGAGAGTTACCCATGATTATCCTGAATGCTTTTATAGATGCCTCAAATCCATCAGGTTGACCACGGGGTACTTCGTGCATTGAAGCCATGGCTTGTAGCCCCTGTGCATACCTCTCCTAATGCGTTCCGACGTTGTTCTTTGCTCATGGTAGTTTACTAGAAACGTGACAGATCAGACCCTATGGATAGGCCGTTTGGGAGAGTAGTCGTAAAATATACGAATATTCCTGAGGGTTTCTCGACCCTGGAACCGGAAAAAGACTCATTTTATACGCAGAGGGACTTTCAGAAAGGGTCGAAGAAAGTCGAAAAGAGGGAAACGGTGACTCGCTCCGAGGTCCAAAACAAAGAACCTACACCGAGAAAGAAAAATGTGGGTTGCAAGCCGGGAACACACCAGCAGACTCCATTGTCGTCGCCATGCCCGTCAACAAGGGATCATGCTCTGGTGCAGGAGCAAAAGCCGAGCTGCGCCCTGCCATCGCAGTACCTTGTCAAGTCAATGCATACTGGTGCAACTCCGCTCCCTCTCTATTGAATGGAAGCCAGCGCCCCGTAATTGGAAAGGAGGTTACCAATCCTATTCGGGATATAGGGGAAGGAATAGGAGTGGAAAGGGGTCAACCAAACGTGTATACATGCTGGTAATCTGGCAGGACCCGTTCCAAACAGACAGAACACTCAACAAACAACAATCAATGTACACCCACTGATTGTTTGACAGAAACCCTCGATCAGCACCCTGGCCATCACTCTGAAATTTATTTTGTGTGATTCCTTCCACACCCTCGCTGCTCGCATGTTTGGCCAAAGGCGAACCGGCAAGACCCACACAGCACTTGTTGATAGGACGGGTGAAGGCGGGATAGAGCAGCATCACTTTGGTCCCAAAAGAGGATGTCACCTTGGCATTGAATCATCCTTTCAGTGGAGTCAGAGTGCCGAGGCTGTGCATCAATTTCAATTCCTCCATTCCACTTCGTCCAAATCCCTTCATTCCTGTTCTTACAGGTGTTCATTCATATTCAGAGACTTATCTCTGCCATCATTTCTGGTTCATCTAAATCCATATAATCAACCAAACATGTCGGACCTACCACATCTCATCCCCGAGAATTCCTCCGCCAACCCTCCTCATCAAACCCACGATTTCTCCCCGTCGTGCCCCTTTTGCATGATATCAACAACCTACGGACCAATCTCGCCCATATCTGCACCAATTCATGCATCGCTGGACAGCAGGAAACTAGATCCGCCGGCCTTCGTGCTCTTCTCCAGCGAACATGTCATTGCCTTTTTGGATATCATGCCATTGACACGAGGCCATGTTTTGGTAGCGCCTAGAAAGCATCGCGTCAAAGTGGGCAGTTTGAGTGCTGATGAGAGCGCCGAGGTATGTTCTTATGTTTCCCCCCGATTCTTTGATCATTGATGTTTTGTAATCTCAATCACAAACTGTACTTTATGTTCCTCAAGTCCCCCACATCCCCTGCAATCTTGTTCAAGATATCTAAATACGCATATATCTTGTACAGATTGGTCGAGTGTTACCCATGCTCGCACGTTCCGTGATAAAGGCCGTCATGCCGGATATCCCGCACGAGGAGGCGGACTACAATGTAGTCCAAAACAATGGTAAGCCCTGCCTGTTCCGTATATGACCTTCGCTCAGACTTGATCTACACCATATCCTTCTCTCAACTCAACGAGTCCAACCCTTAAATGTTGATCCCATTTCCAGGGCCCGGAGCCGCACAAGTCGTTCCGCACGTACACTTCCACATTGTACCCCGACCGCCACTAAACTATGTTCCACCACCATCGACGAGCTCCAATACAAGGAAATACCCGCCTAATGCACAACCACCAGCACCACTACGTACAACGATCCTCTTCGGGCGCGGTATGCGGGATGACCTGGACTACGAAGACGCCGCAGTGCTGGTGGAGGATATGAGGGAAGCCGTGAGGGAGGAGTGGATGGGACGAATATCGACCGAGGTGGATGTTAGGGATGGCGAAGAAAGCGTGGCACCCGGCACCAACGGTGGCGGGAAGAGGAAAGGCGCATGGAAGGTCTAAAAACGAAACCGACGCTATTCAATCGTCATGATGTCAGATTCCTTGGAGCCGCCACTCAGGTATATGCTACCGGGACACGCCGGAGAAGAGACGCAGACCTGAGATCTCTCCCGCATGCAGATCTTCTTGCCAGTCTCCCTCGTCCTTTTTGGTCTGTGGGTCCCTCGGGGACCGAAAACCCGCAGAACTGGGAATGGAACCAGACGAGAAAATACGAGGCCTTCACTCGTTAGCGCCCCTTCGACAGCAATCCTCGCTATTCTATCCACCCAAGAAGGACAAATCGAAGCATGCAACCCACCGATGCCGATGGCTTACCACGATAACATTGCACAACCATCCGATATGATACAATCAAGGCACAGAATCCGACATCGTTCATCGCGACCGAATGAAGGAAAACAGGAACGAAATCCCGTATTGATAGAATTCGTCATGCCCAATCTAACAGCAGGAAGTGACCTGCGGTACTGGTCATCGACCAACATCTGGGGGGAGAAAAATTACACAAATAGATAAGTTAGACAAGGCAAGTCCCTATGTGTTCTATTCTGTTCGGCCCTTCAGTTCTGCTATCCAGTGTGACGTTATGCCATCCCCTACTCTTCGCTGTACAAGAAAGTACTCATACACAAACAAAGGCTACTTCAACACCGACATTCTACACATAGACAGGAAGAGATAGGAAAAGACTGGTGCAGAGTTCAGGATACAGTAATTCATCAAATCAATGGTCAATGCAAATGTAATGCAATCAATGCCGGTAGAGTTTGGTATCGTGGTAATGAGTCGAACCTCATTGGATAGGATAGGATAACCTGATACTACTAAGGGAAACAGACACTGCTGTCTCAACCTCAGCCTGTCTTCTGCTCGCAATCCAATGAGCTCATTTCATTTTCCCATTTTCCCATGCCCTCTGCCCCGCCATGCCAAAAAGCATCTCTATCCTTTCCTTGCTTCCTTTGGTCCCCTTTTGGTCCTATTCCACGAGTGTGTGTGCAGAGCAAAATCGAAAGTCCAAGTTAAAAAAAACTCAGCATTGGTCACTCAAAAACACAGATTCCCATTCCCCCCGTCCCGATTCCCATTTGCCGGATTTCACATGACGCCATGTTCGCCGTATCCATTTGCACGTGAGGTAGAAACAGCCCTCCTCAAAGGTTCTTCTCTTCTTTTCTTTAATTTTTTCAAACGTCACCTGCAATGTTTGTGGCAATAATAGAAATTCACGTCTTGGATCAAGGGTTGCTCCATGAGACATTGCTGCCCATACGCCTGAGTTCGAGTAGATTATTTCAAAGTGCGACGATTCCAGAAACTCAGATGAAGCTCGCTGTGTCGGGTGGGATGTCGATGGTGATTGGTGACGGGTAGAAGTATCGATGTGGTGCTAATAACGGAGATGCTAATCTATGTGAATATCATTTTGCAATCGTGAGGATGACGGTGAGGACATGAAGCGTGACCTTATGTTGCAAAGGCTGCCAATGGAAAAAAAAAAAAAAAACCTCTCATGCGGTCCACTATCTTTAGGAAGATCTAACTTCCATTCAAAATAGGTACTTGTATAGTAGCATCAATAGGACATGAACGACTATTGTGCTATCTTGCTGTCAAAGAGTTGCGGGCGACCAGTTCGACGGCTAGCACCATAGTCCTTTGCCCACTTTCTTGCTACGATCGATGCTACAGCTCGTTAACGTCACGACCGTTGTCTTACTTTGAATACAAGCTTACCCTTGAGGAATTTTTTGCTTGCATATTTCTTGAACAATGCCTCATGAGCGACAGGGGCTTCAAGGTAGTCGACCATGAGGTGAAAAACAGGCCAGATCTCCTCTTCGGAGTAACCAGCGAACTTGGTAAGAGTTGCGTCCTGAAAACGATCAGCTCATGGCCAGAGATCACGATGTGGACGACATACCCATGCGCCACGTTCCAGTATCAGGCGAGCAAGATACATGGCAGCAGCGGCAATATGGCTCTGTTTGTATTCCAAGAAACGATGATCCACGAGACTGATCTCCATCAAATACTTTCCCAGAGTTCGGGTCTGAATGTCGTAACTGTCGGCTTTGGAGATTCTTCTCAAGAAGTTCATGGGGTTGGGATAACTCAAATCGTACTGGAGGGTAGCCAAGGTGTAGCGTTCAGCACTGAGAACCTCTTCGGCGGTGAAGCCATCGTCGGTGACATGGACAAAGTTGCCAACATGAGGCGACAAGACCTCTTCATATTTGGAGGCAATGAACATTGCGGTAATGCCTACCAGTTGCAGCTTATTGAGAGGAACAACCTTCCGAGACAAGAACCGATCGACGATATTGACGGCAAGGAACAGGGTTTCGGGCAACAACTTAAACCGAGTGTGGACTTCAATCAACCAATCGACCAGAATGCCTCTCATCTTCCATTCGAGATCATCTTGGTGATCCATATAGTTAGGATTAGGTTGGGTCGTCTCTTCCAGAGCGAAATAGTATTCGAAGATGTCACGAACGTATTCGGCACACATGGATGGATCATCCAGATCTTCCGCATCCAGGTCGGCGACAATGTCATATGCCTCTTCAGCTTGAGCATCTTCAACAGCCTCTTCGGTACAGGACTTCTTTCGAGGGGGCTCGTCGACATCGGGGGTGGCATCTTTGGATGAGGGAACAGCTGACGTTGAAGTTTGAGTCCGTCTCTTCTGAGCGTTGCTATGCACACCTGAGCCGCTTCCTGGCTTCTTCATGTCTGACGAAGATTTGGGTTTGGCGTTGTTGTCTTTGACTCCCAGCGCCGTGCGAGATGCGTTGGTGCGCGACAACTTTTGGACACCGCCCGTGGTAGGCTGTGCTACCTTTGACTGAAGTCCTACTTTATTGCCCGCTGCCTTCTTGCCTTCTTGGACTACTTCTGCACCCTTGGCTGCGTTTGTGACATCTCCTAACGCACGTCGTCTCTGGATTCCATGCAATGTACCGGTCGAAGACTTTTTGGTTTGAAGAGATTTCTTTGCATGGGAGGAATGGTCTTCAGCACTGGAAAGGCCGGCGGCTTTAGCACGTGTCAGACGTGGAGGCTGAACGGCAGTGTTCTCGTCATGTTCACTGCTGACTACTCGCTGTCGGGTCCGGGCCTGTAAGGCACATTCAGTAGGCATTGATGCACGCGTAACGGAGATATGAGCGAGTGCGGCGGGGAGATGGACTTACAAGAGGCATCTTGACTATGTGACGCCGTGATGGCGTTTTGGCTATGTGACAGAGGATTCAAGAGGAGGTAAGGAGGTTGATATTGTCGAGGAAGCAGTCTGGTACCGGTGTTACCAACATAGGACGATAGGTGTGAGGAATTCAATATGATTGGGGAGAGACGCACGAGCCTTCTGGGCGCGTCTAGACAAGGTTTGTCTCGCGGTTGTGAGGATGTCCAGGTGATTGGGGGTGTTCCTTCGTGTGTGGACCGTTGAACAACAGAGGATTGAATGGAAGAAGCAGAGTTTGCTACGACTTGGTGTCAACACGATGTTGCTCCAGCGCGTTGTTGGTGCGAGGTGAATTGAGAGCGGGCACGGTCAAACGCGAGGTTCCGATGTGAATGCTGGACGCCGTGATCGCTCCAGATGAGGAGGAAGAGACGCCCGCAAGGATTGAGGAGGCAAGGACGAAGTGGCAACTGTAGAAAGTTTTGTCGTAGAAGTTGAAGCAGTGTGGTGGTAGCAGATGTAGCAGTAGATGTGGAGTTCCCGTTGTTTTTCCTTGGCAACCGGGTGCAGCAGTTCGAGGCGCGCTGCAGAATACCAAAGGTAAACTCGGGAACGTGGATGCAGAGGGTGGTCAATTGGTAACAGAATGGACGTCCTACGGTGATGCCGCAAGTCTCTCGGTCAAAATGACTGGTACCAAATGGAAACAAAAGAACGACTCATCGTGATGGAGAGCCAGTTCCTGGTAATATGCGGTAGAGGGGGAATATAGGCTACAGGACGGGGGCAACGGAACTTGCATCGGTGATTCTGGCACGTCGCGCCGAGTGTTGTTTATATGCCTAACCAAAGTTACGCTGCCCGGCAACCAGCGTCTTCCTCGTCAACCAATCAAAAATACTTTCAACATCTGCCATTTTGTCGCGCTGTGTTCTGCGTGTCGTCCCCAATGGCTCATTGTGATCCCGACCAGCTCCGATAAATCATTTTCCAGGAATAAAGTTGCGCTGAAACACCGCCTTGACATTGCCCTCCAAAATCACTCCTCCCGGCACTTCCTTGTCCTGGATACCACCACCACTCTCATCTCCTGATTCCCATCGAGCCAGAAGGCCATTGCTCTCGACCGGTTTAATATCGGCCTTCGCCGTGCCCACCGTAACATGTGTAATAGCATTGGCGCTGAGCCATATCGATCCTTCGGTTGCAGGATAAATCCGCACCACGAACGCCATAATCCGATCATCCCAGACTAATCTCTCCAATTTGACTCGTGCAGGTCCGAGGCCTGGGGTTAGCTGGCTCTTATCCCTGAAGTCTTTGTTGGTCACTGCCTTTTGATACGCCTCTGTGTACATCTGCCATATTTCAGGATGCTGTGCCGCCGACGCTCGATGAACCAGCGTGACATGGAATTCGCCTTGAATGCGTCGTGTTTGTCTCAATGTCCGGTACATACGGGCTTCTTCTGGACTGGCCTGATCAAACATCGAACCAAGGATCGAATTGATGTTGGTCACCGACAATGGAATACTGAAATATTCGAGTTTGCTGATCAATTGCGGGAGGGTCAATACTTTCTCTACCGCTTGATCTGGCGCTGGCCCCTTCTGCTTCTGGTTCTTGTCTCGGTGCGTGGTTTTGCCGAACGATAGATCGTGTTTCGTCTTCACTTGAGACTCCATCGCAAAATCGATTGCTTCTTGCATCTCCTCTTCACTTGGCATCTCTTCGGGTAACAGTCCCGGGTATGCATTGTACAGATGGGTGATGACGGTTTCCAGATTTTCGAACGACGACGCAGCCACGTCAAGATTGATCACCTCGTCGAATTCAGAGTCCGGATATGCGCTGGTGTCGACACCTTGGAACCGCTCCAAGAACCCTTCCATGATTCCAACGATCTCCTCTTGACCCTTGCTCCCTGCTCGAATAGTCTGATGATTGTCCCCACGATCTAAGACGCGTTGACGTGTAACTTTTCGAATATCATTCAGCATCCGATTTTTGGGCTCATGCACATAGTGTAGCGCCACAAACCGAGCATCCGGAACCACCTTGCTGACATCGTCCATGATTTGTTGTCGTTCTCGCCGCTGATGATTGTTCCGGTCGGCAATAACTACCTTATGAACCGCCATAGCGTTGGTAATGGCCAGAGCGAATCGTTGCGGTCGACCTTTTGACCCCTCGATATTGTCGTTTTGCACGTGTCCAAAATTGAACAACTTCACCAATGCCGTTGCTACCGTAGTCTTGCCACATCCAATCGTGGCAATCGGGACAAGAACGATATTGGATTGTGAATCGTCATCCGCATCTCCATTGCCTTCCGCATTCTCTTGTGCAATGATGTCGGACCCTTTCTGGCCCTTTTCCGCGAGAAATCCATCTCGCATCTTGATGATACCGTGATTTTGATTGTAAGCCTTTCCAATTTTCGGATCCTTGGCTAATTGCCGTCGTGCGTAGAGGAGATATTCTTCTGTGATCTTTTTGTGTTTCTTGAACTTGGGTGGCTTGCCTGCAATCATCGCTTTCGTGCACTCACGCCATTGTCGGTACATCAAATAGGGCTCTTCAAACTTGTATTTGAAAAACCAATCCAGGGCGTGAGCCGCATCTCCGCTCGTCTTCTTGCATCTGACCACGAAGCCTTCGGTATCTCGGCCATTCCAGGATCCTGTCTCCGCACAGGTGTGCAGAAATTGTCGGACTTCGTCGAGGGACGGGATAATGATGTACTGCGCCTTTTTGAAGCCCCAGGCGTCGGCAAATTCATGTACTTCTGGTCCGGACCACGTGGCGAAGTCGGGAAGGTTGAAATTGATACCGTGAAGGTACAGGCCCGCCATTTCGGGCGGATATTCCAGGACGTGTTCCTCAAACTCGTCGTCGCACAGTTCACCCACCGCTGTCACATTCAGTTCTCGTAATCTCTTCGCCAAGTCTCGAGTGGTCTTGCCCACACTTTCCACATGTCGTTTGACCCATTTCTCTCCTACCATGGCATGGCTCTGTGCTACATCTGCACGTGCGCCTGTCGAGTGTTTGCTGCAAACGAGTAATGTCCCATCCTCAAGGCCAGACATGAAAATGATGCATCCGTTCTCCTTGACGCTGAGCTCGTACAGACCGGTGGTGTCGCGGGCGATGTTGGACCACTGTGTGCTCGGAACCTCGTCCACGTTGAAGAACTTGTCGTAGCCGCGGATGGCAATCTCAGGGGTGCCATCGGATCTCTTGGTCGTGAACAGACCACGAGCATAGGTAGGAAGGTCGTCTCGCTTGTAATCCCAATCGTTAAAACGCCATGAATCCACGGTGATGCCTGAAGATCCGTCAACGGAGAAGGATGTTTTCTTGCAGGAGAATCCTTTCTTACCGCCCTTGCCTTTGGCTTTGGCTTTGGCGGCCTCGAGTGTTTTGCAGAGTTGGGCCACTTGGTGCGGATCCTGCGCCATGGTGACGCAGGGATCAAGGAGATGCTGAACAAGGGGAAAAAGGGATCACTTAGGCTTTGAGACGTGACGTACGGCCAGGAGGGGACGTAATGAGAGTGGTCAGCCCGGATGAAATCAAGTTGCCACACAGCGAATTTAAATTTGGGAATTCGTGGCAAGCCGTGTCTGTTCCTGATTTAATTATTATCTTTGATGACTCACACTCGCAAGTCACCGGCAAGGAAGGATCACTCAAGAGTCACTGGAGGATCCAAATTATTGGTGAGCATCACCTTGTAAAGGACCAGCATTCGGCCTGTCGAGTTTCTTCTCCGTGTCAGCCTTGCTGCTCAAATTTCTAGTTGGAGATTCTAGGGAGGCTAGGCACAATCCACCACTGAGAATGCTCCTCCTGCGGATCCTTCCTGCGAGTGACTCGAAACATCAAAATAGGAATCCAAGGAAATTTGGGCATCTTCAAGCCTTCCATTCTCTTCCTTCAACAATGTCGGACCTCAATCCATTCCTTCTGGCCGCTGTAACTCCGGATCCCGATTCCCGCTTACTGCCCCTTCTCCGATCAAATCCTGACCTGGCCTCTGCACAAGATGCACATGGCTATTCCCTCCTTCATGCGGCCGCTTCCTATAATCATGTATCACTATTACGATCGTTGATTGACGAGTTCAAGGTGGATGTCAATCTAAAGGACGAGGACGGCGAGACCTGTCTGTTCGTTGCCGAAACAGTGGAGGCCGCGAAATGTCTGGTGGAAGAATTGCACATTGATCTGGGGGTGCGGAACGAGGAGGGCATGAATGCGCTGGAGAAACTCGTCTCCGAACAAGAATTTCCAGAGGTTGCAGAATACCTCCAAACACATACCGCTCAGGGTTCTACGGCTACCGATTCTAACCGCTCTGGGCCCCATCCAAATGGCATCCAGCATCCTCCACCACTACCTCCAAACATGACCATCAACATTGACACAGTAGCGGATGCAACTTCCAATTTCGAACAAGAACCCGATCCCGAGTTTAGGCGGAGGATAGAAGAGCTGGCAGCCAACGAGAATTTCCATACCGCTGAGGGTCAGCAAGAGCTGCGAGAATTGATCACAGACGCAGTTAGAGATGTCGGGAACCGGGATCGAGAGGTTCGGAGACGTGTCGGCTAATTGTGACGACAACAGGGCCTCTCCGACTTCGCGAGACACGGGATCGCAAGCAACATGGAAATTGGCAAAAATTGCATCAGGCATAACCCTGTCCCGGTCAAGCCTGGGGTTGGGTCATGCTCGCGGAATTTAAGGATATGGAGGAGATCTGCATATCGCCTGCAATCATTCAGTCGTTCATCCATGCCGCTACTCGACCTCCTCCCACTCTGGCAGCGAACCGCAATCCCGTACTTCCCATGGGAAAATAGCTGACCAAGTACCACACCAAAGCCACAAGTTGGACAATGGAAGAAAATAGAGTGAGAATTGTAGAGTGAAGCTGGGCCCGAGACGTCAGCTACGGTATTCTGCAGTGAAGCTGTGTAAAAATATTGTACCTACCCCGACGGCGAAGTAGATGGTCATGATGATGGAACCAAAGTAAGCGGCGGTGAAGGGTAATCGAGGGCCTGAAGTCAAGTGTACTGCATATTGATACGGGCCCATCAAGAAAGCCCAAGATGCCAAAAACATCAGAGAGCCGACCGACCACCTATCGAGACGCGTCAGCCACACACACGTCTGCTTTGAAACACATGCATGAATTTTTAAGTTCTCGATTGCCAAATACGATGGGGACACAAGGGTTGATTGCCAAGGATCATCCCCAGTGTGGAAATCAGTCTCAATATAGAAGAGCTGACATCATCATGGGTTTACGCGTTATCACATGGCCCAGGTGACTAGAGTGTGAGGGTGTGCAGCAAAATATGAAGAGGGTCGGGACATGGCGGAACACTCACAGAATCGCAAATTTTCGAGGTTTGAGCGACAGGACGGGAAACAGAGCAAAACAGATAACAAAACATGCCAGAGCGGCGAGATTGCATCCGCCAAAAATCAGAAGACGATCCCAGCGGCTCACTGTCCGGGTTTGCATTGTCAGTATTCCTCGGCCCTGAGCGTCTGCTTTGAGGGGGTATTGAACATGCAGAAGCCATGTGGAATGCCGACTTACGTGCGAACCAACCCTCTTCCTCCTCTCTCCGCGACGGGGCTGGTAGCGGCGCTCCGGGAGCCTCGTGTGTGGGCAATTGGACATAACCTCTCCGTCCAAAGGGATTTATCGATGATAGTCTGGATAAGATGGGAGTTGACGATGACGTGTTGGCTGGAACATCCGGATCTCTTCTCGACCAGCCCAACGAATTCATCGAGTCTCGAAATGCAGTCGAAGTCATTCTGACGGGGTCACTCCACCCTTCAATGCTGGATTTTCTCTGCTAATGGCTCAAAATTTGCGATCGGTGTGACCCCCAATAAACCGCGGATTCTGTCCACCTTTTTCTTTTGACTCTTCGAATAATCAATCCTAGCTCTCCCAAAGTTTCACACCCAGAGCACTGACGGCTTAGACAGGCAGAAGACGATTGAGGGAGTGGCAAAGGTACCGCGACGCCTATGCCTAGTTCAGGATCTCGCTTGTGACCTGATCGCGGTCGAGGCTGATCTTGCAGAAGATGAGCACTGGAACAGAAGGCACGGAACGAGCAGCCGGCGTGTGGGCAAATCGACAGGCGCAGCAATTGAACGTGTGTGTAGAGAAGATGGATGGGCGAGGCCGTAAGTTTCCAAGGTTGTTAGTGACGGCTGCCTGCAGGGATGGCTGAGGGGAGTTGGCCTGCGGGGTTCACCGAGAATCCCAGAAGGCAGAGGAATATCCCCAGGTGGATTGAATGAGGTGCCCAAAGGAGTGATAGCGGCAAAGGACAGACCACCTGAAAGGTCAATCGCAAAAGGGTTCGAGGCGTCGACGAGCAGGCTACATTGAGGTTGAACTTGAGACGCAGACAAAGCCAGTCGCAGATCAAACCTGCCATCGTTGCGCTAAAGCAGACCTTGTCTCGAAGTCGGACTAGTAGGTTCGAGCCGACTTGCGACAGGCATCCAATCATTGGTCACTTCCCCACTCCCTCATGTATCTATCACTCGCATACTTTGCCATGATCCTGGCTGTGACTGACAAAACTTTCTCACCCATCATGCCATGATCATCGAGTCGAGGTCCGGACTGAATCACCAACCAACCACCCAGGACGAGGATGATGCACGTCCGGAGCTAGCGGCCACCAAAGGCCTAGTTTGTAGCGAGCAACTCCCAGGCAAGAAAGCCGGGAGCCAGCAGCCAGCAGCCATCGGTACGAACCATCCGAGGATTTCCAGCTCGCCCAGACCCTTCCACGGTTCGCGGAGTGACCCCGTCGCACCGCATAAGTGGGATGCAGATGCAAGGCATTCCATTCCTTGAGTTCTGCTGAGTCGAGCAAAAGGACGACCTATCTGATTGATCGACGGAGAAAGCCTCCCGCGCTCTCGACGATAGTATGTTATGCTGGTAGTGGTGTAGTAGCATTCCTGATGAAGGAGAAAACTTCTCCCACCCGGAGCGCTGTGCAACCGACCGTGAACTATTTTCCGCCGGCTGATGGAGGGGTGTGGATGACAGGCCCTGACGGGTCATTCGTGGGCTATTCTGGAAGTTAATCCGCAAATCCACACACAATACGCATATCACAGCCTTGACGGCCCGGCAGGATGTGGGCTTGTCGTAGTTGACAAATGATCTCGCAGGAGCACTTGACCTCGGTCGACACTAACCCCCGATGATCTGCTGGAACAATGACTACATCGATATCCAAGTCATGCTGGACCGCAAGGGGTGACTGATGGGATAAAAGGGTGTATTGGCGCATAGCCATGTGGGCGGGATGTGACTTCTTCAAGAAACATGACCATCTCACACTGGCACCCGAGACAACAGGGTATTCTTGGAAAACACAATAAGACTCATCGCAGAATCCGTCCATGTCGCCTTTTCGCCTTGACATTGCACACCTCTCCGGACTCCACCCGCATCAAACATCCAGCTCCCGCCATGGTCCTAAGCCTTGCCCGATTGGCCTCCCGGGTCTCGCCGCCTCATGTGGCTTCGCCCTCAGCAACAAGGAAGGGGTGCATACGCAAGACGACTGGGAGCGGAAACGGGAACTGGAGTTGGAGAGGTGGTGGACTTGCTGGATAGCCTTGCAGCTCGTAGCTTAGGTATAAAAGACGTAGACTTGGTCCGGAAGACGTAACAAGGACAATCATCCGTTTCCTAACAGGTTGCTCGTTACTAATTTCGCCGGAGGCATTCTCTGACATTGGTCACAGCCCCTCGCTATCTCTCACCGCGCACACCTTAGCATCTTGGATTTTTTCTTTTTTTTCCCTTTTTTTTTTTTTTTTTTCTTGTGGCCCACTGGAGATTGCTTGCGGAGATCTTCTTCCCGCACTGGCACTGGCAGATCAACCTACCTTATCAGTTCTCACACAGAGCATTATTATTTGTGTGGCATTTTTGAGTCCAAGGCGCGCCCTAGCTTTGTTAGTGGTTTAGCCCCTCTCTATTTGAGTGCCAAGGCCGACTCGAAGAGTCGAGTCTCCAGTCAAAGTAACAGGCGATTGGCCGGTGGCGGCTTTGGAGAGAGGGAGAGTCCTTTGAGCTGCGCCCGCCGCCCACTTTGCCCACCGTCAAGGCGGCGTCTGCGTACCTCTTCCTCGACGGCAACATCGGCCGTTGGCCTCAACTCACTGCCACAGCTTCCCATCCACCGCTCTCGATCGCCTCAAATCCTCACCATTCCGAACACTCTGTCCCTTCACCTTAAGTCCTCCGATCGACTACGACGACAACATCTTGGATCAGAATCAACACCGCTTGCTCCGTACTTCAACGCCGCCGTGTCCCAATCGTTTACTCACCCTTGCCTTCCAGACCCAAGCTGCCATTCCACTGCACGCGACGTATCTCCATATCCTTAACCAGTCTCTCGATATCGCACATCCCTAGCGCGGATCGCATTCTCCTCTCCGCTCATATCCCGGGCCACCATTTGCGTCTAAGACTGGCAAGATCAAAGAGGCGGTCATCAGCGACTTGTGTCAGATCACCTCTCAGATACCTATTTGGGCTGCAGGATATCTTCGCGATTCGCTTCCCAGCATTCAATCCGTCAGTCCTCCCTCTTCTGGATTTACGTCACATATACTATCATCTATTTCAGTTGCGACTACAGGACGGAATAAGGCCGGGCGTGGGCGAACCATTGCTGACAGCGCATACTGCAGTCAGCCTTGTTATATATTCGACTATTCGACACACATAATCTCGATTTGAACTCGAAGCGGTGGTTCACACTCATCCCTGTCCTTTCCCACAACGCGGAGCGGGATTTTCCTTTGATATCCGTTCATCAGCTTTCCCTCACCAACGCTTAACCTGATAAGAAACTTTTCAATGGCTAAGGCCGCCTGACTTCCTTGGTTGTTGCGGGACATCCAGGCAAGCACGCGAGCTTATATTTCCTGCCTCGAAAACAGACCCCATCGTCTTTGCCTTCCTTTCCTCTTCTCGACCATGACCAACTCTGCAGGCGGAATGCCCTACATTAAGAGCGAGCCCGACGATTTCGGCAATAACCCTAACCGGTTCATGCCTGCCTCAAACTTTAGCAACTCACAGCCGTATGGAAACCAATTCAACAACCCGCAAGATGGTGCTAGCATCGACCCCTCGGAGCTGTCCATGCAGAACCCCAACTTTGGTGGTATGCAATACAATTTTGCTGGAGGCAACATGTCATCCAGCTTCAGTATGGGCAACTCGGGCTATGATGACAGCGAACTGCTAGAGAGCCTCGACTTTGGAAACAACGGTCAAGGCATGATTGATGACTTTTCCACCATGACTCAACCAAGCAATGTTAACCGAAGCTCAGGCGGTGTTCCGACGAACCAACAAAACCAAATGTCCAACGTCTATTCCAGCACACCGGACGGGCCTCCCATTCAAAGTCCCTTCTTGGGCAACTTCGATTACAACCAGTTCCGGATGGGTTCCCTGCCGCAGCATATGTCGCCTTTACAAGGTTCCCAATTTGGGAAGCGCCCGAGCATCCAATCGGCGAATCGGAAGTCATCCGATCAGAGGTCTCCCCTAACACCACGTACGGCGGCTATGGCACAGCTTCATATCGGTACCCCAGAATCGGGAAATCTTGCCAATGGTCGGCCAATCAGGACACCAAACCTCCAGAACCGACATACGAAGACGCTGTCTGGACAGTACGACAGCACTCCTGGAAGCCTCCACTCATACCTGGATTCTCCTTTGTCGTCACCCGTCGCTGGTCTTCACCATGCTGGCATCTCAGAAACCATTGGTTCCGGACAGCATGCCTCTCTACCGGCCAAGGTGGAGAATGGGTTGAGCAATGCCGAAACAGTCGAAGCAAAGAAACGTCGCAGACGAGCCTCTCACAATGCCGTAGAACGAAGACGGCGAGACAATATCAATGAGAGGATCCAAGACTTGTCACATTTAGTGCCCCAACATCGTCTAGAAGATGACAAGGTCAAGAAACAACTTCAGAATAACGGACCACTGTCACCGTCGGTGGGTGCTACCAGCATGAGTCCCCCCAATGCTAATAACACGGCCACATCGTTGCTCGCCGGCGCCGCCGGTCGCCGTGCCGCCAGCACTGCGGGCAACATCACCATCGGATTGCCAATTGAGGAAAAAGAGAAAGGGCCCAACAAGGGCGATATCCTCAACGGAGCCGTCAGCTGGACTCGTGACCTGATGTGGGCACTTCATCAAAAGTACCAGCAAGAAGATGAATTGGCCTCATATATCACGTCTCTCGGAGGCTCCTGGCCCCTCCAAGTCACAGACGATGAGAAACGCATGCGGTCCGAAGTGATGGACGCGGTAGAGAAGAACGACGCCAGTACCTTTACCTACTCGAGGACCGATGGTAGCGGCCTTCGGGTACCTAGGCATACCAACCTTGCCGGAGACCGGGTCCAGACAAATCCTAGTCTCAGTCCCCAGAGCAACTTTGAGCTCAGCCCAGGTTTCCACAGCGGTGGAAGTGGAACCAACAGTGGTAGCAATGGACCGGGACAAACTCAGTACTGGCATAGTGCTGGGCATGGAGGAATCAGTTTCAAGGAAGAAGACGAATTTATGGAGATGAACTGACGATGTGATGATTTTGCAGACAGCCAGCATTGAGAATGAGATTATGGGAAAGATTCACCCCCACACAACCGAGACAGGACGAGGCAATGCAGGCAACCCACAGTTTTTGAATGTACGGAGATTCTAGGCCGAGAAAGAAAGTTCCCCGTACATGGGGGTGGGACTTTTTCCGAATTGATGGTCAATTGTGTTTTCCAAGTGATTCATTCCTTATGAGTTTAGGAGTGACCTTTGAGGATGGATGATGCGGTTGAGTTTTGATACCCCTTCATTTTGGAATCTCTTTTTCCTTGTCGGTGAGTAGTCCCGGGGAACTGCCAAGCAAAGGAATGTATTGTAGGTAGACGAATTTTCCAAGTCGATAGCATGGTCTGGGAGTGGATGGAAGGCTTCTTCGATACTAATCATTGCTTTTGGAGAAATATCAAATTGATATGAAACGTCCATATTCCCAAAGAGGTTTTCCCCCTGCCACTTGCTTTACCCCGTTCACGTTGGCAAGTTCTCCCTGGGCTCAGTAGGACAAGATTGCATTTTTTTCTTCAGCCGACATCTCTTCCTCCATGAGCGCTTTCGCTTGACACTTCAATATTTTTGACGACGCTGCCTCATATTGTGAGAAATTATTGCTCAAAAGCTCTCCTCGGCTATTGCGTTCTCTTTTGGCTAGGACCAAGTCTACTTTTCGCTACACTTGTCAGCGCAGGGGGATAGCACAAGCTGTAGTCTCGAGGATGAACGTGGAGGTTGGAAGCAATGACTAGGTGGCTGGAAGAAGTAAAGCGGAGAAGAGCATAACCCAATGGGCCAGCAGCCTGCAGGTCACTTCTCTGCCCCCAATCAGCTCTTTCTCCGTCTCGAACTCTCCCCCCTCGGTGAAGCTTTTGTCCAGCGAGATCGGCCACATCCGTCTGCAGCTGCGGTCGACAGTCCGCATCTCGTTCCACCAGCGTGTATATTTTTCTTCAGCATCAGCTATCTATTCCATAACCGCGGGTGCATCTGTCACCGTCTGATCTGCCCTGTGACCAACCTCCCTTAATCTTCGTCTCCTCCTTTCTTCCTCCCCCTCTGCCGCTCTCTCGGCTATCGACAAATCGCAACTCGCCTCCTTTCGGATCGGATAAAGCACGCACACGACAATTCAAGATGTCAGAGAAACCATTGGGCTTCGGCTACCAAATTGGTGCGGGGGCTATTGCTGGTGTGTCTGAGGTATGTTAACGCCTTCAGAGATATGAACATATTCGTACTGGTTGGGGTTTGCTAATAGATACTAGATTCTCATAATGTGAGTCGCACGACAACCCCGGAAGTCACATTCCCACGCAGTTTGGGCTCACAATTCATCCTTCCGCAGGTATCCTTTGGACGTCATCAAGACGAGAGTGTCAGTATAGACCCACCTTTATATCTTGTGAACAGAGCAGCCTGGCTAACATAGCTCCTCCCCCTGCAGGCAACTTCAAGGCAATGTCGCCGTCCCTGGCCAAGATCACTACACTGGGATGATCGATTGTTTCCGAAAGATCGTCAAGAATGAAGGTCCTTCTCGCTTATACCGTGGTATCGGAGCTCCAATCATGATGGAGGCGCCCAAACGAGCTACCAAATTCGCTGCCAATGATTCCTGGGGGTTATTCTACCGCAATCTTTTTGGTGTGGAGAAAGCCACCCAACCTCTCGCCATCCTGACTGGAGCGACTGCCGGTGCAACTGAAGCCTTCGTCGTAGTTCCGTTTGAATTGGTCAAGATCAGATTACAAGATCGTGCTTCGGCAGGCAAATACAAGGGCATCGTCGACTGTGTGATCAAGACGGTAAAGTCAGAAGGACCTCTCGCGTTGTACAACGGTCTGGAGTCGACATTATGGAGACACATTCTATGGAATGCCGGTTACTTTGGATGTATTTTCCAAGTCAAGGCACTGATGCCCAAGGTGGACAAGTCAGACAAAGGCAAGGCTATGCTGACGGATTTCATTTCGGGTACTATTGGCGGAACAGTTGGCACTATTTTGAACACACCCATGGATGTTGTCAAGTCTAGAATTCAGAATTCACCCAAGATCGCAGGTCAGTCTCCAAAGTATAATTGGGCTTGGCCTGGATTGGGAACCATTTTGAAGGAGGAAGGGTTTGGCGCCTTGTATAAAGGTTTCTTACCCAAGGTGCTTCGGTTGGGACCGGGAGGTGGCGTCTTGCTCGTCGTCTATACCGGCGTCATGGATTGGTTTAAAAAGATGGGAGCCCAACCAATTGGTTAGAGCGATCAAGAGACTAGATGGAGAGGGATTGAGAAGGACGTTCCCATGACGAAGAATGGGCGCGTGCTAGAAGAGTCGGGGGTTTGGTTCTTCGAAATTTCTCACACCCGCCAGGGCCGGCCGGGATTCATAGACATGTGCATGGGAAAGGGAAAAGCGAACAAGTCTTTGTTTACCCTCAGAATCGGGGAAACATCCACGATTCAAAGGATTTCGATCGGCGTTTTGAAATTTGTAAGAATGGAAGATAGAAAGGACGGTTTGGGTTGGAATGGACACTTTTATTGCGTAGTACCAGCAAGGCCTTCATTAGGCCGCTGCATGTACATGTATTCAATTGATCCAACGTGCGTAACCAGCCCAGCAGAGAAGGGTTGGGATAGTGCCCACATAGGAAAGGAAACTGGAACCTTCAACATTGGTATTCCGTCGTCAGGAACAGGTACCAATTCGTATAACAATTGCATATCTTTTTCCCAGCCTGCTACCATACATAGTAATAGCCGGGTGCCCTACGAACACTCTGTGAATGGTGTGAACAGTAGTCCAAGTCATCCAATCCATCAATCATAGACCTATACTCCTTACTTCCTTCCACCTTTGATGTGCAGAACAAACATTGTCCGAGACAGACAAGAAAGCTTTTATTTCGTCATCATCATGGCCGTGCTCATTCCCGTTCCCGTCAATAACCAGGCATGTAACGAATGATACTCGACAAGATTTGATCGCTTTGATTTGTGCGCTGGTGTCTCGGTGTGCGAGATTTCGAGAGTACAAGCGGCCGAAGCCGATGCACTCGGGTTTGAGTTTGGAGTGCCAATAATAGAGTAGAAGGTTCAGACCGGCAGACTGATAAATCCAAAGGACACAAAACAAATATACCCCCGCCTCACCATAATGTGATGCTCGTGCTGGTGCTGGTAGTGATATCCTCAAGCAAGTGCCACTTCGTTGTCGCTCGGTGGATTCGTATCCAAACACAGAAGAGTAGACGACGGGTGATAGTCTCGACATGATATCCGACTCAGAATGAGTCTTGATTACCGTGTTGTGAGGTGATAGAACAGATGGATGCTATCACCCATTCACCCCCCACTGGGGGGAACTTCTTGGTCGTGCGAAGAAGTCAGCCAGTAACGAAACGGGCGTTGGCGAAGTGAGGAGGAGGGAGGTTTGGTTCATTTCCGTTCATTTCGCGCGTCGGATGTACCAGCGTGATCGAGTGCCTTCCTCGAGCTCGACGATGATGTTAGAAGGTGATGAATCGGTATGAGTCGATTTGCTGGCGTCAGCTCCTGCGTTGGTAGCTTTGGGGACGGTATTTTGTGTGGGTACCAATAATGTGTCGTGCCCATTGAGTGGACCCGATATATTTTCTTTCGTCTCGATCTTAACTTCTGCTTCTACAGCCGCGGCCTGGACAAGGTCCTGGTCGTTGAGTTGGATGATGATCTCACTTGGATGCTTGATCGGTGAGTCTCTGCTCCTGGGCCGAGTTTGGAAGATGTCTTCTTCGTGTTTCACGGGAAATCTTTCTTCCTCTTTCTTCGGTACAGTTTGTCTAGCTTGCATAGTTTGTGTCTTCTCGGCTAGTTCCTTCGTATGAGGGGTCTTCTCGCCGGTCCATAGCCGTTCCTTTAGTGCGCCATCCCAGCCTGCTCGGCGGGCGATTTCTTCCAGGATCAAGTCGCATTCGCCCAGCAACTCGATGTCAACTTTGACATGCTGTCGTTGACAGCGGTCTTTACTAATCCAGATCTGTGGCACGGTGGGCGGGATTGCCAGTAACATATCATTGACAGGCTCAACTTGAAGGGATGTGCCAATAATTACGAGCAGGTCGACTTTGGATTTGTCCACTTCGAGTCGTGGCGCGTAGGAATAGGAGATGTGCTCGCCAAAAAACGTCATGTCTGGTTTGAGAAGGCCCTTGGGGAAGTCGATTTTGTTGCTTTCAGCCTCCGATGAGTCAGTATCTTCGAATTCCCATCGTTTGCGTTTCTTTTTGCCGCTGCGGCTGTGTCCGCCCTCTTTCGTCTCCTTCTCCATCTTGGGATCCTTGACCAGCGAGCATTTACAAAAGGGGATACCTCCTGCTCGTACGACGGGCATGTATTTTCGGGCGGTGGTCTTTCTACCGCAGCTCATGCACGTCGCGGTCGACAAGGTGCCATGACATTGGATCAATTTGGAGGACGACACGCCGGCAGCGGCTTCTAGGCCGTCAATGTTTTGTGTGTAGTTGGTCAATAGTTTGCCTTTGGATTGGAGTACAGAGATGAAAGCGTGCGTCAAGCTGTACCTCGGAACGAGATTGGTGTCAGCTGACTTGGTGGTGATGGAATCAGCTCGTCCGTCTCCGTCAGCCGGCACGAGACCTTGCATTCTGGGAAAGACCTTTGCGGCTTGTTTGAAGAACTCATTAGGATCTGATTTGAAGTTGTCAATGTGGAAAAGTTCCTGTGGGTCGTCATAGGTCGAGTCCACGAGGAGATTGTAGATGCCGCTGGTGGATCGGAAATCGGGAACGCCCAGAGATGTCGATATCCCGGCCCCCGTGAGAACGATGATGTTCTTGGAGGATTTGAACAGTGAGACGGCGTGGTCGAGCGTGTAGTACTGGTTCAGTCGTGGTCGGACTTGTGAGATGTTCTTCGATGGAGAGGAAAGGCGACGGGGTGGTAAGGAGGATGCTCGTTCGGCGCTTAATTGATGAATACGGAGCAGTTTTGATGGCGATGGACGAGAAGGCGAGGCGTTGGAATCGGCATCTGCATCACGATAGGGAGCAGGCGAATGTGGCGCTGACGAGGCCATTGTGTGAAACCAAAAGGAATTCGTCTCGAATGCGGAGATTCAAAGTGCTGAATGGACAATGCGAAAGTTGCAATGTTTCTGATCGTAGAACAAGATCTCGAGGGAAATGTTTAAGCTTTGCATTGTTTTGCGTTTAGCGGACAAGGCTGAAAGATCCAAGTCGATATTCTCGTGGTTGAATTCGAACTGAGGCTATCCAAGACACAAAAGTGAGGCAAGCGGGTCGAGCCGCGTCATTTCCGAACGGAGGCCAACCGCCTTCTTCGGAAGAAGATCCAAACTCAATTTTGAAGACTTTGTCGAGTCATGAAGCTGAAGAAGGCGGAGCCCGCATCTTGTCGTCTCCCCTGAACTTGAACTGAGGGCTGTGCTTTTTCAGGAGCCTATAAATGACATCATATTATTTGGGTATGAAAATCACGTGCCACATTTCGACGCGTCTTTTCCTTCAACGCGCTCCTCGACTAGCAGACCATTGGTCGATTCCATCGCCGTAAACACTGGTGTTTGCTAGACCTGTGTTTCTCTCCAGTCTTCAAGATCCCAATTGCATACCCATCGCCATCCGGGAAATGTACGCCATTCCTCCATCACCTTAACACGATGCCATCCGCCCCGCTCTGCATCTCCTCTCAATCGAGAAAGAGGTTCAAGTCGTCTGAATTCGACGAAAAACTGCTTGTGGGAGGAACAGACAAAGAGAATCAAGTTCGGCAGACAGAACAAGCAAACGACGAAGATGAGAACGCACATGTGGGACAGAATGCCTTTTCCGAACGCAATATCCCTCACACACCTGCCGTTCGAATACCCTTCGAAGATCTTATTGCAAACACCGAAGACGCTTTCAACTGCGCACCGCCATTCACCACTCCCAAAGACCATGTTCTCTGGCAAACCAATCCAGCTAGCTCAGGCGCCTCTATAGCGGCTACCGGGACACAAAGAAGCAGGAAACGTGCTCACAGTTCTTCACCGGCATCGTCACAACTGGGGAAGTCTGATCAATTTTCAGCGTACACGGGTGCCTTGAACTTGGATACTTTGAACAAGTCTCTACGCACACCAAACAATGACCCTACTCAAGACCTGTGGAATCGCTACACCGCTGCCAATGTACTGAAAACAGATCAAATTGAGCCCACTTTGCCTGCCTACCTTCATCTCCTTCCTTCATCTCCTCAAACGCCCAGTACGACAAGCAAGGACAGCGCGCATCGGAGAACTCACAGTTGTGGGGTTGAATGGCCGACGTCAAGAGCCAAGCGTCGAAGAATAGAGATGAATCGGGTGCACAGCCGCACGAAAGAGGTGTTTGCTGCCTCACGGAAAGATATCCTTCGTCGAGACTTGTCCAACAATACCCGCGTGGGTCTTCTTCTGGAGAAGATCCAAGAAAGTCTGTCCAAAAAGGTTGGTGCTGATGAAAGTCCGTCAAGCTCCTCGCCGCTTCCGGATCGACACTCTCAGGCATTGATTTCGCCGACACGGCTTCAAAGAGGCGGAAATGAAAAGAATGGTTCGAAGGCAATGGTCCTCCCGGATCAACAACAGACCGTGCCGCAGAAGGTTGGGACCCAACATGATGTCTCTTCGGAGTTCAGTGACGATGGTCTTGACATTGAGGCATTTGAAAGTCTCGAGCAAGCCCTGGCGCAAATGTCGGCGCAAAATCAGCTGGCGGCTGCTCCGGTGAACCACCAGGAAACTTTACAGCCCGCAAGATCTGGTTCTCCGGCCCCCAGCAGTGCTCCTTCCCGTGGTCAAGGCAACCAGTCCAGAAAGCAGACTCAGAGTGTTGTCACGGACAAGCCAGCACCACAAGACTTCGATGATGAATTTGATGATGACGACGATGAAGAATTGATGAACGAAATGATTGACCTTGCTGCACAATATGACTTGCAACCCAAAGTTTCAGGACAAAACCCACCTGCTGTTATGAACGTGACTTCCCAAACCACTATTCATTCTAAGCGTTTGGAAACACTCGATGAGTTTGAGGATGCTTTCGAAGACGATGACGAGTTGTGGGAAGTCATTGCCAATACCATTTCCGCAGAAGTACAGGCGGAGAAAAGGTCGACAAATGACGTATGTTCGGGATAGATGTTTCGTTTTATGAGGCTCGAGCTGATAGATTCGGTAGACCACAATTGACAACAGAGCCATCAAACGATACCTTATTCTCGATGTCCTTGAATGTCAGTACGAGTACAAACCAGGACGTAAACGACCCGAGAAAGTATGATCTCCTTTCCATATCCGATACGAGCTATCTGACCAACTACAGATGCTTTCTGTCAAAGATGAGCGAAGCGGCATGCTCTACATCATACTACTACGAGATTCTTGGTATGATACCAGATGCACCAAGGGATCATATGTGCATATCATTGGCAAATTCGACCATGCTGGTCAATGCATTGTGAATGATGCCGAGAACATGATCATTCTTCACCCTGATCACCTTATCTCCTCAACCGTGGTCGGAGATTCCTTCACTTGCGTGCGCCGTGCTGTCCTTCAAGATAGGGTGAAAGCCACCAGTGCAGCTACACAGCCTCAAGTGTACGGTCATATCTTGCACGAAGTTTTTGGCCAAGCTTTACGAATCAACCAATGGGGCATCGAATCCTTCAGAGAGATCATGGACAAGACCCTTCCAGCTTATACCGAATCCCTTTATGAGATCGGAGTCAGACCAGAAGATGCAGCTGAATATCTCTTGGGCAAAGCACCCGAATTGAAGGCGTGGGCATCTATCTTCATGGGTGATACCCTGTCTTCAGATGCTGTCATCCGCGATCGTAATGGTCTTCTCGTTCCCACAACCATCAACAAACTTCTGGAACTCGAAGAGCATGTCTGGTCACCAATGTATGGCCTCAAAGGCAATATTGACGCGACAGTTCAAGCCCAAATGAAACTACCGAATGAACCCGCAAGCAAAACTTTGCTTGTGCCTTTTGAGTTGAAAACAGGTAAGAAGGATAATATGGAGCAGCATCGTGTGCAAACTGCTCTATACACCCTTCTCCTGTCTGACAGATACGACATCAATGTGACATGCGGCGTTCTCTATTACCTGGAAACCTCCAAAACTTACCGCGTCGAGGGGATCCGCACCGAGCTCCGACATATGATTATTGCGCGAAACGAGTTGGCTTGCTACGTCCACGACAAATTGGCATTGCCACCCATGGTTCAAAAGGAACATCTTTGCAAAAGCTGCTATTCGAAAGCTGCATGCTTCACATACCACAAATTGTCCGAAAATGGGACCGCAGAAACAAGTGGTTTGGGTGAGAAATTCGACGAGTTGGTTGACCACCTCAAACCAATTCACCAAGTTTTCTTCAAAAAATGGGATGATCTACTCACTCAGGAAGAACGTGATACCATGAAATTCCGTCGTGAATTGTGGACCATGTTGAGTTCGGAGCGTGAAGCTGTCGGTCGTTGCTTCTCAGAAGTGGTCATTCAACCTGGATCTGCTTTTGAAAATCCCGAGAGCATCAAAATCAACAGATTCGAATACACTTTTGTCAAGCACAAACCCCGCCCAGGCTTCTCTTTCGCCGAGTCTCAAATCACGATCGGGGAGCCAATTGTGATTTCAGATGAGAAAGGACATTTCAATTTCGCCGCTGGCTTCGTTACCAATGTTCGACCTACCAGAATTGTCGTGGCGGTCGATCGGAGATTACCACATGCACGGAGAAAGTTGGAAGGATTTCATTCTGCCAACAACCAAATTTTCTCGGGTATTGTGGATGATGGCTCATCTGAGAGTCCTGAAAATGAATCACCCATTCTCTATCGAATTGACAAAGATGAATTTGCCAATGGGATGGCAACAGCGCGAAATAATATCATTCGGATGATGGAAAAAAACCTCTGGCAAGCACGAGAACTTCGACAGTTGATTGTTGAGAACAAATCACCCGAATTCAAGGTCACGTCGACGGCCTATACCCTCTCTGGTCCAGCTTCTCAGCAACATTTGAACATCGACCAGCGGAGAGCCATTGAGAAAGTGATGAGTGCCAGGGATTATGCTCTCGTTCTTGGAATGCCTGGCACTGGCAAAACCACCACCATCGCTCACATCATTCGCGCTCTCGTGTCGCAAGGCAAGTCTGTTTTGTTGGCGTCATATACACATACCGCGGTGGACAATATTCTGCTCAAGATCAAAGATGACAACATTCCAACCTTGCGGATTGGTGCCATCAACAAAGTCCATCCCGAAATCCAGTCGTTCGCAGACATCTCAGGAATTCCCAAACGTACAGTCGAAGAACTACATCAGTCGTGGCATGGGAGTAAAGTGGTCGCAACTACCTGCCTTGGAGTCAATCATGGCATTTTTAATGCTCGAACATTCGACTACTGTATCGTCGACGAGGCTTCGCAGATCACACTGCCTATATGCCTTGGTCCGATTCGAATGGCGAAGACTTTTATTCTCGTAGGTGACCACTATCAACTACCGCCGTTGGTTCAAAACAAGGAAGCACTCGAGGGTGGACTAGATGTCAGCCTGTTCAAACTCTTATCTGACACACAACCGGATTCCGTGGTGAATCTTGAACACCAATACCGAATGGCGGAAGACATCATGCTTCTCGTGAAAGAGCTCGTCTACTCTGGTCGCATCAAGTGTGGTAACGAAACTGTCGCCAAACGAATGCTTCAAATCCCAGATCTTGAAGCTGGCCTTTCCGCGCATCATTTCACATCATCTTCTCTACCAAAGTCGAGCAGTCATCCATCTACGATCTGTGTTTCTGATGACTCATGCTGGCTTCAACGCGCACTTTCACCTTCCTCTCGCTGCCTCCTCCTCAACACGGACACCATGACTCCTAGCGGTTCAGGGCGCGAAACAGCCACTGGTGCACGCATCACCAACGCTATTGAATCAAACCTCACTGCGCAGCTCGTCACGACCCTCATCCACTCAGGCGTCCCGACCCGTTCCATCGGCGTTATCACATTCTACCGTTCTCAGCTCGCCTTGCTCAAATCCGACGTCAAGGGGACAGCAGGATCTGTCGCGGCATCGGACGTCGAAATGCACACGGCCGATAAGTACCAAGGGCGAGACAAGGAGGTGGTGATTCTCTCCTGCGTCAGGAGTAATGAGAATAACCACGTCGGAGACCTATTGAAGGACTGGCGACGGGTCAATGTCGCTCTCACGAGGGCACGGAGCAAGTTGTTGATCCTCGGCAGTAAGAGTACTTTGAAGGGCAGCGGCGTGCCCATTCTCCAGGGCTTGGTGAGGATTATGGATCAGAAAGGCTGGGTGCTCGACCTTCCTGGTGGTATTGCTGAGGCGCATTCGTTCGAGAACGTCAGTCAAGTTGCCGGCGCCACGCAGAGGAGTTGCACTACGCCAGGCCCACATCGGTCACAGCGGGATGGTCAGGATATCGTGAGCCCAGAAAGTTCTCTGCGACCAGGGTGGACATTCTCAACGCCGTCGAAATCGGGTTCGAAGAGAAAATACTCTCTTCAGGGCAGGACCGCGAATACTCTTAAGGCCGGCAGTCCGAATAAGAAAGGACCATTCAGAAAACCTGACCGAATCATCAGAGGCAATGCCTTGGCTGGCGGCCTGCAGAGTTTTCTGGACAAGAAGCCTGTGCTAAGGGATGTGGTTAATGATCTTCGAAATCGTGCGGATGGTTTTGATGTTGGGAAGGAGAATGCCAATCCGAATAATAATGGTGGTTTGGATATGGAGGTGGATATGGATGCGGATTTCGGAATATAGGACCTTATCAATGAATGAACGAAAGAACGATACGCATCGGTTTCGGAGTCGATATCGGATCCGTTGCGCCATCGAATAGCATGGGATGGGATGGAAAGCACGGCAATGCCAACTTCTGGACCTGAAAGAGAAGATAAGTACCAGAAGCTTAGCGGCTTTTGTGTGAGAGCTCTGACCATGGCTAGGATGATGCCTGTAGGTGTATAGGAGATAAACGAAACAAGCTATGGTCTCAGAAGTTTCGTGCGTTCTGCTCTGGCCTGACTCTCGAAATTTGGAACCAACTTTTCGTAAATCAAAGTGTAAGCACCTGTTGTATCTATATGTCTTACGGTTTTCTGTTCAAGTGGTGTCTATCGAGTCTGCGTAGGGGGGGGGGGGCGAAGATGGAAATCAGAAGAATATAACTAAAAGGGGGAAGAAGGTTGTCATCAACCGTAACAGTAAGAGCACAATTCAATTGTTCTCAGACTCTTTGTCTTGCCTCACCTCATACCCTGCTGTTCGAAGATTGGGGACATAAGGTGACCTTTCTGTAGTGCGGAGTGGATGTTGTCGATGGCCCATTCTTCCATTTTTTCCTGCAAACAAGAGCATTGCGTTAGTTAACTTGTTCGTTTCAAATGTAATGAATATGCGTTCGAGTCTTTGGTGTGATTGAAGAGGGAAAAGGACTACAAGTAAGCAAGCGATAAGGGCGAATTGAAATGAGAGGCTCCGGAAGTACCGAAGGGGCGTACCTGTGTCTCTCGTGTCCATGTCCCCATGTGCGGTAGAAGGATCACTTTATTATTCTCCACCAGACCAGGGTGGATCTTTGGTTCTTCCTCGTAGACATCCAGACCGGCACCGGCGATGAGACCTCTATCCAGTGCGTCGACCAGAGCTGCTTCGTCCATGACGGCCCCACGTGCCGTGTTTACGATGATCGCACTGGGTTTCATGAGCTTAAACTGCTCGGTCGAAATGATATGTCGTGTCTTCGGGCTAAGTGGTAGATTGAGACTTAGCACGTCGCTGCGTTTCAAGAGTTCTTCGAACGAGACGTATTCCGCGCCATCAGCGAGTTTCGGGTCGAGTTGACGGCGATTATGGTAGATGGTCGTCATGCCGAAGGCCTCGGCCTTCTTTTTCATGTTGCGGCCTATGCCGCCCATGCCGAGAATTCCGAGGATTTTGCCCTGAGGGTCGTGGCCGAGGGCTGGAGGTGGATTGCCACGCCAGTCGCCTTTGCGAAGAGCAGACATGCTGGTGTTGAAGTTTCGTAATGCCCCGAGCATGAGGAAGATGCCGGTGTCCGCTGTGGCGTCGTCAACGGCGGTGGGGACATTGGAGACCAGTAAAGGAGGATCACGTGCGGAGCATGCCTCGGGATCAATTTGATCGTAGCCGGCGCCGCAGTGGGCGAGGTATTTCCAGGACTTGGGTAGGGCATTGCATAGATCTGAGTCAAAGAAGCCAGTTATGCTGACGGATGGGAAGGTCCGGTATGCTGCGACCACGCCGTCGAGTTTGCCGTCCCGACATTCTTTGATGAAGTCTGCTCGGTTTGTGGATTGGGGAGTTGTGAGTTCGCCGAGTTCGCTTAGGGATTTCCATCGTTCGTGGGCGCTGGATATCGATTTGATTAGATGAGGCTAGGTTTATGGGTGACAAGGACAGTAACACTTACTGATCGATGTTTCCAAGGAGGAGAATCTTGGGTTTCGCAGTCATCTTGACGGACTACGTCTGAGATGTTGGACAAATAGGATTTCAGATTTGAGTGTCTTCTAAGGATGTAATCTTTGGCTTGCTCGATATCAGTCCCTGGATTCCAAATGGCCCAGGGACAAGGAGGTTGTCGGCTTATTCGAATAGGGAAATTGTAATTCCACCAAGGATGCGCCTTAGCCAATCGCTGTATCTTTTCTAGTCAGCGAGGTTGTATTTCGGAAGAGAAGACTTCAGGGCGCAAGAGAATGTGAGAGAGGAACGTGTATGGATTGAGAATGGTCTAGGATTTCCCCACGATTGGAACTATAAGGAAACAGATTGCCGGCGCACTTCGTTCCGACGCTCTTCGCCTGTGGGCGGATGGATAAGAGTTCAATAGCCGATGCTTCATTGGTTGGACCGATAGAGGAAAGAAACGTAGCTGAGTCAAATTATTCCCTAGCCAATATGGATGACAAACACGCCCCTCTGTTGTGATAACGTCGTTTGGGAGAAATGCATAACACGGCCAAAACAGAGAAGCTAAGTCCCCAAAAAGCGCGATCACGTGTACAAATCACGTGTAAATGTCGGTCACGTGACAGAAACTAACCGAATACGGCTGTTCATATCGAAAAGGAACCGCCCGAAAAATTTTCCACAATGCAGGTTTGAACCCAGTTTGCAAGAAATGAACCAACATCTAGTGCTGTTTTTCCCCGTGGTAGTTATTCGGAATCTGTCACCATCCATCTAAAGTTCACTTTCCCTCGCTGCTTAGGCGTGCGCTATACCTACGATAGGGAATCGAAGACTTTATCTGAAATGACGATGGGAATTCGGCGGGATTGAAATGTAGCCTCGCGTGCTGAACTTTGAGTAAGTGGTGGAATAGAAGACCAGAGGGCAGGGAGGCATTCTACGATTTTGAGTTGGGGGGGAATCTCGACCTCTGATCATCCTCGTACCTACGCTTTGGTCTGAGGTTCGCATTCCTCGCTCCACTCTTCCAAGCCGGCCACGGCAATTATAAGCGCATCTTCTCCTTCAGGAGAAGTCGAATTAAAGTCAGCTCCGTGATGCGGGAGGATTTCCACCGTATCAGGTTGACAATTCCGAGCTACTGCAAAAGAGCAATATTTTCTTCGGTCCCAGTCGTTCACTTCATACAAGAGCATATCCACGATATCTTGAGAATCTTCGGCAATAGCTACCACTAATGCTTCCACGTGCCCTATGTCTCGGATATTCATGTCTGTTCCCCCCGTCCAATAAGGTTTGCACGACATCGGCATGACCCCGTGAGGTCGCTGCATACACGGGGTTGCCGCAGACGATGGCCAAGAATTTTCACAAGAGCTTTCTTCCCTCTCACTATCAATATTAACATCGGCCCCCGATGCGACCAAGAATCTACTCCAAGGTCGCCATCGGAGCAGCCAGAGATGAAGACGGTACGAGGCATGGTTTGTTCTGGAGGCAAGTTCACTTTGCAGAAGATATATCACGACGTTGCAATGGATGTCGAATAAGTCAAGCTGTTGTAATGCCTTGGGGTCGAAGGAAATATTTCAGCTGGGATGTAAGTATTTTTAGCGCACGGATGAATGGTGGTTCCTAGTCAAATCTTGTCGTGCGAATTTGGCAGCGTTCACGAGAGAGACTATGATAACGCACCCGTCAGCTGAAGAAAAGGCTGGTTTAGGGCCTCGGATGGCTTTTCTCCCAGCTCCCAAACATTCTTGAAGGACAGAAGGTATTCCACAACGATCATGTGAAGAATATGGAAGCCTCGGCAAATGGACTGGTCCGAAACTGTGTACCCAACTGCATCACGCATCGATGGCTATAGATGTTGAGATGAGTAATCGTTACACATTGACCAGCTCACCAGGTACGTCCTTTCCTCTCCAGAAGATGAACGGACTCAGAAGGTATTTCATAAGCTGCGACATCGACCTTGATCATTCACCGTCTCCCCGGGGGAGGGGCCATCTCTACGACCTGCTCATTCTGCGATGAGACGCTCATGGAAAAGATTTTGTTTTGCAGACGTTTCGGTGAACCTGTCTCGAAGTGCTCATGCACTCTACGCGAAGCTTTACCACCTTACCCACTGGATGTTCCTATCATGACCTCAAAGAGCAGGTCAGATGTGTTGCCCTCTCGCAGCTTGAGCACCAGTTTTTGAAGCAGCAAGGGTGGGAGCTGTGTTAAAGTTTCGATAGGGTAGGCCAATATGAATCTCCCTCTTCCACAGCTGTCTATGGAACGCATCTTTCCTAACAGGACTTGGAATATAGTAGCATGTTCTAGGGAGCCAAAGTCTCGACTCCTGGTTCGACCTAAGCAAGTTCATTGTTGGATGCTCTCCAAATATGTATGGAACAATATGGATCATCGATCTAGCCCATGATACACGAACATGACGCGGACGATGACGTCGTCAACCCAGGGCTGAGGTTGATCATGTCCAAGCAGGACCACAGGCTCTCTCCGTGTTGGGTCCGGCCTGTGCCAGGAGCTCTTTGACCATACCAACTTCAAACACGGACGCCAAAAGGGTAGTTTATGGTGCTCTTTCTGTTGCAAATGGTATTGCTGTGCTGGAATGTTTGTGCACTGCAGGTAATATGTACCATGACACCAAGAGCGACAAACAGGTACAACAAGGTTACCAGTATCCCATCCTCCCCGTGAGTTCAAGGCTGAGACGCTCTGTGTCTCTGAACTTGACCGATACCTAAAGTACTGGCTTGATTTGGAGGATATTTCTGACCTCGTACGTTGCTGTACAGTATGTATCAGGGTTCAAAATCGTCTTCATGAGAAACATTGGTCGCAGCTGACATAATGGAGACTCTCCGTTCGCTTAGTTGCATGTACTCATCATCTTTGTGCTGGATGAAGTGGTTACCAAGACCAGCTGTTCGATCGTGGAAGCTGTGGGATTCGTCAGGGTCCGATTGGCGTTTCCTGCGAGGAGGCAGAACGAGGAAATTTTGTCTTCAAAAGGATTGTCGTATGCGAATCATGAATAGAGGCGCACCCCAGAGTTTTGCAGACATGACGACCTCTCACTAGTCAGGCAGACTCGAACAGCCTTCCAATGAGAAACGGTCCTCCCATCTCTCCATCTATTGTATGTCAGCAATGCTCTCCGCACCCTTTAATAAGGGAAGATTTCCTTGAGTCTGCCCGCAAGTCATGATCTCTGATCTGATGTGCTTCTCTTCTTGCTCTTATCACTCAGCCCATAGCCCTGAAATTTATCAGGAAAAGTCCTTCCGAATCAGCTTTTCCGGTTGGCTCTAAGTGAATATGCGTTCCCCAGATCGCTTTTCCTGGTAGACGGATTCCAGAGTCATTAGCAAGCATCCGAAGTCATCCTCGGACTTACAGCTCCAGCCTTGTCTAGGTATGAACTACGGCTAGCCAACTTCTCTGACCAAGGATGAAATTAAAACCCGGTCGGACGTTTCGTTTGAGCAGCCGAGACTTTGATGAAAGCAGGAGCTGATGGAGTTATCGCGCATCATGCTCTTTGGTAGTCTCATGTTGAAGATGATGGCAATCACAGTAGACAAATATCTCTCTCTGTACAGCTGCATGTCTCCCACGGATACATTACTACACAAATTTTTTCACCCAGTATCAACAAGAGGACCGATGAGGTTTGGATTATCCCCGCCGAGTGGCTTCTCTCAATCTCCAGTTCCCTTCATCGGGGGCCAAATGGCTCACAATTTCATGTGCGATAGTACGGTGGCTATCTAGAAATCACGCTCGATTCCCTTTGGAATGGCTGCGGGATACTGCGCCTGCCGCAAATATGGTCTGGGACTGAATTGGAAATGCCTACAGGGTTCCCACACTGATTTGCCGCCTCCACAAGAGAAATTGAGGCTGGATCAATGAATCAGGATGAGTCCTGAACGAGCTAGTAGCTGAGATGGTCAAAAAGAAAATGGGTGAATACCATCGAAGCCGTGCACAGGAAATTGGGTTGACCCTGACCTTGCTCAATCATAAATGAAAATGTTGGCGCTCGGATCTTGCCATATCCCGCCCCTGGGGCTCCACAGCCTTGCTACTCTGACGGAGGTCACGCCTTCGTATAGCTCCTTCATCTGTCATCAAAACAATCATTTTGACGATAGCAGGAACCTCACGAGGTCAGACAACGTAGACGGTGAGCCTTGCAGTCATTCGTGAATTATCTCATAATCATGTAGATCTATTGGGGTGGTCCTTTTAACTGGATGCCCTGGTCTTCCGAATTCGATCACTCAGCTCCTTCGTTATCCCCGCGTAATCTTTGGGCGAATACCGATGAAACAATTCTTGCCAAACACCGCGCTTTCTGAAATTGTCTATCCCAACATCGCGCAATAACAAATCAGTGTACAAGAGCCCGTCAAAGAGCAGATCGGGGCATCTCTCTCCAGCACCGCCACCGGCTGGCGGATGTCTCAGTCGACAATACTCGCTGTGGAGGACTGTCTGGTATTGAATGGCTGAATAATTGATTGTCGAAGGGTCCAAGTGAGGAATTTCGTTTTGAAAGAATGCAGTGATCCACAATGCTTGCGCTTGTGCAACCGTGATGGCATTCAGGGCAAGGTGAGCGCCAATGAATGCTAGATTGCGTTGCTCGAGGAAAGTCCTTGCGGAGGGAATCATGAAGCGGTATAAACGGATTGGCGTGCTTGTATTGGTCGCCCTTACAGTCGATGAATCGATAGATGTTGATCCCGGTGGCAGAACTTTTGCTGGGCCTGAGCGGAGTTCTGGTACAGCTCTGAATATCTCTTCATCCGCCCTCTGAATAAGAGTATCGTTATCTGCCGGGACGGTGCCTGGGAATCCTAACTGCGCAGCCAACCTCTCCGGAAAGAATTTGATCGCAGGAACCACTTTCCAACCGGTGCAACAAACGAGAGTGTCGGCATTCACAATTTCGCTGTTCGAGAGAGCAACCTTATTTCCTGACAGAGACGTAATATCAGCGACATGAACACTTATTTTTCCTTGCTTGACCAATTCGAACCAGTTTTCTTCATAGTTATGAATGCCCAGAGAGTTGGCCATCCAAAACATCGAGCTCCACGGCTTCAGTTTCTCCAATTCACGATGGCTGCTGTAGCGATTTGCGCTATGCACAGGATAGGCAAGGGCTTTCCAGAATAAAGACACGATTTTCCGACCAAGCCAAGTCCCATGCAAGAGTCTCCGAGCCCAGTTGAACCCAGAGCCTTCCGCCCAGATGCAGGGTTCAAAGAGAGTGAAGAACCTGGTGTTCGCAAGTCTCTGAATAGAGAGCTTGATGGGCGAGAACACGGCAGGCCACACCCAGCTTGGGCCCCCGCCACCCGGTCTGATAACCATATTGACGTGTGCACCCGAAGTTGCAGCAAAGTAGCAGACGTCCCAGGCACTTTTATTAGCGCCCACCACAACCACTTCCCTCGACGTCCTAATGTCATGCTCGTGATCTTTCAGGTTGCGGGAATGGAGGAAATTGCCCGCGAAGCTTTCCCGTCCCACATAGTTTGGGATGAATGGTTCGGAGGTCAGTCCAGTGGCAATTACGACCTTTTTGGCCATCACGCTAGGGATCTGACGATTTTGGGCTCCAGCCGTGCACAGACGAAGGAGCCATTCTCCGCTTTCTTGCAACTCCGCAGCGTCGACTTTCGTCTGAAGTCGTATGCGCGATAAAAGATTGAATTTTGCGGCGATCTGGTACAGATAGTCATGCACCACGTTGCCAGGAATATGCTGCATCGGTTCAAGCCCGTACTTCTCGGGCGTCATTGGAAAATCGCCAAACTCGTACGAACCGAATATATTGTTAGTTTTGAGCCCGGGGTATAACCGTTCTTGGGCCCAGGTCCCGCCGATGGAATTGGAGGAGTCCAAGATGAGCATGCTGGATTCGGGACAGATTTCAGAGTATGTTTTCGCCATTGCCAGGCCGTGCCACCCTGCGCGCATCGTTAGATGGGTCCAGTGAGAAACCATAGAATCATCTCACCGGCTCCAACGAGGACCAGATCAAACGTCTCCATGATGGCTAGGTGCTAGCGTTCAAGAAACTGAACAGAATCGGCTGTGAGGTGTCTCCATGAATCACGTTCGATGTACGACTGCAGATCCTATATGTCACCAAAGTGAGATTACTTCGCAGCATGTTTTGGAGTGACTATTAGAAAACCATCTGAGCGCTGAAGCAGCTCAGCATCCGCATGATGACAATTGCTTTACTTGCGGCAACCAGAAGAGGGCGGGAATACCTTCCGCCAGAATATCTACTCTGATAAGTAATGTACGAGCATGATCACGGTCAACGTCAACTCACTTTGCTCAGGCCTGGACCAGCAACTGAATGATAGATTTTAAGCTCGTCACCTCGTCGCATCCGTACGATGTCACAATGGTCTTTCAGGGTTGAAGACTTTGACTGTATCATCATAATAACCCGGCTTCACAGTAGGCGCGGGGTGCCTGGATGTCTCTCACTCTCACTGGGCTCTAACTCGATGCGGTATCACGTCCCACGGGCAAAAGCTCTCCCAACTCCCGCGCTGGTGTATGTGAGTACAAAGTCGGCAACGAGTCTCGGCTCGTGGGGATGGGACGGCACCAGAGCGGAAATGTCCTGCCAAAGGGACTATCTCGACGACTCTCCACTATTCATCGCAGTGTCTACGCCGTACGTAAGCATAAATAAAACGCCACTGCGGACTCGGTGCTATTCTATAGGGGATACTTCCCTCTGCGAGACAAAGCCAGAAGAGACATATTGGCTACTTCCTACTGTATGAAACAGTTACCCTCCCCGCCTCAGTCGTTCGGGTGACATTCAGCTTGATATCCGGACGCTACCTGAAGAAGATTAAAAGCCTTCCTCGAAGGAAGAGACTTTTGTATTGTGCCATCTGTTTGGTTTCAAGGCTCGACAAGACTATGGCGAACGCGCCAGTCCTCGATCTAGAAGCATATCCCACAGCCAAGGAATTCGTGTCCAGATGCTATGAATTCTTCCGTGAGGTCAAGAACTTGTACGCATCTGTCCCTTCCCATTCCTTCAAACAGATGCATTTGTGACGCTGTGTCCCCTTCCTTTCTCTAACTGCAATTCATCATTGACATGTTCCCCTCGCAGAACACCGGGCAAAGAGCTCGAGGCTCGGCTGAACCGAGACTACGGCCCTGGCAACGCCTACTACGAAGATTTCTGTCGGTACATGAAAGCCGGGCTGGCGGAAGGATGGGTCGCGCAGACGGAGCTTGATGGGCCCAAGTACCGCCGTGGACGCATCGCCGCACCCTGCGAAGAGAGCAACTACATCTCCATCACCACCGTGTACATGAACTCGGTGGAGGAGTACCGCGGCCAATACCACCAGCATCCGTACGGGGAGATCAATTGTGTCGTGCTGCTGGACGAGGGGGCCGAGCTGAAAGGTATGCAAGGCTGGCAAGGCGCAGGTTGGACGAGTCCAGGCCCAGGGACGCATCATTACCCTGAAGTCAGGGGTGGGGCGTTGGTTGCGCTGTTCTTCTTGCCCGCGGGGAGGATCAGTTATGACGCCACGCCGGATATGCCTCAACCTCTGTCGGTTTAGGATTTCACGGTCCGCCAAGAAGGATGAAGTGTGTGGATAGCATCCCCCATAAGCCTCTCAAAACAACATTAGAGCTGGCCCTGCTCTTTTCCTCTTCCGGCAATCCTTCTACATACACTTTGAACCAATGGATCACCCATCCCTGGGCCGTAAATATTAGGGACAAAGAATCGTTCCAAGATCTTTTCGTCACCTGACACTCGATCTGGTCAGTACAAAACATATGCATGGAAGTCTGAGGCCAAACTAGCATGAAATTCAACGTGGATATCGGCCACTGTCAATGTAGAGATGATCGCCGGCAACAACAGCCGCCTCAAGTCGGAAAAGATCGGGTTCAACGAATTTTTGGTCGTACCTGAATGTTCCCAGGCCATTCAGTAATATTCCAATATGTTCCGAAGAATGGATAGTAGTCGAAACTGTTTGCGGCCTGCACTACAAGCGTTAAATCAAAAAGCTGGCTCCGTATTGCAATCATATTGTGTATAATTGTGTGTAGAAAGGCAGAAATTGAGTGTGTATGAACGTCTGCGCTTGGGAATACGTACTCTGTTCAATTAAGCACTATTGGAGTCGTAACCAGCCGGGTGAACAAAGCTCCTATCTCCAGTGAAGGTCGGCCTCGAGGAAGGCTGAATTGTGAATCCCACGCCATCAGACGGCGATGCTGGCAAAAGGGCCGAGATGGGATAAAATAAGCCTTACGGTGGGCACACACGTGCAGTGGGTACAGGAAGGATGCTCTGCGTCATGTCAAACTTTCTGATATATCGGGGGCTGAATTGTGGGTAAGGTATGGAAACCTGGGCTGTTAATAATTTGAATTGAGCATATCAGAAAGCAGAAGAGATGGAAATCATGCGCAAGCACATGGACGACCGTATTGAGCTTGTCAATGGACACTCATCCGATCTCGCCGGTACCGCTTTGTGCTCCATTCACGCCTTCTGTTTTTCCTCAGATGTTGTAATTCGTGGTTAAGCGAGATAGGAAAGCTTCGAGATAAGAACGGCCTCAAGCAAGTCCATTTCTCGCAAAGGAAAAGTATCTGCTAAAGTAGTTTTGTTCCCTGAGCAGCTAATCATTCTTTGAGTAATGACGCATTCCCAACCTTGTGACGGCAATGATGTGCGAGATACGGTTTTCACATCGTTGAGAAGTCTCCACGGACAAGAGCATGCGGACTACCATGAGAAGGACAATGGTATTCATTCCTTGACCCGGATTTCGGACAACCTGATGGGAGACACGGCGAGAAAGACTGAAATCTATTGAAGACGTTTGGATTTGGGGGAAAAAACCTTTCCAAGAAGATACTCATAAAGTCCTCAAATATCGATCGCGAGCAATCAGTAGCAATATGAAGAAGTTGAAATGCGATGATAATAATAAGGGTAACTTCGAAAAGCAACATGTATTACGTTAGACGGAAGCGGATTAATATGCCTCTATGTTTCTCCGTGGCCAAGCTTTGATACGGAAAGCGGGCTCAATCGAAGCTCGACTCGACCAATTTGAGCAGCCGTTGTGGTTTGAGCAGATTCACCATCACTAACAGCCCTACTTCTATCTTTCCATTCCCTGTGACGACCCTTGTGTCATCGTGAGATTATTTAGAGGGATAGAACACCCTTTCAGTGCGGCCAACATGGCCACCAAACCAATCAAAGATGTCGTCTCGGTCGCAAAGGTACACTCAATTCCTGGAAAACTGTTCAAGCTTTTACTCATGTTTGTAGAAACACACTCAGCAAAGCGTTGGAATCTTCGAAATCATCCGCAAATTCTTCGCCGTCGACCCTAACCGAAGTAACGGTGTCCCAGTAAAACACTTCAGAAATCCACCTCCTGGTGGCCTCGATCCCAAGTCATACGATGAAGCAGTAACCGTTCCGGCTGCCGACATTGCGGATAATCCATATTGGAAAAGAGACATGCGGAGAAGCTACCCGAAACTGAGCACCGTAACGCAGGGCGATGCCGTGAGCTTGTTGACTGTGGGAAGTGCTGCAAACCCCAGCCCAAAGTTACTGGCCGGGGAAGAGGGGACAAAACAATTAATTGCTGTGAAACAAGAGGGTGAGAAAGGACTGGCGGCATACTTTGAATCGGAGAAAGGGACAGCAGTGCTTGGGGAGAATGGTCTGCCTCCCATGCCAGTGGCTTTCGGGAAGAAACCAGAGGTGACATATGAAGTAGGACCAACGAGTTATGGAGAAGAGTATGTATCTCGTCCTCGGCTTAGAAGGCTTTGCTGACCAAATTTGCAGTTATCCCTGCCGAAGCTTTGTCTAGTTTCTATCCATGACACGGGCGATTGTACATAGTTCTCGGCCCTCTAAACACATGATCAAAAGGAAATGCATCACATCAGTTCATGGCAGCTCTTCGTTCCGCCTCAATTGCTGCTTGTTCTTGTTCGAGGATTTCTCGTTGACGCGCCGCTTCTTCTCCAATCGCTTTTTCGCCTTTCCTTTTTTGGCGCTCTTCAAAGGCCTGTCGGCCTTTCATGATCCGCATCACGATCTCTCCGGCGTTGACATGTGAGTAGGGGTGGCTTTCGATTTCGCGAAGGATCCCCATCTCCTTTGCGTCTGCGTACGGGTCATACGTCGAAGGCATAAACGCAGTTGGTCCATGGTACACGGCGGCTATTTTTCCCACGGGCATGGCTTCCAAATATGGTTTGGATGGTGAAAACGGGGCCCCGAGCACCACCGCGTGGATATATCGACATTGCAACACGCAGAGTCCGCGCTCGAAGATGTTCATGATGGGATAATTTAATCCTTTCCAATGGTTGATGACGTCGTCGTTGTGAACTCCTACCGCGACATATGCCTCATTCTTTTCTGCCTGATTGACTCGCTTGAGAAATTCGATGTGTCCCGACGAGAATAGATCAAACCCACCATCAACGTATACGATACGTTGACCGGGCTTAGGACCAACTCCAGATACTAATTTTCCAAACGATCCTGCATCAGCTCTTTGGTCCCCTGGTTTGGCCAATTGACCCCCAGCCCAGGTCCAGACTTCGACGCCTGGTTTGAGAGCAGTCTCATCGGTGGCATAGTCTTTGATTCTTTGAAGCATTTCAGCCCCGGCCGTCACGCGCGCCGGATCAGGTTTTCCATCCATTCTACCATAGAGCACCTCTGTCAATGACTTGATGAAATGCGTCTTCGTGCACAGAAGCATCCGACCGACGAGATCAGTGGTAGATATTCCTGGAGTTCTCTTGACCACCAGGAACCGTCCAGCAGCCTTGACAAAGCGATAGCAGTCTTCACCGCCGGCATCAGAGGTGATATCGTCTCCGTGGACCACATACCAGCATCCGTAATGGGATATCCAGGGCAAGGCTGTCACGTACGGCGCGTATGGTACAGATTTGGTGCACCATCGACAAGCATCAACAGCAGCAACTCTTCCAGAATCAGTGCATGGCTGCAAGCAACAGGTTATTGGACCGACACACCGCTCATCCAGCCTCATGACAGTGGGACCCTTGTTCTCCAAGATATCTTCATCTGAATGGAGACCAACGTACAGTTCTGTTCCCAGTTGACGGGCTTGTCGCAAAGCACCGGCATGGCCTAGACAGATAAGTTAGAGAGACCGACCGGTGGTTATGTGAAGGATCCTACCGTGATGTGCAAAATCAAAGCATCCGTCAACCCAGATGCGGTCTTTACGTATTTCTTGATCTTCTTGCGGATCGACTGGCCAGTGGCCAGGTTCGGGCACATCCACATCCATTGTGGCCAGCTTCGGAGGGTGGTATTTTGAATGATACCGGATCTGAAGACGAATTCGAGGCGGGGAGGGAACACCCCCCGCTTCTGATCGATGTCTCGCGCCGACAAGCCAACGTGGGCAGGGTTGGGAGAAGAGACTACTGGGCGATTTCTTTGTTTGATCAGCGGCAATGAACGGCAAAAAAAAATGCCCCTCCATGGCGGTGGCCCCCTGAACAGATGGCGTTGTTTGACAAAACCATGTCCGTAACCCAGCGCTTGCGCCCTGAGCCTGCGCCCATTCACTAGTCACGGCTTCTACTCCATACGGGCGTCTGCAGGTACACGATTCGATATCCATCTCTCGCTCCCTTTCTTTCGATGCCATGGCTCCTCTGTAACAGACTTCGTCAACCCACACACACTCACACTCACACTATCACTCCGTGGCCCCAAACCCATCTAGGCGCAGTCCGATTCGGCCATCTCCATCAGGTCGTACAGAAGCAATTCTCTTTTGGTAGTATGACAGAGCCCAACCAGCAGAATGGCTCTATCAGCTCTACCAACTCAGGAGGAACAGCAGGAGGCTTTCTCTCCAAAATCACCAGATCTCCTTCTCGCCGCCATAAACCTCTAGGATCCAACGACTCCATTGATGCGACCCTTTCTGCTGCTGCAGGCTCACCACCACCCCGTCCTCGACCTGGTAGAATCGGGTACCAGAGAACCACCACCGCCCCCGCGGCCCCTGTCACGTTAAACGCCATCAAGGCCGACCTTGTCGCACGAACCAATAGCGATATTAGTGGCCTCACGACCGCTGACAATATGATCCCGCTTCCTTCACATCTCCTCTCCGATAAACCCAATGCACGAACGCCGCTCCACAAAGTTCCCAGTAACGGAGGTGGAGGGACCAGCAATCAGAAGACAGCTAACAACAGTACTTCTGCTGTGCCTGCGGATATGGATGTGCCATCTGCCCTAGCCCTCAATGGAATGTTGTTGAGTACTTCGGGGCCGGCAATATCCAACAGCGCCAGCACGGCCACTCTCTACGCACACATACAAGAGATGACAAACAAAAGAATAGCTACGCTGGACTATTTGCGTAAAGCACACGAAGGACGGTCTTTCTGGTTCAACACTGTCCAATTCAACGAGACGGACATTGGCAAATTGCCCTCTTATACTCCCAACCGACTCTCGCGACGGGCTGTAAACTATATGCTCCTGGGCATGTCATTACCCACCATCCTGGATGTTCATCCTCAATCCCATGCTCAAAGTACAGCTACGTCCAGCGCAGCCGTGGCTCAAGATTATTTAAAAAGTTTAAACACCCTTCTCTCCGAGTTTGAATCGTTTCAACAGCTGCATCCTCCAGATGGAAGTTCGGCAAGTTCACTGAGTCGAGCCCGGATACCTCAGATGTTCAAGAGAGCAGCCACAACGTCCCGACCCCGAAAGTCAAGTGGTCCAGTTGCAGAAATTGGACTTCCCATGTTTCCGCATACATCATCACCGCCCAATCTACCTGAGACTGGACATCATGGCTCTCAACCATCCATAGATACCACGACTAGTGGTAGTACGCTTGCTTCATCGGCACCTACCCTAGTGACACCGTCTCCGTCGGCTCCTTTACAAACTGCCAACTTTCCCAGCGCATCAGCTTTCCCCCCTCCGGCACCATTTGATGCGCCAAACTCGACCTTGTTGCCGAATGAGGGCCCGTACACTCATCTCCAAACTCCACCCTTGCCTTTCACACCCGACTTTTTCACCGTGTTTGCTACTCTGTGCGACGTGTTGATAGACACATATCAAAGATTATTGCAAATATTGACGGGTCCACCCGCGTGTACTCCGGTGATAAGTGATCTATTCACCAAAGTGGACGGACGAATACGGAAAGTGATGATATCGGCGATAGTACGAGAGTTTGAAAATGCGTCACGAGAAACTGTCAAGAGGGAGATGCTGGGCGTGCAGAAGGCTGTCCTGGGAGGACTAATGGCATGACGGCTGACATTTCTTTTGATTGTACATTATTTCGGGATAGTCAGGCATTGGAATACCTTATGACGGGACGGGGTCTGTGATGATTGATAGAGAGAAGTCGTGGGTTTTCAAGATATGGGGACTGAAAGACGAAGGCGCCGAGAAAGGCTGTGACATGACAGTTGATAGCAATCTAGTAATCTGACCTGACCTGACCAGATCCAGCTTTTGAGATAGACTTGTAAGGCTGATTATCAGTTCCTGTTGATCAACTTGATCTTCGCAATATGCTTCCCCCCTCTTTCAAAACCCCTTCTTCCTCTTTTTGGTTCTTGTTTCGGTTTCACAATCTCTCGCGATACACAATGCCATGCCATGAGCATCAAAAATGTGTCACGAGAATATCTGCCCGTCTATTTGCCTCGCTTGGGAAATTGCTTTGATCACATCGTCAGCCGTTAGCCCATGTGGGGGAAGCTTGTCTTTTTGTTTGCAGATCTGTTGATCTCTAACTGGGCAAGTCCCCAACCTAGGTTTTGACGCTAGACCCCAAATTTCCACGGGGCCGGAAAACAAGACACGAGAATTCAGTGTCTGATGCCTGTGAAATCCTCTTTTCTCGTGTTCGCTCCCCCACCATCTCTCCATCCTCGGTTATAACTCGTTACACGGCAAAGAGCACCCCCTGTACCATCAGATCACTCTCAGGGACTAGGCCTCGAGCCTACTGACGGCCTTGGCCCTAGTCGCCCGTTTTCCCGAATTTCTTTCACGGTTTTACCCTACTCCTTCCCCAGACTCAAATGTGACAAATGGCCCGTAGGCCGTACCTGGCTACTCTTTGCTTCCCTTGGCTAGACATCAAATCTTACTTCATTTCCTTTAATTCTCTGGTCTTCCTTCCTTTCTGTCCTCCCTTTCCCTGCACGCGTGCCGCTCGAATGGAAACATCACTCGTTGTGACGGTTTATTTAGCCTGATTGATCCATAGCAACGAGCCTCGTCAGCCTCCTTTCTCACGAATTTCCTAGTTGTATATCTCCAGAATTCTATCAGCAGAATGTCTGGAATGCGCCGTGGACAAGCACTGGGTCTCGCCATTGGAATCGTCCTCATCTATTTCCTCTTCATTTCCAGATCCGACACCACCGACTTCCGCAAGACCACCGAAGCGTCCCTATCACGCCGCCGGGGTATCTTAAGAGGCGATCTCTCTGATGAAGATTTGACTGCTCAAACGAACCATGAACTCCAAATGATTCTCGATAAGCAGAAAGAAATGTTCGACGCATCCCCACTTCATGGTGGCGACTACAAGAATGCCCCATACAGCTTGCGCATTAGCTTTGATGACGGCGATGACGAAGTCAGTGCCGCGGGCAGGAAAAGCATACCGAAAGAGAAGCCGAGGTACCCTGTTGATAACAGTGCGATCGACAACCTGAACGGCAAGGGCGAAGAAGTCGCATTCAATGGGAATAAAGTGGAAAAAGCAAAGGATGAGGGAGAAGATCTGGCCAGGGAGGAATTACAGGGTATTTTAAGGAAAAGCCCGAGTACGTTTTTCCCATTGTCCTTCTTGAACGTGATCATGGTATTAACGGAATTTCTGCAGTCATCATTTTCTCCAAGTCCTATTGTCCCTATTCCAAACGGGCCAAAGCCTTACTTCTCGAGACCTATGTGATCACACCAGCCCCATATGTTGTCGAACTCGATCTGATGACTACACTCGTTCCCAAAGCTCACGACGATGATTCTGGAGATGATGTCCCGGCACCGACTCTAGGTCGCAAGCTCCAAGATCTCCTCAACACGCTGACAGGGCGGAGAACGGTGCCTAATATCATGATCAATTCTCAAAGTCTGGGCGGGAGTGACGATATCGCGAAAATGCATTCGGAAGGTATTCTGGAAGAGGTGATTAAGAAGTCAGGCGGGAACAGAATCGTAAGCGTGGTAAAGAAGCACAAAGAGGAGGGTTAAATTCGCGGTCGCTGTTGAATACCACAACATCTCTCCCATTGAGCGGATGAAATGAAGCAATCCGACTCAGCGACGAAGAACCCCCCATTGGAGAAGAAGTCATGAATGTGGTGCAAAATGCTCAATTGTGGGAAACAACACAGCCACGTTTCGAGAGCACAGTCAAACCAGCATTTCGGAAGGCCGCTAAAGACCTACCGTGCTACATTCGTGACTGGAACGTCGGATTCGCTGTCGAAAGTTGTCCATCAGCTCACTTCCATCGCCTCAGTCTCTGAGCTTTCGTGAACTACGTCCAAAACTTGAGCTAGCTCGAGTCGTATTGACTCGCTGCGTGAAGGACAAGTTGACAATCGGAAGCCGAATTTCACATAATCTGGAGCATCAATTCTCGGTACACGTGCACTGCGAAATATCACAACGAACTCAAGGCTGTGTTCTATTCGATCCATCTGGACAGCAATGAATCCGTCAATGAATGCATCTCCGAGTCTGGACCTGGATCATTCACCAGCTCTACCCCAAAACCAAATAAAACAGCGGCCATTCATCAAGCACCAATTTCGACCGATTTGAAGTCTTCCTCCTTCCCAGCGCCCGCAGCGTCCCGGTGCACTTTAGCTCATCCCATCCGTTAAGACCCGCCATATTCAGAAGGAGCATGACAATCGAGACGACCAAGATTCCATGTCCATCCTCAATGGAATAGCTTAGGACGAGAATGTTGCTGTTGTTTGCGAGCTCAAACGAGAAATGCTAGTAGACTCCCACAAAAAGGATCAAGGACGAAGGACGCATGCACGCTACCAATACGAAGCCATCAATACTTATGAAAATGAAGTAACTGAGTTGAAAATGCATTCACTCTTCACGCCGAGCTCTTCGCCATTGCGGAGGACCGTAGATTCTCTAATCCCATATTCCTGTTCCTCCACACCTTCTCCCTCCACCAGAATCACTCCTACACATAAATGAAAATGTTGGCAGATGGTTTCACGACTCGTATTGAATGATATGTAGAATGCCCCGTCTAAGTGGTCTTGGTAAAGACGTTCTCCATAGGCCAATGTATAAAGTATGAGGTAATACCGCGCCTGCTACTGCACCTCTTCCTTATTCATTGCCGTCCATGCCCCCATCTGTCTTCTCCATCTTGACCTCACTCCCGCCCTCGAACATCCACAACATGCTCGCAGATCGGTTCATGATTGCTCCCTCACAAATGCAACGAATATACTCTGTACCCGCAACTAGAAGATTTCGAAATTCCTAGTCGTATTTAACCACGAACAGACCTTGTCATCCCTCGATCCTCCATTCTGAACTGTCCTTGATTCAGCGGTCCCCTGCACTGCACACCGCATCCCGCATCACACATCTCATAGCAAATAGGAGCAACAATAGCAAACGCTACGAGTTTCATCGTGATGGAGTCGGTCGCCGTGTTGACCTATGAAAAGCGAATCCACCGCTTTCCCCCTGTCCTCCCCTGATCGACCGTACCGTACCGACTTCGAATCGAACTGCGGCCTTTACTGCGGCCGCGACGGCATGATAGCGAAGGAAGGGTTAGCAGGCGGATCGTCGCTGCATGTTCTTCGCAGTACGTACTACCTACTGCAAGGGGTACGGAACATGCAATGGCCAACCAGGGACGAAGTCGCAGGCCAGCGGGCGCAAAACACGAGGTCAAAAAGAATAGAGGGAAATTTCAAGCGATGTCATATCAGATGGCGATTCGACGAGGCTCACGCGCCCTGGGGACCCTTAGCCTCGCTTGAAGTATTCCCCCCCCGGCTATTCTTCATCTCCCTTCCTCTCACATTCCATTTACGGAGAACGGACGACCGCGGTGCTATACACCTTCTCTTACAGCTTTACCGAAACCGTATAACGACCCGCTAGCAGCGTTCACGGCCGAGCGACCGTGATGCGCCCTCTACCCTAGCCTTAGCGCAAGGTTTGATCTGCACGACGTTGGCCCTGAAGCCGTTGCCTCTCCTATCCCCCCTAACACTCCCTTTGTGAAAAGGGGATTTGGACCCGACTGAGTACTTGACCTTGGCTTTTGCCAACAGCAGGAAAAACCCCACCTTTCAGGGTAGAGTCTCGACGGCTCTGGTCTGGCAATTTCCCTAACCCCCTTGAAAATCCAGCGCTTCTCAATTCCTAAAAATATCAAAGGTTAGTTTGACTTCAAAGTTCAATGGTTTCGCTCGCCTGCGCGCTTGCCATGCAGGTCTCAGGAATAGAAATTACGCCGCACGAAGAGTTACGATAAGATTCCAAAATTGCCACCTTGTGTTAGATACCATATGTATTTCCTTGCCATTCATCCAACTTCACTCCCTATGCTTTGATAATTTCTCTAAGTAGCGCTGAGCTTTGGTCTTTCTTCGTTGGTAATTTCCCTACCACAATGTAAATCGAGGCCAAACCTCCTTTTCGCACTGAGAAAATGAGGAAAGAGCGCACGAAACCAGAAAGAACATAGAGTTCCAATGACAAGCCATTAGTATTTTTGAAGGTTCGAAGAAGAAAGAGAGAGAAAATTGATAAGAAACCTGCTCCTCATAATGCAACAAAACAAAGGAAAAATTTTCTTGATCAAAGAAAATGCCAATCAAGCAAAAGCGAAAGCGACAGCCCAAAAAAAAAAAAAAAACCTCCACAAATAGAAACGCACCCAGAAATGAATGACCGTGATCATGTGTCAAACGCCCTCAACGCCATGCCTGAGATTGTAGCAAAAACCTGATTCGTAGCACGTCCACTTGCCTGTGACTCCAAATATCTCTTTGCCAGCTCTCGTTCCGAAGTAAGTTCGCCATTTCCATCTTTTTTCGATCCCAATAACATGGTACTGTAGATGATGTCTCGATTTTCCATTCCATCAAGTAAGGGTCGACATTGCTTTACTGCCGGAATGGAAACTCCTTCTCCGTGTGGCTCCTGAGTTGCTGCCACCGTTTCGACTAGTTCCCAAAATTCGTCTGATCTTTTTGCCATTTGTTTCTCCAATGCGCTGACCTTGGGCTCTGGTTCAACATCATCTTGATGAACAAAGTCGGCGATTGAAGCAGTAGGAATGGTGAAAGGTTCTCCGGTCAAAATGGCACCGAATGCTCGACATCGACGTGCAAGTTTGTCTGCCTCTTCACCACTGTCATGCGCTGGCCTGATACATAGTTCCAACAGAGCCCAAGAAACTCGCGCTTCTTGACTTGCTAAAGCAGCTTTTTCAGTTGAGGTGTCAGAATGGTTACTAACCAACGTCAGATACGCGAGGATATTTCCAAGTTGATTTCGATCAGCACAAAGTAAAGGAAATCCTTCTCGAGCAAACCACTTTGTGTGGCCAGATTCCAAGAATTTGTCAAGACCTGGAGCAAAGACAATGTCATAAACTTTGCGAATCGAATCAAGATTGGGATTAGAGTCGGGCGGAATGGATGGAATAGTCGGAAGATTTGCGCCGGCAATGGTACATATGGATTCAATGCTCCTCCAACTGGGACGGGGCCCGGCGTCAGTCATTATTGCACTGGTCAAAAGTTAGACTCTCCGGTGAGAGAAAGTAATGAATGGCACTTACAGCGTCCAGGAGGGGGGTACGAGGGGATTCCGGTTTGAGCAGAACCATCCATATGATATGGCTGATTGAGGTGTGGTAGTACCTGTTCAGGCGGTCGTGGGAAGGGGTATTCCGTGTGGTCTCGTGGCGAACTCGAAACCAGCGATGAATTGTGGCTAGCGACGGGAGGACTGATAGGAGCGGAGGAGAATCTTCGAGCTTGATTGTTCACCGAGGAGGTTGGCGGGGGATTGTTAGTATTGGACGAGGGAGCTGGGTGAAGTGAATGCGGCCCTTGCGACTGGAATACCGGATCGTAACCTTGACAGACTCTCTTGCTCTTCATGCAATTTCGACACTCTGGTCGACCTTCATCGCACTGTGAGGTGAAAGCAAATCGTTAGTGCGCTGCGAGGAACGGGAGAGTGTGCCCGGTAACGCGGAGAAAGGGGAAGCGAGGAAGGATAGCGCCGCGACCAAGACGGGTATATTCAAAGGTGAAGGGAAAATCTTGTAACGGAAAAAGGCGTTGAACGATAGGGAGTCGGTTCCCTGGAATTGTGTAACGATGGGATCATGGATGATGGGAGGACGCGCCGAGGTTTTGGTGGTGGTAAGGAATTTTTTGTGTGACAGCGGAGGTGGCAGTGTCGATCACACCCAAGTCGAAGCCTAAAAGGAGGCTGCAGGGACACCAACGGGTTTTTGATTCTTGTGGCGCGCCACCATCCAAGTGGAGCACGTGTAAACTTGCCCTTCCCCTGCCTCGACTGATCTTTGACTGGCCTTGCGCCCGCTGCCAAAAAGACTGCCCCAGCCCGTGGATGTTTGAGAGCGCGGGAAAAATAATCCAGAGCGACCTACAACGCTAACATGTCCAATGTGGACGAGGCTGAATGCGGTAAGAAACACGAAACGTTCAACACTTACTTTGATGCGCCTCTTTCGGCAGGTCAAGCACCCTGTTTTGGTCCGCCTCTTAACTTCCTTTGCCTTGTGTCGGGTGGGAGCAACAATGAGATTGGGATCCGTCGTTGAAGGTAATGGCATTCGCCCAGGTATTGGCTGGTATTGTGAAGGTATTCCCGGGTAGATAGGTCTCGAATGTACATATTCGTGAGGTATAGGAGGCGGAGGTGGCGGCGGCGGCGGCGGCGGAGCTGTTCGAGCTGCGTAGGGAGGATAAGGAAGCGGTGGTAGTACCCGCGGCGCTGCAGGTGGAGGCGGTGGTAGCGGTTGTACGACTTCCGGCGACGACCGATGCGCAACTTGGTTGTGAAAATCAATGCTGCTGATGGGAGGTAGACTGATTGATGCCGTTGCAGGTTGTAAAGCCGTAGTTGTCATGTTTGGATAGTTCATCAGGTCAACCGGCAATGCCTCCTGCTGCTTCCAACGGGCAGGTCCAGACGAGCGAACGAGCGGGCGAAGTGCACAAACTCAGTGTGGGCGAGAGTTTTGGAGGTTGACCGTGCGTTGCTCCTTGTGGGAATTCCTTTTGGAGCGGAGAGGATATTGTCCTTGTTCCCTTAACCGACAGAATGTATGCTCACTACTGAAAACATGAATGAGCTGGTCAGCCGTCCCGTCCAGATACTTGATCTTCACTGCTTCTGCGAAGCGTTCTTTTTCTTTTCTCAAAATTCACAGAAGAGGGATGGGACGGAAAAAAGGCGGGCAGCAAAATGGCAGGCGAGCAAGCGATGTCAAAGAATCAACAATAGCGAGAAAGAGGAAAAGCCGAGGACTGGGGCGGAAGCCTGATCAAGCGAGAAGCGAGAAAGCAAGACTGTTCAACAAAGCAGTGGTGCCTGGCTTGCACCATAGTAACATATTCCTAATATGAAGATGAGGGTACGATGTAGCAGTGGTGATGGAGGTGGCATGGTCCATTAAACCATGGCAATGGTCGGAAGGAGGATGGGTAGTGGTCTAGGTCGACAAGACTCGCTCGAATTGCTTGGTCGCCCATTCAGGCCGCGTGAAACGTCCACCAGTCGCCAGTGGCTCTGGGTTGGAAGCGCTCTTTGCTCAAGGTGTCGCGGATGCCCAAGTGCCGAAGCGCAGTGAGCATGAATCAGACCGATGGCGAAATTGGAACGAAAGCCTCGCTTGGGGTCGCTTCGACTCGCTCAGCCGCCCTAGACGACAAGCATTCTGGGAGCGAGGGACCGGCTGGCTCAGCAGCAGAACGCGGAGTGGGCACTGGATACGCTTGGAGGAGACTAGGTGTGTTTGGCAGTGGATATGAATGTCAAATGATGATGGGTCGCCGAATACCCCCGAACTACTACAGCAGGAACGGCAGGCAGAACTAGAGGGAGGCTTCTAGCGGGAAGCAGCTAAGTCGCCCACAGTCTCCCTGCTGGTCGAGAGCTCTCAGGCCAAAGACTCTTAGGCTTTCTCGCTTAGAACGTCTCCCGGCGCCAAACGACATTAGACCCAAATCCAAGCATGGTACCCCATCCCGGAACTGCTTGCACTGGGAAGCTGCGAGTTCTCTTGTCGCCGACATGGTCGGCTTCCTAGTGCTTCCTACTCCGGGTCTGGCGTGGTTCCTTTCTGCATCTCGGGGTGTGCTAGCTGTTCACAGTAACAAATTCATCGCAAGAGTCTCAGCGCCACGAATGTCTCAGCAGCAATTCCCCGGCTAAAGGATGTGTCCACTGGAGGTGGCTGCATGAGGAAGAGGTAGGTAGGTGGAGTGACAGAGATACAGAAACAGTCAACGAAAGAGGAATCACAGTTAAGCACACAATCAGATGGAGACGCAAAGAATCAAAACACCAAAAGCTACGCTCCACTGGCTGCAACTGATGGGCACACCGTTAGGAATAGCCTCTTCCCCCCCCTGGTTCCCTCCAAGTCTCGCTTCCTTCCAAAGTTCAGGCTTTCTCCCATTTCAACCTTGATTTTAATGTCACAATTGCTGCTCGACCGTTGCCAAGTGACTCTAGAACCCTGCTAGTCGACTTTCGAGAAATGGAGCCGTATCAGTCAATCGAGCAACTTCAAGTCAAAATCATCGGTCAGCCCACAGCCCGCTTCTTGTTCACTTCGCTGCTTGGAACTGCCACAACGAAGTGATGGCAATCCCAAACTGCGCTCCCCTAACAGTACTAGTTAGGATTACGCTCAGAGAGCTCTTCTTTTCTGATGTGACCATGTCAGCATGCAAAACTGTTTTTTTTTTGCGACCCCTAGCCTCTAGCATCCTAAGACAATAGAAAAGAGACTCTAGACCTTACCCTATCCAGGCCCCTGGCTCGTGGGGTTCTCGTCCTCCGCTTTCCCAATTCTCGTTTCGTTCTGGTCTTGGTGTGGTTCGCCAGGATGCGCCACCCTTTGCTTGTCGACCCTCCGCCCTGGGAACTATTGGAGAGAGGATCAATTGGTAGAAAGACACAAAGAAATTGGCGTGTGATAGTTGTGGAGGCGGTGGTTTGATCACCACAATCCTCGTCACGCTATTGACTGGAACACTGCTGGCAAACCAAATGGAAAAAACGACCAAACTCCGACAACGAATTCCCGCACGACGCTATAACTCGCTCTCCAAGTTCCAAGGTCCGAGCGCCCACATTTCCGACGCACGGGCTTTTGTATCCTTCCTAGCGAGGGTCGTTCTCCCTATCCGTCATGATCGCCCAGCCACGACGCATGTTCGTCCAGGTCCATGACGGATCCAGCGCCGGCCAGGTACCATTTGTCACAACCCTCTCCTCTCGACGTCTCCCTCTGTGTCACATGAGCCCGCTGGTCAATACGAGACATGCACTGAATCATACCCTGAGACGCCGCCTGAGGAAAACTACTCGGCAGGGGCTGGGGGGAAGGGGGGCTCCTTGGTGTTTGCTTCGGCCTCGACTTTGCCCATCGCGCCAACTCTGAATAATAGCCTGTTTGTTCCTAGGGCTCCTGCAGGCGGACCAAAAAAATAATAATTTCTCCATCAACCAAAAGGTGAAGCGTGGCCATTGGAAAAGCTTGCAGAACAGGAGATGATTGACCTGTCAGAGATGATCGGTGGTCGCTTACTGCACAATTCTCCGACTGAGCCAACCCCATGCACACCCATACCGAAGCAAATGACAGGCCAGAGCAGACTCCAGAGGCCAGAGGGTCCTCGAGGGCTCCGTATTTGGCAGCCCTACCTTGACAAGCCCGGTCATTCGTGCCGCTTGCCCTGCCTGATGTCGGGCGCATGAGCTCTCCGTGCACATCGTTGAAATAACCGAGGAAGACGAACGCAAGACTGGAAATGACTTGAGCGTCTCTACGACCTATGATTGGTTACAGACGGCCAGTGGCCCATGCTCGACACTTTATTTCGAAACAAAGCCGGCGGCATTTCCCAAGCTTAAGGGAAAGCCGTGTATGAGGGTATGGAGTACATAAGTAAGAAAGAAGATACGCATTCTCTGTCCATGGTACCCTGTCCTACGCCCCATTTAATCTTCAAACTAATAGCAGGGTTGAGTTCGTCTTCCATGCTCTCCATTCAAGCCGGAGGATGCTCGCACACTCTTGCACCTCATCCTTTTTGACAAAGTGTTGGTCGAGTCTAGGAACACGCGGATTTGATACTGCACCTCTTCACCCAACAAAAATTTTATCGGCGATGCCGATTCGCTGGCAAGCAAATTTCAGTCCCCGTTGTGCTTGTCATCTAACAGGTCAGCCCACCTTGGGGAGAGGCGAAACTTCCGCCAGTCCCCTCGAAACGAGGGTGGATCCTGTCACAGATATCATGGTCGTGCGCCGAACATGTAACAGTTAAAAGTGCACGTGGGCCACCATTTTTGTGCGACAATTTGGTCCAATGAGCTGTTCTCTACCAATGGTTGCGCTCGGCTCCGTTGCCATCAAATTTCAGACCGCAACAAAATGAACTCCATAATCTGTCAACAATTAAATGTTTTGGTTTGATTATGATCTCGCTTATCTGGGATATCGGTTCGCTTGCGCCGGCCGAGATACACAAACTCAGCAAGCGGAGGATGGTGGTTGTTTCATGATACTTTAGCCTTGCGCTTTTTGAATATTGGGATCGGTACATCCTCAGGGATCTTGCCCATCGGTCGAAATTGTCCGGCAGCATCTGCTTCGTCCTTCACATGAGCTCTGTCATGCTTTTCCATCCTCTTGAGCGGTCCTTCATCTTTCATCGCCGCCTTGGTTCCACCTTCACCAGGTTTTTCGTCCAGGTTAGGTTCGCTCTCCTGCTCCGAGAAATCCTTCTCTTCATTTTTAAGTTGTGCAGAAGAAGCGACGGCCTTTTCTCTTTTCAGAGACATTGTCCCAGACAACAAGTCATCTAAGTCATCCTTTTCATGACCAGGATATCGTTTGGTGGTTGCCCCCCACCCGCGTTTGTGGCCAAGCCTTTCTGCCTCTGCCTCTTCTTCATCCCCGTTCTCGCCTTCATATTTCCGCTTCTTGACTCCAACACTTAGAGGCTCTTCTGGCTGTGGCTCATCGATGGGTTGTTCCGACACAACTTTCCAGTCCCCGGCCATGGCCACTTCGGCGCGAAATTGCTCGGGGATCTGAATCCCCATCTCCGCTAATTGCGCCCATTGCCTCTTCTGATCGGCGCTTGTCTGAGTAGATTTCTGTACCGGAGGAGGCGTCGGTTTTGAGGACGCAGTAATCGTAGTGCTCGAAGACTGTTCAGATCCACCCCGAGCAATTCTACTCAGTCTTTCAACCTCTGACTTGGCCCGCTCCTTGTCTCGTTCCCCTCTCTCATGGCTATTCTGGATATCGCGAAGAAATCGTTTGAGGTTATTCTGGTGTTTTGCCGTGCTCTCATGTTGTTTGCGTTCAAAAGGTGTCTCTTTCACGTAGGTACTGCAGTGTTTGCACCAGTATTTGGGCTGCAACATGTGTTAGAGATTGACCAAACAAACTTCACAGGTAGGAATTGACATACCGTCGATTTCCAGTACTCCGACATAACTGAATGAGAAAGAGAGACACGAAATAGCGAACTTATGACATAACTCTCTGGCTTGGGACAAATGCGGGCGAATGGCAAACCACTCGGGCTATTTGAGCCGAAAATGGCTCGAGAAGAGAAGAGAATAGAAAACCTAGGCTCGGAAGGAGGAGAAAGCAAGCGGTCTGACAAGGAAAAAACTTTTCTTAGAATAAAGGGAGTCAGCTTTGACTTCTCGGGTCGGCAGGTGCTAACGTGCCGGTCAGACAGTGAGAATTTTCGGTACTCCAAAGATTGCTTCCGCTGTGAGCCAATGAGCCAATCATGTGCCCCTTGGACCCGAGCTTGCCCGTTTGACTGCCAAAAAAAAAAAAAAAAAAAAAAAGTTTTGTCCTCCGGGCACCTTATTTTTCTTCATCTCCACGCCCACGCATTCACTACCACTCCCTCGGCTCCTCCACGTCGCATTTCGTCCATTTCAGCTGCTTCTTTCATTTCTCGTTTCGCTGAAGTTTGTCATAGACAAAAAGTGTCCTCAGCTGACCGTCCTTGATTATCATTGGCACCGAACACGTTTGAACAACCCCAAATAGACAGCTACAGAAGAAAGATCGACGAATCTCCTTTCTCCTCCCGCCTAAATTCATCCCGTCTTCCCACAATGAGAATCTTCTCGTCATCGTACACCTTCGACTATTCCTGGGAAGAGGTCAGCACCAACAATTGGCGCAAATACTGCCCGTGGAACGACAAAGCTTCGCACGTGTTGGCCGTCGATACCGTCTCGCGCCACATTGACTCTGAAACGGGGATCCTTTGCACCGAGCGCCTCATAACATGCCGACAGAATGCACCGCAATGGATCTTGACTATTCTCGGGGGTGACACCACCAGCCATGTTTACGAGGTGTCTTATGTGGATCCGGTAGCGAAGAAGGTCACCATGTGCAGCACCAACATGACCTGGTCAAATCTCCTCGAATGTCGCGAGACAGTGACATATCAGCCCTCAGCCAACGACACGGCTGCAAAGACAGACTTCAAGCAGGAGGCCAAGATCGTTGCCCTCTGTGGTGGGTGGCAAAAAATTCGCAGCAAGATTGAGGAGGTCAGCATAGAGAGGTTCCGAGAAAATGCGGCTCGAGGACGAGAGGGGTTTGAAATGGTCCTCGAAATGTCTCGGAGGGTATTCGGTGAGGAGAAGGAGAAGCTTCGACTGGGACAAGAGGCTACCGTATAAAGAGGAGGGCCAAGTTTCTTTTTTTACCATATCATCTCACGATTCATGAGCATCGTTTCAGCGGGTGTATAGAACCGGCGTCTTGGTACAGGGTAGCGATGCCGGGTTTGGTTCCTTTGGCTTGGACCTTGTCCTAATGGGGTGTTTTAAGAGAGGGCTCCTGATGATTGATCTTCAGCAAGGCGTTTGGGAGAAGGCCTTTTCATAAGCCCCGGCCCGGGGGGAACCTGTTTCAATACCGGCATAGCAAAGACACTGAAGAAGTCTTTTCAGAAGATACCACTATAAATCGCTCTTAGACACGATATAGCGGAAAGAATCTCCAAGCTCTCAATTCCTGATGACAATAAAGATAATCCCTACGTCAATGTTATTTCAGATTCAGAGCACTATCAGGTGTTCGGTACGAACACACTCCGGCAAACGAGCGGGCGCTGGCAAGGTTGACTGAGTTCGGACATTTTACTACCTATTAGCATCTGACCCTACTTCTCTCGGGGTCCGCGGTGGATCGATTCGTCAGGGCAGATCTCTCTGGCGTGGTACCGGTCGTAGCAGTACACCACCAGGCAAGCCAGAACATGGGCTCAAATCATCAATATGGGCCCTCGATGCATTATTAATCACCATTGGTGTATCTGGCTATGAGCCATGCTGCTCTTGAAACGCTGTCGATCATCCTGCCGTCTGAATCTTGGTCGCGAGCTGGTGTTAAGCCCCTTTGGCATATGCCCTCAAACCCAAATTGCGGGCCCCTCCCCAATCATGATTCTCGTTCGCAATCCCTGGGCACCTTCCAACCCCATCTACCGCTCTCCTGCTCGCAGCGCTGCCTGCAGCTTTTCTTTTCTTCTCTCCCATTTCCATTTCCCTTCCCGATCGCTTTTTCAAAATTTTTTTTTAATGAACAGGGCCTCAGCGCCACGGCCAACCATGTCACCAGCATTCCTTTGAGCCCGTGAATATCCTACCGCCGTGGCTGTCGCTCGACTGAGAGACAATATCTCCTGCTGGCGAGCCCAAATTTCCCTGTACAACTCCCCGATTGGCTGTGCGACCAACCACTCCCCTGCTCCGCCTCCCGACACCCCCCAGGTCTCCAATGCAGTGTGAGGAATGGACTTCAACAGTGTGGCCTCTGTTGAATATTCCTACGACCGTGCCTTGCCCTCCGAACCGGAGATTCATTCGAATCTACATCCCTTCGACTACCCGCGACCACCACATTCATCCTATGACGCCGAATCCTCGTCGCAGCCGATACCAGTCATTTCCTCGCTGATCAACTCCTTATCTGCAATAGCCGCAACGGAAGATCCTGATTTGGATCACGATTTGGGTGTCGAGCGGCATACATACCATTCCGCTTCAATATACAGTCGGCCGGTGTCGCCTAGGCCCCCCGACCCGGATGAATTGGATAGGGACCTGCACGATCCCCCTATCGTCGATGATAGTAGTGAGGCAGAAGTGGCCGCCGCGCCTGTAGTTCGCTACGCACGACGACCTCCTATATTATCCAAGAGGTCGAGCCGATCAAGATTCTATTCTCTGAACATGTCTCAGCCTGGCCTGGCTCCGCGGGATTCTCTGCAGAGCCTGAAGTCGCGTGCCGAAAGTGACAGCGTGGGCATACCCAGCATCGAGAGGCGACATGGTTCCAGTAATTCTTCTGCCTTCTCAATAATCAGCGGCGTGAGCGCTCTTCGACGAAAGCCGACAATAGAGTCAATCCATGACAAAGCGACAACGAGACCGATCCCTCCGAAACGACTCTCTTCTGATCGACGGCGAAAGACCGAGTCACTTTACAGTATGGACCCCGAGAAAGAGAATAAATATCCCACACGTTCTGCGTCCATTGACGGCTACTCGACCAGCGGAACCCAGTTGGACCACTCGTCGGCCGATAGCCCTTCTGTTCCAGCCCTCGGCCGCTTGAGCAGAAGTGATCTGGCCAATCATATGATTCCTTCCCGTCGTTCATCCCTTCGACGTAGTGTCACGGGCCTGTCAGACGCCTCCCAGGATACTACTAGATATTCTATGTCCAGCCGAAACCTGAAAGAACTCAATATTGACTCGGAATTGATCGAAGGCGACCATTCAACCGTCAGGAGAATACGGGAGTTGCAAGAAGCCCGGGAGAAGCGCCAGAAGGAATGGCGAAATGAAGCTCGAAAATCTGAGCGAGCGGCCAAGAGACATACTATTGCGACCCCCAAGATGTCTCAGCGAACAGGCTCATACCCGAGTTCGCGGCTCTCTGTTACCGAGGTTGTGGTGGAGTCCCCTGAAGTTGAAAGTCCTCTTGAACTGTCTGCCTGTGTCACCGCCGCTGATCTGGCGGACATGCCTGTTTTAGTACCCCGAGCTTCAAAAGGGAACTCCCCAATCCAGAACATGGGGACCACCACCCCATCAAATCCGACAAGTGAGGCTCCTTCACGAGGTAATAGCATCTACCGCAGTCCCGCAAGTCAACCGAAAAGGAATTCCGCAACCCCGTCCATAAAGCCAGAGACCCCCATGTCAGAAGTCAAGTCTATCTCGGACGAGGTGGATGCGTTCCTCGGTGCACCCCGATTCACCCAGAAAATACGACATCCTCGGACGGGCAGAACAATTGCCTTTTCGGAAGTCGGGGACCCCAATGGGTTTGTGGTGTTATGTTGCGTTGGGATGGGCCTCACCCGGTATCTTACGGCGTTTTACGACGAGCTGGCTAGAACGCTACGGCTGAGATTGATCGCACCAGACAGACCGGGCGTTGGTGAAAGTTCACCTGTGCCGGAAGCCTCGTGTACTCCTTTGAATTGGGTTGACGATGTGGCTGTCATATGCAATTCGCTGGAGATCACAAGATTTTCCCTTCTGGCGCATTCGGCTGGAGCAATATATGCTCTTGCTACTGCGCTGAAAATGCCCCAGTACATACGTGGGCGCATCCACCTCATGGCGCCGTGGATACCACCTTCACAGATGCCCAAAGGAGCAGCATTGGGACCAGATTCGCAACCCATTGCCAATCTCCCGTTGACTCACAAGATCTTAAGTGTGCTCCCGGCGCAGATCCTCAAGGTCGCGAACTCACGCTTCCTGACTGCAACAAGTGCCTCCGTCGATGCAAAGCCGTTGAAAGGAAAAAAGAACAAGAATTTGGAGAACTTTGAAGCAACGTTGGATTATCCATTCCATGATCTGAACGAAGATAGCCCTTTTCCCAAAGCCGTCCCTGATGTGGAACCCCCACACCCACCAACGGCAACACCAGGTCGAGCTCGCAGCGTATCTTGCTATCAAGCAAACAACGAATCACTGGGAATGCAAGCTACCCTGGCGAAAACGCCCAGCCCAGATTCACGCCGACAGACACAGTCCTCTGCTAAGCAACCGCCGTCCGTATTTCAACCCATGTCACCTCGCTTGACCCCTGAAGCTCGTCATGCTCTTTACAATCAAACACTGACACATCGGATTTGGGCGCTTGCCACGCACAATGCTAATCCCGCCATTGACCTGGTGGTTTGTCTTGAACGAAGAAAAACGATTGGATTTCGATATCCCGAAGTGACGAGGTCGGTCGTCATCCACCATGGCACGAGAGATACACGAGTGCCCTTAGACAATGTACGTTGGTTGCAGAGTGTTATGAAACGGTGCGAATTAAGGGTCTTGGAGGACGAAGGCCACGGACTCATGGCGTCCGCATCAGCGATGGCGACAGTCCTCGGTGAAATTGCCAAGGAGTGGGAAGAGTGGGAGAAGATTGCTATGGGCAAAGAAAAGAGGAAGAAGGAAGAAGGGCCTCCCACAATTACGAGGAGGGAGGTCATAAATACTTTTTGATGAACATTCGGCCCCCCTGTACAGACAACTCCGTGCTACACTTCCCTACCAACGATCAAAGAGTTTTGGATGTGCGCCCTTTTTTTTTCCAGACGAGGTATGTGCGGCCTTGGGTGAAACGACTTCGACAAGCGCAGACAGGACTACTGGTCAGGAGTTTGGGTATGAATTTACATGGTCGTTGACCTCAGATGACTGCTTCCGTTGGAATAACATGTTGAGGTGGAGTGAAAAGAGAAAGAGCTTGAGAAGCAAGCACAATAAATATGTCGAATTACTAGACATTACCCCCAATTATCCAGGTCAAAACGTGACCTGAGAAGCATGAACTGCGCCTTGCAAGACGGGGGAGCATTGCCCTGTATAGAAGGCTAGTGAAGGGCCTGAGACGAGTTGATATGGATATAGCATAATGTGATGGAGAACCTAGACCCGCGAACAAACTGAGACTCTAAGCAATGCCACGAGACTTCAAATACGAATAGCACAAAGGACGAAGCAGGGCAGCCTCATGCTGCAAGGCTGCGAGCCGTCGAGGGGGCCCCAGTACGTAAAACTAGGACCACTCCGTACTAGCAAATGTTGACCTTGGACTTCCCGCTCAGACTTCACATCTCTTTCTCTCACCCCACTTCAGCAAATTCCAAGCTGTGGAATACGCACTCTTGTTTCCCCTGCACACATCCCTGCTCAGATACATGGTTGGGCCTGTCTAGATCTCACCATTCCACTCCCATCCCCCCTCAGTCCCGTAGCAGCGCCCTTCATGAGCAAGATACCAGATGCCTGGGAGGACGAATGGTCGTCCGTCGCAGATGTACATATCCTGCATAGACCCCCGTGTTCTCCGTTATGCTGACCAAGTTTCAGAAACAGCCGACCCCTCCAAACGAGTCCGGAGAACCGAAAAAGGTCTCTTCCCGAGTGACTAAAGCCCAGCGAAGGGCACAGCAAGCCGAGTTCAACAGACAACTCTGGGCTGAAGCGTGCGTGGGCAACCCAACCCAATCTAACCCCGAGGACATTCTCAATCTATGGCCGGCATTGAAACTGACGCTCAATACATATGATATAGCGAAGGACCCAAAGAAACCAACTACTTCCTCGAATCCCGCAATGTCGTGCCCCTCCGCTCCGAGTTCAAACCTCCCCCAATCCTTCTGTCCAGGAAAGGTCCCATAATCCAATCCCCTAAGCTGTCGACAAGTGGCATGCAAGACTTGAGCCTCAGCAACGACAACAAGAATGCCGAGTCATCTGAAGACGAAGATGAGATCAAAGCTAGAGAGCTCTCGCTCGCGGAACGCCAGGCCCAAGCTGCCCGGGACCGCGAAGAGAAACAACGGAAATACGAAGAGCGGAGACAAGAGCTCTTTGGTCCCCCAAGCAACAGCAACTCCTCCTCACAGCAGGCAAATAACTATAAGTCAGATACACCCAGTCCCGCGAGCCTCACGCCACCGGGTTCGCGATCGGCCACGCCTAATCGAGGACGAGGTAAAGGCGGCCGTCGTGGCGCCGCCAATACCAACAACTTGAACCCTCGAACACCGTCTCGAGGATCCCAGCACCGAGAACTGTATGATCCCTCCTACGTTGCAAAGCCGGATTCCGTACACGTCCCGCGCCGCGAGAATGGGAGTTCGAATCCTCGGACGCCTGAGATCCAACCTGTTCGAGTACCGAGAGGTCCCGATGGTTCCGGGAGAGGCGGCTTTGGATTCGCCATCCCCAATCCCAACCCACGGCCCGTTCGTGGTGATCCCGAAAGTACAGAAAACGCCCCGGCTCTCACTGACGACTCGTCGACATGATTCCTGGGGCCCCGGCGTCTTAAGGTCAAGATCTGAGTTGGAAAGTAAATCGTCTCGACCGATCAGTCTCTGCCCATAACCCAACCTACTGATACAACACAGCGTCCTGGAAAGAGGAACCGTTGGACACGAGACGCGGCCCTAAGGAAGGGCTCCCTCCTAATATCAACATAACCTGGGGCTGACCGTATTGTCGCTTCGAGTCACAATCTCCCAGACTCTTATGTCTGCCGGTCACCGAAGGGTGCATGCGTGATGATGACCTCGCTGCCCATTCACAATCACCCCCGAGTATCTCACAGCGGCGCGCCACCGCCTTCTACGAGAACCAACCATACAGCCAAATGGCTGGACTGGGCCAATGCAATCTCGAAAGATCGATCCAACGTATCAAAATCTAGTCTGGACACTGTCTATCGGTCCTCTTGTCCAGACGGAGCACCCACCACCTAAGCTCGAAGTGACGGTGACACTAACACCAGTAGTTGCTAGCAACAGAGACTTGAATCATCGTACGCATACGCACATTCTGCTGGCACGGAGCTCAAAATGGTCGAACCATTGCCGAACCAGCACCAGCACCAGCACACTAACACAGGCACACACATATTACTTTGTTCGAAAGACGTATAGAAGAGAGCACTCCTCGATACCTCAACCAATCCAGTCATGACCGTCATGAAACCACGAATCTCAGGGTCCCATTATTTTCCATAGTCATCATCACAGCCATCAATCACGATACCATCAGCGCTGAGCCCTCCATATTCTGCTTCTCTTGCACAGCATGGTCCTCTGACAGTCTCCCCCAGACGTCGCCACCAAGTCCGAAACCTTCCTGGGCAACGACACGCTTAGCATACTGGATTTCGATAATGGCTTTTCTGGGCCCGTGGCCGTCGCGTGCCGTGAGAGAGTCCCAACCGTCCTCTCCGACACCACGATAAACGCTGTGGTAGGAATTCTCATCCGACACGGTACGTCTCACGCGGTCATCAGCTTCAATGGCATCCACCCACTGTCTCCAACGCGTACCAACCTCCGGACGTGGGAAGTTGCGGTAATAGCTGAGCACGCGCGACAAGCGGATGATCCACGGCGCAAAGACGACGTCCACAAAGCCAATCTCACTGCCCAGGAAAAAAGGACCGGTGGCATGTGATGCGTTAACCAGCGAGGTGATGTTCTTTTGCAAGGTGGCGATGAGCATTGAGTGTTGTGCAGCGGTGGCTGCATTGGCTTGTGCTTGGCCATCCAAATGCATCTCGTCTATGGGATTTTGTTGCTGCGGCGGACCTGGTGGCGGGATAAAGAGTAAACTGTAGAAGTTCGGTAGAATCTTGCGGTTAATGTGGTCTGTCCACAAGCGACAATGTGCTCTGAGCTGTGGATTTCCCAGTGGTAGCAAGCTGTGTCCCATGGCTAGGTCTTCGAGATATTCCAAGATGACACCGCTTTCCCAGACACCCCAGTTGCCATGGCGGATACAAGGAATATGGCCGTCAGGGTTGACCTCAAGCATCTCGGGTGGACGGTACGTGTCCAGGTGCGCGGGCATGACTTCAACCATTTGGTAAGGCACGCCTTTGATCTCGAGCGCGATCCAAATGCGTTGAGCGAACGGGCAAAAACTGTTGGCGAAGAAGGTAATCTTGGACGGCACCGGGCCCGAATGGCTTCGTACCGTGAAGAAGGCGAGGCCACTAGCACGGAAGGTCGGGCTGCTAGATTCGGTGTTTGTAGTTGATGTTCCGGTCGACATTGTCGTGGGGGGTTTCTATAAAGGTGTCAATTACGGAGACCAAGGCATCTTTATTGTGAGCAACGTTGGCCAAAATTCCTCGCGGGATAGAAATACAGCGCGAGAGTTCAAAATTGAATGCAAGTCGGGTGGAAACTTACACTCAATCGTTTCTTCTCTTTCTCTTCCTTCAACAACCACCTCTGCACGCTGTTCTTCTTGATTCGGTCGCTCTCTTCCAGGGTGTGTTTGTGATCGAGATCCAGATTGGGATCAAGAACTGATTCGTCTTCATCCTCGCGTTCTCCATCTTTCTTCTCTTTGACGGCCCCACCACCAGGATTGCCTCGCACACGCTGGATCGTGAACCATCGCTTTCCATCTGCGCCTGGGTGGTCCTTGGGCAGACGGCGAGGGAGTTCGAGCAGGCCGAAGTTTGGATCGATGGCACTATTTGGGGCGCCATTGCCATTCACTCCATCCTCAAGGACGATGGTCAATTCACTGTTCTCTCCCACGGACATGTCATTCCCCCCCACACTGTTACGAGCCGTGCCGTTCATCGCGCCGCCCATGTCGGCTCCGATGAGATTCAAACCCTGCTTCCGGGCCTCCTCGTCGCTAAAGTATTCGGTCACTTTGATTTTGACATCGCAAAGGTCTCGTTCACGGGCCTGGCGCTTGCGCTTCTTCTTGTTCGGATCGTCACTCTTGGGCGTTCCACTCGGACGACCCTTGAGACGGCAGTCCCAGTAGTGACTGACAAATGCCTTGCGTTTGTATTTCTGGGTAGATCGATGCGAATACACGTTATCTACATGTGGAAAGTATGTCAAGAACTCTTCCTCCGACAGCACGAGAGGCTCGGTAATGTTGAAGAGTTTGTGACGCCATTCGTCAAGATCGGGTGGGTTTGGGATCAAAGGAAAGGTGTCGCTAAAAGGATTTGCAGCGACGGCGGGATCAGTTTCAGGGTCATTATCCGAGGGGTTATTGTTCTGAGGAGCAGAATGGTGGTGCGACGCCCATGGGTCTGAGTGGATGAGTCCTTGAGGCGTGGTGTAGACCTGCGATTGTCTTGACTGGGATCGAGTGAGAGTGGGAGTTCCATTCGGGAAAGAGGATGTAGAGTTCTTCCAGACCAGATTACTCTTGTTTTGGGTCGCCTGCGACATATCTTCTTGTTCTTGAAAATTGTCGGGTCGCTGATGCACGGGAGTCGCTTGAACCTGAGGAGGAACGGCTGGTGCCGTGGTGATGCTCGCCTGTCGAGAGGGTGTCGAAGCAGCGTTTTGAGAGGCTCGAGTCTGGACGGACACGCGTGTCTGCTGTGGACTACGCGTGGATTGAGCTGGACTGGTGGTGGCGCTCTTCACTGCACTGCTCTGTCTGCGCGTCTGTCTTGGGGAAGTTGAATTTCCATTCTGCATGCTCCTGCCCAAGGCTTGAATGTTGGCTTCGGTGGAGTCAGCCGGAGCGTATCCTGCATTTTCAGCAGCGGCATCTGAAACAGCTCCTGCGGTGCCGGCGGCGTATGCAGGGAACTGAATGGGTTGGACGGGCGCAGCAAAATTCTGAAGAGTGTCGGCGTCCATTGCTGGGCCGTGGATTGATTGATGGAGGTGGATTGAGGATGCGCAGGCACGCGGAAGGTTGGATTTTGTGGTTGCTGCTTTTCAACACGGTTGAGGAAGGGAGGTGAAAGAGGAAGAGATGAGGAGGGCGAGAGAAAAGCGGCAAGAAAACTGCTTAGTCCCGGCGAGCTAGTCCTAACTGGGCAGTCGTCCGCTCACTACCAACTCTGAATCTCAAATGCTCGATTGAACCATTTCCCAGGACAACGAACAATGAATTTGACCTGGCCTGCCTATCCTTGACGGACTGTGACTCGAAATTACGGAATGTCCTCCCATATCTAATCCTACACCTTTTCCCACTCGGCCCTCCATTCATCCCACCTTCCGATCCTTCTTCCAGTCATATGCGCTCGAATTCTTGAATGGAAATCCCGAAGTTCGCTTATCTGCTCCTGTCCTCTTCGACAGCCTCCCAGCCGCCGTCCCAAACACCACACACCACAGCCCTAGGCTGGCCATGGCTCCGTACCCCACCGCTCCAAGCATATACGCCGTCTGCTCATAATTGACATAGCGCATGTAGCAGTAAATCATGTTCAGGCTGTTGAAGAAAGTCGTAATTCGCAAGATGGGAACGGCATACGGTGCTTTGGGATCATTGTCCTCCAAACTGACCGGTTCGCTGATACTCGCCGACAGTGGGATGGATCCCGTGAAGAACATGATAATTAGAGCGATCAAGACGAGGGCAAATCCCAGTGATCGACTTAAGTAAATCTCGATATCTGCCCATGTACACCAATCAGAGACGTCGCAATGAGAGGACAATAGCTGACAGGAGAAGAAAGCTGTCCAGTGTTCATACCAGATATCTGGTGGAGATCTTTTGCCAACATGGTGATGACCAATTTCGGCAGTACAATCAAGAGCACTGCTTGGATCGCCAACCATGCTGCCGTGCTATAAGTGTAGGCATAGAACGCCTATATGGATCCTTTTCTCAGCTGGACGAACGTGGCAGATCAATACAACCCATCACTTACGTCCATAGTGAAGGAGCGATATGTCGTGAAAATGTTCAATGATACTTGTCAAGAGTAAGTCCGACTGATGAGAGAACTTGACGAAACCAGTCCAAAAGATACTCGGTGGTCCTATGCAATCCGGCTGCTAGATGGAAGAGTAGGCATCTCCCCCGTCCATTTGAATGGCATAGATGGTGACGTCACATGTATGACCCTTTTGGGTTAGCATGCCGTGAAGAGAAAGAAACGTGATTCCTGATTTGTCTTCACTAACATTGCCACTAATAAAAAAAAAATTATAGAGAGGGATTGCATTAACAGTACATTCTTCGCAGAGACCAATGCAACCTCCTCAGGAAATTGGTAAACGTGTTCAAGCCTTGAAGATGCCCTAGTCCACTTTATGGCGTGCCAGCCTGCAGTTTGTTCTCTCATATGCGACGAATACCTTCACGTCCATCCTCATCGAATGCTTTTTGTCTTCCCAGACATACTTTTTGCCACAAGCATATCGTCGTGATCCCCTCCTACGAGAGAAGCGATACTCTCATAAACCTGTCTGACGCTTTTCATTCGCCGGCCCAATCCGGGGTTTCTAGGAATTCTGGAATGCATTGAACGCTTTATACGTGTATCCAATGAACGGTAAGCTCATTTCTGCATCCTGCTCGGGTTGGTTCTGCTTGGCGTGTGCTCGGTGCATTGCGCTGTTGTCTTCTTGTGGGATTTCGTCGATCGGGAAGTAGCTGACGTCAATATTGGATGACAGTTTGGGTTCAAATGGAGCCCGAATCTTTCGCAGTTGGTCCCACACAACTCCACGGAAGAATGGATGTTTCTTGATGGACGATGCTCCGTCATGAGCTCCTCCTTCTTTGCCCAACCGATCTGCCGCGTCACAGAGGAAGCTGCACAAATTAGCAGAGATCTCCTCAACCAAATTGGCTTTACTCACCTCCGAATCATGTCTTCAGCATCTCGGCCCAAGACTAACTCGTCTGGGAAGTACAACGACTCCCGCCAGTTGACAATTTTGCGGTAAGTGTCATGAGTGTCCTCGGCGCAGAATGGCGGCCAGCCAACCAAACATTCAAACATGATGGCCCCCACCGACCACCAATCGCAGAGGTAAGTATAGCCCTGACCCAAGAAGATTTCCGGAGCAATGTAATCAGGAGTTCCAACGGTCGAATAGGCCATGTGGCGTCTCGATTTTCTCCAGGTATTCACGAGTCCACGGTTGCTGACGGTGAGATTAATTTGCTCATTGAGAGCCATCGAATTTCGATTTCCTGACTTGTCATTTGCATTGGATTTGAGCAAGGCTTGGTAGTATGAATTCTCGTGCTGTTTGCGCCCGCCCGTGGAGAGACCAAAGTCGGTCAATTTGATGTGGCCACCTCTGTCCAGGAGAATGTTGTCCGGTTTGATGTCACTGAAAGCTAGGTTAATATGAACTCACTCGAAAAAAAAAAAAAAAAAAGCCACGCGGTCCTCACCGATGAAGAAAGCCGAGTTTGTGGACCGCTTCAATCGCCATCACAATCTCAGCCATATAAAATCGTGTGATATCTTCAGAGAAGATCTCATATTTGATCAACATGGTCATCAGATCACCACCGGGCAAGAATTCCATCAACATATAGAGGAATGCCGAATCCTGGAATGAAGCATGCAGCTTGACCAGCCATGGATTGTCTTTGGAGTCCGCCAAAATATCACGCTCAGCGCGAACATGAGCCAATTGATCCTTCTTGAACATCTCCGACTTGATCAGAGATTTCAAAGCGTAAATCTTCCCATCAGATTTCCGCTGCACCAATTTGACTTCGCCGAAAGCTCCTTTGCCAATGACTTTGATGGTTTGGAAATTATGCGGAGTCTCTTTGGTCCGAATGAATCTTAGAAAGCGTGCCTCCTTTTGCGCCAATGTATTGATTTCCTTCTGTTTCTCAAGATCACCGATCGCCGGATTCTTCAGGATTGCGTCGAGCTCCTTCGCACGACTGTTCCGATCTCTTGCTCGCTCGATATTCTCTTGGAAAAAACTGTTGACCAGCTGCTTCGCGGCAGTCCCCCGCTTTAGAATGTTGTCGGAATATTTGCGTGGATTCGGTTGTTCCTCTTCTTCCGGTTTGGGAGAAGGTCTGGGCATTGGTGGTGCCAAATGGCTCTGATAGGGATTCTGGGCTTGTCTGGCTTCGCCAGCGGTTCGAGGACGCGAAGTGGCAGGTGACGGTGTACGATTGATATTGGTCCGGGGTGTGGCACTCAAATCTTGATTGGAAAATTGCTGGATCAGGCCACTGGTTCCATCGTTATTGTTATTGACCATGTATGGGCGGGAATTAGCTTGATATGCAGGTTGAGGAGATTGCAGACCGCCCTGTGCTTGATATTGATATTGTTGCTGATATTGAGATTGCGGTGACGGTTGGGGGAAGGGCTGTTTCATGAAGTAGCCATTATTAGTGGTGGGAGTGCCTCCATATTCCTGCTGTTGTCCACCATAGATCGGCTGAGGAAAGGTGGAGGGCGTGGTAGGATACATTCTTGCGTTGGCCGCGTCGAAATTTTGTTGGATGTCAAACTGGAAGTTCAACCGCAGACGGTTGTGGTCCGGTTCCATTGTTGGAGTAATTCCACTGGGTTTGTCAAGGGGGACAGTTGTGGTCACGGACTGCGACTTCAACCGATCGTTCACCAAGGACTATTTCGGAATCAGAGGCTGCTCAAAAAAGCTCTAGGGAGGGTGGAAAATGTCTTTCAAGTACCTCGTATGGTGTCAAATGACTCCTAGACCGACAGAAGTCGGTGTTTCCGCCTCCTTGATTCAATTCTTGCGATGATCAGATCGGGAGACACTTCTAGGATAATGTAGATGGACAACGGGTGCGTCGAAGACCGAGAGGACGAAATGCCATCAATATGACAGCGATGGAGACAAGAGCAAGCAAGGCAAGTCAGTGATAGAGACGAACGAGATTATTGGATCGAGTGTAGAAAGCATGGAAAAAAGGGTGCAGGAGAGTTGCAGATTTAGAGGGAGGTGTGGCTGCAACTAGAAAAGAGAGTTTTGCTCGTCCGCTTGGAGATTCACACTGCCAGACCCTGGTGTGTGCCTGAGCAGTGGTTAATAAGGGGAGCCGCCGCACTAAATCAAGCTTAAAGGAATCGCCAGGCTTCCCCCGAGGAGACCCCCTTGACCCACAGCATTCCCCCCCATCAGGCACAACTATGCGATTGGGTCTCATCCTGTTACCCTGGCTGACAACCACAAGTACGACAGCGTTTCTATCTTATGCGCGATGTTTGCGTATCTGGAGGTTGCCAGAGGCGAGAGATCTGATGCATCTAGGCTGGCAGTGATACTCGCATGCTCCTTTGCCTGGCATGGCTAGTCAGCTGAGATTGAGATCCCGTCGCCTGAATGGCATAGACACGAGGACAGTGGCAAGAGTTCTCTCCCCAAGTCGGTCAAGACGACCGGTGTCTCGGGAAAGAGGATCTTAGTGTCTCCCAGATTCGTCGTCAAACCATTGCCTGCTTTGCTTTTTCCAAAGCGGCTGATAGCCTCGTACAGGAGAAGTGTGTTGTACGGATGAGCCTCCCGTAGACGCAAAGTGGAGTGGCGCTCCAAGGGATTTTCCGTCGTGAACACCCGCTGTCCGTAGGGGGCAGGTAGTCCGAGCGCATGCTTGTTCAAAGATCTCTGCTCTCCAATGACTTGTTGGAGCTTCTCAGACAGCCTTCCGATCATCTAACTTTTTTTTTTTTTCTAAAAAAATTTTAATTATTTTTTGGCCCCAGTCCGGCTGCGCAATCCACGCGCATGTGCCCTTGAGCACAACCGGAAACACTGGGCTTGACCACCATTCCGAGAGTGTCTGGCATCAACACAATGACCGACATTCCAAAACCAGAGGGCATGCCGGAAGGTGCCCAAAGCCAACCTCTCAAACTACCGCCGAAACAAAATCCCGTATTTCGCATGATGGGTGAGTGCCCACAATATCCCTGGGTTTCGATCATTGCTAATACATTCCAGGGATGCCCAACTTCCGCTTGAGGCTACCTTCGCGGAATTGGAGAATCTTTCTCACCATCGCCGGTGGTTTTACTGCAGCTGTTGTGTACGACCAGAGGGAAAAGAAAAAGGTTCAGAAAAAATGGTGTGACCTGGTAGCCCATATCGCCCAAGAGCCACTTCCTGTCAATCAGATGCCGAGGAAATTGACCGTTTTCATATCCGCGCCACCCGGAGACGGTATCAGACCTTCGAGAGAATATTTCAAGGAATACATTAAGCCCGTATTAGTCGCCGCGGCAATCGACTACGACGTGATTGAAGGTCGGAAAGAAGGTGACGTCCGGTATGGGACAGCGGAGCAAATACGACGACTTCGACGGAAGCAGGGCGAGAAAGGTCCTGAGCCAAAAGAGCAAGACATGGATAGCGCAGCTGCGATAGATTTGATCCGGGACAAAATGCATATCGTGCCGGAACCGGGTGTTGGAGGTGACCTGGTCCTTGGAAGGCACACTTGGAAAGAATATATAAGAGGACTGCATGAAGGTTGGCTTGGTCCGGTCGAGGAGCCTCTTCCCACTCCCGGACCCGAAAAGGAGTCTTCACCTGCTCAACCTCCTACAGAAACTCAAACAGATGATCCTGCAACAACCCCCGAAAACACTGGACCCGAGAAGAAAGGAGAAGAACAGAAAGAGAAAAAGCCCCATTTTCCCCCTCCAGCCTATTTGTCTACGGATCAGTATGCCTCCGCCGAAGTGCCACCGAGTATACCTTGGATGTTTGACCCCTCTCAACCCATTCACCAACAACATCTCCTCGGATTCCTCAAAACCCCCCAACGAATATGGAATTTCCTCAATCGCCGATACCTAGCAGATCAGATCGGCCGTGAGACGGCCGCCATTGTCCTCGCAGAAAGTCGACAATACGACAAACGCACCTGGTTCCCCGTAACCAATATGGCCGGAGAAGTTGACCCCTTCGTCACGAGAAAGCCCAACAAGAGTGACGCCCACTGCCTGTGGGAGCAACAGTTGGTCCTTGCGCCCGAAGAGCGAACATGGCACAAGTCAGTTCGTAAGCCTCGAAAAGAAGATGATACCAGTGAGAGGATATGGATGAGTGATATCGTCATGGACGAGAGGATCGGCGAACGGATGAAGAGGTTCCAACTCGACATGGCAGAAGAAGACAGGGCGAGAAGAATTGAGTTAGGACGCGAGAAGACACGCGCGCGACCTATTCGCGATCTTAGAGCTGAAAAGGTCGTGCTTGGTGACGTCGATGACAACTCTGGTTGATCTACGACGATTCTGTGCCCTTGTCCCCAAATCATCTATCCTCTCCTCCTCTCATATCTCTATCTCTAGGCAAGCCCGGATAGTTCTTGCAGCTTGAAGAAACCTAGATACCTTATTCAGCTGAGCACGCACGGTGCATTCACTTTCTGTATAATTAATGTAAAAGCTTCGATACCCATGCCTTCCTTCCTTTGCAAGTTCAATGTCCCTCCACCTTTCGTTCAATATATATAGACACACACACACACACACACACACAATTGTTCGCTTGCTGACAATAGTATCCAAAACTCTATGTCCATCCACCCAATTCAAAGGCTATTCATGGGGCGATCGGCTCAACGCGAACCCTGATATCCCGTCTCTTCGAACCATCGTGCGCTTCGAGATCCAGAAAATCCCCCCACGCCCGCATCCCATCTAGAATCTCGGTCTCTCGCTTCTTAAACCGCTGGCCATCGCGCACTATGAACGTTGGCTCTTTACTCTGCCATTTTTCTTCGTGATCGTGGTCGTGGTCGTGGTCGTGGTCGTGGTCGTATTCGTTATGTCTTTCGAGGGCCTGTTCGTCGTCGTCGTCGTCGTCGTCGTCGTCATCAACGTCCCAATCTCCCCAAGCCGCCCAGCCCTCCGCGCTTTTCTCGAGGGCCGTTGTTCGTGAAATTGGTTCTACGGGATCATATTCGTGGGATTCATAAATCAATCTGAACGCTAGCGCGGGGAGGTTAAAGTGTTTCGATATCAGGGACTTGAGTTGGTACACGGATATGGTGGTTGGAAGGGCGCGGTGGAAGGATTGAGGCGCAGACGCTCCCGGCGTTGGTTTTGTCGTCGGTTTGGAAGCCGATGCCGATTTGTCCGGAGACGACATGGGTTTGGAATTGAGATGGCGCTGGGGGATGTAGAAGTATGCCTCAACGAGACGCGAACCTAGCGTTCCCGGAGCGTAGGACTCGAGTGCGGATTTCGTCTTGGTGGTGCGCGGAGCTGGCTGAGACGCAGTTTGCAAGGAACGCTCGATGACGTCGTCGCGGTCGTATTTTGCACAGAGGGTCGTGTAGAGAGGGTGCTTTTTGCGTGCGAGGGCGGCCTTTAGTTCGAAGTACGGCTGCGATGGTGAGTCGGGCAAGGCGTCCGCAGTCTCGAGCTCAGCCTTCAGTTCTTTCTCCGTCACGGAGAGGTAATAAATCTCTCCTTCCTCCCTGTCTCGCGTGGTGATGATTGTGTGATTGAGCGATTTCAAGTGAGGGACCCGGGCGAGAGTGAGGTAGTAGGAGGTTGAATCTGAGGTTGTCCTTGATGCCCGTTGCCACCTGGGATCAGAGTGTTGTGAATCCGACAGAGACCCGGATTGAGACTGGTCGTACAGTGGGTTCCTCGAGATGCGGAGGGACGTTAGGTTGGGAAACATCCCGGGGAGGGTGTCGATGAAAGCGTAGTCCCCAATTTGGTTTCCCGCCAGGTTGAGGGTTTCTATTTTGTCGAGATGTTGGGGTTCGGAATTGTCAGGGTCTCCTAGTCCGAGGCATGATATCGCATTTCCTTGGAGTGAAAGGGTTGTCGTAGAGGGGAATACTGAGAGAAGAGTCGGCAGGGATGACATATCTGTGAACTGGTTGTTGTCGAGGACAACTGTCGTGACAGAAGGGAAGATCTGATTTTGACCTCTCGCATCCACCGTGAAGGAGTCAAATCCGTTTAGCGAGAGCGAGATCGTCTTCAAGGACGAAAAGCAGCAAGACCCGTCGGAGGATAGAATTTGGACCACCTGGTCCGGTCGCAGCAGGCACTCGTTCATCTGTAGTTCATCGGCAGACTGAAAAGGATGCGCCTCATCATCGGCACATTTCGTCTCGAAAGCCCTCAATCGAAGTCCGCTCACTTTCAGTATTTTCAGCTTCTTCAAGGGCAAGCACATGTCCACCACATCCTGCCATGTCTCGATAACGTTCCAACCCAAACCCAATTCCACGATATTTGGACATGTCCGTTCAAGCTCAAGTTGAGCTGTTTTGATCTCCTCCCTCGAAGATCCTCGAGGGGCAATTCCGGACACCACCAATTCATCGACAAGCACGATTTTCAGATCTGCTAAGATAGACAGCTGCTTTTGAATCCGTTCGAAGCCGACTTCCTCCACGGCCTTTCCTGAGATCTCAATTATATTCTCCGCCACGCCGGAAGTACCAGTGTTGTACGTGGAGCCGGTCGACGGCGCATATTTGAACTTGATCGCCTCGAGAAGCGTCCTCTCTGGATCAACTTTTCTTGAAGGCCGTACAAATGAAGCAGCCGTCGGTCCTGATGAGAGGCATTGAAAGATCTGTTGTCCTTCGTATTGACCGTTGTGTTTGCCCCGGCTGGGATCGTCCCATTCGACCCCTATCCAGTCACCCTTCGTATTGGAAAGCGGTCCATAATAGCGGACCGTACATAAAGCTCCAGCGTAGGAGCGACGTTGGCCGACGTAGAGTTCTTGCCCAGACATGTCTGGTCGATTGGGAGTCGTCTAGAAAACTAGACCCATTTTGTGCGGACACGTCCCGGATTGATGAATTTCGTGGAACTCTGTGCAAAGGTCGATGTTAGACGGCGGCCTATCGCGCAGAATCCATTGACGGAGCAGTGAAATCAAATGGTCACAGGCTTTCTTCTGACTGGAAGTAGACCACGTCGATATTACGGACGAAACAAATGTTGCCAAGGCTGCCACCTTGGGGTTCTCACAAGGCTGCAGCCCGGAAGACCGAAGATAGGAAATAAGCATTCCCACCACCTTTATTTGTATTGTGCGCTCCATGAGCCGATTGTAAGCCTAAATACCCTAATGATTACCGCCGCTTATCCGCCGGGGGGTATCTTTTGGTAGTTCACCCCCTGAAACGCCGTCGCTATGCAGTGAAGAATGTTCCCTTATGCCTCGACGTCCTCGAAAACATCATCGTCGTCATCATCCATGCCAGACTTGTCCATATCCGAGTCCTCCACCTTTGGCGCTACAACGCCGGACGGATTCAGCAGCATAGCATCATTCTTGTACTCGTCCTTAAGCTCCCACTTGCCATTGAAATCGCCTGCCTTCCACATAAAGGCGATCTCGTCCAGTGTTTGCCGTAGGTATGCTTCAGGTTGGTTGACTTTGGCCTTGAGATCACGCAATCCCCATATACGGTGTTGCCGGAATAGATCCATGAGCTTATCGATAAGGACGTGTTTTTCGACACGCGCGGCACGAGTTTCTTTTTGGGCTTGCCGCCGGGCCTGAGCATTCTAAGCATGTCAGCTATGATGTTTGCCATCTCATGCCGACAACTCCCTACCTTGAGAACATTCGCCTTATCACTCATGCTCATGAATGGCATATGCTTTCTTGAGGGATCTTGATCACCGGTTGCGAAAATAGCTTGTTCTCGTTCCGGTAACTTGAGCATCTCAGTTACCTGCTTGTTCTCCAGCACAAAATACTCATCGTTCTTGACCGGGACGGCTTCAAACTCCTTTGCCACCGTTCCGGCAATAGCAGTCTGTTTCGGAATCGGACGCCGAGTGTACGGTGTGAAGCGGCCTTTGTTTTCCTTTTTCTTCTGTTCTCGTTTGTATCTTTCGTACAAGAAGGACCTGCCTTGTCCTGGAATTCCGTCTTCATCGATCTCATCCCAGGCAAATGTTCGCGGTTTGTAGCCGGGCAAATCCTTCTCTGAGAAGACGAGTACCTGGCCCGGTCTCCGAATTCTCAATTTCTCGGCAGAAGGAGGGAATAGGTTGTATTCTTTAGGCTCGTTTTCAAATTGAGATATGGATTTGAGCATTAGGCTGACCTGTCATGCAATGTCAGCTCTCTGAGTTTAGAGCATAGGCTGGGATCTAGTCTTGTGCGTACGCGTGACGGATCGTTTTCGGGGCCTTCCACTCTGATGGTCCCAATCTCAATTTCGTCATCATCTTGAAGTTTTGAGAGCGTATCCCAGAGAGATCGCGGGATATGACTGAGCCATAATTGTTGCTGCGACCGAGAAAAGTCGAGGTCTCCAGTATCCTCGTATATATCATCATCCTCGTCGACGTAAGGCGAAGGCGTGTCATCCGTGGGTTCTGGTTTAATGGCTTGGTCGGGGACTGATTCCAGTTTAACTCTCGGGATCCCTGAGCCCTGGAGAGCCGCCATGCTTATTGATGTTGACAGAGAATCAGTATTGATGGTTGAGAGACGGGGAATTTAAAGAGGGTCAAGCGAACTGCGGAGGAGGACATCGTGATTGCAGGAATCCCGCTGCTTTGAAAGGCGCCTTCAACGGGACCGACCCTAAAAAGTATCGCTGTTTTAACGAAGGAATTTCCCTCCCACATCGACCCTGAGCTGTTTTATGAACTCTTCTTTCATCGAAAAGACAAAGGCCCATCTATTTGATATATATATGTATATATTTTTTTCTCTTTATCAAAGAGGAGTGTCTATCTTTATGCGCAATTTTCCTTCGGTGAAGGGATGGAATCACTTGCGGCTCCCATTCAATTGCACAAAAGCACAAGGCTTCCAATGTATATCGAATAGCTCGCTCCTTTCATTCCCAGCTACCACTAACGCGCCGACCAAGTTGCAGGGACGTGCTTTCGAAAACTGTCCACAACGACTCTGTACATTCAATTCTGTCGATCTTTATCGGATGGGTCTCCCATCTAATTCCATCATGTTGTAGCTGTGACGTTGACCATCCATCTCATACCGCTCATTTGCAGGGGCCTCCATGACGGATGATCTATGGGCCAATGATTCGCCTGAGCGTTTCTCGAGAGCTTCCGGATGTCTGTTGTACGGTGTGTATGATGCAACCCTAGACTTCTGAGCCTTTCGCCTTCTGACAAAAAACCACATAGCTCCAGCAGCAACAAATAAGGCGGCAAGACCACAAGCGACCCCAATCCCAGCAGCAGCCCCGGAGCTAAGCCCATCACTGCTCTCTGACTTGGGTGAGCTGGAATCAGCTGACGTCTCTGCCGACGATGATGGAGTGGCCGTTGTGCTCGTTGAAGCATCGACCGTCGACGTGCTGAAAAGATCTCGCGAAACAAGAACCGTCTCGCCTTTGGTAGCATCTGGTTGGGTGTCACATGCTGACCGCATCGTACTCAGAACTGATTTCCACGTCAAGACTGCTCGAATAGAAGCTAGAAAAGGAACTCACAATTTCCCAAAATCACTGAGCCAGATTCTGACTGAAAACATGATGCACACTGCTGTGCGTGAGTGGTGAAGGCACTGTCGTTGACGGTGCAGTAGTCGTATTGTTCCAAGTCAGGTGTGGTGATCCAGGAGACCTGGAGTACGGGGTATATCGGCTCACATTCGGAAGAACACTCGTCAAAATTTGGTAAGGTTTCACTACCCCCTTGTGTGAGACACCATTGGGCGGTATACTTCATATTGTCTATTACTGATGAGCGTGGCAGTTGACGCAGGCAGAGGTTTACTGACAGAGAAAGAAAAATATATCGTTGTTTTGGGGCGCCTGCTCATCGGAAGTATAGTCGGTGCTGTTTTGTTGGCAATCGAGACAGTTGCGCATTCGAGGCCCAATGGAACCGCTGAAATAGTCATCGTCATTGCATGACAAGTCTGTGTATGTTGTCTTTGCAGATCTGGTGAGCAAATTGCAACTGGATTCTCCATCTCAAACTTTGTTGTACTCACTGGATCAGTCGAGTTGCATATGCTAGAACCAGCACACGGCGAACTACTGGTTGTGTTGAGGGCGCTGACCCAGGATGTCCAGCTGAAAAAGAGAAGGAAGGAAATCATGATGAAAAAAGCTCTAAGTTTTCAGTCAAGCAAAGGGGTGCTCGGACAGGAGCGATGCAACGGTGGCACAAGAGATCATGATATAAGAAGCACCATGCTCAGGCCCACCCCTGGAGCACTCTCCTACGGGTCTCCACCGGGCTATTTAATTGCCAAGCTGAAACGATATGAGATTGGGACGAGGCTTCTGCGCCCTATTCTAAAAACTTCGGCAGACAGTGCACTGCCAGCCCTACCACGACAACACAGCCTGCAAATCTGGCGCAATAGATGATTGATCCACGAGCCGCTCCGAAGGTTGATCTCAGATATGTACTTTTTGATTTGACTCGATTTGCTCCATTAACTGGTCCTGTGGCCCATGTGGGCACACCTGAACACGGAACATACGGAGTCTGAGTTAACTACCTGGCTTCGTCGGTCAAAGCTCGACAAACATACACCGAACCCCGTATGATCACAGGAGCCCCCCCCCCCCCCTTCAAAAAAGAGGGACCAGCCCATCGAAGTCCCAACTCAAGGCATGAAACAAATGACGAGAAGAGAGGAATGAATTGACTAATTGAACTTTCCCTTCTAGTAGCACCATTTCCATAGAAGTCCTCTGGCCGTGATCGCCTCAATATTGGGGTATCGCTAAGCACTAGCTTTCGCACTTATCGCATATTAGCGCGATCCACAAAGTGGATAAGCGAGCCTTGTTGCCTGGGATGCACCAATGAAACACACGGCAACCGGCAAAGAGTGGAAAGTGTGAGACTTGGTTAATCATGCACTGTGTCCATTTGCAACCTCAGCCACAGGAAGGCAAGTGCTCTATGAGCCTATAGTTCCAGGATTTTTATAGGACTTTTTGAAAGTCGTCGATGCCTTTTGTTAAGCGATAGGTCAGTGTATGCCCTGAGTGGGTGCAGGCTACGATCCTCGGCCTGGATTTTCGAGCCCTTACCTCATGGCGAAGTGTACCACACTTCTGACGAGGATCAGCTGTTTTCTTTCAATATGAAGGCTGGGGATGTTCTCTCTGCATGTGTGCCAATTCTACAGGACCATTTCTGTGGCACAATTGTTGCACGTCCATCCAGCCATCAAACATACGTTCCTAGATGTCTCTGCTCAGGTGTAAAGAGTCGAAAATCATAGTTCGCCAGATTCAGATCCATTTTAAATCAGCAAATCCTATTACTGAACTCTGACAATGACTCACCATAATCGTGAAATGCCAGAGTTGTCCAATTCTCAACACGATTAGCTAATATCTTATCTTCCATTTGACTCTTTGTAGATGTGGCCTCAGAAGAGTCGGGCTTCATGCATTCATGTAGCCGCAGTCATGAAACCATGTCAATTTAGGGCAGCCAAGAGGCGCTCGAAAAGATACATCCCTCAAGAACACTCTGATGGGCGACGTGGTCTTGCTTGCTCGCAACCTGGCAGCCAATTGCGATTCATTCGTGGTACTGTATCAAAGACCAATCAACTGCCGGTCCTAGCCACCGAACCGAAAATTGGATCTATTCCGACCTTCTTTTCAATTCGTCCCTTGCAGCTGAATACATCGAGAGCGTTCCATACTGTGTGATGCTACTTCACAACACCAAAGGTCAAACTCGATTCTATGATTCGAAAAAGTCAGTGGGCGGGCTCTTCACTGCGACATCTCCCGTGCTATTGACAGTAGAATATCAAATTCGAACGATACCTCAAACTCGCATCACGGTGCACGATCTCTCAGGGGAGCATGTGAGTCATCTCGTTGCTCCTGAAAACCTATGGAATGGACACCGAAACAGGCTGCGGCAAATATTCTAAGAATTTCACGCGGCTTCTGGACGAGTGTGCGCGGTTACTCGCCTTTGAGCAACGTCCTGGCAGCACTCGAAGCCCGATCACTTACCATGTCACTCTCGGTCTCATTGCGACCAGTTCCAGAACGGCAAATTTGCGCCCACACGTACTCGATACGGCTCACCGGAGAAAACGATCCAGGAATAGCGGTATACCCAGACAAATCGCACAAGCTATCATGGATATCGAAGAAACAGGCTTTTGTTCCGAGATGTCAACCATTGATTGAGGCGCTTTACCTGATATGTCTAGGGGATAACGAGTGCGCCTCGACAGCGTTGCATTCGGCCAACTGAACCAAAGAATATTCGTCCAATATTGACAAAGGCAGTTCAATGAAAGTGAGACAACAATGATACCAGAATATGCCAACTCACCCAGAGACTTGCAACTATGAATATCGCAGAAGTGCCTGCGTTGCTCCGGATACGGGGGTATCCACCCCTTCGCGCCGGCTTTTCCGTGCCAATGCCACCCGCGACCTATGAACGGGAAGAAAGAGCTCTGGAACAGAAACGCCGGCCTGGAGCTGCGATAATGCAATATTAAAGGTAATTTCGGTGGGCTTCGTAAGGCGGATATAGCGGCATTGGTTTCGGCCGTGGGGAACTAATCCACATCATTCATTAAGTGTCAGGCCCCCATAGGTGAAACACTGAACGTGCCCGGATGTCAGATTTGAGTTTCCGCTCCCCTCTCTGGATGCCTGGATGAGCAGGGCCGAGGGCCGATCAATACCTAACTAGTACCTACAACGGCGGGACTTGCTGCCAAAGTGTGGAGGTATGCCATCACTACATAATAGTGAGCGACTTGACCTCTGCGCATAGTGATTAATGGTCAATAGTGGTAAGGGACGGTGAACTCGTTCAAAAGCATCGCATGACGTTTTCCTCCAAGTATCAGATCCTTCCACACAAGAATATATATCCTATCCTACCCGCTTGCTGAAGAGCACTATCACAGAAAGAACCTCCCTGCGCGAAAGAAGGTTCGCGGCCGTAACAAAATAATCATATCGTATAAAGCAAAATGGAAAATTCCTCCCTCCATTTCTTCGAGCGAGACTGGTACTGATAGTCATACATACGTTCGTAAGTCTTCCCCCTTCTCCATTTTTCTTTCCTTGTTGTCGTTTTCATTCGTATTATGTTATATTAACATTAGAGGTTGTCGTCGAAAGCCATCGCCAATATGCGAAATAGCCAAATCAACCGCCCCCTTCTGCGTGGCTGTCGGATACTCGGACCTTTGCAGCATCTTGAGCGGGATGACCAGCTGCATCGCGGCGACGACGTTGATTTCTTGGAATCCTCGCCCAGGGTTTTGCGCGGATATGGACGAATGGAAATGTCCTGTGGGGGTGACATCGCCTAGAGCGTATGCCGTCAGGCCGATGAGTTCGGACGCCGTCAGTTGGATGATGGTTCGGAACTTGGAGATTTTCAGATTGATCGCGGAGTGGGACGGTGGAGTTCGTCGGGAGGTATGGGTGGTGAGGGTCGTTGTTGTCGTGGGATCTTCGAGAAGATCTAGTCTCAAGAGCTCAATGAGTCCCTCGTACAGCTTGATGCGCGCCGTGAGGAAGCGGATCCAGTACAAATATACCCAGAAGCTATAAAAGTGGTAGAGCGCGTGGGATGGGTAGAGAGCCCACATGGTTCCCGTCGTTTCGGAGCGGACTTTCATCATGTCCCAGCCCGGTTCGTCTTTGCTCCAGCCGGTCATACCTTCATCGAGAGCCTCGCCATATTGGAGGAAGACATCTGTGGTATCCTTAACTCTGGCGATCTCGTCGGGTTCTTGCCCTAGAAAATGCTTGACCTTTTCCAAAAGGCGAGCGACGCGGTGGAAATATGCAGTGGCTTTGTTGGCCGTTTCAGATGGGACGAATTCGTGCTCTTCCTGATAGACATCAATTTCGAGATTGTCGAAATCCTTTGATGTGACGGAATCGAGAATGAAAAGTCGCATTTGCTAGTTGAGATCAGCTGGATGACAGCATAGACATATTGCCTAGCTGGTACTCACAATGGCCGCCTTTAGGATGCGAAAGACTTTTTCTCCGCGCGCCGTGGTGAACTGCGACATCCCACGCAAACGTAAGAGATTCATGGCACCCTTGACATGGGAGATATGTGACTGCCATTCTTCCTCCGGCGTTTTGGACTCGGCGGTTGATCGTCCGTGGGTTAGGACGACGCTGATGTGCTGAAAACATTTAGCTCGATTTCTGCCCAATGATCATCATGGCGAACCTCGTAGAGTCCAAGAAGCCAGACAGCCATCACAGTCTCATCTTGTATGCTAGCAGCAGTATCGTGAATGGTTTTGTTGGTTAGGCTGAGAGCATAACCATACTCTCGACCAGTCTGCAGTCTTACGTCTTTGCCACTGTATCTATCGGCCAATGTCATGCGAGACACCGCCATTGCTGCTTTGTGAATGCATGAATGAGGATCGGCTTTTTGGAGCATCTCCGGTAGGAAATCAAGGACCGGAAACGAATAGAGTCGCCCGGCCTGAAAACAGAACAAATTGAGGAAAAAGCATAACGATTGATGCTGGATATCATAACGCAAAGGAGGCGAGATAGCGCGGTGAGCGGGCGCGAGATTCTGTAATGCAGAAGTGCTGGCGGCATTTTCGGTCTTGATTTTGTTTGATATGGGGTCGCCGGTGCCGTCAAAATCATTTGGACGTGGCCGTTGACCAGTACTGCCGGGCTGGGATGAAGGCAAGGTCGGACCGAGAGATTGAGGCTTTGTGTTCGAGCCTTCAGCCGGAACATCTGGGTTCGTCCGAATTTGCAATTGGACCTGGAATGGATATCCAGGACAAGGCTTGCGTACTTGGGCGCATCTCTTACACCCCGGTCTTCCCTCGTCACACTAGCGGAACGGGTTAACGTAGGCAGGCATTTGAAAATGCCAAATACTCGCCTTGATCTTTCGTTTGCGACATAAGCCACAGCCGGTGCTTGACCTGCCAATGTTGCCCATAACATTCAACAAAGCATGAGTGACGATGGATGGGGGGAAGACCAAGTAGATGATAGGGAAATGCAGCCGAGGCACGGAATTATTGAAAAGGAGGTTTCACGGATGATCCGCTCCAGAATATTGCAGCATATGTCAAGGACTCAAGAGAATGCTGGTCTGGATATCCACATGACAGTCGATCTTCTCAGGAGTCATAGTTGTGAGACGCCCTTCTGAAATTACTCGGTGGCCCCCAACACTCGCGTTAAAAAGCTGCGATGTAACCAAATGATTCGATATGGGCTCGGGAACAGTCTCTCAGCATTTCTTTTTATGAGTCGGCGGTCCGCGCAACATTAGGCGGAAGAACATGAGTACGAGAGAAGAGCTCGCCGCACAAGGTTGGGATGGGCTGAGACGAAGAAAGAGCTCAGACATAAGTAACTTTGCAGTCCAAAGATTTAAGCAAGGGAGCATGGGGGCCTGGCCAGACCACAGCAGGCAGAAAAGAGGGGGATATTTCCTTTACCTCCCAGGAACCAAACCACATCAGGCCATCGCAGGGCCTGTTGTCCCGCAATCTTGGCGAATCCTGATTGGGGGTTCTCGCCAGCTCCTTTAAAAGTGAAGGTGGATGGGGAGGCTGCTCATGGAGCCCTGACCACAGTCTTCCCCCATCGGTCTTGCAGAAGGATCAACTACGAAGAATTGGGGTGGATAGTGGTGTGGGTGCTGGGATGGCCCAATTTGTTGCCTTGTCAAGCGGCGTAATACCGGAAGGACTCATACCCGAGCCAAATAGAGTCGACTTGGTATCATGTATGACAAAGCTTGTCGAGCGAACCGAATGGGCAGCAAGAAGAGCCCTAGGCCCTGTCGCCAGAATTAAAAAAAAAAGAGGGTAAAGTCCCGTACTGGAGAGATGTTGCTGCAGGGGAGCATTCACGGCGTCGCCATATCTCTTGTCTCAAGGAGGATTTCTTCAGCTATGGGCAGCGGGGAGCCCTCAATTGTACATCCAGCCGGGGTGGTTGTAATCAGGCACGTGATATCACGTGCCGAAAACCCTAGGGATAGATGGGCATTCTCCACTGCTACGCAGCGGCTAACCGGCAGCCCCTCGGGTCTCCCTGCTTGGCTCTCAAACCAGCGCCCGTTGGGGAGCCCAAGCTCCTGCTGCTGCCTCGGAGACCGTTAGAATTAGAGTTGATTCGTCGACTTGGCAGTTATTTCCGTTTTGGGAGGCTACCATTGCTCTCGCCAGACTTGCCTGTTTGGCTCTCCATCTTTCTCTGTGCCCTCACCAGCACAGCACAGCCAAAACGCGATTGAGCCCAGCCTTTGGATGCAAACCTTCCATTCTCACAGATTGGTCGGCATTGAGCTGAACAGTAGGTCATGCTCGATATCTGCTAGGCGGCGTAGCAAGCGGAAAGAGGCATGGCCTCCAGATTGGTGTTGGTCATTGGCGACCTTTTCATTCCGGACCGAGCACCGGTAAGCAAACCACCCCTCCAGACGACCTTGCTCACGGCATTCTAACTTAGAGGTACAGGAGATCCCGGCCAAGGTACGTGCTAAACAAGGCTTGTATTGCTCATTGTGTACCACCCTGACGTCTCGCCACTCAGTTCCGAAAGCTCCTCGCACCAGGAAAAATCGGCCAAGTTGTGTGCCTGGGCAATATTACAGATAAAGAGACCTATGATTTCCTCCGCCAGATTGCCCCAGATCTCCATATTGTGAAAGGAGACTTTGATACGGAAGCATCCAGTTTGGCGCTGTCCAAAGTGGTGCAACATGGAGGACTACGGATTGGCTTTACGCATGGACACACTATCATACCTCAAGGTGACGCAGACGCGTTGTTGATTGCTGCACGTCAGATGGATGTTGATATCTTGCTGTGGGGTGGGACCCATAAGTTTGAGGCATATGAGTTAGAAGGGAAATTCTTCATCAACCCAGGCAGCGTCACGGGCGCCTTTAGCACTAGCTGGCTAGCCATCGACGAGGAACCCACCCCCAGTTTCTGTTTGATGGACGTACGTCTCCCAAAAGAAAAATAAATTACCAGGTCATTGCATTACTGATACGTACCAGATCCAGGGAGATGTTCTCGTACTGTACGTTTACCAATTACGGACCGATGCAGATGGAAATGAAAACGTTGCTGTCGAGAAGGTATCTTTCAGGAAGCCGGCGCCGAAAGAAGAGTGAGAGCGGCACTATGAATTCATAACCTCATTTTTTGCATGACACTACCTGATTGCGGCATCATCGACCGTGAGGATCGGTGGCAACTTGTCGAAGCCGCCCGCCAGGACTACGAAACTCCGAGACTTCCCAGGCTTCTCTTGCTCAGGATCAAGTTTCGCTTCATATGGCAGCGCTGCTAAGAGTGTGCGCTTCATGTTCGAGAAGCTGGAAAGTGCATAGATGAAATTCCGTGAGGGATTCCTGATGTCGCGCCATAGCTACAAAGGGACGGTTACAGTCGATGGAATAATGTTTTCCGAAATTTCAGTACTTGGACTGTAACGCTTCTTCCATTAATCAGACAAATACGACCGGCAAGACTGGTGGTTTCGCCCACAAACACGTTGTCAAGTTCGCAACGAGATTGCAACTTCGACCGTCTTGACCCATCTGAGGCGTGCTTCAGGTAGATCATCCTCTTCGTACACAGGTCTCTTTCTCTTTTTCTTCCTCCTCGTTTTCTTTCTAGAAGCATCACCCATGTCGGTATCCAAGCTGGTCTTCCCCTGACCGGCTCCATATTCCTCGTGGATGGGTGTTTGGTCTTGCTCAGCTGAGCCTGTGATGTTGTCGCCCAGCATTGCCAGCGTCGTCTCACCACGTTGCATCTTCGATTCTTCTGGCGACCCACTCTCTTTCCGCTCATTGTCTTCCTCCACTTCCACAATATCATCCACGACACTGACACTTCCAGCCCTAACCTCAACTTTGCATAAAACTGCTTTCTCCTTGTTCCGAAACCATTCACCCACACGCAAAGCCTGCTCCATCGCCCTTCCACTGGCCTTGACCAAAACCTCTTCTGGGCTCTTTGCCAACTGCTCGTTTGCCTGTATGATCTTCTTAGTCCTGTCTTTTGAGCCCATCCTTACTCCAGCATCCAGCAGCGCCCTTTTTTCAACCTGCAGTAAAAACTTCTTGACGCGCTTGATTGCGGATATCAAAGGCGTGCGACGTGAAACATAAACGACTTTAGGGACCTTTGCGCCAGATCGCAAGTTGGCTACGGGAGTGTGGTTGAGGGGACGTCTCCGAATTGTAGCAGTCGGAGGGAGACGATAGAGGTTTTGGTTCTTCTTTTCATGCTTCAGGGCCGCCAGTTCGGCGGAGGCATTGAATGGTGTAGACATGGCATTGCGCACAGGATGAGGCCCACTGGTTGATAGGATGGGCCAGAACGAGGTTGACTTTTACACCAGACATCTCACGGTGCGATTCATTGACATTAGTAGACAGTCTTGGTTGACAACAGGCCGGCGTCAAAAGGTAGCCACGGGAAGTATGATCGATATCAAAGTCTCAAGCGGGTATATGAGCAGAAATGCTCCACCGTATACGCGCACCGTGCTATCATCAACTTCTTAATATCGTAGATCTTCAATCTCAAATTTGAAGGATTACGGTCCTTAAATACCTCGTGCTTTCAATTCTCCCGAGCATTGTAACCTCGACCGGCGTACTGACGCGTGCATATACGAGAATAACTGGAAAAATGACGTCTCTGGAACATGTTGGCAAACAGCATCACCATAACCAAGCGGCTAAAACCAAATTGGGGCCTTACATCATCATCCATCGTTCATCTATCGCTTGAACGCTACCTAGGTATGCACCGGCCGTGTCGTATCAATCGAGCATGTTCCCTTCCATTCAAGTGGAGTTATGCTGAATCACGCTGGCCGGTGCTGGTCTTGACAAATAGACACGACGCCATTCTCATCCACCGGCCTTAGATTGAGGCACTGGTCATGCTCCAGTGCAAGACTTTTACGATTACGTTTCCAGAATCGAGCTTAGTCCTTGCCCTTGAACTTCAGGCTTAATCACAATGGAACCGTGAGTGGGTGTCTTCTGATTCAATCGTTTGATGCGGCGTTGGATAAGAGACAGCAAATATTATTCTTTATGGGCACCTATCCGTCGTCATCCTCGTATAGAGTGGTCAACGTTGGCATCCGGCTTCGATATTGTGGTGGAGGCGCCGGCCAGTCAGAATTGTTCGATGCGATACTTGAATTCGTATCATCGCATAACTTGTCGGACTTGCGGAAATCCAAGCTATGAGTGGAATGTCGTCTTCCTCCACACGGGCAATGCATATCTCTCTCAAACAGCAACATCGTCCTTGGTGTTCCGTCACGCCTTTGGATGGGCAAAGCTTGCTTCCCATCTTCAATCAGACAGATAAAACGCCTGAGTTTCTAGCATCAGCACCGACAAATTCCATTCCCGGGCAAATGAGCTCACCATCCTTTGGATCCCTTTATTCGAGAGTTCTTCCGAAGCTGTGAATTGACAAATTTGCAAAGAGTCTCTCCACAGTTGGAAGGATCTGTTCTCATATAACACCTCAGGTCTTCTTCAGGATCGAAATCAACCTCATCCACATAGGTCAAAGCCCAGCCATTATTTCCTGACCGGCTATGAAAAACCCAATCGCAGAATACGATCTTTCGCTCTCGACAGAATTCAGAGCATTTCTGTCTATCGACTGTTGAAGAACGCCTCTTGATGAATCTGGACCACATTTTGATCTCTTAATGTCTGCGAGTTTAGGCAACGTGTATAAATCGGGGTTGGAGATGTGAATAGATGCGAAATGTGTACGTTTTGTTGGTGGAACTGTCCTGCTGCATCTCAGGATTCTTGATGTATGGAAGAGGCCAGTGCGTTAATCATTGGTGTCCGTGCATGACAATCATGATAATCTCCCAGCAACGGCAACGGAAAAGTCGAACGATACGCTCCCAGCTCATCTTACAGGCATCGAAGAAGGTGTCAAAACGCACACAAGGATACCTCATGATTGGCCAGCTTCACAGTTGGCAGAGGAAATGACGTCCCATAAGCCCGCACGTGCTCTCCAGAGCTCAGTACTCTGCCAGCTAGTTCTGGTTGAGGTGCGATTAGCTTGTGTCTATATTTCAGATCAGTGGCCAAAGAGGAGCCCGGAATGGAAAATGTTACAGTCCATTCGTCGACGCGTGAGTGACAGAATCAATAGTTTCACTGCGACGCCCATCGCATACAGAATCGTCTCGTGAGTTAGCAATAACGACACCTCGCTTCGAGAGGACAATCAATAACCCTTCTCCAGTGGCCTGATACTATTTGGGCCCTTCAAGGGACCGCGTGTCATGCTCGCAACTAGGAGGGATGGAGCACGACGTTGCCCGGAAGAGTCTTCAATTGAGCCGTCAAATGGAACTTTTGCAACCAACAGCCGCTCACGCGCCCTCCCGGGATGCCAACCTGTATGACAGACGTTTCCAGGTTGTTGATGAGAAAGACTTGTTCGGTCTGTCTGCTCCCAGTTAGTTACGTACGCCCGAGTCATGACCTGTCGCCTCCGAGATCCACCTCTGACACTCTTATCGAGACTGAGTCGAAGAAGTCACGAATTGGATCCCCTCGAACTCCATAACATTTTGTCACGCCACCTCCCGATGTCGAACTCGCCAAGTTAGGCTTTCACATGTGGAATCAAGTATTATCGCTCGGCTTCTCAAGGCCTCGCCGAGATTTGAGGCGTCGAATCTCTTCATGCCGCATCTGTCCGATATGACTTCTTCCCCACAACCCCGCAAAGCTCTGAACATATCAGATCTCGAGAAATGCGGAGTTTAGCCCGGTAGTGTTCCGAGCTTTTGCTTCGTCAGAGGCATATGCTGAACAAAGACAAGGCTATCATCCTCGGTTACCTGCATTCGGCTCGGTTGTGTTGCGCTGGCAATCCAATTACTAGGTTTCTTCAGAAGCAGCATCTACCGTTAACATCATCAACAAGTCATCGCCACTCTTCGCAGCTTGGCCGCGACTTTCCGCGTTACTTTGGCCAATTGATCGGCCTCGAAATGTCAAATGTCTAGACAGTTCTAGGACTAGGTTTGATGATATCCCTGGAGTGGAGTCAATGTGAACTGGATTAGCTTATCTATTAAGTCTTTGATCCTCACGGGATATTGTTGTGACAACTTCCCTCTTCGAAAGAAGGCTCGGCTCGTCGCCTTCTTTGAAAAGCTCGATGAAAACAATTCAGGCCCGCATTCTATTGTTGGTTCAATCCCATGATCTCTGTGTCGCTTGGATCGTTGCATCCATTATCGTCCTAATTCACGCTTAATAGAAGACTCCAAACGGCCAGCAGATCTTAAGGCTGCAGGAGCCCAAGTGCAAGTCTCATACGACAAGCAAGATGCTGACAGGATTCATGTGTGAATGATCGACTCAATCAGACACCTTCGGCACAGGGCAGACTCCAACTGCCCATTGTTGCGTTCTTTCCGCACGAAATTTAGGAAATTTCTCGCCATAGACTCACCATTCAGTCCAGGTAAGTAGTGGAGAAATATCCCTCAAGACTTTCTTTGGGCGCTGAAAATTATTTCCTCTCCGAGATTATGCATGTTCTATCGTCTCGAAGATTTCTTCGTTTGACCTCATATTCGGAACCATTCTTGCGAAGGTCGCCCTACCTGATGAAATGTGCAATTGGGAGCCGCAGAGTATGCCTCGTCAAAATAGCCTCAGGCAAATAAACAAATTCCTTGGCATGTCACAAGTCGCCTCGCAGTCTGCTACGACAATAGGAGAGACGTGGCTGAAAGGATGTATCTCGCAATGCCGCTCTGATTACTACCTGGCGACACCAACTCATATCATGTGCCTGGTGGCTTCTGGATTTGTTGCATTAAAGCATGCATCATGCAGGAGAAAAGAGGCGCGTAAATTGATGGCGCAGAATGACCCCTGAACGATCCCTGCAGAACGACGACCCAATGTTGCAAATCATCCGCCAACTAATACAACCTCTCTTTATCAGTCTGCTATGGAACTGATGTTTCTTGTTCAACATATTTTCACCGCTTCAGGGTCTGAAAAATCCCTCTCCTCCCACCGACCAGAGGGATTTGATATCTGAGCATAGCAACTTCTAACGAATTTCTTTCCTTGACGAGTAAAGAGCCCTGCCTCATGAATCCGGATCGCTCGGGACGAGGCAAACACGGCCCGACCCACTCGAGCTCAAAAGAACCATGGGGCATCCCCCCGGCAAGCTTGAAACCCCTTTTATCCGCGCGGCTGCGCTATCTGTGCGATAGTCCGGCACGAGTGAAATGAAATACGGCGTGTATCTCATGTTTCGACTCTGGAACTGTCCAGGTCCCCTGTCCTTTCGACGCCTGACTTCTAACGGTTCATGCTGGTGGTCCCCCAGCCTTCCATTTATTCATGGCGTCAAACAGGCAACCGGTCGATGGTCATGTCCGGCTTTGCAGCTTCAAGAGACTAGGTAAGCTGCGGACCCTTTACTCTGAAATAATAGGTGGCTGCCGATACTACTGCTGTGGCTGAACCCCGACAAGGCGTCGCACTGTCCTGAATATATTCACCTCTTCAGCAAATTCGCAATGACCGTTCTGTCCATGATTCGTTCTGAGCCTGCATTCTAGAGCCTTACTGAACTCTGCACCTGGTCAAAGCCGTTCAGCCTAAAAGTTGCAAGATACTTCTAGAACTGATTCCACTACTCTACTCCTATACGCCTCTATTGCAGGCCAGCAGCATGGACGGCGTGCCGACAAGCCCTGTTGTCCAAGAAGCCGTGCGCGATAACGTGGCCACGTTTCAAGCTCTGTCTCGCACAAGATTTGAGCAAGTCCAAAAAGTCATAAAATTCATCCAGACGGACCCGTGCAACAAAGATTTATCTGAAAAATTGGGGTATGTCTATGCGTTTGCTATACAAGAAGGAGAGGATTGTTACGTCAAAGTGGGGTACTCTACGGACGAAGGACAGCGAGCTTTAGCAGCTCGCAAATGTGTGCATGATTACAGCGAGCTCTACAACACGAACAAGTTCAAATGGTCATTCAAATGCGAACAAATCGTCCATCGCATCCATGCCGAGTCTTGTCACCCTAGACGAAACTGCGAATGCAGTGCAAATGTGGAAGCCCACTGGGAATGGTTCAAGCTAGACGTTTCATCGATCGTATCAACGATCAGCCTTGTCAGAAATTGGATGTCACGAGATCCGTACGAAGTCTATACGAAGATGATAACTAAAAACAATAGTCCGCAGAAGGAGGAGCGCTCAGCTCGACTTAAGGCTGAATGGGTGGCCGCATTGGACATCTTTCAAAAGAGCCAGAAGACTTCACAACCCATGGATTGGGCCGAATTCTTCGGCGCTGGCGTGCAGACACGATCGAACCCTAAGACACTACAGCAAAGCCCGGGCATTCTCAAGTCGTCTTGGTCGAGTCCTCCTCCTATTATCCAACTCACCATTAACAATACACCCCCAAAACATAGATATATTTCAAGAAGCGGAAATTCATTGGCAAGACGATTACTATTGAAATCATCTACGAGTTCACCTTCAACCCCCCAGCCATCCACTAAGTTCAAATCTGAGAGGCAACACTCCTCCACTCCTCGAATGAAGTCTGATGGACCAAAGACCGCGCCTCCAACAGCTCTGACAACACGCTCACAGCAGGAATCCAACAGTTCAACCCCATCGAGGACTCCCCGACACCTCGACACTGAATCTTCCCCGTTTTCATTAGACACGCCCACCAAGTCAACGAACCTCCGGAGATTTAGTGGTCTAAGGGGGAAAAATAAGAAAAGCCTCTATGATTTGGGGGCTAATCACCACACCAAGCCACTAGAAGACGACGTCGAGGCTGATACTCTTACTGATCCCGGAGAGACGTCTACGACTGACAGTGTCATATCCGATGAGGAGGATGCCTTACAGGGCAAACCAGAATCTGAATCTCAAGAAGAGGATCATTTCACAAATACTACGAGTACACGATCCTCGTGGACGACAGATGAAGACTCCGGACCCATCCAAGGCGAAGAGAACGGCATCGTATCCCCATCCAGTGTAGCAACACCAAGGGACGAACTCACAAGTGTTGTGAGCAGCCTAAGCATCAACGACGACATTCTTCCATCAGAAGCGGCATCAGAACCAAGACCGAGAAGATCACCCAGACTAGCTGCCTTTCGTGCGCGGAAGAGCATCGAAGAGATCACAGAATCCGAGCACTCTTCTGCTCTACCTCTACCAAACACCGTTCCTCGAACAAGTCGCAGGGGTCATAACCGTCGTGCAAGCGTTGAACCCTCGAAAGGAGACCCCGATGAACTCTGCGCCAGCAGATCACAGCACCCATCTTCGAGCCCCTTCACCGATCGGCCTCGAGGCAAAACAAATACAAAACCTGCTACAAGTCCAAACCTCAACTTCCTTCAACCGCCCTCGTCTCGGCATCAACGTCGGGCTTCAGCCCCCGTCAAGATCAATGTAACAGAACCGCCTGATGAAGCTGGTTCTAATCAGTCACCGTAGCATAGCATGCACGGAGAACTTTCAGTCGGAATAATATATTCATAAATATCATATTCCATTCTAACGTCATGATTCCAACAACGATAAGCAGACGTTATGTTTCATATCACATGCTGTCCCAAAGTAATCGTCACTCTCATCTTTCATCCTGAATCGTAAGCGCCGACCGTCTGCTCCTGAATGAACCACATCCCCTCCGAGGTCAGACCAACAGCCTTGTCGGTTGCACACTTCGGATCTTGGTTTATGAGATCAGCGAGGCACAGGAGGCTTGTGTGGCGTCTGGCTCAAATGTGACCTTGTGGTTGAAATATGTTGATTCTCCATGACCAGAAAGAAACCCAACGTTGTCAGTGAGATAACAACATCAACCAAAACACATTCTACATTGGGGGGAAAAAGATTATCAAGAGTCGCCTTCTGGCATTGGTCCATCTTTTCGGGCAACACAGTTCTCTCGCCGTGGTGACCTCTCGTGGGAAGTGTCCGGATGATCAAAGTCATTGACACCTCCGGCCATTTTCTGAGTCACCAACTCTCCTGAGGGCTGTTTCTCTGACCTTGTTGAGCGCGTATTATTCTGGATTTTCCTGCTCTGATTTCTGACGCCTTGGTGCCGCAAGGAGAAGAGACATAGCGAAGTCTGAAATCATTCGCTCACAGGAGCTGAAAACTGAGACCTCGTGGCTCAATCCACAGACACCTTCATCTCCCTCGCATCTTGTACCTAGAGTAGATTGTCGTTGTGGTTTCCTGATGACTGCTGCTGCTACCCTGCTCCCACCTCTCCACATCAAATCTTGAGCCCGTCAGGCTGGCCTCGCCTATGTGATCTGTGGTTATGATGGTCCCATGTTATTTCCGTGACGACACGAGAAAATATTCATCACCCACTTATCACCCATGGTTTCCATGTCAACAACCGCTCAATCTGTTGTCAATGACTGATTTTGATGGGTGACTGTCGCGAAGCAGATTCAGCTCGTCCGCCTCACAACATTGTGGACCAATATCATGCCGCTGGGAAAACCAGGACTAATGGGCGGACTGGGAAAGCACGGCACAACTACCTGGGAAGCCGTTCCATTTACTGGACTTGTCTTCGGTCGCCTTCAGGCTTACGCAAGTGCGCTCTGCCCTCGGTATTTTGAGACATTTCATCCGGCTAGACCAAAAGAGAGTTTGCGTTCATGCTATGCTCGCCATATCACCGTAATTTGCCAGAAACATCTAGACACACTGTCTAAAGATTGGAATGCTTCACAACTCTGGACTTCAATTTCTTGGCTCAGTTGGAAATAGATTTCGAACCATCCAGCGTTTCAGGTTGAGGATTTCGGAGGACCCAAGATAGGATTAACGCCAGGAAGAGATTCGACTCGATTATGGAGTTGATGGGTCAAGTGGCTGAGCCAGCTATGCCAAGTTCGTTGGGTAGATTCATGTTGTTGTTCTCAAAGCCCAAAAGGGGATGGAGGGGAATAGGGGCCAAACTGCTTCTACAAGGTCAGTATATAAAGACCTTGATCCCCAACTCGGCTCTCAAATCCTGTTCAGTATCGATGCAGCTCAATAATTAATTTTTTTCGAATGTCGGAAGTCCATGAGCAGAACCAAGGAGTAACCATGTTCCCTCAGTGAAGGGACTTGGTCGCCATTACTCCACCTGGAGCGTCAGGCACGGATTGAAACCATCAGGCTCATCGAGACGGACCTCGGATTCGATCTGGACAGAAAGCCGGGTGTTATCCATGCTGGTGTAGACGAAATCTCTGGCAGTGTCCAAGCAGGATTCTCAGTAATATCAGAGAAATCGCGGATCAATGCCTTCCCCAAGCAGGTCTTATGAAGCCAAAGGATCGATAATGCACGCCGAGCCGGACAAATTTGTCACAAGTTGCCGGTATCTTGGAGAAGAGATCGACTTTCTTGTCCGTGCGGAACGCAAGTTCACCATGAGTGGCTTTCGTGCTCGTTTGATATCACTGTCAACACGTCGATCATAGTGCATCTTTGGATGCTACAAAAACTATACGATAGATTCACAGAAGAGTTGAAGCCCCAATGGCGGGAGAGCTCCGAAATATTCTTCAGGAGTCTGGGTACTCAGGAGCCATCGTGCTGGGAGGGCTTTTCTCTTCGTAGTCTCTTCCTGCGACAACCTTTCCCATTGGCCCCGTGGACCTCAGGTGCGCTTGAACGTCCTGACGGTTCTTCATTGAATGTCAGCGCATTCTCAAAGCCGCCGATACACAGGAAGTCTCCTGCGGTCCGACGTCGCGACTCCTGTATCACCTGATCAAGGAAGACGACGAAAAACGACTCATTTCGAATCCGTCCGGGCTTCCTCACAAAGGTTGGCATTTTCGGTCGCGACCGCAGATATAACTATCAAGAAATTGGCTCAAAGCTCCGTTGATAATAAAATCATCCAAGAGGTGAGAGACCTTGGATGCAAGTCAAGCAGCACCGGTCATCATCAGCCGGAGAAATTGCCAAGCAAAGGGAGGCGTCCTCGATTGTGACAAAAGACAAGCGGAGCTATCCCTCTGGCCTTCGAGCTATTGGTGATCACGCTCCACGGTCGTCTGGTACTGTATGAAGCACGATTTCGGAACGATCTATGTTTGTTGAGACCTCCAGTAGCTCTGATCAGTCCACAAATACCGCTTCAGAGGATCTGATAGATGTCGCCGGTTTGGACCAACGGATCCAGGAGCTTTCTATCGAAGAGCAGGACGCAGCTCAGGAGGTCCAAAGAGAACTGGACCGGGCAACAGCCGGGAACTCAACGACCCATCAGGGCCAATGCCTCTAACACTGGCAGTTTCCAAGTGGGGTCAAAAAGGAAAACCCCCGGGGATATCGAGACGTAAACCAACGAAGACGGCAAACAACAGAGTTACACGACTTCACCAAGGGTAACTTTGTGAGCAGCCAAAACACTCGGAAAATCAGCGATCGTGGATACTGATGGTCAGACCAAAAGGCTGAGGCTTCCTGGTCGCACGGGAGGAGGTCAAGGAGAGGGTGCCTCCAGATGATAGAAGGCGTAGGCTTGTCCTTCCCAATCATGAAGCCGAATATGTCCCTGTTATGTTCGATGGCCGTCCTTCCATGAAGTCGACGTTAGGTAACGACCAATTTTCGGTGGATGAATTCCCTGCAGGCCAGTCTTCGGAATTTGTCGATGACAGATATAGCATATCAAATGAGGAGAGAGCTTCTGCTGGAAATGCCGATGGTGCAGCAGAAAAATCTGGTGGCATGTCGTTTCCAGGTGGAGAGTTGAAATATGTTTGCAGTAACGGAGCCTTGGACTGGTTGTCTGGTTGAAATTTGATGTCTTGTAGCCCTGGGTTCGTTGGGTTTAGGTTGAGTTCAGGCTTCGTGGCTGCTGCATTCCACTCATCTAGCAGTGCCTTAATTTCGGCAACGTTCTGATATATGTCCGCATCTTCAAGTTCCTCGGGGACATCATCTGATGGTCTCTGTTTTGGAGCCCTCTTGAGATCTTCAACCCTGATTCCAACTTCTTGAAATATCTTAGCGATTGCTGTGGGATCGTTTGAGACTCCGGTCTGAAATATTTTACTCAACGCCCGAAGTAAGGAATCCCTCTGTGACTCCACAAGCTGTACGTATGCCGCATTGGGTGGTTTAGGCTCCCTCTTTGATTCTCGATTGAATGTGCAAATAACACCATCGCGTTTGCACTTTTCACATATTTTCCCACCCGAGCAACGAGCTTTCTTTAGTCGACAGCGGTCACAGGCTTTTAGTGTCCGCTTGGGATAGTATCCTGCGGATTCCTCTTCTTCCGGTGATAAATGCTGTCTCTTTTGAGAGTGCGGTGATTGGGATGAGTCTTCTGGGTGAGGAGTGGGAACCGAATTTTGGGGTTTTGGTTCTGGAACAATGAAAAACATTGCGGAGAATATCACAGGGCGCGGTATCAACGGATCAAAGTCAATCGAGAGCTGGTGATATCGGAAGGCGGGAGAGGCGTGCAGGAGATACACGATAGTAAGGCCTGACACTAAGACAAGAGTTTCATTCAGAGTGGACATTCGGGATTATAGTTGTCCACTGATCAGGCTAAAGAAGACGTTGGGATGTTATGCGAAATGATAGAAGTGGGCTGAGTCTATTTTGGCCCTTCGGAGAAACTTTAAACCGTTCCGTGAGCTTACATAACACATTTTCCCGTTGACGAGCCCTGGGGCATCTTTGTTTCAACTAATTTTTTGGTCGCTTATTGTACATGATGAGATTCCCGCAATTTGCCTCCTTCAGCATCAATCCTCTCGGAGACCAGCACTCTGAAGAATCGTTTCCGTGCAAAGAAGCAGCGTCGCACGTCGTCGCAAATGCGGATGACCCAACCGGCCACTGAGCGAAATACCTCACAAATTCCTCTCCGTGATTTCCGTACGATATTCCGAACGGTGTTGTCCACGGTATCTGCCAATCCTACGACGGCGCACATGACCGTGACCGGTGCCAGTAGATGAGGAATCGTATATCACCAGGAAAAGGACGTATCGCCGATAAGTGCATGAAATGTGGTTCACTCGACGCTCCATTGAATTTTCATCTCTTGATCGCATTATCGAAGCAATCATAACGTCACAATGCCACTCGTTGCTTGGGAAAACAGGGCCGCGGCCAAAAGACATAGTGTCCTCAAGGCCATTCCTTCAGCATGGCATATATCAGCCGATCAAACTCGTTCGGATAAAGACTATCCAAATGTCCTTGACATTCTTCAAATTTATTTATCAGATGATGAGTTGACCATTACCGAAACCCCGCCAATGGACACGCTGGCTCATGTTCATGCTGGAATTTGGTCTTCAGAGGATGTCGTTCGAGCCTACTGTCATCGTGCTGCCATAGGTCACCAATTTGTCAACTGTCTGGCAGAAGTATTCTTTGACGAGGCCATCGAAACCGCACGACAGCTCGATCAATATCATCGCGAGACCGGAGGCTTGAAAGGCCCTCTCCATGGATTGCCAATCAGTTTCATGGATCGATTTCGTATCGCTGGGGTAGAAACAGCGGCAGGATTCATCTCATGGCTAGGCCCAAAAGATACCGAGGCGACTGAATCATTGATCGTTCGTCATATGCGGGCGCTAGGAGCAGTGCCCTTTTGTAAAACGAATATGCCTCAAAGTATGATGATTGCAGAAACTACCAACAACATCCATGGCAGTACGCGCAACCCTTTTTCGCGACTCCTTTCGAGTGGTGGAGCAGCAGGTGGTAAGTTTTGATGAAAATTGAAGCCGGCCCGAGTTTCTTGGTGCTTACCAATGTCATCAGGAGAGGGAGCCTTGCTGGCAATGAAAGGCTCTCCATTTGGCTGGGGAACGGAGTTCGCTGGCTCCACACGCATCCCTGCCGTCTTCCACAATCTCTACAGCCTTAAAGTTTCATGTGGCAGACTCCCGACGCACGGTGTTGCTGCCAGTGATACAAGCCTTCCTTCGCGCAACTCTACCATCGCTATGATAACCTGGGATTTTCATTTACTTCAACATATTGCCAAACTGTCCCTGGGAGCTTCCGCATTTGAAGAGGACCCTTTATGGATCAACATGCCATGGAGGGAATCCAAAGCCCGAGAATTGACCCTGAGACGTCCTGTCTTTGCCGTGCTGGAATCGGATGGCAATGTCCAACCTCAACCACCAATTCGACGAGCTTTGAGATCCGTAATCCAGTGCTTGAGACGTGCGGGATATCAAGTCATCGAATGGAACCCTCCATCCCATGCAACGGCAGTCGAAACATACTTCAAAATAATCGGAGCCGATGGAGCACAAGCGACTCGAGAGCACATCAAAGCAAGTGGAGAACCACCGGTCCCAATGTTGAAGGACTGGTATTATAAACCCCCAACAACGCCACTGCCAGTAACAGAATATTTGGCGCTCACCAGGTCACAAGAGCGTTATCAGACTGAATATCACAATTATTGGAAAGACACAGCCAAGAGTACAACTAATGGATTGCCCGTTGATGGGGTCATCCTCCCTGTTTGCGCGAATGTTGCCTGCTATGAAAACACATTGACCTACTTTGGTATATCACGCTCCAATTAACTGAGAATTAATAACCAAACTGACTCAAGGTTCCAGGATACAGTGCCATTGTGAATCTTCTCGACTTCACAGCCGTAACCTTCCCAGTTGGATACGCGAACAAAGACTTGGATCCCGAACCAAGTTCATTTGTTCCCTTGAGTAAAGAAGATGAATCCTTGAACGCCTGTTGTAAGTATTTTTTTTTTTTTTTTTCCCCCTTCCCCCACCCCTCCTTAACAATTTCAACGTCGACTCGAAACTAAAGATCGGATCAAAGACGATAGGGTGGCTTTCCATCAAGCCCCTATAGGTCTCCAATTGATGTGCCGGAGAACAGAAGAAGAAAAGGCACTCAAGCTAGTGGAATTAATCCTGCAAGTTCAAGTGCAGTCACCGGCCTTCTTGTGGTAACGTTGAATCTGAAAATTTCCTGGGCTGATTAAACGCGGAAATCTGACCCGACCATTTCACCGGACGCCACGAATCCACCCCCAAAAACCATGCTCTGTCAGGGCTGATCCTTGTTCGGGTAGTCGACTTTGTGCCATGCATTAGTCAAGACACCGCGAAAATTCCACTGGGCTTCATACGATTCTGGCTGGACATTATAGGAGTCATCAACGGCTTTGACCACAAAAGTTCGTCCCGCCATCCGTTTGGGCACCATCCACTCCCACCGTTTCCACGACCAAGTTTTATGTCCTTGAGCATTATCAGGAAGAATTGTAGCTTGGTGCCAACTCTTCCCCCCATCCGCACTGACGTCGACACGTACAACGCGTCTACCGCCGCCACTGTACGCGTACCCTTCAACCTTAATGATATCTTCCTGCATGCCATAGGTCGTCAACTCTTTCCGATCTGCACGACTGGCATTTGATATGCTTCTGATCGATGTGATGGCGCTCTGGACCGGAGTTTCTTGAATTGCTGGAGCCGAAGACCAATCAACATCATTTGCTGTCTGATTGGGGCCGAAACATTTATAGTCACGCTGCTGCCACTGGGACTGGCTTTCCTCTTCTGCTAGAATAATCTTCTCTAGCCACTTGACACTCCTGGCGGCCGTATAACCAGGTACCAGCACCCGCAAGGGAGCTCCGTGATCGCGAGGGAGAGGTTTTCCAGCCATTTTATACGCCAGCATAACATCTCCGTTGGGGTCTAGGGCCTTGTCGATAGGAATGGAAGTACCATATGCTTCTGCTCCAATGAAGTGGACATGTCTGGCATTTTCTGTATTTGGCTGGTTGATGGGGAACCCTGCATCTTCCAAAACATCCCTCAAACGAACACCAGTCCATTCCGCGTTGGATATGGCTCCCGCATCCCACGGAAGACCCGATGTCGGTCTTGCTCCTTCAGACATGTGTTTTCTACGATTGCCAGAGCATTGCAGCGTTACAGTCCTTTGGAAGGGCTCGAATTTGGACTCGATGTCGTGGCAAGAATACTCTTTTTCCGTCCCATCTGGTAATTCGACTGTCAGGATGTGGCTATTTGGATCCGAATCCGGAACCCAAAAATGATTGCGGACATAGAATGTCTCATTGGGAGTGATGAAAGATCCCAAGCAACTGGTTGGTGTCTCTGCATTGCACGGTTTTGCCGTGTGCTCCAGCAAACGGGAATCTCGAGTGGGATCCGACACGAAAGGATCCTCGATATCATTGGCCGCAACATGACCATCGACGAGGTCTCGGGGATCGATCTCACCGATGAAATACCCTTCCAGGATATCATAGACCTCTTGCTTTTTGTGGATGGAGAAAATATCCCAGTATTTGTCAATAGAACCTCCGACGGCACGCAAGATGACAGGTCCTCCAGGATGAGCAGCAATCCAATCGGTAATGTCAAAGACTCGGTTTCCTTTAATGACCCATTTCCGTTCGGCCGTTTTGCCGTGTTGTTTGACTTCTTTTAGGCGGATGAGTCGTTGTGTTTCTGTAGCGGGGGTTTCGGCATGGGCCACAGCAAGCGGAGAGATAGCGGAAGCGAAGATGATGGTGGTTGCAGCTATTGTACAGCCAGTGCAGACCCAACTTGATATAGGTTTTCCCCCGGCGGATGGCCGATTGGTGGAAGTGATTGACCTGGTTGGGACAAGGAGCCCTCCCCCGGCTCTATGCGAGGCATAACCCCTGTGAATCCGCGTCACTGCACCCAACAAAGAAAATGAACGAAAGCGATTCCAAACCGACATAATGCTCCCCTAGGTGAGAACCATCTGAAGGACGCGTAATGTGGGTGGCTCGTCGCGTCGAGAAGTTTAGCAAGGTTCGAAAGAGATGAATACGAGCACTTCCCACATGATATTGCTCATGGAGTTGTAGAATGGGAGGCCTGGAAGCAAATGAATGAACGGGTCAATGTTGTGGCGAGATGATGTTCGATGAGTTCAGGGACGGCGCGGTTGATACGCCACCCAACCGGAAGTGCGGAATGCGGGGTACCCCTTCAGCCTTGCAGCCTTGTCGGGGACTTGAACCCCGACTAGCTGATAACAAGCGAAGATGTGTGGCCACTTTGAAATAAAGACCAAAACACAAGGCTAGAGATGTATTGCCAAGGAGATGAGACTCATTTGCACATCGTGACTATCTGCCGCGCAACTCGAACGTGATCACGGCAATAAGGCTTGAGTGAGGTAACTTGGGCCAGGTACGGACTGTACCTGCGTTCGGATAAATCTCGGCTCAGCCTCGTTGCAGACCAAGTATCGGAAGAGCGGCATCCACGTACTCCCAATTTGCAGATTTGCCATTGACTTTAGAGGCTAGCGGAAGAGACCCAGCATGATTCACCAAATGCGTTACTATTCTCGCCGTCCTTCCAGATCGCCCTGATTATAATAGTTGGCTGCTTCTAGGCTCCTTTCTTCTCCCGAATTCCATCACGATCAAGAAATAAATGCATCATTGCCGTTGGGCCAAACCTTCAGCCGTTGCTCCCTCTACGTGGTACTTAGGTACAAACTTCCCCAATAACACGAAACCCGAAACGACAGTAGCATCACCCTCACCAACCAAATCACAAGTTATCAGCTACAAGCCTACATTTCAAGCACCACCACCGCCATGGATCCCTCCGGGACATATGCAAATTGCCAAGTAGCCCGACAATCCTCGCAAGGATTCTCTCACGAATGCCAACAGGGTATTTCGCACTCCGCCAAAGATGATCTCGAATCGACATTTTCCGCCAAAAACCAAAAAGGATGGAGAAGAGTGGTGTTGAATTTCACGCCCTCATGGTTCGCAGCCATCATGGGCACAGGTATCGCATCAATCCTTCTTCACAACCTGCCCTACAACGGCGACTGGCTGTATTGGTTGTCCGTCATCATCTTCTGTCTCAATATCGGACTATTTTGCATTTTCCTGTTCATCTCCATCCTTCGATACACCATGTTCCGCGGCCTATTTATGGCCATGATTCGACATCCCGTTCAGTCTCTCTTCGTCGGCACGTTCCCTATGGGCCTGGCCACTATCGTCAATATGGTTGTCTCCGTGTGTGTTCCGACGTGGCGCAGCTGGGCTACCACTCTCGCGTGGACGCTGTGGTGGATCGATGTCGTGATATCGGTGGCTACTTGCATGTGGCTTCCATTTGTGATCATGCACATTCATAAGAGCGAACTGTCAAAGATGACGGCCGCATGGTTGCTGCCTATCGTGGCTACCATTGTCGCCGCCGCGTCAGGTGGAATCGTTGCTGAAGTATTACCGAACCCACAGCATGCCGTGTGGACAGTCATCATATCCTACGTCCTCTGGGGCACAGGCTTCCCGCTGGCCATGGTCGTCTTGGTCATGTACTTCCACCGACTGACCATTCACCGACTTCCGCCTCGAGAAGTCATCGTTTCAGTGTTCCTTCCTCTCGGTCCGCTTGGACAAGGCAGCTTCGGGCTCATGCAGCTCGGCAAAGTCTGCGCGAAGACCTTCCCGGAGACGGAAAACTTTGGTCCCGAGGCCGGCAGAATCATCTATAGTATTTCCATCGTCATCGCCCTGGTCATCTGGGGTTACGGCCTCGTATGGCTGTTCTTCGCCATTGCCAGTATTACTCGAAGCAAATTTCCCTTCAACATGGGTTGGTGGGGGTTCACTTTCCCCCTCGGCGTATATGCCGTATCCACCACGACTTTAGCCCAGGAAATCCCCAGTTTATTCTTCAAAGTCCTCGGTACGATCTTCTCGATCGCAGTCGTCTTGCTGTGGTTGATGGTCGGCTTGGGAACGCTCAAGGGTGCGATCACGGGCAAATTATTCTTCGCTCCCTGCGTCGCTCAGTACGAACAGGAATTAGTAAGGCAAGCAAAAACAAAACAACGAAAAGAGCGAAGACAATGGTTCAAGACTCATCAGCAGAAACAAGATGAGGAAAAGCAGGAGGTATAGAACGGCATGTAAAAGAGAAGGAAAACAGAATCCGTCCCAGCAGCACTCTGTAGCGTGGTGACTGTCTCGAATTTGGAGCGCAATTAGAATATATCTACATGACGATAATGTTGAACGGCTGAACAGGTAGCTAGTGCCTCTTTTGGGGGTATATAGGGGCATGAATAGGAGAAGAAAAGGGGTCAACCAAACGTGTACAAATACCAGCAACCTGGCAGGACCAGCTGCTAGATAGACAGAGCATTCAATTCATATTCTTGGCATATTCAGATAACAACCAGGATGTGTCTTGCAATTGGTGGGCACGCCATGGGTTATCTATCCAAGGTCCAACAAATTGGTTAGAATTCAGCCTTTTTGTCACAACTTGACCTTCCACTATCACGTGTTTCCCCACCTTTGGCCTTAACTGCTTTTAGAATCACTCGCACTAGCGAAAACCTGAATCCCGATAAACCCCTCCAAGATCAACCACAACACCAGCAGAAAACCTGCTCAGGGGCCGCGGCGACCCGTCTCACGTCAGCCCACCACACGGCAGCCGAGACTTGTGCTGTCTTGAAGGTTTCAAACTTAAATTCCCGTTCCCTCTCTGTACGCCAGAGCTCAAATATTTAACTTTCGTTCTCCGGTGCCGAGATCTTCGAGTCCTCGATTGAACCATACCTTGTCATCTACCATATCGACCTCGGAGAACAAGTCGAAGCCGTCATCTTTCTGGAACAACGAGTTGGCAATCCAATGATCTGATGAGATCCTACAAAGGCAGCAAACTGCGTGAAGAAGATTCGTGCTCGTAGTTGTCTTTTCAAGACCGACTCCCTGAGTGAACCGAGGAATCAATGGACCGAACATTGTCAATCCCTGCTGTCTAAGTATATTCCTCTCTTCCAACGACTTTGAATCGACTTGCCTCCCGTCAATAGGAACACGCCACGATGGCCCCTAGCACGGCTGAGTACCTCATGCATTTACTCATACCATTACCGTTCATAGGCTTGAGCGTGCTCTGTAAGTATCCATATCCCATCTTCTAGATTTCCCTTTTCTTTTCGGCACCGTGTTTGGGTGTGATCCCATCATTTGATGTGATATGAAATTGCGGCTGAAAATGGGATTCAAATGGAGTCGGGCCTTGGTTGCATCCATCCTCACAAAGACCAAATACATTAATACAGACATTCCCTGTCTTTTCAGAACAGGCAAATATCAAAGAATTTATTCTCACCGTGTCTTTTGAGGAAAATAGACTTCATCCTGACCTTCGTCCTCAACCCGCTCCTTCCCCTAACCAACTTTTCATCCTACAAAGAAAAAACATTTGCTCGCTTCTGGCTCGCATTCGGGCCGGCGCTCTCCGCCCACGTCCCTGCCGCTCTTCCGCGTCTACTGGCTCAGTCTCGCGGGATTGTTCTCGACATCGGCCCCGGCTCCGGCGAACAGCTTCACCACTTTTCGCGTCCCGAAAACATCACTGCGATTTACGGCGTCGAGCCGGGGGTGTCTTTGCACGAAAGGCTCCGGGCCGCGGCAGAAAAGGTAGGACTTGGTAGGAAGTACCATGTCCTCGGCGCCACTGCGGATTTGGAGTCAATTGTACCGTGTCTTGTCAAGCAAGGGCTAATCAAGCCGAAGCAGACTTCAGAGGGCGATCTGGAGTTGTTTGACGAAATCACGTGCATACGGGTCTTGTGCGGAGTGCCGAATCAACCTGGCACAATCGCGGATTTGTATTCCCTGCTTAAACCAGGTGGCCGGTTCGTGATGTGCGAGCACGTACGGAATAAAACGGATACCTTAGCGGGGATCGCGCAAAAGCTGTACATGATACTTGGATGGGGAGCGTTGATGGGAGGGTGCGATATGATGAGGGACACGTTAAGCGAGTTGACGAAGGTGGCGAAGGAAAAGGATGGCGGGTGGGAGAAAATCGAGGTCGAGGAAGTGGATGACTTTAGTCCATCGGTTCATGTCGTTGGTGTGCTGACGAAGAAGAGGAAATAGAAGATGAAGAATTGAAGTATGATGATGAACTTGGGTGAAGTTGAAGCGAGAAGGGAGGGAAACAAGCGGAGGAGAAATGAATGGGCTTTTGGATACTTGGATATGGCATGAAGGTGGATGGCTAGATCATGTAAGCATCCTACATTTCTCATGTGCCCAGCTGAACACTGGCAGAATGGATCTGTCTATCAAGAGTGTCATTGAACAGAAACAGAACTAGTCTGGTTCGACACGTAACCAATTTAGCATACAACAAATCTCACGGGGAAAAGAAAACAGCAAAAAGCAGCTTTCCCAATTGATACGTATTTCAGACAACAGACAGAAAGAAGGCTAGCTTGTTCCTAGTCTCAGCTGTCTCCCTCATGTCCGTCGGTATTGTCTTTGTCTTCGCCTTTGTCTCCACCTCCAGCCTCAGAATTTGGTACAGGGACATTTTCCTTTTCTGACCCGGGGACAGGAACTGACGGTGGCTGTTCTTTGCTTCCTCCTTGTTCGTCTTCTTCCTCGGGTATACTTTCCAAAATTGGCTGAAATTGTTCGTCGCTTTCATCTTCTTCCTCCTCATCTTCCTCCGTTTGATCGTTGACTATCGTTGGCGCTGGTTCTGTTTTCGGGATGGTGATTGTGTCTTTGACAACTGTCTCAGGCTGGTCCTCAATTTGTGCTGTGTGTAATTCTTTGGCTATTTCCTCGGGTTGGCGCTCCATTTCCGCTTCCACTGGCTCAGAGGTATCTACATCCACCTTTTTAACTCCAACTTCTGCCGTCATAGACGCGGCGAGATCGTCCTGATCTGCCTCCGTCTTTACTACAGCTTCTTCTGTTCCAGCTCCTTCTCCTGCGGATGGTTCGGACTGCAATTGTGTCTGTGGCCGTTGCAACACGATTCCCGGGAATACTGGCGTAAAGAACGGCCTCTTCGACCGATCAATCGCACAGACTCGTGGGAAAACGACCATCAACCCTTCATCATCTGCAAACGTTCTTGAATGGACAGTCTCAAATTCGATCCCCCCATCATTCCATCGAATCGACTTCCATTCCCAGTTCGACCGATGTGCCACGGCGTTGACTTCGTAATGATTTTTACATCGCTGCAAGGGCTCCCATGTCGAGACAACGTTTCGAATCACTTCCTCCAACTCCGATTTGAAAGTGCCCAGTATTTCTACCGGCAGTAAACGTTGAAGAGGTTGTAGAACATCTTCCACGGCGCTTGCCACTCTTTTGGCTTTGACGGTCTCTTTCCAATCATCGTCTTCGGATATCGAAAGGATCATCCCTCTCAGAGAATTTTTCTTCTCTGTATCATTGATGGCGCGGAGAACGTATCTGAGCTCGTCGTCGTCTTCCAGAAGGTAGTTGGGGGTGAGTATGTATTCTTCCAAGGACTGCGCTAACAGGGCCGCGACGAGCATGGTCCGTATGTGCTTGGCGGCCGGACTATTTGACCCTTCCAGAGGGATTGCACGTATATTAGGGATTCTTTCTTCCAATTCAGGCCAACTATCGCCACTCCAGTGCTGAAGAACCTGTGCTCTCTGTTAGATCTCGCATATGATGGTTTTGATGGGCGGAAACTTCACCTCTTCTGAGAAATCTTGCTCCATGGCTTTTTTCACAACTTCAAAACACGACCCCCATATCTCTTCGATCTTCTTGAACCTGAGTTTTAGTTAGCATTCGACCCGATTCAGGCATTCAAATGCTACTAACGTAATTTCTGGTTCGTCATTGGTTAATTCGAGTGTAAACGCTTCCAAGCTGGCTGGCTCCTGGACGATGGTGCTTTGAAATGCGGCCGTTTTCACTGGCTGGTCAGCGTCGTCGTGAAGTTCGAAATATCCGGAGTCACGCTTCTCTAGAACGCTTTTCCCCTCCGGTTGAGCCTGGTCTGTAGATTGTTCATGCGAGGTGTTCGCGTCAACCGCTGCCGCCCCTTTCAATCCTTCTCGGATCTGTGCAAGTTCAGCTTTCAGCTTGGCTATTTCTGAGTCTCTTTCCGCAATTTCCTCCCGATGGATTCGGAGGAAGACTCGAGCAGAATTTCTCAGGTTTTCGTCGTCACTTGTTTCAAAAGTGGAAAGGTCCGGCCACTGAAACGTGTCCCCAACGGCTTTTGGATCGTCGTTGTTTGAATCAGTGTTGCCGTCTTCATTTGTCGCAGTTCCGGTTTGACTTGTATTGTCAGAAGCGTGCGTCATGTCTTCATCGTCTCCTGTGGCCTCCAAGTCCTTCTCGGATGCATCATCTTGATGTTCTTGTTGAGTTTTCCCGTGACTCTGAGCAATTTCGGTGTTGGTAGATTCGTCCATGGAAGAGGCACTTTTGAAAGACAAAGATCTGTGGGAGAGATCTACCTTCTCGATAGAAATAAAAGAAATAGTGGGAGTCGATTAGATCGATTTCCAGTCAATCAGTCCACCTATGGCTAAGATGTAGGCTACCTAGATCGATTTTGCCACTGGCTCAAAGTCATGGGGAAAGACCAGGAGTTCAACTGCGACGTGAGATCGATCGAGCCCATGAAATGGGCTTCTTCTTGTAGGTATCATCACAACCGACGAAGGCCGGCAAGTTCTAGGATTTTGGGGGACTGTTGAAATCAATCGGACCATTGAAAGCTGAAGATTTTGTGATTCATTTCCATGGCGTGCTCTCAATGAGGTAGATGCATTGTCAGTCACGACGTGGAATGACACTTTTCGTCCATTGGATCTTCTCGGCACCGTGAACATCTGCAGAAATCCTCATCAGCTGCGGTTGGGTCAGGAGACCAGCTCGGTCTGGCTCTGTCCCCCACAGAGCATGTGTCCATGAGAGGGCACCCGTTGAGTGAGGAACACCATTATCGAATGAAATCTATGTTAGGGAACGACATCGAAGCCCATTTGATAATCTCTAGGCCGAATTTATCGTGCTGGAGTACTTGTGTGGGGAACAGCGACCGCTTCCGTGTTCACTTTCGATTGGACGCAAGAGCAAGGGGTGCTGAAGTCGCCTCACGTTGGGAGAGCCAGCAAGATTCTCGCCACTTATCTAACATCATCTTAGGCATCAATTGGCCAATGAGACGTCTTGTCTTATGAAGCTAGTGAGTTTTCGCTGTGGGAACTCTGTGCTGGCTAACGTGTGCTGTGAACGAGTGTTCATGGAACTGCATGAGCGGGAGGAACCTTTTTGAATCATTCCGTTCTCAGTCACTGAATGGGAAAAGGAAAGAAGGATATGGAACTGTCACGGGGCGGCCCCTGACATTAAGACAAACATACCAAGCCAGCAAGTTGGAGATCCTTCAGCGCGATTAATCGATGTTATATGGACTGCTTCGCCGTCATTTAGATCATTGTCCAGCTCCCACACATTCATATTATGACGATTCCGTCATGAAGCACTCTAACAGAGTCACCAAATGGCAATCAGCTCTCCGGCTTTCAGATTGAATTATGTTACCATTCCTATTCAGGATATAGGGGTAGGAATAAGAGTAGAAAAGGGATCAACCAAACGTGTATACTGGCAATCTGGCAGGACCAGTTGCCAAACAAACACAGCACTCAACAACAATCAATGTACACCCAGTGATTGTCTGACAGGTCCCCAACTGGAAACTTGGATACCAAATTTCCAAATTCTGGTAAGAGGGGAAGGCTGACCCAGAAATGGATCATCCACGGACCTCAATGAAGGGTCTTCTTATGTCTCCCAAGCATCCTCAAAACCCAAGCTTCCTGTTGATATCAGAGTCCCAAAGTTCAAGCATTGGTATTTCATAGTGGCTCCTCATCGTACCATCGATGACAATTCTACGGGGGTATCTTTTGACCAGTGCAAATCACGGTGGGCCCACACCTTGGGAGAAGATCTTTGCATGCCCGCCACTTCCGCCTCATGCAGATAATATGATAGAATATTATGACAGGAACTTCGTTCAGGCATGTTCATGGTTTCTTTTGACCATGAGTTCTGCAAGCTGACGGGATCACTCCATAGAAGATGATAAACGTGAACATTTATTGGGAAGAGATTTCTTTTCTAATTGATATCCCGGGTCGGCGGGAATGGGATCGAGTGGAGTTCTTCACTTAGGATCAAGAGGTCGAATACACACACAGTTGTCCCAGAGTGGCAGTCAAGACATCTAACATTTGGGGTTCCATACAGAGGAAGGGAAGGGTTTGGCATACGCATCTTCGAACCAGAAAAAGCACACGACGGCATGTGGCCACCCCTTCTCATGTATCAAAGGGGAATCTGGTCTCAAGGGGCCCGACAAATGACGAAGGTCTGTCGTTTCTTCCATCTTGACCGAACACACATGCCAAACTCAGGACCATTGACGTTCTTGGCGAGCGACCTCTGCGCTATTTCATCCTCTTATACCGCCTCTACGCTATCCTGAACTTTGGCCCGTTTGCCACGCGTCGACACATGACTGTGGCCAGATGTGATTGTCTTGTGCATGAAGGCATAGCATATGGGGAGAAAAAAGAAACCTGCAGGATATTGGGGTGGATACCATACTTGAAGTGATCCCAGGAGTAGTACCTCATGGATTCAATTGAGTGGTGGGAGCAACGGCTACGATACAATGGTCAAGAAACAAAGTCAAGATGCTAAATGCCACTGTTGACCTGTTGTTAGCGCCAGGGCTGTCAAACTTCTTTTCATTGAAAGAATGCTCTGATCGAATTCGGTCAGAGGGTGGCATTGAGCCTGTCTATATACCTATCTAACGAGTGTTCGTCATCATTGTTGCCTGTCAATGGAAAATAACCCGGTCCGTCTTGAACGATAGGCCACCAATGGAAGAATTAGAGCGTACTCTTTCAACTCAAGTCGTACGAGAAGTCTGACAGAAGTTTGATAGCAGCATTTCAAAGGGGGGATGCCTGAAGAGAAACAAGAGAATATAATCCAGACCTATTCAATTTCAGAGATCATCCATCATCTAAGTATACAATCCTCTGTTCCCAGACCATCGCAGTTCTCCGACCAGGGCCTCACAAGATGGGAAGAAACAAGGAGAGCTTGCTAACGGAATCCGGCTGATATGTTGATATACTTGACTTCCTTATCGGCCACCAGCTCGATGCCATGAGCAGCCAAGCTCCCAAGTGTCTTGTGTGCCACGAGCTTTCGAGACTGCTTGGCCCGGCGATCTTGTTTCTCTTTCCATATCTGGTGTCTTTCCCAACATCAAAATGCTTCTCTTCCTCTAGTGGCTCTTATCTCAGCCTGGGCATAGATAACTCACAATCAACCCAAATTGCCGCGTCGGATTGCCTAGATTGGTGCAAATGCTATCTGCGAGACGATACAAAATGAAGTCCAGCATCTCGTCTCGGTCGCGTCATCTTCATACCTCTGAATATTTGTTTCATCTGAGCAGAACCTTCCGTCAGGACCCAAAATTCATCACATCATGAAGCCAGACGAGGGCAAGGATGTGGCCCACGTCGGACCAACCACTGACGAACCAGGACTGTCAGCCGATGAAATCCAACTACGCGCTCAAGGACATATTGGAGAGCTTCCACGTCAGTTTGGTGCTTTCGCTACCATTTCACTGGCTTTTAGCTTGACAAACTCCTGGGTTGGCTATTCGGCGGTCTTTGCGACACCGTTGTTTGCTGGAGGCGGGCCAACCGTCTTCTTCGGCCTCCTTGTAGCCTCGATCGCATGTTGTTTCATTACCGCTGGCCTCGCGGAATTGGCCTCTGCCTTCCCTTCTAGCGGAGGACAGTATCAGTACGTTTCGCACGGCCCTATATATGTCATGGCTCCTGTTGGCCGCTAATGCCTGGCAGTTTTGCCTTCATGGTTTCGGCTCCGTCAAATCGGGCAGCAATGGCCTTTACAGTTGGTTGGCTAAGCGTTATTGCTTGGTGTTTGACCGCCGCGTCCGCCAACATCTTCTGCGCCCAAATCATCCTCAACCTGGCCTCCTTCTATCACCCCGACTACGTCTGGACCCAGTGGCAGGTTTACCTCATCTACGTTCTTCTCTGCGTAGTGGCCGTCGCCGTTGTCATCTTGTTACCCCGGCAGATTCCCCAGGCTGAAGTGGTCTTCTTCCTCTCCACCGTCATCGGGTTCGTCGTCTTCTTCGTTGCGGTTCTAGCTGCAAGCGAGACCAAACAGTCCGCTTCGACAGTGTTCACTGAATGGAACAATCAAACCGGATGGGGAGACGGCACTGCTTTTCTCCTTGGTGTGGGAACTTGCATGTACACTTTTTTAGCAACGGACGGAGCGACTCACGTGGCCGAAGAAATGCCGAATCCAGGAAAGGGAGTACCCCGAGCCATGTACCTAACCATGATCATCGGCATCACGACGGCTTTCGCGTGGACTCTAGCCATTATGTTCTCATCATCCGACTTGGAAGAAGTGTCTCTTTCCTATCTACCCATTCTGACTGTATACTACCAAACGCTGGGATCGAAAGGAGGAGCAGCGTTCTTTGCATTCTGGCTTCTATTCATCTACTACGGTGCCACGATCACCTGCTTCATCACCGCAGGGAGGCTCACTTGGGCTTTTGCACGAGACAACGGCTTGCCTTATAGCAGAGTCTTTGCTAAAACGCATCCAACTCTTCGGGTTCCTGCCAATGCTACTATTGCAACTGCCGTTTTCTGCATTTTGTACGGATTGATCTACATTGGTTCGACGACGGCTTTCAACAGTTTCATTTCGCTGTCTATCCTCGGCCTGAATATCACATATGTGATACCACAAACCATCATCGTCATCCGGGGACGCGAAAAGGTCTTGCCGAAGCGCCAATTCAACCTGGGTCCAATCTTCGGCCCGTTTTGTAATATTTTCTCTACTCTGTGGATGATGCTCTACACAGTCTTGTTTTGCTTCCCGGTATTTCTCCCCGCGACTGCTCAGAACATGAATTACTTGAGTGTGGTGGTGGTGGGAGTCGGCTTGTTCATTCTCCTCGTGTGGTGGACTGGGAAGAGAAAGACCTTTACAGGGCCGAATATCCAAATCGATGGACTGGAGATTCTGAGTGCCGCCAATACTGGAGCTGTTCGGGCTGGTAGTTTCACCACCGCCACCGGGTCAGGGGAGAAATCGTTCCCTCCGGTCTAGAGGCGGTCAGGAAGAAGGGTCACGTGGGACGATGATTTATATCCCAGAAGAATGAAGGAGCCATTGGGATGCATTTCAACTGTTTCCAGTTCGAATTTCTGTTTTAATCAAATGACTAACAAAATCTTCACTGACCAACAGGCCCTGTCAGCGTCTTTCTCACCGAACTCGGTCGGCCATTACGTCGAACAGAACAATTTACATGAGTTCGAAAGAACTGTTGTCATAATTCATCTTAGCAAACATCACCTTGGCTAATGGACTATTGAGCAGGTATCTCCTTTTTCAACCCTATCTCCGCCTGATCAAAGCGTATCAACTCCGAACTCTTCGACACCAATACAAATCGCGAAATCATTGACTGGAACGATTTCTCGATCCGCAGAACTGTGCAAATTCAAATGTGCCGCGCGGCGAAGATGTTCTGGGGTCAGTTTATCCAGATGGTGTCTCATAACTAGAGTCGTCCGCTGGCGAGCGGCCGAGATTTTTTTCAACGCGGTGCAGATCATATTGAACTATCCACAGAACCCTACCGTCCAATGAAACCGCAAGCGACGATACTCTTGCAGAGATTTTGGATCCCCCAACAAGGAAGGACGAGAAGGTCTTCGCTGCGGGACCCATGGACCATATTCACCTGCACAACTTTCCTTTGTCTCGGTATGGTAGCGGTACGATAGTCACCAGAGCTGAAAAATTTACGCCCAACGTTCTTCAGAAACAATCTCGGCCACCTGGTCCGGTCCAATTCCTCACGAAATTTGAACCTTTACTCTGGGATGAGGGATTGTTACTCAGTCATTGATTTGTCTGTCTAATCCTAATCTTCGTTTGATGAAACAAAGTGGAAAGCAAAAAGAAAAACCGTCATAAACATAACAAGATGCGGATCATATCCTCGTAGCCGGACCAATTGGCTTGAATGTGGATTAAAAAAAGCTCCCCGGTTTGACCGAATTGCATTAGACGCAAAAAATTGAGAGTCGAGTATCGAATCCCATCCCCATTGTATCACATCACATCACATCGTTCGCGCTGTGAACCTCTTGAAAGCCAAATGATTGTGTCATCTTCATGAACCGTTAATGTCATGATCTTCGCAATAATTAAGAAACGAAAAAAGGTCGTAATGGCCGTCAAGATCAGAGGAAAGCCAGCACATGTTCATGTTGATTATCGCGTATTTGCCCTCGGAAAGCCCACCGGCGGAGGTGGAGGTGACGGAACATAAGCCGGTTGCTGCGTAAGTGCTCCGTAAGGGTTGTCGTCAGAATAATGAATCGAGGTACCAGTGCTGTAAGGTGGTGCTGCAGGAGGGTGATAAGGGTCATGAGCATACGTCCCAAGGTTGGGCATGCTTCCTGTGAAACCGTTGTCGATATAGTGGTGGGCGGCAGTCATACTCATCTTCCTTCTTCGTGCTTCCCGTTTAGCTCGGTGTCGCTCATGTTTATCTGCTTGTTCTTTCATCCTCTTCTGAGCCTCACGTAACTCCTGCCATTCACTGTACGCCCCTTTAAGACCGAGGGCAGCTATACCAATACTTGCGGCATCTTGCAACCTGTTCTTGTTCTTCTCTTTCTGTGCTTGTTCTGGACTGATTTCACCCTCCTTCAAGGCATGCTTTCGAGCTTCCCTCTTCTCCATACTTTGATAGACACTGTGCGCCGCGTGAATGGTCGCCACAGTGGCAAGACCTCCCGTGAGGACCATTTTCTTGCGACTTTTCTTCGTCTTCTTCTCATCGTCGGAACTGGAGCCGAGGTCAGAATCCGAGTCTGTCTCTGGGTCACCGGTATGGCGCGGGCCGTAGTCAAGTTCATAGCCAGGAGGCGGTCCTCGAGGGAGACTCATGGCACGGGGGGGGGCCCCATGTTGGGGTTGAATTGTACGTACATCTCTGGAATCATTGTATCCATATCCTCCGTTTCGACTGGATCGACCATCGTCGTAGTAATCGTCATAACTTCGTGAGTGTCGGCGATCTGGGTCCACCTTGTCCGCGGCATCCTTCAAACCCAGGGCCGCAAGGCCCTTGGCCGCCATGGATGACACGCTTGCACTTCGCTTGCGGCGTGGTGGTGGGCTTCGACTGCCGTAGGACGAGCTGCGAGACCGAGATCGAGACCGACCGCGGGAGCGAGAGCGCACATGATCGTAGACTTTCTTCGCAGCCGCCGCCATAACACCGCCAGCCGCCAAATCACCAATGCCTCCACGGGACTGGCTTCGACCACGACGACTGTCCGGACTGCCATTTCTACCGCGGGATTTGGATCGTGGTCCATTGATGATGCGGTTGGTCGCCAGACCAGCCAAGGCAGAGCCGACAATGTCACGCTTCTTGTGATGATCCGGGTCACGACGGTCGGAGATCAAGCCATCGACACCTCCAGCAGCAAGAGCGGCCGTGAGAACTCGTTTGCCTTTATCGCCACCCCAACCTCCTGGTTCTTTTCGAGCACGGAAGGCTTCGCTGGCGCCCGCCAACACGGCGGCTTTGATGGCTTGAGAGACTTGTTCGCTTTTGACATTGCTGCGACTCTTGCTTCGGTGTCGAGATCGATCCGAATCTGATCTATCACGACGGCTACGGCTCCGACGACGGCCACCGTCACGGTCACTGGATCTTGATCTATCACGACCCTTGCCGAGGAGAGCTCCGGCAACACCTCCCAAGCCCAGACTGCCCAGTAACTCTTCGGTGGTGGACTTTCTGCGCTCTTTCTTTGGAGGCGTACGACTGCGGGAGGAGTCGTCTGAGTAGGAGTCATGGTGCCGGGACCGGCCTGGGATGTTTTAGTAGTGGACGCGGCGGATTTCACAATGCTCGGACTTACGTCGGTCATCATAATCTCGACTTCGGCGCTTGGAAGTGGCAACGGTGTAGTCGTCGTCACGTCTTCGGCGGGACACATAGGAGCGATCATCGTAGCGATCATCATAGTAACGGTCGTCGGTGGATCGGGCACGGGTAGGACGATGGCCACTTTTGCGCACCGTGGTCTCGCGATAGTAAGCGCCGCCGCGATCCCCCGGAGCAAAGTCTCGGGAGACTTCCTCGATGGAATCAGCACTGTCATCACGACGTTTGACTATGCGAGTTTCTCGGGTGTCCTCGTCATAGACGGTGTCATCATAATCATCTCTTCGTGATCGCTCCCGAGTGCTCCTGTGTCGGCGCGGTCGGTCGTCGTCGTAATAGGACATTGTCAATCGTCTTCGGTATGCGGGGGCAGAGAGGGTATGAGGTTGAAGCCAAGTAAAGTGAAATATTGTCCTGTAGCCCAGCGGAGATCCGGGATTACGGTAAGGGTCGGGTCGTAGCGAATTTTACTCGCGGTCACACAGGCTGTTGGACTTGGTGATATGAAAGGTGAGATGAAGGATGTCAGAAATGGTTGGGAAGAGACGATGCGATGAGGACTCTTTTTGAGGGCGAAGGATGGAATCTAGGCAGCTTGGCAACTGGCAAGGCTCCCTGGCAAGGCGAAAGTTCTGAATGAGTTGGATCTTTCCTGTTGATGAATAATTGGAGGCTGATAGCAACCGGGAGAGGGAAAATGACGGCAGCTGGTGAGTGCGGAGGGGCTTAACTTTAAATGCCACGCCAGGAGGCCACTACGCAATTTTGTTGGGTTGGAAAAGTTTTGAGAGGAGGTCTGCAGGCAGGAAAAGTGGGAAATTTTGGGGGATCAGCGATTTCCTTTGCCAATAGGTGAGCAACTCCAATTGGGCATGATGGTTGCTGTAGCTAACCAGGTAGTATTTCACCGGTCGACGAGATGGAAGCGAAAAGGCGAAGAGGCGGAATGGCATACCCGCGCCCTGCCGCAGTCAACCAACTGCTCTGAGATAGAATGCGGCGGTGGCTGAGGAGAACAGAACCTTTCACAACAGAAGTTTGTGGCGATGCTCAGTGGCTTATACAAATCCATTGGGCAAGTTAGCCAATAACATTCGTCATTCTTCTTGCTGGATGCCCTTTTACCGCCACGTCATAGTCCACGAGATCAGCTGGACAATGGGGATCTTTGGGATTGATTTTCATCCCTGATTGCGGGAACTTTGAAGGTTGTGTTGGCCGGTCAGCCTCATTGGTCTCTCTTCAAGTGTGCCTAGTGAGCGCCTTTCCTCTGCACTCAGCCTACTTAACTCACATGCAGTGTACCCTCGATTCTTGTCTGTACCACCCGACCACTCGCGAGAGAGGTCTTGCTATGAGGTATGAGGCTGCCGCCCTGCAGAGGAGCGAAAAGCGAAAGGGCCAGAGGTCCCTGACACGTGGCTATCAAGGGGTTTGCTTTTTGACAAGAGTCGGTTTCAGATCCTCGTGTGAGTCTTTGTCTTTTATATTGCTTTGCTGTTGTTGGTGGTCCATCCAGCGTGCAATGTACCAGCTGCATACTGAGTAAGTGCCCGCTCTGGATTGGCTCATTATGAATAACTCCCATTCTTTTCCGGCAGTCTGGTTCACACGTAAGCCAACTGTCAGGAAGGGATTGTGGGAGAAAACGTCATGGTAGTTCCTGAATTCCTTCTCCTGGATGTGCCACGTGCGGTAACCGACCGATTCGGAGTGAAAGGGCTTCTGTACGTAGACAACAGACAGCAGACAGAGGCCATGAAGTCTCGGCGACTGATGCACACGGACTGGAAATATCCCCTACGGGTAGAAAACAGTTCTGGCATCAAACCTGATTGTTGACGCTTGAGATATGTAGGCTCGAAAAGATGAAGGCCAATACTCTTGTATGTGTTGCTATATGTACTTCTGCAAGTGGCAAGTGGTATGGTATGATAGTCAGCGGAGATAGCTGTAACAAGGTTTCAAAACCAGGCTTTAAGTCTTGGGTCTTGGATCGAAGATTTGGGCCTGGATCGCTGCTTGATGTTCAATCAGATGTGATATCCAGCCTGTCACACTTCAAGGCCGAAAAGTGACATTTGGTGCTCCTGCGGCGCTATTTCGGCAACCGTATCGAATGGTCAGATAGACCGCAACATTGAATCTTCCACAGCTTCCCTTATTCGGATGTTTCATTCCAAATAAAGCTATGTGGCAGTTATCAATGGAGACTCTTGAGCCCCAACCGAGTCCAAATGCCATTGTGCTTGCGAAATTTGTAATGTAACTCCAGATTCTTGTACTTCACCAATCTTAGTCATTACATGAGATCAGGGGAAATGTTACCTGCACTGGAAAATCTAAAACACGGCCCTTCCGCTTTTCTTGGATCACGATCTGCTTATGTGTCGGTCGATCCAGCCTCATCTATCTGTCCTCTGACTGCAGAACCCCATCCACCAGAGCCTCAGTCGCTGATTCTCTCATCTTGCAAACTGCCAGATCCGAATCTGATATGACGGCACTGAAATTGTCGGTGACCGAAAACGTCAAAACATTCGGAGGATATGGGAATGCTGCCAGGGTACTATTGTTGAAGATGATGATAGCTGGCCACAGTATTCTGTATACCTATGAAGGGGGAAGTGTATATATCTCTATCCGTATGTTTGCGTACTGGTATAGAATGACATGTGCCTGCAGGGCCTGCTAAATTGCTGGAAATGCTTTCCGTTCAGCCACTTTGCAACAAATTATACCGGGAGCTTAGGCCCTTGGCTTGAACTCTATTCGAATCGGCGATGCATGCATGATGCGATATCCAAAGAAACGCACCCTTCGGTGAGCTAGATCTATTGCTATTGGATTATGGCAATCTGCCACCAGGGGGGCCTGAATGCTTTCTCTCTTTCGTGCCCTTGCTTTTCCATCCAACCCATTTTCCCCCGCCGACTGCCATTTCCCACGAGTTAACTACGCCAGCGTGTGGAATGCCATTTCTAAACTTTGCCATACTTCGATCACCGATCCCCTCTCCACCTCACCATCCACCGACGCACTACTTCACCTAGTCGGCCCATTGCGCAACTCCCGGCTCATCAACTACTGAAAGATGACCTTTTCTCTCCCGTAGACCTCTTCTTCTGCCCAAACGATCGTACACGTCGACCGTTTCCACTGCCATACCGAATAACCAACCGCAAACCTACACTGGCCGGCTTTCATTGTCGAAGTGCGGAAGTACAACTTTCTTCTTTGTTTAACATACCAACTTCGCTCTCGAGAATTTCTGAGTCGCGTCTGCCTGCATAGTCGACGAATTCTCGTGATACTGCTCGTTGGCGCAATCCGCCGCCGAGACTCTCGACTCTTCACGGCAAGGCCTCTCGACAACAACACACATATACAGCAATAAGTTCTACGACGTGCGTGCGAGCGTCTTCTCCCAATTCATGGCGATGTTCTAATGGCTGTGGCAGTCGACTCCATACTTCATTTTGGACCAGCGGCCTCTGTCCGCTGGGCGCGTGGTGAGAGCGTCCAACAATGGATGTTCAGACGCACCCTCGAGAAGCACGTATCTTCTCGATCTTGAACGACAACGATTGTCCATCTTTTGTCATTCCCAAGAGGCAGCCATCTCCTACTCCGTCCAAGTCTTCCGTCTCCAGCTCCCCTCGGCAGAGGGCTGAGAGGCCGACTCTCCAGTCTCAACCGGCCTACGCTCGTACCTCCTCCTTTTCCTCGACCGGCTCTCCACCGCTCTTGCGCCTCTCATCGTCCTCTTCGAAGTCGTCGAGTTCGAGCATGGACTCCTCTCCATCTCCGGTAACTCCGACCTACAACTACATGGACAGCACACTCCAACCCTATGACCTGCTGATACGCCAAGACATGGCTGGCTACCTACAATCTCCCATCGCCATCACTCCAATCCTGGAACAACAGATGTTGATCGTTCCAAACATGCCTGACCCATATTCCTCCAAGCCAATTACCCCTACTCAACATCCGATTGCCCCGGCGCCTCTCCACCCTCTTCCACACTTGCCTGCAGGTCCTCCCTCCCATGCGTCCGTACCACCTCCACCCACCTCAGCTCCTTCGAGCCTCCAATCCAGAACCTCTCCAGCTAGAGCAGCGGCTCCTAGCAGCACAAAAAAGAACAAATATCCCTGTCCATACGCGCAATCGCACAATTGTCAAGCCACATTCACAACCTCCGGTCACGCCGCGCGCCACGGCAAAAAACATACCGGAGAGAAAGGCGTACATTGCCCCGTCTGCGATAAGGCATTTACGCGGAAAGACAACATGAAACAACACGAACGTACACATAAAAACTCTACATCGGCCAGAAATAGCGACGATTCGACACGTCGAAGCAAAGCCGCCATCACCAAAGACGCGCAAAAGGCCAAACAACCCAAAAAGGCGGACGCAACGATTCCGGACACGAGTCGACGATCCAGCCTGATCCATTCCCCTTTGTCCGAGGTTACTTCTCTTGCGCCCACGGCCATTGAAACGCCACTGAATGGAGAGGACCCGACCTTTTATAGCGAGCCATCCCGAATGTTCATGCCGATCCAGACCATCCCAGAGGGCGTGTCTCCAAACTCCCTCTACCCACCTTTGAGTGAGGATTCTCTCTTGGCTCATGCTCCTGATATGCAAGTACTCGACAAGTCTGCTGATCTAGGCACTGGAAGCAATGCTCCGATGCCACCAGCAACCCCACGAGGCTTCTCGGACCTGGACACCCTCGCGCAAGCCGCTGAAAGTTTCAATCCTTACTATCAACAAGGCTTGTAATTCCAATTTTCTCATCATTATCTCAACATTTTGCAAAAACGATGCTCACGAATACAAAAGAAAAGGAGGCGGCGGGCAATTTTGTTTCTGTTCCCTCCCATCCCTTGCACAGCGATGGCGTTTGAATGCTGCACGACTACAGGTGATCATGCTTTTGAAGGAGGGTCTTGTTCTCTACCACGGCCTTCCGCGCTCTCCGAATGGGATTTCCTCTATGAAACGGCCACCAATATATCCCAACAGGCATAGGGATTAGAAGTATCTTCCATTTCCGATACGACTTCTACTACTCGGACAACAAACGATTCATGATACCCCCAACTATTGTTATTCAATGTATTTCCGGAAAATGCTGTGATTGTTCACGGTTGCATCAGTTATCAGATGCTTGTAATGAGGAAACAAGGAGGCGGAATTCTCCATCGGGCCATCGTGGCGATGACTCGGTTGACCCAGCGGTCACGCTGTCCTACATGATCGAGTTGGAGTGCAACTTGTATCTTGGTGAAATATAACAATGACAAATGAATCTAAAATGTACGAATGATTCTTTCGTGGGTCTGGCCTTTCGTCGAGTCCATGTTTTGTTACCTACTCGTACTCAGGAAATTCCACGGAAAATTTAATGGCGCCAACATCGATGTTCTCGCACAGTTTGATGAGCTTTTCGTACTACATAATGAAGCTGATACACGAAAAAGAACCTCTCTTTTGCCCCAGTGTTCAGCCGGTTGGTCTACGATGAAGATCTTCAGACATCACATGATTGCTTAGGCCTGGCCTTTGAACAGACCTGAGGTCTGTCCCGGGCACTCCTTCGGTACATCAGCATTATGGTCAACCAAGAATCAGGTTCGTCGCGTCCATCTACACTTTGACTTCATCAATAGCCACAACAGTCTTGTCTTCGGTGAGAGCAAGAGTGTGGCTTGCAATTGAATACTTGACTGGGTTCTTCGCCTCGAAAATTTTGTCAAGTTCCTCAAGCTGTTCACAAGGTCAGCATAGTCAGGGGATATTGCATATACGTACCGTGCGCTTCCTAGTCTCGGGGAAGAAGAAGTATGCAAGGACTCCTTGAACAGCGGTCCAAGCCACGAAGATGATATACGTCTTCCATTCAATCTGTTTGATGGCTATTGGCCACGCAAATTGATTAATCAAACCTGCTGCGTTGACGAAGAACGACTGGAACGCCATGCCCTTGGCTCTGATTTCGAATGAAATGCATTCAACCGGGTAGAGAGACTGCAACGGGGTGATATTAAACGAGTAGACAGCTCCAAAGATGAAGATGAAGGCGAGAACTGCGTTGCCGGCGGCTTTGTTGCTGAAAACGGCATCTCCAGCGTCGACGCTTCCAGAGACCCGAGATTGAGCCAGTGTTCCAGCAGCGGCAGTCATGCAAATCCAGACAACGGAGACACCAAAAAAGCCGCTGAGCATCATCTTGCGACGACCGATCCTCTCCACGAAATGGGCTCCAAAAACGGCAAACACGAACTGGAAAACGCTGTACCCCAGTGAGACATCGGCCTTGCCGATCGAACTGTTCACTCCGGCGGTGTCCAAAACGGCGGCCATGAAATAGGATAAAGGTCCATTGCCGCACCCTACAGATATGTAAGCGGGGTTGAGCAATGCGAGCTGTTTTGTTTCTGACTTACATTGACTGAAAGCCGAGAACCAGCAGGCAGTGGCAACTCGGTAGATGCTCGACCTCTTGTTGAACAGGCCACGATAATCCCACCAGCGTTTATCCTATTTGTTGTTAGTTCCCGGCGTCGATGTACGGCACCAAAACGTACTGAACCATCCATCTCAAGGAATTCCTCATATTCGGAAAGTTGAAGTTTCACCCAGGCGGATTCACTGTTGCCGTATCCGTGCCATCTGGTGAGGGTGCAGATTGCACTCTCCCTCTTTCCACGAGTGTAAAGCCATCGTGGGCTCTCCGGAATAAGGAAACAGAAGAGACAAATGAGACCGGGGAAAACCATCTGAAGCCAGATGGGGACCAGCCACGAGTTGTTTCCCTGAATGTCCAGACCTCCGCGGGTGGCGCCGGAGGACAAAATGGCACCAGCAAGCCAGGTGGTGTTGCAGAGGCCTGTGATGACACCACGATACTTTGGATGCGCAGTCTCCACCACCCAGATGGGTCCAGCTGCAGCGGCAATTGAAACTCCAAAGCCGAGAAGGAAACGACCACCCATCATCTGGCCCTCGGATGCATTGGCAGAGGTGAGGCCCTGAACAACGGTTCCGATCACGATGAGGAGACTTCCAATGAACATGCCGACTCGACGACCCCATTGATCGATAGAAGGACCGACGAAGGGCAGGGCGCAGACTCCGCCGATCTGGTACATGGAGGTAATAAGTCCGGCCCAGATACCTTTGTTCTCGCCATGGAAGTGAGCAAGGAAGTACTCCTTGTTGTTGAGCAGACCACCAAACAACATGGTGTCGTATCCATTCATAGTCTGACAGAAGAAGCCGATGAGGAGGGCGAGGAAAAGAAGAAGTGTTCGTGGATGGGTCAATTCCACAGGTTCCTGGATCAATGCTTCGTTGAAGGCCTCGCTTCCCTTGACCTCTCTGATCTCAACAACCTGGCTCCCCTGTCATATTAGTTCACACCACACCGACGATTATAAGTGCTGTTGTTAACTTGCATCTTTGTGTTTGTCCGTTGAGCTGACTTGCTCAATCGTCTGAGCTCCATCAGCAATCTTTTCGGCCGTCGACATGCTGGTTGATCGTGCCGTCAGTCCTGGAGGTGAAATGAAGCGAGCGGGTTGAGGGATGATTCACGATGAATGCTGGACATTGACAGGCTCTTATCAACATTTGACGGCTGGCCAAGAATCGCCTAGGACGGACCTCTTCTACACCGTTCCTATCCTGGTTATTCTACAGATCAGACCATGGCTAGCATCTCTGGAGAGAAGGCTTCCCGATGTGATGCCGAAGGAGGGGGACTTCCACGCCGGGGTTGACACTAGCATCGACCACGTTTCTGGCGCACCTTGGAATTAGAGAGTCCAGGCCCCTCCCAACTGGCGTTCTTCAATCCGGGGGAATACCAAATAAGGATGCGGAGTTAATCAGGAGACTTTGACGAGAATGATGGAGGAATATCTGGAGAGAATCGAAACACGACATGTGCAACGTTCGTGGCGTATCGCTCACGGAACTCCAAGACAACAAACCCATCCAGTGGCTAGGTTTAAGGACAAGTCATACCTTGGATCTAACCGAGTTTCCTGTCGTATCGCATCGGTCAAGCAGAAATGAGTGGAAATGAGTCCGCAAAGCAACGGTCGAGCCGAAGACGAACCTTCAGAACTCATCCCCCAGATTCGCCGGCTATTCTGGAACAGTTGCAAAAATACTTCAGTCTCATGACCAACCGTTGTCGATATTCTCGCAACCAAGCTTTTGGAAGTTCTCCAGACTAGAAAGGTGTCTTTGTGCCTCTACGCACGGAATGGAGCTCTCAGCATTTGTCGTAACGGTGCTAAAAGGAAGAGAGAGCATTTCGACTGATATTGATTGCTTCGAGTCTTGAGCGGCCAACCGTTGACAAAAGAAATGGGGCCGTTTTTAGCCAAGCAAAGACCCGGAAAGTTCGACTACATTTACCCCTTAATGACCCCAAGCCCGCCATAGAGCCTGCTGGTTGAGTAACTATTTCTCCTCCGATTGGTTGGACAGCTGATTCCTTCTCCCTCATCCCGAAAATTAGGCGAAGCACCGACAACCGGCCGGAGGGTAAGCCATAATCAAGCCACTGCCCGCTTCAATATTCAACTTTCGTCTAGTCCACTTTCTTGCCATCACCAATACCGCCTCGAACTCGAGTCCTCCGTGCCATTTTCTCGAAGCCGCAGAAGCCACGACCTGCACCTAAAATGCCCAGTGCGCGAACTCGATACTTCTTCTCGCTTGGCTTCTACTGCGGCCAATTCACAAACGCCTCGGCGTCTCATATTAAGGTTCATCCCCGGCCTTCAAATGACTAACTATCCTATTTATGGGAGCCAGCCTCGTAGACCAGAGACGTCTATGTAGGGTCTCAATATCGCCAACCTTCCGACCTCCGTTCTGCTTCCGGGACCCATCACGTCTGCCCAGCGGAAACGCACGGGGTGGTGTTATATCAAGTATTTGGGCCTCAGTCCTATTCCGGGGCTGTCTGGCTAATTCTCGGGGTCAAAGCCGTAGGCTAGGTAAGGATTCCATTCGCGGATGTTCTGGTTTGCTAGATGGTGTGTGAGTGGTGCCAAACCCGGCATTATCCTGCGTCTGTGTTGACAATACTATCGAGGCAGCAGAGGTGCAACGGACGTCTGATCAAGGATATGGCACCAAAAGACCGAATATGCAATGACAGATTTTATCACCATCCGTCTCGAGTTCTTCTGGAATCAATGCCATTAGGACGTCTGACCAGCCTTGGCTAGAGAATTTTACAGGACCGCTTTGCCTCTCGGTCGCTTCACGAGCATTTGCAGCTCTTGTTTGTCACATCATACTATTGCCGTATCAAGCAATCATGTCCGTCTCATTCGATGTCTCTCTCGTGCCACCGATTCTCTTTCCTGTTGCTGGAGGAAAGGGTCGCACTCTAACTATAGATCCACTTCTTCCCTTCAGACCGTTACCATGTTTGCCATGAGCTGTGGCAAATGGGAGAATTGTCCTCGCTGGGGTCGAGAGGCGGGCGAGATCGTGGATGGAGGAACCGATCATCGGGTTTCCCCTGACCCCTTCGGCAGAACTCTGGGCGCACAATGCATATCTCGAGGTTCCTCTGATATTTGGCACTTCCTCTGCCATTTTCGGAACGAGTTCAAGTACGGGCTAAAATCTCTTCGCACGAATGGATCTCTAACTTCATCTCCACGTCGCACCATTTGAGTACTGGAGGCCTTAAAGTTTGCAAGACTCCACGCCTTCGGTCTGGAGAGGAGCCCGTTGTCAAAGAGCGATCTATCTCCTGCGATGCCCATCCACCCTGGAAAACGTTCAACGACTTTTCAGACGAGGTTAATGAGGGCTGTCGTCCCGAAATGACGTTCGCATTCGTCCAAAGCCCCCATTAATTATGGGTTGAATGTGGTGTGGTTGAGTGCAAGCTAACGGTTTTGCATTGACGACGTCTCCCTCATATTTCTCCGCTATGATTCGAAATCTAACTCCGGGTCTCCAATTGATCTAATATCCCATCAGCAGCACATGGGAAACACTCGGCCAGAACCATGAGAAGCCGGTCGTCCTCCTGACTCGCGTGATAACTTCATCACAATTCAGCAAGCTCAAGTCTATCGCATGATGCCGTCAACAATATCCATTCCGACCGCGTGAAGGAAAAAAAAAAAAAAAAAAGAGGCAAAGAAAACTCAGCTTCACCCTTCTGTTCATTGAACATAATCACCCCTCAACCCTCGATAGAGGCCATCCCATGCTTATCATACCGACTGCCTTGAACAGGATTCCTCTTCAAGATATCCGCGATCTCCGCCATTTCGACATCCGACAGCTCAACCCGTGTGGAGTTCTCAATCACTCTTTCCGGCTTCGTCGCGCCGGGGATCGGTATAATAGTACCCAACGTGACCTGCTGTCCGTCCTCGGTCGTGATAGTCCGTCCACTGAGCCCACGCACCCACGCGATCGCAACTTGCCCCTTTGTCACGCCCTTGCGGGCCGCAAGCTTCTCGACCTCGTCGACAATCTGATTATTGAACTCCAGCGCATCATCCTGGAACCGGGGTAGAGTTTTGCGGAAGTCCCCGTGGGGAATGTCGCTATTACTCTGGATGCGTTCACCGGTCAACGCGCCGCGTGATAGCGGACTGTACGCGACGATCGGAATGCCCAATTTCGCGCACGTCGCCGCCACGCCATTGCGCAGGATGTCCGTGGTCCAGAGCGAGAGTTCGACCTCGACGGCAGCGATCGGATGGATCGCGTGCGCCTTCTCGATCGTGCTGGCTTTCACTTCGGACAGGCCGATGCCGCCGATTTTGCCTTCCTTGACGAGCTGGGCGAGGGTGGTGATTGTTTCTTCGAGAGGCACTTTCGGGTCGACACGCGCGCATTCGAAGATGTCGATGCTTTTCTTCCCATCGAGGACTGCGAGGCAGTCTTCGACGCTGCGGCGGACGTTTTTGGCGGATCCGTCCGGGCGCAACTCGCCGGGGGCTAGACCACCCTTGATGCTCAGGACCACTTTGTTGGCGTCATCGGGATAGAGCGTGAAATATTCGTTCAGCAAGTGGCAGGAGTGGCGGGTGGGGGTGCCATAGAGCTCGCCGCCGTTCCAGAAGTTGGCGCCTTGTGCGAGGGCGGTGGACATGGCGGCGTAGCTGTCGGTTGCCGGCTGCGGGTTGCGGCGCCAGGTTAGGCCCATGAGGCCGTAGCCGATGGGACCGATGGGCCTGGAGACGAGGGTGAGCGAATGAGACATGTTGACGTTGATATTGATGAGTTGTTTGTTTCAAAAGATTCAGACGATTTGGTGAGGTATGGAGTCTTTGAATCTTTTCGAGTATGTGAACGTCTGATACGTTCGATTTCGAATTTGTGAGGACTCTCTTTTCTGTCCGTTGTCCTAGCACAAATAACATGCAGTGACTTTTGTTTTCTTCGGGAGGCCACCTTGGTGGGGGCTATCACTTTGTCGCTGTCGTAATGTGATAGATGTGGACTGGGTCTCTGATCCCACCTCAAACTGAACTGAATCTACGGCTGTCTTGTCTCGTCTCGGTTACCGTATCGGGGGAATGTATGCTCCGGTGCAGAAGTTCGAGTCCTTTCGGTTGGGACAAATGAAACCAGACAAGAGAGCTGGCAGAGTGAAGGAATCAAGCTAGTGAGTCCTTGGGTATGAGATCCGGGATCGTTTCCTGCAGGTTTACTGAGAGAGGCGGATCAATATGCAGAGGAGCGGAGATATTGATGTTAAAGTGTTAAAATCCGTCATGTACCATAGACACAGGCAAACAAGAACAGGTCGTGATAAGCTGGGCGCATTAGATACGTACACGGCACCCAGAGCCCCTATGAGAAATAAACAAGATACTCACTGAACCGAAGAAAGAAGGGGAAAGGCTTTGCATCTCCATCTCGCGCTCGCGTTCTGTTGTTCACCGAAACCAAACACTCAAGTCCGCTTCACGAGTAATGTCAGATATAACGAGTATTCATCAAGAAGCCGCGGGCGGAGGACTGGCACTTGGTTTTCCTTTCCGAAAATCACTCGAGATTGACCGTAAAGACTCATTACACGCCATGACGAGAATGACGAGGCAGATGGAATTGCGGGACCAAGAAGATGAAAAGTCCTCCGAAACAGAAGAATGGACCGGTAAGACAAAAGGGTGGGATAGGTATGTTACGTACAGTATGTCATTTGTGCAATAAGATAATAGACAAAACTTCCAGATGCTACCTATGGAACACATGTTGATGTTGATGATGGTTTTCGGATACGCTGAGCGCAGAACAGAAGTGACGGACGGACGACTCGTCAACCAATACACACATTTCTTTCACATCCAGAAATGGCCATGATTGATCAAATATCGTCGACGATGTCTTTCACACTGCGCCATCATTCCCATGTTTCTCCCGGGCGGAATCTGATGCGACGGGGGCCCTCATCTTCCTTACCACCCCCTCCCGTATACACAACTGCCAACGCCAATCCTTGAGTCATTCATCATCTCTGTGAAAGTTATTCAAGGGCGTCAGTAGAAACACTTTTCCTCCCAAGTCCCATCCAATTCCCATTGCAGTCGATTCAACCTTCACCGATCTCAATGTTGAGAACCCTCTCCGGCTCTTGGTACATATTTTGATTAGAAACAATGCTCCCTTGCTTTGATTGTTCGAGTCTTGGTAAGAACGGTAAAAATGGGTGAGCCCGTGGTGGCTTCGCTCGCTGAATTCAGACGTCCACTCCGGGTATAATCTCTATGCTAATCTGGAGGCCAAAGGTTTCATGTCGCAAAAAAGAAAAAGGGCCAAGAACCCATCAAGTACTCCAAATTTCCCTGCTTCATGTGTGTTTATACCCGTCTTTGTCGTCAATTGGCCGGTCGCAATGCTGAAAAAGAGAAAACAGAAAAAGAAAAAAACGTCACTTTGATCAAGGGTATCATTTGTCGTCTTGTATCTTTGCACAGCAAATCGATTTAAGCCTGATGATGGCCCACCGTCGTGAACGAAGTCATTCAAATTGATCATTTTGGGTATCGGTGACGGTGTCACTCAAGTTGATGAGGAGTTGGGCGAGACATCGTTTGGTTGCGGCATCATCCCGAAGGACATTGGAAAAGGTCGCATCTCGCAGTGGCTCGGGAAGGCACTGTCGAAGTGCTTGACGTGCTCGGTTATTATCACTCAGCCTAGGTAATTTGTTAGTGAAAGGTATCGGGGGGGATCATTTTACGACCAACCTCAAAAAGCATCGAACCACATGTTTCAAAAGGCGGACTGTTTGGGTCTCCACCAAGCCGATGACCATATTGCTCAATACGGTGCCGACGGCATAAAAACGTTCATACGTGGCACAGATATAGCCGAGGCCTGTGTCGTCGAGTAAAATTTTCTGCACAATAAAAATAGCAACGGTCTTGGACAGTTCGCTGCCTGTTTCCATGATGCGGAGACACAGGGGGATGATTTCGGTGGTCAGGAGAAACGTGATGGTCGGAGAAGAGTTATTCGAATTTCCATGTGCTCCTGGAGTACCGCTCGGATTCATGGATACACTTGATGATGGTTCATTCTTGACCAGAGCGCCGATAACTCCCAGCGATGTGAGACGAAGATACTCAAAGGGCCTCGATTTAGACGTGGTGTTCAGGAAAGGATAGAGAAACAATGGAATATGAGCTGACCAGCTTCATTAGCAAAGGTTGAAGGAGTCTAGGGTCCATGTCAGGTGTCTCACCACTGAGAAAGAGACCCCGGGTCTCATTGTGGCTTGCCACACATTGAAGTAATGCCAAAGCATTGCATACACGGTTACTGGCAGCCGCGGTGAGTTGACTCGGGTTCAGGAGGGGATAGACTGAAATAATCTCCTGGAGTAAGCTGGTCATGACACCAAAACTGTGCCAGAGCACCAACGCGAGCTCGGGAACTTGTTCCCTCTTCTTGCTCAACTCCATCAATGCCCCTTCTCTTCTATTTGGGTCCATCAACTCGGCCACCCATTGTAAAACCTTGCGATTCTCTTCTGAAAGCTGTTGTTCCATGCCGGGAGATCCTTGCTCGTTCATTGTGGTCAAAGAGGCACCCATCGCGTTCGGGCCGTTATCGGCCGAGGACTGTCGGTTGTTGTTCTGCTGCGCGTGAGACGAGCTATGATTTTGGCTGATGGCAAGACGATTGTAGTGCTGTTGTTGAGCGGCCGCTGCAGCCACCGCCGCGGCCTGAGCTTGAGCCTGTTGTTGTCCATGACTCAAGCCTTGATGATTTTGCTGCGGCGCGTTATGCTGCCAGGCGGATTGTTCATGTTGGCCGTATTGTTGCTGGTGGGAATAAAGATGCTGGGTTTGAAGCATGGTGTGGGAAATCTCGGTTCGGTTCAGGTCAAGTCCAGTCAAAGTCGGGTCACGTCAGAGTCATTCTCGGCTGAAAGGGTAAGAGCGATAAGAATGTCGAAGAGAAGAGCGAGACACAAGCCGACCGGTAATTTGACGACAGATGTGACAATGCGGGTTGGATTGGAGATGGATGGGAAATACAATGATTGAATGGCAGGATGGGAGACGAGAAACAAGGGCAAGGAGGTGATGGTGAAAGCGGGGAATTTTGGTCAGCCTGATTCACCGCTGCCTTAATGAGCTGCAGCCTGGCGTCTCAAGACGAAGTAATTAAAATTGGCTCGCCGCTCACGTGCGACCCGCGCAGAACGTGCCGCTTTTAAAACCATCCTCTCCAGCACGCGCAGCAACGAAACGAAGGATCTAAGATTGGGACGACAACAGCCCCCAGCTCCCCTGTTTTGGTGGTTTTGCGTGTTTCGCGACCACTTCCTGTCTCCACGGTCCGCTAGCACACAGCCATTTCCCCCAACCCTATACCAATCTCATTTGCATAGGATCGGTGATACAAGTAAAAGCGTGAAACCCATAGGGTGGCAATTTATGGAAGCCCTTGACGGGACATTCTACCTGGGTCAAAGTCAAGTAGATCTTGGATGCGAAACGAATGGAAAGAGCTTGTCATGTAGAATGCGTTTGTATCTGACCATGGAGGTCTACCAGGGGAGGAACGGTTAGCCCAGGGACTGGATCGACACTTGTGAGTGTTTCGCCGAGTTCTTTAAAGGATCTCCGAAAACTCTCTACACAGGTAAGTGCACCGGGACAGCATCATGCCTCATCTTGTCCAAGACAACACTCAAGACGGTCGACGGAAATGTCGAATTCTTCGCACAAGCACCAAGGAAGTGCTGAATCAAAGGTGTCGACATGGGAACATACATCGATTCTTCGCGGGTACCCACACCAAGTTGCTGAAATACGTTATGCGGGTAGTGACACATGTCTTTTTGTTTGAACAACGAACAAACCTTCAAAAATCATCCCCGCGGTGAATGTTCTCTACTTTCATGTGAGATCCCAGGCAGATAGGACCTCTCTTTTTTTGCATTACAAGAGGATAAAACACCCAGACATTTGAGACGTATGAACGGTGGTACGAGCTTGATCCCTCTTTCAGACAGGCATTGGGAAGGCTCAGATCGGTCCCGACTGTGTGGCCGATCAGGAGGGGAAAAAAAAAAAAAAAAAGGTCATGATGAAGAACATGCCCAGGCATCGGAGTTTGTGTCAGTAGCAGGAGAAAGTCCGCGCCAGCAAGTACTCATCGGCGCCCCAGGCGAGAGGAATCCGTGCTGCCGTCCGACACCTTCCCCCTCCCTTCCCCCTGTGGCATGCGACTATTTCGGAAGTACGCCTACTCCATCATTGCTTCATTGAGGTAGTGGATGTTGCAGCGGCGTCGAAGTAGGAAGACTCCCGATCGGTGTTGTTTGTGCTCCATTTCGCAGCCAGGAATATACGACTGTTATACGGCAGCGACATGACGCATATGATGGAGGTCTCTATACATACGGGACGACGATTGTGTTCGATATACCGGAACGATGAAAGAATATTTGTTTATTTTGGGCATTTTTGGACAACGGCGGTCAGGGTTGGTTAACTATTCGAACTCTGCAGCTTTGAGTTTGGAGTTGTGCAAGAACCTTTTTATCGCTTAATGTAGTTGATGTGAGAAATGTAACCATGATGGCAACGGGTGTAGTAATACGATCACCCACCTACAGAGACGCATGTCTCAATCTTCTCAACTGCTGTTCGGAACACTAAGATCTTCCCAGCCGCCGGGATCGTCTCCTCCCCGTGTCATTCGAGGCTGTCTCCAGTGCCTTTTTCTCCTTCGCGGGCTCTTCTTTCATCTTCTTGCCGTTCTTGGCACCTTTTCCCGTGCCATTGGCCTCTACCGTTCCGTTAACCTTGGGCTGAGCCTCCTCTTCTGGCTCATCCTTAACCTGGGCCTTCCCGCCTCGAGCAGGAGTATTCTTTGGCATGACCTCTTCATCTTCGTCGTCAGCTTCTTCAGCAGCTGCTTTACGTTTCTTCCCCTTTGGCTTCTTCGGTTTCTCCTCGTCCTCATCAAGTCCCTCGGCTTCACTCATTTCCTTGGCCACGGGTCCGGTTTTCTTTTGCACAGACGGTACCACGGCACTGGTCCGCCCTCCTACGGTGAGGAAAGCGATCTTCTCACCATTTGGCAAAATATTGGCGTTTCCTTTCTTTCCTTTAGCCCAACGATGCTTAAACAACCAGTCATCCGGGAACTGTTCGGAATCAGCCAAGAGCTCGACTGCCGTTCGGCAAATGTAGTGGACGGATTGGTGTAATCGGGTGATTTGTTCGTCTGTCAGCGTGTTGGCGTATTGTTCAGGATGTATCTTTGCATTGTACATGATCTCGTCCCCGACCCAATTACCAATACCGCTGATAATTGCCTGGTCCAATAGCATAGCTTTGATCGGAACTTTCTTCGCTTTGCACTTCTCTTTCAACCAGGCCACGGTCACGATGTCCCTGTCGATAACCGGGTCCGGACCGTTTTCCTTCAAGGGTGTCTCATTCCGGATCTGGGATGCCGGGCAATCTACCAGTCGAATTCTGGCAAATCGTCTCATATCCACAAATGCCGCTTCAATTGCTTCTTCTCCATTTTCTGGTTTGGTTTCGATCATGAACTTCACGAATTTGGGCGGCCATGGTTCGTTCTCCCCACCCGCCTTCGGTTGGTAGTAGTAGGTGTGCTCAGATTTGAATTTCAACCAACCAGACATGCCAAAATGCATGACTGGATGAGGTGGGCTGGACATGATGATCCAGAAATACTTGCCCTGTTGACCTGCATCGACGATTTTCTTGCCAGTCATATGCTCCTGAAATTCGGCCGCTGACGTTCCAGCCTTGCCAAAGACATTGTTGTCTTCGGTGGCGATGACTTTGGAGAGGGTTTTGCCGACCAGAAGCTTTCGGATATAGTGTACTGTTCGTGCGACTTCGCCGATTTCAGGCATGGTGATTGTTGAGCTGAGTGGATATGGTGTGGGGAAGAATTGATTCTAGAGAAAGAGGAGGTTGGGAGTGATCAGCCTCTCAATCCTGAGTGGAATCTGGCTTTTGTCAAACTTGACGAGAGAGACAATACATTCAACTGAACGAACGCAAAATCCAATTCAACAACGAGAACGAAGAATCAATTGTGACGTACTTTTGTACATGAGGGGGAAACGATTGAGATGCCGAGTCACCAACGCGTATCGACGCGTAAAGTGGTTTGCTGGATCATGATGCAAGTTGGCTGACTAAGCTGCAGCACACCAGCTTGGAGCATCCACTGGACAACGACAATGCTATCTCCTCTAAGAGAGTAACAGGGGGACGACATTACATTGCCTCGGAGATATCAGTAAAGGATTGACTCCGCTGGACCTTCAATACATCTTAATTCGACTCAACATCGATCTCTCCCGAACTCACCCATCAAGCTGGCGTGGTTTTGGACATCGCCGTCACCTTCTTCCACGTCGACCCCGACATCAACCTCTCCTCCACCCGCTCATCCCCCGTCAGATCTACAAAGTCGCTCCCTCCCGGCTTCTCGACCACAGCCACGCCTCATAATGTCCAAACCAACCTCCCCTCCTCCCCAGCTCACACCACAATTCTGCTTTAACACACGGGTTCTCCGAGACTTCCTGCGCCTCTCCCGCTCCAGCATCGACGACAGCATCTCCACCAACCTCAATGCCCTAATGACCCCCTCCTCCACATCCCCCTTCGATCCATCCTCCACTTCGATCCGCAACCCGTCATTACCCTCGTCCCTAAACCCGCGCCAACCCATCCCGGCCTCTACCACCCAGGCATTTCTCGACTCCGTCTTGTTCCCTTCCTGGGACTCTCGGTCCAGCGTAATATCCTACTGCACGTCCGTCGCGACGTCGCCTGATCCCGACGACCCGGACCTCATTGAGCGCGAAGCCCTGAATCGGAAAGATGCCGACCGCATCGTGGACGAGAGACTTGATCCGTATTCCGGCCGTTTCTTCCCCCGCGAGGCACGGACGGAGCAGTTAGCTGCGCTGCTGAGGAATGAGAACGCAGTCGAAGGGATTGTGAGGACGAGGACATGGGGGATAGTCACGGAAAGATGTGAGGGCGTCGAAGGAACATGGGAGGATGCGTGGGAGAAATGGCAAAGGAGCAAAGATAAAAGTCCTTGATTTTGAAACTATGACATATTGAAAGTAATGAAAGTCATCGTTGGACTAAAGGCAGCTTCGAAACGGGTTGTCTTCATCTCATTTCGTCGGGATACATGTGTATCTTCAATCGTGAATGGCGCTCGGGAACGTTTGGAAAGCAAGCGAAAAGACCTGCTATGAGCCGAGCGTGTGAACAGGGAGGATGCACCGCGATGTTGCATCGGACCTTCAAGCTACAGAAGCAGCTGTAGGTGGATGAATGATCTGGACACTTCAGATCGCATGCTTATGTATATATATGACGTACAACTACTGTTACGATATAACAGGTGATCGAGATGGAATGGAACGGTGTGATGTTGGAATGGAAACGCCACTCTCGACCTAACCTGATATGATACATGATATAGAAACCTTTCCACTTAAGATTGATGAAGTGGACAGATGGACGACCAGGAATGCTCGGGGTATAGACATCAAACCTGGAACCCCAAAAGAGAGGCTTCATAGTAAATCTAAACCAAGGGTGTCATTCTCCACTCATTTATATTCCGATTTGCAGATTTACATGGTGGGTATCAATATACAACATAACAGATCGTAGAGCTAGCTCCCCAAGCGCTCTGTACCGTGTATGTCCGTTCCCTTTCGTTCATTGCGACTTCTCTTCTCATATGCATGCCAAAATGTCTTCCGTGAGTATATGCCGTTTAATTCATTTATGCAACCCCCTTTTCCATATGCAAACTGAGTTGTCTTTGCCATGCAATACCACATCGACTTATGTCTTTGCCACATCGTCCGAAAACTCACCTCTGGGCTTTCAATATAACGAGAGAGAGAGAAATTTGCTCAAGTTGATGGATGATCACCATCCGCCACCACTGAGTCCAGCGATCTGCGCGATCCGTTCTGTATCATTGAGATTCTTGCCGTTAGCTTTGCCTTTGCCCACATCGCTTTCAACCTGGCGGAAGCTGGTGTATGCGAGTTTCTCGAGTGAGACATTAACGAGACGCGACCAGTAGTGCAGAAGTTCCTGGATATCCGGGACATGGACGTCGTTGATGACCATCCGTTCTGAAACCTCGTGGTGGTAGTTACCGTTGACGTGCGTGGAGTCAATGTGTCCGTTGCTATTGCCGTTGGTCATGTGCACATCGCCATCCTCTTCTTGCTCTTCCTCGGGATCCACATCCGAATCGGCGGAGAAATACGCCTCGTCGACACGCTTTAGCCACTCCTTTTGGCTCTGTGGGCTCGATCCATTCATGATTGCCACCTCGCCTCGCGTCTGTTGGAGGATCATAGCTACATCATCGACTTTGATCTGGCCGCCGCCATTGGTGCAGCCGCCGGGACATGCCATGACTTCGACATAGGCGTAGTCGCTGCCACTACCTCCACCAGAAGTAGCGGACCTTCTCACAGCACCAGGTAATTTTGATTGTTTCGGCGGTTTCAGTTTGCGGACGAGATTCTGAATATTTCGGAATCCATAGTATCGAGCGCATTTCATGAGAGATTGGCCCGTGGAGGAGAGAAGTGTATATTCCACGACGTCGGCGTTACGGCCTCGCTGCACGGAGATGGTGCTGCCCGGATTTTGGGCTTGTTCACTCACGACGACGTGGTAGAGGTAACCACCCGAAGAGCCGGCGGCGGTGTTCTGTTCACTCCGCCGTCGAGGTTGGGGGAAGAGGAAACTTGCGATGCGGGAGTCGGGAAAAGGTGCTCGCTCGGAAGAGGAGAGTGGCTTCAGTGGCAGTTGACAGAGCTGGACACCGCGCGCGTCGGCGAGGGAAAGCAGCTCGCGGGAGGTGATCACACAGTCGACATCTCGGACAGGTGTGTTGGACATATACACATCCATAGCATCGTTGGAAGGCTGCCACCAGCGATCCGTGAGTTCTTCTCTGCTCGCTTCGAGTTTCTTGTCAAAACAAGGCATTATTGCCAAGTGCCATATCTGTGAAGGATGAATACCAAGCGTCCGGCTTAGGACGGACTTGAGTAGTGTTCCCGACAACGCTTGAGGAGACTTCAAGGTCGACAGATGCGGGAGGATATGAGGATGTGTCTTTTCCGCATAGCAGATCCAACCGGGACAAGCAGACGTCAAGACCGGTTTTGGTTTCGACTGGTTGGCTATGACATCTGCGACCTCTTCTGCTCCGAGCACGAGACAGGCTTCTCGAATTTGATTTGTGTCCACCACATATGTGAAACCACTATGGTGCTGGCCACCTATCCGCAAGCCTTGTGATCCACTTAAGAACTGTTCAATCATAAACCCAGCTCTTTTCTCTGATATACCATACGTAGCCGCAAGACTGGCACGGACTTGCGGGCTCACGCTGGCGACGAAGACCTTCGCATTCGAAAGAGGAGGCACGTGCCCGTTGACAACGCCATTTTTACGGTCGATCAAATACCGCGCGTCCAGAGAACGGTATGAGTCGAGGGTATTCAGGACTTCTGTATGCGACTGGAGAGAAACGAGGACTGCCTCCGCGGAGGTCACACAGCCCGAACATGCCAGGCAATCGGTCAGCGAGACGGATGCGGGCGCGGGATTTTCCGCCTGGACTTTGTCTTCGGTCGTGACTTCGTAAGGGTTATAATTCTCTTGTTTCGGGAGGGTCTCGACGGGTTTAATGCAGGCGACACCGGGAGATATGAAGTCGTTGAGGTCGTCCACGGACAAGATTGCACTCATGGTCGAGAAGTGGCGACCGCGGCAGGGGCTGTACCTGGTACCGACGAAGCTGTGGTGATGTCTTCAATTACAGATCCGGTGAAAATGAGTTGCTCGTGATCGGAATTTTCAAGCTGAGGAATGCAACAAAGGCTGTTGACCCGTTGAACAAATAAGGCAGGAAAGGAATTATTAATGGGTTAGTAGAGTTCTCCGAGGACCGGCTCCGGAGATGTTTTATTTTTATTGGAGCTGAAAAGATTTTTCCCCGGGCCCACAATAACAATGAATTATCGATAGCGATAAGCTGCTCCGGACGAGGCTATCGGATGACTTCCCAGCCAGTCAGAATGAAGGCAATTCTATCCGTCGTCAACAAGAGAATCCCAGGCGCGAGAGGGTAGAGACTGACAATTTGATTTCAGCATGCATTATTGGGGTGATGGTATGGATTTTTGACTCGAACCCCTGCTAAAATATGAAAAGCGTCTTTGATGTCCACATGATCGTGCAATTTTCATCACCGAGCCCATCACAGTAAACTTCGACCAATCGCTATGCATAGTCACCACATCATCCATCCCGATCACCCATCGATGTTTTTCTCGTGAGCCATTGTAAACAGGCTCTTGCAGATCGGATTTGAACGAGGCTTTGTCGCGGGAGACGAAGTACATCGCCATTCGACTTGGGGGACCAAAACCTCAAGAGTTTGAGCACGCAACCTGATCGTACACCAGACCGTAGATTTCCGCTCTGTGCCATTCAAGGCTGGAAGATCGGCGTCATCAGCATAGAAAGCGCCGCCCTTTGAGCTGAGGGATCGAATACGATTCATCGAAGCTCTCGAAACCAAGCAGATCGAAAACGGTCTGCACACCATCCAGGTTTTGTACGACTTTTATCCAGCCCTTGTTCGTGTATGCGAACGGTGTGGCGCCCAAGTTCTGAATAGCCTCGTGATTGCAAGCAGAAGGGGTGCCGTAGACTTGGGTACCCTGAGCTTTGCACGGCATCATGAGCGTATAGCCGACAGCGCCATTTATGCCGTGAATTAACACCTTCTGGCCCGGTGGAGATTTTTCCTTGTTTGACCATGGCGTACGCGGTGTTCCAGTCGATAATTAGCGCAGCCGCGACTTTCAACTCCAGACCCGACGGTACTGGAACAAGGTACTTCTCACGCTGGGGGATGAAAGTGGTTTCTGAGCCGTAAGCCACAAGATCTCCGACTGTGAATTTCGTGCTGTATGGGCCATTGGCATGAACAGTGTCGACGAAGCAAGAGCATGGCCCGAGTCTCAGCGCGAGCGAACCCACTGTAAAGCACCTTGACTCGGGGCCTCGTCGGGTGCCGGGTCAGGTTATGATGAATTGACGACAGGGGCATTTCTGTCCTCCAATGGCGGTGATCAAAATCTTCTTGATCTCAATAGACATTTTGTTTGCGAACAGTGAAAGAAGGAATTACCGATCGGTTTCTCGGTTGACATGGGATTGTTCTGTAGCTAGATGTGAAGCTGGTAGTGCTCCTGGCGGCACCATCATATGAACGTTAACTTATAAATATCTTGAATCGTCAACGGAAGGGAGAAATCCTTGCGAACTGGAATGCCTGAGTGGCGCCGGTTTGTCTAATCGGCGTGGACGCCTTGTGCATGTCCCTGAGATTTTATCCGCAAAAGCGACGCTTTTGCGTGGACGATAAGATGAGCCGACTTATGTCAGACTAGGTATATCCTTCGGGGACAAGCAGCCTCCCCCGAATACGATACATGGCTAAGATCAGGAGCCGGGATACGGAGCCGAACGTCTTGACGAATTTCACCAATGTGAATACCCATCATCTTGTACAACTCGAATAGGAAAAGGAGTTGGGAGTTGGCATCAAGATGTCGAGTCAACATGTACACGTTCAATCCACATCCGGAAGAGAGGCACAAAATAGCTGACTTTGAATACAGAGTCTAGCTGTGGTTGTGACCGTGAAGCCTCAGGCTCGATTCTTCTAGCTTCAAGAGGGCCTGATTTCTTCGGTTTTCTTTTCAGCCACTGCTCCCGTCAGGATGAAGGCGCTCAAACCATCAAACCGTCCAATGTCTTGTGGAAGATGAAGAAATTGCTAGGAACATCCGCAGGGTCGCTGAGGACGGCGAAAACAACATCTTCCCACCAACCACCCGAGAACTCTGGCTCTTGCAAAACTTGCTCCCAAAGACGACGAACCTCCTTTGGAGGATTGTTGAAGGCACCGCATCCAAAGGCACCCAACACGATCTTGCGATGTTTGTTCTTGATTGCGGTCCGCAAGATAACACGCATTTTTTCCGCCATGAGATCTCTATCGCTTGAACGAGAGTAAATCTCTCCCTTATCTTTGTGGGGGGAAGCCAGAGCGCAACCTGTTTGGGGGTCTTTGATCGCGGCTGCACTAACGACGCTGATGACTGGCAACCAGCTTGGGTCGCGACAGTCGAAGAATTGGTGGCCGTTGGCAAAGTTCTCTCTGAAGACAATGACAGTGGGGGAATAGATGGCAGCTCTCTCCGGGATGGGGTAGTAGCGTAACTTGAGGGTGAAGGCCAATGACGATCTGTAGCACATGGCTTCTTCTTGTGCCATGGCACCATTTCGAAAGCCACCACCGGCGTGAGTTGCACTGGCCATATTGAGGACACAGACAGGTTTGTCAGAAGGACCATGGCCCACGGTGAGTTGAAGGGCGGCGTCTATACTGTCACAGTTGATTACTCGGATTTTGGTTTTGGGTAGATTTGGACAAAACTGCTGATCGAGAGGCGTGACATCATCATAAAGGAATCCATTCGGTTTTGCGTCAGGTCGTGTGAGTAGAAGACCAGGAAGGACCGACAGCGTTGCTTCCGCAGTCCGGGCAAGTGTGTCTCTCTGGGTTGGACCGCGATTTGGTGGAGGTCGTTGTGTTTCTAGCCGACCCGATTGGCGTGAAAATTTCAGGATGGTTTGAGATTTGCGACGCTCCTTGCGATCAAGTGGTGCGCGATCGTCATCGTTGTCCCGTTCCATGGCGACATGAATGAAGATTCAGAGAAGTTGAGATGGGTTCGTCGAGCGGGGAGAAAAGGCTGAGAATTTAGATGCCGGTGGCGCAAGGCTTGCCTGCAGTCGCTGCCTTGTCTTGGCGGAGAACTCATCTTCGCTCTTCATCGTCTTTCACCAGTATTGAGTAGTTCGGATTCACGCTTCACTGCCTGCTTCCAAGAACCTACGCATGGAAGAATTGAGAAGTGATGATGATTTATTGTCCCCGAACCTTCGGGGTGTAAACGATGCCCTGTGGCATCACGGAGAAAGTCCAGAGGTTGGTGTAATCTGTCCAGATAGTAGGCAATCGAAATTCATGAGAAATCAAAGAAATCGATATGTGGCTTGTTGGATGACATCCTCTACGAAAAGGATAAGTGAAGATGACAATATGGAGATAGACGGCGGCTATGTGTCGGCTGTTGTGTCCCACTTCGACTCATTGTCCCGCAAACGGAGAAGCGACGGACTAGGCAAAGATTTGACAGCAAGCTCTCGGACACTCCTTTATTCACAGCAGTACGGAATGGCTTGAAGTCAAATACAACGGATTGCGAAATTCATCAAGTGGCTAGCAATGGCTGAAAGACCAATACGATTATGCCATGTGACCATCACAATTTGCCAGGAGTCTTCTCAAACTCCTTCAAAGCTTCCAACAATTGCTTCGCAAACGCCTCAAAATGGGATGTAAATCCCACGTGCCCGCCCGGAAGAAGCATAAGCTTGCGACCAAACTTTTTGCAAAGCACCACATTGGCGCGATATTGCAAAGCTTCAGGATTCGTCATTTGCCCGTTGGCCGGAAGGAGCCGGTGCTTATTTTTCTCCAGAGCAGCGAGATCAATTTCATGGAGTGGATAATCCAGGAATTCACGTTCGAACCAGTACATCATGTTCTGGGACACAAATGGTCCGCTTCGCGGGTCAAAGGTAGCCACCATGATCTGACCCTCAGGACCGGCTTGGTTGAGCTCGACGAATTTCTTCAACGCAGGTGATACGCCTCGTTTTCGATAGGTGTCGTATACATCTCTTTGCCTGGCTGATAATTTGTCCTTGTCCGGAAGAAGCATAATTGCCGGGGGCTCGTGCGGAATAAGAGCACGGATAACGTCGGGGTGACGGCTCAAAAGTGCCAGAGATACGATGGCTCCGGAGCTGTTTCCAATTACGGTCGCAGGGTCCTTGGAGAGATGCTCAATAAGTTCACGAGCATCATCTGCGTCTCGTTCAAGTCGGTGTTCATAGTCTTGACTGCCGGCCAAGTAACTTCGGGAGAACCCTCGACGATCATAGAAGGCAACCGTATACTGATCCTTGAGTGACTCGGCCAAGAGCTTCCAGATGTCTCCTGATCCATTGCCGCCGTGGATGCAGAATAACAAAGGACCACTGCCAACGGTCTCATAATAGAGAGAGGCGCCTTCAACTTCAAAATATGGCATCTTGGTTTTCTGACCTGCGTATGTTGGAGAAGAGAAGAATAAGTGTGTCGAAGTGGACTTTTTGATCTGCAACCATCTGCGTGGGTGCCGAACAGACAGATAATGGAACCAAAACCGTCAAGTCTTCAAGGGGGGGATACTTATATCCAAAACGATGGCGGAGGCCGATGGTCGACTCGGACCCGAATCATCTTTGGGCCATGCAATTTCTCGCAACAACGACGACGGCAAACTGTGGTCGTGCTCCTGACTTTGGTTTAGTGTCCCACCCTCAGATTAGACAGATGCCCAAAGGAGAGAATGTTGGTTCAAATCAGATGTGGGAAGGTATTAACATGTATTTCTGATGCGACTCCTTCGACCATTTATGCATCTCTCCTGTGCTGCTTCATAAATCCAACCTGTCACGATCTAGCATACCGGGGGACTAGCGCCCCGCAGAATTGTTTATTTTCTGGGGTTATTGTTTGCCTGGAGGGTCCGAGGTGACGGCTTATCAGGGGTTGGTCGGTAGCCCAAGGTGTTGTTGAGGAGCTCTTCAACCAGTATTGTCCTTCCAGGGCTCTCTGTTCCGATTGCTTTCCTCATCTTCTGTTTGTTCAAGGCGTCTGTGAATCCTTCGGGTCCCGCGTGAATGGTTTCACCTCATATGGTAGTTATGCGCGGAAATGAGACCGAGTCAAATCATACAGGACCTGGGTGAGTGCTTTACCGGAGCGGGCTTGGTATGTTGTACCGATTTCACCTTTGTATTCATAGCTGAGCAGAGCCTGAGCAGAGGACTGGCTATTTCTCCCCTCGACCCTCCTCTCTCTTGCATTCACTTGTAACTTCTCAACTTTCAAATTTTTCCTCAAAGATCGCGGTTATGGACCTCGATGAAACAATGACCACATCAACCATCTCAACGCCCTCCGCGGCTCAAGACACCGTCGACATAGACGAAACCTACGAAGACGACAACCTCTATCCGGACTCACACGGTGACACCGGAAGTGGTGCCATGAGCGACCGCCCAAGAACTCCTGCAAACGACCACCTCAACGCCGCAGCTCCGGGCGAACTCTCTCCCCCCCGCTCTCAGACCCAAGGCGAAGACGTGAATCGGCCAATGGTCACCCCGATGTCGAACGGCGGATACACGGGTGCCACAAACACTGCTACGACCAGAGGTGCAACGAGATCCCATGCTGAGCCCCAATTCGAGGGTTCGAGGGAAGAGGGCCTGCCATATTCATCATCGGGCCCCAACGAGCGGGACGAACGACCTGGTTGGGGATGGAAGAATAAGAAGGCCCAAGAGGACATGCAACGCGCGATGGATAATGTTGTTGATCGAGATTTCAGCTTAAAGGAATTTGGTGATGTGATATTGTTGGGCAAGGCTCAGATGGCTCAGCAATGATTCAATCACCGCATTCCACTGGCCATAACAAATGACTCACGAAACTTTTTGGTTCTGCAATGCTATGCATGGCGACGGCGTATGGAGCACAAAATAGCAGGGAAATACCAGGAGGCACTGGGGTGCCTTTATCCAGTCATGGAAAGGAGGATGATTTATGAACCCGCGGACAATTTGCGATGAAACGGACATAGATACAAAGAAAGACGGCGTATTGGTTCTAAGTCATGAGTAGAAATTCGGTAGATGCTCCCTGACGTAGGAAGCCTGGCTAATATCTTGTTCTTTTATTCTGTTCTTTGATATATCAACTTGGATATCTCTCTGTCGGTCGAGGGAACTCCTTCAGATTTGCTGAGCGCGTATTCAGTCTGTCTTGTGAATTCGTATCTCTTCCACCCTGGGCGGTCTCCCATGCTAGACCATCTTCCCAATGCCTGTGATTGATATCCTTTGCTGTACATTTGGCGAAAATAATGGCCGGAAAACCGTCATAGAATTCATATCTCCTCCTCTTCCACCACCACCACATGCAAGATTATCCAACGCCTCGCCAATTGCCATCATTGAGACGCACTATAGTTGAGTGATTTCGGATCAGCACTGAGCTGTTGGGCACTGACAAAAGTCTGCTGAGCTTCTGGACTTGGTTGTGAATTCTCAGTCGAGCAGCCCACAATCTTCGACGGGAAGTCCGTAGCGACTCCTTCCAAGAAAATGCTGTTGGACAGTCAAACAATGCTCCGGATATTTTGATGGTTATCGAATATTATGTTGTTATTGTTGTCGATGTTTATCCGAAGCTTCCTTTTGCTGACTTTGTTCTTGGAAACATTATTAATTTCACGGTGTTTCATCTTTTGCCCCGTCATTGTCGTATGTTCACCTCATCTCTTCCCTGCCGTAGGTGCCAACCCGGGCACGTTACTATAGCGCTCGTCTCTCTCCGTCTTGAAGAGAACCTGGCACCAAAACTCCTTCGCATCCGCATCCCACCAAGTCCAATACCGTCCTTCCCTCCGATCCACTTCGCGCGACTGTAACTTGAACCCACACGTCTCATAAGGCTCTGCGGCAACGAGGAGATACTGGTAATCCCGATCCGGCGGATCCTCGACTTTCTGTTCAAAGGCACTCATGAAACGGACGCGCGGTTGCACGCCCGGTGCGATCTCAGGGTACAATAGTTGAAACAGCAAGCCGACCTGTCGTGTCAACGGATCGCGGATTTTGGTAATTTTATACCCCGGCCGTCCGATCTTGACCATGTTCTTTCGCACTTGGACGCCCATCATGCCCGCTCCCATCATCTGGCCATCCTTCTGCATCTCCTTTTGCTCGCGTGCTGCTCGACGCGCGAGGTTTGTCTGGTGTTTTCGCCCTTGGGTGTGCGCGAGGTATGAGCCATCATTCTGGTGGACTGTGAGACAAAGTCGACATTCAAAGGAGCCAACATGGTTCTTGAAGAAATAAGGGTCTTTGTCAAGATCGATGGTTTCGAGAGCGAGTTTGCGTAGACGTTCGCGCCGGTCAGCGTTGGTTGCGGAGTGGGAGGCGACGCCACCGCCGCCAAACTTGGAGCCAGCGCGGTTTTGGTAGTCCATGATGGATGTATGTCAAATAAATCCAGGAGAGTGGAAAGAGCTGATGATGTAGAAGAGGAAAGTAGCAAAACTGCTGAAATTTTGGTGAGTTAAAGGTTTGGTTGAAGTGGAAATTTGAATGGAGAAAAATGCGATAAGGCTAAGAACTTTGTCGGCCAGCCTTCCTCCGCAAATCGCAAGGCTGCGAGACACTAACTGTCAGTTTCGGAAGAGCACCACACTTTCATGCTAGCATTTGAATATACAGCCACCCTCGCAAACAATGTCCGAATCATTTTATACCTCTTCGCCTGGCGCAGGGATCCCCCCCAGCGCCACGCAAACCTCACCACCACCGCCAACATCACCTACGACCACGGGGGCGGCACCACCACCTCCACCACCCAAACCCATTTCGCATATCTCACAGAGCGCAAACCCCAGTCGATCTGGCACACCGATTCTGTCGTCAACACCTACAACAGTTGCTGCACAAGTAGCTGAAGTGACGAACTCGCCTCGGCCCCAACCACCTCTCCCAACGACACAGTCATCAACCTCAAGGCCGACGCCACCTACCCTACCGCAACAATCACATACTCCCATTCCGCCTCCATCCCTCTCCGACCGCTGGATCCCACCTCAGCTTCAGGACAAGCCGATTAGCGAGCTCCATCCACTTGTCAACAATCCTTCTCTCATTGCCTCGTTGGCGTCAACGCATCCATCATACGCATCTTCTCTCGCCCCGCTCCAGGATGCAATTCAAGCCAACATCCAACTTGCGCAGCAAGTCACTCAACTTGAGAGCCAAGTGCGTCAGTTGAGAGATGACACTGCGCAGTTATTGTTGAATCATACTTCTTTACAGACGCAGTGGAGGAGGAAACAAAGTGACATGGATGATGCATTGTCCCCGTGGGGGCCTCGACAAATGTATCAGCGGTTACTGTCGAGTATAAATGAACAGGAAGCGTTATTGAGAGCTATGCACGAAAGTTTCCTGGAAGGCTCAAACGACGATGACGCATATTACGGGGGTGGAAATGGGAAGGCGACTGAAAAAGAGGTAACCGAGTGGGTTCGAAGAATCAAGGAAGGCGCTACGACGCTAGAAAAAAGAAGAGAAATGCGAGCAAGATGGGATGAAGGAAGAGTTGGTGGTTGGAGGTGAATATTAACAATACTACATTACTGATCGAACCTGATACTGTTCCCATGAAACCATCAACACGTGTCGATAAGGCCCGTCTATAGAGAACAACAGCCAGTGTGAGACATGCGACAGCTGCCCCGATGCCGAAAAACAATGCCACCTGGTTATATTGCGACGAACATACACCGCCCTCTTCGTCGGTTATTCACGTCATGTACCGCTCTGGAAGCCGCCGATACAACTCTGAGACTCGGGACCAGCTACTCAAGACTCAGTAGCAACCGACAATGATTGTGCTCGTGGAGCGGTTGCCAATGCTGAATCACGTCATTGAGTTGCTCTTTCGGAATTGCCCCTGGCTGTTTTGGGAAAGTCGCTTGGCCTCTTCTGAATGCGAATTGGCTGTCTGGGAGAGCTGGCTGATCCGTGTCTTGACACTGAACACTCATCTATCAACAACGGAAATGCGAATAACAGTGTTCTCAGTGTTCTTGGAGGTTTTGTGGCAGTAGGAGACATCAGAGGAGTCTTGACAGTAGAATAGGAGTTCGTGACATGTCGATGACATTTTGGTATACCAGGATGGGAAAGGGTGCTCCGAGAATTCATTGGCCAAGGATCGTGCCGCATTGGGATCGTCGGGCATAACCGCTTGGACTGAGGCTGGCGTCGCAGATTGGATCTCTTCACTGATTTCTCCAAACTTCTCTGGCAAATGATATGATGTGTTGTCGCATCCTTCGATCCAAGTTTGACGGGTGGAGCCGTGGCAATGATGGGAAGGTCGTTACCCTCGGCGTTTGAGGCATAGCTGAACGAGCAAGAAGCTCAGTGTCAATTGGAGGACCTCGGATGCTAATACCTCAGTTGAGCATTCCACGGAGATGTAGAGTACAGCCTGATGCAAGATTACGTACCTTTGAAGCAGACTCTAGGCTGAAAACGCGATCCGCAAATTTCCTAATATGTGCACATGACGGGTGCTCGTTTATGAAGCAGATTTCTCCCTTTTCTGTTGATCATTCCTAGGGTAAGTCCAAGAGACCGGGATCCCGGAGGAGCTCAACTCAATGCAGAGTAAGGTGATTTTCGGTGGCAACATCATGTGAGGAGCCGGTAGCATTTTGGGTGGGCCTAAGGATACCGAAAGATGAGCCAGGACGGCAGAGGTGAAAGAGGGCTTTGCTGTGCATCTTGAGGCTGGAGGGAGTGTGCGGCTGGACGACAGGGGTGGAAACAAAAGTTTGAAGGAATGATACAGTAGAGAGTGAACGAGTGGATAGAACAGCTGCTAAGAGTTGAGCACAAGAGCTAAGCCCAAGAACCGATACTGCAAGCGAATGGTGTTGATGGAAGTGATGTGAAGGAGCAAAAAGAGCGGGAAGGCAAGAGAGAGGGGAAAAAAGCTGCGCAAGGAATCTGCTCTGATCGAGGTTCACTCCAGAAACAGCTTTTTCGGATGTCATTTTGTCCACGATGACCGCGACATATGGAACCAACCAGAATGACCAGTCCATGGATTGGCTCAGAAAAGCCGCAACGCCTCAGTAGATGCTCTGGCGGTCCAGATGCTCAGGATCACCAATATAATCTCATCGCACCACTGAGCGATGCAGGCATCAGACTACATCAACGAGGCTGAGGTCACGTGGTCAACCAGTTCGGCCTGAAAAAGTGTTACGACCGAAGAGCGAAAGCCGTCATCAACATACATCGTGTATAAAGAACTTGACCTCGAATCGAGTCCAGCTTTGATGCACGAAGCGTCCTTGGCTGCATCAGTAACGCCAATCATTTGTTTCGGCGTTTCCTGTCTTACCGTCGAGTGGTCAGGGGAGAGAGGTGACAGATTTTGGCTCGCTGACCTTTGTCGCTCCTCTCATTGGCTAATCCAAGACTCTGGGGGAGGAATTTCGTCCATCAGCAGTAAATCATCCACCCAGGCTCCGGACTTTGCTCTAGCCTTATAATAAGAAAACAAGAATTCAAAAGGAAGACCCATGCTACTTTGTTTGAATCGCACTGAAGGAACTCATCATCTAAAAATTCGATTCCACCGAGCCCGACTGAAACACCTTCATTCATGTCAAGCCCCCCGTCTGGCCTAGCCCCCGAGAAGTGCGGCAAGCAGACCGCCATGAACCAGAATCGACAGTGTTCTGGAAGAGAGACGTTACCAACGGCACCCGATCTGGAGGCAAATAGGCCCCTTTTGTCAAGAACGACAACTCTCCAGGACCTTGCTAATGGCCAAGAGACGCCCGTGCTCTCGTCTAACAAAAATTCCCGCACGTGCAAGTGTGACTTTTGGTCCAATTGGAGCTTTCGGCTTGATGCGAGACTTGTTTCCGATGCCATACTGGGATTATCAGATGGACTTACCGTCCCCTTCGCCCTCACGGCTGGTTTGACCGCTTTGGGGGATACCAGGGTGGTGATTCTGGGTGGATTAGCCGAACTCATTGCTGGTGCGATATCCATGGGCCTCGGTGGATATGTTGGTGCCAAAAGCGAAGTGTAAGTCAACCTCCTTGGTTCCTTGGTCTGTTCATCGCGAGGACTGACACGTAACAGTGAATCCTACGAAGCCACGGACCGGAGTTGTAACACATTGATTTTGCACGAGCCCGACGCGGCAAGTGATTGTGTCCGGGAGTATTTCGAGCAATTTGGATTGTCGGCGGAAGAGACGAGTCGGGTAGCCGATCACATCAAAGCATCCTCTCCGATGTTCAAGGACTTCCTCATGCAAAACCATTTTCAGGCCGCAAAACCAGAGAGAGGCCGGCCCTATCTGTCAGCACTTACTTTGGGAATCAGTTATTTCATCGGCGGTTTTATTCCTCTGATACCATACTTTATCGTGGTTCGATCTGATGTTCTCACCGGGCTATGGTGGAGTATCGGTCTAATGGCAGTTGTGCTGCTAATGTTTGGGTATGTGAAAACCGGAGTTGTTCGGGGTTGGACCGGCCGAGAGAATTATCAGGCTTGCACTGGAGGAGCAATTCAAATGCTGGTAGTAGGCGTCATAGCAGCAGGAGCTGCAGTATGTCTGGTACGGTTGATCAATCAGAACTAAGAGGTGACATGGAGTCATCGAGGACAGTATAATCAGAACATTTACCGTTCAGCGTAGACATAGGACCGTGTATTCCGAGGAGTGGGAGCAAAAGGGGATGGATACTCCCGCTTGCTTATGCGCACAGTCGAGATCCGAGGATAGGAGGACAGCTAAACCTTGATCACGATCTCGAGATTCTCAGGGATAGCCGGTTAGTTTTGAGAAGGTCGGTGAGAAGGACGGCAATTGACAGTGGGGGGAAAAACGTCCATCGTAGCTTAGCGCCCTCGGCATCCAGGGCTCGACTACCGCAATTTAATGCATGATATATCTTGAAAAGCCCAAACCGGCCACAACAATTACCACATTTAAATGTTGTGGACACTTTGGCGGTACAGTTTAACTTTTCCCTCAATTGTGACCGTCTAATGAAGACTGTAGGAGTGGTTAACGCGGTGCCCGCAAGTACACCCATGAGCCTTGGTGTCGACTGTCGTGCTGACCACAACTTTAGTGCTATATCTGCTAAGGCATTTCCTTCGGGGTATGTGTACAGCAAGTCTGTGCTAAGAGAAAGTTGTATTAATTGTGCTATAGAGCGCAGGTTCAATTCCTGCAGGTGTCGTTCCATTTTTTTTTTTTTTTTTTGGGTTTATGTGGTTTTTGCGGTTAGTTCTGTGGTCAGTCTTGGCGTTGTCAAGACTAGCCCGTCATGTGCCCAATTTGCAGGTACCTATGGGCTTGGCCTGTCACGTGTACCGTGTCGCTCCTGCGGTTCACTACTGCGGTGCACGAAGGCAACTTGCATCCTCATCCATCAGATTGCGATCTCACCAAAGAGCATGAGACTTTGACCCTTTCGCTCCAGAAAGATCTCCAGACGCTTCAAATCGAGATTTGAGAGGTACGTGCAACATCTGTGCCTTGCAATTCTAAGATCTGAAAAGATTTCGAGCTCAACAGATCATTGAAATCCCTCGATGTGGCATACGATCAATGCAAAGTCAAGGAGCTTAATAGCTGGAGACTAGCAGGCTAGAGGCATTCACCTCGAGATACACTAGTCTGTGCGTCTGGATCATTGGATGCTCCTCTAGCGCACCATCTTCTTCAACCATCGTACACAACTTTATCCCCCCAAGATGACAGTGAAACGGCCGACTCAACTAACGCTGCATTGCTATGTTGATGGGCAATCTTTACACCCCGGGGACCTTAGTATTTGACCATCTCCATCGACGCTCCAGGGATATCTGAGGGTCTTGAGACTCTCCCAGAACCTGTTCTGGATTGCCATGAGAGCCATACGAGGAACATCTGTGCATCAATGTTGGCGAAAGCTGAGTTGCTGCACGGCCGCGAAGTTCACAGCAGAATCTTGAACAGTAGGGACAACGCCTGCAAATCCACCGCTCTCCCACTCTGGGGTCCTTTTGAAAGCGTTGCTCTACTTTTGACGCATGAGTCGAACTACTACAATGCCGACTTTGAGATATAGACTTCGAAGAATCTGCCTGCTTGTATTACATTCACCGAGACTCTTCTACGAGCCAAAAGATTCAGCAATCACACTTTTACAGGTCAAAATTTATATCACAGCTACGGAAATAACAAATATGCCTTTCAGAGAGTTCTATTTTCGCCGAAAGGAATGGACCAAAACTGGTCCTTAACCCATACCACGCAATGATCATCAAGGAACTAGGTTCTGTTTTGAATGTTCTGCATCACTCTGAATCCGAGGCGGATGTCGTACAAACGACCAACAACGAACACAAAGCTGCACAAAGCTGGAAGGGTAGACCACCGAACCTATGAAGCGTCGCGAAACCCAGTGCATTCGACCAGATCCTTGAAGCTTCTAATGCCTGCACGAGAAAAACCCTTCAGATTCGGCAGTATCTCATAAGGCTCGGAGCAGTACCACGCAAAGAAACAGCAACAAGAGAACACGTGTACCTCGGAAGTACTCCTGGACAAGCAAAAAACAATGCTGCACGGGCTCGAGCAATTCCACAAGTTCAGACCCAGATCTCGATGGCCAGTCCTGCTGCAGCGCTGGCCTCTATGCCGAATTCAACAATCGTACCTGAAGAGACCGGCCACGAGTTGCTTTCAATTGAAGATGTTATGATCCCGTCCAGTTTACCCGTCCAGTTTACCCGTCCAGTTTACCCGTCCAGTTTAACCACCAACGACCAAGCTGCGACAGAGTCGTGGGAAAACCGCAGCGACAAGGTAACGACTTCCGTATCGAGTGATGACCCGTGCCTTTCCGCCAGTGAAGAATGATGCATAAGCCAGAGGAGGGGGGGGCGATTTCATCCAAAACAGAGCAAATGAAAATCCGGCAGAGGACATCCCGCGGATGGAATTGAACTTAAAGACTCGAACAGAGACTACCAAGGCGAAGGCTATTGACTCTAAACCGGAGACCAAACGTTCACGCCCCATCTACGTTGAACCTCATGACAAGCAGGAGTCAATGTATTGTTCGAGGAGATTTCGTGCACCGACCGTCTCGATCTAACCCGCAAGCTGGGGAATAACATTTTATTCGAAGCCTTAAATTTGTCAATATTGACGACATGGATTGCGCCACTAGACACGACAGGGCTCAGAACCTTGAAGGCGATCATCGAACGAGGGGACCGATTAACTGAAACTGAGGAGGCGCAATTGGCCGAATTAGAGTCTAAGGGACCCGAGTACATGGTCGAGATATATCGAGAATGGACGTTGCGGACATGGATCCTAGGACGAGGTCGACCCGGCGAACCGTGTTGCGAAAGAATACAGGCTCACCCGTGGGAGTGGAAAGGTAGGAGAGAGAAGTGAAAAGTGATTCTTCATATAAACTTCACCTTGTTGAGGTCGCTGTCGAAAGCCGTTGCAGAGACAGTGGACACTGCAGCGAGCACGAAAAGCAATGTCCCAACGAGGATACTTACCGCAACTACCGAGTAGAAAGAGAACAAGTCGCGGAAATGAGGATGGGCCATTTATGTCTAGGAGGACGAGCCGGTCCTCCCCAGGCACTCGAAGAAAGGTGAAGTCATCATTGTCGCGCAGGAGTACCGCAAGGGGGCCCCAACTGTGCAATCCAGACAGATTAGAGGGGGAACCGGATCGAGACCCCCAGCATCTCAAATAGATCCCATCGTCCGAAATTGACCAAAGTCGGTGTTTTCAATGAAGAGGAACGTCGAGGCTTAGCGAGGCTCTGGGAGCAGAAGGTGAGTCGAGGGGAAGAGCTTTTGGCGTGAGAGGAGGGGGAGGTATCGAAGGAAAGAGGAAAACCCGTGGCGGTAGAGTTGCAGCCGGAACAACTCCCCGAAGGCGGGATTTACAGTATCAACTCAACTTCTCTTTCTCGCTTCTCATTTTTTCTTTTTCGCTTTTCGCGACCAGCCTATGGTCCACAGGGTACGCTGAGAACACTACGAATCCTGGAATCTAGTCATCCTCATCTCATCATCTATTCGCTGGATCGAAGTTACTTTCTCACCTTCGGTCCACCTACGTACCACCCGCTCAGGTAGTCCAGGTACTCCTTCCACCTAATGCCCAGAGTATGGTATACGACGGCTCTTGTTATCAGCGGAGACCTGCGAGGGCCGAAGACCGCACGAGAATGCTTCCACCGAAAAGCAATAACCAGTCCTTCAAACCTTGGCTTGAATCCCAATCAGGTCTTCCGTTCTCAGTCTTCGGCTTGCCGTCGGCACTCCATCGCTCAACCCATGATACAAGATACACATAGTCATGGGAAGAAGGCTTACGGGCACAATTCAACATTTACTGTTGGGAGCTGGTTTTGTCGATACCGTCTTGATCCTTCTCAAGGGTTGACTATTGAACTTTCCACATGCAAGGGCTTCGGTAAACCAACTCCTTCTGCTTCCCGGTCTCTCGGATAGAGAATATTCGCCAGCCACCTCCGCTGTGTTTCCCTCTATTTGCAATGCTCAAGATCCATACCACCATATCCAGACAAATCCATCTGACGTTTTTGTGGGATGCCACATGCACTTCTAGGCAAATTGCTTTTGCCAATTGCATCTCAAGGCAACTGATGTTGAGCTTTTGCGACCTTTTTCCTTTTTTTCCACCATGTCGCCCTTGCATGCAGCCGGTATTTCCTTTGCATAGGCTCAATCTGGACCAAATCTTTTGCTGCTTCCTCTACCGTATTGTGTCACCTGTGCGAGATGTCTTGATTCTACTCTTCGTGCTATCCAATCAGTTATCGTTACCGGATTTGTTCAAGGCTATCCTGGCGTAGGGTCCTACACTTTTCATCGCATCCTGCCGACGACTTGGCAATTTTATGTTCTGTGAATTGGCAGAGGTCTTTGCCAACCTGCACTATCGAAGTCGCAATAAGACCATGGTCTACTTTGACGTCGTGAAAACGCATGGCGCCGTTATCAATTCCGAGCATTCTGTGGAACACCTTTGGACTAATCTCGTACAACTCGATTCAGAGATGCGCTTCGTGACTATTTGAATCCCGAAGCTAGACGAGGAAGAGATGATTTCTATAAGACTTGTCCTCTAGGATGAGGCGATCAACCACGATGGCATGCGTGTTCTAAACGCCTATGCCAGAAATCCAATATTTGGTGCTATTGAATGTTACACAGCAGTTCTGAGGGAACCAACCCCGCTAAACAACCACGGGAGGTACACATGAAGCCAAATTCCTCAGTGCCACTACCTCTTCTTTCTGCTACAGCGACGGATTGTGCATTGGTGCCTTTTGTTCTGCGACCATCCTCCATGACCAGGGTGTGAATGCGACGAAGTCTATGCGCACTGCGAAAACCTATATCTAACGTTCACAACGCATGAACTTTACGCGCCACGCGGGTGGTTGGGTATCCAGAGTCGCGATTTGTAAAGCTTTCGTTTAGTGGGTACCAGATGCAATCCATCGGATTCCAACACTAATCGCAACCATGATGTAACTTACGCAGGCCGTGTAAACCAGAATTTCAATGCAAAGGCAATGTTCTTAGGTGGGATTCGGGAGAGGCACATCGAACCATTAAGCCAGCAACCTTTGAGTTTTGACCGGCTGGACGACAAAAGCCTTGGAAACCCCCGTTGGAAACTTTGTACCTATGCCGAGAATCTTGTCCCAGCTGAGAGGTTTTCCTTTGGCGAGGAATACTGCTAAGCAACCCCTGACGTATTGGGATACGATCTGCACTCTTGCGCGAACGTGTCATCCCGAGAACTCCTGAAATTTTGCAAAAATTTGTGGACCGCCGGACAAGTCAGATTTTTTCCCTGTTTAGCAGTAAGAGGTACGATCCCTTAGAAGCGGCGACCCTCCTGGGAACTGGCAATATGTGGCGCAAGGCGACTCGACAATGCTTGTTCTGTTGTAAGACCAACTGCGACAACACACTCGGGCGCGGCATGCTCGAGTCCTATCAATTCAAGCACAAGTCCTTTGAGTGCGGACTCCCGTTAGATCAACGACCAACGACCGCACCATTTTATCCGCTCCCGTTGACACGTGGAAGGCACAAGCGAGCAGTCGGGGAGGCTTTTGGGTGCGAACGTTCCCGGTGCCTGAAGCCTACCCATCTTGCGCTTAGTCTCTCCGGCACTGACTACGGCATTTTTTGGCGACCTTCCGGACAAGATCCAATCGACGGACTTTGATACCTGGAAAAATGATGGGTCTGGACAATCCTTGTTCGGATGGCCCAGGATTGACCCAGTCGGATCCGTTGTGGCCTGCATTAGCTCCAGGAACCTCAACTTTAGGGTTGCGCTCGGCCCCCTATTTTCGATGCAAATGGAATATCCAACAAGCCCCATCTCACTTCACTCTCCATGACGGTGGGCAGACACCAGGAAGAAAAAAAAATGCGCGGCGTCGGTAATCAACGTTTCAACGTTTCTCGCCCAGCTACCCAGCATGGAGAATGCTTTGGTCTCCCTCCCCATTCTCTGTTCTAACACCAATGGCGTTCTGGAATTCGCCCCACGGCCGTGGTTGACGGCGCTAATGGATCCGCGAAAATCTCTGAACGGCCCAGGAGGGGTCCGTCCTCATGTCCAGGGCGCCGGAGCTGAGTTTACTCGGGCGGCTCGAGGTTTGTTGATATGAAGGAAGTTACTTAAACCACGTCCTCTTCTCTGTTGCCAATTTACTCTAGTCAATCCTTCCCTCTCTTTCCCTTCCGAAAAGAATCTCGAGCAGGCCTCCGATCAGCATCATTCCTTTGCTGAAAGAAGCCCTGTCGACGTTGGACCACTCCTTTTTTGGCCAATTCTATCAATACTCAGTCCTAGAGACTTCACCGTCCTTACCAAACCAACATCCAAACTGCATCAAAATGCAATACAAGAACATTCTCGCTGGCGCAGCCGTGCTGCTTGCCTCTGCTCCCGCTACTCTGGCTTTAGGATCCGCTACCGTCGTCAATAACTGCGGCTATCCCATCTACTATGCGTCTGTCGGCCAGTCCTACACTGCTAGCATGCAACAACTTCAAGGCAGCTACACCGAGTCATTCAGCCAAGAGGGTGTTGGCATCTCTATCAAGCTTTCTCCCAATGCCACTACCTCTGGACCAATCTCCCAATTTGAATTCACCTGGGCAAACGGCAAGGTCTCTTATGATCTCTCCAACATTGACGGCTATCCTTTCTCTGCTGGTGGTATGGAAATAGTTCCTTCCATGCAAAACGATCCCAGCAACCCCACCTGTGTCGTCATCGACTGCCCTGCCGGCGAATCCGTTTGCAGTGCCGCCTATAATGCTCCAGATGACGTCCGAACCATGGTTTGCGATGAGGACTCTAATCTCGTCTTGACCGTATGTCCAGGTGGTGCTGCCAAGCGAAGCGTCCAGTATAGAGATGGTCACATCCACTACCGTGTCCACGCTCGCCACATGCCTAAGCGTGCATAGATGTTCAGCGATGAATGGCCCAGGTGACCGAGCAAAAATGACCCGTCAAAGTTTTCCGCATCTTTCGCGCAGCTAGCTCTGCCGCCTCATTATCCGCTTCACACTGCCTGCAAAGACACTCCTTTACTACAACATCCTCCATGAGTCGACACATGGACAGGTTACTATCCCTGCAGGTTTAGTACCCGATCTCGACGATCATTACTTACCATCATCTCCAACCCCGGCGACAGGTCTCCCGTGGAATACCAAAACTTTGACGGCATTCATGCTTGAATACGATCGTTAAAAGCAACAAAAATCTATAGATGATATCATGAATGCAAGATAAGTCATGACGACATTACATGATTAGCAACGGCGACGATGGGGGATACATCTTCCAAGTTTGACAACGAAAAGGACTCCCAGGCGGTCGGGAAGTTGGCAGGCATTTTCTTTTCCTCTGTCCTTGAAGAACTGATGGCTTTCATGCCAAAATTATCGACATGACTTTGAGGTACTTGGACTGGGGCATCCGGTCAAACCCATAGCGTGTGCAGATGGCGGGAGGAACAAATCTTTTTCTGTTGGAAACCCTTTCTGCCCCAACGATACAAGTAAAGCAAGGCCGTCCAAGCTGTCGCTGTACTATCGAAATGGGACACTTTTACACAAGATATAGACTTCGATTCTTGACGCCAGACAAGCAGGGAAACGGATTTTCACAGAATGGAAAGGCTTAGACAAAATCACGTTCTCACCGTCGCTCACCATTTTTGTATTCTCGAGGTGTTTTCTCAATTCCCATTTTGGCAGTCACGGATCTTTGGTTCTCAAAACACGTCAGGCTGACAATAACACTGACACCACAATCACAATCACAGTGACATTGACGTGGACGTTGAAATTGAATTGATGACGACGACAAGGTTTGTGGCGTATTTCTCCTTTTACCCCTGGCCATTCTCGGCCATTGGGCTTGCGCAGACTGACTGACGGAGGTTGATCAGCGGTTTCCAAAGCAGGGGGTGTGCCAACAAACGCCAAAAGACAGGACACCCCTGTTCGCCTCAGCCTGCTTGGGTCTGAGACTGAAACTGCGCGGCCCCAATATAGTGCCGTTTTGATACCTACGGGCTTGAAATAGACCTGCAGCAAACATCCATAACATGTCGTACCATAAACTGCATTTCTCCTTTTGAAAAATGTGCCTATGGTGTGATCGAGAACGGGTGTTGTTTTCTTCCTCGGAGTATCGGATAGGACATGGAATCATGCTTCGCCCAAAAATATTGGGCGGGCCAAATCCTCCTAGAAGGTCAGATGAATGAAATGGTAACTTCATTCGCGATCACCCGAGGGAGCAGGAGACTTTTCGTAATTCCAGGAAGTGCTCATATACCCCGTCACGATCACTCGAGTTGAACTTGATCTCTTCATTGCACAGGCCAGTAAACACCAGACATTCAAGAAAGGAGACTTCTTACACCGCGTTTCCAATTTGCTACTCTTCCGCCACAGCTTCAGTATGATGGCTTGATAGAAACCATCTTGCGAAGTAATATTTATAGGTTTGTTCTTCCTAACTACTTGATATAGCAATGATCATCCCCATGGCCGCATCCATTCTCGCAAATGGAAAGTCACTTTGCAGAGTCGTCCTCCCAAAGGGATTGCTTTTACAGACTGCTCAACTGCGACAGTCTCGGCTCGGAGGGCTATTAAATCGGGATTTGCAGCATCTGCCATTCACCCCTGAAAACGTGGAGATTTACGGCGAATCCACAGATCCATGCTCAAGACTTTTGGGGTCATTATAACTCTCCCAGAACATGTGATGTCATTCATGCTCTGCGGCCAACAACTCTTTGCTAGATGACCGGGTACAAGAAGCAGAGCAAATGATCAAAGTGCAGAATGGTTTTACAGCGTGAGCCGAGACGGTTTTGACGAGAGCGACTTCACCATGGCTGTTAGAACTCTATACTTCCAGGCCCCAGGTTACTGTGGATGGCGGGAACCATCAATGGAAGACGATTCAGACTGTCTTGAGATTGGTCCAATCTTTATCTCAGTGGGTTGTAATATCATCCCCATCTAGCATCCAGGTAGTAGATCGCGGACATGGAGGCATTCCTTTCATATTCTTGCTACGAATTGATGTGCAAGACAGATCAGCGCAATATTTGATATCAGACATTTGCAATGGCCGGACAACTTTGTTGAATACCGGAAACTTCTCATTATTTGAGAGACGAGCGATTAAAGCCATCGTACGGGAGGCCTGTCCCAAAAGGATGCTCAACGGGTGTACCTCCGACAATGGATTCAGGGTTCCACGGGCCTCGCAAATCGACATCGCGATTGGATATCAATCAACTTGGAGATCTGGAACGCTCTACCCCACATCACGACGGTGATTGATCAAGGTCAAGCTGCCGGCAAGCGGATGGGATCTTCCCTTGAGCGGCCAAGGATCAAACGTCACTGACAGGATTCAGTGGCACAAATGACAATCGCTTGGTTCTGCCTTCAACCATCAAGCAAGATCATCAAAGAAGACTAACACATCCCAACGCCGAATTGCTCACGTGTCTGCTCCATCCTCGCAATAGGGGATACAGCCTTGCTGGACATAAAGAGTCCTAGCTCGGGCTGTCCCATTTATCGATGAATGAGTGAGGAGGAGCTCTTTAAAAAAGACCCCACCGCAGAGGAATTCGGGTTTTCATGGATTCTGGCGCTGCAATCCTCGAAATGACCAACCCAGCTCTTGCAAGAAAATAGCTTGACATTGATTGTGAAGCAGCTGCTGCGGTGTCCTTTGACGACAGTAATCGTGCTTGCATTTTCTTGTCTCGAACTGGATGTCGAATGCCTTTGGCAGCTTCCCCATACGCAGAGGATCTAAGTGATTGCTTGGTCTACCTAGATGAATCTCGCACTCGAGGGACAGACATGAAGTTTCCGCCAAATGCTCATGGTGCAGTGATACTGAGTCTCGGTCAAACCAAGGGTCTTCCCCGTCAAGGAGTCATGCGACTTCGTTAACCTGCCACTTCTCGGTCAGTCACATTTTGGCGAAGGTTCACCAACCTATCCTCGACTTTCACAAGAAGCGGGATCGTCTTGACTCTAGCGAAGTAATTCATTAGCTACTAGAGCAGACAACTCGAGATCTTGAAAATTTGCCGCCACAATACTATGCTCAAGACATCAATTATAATTACTTCAACTTTCTGTCGGATGGAAAACAACGCCTTGCTTACACGGACACTATTCAAGATTCCGAAGAGCAAATCTCGACGATCCCCATAAGAACCACGAACTGAAAAATTCTAAGAAACGTGTACATGCTAGAGATTGCGAGGGGAACATTGCCAAACACATCAAAGAGCTGGGACAACGCAGAAATGGCCTTCCATGATACCAGAAATGCCAGTCATGCGTCTCTGCCTCGCAAGAAGTTGAAGAGGAGTGCGAAGTAGTAATGGAGGCTGAGACTATCCGAGAAGACAAAATCCCGTCTTTTGAGGTCCAACAGCTTGATCTTCGAAAATGCAATTTGGTTCATGAAACGTTCTGCAACCTTCCGGGAAATCAATGATGACTCCATGATAAGTCATTGACTTGAATATTATAGCATTTTACTAACCGAGGACAGCACCCTGTTCAATGGATTCTCTGCAGCACAACAGAGACGGCTATCATGGTCAGCCCCCCGGAAGCTAAAGAGCTGGTTCCAATTTGTCGAAATCAACATACACCAATTGTTCATTTATTGGCGTTCTCAGCACCAGGCACGCAAAAAGACCCTTCAATCCAACGATCTGACCTTCCACAACGTTCCTTCTTTGCCTTCATATTGGTCTGCCCCAATATGGCTGAGAGTCCAACTGGGAATCTTTGTCAGAAGAATTCACTTTCCCCTCGACGAGCTTGGGCAAATTCGTGCATTCCTAGAATTAGAAGATGAACAGATTGCATCTTCTCAATGAGCCGTCGTCGACGAATGGGAAGAACTACCCGCTGACGACTTGGAGACCATGGAAGATTTGCAACAGCGGTCGGACGAGTTGGCTCTCAAACAAACAAGCTCGCGACGCCAACATCAAATCTACCAAAATGTTTACTTTCTTCCATGCATGGCTTACGACCAGGAGGCAAGGGGCAAGACTTTATACGTACTCCTACGAGCTGCGTATGCGTGAGGAAGACGTTGATCCGAGATCGCCCTTTCTTCCGCGTCGTAGGTGCCGAAGAAATTGCTCAACACAGAATCGCCCTGGCCACTTCTGGCAGTTCAGATGGTCCACAATATGCTGATATTGCTGAGAACGATGACGAGCTGGAATTCTTGAGCGGAGCATCTACAAGGGCTGGAAATGTCAGTGGCTGCATGTACGTGCAATGAGCGATGTTATGTCAGAGGTTAGATATCGGAACTCAGGTCAGGAGCTGAGGCTCAAATCTATTTTCGGAGTTGAACAATAAATGAAGAAGTCCATTAGCTTGCCATCACGCTCAATTGCCCCCTTCGAAACCTCCCATCTGCACAAGTTGGATTCCCCTGTCCCTGTTTGTTGGGTATTTGTATTTTCATTTCCGCAATTCGAAGAACCCACAGTCTTATGATGAATCGTTTGTCGCACTGGAAAATCCAACGACCAAGAGACATACAAAGCACAGGCTGTATATCTGGAGCACATCTAAGGATGTTCTGCCTGGATCTGGCGTGTTCCCACGGAAGCATACGGCCTTGGTGTCACGTGACACTACCTCTTCACCGCTGTTGGTCACTCATTTCCTCCCGATCACGAGCTAGTTTGATTCGATTGTGCATCTGATCCAATTATGGCAATCAAAGAGTAACCAAGGCACTCCCGTCAACGCATTCTGTGTAGTCATGGCCGGTGGTGGACGGTATAAATGACCTGTTGATGCCGGGTGGGATCGGCATGGGATGTGACTTTGCGGTTATGACATAGGCAGACGAGGCTGTGAGGCTGTGACATGCGAAACGGTGCACAGGAGAATTCACCGCCAAGACAGAGGGAAGCTTCTTTTTTGTACCGGGGCCTACTCCTCTGCCTTTCAAGACATCCCGCGGAGGCCACGAACATTTCCACGACGTCGTCAAGTCAACACCAATACACACGATTGCGACAATTCATCAGACAGCGGAAAAGGGTCATCGGCGCCCATAAAATCATGACCTCAAGAGGGCCCGCCCGAGTCCCGGCTCCAGCCAGGCCATTGTCAACAATGCATCTCAACACCACCTACCTCACTCATGCTCACCTCCAAAATCTGCTGAAAGAAAAGATGGTCCTCATCGTCGGCACCGATCTGGACATTGCAACAGTCGTGGCCGTGGCTAAGTATGATCTCTTTCTAAAGATGTTAGCAGAGTGTCGGTGAAAATCTGACTCCAGATTCTAGATTCGGCTGCAGACCTTTCATCGACAAAACCCGGGATCTCATGCGCGTTGTGGAAGAGAGTCAGGCAGTTCTGCAAGATCATTTAGTGCGTGGAAGCCAAATTTATGGTATATCTGTCGCCATTGCCAGTTTAGGATACATGCTGACTTGGGAATTCGGAGGTGTCAACACGGGCTTTGGAGGAAATGCAGATATTCGCACCGACGACGTGCTTGGTCTTCAGCAGGCCCTGATTCAACATCAAAACTCGGCCATCCTTACCACAAGAGACCTGGAAGCAGCACCCGACGGCCATGGAGAGATGCATCCACATTCCATGCCCACCAGCTGGGTCAAGGGTGCGATGCTAGTGCGATGCAATACAAACGTCCGGGGCCACTCTGCCATCAGTTGGCGGGTGGTCAACAGACTCACTGAATTCCTTCAAAGAGATTTGACCCCGATCGTCCCGCTGAGAGGGTCTATTTCGGCGTCTGGCGATCTCATGCCTCTCTCATACATTGCCGGAATGTTGCAGGGAAACCCGGACATACATGTGAGAATGGGTCGAGGGTCTGAAGTCAGGGTGATAAATTCAGAACAAGCCCTGAAAGAGTTACGGAACATTCAGGTCCGAGCGGGACAATCTGTTGACATGGACGGAGAGGCTGACTTCTCGCCGATTGTATTGGGCCCGAAAGAAGGGTTGGCCTTGGTCAACGGCACTGCGCCATCTGCCACCGTTGCAGCTTTGGCGTTGTGGGAGGCCAACCAGCTTGCGGTCCTGTCGCAGTTGATCACCTGTCTTACATCGGAAGTGTTGGGTGCCAACGCGGAATGGACGCATCCTTTCATCGCCGCAATTCGTCCTCATCCTGGTCAAATCGAGGTGGCTCAGAACCTCCGAACATTCTTCCATGGCTCCAAACTCGTCACTGGGCTCGAGGAGGGACCGACTGAACGAACCAGGACAGGCATGGTGCAAGATCGGTATTCTGTGAGGAGCTCGCCTCAATGGATCGGTCCGGCGATCGAGGACCTGTTGGCTGCGACAAAGCAGTTGACGACCGAACTCAATTCCACCACCGATAACCCTGTTGTCAACGTTCAAAACCATCAAGTCCTCTGTGGAGCAAACTTCCAGGCCACTTCGGTCACCATGGTAGCGGAGAAAACGAGGCTCTGTTTGCAACTGATTGGCAAGATGCTCTTCTCCCAAACCAGTGAAATGATCAACCCGACCCTCAACAATGGCCTCCCGCCCAATCTTGCTCCAGACGACCCAAGCCGGTCATACTGTCTCAAAGGGGTCGACATCAACATGGCCGCATATCAGTCCGAACTCGCATTCCTCGCCAACCCAATCAGCTCACACGTCCAATCTGCAGAGATGCATAATCAAGCCATCAATTCCCTTGCTCTGGTCTCAGCCCGATATGCCATGCAGAGCGTTGAGATTGTGTCCATGATGACTGCATCAGCCATCTACGTGGGTCTTCAAGGAGTCGACCTTCGAGTCATGCACAGATCATTCTTGGGAGATGTCAAACCCACGGTCGAATCCCTCCTCCGACAGCTCTTTCCATCCAAAACACCAGATCATACCCTCGTCGACTTAAACGCAAGAGTGTGGGAGCAAGTCTGCAGTGCCTGGTACGCTAACGCCAGCAACGACGCCGGCGTGCGTTGCGAGAATGTGGCAAAGGCGACGGTCGACACTTTTGTACAAGGGCTCAGTCGCTGCTATGGTCCGCACGGTGAAGTAGATTATGCTTTGCTCATCACCGCCTGGAAGCAAACACTGGAGAGTAATATGCTCGACGCGTTCAGGCTGTCCCGAAACACTTTCTGCGAGCACCCAACCACCGCCTCCTATCTCGGCCGCACCACCAAGACTTTATACAATTTCGTACGAGGGGAGCTCGGTGTGCCGTTCTACCGCGGGCGAGCAGATGATCCGGGGAACCATGACGCAGTTGGCCTTCGACAAAAGAGGACCATTGGGTCCTGGATCTCGATCATCTACGAAGCCCTTCGAAGCGGCAAGTTGGGTGATGAGATCTTGGACTCGGTGCGAGCATTCACCGACCCGTCGACGGTCTGAGATGACGTGTTCCGCTTGGTGACAAGGGTGGAAACGAGGAGATAGCTGAATGAAGAACTCTGTTGAAACGACACTCCCTTGTTCTGATTGCTTTCGTCGATCATGCCGGGCATATTGCCGAGCTTTGATCGTTGGGGTAGTGCCTTTCCTGTATCTACAAGTCTTGCATGACCAGCTTATCAGCGAGAAGATCCTCATGTGCTTGTCGAGTCATCGAGACTCGGAAAGCGGTCAGCTCCACCTTTCCATATTTCCCACGATGGTCCCGGTCCCAAAAAGCGATTTCGTTCAGGGGCTTCCCGGCATACATCATGGTATCAAGATCACTGAGGCAGAGGTCATCCCAGACTGCAGCGTGCTTGGGTTCCGGTCTTTCCGGCGTCACGGCTGTTCTCCAGAGCTCGCCATTCAGATTTGCTGGATCTCGAAAAAGAAGAGTCGGGACAACTTGGAGGTGAAAATTGGCTGTCCCCATTTGGAATTGAATCGGTATCGCCCCAAGCACGTCTGTCCCATTGGATATCCAACGGGATATCTCAAGTCCTTGCTTTTCGGTGTATGATAGGGTGATTGACGAATTGATGTTCTCCGCCCCGAAGGTTCCCGTGTATGCATCTTGGACTTGGCGTTTCGCAATCTTATCGGCCGCCTGAATCACAGGTACTGTCACAATTTCTCGAATTTGCTCCAGGAAGGTTTCATCCCCGGCCGTCAGGATGGTAATTCCGAGTTCATACTCGGGAACCAGTATTATGATAGTTCTGTACGCAGGTAATCCGCCCGATTTCGTGACAAATGTGACAGCTCTGTCTGGGCCACCTAAGATTTTGTTGGTACGAAGAATCTCCCACGGAATTCCATAGAATGAATTGATCCCGCTGGTGAAAGAGGCAGGGTGTAGCCAATTCAATGCGTGCGTGATACCGTTATAATGAGTCAAGATGTACCGAAGAAATTTCGACATGTCGGACGATGAGGCGTATAAACCACCGGTGGGGTTCTGGACACCTTCATCAACATCCCAGTACCAGTGATGGTTCTTGGGCAGAACGGCGACCGAGTCAGCGGGCTTGGAAAAAGAAGTGCCCGTCATGTTCAACGGCTTCAGAATGGCGGTGTCAATGTAGTCTTCATAGCTCATTCCGGTGACATTGGTAAGGACCAGGCCGAGCAGTTCGTAGGCGATGTTGGAGTACGTGGACTTCTGGTTGGGGGCGAAGAGGGGAGGCTTGGTTCGCAGGTTCTGTAACAGCTCCTCTGCCGTACAGGGAACATAGTTGTTGAAAGGACCGCATTCGGGAAGGCCCGAAGATGGGACAGGAGGGAGGCCGATCTGTGAGGGATCCGGGAATTCGGTGAGGAGATCACCCTGGGCCCAGTCTCGAGGAATGCCGCTCAGTTGGCTGGCAAGCGACCTCAGGGTAACATCCTTCCAGGGAATTGTTCCGGTTTGAGGACGTTTCAAGGATGATATGTACGTGTCAATGGTATCATCTAGGCTCAGGTTACCGGCCGCATGCTGCTGGAGCAGGCCGAGCACGGTGAAAGTCTTGGTAATGCTGGCAATGCGGTACGCACTTCTCCCATCTACTTGGTCTGCACCTGGTCTTTCCGAGTCCTTGTCCCTCGCCGTATGGAATCGGGACCAAAGAGTGGACCGTGACGAAGTCACCTCAATCGAGTAAGACGAAGTGTTGAGGGCGGGGTCAACCATGAGAGTGGACAAGGAGGCTTCAATCTGGCCAAAGGCTTCCAGGAGTTCCGGACATGGTTTGCGGTACTCTGGTGGCGGGAAGGCTGGAGATTGATAGTAGCAGGCAGCCGTGACTAGGGAGACCAGCTGGGAAAGCACAAAGAGACAGTCGACTCTTGAGAACGAAATCATTTTGGTAAACCAATGGAGACAGAGCCTCGGGTCTGCCGGAACTGATTGTAGTAATTAAGATAGATTCTAGTTTTCTCGAGGATGAGGATCATGAAAGGGAGAAGAGAACAACTAATGGAGGTCGTCCTGGGACGACTAGCTTCTACCTCAGAGATGCAATTGGCATGGACCATGACGTCAAGGCAGGCAACAGCAATGACCAGCGGCCGGACGACACAATGGAGACAACTCGCTTCATAGAGCAGGTGACGGCGGGAAAACAAGGACTCCCAAAAAGAGGATGGAATAGTACAGGAACTGCAGCTACTGGTAAGCCGATGGCAGATTCGGGGATAGCTTATAGGGGTACTCCTGTGTAACAGCTGCGAGCTTCTCCGCACAAACTGCTACCCACCTCCATCTCTCTATACATTCGGCTTCAATGGAATCTCCTTGTCCCAGGGCCAGGCAGACGGCAAGTTCGTCGCAATCCACCGCGCAATCGCCGCATTTGTCTGTTGGGGCGCCTCCTGTGCCACCCAATGGCCAGCGTCGATGCTGACCTCCATATGCTTCCGGCAAAAATTCCGCATGGGCTCCGCGGTCCGTGAATTGTAGGTCCCCGCCACACTGTCGTTGAGAGCTTCGATGAAGAGCGTAGGCACTGACACCACTCCTTCATTGACCGACCAATCCTCCGCCCATTCGTAGTTGACATCGTGGTTAAGATACATCGCAGTGGGAGCCCAGAACCCGCCCTGGGTGAAGGCATCGACCAGCTTCTTGTGGAGGTCCTCGTCCAGCAGCGATGCGCTCAGTGGGACCTCAGGAGGCTTTTCGGCTCCGCCAAACCAGCCTCCATTTTGGGACACACGCGCCAGAGGTGTCACATCATTCCGGGTCTCCGGGTTCCCTTTGCGATAGAGTATCTTCATCAAATTGTCGATGTCGGCCTCGAAGGACTTGATGGCCTTTTCGAAATTCTTCTCGTCCTGGTAAAAGGCCTGGTAGTCCCATTGTGCATTGGGATACTGGTCTTCCGGGTACAGGTCTCGATTGGCGTACTTGAGCATCTCTTTGAGTCCCATTTCCAGAGTGCGGTAGGGGATGGCGAGATTCACCACGCCGATGCAAGCCTCGGGATGATGAGCCAACAATGCCCATACCACTGCAGCGCCCCAGTCATGTCCAATCCAGATTGCTTCACCGCGGTTCAGGTGCTTCAGAAGGGAGATCAGGCCGCCGACCACGCTCTGCATCGAGTAGTCTCGCTTCTCCTGGGTCTTGGTAGACCCCCCATAGCCTGGCATATCGGGAGCGACCACCCGGAATCCCAAGCCACTGAAAGTAACAATTTGATGCTTCCATGTGTCCGCGATCGCTGGCCAGCCGTGAATGAAAATAAGGAGAGGTCCCTCTGGAGGGCCACTCTCCAAGTAGGAGATCGTTTTGTCGCCGTTGCTGAAATCGTGCCTCGAGATTTCCATTGTCATCTTCGGTATATGGGGATCGAGGGTCGAAAAAGCGGGGTTATATGGGAAACTATATGCTTATTGCCAGGAGGGCGAGAGGGGTTTAAGACGGGGCCGCATTAGACGAGCCTTGTGTCTTTGTACCTGGTGGCCTTGAGTTGCTCCTGGGGAAGTCAAAGCATATTGCAGTGAACTGCCGAGGTGGAGGCGCATATTTCTGCACCAGCCACCCAAGTCATAGCGTCAAGCATGAGCCACTCTTTTTTTGTGTGCGGCTTGATCAGGGTTCTAGGATCTGCGCTTGTGGCCGACAGCCTTGTACAAGTTACCAGAATGACAAACTCCTCTATACTGCTCCACATGGTCGAATTGTACCCCTTTTCATCCACCATCGACCCTTGTATCCTAATCGGCATGCTGGATGGACTGTTGACATGGTAGGGAGGAAGCCTGATGGGTTGCTGGACCCGCAATCACCATTCACGAGAGGCTGCATGGCATGATCGCGAATTCTCAGGAGTTTGCGCAGACTGTCGAAGCAAGCAAGTCCTTGATGTCACCAGTGAGCTCCACTACTCAGCGTCATATTTGTTGGTCGAGTGAACACAAATTCCATTTTATCCTTGAGGTCTTGATCCATTCAAAGAACTACGCCGCAGTCGCAATCATCTACGCCCTGCTCTCCGGGCAGAATCTCCGTATATACATTCATCAGCCGCGCGAGACTAGCGCCCAGGAATGCGATCTTGACCCGGTCCTGGAACTGAGTCTAGTTCCAAGACCGCCGGCTCATTCCCCCAAGTGCCACCTCGTCCTTGGTGTATCCGAGCCGATAGTTCATTGCAATTCAAACAATGGGTTTGGCGGAATTGGTGGAATGTCGAACCCAGAAATGGCCATCATATTCCGAATTGCCATCTCCAACGATGGAATCCGCTGCCATGGATCCAAACCATTACGGGCAAAAGATCACGATCTCTGGTGGAAGGAGCATAAATATTAAGTCTCAGACATCCAACTCGTCCATTGGATATTCAGAATTGCGTCGAACATCTTGATACGGGTGGGTGGTATCATTTCTGGGTTTTATGATCAGCTTGGGGGCAATGAGGTTCATAACGAGTGGCATCGAGGACACTAGTCTGGCTGGCGGTGTCAACTATTTGGGATTCGCGAAATCTCATGGTGATCGTGGCGTAGTGAATGCCTAGGTAATTTTCGACTTCTGTTGCTGGGTTCACGATCCCTTTGACCTGTACATTGTCCACTCGTCCCGAGACTGAGCGAGGATATCCGGTGCCGTTCGTCATTTTGGAGACGGCAATTTTGGGTGACTATCAAATTCTGTGAGATGTGTTTCAGCAGGCATACTTCTCTTCCATCTTCGATCCCTAGGAGCTTATAGTGCGTACCGTAAGCCCCACGGGTGAGAAGCAGCCATAAATGTCGGTAATCCCCCAATCATTTTGAACATCACGTCAGAGGATTTCGTCCGAGAGAGAAAGGTCATGGATCGTCCCCGCATTTATCTTCGGTTGTTGCTAGCATGAATTCGAACGCCGCTTCGATGAGATATTGTTCGAGAGGAGGAGACGCGAGGATATGCCTTGGGCATACATCATCATGGTATTCGGCCGGAACGCGTCAAAGGCTGTATCGTTCAAATCAAAGGCGGCTTGTTTGCGAATCCAAGGGGTGGAGCTGGGTTCAACAAGTGCACTATGAGGCTCTATGGTCCACCAGAGACCTACACGGCCTATAGGCAGACTTGCCTTCAGTTCACCTCTGCGGGAAATCAGCCTTTTCTCGAATAAATGGGTTGCCTGTGTTGGCCAGTCACGTGACACGTTGCCTTGGCAACGTCACGTGAGGCTGTTTGGCTTGGCAACTTGCGCCCTTCCTTCTTTTCGTCTTGCTCTCTCTCTTAGATAGAACAACACATTCCTTCTCTAGACTCCACAGTCTATTAGCCTGAACATATATGACTCACTGGCACGAATATTTGAAGAGATATTACGAGGTATGGCTTCAAGATGACTACTCTAATGAACCGTTCCAACCTCTTCGAGTAGAGGTAAGGATAACGCAAACCAAACCCACAGAGATTGTCAGAGGGCACGATTCTGTAACGGGACCAGATCTGTCGATATCTTTTCCACAGTCTAAAGAATTTCCGAGCAATCGCTGAACACGACCGACATTTTCAACTTCAGCCCCAGGGCGGAAGCAGCCGCATATACGAACTTGTCTGGGACACTGCTTTCCATGCCTGATTGGTTGAATCGACCTTGTCCCCCTTCAGTCCGAAGCTCCGATACTCGTGATTTATCGTATTCGATCCAGCTTCAGGTAGAAAGGTTCCCCATTCCCAAGTGACGGTGTGCAGGTAAAAATTTGGCTGGTGAATGTGCACACTCAACCACCCATACCGCACTCAACACCCGGTCCGACCAATGTGGTCCAGAATCTGTTTTGGCCCTATGGGCAACAAAGTTCCGAGGCAAGGTGGACGTGGATCTTTCAATTGCTGCATGGCCCCAATCTGGTGTCTGACCCATATGCCATGAGCTTGATGTAGCCTAATTATCAGGCAGCGTCCTGATGGAAAATATCTAGAGATACCTTTCGCATTTTTCGGGATGGATCAGAAATGACAGGGCAGACCCTCAACTAGCTTATAACGCTGAGTGGATCGAAACGCTGGCTTCAGAGCCTCAGACTGGAACTAGGAAAATATGGCCGACACCTCGAGCTCACCTCAAGCAATACTACACGGTTATCTGGACGCAAACCATACCTCCGATCTTTCAGCATACTGGATCAACAGACCGACGCCATGGCCCTTTGTTCTCGCAAGCGCCGGGCTATCGATAATTCTTGGTTTCCTGGGTGTACAAGCCTCACATAAATCCTGGGAATCGAAACCCAAACTCCTCAACCGCGACAGTAGCAACGCCCTCTCGCCACCAATTCATCAAACGGCCTACATCCCCCTCCGCCGACCAAATTCGGATGTGCATCACCGGCGCTGGAGCTCAGCCAGTGGAAATACCTACTACAACATAATCGAGAACGACGCAATGGAAACATACTTTGCCGATCGACGACCTAGCAGCATAGCAATCGCACGAACCATGCACGGTGGGCTGGGACGATTCGCTCCGATCGCAACAACAATCGGGATATCCTGGTCGACAGTCCGGGCCGGAGCGGTGCTGACAATCCTGATCAAGATCACCATGGGCGAGAAACACACGTACCCAGGTATCGTCAGCATCGTCATCATGTTCGCCTCGGTGCACACGTACCTAGGCAGTCGTGCGATGCCCCGGATCCTGTACCTGCTCATCATCACGGACCTGGCCGCCATCTACGGGTCCATTGTGCTCGCGATCCTAGCATTTCTCCAGGACAAGAGGACGTCATACCAGCAGTTCGGCGTCGCAGGCGGCCACTGCCCCTGCATGCTCGGCTTCAAGACAGGCCATGACATGAAGTCGTGCAAGGAATTACCGAGCCCACTCGGCGGGGTGGGCTGCGACTCCATGTACTTGTGGTCAAGCAACACTATCCCCGGCACGAACCAGACAATGACATATCCGAAATCATGCCTGCTCTCCGTCGACCACGACACCGACCTCGACCCCAACTTGATGACCCACATGGTCCTGGCCGAAATCATTGTCGGTGGCCTAGGGCTCCTGTACGGCTTGATAGTACTGTGTTTCGCCGTGCGTCGGATCCCTCGCGTCATCGCACGTCCTGGGCAGCTTCTAGACGCATTCTCACTGAACGAGGGCTTCACGCAAAGCAGCTCTAGGCGCAAAATGCCCGGCCGCGCAATTGGAGTGACCGTATTGGCTTTCGCTGCACTGCTGATGTTCGCGGCCGTGACGATCGTGATGCACGTCCTCGACGAAACGAAGCCTATCCGCTTGTTCTACATGGACTCGGCCGGCCCGCGCGTCGAAGGCGGCAACGTCTCGGGCTCCACCAGCTGGAGTGACTGCTTCGTCGTAGATACGCCATATTCAACTGACGGCGAGTTCCAGCAGTGGTGGCAGGTCCGGCAGAGTCGGGTGTTGAGGGCGTTGGCGTTGGCTTGACTTGACACAGCATGACGTGACATGATATGGTCTGATACGATACATCGGGTAATCACTTTTGGCGCTTTTATCGCTATCTCCAGGATCAGTATACGAATCCCAGTGTGACGGACTGGCATGGTCCCTCGACTCACTTCGAGCATTTCAAGAGGATATGGCTGGAATAGCAGAAGAGAGGGGACACAGTTCTATGTTACTCTTGATTCAGGTTAACCGGCCTATTGCCTCTCCCTTGTACCAGATCTCGGGAAGCTGGCTACTCTATGTCTCTGGAACAAACATCAAGCAGGCAGAGGCGTCACAGCTGTTACTGATTTTTCCATGACCACCGCCATCTGCCAGGATTTCAAGTTCAGAAGTCGATAAAGGTGCTTGATGAATGATGTGACTCCTATTCCAACCCCCTAAGTGACATGACCTTGTAGAACCAGAGAGAGTGTTCCTGTTGGATGTTGTCCGGTTCCTCGAACCTAATCAAGAATGAAATGCTTCTCAGTCTTCCATCCTTCAATCATCAACGCCAGTGCTTTGGTCACGGGCCTTTCTTGCAATTGTCTGGGGAGTGTTTTGGGAAATTCAATCGCCGCTTGCCGCAATGCTGCAATACCAGCAACACCGTAGAAAAGAACAAATCGATCCATGGCGTTGTTCTCCAACATCGACTTGAGCAAGATCAGATGACTGGTCTGAACTTCCGTAGGGGGTGTGTTGGTGATGTGGGCAAGGCTTGACCAATAATTCACCGGCGGCCAGGGATTTTTGGCTTTTGCCATTGAAAAGTTCCGTAAAGCAATAGACGCATATCCCGCCCCTAACCCTGTCAACCGGTCGTAATGCTTGTTCTCCGTGACAAAAGCTTTCTTGTCATCCGATATCTTATCCAGCCGCCAACCCAGACGAAGTTTCCCGGCAGACGTGGATTCTGGACCGTATACGCCAAAGAGAATAGGGGCGGTGGCGTGGAATTTACACATTAGTACTGAGATAAGAGAAACACTTGCCGGTTTCATAGGGGGAGTAGGTGCTGTTCCACCAAATTTGTCGTAATGAAGACCAGAGTTGACGGACGGGACATTTCGGGGAAACTGCAGTTCCGGCATCGAAAAGATTTGTGCCACAAGTGTACCAATGGGTTCAGCGGCTTTCGTATTAACGGCGCATTCCCCAACGAATGCATTTATGACGGCTTTGCTGAACACAGAGAGGAGGTATAGAACCAAGGATGGAACGGTGGTCGTCTCCTTGTCCAGGAGCGAGAGGTGTGGAGGAAGATATTCGCTAACGGAAACTGGTGGAGAAGGGATTTCCCTGAGTGCTCTCTGTAGGGTGGATCTTACTCGTTCGTGCTTGAAATTGGCGTTAGTCTTGAATCATTTGACAAGAGACAGGAACACCCACGGCCTTTTTGTTGCCAGCTTTGTCATCGGTTAACTGCCCGACACTCGTCCGCATCGCTCGTCTCATGTCGCCTACCTGTGGTTTCAAGGTGGGATCCTTCTTGGCCTTTTCCCAGAAGTCTCCTCGGAATTCCTTGAGTTTTCGGTGGAGTACAAGATACTGCATGTGTCGTACCTCTGGATCTGACGACCAGCTCGGGGCCGCGTCTGTGGATTGTCGACTCGGCCTTGTCGAGGTTGAGATGGGAACTTTGGCGGCCACGGCGGCTTTCTCGGCTTCTTGTTGCCTGAGAGCAGCTTCTTGATCTGCCTTCGCCTTCTCTTCTCGTTGCCTCAGTTCCTCAGCTTCTCTTTCCTTCCGTTGCCTTTCTTCTGCCGCGGCCTTTTGCTTTTCGTAGATGGCCAATCGTTCAGCTTCAGCTCTGGCCCGCTCTTCCTTCTCTCGACGTTCCTTTTCCTCACGGGCCTTGCGCTCTTGCTCAGCTCTCCTTCGTGCCAGCTCTTCTTCGCGCTTTCTTTTCTCCTCTTCTTCTAACCGTTTCCGTTCTTCCTCCCGCCTTTGGCGCTCCTCCTCCTCTTGCTTGATATACACCTGGAGAGCAGCCTCGGCTTGCCGCCGCACAATCTCATGTTGAGCGTTTGCTACTTTCAATTCTGCTCGATGGACCTCTGCTTGAGCAAGTTCTCTCGCATTAAGCTCCTCCTGATGTTGTCTTCGTTGATAAGCATGGAGCCTCTGCCGTTCATCTTCCTGGAGATCAATTTGACTGAAGGCACGCTGAAGTTCAAATTGAAGTTGCCTTGATGGACTATCGTCATTTCTCCTGAATCTGGGGCTATTCCTGGCCTGAAATGGGGACGAGTGAACTTCGGTATGAGCCATCCTTAAAGGTCACGTGAATTAAGTGAAGCTTCTGGAGAGACGCTGAACCTCTTAATCCGGGCCGGCGGGCGAGACGTTTTTTGTACAACAGTTCCCACTTGGATTTTCTTGGCCTTGTATCAAGTCAAGACAACACGCACCGAATCAAAGGTGGCCGGAACGTGTACGGCGGTACGGACAGCGTGTCGGCTGGAGGCGCGGCGCGACTTCTTGTTGAAAAAAGCTCGACAACGAGTGCGAGGCGACTTTGTGCTTTGCCTACGGGTGCCTTTTCTGACTGGTTTTTTTTTATTTTTGACAGCGATGTATCGGGAACAGTGAATGCCGTAGCGAAGTCGTGTTGGTTTCTTTAGACGCGTCCCTGAGACGTTGCAAATTCAGACTCGACTCAAAGGGGCTGGTCCGAAGGAAGACCCCTTATACGGCAGTTAAGTGGGAATATGGGTTCGTCAAGCGAAAGGACCGCTTGTCAGGTAACTTTTAACGAGAGATGACCGCGACCGAAGAACTTGATAGGGAGTGCTTTAGCTGTGAGCCGGGGTACTTAGTCTGTGAGATCTGAGGGACGGGGGTGTAAGAGGTTTTTTGGGTCCAGGCCTGGTGATCGGCGAGTAAATCGGGGGCTTCCCCCCCCCCCCCCCCCAAAGAGTACCACGTATGCTGTCTCTGAGTTTCAGATGTCGAGCCCACCGAGCAAAGTAACACGAAGACAAAAGGAACCACAGAAAGGTTTGAGTTGGCTCCAGGGTTTCTGGTTGGACTCCTGGTGGGCAAAGAAGAGGTAGGTGCGCCTGCGCCTCCAAAATAGGTATTTTGGTGGAGGTCCAAGTATGCTCCAAAGGTCAGCTAAGGGAATAACAAAACACTTACAGAATCCTGCCGGGTTCGACCTGTTACTGTCGATGAGGGGCCAAAAGGCAACCACCTAGTAGGACAGCAAGAGCACCCGAAGGGAAGATACGTGACCGTAATATTACTCTAATGCGATATACGCGGCCCTTCTTGAGCACATTACCCCCATTGTACGGTACTTGTATGTAACAAAAGTGCGCCTTCCATCATAGCAGCATCGCTACTAACTGTCCAAGTCTTTCTCATCACATTCACATTCACATCCGTATCCACCTACTGTTCTTCCCATCTCTTCAAATAGCATCCATTCCCTTCCCCCATCCTTCTGCCTTATCGCTGAGAATCGTACAGCCAATCCTTCAAGTCCAAAATCGCCAGAGTCACTCTCTTGTGCTCGCTCTCGCACTACATCTCTCGGCCTCCGTCCCCGTCAAGTTCCGTTTCCTGTCCTTCCCTCGCCTAGTCTTACGTCGTCGAAGCCTGCTGCACCAACGTCAGCCCGCAGTCGCAGTCACTGTTTCAGCAATTCGCCATTGATCCCTCCATCGCGACAGCCATATCAGCTCTACGCTGCCTACCGCTTTCCTCAGGGTCCTCCATCCCGTCTCTCCGCCTCCGCAGGTTATCGTTGGAGAGTGCCTCGTTGATACCACTTGATAGCCATCGTCCTGTACGACGTTTCCATTCTTCGAGAATCTGCAAGTGCTGCACAGCATCGATAATCCATTTCACAATCTTTGGTACGTTCTGCATCTGCACATGTCCTCGCCGTGCTGCGCCGACGATTGAATTGATCCTCTCGCAATGGGAGTGCATGAGGAAACAAACGACTTGTGCTCTGGCATCCGTTGTCGTCCGATCCGACCTGAAAAAAAAAAAAAAAATAGAATATTGTGCTAAGACTTCCTTTTCCTAGTTCCGACTATTCTCTCCCTCTTTCCTCCGCCAACTCTGGTAAGCTTTGCGGCGCTTTCGTCTTTTCCGTCGAGGGTCTTCACTGGGTCGACCAGCTCGAACCCAAAAAGAGACAGGATACAAAGCTGCTTGTGAACATAACTAAAAATGGCGCAACCAGGCTCGTCTGGTGTGCCTGGTCCTGCGGGTCGCCGACTCCATATTGCCCATCGTCGAAGTCCGTCTGAGCTGACGCCGCTCATGATGGAACAACTTGCTCTTCAGCAACAGATTGAATTGCTCCAACAGCAACAACAGCAGATCGCTGCTACCCATCAGCAATATGTAAACATGGGCATGATCCAGCAGCCTTTGCAAGGCATGCCAGGTTACTCCCCCATCCAAGGGCAACCGAATATTGGAGCCATCTCTCCCAACAACAACAATTTTCAGTTTCCACAAATCCAGCAGCAAATGGGGATGCCGGCCAATCCTCCTACTCAGCCTGCTGCTCACCGAAGAAACCAATCCGCGCTTCCTGGGATGGCCATGGGCCCTCCACCAGCTCCCTCCGCTGGAACGGCCGGGTCAGCTTATGGTGATTTCAACCAGCAAGCCATGGGCCAAAACCGTGAGAATACTGGTGGTCGTGGAAGAGGAGGTTCTTCACAAAGTGGGCATACTCGACGTCACTCGCTTGCACTTCCCGAGGCAAAGAAGGCCGCTGAACTTGCAGAGAAGAAGCGAACTGCGGCGGGCTTCCAGTTCCCAATTCCTGGAGGCGGCGGTATTGCCGAAAGCCCCGTGGCAGCCACCCCCGCAGACGACAAATCGGCCACACCAACCACTGCACAAGGGCTAGGTTTGCAGCGTGCTGGCAACATCCGAAGCGTTGGTCACAGTCGCAGTCAGAGCATGGCTGCCGGAAGTGCTCGAGGCGGAGGAAACGTCGGTCGTGGAGGTGGTACCTTTCAGTTCCCAGCTCCCGCGGGCGCTGATAGTGGTGCTGCAGGTCCAGGAAATCAATCCGATCTACAACGCCGCGGGAGTCAGAGCAGCCATACGAGAACAGGCTCCCGGAATTTTGAGGGCAATTGGCGCCAGCAGAACAATCAACAGAACGCCGAACAAGCACAACAACAGATGGGCCAGTTCGGTCAACCTCAAGGAATGGGTGCTGGAGGATTCCAGCCTGGCCATCGAGGCCGAGGATCAATGAATCAATCGATCGGGTCCATGAGTGGATTCCAGTATCCGGGCCAACCGCAACTGGTTCAACTCCCCCAGGGCCAAATGATGATGGCACCTCAGATGTTTGCGGGCCAACAGGTGAACGCTTTGCAAATGGCACAGCTCCAGGCTATGCAAGGTGCCCCGCTTGGTGGACTGCAGGCAAGCCAGCATGCTCCCCCTCCGATGGGCCTGCAACAGCAACAGCAGCAGAGAAAGACTCTGTTTACGCCTTATCTTCCTCAAGCGACCCTTCCTGCATTGTTGAATGACGGCCAGTTGGTCGCCGGTATTCTCAGAGTCAACAAAAAGAACCGTTCCGATGCCTACGTGACCACCAATGACCTCGATGCCGACATCTTCATCTGCGGTAGCAAGGATCGCAACCGAGCGCTTGAAGGTGATCTGGTCGCTGTCGAGCTGCTGGACGTTGATGAGGTTTGGGGTCAGAAACGTGAGAAGGAAGAGAAGAAGAAGCGCAAGGACATTACAGACACCCGCTCATCTGGCAACAATCAAAATGGGAAGAGTGACACCGCCGCGTCGAGCGATACTCAATCCATTGCCCCAGACGGCAGCATCCGACGACGTGGCAGTCTGCGTCAGCGGCCGACACAAAAGAAGAATGATGACGTTGAAGTCGAAGGTCAGAGTTTGCTTCTCATGGAGGAGGAGGAGATTAGTGACGAACAGAAACCACTCTATGCTGGTCACGTTGTGGCCGTCATCGAACGAGTCGCCGGACAAATGTTCTCAGGCACTCTTGGTCTCCTGCGGCCCAGTAGCCAGGCTACCAAAGAAAAGCAAGAGGCCGAGAGACAGGCTCGTGATGGTGGGCATTCTCGCTCGGAATCTCGTCAACAAGATAAGCCAAAGATTGTCTGGTTCAAGCCGACCGACAAGCGTGTACCCCTTATTGCCATTCCAACCGAGCAAGCTCCTCGAGACTTTGTCGACAAGCACATGGACTACGCCAACAGAATCTTTGTGGCCTGTATCAAACGTTGGCCCATTACGTCTCTGCATCCGTTCGGTACCCTTGTCGAGCAACTCGGTGAGATGGGGGATCTCCGTGTCGAGACGGATGCTTTGCTTCGCGACAATAACTTCGGGTCTGATGAGTTTTCTGACGCTGTCCTGAAGAGCGTCGGATGGGATGACTGGTCTTTGAAGGCCGAGAGTGAGGAGACTTTGGCTACCCGCCGTGACCTTCGAAACGAACGCACCTTCACTATCGACCCTAATGGTACGAGTGAACTTGACGATGCTCTCCATCTCAAACAACTCGGTGACGGAATGGTTGAACTCGGTATCCACGTTACCGATATCGCGCATTTTGTAAAAGGGCATTCATTGGTCGACCGAGAGGCGAAGAAACGCGGCACTGGCGTCTATCTCGTGACCCGCGCTGTCAATATGTTGCCACCAAAACTCTCTTCTGAAGTTTGCTCCCTCCTACCGGGCGAGGGACGTCTGACTGTCAGTGTAATCTTCAAGGTCCATACCAAGAGCGGACAGGTTGAGGGAGAACCTTGGATTGGAAAGACAATCATCCAAAGCTCTGGGAAATTGGCATATGATGAAGTCGATGCGGTCATCAAAGGAAGCGAGAAGATCGAACTCCATGGTGCCACCGTCGAGGACATTAAGATTCTCCACGACCTGGCCAACAGATTCCGTGAAGCTCGCTTTGGTCATCGCTCAGCGAATATTGCTCCACTTCGACTACTCTATCAACTCGATGATGAGAATGTGCCAGTCGAGCAGAACATTTTCAACACTTCTGCCGCCCACGAAATCATGGAAGAGATTTGTTGCAAGGCAAACTTTTTCGTCGCGCAGAAGATCTATGCGGCCATGCCTGACAAAGCTTTCCTGAGACGACAAGCACCTCCCAATCCTAGGAGACTTGTTACGTTCGCCGATCGCATGACCCGGGCTGGCTACGAAATCGATACGACCAGCAGCGGGACCTTGCAAAACAGTCTGTTCAAAGTTGAGGACGCGGATCTGCGCAAGGGTATGGAAACTCTCCTGGTCAAGACTCTGCAGCGCGCCAAATACTACATTGGTGACCAGCTCGCAGAGGAACAGCGTCAACACTATGCCTTGAACTTGCCAATCTACACACATTTCACCAATCCTACCCGCCGTTATGCTGACATTGTTGTCCACCGCCAACTGGAATCGGCTCTGTCAGACGGCACAATCGAATTCTCGGAAGACTTGGAGAGTCTGGCCAAGACTGCCGAACAATGCAATAATAAGAAAGACTCTGCTCATTGTGCTCAAGAACAGAGTGTACACATTGAATCTTGCCGACTCATGGACAAAACGAGTCAGGAACTAGGTGGCGATCTCATCAGCGAGGGCGTTGTCATTTGTGTTTACGAATCAGCATTCGACGTCCTCATTCCCGAGTATGGGTTCGAGAAGCGAGTCCACTGTGATCAGCTGCCACTAAAGAAGGCAGAATTCCGGAAGGAGGAAAGAGTGCTTGAACTCTACTGGGAGAAGGGAGTACCATCATCGGCGTATGTCCCTGAGGACGAAAGGCCACGTGCATCGGCAAGCACCAAAGGTACAAACGGCGCACGCGATTCAGAGGCCGCGAAAGAGCGTGCCAAAGAACGATACGAAGCACAGCGAAAGCAAACCGACAGCAATACCATGTCGACTGATGACATTGATGCACTCTTCGACGACGAGGATAGTGCCTCTGAGATTACGGAGATGGCTGCCGGAGTGTCTCTTAACACACCTATTGACCGTCCGACGCAGAGTCTCCCACCATCTCCAAGTCGTAATGGAGCATCATCTCATGGACCCACAAGAACACAATCGGACTCAAAGATTCTCAAACCCGCCAGCGAAATTCCCGAAAATAATCTGACCGACAAGGAGAAGTATCGCAGCTACTTCGCCCTTCGCGAAGAAGGTGGTGAATACATTCAGGATGTCACCGAAATGACTCGAGTACCTGTCATCTTAAAGACCGATCTGACCAAGAGTCCTCCGTAAGTTTCTATTGCCCAGTATTGAACTTGGTTATCCGCTAACATTTTTGGTTTTTCTTCCCTTAGATGCTTAACCATCCGATCCATGAATCCTTATGCATTGTAATCAGATGCATAATCTTAAGGAAAATGTCATCCTCGATTGCTGGGCCCACCGAATAAAACGTTATCTTGCAACGAGCCCGGCCTACCATTGAGACTCAATATGCATCAACAAAGAAGAAGCAGATAATACTGATGGAAATCTTGGTTTGATTGGTTTGGAGAAGTGTGACTGCCTCGGGCCGAGTCGACGATTGCGAGTCTTGGAGTAATTGTGTCTCCAAGCGAGAAATGTGAGAGAGTGAGAGCAAGGGTGAGACTATATGAGAGAGAGAGAGAGAGAGATTGAAACAGAAAGAGCTATAATCAGGTTTTTCATTGAGCGTAGTATGAATAAAAAGTTCTATCTCCTTGGTTGTCATATCATCTTACCATGACTTAGTCTGGGTCGGGTCTATTTTCTAATTGTTATTTGGTTCGTATACGACCTCATTGGTATCACTCAACTGCTAGTGATTTATGCACTTGACTCTTCTGCCACAGATTCTTCGAAGTTCATGGCAGCCATGTCTTTCATGAGGCCTCTGTCAACGTGTTTATCTCCTTACTGACATAATCCATAACTCAGCCTTTTGTTATCTTCTCGAAAACGCCGACACCATAACGTCCCAAGGCGCTGGCGCATGCAACAGCTGCGGCGCCGACCTTACGCATCCTCTCAAAGCCGGCGCGGTCCTCGACACCACCAACGCCTAGGATAGCGACAGCGCGGGTTTCCGTGTGTGCATCGAGCAGGCGGCGGAAAGTCGCGACGTTGCCGAGGGCCAGTGGGTGCAATGCAGCGCCTGCGAGGCCGCCGATACCGGTCCCAGATTCACTTTTCAGCGCAGGTGCCAGAGCGTCGTCAAGCAAAAGGCAGGATCCGAGAGTGTTTGTGCAGGTGATGAAGTCCACAACGCATCCTTCGCCGGGCTCACTCGACTTCGCGGCACAAAGGGCTGAGACCACCATGTCGAACTGCGCCGCGTGCGTGTACGGAGGGAGCTTCACGCCGACCTTGGGCACAGATTCTGGCGTCACCATGCGGCCGCGATATGTGGATTTCGAATCACTAATAGCCTCAAGGTAGTCCGCGAGTTGGGCAGGGTCATAGGCAGGCGGAGGGGCATGCGTGATATTCGGGCACGACAGGTTGACTTCCATGGCGAGGCGTAGGTCTTCGTCCATCTCAGCCGCGTTGGCGACCAGAGCATACGCCATTGCGATCTCGTCTGGCGTGCCTGTCACGCTGATGATAAAAGGTTTCTTCGTGGGAGTGTCTGTGCCCAAGTGCCGCTGGCCTACAATCTCGTTGATGATGCCCAGATACTCGCTCAGCGTGAGAGGGGAATAGCCTAGCGTATTGAGCGTGGATATCGGTTCCGAGGGCGTTGTGGTGGTAGATAGTTTGGATTCCTCCCCCTTGGGGGCGCCTGCAGGAATGGTCCTGCCTGGTGTAAAGAAGATATACTGGTGGACTGTGTCGTCATGCGTGAAACCTTCAAGTAAGCTCGTTCGGATTGTCACAGCGCCGGTATATGGGCTATCATAGAGAGCTTTGATATCTTCAAGGGTGGTCGCCCATGGGCAAGCTGAGTTGAGGAGTGGTGGGTCAATTTTGAGTTTCAAATCCATGGTTCGCTTTCAGCTTGTTGTTCGAGCCGTGATCTCTAGGTTTTGCAGGACAAGATCAAGCTGAAAGGAGACCCTCGCCAGAGAGGTCCTGCGAGGTTGCCTCGTTCCCGCGTGGTTGTGGTGCTGAGGAGGCTGTTAGGGTCTCAACGTTGTCAACGAAGCCGCTGTTCTCACCGCTTTTCGCTTTGAAGTATAGGAGGGTGTCTTTTGAGGGCATTCAATGCTCTGAAGATTCCTTGTATGATCCAATTTGCCTCCAGGGCAGCTCGGGAAAAAGGATGGTGTGGTTTGGTTGTCAAGAGTATCCCTGGTGCAGCCCAGCCTTCGACCCAGGGCAGGAGCAATTCAGACACAGTTTCTGGTGATATCGCGTGGAAGGAAAGGCGAGAACAGAGGATTGAAGAAAGGACCGTGCTACTATTATAGTTTCAATGCAGTCTCTCGCGTTATTAAACCAGAGAGGAAAATGAAAGCGAGTGAGTGGCTGGAGACGTCCGGACCTAGTCGAACCAACTAATCATGGGCCACGGAAATGGAATGTCTCAGATTTGATAAAAAGTCCGCAGGAAAAGGGCCCCATGTCTACAAAGTAACAAGGCTGGTAGTTATCACTACCTTTTCGAGAGGAGATGTTCAGTGTTGCTCGCGTGTCATTCATTTTCATCTCGTCTATCGTGAACCAGAGCAATGCAATCGTTCTAAGAAGCCAAGGCTTGCCATTTCAGGCCCTCCCACGCGAGGCTGCATCCCTAGATAGTCGACTTTTTTGGGGTCTTGTGCTTTACGATAACGGCCATAGCAGACGAATGATCTGACCAGGTCCGAGGAGTCCATGCCAGTCTGCATATCGCCTACAACTTTTGCATGGCAACAACGTCGGTGGACTGAACGTGGTCCTCATCCTCCTCAATCTTCTGCTGCAGCTCGTCAAGGGAGACCTTCTCATCCTCGACGACCAAGTTGATCTGCATCTTCTTGATACCGAAGCCGACAGCGACCAATTTGTGAGCACCCCAGACGAGACCGTCCATCTCGACAGCGAGGACGTTCTGGACCAACTCATCCATATTTGTCTCATCATCCCAAGGTTTGACATCGAGGGTGACGACAGATTTGGCTGCCGGCTTGGCCTTGCCCTCCTTCTTCTTCTTGTACTCGGCCAATCTCTTCTCACGCTCTGCAACGACTTCGGGGTCCTCCTCCTCATCGTCGGAGCCGAAAAGATCGACCTCATCATCGTCCTCCGCGGCGGGCGCATCCTTAGGGTTTTGTGTTACGGCAACAGCCTCTGGTCCATAGGTAGTGAATGGCTTGGATGGGTCACCAGGAAGGGTGGAGAAGTCAGCCGCGTACGACTTGATGTGGTTGTACCAACGGTAGGCGTGGGGGAACTTCTCGACGGCGGGGGGCTCTTTCAAGGCCTTGAAGCAGACAACATCCGCTTGAGATGGCTGGAAGCTGTAGACCATACGTCAGCGGAGAGTGGCACGAATAAATTGACCTCAAGGCACGTTCACTCATTTGCAGTCAGAGATGCAAATGCTTGCGATTGGAAGTAGTCATTTGGCGGTGTCTTAAGCCGCCTCATCAACACGGACCGAATTGTTCTCATCTTACAAAAGTGACCGGGATAGGATCGTCCCAGGAGAGTTTTACATACCCAGTGATATATGAACGAGTTTGGAGCCAGTTGTTCAGAACTATGTTGAGTCAGTGCCGGATGCAAGAGGGATCCTGGTCGAATCACCTACGGGTGAGGCCACTATCGGAGACAAGGTCGGTGAAACCCATGCTGATTGAAGGCTGGTATTCTATTGAGCAACAGAGGCTGGTCAGGACCGCTTCAGAGTTGCAGTTGGAAGAAGAGCAGACACACACCCTCAAAAAAAGATCCCAATTCGCTGCCAAGGCTCGATGCGTTGCCTTTTTGGGGAGCAGCCAACGCTGCTTTTAAATTACGGGAATTCGTGAAAGGGAATTATTGGCGTTTGAAAGCTGCCGCTTTGATCGCCAGGTGTTCCCCTCATTCGCAGGCGTCTCGGCTCTTCCTTCCTCCTTTGGGAGTTCGCTTAATAAGCTGCTAATTGTTAATTGGTGCAAACCCGTGGAGCTTAGCTCTCCTCATTGTCGTTCTCATGGTTACATACCTTCCTGGGCACCTGCATATGGCGATGTATGTTCGATCCGACTTGTTGTCTTGGAAACTTCAGTAATGTCATGCAATATTGGGGCCTTTCGGCAGCAATTAACCACCAAAACCGACGAGTCCCAGTCCAATCGCTTTCCCTGAGGCAGCGCCTGTCTAATCACCATCGCCAGAGCTTGTTCCGCCAAATCCTCCACTCGATTCTCCCACAAAATGGCACCAGTAGGTCTCTTAGAATCATTCCTGGCCGCCGTTCAAGCCAGTCTTTCGGTATTGCTGGTCATATTCTATGGAGGGGTCACTGCGTGGCTCAACCTCCTCAATCCTGCCAACACCAAGGCCATCTCCAAAGTATGCGTACGCATGTTCCTCCCAGCTCTGCTCGTCACCAAGATCGGGTCCGAGTTACACGCCGGGTCGGCAAGTCGCTACCTCATCGTCTCCATCTGGGCCATCATCTGCCATTTCATATCTTTTTTGATCGGCATTGTGGCCCACCTGTGGCTAGGGATGCCTGATTGGACAACTGTGGCGCTCATGTTCAATAATACGACCAGCTATCCGCTGCTGCTCATTGGCGCCCTGGATGAGACGGGTGTTTTGGGGTCGTTGATGGTGGCGGATGAAAGTACTCGGGACGCCGTTGAGCGAGCCAAGTCGTATTTTCTTGTCTTCGCCACCATCTCCAGCTGCCTGACTTTCGCCGTCGGCCCACGACTGATCGACACCGAGCATGCCGCGGATGAGGATAAGGGGTCTCTCGGGGAAGATGACGGCACGGATGACGCAGAGACCGAACCGGGTGAGCAAACTGGCTTGCTTGGTGGGCAGGGTTCCATCGTCCAGTTTTCGGACCCATTTGTGGAAAATTCATTTTTCCCATCAACCCGGAAGTCATCAACAGTACAGCGACGACCCTCTGTGAATCGGCGCGCGTCAATCGTGCCTCGAAAGCAATGGATCAAGCTTGGTCCACGAGCCAAATGGTGGCTCTTGTTCATGTCCGACTTTTTCAATGCTCCGCTCTTGGGCGCGATTATAGGGGCTATCATCGGCATGATTCCCGCTCTTCATCGGGCCTTCTTCAATGATACATATGAGGGAGGCATCTTCGCCGCCTGGCTCACGACATCTTTACAGAGTATCGGCGGCCTGTTTGTCCCGCTCCCGGTGGTGGTCGCTGGAGTCTCGCTCTACACATCGTGGCGAGAAGCAAGATCATCCGGCCAGAGTCGGAGGAAGTTGCCCTGGATTACCGTTACCTTCATCTTGATGATCCGCTTCCTTGTCTGGCCCGCAGCATCTATATCTTTCATTTACGCGCTTGCGTCCAAGACAGACATTTTAGGTCCTGATCCGATGCTGTGGTTTGCCATGATGTTGATGCCGACGGGGCCGCCCGCAATGAAGCTCATCACGCTCGTGCAAGTTAGCGATGCGGACGAGGAAGACGAGAGGATCATCGCAGAGCTTCTTACTGTGAGCAATCCAACCGTATGTCGCGTGTCAACTAGCTAATAAATTGGTAGATTTCCTACCTCATCTCTCCAGTGCTCTCTTTCACGGTCGTAGGCAGTCTGAGGGCCAGTCAGGCAGCGATACGACCGTGAATGTCGAATATGCAAAGAAATTGATATCGCAAGGCTGGAGACATTATTCGTCCCCTTTCGCGTGACGCTCGCATGACGCTAAACCGAAAGAGGGAAGTTCTATATCCTTGGCAAACTAGTTCGCATGGGGGAACCCTGTAGCATGAGATCATTGCAGAATTCTGCAGCTTCTTCGTAGTCGCTCGATTTTGCTCGGGGTTTCCAGAACGGCCTCTTAGCGTATCTATTTTGCTGGCTTCCCATTCCCTTGCGGTGTCATGCCTCGAAAGATTACTCGACCACCCGATAGCCTTTGCTGAGAGCGTCTTGCGCTGCAACGTTATCCCCCATCCGACAGACATGAACGCCGCGAAATCGTCGCTCGCTCGGCGAGCTGTGTCATCACGACCACTAGCAGCTCCGTCACTTCGAAAAATAATCACTCCCTTGATCGCGAGAGGGCCAAGGCCTGCCATCATTCCCTGCACCGTTCTGCCGGCATGCTCCCCCATACGGACTTATGCCAATGGAAGACCACATCCTCCAGGAGGCACGCATCGCATGAATCTCGGAGGAGAGCCAGAAAAGCCTGCATTGGAAGAATATGGTGTCGACTTGACAGCTCGAGCACGGGATGGTAAACTCGACCCCGTCATCGGAAGAGACGGAGAAATACATCGGACAATTCAGATTCTTTCCCGACGAACCAAGAACAATCCTGTCTTGATCGGTGCGGCCGGGACGGGTAAGACCGCCATCCTGGAAGGCCTCGCCCAGAGGATTGTGAGAGGCGATGTTCCCGAAAGCATCAAGAATAAAAGAGTCATTGCCCTTGACTTGGGCCAGTTGATAGCAGGTGCTAAGTTCCGAGGTGACTTCGAGGAAAGACTGAAGAAAGTCCTCAAAGAGGTGGAAGAGGCTCAGGGAGGTGTTATTCTCTTTGTCGATGAACTGCATACACTCCTTGGGCTTGGAAAGGCAGAAGGTTCTATTGACGCTAGCAACCTTCTCAAGCCAGCGTTGTCCCGGGGCGAATTACAATGTTGTGGCGCAACAACGTTAAATGAATACCGCCAGATTGAAAAGGATGTCGCCCTTGCTCGACGTTTTCAGCCAATTCAGGTCGGTGAACCATCGGTGCAAGACACCATCTCTATCTTGCGAGGTATCAAGGATAGATATGAGGTTCACCATGGCGTCCGCATTACTGACGGCGCACTGGTCGCCGCTGCAACCTATAGTAATCGCTACATCACCGATCGATTTCTCCCGGACAAAGCTATTGATCTAGTCGACGAAGCTGCTTCGGCCTTAAGGTTGCAACAAGAATCCAAACCCGATGCCATTCAAAAGCTCGACCGGGAGATCATGACGATTCAGATCGAACTGGAATCTCTGCGCAAAGAGACGGATATCGCTTCGAAAGAACGGCGGCAAAAGTTGGAAGAAACCCTCACAGAGAAGAAAAGGGAAGTCGACCGTCTGACCGAGATCTGGGATCGCGAGAAAGCAGAAATTGAAGCCATCAAGCGGACCAAAGAAGATTTGGAGAAAGCACGACAGGAGCTGGAGCAGGCTCGACGAGAAGGAAATTTCGCCCGGGCTGGTGAACTACAGTATGCCACGATTCCCAAACTGGAATCGCAATTACCTCGAGAAGGAGAGGAAGTATCGGCCACCACCAAGAACGGAGAGACCTTAATCCACGACTCCGTGACGGCTGATGATATCGCCAACGTCGTGAGCCGCACAACTGGAATTCCAGTCACCAAGCTCATGGCCGGGGAAGTAGAGAAACTCATCAAAATGGAGGATAAGTTGCGGGAGCATGTCCGAGGTCAGGACGAAGCTCTAACGGCGGTTGCCAATGCAGTCCGGATGCAACGGGCCGGCCTGAACGGTGAAAACCGTCCGCTCGGCAGTTTCATGTTTCTGGGGCCTACGGGTGTTGGAAAGACTGAACTCTGCAAACAAATTGCCAATTTCCTCTTCAGCTCGGAGTCGGCGGTGGTGAGATTCGACATGTCCGAATTTCAAGAGAAGCACACCGTGTCGCGGCTCATCGGAGCAACTGCGGGCTACATTGGCTATGAAGATGCAGGGCAATTGACGGAGGCGGTACGACGGAAACCTTACGCGGTCCTGCTTTTCGACGAATTCGAGAAAGCGCATCGCGATATTTCCAGCCTGTTGCTGCAGGTCTTGGACGAAGGCTTCTTGACGGACAGCCAGGGCCACAAAGTCGATTTCCGAAACACGCTGATCGTTTTGACGAGCAACCTTGGTGCTGAAATTCTCATGGGTACCGGGGCCGACATCGAGACGGTAACACCCGAGCAGAAAAAAGGGGTCATGGAAGTGGTGCAAGCCAGTTACCCACCTGAATTCCTCAACCGCATTGACGAATTCATCATCTTCAACAAACTATCGAAATCCGCGTTACGGGATATTGTGGATATACGGATCAAAGAGCTCCAGGCTCGACTCGACGATCGCAGGATGAAACTTGACATCTCAAGCGACGTGAAAGATTGGTTATGCGAGAAAGGCTATGATCCCAGGTATGGCGCCAGGCCCCTGAATCGCTTGATCCAGCATGAGATTGGAAGGAAGTTGGCGGACAAGATCATTCGCGGCGAGTTGACGACCGGACAAGTGGCCAAGGTGGTGGTCGCTAAGAATAGAGAGTCATTGGAATTGAAGGTTGGGAAATAACCCATCCAGCCTGAAGGTGGAATCTGAGATGGTTCATGGGGGTTTACGCAAAAATGCATCCCATCAAGAAATCGAACCGGATGATTGGCTTTGAGCTGGCCTGCCCTGGTCTGGGACGGGATTGTTTGACTGGAACAACCTTTGCAACTTTTTAGTCAAATGGATGACCACCATTTGACCGGGGCGACCGACCGACGATTCTACCTGTGCCTGCGAGGTTCTTGCTTTCTCCCTTGACCTTCTCCTATTCTACATCGACAGAACTCCATGACGGTGATACTCTCCCTGCATAATGCACAACAGAACTAGTCCCAGCCAGCTTATTCGAAGATTCGTTGTACAAACAACAAGTTCTTCCTGTGCACACCGACGGGCGTCTCCGGACCATGAATTACTTTTCCTTCTAAAATGAAGGAGCGAAAGGAAATCAATGTCCTTCTTCGCTCTTTTCTACGCACTCCACTCCCTTCAACAGTCAGAGGTGTATCGGAAACGTTCGCTCCATACGGCCCTTCTCCTTTCTTCTCCCCTCCCCCAAACCCCTCTTCTACGGTGAAAAAAAGAAAAAGAAGGGAAAAACACATGTTTATACTTGAGTGAAAAGAGATGTGACGACAAAATATAACGACAAATCGGATTTCTCTGTGTTTGTGTTGGCGTTTCAATCTTTGGCATTTGATACCCATATCCAGTCCGATTTTGAGACATCCAAAATAGATATGTAACAGAGCATGACTTGTACAATAACAAACGGAATGGATGTCAGGATTTGCTTTCTCAGATTTCCTTTCCAGATTTCCATCCACTTCTGATTGCTGCTCGGAACCATAAAGCATAAGTATCGTCATTCACACATAACTGTCGCGCGTGAGTTGGTACGAGAGTAATTAATATTGCATAACTACAGACTTCAAATCTCCTTTCTCATGTCTCCTGCACCATCCAAACCCACGTCCTTGGTGCGAAAAGGTGATGAGGAACATGGAGGAATGCTTCCACCGTCCTCTCCTGCTTTATCGTGCTTTTGGCCATGCTCTCCTTCGCTACAATGAGAAAATCCACCCCATATTGTTCCAGGTGCAGGTCTACATGGACATTTTTCATGGTGGGTGATGGTGCCTGCTAAGATGTGTGTTAACGTGGTTGTCAGGACGAATCTCTGGTTGGAATTGTCTTCCGGAGGACACGAGTTCAGGAGATCCTGTTCATGCTCTCATTTGAGAAACTTGATAGATTCAAGATTTGAGCGAGATGGAGGACCCGTGAATTCGTGGCTCGGTTGAATGGGCTTTGGCAAGCCAAGCGGACGTAGAATTTGGCAGGTTTCCGACGATCCAGGTATTTCCTGTCAAAATGTCGACTTCTTGTGAGGGGCGTCGAAAATTTCCTCAGCTCGGACGGTGTCAAAGCTGTCACAACATTAAATATAGTCGTATTTGTGCCAAAGGTGATGCCGTTTGAGGCTTGCGTTGATCAGCGTTAGCGTCTTCTCTTCCAACTCAGATACCATCCATATTTTCCATTGCAGTGGCACAGAAAAGTCATCGTGGCGAAGTCAAAATATGCACTGTCAAAAGTTTCCATCCGTCGTTTCCTTCCTTGGACAGAAAGCCTTCTGTACTCCGAGGCCTCAGCAGTAGGTTATGAGTGACCTCCGCGTGCCAAATCGGTTTTCTAGTGTGTTCTTTGATTCGCACTCCGTTCTCCTCTCATTTGTCTAGTGTCTTCCAACGCGGCCCCCCAAACGGGACAAACTAGACTCTTTCTCTCGATCATAGGATTCTCTGCTGGTGATCCTTCCATTCGTGGCCTCTGAAATCTTGTGAAAGTGCTTGGAAGGAGTAACCATGAGGAAAGAGGAAAATTGTATTTACGGGGTGCCTTTGAAACTAAAGGCTATGAAGCGTTCTCGAAAATGGGAGGAAGCGAGTGCGCGTCGATAGATCTGTGTTCGCGTTTTGAGAAGGTCCATTTGTCGTTGGCCCATTTTGCCACGCTCCTCGATCTTCCTGACAAGAGCACAGAGGTCGAGCGAAGTAAACGTTCATCATCTTTTTCGATACAATTTGGATGTCTTGTGCTTGAAAGGTTCATTGGGGTAGAAATGCTCTGCGAACAGGCTCAGGAATCCAGGATCGGCTGGGTTGTGGAGTGTTTCAGCCAACCATTTCTCACAAGTATGCGAGAGCTTGTCCAGAATCGTCCTTGCCAACCTTCTTGATATATCACGCCTTCGACAAACGACCCATAAGAAAGTAGCTTCAATTCGATGTCAAAATTGACTCGTCGCTTAGGACGTGGCTTGATGATAGTCTTTTGGAAGGGGTCATATCTCCTTTGGCGAAATCGTCCGATTGGTCTTTCGATCAGTGGCAGCGCCTTAGACCAGCAGTTATTTATCGATCTCTCGAGGACGATATACACCACGCTGGTAGTGGCCGAAATCGTTTGCACAAAATCAAAGGGATTGTTTACGAGGGAGGCCGCCTGCTTCGCTGATACGGCATTTGTCAGGTTCACACCTGAAGTCACCAGTGGGAGGGGAATAAACACAACCAGGTCAGTAAAATCCCATTGTATGAATGACTCGACTTCGATAATGCTCTCTCGTGTAGAGGGTGAGCTTTTCTCCGCTCGCAGTGTTGAAATGGGTCGCTGCTGTTGGATAGGCTGATGACTTCTCTTTCCCTGGTCAAATAAGTGCGATCTCTGGTGTCATCGACCTAGGATGACAAAATTCTCATTCCGTGATGTCGTTAATCCGGCTGTTGGTCGATTGAGAATGACCGCCTGCGATATTCACCTCTTGGACAAGGCATAGTGGGATGCGTGAACCAGCGAGGCAGTTATGTACGTAATACTCGAAGGACCCCTGGAAAATCCCAACAAATTCGACTCGGGAGGCTGCAAAGCTGCACTTTTTCATTGCAATCAGATAGGAAAACGTCCCTTTGAATCCATTCGTACCCAGCGATGGCGAACGCGTTCAGGGCTCGACTTGGTCCGTCCCTTCTTTTGCGACTGGCCCACGACTCTCAGATGCACATCGTGAGCCTCCGTTCACAATCACACTTCACGAAGCCATAGTACTCCTGTTAACGATAAACGGTTCTTCCCCTAATAACCTCGACGTAACATTATGTCCTGACGACAAACTTCCATGGGCTTGGCCCGTCGACGATCGATCCTCAGATTCATGACAGGACGGAAGAAAAGGAACAGCGCCTGTGTAATAATACATGAAAGAGTTCGGACAATATTGTACAGCCGTGCACATGCAAAAGAAACTCGGACTGATTGAAGCGGCAGCCTGCGCCGTTATTCAACTCGAAGTGTAAGGCCGGGACGGCCCTTGCACGACGTCGCGAAGTATATTGCAACGCGGAAGGTTGACACACGCGCGCGAATGGACATATGCCCATTGCCACATCCAACTAAAGTGTAGTTGATATTGTTTCGTGTAAGGATTCCAGTTAGAGTGTTCCGTCTTCCCATAAAGGCCACTGTTCCAGCCCAACCTGTCAGCGTCAAAGACTTTCTCCTTGTAGGGTGGCGCCTGAAATCAAAATCAGAGACAAATCGCCGGCCGGCCATATCTCATCAGTCGTAACCTGGGAGTATTGGCGCTCCTCTTTGACGTCGCCAAAAGTTAGCTCTCTGGCCCCATTCAGCGGTGAGAAGCCATCCTCCCCATTTTTCTAGCACACTGGCCGAAAATTCCCAGGAGAAATCATTCAGCCAATCTTCTCCCCATATTGTCATTTGTCCCGTATCTTCAATATCACAGGTAATGGTACACGCCTCTGTAAGGAATGTATTGGCATTCGCCGGTCCAATTGCAATAAGTCGGTCTCTGAGCAGAGGCGAAGGGAGCATATCTATGTACGCATGGTGGGGAGTAGAGAGCTGTAATTGTGTAGGTTTTAAAGAGGCGGGTAAGGTGGGCTCTAGGGCCGCTAAAGTAGCCAAATGTGTTTGTGGACTCGAGATAACAGGTATTTCGAGAAGAGGGGAGAACATGTGGTGGAGTGACCGCCGAATTTCGCGGATGTTGTTGGGTACCACGACGACAAGACTGCTGGGGTCGTTGCTGGCGGTCGACATGGGAGTCGAAACCGGTGGAGGTAGCGAAGCCGGCACAGCACCTGGTACGTAAGAATGAGACGCGCCGACTGGACCTAGATAGCCACCAGTTGGTGCTCCATACGCAAGATATCCTGAAGGCGAACCCCTGAGTTCACCAGGACTGACCGACGGACCCGGTGAGCTGGCTTGGGACCCATAGGCTGCTTTCAAAGACTCGTTCTCTTGAACGAGCGCTTGATTCTCACGACGGAGTCGTTCCACTTCTTCCACCTGGATACTGTTCAGTTCACGCTGGGCCGCTTCCAGCTTGCTCAAGTGTTCCTTGCGCCTTGCCCCTGGTCCAAATTAGTGCCTGGAGGAAGGCGAATTCGGGGGGACGGAGGGTCGCAGGGAAGTGGTATGGGCTACTTACGGAAGACTCGCTGGGCGTTGCGGTTGTATTCCCTGACCGAGATTCAGTGGAAATTCCCAGATGACAAAAAAAAAAAAAAAAAAAAACACGAGGCAAAATACTGACCTCTTCCTCTCTGCTGCTGCCTTGCTTGCTTCACTGCCAGGTTCCGACATTGCGACAACCTGAATGACTTTCTTGTTGGTTTGGTGAATGGTCTCTGTGGCGACCGACATCATTCAAGTACCTTGAGCGGCTCTTGCATTGACGTGTATCTGGCCAATGCTGCAGTACGTAAGACCGGGTGCGAAAGGGAGGATCCGCAGAAGCAATGAGTTGGCAACAGGGACTATTCCTCCAGTGACAATACTAGGATCCAAAGCTGAAGTTTCGAAATGATTTGAATGGGTATCACCGGTTATGGAGAGAGTGATGTGTTCAGAATTAAAAGGAGATGAATCGCGCTGGATAAGACGAGTGTATCAGGTCTGATTGGGCAGCCACGAGGTTCTCGACAAGAATAGCGCAACGGCCGGTCTGCGAATGGTCAAGTTGAATGAAATGCCGGCAAACGGTTGACGACGAGTAGTAGAGACCCGACAATGTCATTCGGGTCATGGGCCTGGCGGCGACTGCCCTATATCTGTGGAGAGCAGTGCCTCTGATGGATCCGCGACCGTGAGAGGCAGAAGAAAACCTTGGGGAAGAATAGTGGTATTCGCAATTGGGGACCCGCTCACCGTTCTAGGAGGATTATTTTCCGAGAGTGAAACGGAGCGTAGTCAGCCACAGCCTTAGTTGGGTACCATTTGGCCAGAGGAAGTGTGCTGCTGGGCGGGAGTGATGGGAATTGGCTGCCGGCATGTACACGGGCACAATAGTCAATGACCGGGGCTCCGAGGAGGGCAGTTTTTCTGATGCGTGCAATTCTTGCTTGAGACTCGGTAAAAGGTACCTGGTCCAGCTTGGAATGAGACAAGGCACGAGCATCTCAACGAGCCATTGGAACGGCGAACGCCACGGGCCAGGTGAGCAAGGGTTCACCCCCTTGGGATACAATCCTTGAGCCGACCACCGAGTAGAGAGGGAACGTCAGATAGCCAGATCGTCGCCGTCCGCGCAGGTCGGGACCGCCGTTCGGCAGGGAGCGGACTGCTTCAACAGGGTAAGATGGTGAGCTTGTGGACTGGTACCCAGTTGGGGAACCCAGTGGTGAAAATGCCAGGTGCCATGCCGATGGGAACTTCGGAGAGGGATGGGATCTGAGATTCACCCAGCAGGGAAGCCTGGAACGGCATAGCTTCAAAGACAAGTGCGCCATGTTCCATTCCCAGTATAGGGGTTCTTGAGCTACGAGTAATTCCTTGGAGGCTGGGCTAAAGAAGCCAGAGGTGGTCTGTGAGTCGTTTGTCCGCCCTTCAGCCGCGGGAGCCTCCACGAACTTTGGACAAAACAGTTGTGTAGGAACAGTTTTTCTGCGGGACTTTGCCACACGACCCAGCTTGCAATACACAAATGATGTAGCTATTGGTCCGAGCTATTCAGCTTTCCCGACTACTACTCTATCTCGACGTTCGAACAGCGCAGGACTGGGAGGCGGAAGACGGTGTGACAACGGACGTAACATGTGCGTGTCTCTGGTGTCTTTGTGGTAGTACGTTGAGATGGAGGAGGCTACAGATAGGCCTATGCTCGAGGCTCAAGGCTCGAGGCTGTCACAAAGAAGCATCGAAGTATCGGGTACGGTCTGACATGGATGTGTATGGTTAGCAGACCTCATTAGCCTGTATCCTCCGCATCGATTCGGTAGTGAATCTCTCGTTTGGGAGAGTCAGACTCGATTACATGGCCAGGGAGGCAAAGTTTACTCGATTGTCGAGCGAGATTCAGCTCCATAGGATTTGAGTGGAATCAATAGATCGAGGTCGACCCTTGCAGAGCTGGACGATCGGAACTAGGGTATTCTGAGAGATGGCTGGGGGAACCCTCGCCTGAAGAAGGAAGTGGGAGGATGCTAGCAGTCGGTTATGTTAGTGGTTTCTTTGCGATCGTACTATGTAGGAAGTACACCACTCCTTCACAGCCAGGGATTACTCGGTCGGCTCGTCTCTTGACTGGTGACTAGGATTTGGGCATTGGCACAGCCTCATCTTTGATTTTACCAGTAGTGGAGGGAGAAGAGGAAAAATTCAACTACATCCCAGCCGCGTTATCTTTAGCATGCGCTGCATGATGCAAAACGTGCTGTGCAGGGGGGCAAAATTTTTTTCAGGCACAGGCACAAGCGCAGGAACACATGACTCCGACAACGAGTTACTGCTGAAGAATATGGTGAGCTTGAGGCGCCTATTGGTACCGAAATTCGTCATTGCCTGAAAAAAAGAAATAATAATCAAGGGCTCTGCTTTAGTTCATAGCAAATGCTGTCTCGCTGCTTGCAATGGTGATTCATATGGCAGAGCCTATGTTGCGACCAAATGGTTAGCCCATTCATTAGTGGCCATTAATCCAATAGCAGGGATTTGCTCGTCCTTACGCCACGTTGAACCAGTCAGCATGCGATCTCTGCATTGGGAATTTTTTTTTTTTTTTTTTTCCTTCTCATCACGGCGTCGACCGAAAGAGAAACCTCTCTCCACCCACCCATTGTCATAGTTCTACGGCTTCCTCCAGGCGAGTTTCTTCGCAACCAGTGAATTTTTGAAATCTCGTGTCCCGCTGCTGCATCACGATTCACCCTGCTGCAGAACTTTCTTGTCCACCCAGCGACCTTACTCCCGAATCCAACACTGCCCCCTGGCTCCTCCTCGAGTAGACTTACCCATGTTTCCCTGGCGACATCGTCGACTCCCCGGCTGTTAAGCTATCAAGCTAATAACGACTTACGGTGCATAATCGCTGGGACCCACGGTGGTTTGAGCCCATGGGAGCATAGTCAAGCAGAGAGGACCTCAGATAAGCTTCGGGTGTACGGAATGCTTTCTACAATTGGTACCGAAGGTTCTCGTGAACCCCATCTGTGTAGTCTACCCTGCATCTGTTGCATGTGCCTTGCATACTGTGCCCCTCAAGAGCAGCCTTGCATCCAGGCCGGGCTTAGTTCCTGCATGCTCGATATTTGCTTGACCGACAAAGTCGACAGTCGTTTGAGCCGAGCTACTCTCCCATTGCATTTCGTCTTCAACCGACGGTATCGGGCTTTGGAAAGGCCGAACGGTGCTTGACGTACACCTTTTCATGCTCTGCTCTCGAAAGCCGTGTCAAGTGTCCACGGCAAGTCTGTGGGACCCTAAAGCATTGGAAATCTGGTGGAAACGCCATAACTGGGCAGAAATTCTACAAGTATGATGAGTGTGGCTTCAACTGTCCCGTTTCGCAAAGTCGTCATCTCCCTCGGCGTCCAGTTGCATTCACCGTATCAAGCCTGATCGTCGCTTTTCGCATGGCAGATCCGGTCCAGCCTTGTGGAAAGGCCCTTTGGCCTCCGGTCTAGGTGCTCTAGGTGGAAGGGGGGCGACGATGGTCGTGAAGATGGGCATATCCCATCGCCGGTCTGTGTCGGTTTGAACCTTGTTTCGGAATATCTACGGTCCTTCGTGTCCCTTACTTTTCCCGTCCTGGCTCCCAAGGCATGATTCGAACTGTTCTCCCCAAGCTTTATGGCTTGGTCGTGACCATTCAGTCAAGCCTCTGGCCATTTCTTCAGCTTAGAATTTCTGAGCATTGGATGGATGATCTCCCACTGCTTTCAACTCCCCGCCGAAAGCAATGAGCTCTCAAGCGTGCTGGAGAGTCGGCTCTTTGGATAGAGATGGAGTCGTAGTTCCGACTTGGGGGTTTCTAACCCCAATCCCTAGTCCATGACAATGGTCTGCTTACCAAAGAGTGGCTCTCCTGCCCCTATTGATCGTCACCACCGTCCCGATATCAAATTTGGGTCGTTCAGTCTACTACCGTATTTGTTTTGCTCTTGCCGATCTTCTCCCCAAAAGCAGAAGCTGACCTTCGCTTGACTGATTGTCCCGCCTCATTCTAACGTCACTTACAGCTCGGCTCATTTCCGCCGGCTGATCTTGGAAAAGGAACGGCTTGTCCCCTTGTTGCAGCACGATGAGAGCACAGTAAGGCGGGACGGGCACAGATAAAAACTGAAGGAAACGCTTTTTGGGGCTAGTGTTTCATTGAAAAAAGGCACGTCAGCATGAAGATCGCCGCTCCACAAGCCTTCTAACGATCCACCGTCTTTGGTCGGTGGCATCCTCCAAAAACGCGGGTTGGTATGGACCGTGGTGTGGGTACGAAATAGTGAGTAGTCCAATTGGGCGGCCTTCGGCTGTTATGAGGACCAGGGAGACAAATTTCCGGCTATGCGTCCCCGAACCACGACGAGCATTATTCTGTTCACCAATAACAACTGCGACTTTACTGCGGCTCGGGCTCGCCGTGGTCACGCCACAACCATCCTTCCCCCCGTGATCCATGGATTGTATGTAAATATCAGTTGTTCACTTGGACAGAATTGGGCTGGTTCACCATTTCCTGACAGTTTGACGCAGTTTGATCGGGGAAACCGAAATCCAATCTTGCCGCGCGCGGCTTGATATGTTCAGCGTCCGACCGACAAACTGAAGGTTTGAAAAATAGCCTCTCTTCGCAAAGACTTGCAAATACGGCACTGCGCCCACAACTTCTAACGTCAAAATAACTTTGGCATCGGTCGGAAATGTGATGGAGAAGAAGAGAAAAGGTGGGTGTGGAGATGCAGTACGTAAGAAAAGGGGGATCCTAGAACGCTGCGACCACCGGGGGGGGGGGGCCTCACCGGTGGGAAAAAGCCTTCAGGCCATCTTCACGCGACAACACCATAGTGATGATATCCTCTCCTGTCCGTGCCCAGAGACCAACGTAGTCTGTACAACTGGCGATTGGATTTTTAGCTGGAACAATTAATCTCCCGAACTCGGGGCAGTTCCTTTGGCTTGACTTGGATTTAGCATTCTGTCCTATTCAAACTTCCTACTCAACTGGACTCTCACAGCCACCCTGCTTTAGAATTGCATGTTCGAACGAGGACAAAAATTTTCCAACGGACTTCGACGATGTCGCAGGTACTCGTGGGACATTGAAGAATTTCAGACCAATGTTTCAGGTGGACTTTTTTAATGCAACGTCTGGGCCACTTGAACTTTTCACAACGGCGTTGCATTTTCGGCTTTTCCAGCAATACAGGCGCCTATCCATGCAAACCGTCGCCCTGTGAAGATTACCAATTTCCTGAATTCAGAGTATGGTAACCGGTGAACGACGAGACTTGGTCGTCATTCGATTCCTTGATCCCTTCGTCCGGAATCGAAGCTGGTGCCTATCCAACCCAGACCCAGATGATGCCAATAACGACATCCAATCCCTTACTGTCTGCACCAGGATACTTGAAACTCCACATGCCATCTTTCTCGTTATTCCAATATGCCCCGCTGGCTGCGTGCATGCCTCTGCGACCACTTATCTTCTTGGGACCGTCGCTGGACGTTGACGAAGCAGCCGCGTGCTGGATGATCGTGCTGTTGACCACGTACTTGAATTGCGGCTGAGCGGGAGATGACCCCGAGACGGGCTTCGGGGCCGTTTCCTCGACCAATGCGCCCAAGATGCTGTTGATTATGGTGGTATTCCAGGACTCTGTATCCGGGTGGGAATATGACGAGACCCCTGCCAGTGCGGCCTCACATGCCTGTGTGGACGTGACGATTAGCCGCTGAAATCCTAGTGCCGGGGCTCGACTTACATTCTCTGTGATTTCTTTGAGACGAGTGTAGGGTACTGGCGGCGTGGCGGGTGCAGATGCCATTTTGATGGCGATTTTTCCACCTTCCCAGTCCTTGCAAATGTAGCCTTCTTGGGCTTTGCGGATTATGTCGTCAAGAGACTTAGAAGACCCCGGTGGTTTGGTTGTCTGTCTCTTTGGGCTTTGCTGTCGTAGCCGGGGCAACCACTATCTCCGAATACTAGGCCGCAGTCCTGAGTCAATCCCGTGTGTTTGAGCGATTTTGTTGTCCTGATCTCTTGACTGAATGCTGGCGTCTTCGCTGGGCCTTCCACGTAGAATCCGTTCCTTTGCTTTCTCCTCTTCCTTTGCCTCCCTGGCAAATCGTCTGCGAAATTCGGTCAAAGGTTGGTCGGCCTGGGGATGACGTAAGGCGAGAGTACTCTTGCTGAAAGATGGGTTGAAGAGCGTCTCAGGATGGAGTTGGGCTTTGTGTAGTCCGTTTCTGGTGGCCAATTTGCCTGACAGGTTGGTCCAACTTGAAGACGCATCGTGACGTGCCTCCACTACTGCAGCGATAGTTGACTTGGCCTTCCGTAGTAGGGTCGACATTTTGGCTGCTGAAGTGCAATTGAGCACGTGCTCGTGCTTAGCAAGTTCGCTAGTTGGACAACTTCGGCTTTGTCTGCGAAAGAGTGAGTGAGATGCTTGGCGAATGGGAGGCATCAGAGCCAGCAGGTGCCTCCGATGTCCCCGCACGCACTGTGGGAGGGAGCTTGAGCTCGGAGGGCACTGTGGACGTAGCTCTGCCGTCCTTCCTTCTAGTGGGCTCTTCACTTTGTTCTGCGTATATCTTCGAAGTCAAGAGACTGTCTTGTTATCTTTTCCCTCTTATTTGAACATATCCTCGTCCACCCTGATCCGTGTGTTGTGGCTTTGAAACACTGGCAAGCAAACACTGGACAAACTGATCTTGAGCCTACCCACCTGCGATTTACCGTCCAACTGAGCTACGAATCCACGATATCGCAATTCTCCTCCTGAGCTCCTCAGAAAAAACCCGGTCTAGACTAGGATTTGAGCTGTGATTGGAGTGTCCGGCAGGAGTTTCGATATCAGCTTTTCCACGGGGTGAAGCACGCGAGACATCACATTCAGGACTCCTATTCGAGCCTGAAGGTGAAAGCTCAGGATCACCAAAAAGAAAAAAACACAACGGGGGCGGGCAAATAACCAAACTGGTCCATCGTTCCCTCCAAAGCGTTGTTGCCCAGCTTTTTTACGCAAGTGACGAATTAAAGTCAATTCCTCTTCTGGCTCAAAGGTCTCTCCGCCCGACTAGGAGTAATTGGTTCGCAACCTCACTCAATCAAACACGCCTGAAAAGCGGAAAACTAATTGTCGAATCACCCGAGACAACTTGGACCCCAGAACCACAGATAGTGCCTGCCAGAGCTATTGTGACATCGCCATCCTCAGATCATTCACCGGGAAATTCTATCTGTCATACCAAGAGATATAGCGAACAAAGGTCCACCTGCAAGATGTCTGAACAACCATTGTTACAGAGTGCGCCAGGTACGTCGAAACCAACCTTCCCCTCATCATCTCATCCTGCTAAACTAGGTGTATTAAGGCAAGCGCATCGCTCTCCCAACTCGGGTGGAACCCAAGGTCTTCTTTGCCAATGAACGTACTTTCCTCTCTTGGCTCAACTTTACTGTCATTCTCGGCGGTCTCGCCGTGGGTCTGCTCAACTTTGGTGACTCAGTCGGCCGTATTTCAGCTGGCCTGTTCACGTTAGTAGCCATGGCGGCTATGATATACGCCTTATTCACGTTCCACTGGCGAGCAAAGAGTATTCGAGTAAGAGGTCAGGGTGGTTTCGACGACCGAATCGGTCCCACCGTGCTGGCTCTGGCTCTTTTGGCAGCTGTGGTGGTCAACTTCGTGCTCCGAGTTGTCGGGGCATGAGTTGGGAAATTGTGATGAAGAGATTGGAATTGGGACGTTTTGGAGTACATAAGAAAAATGCCGACTATTAGAATGATTGAACAAAACGGAATGCGCATAACCCCAAAAAAGGACTGAAAGAATGAAAAGGAACTATGGCGGAGGAATTTGCATAGTCTGGAGTTCCAACGGAGCTGCTTCAGCTTATCGACAAGATAGGATAGCATAGGACCGGGCAAGAAAGGATAGTTTTGAGGATCCGATTGAGGTGTTCTACTGTCGATACCGCTACAGAGGTAATGATTAGTGCTAGCAGGATATTACCCAGAGCACAACATGTCGCACAGCGCAATTTCGATCCTTGCATTGTGTGGTTCCATCCCAAGTTTGACTCCATGCTCGAAATGAATACTCAAACACATATTCCTACGCTTCCTGTGCCTGGCCACGCATGGCCGGAACATTTTTAGGCCGTGCCCTTATACCGCTTATCGTTTCGTTTCGTTTCGTTTCGTGCGTATTCACCTCTGGATACGACATATGGATTCAGCACGAGAGTTTCGAGCTCCTTCTACCTCCAATCCCTTTTTGAACCCCCGAGTTTCACGCACCGTTCGAAAAGCTGCCTTTAAGATTTCGTCATTGTGCTGAGGTCGCAGAGCCCGGAGCAGGAGGACAGAATAAGAAACTCGAAGCAAATCTAATCCTCACCGTCCTATGGCGGGTTCGAGTAATCGTTCAGAGCCACGCAGACGGCGCCGCGGTGGTGACCGCTGTATTGGCGTATGATGCTCGCGGTGCTAAGCTCCCAGAGCCGAGCGTAGTGGTCGCTACACACTGTCACAAGATACGCCGAGTCCGCGCTGAAGGCGCAATCCCACACCCATCGTTGGTGATTGTCAAGCACCGTGTCGCATGGTAAGGGTCGGCGGTGCGTGATCAGGTCTGTGAGTGCTCGGAAGGACGAGGCCGAGAGCGAGTGCGTGGTGAGGCTACCGGTGGAGCGCGAGTTCGGGTCTGGACTGAAGGTGCCGGAGATGACGGGATTGGGAGTCGAGTGTGTGCTGGTTGTGCTGCCGTTGAGAGAGTGTTGGCTCTGCGACATAGTGTCGTGGTTTGGGTTGGGAGTGTTGGGGTCACTGGCTGGTTCTGGAATGGCCTCGAGGTGCTCTTCGTTCATGTCGATATTCCAGATTCGCACTGTGTGGTCTGCGCTACAAGTTGCGAGGAGCTTGATGTCCGGCGAGAGAAGAAGGCGGGTGAGATAATCTTTGTGAGCTTTGAAGACACGGCAGGGCAGAAGAGTCGTCGAGTCATGGTTTTGATACATGCGCCAAATGTACACATCGCCCTAGGGACAGTTGAGTAACGGTGCTTCGGAGACATAGAGGTCAAGAGAGAGATTCTCACATGATTGTTTCCAGCTGCAAGGAGAGAGCCATCGCTAGCTACACTTACACTGGCCATGGAGACATCTTCCACGGGGACAAGCTGGTGGGTGCATTTGCTCTCGCCCAGATCCCAAATCCGAATGTTTCCACCTCGGTCGCAGCTGACCAGTTCGCCTTGATTCGGGTGAATGACCACATCATTGACAGGGTGCGTATGTTGATAATTGCGCTGGATCTGACCAGATCTTGTATCCCAGACTCTGACAGTCATGTCTTCTGAGCTGGTGACCATCCACTTTCCCTCGCAGTGAAAAGCTACGCCTGTGATATTGTTGGTGTGCCCTTCAAACTGCATGATCGGGTTCGGGTTGCTGGATTTGATGTCATAAAGCCGCACCATGTGCCGGCCGGCTGCCGCGAGATATTTTTTGTCTGGTGTGATACACAGTCGATTCACTTGCGACTCAGGGTGTTGAATTGTGCGCGAGCATATTCCTGAGAGGGCCTCCCAGAACCTGATAAAGCGATGAGTTTATAGGAGGGATATTGAAGGATGTGAGGATGCGAACCTAATTGTGTGGTCATAGCCAGCTGCGACGACAGTTAGCTGAATCCTCGTAGTCAGTGGATAGGGACGTAGTGCTGGACTTGCCGGTGCACAAGATGACACTCATTGTGAGCTGCTCATACTACTCCTCTGCTTGACTCTGGCCTGTTAGGTTGAGGGTCTTGCTCAGGTGTCCGCAGCCTTGTGAGTGCCAGCGGCAAAGGATAGCCGTCTACCTGGAAAGCTTCATCAGGCGATTGGGCGATAGACAGTGCGGGGGAGAAAAATTTGGCAAGGGCATGTTTGACCCGGTCTGCAAGGCTGGACAGCCTCGCCCGGATTCAGCGGATTAACTCCCTCCGCCAAGTTTCTCCGGTCCGTCCAATAAGCTCTTTATCGGAGCAACGCACCAGTAAAGACTCCGTTTGGTTCTTCTCCTCTCCGTCTTGGATTTCCACCTTAATTTTATCCGACTAGCTGCTTCTACAGACTATGTCCATCGAAAACACGACGTATCGATAGCCCAGGTAAGGCACAAGTCACCTGTCATGCCCACAAGTTTGGTCGAAGCCCCATTCACCCAAGCCGTGGGCCCAGTAGCGACAATTCCGTATCCCCCCGAACTTGGTTGATACCAGTCGAAATGCAGAGGCTGTTCTCATTGACATATGAGGAATCTTTCTCAAGGCAACCGACCTTCCATACTAGCACCGTAGCTCTAGATACGGTTTCTGTGAAAGCCTTCCTTCGTGTTATTGCTGGAAACATTTGTTGTCGAAAGTGCTGGAAAGCTTCCTACCGTCGAGGAAGGCTGTTGCCGCAGCTATTACCTCAGTCCCAATGGGTAATGCTGCCAGTTGCACCGATAGGAAAGGTACCAACACAGTTCCTTGTGGAAAAGGTATCAAAGACCGCACCGCTGCCACTGACTCCATAATGATTTACAACAACCAAAAAAGACGGCCAGAAACGGTTCCCTGCTCTCCGAATGGCCGTCATCCTGCCTGCTGCGTCTCTGAATCCTTTGCCGTATAACTTCCTTTCAAACGTCACATCACAAAATAGGGAATTCGACGGGCCATACATAAGGGCTGCGGTCCCCTAACTGTCTTTTTGGTTCCATGTCGACTTCTACTAGAACGAAGACTTCACTTGGAATTCTAGTGTAATTGGCAAACAGCCGCCGTGATATTGATGACTTGATAGGAAATACTCTAGCTGCAAATGCCACAACAGAGTACGTAACATCGAAGTGGACACGTTGAAGACATCTTGATGGAACCATTCTCACCACCCTCATTCTAATTTTTTGCTGCTTTACTCTATGTCATGTCCCTCTATCACTCCCTGTTGGACATGACCCACGTTCATTCCACCAAACTGCTCAACTCTCACTTCCTCAACCCCTTAACGTCTCTTCTTCCTCCCTAAACCACTGCGATTACTGCCAGCGCGACTCGCCTCGGACATAACACTGGCAGAGCGTTTGTGTGCGCGAGCACTCAGCGTATCTACTAATTTCGGAGGGACATTGTCCTTACTCTCTTCTTTAGTAGCATTGTCTGCCTCGTCCGAGTCCTCAGCCTCAGCTTCAGGGGCATCGTCAGGGTAATCAACATCAGCTTGCGCGGCGGAGTCGTTGTCGGAGTCGTTGTCATTTGCATCCTCTTCTTCTTCTTCTTCAGACTCGGCTTCATCTTCTTCCTCATCCTCGTTATCGCTGTCATTGTCTTCTTCCCCATCGCTTTCGTTTTGTGGTGTTGCTGCCACTTCTGCATCCAGATCTTCCTCACCATCATTTTCATCTTCATCCCCGTCCTCATCCGCCTCGGCTTGAGCCTCACCATCGTCGCCTTCGTTTCCCTCTTCGTCATCATCCTCGTCGTTATCCACTCCAGTGACAGAACGATCGGCTTCTTCATCCTTTTTTTCTCCTTCATCTTCTTCCTCTGCGTACTCTTCGTCATCATCCTCGCTCTCTTCTTCATCCTCCGCGGGTTTCGTGGCTGGAACTCGGGCAGCAGCATCTCCATCCTCCTCTCCTTCTGCGTCTGCATCCTCCTCGTCCTCGTCCTCGTCGGCTCGACCATCCACCTGCATCCCACTGTCATCATTTTCATGGTCTGCGTCGTCGTCCTCCGCTTCGCTCTTTTCTTCGGCCTTTTCGGCAGGAGCATCGTCTTCACCTTCAGCATCCTGATCTCCCTCAGCAACAGCCATGGAATCATCCTGGGTACTCTCAATCTTGGAGTTGTCTGCAGTCTGAGAAGAATCCACATCCATTGCATCGACAGTCGGAGGAGCGGGCTGTTCCCCTTCTTTCGGCAACCCTAGTCTAATACGTCTCGCCTCTTCCAGGATCTTGATTTCTGTAGCGATTTTCTCATTGACCTTCCTGCAATCAAGAAGAACGTTAATCTCTGTGGTAAGCCTCTCGAACTCGCGGCACACGCGTTCCGTGGGCATGAGCAATCTAGGCGGGATGCCTAACTCGGTTAGGGCGGCTTGAATCTTTGTCGTTTGTGTTTGACTCTTTGCCATGGTGAGACGGTTAATCTTTTCGTGCCGAAACTGGACACCACTAGTGATCCTCTCTTGAGGATGTGAGACACCGAAGCGCAACTCTTCTTGAGGTGTCAGCATCCGGACGTTCGGCTGAGATGTCGAGCCTTTCTTCTGGGGGCGGGGCTCTTCGGCTTGTGTGTCTATGGTATCCCGTCTCGTGTATTGATTAGGATGCCTTCCCTTCTCCCATTTCTGAGCATCAGCAGGAGTAGCCGAAGCTGGACCTGCTTCCGCACTTCCAGGGAGAGGAGGGCGTTTCAATCTCTTCTCTTTCGCAACTAATGTCTGCAAGAGCATTGACAAGCCTCCAGATGTTTGATACATGGCCGTAGATTGCTCCTCTCCCCTTTCCGTCCTCCTGGTTGGCGTCACAGGTTCAAGTCTGGCATAGAGGTCACGTCTCATTTTGATGAAATCATCTTCATTCTTAGTGATACGGTGAAGTTCTTCGAGTAAAACTCGTTCCTCATCAGCCTCGTCTTTAGTACGGTCAAAAAGTTTCTCAGCCATGTTCTTTCGCATGGCTTCAGTTTTGGCATCGAAATTGCGCATCCTCTCCCATAGCTGAAATTCAGGCTGGGTCATGTTGTTAACAGGGATTTGTGTTTCAAGCATGTGTGCAGCGACGCTGTAATATCGTTGTTTGAGGGCCTCCATGGAACGAGGAGGTGGATTCCACCGAGGAACAACCTCGCTGCCTGTTGCTTCTCCATTTGTAGGGGGAGATTTTGGCCGAGGCACATCGCTTGGCTCGTAACGGTCTGAAATGATAACCCATCGTAAATCATAATCACGGCAAAGGTTCATCAAATAATCCGTCTCTTGCCTAGTCCAGTCCTCCGACTTCAATAAATTCTCATACTGCTCATCGGTATAGGATGGAATTTGAACCTTTACATTCCATTTATGCGATGGAAATTCATCTTCAAAGCGCAGCTCTTGCACGGCTGGGGCTGTCTTTGGTTCATCCGCCATGTCAACATCTGTCGAGCCCGTAATACTTGCCACAGGTGGAGCACGAGCATTTGATCCTGGGATCGAGCGTTTCCAATGTCTCAGTACTAGTCCATCTGTTCTTCCACCATGCTGAAATGGCCTCTCCTCCCAATGTCTCGGTTTGAATAACTTCTGGGAAATGGACGGTCTCGACTTGTAGGATCGTTGTTCGACGATGGCGATGGGAGGAACCGAATCACCCATGAGAGCCTGGACTTCACGCTTGACACCGGTGACACGAATTTGAGGTTCTATGTGTTTTTTCTTTTTGGGCGCAGGTTGACGGGGCCCTGTCTGGCCCAGGTTCATAATGTCTCGAATGTCGCTTGTGGACGCCATTTCGAGAATGCGATCAAATGGGCGGCTTGGACGGATAGATTGATCGTAGCCGCAAGGGCTGCGAATTAATTCGTGCTAAATACACGTGCCGGAGGGGTTGTATTTGATATGCGGCGCAGGATCAAAAAGAAAAATATACCATGTTGAAGTCAACTTTGGAGTTTAAAATGCTGCGAATCAAACGACCATGCCTTTTTGAAATATAAGCACGTGACTTGGAGATACTTCTATATGCGCTGTGCCACTCCCCGTCCCACTCGACCATTGGAAAATGGGACCGGGCAAATGCCAGGTATATCTAAACACTGGTATTACGGACTCCAATTGCCGAGATTGGTATTCATACAAAATGTATTGACTCAGAACGAGCCTCTTGGACTGAGTCTTCCTTTCGTATCACGTGATCGCGAATCTTGGGCTTTTGCGCTTTTGTCCCTAATTCCGACTTGGGCCAACTTCGAACTTTTTGGGCCAATTGACCTCGTGCTCACATTACACTCCCAACAAGTCCCGCCCAACTTTTCGACTCTCCGCAAGCAGGACGAAAAATGAGGTCTCTTTTGGCGACATTCGCCGCCCTCACATCCTTGATCACCTCCTCACAAGCCCTGTACTTCTACCTCGACGGCACCACGCCAAAATGCTTCTATGAGGATTTGCCCAAGGACACCCTGGTTGTCGGTAAGGGTGCCTTTTCCAATTGGGACGGCTTCCCGTCGAGACTCGAATGAACATATGCTGACATCGGGTACCTTACGTTGCATACAGGAACATACAAAGCAGAAGCGTACAACAGCCAAACATCCTCGTTCCACGTAACTTCGGACCTCGCGATCCAAATCACGGTCGAGGAGACCTTCGACAACGACCACCGCGTCGTGACACAGACATCCACATCATCGCACACGGCATCGAAATTCACCTTCAGTGCAGCTGACAGTGGCCTGCATAGACTGTGCTTCACCCCGTCAGGCCCAGCGGCGATCAGTGCTGGCGGATGGTTTGGCGGCGCAGGCCAGACGATGGGTGGCGTTAAGTTGACAGTCGATATGGCGATCGGTGAAACGAGCAAGATTGAGAGCGAGGACAAGAGCAAGATTGACAGTATCGTTGGCAAAGTCAAGGAGTTGAATGGGCGATTGGCGGATATTAGACGGGAGCAGGTCTTCCAGAGAGTAAGCTACAATGATCCTTCTCCCCTGGCAATCTACGATTTTGCCATATTCTATGTTATATTGGTCGAATCTAAAATGTGATTCAAAACAGGAACGAGAAGCCGAATTCCGCGACCAAAGCGAAGCAACGAACGCAAAAATCGTACGGTGGACATTAATCCAATTGGGCGTATTGGGTGTAACGTGCGCATGGCAGTTATCTCATCTGCGGGCATTCTTCATCAAGCAAAAGCTGACGTAGAAAAAGAGCTGGATGAGGAGGAAGCACGAGAATCGTGATGTTTGTAACAGAAACGAAAACCACTTTGTGCCAGCAATCCGTTTGAGTTTCTGGCTATGATCAATTAACCCTGGATGGATACTTTGACATGCGAGTATCTATCTACATGCACATTCCATATCCATGCCAATACCCGCCCCTAATACTACAGAAGTTCCAGATGAGAAACGCCCAGCGACGCTGCTATGTTCCCCCTTTAACAGTTTGGCCTCATTATGCAACATAAAACTCCCTGCTCTTGAGAAAAATCCCTGGTTAAAACCGCCGTCTGGCTCTCGGGTTGGCGATATTTGACCCCGAAAACTGCAGATCCCAATTTGTTCCCGATCCGATGCCTTTTCCCACGCCATTTCCATTACTGTTTCTCGAGGGCGGTCCATCACTCAACGACAAGCCCTCCATACCAAACATGCTTCGTCTAGAAGGCCGTTGTTCCTGAGCCTCAATGCCCCGGCCGACAGATCTTGGGGTTGCCCTAGATAGAGGCGGGATTTCGAAATGTTCTCGATGAGGCGTGGAGTCCTGCCACTCCCAGGCAGTCGATGTAGTTGCCGTTGACGTCTTATTTTCTATTGACTCAGTGGAATCTCGTCGAGCGAGTTCCGACTGCACCCCGATCGGTCGTGGTGTTCTAGGAATGTCTTGGTCGTTTTGAACCTGCCGAACTGGAGCAAAATGTTCGTCCTGAGATTGGACCGTCACGCTTGAATGATTCATTTGCAGAAATTCCTGGGGCAGTAATAGTGTCACCACAGCAATTCCAAGCTTATTCCAAAGATCTCCGAAGAGCTCGCCGAATGGCTCCCGTAACAGGGCGACTACAATCAATAAGCTTGCTTCAAAGCCCAAGAACAGCAGGCAAGGGAATTGGCCTTTCGATCCATGAAGAAATATCAATAGTCCTAGGTGGGCGACTGAGATGCCCGCGCTGAACAAGACAACGCCATATCCAAATTGTGACGTTTGAGATACCAAAGTCGCCTCGAAAATCCACGCCACAACCGCCATCAAGATCGAGAAAAAGGAGATACCACTAAAGATGGCCAGATATGAGTCCTTGGCGCGGGTAGCTGGATTTCCCGAACTGTCCTCCGTGCCAGAACCCGTCGTCGGTGGCTGGAGCTCAAGTACAGCAGGGGAATGTGGGGTCCCGAGAGATTTGTCTTGAAGAGAGAAAACAGTTCCAAAGATATTTTCCAGACCAGTATCAGCTTCTCTGTCGTGGCCGAAGAACTTTGGTTGTGCAATATCCTCGCTGGCTGACGTTTGTTGACGAGGAGGCAGAGCTGATTTCTCTGGGCGGTCGAAGAATCCTGGTGGTAGACCGATTGCCTCTTTCGACGCCGATTGGTTTTGACCGGTTTGCCTCCGCAACCCCTGTGCATTCAGTGCCGGGAGAGCACCATGAAAAGGAGAAGGACCGAGAGATTTGTATCGGACCTGCTTCAGTTCGGGTTGAAAGGTCGGCTGCGACGGAGTCCAATCCATCAATTCAGCACTGTCGTCGGGAGGAGTGGGAGGTCTCCATGCCTGGTAATTTGGTCTCGGTGGTGTCGACAAAGTTCCGACATTGAAAGGTTGGTCTTGGTCTGGGAATGGTTCCTGTGGCTGCGATAGAGCTGGTGGGACGAACTGATTTTTCGAAAGAAGCGGAGCCGGTTCTTCATGCCAGTTGACAGATGGCGCGCCTTTGACCTTGATTATACCAAAAGAAGACCATCCTGCAATGAGCGTGATTGCTCCTGCAAAGCAAGCATGAAGCGCAGTTTTCACTTTCGTCGCAAGAGGCATATGACACATCACGATCCACGCACTGAACCTTAGCCCCAGTAAAGCAAATTGCGCCAGATAGTATTCATTCAGCCCAATCAGCCGTTCTTCATTGTTAGCCAGTTTATGCTGCCATTTTGGATTCCACCATATGCAAAGAAGGCCGAGATTGAGCGAAAGACCGACAAATGGTTCCGTCATGTCCAGGCATTGAGGGCGGAAGGGTCGCCATGTGAAGCAGTCCATTGGCCGTCCTCCTGGGACGAGATGAATGCCACTGACTTGTGAGCCATAGAGATGCCAGGCCAATTGCACAGCCAGGCTTGTGAAATATCCCAGTCCGCCGGCACTGACTACCAGACTTCTCCAACCCCATCGACTTGCAACCCTCCGCTGCCGTGAGGTCTCTAAAACTCTTCGCAGGTGATCGCTTCTCGCATTGTATGTAGCCTGGTGCAATCGTGCCCTGACCTTTGGTTCGCAGCGAGCGCAGCATTGAGGATACCGTTGTTCCAGGCCCTTCTTGTAGTCTGGCAGTTCTGCCTCCAACTTTTCGTAGTCTGGATCATCCGGATCCGGGAGGAATTGAGAGAGATTGTAGGTGTACAAGTGCTGATTCTTGAGACATGTTGAGCAGAATATAGACTCTTGGGAAGAAAAGTCGTCTACGAGAGGATCTGTGACCACTGGCTGGGCGAAGCGCTGTTGCTCGGGTGCGGCTTCTTCTAGAGGGACATCTGCAATTTCACCGTTCTACAACTGTTGTTAACAAATGAAAATCTCGAAAGGGGTTGGCTATACCTCATCAAAGAAATTGACCGCCAGACAGTGCTCACACTTGAACTTGCGGTCTTGTTTCTTGCTAAGTTTTGACCTCCGGCCGCAGTAGTGACAGTCTAGGCGTTGTCGAAGTTGAATAGGCATGGCGGCGCATCCTCGTCAAGGTTCGACACCATGTGCTGACTTATACTTTCGACCAACCTCTAGCTAGGTCCGCAAACTGTATGTACGGTCAGACTCACTTTCATGAAAATGTCTTGCGAGTCAACGGTCTGCCTGAATGGGTTTAGATTCATTTGGTTCCATCTCCGACTATCTCCGCGAAAGATCACTGGCGCGTCAAAGACGACATGCAGCACACAGCAAACTCGCCAACCCTGTATTTACACCTGATCTCAGGCATTTGACGCATGACACGCGAACTTGGCAAGGGGAATCTAACTTGAACATCCCTTTTACAGCCTTGAAGCAGCAATTCACTTCAACGGCACCGAAAAGGATACCGACTTTATTTTCCTGAAGCAGTCCTCATGACTAAACCTCGACCACATATTGCGCGCAAGTTTCCATTTCCAAACCTCCCATTAACTCTACCAGACCTTTCACCATGGACGCACATGGAATACAGCTCAGCAAACCTCCGGGCGTGAAGCCCGAGGCCTCATTCTTCAACATTACCAACTCCCTCAACCTGATCGCATCTCTTTCACCCACACGCGAACTCCGTCTTGCAACCGTCCTAATTCTCCTCAACCTAGTATTCTTCCGCCTTGCCTCTGTCCTTACCCGGAAGCCTATCTTTCCCCGCCCCCCCGCCTCCGACAAACACCCGACTCATGTCCTGGTCGTACTCGGTTCCGGCGGACACACGGCCGAAATGCTTAACATGCTCTCTCAAGCCCCGCGTTTTCAACTCGACTTCACGTACCGGACGTACCTAGTCAGTTCCGGTGACAGTTTCTCTGCGTTGAAAGCGCACGAATTCGAGAAATCAATGCTATCCCAACTACACAACGTCGCGAGCTCGGTTCCCGAAGGGACTAGCTCAAACTATGACGTCGTGACCGTTCATCGCGCGAGGCGTGTGTACCAGAGTATCCTGACGGCGCCGATCTCCAGTCTGCAGTGTTTATGGGATTGTTCCGCTGTGCTAAGAGGCACGCATCGAGATTATAAACCTCTACGAAACGAAACGGGAAAGGCAGGGTTCTGTGAGAGGGCGAGAGGCTATCCTGACCTAATTCTTACCAATGGACCCGGTACAGGTGTCATCGTGATCCTAGCATCGATCATTTTACTTTTCTTCGGCTTTGGTGGACCATCGTCCTCAGCTCTCAGTATTCTCTCAGACAGAAGCCACCGCCTGCACCCACAGAGCGGCCAAATGCGCAGTATCTTCATTGAAAGCTGGGCACGCGTCAAGACCCTAAGTCTCAGCGGTAGGCTGCTGAAGCCGTTCGTCGACCGTTTCCTTGTGCAGTGGCCACAGCTGGTGGAGGCAGAGGGGAAAAGGGTCGAGTATATCGGGCCGCTGGTTACGTGAAGATAATGACGTCATCATCTCGTCTTGATCTGTTTATAGAGCAGAGATTTAGCAATGGAGTTATGAAAGAGAAAAGACTATGAAGAAAGGAACGAATTGAAACGAAGAAATGAAATACATAGACGTGAGGACATCTCACACGCGAGATCGCAGCGGATCAGAGACCAATGTATATTTTTGCCTGGTAACTTTGTACGGAAGTGTAGACGCGAGCTTGGCAAGACGGGTAGAGTTTTGAGTATTGTCGTGCACAATAGTTCTAGATATGTACAGATTCAAGCTCATTTTTGACCCCTTTCCTCCAATTGGTTCTATGATCATACACGGTCCACAGGTCAAAGCAATCGCGGTCAAAGTGCTGAACAGGCAAGTATCGCAGCGAGAAGAATGGCTCCTGAAATTCCATTCTTATGCTGCCAACGTCTTGGCTGTGCGCGACTTCTTCGACATTTGAAGCTCTCGGATTATCCGTATTGTCTCGTCCGACATGCCGCGCTCTTTGATTTCCTTAGTCTTCTGCGAAGCGTCCTTGATGCGTTGCTCTCGCAGCTGTTCCTTCGGGGACTGCAACTTGCGCTGCTGGTACCAGGCGGCGCGGGCGTCCTCGAGAATTTTCATGCGCGTATACTCGGCCTCGTGCCACTCACGGTCACGAGCATATTTGTCGTTGCGCAGTTCGTTTAAGATCTCTGGATGTGGAAGTGGCGGGTAGTACAGTGAAGGCATAAAGGACTGGTGCTCGACTTCGAAACGGCTCGTGTCGGAAGGCCAAGCTTGGTATGAGGGTATTTCTGGTTCTGGCCAGGGAATTTCGATGTCTTCCCCGGCAATGTATCGCGTATGTCGAGGGAGAGGCGAGTGGGCTTCGCGTTGAAAGTAGGGTGCACCACCTCGGATATATTGGACAATGACATCGCGATCGCGGCCGGTTTCCTCGTCCGTCAGCCGGTGAACGAGCCGCACATGAGAGATGGGAATGGGAAGCTCCATGCCCTGAAACTTGATCCTGTCCCGCCCGGGGGTTCCCTTGGGGAATTCTACATCGGCCTGACGTCGTCATAAGTCAGCTTGGATGCGGATTCAAAAATCAGAACCAGCTTATCAAACACGCACCATGTTGAGTCTTTCGATTGTCAACTCCTTTGCCTCCAAATCGACATTCTTGACTCTGCCGATTCTGCCGATCAGGTCTTCCTTCCCATACACCACGCATACGCGATCTCCCTCAACAATATTGCCCTCGTTGCCTTCCCCTTCCCACTCCTTTTGCTCCTCTTCAAGACCCTCACTTCCTACGGGGTCCCAGCCATTTCCTTTGGGTCCCCGCCTTAAGGGTTCGGGGTATTTACCAGTCTGGAGCAGGCTAGTATCAACAGTGCCGTATAATTCTGCTTTCTCGCCAACATCATGTTTGGGTGCCAGCGGCCCCGCAATCCAGTCCTCCCTGCGGTGTTTCCGCTCGGTTTTGATGGATTCTCGATTTGTCTTCTCCACCGCTATGCGGCGTTGTTCAAATTCTGACCAGTCTTGCTTTAATTTTTTGAGCTCTTTTCTCCTGGTGGCTTTCAACGCTTGATTGCGAGAGAGCAGGTTTATACGAAGAATCTTTTGCATCGTGAAGATAGAGGCGGTCGGTTTTTGTTATAGAATGATTGGATTTCCCGAAGCTCTTGCGACTCCGAGAATGGCCGTGGAAGGGTGATGACGGTGTTCGAGTTAGATATCGGAGAGGTTAGCAGGCCATCGATCCAAGGTTCTAAAACCGGCCCGCTTAGAATTGGATCTTCGACCGGTGTAAATTCGAAGACGGCAAAGAACAGATCAGAAGCAGAAGAGTCAATGTAGATAGAGGGCTAAGGAAGCAAGCTCCTTCAGCGAGGTTTGTATGGACGTTGTTTTGAGATGGGAAGCTGGAATTCAATGCTCACCAGAGTCCACCGGCTTGGCATGGGCATGCGCCAACTAGAATCGGGTACAAGTACTACTTCCGAATCATAGCACAGAATACTGAGCAAATTCAAGTACTGATACTCGATCTTAAGGGATCAACTGCACGTTGACAGGTTCCACTATGAAGTTCTTTCACTTTTCGCCTCTCCTGTTGATCCTTTTGCTCCGCAGTCAAGCCGTCAAATAGACAGCCAGCCGGCTCCATCGACTTCCTCCCATCCTCAGTCACAGCCATAAAGTATACATGAAAAATGAATCGAGAACGAAACGTTCCCTCGATCCGAATTCGTTACTGCCAGGCCGAATATGGTATGTGTCTGCACGTTGCTTGTGGAGACAGCCTTCATCAAATTCTCGTCCGTTTGCATGCTGTGGTACTCTTTCTGTTGTTCAGTTTTTGCTTGATATACAAATCACTTTGTCCTTCCCATGAATCACAAATGCCCTCTCGCTTTTTCTTTTTCCAGTCCATTCGCATAATGCAGGTTCAAGTGTGCCTCTCCCTTTCCGACCAAATCCAGGACTTCCAGCGAAACATCCAATTCCGTAACATAAAGAAAATCTAGCGAATCGAACTTCCAAGAGTAATCCGACGCCTTGCTGTCTATAACCAGGGTATCTAAGAAACACAAGCTATCCATGAATGATAAAGGGCGTCATCTGTCGTCGGGTCGTGGTGTTGAAAGTATGTCAGAAAAGTCGTGTAAGAAAAATTGCGCCAGTAGCCAGCCCGATTCAGCTTCAGGAAACGGCCTTACAGCTTTCGACTCGAAACACCCATAACCATGCCGTCCTCATCTGAGTCGTCGTCTCCTTCGTGATCGTCATTATACGATCCCTCATCTCGATCCTCAAGTGCCGCACCGGAGGCCGTCTGCGTAAACCTACCATACTTGGTGACGGTGTCTGCGGTCCGCATGAAGGCCGGTTCGGCATCTTTCCCGGAGGCAGGAACATCTGCTTGTGCGCCCACATAGTCTGCATTCAAAAACCCCTCTCCAGGCGGTGAAGATGCACTAGATACGATTCCGAAACTCGGATTTGACATGCTCTGTGACACGCTGCTCGCTCCATAATAGCCATCAACTGACGATGCAATGGTGCTTGCTGATGGTCCTGCCTGGATGGGGATTGAACCGAGTGAGAACGGAGGGGGCTCGTTTGCGACTTTCGTAAGCTGCTTTTCCAAGAAGGTGATATCGTCCGGAGAGGGCGGACATTCGTCCGTACTAGGTTGACTCTCTGGTTTCAAGGCGGCCTCGGCAGCAGCCTCGGCTTGATATTGCGCTTCTTGAATCAGTCTACGTTGATTGACCTCCTGGGCTTGTTCAAATGCCTCCTGGGTTGACACGGGTGGTTGAAAGGCAGTCTTCTGGGGACCGATAGTCATCATAGTTGGAATTGATGGAGATGTGTTGTAATCGACCGGTAGCATAGTGGCCCTTAGGACGTCAGGTGGTTCAATGGCACCTGCGGCGGAAGCAGTGCTCATGGCGATACTTGGTCCTGCGTGAGCATCACTCTCTGAAGAGTGACGGCTTGAAGCTGGTGAGCGCTCCATGGGTTGCGAACGTCGGTCCCGGCTTCCGAGTCGAGCCAACGTCTTCGCAGTTCCCTCCCAGAGACCATCAACCTTAGCTTTCAAGCCTCTTTCCAGGAAGCTAGGTCGGTCCTGATCGTGTGGCGGATCTGAGAAAGGCAGAGGTTGTCTTTGGGTTGGGGACATCGTGATTGTCTTCATTGATTCAGCCTTTGAGACGGTCGAGATGGCCCTTTGTGGTCCTTGAGGTCGGCCTTCGCGCTCAGGCATCGGGCTGCAGCCAGCAGATGCCGCCTTCGGTGCGGAAAATTCGCTAAAATATGTCTCGTGTGCCGAGTCATCAGGGCTGGCAGTTTGACTTTGTGCCAAAGGGTGCTCGGCAGTCTCTCTAGAGGTCTTCAAGGCGGCCACAACTTCGTCACCACGTAAGCTTGCTCGCCGTGCATCGCGAATCTTATCACGCTCGTGTTTACCAACAGTGCTTGTACTGGAGGCTGAAGGCGACGTAATGGAGTCGCTCGACTGACTTGCTGAAGTTGCTGCGCTTGGGGCACGTTTGCGGGTATTGCTTCTTCCGAGGAGACTGCCTGCGAATCGTCCAGCTGTATTGAGCGCTCGTTCGATTATGTTCCTCTTTCCAACAGCATGGGATATTTCCTTTTCATCCACCTCCAAAATCTTCTCCTTGCTTCCTTTCTCCAGTTCAGGAGGACCTTTGATCCACTGGGAGGGATCGTGCATGCCTTCGACTACCCACGGATGTTTCTTTGCTTCCTCGATCGTCATTCTCTTGGCAGGGTCTTTGGTCAGAAGTTTGCGGATAAGGTCGCGTAGGGCGCCTGGGACCGGTTCGAATTTGAGCTCGTAATCCAGCCGTTTGTTACTGTTGATTGAGCTTGGCACGTGATGAGAAGGCTTATCTCGCGAAGTATCGACGGGCATCAGTCGAGTCTTCGGACAAAAGACTTCCGCTTTGCATACCGCTTCGTGAAGTCCCATATCTTCGGTTGCGTAGAACGGTAGCCGCGCATACACCATGCAGTAGAGAGTGATGCCCAGGGCCCAGAGGTCAAGGGCTCCGGTTATTCTTGGGCCATTCTTCTCTTCAAACATGGAAGGATCTTCATAGCAAAGTTCCGGTGCCCAAAACGCAGGGGTCCCCACTGATCTTGCCAGCTCCTTTTCATCGTCGAGTGCTGAAACATCCTTCTCCGTTAATTTGTTCTCTGGATCCTCGTCGGTTGTGGGGCGTCCAAGATATGATACACCGAAATCCGATATTTTCACGGTCCCGTTGCTGGAGACAAGCAGGTTGGCCGGCTTGATATCGCGATGGATGATACCGATGAAGTGCAAAAATTGAAGGCCAGATAGTGTATCTCGAAATGCTCGGCGAGCTTCCTCGAGTGTGAGGGCAGGAACATAGGAATGTTCGTCGTCCGTTTCGTCGAAATTCCATTCCGAGGACATGTGTGAAACGGCACTTGCGGCAATGCTGAACTTCCGGCCCCGATATGCATCAGGCGCATACGCACCGTACATGCTACCTGCGAGAGCTGCTTCAGCGTAATCGTCGTGAGAGCTGGTTCGGCTGGTGTTGCTCGACCCATAAAAGTGGCGCGAGGCAGATCTGGAAATGTCCGAGAAATCCTCGTCTTCTTCAAAGTCTTCGCCTCCGTGCTCGAGACTCCAACTTGGGACAGGGTGTAGGTTTGAAGACCGAGCCTTCTCTTGTTGTTCATGACGTCGCTTGGCTTGAGCAACGTGAAAGAGATCTCGTTCAGTGGCTTCCATAGGGACATCGATGCCCAGACGCTCTTGTACAAATCTGTTGTTGTTGACAGCCAAGACTTCGCGAACACCTGGTTTTCTCCATTTGATTTCTCCTTTTTCCACATATTCAAGAATCAGGTAAACCTTGTTCTTGTTAGGGTCGTCGATGACCTCCAGAAGACTGACGACGTTGGGATGTCTGGCTTTCTTCAGAATGGCCACTTCTCGCTTCGTACGGTCTTCTGGAGCACCGAGTCGACCGAGTCGTCGCTTCACGGAATATCTGGGGACAATCTTGACCGCCACCATGGTTTCTTTTTCGATGTCACGTCCCAATTTGACTTTACCATGCTCTCCGCGGCCCAGTTCCTGTACAATCTCGTAGTTGTTTATGAATTTATTTCCCGAATAAGTGTCATGTTCAATTTCGGCAGTGTGGGTCTCCTTTGGTGTTTGAAGATGGTGAAGCTGAGGGCTAAGTTCGCCGAGAGAAGACGCCGAAGGATCTCGAGCCCCTGGGTTGAACAACCCGGGACTTGACATGGGAGTATTATCTGCCGTCCTGGTGCCTTGGGAACTGGACTGCCGATCTCGAGTCTGCTTCGTCCAAGTGGACATTTCATTGTAAAGTATGTTTTGGGCGGGATGTGAGCTTCTGGTTCGAAGAGGAGGCGACGGTTGAGCGGTGTGGATTTGTCCGTGCAGCGCCGCAAAGCTCTGGTCTGGATAAACAGGCTGGTCGACGTTGAGTGATTGCTTTGGGGTTGATAGAGAATTTGAAAAAGATTTGGAGTGCGAGGGATGGCGGGCACGCATATGTCCGTGTGAGAGCTTGGTTGAGAGCGCTCGCTGAATCAAAAAGGGGCCTATCCTGGTCCCACGGTCGACCTCGCCCTCGGACATGGCTTTCAACGAATTTGAGGATGTCTGAGTGGATGAAGGTAGAGATTGGTGAGATCTCAACGGGCCCAGTAGGGGAGATACAACCGACCCAGGCTGTGAGCTGGTGTCCAGCCCACGACAGGTATCTTCATCCACAGGCTCAAGGGGATTCTGTGCGGATAAAGCTGTAGGAGTGTTTCGCTGAGTACTGGAATCCTCCCCATAACTATGAGAGGTGGTGCCTGTCTCATGTTCAGGGAACTCGGTCTCAGTGCCTCTGCCTTGGAAGCCAGAGACTGCTTGGTCGTTCCCGTCTTCAATCGACTCTGAAAGGTGGTACGGTTGTCGTAGATTTGGGGGCCATTTTATACCAATATTGCCCGGCATCGCTCCAGGACTGATCGCCTATTGGTTTGTCATGTATTAGTCGTTGGACATCTGAAAAAGTTTTGCCAAAGACAGTCATGGGCTCAGTCAACGCCTCCACTCAGAGCCTGAATATTGGAGAGCCATTCGATTTTGCCCTTCGAATTCACACAAAATCTAGTTATGAACAATTCTCGCGGTCACTTCTTGAAGAACCAATAGAGTGCGATCTGATCTGGAGGGGTGATGTTGATTGTGCTTTGGTACGCTCAGCAGTCGAATTGGTCGACTGAGAAGGACCGACCTGTTCGGAGGCTGTGAAATCAAAGTGGTTGTGACTCGAGAGGATTCCGAAATCATGCGATATTGTCGAATTAGTCAGAGGGAAGACTGCGGTCGGTAGTCGAGGACCGTTCTCATCTCGATACCCTCCGGGCCCAATGGCAAAGAGGGAAGTTTGGACAACAGAGTGCGCAAGCAATGGGTATAAAAAGGTATGCACACGAAATGAAACGGGAGACGTTGGACGTCAAGATGGGCCGAAGGCGATGCGACTGGTGGACGGTGGCTCGAATATGCAAGGACAGTGATGGAAAGACAACACAGATGGCGGGAGGGGAGGCCCAAGTAATCAGCGTCCTAGCGAAATCCCCAGAGAGCCGTCCAGCCTCTGTCTCACTGGACGGCGAGAGGCGTTTGGGTACTGCCGCGGCGACTTGTAGTGGAGGGGGCAAGCCTGAGCGGCGTTTCCCTGTCCCAACGCTATACCAAGCCAGTGAAAACACGTGAAGGGGCGGGGGTGGTTGAGCCGTCAGAGAAGGCCCAGGCAAAGAGTTCCCACTGCACATGAGGGTGGAGAGTGGTCGACTCCCGTTAATCCGGCCACAACCAGTTGCACGTAGCCCCCCCTCAGACTCTTTTCTTGCATCCCTGTTAGCACACCAAACAAACTACCTCGACCGATGAGAAACTAGCCTACAGTCGCCAACAGAAATCGCTACCCATGCAAGCCAGCGTTCTTGTGGGCACTGACCACCCTGACGTCTCGAAAACTGCTGAGTACAGAGCGGTAAGTATTCCCCCAACGCCCTCATACAGACCCTAGTGGGGCCGCTCCTCACCGGCTCTACGAACTCATCGTTGATCTCATCCCTTCCGGTCTTCAGAATTCCTTGTCGATGACGATCAAAGACTCCCCCCCCCCCCCAAAAATTCACTCACCCGCGTTTTGGCTTAATCTTTCTATAATTTTACACAGGACAAACCGGATAGAATCATACATTAGATACAGTACAGCCACGTTACAAGTGAGGCAATTATCTCGATAATTTCAATTGTCACCTTCCTGCAAGCCGCAACTCAGGCAGAGTGCAGCGAGCAAGAACGGCGCATGCACTATACATGCCACAAGCGTCTGTGAGAGCAAAAGAGCGACGAGTTAGGCTCCTCATGCTTATCGTCAGACCACGTTTGATGGGCATGCATCCTCGCCACAGTGATTGCAGGCCCTTTCGGTTCTCATTGAATGAGTCCGGATTCCCTCATGCATTCACAGGGGCACTATTGTGTATCTAAATATCCAGGCAACTTTGTCTCTGGTGGTACCTCCACCCGCTGACGAATGAAGAAATACCTTGAGTATCCAGCCTGGCCTCAGCATATCGAAATCACTCCACCTCTCTATGCGCCAAACCAGCCGTACAACATTGACTGCCCTTCATCTACCGTTACAGTAATTTGTACAACTTCGTAGCAGATCTTTCCTGCCACGACCAACCAGTCAGGAAACCATGCTGTATTCTCTCCACAATCTTGAGGATAATGGAGAGTTGGGTGTGTGCTGTGTGCTTGCCCTGCTCAATAATGGCTAGCATAAGTGTGGAGAAGTGCCGATGTCATGCCAGGGGATGAAGAAGGTGTGTACAGGGGCAAGACAGCCAAAGACGGGGCTAAGAAGCCAATGGGGCCAGCAATTTCTACCACATCAGCGCCCTTGCGGCGGCCCGCTTGTCGCAAACCTCCATTCAGTACTGCACCATGAGTTGTTCACAGATGAGAAGCAAAGTACATCAGGCGAACCTCTTGACTCTTCATCAGGTACCAAAGAATAATACCAGTCGAGGACCGCTTAGAGCGAGTTCAGCGAAGAGTGATTTGAATCGATATCGCTGTCCTCATCTTGTATTGGGAATTTTCACATGCTTCGACTAATTATAAAATCAAAATTTTACGGCCTAGTTCGATCGCCATGATCACCCGAGATCAGCAAAGCCCCTCCGTTGGGGAAGGGGGCGAGGGGGTTTCTATCTGGAAGGGTTTCTTGTTGGCAGACCCGCAGTTCTGTATGGGCTCTTCCAATTGCCAGACGACATGTTGCAACAAAACTGGTGCGTTTCTCATACCATCTTCACAATTCTAACCTCGGTTGCAAAACAAAAACTATCGATTGACTTTTCTCGACTTGATCCGGCACATTCTGACAGGTTGTCCGTCATTTCAAGCGGAGACACGTGTTTATCAATGGGGTTCCGTCATGTCAAACTGTGGCATATTTTGTCGACCTTTTCGATTCAAGTTCGCCATGCACGCGCGGGTGGAGGCGTACTTGTACAATGTCAGTATAGCCCCTGAGCTGCCGAAGCCGGCGGGCCAACCCTTCTGCAGAATTGTGTTGATTTCTCAGGCCAAGGCCCAGCACCCACTTCTCAGGTGTTGGAAAATTCCGCAAAGCCAACTGTCAGCCGATTCTCATATTCTCCAGGTTACAAAACTTTGAAAACTCGGGCTCCTATCCTGACTGAGTTGGTCAAAATGATCCGAGGATTGCAATGTTCCTGAACAATAATAATACACTAGTACGAATGGCAGGCAGATTACAGATGGGATCCATGACGCTCTTGCTCTTTGTTCTTCCTGAATGAATCGCCTGGCCCCCCCTGCGGAGCTGGAGGTGAGTGCAGAATGGGCTTATCTCTGCAAGGCGAAAAAAGGAACTACGTGCAGTCAGAGGAACCCCCAGCATGCATGCACCTTGAGATCCTTTTATTTCTTTCCTGAATGCTCACGGCCAGGGGCGTCCTGCAGCACTATGGTGCCAGGGTCCCCCCGCATGTCCTGTTTTTGGCAGCTTGGCTTAACTTCTCGGCGTGAGAGGCGTTCAATACTCTCAGGGGGACCTCCTAGGAAGAGTCTTGAACAGTTTTTCATGGCTTGAGTCCCACCGTCGACCAGGATTTCTGTTTCTTGCTCGACAGTGGCGATGCAAGCATCGTATAACAAGACAACATTGGCCAAGAAGGGAAACAAAAACAATACAATGGATAAGCAAAATTTCCAGGGAGCGACACCAGCGCTATTGGACCAACCTGCTCACCCTCAATGAACTCGAGGGGCAGTGACATGCATCCGAAGAGTTTGGCCTGGGCTCAAGATCACCTTTTGCCAGTCGTGTCTGATCGCTTCGATCTAACAGTATCTCCCCTGTTCTAAATGGCAACCAATTTGCCCCTTGTCAAGTTCTAACTTCTTCGAGCAATGGCCCTCAACGGCTAGAATGCAAAAACGGACCGGGGCCCCAACGTTACGTCTGCGCCATTGTTGGTCGGAAAGAGGATGGCCTGCCCGGGGTTGGTTCGTGATAGGCGAAGGGGAGGCACGTTTGACTGGCGCAGCCACTGCGGAGATGACAGCCGCCTTATGCGAGACATCCTGCCATTGTGATTACGAGGAAAATCATCCATCAAGGGACACCGGGACAAGAAATGTATTCAGACATCTACATTTTCAGAGAAGCTGTTCATACATTCCACCTTCCAACATAACTGGTTCGCGGCTGCTTCCAGGATTCATGGTAACCATCACCACAACCGCTTCGATTCTGTCGCAGGTGTGGAAAGTTGCCAAGCGACCCCGAGCAAATATTCGAGGCGAGGAAGCCCTCCCAAAGACGCTAAGCTAGCACGGATGAACCATTTCGGGTTTGCTGCATGGCATCCTCGACAAAATCAGAATCCCCAGGGTGAACTACCTCTCTGGACACTGCCACCAGCACTGCACAGCACTTCCACACCACTCCGCATCCTCCCCAGCTAACTCATTTCTGATCCTCGAAGACGGAAACTTGTGTGGAGTTCTCATGTCCAGCATCTCCTGCCTGGCTGACAGTCTTTTGGAATGACTTTCGATTATCCAGCCTTGCAGCCATTCTGAAGATTTGATTTGCTTGATGCAATGCATAGTCAATCGATCTGCACAGCGCAGGCATGGGTTTTAACTGCTCCTCCTTTTCCAATGCGATATTTATGGCGAAGCACTTCACATTGTTGGTCACTGCTGAAAGCATTAGATTTGGTCATCTCAAAATGATCCAGGTTGACTTACGTTTGAATCAGATGTCAACTTGACTGAGGTTAGTCAAAGAGCGCGGTCGCTTATGATGTCCTAGAGCGACTGATACGGACGCACATTCGATAACCCAGAATTTTCTTTGGCGTTATCTCTAGGCTCCGAAGGATATTACAAGTGAAATCAAAGCAGCAATCGAGGGGGGTAAGGGTCTTGAGGACGAAGCCCTCGTTCTGCAGCGCCTCTGCACCAGTTCACCGACATTCCAACCTCAAATATTCGAAATTCATATATCCCTACAACAAGTCGGACACAGCCACTGTTTCAGCCCAATGATGCAGTTGGTAATACATGATAGTTCCAAGTTGATGGGCGCTCTGAATGAAAGGCATTTTCTGTAAAATCCTCCCCGAAGAAGCCTACTCACTCAAGGAGAAGGTTTCAATTCCCTACAACACACCACAGCATAACGTGGATTGCTTGGATCATCTGGAGCTTCCCAGCAATTGAGGTAGGTCAATACTCGGAAACGGTCGTCCTTGCACGGGGCTCCAAGCCTAACCCACTATTTGCCAAGGCTTTCAAGTAGTCAGAGGTCCAAAAATAGGTCCCAGCTGATGATCCTATATCAGGAGGACAATTTTGTCCTCGTGATTACCACAAGCAGAGTGTTCCTAGCTCGAACCCCTGTGAGCCAATCGATTATCAGGCTTAGCTTTGGAGGAAAGTCGAATCGTCGAGGAGGGAAGGCATTTCTCCGAAGAACACGGTACATGACTTCGTGTGGTGTTTCAGTCGAAGACATTCGACACAAGGACACGGCAAATGTTTACTAAGGGAAGACCATGATGCCACTCTGCTATAGCGTGATTTGCCTCGGATTCAGCCCCTCCCGGATATCTTCGCTCAGTCAACGTTAGAGCGGCCTAGACGTCTGAAGGTGGACTGTCAAATTTGTGCACATTGTGTTGATTTCTTGCCTTGGACACCACTTCGCGTTTGACGGAGCATGCAAATTCGGTCTCTTCTGTGGCTTGACGCTGTGAGAGCACCCTTTTTGGCTCTTGAAGTCCTGGAGCAGGTTAATCTTGAACCTGATAAATCCTCCAAAAATCCCAGTGATGGATCAGTGATTACTGTCTACATCTCTGCATCTCCGCGGCGCTCATCCCTGCAATGGATATTGGGTTAGGTCGACACTGTAGCATAGCACTCTCTTGAAACTTGGGAGCTGAAAAGTCGTGGCATTTAGCTTGCGATCCTTCGCCATATGCTCCTCTACGCACAGAGACTTTTGCGTCAAAGAGACTTCTCAACCGGAGATCTTTAAGTATTTCTCCACCAGATGAACCGCTGTGGGTCACATATCCCATGTACTCTTCAGCTTGAGGGCATGGCCTCCGGAGTCCTCGTCATAACTCTCGTGGAAAATCAAGCCAGCAACTCACCACGAGCGAAAACCGAACAGCGTGCTATTGTTTCCAGAATGGCTTATCGCTTGGCGGTGTTAAGCCTGTGCCTTTGGATCAAGACGTTTCACAGCTTCAGATGAGATATTTCGCTGCTATTAAAGAAATAGCAGATCAGCGAAAGGACAACCTTGGAAAAAGTCGCCACGTCGGCTACTGCTGACTTATCAATGGAAGGTTTGAACGTATTTGTGGCTAATACCATCACCCCAGGAGCAAGGTATTTAAAAGCAATGACTGGTCCCAGTGTTATTAGGAATGCCTGTACAGCATCCAAACGCCCAGTACTGAGCACACCAGCCTCTCCATAGCACACAAACTGCTTCTTAACACCGCACTGGGCCAAAATCACCGACCAGTGCTGCTCTAGATTCATGCGACATACCGCCAATGGTACGAATGGTTATGGGTTGTCCATTTGGGGTCTGATGAAGTCAACGAGGACCAAACGTCGTTTGAATGCTTCTCAGGGACAAATAGAAATTGAATCAAGAGCGCGGACCTTGTTTAATCTCATTCCCTCTGACCAGACGAGAAAGTACCTTCCCTATGTGGTAACCATTAGACACGGTCAAACCCACCATGAGCTTTCCACGGATAGAGTGGGTGACGACAGTGACGGCGGGTGACGAACCAGGAGACTGGTTCGACAAACGAGTTAAGCTCGAATCTCCAGCGGTACGAATGGCGTAATTCGGAGCCAGATCGTGGCATGCAATGATCAATCTCGCCAGTGAGCTGAACAACTTCGGAGAGAGGTTTTTACCGAAAACCGCTCTCTTGACTTTCAATAGTCCTTCATTCTCACCATGATACATCTGTTTGGTTTCCTGCGGGAATTGGCTTAGCAAATTCTGAATGTTCACGCTTTGGACGGCTGGTTGACAAAGCACAGGAACCCCCCGCAGTTCCCGTCATTGACCAAAGGAAATGGTTGGAAAGATGACGCTTTTCTGACCTAAGCAAGATGATTCTAATTGTCATCAACCAACCCCGGCTCGCGCATGCGAGCGGAAGTTTTCCTCACGAGTCGATTTGCCAAAAGACGTCACCAGTAAATTGCACTCTATCTGCTTCCATTCGCTTATGTCATTGCAGTCCTCAGTACTTCTCTACGAATCACAGAAGCAGGAAACACCTTGGGAGGTAGGCCATCAGGCTTTACGATGCATTCAAACACCTGCCCCGAACCACGGCCGCAGCCAATAATATCGCGAAGGAGGCCTTCAATAAAGGGTTTGGATCAATGACTATAAATCCAAGGTTCTGCGCCTCGTGCCGGGGCCACCTAAGCTTCCATCGATATTCAAATGCTGAGCTAAGGATTTAAAAAGTGATATAGAAACATCGCCCACATTCTCGACGGTTGCATCATGTATCATTTTCTTCAAAACCAGCTTCCGGTACCCGGTCCGACAACATGGCTGCCCTCGTATACCAAAATCTTCTGGTGGACGAAGGTGTCTCTCGCCTACACCAGAAATCCATGTCTAAAGACAAACAATCACCGGACCAACCAGCGCCCTTTCGGGGAGAGTTCTCTTTTGTGAACAAAGATGCCGGCAATATTGATTCCAAGGACCATAATGCTGCTGTATCATGGCACGTTATGAATCGCTATGAGCGATGGAAAAAGCAAGAACAGGCCAAAAAGCTGCGAGCTTCTGCCAACGTGCCCGTGGGGCCACTCTTACCTCCTTCGCAGCAACAGCAGCAACAGACGCAAACAGGCCAGCAGCAACCCTCGCGCCCGCAACGGCCGCGAGCACAATCTGTACGTCGAGTCCCGTATGAGATCCCGAAGAGGGCGCGGTTGACAGAGGTATCGCAGACCGGGGCCACACCCACAGCAACGCCGTTCGGGTTTGACCCATGGACGGCCGAGCAACCGCTCCAGCTTGGCTACCCTGGCATCAGCACCGGTCAGGCCTCGAGCAGCGGACTAGCAACTTCGACTACTTCGACGCCGTCTACTCATTCGGGTATTATCGAAGATGACCCGGCGGTCCCGCTCGGTTCTATAAACACCCCGTTCGATCTCAGGGAGAAGAACCCATTTGAATCGTCTGTTTTGTCCATGACTCCGCTCGTGAGCAATCTGATCGGTTTCGCCTATGAAATCTTTATCCCTCAGTCCTGGCCCAAGGAAGCGGATCGAACCCAAGGAGCTTACGAGATCGCCAGGTGTTGGGAAGATACGGCCATCATCAATCAGGACGCCTGCTACGCCAATGCATATCTGAGTCTACTTGCAGCCGCTATGGCAGCCTTGACCGAGGACGACAGTCTTGCATATCAATCCCGATTCTTCCAAGGGCAGGCCATGACCGAACTTCGGCAACGGGTGACTCAGCCAGGTCCGCAAGATCTGATCACCCTGAAAGCCATTTTGAAGCTTTTCTCCTCCGAAACCCTGGTTGACAACACGTCGGTTGCGCGCACGCATCTCAAGATGCTCCGGAACTTGGTCAATGCAGCTGGAGGGGTGATCTTGCTGGATGCATGGTTCCGTGAAGACCTGCTCTCTTGTGACTGCTATTTTGCCCTGAAGTATGAAACTCGGCCTCTATTCCCGGCCCAGGAATGGACTCCAGGTCCACTCAGCCAGCCTTGGAAAGCTCGTCTGCTGTCCGCTGCCATTTTTGGAGATCACGCATCCGGAATCGATTCCTTGATCGAGCATCCGGCCATGAAAGCAATCCTCACCGATCTGCGGGAGCTTTTCAGAGCTCGGGAATACACGCAAAACCATGACGTTCCTACCGATGATCAATTACTAAGGTGGCAGCAGCTTCGAAAGTTCGACTGCGTCTCAAGGCTAGCGGATCACTATGTCAACCTGGCCATATATCCTCACCTATTTAACCGACCGATTACACAAGCCTATGTATGCATCGCCGCCGCGCTGATCACCAACATGGTGCTGGGTTCGCCGGAGCCCGTGCGATTTGGGCTCAAGCTCATCAACGACCTGCGCAAAAAGCTAAGGGAGCGTGATATAGAGGGGGACGACGTCCAGTATCGACGGCTTCGGTTGTGGGCGCTCTACGTGGGTTCTTTGGCGGAGAAAGTGCACCCGGTAGGGGTTGAGAATGAGGAGTGGTTCGAGAGCAACTATCACAGTCTTGCAGCGGAGATGGGCATGTCTGGCTGGGAGGACACGAAAAAGGTGATGCGGCAACTGCTCTACTCAGACAAGTTGCATCAAGAGATAGAATCGGGGCGTGCTCATCGGATTGTGGATGTCAGACAGGGTCTATATTCGGCTTCGGGCTGCAGCTGGCGGGAGCCTCTGCTGGACACCAACCTTGGCGTCGACGCATCTGATGCGGAAGTTGGTGGGTCCGGGTCTGCTTCTGAAGCTGCGGTTGCATCTTCTGTAGCGGCTAGGAAACAGCCTGCTGATGAATAAAGGAACGCAGAGGAGACGATGTGCTTCTTCATGTCTCGGCAAAATACATTTGTCAGCTGCCCGCACCGCTTGCATGAGCAGGGGTCGCCATGCGTCTTGGGCGATGACGCTCATTCTATTTCGTATGGCATATCTTAGGTTTCGGTGACTTGGATTTGAAAAGGAGCAGGTTTGGAGGGGGGCAATATGTGTAGCACCGTAGCCAGAAGTTGTACGAATATGAAGCAATGATGATATGCCGAGTTAAGAGGGTTTACGCCCGCGCGATACTCGTATTGGAGCTGGTTTTATTCGGTATCACTCGGTGGAAACTTGCCAAGGCACTAGTATTCTTATGTCATTCGCTCAACCTTCCTCTTGCAGTTCTCGGTTTCTTCATCTCAAACACACTCTCCTTCGGCACAACCATGCCCTATCTATTCTTTCTCCTCCTTCTTTCCCCAATCCAATGCGGACGGCCCTGTCGCCGATCCTGATACCTCTACGATGTTCCAGTTTTAGCCGACCGCACACCTCGCTCCGGTGCAGCCTCACAGTTCCGCTCCTACATCGTCAAGATATCCATGACTTAACGACCACCTCCAGTCCATCGTGGAGCCTTAAAGACTTATCGCGAGTCTCCGAAGCGAGGTCTGCCTTGATATTTCATTTGCATTCGGACAGTCCTTACCACAACCTCTCCATTGAGCATTACCTGCTCACGCACTCTCATCCCCGATCGAAAATCCTCTTGTTCTATACCAACCGACCGTGCGTTGTCATTGGTCGAAACCAGAACCCATGGCTAGAAACAGATCTCAAGAGGCTCCAGGATGGACTATTATCTGAAGAGCATGGTCCGACTTTCCAAATTGAAAATGGTCCACCTGTACCCATCGACCTCGTCCGCCGTCGCAGCGGAGGTGGTACCGTCTTCCACGATTGGGGCAACCTAAACTACTCTGTGATTGTACCCAATTCGAAATCTTTCAAACGCAGCACCCATGCTGAGATGGTAGTCCGCGCCCTGTCCCCCTTGTCCTCACCCACGCCTGTGCCGTACGATTTCGACGAAATTCGAGTTAACGGTCGGAATGACATTGTGATGAAGCGCCAGGAAAAGAGGGAGTGGCTGAAGATCAGCGGCAGCGCATATAAACTTACAAGAGGTCGAGCCTTGCACCACGGCACACTGCTGTACGCGAGTCCGTACATCAAGAGGATCTCCGAGCTACTCAGGAGTCCAGGCCGAGACTTCATCCAAGCAAAAGGCGTCGAAAGCGTGCGGAGCAAAGTCGGTAACCTCACTTCAACCGTCTCCTCGCAGGAAAGGCCAAAGCTGAAGAAAGAAATCACTGAGGCCATCGCCCGCGAATTCTGGAATATGTACGGTGACAATCAGACACGCCACACTGGGCTCAATGAGGTCACATTGGGACCCGAGGAACGCGAAGTCGGCGGAAACCCCGAAATTGCAGCGGGCGTCAGGGAACTGAGGTCCAACGCATGGCGGTTTATGCAAACTCCACGCTTCTCGTTCTCCAGCGGTGTCCTCGACGGTGCGGAAGTAAGCTTCCAGGCCCACCATGGCAATTTGGAGTGCTTGACTCTGAAGCTGACGTCGAAAGATCCACAAGAAGTGTCCTTCGAATGGCGGAGGAATCCTGAAGATGACGTCAAATTGAACGAGGTAAATAGTTGGAAGGAATTGTTGGACGCCGTGCAGAGAGAATCAAAAGGATCTGCTGCCTCGACATTGTCAGATTCGACCGTCCAAGTCCCGGACGCCTTGGTCGCAAGGCTCGAGGCCGTATTCCCGCGTTTTCGCGTATAGTACGGATAGCAGCACATGTCGGCTTTATGGAATACTCTGCGACTATCTGGCGTCTCCTGCATCACGTTTATGGAATATCAGGAACCCAATTTCCCGTTTTTTATATGGGCTGAATTACCGTCTGATTAAAAAAGACCTCCTTGATTTTAGTTTTCCTGTCCTCTTCTCTTCCTATTCACACTCGCATTCATACTCATAACCATGATCTCGATGCTGTGGATAAATTTACCTACAATATCGAGTACTTGCGGGAGCATCGATTTTGGCCGAGAAGTCGATAAGTGATCCCCGTCGAATTGCTGACGTCGTCTACGTACCGTCGGGAACCAAGCCTCTTTTCTTTCGCATGCCAGCTCGGAAAAAGAAAAACCCCCTCCTTCTTGGTTGATATATACATTTGGGCCGTATGTCGCAAGGTAGATGTCCGCTCTGCCTATGCGGGATTTCTTTCTTTTGCGAAGTAGATATCTCACCGGAGAAGGGTCGCGATAACAAGGTCGATTGTAAGTGTCGATTGGTCAACTCATTTCCTGAAGACTCCTGTTGGCGAGTAGCCTCCGTCACGTCCAATCTTACTCAGGCAAGGAGGCCAGTTACGGCATGCGTCGAGTCTGACGCACGTGGCGAGGGAAGCCAGGCGTGCAAGCTCAGGAAAATGGTCTTGAGGGGCTTCCCATCCGCTGAAATGTGGTGTCCCCGTATATATGCCCTCTTGGTCGAAGACAGCATATCAAGCCTTCAATACCACTTTTCATAACAATAATTTTTTCAAGCCATTCCAAATACCAAATCCTGTCCGGCTGTTCCAACCGCATTTGGATCAAAGAGATCCCATCCGGCCACAAATCCTTCAGCAGAAGCCGATCGAGCATCACTAACGCTAAAGTCTTCCCAGTTGAGCGTTCCAACATCAAAGTTCGGAAGTCCATCGTCTTCGAAACCGGATCGACTCCCGAAACGCAATTTGTCCAATTGCGCAGGACCAGGATACAGGAGGCGTAAGAGCTCGGCATCTTGAGCTGGTCCCCACGATGACAGTGAAGGAGGACGATTCGAGAAGACGGATTCGAGTAGCGGCCCTAACAGTCGCTCGTAGACGCCTGCGTAATTGGAGACTTCGTTCCAGCCTTGGGCGGCAAGAGCTAGGAAATTGGCCGTAAAGACCTTTGTCATCTCGAAAATCTGTTGCGCGTTGAATCGGGGTGAGATGGCCTCGAAGCCATGACGGAGGCAGAAGAGAACGACCATACTGTTCTCTAACACATGATGGGCTATCAGCCACGACCGTCGATAGAAGCCGGTGAGGATGTGATCACGGAGTGATTTGGCACTAGAGCAGGCAGCTTCGAAAGCAACCACTAAACTCCGTGGGCCAGGCATTGGAACGCGGGGAGAGGGGCGGTGGAGGTTGGTCAGCCCGTGCGCAAGAGTGAATTCCGTCAACTCGTGGCCATCGTTGTAGTCCTCATACCAGGCTTGTAGTCGTCGCTCCATAGACACGAGCCAATCTTCCCATGACTGACCCGGCTCCAAAGGTTTGCCTTGGAAATGGACTTCCGTCATGGCAGATTGGAGGCGACGGAAGTGGATCCAGCGGAGCATGTGAATTTTGGTTTCGGTGCCTGTTGCGTCGATTCCGGTAGGGTGGATGTGACGATCATCAAGGATGGAGGGGAAATGAGCATCGATGGTTTGATCGGGGATAGACAGCGGACGTTGAAGGGCAGAGCAGATGGCACGATCAAAATTATAGGCCGACCAGAAAAGACGTCTTCTCAGATCGAGGGTTAGTTGGTCAAACTGTAAGGCGTCCGGAGGTTCGCGATGGAGACCGAGTTCCAGGCATGCGCGCATGGCGGCACCGGTTAGCATCCACACATTGGCGAGGCGGGGGTTGATGGATGCGTATTGAAGGACCATGAGAGTCACTTGAATCCCTGCGAGATCGGAGGGAATTTTGGCCTTGTCCGAAAGATGTTGGATGCCTTCTTCAAACAAAGAACCGGAGAAGACCATGTGCTTAGCCTCGTGGCCAGTTCGAGCACTGCCGAGGGTGGCGGAAATAGAGAGCATAAGGTATATGATGAGGAAATCAAAGGATGGGGGAACAGAGCGATGCCTTTCGGGTAAGTCGTGGAGTGTTTTGACGACGCGCTCGAGCTGCTGCCATAAAGAAGGCGCATGTAAGACGGGGTAGATGGGATAGACTCGGGTCATGTACTTTTTGATGAGACTGCGTAGAATGGGAGTGGGAATGCTTTTCAACATGGTACAACTGACTTCATTGCTGGCTCGAGAAATGGACTTCCGTCGGGCTTCTCTGGGACTTCCTGATGCAACGGCGGTGGAGGGAGTCAGGCTCATACGAACTCGTGCGATGAGGTCGGTGATTCCTGGACCAGTGGGCAAGATGGCGAAGATCATGGCCTGAAGCTCCCCACAACTCATTACTTCGTCTCGACTGGTGTCCCTTTCGAGCGTTGGGGAAATGTCAAGGGAGAGGGCTAATTTGGGAGCCTCATCAAGCTTGGGCATATCAATGATGGGCAAAGCGGGATCCTCGATGGGCACGCCATCGTTAGTAGGCATGCCGACGAGTATGTCAGAGGCATTGAGTTCTTCGAGATGGCCGTTGCGCGCCAGTTCGCCTTCGACTTTGGCGATTTCGGATTCCAGGTGCTGGACGATGCTCCTGGGGATGTTTGGGTCTTGATCTTTGGAACTAAAGCCGGTACATTCTGATTTTGCAGCAATACATTGGCCGCAGGGAATGGCACGATCACATTTGATCTTGCGGCGACGACAGCGGGCGCAGGAAAGGACGGAGCGACGACATTCGGTCATGGTGTGTTGATCAGTCAGGGCATGATATTGACAAGGTTGGTGGTCGGTGACGGTGATGGAGAAATCAGAGTCACTCGAATTCCTAATCGATGAAAAATGAGAGATCGGGGATGCCTCTAGAAGTGTGATGGCGATAAGTTTGTCGAGACCCGACTATTAGTAGAAAGATGAATGAAGAAGGTTGATGCCGAGAGGGCTTTCTGGTCAGTAAAAATGTCGAGTCGGGAGAGCAATACTCCATCTGGGTGGAGCGCAGGTATCGCCCAGTGGAGGCCGAGTGGCAGCGTGCGCTGCTTGGCCGCCGAATAGCGGAGGGGCTCAATCAATCAATCGTCAGTGTTGGGGAGGCAAGGGATGCGCCCTTTTGGTCCCTTATCCTTATCACAACCCCGCCATTCTCCTTCCTGCCTCCAAATCCAACCGCGCCCACCGCCCACTTTGCGCTGTGTTGCAGGGGTTGTCTTTTGGCGACGACGGCCGCATCTCGTCGTTCTTCTTCACAATCATTCAATTCACACCATCACCTTGTCACATTTCTATTCCTCAGCCCTCCTGTGCCACGCGTAGGCATTGAAGCATGTTATAACAGACGTTGAAATATCCTCCTCCACTACTCTCGGCTTTCGCTGCAAGGCTGTGCCACCACAGCGCACATGTCCTTCACCACCGAACAAGCCTACTCTCCCTAGAACGGACTTGGTCGGTTATAAAACACAATATGGACATCGACCACACGACCATCTCCGAAGCAGATCTCACCCGACTGCTTCCTACCTGTCAAAGATGCCGTCGTCTTCGCCGGAAGTGTGACACGAATCTGCCAGCCTGTCGCCTGTGCCAGAAGGGTAAAGCTGAATGTACCTTCTTCGACCATGCCTTACAGCAGACCCTGCCACGAAGGTGAGTCGAATCATCTCCCTGCTGCCACTGGATCGGATGGGATTGATCTTCACCAGTTACGTGCATTCGCTGTTGACCCGACTGAGTCGTCTGCGATCTGTACAATCCGCTGTCAATGGCTCCGACGAAACCTTGAGCTCCTTTCGCGACCCTCAACATGAACGGAATATTTCGACGGGGTCCAACCATCTCGAACCTCCTCCTCCTCCCCCCCATGAATGGGGCACCTACACTAGCGACTTGTCTTTCGACAAGCATTTCATCATTCAACATGCCAATCCCACCTGCTGGCAGTTCCTCGGGAGTAGCTCGCCTTATGCGCTTGTCGTCGAAGCACTTGTTCATGCTCAAGCAAAGCTCGGCTCCATGGTTCACCACCCAGACTATGCCGGCCCTGAGTTTTGGCTGAACGCTCAGAGCACAGAAGCCGCTGAGCCACTACAGCCCCGAGCCACTCCATCTCGTGCCGAGGTCGAATCGCTGATCAAACTCTACATGTCCACGACGAATGTTCTCACGCGTTTCTTCGATCCCGAAGACATTTCCTACGAGATCGACACATACCTTCGCCATCACGGATCTAACGTGAAGTACCTTGCAGGAAAGGAATCACACCAATTTTTCCGCATTGCAATGATCTGTGCCATTGCTGCCGGAAATAAGGCACGACATCATTCGGTCTATGACACCGAATCAATGGCCTACTATGCCGAAGGCCTGCAATGTGTCGAGGAGGTCACTTCGGATGTATCGACAGATGCTCTCCAAGCGCTGCTCCTTCTGATAATTTTCGCCCTTTCCTATCCAAGAAAAGGGGATATCTGGAAGTTGTTAGATTTTGCTTGCCGCTTGAGCGTCGAGTTAAGCTACCACACCGAACCCAACGATGAGTACGAGGATGAGAAAAGTCGCAAGAAACGACGGTCCATCTTTTGGGGCTTGTATTGTGTCGAACGAACGATGGGCCAACATCTGGGTCGACCGTCAGACTTGACCGAAGAAATCATCACGGCTGAATATCCCGCCCAATTAAATGAAGCCGGGCTTGCGGACCCTGAATCTTTCCAGTTCATTCTGGTATCCCACTACTATCGATTGACGTATCTCCGCTCCGAGATCTTTCGAGAACTATACCTTCCGGCGGTCAGCCCCAGCTTACCCAGAATGTGGTATGAGCAAAGGCTTGAAGACATCTTATCATGGCAGCGAGAACTGCAGTTTCTCGACAATACTTTGGGGATGGGCAGTATGACCTGCGACATGGGATTCGACACATCCATCTGTTTCCTCTTCCAGCCTTTATTGTTAAGGGCGTTGGCCGCCACCAAGGAACCCATGCTCGCCCCAGAGGTGACTGAAGTTATCCCTCGGGAAAGCTACCACTCCGCGGTCAAGGTTGTCGAGTTCTACAACAAAATCTTCCGTGCCGCTGAGGGAAGCAGTTTGGGAATGTACCCGATTACCGTCGTCTCGGCGCACTACATCCACCAAGCTACCATAACAATCATGGCCCACTGTCTCCTGGCCATCGATGGACGCCTCCCCGTTGTGAGCTTCTCAAGAGAGTTGAGTGGTGACGCGGAGGGACCCGTGGATTTCAACGGGATTCACGAAATATCAGGCACGTGTTTGATCCTCTTGAATACCTTGTCGAAGAAATGGGCCGGGATGGTGGGCATTCTGGATATCTACAAGAGCCTGCAAGCGAAAGTACTACCCATCATGATGCGAAGTGGTCTTGGTTGAGAGACGTGGAGACCACATCGAATCTGTAGGCCAGAAGTATGATTGGCAGTGGGAGCCGTGGATCTAGAATCCGATACAATTGTTTGGAGGACCAGCGGTGTCTCATACACAATTCCCATTACCCGAACAGTGGCTCACACGATGGATATTTTTCATTTCAGGCGTCAAACAAAATCGTTCAGACAGACAAGCAAAGGGATGCAAACAAGAATATCACCACAACCTTGAATAGTAAGGTTCAAGGCGTGTACCAAACAACTGGATCATCAACAACAAAGTCCTCTCGTTTTGCCTGCCGACGCATATTTTTCCTGATCGTATATCATTCTTTTCCCACATATTATTCCGTCTTCAACATCACGAGCGGTTCGCATGAGAAACGACAAGTTGAAGAAGCAGACTTACTTTGACGATTCTACCATAAAATCCTCTGAACCACTATCACATAGTTATTTTGACTCAAACCACGCCCGTCACCAGATCGACAGCAGCGGACGATCACTTTGGCCTGGGTCTGTGTCTCCGGAGCAAGACGCACTGTCAATCTCAACGGGAAAACCCAGGACGAGGATGCACACGAGATCGAAAGGTTGGTCCAGTGAATCCAAACCCTTTCCATTTTAAGGTCGCAACGATAAGCTCATCCTGATCCGCGTTGTTTCTTCAGAATTGCCAAAGGTCCTCCGGTGTGGGTCACGTCTCCCGAGACAAAGAGGGCTACCAAAGGGAACTCCATCGTCTTGCTCTGCTTTCATCAAACTTCCTGTAACAACGCATGCGCCCATTATGAAGATCAGAATACCAGTCGTGCGAAAATTATATGTCAAACAACGCCAAAGTCAAATCCGCAAAACGGCCGCCCGGGTTGACAAGACGTCACGCAGGCCGAGGACCGGGACAATGTTACGATTCACTCTCCAAAATGGAAGGGCTGTGAAAGCTGAAGTTATCGGTTGAGAGAGGAGCTGGAAGGAGAGTTGAATATCCCGGAACATACCATGTATAAGTGTGCGCCTGAATCCAAATCGTAAGAGGCTGAGGACATGATGATTGGGTAGGCTCCAGAATCAGGGAGGGGTCGAATATGTTGGAGAGGGAGAAGCAAATGAGTGCCACCTAGGTGTTATCTTTTCTCTCCAGCGTGAAACATTGATAAGTTCGATAAACTTCAAAGAGAGCTGTTGACGTCAACGAACAAATGGAAAGAGTCAAGCGCAAAGATCCCTTGACACGACGAAGATCAACCAAGGTCCAAAAGAAGGGAGAGGAGGCAAGGGTACTGTAGATCGATAAAATGGCTGCATTATGACGACGGTGGGAAAGGGGTGCTGAGCCGACGAAAGCCTCTCTGCGCCTCCACCCGCCATCTTGAGCAGATCCTCAACTTTTCGGCTCGTGTGATCTGCCCCGGATTCAGTCTTTTCTCGACAGGGTATGTGGTGAATTAACAATTTCGACTCTCCTGTTCCATGATGGCAGGCCTCTTCACCATTCTCGCCTCGAGCCCGGACATTCCTCTAACCACCCGCGAGGCCCTATCCGGGATCTTCGGCTCCATTTCGCTCGCGTGTTGGATTTTCCTCCTCGTGCCCCAGCTGATCGAGAACTACCGCAACTCCTCGGCCGAAGCGATCAGTCTAGCCTTTATCTTCGTGTGGTTTCTCGGCGATATCTGCAACCTTGCTGGGGCGCTGTGGGCCGGGCTGGTCCCGGTGGTTGTGGCCATTGGGGTATATTTCTGCATTGCAGACGGCGTGTTGATCGGGCAGTGCTTATACTATGGCATCATAAACAAGAGAAGAGAAGGAAGAGCTTTGTTGAATGAGCGGCCGACGCCGTCGTCTGGGGGCGATGGGCGTCCGAGGGAAGATGGTCGAGAGAATGAACCACTTCTGAAGCGCACGCGGACAAACAGTATTACAATCCCGGGCTCGGCGGACACTAGACGGCGTAGCAGTATCAGTACGAGGCGGAGGGCAAGCAGCGCAGCACAAAATGACCGTCTGGCAAAGATACTAGAGGAAAGTGATGAGTCGGGAAGCAGACTTTGGTTCAAGAATGCCATGAGTGTTCTGTCTATTGTCGTGGTCGGGGCTGCAGGATGGGCTCTGGCTTACGAATCTGGAGCATGGAAGCCATCGTCCTCATCAACGGATATGGATGAAAAGAAGATGGCCACTGGTGCGCAAGTGCTGGGTTATCTGAGCGCAGTGGCGTATCTGGGTGCGCGAATCCCTCAAATCATCAAGAACGCCGAAGACAGGAGCTGCGAAGGTATATCAATCCAGTTCTTTTTCTCTACCAAAACGAAAGAACACGTTCTCTGACGGAACAACTGTACAGGTCTCTCGCTACTCTTTTTTATTCTGTCCCTCATGGGCAACCTCAGCTATGGCGCAGGCATTCTCTGCCATTCGACCGAGCATGAATATGTGATGAAGAATCTTCCTTGGCTCATCGGCAGTTTGGGCACAATGATCGAAGATGTGACTATCTTTGCTCAATTTCACATGTACCGAGTGCAAGAAGACTCAAGCACAGAGAACGCTGTGATTTGAATAAACGGTGAAAGGGTGTACGTGTATCACCATGACTTTGAGATGGGTTTCGTTCTTTCTTGCTCTCTGCAATGAGAGAGGTGGGCGCATGGATCTGGAAAGAGGTTTTCCATTTGACATTATTGGCCGAACTACAGCACAGAACCGGAGCGCCCAATAACGAAAGAGGATTCAGGACCATGTGCAGCAAACGAGAGAAGTCGGGGGGAATGAAAATGGAGATTTTTGCTTGTGGTGGTCTCAGCTGGACCGCAGATGGCATCCACTTTTAGGATCTGTAAGTGGTGGCTGAGGGAGTGGATATTTGAAGCACAATTGCTTTCCGGACCGTTCCAGCTTACAATGTCATATACCACAATGTATAAATATGGAGCTCTCCATGAGCAGATGACCGATGCTTATGAATGAGTAAATTGCCTGGTCATCGTGATACCTCGCATATCTATCTCGGAGGGTGTCCTCCGGACGCCACCAGATGGTGGGGAGAGCATCTACGAGGCAGTGGCACATGCAGCAGATGGTACGTCAGTGTTGCTGTCACTAAAGTTGCTTCGGTGTTTCGCATAAGAGAATTGGTGTGGATGCGAGACGACGTTCGACGAAGTACAAGCGATCGACACGTGACTGGGCCTTGGCCGAAACAAGGGACCTTTGGATCACCCTGAGCCGGCTAAGTGCCGGAGGTAACTTTGGGTCTCTGGGGCACTAGCAGTTTGATAGTCCAACTTCCTGGGCCGGGGGTTGCGCAGTCTCCCTCTCGGCTCCCCTGCGCCCTTTGGGTCTGTTGTACAGCAACTAAAATTTGGTGTCCATCAATTTGGGTGTCGCTGGCTCTAGGCGCTGGCTTCTGGCACCGACAGGTTCCAATGGCAGGCTGAGCATCCCAGTCAAACCCGCTCACACCACAGATGACTCTGGCAGTTCACCTTCCTGTTCCTTGTTTCTCTTTTCTTCTCTTGCTCCTCACAACCTTTTACCTCTCAACACCCTTTTTTGCATTATATCAGCCACTTTTCTTCTACTCCTTCGCTTTGTTCTCCTTGTCCTAACCTTTCTTTCATCAACTCCCCCACCCCCCATCCACGTGTTTCCTTTCTCCTCGATCGTTGCCGCAATTGGCCCCTTCATTCGACTGGTTTTCACACACGACCCCCTCCCAAAGTCAACATTCTTTGCCGTCCTGTTTCAAGTACATACTTTGACCAAGTCGACTATTCTAGCACTTGGCTGCTCTTCAGTCTCGAATTCAAGACCTTCCTCCACCCAACAGCTCACCATGAAATCCCTTGCTCTCCTCCTATTTGCCACATTCTATGCTTCCGCCGTCTCCGCGGACGCCCTTGACGATGCCATCGCCCTATTCAAGCGCCAGAGTGTTCAACTGTCAACCGGTGGCACTGACACGACCAGTCCAACTTCGACAGCCACCAGTTCTGACGACGACGACGATGACGACGACGACAATACTACCACCGTCGTAACCTCACCTTCAGCTTCCCTCCCCCCGGTTGTCACCGAATCTTCTACAATTACCCAATCTCCAACCGAATCTGCCTCAGTCACGGTAATCGTGAGCACTTCTACTCAGACACCTAGCAGTTCCTCAGAAGAACCCACATCAACAGAAGCTCCCACCTCCACGGTGAGCACCAACACGGTCACGCCATCTCGAACGTTGGTCACCACCAGTGCCACACAAGAAGTCGTTACGACGATCACCAGTGTCAGCGCTGGAAGCACATGGCACATTACCAGCACAAGCAATAGCGTGGTTCCCATCACCACAAGTGTCGATCCAGCGTCTCTGACCGACGGAGACGGCAGCGGCGGCAGCTCTGGACTCAGTGACACGGCCAAGAAGACTATTGGTGGTGTTGTCGGTGGTGTTGGCGGAGCTTTACTTCTCGCTGGATTGGCCTATACTGCCTGGCGTATCTGGGGCAAGAAGAAGAATCTTCATGACGATGATCTGTACGATCCCAACCTCAACCAAGACAAATTGAGTGCAACAACCGGATCCGATAGCACCCCATTCCGTTCGACTCTGGATCAATATCATTCTCCTGGTCCCGTCAACACTGCATCCAACTTTTAATTTGGTGCTATCATCGACATCAGCAACATCACGATCGTTACGACTTCTCCTGGGTATTAGCGAGAGGAGCCACCACGGTGGCCTTCAACAAAATATGTCAGCGGGCGCCGAACCCCAAAAGGAAACGGAATATGGAGTCCAGAGGCTTTTTTCTGTCAAAGCTATAATTGGACGTAATTTGGGCTATTGCACCGACCGATTAGGAGTCCTGTCTTGTTTGAACGTGTACATAAGAAAAAGCTGCCTGGGTGGTGAATGGGCTAGGTAGAATACAAATGCTTCGTGTTCTGTCTGCTCGAACCATCGTGTCAACTAGCCGCAGTAATCATAACCTGCAGGCATGCGCGGTGGCGCACCATTTTGTTTCCAGAGGGTTTGCAACATTACCGGACAAACGTGACCGGGATTGTAAATTATCTGCCTGTTAGGGGTTCAGGGTGGCTTAGCGCTCGACACGGCCTTGCAAGTCGCGACTCAGATTCGCCTTTGACGCGCCCGCGTCATCCAACATCTGGAGGCCCCAAACTCCGGACAGTGAGCTCAAGCAAAAAAGATACTCTCTATTCTATCCTTCGGTCCTGATCAATCATTACGTTCTTTTGTCAGTGTTTGCCTCTCAACCACCGGCACGTGAGCAATGTTCTCAATCTCTCCACCGCAGCCGAGTCATTTCTTTGCTTCCAATCAACCTCGCTATTTGCACCACAGTTACGCCCCGCAGACGCCACCGCCTTTAAGGACGTCGAGGCATGTGAATCTCATGCCCAAATCTAGTCGCAAAGCCGACGACACGTCTTTGCTGAGCTCATCGCCGCCTGGAAAACTTGGATACACCGATGACGAGAACAATCCGGATGTCCCAGGGCCGGGGCTTGCATTCGGTGTCCAGGAGACGCCTGTGGGAAAGACGATGAACGCACAAGGTCATGAGTCTTCGCTGATCACTCCGCCTGATTCGGGCTCCGCTGCTTCAAATTCAAAATCTCCGTCTACAAGCGACCCACGATCTACCACTGCGTCCTTCACATTCTCATTCGACTCACAACCTTCGACTCGGCTGGTTACCTCGGAATGGGAGACTCGGGCCCAAAGTGCGAGTCCGGCTGCGACATTGGCCAGACACGCCGCGCAGGGCAGGGAAAAGAAGAAAACACAATTCCTCGATCGGATACGGCGGAGGAGAGATGATTCAAGAAGCGAAATGTACGGAGACCAGGTATTACGAATGGACTTTGTGCGTGAGAGAAAGCAGTGGGAAGACGAAATGAGGCAACGGGCACTGGTGGAGGCAGGTATTGGGAGTGACGAGGGAGAAGATGCCGATATGCCAGAACAGGAACAGACCGAAATGTCCCCAACTGTGGAGCATGATGTGGATGAGCTGATGAGGCATCTCGAGGAAGCACCAGGTATAGTGCCAAGGGGTGACGATGATGAGTTCCTGGTCGATGACGATGACGAGTATGATCATCTGTTTAGGGAGATTATATTGCAGAGTCAGGGCCAGAGCGAAATCCAAGATCAGAATCAGAATCCGCAGGCAGCAGAGCAGACCAGAGCTGAGAACCAGCTACAGCAAGACGATGCCGCGCCGTTCAACTCGAGTATGGATCTCTCTTGAGCTCGCGCCTTCGAGAGGATATCTGTCTGTCCGAAAACGTTCAACAGCCGTACAGAATCGATGTGGTTGGGGAATTGGGCGTGTACTCACTGAAGCACTGGACTCGGCGTCCAAGCGAGTTAGTGGTTGTACGTTCATATTCCGAATATCATGGACAAGAGTACCAAAACAGCACATACAGCATATGTGTACAGAACCAAACTAAAGTGATAAATTAGTCCCACTTCAGGTCATTATATTTATCTTCTTGTTTCTACAGGACTGTATATTTGTACCTCGTCACTTTTCCAACCCTCTTCAGCACGGGTCTCGCTCAGATCTCGTGTTTCTCCTAGTATGGTGTGCTTCCTGGCGAAAGGTTTGGTATGAGGATTAACATGTAATTCACCCACATTGCCCGTATGATCTCGGCCTTGTCATTCACGTACATCGCTTCCTATACGGAGGCCAGCCTTGCCCGACAAAGTCGGGGCAACTATTCAAATGGTTCGCATCATTTTCTCGATTTTCTAAAACGCTTGAACTCGGTCACTGTGTAGGACAGCCCTCTTCCAACCCCTCGCCCGGCATGCCCATGCCCGGGAACGGATTTGCAATCAACTCCTCTGGCGGCGCGCCCTCACCCTGCATGGTCTGCATCTTCTCCCAGACAAATTCTCTACACTTAGGATCATCATCCGAGTATGAGGGCTGCTCGAACTGCGCCACGATCTCGTCGACAATGACGCGCTGTCTCGTGAACCGTGCGTGTTCTGCCGGTGGCAGTTTGGATTTATTCTCGTCCAGCCATTCTGGGTACTTTGTCGAGAGCTCCTTCATGGGCTCGTACAGCATGTCCTTGTTTGTTAGCTGTTCCATCATGCCGAGGAACATCTTGGACAGTTCGCCGTCGCCGCCGCTGCCGTCAGCAGACTCGGACTCTAGCGCCCGCAGCATCTCTGCGAGCAGATCTTCTTCCGATTTCGCTGTCGATTGGGCGGTGGCATTGCTTGCGGCGGCCGAAGACGATTCCATCCGCGCCATTGTCTTGCGGATCGTGTCTTCAAATGATGACGTGGAGGGTTTTTGTTTTGATGAGGACGCCGACGGAGATTTTTCTTGTTGCCTGGATTTCTCGGAACTCCACGATTTCGATGGTGACTGGGACGGGCTCTCGCGACGTTCTCGTTCTTGGTTCGCGACAGCGCCGACATGAGCACCCGCATCTTCCCCTAAAATCGCCTTGAGTAGATCCTCCGGCTTTACGCCTTCCGCTTCCATCTTCTGTGTGAATTCTTCTACTTCCCTGCCCATCTTCGTGACGTCTTCGGAAGTCGCCGCTGAGGCGGCTGGGTCCAGTGACATCTGAGACATTACTTTTGACATCTCGGCGGTCAGGCGCCGCATGATTTCTTCTTCGGTTTGGGATGAGCCTGGCCCTTGTGGGATAGGGATGTCGGGTGGTAGGGCCGGAGCGTCATCGCTCGTCGGTCTACCTGGGCCCGATGATGAAGGAGGAGGTTGTGTTTGAGATTTAGGTTGCGACGCTGTTGCAGCGGAGAATTGGTCGAGTACGTCTTTGAAAGTGCTTGTCAGCATGTGATTTTCGCTGGTAAAAACAATTAAATGACATCGATATAAGAGAATAGGTGTATACCATACCATCGAGGTCGTCGAAATCCGGGTCTGAGTCATCTTCAACGGCCACGTCAGGAGGCTTTTGACTTAAGGGAGCTGGTGTTGTCGAGCTTGTGTCAAGTTTCGATTCTGTAGACAGAGGAGGTTCAGCCATCTTCTTTGAGGTCTAGGTGTGATGGTGAGCCTGCTCGGTGGATTGATTGGCTACAAGTGATTCGACCACGTCTGATAATGGGTAAACACTGTAGAATGGACGCTGGACACTCTACAGTTAGGTAGATGTACAGAATGCCCGAGCAATAGCAACAAGAGGAATTCTCGGAAAATGACCAGCAGGATCTCGGGGGTTTTAATGTGTCTTGCTAGGAGCAAAGTTGTCAACCGCTTATTAGGTTTCACAGCCCCCGCAAACCGAGGCATAACGAAAATGTGGCAATGAACGTGTTTGGGCAAACACAAAAATATATTGCCTGATTCGACATGATAATACAGTATTTTGGGTGTTGCTCAATTTAGGCATCTAGCAAACTTTCTTCCAAAAAACTCCCTAATGTGAGCTTCACAGCCGGCCTCTCTCTCTCTCTTTTTTTTTACATCCAATGAGGCGGTCATTGTTTCAGCTGGCCGCATGCTCTCGTACAGGACTATCTGTATCTGGCAGACAATTCAGAAGCTATCTTTATCATCAAGCTCTCCGGCATATCTCTGACCAGAAAAAGGACCATGGTGACCCTTTGCGAATCCTCTTCTGTGGATCCGACTGGTTCAGTGCGGCTTCTTTGAGAGCACTCTACAAGTTCTCCCAGTGTCCTGATAGCAACATACTCTCTATCGATGTCGTGACGAGGAATGATAAACGGGTAGGACGAGGCTTCAAGATCATCAAGGCGCCGCCCATCAAAGGCGTGGCTCTCGACCTAGGTCTCCCAATTCATCAAATCGATACATTCACCGGATGGGATCCTCCACAGTATGCTGAGCAGACCAGCCCCAATATCAATTTGATCGTTGCTGTGTCGTTTGGTCTTTTCATACCACCACGGATTTTGACCCAGTCGAAATATAGTGGGTTGAACGTCCATCCGTCAATGCTTCCCGACCTACGAGGCGCTGGTCCTATTCAATGGACCATTCTTCAGGGGCGAACAACGACCGGAGTCACATTGCAGACCTTGCACCATCGCCGATTTGACGAGGGAACCATTCTTGACCAGACTCCGGCTCCAGGTCTGGCCATTCCAAATCCGGACGAGATTACGGGGAGCCAGCTGACGGCACTACTGGCACCTATTGGAGCGAAAATGCTAGTCGATGGCATTCGCAATCGCGTATACATTCCGCCACATGTCCCTATTCTCGCTCCGGGTACAGAATCGACAACACCTCTGGCACACGCCCCGAAGATCCCTGCCGCATTGCACGCCATCGACTTCGAGACACTACCAGGCATTGACATCTTGAGGAGAAGCCGTACGATAAGTCCCCTCCGCACTTGGGCCAAAAGGATTTTAGGAGATAACATCCAAATCAAACTTGACGGAGACATGCGGGCTTCAACGACAGAAGATATTCCCGGGTCTGTTACGGCGAAAGCGAGTCTTATTCCCCCTGGCATCCCATATGCTATCGTCCCGGCAAACAAGAAGATCTATCACAGTGATAAGCCTTTGATTGTCAATACTGTCCCAGGTCCGATGGGTGAAATTCGTCGCATTGTCATTCCTTCGATCACAGTCGCCTCAATGAAGCCCGGACCCGGGGCCGCAGCCGCAGCTCGTGCTGGCTTGTTCCTCCCTGATCCACTCTGCGTTGAATACTATAAGCTATACTACTTCAGAAGTGCTTTATCGGTGCCTGGAATGGCGACCTCTCCAGGCGCAGCAGAAAGGCAGCCCGACTCCACCTTGGCTCCACTCTCTAGCGGATGACAAGGCCAGAGTCTGATTCTGTCAGCGATTTTCATGAGGAGGCGAACGCAAAACCTACCCACGACAATTTGCTGGCCTGTCATGGACGTATTCTGTGCAATGGAGATGTAGATATTTGCACAGTCATCGAGCAAAGTCTGTCCGAACGTCAGTGTGTGGTTGAAACAAAATGATTGTTAAGACGAGACCTCTTGTTTCAAAGCGGACATGTTTTTGATGATTTTGATCCGTTCTTCACTGTACTTCATACCCTGTTGAAGAACGTCAGCAAATGTCCGACCGTCAATCCAATCTTTGGAAAGAAGTCATTCTTGAACTCACCCACTCGGTCAAAAGAAGGCCTGGGAGCACAGCGTTGATCCGGATCTTCGGGCCTTGCGTGGAGGCAAGGCATTTCATAAGATGGAGGCCTGCGGCCTTGGTGACCGAATAACCCATGCTACTTCCACCACAGCTAATTCCCTACGAGGAATGAGCAGAGATCCTGCGGGGAGGACGGTTCGCTTACCGCAGCCGAGGAGGAAATGAGAAAAACTCCGCCATCTGAATTAGCGTTGAAGATGGGAGCAGCCTCTTGCATCAATACCAGTTGGGACATAACATTGGTAGACCAACACTGGAAGCGTCAGTATGTACCTCCAGAAAAATATTGTGCTCATGCCTTGTTCCATTCGTCATGGCTGAGATCATTAATATTCCCAAAATTTGCGAATCTGGTCCAACCGGCATTGTTGACAATGATATCGAGACCTCCAAGTTGTTGGACAGCCTCTTTGACTAGGCGAATACTATCCTCTACCACTCCAATGTCCTACAAACAATATGTCAGCATATAGGATCCGATGTCGGTGCAATGGGATGTTCTTCCTGCTTGGACGGCCACAGCCTTGACACCGAGCCCCTTGCACTTTTCGGCGACTTGATCAGCGCTGTCTTTGCTGCTCACGTAGTTGACAACAATGTTAGATCCCTCGGCGGCAAATTTCTCGCAAAGCAGAGCACCAAGACCTCTAATGTCTTGGTTAGATGTATGTAGATTTTGTATGGCAATGAGAGCCGGCCACTCACCTGGATCCACCGGTAATCAAGACATTTCGACCCTTGAGAGTGTATGGCATCGTGAAAGCGTAGGGAGATTCGGGCTTCGAGATGCGACCGAGAAACGGGAGGCTGGTCTCTGGGGGAGGATGTAAGCTTTGATCGCAAGGAGTTTTTTATTGTTGCGAATAGTCTGTATATATAGATGAAGTGGAGCGCAACAGTGGGGGATGAAGTCGGTGCAACATCGACCGTCTACGTATTCGGTGCAAGTTGTTCCGTGGCCCAACGCCGTGACCGTCTTTTGCCGCGGCTGTCCATTTCTCATTCTCAACACGTTAGCCGAAAGACATCCAAGTTAGACTCCCTTCTGACACTGGTAGGAATTTTCCTCTATAAACCCTTGAGTGGGGAAAGAATACTCCAGACTTCCGGCGAGGCTCGGTACCAGCGTTACCAGCGTGTTCGAGTGCTCTCTAGGGTGTGGATATACTAAAGGACCGCGGGCAGGATGGCTCGAGAGTCAAAGGCCAGAGTAGATGGTGAATGCCGGGAGAAAGACAGATGATATTCATGGGTCGAGAGTCGAGAGTCGAATAATGAGGTCCAATGTTTCTTCCCAGCCTTGGTGCTATTGTTGTCGTCGTGACTGCATCACCTGCTCCCCCATAACAACGTGAGTCTCGACGTGTGTCACTTCTCTCTGTTCCTTGTCTTTTCCTCACGCCTCCTTTCTGTGTGAGCATGGCATTTTGAGTCTGCCCGCTGAGATCGCATCAACGTTCACAACACGGCCGCCCATAAACAGTCAAGGAGCAGAGGCTCGTTCTCCGCTTTTGCCCTCGACACCATTCGATATCTTTCAGTCGTGCTGGTTCACGACAAGGTGAGAACAAGCCTCGTCATCGTTGCCATGGTCCACTGATATCGATTTCGCAGCTAGAATCCCCTCCAAGGACGAGGTAAATGGCCGGACAAAGTACAGCTAGTCAGATCCATGTGATGGTCATTGTCAACCTCCAGCTTCGCCAGAACCCGATCCATCAACCACACTTCTGCAGCGTCCCCTGGGAAAATGCCACCGGAAGAAATCGAGAGCCATGGGAAGAGTAAGGTGTCCTCGGGTAATGCAGAGCCAGCAATTCGAGAACCGACTCTTTCTGGTCGACAGGTATATTGAACACATCGATTTTCATGGCTACCCCTTTTGCTCGGTCCACTCCGGGAAATCCGTACCCTCGCAGCACTTCTCCTTACCTTCCCAAGGCTGCCAGCACCTCGACTGCGGCGAAGAGTGTCATATCAGCTCCCGTCTTTACTAGTGCCACCAACATCAATGTGGCGCGTGTTGAAGGAGTCTATGTTGGAGATATATCTGATCTAGCCTTCTCTCAATCGACCTAGAATCCGTAGGTTAGCTGGGGCTCTAGATTGGTGGATGTGGAGGGAGGGAGCCGGCGCCACTGGCGGTGATGACAGACATAGGCTCCAAGTACTACAGCTCGTCACAGAGTCTCAATTGACAAAGGGATCCAACTTCGGCCTCGGATCTCAAAAGGCCACCGTGCCCTTAGCGGTCAAAATGCTACAGGTTTCAGTGTCAAAGGGATTTCCTCTTCATTGACATTTTTCTACAGTCGCTCAAGTCATAACTAGCTACTGATGATGGTACGACTTCACGAATTTGTTCCAGCGAGATCATAACCCTTACTAACAAGGAACCCGAAGACTTCCCGTTACCAAGCAGGAACTCTTATGATGCAATGGTTTCTCCAGCGTCTTGTGGGAATGTCAGGTGCTGCGGGATGGCCAACCCTGGACTTGGATGATGATGAAAGCGTTTATACCAATGCGGACAATTCCTTGAAAAGAGTCTGAGAAGTATTCTCTTCACGGACTGTAGAGCAGGTAATTATGCAAAACATTATCCTGTACAATGAATCAAATCAATCCTGATCGGGACACATGTCATGAATCTATGCTTCATCAATCCAGGACTTGTACAGTAATGACACAGCTTCATATCTTGACATTGAAGAGAAATAGGCCGCTGAAAGCGGCGGGACTGCCGGACAAAGAGTGAGAGTCTCTCGGGGAGGCTGGGAAAGTTGATTGCGGGAAGAGATGGATTTACCCATCTGCCGGATCAGAGAATGGAAAGAGACACATGCCAGGTCAGGGAATTCTTCGAGATTAGGTGATGCTATGGTTATTATTTACCTCCTACAGACGGCCGTTATGGGCAGCATGCCAGCGCCACAATGTTTTCCCTCAAAGTTCTAAGAAGTTGAATTACGGATCGGCTTTCGAACGTTCGTTTTGATTCATCACTGGTTTCTATAGCGCCTTGGGCCAATCGCAATATTGCAGGAAGCTATGTCCACATGCCCTTACTAGACCCCTTGGAAATCTGTCTATTTGTACCTACAGTACCATCCCAAACTCCCCTTTCTTTTTCCCATCTACTCACTCCAGATATAGTCCCTTTTCCCTTATCCACGCTTGTACGCCCTCTCCCACCAACTCCTTCACCACTTCCCAGTCCCCTTTTTTAACTGCCTCTCTGACCCTCGTCGAACTCACGCCCTCTGCCTCCCCCGTTTCATCGAGCACCAACTCGACTCTGTCTACCCACTCCCTCTTCAGCCCCTCACCTTCCATCTCCCCCTTCGCAATGCGCGCAAAGTACGCCTTCTGCGCTTCTACCGTTGAGAACTCCACCGCTGGATCCGGCCGGATAGTCGCCCGGAGACGGTGCCGGGCAAGGAAGGGAGCCAATGCGGATAAAGGGGGTGTGTAGTTCGGGTAGTATTTTGGCGTGAAGATCCGGATTAGTGTGTCAAAGCCGGTCAGGTGGATTTGTTCGATCACCTCCCTTCTACCGCTTTCGGAGGGAGTGTTGTAAATATTGCTCTCGTCGATAGAACGCGCTTTGTCGATGAAATACGGTTCTTTCGTAACGCCGATGTCGATTACTGGTGGTGCCGCCGCTGGAGGGTCGTTGCTGCTGAAATTGGAGCGTAACTGCTCAGCCATCAGCGTCATCATGACAAGTCTGTCCTCGAAGTCTGCGGGCTCGGGTGTTTTATCCGCATTTATTGTTGCGAGGAGGAATAAAACCCTCGGATTTTGACTCTGGACTTGTCGGGAGTTTCGACCTGAGCTTGATATCGCATTCTGGCTTGAGGATTCCAATGCCGTCTGAACGAGGCTGAGATGCGCTTTTGAAGGTGGATTGAAACTGGAATCTAGGACGTAAAGGGTACGGATTGCTGGCGTATGTTGGGTTGCCGTGGACGGAATGGTGTGGAGGATTCGGAATGTGGATGAGGGTGAGGAGGTGAAGTTCTTTAACATATGAGAGAACTGGGTTCGGAGGTGCTGGAGGGTTTGCATGTCGATGTTGAGGGGAGGGGGAAACATGATCGACTGAGCGGTGGTGGAGAGGAATTGGATGTCTCTTGATGATTTTCAGAGAATCAAGTCTCGCAACTTATAAATTTGTCCTTGGATGGTACAAATCCCTGATCTAGAACCTATACTCGTAGTGTTCGATAACATGAGTAGTGGGGAAAAAGGGACGTATGACACCATTTGGTAGACCTCTCAGCCTTGTCAGTTGACAAAGGCTGCATGAGATCAAAAGGCAAGCCAAGCTCCACGTGATCTAAAATCTTGGCACGCTACGCCTCCCACAACCAAAATTCTGCCGTTGCACCCGTCGCAACTTTTAACTCTCGACAATCACCATTGCCTACCGATTCGACACTCTTTCAAGTCGTCAAAATGTCGAACCCCGAACTCGCCAGCGCTTACGCCGCTCTCATCCTTGCCGACGATGGCATCGAAATCACTGTATGTGTCTTTTTCACCTGCGAAATCCTTTTTGCATTTCTGGTTTGCTCGACTGTGTTCGGGAATTTGGCGAAGGGTGTGAATGGCTGACTGTTGGGTCTCTAATTCTTCAGGCCGATAAATTGAACACCCTCATCAAGGCGGCTGGTGTCTCTGACGTCGAACCCATCTGGGCCACTCTTTTCGCAAAGGCCCTCGAAGGCAAGGATGTGAAGGACATGCTTGTCAACGTCGGTTCTGGCGGTGGTGCCGCAGCTGCTGCTCCTGCCGCTGGTGGTGCTGCTGCTGCCGGCGGCGCTGCTGCTGAGGCTGCCCCTGCAGAAGAGGAAAAGAAGGAAGAAGGTATGGTTGACGCGAAAAACGGCTCGGCGCAGGAAAAAATTGCTGACAATCTTTGCTCTAAACAGAGAAGGAAGAGTCCGACGAGGACATGGGTTTCGGTCTCTTCGACTAAATTTTCGGCTCTCTTCGAATTCTTCTCCTGTTGTGCTCCTTTCCGACATCACCGAGGAAGCAAAACTCACACCATCCAAAAAGACAATTCTAGGTTTTTGCAAGCCATGTGATACCGTCCTGCATTTGGCCTGGCACTACTCAAGACTGCGGGTGGATTATTTTCCTTTTCCCGTGAGAGGAGAAAAGTTGCATCTGACAATTTCAAGGCAAAATTGCGCAGCCTCTTGACATTGGTGGATCGAAAAAAGTACATGCAAGAAGAACGGTCCGGGACGAGCTAGGCATGCTAAGACTCATGCGGACTTAATTCGAGCCAGAAGTCTCTTTTGAGAATTGAATCCACAATGTCATTCGAATCGTGCTCTCTCTCCAACGAAGTACTCCAGGCCTCCCAATAGCTTCAATTCCCTTAGGGATGGATTGGCTCATCTTTCCCCCTCTGCCGTAGTCGTGAGGCTCTTCTGATTGGTCGACTGTCTTGATCTTGTTCTCCGCAGCACGTCAGCCTCGTCCTCATATTTCCGCTGATACCTCCACATTTCTCCAACACATTAAAGCTCCCGTAGTTACACTCCGATTCTCCTTTTGTCTCCCATTCCCACATCTCCATGGCACATAAGAGCTTGTCCATTCAACCTCTGAAGACGTAATTCTGTGAGCGTAAAGAACATCATTGATTTTCTTCAAAGCCCCCTTTTGTAAGCAGACACCAATACCTCACATTACCCCCTATTTACGAAGCTACACGACTAAGCTCGCAGTGTTCAAAATGAGCTTCTCATATGGCATCGACCATCTCGAACCAGCTTTCCCAGACCGATCTGTCCCTTACATAACCTATGGTTTGCACTTCGATGAAGCAGCCGCCTATCACATCACCAACACGCTCCACGCGAGCCGCGTATATATTATCGCCTCAAATTCGCTTTCCAAAAACACGTCAGCATTGAAACGCCTGCAGAATGCACTCGGTGACAAGGTCGTCGGTCTGCGTGTCGGAATAACACCGCACACGCACTGGAATCAGGTCCTCGAAATTGCACAGGATGCAGCCCCGAAGAATCCAGACTGCATTGTCACGCTGGGCGCTGGATCACTAACTGACGCGGCCAAAGTGATTGCGTGGATGCTCGCCAATGATATCACTTCGTCCGAAGGAATGGAAAAGTTGCTGGTGTCCGGTAAGGACTTCAAGGACCCAGTCATCCGCCAAGTAGCAATCCCAACAAGTCTGTCTGGCGGTGAATACCAATCCATCGCTGGGGTGACAAGGGATGATGGCAGCAATCAGAAATGCCTCTTTGAACCACCGACGCGGAATCCCAGCCTTGTGATTTTGGATCCAGAATTGACGGTGACTACACCGGAACGGATCTGGTTGAGCACGGGCGTCAGAGCGGTGGACCACTGCGTCGAGACTCTTTGCAGTCTGCTTTCGAATGAAAAGGGCGACGCCGAGGCCGAGAAGGGCTTATTAAGACTGGTACCTGCCTTAGTCCGCACACATAAGAACCCCAATGACCTGGACGCGAGGTTTGAAACCATGAGAGGCGTGATCGAGGCCATGAACGCAGTGGGCAGTGGTGTGCCTCTCGGAGCAAGTCATGCAATCGGTCACCAGCTGGGGCCGTTGGGTGTAGGTCACGGTGAAACTAGTTGCATCATGTTACCGGCTGTTTGCAAGTGGAATGAGAAGGTCGGTGCAAATGTCGAAAAGCAGGCAGATTGCAAGAAGGTATTACTTCGGTCTCCCATTGTGCGTCAACTGTTGGAAGCAAGATACGGCACTGAGCAATCCAACATTGACAAGCTTGACCTGGGGGATATTCTGGATGTGATCTTCCGAGAGATGGGCATGCCGCGGACTCTCAAGGACGTGGGAATCGGCCGAGACAAGATGGATGGGTTGGCAGAGAATAGTCTCAAGGATCACTGGATTAAGACGAATGCAAAGCCCATCACCGAGAAGGAGCAAGTGATGGAAATCCTTGAGATGGTGGTGGGATGAGACCTCAGGTAGGATCAATTCAGCAAAGTCCATGTTCTCTCACATCCTATGATGCCATTTGATTCAACTGAATGAGAGCCAAAGGGCCCTGTTTCTTATCTTCCATTCTTCGAGAGTCGACAACTCACAGACACCCACCCTGGTGAGTTTCAGATCAGATGTGCTTACCTTCTGGTCGACGCCGCGCAAGAGTTTCTCAAGCCTCCCAAGCCTGCTCAGGCGATTCTCACCAAAGTCTTTACTTGAAAGGTCATCGTCATTGCCCATTGGCATGTGCTTCATGGCTCAAACAAGTTCGGAAGATCATGGGATCACCGTCCTGGATCACTGTTTTGAATGTACGCCTTCTTTCCATCGCTCCATCCACTCGGTTTTGCGCCTTTCAATCGCTCTTCTAGCAATCAACTCTTCCTGGTTCACCACTCCTTTACAGCTATCAGCCCTTGTCCGTCAAATTTGAATCATCCGTGACCTGGGGATACGCGATACCTCTGATACGTCCCGCGATGGCCGAAATACTTGGTCCGCCGTCTGAACTAAGACTCTCCCTTTTACCAAACTATTTTTAGTACCAGATGTAAAGAACTTGTTTCCTCTATGCCAGCGCCTCCACAAGACGTTCTCACCGGTCCCATATCGATCAATAATCCGGGGCGAGGAAAGGACCATCATTTGACCACACTTCTCCTCTTAAATGCGAACGGCCGCTTAATGAAGGGGCTGTTGATGGTATGGGTGAAAGACTCCCACTCGTTGTGCAAAATTTTTCGACAAAATGAACTTATCCCTCGCCACATGAAGCATCTCACATTGTTATGTCATCGTTGCCAGTTGTGCAGGCGCCTAAGTCGATTCCATGCATATCATCGCGATCATGGGCATGTCTTGAACCGGCAAAGGATGCGTTTACTAAATGGTCAAGCCTCAAATGGCTGTGATCCGGGCATGAATTACGCGAGGCGTACATTACTCTTCCCTTGCGGCAACATCTTGAAGAATGGTATCCCACTACTTCTTTCCCACGGCTTCATTGGAACCATATCAACTTGGAGACACTGTTACTCAAACATTTCGCAGCCAAGACGAGCCTTGTCCATTTTACCCCTTAAATTGGGGCATGAAAAGCTCAATTTGAAACTCCATATGAGCGGATGTAAGAGAAAATATGATAGAGGTTTCTGGAGGATTTGACGCGCAAATGCATTGAAATCGAGGAAATTTAGGACAGTCATTACAGAGACCCCGTATGAGACGTCCCGCATTTGGTGTTTGACTCGGTAATAGCTGAAGTTGAATTGGCCAGCTAAGAAGTATTTACACTTACCGTATTGTTGAGACAAGCGAAGTGGTGGGCATCTGTTGAACGAGCGTAGAGCAACTCCACCGCATCTGTCAGACCATCTTATCTTCTCGAATTTTAGGCCAGTGGTTCTTGATATCAATATTCATCGTCACCATGTCAACGCTTCCTTTGAGATGCAGACCTGTGAGAAGGGAGAGAAAAAAAAAAGGGGGGTGGGAGGGGAGGGTGACTCATGATGACAAGTGAGCGGCCGTGCAAGGCGTCACAGCGCTAGTATCTATCCCAAATAACAAAGTATGGAGATAGAGGGATGGAGGGATTCTGAAGATAGCGGTCAGGATCTGAAGAACAATAGGCGGTCTTAAAGTGGCTCCGATGACTCCCATTCGTTGGGTGATGCATGAGGCTTTTGGACCACATTCTACAGGAGGTTGCTCCCACTAGCGAAAATACGAGATACGAGGCCAGGGGGCCTGGTTGGGCGCGAAGGTTTGAGTTGAGGTGTCAGTGCAGGGCAGGACCATGACTAGCAAAAGACATTGTGATGCATGCAGAGCAGTCAGCAAGGATTGAAGAAAGAAGAATTGGATAGGATAGAGATGTAATAAGACTCTAACCTCTGTCCGCGGGATGATTGTTCTTCCGAAGTCCGCGTTTGCTGGACCGACTTCATGATTTCATCGAGAAATCAATACAGGCCATGATTGATCACAGCAGCTGATCTCTCTTTCCAGCCCGGCGATAAAGAGTCAGCACTATGCGTGAGCACAGCGGAGCTCTCTTTATAAATCCAGAGGGTGCGTCAGGTGAAATATTCCTCCGATGCCACAGCCTCGTCTATCCCTATGGAGCCTCGCTTGCTCCCTCGGGTATGCCTTGCGAACTTCCAAACACCCCACTCAACCTTTTCACCCTTGTGGTTCTGTTGTCAAACTGGATCTCGCTTATCATCTATTTCCCACGAGACGCCCTATCCTTTCGCGGTTCAAATTGTTCGAAGAGGAAAATGGTCAAAGAGTCGCGCTCATGGCGCCCAATTCTAACTGGTCCGTCGGTTTATGACTCCTTCAAACTACGATCTCCTGATCCTCTTCCGTTCGGATAGCGGCCGGTTCATATCCATATCGCCCATTCTTCGGGCTCCTTGAGCCCGTTTCGCCTAGACGAGTGAGTTTAGGCTTTATTCGGACCCCATGGAAAGGCTGAACTTTTCCGGCGTCTGGTTTTACCTTCCCAGCGTTTGTGGATGCCTGGCTATGGTTTAATATGGGAGACATCTCTTGGTTTGCTGCCTGTTGCTGCCATCCATATTTCAGTCCACAGAGGATTTAATTATCGTCTCCTTCAGGCCCTCCCCCACAGGCTTCCTCCAGCTTGTCCCCCCGCTTTTTCCTTTTCACAATATTCTTTAGCTATCTTTCTTTGATTCAATTCCAACATGTCTACTGCCCAAAACACGACCTATCTCCCCCTTCGTCTCTGTGACGACGTCTCACCACAATGTCCAGTCGAACACTCCATCTACGGCTACTACCCCTCGATCGGAGCAAACTGTTTCTTCGTGGCATTTTTTGCCATGTGCGGCGCCCTCCAGCTCTACGCCGGCATTCGTTATAAAACTTGGACCTACCTGATCGCCATGTTCCTGGCCTGCGTGGATCAAAGTCTCGGCTATATAGGCCGGGTCATATTGCACCAAAATCCTTTCAACCGCGTGGGATTCCAGATCCAAATTTGCTGCTTGATTTTGGGGCCCGCTTTCAATTCGGCCGCAATATACCTGGTACTCAAACACATTACGCTATGCTTCGGGCCAGAGTACTCTCGTATCAGGCCTAACTGGTACACCTGGATCTTCATCAGTGGCGACTTGGTGTCGCTAGTAATTCAAGCCTTTGGAGGCGCCCTTGCCGCGACAGCAAATGATAACCTGGACCGCCAAAAACTCGGCGACGATCTCATGATGGCAGGGATTGCCTTTCAAGTGGTGACATTGCTTTTTTTTGCCGGCGCAGCCTCATGGTATGTCATTCGGCGCCGACGGGCTCATCAACCATATACCACCGAGGCGACACACTTCCTCCGTAGCCGCAAATTCAGGCTGTTCGTCATTGGGTTCACCCTTGCGTTCGCAGCCATTTTCATTCGATGCGTCTACCGCATCGTTGAGATGGCAGGTGGATGGAGAAATCCTGTCATGCAGAACGAAGGTGCATTTATCGCTCTTGATGGATGGTATGTTTATCAGTGTTGTGGTTCCATCCCCTGTTCAACATACATCTGCATACTAATACTGTACAGCATGGTTTCGTTCGCCACCCTGGTCCAAACACTCTTGCACCCAGGCTTCTGCTTCCCACGGCTTTCGAGCGCTTATGTACCACCAGAACCCCTTCCACATCTGCCCAGCGTATTCTCAACGCCACCGGAGGCCATCGAGATGGAAAAGGAAAAGAACGCAACGGCGAACGCCTAGGAGTCTATCGTCATCACCACAGATCTCAGACGAGAGCGATGACTTCAAGGCATACTCCTACTCTCTAGATGTTTGCCTGATGATAAACATCAGCTGTGAGCGATGAGTTCTTGAGGGTTCAGCTCGACAGTCAACCGAGATGAAAGCGATGAATTCTAGAGTTTCATCACCTTGATGGACATCGTATTGAGAGCGAGGTCCTTCTGGCCCGCATCGATGTGCATTATTAAGGGGGGACGCCTGCCTTTGACGAACATAGAAGACACTATATCTGAACTTTTGTAATCTAACTTACTCACGGCGTCTTTTCTCGCCAGTAAAAGGAGGGATATAGCATATTCTTCTTGAGGAACTCATCTCGCCCGTTGCTATTCTGATCAATATAGGAATACGGAAGGCACTATATTCACTGCTACCAGAAAGTTAGCTTACATGGTACCGTGTTGTTCATCATGCCATCCACCTCCACCATCGCCAAAAGTCCTGGCCGAAATTTTTTCCAATCCGAAAAAGAGCACGAGGAGCACATCATATGCCTGACTTGAGAATAACTCAAACCAACCATGTTGACTCATGTGGTGAGCACCATGGTATCGAAAGTATGCCACGCGATGGGAAATCAAACTGATTTTCCATTGCATCTTCATTTTTGGACACTCTTCGCTATGCTAATCTATGCTGTTCGATGCGTCCCTTATGCATCAAGATGTATCGTGATGTACCGTCCCATACAAACATGTAATGGGAAAGCCATCTAAACCCATGCCAATCCATCATTGCCCATCCGACCGCGTCACCGCTAATTCTTTTCTTCAGGTTTCTTTCTCGACGCATCAATCTGCATCTGTTCCAACTCTCCTGCCCAGCCTGACATCTTGCCTATCCCAAATTTTTCCTTCCACTCACCAGCACCACTACCAACCTTTTTGGCTTCTTCAGTTGCTTTGGTCGCAGTGGGACGAAGGCGTTGCGTGCCACGGGCGGCGATGAGGGTTTCGGAGTGCATAATGTTTTGGTAAGCGCGACGAAAGGCAGCACGACGATGCTCAGGAGTCGGGAAGTCGGTGTAGACGAGTTGCGCGAGTTCTTCGGCGAGATGGTCATATGCGTCTTTGGGAGCAAGTGAGGCCGTATCGATGCCAGTGTCGAAGCGTGCTGGTCCTCCGGTGGTAGTAGTATTGGTATTGGCTGCTGTTGCTCGAAGGCCCTTTACTTTGCCGATGTTTGCTCGAGCGAAGTCGCGGAGACCATTAGTGTCAGTTGCCTTGTCGACGTAGACCGCACCTTTCGTTATGGTTGCTTTGTCGTTGCCAGATGACTCAACTTCAATGATGTCTGTGTCTGTGGTGGAAGAATGTGTTGCATTCGTATTGGTATGGGTCGTTGTCACATCAACCTCAGTATCCTTGGATTCAATATCCTTCTTTGCGGTTTTCCCCTCAGTGGAATTGGCTTGAAAATCAGCAGGATTGCCCTCGATAGGGAGAGAAGCCTTGATGTAAATGTTTGGTCTGTTGGGTATCTTGGATTTTCTGGCTTCAATCAATTCGACTATGTCTCTCCGATCTGGGAACTTGCCGCTCTGGTAGAGGGCGTAGGCTTGAAACAGACCGAGAGTGAGGAAAGGAACGGCACGTGGGAAGTGTTCTGAGTCAATGACGAGAAGGGGGACCTGTGCGTTGACTTGTCCTGCTCGTTCAAGGATAAATGTGACAAACTTATCCAGTATTTGACGTGTGGTCATGTGTAGCGGTGCCACAATTTCGAGACCCTGCTCTCTAAGTGCTGATTGGGATCCAGTGACGACGAAACCAGGAGGGAATCTGCCGGCATTGATGCCGTCAACGAGCTGTTTTGAGACAAAAAAATCAACGTGCCAAAAAATGGCGCATGCGCCGGCGTCGTTGCCTCGGATGCGGTGATAGGCGAGCTGGAAGCAATTGACAAGGTCGTCGAGTCCTTGGTTCTTGTCGTTTTGGCAAAGGTCATAGAGGGCAAAACCCCAACTGTAGAGCTGAGAGAAAAATGTCAGTGTCGGATCCAAATCGTGGCAGCCAGAGCGTACATAGTTGATCCAGTGATTCGAGTCGAAGCCCTGAGGAAGATTTGTGTCGAAAAGGTCAGAAATAGAGATCTTTGAAGTCTCGCCCGGAGGGGAAGCGGGTGGACGGCTTGAATGCAGTGGTCCAGAGTGCGATCGGGTAGGTGCAAGAGTCGACGCCGATGCTGCAGGAGTTTGATTGAAGAATTCTATGGTGGCTTTCGCATCCCGCACAGCCTTCTTGTGATTGTTGCGACCCATCGCGATGGTCTGGGAGGGCAATACTATTGATGAATCGCGATGAGTGAGTGTGGTGGTGTGGTGGTGAGGAACGGGAAAGACATGCTGCGAGCATGGTGCTTTTATCCATTTTGGGAGGGTGAGGCAGGAAATGAGTAAACACACTGCGTCTTGAACTGAGAAGCCAGTGGGATGAGGCCGAAAATCTGTGAACACACAAGGCTGTTGAGACAAGGCTGTCAGCAATTGCCCTGGGATGTGATCACGTGCATCTCAGCCTTGGTTGGATACTGAGCAGTCATTGGCCACTTCTTTCAGAGAACAATCAAGTTAGTCTTCAGGAGCATACCATTTGTGGATAACCCTTTGTTAAGGTCTGGGCACAAGATAAACACAATTCTCCTCAATCATTGTCTGCAAGGGTTTGGTACACTACCTTGATCAAAGACACAAAGAAATCACCTTTTGATTCAATCATTGTACGGCCATGCCAAGAGCTGTGATCCCCATTCCAAGTCGGGGTTCAAAAGACTTGTATCATTTTCATTCTCGATAATTCCAGGCAGAGTGGTATCGTTGAGTACGTAATCTTTCATTCATGGTTCCGGTTCGATTCGGTCGTTTGCCGTCATCGTGATCATCAAACCGAAGTCTATCCATTGTAAACGACCCGTTAAAACGCCTGAACTCGTCCTTTCCAAATACAAGATGGATATCGTTAGAGCAAATCAAAATAACCTCGGACCCGCCGCATCATATACTCAACTCATATACATTTGGTGTCCTGGATTGGAAAAATCGACACCAGTGCCACTAGCATACCCATCGCTGATACCCTCTTCATCATAGTAGTCTCCACCACTGGAACCGTCAAAACTGGCTCTGCTCATGCCACCAACATCACTATAGTCACCTTGGTCATCGACTTGGGAAATTTGGGACCAGTCAATATTTTGAAGGGCAGGGTACTGTTGGAGAAGAGCTGCAGGCAAAGCAAATCCACCAGCACCAGAACTTGGATCCATCCCTATCATCATTGGTTGGGGAACTGGTTGCAGCCCCCCTTGGGCAAACTGTGATTGCTGATGTTGGTGATGTTGATGTTGATTATGTTGTTGCTGTTCCATCATTGCCCTGTTTTGTCGTTCCGCTTTTTCCTCTTCCAGAAGCGGTTTGATGCATATCCTGCCAGCTTCGGATCGGAAATGTCTACCCAGAGCATCTGCTCTGGCAAACCTTCTCCCGCAACCCCATTGTTGACCAGGGGCCGAATTCAGCTCACCTCTGCAAACAAATTTCTTTTCGCCGCTGTGAAGGCCTTCGTGACGTTTGCGATCGTGCTGTCTTGCGAAGGCTTTCCCGCACACCGTACACACGAAAGGCCTCTCATCGGTATGTGTTCGTAAATGAGATCGTAAGTTGTAGGCGCGAGTAAAGCGTTTTGGGCAGAGAGTACATTGGAAGGTAGCGGGATGTTTTTGGATTCGGGTACTTGATCCAGAAGGAGAGGCGTTAGGTCGGGTGGGATCCGCCAAATCCAGGATGTAGTCCCTAGTTTGACCCATGGACGACGTGGACGCTCGGCGATTCTTATCCACCCGACCAGAAACAACCACAGGTCCTGGAGACGATTCACGAGAAACAGAGCGACTGTCTCTATCCGGAGATCTAGAATGTACCGAAAGGCTGGAACGGTTGACGTTGGTTGACGTGAGGCCCGGGGAGCCAGATCGAGACAACGGACGTGTGAAAGTAACATCAGATTTGCTGCGATTGCGGCCCCCTATTTGCGAAGTTAGCGTTTTGCGCTCCGGATTCACCTATAGAGACATACTGCTTGAAGATGGAGGACTGAGAGCTCCTTCTGTTCCTTCCCCTTGGGGTCCGAAACTCTGTTGCCTCGAAACTGGCGCGGGTTCGATATTGATAGTGGGGGGCTCGAATTGATCCGCCTGGCCTATTTCGGACACCACCGAAGTATTTCGCATGTGATTGCTGGGAACAACGGGCGGATAATTAGGTGGCTGACTGGCATACACATCTGGGACCGGAATTCCCATGGGTTGACTCAAAGTCAAATCTTGTTGATTCAGTCCAAGGCCTGATTGGTTTCCTTCCATGTGTGGCATCAGCCGGGGAGAACGATAAGAGGCCTGTTCTCCCAGGCTAAAGCTCTCCATGCCGAAAGCATTGCTAGTGTCTGGTTGGGCAGGAAGAAAGGGGGAATGATTGAGATCACCCGGTTCATGTAGTTCTGCATGCGCCAGGAAAGGAGAGTGGGCAGCCGATGAAATCTCCGAGTGATCTGATGGTGCTCTCCGATGCTGCTGGAAATTGATTCCGGAATAGTTTTCTCCGTAAGCGCTCGAAGGATCCAGAGAGGCATGTCTGGAATGTTGAGGAGTGTAGAACTGGCCGTTGGTAGAGGCAGGCGATCCCGGCTGAGAGGAGTGGTTCTCTGGCGGGTACAGATTGGGAGATGGGTGGTCTTGTGGAGAAGATACTTTGCTTAACTCGGCCGGATTGATGTTGTTTTGCGGGTTCATGTCATATGTGTTGTTTAAGGAGTATGTCTGAGTGAACTCATTGGGCATGTTCTCTCCCTGATACATGAAATTGTTGTCTGAGAAGGATGGGTCTAGATTCGGGCCTCCGAACTGACTTTCTGAGAAGACAGATTGCGTGTACTGGCTATTCGGATAGAAATTGCCGTCGGCGGGATTGGGCTGGAGACCGCCTGATTGTTGCTGGGGATCGAGAAACGGATTGTTGAAGGCTGATGATGTATTGAATTTGCCCGTGGTCAAAGCTTGCCGGACCGAAGGATCTACGCCAGGGACGGTCGTGGGAATATGGTTTGGGGATGGTTGAGGGCTTATGTGCTGCGCATTGCCTCTCGAAGGAGATCTGCCCCGAGTACTGTCCATCTCTTTTAACACAATCGTTCAGCTATGGTCCCAAGAGGAATGTGGACGAGAGGGGTTATGACGGAGAATCGGGTCCCTGGGAGGACCAGGCTCCTGCGGGAGGCTCACGGCTGGTCGGAAAGCAAACACGAGGCTCCAAATTGAGACAATTGGTAGGAGAGAGGTGCGATGGGAGTGTACCTTGCCCTGTCAGCCTGTGGCGCAGTAAATTAGTAGATGTTGTGTAGGTGTGGGATCACATCAGGCGAGGATCATACTCAGCCGCACAGTGAGGCTATGCTAGAGCGGGATTGTTACAAGAAGGTCGCACAGAGCCGCCAATGATGTAGTTGAATGTTGTCAAGGCCCCCTTTAGACGGGCGCGACGCCTGTACAAATGACGAGCGACTTTTGTAAAGGAGCGCGAGGATGAAGTGAGAAGTGGTGTGTTTGTGACACTGAGAAGTACTGATTCGGAGGAGCAAGCTGGAGGGGGGCCACCGATGGAGCGGGCGAAGAAGAGACAGATAAGGCGGAAAAGCGGCAAAGTAATCCAAGTCACGAGCACGGATGAATATAATATAGACAGTAGAAGTCAACTGAAGGAGAAATGTTTGGAGAATGACGATAGATATTACCAGATGGAGAGAGCGAGAATGGGAAAGGGAAATGAAGTGTGAGTCTGGGGGTGTGTGAGATGGATGGCGCATTTGAAACGGAAACCAAGCGGTCACAGAGTCAAGACCGCAGCTTTAACCTTCTTGGAGTTCTTCGTCTTTGGGATCTTTGGGGTCTTGACGGGGACTACCCCCAACTTAGCAGCCCAAGTCACCAAAGTACCGCATTACTGCCAGTGTCAGTTCACTGACGTTTCTACTTCTGCAGGCAACCATTTACCCATTTAGAATCTCTCACATTATCCATCCTTCTATTCTCATAACTGCTCGCCAACGAGAATGCGATTCTCCATCTTTTCCGACTTGACCCCCTTGCTCCAAAGAAAAACAATGGGCTGCGTGACCGAAGTTTGCCAAATTCCTTCATCCATCCCAAATCCACCCGAATCGGTCGCCTTCAAGAATTTCCCGTCTTTGCCTTCTTATCCCATGGTTTTGTCACCAAGAACATGGGGACATCAATGATGTATGGAAGAATTCGCCGAGAGTGTGGCTGTGCTGTGTGCCTGGGGCCACGAAGTACCACAACCCATCGCTAAGACGAAGCGACTCGATATCAATAACCGAGTGTAATTCCTCCACGCTCCACTCACTCACAAAGAAATGGAACATGAAAACTAGATATTTCGTTAAGGATCTTTCTCATTACTTCTTGCCTGGCCTTCCCCTAGTCTTTGCTGTGCTTTTCTTTTTCTTTTTCTTTCTATGTTACAACGAGAACAAGAGTCAAAAAAAAAAAAAAAAACACGTGATAAAAGGATGCAATTTCGTCCCTCTGATCCGTCTCCTGCCCTTCTCACATTCACTTGTGTCTTGGGGACTTTTTTTTCTTTTTTTAGGGTTCCCTGCAGGAAAGCATGATTTTGAATGCCTGTGTGTCCTCGATGAACACCTTGCTCGTTATTTGCAAATGCTTCCATAGATAACACCCCGCTGACCAGATAAATGAGATAAAATGGACGCAAAATTTTGTCAGTCGCAAAAGGGATCGTGATTCGTCAACGTTGTTCGACTTCTTTCGTTCCACCAGCCTTATCTCCGGGATGGAGGTGGATGACTCCTGTAAGCAGGTTTGTCGTCGTGAACACGAAATGAAATAATAAAGATCAAACGTCGCCTTTCTTTATCAGGATTCGGGCATGCAGAGATTGAAGTAGTTTTCCATCCACCGTAGGACTTAAAGCTCATCCAAACTCCCACCGCCTGAATATTCCATCAAAACAACGGAAAACCAAGCGGTAGTAGTGATAATCAGCAAACAATCTTAGCCTGTCCAACGCGTCAGTATTCTCTTATCCAATCAATTCGTTGGTGCGGTACCTACCGCAACATAATGCCTTCATCATCTTGTGAAAGAAGCCATGTTGTTGTTCCTGTTGTTGAGTGGGACGTCCCTGATTGTTTTGCATGGCTCCAATAGCGGGGCTCACTCTGGGTTGCTGGCCGACCAGATTGGCATTGCTGTTCTGGAATTGGGCTTGAGTTGACGCCGGAGGAGTATTGAGATCCATCTGCCCGGCTAATCCACTACTTCTCTTCGGTAGGTTGCCCCCAGCGGCGCCGCTTGTGCGATCTCGAGCGCTCTTCCCCATGGCCGCCACTCCTGGCTTCGCTGGGGACGGCGGTGGGGGCTGCGCGGCGTTTAAACGATCCGCTGATATTGCTCCTCGATCGCGCGATGGCCGTTGTCCTTCTTGAGCCCGAACCCCAGATGCTCCATGTAGAGCCCGCGCTGACGCCTCAGGGGGGGGATGGACGTTGTGTAGATGATGGGCAGAAGGATGAGACTTGGCGGCCTCCCAACCACGGCCTCCATTCAATTTCATCCAGTCGTATTCACCATCTTCCACCTCACCGGCATTCTTCAACGCCTGGGTAAACAGATCCCGCAGAAAGTCATAATCGGGAGTATCCTCAAAGCCGAGGTTTCGGACATAGCTCAGATACTTGTTAAACTCCTCTAGAATGCAAAATTAGTGTATCAGGCCACGCGTGAATGGGTGCCAACATACCAGGAAAGCCTTCACACAAATCTTTGATGGCCGTGGTTTGTTTCTTTTCTCCGATCTTCTCATACTTTTGCTTGTTGGTGGCGGCCTTTAACCCTTGCCATGGAAGTCCACCCCTCAGGAAGTACATGAAAACATGCCCAAGAGCCTCCAGGTCATCTCGTCGTGACTGTTCTCGTCCCAAATGTGTATTGATACTCATATATCGGGCCGTTCCCGATAAGGATTTGCGTTCACGGTAAGGGATATGTTGCTTCGTCTTTGGGTCTCGGTATTGTTTGGCCATGCCAAAATCGACGACGTGGATGACATTCGCTGCTTTGGTGTTGGGCCTGCCAATGAGGAAGTTGTCGGGTTTAATGTCGCGGTAGATCAAGTTCTTCTCGTGTATTGTTTGCACTCGCGAAAGCTGCGGGCTATTTAGCAGCTTAAACTGAAGGCGTGAGTGGAGATTAATACCATTTGCTTGGCCACCATGACCACGGTCTTGATGGAGAACCGTCTATTGCAATGATCGAAAAGATCTTCCAGGCTAGGGCCGAGCAGATCGATCACGAGAATATTGTGCAGGCCTTCTTGGCCAAAGTAATAGACATTAGGGATTCCGGCTGTCACAAAGTTAGTTCAATGGCGAGCCTTGATCAATTGAGGCGAGCAACATACGGCAGCCGACTAGAATCTTGTATGTTCTGTACTCATCCCGAAGCTGAGGTGCATCACTCTTTCTCGGTTCCTATCTTCCAATGAGTGTATGCAGAACAGAAAGCTTGGACGATGAGTCTCACAAATTTAATGGCAACTTGCTGGTTATTGAGGAGGTTTGTCCCCTCGAAAATCACACCAAAGGAGCCCTCTCCTATTTTCTTGCCCACTCGGTAGTGCACTCCAACCACATTTGAAGATGACGATGCCATGGTTTCGAAGGTCAAATAGATCGGGTAGATAAACTTAGAGGCAGAGCGAGAGATGATATGGTGGATTGGTGGTGTCGAAGAAGAAAGAGATGTCGCGGGGAGGAGTGGTCCGGGTTCGGTGTGAGGCGGTTTACCTCCTCACCTCGCAGGTCCGCAGCCACGACGACTGTGAAGGTCAGCAATTGTAGAAAGTAGCACACGGCAGACACAGGTACAGGCAGGCAATCACATACATTAAGGGCGTTGAATCAAGACGAAGAACATGTGCAGGTCAACGAAGTTGTAGTCGAGGAAAGGAACTGGCCTTTTGCCTGAGGCGAGCTCCTGCCAAGCCCCAAGGCTCCCACCGTAGGTGCTGGGGAGTGCCAAGGGATTGCCGGTTAGGTGCTGCGTTAGCGGTAGAGAATGCCTATCTACGCGCGGCACGTGTAATCACGTGGTGTAATCACGTGCACTATCTGGCACCCAACTTGCAGTGCCAAGCGTTGGGTCGTCGTCGTAAAGCTTAAACGCGTTTTATTGGTAAATAAACATCATCACTCCCATATCTTCAACCTCACCATCTCTTCTACCTTCCAACGCTGAACTCTGCCATGGTCAACGTACAAAATCTTCTCGGCCCGAAGCCGGATCTTAATCGTCTCAGTCAATCCTATCAGAATGTTGCTGAGGAAGTCGGAAAATTTTCCAATCTACCTCCATTCGATGCTGATAATGCGATTCTAAATGCTCTACGACAGCTAGGTGACAAGTTCGATACACTCGACCGCGAGACTGGCAAGAGGTTCGATCGTCTTGACAAGAAGGTTGGCAATCTTGACAAGAGAGTTGACGATATTGACAAGAGAGTTGGCGATATTGACAAGAAAGTTGGCGATATTGACAAGAAGGTTGACGATATTCGGTCTTCTGTCAAAGCAACGTAAGTCTCTCCCTTAGTTCGTTATAATAAAGACTAATTCTGTAGTGATCACAATGGTGCCTCTCGAGCTCAGAACGCCTTCCTGACGAAGTGCTCTGATCCTCTTTCAGAATTCGTCAACCCTTCAACTAATGAAGCTATCCAAGGATTTCCTGCTACGTCAGAAGAGATTCCCAAAATGTCTGCAGCTGTACTGAATTCTGTCTTAAGAGACCTGGGCTTGGCTCTTACTGGAGATCGGTCACAGAAAGAGATACGATTGAGGCAGTACATAGGCCTTACACCAGAGCCAGCATGAGAGCGTCAAGAGCATGAACATGAGACGGCTGCTTATGAGGGGGAAAAAGAGAAACAATTGAGGCAGCATATCGGCCTTAGACTGAGGCTGCAAATTGCATAAGAGCGTCAGGAGCATGAATACGGACAACAGCTTTGGGGGGGGAGCGAGGCTCGAACAATTCAGAGAGAAACGGTTGAGGCAGCATATCGGCCCTTAGACTGAGGTTGCAAATTGCATGAGAGCGTCGGGAGCATGATATGCACAACAGCTTAGGAGGGGAAACATAAAGCGAGACTCGAACGATTCAGGGAGAAACGATTGAGACACCATAAAGCCACAAATTGCATGAGAGCACCAAGAGCATGAATAGGGCTATGAACAACAATCCTTCAATTACGAATCCAGTGTAACTAGTAGAATCCAAAGTTCACATTATTAAGGAATGGGATGAACATCAACGCGGGGGATGGGAAGGCCAGCCAGCAAGGGACTCGCTTAAATGGTTTCGACGGGTAGAACCACAAACAATCTGTAGCGAACCAGCCAAGGAGCGAATTGGTTCGGTTCTCCCAATCGAGGGGCCACCAGCGTCTTGGAAGCTGACATCGATAATCAACCCAAACCGGCTATTGAGACTGGAAGAACCACGCTGCAGAAGCTGAAAGATCGTCCGGTAACCTTTGGCCATCGTGCAGAGATCTCGAATCCTCGATTCAACGAACCGGCCCTTTTCTCTTTCACGAGGCTACATACGCATTGCAAAGATGACAAGGTACAAGTATCGCGCCATCAAAAAGATCTGGGTTCGTATTGTTGGTGTCTCTCACCCTAACGTCGTCATCTTAGAAGGAGAAAAAAAATCTGCCCTTTGGCATCGGCTGAAATAGAAACGAAATAAAGGGTTATTTGTACAAGAATTGAAAATGTCTCTCCTCCTGTGACAACCAGTCATCCCTCATGGACCCCTTTCCCTCAAGACATTCATGGCCTCCAACCTGATGGAGTAGCGTACTTGGACATGGTCATGAAGCCCGAGCTAGGGAACTTATGCATCATTGTATGCGTGCCGTTGCCAAATCCGTGCCACGATGTGGCCGTGGTTGTGGATTCATCAGCGACCGCCACTGGAACTGTAGGTTTGACGGGCTTGAATTCGCTCGGTGTGGCAGTAACTGTAACGGTGCTCTGTACCATCTCCGTGACAGTGACGTAGGACACACCACATGCGCCTCCTCCTTTACCAGATCCATTCCCGTCCACTGCAGTATCGTCCCCTTTTCCAGTCTCTACTGGCGTAACAGTCATGGTCTCGGTGTTGGTGGATTGCATGATCAGAGTGGTGGTCGGCTCTGTACTCTCTGCTGCAACATTCTTGATATCCCCAGGAGTATCGGGTTTAGATGATGGTCGAGTCATGGTGGCATAAATTGTGCTAGTCACGGTATATGACTTAGTCATGCGGATTGTCGTGGTGACAACTGATGCTGATTCTCCAACGCCCATGGTCAAGGTCATGGTCGATTCCTCAACAGTGGTACTAACGGCAAGTTCTTCAGTCGATGTGACGGAGGTGTTTGATATAGCCCAATCTGACCATTTTGCGGCACTGGTAGTGGTTGAACTTGTCACTGCATCAACAAGGGAACTGCTGCTTTCGGTGGTGGCAGAAGATGTCCAATCGGCCCATGTTTTAGCGCTTGTGATAGTGGTGGCAGACGTAGTTGTGGCAGCGTCAACTTCGGAGCTGCTAGTGGTGGTGGTGGTGGTGGTGGTAGAGGTGCTTATGCTGCTAGTGGATACATCCTTCACAGGTATACTTGAGGTGGTGGTGGTAGAGGTGCTCATGCTGCTGGTGGATACATCCTTCACAGGTATACTTGAGGTGG